AAGGATTAGTGAAAAAAAAAAGTCGAGAAAAAAAAGGATTAGTGAAAAAAAAAAGGAAGAAAAAAAAGTTAGGAAAAAAAAAGGTAGGGTTGCAGAAAAAAACTGAAGAACAGCTCCAGGTTGCCTTTGGCCAGACTTTTATAAAAGGAGAGGGCTGTTCAGATTCCCTCCCTCCAAAAGCACGCACCACCACCACGTTTCAGCACCTACGCCAATACCGACACCAATACCATCGCCAACACCAGGGCCAACACCATGCCTTTCACCGCATTCACCAACAACACCCTTTCGCCGTCGAGCCTTACCTCATCCATGTCGAACACCAGCCTTCAGGTCGAAATCTCCCAGACCTCATCCAGCATCGGCAGTTTGGATGTGGAGTTGTCCATTTCTGGTTCAAACGGCTCCAACTTTCATCATCATAGTGATGAGGGGCGTGAGGACAGCGAGTTGCCAACTTCTCGCTCAAGCTCTTCAGATGAGGAACACCATCACTCTCCTGCCCCTCAGGATGAGCAGTTTGGGGTCTTTCGCAGTACTGGCTACTTTGATGTGGACTGGATGGCCTTTACGCTCCCTACCACAAAGCTGACCACCCTCTTTGGTGCCTTCACCTTGGTTGAACTGTCTGGAGTGATGCAGCATATCAAGGACAGTGAAGCTTTCGCCGGTTGGATGCGGATCGCTAGCAGACCTTGTGTCATTAGCATTCCATTCAATCCAGAGTCAAAGGCAAGGATTCTTGAGTTACTTCACAATGAACATTCGATCATCGTGAGGGAAAGCACGGATCACTCACGATTGATTGCTGGGCGGCAAAATCTGTTGATGTCTGGGTTCCAGGACATCATTGGTGCTGTGTCACCCTCTGTACGCATTGTGCAGTATGGAATGAAGCAACGCATTCAGACTTTGCCAGCCTACTCCTTTGATCAGGAAGTGAGCAACCATCCCGATGCTGCACTGAACACATGGGACATTGGTCAGACGTTGAACACTCATGGGGTCATTCCTTTGGTTCGCTACAATGGACGTGGAGTTGGAGCCACCTTTCCCATGCTCACCATCCTTGGTGAGGGATTTGGGTCCACCCGCTTTGACATTGCGGGTCACGCCAATGTTTGGGTTACTTGCTACCCAAAGCTTGTTCATGCGCTCAAAGCCTACTCTTCGACTTTGTCTTCGCGAATGCCCCAAACCAAGTCCAGCCTTGGGGATCGCAGTGAGACACTGAGAGGTTTACGTCAATGGCTCAACAGTCACCCGCTCCACATTACTGGCATGCGAGTTGAAGTGCGAGTTCAGTGCGCCAGGTTGGAATCAGCGGAACAGATGGTTTTGAATCTCCATTTGGACCAGATCGAGACCATTTTCCAGCACATGGGCGCAAACTCCTTGAAGCTTGTGCCGGTGGAAGAGTACTACAGTCTCATCAATGGCATCATGGACGCTGCCACCAGAGTTCTATTCAGAGGAGATCGCAATAGACAGACTACTGTGACAGACTGTCAGCGCTTCCGAGATGTTCTCAACTCTTTTGGTTTCAATCCCGGATGGTTCAAAGGCATTGCACCCGTCATTGATCCTGCTCGTGCTTGGTGGGGTCATGGGGATGGGGAAGTGCCTGATGCTGCTCCCATTGGCAATATCCGTGAACTCTTCCATCAGCATCGTGATCAGCTTCAATGTCCCAACTGTGGAGGCTCAGCTTTTCATAGCATTGGCGGTCAGCATCGTTTCCGTCTCCGCTGCGCCAGGTACCCTGAGTGCTGTACGGCTTTTGGACAGAACCAAGTCCGTGACATGCTTGCGGAAGTCCTTTAGTACTGTTGAATGTCGTTGAGAACTTTACACCAAAACCCTTTTCTGAATGTGCGCTTTTCCAATGTACTCTAAATCAATAAATGCAATACTACTTTCCACCATTTTAAATGTTCCATGACAGAGACAGTTTGGCTGAATTTAATAAGTGATCTGGGAAATCTCTAACCCCAACCCTCTCACTCTGCGTACCCTGCAAGCAAGCCCAGGTCACGTGCTCTAACCTGCATGGACAAACTGTAGAACACTGCTTTAACCGGAAAATGTTCAACAGTTTTGGTAAATAACAGACCGCAAGGGTCCTACAAACAGTCTACGATGCACAGCGGAATTCACAAAATGTTTACTGGAGAACACGGCCAAACCCCTTTGCCTGCACATGCGTACTCGTGTCTTTTGTTAGGAGGTCTTGGGGATCACGACTTGAGAATTGAAAAGGGGCCCTGTTCTTCAGCCAAAAGCAAGGTTACACAAGATTTGCTACCACATCAGCTATGCAAACCATAGGCTACAATCAACTTTCATTAAGTGCCCTACACTGGATAGTCAGCCAGATGTTGAGATATCACCACATTTTCCAACTTTTTACCCCCCGTCGCGTGAAAATTTCGTTTTTCTAAGTTTCTGAAGCCGTTTCCGCACGGATTGCCAATCCGAGAGTACTTCAATTAGAGAATATGATATGGGGCCAACTTTTCAATTAGGACGCCAACTCCGGATCGGCACTAGAAAAATCCCAATTTCCACAAGTCCTATAACGTATATATAACATATATGTCCCCTTTATATCAACCCCCCCCCCCCGTACCCGCACCACCGCCCATATGACCCATCACTTGCCCTTGCACACCTAGTCCTCCCCGACTTGCCTAGGTGCGCAATACCCCCCGCCACTACCTCCCTCAGAGTCAAAAATTCGAACTGTAGAACACACCCAAAAGCCAGAAAACTCGAAAATTTCTAAGTCCCTAGGGTTCCAGGCAACCCAATAATAAAACCCAACCCAGGGGGTCTTGTAACCCTAACCCTAACCCTAACCCTAACCCTAACCCTAACCCTAACCCTAACCCTAAACCCTAACCCTAACCCTAAACCCTAACCCTAACCCTAACCCTAACCCTAACCCTAACCCTAACCCTAACCCTAACCCTAACCCTAACCCTAACCCTAACCCTAACCCTAACCCTAACCCCTAACCCTAACCCTAACCCTAACCCTAACCCTAACCCTAACCCTAACCCTAACCCTAACCTAACCCTAACCCTAAGATGTTTTTGGGGATGTTTTCTGAGACATATCTCACTTTAAGCGAAATCCATCCACTCAGAGTTTCAGAAAATGCATTTTGGCAATATTTTCATAGTAAAAAATCGGAAAAACAGATTTTCCCGGGGCATTGAGTGGAAAACATGCCCCAAGATTTGAAGCACATTACAGTAAGATGCCCCTGAACATTGCTAGCAACTTTATTTGACACTTTTTGGATGGCCAAAAATAACCCATAACCGGGAACAGTCCTGTAACCCTAACCCTAACCCTAACCCCTAACCCTAACCCTGTTCTTCAGCCAAAAGCAAGGTTACACAAGATTTGCTACCACATCAGCTATGCAAACCATAGGCTACAATCAACTTTCATTAAGTGCCCTACACTGGATAGTCAGCCAGATGTTGAGATATCACCACATTTTCCAACTTTTTACCCCCCGTCGCGTGAAAATTTCGTTTTTCTAAGTTTCTGAAGCCGTTTCCGCACGGATTGCCAATCCGAGAGTACTTCAATTAGAGAATATGATATGGGGCCAACTTTTCAATTAGGACGCCAACTCCGGATCGGCACTAGAAAAATCCCAATTTGCACAAGTCCTATAACGTATATATAACATATATGTCCCCTTTATATCAACCCCCCCCCCCCGTACCCGCACCACCGCCCATATGACCCATCACTTGCCCTTGCACACCTAGTCCTCCCCGACTTGCCTAGGTGCGCAATACCCCCCGCCACTACCTCCCTCAGAGTCAAAAATTCGAACTGTAGAACACACCCAAAAGCCAGAAAACTCGAAAATTTCTAAGTCCCTAGGGTTCCAGGCAACCCAATAATAAAACCCAACCCAGGGGGTCTTGTAACCCTAACCCTAACCCTAACCCTAACCCTAACCCTAACCCTAACCCTAACCCTAACCCTAACCCTAACCCTAACCCCTAACCCTAACCCTAACCCTTTGCCGATGCCAAGAGGGCACCTGGCCCAGACATGAAACCCGGGGACAGTGTCTGGCTCTTACAGCGGAATCTCAAGACTCTCCGACCTTCCCAGAAACTTGATCACCGTAAGATTGGCCCCTTCACAATCACGGAGAAGATCAACTCGGTCACATATCGCCTCAAGCTTCCCCCATCCTACAAAATTCACAACGTCTTCCATGTCTCCCTTCTTGAACCATGTTTCACCATTCCGGAGCGAACTGAGCCAGAACCCACCCCACCAGAAGAAGTCAAAGGACAGGAGGAATGGATTGTGGAAGACATTCTTGACTCCCGTATTCGACGCACGCACCTTCAGTACCTCATCAAGTGGCAGGGTTGGCCAAGCTCGGAGAACACATGGGAGCCAGTGGAACACCTTGCCCGCTGTCAAGAGCTTGTTGCCCAGTTCCACCAAAAGTACCCCGACAAACCCCAACCAAAGCCTGCCAACATCAAAACAACATCCGGAGCCGTGGCTAAAGGAGGGGGTGATGTTATGGACGACGCGTCCATACCATGCGCTTACCTCATGACAGCATCCCAACAGTCAGTCAATGTCATTTCCCTGTCAAAACCTGACATCTGCCAAACCTCGCAGCCGCACGCAGCCGCGCTACCCCACACCTGCCACTGCCTTCATTTCTCCACGCAGCCGCACGTAGCCACACCTCCCAACACTCGGCGCTTACAAACCCTTCTCCATACTTCCCCACGTACCCGCCCACAGCCTCAGCGTAGCCACCCCATCCCCAGTCTTCTGTTTCTATGCTTCCCCCACCCTTGGCGCTTCTCTTGGCTTCCCTCTCATTCCGTACCCTTCTGCTTCCCCACGCTTCCCCAGCCTTCCCAGAAAAGCATAAATAGCCGCCTCCCCTGAGCTCCCCACTTCCTGATCCCCCAGCAGATCAACACCAGTTCTTCTCATCTCCTGTTCTAGCCCTTGTTTCTTGTTTCGCCAATACAATCTCTTGTCGCCTATCACACTCGCCCTGTCTTCTCTACTTCGCTTCCGCCCCCGTCGTCGAGATCATAACAGTAATACAAGCAGCAGGGCCTCAGTTTTTCCAGCAGAGAAGCGAGAATAAGGACTGTGGATCACCGCTGGAAGCTGCAGGACCTCAACCAGCATGAGGAATTCTGAACGGTGGAAGCGGAAAAAACGTCAAAACTGCTCCTCATCCATGGTTTCCCAGCGCAAACGGTGGTGGGGAGGGTCGTGGAGAGCAGTCTGGCGATGCCTGAGATGATGGTGATATAGGAGAAGGAGGTTTCTACGGTCGTCCATGTCGAAATGTCGAAATGCTGGTGGAAATGTTGGTGAAATGGGGAACTTGTTGGAAGGCAACGAGTAATGGAACTGCTACTCGTTGGCACGGAAGGGGCTACTCGTTCTACCAGATTGCTGGGCCCGCACCAAATTGTCGGGTTGCCACTAATCGTTCCCGCCACCGTCCACAACGACTTGTATAAACTGTCTAAAGCCCTCAGGCGCGGGCGTATATCGCATTTCATACGTAGAAACCTCCGGCACCTCCGGTCACGTCGATCCCTTTGATTTCCGTCCCCCAAGCTTCCTTCCGTGATGAGGTTCGCCGGCTGGAACTACGAGCAATCCCTGAGCAAGACCGACCTCACCTTCTGCTCAACACCGACTCACACACGGCACTACACCAAACCGCTTCTCAAAACTCACGCTGTCAGCTCGTTGGAAAACGTACATAGTACATCACAGACCATTGCGCGAGAAGACTGAAAGGGGACGGTTAGGCAATGAAGCCCGCGAAAGAGCATACTTTTTTCTTTTCATATTATTTATTCTTTAACATGCCTTCAAACGCAGACTCCGCAGTGGCGGTTAGCCCTGTTGGTGTCGCTTCATGCAATCTTGTTCTTAGAACAGCCTTCAAACCTGTCGCCTGAACGACGTAGATTGACGGGTGCATCTCATACTGGCCCGAAGCGCTCTAGTATGCGGCCCTTAGTGGGCCCGGCGAGTCCCTGAAATGGAGGAAGACTTCATGGCTATAAATGTGTGGCTCTTTATCAGACGTCCCTATGTCTCGTCCTACCAAAGACTGAGAGTTGGTACTTGACCTTTGTAGCTGGTGTTTGACTAAAAAATCCCTTCCTTCGCAATGGACAGGCGTCTGCCGTGGCAGCGAGATGTCAGGCGGCTATCGGGGCTTCTGCTGCTGTGGGTGTTTCGATGTGCTTTGGCGACCACTTGACTCTACCCTGTATCTCGGACTTTCGCCGTTTGATCTGATCAGCGATATCAGCATTGCTGACGGCGTGACTTTGACGCTGGAGGTACGGTTGCTCAATGTTCTCCACTTGCTAAACAGTGTTCATCTAATTCTACCATATGCAAACGGCAAAGCCCGGAGTAGTGGTCCGTCACAATGGACACTCGATCCAAGTCCACGGAAATCTTTACGCCAGCGGAACAAGCGGCTCCCGGATTTCCTTCATAGGTGCTTCCGCCGCACCTACGAGCATGACTGGGGCTCAAGCTGGCATAACCACCTTTCAGGATCATGCGTTACCTGTCATTACATTGAATTACGTTGATATCTCCAACTTTGAATTTGCTATCGAGAATCGAGGCAGCATGCAAATTACGCAGTCAAATTTCACCAACAACCTCAAAGGGGTATCGAGTTGGACTGAACACTTGATTTCGACGACTGTTTTCCAAAGTGCGTCAGAACAGCTTGTTTCTTCGGCGCTCACATGAGTGGCTTCACCTAACGCGGTTCCGGTTGTCCCCACTTACAGATAACGCTCACGCCGCATCCGGCGACCAGTAAGGGCCTTGCTTTCTATGCCTTGAGTAGTGGAGTTACTCAATCATGCTTCCACGATTGTGGTATATTAGTGGCCACGTTGATAACTGCACATTTGTCTCGAATCAAATCGGAGTGGAATCCCTATTTTACGATAATATGTATCTGACTAACAACATATTCGACGGAAACACCGTCGCGGCCCTGTCAGATGTTCAGGGCCAGTGTGATGGAAATGTGTTTGTTAACAAGTAAGCCCGCATCCCCTAATCTGTCCTTCAGGTGCGAGAGAGTCCTCAATTCGTCCCCACTCCATTCAGCCTGGTAGCTGTTTCAGTCTCTCACTCGAACCCAGATGGCTTAACGCTCTCCAACAACTTGGTATGTAAGACCGGTCACAGCTCTTGTTACAACTTCTATTTGATGGTCTTTAACCGCTTCGGCGCCTATAATTTAGTTCTCGAACAACTCGGTGGATATTTCTGTGAGTGGCGCGAATCCCCCTGTGGTGCACGGAAATGCTTTCTGCGGAAGCCCTACCTGGCATGTGCAAATGGGAACGGACGCCGACTTCGACGCAACGGGGAACTACTGGGGAACGTCGGACGGGGCGATTGTGAGGGGATATCTCAACGATGCATATTGGGACTCAAACCTGGGTTTCGTTTCGGTCAGGTTCATCTGAAATTTCAACATGAAAGGTGTTGGTCGACTCATTCTTGACTTCTTCGTAATAGGTTGTCCCCTTCCTCACGGCTATGCCAGCAAGCGTTTATGGAATTGATATCTACTATTGTGATCCACCAGCTGATAAGAATTTCACCCGTCTCACGACGGGAGGCGTTTATGAAGACACAAACATTACGGTGGCAGACAGCCCATATGTGATCTCCGAGCGGTTAGTAATTTTTGCAACCGCGACACTCACCATTGAACCTGGCGTCAATATCACTGTTAACGGCGCAGGCGCTCTGGTGGTCCGGGGAGTACGTACAACCAGTTCCTTGTGGGCTACATACGAAAACCGTCAACGTGAGCACTCACGAACTTGCTGGTCATCATCTAGTCTCTTCAAGCTAACGGGACGGCGGATGATCCGATTATCTGGCAAGGGTGGTATGCTGATGAACGCTTACGCATTGGAATCGTCACCGATGGAGGAACCGTTTACGCCTCCTTCGTGACATTCGCCGGCTTTGCCAAGGTCTTCGACTACAAAAATTCGGCAGGATCACATCCCTATATATTTGAGGACTGTACCTTCCTTGATAACGATGTCGGCATCCAGGTCTCTGGATCGATCGTCACACGGTGCAACTTTACGAGCAACGGGCACGCAGTTATTGGAGATCGTATCACAGTAACGAACAGTACCTTCGTCCAGAATGACGTCGTCACGTATGGGCTAAACGCCTTCACGTACCAGTTGACTGGGTCGTCATTCGCCCAGTCGACTTTCTTCAACAACTCTTTGGTCGCAGACACCGGCCTTATGCGTTTCACCGACTGTCTGTTTGTGGGCAACGATCAGGTCAGCAAGAATTCGCCGAGTTCTTTCACCAACAGTCTCTTTGTAGAGAATGCAAATTTATTCTTGGTTGGGTCCGAGACTGGCTTGCAAATGTCCGGCTGCTCCATATGTGGCACAAAGGAATGGAATGTTCGACTCTCAACTTCGACCGATGTGACCATACCAGGGAATTACTGGGGAAGCAACAACTTGACGCTGATTAGAAATACAGTGTACGACGCATACCAGGCAGCAGGTCCTGGCATTGCAAAGGTTAGATAATATCCCAAGCGAGCCCTCTAAGCAAATATGGCCAGCCCTAACCCCTATTGTTTTTCCACCCCGTTAGCTTGACCCCGTACTGGACGCTCCTATGGCAACTTTTGGAGCGGATATGTACCCGTACTGTGCTCCGCCGGATGATCGCGGTGTTGATCCTGCCAACACTCCATCCATTCTTGAGGATCGCATTATCGGAGTTGACCAGAGCCCATGGGTGGTCAACTCGGTGCTAGTAGTGTATCCTGGTGTCACGCTCATCATTCAAGCCGGAGTCACGGTCCAGGTGCGGGCAGTGGGTTTCGGAACGATGAAACCAGTCCATGTAGCTTTACTCACCCCTTCCATTCCTACCAGATGGGGCTAGACTTCCAACTTGTCAACCGCGGAACACTGGTCGTAAATGGAACAGCGGACGCGCGTGTCGTATTTGAGGGCAATGCCTTGCAACCTGTGCAATGCGGAGACTTGCATCTTTCTACTCCCGCTATGCTCACTATGGACTTCGCGAGTTTCAATGGCTCTGTAACTCCTATCACGGTAGTAGGGGGCTCGCAAATGGCGTTGAGTAATGTCGAGTTCCGAAATGGGTCTGAAGCAATAAACGGAGCTTGCGGTAAATGCAGTCTGGATAGCAGCCTGATCGATGGTAAGATATTCAATTGATCATCACAAAGATCAGGACTCCAGAACTCACCGGCATTTGCTGAACTCCTGAATTGAACCGGTGGCTAGGTTTTACTAAAGGAGTGGAGGGAAAGAACATCGTTATCACAAATACGACGTTTACAAACAACAACCAAGCGCTTTACAGCATGCAGTATGCTACTGTCTCCGACTCCACGTTTTCGCAAAACAATATTGGGCTCTATGGAGGTAAGCGGGACCGCGGACCTCTAAAGTTCACAAAGAAAGTCTTTGAATCTCATTCCGCACCTTCGTTCAGTTCACGGGAGCATCACAAACAACATAATCCTCAACAACACGATAGGAGTCCAGTCGGGCGATGTCATTGCGACCTATAGCGGGAACACCATCGTTGGGAATGAAGTTGGGTTACAGGTGGAAAGCAATTATCAGTTCACCTTCACGGGAAACAATTTGTGCGGCAACAAGCTCAACGTGAACCACCGGAGCCCGATTACACTCGATTTGTCACAAAACTGGTTTGGAATTGAAGATGCGGGACAAGCCGCTGCAAGCTTCAGCGATCATCGGACTAACAAGGACATACAAGGGCGTATCACACTCAACCTGGGGGTGCGATGGTTTCCAGTGGAGGGTTCTCCGGTGGACTCATGTGTGAGTCCTCCTCTGTGTCTTCCGACGACTTGCTCGGGACACGGTATTAGAAACGCTTTTTCGGGTTGCGATTGTCTTGCCAATTGGAGCGGTGACAAGTGCGACATTTGCACCGGAATTCTGGTTGGGTCTCGATGTGTAACACCCGCCGCTGCTATTAGCAACGACTGCAATGCCTGTTTGGCTGTGCCGACGTACGCATGGTGCATCTCCAACAGCAGTTGCATAGACGCAACGCAATCGAACGCGACGTGTGAACTTGTGTCTACGGACGCAGGAAAATGTGGCAACGATAACTCTGTGATTGTTTCAACCGCCACGATGTCATCTTTTTCGACCATCAACGTCTTGTTCAGATCGGCGACGGATCAAGGAGCCTCTACCTTACCTTTCGAAAGTTTCGGTAGCACTTTTGATTGCGTCTGGGTACTGTCGTTCGTCACAACCCAGTTGCTCGGCAAAGGGACCTTCTGTTTCTTCCAATCAGACCGCAATCTGGTCATCCAAATCGGTATGTTGCTTTTTTGTCAACTGCATGCATTATCGATAACTGAACTGGTTGATCCACGTTCAAGGGTCCGGTGATTTTCGCCCATTTGCCGATAAGCTTCAACTCAAAAAATCAGCAATTGCTTCCGCGAACGACTCAACTATATTGAATTCCGATCAGATATTCGCAATCGACCCCCCGGCTGTGCTGCAACGTCCCGAAGCAAAGATCAGGGCGCCACAAAGCATCTCAAGCTGTGACTCGTTGACGGTCGATGCTGCAGCGTCCGCTGACATCAGTGGAACATTAGTTCCTATCTGGTCGTGCAGTCTGCCCGGCATAGGCGCGTGCCCTGATAGTGTGCTTTACGACATGACCGCCGGCGATCTCACCTTCACCGTTAGCTCCAAGTCTTTGCATTCCGTTACCTCAATGAATAGCGGGCTGGCAACGACTCTACGCTTTGAATTGCGACTTTACAACGGCTTCGGAATCTGCTCACCATCGAGCGCGGATATTACCGTTCTCCCTGGTACGGCGCTCATGGTTAGCATCCAAGGTCAGCCAGCGCTTCCAATTATGTCTCGAAATCCTGCTACCATTTACGCAGCCGCAAACGCTCCGTCGTGCGGCAGTGTTCGTCCTTCTTACGCATATCAATGGACTTGGGATAGTACTTTGATATCCGAGTCAATCACCCCGAGCGGATCTTCTTTGGTTGTTGGATCAAGTGCTTTTGGTCCACCGAACAATCGGCTTGCAGGCGCATGGGTCAATCTGACTGTCCAGGATCAGAACGGAACTTTTGCCCCTGGACAAGCGGCCCTGTGGATCTACCCGCAGACGCAGCCCCTTCAACTTTTGATTGATCAGGATGGGGCAATATTAAGCGCGTTCCATGACTTCGGCCTTTCCTTCGTAGCTTTCGACCCCGAAGGCGACCCCGAAGCGGGGGCATTCGTCGTTCAGTGTCAGATGAGCGTTGATGCTGGTTCCACCTTCCAACCATGCAGCGGAGCCTTGAGTGACATAGCGGTTTCGGCTTCTGACGATGGCGTGTCGTTGGACAACTTCCGTCAGAAATTCACAGTGCTCATACCTCGGCCGGATCCGTCGTTTGGTCCTGGGCTGTACAACTTCAAGGTGTTTTGGGTAAAAGGAGATAGGTCGGCTGTCGGAAGCGCGGCAACGACGATGACTGCAGACTCCACTTTACTTCCAGAAACCCGAATGGATTTATTGTCGCCACTGCCTGGCCGCTTTATACCTTCTTCCGTCGGTGTGCCCTACGTAACAGTGAGCCTCTCCAATATCACGCTTCAAGCTTATCCGTTTGGACCTGATTACACCTACCAATGGAATATTACCACCAGCCGCAGTGATGACTCTCTGATGGCAAATATCTCAGCATCATCTACAACGGGACTTAGTCAGCCGTCGTTGCAGATACCGGTAGATGCTCTATCCGCGGGCACATTTTATACGTATGCGCACTTCACCATAACTCGTCCCCTATCATGACATTGATCCCTTCTCTTCCAATAACAGGATCACCATCAACGTCACTCAAGACACGAACTCTCAGCGGCTTGTGGGCTCATCGGCTATGACAATCTTTGTGGTTTCTCCGCCGTACAATGGCCGCGTACAAGTCACACCGGACAGCGGAATGATCAGCACCTTGTTCCAATTTCGTGTCCTGGAGGTCATTGATTTCATCGGTGGCTTGGAGTATTCGTTTGGCTATGACAATGCGAATGGATCTACCGTTCAACTCAGTCAGGGGTTTTCCGGTGATAACATTTTTTCCGCTTATCTTCCGGCGGCTTCCGAGGATTCCCCCATCAGTATTTGGTGTGATGTTCGAAATTCGTTTGGATTCATCAACAGGCTTGCTGCAGATGTTGCCGTCCAACTGGAGGAACTCGATCCGGACAGTGTAGCCAATGACCTTGCAGACACTGTACAAAGCCCTATCGTGGCTGCGTCGCTTCTGCTTTCCTTGAGTAACACTATCAGTTCTCCAGATGTTGGGCTGCAACAAGAAGATATCGACACAATCGCTGGAGCTATCGCGACCGCAGCGATCGATCTGGCAACCAATCTAACCGACAATGTCGTAAGTCATGAGTCGGTTGCCAGCGTTGCGAACTTGCTGGGGGCTGGCCTTGAGGCCTCCGCGGCTTCTTCGGCAGGCCCATCAACAGATGTCGTAGATAAAGCCTTGGATTCCCTACAAACGCTAACAGAATCGGCAAGTATCCTGGCTGACAGTGATGCGCAACAAGACTTTTCGGACCCCGTTATCGCCGAACCGATGCCTGCGGAGACTGCTGGCCTTCTGATCAGCGTGATTGACGCTGCACAAAACGCGACTCTAAGCTTGCCTGATGTCTTATCGCCTGCCACGGACGACAGCCGTCTCGCCGAAGCAGTGAGCAACGTCTTGTCCGCTGTCAGCAGCGGCATCCTAGTTGGTCAGGAGCCACTGGTCATCAGCAGCTCTAACGTCATCGGTATTGCAATGAGAGACTTCGGAATAATGGACGTGAACTTTGAAGCAGACACCGCGACAGCAAACGACACAACGGAAAGTAGCACTACTTCTTTGACAACGGTGACACCAACAGAATCCGTCTCAGGTTAGCTTCGTGAAAGACCTTTCCTATGTATCGAAAGTGCCTGACTTTGCTTTTCTTTCCTAGCGTCTATGTCTGAGGCGTCCGCAAATGTCATTCCTGTAACGGTCTCCGCGGCGTTCCCAGGTAGGTTGTGGTTTTGCCAAAGCTTCCAAGAAGTACACCGATGTTCAGGAAGTCTGACGATTTCTTCTTCAAGTCATGGTCAACATTAACTTACCAACGACGGTGGCAAGTGCCACGAATTCAAGTGCTGCCGACGGCGTCATTGACACGAGAGTCCAGATGTGGGCGGAAGCCCCCATAAAGGACCCTTCCGTGAACATTGGTTCCCAGGTTGTAGCCTTGTCCCTTTTCAATTCCTCAGGGGATAACATTCCGGTCACCGATACAGGAGATCAACCAGTAAAGATCGACTTTTGGGTGGATTCACTTGCGAACACTAGCACCGTCTGCGTGGCGTCATCAGCAGATGCAACGAGGAAAGGTCGTAACGAAGGCCGAAATAGTGGCTGGAGCTCGGCAGGCTGTACTTTGGCTCCACAGCTGATCGACACGAAGGGTTCTGGGCAAACGAAGCGGTACCGTTATAGGTGCTCATGCAACCACCTCACTGCGTTCGCTCTCGGAAATAGTTCTACGGAAGCCAACAATGCAACAATCCCCTCTACCTTCTCCATTTCGAGCACAGTGGCATCCGCGACGTCGTTGAGTACTTCCGCCAGTGCCGCTATCTCATTGACGACATCGGCAAGTGCGCTAAGCGTCGCAACCTCTTCGACTGTCTCATCATCGCCCACACAAGTGCCCGCTACCTCATTGACGACATCGGCAAGTGCGCAAAGCGTCGCAACCTCTTCGACCGTCTCGTCATCGCCCACACAAGTGCCAACTACCTCATTGACGACATCGGCAAGTGCGCAAAGCGTCGCAACCTCTTCGACCGTCTCGTCATCGCCCACACAGGTGCCCACTACCTCATTGACAACATCAGCAAGTGCGCAAAGCGTCGCAACCTCTTCGACCGTCTCGTCATCGCCCACACAAGTGCCCGCTGCCTCATTGACGACATCGGCAAGTGCGCAAAGCGTCGCAACCTCTTCGACCGTCTCGTCATCGCCCACAACCCAATCGACCACCGTGAGTCGAGGACCGTCTGGTACATTGAACCCATCCTCAACGAAAACCACCATTGCCACGACTCCTTCGGCTTCAACCACGCCGGTTACTCTCCCAGTCGGGGCCCGGCTGGTCTTTGGTGGTAACGCCTTGACGGATAGCTCCACGAACACTTATAAACCATATGGAACGGCTGAAGTCACGGCCGTTCTCAACTCAACCGTTGGCTCGGGGGTCGTCACCAAATATCAGTGGCGGATCAACAGCATCCAGCAAATCGGATCGAATGGCAACCTCCTTAGCATTCAATCAGCGCTTCCCGCGCTGGGATTACAGAATAAATTGGATTTGACAATCTCCTTTCTAGATTCCACCGACACGTTGCTCTCAACATTGCAACTTACTGCTACGTTCAGCGTGGACGCCCAATCGTATCCCTTGATACCGGCTTTTGCCACAGGTCCAGGCACTGCTTCTATCGCGACGGACTTGGTCATCGATGCATCAGCGTCATTGGATACCGCAGACGTCTGTTATGTCGCATCCCTAATAAGTTCCACGGCACTATCAGCATGTTATAGGTTGAAAGGAGCAGCGTCGTATTCAAAGGTACCCCCAATGACCTTCCAGTTTTCCTGCCGCATGACACCATCCACTAGTGACGGTACAGGAAACTTTTGTGTTACCAACGGGACCGCCGGGAACGTTACCTGGAGACAGTCCTCTCCCATATTGACTGTTCCCAGGGCTACGCTGAAACCAGGGCAAGTCTGGTTTGATGTGCAGATTCAGCGAGACGGCAGACGCGCTAGCACCACGACTTCGTTGTCCCTCGTACTGCGAAATACTACCACCTTCATCACGCTGTCGTCGTCGCTTGCGTTCGCTACTGGAAACACCTACTTGCCTGCAAATACCATCGTGGTGGACTCTGCGGCGGTCAGTAATCCAGCCATACTGGGTTACAATTGGACTGTCACCCGCTACATTGGATCCACACCTTTAGACATTGTTCAACAAGCAACTGGAAGTCTCCTACGGTAAGCTTCTTCAGGTTTCCACCATACTATGTAAGGAATCTTACAAGTACGCATCTCATAAATGTTTTTAGGTTGCTAGCGTCGAGCTTGGGCGTCGGGTCGTATAGCGCCAATGTGGTCGCTTATGCCCTCAACGATCCCTCCGTGAATGCAAGCAGTACCACAACCTTCCAAATCATTGATACATTGCTGGCGGCGGTGGGCTGCTCCTTATCCCGGAACGCCGGCCAAGAAATCACTACGGTCTTTGCTGTGCAGGGATGCTCAACACCTTCCATTGGAACCTTATCCTTCTACTATTCCGTTAACGGCGCCGCGTACTCGACACCCATCAGCAATCCGGCTTCATTTACGCTTCCCGCAGGCAATGTCACTGTCCAAGTCGTGAACACACTGCGGCAAGGGTCTGCGCAACTCTTGTCAACTCCCCTGGTGTTGAACGCGACCGTCGCAAGTATGGCCCCTTTGGACGCTAGCATTGTCGGATCGACGTTCGCGAATCTGGTTTCATCCTCCTCCGACCCAACGCAAGCTGCAGCTGCCGTGTCGGCTTTCACTGCTAGTTTGGCAACAGTCACGGATCCCACGTTGCGGCAATCAGCGAACCAAGCCGTCATGCTTTCTATGATATCGACCGTATCAGGGGACGAAACCGCAGCGGACGCGGCTGTGAAGACGCTCATCATTGCTCAGTTGGTGAGCGGCGGCTCGGGCAGCGCTTATGCGACTGCAGTGTCTGAGACGGCAAAGGCCGCAGCGGCTGAGGCTATTTCTTCTCTCGCTCAAGTTCTGGCGAAAACTGGAGCTACTCCCGACGTGTTACAGCAGGCCGCAGCCGCAGCCATCAGCTCCGTCCCAGCTCTAGCGAGCGCTGCAGGAGCACAACAATTGACCAAGACGCTCAATTTGGTCGGGCAAGCACTGGCTGGTAACCTCCCTCCTGGAGAGACCGCTGAACTCACCGCTGGTGATACTCGTATCCTTGTGTCGCCCACTACCCCCGACACCGTTCCCTCGACAGTAGCTGTGAGCAGGGTGTCCAGTACGCTCCGTATCAGGAAACGAATAACTGCATCTGCGGCCTCATGCTCCATAGGGCTTGGAAGCACATTAGGGACTGCGTTAACGAACGCTGGTGTACGAAAGGACCAAAAAGTCGTCATTCAATCCACTTGCAGCGGGTCTAGTGCTTACCCCGTCGATGCGCAGAATTTGACAGCTCGGATTGGCGGCGCATCATATACGTAAGGGAGTCCTCTTATCGTTCTCGCATGGCGTTTGCTTTTCCTCTTCCCGAGTCTATCAATGGCCTCTCATTGTATTCTCCTAACTTATTTCACCCCGTGACTGTAGACTGACGGCGGGTGTCGTGGGGTTGAACGTCATGATTGACGAAACGCAGTTCAACAACGTCCTTCAAACTCCAATCACCATTACCATCCCTGCTTTATACACCGCGACCGCCAAAAAGAAACGCGGTCGTTTCTTGGGGCCTCGAGCGCCCAGCACCGTTTCCACCGCTCAATGTAACGTTTGGAATCAGGCCACCAGCGCTTGGGATCCCTCATCCTGCATTACCGTGGCCGGAGGCGATCCCTACATCAGTCAGTCAAGCGGCACTGTCACCTGCAACTGCACGATCCTAGGAGTTTACTCGGTGACGATGCTTTCTCGGACAATTGATATCAATGCAAATCCGACCGCTACATCCACCACGTCTTCAGCCACTGCGACGGCGACTCCCACAGCTACGAACGGTCAAACGGACGAAGGCGGAATGACGGCGCATAAAAAGGGGGTTATCGCCGGTTCAGTCCTGGGGTCGGTGGCTGGTGTGGCGGCCCTAGCGGGAGGAGTATTTTGGGCAATAAAGAGGCGCCGCTGAGTTCGGTTCGGATTGGATTGCAGGAACCGAACTGTCTGCGTCGCCTCAAGAAGTAGCTGCATTCTCTGTGAGGACAATGTATAGATGAGGAATCCATACTATAAAGAGTGGCCGAAGCCATTTGCGTCTAATACAATAGGATCTGGGTTTAGGATTATACGTATGTGCTCGTGGATTATACTGTATGTGCTCGTTGCGTACCCCAAAGTTTGCACTTGCGACCGCGATGGCGGAACAACAACATCCATGCAGGTCAAGCGGTTCGTTCTCCGGCAAAAGGCGCTCGGATTGAGTGTTACCACCGGCCGCAGCAGGCGCAGAGACACAGACGGCTCCGTCTCCTTTGCAGCCACTGACATGTAAGTAAGCTTTACCGCAGCTGTCAGTAGGATTGCCGTCATGAGAGACCGTATACGGGATGAAGAGGTGGAATGAGATCTCAGAGCCACGTCCGCTGCAGAGCTTGAGGTTGAGGGTTTTTGGCTTTATTACACATATGCACCTCGTAGCCAGAATGCTGTTATATGTTCCTCATCATCATACGCTTGTTCATGTCTATCCTACGGGCGGCGAGACAGCTCTGCAAAGCTGTCATTCCGTCGGGTAATGCTCTTCCAGCCACGACTGTCAATTGGAGAAGCCTCCCAGACTCCGCGTGCATGCAGTCTATGCAGTCTATGCAGATGCAGTGGCCGCAGGTTGCAGAAAGAGGCTCTAAGAGCGAGAGAGAGAGAGAGAGAGAGAGAGAGAGAGAGAGAGAGAGAGACAGGCAACAGCAGCTCATCTGCACAGGCAGCAGCTCATCACAGACATACTTACGCCGGCACTCCCACAACCACGCCCCCTCGCGGCACGACTCCCCCTTGCTTTCCACCGCTCCTCGCCCTCGCCCTCGCCTTCGCCCTCCTTCCGCTGACGACGCTGGCCGCCGCTCAGAACGTGACGACGACGACCGCTGCCTCCTCGCCAGCAGTCACTAGCTCCCCCTCCCAGACGCCTGCGTCGCCGCCGGTTCCCATACGCTGTAGATATGATGTTAGACCTATTAACGTCAACGAAACGAGTCCGTTCCTGACCCAAGAGCGCCCTGCTGGGTACTTCATACCAGACGCAAACAACACCAAATGCAACAATGGGAATCCCTTTATCTCTTCGGACGGTTACACACACTATACTCGCTTGCCCCATGTGCTTGAGCCTGCAATGCAGGGCAAACACTTGCCTGGAGAGCTCTGGGACCTCTGGCTCCTATACCGTGCGGTGTTTCCTGACAAATATGGGGAGGTGGTGAGGATGACATTCCCTCTCCTGGTCCCTTACTCCGACATCACCACACTCCCGGCGGCGTTTTATGACACCTCAGCCCCCTTCTTTGACAGCCGCAACGGTGCGAACGTCGACTTGACCAAGGACCGGCAGTGTGGCGGTTGCAGGTGGCTATCAAACCCATACTTTATCGCCTGTTATCCAAGTATCCTTCTGACACCCACCGTCCAACGCCAGCTACACCATACAGAAAAACTATTGCAGTGACATTTGTCTGCCCCCCATACCGCCTAAAGCACCGGTGGATCGCCCACCACCTCAACCGAAATCCGATTGCCCGCAACCGGCGAATCCGTGCCTAAGGCTGAGGGCAGATCGATTCGCTTTTTATTCCGCCTGTGCACCCTGGCCCATCACAACCGCATGCAATGAATGTGTTATACGCGAGGCAAAACATAACTCGGTTGCGCGCAACTGCCTCAGGTTGGTTCGTTTCTCTATATAATTCGCACCCTTCGGTTTCTGACCTGCATTGCTTATTGTTAGATGCCATGAGTATTGGTCAAGTCCCTTTGTTTCGGGCTACGCTTTCAACCCCTATGCTCTCAACGTCACAGATATTGTCAATCAAGACGTCTACATTGGGAATGACGACTTTCTCTGGGGTTCTGCTCGTTATCAGAACATGACGGATCCTTCGAAACCATATATGAGTGACACATTCCTGAAGTGCAAAATCGCCGCGATCTCGTATAGTGGATCCATCCAAATTGACGATCGCAAATGCCAGCTTCACATTCGAGACCCGGCCACTGTTACCTAACCCTGAGTACAGTATATACTCCGAAAACGCGCAAACTCACAATCCTGACTCGCGCTGTCGATTTCTTCACTTCGGCCGGACTTGGTAGGTCTTTATTTCTCAAGTCGTTTGTAGCTTCAAGTCTCATTACGATCAACCAAACAAGTCGTTGCGGCCATGTGCATAGGGCCTAGTCCCACAAAGAGGTCCACTCTTCTCCCGAACAAAGACCACCGTCACGGCATTGGTTGTTCACCGGCGTTATATGGTTGCTATCGGTGTTCCGCCCGTTTCGGCACTTGGGAGGTTACTGAACGCTGCCAGGACAGCATTCGCCAACCAAGGATAAAGAAGATCTGCGGACCAGCATTGAACGACCTCCTTCTGGAATGGAAACCGAGAACGAGAAGAAAGAATCTCGCTCGCATGTCCTTCTTCTTCGTGTTTAATGCGAGAGTGATATCTATCCCCAGTCCTCAAGGACCGTCATCCCACCCAACCAACCTAGTCCCCCTCCAAAACATCTCATCCATCTCTTCCTCACTCATCGCAAACGACGAGTACTTCACCGTCCAAGTCCTCTCCACCCTCGCAATCCCCCGCCGTCGGTTATATTCCACAACCTCATAAACATAGTCCACCCCAAGCGGCTCAAAACATAGCTCGGAATAGTCTTGCGGGAGGACTACGAACCGCCATAGCTCGGCGTGGATCGATTGCGGGTCGTACCGAAGCCAGGTGTTGTCGGTGGGCTGGTGCCGTGCCTCGTCTCTGTGGTAATGGGAACGGAGCTCGGCGAGGGATTTCATGGATGTGAATGCGTTTGGGTCTTGTCGGAGGATTTTCAGGCTGGGGGCAACGGGGTAGCGTAAGGGAACTCAACGAGCGGAAAGAAGAAGCATACAAGCCAATGGGTGCGAAAACAGGATAGATATCTCACCCAGGTGTTGACGTGGACTCAGGAGTAGAGAGCCGGCAGAAGCTGTCCGGAAACATTGTCTGAACAGCGTTGTCCACGGCCGAGATGTCCAGCAACGGGGAAACCGCGAAAACAAGCTCGGTATGCACTTCCTTGACGTGATCCGGAACGTGCATGGGTATGTTGTCCTCATCCGATGCGTTTTCCATCGACAGTTTCCGCATCTCGTACACAGGAGGATTCTCGCCAAACGTTTCGTTCAAGACTGCTAGCGCTGCCCATACGTCTAGGTTGATACAATGCATCGTCCGTTGACGCAACCCGCCGTTGAGAAGTATCGCTTTATCAGAGACAATCTTCTCAATGGCTGCAACAGCGCGAAAAAGCTCTCGTGCGAGCGCCCCGTCCAAATCCAGACGCCCGCTGACACTGCCCCTCGTCGTCCCTTGCAAGAGTTGCGCGACAATCTCCGTACGCGGGTCTAGATCCGATCTGTATGAATAGTTGCTGAACCTGAATGAAGCGTGTGAGTCTGTCCAGAGCCGGTGCCCACGGGGAGGGAGGGTGGTGCAAGTGTAGAAATCCTCCAGGTCGGAGGTGAAACTAAGGTGGCAGGTGTCGATCTGTTCGCTGCTGCACACGTTTAGGAGTGGTGAGGGTAGGTTGGGGCAGTAGGGGGATGTGCCGGCGCAACTGGATATGGCGAGGGTAGCCAAGAGCGCACACTTTGCTAGATCTAGAATGGGCCGACCTGAAAGTGGTCCGGGCCTCATCATTCCTGTCGATGTGCCAGTACTTATCCCGTATGTTTGCTCCAAGTTCTCCAAGTTTCTCCTCAGCGTTGCGCGCGCGTTGGCTTGCTGACCTCATGCAAATCCAAGCTGCCGTCACGCATCCAAACTCGTTTCGGAGGAGATGCGAGCTGCGCTGACCGCCGCATCGCGACTCATTTCTTGCGGGTCTCTTTGCAACGAAAGCCGATACCCGTCCTCGTACCGGCATTGGAAGGTTGGTGGCGCGACAAGGCAGAGGGGCTCCGACGAGCCAAACTCAAGCGTAAAGCCAACGCTCAGCGTGCCAGTTAATCCCCGAGGCCAGCGATCGTGACGCCTTTTGCATCGCGAAAAACACGTACCTCTTGCCCAGCCGACTCCTGAGAGTTGGAAAGACGATTAATCGGACGCACACCTCACGTGGTGATTTTCCTCTTCCGATGCCTATGCCCCTCGATCGATGCGAGTTACCTACCGAGCGATCAGGACAAGGAGGAGGACGATAATAAGGACGTCGAGACGCCCAGTGCCTGAGGCGTGCGCGACCGAGGGCAAGAGTACGCACGGTCGGCCGGTGTCGCGATGGACCTGGGATCATGGATGTGGCATTGCATTGAAGCCTTAGTTATGTTCGTCGTCGACGACCGGGGACCAGCCTTCGATCGTAGCGGTGCATGCCGGTATAGCAGCAGCGTTCAGTAGCGAACCCTGTCACATACAGCTCCCTGATGGTGTACATAGAGTCACCATATGCGTTACGTAGGCTAGCATCATCTAGGCGCATCTATGTTATAATGTTTACATACAAAGGCAACGCCGATTACCCATCTTCATGAACGTCGATCACCCTTCCCTATTACCCCACGACTATAAACCAGTCTACGCCGCGTATCAGTAAAATCTACGGGATCTAAGCCCAAACCTTCTTTGCCATCCAAAACGTCGCAAGCAGCACCATCCCCGTCCACTGCACGCCCACCGTCCCGGCGCCCGCCTCATAAGACTGGAACGGCGTATCCAAAAATGCCTCCTCCGACTTTAGCTTCATCGACGCCGGCGGCAGGCCCTTGGTTGCGGTCAACGCGGTGATATCAAAACACTCAGTGGATTCATATCGCGGCTCAACGTAGGTCTTTGCAACCTCATCCCAGATCTAGCGGGCTTGGGTGACTGTGAAATTCGCCCCAGCAGCATCCTTACAACTGGAGTCCATCCACACCATCAGGGTCTTCTGTTCGACGAGTTTCACGGCGACGGGGTAGGGTCTGACGGGCAAGATGTCGGATTGGACGGTGGTGGTGTAGCATCGGGCGGGGTCTGCTGGTGAGGGCGGGTTGGTTGGGTGGGGTATTCGGATGAATTGATAGCCGGGCACGGGTCCGTCTTTGGAGGTGTCTGTGCAGTTTGGGGACTGGTGGATTTCCACCGTGGTGAAATTCTGTTTGTACCCCATTGTGTTGGGGTGGTGGGGGTGGGTGGGTGGACCAGGCGGAGACGGGCGGAGATGGAAGTGCTCTCAATGGCGAGTATAAGTACAGTAGGAGGTGCAGGGGGATGAGGCGGATGCGGCGTGTTTTTCCTGCCAAGTTGCCCGGCGGGCCGTTATGGCTTTACCCGCCATCAAGATCCACTTTGATGAGTTCGCGTGATTTCAACATCCCGTCAAGCGAGTTGCCCGTCCAAAAGGATTTGAAAACGCCATCCGGACGACTTGGACGGCACCGGAGAACGCGAGCGACAGCGAGCATCATTGCGCTGGAGCCCGAGCGAAAGCGAGGCGCAAGGATGCTTGAAGACGGGGCCGGAGGCCCCGGATGGCGGATCACACACCAGTCTAACATCCTTGTCGCGAGCTTGAGCGAGCAGGATGTCTTTTCATCCTCTGTAACCCGATTTCCATGACACGTCGTCCATCTTGATGGATGTTCCTTAGCACTCTACTATGTACTGTATATGTATCCCGCAAAAAAGACTCCTCACTCCAACTTCGAAGGCAACTCGACTGCAAGCGGTCCCGATTGACCCTGCAATGACCCCCCCCAAAGGCCAGCAGCAGTACGAACGAATCGTTAGAGTTACAAAGACCGGTCCTTTGGGCATCCGAGATGCTCACAGTGACCTATCGAAGGCAGTCAGAGCTAGCAATCGCCGCATTAAAAATAACCGGAACGGGACCCGAATTTGCCGACAGGAACCGAGGGGAGGGAGTTCCCGTCTCCTCGTTCAAGAGGATGGCCTAAGGATGTGGCGAGATGTGGCGAGGCGCCGGCGAGCGATGGTGGTTCGGTCTGAAGACCGTGCGATTGCAAGGGTGGCGGCGAGAGTGCATCGAAGCGACAAGGGCGATACTCCCCTCCCTCACCCACGTGTTTGTTGTTGGGTATGGGTGATGGGATGGTTGGATGGTTGGACGGTCGATGGTAGGTTGATAGAGAAAGTATGATTGAGAAATAGTGAGAAAAACGGCGGTAATCCCCTGTCGTCGAGTCGGATATCACGATTTAAACGTGTAAAGCACTGGTTGGCGATTTGTTTTCAGATGCCTTTTGCGGCCATTGCCCGACTGGCATTCGTGTGGAATAGTGCATTCGCGTCCTGATCGTACCCTTTCATTACCGTCTTGGTCTATGCTTTCACAACGCCCCCTTGTCGCAATCTATCTATATGTTCGTCCTATAGAATCTCCTATGCTGTATCTCCCTACACTGGCACTACCGCTGCGTTCGTCGCTCCCATGCCCCGCCGGCGTTTGTCCGGGACGGCAAATCTGATGGTGTATATAGGAAATCAGCCAAGAATGGAGCAAGTTTCAGGGAAAAGAAGTTTCACCTAAGGAAAACCGCACACTCACGTAGAAACGATAAACTCGCCAGGCGGAAGCCGTCTCGCCTTGCTCCCCAGTCTCTCCTCCTCCACTTCCTCGTCGTAGTCCACGCGCGGGATCAGTTGCGAGAGGTACGTTCCGCCGTACGAGTATACCGTCGTCGGATTCTACATTCAATCATCCAGTCGTCAATGCCGAAAGCAAGCACGTCTTGATCGGTTGATGGCTGCTTACCTGAGCCATCTGGAACCTTAACTCCTCCAAATGTTCCGCAGTGCTCGAGAACCGATTGATCGAGTAGTTATGCACGTAGATCTGGCGGGTGCGCTTGCGCGGTTCGGCTGCGATGCCTTCATATTGCTGTCATTAGAGACATAAACAAAAATTAGCAAATCCCGATCTCCGTAACCATGCACCTGAGAAGATACAGTATGTACCTACCCGAAAGTTATACGCCACGAAATTGACTTTCCGAAACCCACGCTCGGCCAATGAGGCTGCGAAATCGACGTTGAGGTCGTCGACGCGTTTGGCGCTGGGGAGGGTGCCGCGGGAGAAGGTTACGCGTTTGGCCCCACCGCTGCCGCGAAGGGTTGGGCGGGCTTTGGAGGTGGGATGGGTTGGTTGGGTGAAGTGCTGTTTCGGGGGTGCAGAGAAGAGAGGGGTATCAGGCGAATAAGGGCGCTGGTTTCGTCAGAGAACAGTGTGGTGTTATGTTTTTCTCCTCCTCGAGAACCCGCCTACCTTCAACGCCGGCTCACCCTCCTCATGCGCACCCTTATCTACATCCACCGCCGCTGCAGTTCCACCCCATTCTATCCCAGCCCCCCATCCCACACCTGCACCACCATCCCCACCTGCAGCCCTAAGAGCCTCATCAGAAAGCGCCTCGTCAGCCGTAACAGCCTCCGCACACATCCCGTTCAACGCCAGGATCATGTCGGAGGTCGGGAAAGTCTCGATCTCAAGTTGGGCTGTAGCGTCGTTGGTGCGGGGGTCTATCATCTAAAACATTATCATAGACTGGTCAGAAATCATCGATCGGGTCACCCCATCCAACAGCATACAGACATAGAAACATGTACACACCTTCAACAAAGCATTCAGCGCCCCAAAGCACCTTTCCCCCGTTCGCCGCCTCAGGAACGTTCCCGTCTTGCTCGTGATAGATTTGAGCGAGAACCGCAGCTGGGTGTGCAGGATGCTGGCGCTGGAGGTCCACAGGCGGCGATTGAAGGTTGCTGAGGGGGAGAAGTAGGTGTGGAGGGGCGGTGTTGGTTGGCTGCGGTTCGAATGTGAGTGCAAGTGAGTTTGAAGCGGGGGAGGGAAGAGAGGGGGACTTACGCAGATATAGCAGCAAAAAGATCCGCCAATCTCCCTTCCGGCAGCCCCTCCAGCATCAAGATCCGGTATTGGTCGTCATAGATATGGTATCCCAGAATCACATCCTAAATCGCCATGCCCATCAGTCACCTCCCTCGTACCTCACGATTCACGCGCAAAGGAAACCCACCAAATCGGGATCGGCTATCTCCTCCCTCGTCAACTGATGCATACCCAACGCGCTCCGCAGTGTCGCGTCCGTGTTGTCGGTGTCTTCGTCGTCGTCGGCGCGGATCCGCAGGGCGTGGATGTTGGCGCGCTCGACGTGTTGTTGGACTAGGGCGGGGGTGTGGTCGTCTGTTATGCTGTAAAGGTTGGTGTGAGGTGAGATGTCTGCCCCCTGCGACACCGGATCTTCGTAACGGAAGCATTCCCAGAATCACGCCCACACCCACCTAGTGACAACCACCCCTCTCCTAAACAGCCCACCCCCCTTCCCGGCGTTCTGACTCGCGAGCAACGGATACCTCGCCTCCACCTTCACCGCCAGCGTGGCCGCAGACTCGACCCACGACGCCGCAGGCAGCTGCTTGACGCCCGAGCGGCCTTTGCGGTACCGACCAGGAAGGATGGGCGCGGTTAGGGTGAGGGTTGTGGCGCCGCGGGTAAGATCGGTCAGGGCTATGTGATGGAGGTGAGACGAGTGATGCACGGGTAGAGCGGAGTACAAACATCGGACTTACCAAACGAGGCGACTCCAAACGGCCCGGACGTCGGCGGTGGCGCATTCCCACTCATCGAACCTGCCCCCTCCCTCATCCCCTTAACCTCCCGATCATGAACTTCAACCTCTAACCGTCTCCCCAACAGCTCCTCCTTCAATCTATCCTCATCCAGCAAGCCGCCGAGGACGAGGTGACGGGTGTTGAAGGCGATGCGGCGCCCGTGCGGTGCGGCGGCGAGGGATTGGTGGGTGTGCGGGTCGGTGGGGAAGGAGAAGCGGGTGAAGCTGCGGACGCGGAGGGGGATGATTAGCCAGGGTTTCTGAAAAAGGGCGGGGGGAGAACGAGGAACTTACACTGGCTCGCAGAGGCGGTTGAGCTCTGAGAAGGGGACTGGGCGGTCGGGCATGTCGTTTGCGGCGAGCATGGTTATTGATATTGGGTTGAGGCTGAGGTGCATCAGTGGGATTTCCGTTTCAATGGCAATGACGCAACGGTAGATTGGAATTCCCTTCCCCTGCCGGATGTCACTATGCATACCTTTCTTCCTGCTGTTTGGACAGCAGCGGGGTGTTCAGGAACAGTTTCACGCGGAAAAAGTTCATCCCGTCCGTCCGTGGCAATCTACGTGGGCGATGCCATAGATCAGCACCACGTTCATGACGTTCGTCACTCACACCGCAAAATACCGTCCCACAACGACTCACTCAGCATTCACGCTCAAATCCCCCCAAAAGAAGTCCGACAAATCCAGCGAAATTACACCCCTAAGCTCATCCTTTATCTCCACCGTCGTTCGTCCCTTCCCTCTCCCATCCGATTTCGTCGTGGACGGGCGGCGGCTGCCAGCGGTTTCAATGGGAACCTTGCTTTCAATTACCGGTGGCGGTTTGGGATGTTTACGCGGCAGAGGCGCCTTTTTCGCTCCAACTTTCTCTTTCTCCTTCTCTTTTCCCGTATCCTTGCGAATAGAATCCATGACGCTCAGAAACTCCTTCCACTCCGCTCCATCGTCGGCCCCCGCGGTGCCGGGGGCTGAGGGTTGGGAGGGTTCTGGAGATGCGCGTTTGCTGCGGGATTTTGCGGACGCGCTGAGGTGGCGGTCGGGGCGGTCAAAGTGGTGCGGGAGGGGACCCTCGCGGATTGGCGTGCCGTCGGGGTTTTCGAAGACGGTCCGGCGGCGTGGAGAGCCGCCGCGGGAGACGGAGCGGGTGCGGGTGTTGTTGTTGGAGGAGGAGGCTGTGGTTGCTCTTGTTGAAGCTCTTCCGGTATCTGTATCTGCTTTTTTCGCGTCGGCCGGAATAGTGGCTTCTCCACCCTCTTTCTTTTCACCCGAACGCGGCCGTGACGATAACCCGGACTTGGTCTGCCCCCGTTTCTGCGCGCTCCCGCTCCGTCGCTGCCCTGCTGCCCGATCCTCCGCCGCGGCAGCCTGCACCACCTCATCGATCCCAAACCCATACCGGGCCGCTTTTTGCACCAGCGCGTGGCGGTCCCTCGCGGGGAGGTGGGCGTTCGCAAGGATGATTTGTCGCTTTGCTAGCGCTGACAGTGAACCGACCCGCTCCGTTGTAGTCACAGATGCGGAAAGACGCAGTCGGGATCCGTTGAGCGTCCGTCCGCTGCCCGCTCGTGCCCCTGCAACAGCTCCGGTGGAGGTGATGGGATTCAGAGCGATTGAGGCGGCGAGTTCGCCGGTGTCGTCGGGCCTGGGGACAATGCTGCCGTCGATGGTTCGTGTTACGATCTCGAAAAGGCTCACTGTTGTTGGCTTGTCGTAGAGATCTGCCAGAAAGGTCTTTTTCGAAGAATGCAGCATCACCATCGGAAAGCAGTTAACAAAATGCGCTAGATGGCAGCCGCCCACAAGCATTGCTTCTCTTACAACATCCCGCATCCACTCGATCCCAACTCACCGACTTAACAGCAACATCATGCGTCCAGACCCACGGCGACTGATCAGCGAGCAGCACCTCCGTCTTCCCCTCATACACGCCGCCAATCGAGTATGCGAGATAGAACTTGCGGTAGTCGTCCAGGGCGCTCTTGCGCTTCTTGGCCGCCGCGGCATCGGGCGGGTTGCCTGGTTTCTTGCGTTGATAGGATATGCTTGTGGGGGCTGCGACCACTATTTGATGAAGCGAAAATGAAGGGGACCAGAGGATCGCAATGATTAGACCGCGCTTTGAATGGGTAAAGGCATGGTTCAGAACACCTACATTTCTCCAATGAGTAATTCACCTCCAATGTCAATTTAACCACATGACTCCCCGAGCTCGCTACCAGCGCCAGCATATCCGCCACCGCCTTACTAGGCGGCGGCTGCTGTTGCTGTTGTTGGCCCGAGGGCTGGTCGGATGGTTTTGTTGTTGTCATATTATTTGTTTTGGGATGGCTGTGTGGCAACGGAAGGTGAAACCAGTTTGCAGGAATGCTCCGACGGCAGATGAAGAAAGCGGAAGTCCCTGCGCCACTTCATGCTCGCGCTGTCGAATTACCGTTAGTTGCCCACGCGGAACTTTTCAAAGCGAAGTTTCCAGCTAGGCTTTTGAGAAATACTTGCCTCAAAGGGACGAATAATATTCAAGAAACGGAGAATGAGATGAAGAACAGTAAACAGAAGATGCACTGTAAAGACAACGAAAGAAAGCGAAAGATCCAGGCTACCCCTAAGAGTTCATACGCCAAAGTCTCCTCAATCTAACTAAAACGCCAATCCCCCAGTCCCCTCCCTGAACAAGCCTGTCGGATCCACCCTCCGTTGAATCGCCGCTGCCCTCTCCTCAGTCCCCGAAAATACCCTCGCCACATCCTGCCCTTGTCCCACGTAATTGGGATAAAGCCAGTTCGAGACGTGTTCCCTCCCAACCAACCTTTCCAAAGTCCTCACAGCCGTGGTTCCCTCTCTGAAGAAGTACGCATCAAGCCTCGGGTCCGTCCAATCACACGAATATTCGTACACAATCTGTGGCTGCACACCCTCCGTGAGCGGGTTGAAGGCCGACGGAGGCGAGGACGCGTGAACGCGGAGCAGCGATGTTTGGATGGGCTCGATTGCGATCTGACAGAGAATGAGCGCACTTCCGGCGTGAGCCCTGACGGCTGCAAAGTGTTTGGCGGTGTAGTTAAGGACGGAAGTCAGGAATCCTGGCGATATGTTCTTAAGAGTGGTAGTGAGGAAATTCTGGCGGGTGCCGTAGAGCTGGTTGGTCATATCGCCGATGATTCCAGTAGCGACATAGTGAGGGACCGTGAAAAATCGGGTATCGTTGTGCGGGATGGCCAGGAACCTGTCCCAGATTCCTGTGGGAGCAACGGGACCGTCGTACCAGAACTGGCAAAGCGGATACGTCTACGGCCGAGGAGTCAAGTTGTCAATGGAAGAGATCTGGGATGTGATGATTCCTGCTAGCAATCGAGAAGCATCTATTTACCGCATTTGGATCCGCGATCAAATTCGGGATGATAGCAGCCTTGGGGTCTTTAGAGTTGAGCAAGAAATCTGTAGAAAATCCAACTTAGCGCATGAATCTTACGAAAGCAGGCAATGTGGCCGCAATTACCAGTGATAGCCTCAGCAAACGCGGCCTCCGTCCCAGGCAAGAACTGCACGATGCCGTAATTGACTAAAGGTTGCCGGTGCGTTTTCAAAATGAAGCTATAGCGAGAAGGGGCATGAGAAGGACAAAGGCGATTCTGTGCAGCCACGATTTCCTTGCTCTTACTTTGTGACGATTCCAAATTTGTTTCCTCCGCCACGTAGCGCAAAGAAAAGATCCGGGCGGGAAGCATTGGTGACGTTTATGATCACGCCACTAGGAAGGACAAGCTAGCCACAAAAACGCAAGGGTGTAAATGACAGCATGCCAAGGGAACGCTTTCACCTCAAAACGGGATGACACGTACCTCATATGAAAGGATGGTATCGATTGAAAAGCCATCCTGCGCGCTATGATAACTGATACCACCACTCAACAACAAGCCTAGAGAGCAGAAAAATGAACATCCCAATCGACACAGCGCATCACAGAAGCATCCCTTACCTCCAACTCCAACACTGCTGACTCGACCGCCCGCAACCGAGACGTTGTAATGATTGAGGTATTGATACACTTGCCCCCATCGTGCACCGGGGCCAATACGAGCGGTAGCTGTGGGTGTGTCGTAGCTGACCTTGTTGAGCTTTTCGAGCGTGATAAGGAGGCCTGTGGTGCCTGTGGAAACATGAGGTGATTGTTAGCCGTGATCGGGCATGAAATCGATTGGCGTGAAATCGACCGGAGGTATCGCCGCACTGGTTTCAGTGTGACGACCAATATAAACACAGCATCCAAACCTTACCAGAAGCTCCAATCAATGGATCATGACCACCGGACTTCACAGCAAACTTGACATCTCTCCCCTTAGCCTTCTGCGTCGCCAAAATCTTCACAGCAATCGCAACTTCCGCAGTACTCTGCGGTCTGAAAACGCAGGTAGGTATGATCGCAGCCGTGGATGACCAGTAAGAAAGCGCAAAAGCCGTGACGTTAAAGCCTCGATTGACGAACTCAACCCGAGAGGGAAGCGTGGAGGCGAGGGACGTGCACACAAATGCAGCGGTGGTAGAAGAGGTTTCGGCCGCGGTGATGTTCTGGGAGATGACGGCGTGGGAGAAAAGGAGAGGGAGGGAGGCGAGGATGGAGAGGAAGGAGAGAGGGAGCGCCGAGAGGCGATGCGTGAATAGATGCATGGCGTTCGAAAAGTCGAAGGAAAATGCCGGACTGGGATTGAGGATCTTCCTTGGCTTCCCTTTCCTCCCCCTTTATACCTGCTCGTCGATCCTTGAAGCGCCGCCCGCCATCAAACCTCTTCATCGGCTTACACGCCGGCATGCGGAAGGGCATTCTCAGTGTTGCAGTGGTTTCGTGCCGAGGCCGTCGGAGAACAACGGCGTGCGTTAACTTCGTGGGATGGCACACGAGAAAGAGTTAACGTAGGTCGAAAAATGGCGCATGCGAGGTGGTCCGACTCGCACAAATAGCCAACGGGGCGTTTTCCTTGTGGTTGAATATACAGACCTAGTCGTACGCAGAGGCTTCAGTATCACCCCGGTAGCGCGCGGATCACGCAATTTCGGTTTTCCAAAAAGATCGTCAGGCTGCGGGCAACCACCAAGTGACTTTCGCCATGCGCGTTATGTGTTATGTGCGCTGGAGCTGTCAGTCATCGATATGGGCAAGGTCATACATACCCTTGGGCGGAGTTCCTTCTTGGAAGACCTGTACGTAACGTGTAGGATCGTGCTGAGAATGGTGGGCGTCCCCGCACGCACGAAATCGTGTCGGTGGCTCCTACCAGCATTCTGGCAGCGTGGTAGATGGCGAGAAGTATGTATGTATGTACATATACAGTAGTTCCGGTAAAGCGGCGTCTGAAGGTTTTATCGCCAGATCTTTCCCATGAGGGATTCCCCAGCATTTGGAGTCGTCTCCGTGATGAGATTTGGGAACTTCGACAGCTCGGAAAATCACAGAGTCCGAGTTCTCATGGGTTGGAGCCCATGGTTGTAACTCGTAAAGGTGTCCGTAGTACTGGTCCGTGTGCGTACGACGATGGGGTCCCGTGGCCAAGTTCAAGTTGCTGCAAGCGGAATGAAATAGCCGTGGCAACCTGGAGCGGCGATATGTCATGATACACAAGACGGCTGAGGTACCCCACGATATCGTTGTTCAATTTCATCATGGGCGGAACCTTTTTCATGTCCAAGCTCGGCTGGGTATATGCAAGTTGCAGGCCGTCTCATCCAGAGCGAGCGTTTTCAGAATCGAAGGTCGGCAAGCAATGGATTGTCGATCTCACACCTCATCATACGCATATCCCAGGAGTCTATAACCGGCATACCCAAGCGATAGATACTCATGGCCGAGCCCAACTCCGCAACGTTCCAACGGCCCAGTCGCTCCGCAATATCAATACCCCGGAATGAGGCCGCCCTCCCACCTCTGCCCCGCGTGTCCCACGTCAATGCCGCCGCTCGCTTGAGCGCACTCGGGCCACTGTCGCCCGCCTCGCCGCGAAAGCAGGTCGTAGTTCCCCCGACCACTACCACCACCAGTACACCCGAAGCAGAGCCCCGGCACCACCACAACCAGCAGCGACAATGGAGTGAGCCGCCTGTTGTCAGCGCTTCCCGAATATTGGCGGGGAGCCCGATATCCGAAGAGACACGGCCCGCCATACTGGGGTCTCTCCCTCCTCCTCCGCGACGGGGGACGTCGAGGCAGAGGAAAGAGAGGGAAGGGAGGCCGTCGCAGCCTGAGTCGCAGGACTTTGCGGCGGCGAGGGCTGGACGTGCCATGCATCCTAAGCTCGCGGGCGAGCGGGATGAGCGGTTGCTGGCGGGGGGTAGAGCGGCGGCGTATCCCCTGGTGGGACGTAGCCGCAGCACCATGTTATATGAGGCAGAGCCTTCAGATCTGCATTTGCCTCCTCAAAGCGAGCTGCCTAGCATTGGGAAATCGCAACCTCAAGCGCAGACCGGGGAAAATGCGCCGCTTGACAGTTATCAACGAGAATTCAAAGTCGTGCATAAACCACTGTACAGAGTTTCCGTCCAGTCAGGGTCGGACACAGCCCTTGCGCATCCCACTCCAACATCAAAACAACGGTACTGGGGCGAGCAAGATCTCGAATCCATATCCTCCCGCATCTTCGACACCAGGGACTCTGCCGGCTCGGTCCGAAGCGAAGAGTACGTCGGAAGCAACAACACGGAATCTTCCGAGCACCAGTACAGCCCCGAGCCAGCGGCAGTGGGCATGACAACGACAATGATAACCCCACCCGATTCACCAGCGATACCCAAAGCATCCCTCGTCGGACGACCAGTGCTGCCGCCCATGACGATCTTCACCGGCCCACTGCTGTTACTGAACCGCGACGAGGAGTTCCAGAAACGCCTATTTCGCACCGACGGCGTGCTGTTGATCTGTATGTCGGCGCAGTATGTCATGCTGCCCCGGAGCACGAACCTGTGGCAGGTCAGGAGCAAGTTTCCGCTGGTGTTTGATGCGTTTGTGGACGCGGTTGACGGACAGTATCGGAAAGATGCGGGGATGATGAAGCGGGCGTTTGCGCTGCTTACTTCTTATGAGCCGGGGAAGGTGTATATACCAAAGGTGCGTTTGCTACCCAAATTAGAAGTAGTAGGTTGAATGGGATTACTGACAATTATTGGGTTGGCAGATGATCATCCCAATATCCTCGATAAGACAAGTGAAACCGGTCGTGCGGCAACCGGCAGCCGACCCAGACGCCCGCCTTTCCCGCATCCTACAACTTCGCACAACCCAAGACACCTACATCATCTGCGCCCCAACCGCCCTCGAATTTCAGCGATGGAACTTCCTCCTCCAGCAGTCCTGCATTGAGGACCACATTGGGGCCACGCTCGCCCAACGGCTCAGGCTGTGGGACGCGAATGTGGATAAAATTTTGGCGCAGGATCAGGCGGCGACGCAGATGATGGTGGAGGCCACAGTGACAATGGATTCGAAGGAGTGGCCGAGGGTGACGCCGCTGGCGCTGGCGCCCGCGGCGGATGAGGCGACGAAAGAGGCGGCTGTTGACCACAGGATGTTTGTGAAGACGTCCAAAACTTTGACAGCGGCTCGGCTACTCCCAAGGGACTCGACGCTGCAGCCGGAGTTGGTTCATCAAAGTGCACCCGTGGGCACCCACCACCGCCACCCCGACCACAACGCGGACCAACCCGACCGCCGCAGCCGCCCACAGGTCATTCCCATAACCACCCGCCTCCACTCCCTCACCCTGGACGAAACCTCCCCGCGCCGCGGCATCGACGTCCGCCGCGGTTCACCCTCCTCATCCCAATCCCAATCTTCCTCCCCACTCAACACGCCGACCAGCTCCCCGGCGCAAACTCCACCGCCCGACTACGAATCCTCAACGAACGACCTCCGCAATGACCTCACCCGCCTTCTCAGCCTCCTCGCCCACCTTACCGACCACTTCACCTCCCCACCCACAATCAACGGAACACCACCCTTCATCGACCACCTTCTGACGATCTCGATCCCACAACTCCTGCGGAAAATCGAGCATTCAGTTCATAGTCAGGCGAATGGGACCGTGGCATATTGGAGGGAGTTGAGACGGCGGTGGGATGTGGAGGTTGTGGATGGGGGAGGGCAGAGGGAGATGGAAGGGACGGTTGTGGAAGTGGAGAGGTGGGCGAGGGAGGTTTTGGGGGGTTTGATGTAGATGAGATGTAGATGGAGTAGAAGTAGATAGCAGTTAGGCAGTCAGCACGCATGCGGGGTACGCACAAAGGAACACCCGATATGCGCAATTCGCTATGATACTCCTCCCTCTCTCCCGCCTCTATGCATGGAAAGAGAAACGCAGCCTTGTATGTATGTATGTATGTAAATGTGAATACCGCCCAAGTTTCGAACGCCAGCGTTTGCGAGCGCAGTGAGATCCGGCTAACTGTTACAGAAGGCTCTTAATGTCAGGAGAATCACGCGTGGGGTTGACGAGACGAGGCTTTTCCCACCCGCTCTTTCCCACGACATCACGCTCCCAGACACAGCCGAGCAAGACCCACCCATGCCCGACGAGATCTACCACCACCTCCTCCGCGGCGCCGTCGCAGAAGGGAACCTCTTCCAAGTCAAGCGGTTCATTTCGCGCAAGGGGGTCCCATTACAATGCCCCGACCCGACGAACGGATGGCCGATTTTGTTTTATGCGATGCGATGGTGCCAGAATGAGGTTGTCGGGTGGCTGTTGGAATGTGGGCATGATGGGGGGGAGATTAGTAAGGTGAGCGGGTGGTGGTTGGGGAGGGTGGGGGATGGTTGGGAGAGGGTGGGGATGACGGCCATCTTGCGCGAACACGTCAGTGTCATCTTCCCGACCGAGCGGGACAGGTGGCGAGCGATAAAGAGCGCTGGAAAGTAACGACCGCTGGCAAGATGAGTGGAGCTTAGGTTCCTGCGCGCATAGAGGGATCTTCCAACGGAGGCGGGTTGGTTTGCGTTGGTATTTCGTCCTGAAGGTCAGCTTTCGGTCCTTATAGGACTTTGCGAACAATACGGCGTTGATGGTCGCAGCGAACTATAAGAATGAGCAGGTGCGTGAGAAATAGTACGTCGTCTCATGAGATTCGGTGTATCCTCACACCCTCCTTACTCTTCTCCTCACAGGCCTTCATGGACTACATAGACCTATACCCTCAAACGATCAACATGACTAACGACGACGGCAAAACTGCCCTGATCATCGCTACCGAGCGCGGGATGAACGGGATCATTGAGGTGGGGGAAGAATATAGGCGTAGTTGACAGTTACGAGGCTTGGGTTTGCGGGATCTCACCCGGACTTCCTCGCTAGTAGACACTCTTGGATATGGGCGCTAACGTTAACTCGACCGACAGTACGGGGTCTACGCCGCTTCATCAGTGAGTCTCAGGGCCTCTGTGTTCCCCCTCCCATCTCCACCGATCCTCCGTCTCTCACGTCCTCCCCACTCAAACATCTCCGGGATTTCTCGCAGCGCCGCCTCATGGGGCTACTTTGACACGATTACATTATTGATGTCCCGCGGGGCGTTCTACAACGTGAAGAATCAAAGAGGATGGACGCCGTTTGATTGGGCTTATAGTGTTGAGACGCGGGATCATTTGCAAGGTAAGAGAAGGTGCAAATGATATTACAATCCCACCGCGCTCATACGTTGTGATGTTCATGTAGAATGCGCAACAGCAATAGCGGAAAAGAAACCATTGCCGTTACAAACAGCCGTACATCGATCCGGGAGCGGGATCCCGCAATCGCCGTCTGTGAGCGCATTTGCGCCGTTGCAGCCGAATAAGTTGGACCTGAGGACATTCTTTTGATGTCGGGAGGAGAGGGGGTTGGGTGGGGAGAGGGCAAGTTGAGCTTGGGCCTTTCCACTTCGATCTTTTTTTTTTTTGGAATTTGCGTGGGAGTATGAGTTGGGTGAGAGTCGAGAGAGTTCAATCCATATGGTAAATTCCCGGTGCATATCTTATGTCGGTGTGAAAACATCGTCCAGTATATTATGAGCAGCCTCCGATATCATCATGGATTTTGCTTATTGCGCTTCCAAGTTGAGATGCCTCTTTGCTCGTTTGTTTGATTCCGTGCCTCCATGCAAGGATTGGGAGTGGACTGGCAGCGGTCCGTCGGAGTAGGCAGTTGAGCCGAGTTCCCGGAGATCATGTAACTTCGCACAGCACGGGGCAGAGTGTCAGCATTTGATGGCTTGAAATTTGAAGTTGAGACATGCCCGTCGACACATGGGACGCCGTCGGCATGTGTCTGCCAACAAAATCACCACAAACACATGGAATGGACAGGAAAAAATGCAACCCACACGCTGATACGTGGCCCGAACATGGTCTATGTCGCATCCAGGGCGCTTTCAAAAGTCGGTCTGAAAACAGACTCTTCAGAGTCTTCACTGAGTTCTCACATGTTGAACTTCGAATGGCAACAACTTGGCAACGACCGGACGTCCGACCGGGATTCAATGAAAATGTTCTCAGCTTCCAGAAAAACCTGCCAACAAGTCCAAGCGGTCACGCTGACGTTTTTCACCCTTCCAACTTCTTACAATCTTGCCAACTGATGGCGACGAGAAAACAATCCCGATGCTGGATCGGAAAGATTTTCGGCTCATCCGGCCCCAAAAGCCGCAAGCCCACAGCCTAACCTCGCCACTCGAAAAATCTGCGACTCAAGCCTCGCTGAGCAGGAATATTTTTTGTTGTGGATGGAAATTCTGTTGGGGGTGATTGACGGGTTGCGCGTTGCTGTCAATCTTTCTCGGTGGGTAACTCCGATGGGACACAACCGGGGCTGGCTTGCGGGACAACTTCGAACGAGGCTCGAGTTGGCCTGAATGGGATGATTTGCGGAGGACGAGTTTTCAGATTAGGCATATTGCTATGCAGACTATGATGGTCGCTTGTGCGCGCATGAATGAAGCGCAATGCCAGCTTTGCTTCAAAGTTCGTGAAGGATTGGGGAGGAAAAGCTTTCGATGGTCATGTCGTGCTTGGGGCCTACCCGTGGATAACCGACTTCGCGGGTCCTGGAGCTGCAACTTTTACCTCAAACACGCTTGCAACCAGCTCAAGCAGCCGATATGCTGGCGGACAATGAAGTGCCGGGAATAGTAGGAGCGACATACAGCTTGATCTGGTAACGGACCTCAGCGTTCCCAATCGTCCCTCAAATAGGGATGGACACCAAATGAGAGCGGGGTTTCAATCCAGCGTCGATCCGCCGTCAACCGCAAACAGCTCAACATCGAGTCCCAAACAACTAACATAATCTCAAATTTTTCACTCGACCTACGTCTCCCAACTTCACATTGTCCCCGCTCATGATCAGCATTGCTGCAATTCGTTTTTGGTGACCGACCCAAATGAGAGCGGGGTTTCAATCCAGCGCCGGACGTCGATCCGCCGTCAACCGCACACAGCTGAACATCGAACCCCAAACAACTAACACAATCGCTAAGTTCTCACTGGACCTGCGTCCCCCAACCTCACATTGTCCCAGCTCATGATCAGCATTGCTGCAATTCGTTTTTGGGGACCGACGCTGCGCTGCGAGAAATTTGTGCCCTGCCTCCCAGCCCTGGCTTGCACTAGGCTCGAGCCTACCGCTGTGATCTGCAAACGCAATCTATTCTAGGCTTGCACGGGAGGAATGGCTTGCCTCTAGCTCTGTTTCTTCCTCGCGCACAGATACTGATCAGCCAGCTGCGTTCGCAAGGTTGACTGGCTCCCTATAAAAGCTGGACGATGGGCACGCACAACCCTCGTTTCCTTCCACTCCTCTCCGCTCATCCCTTCTCCACATCCCGCGTCCCTCAATACCTCTTCCCAACATGAAGGCGACGTGCTTGCTCCTTGCGTCCGCTGGGTTCGCCAGCCTAGCCGTGGCCGCTCCCGTAAGTGACCCTCCGCAGATGACATCCTCTACATCACATCACAGTCCGCTCACATCCTCCACCTACAGGCCGATGGAGTGTGGTCCGCAGTCCTGCCGCTTCCACTCAGTCCCATCTCTGGCGCCAACACACCCACGGGCGAGCTCCTGATGTGGTCTGGCAACTCCCCCGGTGGTTGGTTGTCCAACATGTGGGACCCGCAAGGCAACCGCACCTACTACTCGGTCTTCAGCGTTGACGACTTCTTGGCCCAGAAGCCTATTGCGCTGCAGAAGATGGTCACGACCGAGAGTGCGTTTGCGTTCGCCTGCGAGTTTTGCCTTCCGATTTTAATCTAATGTGTAATTCTCCTCCCATAGTGTTCTGCCCCGGGACCAGCAATCTCCCCAACGGCGAGATCCTCATCAACGGTGGAACGGGCCCGATCGCAAGTGTCATCTTCAACCCAACCACGAAGCTCTTCCGTGACACAACCATGATGGAAATCCCGCGTGGGTACCAGGCCAACGTCGTCACCACGAGCAACCAGGTCTTCACCGTCGGTGGTTCGTTTGAGCAGCGGTACGGCAAGTTTGGCCTCGGTGGAAGGGACGGAGAGTTGTTCACCCCCGGAGCAAATGTGAGTTGGGAAAAAATGCTGCAGGGAAGCTGTTGGACACCAGATTCTAACGCGTCTCTTCTCGCAGAATGGCAAAGGTGGCTGGACGATGGTCCCTGCCGCAATCGGCAACGTGATCGGTGGTCTCGAGGGCGGCAGCACAAACCCAGACGTACAAGGCTTGTACCGCTCAGACAACCACGCATGGTTGTTCCCCTACGCCAACACCGCCGGCGACGCCATGGTCTTCCACGCCGGCCCCATCGCCAAGATGCACGTCATCAACACGTCTAAGAACACCATGGTCGCTGTCGGAAACCGCGGTAACGATGCATACGCCATGAACGGAAACGCCGTGCAATACTCGCCTGGCCGCATCTACAAGTCCGGGGGTGCTACTGCTTATGGTGACCTCAACAGTAATGTAGGCCTTGCTACCAGCACCGCCGCCTATACCATCAAAATCACGGCACTGGCTACTGGCGGCTTACCCATCGTGAAAGCTGCGGCGCCAATGAACAACCCTCGTGCTTTAGGTCACCATATCGTCCTCCCTGGTGGAAAGATCTTCATTGTCGGTGGGCAGACCAACTTGTATCTGTTCAAGGATCAGACCGGCGTGCTGGAGCCGGAGTTGTACGACCCCGCGGCGGGAACGTACCAGAGATTGGCGCCCATGAAGATTGCACGCAACTATCACAGTCTTGCACTGTTGACGAAGTACGGTACCGTCTTCGTTGGCGGTGGAGGTGCATACCCCAACGTAAGTCACACTGTTGCTCCTCTCATGCGTGGTTATCCCGTGAAATCCAAAGCTCATATCTTCTCATCCCATATACAGACCTGCACAAAGCCCGGTGTCGCCCCATGCACCGCCAACGTCCACTTTGACGCCGAAGTATTCACTCCCCCCTACCTCTCCCAAGGTCAAGCGCGCCCCACTATCACCTCCGTCACCGGCGCCGCAGCCACGTACGGCAAAGTCTTCAAACTCGGCACGGACATGACCGTCGCCTCAACCAACTGCGGCGGAGCCGGTTGCAGTTACGAGTTGATCCGCATCTCCTCCGCCACCCACTCCGTTGCCAATGACCAGCTCCGTGTTCCCCTTAAGACGCTCGCCCGCTCCGCCGCCGGTGACCGTGTTGCGCCGTGGGATGCTGACCAGCCGTTCATCGTTGCGGGATACTACTACCTGTTTGCCATCGGCGCCAATCAGACTCCCTCTGTGGCGACCATGATCCAGGTCGTTCGCTAGACTTTTCTTGGGTTAGTTCCGACACTTGGTCCGCGGCGTGTTTTGGTCTCGTCTATCACCATCATTGCGTAGTCATCACAGCTTCTCGTTCTTACTCTACTGGCGTATATATCCCTGGTCGTATTATCTCTTACCCTCTTACCCCACGTCATTTTGCATTGCGTTCTACTATCCCTTTTTTTGTATTTTCTCATAAAAACGTTATAGACAGACAATAGACAAGATTCGTCCTCACTCTGGTCCGCAATTGCATGGCGTGATGATCGAATGAATAGTTCTCTGCCCCACACTATGGAAACTGCAAACGCTAGCCTGTCATCAGAGTCGCTCAAGGCTCACATGTCGGAGTTGGCTTCGCATCGGGGGTTGTTTTCAGGGTTGTTTTCGTCGTGACCGTCGTGCTGGTGGTTGACTTGTCTCCACCAAACCCTAGCGTCCCACCAACAACAGGCGGCAACAGTGTGCGCACGTCGCGCAACGTCCCCGTATGCTCGCCGCTCGGCCAGGACGCGAGGTGCGGGTTGGGTGGGGTCTTCGGCCGCGGCTGCTGCTGTTGCTGCTGGTCTTGTGGGCTTGGACATTTGTTGCTACCGCTAGGTTGCGGTGTTGGCGTCGGCTGCGGTGTTGTCATGATCGTTGACGATATCACTGCCGTCTCACTGGAGGTGGTGGCTGACGGGAACGGGGCGCCTGCGACGGCGGAGACGGAAATGCAGGCGGAGAGGGTGAGTAGCAAAATGAGAAGGCGAGATGGTGAGATCGACGCGGCCTTCTTATCGCGAAAATGTCCGTGATGCAACTCTGAAGGGTGCATTTCGAACTGTGGCAGGAAAGGATTTGATGGTAGACAATGAGACCTCAAGCCAGATGAGGGCCGGCTGGAACAGACGTACAACCTAAGAAGCGATTGGTCAGCTCCAGCCGATGTCTACCGTGCGATCGACTTCTGTCGTTGTAAGTCGATCGATGTTCCTTGAAATCGTATCAACATGGAATGACGAGCGGAAACGCGCTGACGATTTGTTTACGGCATTGGTCAAGGGTGAAACCAGACAGCAACAAACGCAGCGCACTTCCACGCCCTAACATTTTAACGTCCTTGCGGGACGCTCGTGGCATCAATGAGCCCACCGGATTTGTATATTAGATAACCTGTTCTGACGGGGGAGTACGGCATTATGACGAGGTCACGGTCCTTTTTTTCATCGTTCTGAGTGCGATACCAGGATCACTGCGAAAAACATGTTTGACATCGTATGACGGCGTGCAGCTCATAATTTGAGCCTGGAATCCGATGAGACCTTCGAAGGAAACATCTGTGGTCTGTAGGGAAGTTTGAATATGAACTTCTGATTTTCAGGTACATTACAAGAATAAAATGATCTGGCTGAATGACATGCGGAAACAGTTGGAATTGTCATGGTGGCTAGCTCCCTCATGCATTTCCGCTGACCCAAAATGTCTTCATCTCCCCCTTTCCTTTCACGTGGATTGTCCCCCGATCTTCAATCTGGTATTTTCCTTCAAGGTAACCTGCCATTGCAGCGGAAACCTGCAGTTTCAGCGGTTCGTTGGTCGAGCACATGCGGGACGCGACGTTCACCGTGTCTCCGAAGAGGCAGTAATGCGGCATCTTGGTTCCAATGACACCGGCAAGCACCGGTCCGCACTGGATGCCGATGCGCAGGTTGACCTTGTCGACGAGCTGGTCGGACATGTCGATGTGCTGCACCGCTGCGAGGAGCTCCAACGCGCAGTTCACAGCCACCTCGGCGTCGTGGATGCAGTCCTCCCTACTCTTTTTGGTGTTTCCGGACAGGCCGGAGCACACCATGAAGCTGTCCATGACAGTCTCCACTTTGTAGAGATCGGGGTACTTGCCAATGACTTCGTCGAAGGCGATGTACATGCGGTTGAGGAGCGCGACGATCTGTCGAGGGGAGGATTTCGTAGCGAGTTCTTTGAACCCGTAAATGTCCGTGAAGAAAAGTGCAACGTTCTCGAAGGAGGCGGGCTCAGGTGTACGGCCCGCTTTCAACTCTTCGGCCACATGTTTGGGAAGCATGTTACCCAGGAGCTGGTTGGAGACGAGTGTGTCCATCTGCTTGTCGAACGACGACTGCTGGGCGGCGATCAGGTCCTGGTGGCCGATGGTCTCTAGCAGCTCTTCCATCTCCTGTGCCTGCTCAGTCTTGACTTGACGGAGCTCGTCCTCCTGGTCCTTGTTCAACTCGGCCATCTTTCGTTTGTGCTCACGCGCCTTCTGGTCGCGGACTTCTTTGTGATAGGTTTTGAGCTCGTCCACCATCTTCTTCTGGTGCAAGAACATTTGCCTCACGCGCTCCCTTCCTTTGGCGAGAGCCTCTTGAAGCTCCTTTTCGGCATCGTTGGTTGCGGTACGCTTGCGTCGCAGTTCAGCATCCGTCGCGGCGTTAGATTCGGTGGTGGCGCGAGTGGCAGGGTCTACCTCTTCGTTCTCCTCACCGCCGTAATCCGAACGCGAAGCGACGGAGGTACCGCCGTAAGAGGATGTGTCGACCGTCTCGGACGGGTCGATGTCGCTTCCATCGCCTCCGTTATCTGAGCCGCTAAGGAGACCAGCGTTCTCGCTCATCATCAACTTTTCACGCATCTTCACGCCGGAGCGCTGTTGCCTGTCGAGCAGCTTGCTCTGCTTGCGCTGCGTCTGTTTCAGGACATTGCGCTGGATCTTCTGTTCTTCCTTGAGCTGCAGCGCCTTGAGCTTGGCCTGCTGGCGGTCAAGCTTGTCCTCTTCCGCTTGTAGCAGAGTGCGATTTTCGGCTTCGAGCTCTTGCTCCCGTAAGCGTTGGTCCGCGTGCAAATCCTCGATTTCTGTCATATTCTCCATCTCCATCTGCACGACCTCTGAGATGTGCCGGATCTTCAGCAGCTGGATTTCACGAAGTTGTTCTGCCTCCTTCTGTTGCTTCATCGCAAGCTGCTGCGATTGGATCTCGTACTCGCGGAGATACTTGCGCTTTTGCATCTCGTCCATACCGCGGACTTCGAGAGCTTGGACCAGTTTTGCATTCTATTCGTACAGCGAGTGTCAGTACAGAAAACAAACAGGCTAAGGCTCCAACGACAACGTTGCTGATTCAACTTACCCTGGCAATACGACCCTGCGTAGTAAGAAGCTCTTCACGCTCCTTTTTCTGTCTTTCCTCCATCTTCTTCACGCGAAGCGAGTGAGCATCCCGCTTGAGCTTCACCTTCTCGCGGAAAGCAATCTCGCGCCCACGAGCTTCGTCTTGCAAGTTGAGCTTGATTTTGAGGGCGCCCATCTTGACAACCAGTTTGACGAGGTCGCTTTTGCGCTCTTCATCCTTCAGCATGTCGTCGGCGGAAGACCGCTGACGCCATTCTACGAGGCGCTGCTCGACGAGCTGGGATTCGTAGAGTTGCCGAGCTTCTTTGAGGTTGGCCTCGAAGATGTTGGCTATGCAAGGGTGAAGAAAAGTGGGGAATCAGGATACTTGTAGCGTAGCGAATAAAGATGTAATAAAGACTCAGTTCTCTAAACTTACTTTCTTCCTCTTGGAAGTGAACTAAGCGCCTCTGAGCGAGCAGCTTCTGTTCCTTCACATTACGATCGCGCAACACCTAGTATGATGCAAACGAGTCAATTGTCACCACCGCGGATAGATGTGGTAGAAAATCAAGCGACATGGTATATTTTGATTACTTACAGCCTCACTGAGGAACTTGTTTCTTCGATCCGCATCGCTGATGTTGACGAGGGCCTGGCTTCCTCGTACGGACTTTGACAACTGACGCGGCTCGTCGTTATCGGCGTCGCCGTTAAACAGCGAGACTGGAGCGTTGGATTCGACGGCGGTTCCCATGGCTGATTCTGAATGGATAGCGTTGCGGTAAAAAGATGACTGAGGCCCTGAAACGCCTGAACGTTGACGTAGTGCAATGCCAAATTCCAGATGCTCTGAGTCTTCTGAACTGGCTGCGATAACGAGAGAAGTTTCGTTCCAGCTGGCTTCAACTACGCAAACTTGTGTGGTATTGAGCCAAGCTGCCCACTCACGTTGTCGATTGGAATGACGAGGCCTTTTATAAACCCAAGGATGGCCTGGGGGACGGTTTCACCGGTTTTTATTCAGTCTGTCTCCAACGACCTCGGGTGCTCAGCCCTTTGAGGGGGATGGGATCAGCACGCTGAGTTATCTCCTTTACGTTCTCGACTACGATGGACCGGTAAGTTTCCCTATTTTGTGGCGTGAATGTCAGCCCTCGGTGCATGGTTCACATCAATGGCCTTTCATTTGAGTGGGCTCGGCAGATCCTCGGAGGTTTCGGCGGTCGCCCCTCCTTGAGGTCTCTTTCACTCCGAACACTTAGTGAGGGACCAGAGAGCTGGGTTGACCTCCGTCCCCCTGACTTGAATCGTTTTCCGACCAGTCATGCGTTGGATACTATACTACCGCTCTGGGCAAACAATGCGGAACTCAAATTCGGCGGGCTGTCAACTCCGCACGCTTACATAACAGTGAGCGCTGAGACGCGTGAACTCACCGCCCTCAAAGGATAATTGTGGGGGCCTATACAAGCTTTGCAGTGGCGGTTTGCATTTCAAAATAAAAAATATCAAAGCTTCAAAACTTAGTAGCTACAGTAAGAAAGCGGCAATAGAAGTTTCTGGCACGGTCTTCCTAGTGCCAAGAAGAGGTTCCAGCCGAACTGTCCTTTTGAAGGAACAGAAATTCAAATGGGGGGAGTTGAAAGGTTGGAAGGGGGTCAAGAACGATAGCAGAGCGGTAGCATGAAAATGGACCCGCAAACAGGTCCCCCTATTGGCCCAAAGAGAATCGACACCGGAGCGAGACAGAATTGTTCCTTTTGCTGCAAACTTGGGTGGGAGTGTTCGTTGATTTTTGGTCTTTTGTTTCTCGGTCTTCCGAACGATATAGCGTCGTTGGATTTTGCTGAGCTGGCTCGCAACCCTTACAATGTAAACAGTTCTTCCAAAACTGAGGTCTGCGTGTGGAATTCGCAGTAGATCCTTAGCATCTCGTGACCGATGGCTTCGGTCAGCTCTTGGGTATCCCTTGAGTTCGAGACTGGTTTGTTTTCGTTGGCACTGGGCGGGGATATCAAATCAGCTGGAGGCAGACTGCATACCTAGGGTTTTCTGGCAGAAAAGCATACCTGACTTTCAAATGACGTACAGCATTGTTGGGAACGTCCTTCACGAAGATCCACTCGACATTGAAAGCGCCCTTCCACCTCTTCGCTTGCTCCCAAATCGTGACCGTACAATTCCAGTCCACAGCACTCGTCATACGGGCCACTCCGCAAAAGCGTCCAGAAGAGGTTACCGAGAAGAAAAGGAACACCGCGTGATCGTGTGCGCCGAGGCCGCGAACGGGGCTGTTGGGCTGGGATTCAACGGCGCCGGAGGCGGCTGCGGTTGCGGCGGCTGCTTGGTTTGCTTTAAAGGCGTTGTCGAGCCGGCGGTTGCCGAGTTCGGTGGAAGACCAGACGTTGTGCTGGACGGAGGCGACGATGTTGGTTGCTGAGTTTGACTTGATCACGAAATAACGGGCCTGCGGATTGTAGGCATCAGATTTTGAGCAGCCCTTCTCGCCCTCAGATGAGTGAGCATTCACTTACATGACGAGGCCTGACATCGAACACAAATGGCCCCGGATTCAACCCACGGGCAGCTACAAATTCGGCAACCTTCTGTTGAGCCCACGGATTAGGCTTCACCAACGCCGCCGGGCTTGGATTTACGAGCTGCGGCAGGGTCGGCATCGACGCAGGGCGAACGGGTCTCAAAAACAAAGCACCACTGACCGATCCCGGATCTGTCTGGCGGGCCGATAAGCCGGCGGCAAAGTCTCCCGGACGAGACTCCATGAATTTGGTAGCGGCTTCGCTCCATTCTGCGTCTTCTTGGTATTCGCGCAGAAGCTGTTCTTGGACTTGTTGCGAGTGTGCTGCGCGGTCGCGAGCTGCTACAATGGAGGAACCTGAGGGTCTTGGTGTAGTGTCGGCCCATGCAGGACTTTCCAAAGTGTTCTTGATGCCATTGCCGTGGAATTCGGACAAGGCGGTGAGGGATACGGCTCTTTGATGTTGCTGTCGCGAAGCGGATGGCGGACCAGGGCTTGGGCTTGGAAATGAATAACGATTGGTCCCTGGAGCGCGAGATTATAATCAGCATACTATGGATTAATTAGGCTCAGGAGCGATGTCAGCGCACCATAAGATTCGCGAAAAGAGCTGTCATCCACGTAGTTCCCATAACCTCTGCCTGCATTGAACGTTCCCGGCGAAGCGCGCGACTGAGCCGCAAAGCTAGATTGGTCAGTGCGCATGAGAGAAACATCGCTATCATGGCGTCGCATCATAGGTTGCGGTTCACTCTCGCAATACCTCGGTCTGGGCGCATCGCTGTAGCGGCGGATTCCTTCCACGGTCGGTGGAGAGACGAATGAAGGCCATATGTCATCTTGTGCGGGACGTTCCGCGTGGTAGCCTTGGGCGGGGCGAGACTCCATGTGCGTTGGGAAAATGTAGTCCCGGTTAAAATCCTCGGTTTCGAATGTTGTGGGCGTCAGGCGTCTGGGGCCTGGCGACTCGTTGGCCAGTCTGAATGAGTTGCTTGGGAGGTTGACGCCGAAGTCGTAGGATCTGCTGCGGTGTCGTGAGCTACACGGAAGATCGTCCCATTCTTCGGCGCCGTAGCCGTTGCCAAGGCTTTCGTTTGAAGATGCCCTGGCACTAGGTGTGGAGCTTCGACGTGCAGTATCTTGAAACACATCAAAACACACGTCAGCTTCTGCATCCAGCCCGCAATCGGAGGATCCCATTCAAGCCATCACCTACCACGTTCATTGTTACTTTCGCCCGGCATTGCATTGATAGCATTCCATTCCCAAAGCGAAGGCTTTCCAAAGTCCGACGCTCGTCCAATACATTGTGAAATTGGGGCCCCAGCAACGTTCGCCTCCTCATGGCGACGACGCACCGCCGTTTCTTGTTCAAGGTACGAGAGGGCCTGTCGACGGACAGCCTGCTGTTGCTGCGGGTCTTGATAGGACGTGGTCTTGGGTTGGCGTGCAGGTTCTCGATTTCCCGATTCCGACGGCCGCCAGGGCTCCCCGATGTTGGACTGAAGACTATTGTTCCTGCCGAAGGATAAGCGGCGCGGATAACGAGTGTTTCCGTTCTCACTAGCGAAATACTCTTCTGCGAAATTCGAGTAGTAATCAGCGTACGCCTCGCTTTCATCTTCCGATTTTGGCTGTCGCTTTGATCCTTCCGCGGACATGTTGGTTCGTGATGTTACTCAATCTAGTTCAACTTCTTAGTAAGCCCGATGAAACTTCGCAACTTGATAGCTTGTAGAGCGTCTCTTTCGACTTGACTTTGTACTGAGCAGCCGTCAGTGCCGTCGACGCAGTCCGAAAACCGATATATCGTTTCTACTCGTATTCCCGAGTGTCGCGAGGTAGCCTGCATGAGCAGCGTCGCACCCTGGGATCGTCGGAATCTAAATATTGGGTCGAAGGAACGGGTCGTTCAGTGAGTCCGAAGTTTCCAAGTAGTCTCTCTGTCCCTGCAGGATGGATGGTTCTCCACAACCGCGCAGTGTCTATGTGCGTCTCGGCTCCCGATCCAACTCGGAGCCCTGGGTCATGCATACCTTATGGAGATAGGGTAGGAGATGGAAAGACGATGCAGACTTGTGCTCTTTTGAGTCGTGTGCTGTGAGTGTCCCTTTGAACAGTGTTCGCTCACACAATTCAGTTCGATAGCGCTGTTTCTAAGAACGACGAACGAACTCAGGTGTGTACATAGGTTGTTTTCGCCAGGTATGGAGCTAACAGACAACCAGGCAGGTTTCAAAGGTAAAAGTCTCAAGTTGTTCGGCTCAAATGGGGGGTGTGAGAACCTTGCTTCCGTCCACCTTCGAAGAAGCGCTCTGTCCTGCCTCTCAGAAACCTCTCTTGAAAGCACCCTCGCATCATATATTCACGCCCAGCTCACCGTTCCCATGAGCCGCATATCCCAGCGCCGCCGCGATCTTATCCACTCGGGGCATCAGAGGGCGTCACCGGCCCTCCGCCCTTTCTTATATCCGTTGCTGTTTTTCTTCTCCGCAAGCCACACGCAAGCTTCCGGTTGCCACGGGAACTGACATAATCGAGCATCCCCAACATGAGACAATGGCATGTGCTAGCTGTTTTGATGTAAATAAAGCGGAGGTTGTGATGGGGAGTGTGGGGAAGGCAACGGGGGGACTGTTGTTGCGGAAAGTGACGGGGGGACGCGCTGTCGATTGCTGTCAGAAGCGGAAAGTTTTACGATTTGACAACTCTTTGTGACTGGCAGCCGGAGAGTTCGTATTAGACAGCAGCTTACGGTCTTCCAGCAAAACGCGAGATGAAAGCAATCACTTTACTCAACGCTATAAGCGCAGGGTTGGGACCTCCTCTCTTCATTTCGATAGAGGCTGCAAGGATAGTCATGGCGTATGAACCGCCAGCGTGAAAATCGAAACGCCGGAATCATCATTCACCATCACGACGGCTTGATGTTGTCAGAACTGGATCTGACGACTGCCCTGTACGTCTGCATGTCCATCCTTTGACCGTTTAGCCGGTAAATCCCAGTGCCTAAGTCTCACAGATCGAAACTCCATCTCAACCGTGAGGTTCATGTCCTCTCCCTTTGGTCTGCACCTTGGACAGCCCGAGGCGTTCAGGATCCATCGAACGCCAACAGCGCGGCAGTCAAGTCGAAAACGGCGCTCTCTGCATAGACGGTGCCCACATGTATCTATCTAGCATCGGCCGTCTATCTGTACCCCGAGTGGTGGTACACGCCGGGTGGCAAACATGCTTCGAGAGACTGTTGCTGCCCTGTGCCCGGAAACGACGCTGTTGGAATCAAACAGCGGCAAAGGGTCCGTCCACTATCGACCGAGCTCCAGAAGTTAGAGTGTCGTTTCATCGCTGCTCAAAATTCCACACCCGTCTGCCGGCCCTTCGTCTGAATTTTTGCATCGGCACGTCAAACAGTCCAAAATTCTATCCAAAGATCTGACAGATGACTAAGATGGGGAGCATGGCCTTTTCACCCCACCAGCCCAAAAAAACACTAGGAACCAGCCGATCTGCACGTCATGTTATAGACCGCATCTCGATCTGATGCAGCCGCCCTAGCAGTGGCGTAATGGGTTACTCCTCGAAATGCGTTCAAATGCGTGGAAAATCCCACACAATGTCAATCCTGCTTTCGAGGTGGCATGCTGTAAGCTGCCCCATTTTCGAGGCACACCAATGGGCTGAGCCGTATCTTCAAGAAATGGTGATGGCCTCCCAAAACCCTCGAATAGCCTCGTCGTTTGTCTGGAAAGCCAGATGTTCCCACTTCACACCCCGTCCAGTGTGTTCTCGTTATAAATTCTGGCATATCCGAGTATTCCTGTGAGTCCCTCCGACCTCCTCTTTCATACACTCTCCACAACCGCCACAAGATGGGCGAGAAAAACGTAAAGTGACTTGCAAGTGCCTGGAAATGTCGCTAGATATAGAGACCTCCATTGAATTTCAACTGTGTCCGGACTCTGGAGCAGCTCTAATATGCGCTTCCAACCTCGGAAACCACTCCGGTCCATCTCTCATCGCCATCGATGCAATTTCACTGATGCTAGGGACATGTTTTCGTTGCGGCAGCAAGCGCCGAATCTGCGCCATGCGGGGCAATTGCCGGCGGCGGTGTTGGGGAGCCTACGCGTCGCAATGAGGGGCGATTGCGTGCTCTGATCTGAGAAGCTTGTCCCAAGAGCTTGTGCAAATGATTAGCGCGTGATTAGCGATTTCCGCCTCCGTTGTTCCGAGTTCTAATTAACCCAACGCGGTGATTAGATTAGGGTTAGCATCTCATTTGCCCCAATCGCCCCATCGATGGAAACCCGCCCGCTGCTCAAGAACCACCACAGTGGCATCCCTTACTCCGCTCCGCTTGATCTTCCCAGTCGGCACCGCTGTCAGCCTCCATAACGGATCGCCCTTCCTTCCTTGGGCAATCGTATCCGACCACTTTATCCTCATATCGTTGATCACAGAATTCGAGCACACTATTCACACGCTGTCCACAAACATCTCATCTCACACTACAAAAATGTCATCAGAACCCCTCCAGCCCACCACTCCACCCAGCCAACCCCAACTCGGCGCCGTAATCGGCCTCTCAGTCCTCGCCACCGCCACCACTGCCGCTCTCGCTGCTATCTACTTTGGATGGGTCGCTAACATCACGGGTGGTCGGAAGAATGCTGGGGATGATGGGAAGTTATTGAGGGAGTTGTTGGAGGGTGAGGATGAGGTGGAGGGGAAGAAGGGGAAGAAGAAGAGTGGGAAGAAGGGGAAGAAGGATGGGGTGGTGGAAGTGAAGGAGGTGAGGGATGAGGTCGGTGGGGTTGAGCAGGTGGGTTTGTGAGATATGGACATGACTCGTGCGGTAGCGAGCGCATTTTAGAGCGAATGCGGATGCGAGGGTCTTTTTGATCCCATCGCCCAATCTTACACAATGTTGATACCAAACTATTTTCTTTCCATTGCAGATCGGCAAGAAAAAGAAGAGAAAAGGCGCCAAAGCCGGTCGCAGCACCTCACCCATCGCTTCCGAAGCCAAATCCCCAGGCGCCGCCTCTAGCCGCAGCCTTTCCCTCGAAACCGAGCCTGTAGAAGAAGAAGAAGAGAACTTCGCCGACCTCTTGCACCTCACCACCCTGCAAAAGCCCAAAACCACCGCTAAGCTGGGCAAAGACCAAGGTCAGCTCGCCGCGATTGCTGCTGCGGCTGAGAAGGCGGCTAAAAGGAACAAGAAGGCGAAATTGGCTGCTGAGCATGCTGCTGCTGCACATGCTACTGCAGTGGTGCAGAAAGGGGCTGGTGATGTTGTGCCGATTAGTGGGGATGCTGCGGTTGGTGCCGCGGATGTGAGTAGGGATGCTGAGGCTGCTGTGGCTCCGGCTGCGGATGAGTATGTTCCGACGGCTGCTCCGGTGGCCGATGCGCTGGCTGTGGATAGGGATGTTGAGATCTCCGAGGTTCCTGCTCCTACAGCGTCCGTGTCATCGAAGGCCGTTGAGCCCGCCGTGTTGGAATCTCGCATCGCCGCGAAGGAGCAACCCAAGACCTCCGCAAAGCCCACCCTCGCGTCCCAAAAGACTCCCGTCAACGGTGTCCAAACCAACCGCGCACAGAACGACCTCGACGCCCTCTCCACCGACATCTCCGCCCTCCAATCCAACACCCACATCACCCTCACTGAAGTCACCGCTCTCAACGCCCGTCTAACCGACTCTACGCAAACCATCGCTACCCTCCTCACCGAAAAAGCCGCGTCCCAAACCCAAATCGACACCCTCACCAACCAGCTGCAACAGTTGCAAGACAAGCTGGAACGCCAGGACGCCGAGGTCGAGATTGTGCGCACGACCAATAGGCATTTGACTGAGGGTGTCAATAGGCTGCATTTGGATGTCAGGGAGGCTGAGGAACGTGCGCAGAGGGCTGTCAAGGCGGCGACGAAGGCGACAGACGCCGATGCACTGTTGCATGACGAGATCGCGGACTTGAGATCTCAGCTTCAAACCGCTTTCGAGGGCGAGGAACGCGGCAAGCGGGAGGCTGAAACCGCCGTCAGGGACGTTGAGACGAAATACGAATCGCAGATCGCGCGTGACGAGGCTACCATCTCCCGTCTCGCGCAGGAACTCACCGCCGAGCGTGAGAAGACTGACGGGGCTGTGAAGCGTCTCACGCAGGAGTTCACCACCGAACGCGAGCTCCACGCTGCGGAAGTCGCCGCCTTGCGCGGGCAACTCCACCATTCTACACAACAAGCGAATGAGACTGAACAACGGATCCAGCATCTGCATGCGGAACTCACGAACGCGACCGCTGATCGGGACACGCAGATTGAGCATTTGAGGAGTCAGGTGGAGGAGAAGAGTGAGGAGGTTGGGAAGGTGGAGTTTCAGCATAGGGCTGAGATTGAGAGTTTGAGGGGGGAGAATGGAAGGTTGGCGAGCGTTGTTGAGCGATTGACCGGGGAGGTTGAGGAGGTGAAGGCGTTGAGGGGGCAGCTTGGCCAATTGGCTGACGAGAAGAAGAGAGTTGAAGAAGAGCTGAAGGAGGCGAGGGAGAAGATTGCAGTTGCTGTCGGCGAGAAGGAGAATGCCGAGAAGGCGGCATCCGAAGCTCGCGACCAACTAGCTCTCGTAACGGCAGAAAAGGAGAAGCTCGAGAAAGAAGGGTCTGAATTCCGAACGCAACTCACCACCGTCAACGAACAACACCAAGCCCTTCAAACCCAGCTCGACGCATGCCGCAAAGCGCTGTCGGACGCCAAGACGGAGGCGGAAAAGACATTCACTGAAACGCGCACGGAGCTCGCGGACCTTACGAGGCGAGTCGAAGAGTTGACCGCCGAGCTAACACAAGCTAAAACAGACCAACAACGCGAGAACGACCTGATCGGACAACTTTCCGTGGAATTGCAAATGTCGCAAGCAAATCTCAAGACGGTTCAACAACAGCTTGAAGAAGTGAAAGCAGAACGCGATGCGTTGACCGAGTTGTCGCACGCAATGATTGCAGTTAACGTGGAGGAGATTGAGCGGAAGGCTGCGGAGTTTAAGGGCTTTGAGGCGTCGGCGCGGGAGGAGCAGCAGGAACAGCCGGCGATTGAGGCGGAGGGGGAGAAGCATGAGGCGGTCGAGAGCGAGGTGCTGGACTCTGTCGCGGCGGACTCGGACCGTGTCGCGGATCTGGGCGGGCCTCCCTCCGCTTCTATCGAAGACAGCGACGCCGGCGCGGAACCCGCAACCTACACGCACACGTTTCACTACCCGCACCCCGGCACCTCCGTCCTCGTAACAGGCACCTTCGACGACTGGTCCAGCAGCGTGCACCTCGACCCCAGCACGCGTTCCGCGACGATCAGCATCCCACGGGAGAAGACGGCGGATGGGAAGGTGGTGTACAAGTTTGTTGTGGATGGGGTGTGGTGTGTGGATGCGGAGGCGAGGGTGGAGAGGGATGAGATGGGGGTGGAGAATAATGTTGTTTATTTGTAGGAGGGGCGTATTGGGCGTGAATTTGGGCCACTTGGGCCCAAATCACTTGCGTGGGTATATATGTATGTATGGTCGGGCGTACGGTTTATATGTATGGGCTGATGGGTGCCCGCCTCATATGGTTGTTTCTGATTGGTGGTCATATACTTGTTGAAGCGTCTCATGTGTGTGGAGAATACGATGCATCTAATGTAGTCCACAGCTGGGTTTGTTTTTGCGGCGCGGGGTTCATTTTGAGACCCCCGAGCGAGTATATCTCCCCATTTTTTCGGCGTGTCAAACATCTTCCCAAAGACGAAGGGATGGCATATCATACTATAGAAGGTGGGCATCGATATGGAGGAATCTCGACGGGGGTCACGTTCACCCCATCAGACTTGTCCAAACGTTCAAAAGGAGATGAAAAAGTTCACCCGGTGGCCGGGCAGGAGATCAGGGAAACCTTCGAAGTCGAGGGAAACGAGGCTTTCCTTCGGCCTGCCCTGCATACACGCTCTTATTGTTTGTTTGCAAGCAACTTGAAATGGGACGTCCTTTGGGCCATTTTCGGACATTCAGCATAACAGACGCGACGCGACGCGTTCTGCGGCCCTGTGCAACGTCCGGAAGCGCGTCTTAATTTCGACAGACGCGTCTCTTTCAACCCCCCCCGTCAACCCCTTTTTTCCGGTTGATTTGATTTGACCCCCCCCCCCCCCGCAACATGGGCATTGCATTGCACAACAAGAACCCCTCCCCGAATGTTCTTGAAACCGCTGGTTGGCCGCAAGTGGGGGCCCGCATGTCTCCCAATAACCCAATGGTACGTAAATGGATCCAGACAGAACTCGCAGACGGGAGCGGCCGATGTTCCCACGCTCGCTGTGCTTTCGGACAAGGGTCGTTGCACGGCAAGCAATCAAGCAGCGGAATCAACCAACTCAATCAAAGCGGGAGAACGAAGGGGCTCAGCATGCCCTCCCTCGTCTTCGCTCGCTGCAGTAGGAGAGACGACGGGAATACAAAAGCAAATCACCCCAGCGCACTTTCCCTCGCTTTTCCCTCTCCTCTTTCTCACCTACGTACGGACTGACTCTGTTCACCCCTCCCGCTCGTGAGTTGGCTGCGCCAGGAGAGACTCTATAGAGAGAGCTAATAGCTGCTGCTGCCTTCCGATCTTTCGCAACCACTTCTCTTTTCGTTCTCCGCCTTCCCACACCCCTTCGGCAAAAGCACAGCACAGCACAGAACTTCCAAAAACACCATCCACCCACAAAAACCTTCCAAAACCATGCGCACCACACAGTCCCCACGCAGGGTCAGCATCCTTCTGGCCCTCATCGCCATTCTCGTCCTCTGCATCTTGCCCAACCTGGTCGACGCCTCGCCTCAGGGCCAGCGTAACAGACGCCAGGGTCAGAAGAAGCCGAACAAAAATAACAACAACAACAACAACAACAACAACGGTGGTGGTGGTGGGAGGGGCAACGGTAACAACGGTGGTGGTGGTGATGGGAAGGGCAACGGTAACGGTAACGGCGGAAACAACGGCGGAAACAACGGCAACGGTAACAACGGCGGCGACAACGGCAACGGTAACGGCAATAACGGCGGCAACAACGGCAACGGCGGCGGCGATACCTCCGCGGCAGTCTCTCAGTTTTGCAAGGACACGGGACTCACTCCTTCAGATGGAACTCAGATCAAGGATGGCGCTTGCACGAGTACTCCGATTGGTGCCTTGCCTACTACTGCCAACATGGTACGGGGGCCGAACAGCACAGCACAGCTGAGCACAGTCATCCTTTTCTACAGTCATCCAATCCTAACCATCCCCACACTTCCCCCCAACCCAGGTCTCAAGCCTAATAACCTCCCCCTCCAACGGCGCAACCCTCGACGCCTCCTCCGACCTCCTCGTCACCGTCGACTACCGCAACCTCGACACCGGTTTCTTCTCCGACCCAGCCAAAACCTACTACACCATCCCGCAAACCCTCAACTCCGACGGCGTCATCCAAGGCCACTCGCATATCACCATCCAACCGCTGGGTTCCAAAGCCAACGCCGCGCCCGACGCGAGAACGTTTGCCTTCTTCAAGGGGCTGAATGACGAAGCGCAGAATGGCCGCACGTTGAGTGTCACGGTGCCGGGCGGCACGTTTACCGAGGACGGCGTGTATCGCATCTGCTCCATGAGCGGGAGTAACTCGCATCAGCCCGTGATCATGCCCGTGGCGCAGAGAGGCGCCCAGGATGATTGTATCAGGGTCACCGTCGAGGGCGCTTGAAGAGGACTTTTCCACTTCGAACGGGGTTTTTTGTATATATCTGTTCGGTACCCCCGTCACCCTCCTACCTAACCCGCATACGTGTTCCATACCCCCTCGTCCTTCATGTATCTATTTCATCTTTCGCTCTTTGTTTTTTGTGTTTGCTTTTGTTTTTCCCCCCTGCGTATATATATACCGTTTTCCCTTCACCCCATTTGTTCTGCGCGTAGACTTGCTTCTTCGCCCGACTTCTTCTTCTTCATCGTTTTCGTCTCGTACATGTGACACGTATTGGCGTAAAAGAAAAAATGTCAAAAGTTTCCTTTTGTGCCGGAGATATTTGTTCTATCATGGTATATACTGGGTATATACTGTGTATATACACAGGATTCCAACTAACAGAACACATGGTTTCAGTTCCGGGGACGCCACGAAAACGCCGCAGAACGCGAACGTAAGGTAGGTTTGAAAGGGGTGTTCCGAGAAGGGCAGATTAAAAGACTGAGGGTACAGAACAATTCACGGGGGACGGACGTTACAGTACAAGGTGGGGGGGCGACAAGGTCTACACAGAGATTTTTGCGAGGACACGGGTATTCATCACAACACCATCAACAGCGCCGCGGCCGCGCCGGGCAACGCGACCCCGCTCACATACCCAGGCGCCTTCTCCTCCGTTCCAAACGCGGTCGTCAGCTCGCGTTTACTGATGGCGTTGTCGGAGAGCTGGCGGGCCGATTTGGTGATAGATCGGCCGAGCAGGGCGCCTGTTGTCGCCGGTGGGGGTTCCAACGGCCGTTCCTGCTGTGCTGGGGCCGACGCCGTTTCGGGTGCCTGTTTCCGGAGTGCGTCCAGGACGGGCTTGATACCCGCGGCCAGGAGGCGGTCTCTGAACTCGTCGTTGGTGCGTGCGAGCGCCTGCAGGAGCACACACACGTTCGTCTTTGACTCGTCCGCGTACGTGTAGGCCGGGTCCGCCGGGTTCGTCGTCGGGTCCGCCGCTTCCACACCACCACCTGCACCGCCGTCCCCGGTCTCCAGGCCGCTGGTGAGGATCTTGACGACGGTGGGGACGATCGAGGCGTGGTATTTGCTGATGGCCGTGATGGAGTCCGGGCTGGCGTCGGCGAGGAGGATGAGCGCCACGACGCCCTCGTTCTGGACCATTGGGAAGACCTGCCCCTCGACGGGTGTCGCGTCGAAATGGACGTGGTGGTCGTCTTCTTCCTCCGTATTCGACGGACCGCTCTCTGCTTCTGATGCGCGGGCTTTTGTGAGCAGGGCGCCGGTGACGATCTGGATGAGGGGGACGATGCAGCGGGCTTTGATGAGGGTGTTGAGGAGGGGTGAGGGGCCGGCGCGGTGGATGGCGCGGACGAGGTTGACGAGGAGACGGCCGCCTTCGTTTCGGATGCCCGTGTCGTTGTCGCCGGTTGCGTTCCAGATCAGGTTGATGATCTTGTTCAGGGGTGTTTTTTGGCCGGCGGGGGTGGCCGGCCATGAGACCAGGGATGAGGACGCGGCGTCTTTAGGCGGTTCCTGCCCCGTGACAATGCGGTACACATTCGCGTCGTTGCTGCCAGCGCACAGGTTCTTGAGGACCCCGACGGCGAGGTAATGCACGGGTTTGCATTTCGGCATCTCGAGGGTGTCCGAGATCTTCTGTATAACGCCTAGGTCGCCGAGCCGGGCGCGATTGGCGCTTGCGAGGGACAGGTTCTTGAGGGCACCAATGACCGCGTGCAGGACTTTGATGATGCCCTTCATTTCCGCACCCGCGTTCTTCGTCCGCTGCGTTTCCAACTCAAGGAGGGCGAGCATGGGGGGAACGACGCCGTGTCGCTCGACCAGATCGACACAGGTGGTATCGCTCCGAGCCAGGTTCCCGATCGTCAACGCCCCGGACATGCGGATCTCGTCCTCCTCCGCCCAACTCAGATGGCTGCCGGACCCATGGGCCATCCACTCCGTCAGCTGCTTCATGATGTTGCTTTTCTGGGGAATGTCAAACATGTTGGCGTCGTTCATGGAGACCAGGGTAGCTATCCGCGAGACCGTCTTCCGCACGTCAGCGTACGTCTGCCAAGCCTCCTCGTCGAACTCCGCGCGCGGTTTGGTGGGGCGGTGGTCAACGAAGTCGAGTAGGTTTTCAAACAGGTCGCGAGACACGATGGCCCGCTGCACGGCGTCGTTCTCGCTGATGGCTTCGAGGACGGTCGTGAGTGCGTCCAGGGCTTCTAGTGCGTCCTGTAGGTGGGTTGACGTCACGGAGGGTTGCAGGATCACGTTGTGCTTGTACCGAAGCAACTTCAGGAGAATCGAAAGCCCGTCGGTTGCTAGCAGTTCATTCACACCCCGGTCGCTTTCCGACAGATTGCTGATCAGCCGGATCGCCGCGATGCTCATTTTGATGACGTCCGGGTTGTCGTCCGTAGCCGGGTGGTCCAGATGCCTGGTCAGGATCTGAAGCAAGACATTGAGAACACCCGCTTTCAGGATCTCCACCTGCACGGGTTCATTGTCCATGCTGATATTCGTCAGTGCGCCACTGGCCGTCGTCAGCAGTGCGATTTTGGGAGATGTGAGGTAGGAAGCGATCTCGGCAATGCCGTTCGGTGTCTCTAAGACCTTTTCGCGGTTGATGTCGTGGTCATAGCAGAGGTTTGCGAGAGCTCTGAGACTTTGGATGACGAGGTTGTCTGCGTCGCTGCTTGTTGTAGAGTGGCCCAGTTTGAGTTGGGCGATCAGGGCTGGGATGGCGCCGGCTTCTGCGATTGGGTCTCTCGCTGACTCTGAATGGGAGAGAGGGATACTGGGTCAGGTAAGGAATGCAATTGCCTTGGCGAACCGGATTTTGAAGCAGTAGAGCGAGGGATGTAACACTACCCCTGCACGCTCCGCTCGCGATAGACTAGGTCATGCGGATGCAATCTTCCGCCATCCGCGCTTTGCCGGTGTCTCCTCGATACCATAAGACGAAGCCTGGCCTCTGCTCGCCTGCCTTGAGCATCCCTGCGCCTCGCTCAACAGCAGTAGGGCTCACTCCGCTACCCATCCCCGACCACAGATCACACCTCCCATCATCACAAACTCACCACTCTTAGCAGCCTCCGCAAAGACATTCGCAATCGTCGTCCTTACCCCCACATCACCACTCGTTACGTCCGTCAAAAGGCCGGCAAGCAAGTCGATCAGGGCCGTGTGCTCTGCAAAGTCGTCGCGAGCGGCGTCATCTTGCGGCGCTAGTGCGGATAGGGTTTGGATGAGGGCGGTTGGGTCTTGAGCGCCCGTGGAGAGCAGGGACTGCAGATGTTGGAAGGAGTGGTCGAGTGACATTGCGACAGGCTGTGCTTCTATGCTTTATGGGAGTGTGTGTTTGTGTGCGTGGCCAGGATTGCGGGATGAGCATATGATTGCCGTCCGCCTGAAGTCGCTGAAGTGGGAAAAGGACCGCTTTTGACGTCGTTGCAAGCCCACTCAGGACAGACAGAGGTCGGAGGGCATTAGCACAAACATACACACACACAACCGTCGCTGGACGCCCACCGTTGCCATTCCGCCGTCTGCGCTGTCCACCGCATTCAGAGACGGCCGCTCCGACAGAGACGGCTGCTTCCAAAGCGGTCACACACTGGAAATCACGGCCTACGAATTGAGCTTTCCGAACTTCGCACAGGTGTTCCGAATCCCCACCGGCCTTAGACATATATTGGCGATATAACAGAGCGGAATAGGGAGTGAAGAGCAGCTGATAGTAGTGGGGAATAGACGGTGGCGGCGGTGGTGGGAAGCGGGGATGAGCTCATGTTCAAGAATGGCTTCTCGTGCCTCGGTGCAGCACCAACGTCAAGTTCAAGAAGAACGGGATACCTGCTTCGTCGGATCTTGCCAACACAGAGGGACTACCGCAGCAGCGGCGATAGAGGACGGAGTGGAGGATATAGAGGTCGAAGCGGAGGGCCTATGTTGCAGTCTGGGAGCGTATCACCCGTTCCCACGGCGGCCATGGCGGTGACTAGGCGACCCTTCTCCGAAACCCCAACCCGGCGCTCTTCTGCACAAGCGACAGTCCCCGTCTCCGAACCCCTCCACGACTACTACGCTTCCCGCGGCTTCGAGGAAGACCCCCTACTTCAATCTACCGTCAAACTCCAACGCGAAGAACTCCGCCAATCCATCGAATGGTACCGCGAATCCCTCTCCCACCCCCTTCCCCAGCCAACCGCCTACACCCACCTCGACAGCCCGTACGAGGACCCCTGGACGCTATACTGCTACCTCTCACACGACCTCGCCGCGCTGCGCTGCTCCCCGCACTGGACGTTCACGGCCATTTTGGAGTTCATACGAGACGCGGTGACCTCCCCGCAGATATGTCTGGACCGCATCGAGCGCGTGGTTGCGGATATGGGCCAGATTGGGGAACCGCTGAACAAGATGGACTGGGACGCCGTTGTGGCCTCGTTTGAGAGGTGGGGGAAGTTGGAGCATATGCGGTACATGAAGATGAAGATGCGGCATTTGACGGTGTTGGCGAGGGCGGTCGGTGATGCGAGGGACTCGGATCCGCGGCGGAGGGGTGGGAAGAAAGGGGCGGATTCGCAGCAATACCTGGATTCGGGGATGTACCGCGCCTGCCTGACCTCCGTCACCCGGCGCGGGCAACTCCTTGCCGTTAAACAGCTCGCGGACGAGATGCTCGAACACTGCACGCACGACCAAAAACTTTTCCAGACAGTCATCCAATCCCTCGTCGACATCCGCGACTCGCTCGCTGCCTACAAAGTCTACGAGTACATGCGCAGCCACGGCCGTATCCCGACCGTCTCAACTTACCGCGCCCTCATCCACTCCCTCTGCCACGACACCACCATCATACTCCCCATCACGCGGCACAATGCCACAAAACAAACCAAAATCTCAACGCTCAAAGTCGCGACAGCCATCCTGTCCGACGCGGTCAAGTACCACAAACACCCCAAGATCTTCGCAGCGGTGTTTGAAGTCTACGCCGCGCATAACGCCATGTCCGCCGCGACGCATCTGCTCGATATCATGAACACCTACGCCGTCCCCGTCGACCAGAAAACTTGTCTCGCGTTTTTTTACCTGCATCTCCGCCACCGTCGTCCGCGTGCTGCGAGGGCACTGCTCGACGCGCTCCTTACGGCTAAATCCACCTCGTTGCTCCAACCGCATATGTCGCCAGAACACCAATGCAGGATAGAGACGACACATCCGTCGTTCCACCGGTTTGTGCTCTACGCCTTCATCCGCTGCGGCCTGCCCTGGGAGGCCTACATATACTTCAAGCAGACCCTCCCGCGGTACACGACGCAGCCACTGGATGCGCGTACGTGCGGGATGCTGATTGCACGGTTCGTTAGGCAGAGACCCGACCGGGCGTTGGAGGTGTGGGAGTATATGAAGCAGAAGGGGGTGAGGCCCGGATTGCATACGAGGACGCTTATGGAGGGGGTTTTGAGGGAGAGGGGCGATGAGGTGGAGGAGGGGGAAGGGGAAGGGGAGCGGTGGGCGAATATGTATTTGAGGAGTGGGTATGTGGCGGATTTTGGATGAGGGGTTGGATTGGATGGGATTACTTTTTGGATTGGAGGTTTCGAATTGAGTGTTATCATCTATTGGTTCAATACCCCTCACAATTATTTATATTTACATACACCGGCATGTCTCTCAACCCATCTGCAAACAAAGAAGCGTCTTCCCACATCGTCCCTCCCCCGGTCCCCCCCAGACCCCTACAAAACCACCATCCGCGTACACCCGCCCCCCCTAACCTCCCTAATCCTGCCCAGTGCCCTCATAATCGCCACAACACTCCTCCCCATCGGATCCAACCTAAACGCACTCTTACTAAACACCTCCTTATCCCTGGCGACATCCTTCTCCGTGATAAACATCTTGCCCTTGGTTTCGGGGGTGTGGTGTTTTTTGTGCTCCCAGAAGATGTCGCGTTGGGGTTTGGTCATTTTTGAGGGGGGCAGGGAGAGGAGGGTGTGTTTGTCGTGGAGGAGGAGGGTGAATTCGGAGATTAGGGTGTTGAGTTTGGGGAGGGTCAGGCGGCCGACTAGGGGGGTGGTGACAAGGGAACTAGTCAGTAAAACGGGAATGGTTGGACAGAAGTGCCAAGTGGGGTTGTACGCACCTTGGTATTTGGGCAACGACTCGAATTCCGCCACCGTGACTGGTGCAATCGTCGTGTTGACCGTTTTCTTCACTTGCGCGGGCGGTGGTGGTGCAGCCGTCTCCTTCGCCCTCGCATCCTTCGTATCCCCTCTTCCAGCCCCCTCCTCCCCATGATTCTCCATCTCCGCAAGCACCACCCTCGTCTTCCCCTCCTCCCTCCGCCGTCCCAGCGGCACCCCCACCGGAACATTCCCCGCCATATGCCCCACACATTCCCGAACCCCTTCCAACCGCCCAAGCACCTCCCTCCCGCTCTCAATCACCACCCTCTCCCTCTCAACAGCGGCGGATAATTTCGCGACCCGCCTCTCGAGGTCGTCGACGGTGCGTGTGAGGGAGATGTAGAGTGGGTCGTTGGTTATGCTGTCGGTGGCTGAGGTTGGGCGGAGATGGCGGGAGGTGTGCAGGTTGGAGAGGGTCTGGGAGAGGGTGGCTAGGAGGGGGTCCATTTTGCGGGAGGAGGAGTGCCAGTGATGGGTCAGAGTGGGTGGAGGGTGGGTATGTGCTGTAGTTACAGTACGTACTGCCTTTGCGAGGGAGTAGTCCGGGGGTAGTTGGCAGGACGCAAAACCTCACACTTCGTCTCGTTCGCAGAAAGGGGGCGCATCCACGCCGTTCGAGACTTCGGACATCCGTCGCCTCCCAACGCGTCGCGCGGAGACCAGAACCCTCAGATTCAGCAAACAACCCCAAACAACCCGACGAACAAGAAGATATGGCAGCAACAGCCTACCCCCCTCCAGCCCCCTCGTCCGCCCTCGAGCCCAAAAAGGTCGTCATCGTCGGGTCCGCCGGGTGCGGGAAGTCCGCTCTAGTCCAACGGTACGTACGCAAATCGCCGCATTTGCACACCTCCTCATATTTCTTGTCCCGTGTCTGTTTTGTGTGGGTCAGCGAAGTGCATGGGGCCGGGAGACGCCGGCGGATTGAACAAGTCGCAGGATGGGAGAAGGCAGATGGCTACCGCACTTGTGCGATTTCCAACCAAGACTGACTCATATGGGGACCATCGCAATAGGGCGCTGACGAACACCTACTCAAACCACTACCAACAAACCTTTGGAGCGGATCTGAGTGTCAAGACGACCACCGAGAAGTAACATATTCGTGGGGCACATCTCACAGGGAAACGAGAAACATATGATTTACGTGGGGGGCGATTTTTTTTTCCAGGAACAAGTATTCGTTGAACCTCTGGTGCTGCGGCGGACATGAGCGATACCGGGCGCTTTTGGAGCAGTTTTTCGTTGGAGCTAACGTACGTTTCGTGGAAGTTGTGCGGGGTGTGCGGGGATCGGGACAGGGCTTGATTGGCTGGCAGGGTGTGTGACAAGGAGTCGATGTGGGGGATGGATGTGGGCAGGGAAGCGTTTTTCATGCATCACAGCCGGACGACACCGACACGGGCATTTGTTAAACTCCACTTTCCCGCTCGCGCCCTCGTAAACAGGCAGTGATCCTCTGCTTCGACATGCTCAACACGTCCTCGTTCATGGAGCTGCCGTTCTGGTACAACGAATACAAACGCAATTGCCCGGACGCGCTCGCCGTCATCGTCGGCACCAAGGTACATTCAACCAGCCCCCCAGTCGCTGCCTCAACTTTCATCCATATTCTGACTCTACCCTCTGGTCATGTTCTATTAGTCAGATGACGCAGACGCGATAAAAGTCCCAACCCAAGACGCGCTCAAGCAGGCCAAAGAATGGAGCATCGAGTTCCGCGCCGTGTCGGCAAAGACGGGGATGAACGTCGCGGAGCTGTTTGAAATTGTTCAGGGTGGGATTCCTTGAGTGCGAGGGACAGAGTGGTGAGGCGGGGGTGTAGATGAGAAGCAGGGGGTTTTTCTTTCGGCGGGCTGGGATCGACGTGGACGACGAGGGGCCGATCCCTTCTCCGCCAATCCCCACGCAGCCATACCGACACGATTTTTGGGCAGTCTTCATTTTTGGGGTGGGAGAGGCGCTGGGTATGAGAGTCAGAGTTTCACGACAGACGCGCATAAGAACCTTGGGTACCAGGAAAAGAAACCTCTACGGAATCTCAAAAGCCGCATTCAGAAGATTGAAGAACAAGCGACAAGCAGAGCAGCATGGTATATACAGCGTGGCCCCGACCCCACAAAACACCAAAACCGAGAGAGAAAATAGGGAACAGTGAGCCAAATAGAGAACATGTAGTCTAAATAAATGTCTATGGGCGGACATCCAAAAAAAAAAAATGCGGAACAGAACTGGGGGAATGATGTCTGGCCACGTGTGCTGGGGATGTGAACGGGGTGAAGCGAGGGGGTAAACATGTGTCGATGTACCAGTCGGGTGCAAAGATGGGCAAGTGGGATCGCTGCGCGGGTGGGCCGTATGGCTGCTGCGCGTTGGGTCGTGGGGGTATTTCCGACGGACGGTGGGTGTAGGAGGCGAGCAGGGGGGATGTTGTGCGAGAGCGCGAAACGACGGGTGTTTCTTACGGTCCGGTGGGCTGTTGCTCCGGGCCTCGGGGTCGGTCCGGCCGAGGGAGCGCATCAAAGCGGAGAACTCCTCCCGCGCCCTCCTCATTCCGGAAGTCAAAGAGGGAAGGTAACCCCTCAGCTCAAACCCCCATCGCCTTCATCCGTTCCACCATCCCGTCCTCCCCGGGCTCGTCCTCCACCACCCCAACCTCCTTACACTTCCTCCAACCCCTCCCCCGCCCCCTCCCCCACCTCTCCAACACCTCCTCCAACCCCTTCCTCCCCACCGGCTTGGCCACATACTCATCAATCCCGACGCCAAGACACCTCTGCCGCTCATCCGGCAACGCATTGGCCGTCACCGCGACAATCGCAACCTCGCTCCACGGCGCCGGCAGCGCCCGGATGTGGGTTGCTGAGGTGTAGCCGTCCATGATCGGCATCGAGATGTCCATGAGGATCAGGTTGAAGGTGTGGGGTGGGGAGGATTGGAGGGTTTGGAGGCAGGCGAGGCCGTTGGTGGTTATGGTGGGGGTGTGGCCGAGGTTGGTGAGGACGCGGGTTATGATTTTAATGTTCTGTGAGGGAGACGCGGAAGGATCTCAATGTCAATCAACGGGGACAGATCGCGATCTCAAGGGCCGCCGCAGACGTAGAAACACATACCGTGGGATTATCCTCAGCGACCAAAATCGACAATCCCGTAACGCTTCCAGACGAGCTGCCTCTTCTCAACCTGCGTGGTTTGGCCTGTGTTTCAGGTTTCGCTTCCGTCGTCGGACCGCCGGTCCCATTCGCGTGGGCAAATCCATTTGTATGACCCGGCGTGTCCGCAGTACTGCCCTTCGCCTCGTTTGCAGTCTCGTTTGCAGTCGCATTTGCGACTCCATTCGCTTCCGTCACCCCATTCGGTGCGTCCTCAGCTCCCTTCGGCACCACCCCCTCAACATACGGCACCCGTAACGTGAAAGTGCTGCCTTTCCCCACCGAACTGAGAACGGTGATATCCCCACCCATAAGCGCCACCAGCTCCTTCGCAATCGTAAGACCCAACCCACTCCCTCCAAACCTCCGTGTAGTCGACCCCTCCGCCTGCGTAAACGGCTCAAAGATACACTTGACCGTCTCCTCCTCGACTCCAATCCCTGTATCCCGCACTTCAAACACCAGCATCCCGTCCGCGAGTCGCGTATCCACCACGACACTGCCGTGCAATGTAAACTTGATGGCGTTGGCGACGAGATTGGATAGGCATTGGCGTAATCGTAATGGGTCGATTTTGACGAAGGGCGTGTGGGGTGGTGCGAGCGGCGTGGTGGTGCATGTGAAGGTGAGGTTCTTTTGGTGGGCGAGTGGGCGGAAGATGGCGGCGGTGTCGCGGAGGAATTCGTGCAGGTCGACGGTGAGGACGTCGAGGGTTACGCGGCCGGCTTCGATTTTGGAGAAGTCGCTGATGGGATCGGCGAAGGGGATAAGCATGGACGTGTGTTTGAACAGCCTGAATGAGGATATTATCACTTACAGGATATCATCGACGATGAGCGTGAGTGCGCGGCAGGAGCGTTCGACCTCCTGCGCATAGTCTCTTTGTTCGTTGTCCAGACGGGTGCCGAGAAGTAGATCGTTGAGACCCATGATTCCGTTGATAGGGGTTCGAACTTCATGGCTCATGCGTGCCATCCAGCTGGGGAAAGGGAAAATTGGGCGTCAGCCTGAACAGTTCGCATACGTGCGAGACGAAAGGTTTGATCTTACTTCGACTTCATTTGACTAGACTGCAGCGCAAGCTGCTCGCTCAACTTCAATTGCGCCTTCTCCAACTCCGAAGCCCTCTCGCGGGTGCGTACATACTCCGTAATATCATGTCCAATAACGCCCAACCCCACACACTCGCCCGTCGCATGATCAATCTCGGGCACCCTGCACACAAAATACACATTTGTATTCCCATCCGGCATCTCGACATGCTCCTCCGAGACCACCATCTTCTTCCCCTTCATCGCCGCCACGTCGTCAGGGCGGAGGTACGCCCACACTTTCTCGCCAAAATAGTCGAGATCCCGCTTGCCGATCATCTCGGACCGGGGCACGCCGACGAGCGTCGCGAAGGTGTCGCTGACGTCCGTATATCTGCCCTCCACGTCTTTCAGCGCGTAGGTGTAGTTGCTTCTGAGGATCATCGCGGCCTCTTTGGACTCGATGAGCGAGACGTAGGTGACGTACTGCTCGCCAATGGGGACCGTGTGCACCCGGACCGGAAACTCGAGGCCGTTTTTGGCGCTAACGGGCACGACGATGTTCCGCCCGCTCTTGATCAGATCGCTTAATTGCGCCTGTCGTGCTTTCTCTTCGTGGGTGGGTGGGCAGATCAGTGAGACAAAGTTTTGCCCGACAGCCTCTTCTTTGCTGTATTTGAAGATGCATGTTGCGCCGGCGGACCAGTAGTGGATGGTGCCGAGGGCATCGTAGACTACGATGCCTTGCGGGGAGGATTCCACCAGGGCGGCAAATGTGACGCCTGGTGCGACTTCCGCTGGACTTTCGAGCATGTTCGCAGGTGTCTTCGTTGAAGCAGTCACCATACTGCTGAAAGATGAAGTTCTCCCCGGTTCATATATCTGGGAGTGAGCAAAAGGAAAGCGCCGGATAGCTTCCCGAAGGCGCAGTGCTAAGGGATTGATTGATGATAGTCCGGCTTCCTCGGAAACGCTTCTATGGCCTGGTTCAAAGTTCAAAGGTAAGAGATACTCTCTTGCACTGTTGAGTTTCTGGGGGCGAAGAGGTCGACGGGCACGGCAATGGTAATGGCGGTTACTGTTTAACCGGACGCAATGGGGGTGTCGTTCGCCGTATCTTGAGAAGACAAATTCGGTAGGTCCCACTGGTGTTTCTTTTCACTCTCCTTCCTCGCTGTTTGTTGCGTCGAGTATGCGGTGAGTTTGAGTTTGAGAATTGCGAAGGGAAGCATCGTGGCTCTCTTCTGTGTATCTTTCGCTTCTCCGTCGTCTCTTCTTTGGTCGTCGCTGGGCTGCCGATACGACTCGATCGATCTACATATAAAGCAAGCAGCCTGCCTCCCGCAAGGCCAGGCCTGGCCCCTGTTGCATGTCCGATCCGTCTACTTTTGTCACCCAGCAGTCCTCACACCTTGCGGTAGACCATGTCCATCCCATGGACGCGCTCGAACGAGATTGTCGTAAGACTCGTAGCGCGTGGCGCGTATATGACAGCGTCCATTGAATCGAGTCTAGACCGGAGTCTCCGGACGCCGGCACAGAAGCCTCCCACGCACCCGGAACTGGGTATCTGTCGATCTTCTTGATGCTCCTATGAATCGGCTTTGAAGCAAGTGTCCCGATCGTGCCGGAAGTCCCGGAGACATGTCTCGACCTGACGACTGACGCCAAAGCCTCAATCCGATGTGGATGTCAATATCAGATTCGTCGCCTGGCAGACTCTGATGACCACCGCAACGCTCGCAAGCCGTTCAACACGCCGGGTGTGACTCTGGGAGAGTATCATTGTTGACTCGTTGTCGGGCGGACTTTTGATATTATGCCCCGGCACAACTGTACAGCGTCCTGGCATATTCCCCGTCTTACATAGCGTCGCGGCCCACACGAAATGTACGGGACGAAATAAGCAAAACCTCTGCAGGGCGAAACATCCGTAGCATCTGGATAAGCTTAGGAAGCGTATTCAAAATCTCATATCCTGCTTATAAGGCGAAAGAAGAAGGAGGTAGAGAGCATAACCCGATGACGGTCGCCGGCACCGCAGCTGGACTGTCTCTCTCGCCCGGGCCTTCTGACATAGCTGCGCTCCCCTTGACCGAATCTCTTTACTCACCGCATCAATCAGAATGGATAATCGAGGCGTTATCATTCTCTAACTATCCCAGCACACCTCCATAAAACCTCGTTCGTAACATCATTTTCTCGACGCGCATCACGTAAGCGCAACGCGTGTTCCTCGTTTTTCTCGCCTTGCGTGTAAATTCTCGGCTCGAGTTCCCAGCAAACGAAGAGGTCTAGCAGGAAGGCCATCACAAGTAGGATTTACTGGCGCTATCCCCGGAAAGGCCAGATTGCAGCCCTGGCCATCCGCCACATCAACGCCAAGCGCCATAACCAGTGAGTTCAAGCACGAACTACAGAATGCGATTTTCGGTGACGATGGACCTTTTGTGACAATTGCCATGACAGCAGGCCTGCAGGAAAACCAAAGTGGTTACACAGTCGGGTAAAGAGCTTAGATGTCGGGCTCGCTCCCGCGGAAGCAAGGTACAGTAGCTTCAGATTCTGAAGTCTGCGTTTTTACGGATATCAATTGCGCACTGCTTAGCGTGGATGCTGCGTTTTCATTCGTACGTGTGCATGCATGGGCCAGCGCGAAGCGGCACGACTTTTCAGAACCGGCCACTTTCAGCACGACACGGCACTGGGGGGGCGGGGGGGGGGGGGGCGGGCAGGGGGGGGGGGGGGGGGATTGATGGAATCATTCGTACTCGGTTTTCTCCACGCTTTTTTTTTCCTTTTTCCGGATCTCGAGCTTTCCAAGCGAGGAGGTTTTTTTATGTTTTCCCCAAAGCCCCAAAGCCTCCCACGGCTCTGCTGCATGATCCATGCGTGGGTAAGCCTTATCTTGATCGCAGATTCCGGACGTTCGATCGTCTCCGCCGCCGTATACCATTACCCCACATTCAAGCCGCATGCCTGTCCCATCCTGTGTTTTCGTTTTCGGGAAGCGTACCTTGTCGAGTATTCGATGAAGAGTGGTTCCGCCACTTTTCGCGAACCTGCATGTGCAGGACTGGGCTTGCATGGGCGTCTCGGGCACTTTGCTGTTCATGCGAGGGTGCTTGACTCGCCTACGAAAGGTCACCTCGAACTTTTGGGCCCTTCCGTGGCATTGTATCTACCCCACAACCTACCCCACGCTCCGGCCGCATGGCTATTTACAGTCAAGGGGCATAAAGCTGTCTCTCCGTCTAATTGAATTCAATGACCGTTTCACATGGCAGAGAGGCGCGTCGGGGGGACACTGACTTAAACTCGCCTGACTGTACATTTGATTCTCAACCATCGAAAAAACGAAAGTTGGCTCCCCAAGCCACTGGTCTCTCAGCTTTTTTTATCCCATTTGCCGAACGTTCGTCGTTTTTGAACGGAGGGTGCCACCCCGGGTTTGCGGGCTTCCCAACGTGGCTTGCAGCAAGGCTTGGTTGGCCTCGACCGGTGCGGAGAGTGTAAAAATTGTCGATGGGCGATGTAAACTGTCCATGTGCTCCGACGAGTATGCATAGCTCGTGCAGAATCTCACCCCCGGCCACGATCGATGCGGGTCCGGTGACTCCGGTCCGCGAGCAAAATTGCTCGTCAAAAAAATCTTGGGGGTGAGTCGCGAACAAGCATAAGCACCACTTGGACCGCAAGGAGCTTCTCAGCCGGACCGTGGCTTTCGGGATCTAGTGACCTAGTCCATGACGTGGACCACGATTATGGAAGGTCGAAAAACCGTGAAGCGATGAACAGCTTTCAGATTAACGCTGAGTCGCTGACCGAAAGAAAAGAAAAGCAGCTGGCTATACCGTTTGGTATGGCTGTCGACTTTTTTCACGTTCTGGACCCGATGTGAAACGGGGCTGGGACATGCTGCTTTTTTGACACGCTACGAGGAGCTGAGAGGTTCTCGTCCGCTCACCGCGGGGTCTAGCGACCGACGAACAGCTGGCCGAAAGAAAACCGAACTTTTCAAAAAGCAGATTAAGCTTCCCGATTGTCCGCCTCAGCATTGTTTTCCTTTCCAGAGAAAAAGACCCGAGCACCGGGGACGCGAATTGACCGCGCGCCACCCTTTGCCGCTTTTTTGACAGCGTGGGCATCCTTTCCTTTCCTTTCCTTCGTTCCCTTGACAGACAAGGCAGAAACGCATGCGGTTTTTTGCATCCCCAAACTCCCCCAAAAAAAAAGACGGGAACTTGAAAACAGAATAGTAAGCGGAACATATAACATTATTATATATGGCTGTCATACCTGAGATTGATGAGAATTGATGGTTACCCCACACATACGCCCCGATACCCCACGCGACACTCCCAAATTCTCAAGCTGGGACCAAACTACTCGTAAGGGGAACTGCCGAAAGGGGAAAATGGCAGGCCTGGGCTTGGCTGGGCTCTGTCTCCCTGTTTTGCATGCCCGCATGGGCAGACGTACCGGTGAATCGTTGCCTTTCTGACGTTCATGTTCATGTTCTTGCTCTATGCTGCCTGGCGGCCATGCATTTACGTTCAGCTCCCCGGCACATCATCGTCATCGCTACGGCAGCGCACACGCCACCCCGCGGCTACTTCTAACACAAAAAAAAGCTGCTGTCCCATAATCGTTTCGTTTTCCCGCTCGAGCCTCTATCTTCTCCGTTGGCTCAGCTTGACAGACTTTTCGCTCGACGCAGAAATGCCTTTCCTCGCGGATTTGCTGGCGAATGCTCAGCTTTTTCGCTCATCAGCTCGGAGCATCGGACATCACATCGGCCACGCACGCCTCCCCGCGGCCGAGCAAGCTTAAACGCAAAAATTGCCTTCTCCTTGTTATGCCTCCCCTTCACTGCCTCACAGTCCTGCAATATTCCGATATACTTTCAATACCGGTTTTCTCTCTTTTCCTCTTTCAGCGGGGCAAGGCCGGGCCTAGCCCGCGTCACTTGACACGCAGAATTGCCTTCTCATACTGCCTCGTCTGCCTACACGCCATGCTGCTATTTCCTAGACCTGACCATATCGAACATGCCAGTCCCCGTCTGCTCTCTCCTTGATTTTCCTCGTCCGCGGTTGTCCGCGCTGCACGATTTTTTTCTTCTTCGTCTCCCAGTTTGCCTTCTTTGTATGCCCGCGTGCTCTGCTGAAGGCCCTTTCTTTTTTCTTATTCTCTGAAATGAAGTTTCGTTATTTTTGCTCGCATTTCCCCACATCGGCGATGCTATGGTTTGCGTCCTTGCGACTTTTGTTTTGCAGTCGTGCGGGGAGATGCTTGCTCGTACGGGTGTGGGGAACATGTCCCCGCTCACATGAGTCGTCGAGAAGGGCCCTCCCGGAAAACGCATAAATAGCGAGGGTGTCCACCGCCCCTTCCCAAATTCCTCACCACCTCCACAGCTCCATCCTCCTCATCCTCTCCTCATCCAAGGAAACCCTCCCACAAGATGCAGATCATCAAAGCCGCCATCGCCATCCTGGCCGTTGCCCCCGCCGTCCTGGCTCAAAGCTCCACCTCCACCAAGACCCCCGTCGCCACGCCGACCGTCGCCCCCACCACGGGTGTCAAGACCAAAACCTTCTCCGGCCAGGGCACCTGCACGAACCCGTTGATCCGCAAAGAGTTCCGCGAACTGAACCCTACTGAACGCCAATCCTTCATCGACGCCGTCAAATGCCTCCGTGACCCCAAACGCTCCCCGTCGGTGATCAAGACCAACAAGTCGCCCACCATGTACGACGACCTTGTCTTCCTGCACGGGCAGTTCGCGGACGTCACGCACCGCAGCGCGCAGTTCCTCCCGTGGCATCGCCAGATGCTGGCGTTGATGGAGTACTGGTTGCGCGCGCAGTGCGGGTACCAGGGGGCGTTGCCGTACTGGGACTGGACGATCGATTCGCAGGCTCCCGAGAGGTCCGAGTTGTTTTCCGCGCAGTGGTTCGGCGGGAACGGGAAGCAGGCGTCGAACTGGTGTGTTACGGATGGACAGTTTGCGGACACGTTGACTACTTTCGTGGTTGAGAGTGGGAAGCACTGTATTCACCGGAAATGGTCCGGCGGCTCGAGCTTTGGGAAACAGTTCCCGTCGCTTGCTTCTGCGCCGTTTGTGCAGAATCTGTTGGATACGTCCAAGGATTCTTACAACACTTTCCGTGAGAACCTCGAGTTCGGCCCGCACAACCGCGTGCACGCCACCATGGGTGGCGACATGGGGTACACCAACATCAGCCCCAACGATGTGCTCTTTTTCCTCCACCACAACAATGTCGACAGGACCTGGGCGAGGTGGCAGACGGCCAACCCGACCCTCGCCGCCACCTACAACGGCCCGTCGAACCCGGCGTCGGAGGCGATGGATGCGAAAGCGACCGATATGATGCCGTTCGGTGGCCTGTACCCCGACATCCCCGTCAACAAGGTGTTTTCGACCACGTCCGGAGATATCCTTTGCTACAAGTTCTCCAACTCCGTCGCGCCCAACTCGGTTGCTTTCAACAACAAGGCCGCTCTGTCTGCACGTAACGCCCGCCGCGCCGCCCCCGCCAACGTCACCGCCACCCTTGCGGCTGCCCAGGCGATCACACCCAACCCCTCCGACCGTGACGACAAGCTCCGTCTCCGCTCCACGGTCCCGCTCACTGACGCGTGGTTGCAGCAGATGAAGTTTACGCCCAAGCAGGTCGCCAAGATCCGCGCCGACGAGGAGTACGCTGAGAAATTCGTCGCGGCTGTTAACGCTGCCGGATACGTCTCCCAGAACGCGTTGACTTTCACCGAGGCGGCGGATGATGTCCGCCCCAGGACCGCGGAGGAGTCGGCCCTGCACGCTCGCTTGTTGAGCATCCTTGCGAGGAACGTGAATGCGTTCATCAAGGGGGACAAATCGACCCCGGCTGTGACTGATGCGAGCTTTGTTGCGCTTAACAAGCTTTGGACCAAGGCTTAGAGTTTGTAGACCTCCACGCTAGATTGGTCGCCTTTTACCTCTTACCGCACATTAGATTTAGACGGCATGATTTTGGTCTTCCCCATCCCGCTATAGTAATTTATTCCGTTCCACATAGTTCTTAGAACATCCTAGATTTCAAATACATATATGAGCAATAGAATCCATCTCGCTTATGCATAACTCAAATGATTCTTCACAACGCACCTGGGATAACTATCGTTTGATTTCCCCCTCACATTTGCGACAAAAAGCAGTTTGGAACTGTCACCCGTTTCGCTGCTGCTCCGTATGAAGTTTGGTATCCGTTTCGTGTCGACGGCTCCTCTGCGTTGAAGACAGACAGCACGGAGGACACCTACGCCAAGCTCCGAGAAGAAGATGATTCCGTTGTGAAGTCTCGTCTCGGCCGTTCTTCTCGCCAGCAGTCCCCCGCCGTTGTTTGCTTGCCGTCGAAGACTCGAAATGCCCGAGTCCAGTTGTTGTTATTGTCGCGTGAAAGCATGCCGAGGTATTGAAGGGCTTTGGAGCCGGTGTAGATCATGGCCGCGAGGGAGAAGGAGACGATGAACCCTGTGGGGAATGGGAGATGGATGAGTGAAGTGAAGCGACCATAGACGGTGATAATTGGCCGATGGAAACGAGTGTGAGCGATAGCGAGCCATCAACCATCCACCATCCACCATGCACCATCAACCGTCAACGAGATGATTATAACTCCCGCAGCGAGGTTACCCAGATCGCTCCCTTCGGTCGCAGCTCGCTATCGCTCGGGCCCCCGTCCTGAAACCAGAAGGCGTTCGCTCTGGTCGACCTATCGGTCTGCCAGACCGAACCAACCCTGCACCTCGCTTCGCCCGTTGCAGACAGGCCACCATCGCTCGCTGTCGCTCACTTTCTCCTCCCTCCCACTTAAACGTACTGTACATTTCTGCGCATCACTCTTTCTGAAAGCGCGTCTCGTCACCAATCCAAACGCCGTACACGCCTCCAAATCAACAACACAGACAAGTGACTGAACATCCAGTAGTAAGAAATTGAGTTTGAACTGATAACTCGACAACACAAGTTTGAGTGCAACCGTCATGAGAATCGAGGAGAGACAGTAGGAGGGTATTGCTGCGAGGGCGGGGTTGGCGACGCGCCCATGGCTGGGGTGGTTGGGTGGCTCGGTGGGCGGGGAGGAAGGGTGTCGGGGAGCGATCTGGTGTGGTGGTGGTGAGGGCCCCTGCTTGGCTGTAGAGATAAGAGATGACTATCGGGCAAAGTGTTCGCCCTGGGCCCCGGTCGTGCGTCAGGGAAACCGGAAAGCTGCCTACTTACTGTGGAGAGCCTGGGTTCCAAGTGGGACTGGGAGTGAGTGGGACGGAGACGATCACTTTGGGGCTGGGTGTAAAATGCTGGAACCTTTGCCAGCCGGGTTTTCGCCATAGGAGTTCCGACAGAGATGCTGCACGCGTTGGAAGCCTGCAAGCAAGCGGGACGGGGCATAAGACAAGCTCGCTCCTTCAATTGGAGACTGCTCACGTGACTGTGCATGGCATGATCGGCGGGCCCAATAAAACGGATGCGCGAGGGGGGCGACACGAACAGACGAACACAACGAGCGAAAATCCCATTTCCAAAAACGCTGCCAACTGAGGACGCTTGAAAGATAGACGGACATTCCAGAGCAATTCAGGCAAACACAACTCGCTCCCACACAACCCACCCCGCCAAAGCATAACCATGAGCAAGGCGGAAAAGAGGCCCGTTGAGGAAGGTTAGTAGTCTCCTGAGAAAGTCAGCGAACCAGTCGCTTTTCCTTTCGCTGCTGGCGTCGTACTGTGGCGCCTGCCCATTTATCCAGAGCCATGGCCATTGGAGCGACCACAAACAACGAGTCCCTTACTAAATGAATGGTGTGTGTTTCTCATATCAACGCAGACGTCGACTCTTCAGACGACGAAGCCCAAGCACCCCCGACCACCACCGGCAAGAAGTCCTCCCAAAAAGGGGACGAATTCCAACGCAACAAACCCCTCGTCCTCCTCAGCGAAGAGCAGCGCGAGCAGCTAGCACGGGAAGAGGAAGAGGCCGCGCAAGTAGATGCGGACGGGAACCCGATAAAAAAGACAAAGAAGGCTAAGAAAGCCGCGGCGGCGGCCAAAGCGGCGGCGTCGGTGAAGACAAAAACGGGCGCTGTGTATTTGGGACGCATTCCCCATGGGTTCTATGAGGACGAGATGAGGGGATATTTTACCCAGTTTGGGGATGTTACGAGGTTGAGGCTTTCCAGGAATAAGAAGGTGGGTTTTTTGGCCAGAGGGATAGCGGGTGCAGGTGGAGCGATAGCAAGGGCGGGGCGGAGGGCGCCGTAGGCGCAATTGTAGCGAGCGAAAGCGAGGAGTAAATGTGAGCGACAGCGAGCGGTCGTTTTTGCTGGTCGCCCAACATACTTGTCGCGAGCGGTAGCGAGCAGGGGTATCGTTCACCCCACCCACTGTCGCCTATCCAATCCTCCGCTTCGCTTCATCCGTTCACATGCGTCCAACGTCAGGGATCGATTATTCACCCCTGTCTCCTCTCTCCCCCGCAGACCGGCGCATCCAAACACTTCGCCTTCATCGAATTCGCATCGGAGGACGCCGCCAAGATCGCCGCCGAAACGATGGACGGATACCTGCTCTTCAACTGCATATTACAATGTACGTTACGAAAACAAAATCACACCATCGGTCGGGGCTGACGTGTGGTACTTTTGGCATATCTTAACACAGGCAAATTCGTACCCTCCGACAAACTCCACCCGGACATCTGGAAAGGCGCGAACAAGAAGTACAAGCCGATTCCGCGGGTCAAGATCCAGCGGGAGCTGCACAACAAGGTGCGTCAAAAAAAAACCACTTATCCTGTTCCATCATCCCTATACTAAACCCCCATCTTGAATCTGCCAGCCAAAAACAGCAGAATCCTACAGAACAACCGTCAAACGCTACCACGACCGGCAAGACGCCAAACGCGCGCGGATGGCGGAGGCCGGGATCGAGTACGCGTTCCCGGAGGTGTCGGAGCCCATCGGGGTTGCTGACCCGGTCGGCGGGGACGAGAAGAACGCCGCTGCTTGAACGTCTGCGTATCATCCCATCCAGCGTCGTTAGCGTCGGAGGGATATGTGCGGGTCTCTCCGTCGTATGGATACATTCACACACACACACACCACATTCACTCATCAGACCACCGCGGTCTGGCAAACGCAGCACTCCCGTAGTGATTTCCGTACAATTCCCCTTTTGTTTTGTGTCGCCTGTAAATTAAAGATCATCCGTTTTGTATTTGCATCCTCAGCTGTTTCGCTGCCTACGTTTTACGTTTGGAATGGATGATCAGGGGGGCGGGGGGCCGGGCATACGTTTTGAAAGCCGGTCACGAGGTCCCATTCCACCCCCAAAGAGGTCACCCACCCACCCATTTCTCACCCGCCACCAAATGAAGGGACATAACCCGACTCTCAATCTATGCAAAACAAAAAAACAGCAAGACAAAAAAAATATATAATCGTTGGAGGCATGCTTTGAAAAAGTGTGGGTGGTGGGGGGGGCTACGGAAACGAATGAACTAAAACGACGTGGGTGGGTTGTGGGGTGGGGGTGATGCAGCAAGAATTCTCCTATGCAGACTAGCAGCGGGGGGCGGGTGTCAAAACTGTGGGGGGGGGGGGGGGGGGGGGGATCAAATGAATGGGGTGTGTATCGGGTGAGTCGGTATCCGAAGGACGGGTTTGAATGCAGATGGGGGGGGGATGCATCTCGAGATTCCGCTCATCACGTCCGCGTGTAGAACAGCAGATAGGCGTCCCGACCCTCTTTGCGGCCGACGACCTCGCGTTCCGGCACGCTCCCGACCGCCGCATCGTCGACCCGCAGCCACTCCCCGCCGGCCTGGCGCGAGACGTCGCACGTGTAGTGGCCTCCCGCGGCGTGGGCGCCGTGGTGGTAGACGACGGCGGTGAGTCGGTACTCGATGTGTTTTGCAGTTGGCCGCAGGGGGGCGGGCATGAGTTCTATGATCGTGAGAAAAGGGGTTAGGGGTGGATGACGGCAGAGGCGTGTGGGTTTGTCTTACCAGTTGGTATCCTGAGAACAGAATCGTACCCCACGAACTTCCCCAGCTTCCCAACCCCCTTATCAGCATCATATACAAAACGCTTCAAGTGCAGAATCAACACGGGGGGTAGGACTTCCAAGAAATTCTGCTTCGTTGCTGTCCCAAGCCGGTTTGATTTCGTGGGGGATGTGAAGCCCTCCAGGGTCTCCAGGGCATGGAGGTGTTGTAATGCGTCCGATATTGTATGGACATGATTGGGCTGGAGGGTATTCATATGGGGTTGAGATGCTTATGGACGATGAATGGAAAGGGGAGGGGGAGATGTTCACGTACCGCAATGTCCAGCTGAAGCGCCTGGAATGGTTCGGTAGTCACGCTGTCCTTCCGCCCAGGACACTTTACTACGGATCGTAGGCGGCCCCCAAAGATCGCATTCACTGGACTTGTCTCCACACGCACCTAATCATCAACCCACAACCCATATCAGCAAAATCGCAATGGTGATCAATCCTGCTGAATTTTGTGTCGTTTTGTGACTTACGTTCCGCGTGACGAGATTTTTTCCCGTCTTCCCTACCTCCACCCAACTCCCGTCCGAGTCGGGGCTCTTCGCCTCCGCACTCCCCTCTTCCTTTTGGAGCGACACCAGCTCCTCATGTAAGCCGTCTATAATGAATCCCAGAAATTCCTCAGCATCTTCTTGACGCCCCTACATTCGGCACCATGAACGTGAGCTATCCGGAATGATGATTGATGAAGGGGGGGGGGGGGGGGGGGGGGGGGGGGGAAGGATGACTAACCTTCTGCTGGGCGTCGATTTTCCTGAGTTTCCTGACCGCGGTATACACGTACTCGGGCGCAAAGGCCGTCGGGTCGTCGCCTTCGGTGAGCTGGAGTTTGGATCCGGGGGTGTCCTCGTGGAATTCAGCCCAGAATCTCAGCCTAGATGAGGGGATGAAAATCGACCACTGTGAGTCGCCCTTGTAGAAAGTTGTGAAGATGATGACGAGTGTCACGACACGTACATGGCATCCAGCAACGGTGCAGAGGTGATCATCTTGGGCGTAGTTTCCAGCAACAGCTTTCGGAACGCATTGTAGAATGGTGCGGTGTGTAACAGAGGCTGGAGAATCGCGTTGATAAAACACAGGTTTCCACGGTTGATGAGTCCCCTGGGATGCACAAGGTGCGTCTGGTATGATACACCTATGTCTGCGATGATGGCTAGAGAATGACAAGAAAGGACGGTCAGCATACGACGATCATTATGCGGAGAGCAAGGCGTATCAAGCTGCATGTGTGACGACTCACCACCAATGCTCTTCTTGGGTAACGCCGCCTTCATCGGTGCGACCTTTGTCACGCGCCCATTTGCAATCGGCGTCGCAGCCGCACTCGCTGGGGTTTTGATAAGGTCAGCCCATCGCTTCGGAGCAGTCGGCGCGGGGCTCTTAAGTTCTGGCTCCGAACCACTGCTTGAAGACTTCGTTGGACTTGACGGCACGGGTGAAATGATAGTAGCTGGTGGTGGTGCAGGAGTGGTAGTGGTATCGACAAACAGTTTTTTCGGTGATGGGGAGCGTGCGGGGGGCGTTTGTGATTGGGATGGCTTGACGTCTGGTGGTGGTGTCTGGGGTTCGAGATCGTGGGTATGTACTCCGTTGACGCCATTGGGGATGGGCGTCTCTGAACTCTTTGCGGTTGAGGTAGGCTCAGCTGCCGTCGCGGCGACTTTCGCCTCAGTTTGTATGGGGCTGGTGTGCTGAGATTTGCGCTTATGTTTCCGACGGGTGGGAGACCCATTTGTGTGTGCTTTGAGTGGACTCTTGGGTTGGGGTTCCGAACGAGCCGACGGACTCTTGGGAGGTGCTGGTACCGCGGTGGCTTCAGTCTTTGGCGTTTTCATATGGGAAGAAGACCGAGAGGGTTGCTCTGCGGGTACGGTAGCCTCTCCACGTTCGACCTTGGGAATGCTCTCCTCCAGTGAGGGTGGTTCGCTCTCTGCGGGGGCGGGTGCCAGACCGCCGCCGTCATTGCTGGGCGTAGCGACGGTTTCCACACCGGCGTTGTCGGTCTCCGGCTTGTCTTTTTCCCGTACAGCGACGGCTTCAGCGTGTTCTTCATTGCCGGCCGCACGGCTTCCCGAGAGTCGACGTAAGCTTGCAAATAGGTGGTACTCAGGGAGGGGCGGCGGGCTGATGGGTCCGGATCCCCCAATGAACACCGGTGTCTCGAACGTGGGCGTCGACGCAAGGACCTCCGCGCTGCAGTTCACCGAAATACTGCCGAAAAGCATGCTGGTCGTCACTTTCGGCACCGGAGACTGCCAGTACGTCTGAGAAGGGGATTGATAGATCATCACAATCAGACATTGATCTGACGATGGACCTCCGCCTAACGATATCCCTAAACTCCCCCGCCAGGTTCCGCCCTCCTGCAACTCACCTGGTACGGCACAAGGCCGGAAACATCGATCAACTTCTCCATCTCCTCCACCTCGAAATCCCCGAACGACACCTGTCTGAATAGCGCCACGAGCTCCGCGGAGCCGCCAACGTCCTGCACCTTTTGGTAGAAACCTCCCTTTAGTAAGCCGCCCACCTCCTCCAGGAGAACGTCGATAACTGAAAACCCACCAGTTCCTCCTCCACGGTCATTGCGGTGATTTCACGCCCCATGACAGGCGGCTGTTGGTTGGTAAAGAGTAGGGTGGTGTAGCGTGTGGTATCGTATCGTTAGCATCCTCCTCACATGCGGCCTTGAGCGAGGCCGACACCCATCGGCTATTTGTAGGGGCGGGCGGGGCGTGCGGGGCTGAGGGGGGAGGGGGGCGCTGGCGAGTGGGGGGGGGGGGGGCGCTCTCTGTTCTTGCTAGAACCGTGCTGAGAGGTTGTTTACGGCTGCAGAGGGAGAATTAATGAGGATGCCGTCGATTGGTGGGTGGGAGGGTGAGTTGCAAAACAAGCGTAAAGGGATTTGGAGTCGACTTGCAGAGAGCGAGCGACACACGAGCGACCGTGGGTGTGGGCCCCTGCATGATTGTGCGCGATCCTAATCATCGCCCTAATCTGTCTGCGCGAAACAGGCGCTTACTCCCGCTAAGCTTCACGCAGTCAATCGATGGAAATTCCCCTCCTCGCTAAACAGAATGGAATCGTCTAAACAAAACGAACGCCTCCCCCGGTCGGAGCTCATCATTGTTTTTTGCAAGGTTCTGGCTTCATAATCAGTGGTAAAAAGCGACAGCAGAAGCCATTTCCACTGTGCGTTGCCGTCGTTGTCAGAATACAAGGGGGCAGTTTTGCACACCGCATAAACGAGCGCTCATTCCCATGATGGCTTCAAAAAGAGCCCAAACATGCATACGGTAAAAAACTCCACTCGTTCTCACAGGAAAAAAGGGCAGGTTGCGCCCGCATTTGCATTTCCATTCCCCTCCCACTCCCCGACGAACCACGGGTTCCACACGCCCCGAAAGGGCCCCCATTCCCAGGGTCGCCTTTTAACCTTAACCCTCCCACCGAACCCTGGTGTCTCGCGCCCGGACAGCAAAAAAAAACTGTCAATGGCCGTCCGTCAGCCCTAACAATACAGATGAAACCCATGGGTTTGTGTTTTTTGGGGCGCAGTTGGCCCGTGCGTGATGTCCCTTCTTCTTCCTCACTGCAAGTGTCTTCCTTTGATGGCCATCTCCCCTCCGTATTGCAGTTCGTTCATCCCTTCCTTTCCTGTCCCTGGAAGGTGTCTCCGTCTCTAATCTTCATCTCCCCCCCCCCCCCCCCCGTATCGCATTTCCGTTCCTCAGCCCTCTGTTTACGCCGTCACATGGACGGAGACGGGGCAGGGGATGGGATGCTGTCATTTGCGTCCGCATTGCATCATTTGCTGAGGGGATGCTTCTCGGTTCGGGTAAGATGCGTTGCGTTCGTTCGCCAATGGGGGTGCGGGTGTCGTCCCTGCCGAAAAACACGACGCCTCCCCCCCCCCCCCCCCAGGACCAAAAACGGCCCATCGCAAAGCGTCCACTCGAATCACAAGACCGCCAAGTGCGTATATTAAAGGTCCCGTCCGCGAATCTACATATATAAAACGGAAAAGAGGTCCAAGGGGGAAATGTACGGTGTTTTTGGTTTCATAGAATCCGTCCAACTTGTCTGTTCGTGCGGGCGTTGAGGGAGGGGATGTCGTACATGTACAAGGTGGATTTTGTCGGGTTACGTAAATATGTCCTGGTGTCTACGAATCTAACTTGGTGGGATATGGAGGTGGTGGTGGGTGAGGGCGGTGGGGTGGGGTTATGGTCGTCTGTGGTGGTTTCGAAGCGAGTTGGTGAATGAACGCCAGCAGAGAGAGAGAGAGAGAGAGAGCAGAACGATGACGAGGCGAGAACAACCAAAACGCACCTCCGATACGCAACATCCTCCAACGCATTATACTCCTCACTCGACTTGACCTTTGTCACATCCACATAGCTCTTACTCTTCCCCTTCCCAAACCACGTCGTCGGTCGTTTCACCCTCACATCCATCGTCGTCTGCGATCGAGCCATCACGGGGGGTGGTGGTGGCACGTACGCCGGCTCAGGGTACGGCTCGACGTCTGTGTACTGCGGTTTCTGGTGGTGCGGCGGGTTGGTATAACTGCTGCTCCGCGGGCGTGTCGTGCGTGAACTTGCATCGTACGATTTCCGGTTAGGGATGATGGGCTGCTGCGTCGTCCGCACCGCCACATCCGCTGCGACCTCATACAACCACCTGTCATCCTCCGGCGACGGTAACTGCACCGGTTCCGCCCTCATCACCCCGCCTTGCACAATCACAGCATCATCATCCCAACTCAGATCAATCAGGATCCCCTCGGGCGTGCCCGTGCCCCTCCGTCCCCCCATCGGACTGTCTTTCGGCGGCGTTGGCGGGGGTTTCTGCTCCGCGTACGCATACCCGCCGACCTCGACACAGCTCAGGCTATAGGGCGGGGCGGCATAAAAGTCCCTTGCGGCGCGTTGATGGGCTTCGTAGGATTCCATTGTGGACATGGAGGCGTTTTTGGAGGCTTCTTTGTTTTTGGCGGAGGCGAGTTTGAAGGCGGATTTGTTGGAGGAGGAGGCGGTGGTGGAGTGGGAGGGGTAGGTTGTTGAGGAGTAGGTGTCGTGTTTCTGGGGCGCAGGGGAGGAGTCTTTGCGGCGTTTGACGTATTTTGAGATGCGGCGGAGGTCTTGGTGGCGGTGGAAGAAGTCGAGGATGGACATGGTGGGGGGAGGTGTTGTGAGGCTGGGGGGGGAGGTGGGGAGTGGGGTGGGTTAGCCCTCTGTTGCCGATAATCGTATTAGAGGGGGGGGGTGGTTACCTTTCCGACTCTCTGTCAGCTAGGGGGTGGGGGTGTGGTTAGCGCAATGGGGTCTGAAGCGCAAGTTGGGGCGACGTTGGAAGCAAAAAACGCCCCAGCGGTCAATCATCAATGCTGGTCAATCGTCTGCGGCGGCGCGCTATATGGCCCCAACTCTCAGAGAAGTCGCAGCAACTTCCATCGGTTCCCATTGGCCGCGCTTCTCTTCAAGTACCCCCCTCCCCCGCAGCGTTTCACATTTCAAAAAGAGAAGCGCGTTCGAGGAGGTGGCTCTTAAACACAACCTCCCACGTCTTGTCTGCGGAACACAACTACGAGCGATCACGCAACACCGTCCAAGAAAAAAGGAGACTACTCCCAGAAAGTAACCATCCGCCTACCCGCTCATCCACCCGCCTCTGACCCGCCTTGTCATCGCTCTCGCTCTTTTTCACAGCGTCCAACAGCGCTCTTACACACGGGTGAGCATGCTGATCGCCACACTCCTGCTTTCCGATCCTGGCTTCGCGGCGTGAGTTGTCTCGCAGGAGAACGAGACCGCAGAGCCAGGGACTGAAGGATGGAACGGAATGTCGACACAAAGCGTGACCCTGTGGTCGACATTCCTTTCTGGGCCCCGCCTCGCTCTCCTCACCACGTTTGCCTCCCCTGCGTCGAAACTTCCCATATGCACCGCCATCCCCCGCCAGACCCCTCACTCGCCGTCCACACAGCGCTACACACCTTCCCCATGTTGTCAATCCTCCCCAAATTGATCGACCGATCAAAGACGCTCATTTCCTCCGTCGGGCCATCCCGTACCCCCGAAGTCAATCCGTGCGGTGCATAGAAAGGGGTGTCTGCAATGGATAAACGTTTCGATCTCTCCATGCGTGGGATCTCGTTTCTGGCCCACGGGATTCTGCCAATTCAGCGCGGGGGCAGTGCAGTGCAGGATTGTGAAAGTTTGAGATGGGGGCGAGGAAGACATGCCTGGATTCGGGATCAAAAAACATTCCTGCTCAGCCTTTCTCCTTCCCTTGGCAGGAACGCGGGCCCGGGCATCCCAAGCATCCGGCACCACCCTCGTCTTATGATACTTCCTTATGTTGTTCGTGCTACGACGATCGCATCGAAGCGATACTCATCCATGGGTCCTTCAAGGGGCGAAGAAGGGGTAGAAGGATCCTGATGGCGTTTTATTGGACACCTGGAGGTTCTGTGAGGCGAGAATCGGGTCCGTTGCGGGGGTCCTGAAGGAAGTGGATCGCATCTTGTTTCCGGGAGTGTGTGCGATTGCGTCTCTGTTCTCTGAGATTTGCTTGGCCCCCCGTCCGTGAACCTCGGCTGTGACAAGAAAGTCTTACACGATTTGCAGCGACGTCGCTGAACATCGCAACCGGGCCGGGTACGTCGTCATCTCCTTGTGCGAGGGTACAGTACATCTCACCTTCGCCTAGTTGGTGCGCAGAGGGACTCACTCGGGAGGTAAGGGAATTCCGCCTCCTTACATGATTTCCTAAACGCATAGGACATGTGGACATGTGGACTTTCAGGCGGGACATGCTTGAGAAAACAACATCGCCGGCGTACAGTACAGTACAGTACAGTACAGTAGAGTCCACTATTTTCGAACTGGGGCTCAGTGTGCTATTCCTGCACATCCCCCCATGAAGGCTCGGCCCTCCAAAGGGCTGGTTTTAGACAGCCGAACGACGATGTGCAGGAACGTGGTTTCCACATCTGTATGCAGCACTCTTTTCCCGATCTGCCCACCAATGGGACATCCCTGCCCTCGTTATATGTGACCTGTAAGGGGTTTTGGACAGGTTCACACGCGAAGGGCGGTAGCGGTGGGAAGCGAGAATAGCTTTGAGACTGAGGCCCGTAACTCGAAACCTGTTCGGCGTTGGGAGACCTTCATGGGAGGCCCTTCGGTCTCGACTCGTTGAAAAGTACAGTGTTTGCAGCCGGTTCACTATGGGAGGCAGACCAAAAGTGGAAGGGGTAAGGTTTTTGACCCGGTCAGGATTTCCAAACAAACAAACACAAGCGGGCGAAAGTGTCGAAACGGGAGAATAGTCGCCGAAACGAACGGTCGGTGTGTGCTCAAATTGGCTCACATTGCGTTCGGTTATGGCCACAAACATGGGACGGGGGCGCGGGGCGAGTGACCCGAAAGGGACCGCGAAAAGCGCTCACTCCGTGGGGGGGGGGGGGGGGGGCGCACCTGGAACCCGGACAGTGACTATTTTCTGAGTTGGGTGCCGCTGCTGGCGCGGTGTGAGGTTGCACAATGGGGGGGACTCTGGGAGAGAAAGAAAAGAGAGAGAGAGAGAGAGAGAGAGAAGAGGGGGAACTCGCGTATAAAAGGACGAGGGGTTTTTGCGTAGCGCTGTTTCTGCCCATTCGCTCACATCAACCACCCTTCACTTTCAACACCAACACCAACACCAACACCAACACCAACACCAACACGATCGTCAAGATGCACTTCTCCGCTTACACCCTCGCCGCCACTCTGGCCCTCGCCTCCACCGTCTCCGCCCACGCTACCGCCCAGCCGCCCGTTGGCATCCCCTCAAAGTCGATGGTTGTTGGCATCCGCATTCGTAAGTACACCCAAGCTGTCAAGATGATGATGCACCCCCCAGCTGTCATCACCCAAGGCTCTTATATCTAACACCTCTCCCTATTTGTTTAGCCCACGGCTGCAACCACAACGCCACGACGTCCCTGACCGTCAAGATCCCCGCCAACATCACGGGCCCCAAAGCGCAATACATCCCGGGGTGGAACGTCACGACCACGCTCCGACCGCTGGATCCGCCGGTCACCAGCGACGGCGTGACGGTCAACACGACGGTCGACACGATCACGTGGTCCGGCGGCGAGCTGCTCGACTCGCAGTACCTCGATTTCGGCGTCTCGGTGCGTCTGCCGCCCGGGAACGACGGCGACGTTGTGCCGTTTGAGGCCACGCAGTTCTGCAAGGATAATAACGAGACTAATTACTGGAACGGCACGCTCGCCCCCAAGGTCGTGCTCATGAAGAACGGGACGTTGTTGACCAGCAGTGATTTTAACTCCACCGGGGGGAGCGCTAATGGCGGGGCCGATGCCGCGGCGGGGACGACGGGAACCGCGAAGGATTCGAAGAGTGCCGCGTTGGTGTCCTTTGCGGGTTCCTTCGCGGGTGCCGCGGCGGCGGTGGGTGGTGCTATGCTCTTCTTCATGTAGTGCGGCTTACGACTCGTGATTCCCCTTCCACCCACTGGCGTGTATACATATATATCCCCGCCTCTCCCTTAGACTATTAGCTTGTTGGAGACCCCTTTTTCGTTGGAAGCCGCTCTTTTTTGTTCTTTCGAGCGTTTACTTTACAGCTTCATACTACTACCCAATAAATGTTGTTTGCAAGGCGAAGAAAACTTTGGTGAACTGGCTCTCAATTGGGGATCTCGTCCGATATGGGCACTTCATTATGAGAGTACAGTACGTAGTACTCGTCATCGACTCCTATTCTCGCTACGCCTGATCACCGCACTCTCACATTCATAACGCCAAAATCTCCGGATTCTCAAAAATTCTAAACCCTCCCTCCGCCTTCACCGGCACACCGGCCGGCACATCCCCTCTTGCGGCCCTGATCATCGCCTTCGCCACCGCTCCCACAGGGGTCGCGCTTCCCGTCACCCTCCCCAGCCAACCCCCCAACACGGGCCTCAACAGATTATCCGCCATTCTGCCCTCGCGATTCTGCTCGGTAACCAGGAACGCCGGGCGGAAGATGCTGCACTGGGCGAACTGGAGGTCTTTGAGGCCGCGCTCGATGGCGAGTTTGGTGCGCGGGTACAGGAACCACGCGGCCCTTTCGATCCCGCTGGAGGAGACGTAGAGGAAGTGGAGCGGGGTGGTTGGGTTGGCGGTTTTGAAGAGGGTTGCTGCGGCTGGGAGAAATGCGGGTGGGGGGGTAAGCGAGGTGGGGGATGTGAGTTCTGAGAACCCCCCATGCGCCCCCGACTTACTGAGGACGTATCCCTTATCGATCCGCTCAAACGCTTCGGCAGACCCGGCCTGGGCTTTCGTCGTGCCGAACGTGCAGAAGAACGTGCTGCCCACAACACTTCGTCAGTCTCCCCGCGTCCCAACACCCTCCCCAGAAACCCACCCAGCAACTATCAACATACGCATGCCCCCTGAACACCTCCTCATCCAGCTTCTCGAAATCCACAATCCTTTCCACGACCTTCTCCTTATTCGGGCCATCGTAGTTCGCCGAGCGCCGCACGAGGAGGGTCACTTTGTCGTACTTGTTCTGTTGCATGATCTCGCGGAGGAGGGTTTTGCCGACCGCGCCTGGTGAGGGGAGGGGAGGGTGAGTGTGAGGATGCGTTGTGATGGACAAGGGGGGGGGGGGGGGGGGGGGACGGCTACCTGTGGCGCCCATGATGAGGCAGGCTTGTTTGCTGTCGGTTGCCATTGTTGATTTCGGTTTCGGTGCTAATGGTTTGGTTTGGGGGGGGAACCAGGGGGGCAAACGAGGCTTTTATGGAAGGTCGAACTAACGCGAGACCATGACGACGGACGCCGCGGACGTTCCCGCTTCTCCGCCATCCCGCAGGAACCCCCACTCCGAACGCACCCAGCCTCGTGCCATCGCAAGCGGTCGGCCGCCAGTGCGTTGTCTCCACGCCACTACAGCATAATGTCCCTGCCGCATCGTATCCCACCCCGTCTTAACATACACCACAACGTCCATGTCCATCCCTACGTCGGGTTTTCCGCCAGCCGGGCGTGTCTTCCGCGTGTGTGATCACCCTGGTTCCTGCTCTCTATCTCCCCTCCATCTCTCTTCAATCCATCTCCGCATTCACTTCGCCTGCCCTTGCACTTCCGCCGCTAGTGATCGGGTCACATCATCTTCATTCCCCCGCCTACGCGACCATGGCCACACACTCTGGTTGCGTCACCATCTCCGTTTCTCATGTACAGTACAAGCCGATTGCCGCACCCACCGATTTCGTTGACAACGTATGCGGATGTGCAAGTTTGAAAAATGTCTGGACAAGCAGGTTGCGAACGCTTAGCCCTGGAGGGTGTAGACTACGTGTCGGAAGGAGCAAGGCGAGCAAGAAGCAAGGGGCAGAAGTTGGGAGGGCTGGAACAGTCATCAATAACTTTTGAGGAGGAGGACGCCGAGGAACCCTTTCTCCGATTCCTCGCCTTTCCTGATTCCAAGTACTGAAATCCCTATCCTCACCACATTGCAGGCCGCTTGGATAAAGTGCGCAGGAATGCTCCAGGCCAGAGTAATATTGGAGCGAACGTGGACCTTGGAAGCACGTTGTACCGCCTGCTATGGGGCTGGACTTTGCTATCAATACCTCAACAGAGGACAACAATTTACGTCGGGACATACATCATCCCCAACATCACCTGTTTTATACCTACCGCGGTCTCGAAGAGACGGCCCCACTACCAATTGCCGGCCAACACGAAGAGGGCCCGCCGAGATTGAAGGCGCCGACGAACACGATCGGCAGCGCGGGACAATGCACCCCGTTGGCTAATCGGGTAGCTAATGGGGTGCACTGTCTCACCGGGGACGAGGCTCGGTAGGCCTTATCTGCTCATGAGGGACACCCAGGTCTCGACGGAAACCCCCGACCCAGCAATCAGCGTTATGCGTCCCTGGATCCAGAGCGATTCCGTTAAACCACAGCAATGAACTGGGAGGCCATCTGGAACGGTCTCACGCAAGATCAGCGGGGGTGTGTGAATTCTCAGCGATAGCACAAGCTTCGCCTCCATGAAATGAGTCCACTGGTTGATAAGCTGCTATCACTGGAACGATCGTCAGGCAGGCAAGAGATAGAAGGATCTCCGTAAGATCTCTTCGGTGTGCTTACGTGCCTAGCACCGGTATTCCTGCCTTGAGCGAGGGGCGTAGTCATCCTGCATTTGCGTTTCCTTGTACTTCTCGCTGACACCTTTCTGGTTGACGGGGGGAAATAATAACGAATGAATGGTTAGCACTCCCGTAGTGGTCAGATTCTTTCTGTAACCGTTCATACGTTCAAACCAGTTCGTTCGTTCGTTCACTGACGGTAAGAGTCTATCTAACAAGGTCTACGAAATTGGCTGGATGATGCTACGTATGCACGCGGGCCCTAGCTCGTCTTCTCCTTCTGCGCATGATACTGCCTATACGTCTCGTACTCAAACACCAGCACATTCGGCACATCCCTCGTATCCCTCAACAGTAGCCACCTCGCCACGCTTGAGTCGAGATCGATCGCGGGCGCCAGCACCCAGTTGCAGAAGGCGAACCAGAGCCCGGCGAAAAGAGCGCCGCACGTGAGGCCGACTAGGACTTGTGGGGGTGTGTGGTAGGTTAGGTGGATGCTAGTGGGAGTTGATTTATTAGTGAGGTAGGGTTGATGTTGGAGGGGAATGCGTGGGATACGCACCGGGAGTAAGCAACGAGGCCCGCCATGGACATGGCTGCGATGGTGATCAAGGGTTTCCAGGCGCGGGATTGGAAGGTGAACCGCGTGAAGGCGTAGATGGTGATGTAGAATGCGAAGTAGGCGACGAATTGGGAGTGGGACGAGGGCATGCCGTAGCCTTTGCCTAGGTATTCTATATGACATAGCATGAACGTCGTCAGCACACACGTGATGAATGAAGCGAAGCGATGGCTGGGATGGTTGGTTGATGGATGATACTATATCCTGCTCGCTCCGCTCGCGACAAGGATGTTGCGTTAGGCGGAGCGAGCTCGCCTCGCTCGCAAAACCTCCAAACGCTCGCCGGTGCTCGCTGAAAACGGACCGCTTTGGCGCGAGGGAATTTGCTGTGCTCGCGCTCACTGCGTTCCTCCTGAGGCATCGTCTGCGCCGCGCTTCGCGCCCGCTGCAGTCCGGCGTCCGCGCTCTCGCCCTCCCGCTCCCTTCACATACCAGTCGGCCGCGCCTGCCTCACAATCTTCTTCGCGACGAAATTCACCCCCTCGTTCACCAACTGCCCAACAAACATCAATATCGTCGCCAGATCCCTTCGGAAGAAAATGAGCGTGACGTAGGAAATGATGATGGCGATAGGCGCTAACGATGCGTAGGCCATGAACATCCCGAGCGGGTCGGAGTCGTCGTATTGGACGTGGGTTAGAGAGACGGAGGCGAGGGGGCGCATTCCAGGGGGATCTTCGAGCGACATGGTGAAGGCGGTGGAGCTTGGCGAGCTAGGTAATGGGGTGCTTTTGGTTGTGTTTGGTCGCGAAGGTATCAGGAAGTTCCTGTTCAGTTCCTGTTGGTGAGGTGAAACCACTTTCCGGGAGATGCCCGTCACCCTCACCGTAAACCACCCTAACACTCCTAACAGGACAAGTTGGGACGATGCAGGGGTTCGGCGAGAGTGCAATGTTTTGTATCAGTTAGTGGGGTCGCTGGATGGTTTCGGGCTGCCTGCCTCCCTTTAGAATGATCCTCTGCACCCAGACCTGCACCCAGACGGCTTTCTGAGGCTGAGCGGAAGTCGCGTTGATCCCGTTGGCTGAGCGCTGTGACGCAGACAGCACTGACAGCACGGCGGACTGCAAGGGGGACTTCACAGGTGCCCATGCCACAAGGGAAGCCGTCGCCGACCTCCACCACGTTGGCAGCCATACGCAATACGCCTTTAGCTGTGGAAGGATAGCTTCACAGAACGGTGGAGTGCAAGCCTCGTCGACCGTTAGGTGAGTTCCAACCGAGTTTGCACCCAGCTACACATCCTCACACTGTATGTACGTTGATCTCCGCTAACCCTCCTCCAATGACAGCGGCAATTACCCAGCTATACTGTACATACATTACCATCAGCCCCAAAGGCCAGGGCCCAGAAAACCCCCGGTGCAAAAATGGTCGCCGAACTCGCCGTCTGCGTCGTCGGAATCTACACCTGCTTCCTAACCTGGCAACTGACCCAAGAAGCCGTCACAACCCAACTCTACGGCGGCCAAAAGTTCCGCCACTTTGTCTTCCTCAACGTCGTGCAATCCCTCTGCGCCTCGCTGGTCGGGTTCATCTACGTCCGGCTAATCAAGAAACAGCCCCTCGGCCGCCCGTCAAAGGAGTTATGGACAGGCTACATCCAATGCGCCTTCCTCACGACCGTCGCCCCGCAGTTCGGGTACGAGGCCCTGAAACACATCGACTACCCGACGGTGATCCTCGGCAAATCATGTAAACTCGTACCGGTGCTGCTGATGAATTTCCTGATCTACCGCCGCACCTTCCCGGCGCAAAAATACCTGATTGTGGCCCTGATCACCGCAGGCGTGTCGGCGTTCATGCTGCTGCATAAACAGGAGGACGACGCGGCTGCAAAACGCGGCGGGCGGTCGAACAGCTTATACGGACTAGGATTACTCCTCGTGAACCTTCTGATGGACGGCGCGGTGAACTCCACCCAGGACCGCATCTTCCATAAATTCAAGGTCACCGGCGCGTCCATGATGGTGTACCTCAACCTCCTTTCCTCGGCAGCAATGACGCTGTACCTCCTCCTGAACCCATTCACGGCCGAACTCTCGAGCGCCCTGACGTTCTGCCACGCGCACCCGCGGATCGTGGCGGATATCCTCCTGTACGGATTCTGCGGCGCGATCGGGCAGTGTTTCATCTACCACACGCTTGAGCGCTTCGGCGCCGTTAGTCTGGTGACCGTCACGGTCACGCGGAAGATGTTTTCGATCCTGCTGAGTTTCTTTTGGTTTGATCACCATGTGTCGTTGGGCCAGTGGGCGGCTGTCGGGCTAGTGTTTACCGGGATTGGGTTGGAGGCGGTGATGAAGAGGGCGCCGTCGAAGGAGAAGGCGACGCCGATGGTGAATGGGATTGATGAGAAGGCGAAGGCGGTGAAGACGGGGGTTAGACAGCGCAAGCGTGCGGATTGAGTAGGGACGGCTCTCCTATGCGGACTGTTTCGCCGTGTGCAGGGTTTACGCTCACAGCGGTAGGGGGAACAGACATCCATTTGGGTAGACGGAGCTTTTCCACAGTAAATTATGATAGGCGCGGATGAGAACGTAGACTACACGATTTCGTATATTATGCCCAAGAACGACACGTCCTTTGGCCAACAGATGTTTATGCGCCATAAGAAAACACATAGGGTATATCGAGTCGTGTGTGCTGTGATAGAGCCTACAAAGCGATTCTAGAACGAGAGGTTTCTATCCCGAAAGGTTGATGTTGGGTCCCAGTGCTCCGTTCCATCGAGGCCAACCGTGGTTCATTCGGGCGCTTCTCGAATCGCGGGTCCTTCGCACCACTCTGCGGCAAGACGCCGTTGACCAGTCATGCCGGACCCGGTTGCTTCAATAGAAGCATGGACAATCGCGCGCCTTTGCTATGACGCTCCCATGCGCTTCAACAGCTCCTTTCTGGTCACCTGCAGGCGACGCGGGATGCGTGTTTCGGTCCGTTACCATCAACTGCCGCATAGATCGCCTCGCAGAGGCGAAGGTGATGGTAATCGGGTGGAATCCGAAAACCGTTCAAAATCGTGTCGCTACCCATATCGCGGCTTTGCAACCCTACAATTACTTGTCAGTAATGCTTCGGGGCGAAGTTCCAAGGTCATCGTTTCATATGCACATACCTGTGATATCGCAGCCGTCAACCCCGGATACGCCGGTGCCTACACAAGCCCCAATAACCCAACTTAGTTCCTCGAATCACACCAGATCCGCCTCGGCATTACATTCTCCCAAGCGTTACCTCCTTCGCGTCATGAATAACGGCCGTATCCAAATGCTCCAGCTCCTCATCCCTAAACCGCTTGATAACCCCTCGCAGTTTCTCCACCTCGGGATGATCGATCTTCAAGAGTTCCCTCAACTGGCTGTCGTGAACCCAAAAACCATCAATCACACGCTCACCCCCGTCCTCCGAAAACGAGCAAAAACCCACTCACTCATTATAATGCTGCCCAATAACAGTCTCCACCGCCTCCGTACACGCCATCGCAGCCTCTTTACCCATCAACGCCGTGCCGGCACCCAACACATACCCAGCGACTTCCCAGAACGGACGCAAGGCGGTCGGACGCACCCTGTTCTGTCCGATCAGGGAGTCGAAGACTTTCAGGTGGAATTTCTCTTGGTCCCACATATGCTGGAAAAAACATGCAGAACCGCGATCGGTTAAGAGAGAGGGTTGAGAGAGAGGCTTGTTTGGATAGTGTGGGGACTACAGTACACACCTGCACGACAGGCCCAACCTTCGGGTCCCCACCCAGCACAGCCAGCTGCCCCTTATAGATCCAGTTCGCCCCCAGCTCGCCCGCATGGTCGACGCGGAGCATGGCGGCGATCATGTCCTTTTCCGTCTCTGTTAATTCGCGTTTGACTCGGCCGTTGCTGAATGAAGACGATTCGCCTGTGAAGCCTGTTGCTGCGGCTTCGGAGGTTATTGCTTGATGCGGGAGACGGGTTGTGTGGAGGAGGCGGTGGGATGGGCGGAGAAGGCGGCATTGGGTGGGGAGGCGGCGGATGGACATGGACGAGGACATCATGGTGAACGTCGAGATTGGAAAACTAGGGTAGTGAATGCGCAATGGAACGCACTGGGGCGAGCGCTTTGAACTTGTTATGTACAGTACGAGATTGTGTGTGGCGTAGGTAAATGAGGCCGGATGCGGGTGGGCAAAATCGAAAGGCGGAAAGTTTGAAAGAACATCCGCACGCGTTCCGTCGTGAAACTCTCAACGAAACAAGGCCCAACAAGCGATCGATGAAAAGATGGATGCTCCTAATAATAACATAATGTGTACAAGTGGAAAAAGCAAAAACGAAACCGTGAGAAAGCGGCGCAGACGGCTTCCGCCCTATAAGGATACTATCCGAAAAAGCTATGAAGATAAAATCGAGATGCAGCAGCAATGGGGTGACGTGATGGTGTGTGGGGGATGTTGCAGAGCGCATGCACCTGGAGGCGCCGCGGGAAGCTAGAGCAGAGGGGCTATAAGTTAACAGTGGGTGGTGATGGTGTGTGGGGACTGTTCTTTCTAGTTCTTCTCCTTCTTCTTCTTCTTCTTCTTTTCGGCGTCGGCGGGTGGTGCGGCGTCGTCTTCGACCTCGGATGCTTTTCGCTTTTTTTTCTTTTCTGGGGATGGGACTGTGAAAATGAACGGATTAAGATCTGGGTTTCCCGTGGTGAGCGGACGCGGTGTGAGTGATTTACCTGGCGTGTCAGCCTCTTCCACCTCCTCCTTCTTGACCTTCTTCTCCTTCTTCACTTTCTTCTCCTTCTTTTCCTTCTTCGCCGATACCTCTCCATCCACGGCAGCGTCAGGGTCCGTTTTCGACGGCGTTGTTGTGACAGCGTCCGATGCCGCGTTATATGATGCACCCGCCGCGAAATCGTACTTCTTCTGCGCAGGCTTGCCCTTCGCCGACGACGAGTTGACCGCCCGGACCGCCTTTCCTTCCAGTTGTCTTAACCTCGCCTCGATCTTTGCCCGAGCCGCGATACCGATGTTGGGTGTGTCGGTGTCACCCAGCGCATCGCAACGGATAGACAGAGCAGCTTTAGTGGCGACGACACGAGCGATCTTTCCCTTGATCTTAGGGCCGGCCTGTCCAACCAGGGATGCGTGGTAGATGAGACCGTACTTGGGGGTATCGTGCTTGGACTTCAATGCACGGAAGAGGGCCTTTTCGGCGCCGAGGATCTGGACGGTGGAAGCGGGCTGTTTGGAGAGGTTGAGGAGGGACCCGGCGTGGGCGATGAGACGGGCGCCGACGAGCTCGCCGACCAGGCATGTAAGGTTGGGTGCGATGGCGGCCATGCGGTTCTTGAGGTACTCGTATAGTTGTGTGCGGTACTCGGTGATGCTGATGATCTGGTCGCAGAGCAACGTGATGTTTTCGATATCCTCGTCGCTGATTTCGGTACCCATCGAGACCTTAGCCGCCTCCTTCAGCTCGAGCTCCAGCTCTTCAGGGAGCACTGTGGAGAGGTCGGTCGCCTCAGCGTTGCTCCGGAAACCCATGACTTTGACGGTCCGCGCGTAGGCCAAGTTGTCCACGATGATTTTGGTCATTTCCGGGAAGTGCCATCCGTACCATTCCTTCACCCTCATTGCGTATGTGTTCAGCTCTTTGTCCAAATCGTCCAGCAAAGCGATCGCCTGAATGATCATAGTGTCGACCTTGTCGGGGGAGAACTTCAGCTTGTATCGGGAGAGAGAGTGGGACAGACCCAAGACCATCGCGTTCATGTCCGATTCCGACAGTCCGGAGATAAGGGAAGAGAGCTGGTAACGGATTCCACGCATCAGCTCGTTTACTGCAGCGTCAGAGATGACCTTAATGTTCAACTTCTTCGCAATGGCGCTTCCTGTGGTGAGACAAGAGTTATGGACGCAGGTCAGCGACATTGCGAAATGGCACTAACGCAATAAGAGGTCGCTCGGCAAATTGGCTCCCAAGAACCCACCTAGCTTAGCATCCGCAACAGCAAGCTGGTCCTTCAGGTCCTTCTCGTTCAATTCGTCCACCAGGAACTTCTTCAAGTTCTTCGACATCTTTCCCTCCACCAGCGCAGTGACCGCAGACAGAGCATCGGTTGTGTTTTCGAATTTCGCAAACGCCTTTAGCTTGACGGCTTTGTTGGCCAAGTCGGCGGTCTCAAAGTCTTTGTAGAGGTCATCGGGCTTCTTCAGCTTCCCGTCGTCGAGAAGCTTGAAGAGGGCGTACCCCGCAGGAGTTTCGAAAAGAACCAACATGTTGCGCTGTTGTTTGAAAGAATACGTGTGAGCAAAATCGGGAGAGCGGATTTGCGGTTCCCGGTGCCTCCCTTTGTATTTTCTTGCCGTACCTGGTATGTGTATGACCTGCGTTGCCGTGCTTAATGGCCAATGCAAAGGAAGGTCCAATGTTACCTTGCAGAAAAAGCCGTGCCAGGGGTCTTCGCGACTCGCCTCAAAGAAGCGACAGCAAACACTAAGCTCTGTCTAAGCGAGTCACGTGATTCGAGAGAAATCGAACAAGTCACGCCCGCGCACGTGACTTACAGACTTATCATTTCGCAACCATCGCAATTTCGACAGTAACACAAAAAGGGGCATGATGATCCAGGAGTCAGGGCCCGTCAATAAACTGTAAACTCCGCTCACCAATAACGACCCGCCCCCGTGTACACAGAGTATACTGTACTACAGCATCCGTTATTGGCAATTGCTACGCATTGTGATCGATGCGCATGGAAAGCGCAAGAACCTAGCCGACGCATCTACCAGGTGGGCCACGTTAGCCCTCAAAGGGCCTTCTCCGTTTTGCAACCTCTCGCGCATACAAAAGCGCACGGTGTTGATTTGGCCCTAGCCTGCCCAACTCAACCTCGGCAGAGTTATCTCCATCACTAGCGTGTGGCCCGGGCAAAACACTTTTCGCGTCGTCCATTTCCCTCGAATTCGTCCACTTTCCACCAGGGCCTCCTCATCCTCACCGGAACTCGCTCGCTCACTAGTGCATGGCCCAGCCAAGCCTGTTTTTTTGTCGTCCATTTCCGTCAAAATTGGCCACTTTCCAGGCGGGCCATAATAAAACGCCGGCAACAACTAGTGCGAGCACGACAAGGGCTCACAATCCGACCGAGGTTTGAACGGACGTTCTCAACACCTCGGACGAATATAAAAGCAGAAGTCGGTCGGTCGCCCCTTCCCCTTCCGGTCTTACCCTCATACCTGCCACATTCTATCGATTGCAACATCACTAGCACTTGTATCTATCACAATTACTCGGCGACATCTAACTCTACTTCGCTCGCATCTGCACACTACTACGGAGTCGATCTACATTTCACATTACCTACTCGGCGCATCGCTATCTACTTCATCGCATCGAACGTGATCATCACTACTACATACCTGCAAGCCTTCCAACGCTTCGCTCGACGCTTCTCTCGCTGCCTTCTTACCCTCCTGGCACGCCTCCTATACATTCAATCCATCTACCTATGCTATCGTCGTCCGTCATCTGATTCGTCCGCCTTCAAGGTCCTCCTTCGGAGCAACCCGCTGCACCCAGCAACCATGGCCTCCCGCATACCACCTTGCGCGCCTCGGAAACCCACATCAACCCGCTTCCCGAGCACACACCGTCCTACCACACCAGCACCAACTCTTACCCACCACCGCACCCTCTCCACCCGGTCTTGTCAACCTCCTCTCACCCACCACAACTTCTCCCCCGGCGGTGTTTCACTTTTTCGAATTGACCCTTGATCGAGATCTCTCCCGTCCCCCTACGTGAGAGCGGATCGTCCGATCAAGAGAGCCGCGTCCCTTCCGGCCCGTTGTTGATCCAGCAAGAGATCAACAATGAAGATCCTCTTGGTCGGCACCCTTCGTGAGAGCGGATCGTCCGATCAAGAGAGCCGAAGAAGCGAAGGCCAATTCGCGACCCTTCCGGCCCGTTGTTGATCCAGCAAGAGATCAACAATGAAGATCCTCTTGTAGAAAAACTAAAAACCCCAAAAAACACCCGTAAAACGTCAAATTTGAGCTGTATCTTAAGTCATGTTCTTTTAATACATAACATTGAAAAAAACTCCTGTGCATGGTCTTGTTTCTGGTGCTGTGGTCTGCTTGTGTGATTCGCGACTCTTCCATATCGTGCAATATTGACTGAAGATGTTGTGCGTGTCTTGGCTGGGTTACTGTTGTCTTGTTGTGATTCGCGACTCTTGTGTATTCTCTATCTTTATCTCGTGCGAGCTGGGTTCGACGTAGGGTCTTGATGCGGCACAATGTCATTTGGATTTTTGGGGCGTTTCTCCATCCTCCTGCCACGTTTCTGAGCTTCGCTGTTGTGTTGGAATAACGAGTAATGAGAGTCCTACGAGTCAAATGCAATATCCCCGAGCGTCCCTAGACACCGTAATGCTGTCCTACGATCCTACGCAAACTCCACGAACAAGCAATGTTCCGCTTGCACGTGAACTCTCACCACCGTTCCGGTCGTCTTGGGGCGTGAGCAACTTCATGATTCACATCTGACCGATCGGGAGACGTCAATGGATCGGTATCTTTGCGGACGGCATGGAAGGTCGCCGGTTAACAGGTCCGCAACATCCGTTTTTCCAAGGTTGTGCGCCTCCGTATATATCCCTCACATGTATCGAATCAGGTCGGCGATTCAGGTCAAGAGATCGAATCAACGAGCTCTATATTTAGTATCCCGGTGGCATACCTCGTATAGGTAGTTGGATGGTGTGTGGGAATGCAAAATGATCTATAAGTGTATGCAAAGATGGACGTCCTTTTACGACGCCTGACCCACATCAATATGGCGATGTTTCATATATGCAAGATTCAAGATCAGAAACTATGTGATGATGCGACCATTGCCATCCCAGTCCCAGAAATCTCTGTCGTGTAAATCTAACCCGCAACGGAAAGAGAATGAGTGTACATAATGAGAACCTGTCTTCATGTCGCTCCCAGTGGCAACATCTTACCAATTCTAGCCAGATAAGCATCTGCCGCGTGAAAACAACAACAGTCTCCAGAAAAACGACAGGGTTTCTCCCAGGGTTTCTGCCGGTCCACGTGCACCAGTTCCTCCGAGTTCTTCGAAGACATTCTCGCCAGCGTCACCCAAGTTGTGTCGTCATGATCTGATGTGGGTCCTGTTTCCTAAATCCTCCTCGGGCAAAGGGAACTTTCGGAATACATGACGGTCCTCCACACGTCGGGAAGCGGCTCATCACCACTAATGGAATCCAGTTCTCCTGTCCCTCGGCCGCCGGCAAGAATTCCGTCTGTGGGCATACTTATCGTTTCCGTATTTACTGCCCAGTCTTGCAACAGTTCCTTCAACATCGCGCCGCAGGGAAGGCGACAACACGAAGATACTTTATCGGACGAAAGGCGGCCAAGACCCGGTCTTTCGCGGGCATTCCGGACCGGAAGCCCCATTTCGAACGTTGAGCCTTATTGGGTGCTGTCTTTGCGACAAGAATTGTCAACGTCGGCTGGCTCTCTGACATTTGTTTGAGTGTAGCCTGCCTTGAAGACTTCGAGGTCACAAAAGCATCCCGACAAAGACGTCCTTCGACCGCAGACAAAGTCGTCCTTCGTGCCTGTGTATGTGACAATGCCAAGGACGGTGGGGTTCGACGCTGAGTGGTCTGAGTTTGAGCTGCCGCCACAGAGGGTAGGGGGATGGAAGTGCTCGCCCTGTTTCTGCCGATGATGACGCAACAAGTCAATTTCCCGTGTTCGACAGATCGAGAGCAGACCCAGTTCCCATTTTCCCACGCTGCAACCTTCGGCATTGAACTTGCATGGTAGACTTCTGCAGAGGCATCGCAACGGCAATCCCCATTCGAAATCGGCAGGCGTTTCCAGAAAAGCTGCCAAACTCTGTCACAGTTACGTTTCTCCCAAACAAACGTTCAAATCGTTCAAGGGATCACTCACTCCTTCCCGCGGCCGGCGGGACTCACTACCGAACTGCCCAGCGCATGGCGAGGGCACCAGTGTCATGAAGACTAAGCGAGATGTGGAAGACTTAGAACTAGATGAGCGAGGGACCGAACAGTCTTACTTCTCTGGGTCGAGTCGTCAGCGGCAAGGAGGACCACCCGTCACCATTATCGTTCCAGAAGTTAGCAGCAGCCCGGAAGAACCTGTCCGGCCTCCACGCTCGGCTTCGATAGAGGCGGGCCCTGTGCCAGTCGGAGTCCACGAACTGCCTATGTATGCAACCACCGGGATACCACCAGCATTATCTGGAGTTGGAAGGAAGGAGCCGCCATCCGCGTCGCCGACCGCTACCACGCCAAAGGACGACAGTATGGTGGGAAAACTTCGTAGCTGGGCGTCCAGTCACTTATCGGCCGAAACGGTCAAGACTTGCACAAAAGCCGTAGTCGCTTTTTACTTAGCTGTTCTTATTGTCTTGATTCGACCGATCGCTCACGACTTTGGAACAACCGCCTATCTGGCTCCTATCGCCGTCCTCCTTTTCTCTCCAGGTTAGTGCGTGATTCTAATCATTCTCTCACCCGCTTCTCGAAAGTGACCATCCGCTCTCTCAGTAAAGACGGTCGGCGCCTTCTCCGAAACGATATTAATCTGTTGCATCGGTCTGGCGCTTGGTTCGGCCATTACGGTGGTCGCTCTGACTCTGTCCGTGGCGTATTCCGACTCCTTTGACACCTACGAGGAAGGCGAAGCTGGAGCCGCTTTGATCCAGATAGCATTCTTGGTCATGGCCACCTTCATGTTGGGCTACGTTCGAGCTTCATACCCCCGTCTGCACGTCTCGACGGTCATCACTGCTCTCGCCCTGGCGTTTCCGATGACCACGCGGGCGAAAACGCGTGAAGGAATCCCTATCTCGTTGTGGGCAATCATCAAGCCTATCCTGGCAGGAGGTTTGATATGCTTGGTCACAAACCTCTTGGTTTTTCCAAAGTTCAGTGGACGAATTCTAAAATCGTAAGTGAATGACAAGGTCGACATCTTGTCTCGAGAACGAACAGATAGCTCATTTTTGAAAACTGCGGCAGATCTATCGACGACTCCGTAAAAGAATGCACAGAACTCCTGGACATGATAGTCCAAAGTTTCCTGAAAGCCGGCACTAAAGACGCCACACCACTAGAAAAACTGCTCGCCAAACAAGAAACAGTCCGCGCCGCTATCGCCAAAACGAAAGCCGCCCGCCGCGAGTGCCAATACGAAGTCACCTACAACCGCTACTCACCCGACGACTACAAGCTGCTTGTCCAGCCTCTGCAGGAGATGATGAAGTACCTCAGCGGGATGGTGGCGTGCGTCAAGCTGGCGAACGAGCTGATGGGGGTTGAGGAGGTTACGCGGAATGCTAGCATTATTCGCAGGAATCCGCTGCAGGCGAGTGTCGAGGATAGCGTTCAGTCGCATGCGGTTCATGGAGCGTATGGCGAACACTTGGACCCCATCAGTCGGCGACAGGCGGCGATGAAGATTCTGCAACATGAGAATCACGTTCCGCATGATTCGCCTGCGTCACCAATTCAGACGACTGTAAGGTCGACTCGGAGTCAGATGTCGTTGAGATCCATCCAAGCAGCCAGCGTATATCTCGAGCACGAGATCGCTGAAGGCCACCACGTTCAAATTGTTGGGCGCGAAATCACGAGAGGGATGTACGGCGGATGCAAACGACTCCTACAGCAATACCTACAATCCGTTTCCGGCACCCTCGTCGAGTTGACCTCCGCCGGCGTCTCCTGTCTCGAATACGGAAACCAACAGATGAACGCCGCCACTGGCACACCTCCCGGACGGGTATCCCACATCTTCCAACTCCTCAAAAGCTCCCCCTCCCTCCTCCGCTCCTCCCGCGACGGCGTCTGCAAAGAAGCGCGCCGACGCAGCAGAGTCACCTCATCCGATTTGCACACCAGCAACATCGGCCTCTTCGCCCTGAAAGACACGCCCATGTACACACTCCAAGCCGCCATCCGGGCTTTTGAAGAATCCGAATGGGCCGTCATGTCCCGCGTCTCCCACCAAATCGATCCCTTAGCACCCTTCACCCCCGGCGGGCCCACCAATGCAACAAACACCCACTGGAACGCAGCCAACATGTTTCGCGAAGAATACTTCCTCGCCGCCTTCTTCATGTTTAACATGAAAGAGTCCGCCTCCAAGGTGCTCAAATTCGTGGAAGGCGTGGAAGAGATGCGCGCGAAACGCGTCGCCCCCAAACGGTTCTGGAGACCCGACGTGAAATTCGGTAAATGGGCCATGGGGGCCGCGCCTGAACTGGAGAATACAAAGGCGCCGGATATTGCTGAGTTTACCGAGGGGCAGGAGACGACTATTGCGCCGGGTGTAATGGGGAGGGTGAGGTGGAAGATGTGGACGTTTTTTAAGGGGTTTCAGACGCATCCGATGAGGTTTGGGTTCAAGATGTCGTTGGCTACGGCGTTGCTTGCTTGGCCGGCTTTTGTGTGGGCTGATTGGTAAGGGAACGTTGTTGAAGTAATTGGAAGCTGATCTGGGTCGCTGATGGTCATTTTGCAATCGTTAGGTGGTCACAGTGGAGGGGAACGTGGGCGTTGGTCACGATGCTTTTGGTGATATCTCCGAGCGTCGGGGCTTCAGTCGGCATGGGCTTATATCGTATAATAGGTGTTGGCTTCCGCCGTATCTTCCCACACTCGACAGAATCCATGCCCGCTAACACTCTCTTACTCGCTCCAGGAACCCTTGCAGGCGGCATCTACGGCTACCTTACCTGGGCCATCGCGCCCGAAAACCCCTACGTCACAACCCTCCTTACCCTCCTCTGGGCCTTCCCCAACTTCTACATCTTCACCCGCACCCCGCACGCACGTCTCGGCACCGCCGCCCTCGTCACCTTCGCGGTAGTCGGGCTCTCCGTCTACGTCCGCGACCCCGCAGTCACGGGGGACCCCGTAATCCTCCTCGCACTCAAACGCATGATGACGATCTCCATCGGCGTCTGTGTCGCGCTGATCGTTACGAGCTACTTTTGGCCGTTTGTGGCGAGGATTGAGTTGAGGATTGCGTTGAGTAAGAATGTGTATCTGATGTCGGTGCTCTGCTCGCAACTCGCCGCTATCGTCACTTCGAGCGACGAAGCAGCGTCTAACCCTTCACATTACGTCCTCGCCCGCCATAAACGCGCTCGACTGCGTATCCGCCACATCGAACGCGCCCTCGCGGCCTCCGTCACGCGACAAAAGGAATTGCTGGTGATGACCACCAACGAGCCCCGGCTGAAGGGACCGTTTGCGTACCATATTGTGAAGGAGATTATCACCGTTGAGCAGAATTTGGTTGAGAGGTTGGGGAATATACGCAGGATTGTGGATGGCGAGTATGCGGCTGTGGACGGAGCTGATGACCACGCGCAGGGGGATGTCGATATAGGGTTTGGGAAATTTGTCAGGAAGGAGATCTTGATGCCGGTTGATAAGTACCGCATCGACATGGTCAGTTTAATCCCTGCTCTTCCCTTCCCGACCTCCTACTAACTCACCACCCATTTGAACCCCAGTTCGCCTCCCTCCTCCTCTACCTCCACACGCTCTCGACTTCCCTCTTCACCAAAACACCCCTCCCGCCCTTCCTCCCACCCGCCCGGGCCGCCCGTCTCCGCCTCTTCAGCAAGATCCGCGACCTACCCTTGCTTCGCGACCGGGTGCTGACGGATAAGAAGGAGGAACGGGAGGGGTATATCAAGTTTATGGCGTATAGCAGTGCGATGGAGGATTTGATTGAGGGGGTGGAGGAGATGGGCGGGCTTGTGAGACGGTGGGTTGGGCAGGGGGTTGCGGGGGAGGGGTGATGAGGAGTTTGAAGGGCTTCTCTGTGCAGGTAGAGCATTACTCCTTAGAGCAGACTGACATGCATTTTTGGAGGAGGGGAAGAGAGGTGGAGTTATCTTCGTTTGAACATTTATAGAACAGTCAATCTTTCATCTCCCTTTTCATACAGAAAGTGCAGTATCAGATGTCGCTTACCTCGGGCCGATGATCACGTTCGCGGTCAGTTTCTGATCGTCGCGCTATTCGTGCCCACAGTCGTTCGGCGCTAGCCTTACTCCATGGCGTGTCCGTGGAACGAGCAGCGCTAGGCACTTACAAGCACCGCCATCACCGAGGTTTACCATTCCACCAAATCACTTTATTCCCCCCTCTCCCATATCACCGACTCAAGCCAAGGATATGGCAGGGCGAAAACTGCTGTGAGTTACCCTCTTTCTTTTTGCTTCCCCTTCCATGTGTTTGTTTTTGAGGTTCCTTTCTCACCAACTGGGGCTCACACGGTTCGGAGGTACTGTAACTGCTAAATACGTAGGTTTCAGAGTTTCATGGTAAGGCCGCCAGGCCGGTAGCCAATGAGACAAGCAGGTTGAGGAACGTTGCATAATAATGAGAGCATCGTGTGTGCTCCCAGCCCTCGAGCCGGAGCCCTCGGCAAAACGTGTCGGCATTAACGCGTCCTGATTGGCCAGCGCCAAAAACCTTAAAGTCCCAAAACACGTTGCCGAGCCCGCCCCCCCAACTCGTCAATAAACACTTTTTTCTAATCGGGGCGGGGGACGGTCAGCGTTTGATAACTTTTGAACAATGGACAATCATGACGTTGGGCTAAGCCCGGTCTACTGGAAAGATAGTCCCTTTTGCATGTGCCCGGAACCCAATGAGCCAAAAACACAAATTGACCACAGAGGCGGGCGTGGTGTGAAGTGACTTGGGTATAATCAATTTGGAACGAGAGAGAGTTAGAAGGGGCGAAAACGTGGGACGGGGGAGATGGGGATGTGTGGTTATAACTTATCAACCTTGAACCGAGTCCGTGCCGGTGGGCAATGGGCTTCGCTGTGGGATCACTTTTGCGAAAACGTGCTTGCTTGCGGGAGGGAAGAAGTAAACATGAACAAGTCTGCCGTTCGGTGCGGAGTAGGTTGGACAAGGGAGAAAAGCCGCCTATCTTGGCATCGCATATAAAAGCTTGGCAAGTCCCGGCAGACCCTCGTTTCCTCTTTAGCCCCTTGAAACCGTCGCTCACACCTCATCTGGTTGGCTTCTCGTGCTGGTCACAGTCTCCTTCCGCCCACATACCATACCTACAACACAACACACATCCCATCCAAGACCATCCAGCATGTCGCAAGCAACAATCCCATCGCCTGCCGCGCAGGAGCAGGGCTACCTCGCCAAAGCCAAGCAAGTGGTCCCCCGCTTCACCAGTGAAGAGAAACGCAACCTCGTGTTCTACATCACCGGCATCATGCTGTACAAGTTCGGCCTCGAGTCCTTCAACGGAACCATCAAGGCTCTCGCTCTGGAGCGGTTAGCCAAGAGCGAGAAATTCACCATGACCGGATACCTCGACGGGTTCAACCAAGCCCTGCAGTGCGTCGGGTCTATCGTCGTTGCGCCGCTGCTTGTGCGGTTCCCGATTCGAGCGATCTTGGCGTTTGCGATCGCGTGCTTTGCAGTTATCTCGTGTATTCCGATGATCATCGAGGGTGCGACAGGGGGCAAGGCTCCGCAATGGACCGACGATGGCAAGGCGGTGGTTGGAGCCTGGAACCCAAGGATCGTTGTGCCAATCTTTGCAATCTCTGGGCTTACGCACGGCATGGTGGAGATTATTCGAAGGATCATCCCGCGTGACATGGTGGGTGGGAACGTTATGAAGCTGAAGAGAATGGACTCGATGGTGCATATCTTCTACGAGGTTGCCGGTACCGGGGGAGCGTTCTTCGCTACCTTCATGGCTCTGAATCTGGGCAAGGCTTTTGCGCCCATCACCACGCCATTCTGTTTCGTCGGCGCCGCGCTCCTTTGGTCGCGGATCAAGGTCACCAGCGAGGAAGCCCAGCAGCTCAGCGACGTCCCTGACGGAGCACACGGTGGTGTCATCTCGGGCATTTTGGGCGCCTTCGCCTCGTTCGGCACATCAGTCGCGTTCGGCGCTAAAATCATCTTCACCGACCGTCGGTTCACATGGTTGATCTTCGGCTACTCCATCCCCCTCGTCCTGCACCGATACATCGAGAACGGTGTCGCCGCCAACTACGCCCAGCTCGTGCTCGGCGAGGCTTCCTACGGTCCGCTGATCGTTGGTGGATCCAACTTTGGCGAGCTCTGTGGTGCGTTCTTCGTTTTCCTCTTCACAAGCACCATCAAGACCCCTCTGCCCTGGTTACGTCTCGATGCCCTCACACTCTCGATCGCGTGGGTGTACTCCGCGATCACACCTACCGGCCTCGGCATCACCCCGCTCGCGACCGCTTGGGTGCTCGCTGCCATCATGGTCACCATCTCCTTCGGTTGGGCCGCTGGTGACGTGTCCCTCTCCGCGTTCATCCAATCCCACGTTAGCAAATCAGGTATGTTCCCCTCGTCATAAATCGTTTCTCTTTCCAAAACGGCGTCTGACTCCCGTCTTCCCCCCCACACACAGCCCACAACCGCAAAACATCCACCCTCGGCGCCGTCATGTCCTTCTTGTATGTCACGTATATTGTGATCTACGCCGTTATCTCCCCCGTGATCGGAAACTGGCTCGACTCGATGAAGGCCGACAAGATCCACCAGCAAGAGGAGTACCTCAAGTGGATCCCCGGTGTTATGTTCACCTGCACCGGTGTCATTATCTTTGCGTCGACGTTCTGGCCAAAGGGTTCTTTCGGTGAGTACCGTTCTGTGTTTTCGACCCCGTTTTTCATGGCAACGATATCTGACCCCTGTTCTGTTTTCCAGCGTTCAACCCCACCTTGGAGGACGAGTACCCTGAGAACGAAGCGGAGGCAGTTCAACACGAGGAGGTGGATGACAAGAAGAAGCAGCCGGTCAACGTTATGGAGGAGCTTATGTAGACGGCACACCACTTTTCCTTATCTTCTGCTGAAGTGCAAGTTATGCATCCACCCTGCGTTCCTCGTGTATTCGTTGTTCGTGCCCCATACCATATTGTATATATCTCCCACACTCTTCAATACGAGCGCAAGCTCAGGTTGGAATGCATTTTTGATGTAGGGCAGCCGTTGCCAACTTACAAGCTTTAAGCAACAGCGGCGGAGCTGTGTCCCGTGACCCGTTGTTTTGTATTTAATTTCACGGAAGACAATTCGACTTGCCCGGCCGTCACGTGACTGGATGGACAGATCAAATGCAGTTTAAGTGGCGCCCTCTTGCCGATGACGATTTTTGTGCGACTTCTCGTGCAAATTTGTGTTGTCCGTCGGGCCTCGGCAAACGATCAACGGAACCGGTGGACAACCCATTCCTTCGCTTGAACCAGTCCTCATAATGACATCCGAGAATACGCTGCATACCTTAGTGCTCGTGAAGTACATTTAGAACAACTTGCCATCGTTGTCTGTGGGCGATCTGACGAGGACCGGTCGTGATTGCCAACCTTCCTGCCGCCGTATTCGCCCTCCAAATTTACATCCGGCGAAAAGCTCAGCCTCAGAACCTCCAACACCAAACTCACCCAGCCTCCAATCTCCAACGATGCTCCCCGTTACAGCAGCAGCCGATATCTCCGACACCCGAGAGGACGGCCCTCCAATGCTTTTTCCAACTGCTCCTGCTAGTGTAGGGAAGAGCTCTGAGCGGAGCCACCAGTCACAAACACAGTCTTTTAAAGCGTGTCCAGAGACGGAGACCGAGGTTTCTGATGTGGAGCATAATAAGCGGAAATTGTTGCTTGCGACGGGGCTGTGTTTTGCGTTCTTTGTGGTGGAGTTGGTTGCGGGGTTTTGGGCAGGTGAGCTGAGGGATAAGGAGGAGAGTGCGCGCGAGCGACGGTGGTTTTCCATGGCGGACAAAGGGATGCTTGAGGATGAGAGCGATAGCGAGCTCGCTGGCCCAGAGGCAAAGGGATGCTTGAAGGTTCCGAGCGATATTGAGCTCAACTGGGCTGGACGCGCAGGAATGCTGATCACTCATTCATAGCCCAACCTCCTTGTCGCGGGCGGAGCGAGCAGGGAGGGTATCCCTCAACCATCTGCTCCATGTTGATGGTTGTTGATGGGTTGCTGGGTCGATGATAAATGGTGATTAATGGGTTGATGAGCCACGCTCTGAACTTCAATTCTGAACAGGATCCCTCGCCATCCTCAGCGACAGTTTCCACCTCCTATCCGACATTGCCGGTTTCGCCATATCGCTCGCAGCATTATACCTGTCCCAGCAGCCAGCAACAAAACGTAGGTGCCATCCTAATCTTCCTCACAATCACAATCACAATGTCCCCAACTAATACACAAAACCCATCCCCACAGGCCACTCCTACGGCTTCCACCGCGCCGAAATTATCGGCGCAATCCTCTCCACCTTCCTCATCTGGATCTTAACCGCATTCTTAGTATATGAGGCGATCGACAGGGTGCGGAACCCGGTCCCCATCAACGGGCCCATCATGTTTGCGACGGCGGCGGTTGGGGTGGGCATAAATATAGTGCTGGGGTTGACTTTGCATGGGAGTCATGACCATGGGCATGGGCATGGGCATTCGCATGGCCACTCCCATGGGCATTCACATTCTCACCATGATGAGCATGAGCATAGCCACGACCACGAGCATGACCACGACCATGACATCGAGGAGAGACCGCTCCGTGGTCACGACGCAGCACCAAAAAAGAAGCCGGTATGAACGCACATTTAAAGCCATCAAACGGCTATCACCTGACACTTACGAATGTACCCTCCAGGCAATGAACATAAACGTCCACGCGGCCGCAATCCACGTCATCGGCGACCTCATCAGCTCCATCGGCGTCCTCATCGCCGCCACAATCATCTGGGTCAACCCCGACATGACCATCGTGGACCCGATCTGCACGTTTGTGTTTTCGGTGTTTGTGCTGGCGACGACTGTGCAGCTGATGTGGAATAGCTTAACTGTGCTTATGGAAGGTAAAAGGATCCCCCGAAATGCCGGTCTTACCCGCGTCTTCTGGGGGTTCTCATCTGAATGTCCACTCTACCCCCTCCAGCAACACCAGCAGACATAGACCCCCTCTCAGTAGCCAGCGACCTCCGCTCCATCGCCGGCGTGGCCGACATCCATGATCTGCACATCTGGACACTCACAATGGGCAAGGTACGTGTCACCGTCCCCTGCTTTATACCCAACCCCCCCCTGCCCCGCCGTCCCTCCCAAACTAACCCCCATCTCTCACGTCCCCCGCCAGCCGTCCCTCTCCGCCCACCTGCAAATCCTCCCCGACCTCCCAGGCGCCTCCACACCGCAACCTTTAACATTAACCCACTACCACGCCATCCTCGCCGAAGCGCAGAATCTTCTATGTTACAAGTACGGTATTCATCATGCGACTGTGCAGTTGGAGAGTTTGGATGGGGGACAGGGGGAGGAGGCGGAGGGGGGAGGGGACGTGGTTGTTGTTGTTGAGGAGGATGGGGAGGCGGCGGGGTCGGAGACTTCGAGTGCGAGGGGTACCGTGGGGAGGGGGCCGAGATTGCATTGTAATCCGGTGATGTGTCGGACGACTGATTAGAAGGCTGGGTGGAGGAGATGGAGAATTGCACGACGAGCGGCGGAGGGGAGCTTAGGTCTCCACGGCCGCTGGGCTTCACCATGACTTGCACATAGAGTACATATTTGACACCCGCCGCCTTCCCCACATACCCTTTACGACCAACGGTCGGGGGAAGAATATCGTAAATATTAGTAGAACAGGCTCAAATCTGCCCTACCTCAGTTCTCCGAATTGCGGACATGTATTCTTGCATTGCACACACGTCTGCTCCTCAGGTCCTTTAGAGCAAACCCTTCCGAGTCGCTGAGACGCCAAGTACTCATCGGTTTGTACTCATGCACCATCTTGCGCTGTTTTTCATTGACAGTGCTGAAGCATCCCCTCCTTACATCCCGCCCTCCATCATTTTGTCCTATCAGGCCCTACCGCTGATCTACATATGTCCTAAACCTGTCCTATCCCTGCTATGACTTTCACTCGTGCCTAGCATGAACTCCGCTGCCGCTACCCTCTGTGCATCCCTCGCATCCAACCGCTCAATCAAGTGTCCCGATCCGTTTGCGCGGTTCCGTGAGTTTAGGTTTTCGCAGTCAAAACTCCAACTTAATAAGCATAAACGTCGAATCCAAAAGCACATGGAAAAGCGTCAAAGCCTCAAACACCGCCACCTCCGGATACATCCCGACAAACCTCCGATACTCTTGCCACACCGTGATCCCCGTCGTCGCATACAGCCACCAATGCCCCAACGCACTCGCCACCAGCTCCGCCGCGAAGGTGATGCACGTCTGGGTGACAATGGCGGTGTATGCCGAGTCGTGGATGAAGTACGGCGCGAGGGTATGGTAGTGTCGCGCGTTCGGGCCGTACCGGAGGAGCTGGAGGGAGGAGATGAAGGCGATTATGGTGAGGCCGCGGGCGACGCAGCCGTGGGCTTCGGAGAGGAGGTGGAGGTGGACGTAGGAGGGCCAGGTGTCGGGGTGGGGTTCGGTGGTTGAGAAGCGGGAGGAGGCGGTGGAGGGGCGGCGGGGGTGGTGGCTCAGTGGATTTGTTTTGCCGTTGGGATGCGGGGTTGCTTCGGACGCGTTTCGCGTGATGTCGCGGAGATCCTCTTCCTCTGCAATCTCCGGCTCGAATTCGCCAGGTGCCGCCAACTGCGTTTTGGCAATCTGCGGGTTGCCATTCGACGCGTTCATTCGTTGGCCGGTCGAGACAGAAGTGTTTGACCCTTGCCCCTGTTTCGGTGTGAGCGGTCCCGAGCGGATAATCCGCGGCATTGTTCCCCCCGCCGTCCCATTGCTATTCGACATCCGCCGGGATAACGCCATAGCCCCACTGCTATCGGCTCTGGGTCTTGCCAGCGCGTCGGCTCCGGTAGTACCCGCTCTCGGCCGAAACGATGCGCTGCTGTCCGCCCTCGGCCTGGGCAACGACCTGAACCCTTCCACAATGTCCGCCGTGGGACTAGGGTTCTTGCGGTCCTCGAACGAGGATGATTTGACAGATATCCGTGGCGGCGGCGTCCCCACCTCCGAATATCGTCTCGAACCCAGATCCGAATCGGCGCCAGCGTTTACCACGTCCCGCGCTTCGAGGTCTGGCAATGGGTAGCTAAACGCGGCGTCTTCCGCGTCTTCGCTGAAATTTTCCAGGTGCACATTCGTTCCGGCTTCTAACCCGTCAGGCTCCTCCGATCGTTGAGCGGTATTAGGCGTTTCGGTTGGTGGTGACGGCGATTGATGAAGTTTCTTCCATCCGCTGACCATGGTCTTCCATAAATGTTTCCGAAGAGCTTGCCATAGGTTTGTTAATCTCAATGTGATCATGATAAAGCGCTTCGTGAAGAAGAGATTGGGGTAGGTACGTGAGATGGAAACTCGATATGAACCGATATCGTGATCTGCGTACGGGTGTGAGTGGCCCGAACTCACCTGGATGCCATACAACACGCCGAATATGGGAATGACCCACCAAGATGAGGACTGGTCCACCGTGTAGAGGTTGTTCAAGACTATAGCGCCCCGATATCAGATCGCGGAGAAGGTAAAATACATCTCCGTGAGGACTTTTGCACAATCAGATCGACCTGGCATGTCAGCTACCTACACATCGAATGCAAAAGCGTAGAAAACATGTCCCCCGCGACAGCGAGATGGGTGACTCTGCAAGGAGAAACATAGCCCGCTTTAGTCAGTCCGCGTTTGCGAAACCCGACTAAGGTGCTCCGCGCCGCAGCTTACTTCAATTTCAATCCCAAGTAATTTCCACTCAGGCGGGACACCATTTTGAACCCGATGGTGAAGACGTGGATGCAGACTATATTGCGAGGAATAAAGAATATGGGATCAGGAAATAGAAACGTATCCATAGACACAATCCCGTCGGCAATGTGGTGTTACGTACTCAATTCAACGATGGGATGATACGGAGCGTGCTCGAAATAGACGTAGGTTAAGATCTAAAAACGAGCATCAAAATGTTAGGTGATGGCAGGCATCTTTCAGGCTCTCCAGTGCAGGGCAAAGGGGGACAACGCGCCAAGGGCTTACCTGACCAGCATAATAAAGGCACAGAAGCTGAACAATATGACCCAACATCCAGAACATTGTCCGAAACGGCATCGGCTCCGGCTTGCCATACGGATCGGCGGCGGCTTCGGGGCTACAGCGCGGGTCATGGTGATGGTGTCGCGCCATACTTCCCCTTGACTTCTCGGTCGTGGAGAGCCTTGGATTCTCCGTGTCGGAGGACGCACCCTTAGCCGCAGCGCCGTCCGGGGAACTCGCGAGAGATGCCCTTCTCGAGTGCGTGAAGACAGTCCACTTTCGTTGCTTCCGAAAGTTCAGGATGCCGATGTAGCATATCCCCCACGAGCAGCCGAGGATAATGGTCCAGAACACCCAGATTTTCGACTCGATGATTTCCGGTTGGTATTTGTACATGATATGGTTCGCCGCGACGGGTATGACCATCATGGGTATGAAGCAGAAGAAGAAATCCCAGGCGCGAAGCAACCAGAATTCAGGCGAGTAGCTGTGGAAATAATACCCAACGCACAGCGTGCCGGAAAGGACATAAAACGGGAAGAGCACAAAGATGTATACCGTGTAGTTGATGGGTATTGTTATGAGAGGTGGCGGCCTCCCAGCGCCTTCGGTGCTTGTGGACGGCGGTTCCTTGACTGCATACCCGGCGCCCGAAGAAAGTGGTATGCAAATAATTCCCAGCCAACAGACCAGAGCCGTAGCGTACAAGCCCCACACAAACAACAAAGGATATCGCTTGCCGTAGTAGCGTGTGAGGCCGGGCACGGACCACTTGAACTCCGGCAGGACATCTTCAGGTGGCGGTGCGACGGGTAATCGCATCAATTGCGGACCGTCAATATAATACCAAATGCGCCGGAACTGGCTATCAGGTGGCGGTGGGTACGTGATACTCTTGCCGATGACTATCGTCTCTGGAGCTTCTGGCCTCCCGCTGATTCCTGCTTCCGTGCGGCGGCGTCTGAGTTGGGGCACGGGCTTTAGTGGTCGGGAGAGTGACGCTGATGCTGACGCTGAATCCCGCCTCGTTTTCGAAGTACGCGGACGGCCCTCGGAGGCCGTAAAGGCCGAAGATGGTTCGCCATCGTGGTGGAAATCCATTCGCAAAAAGGCTGGCGGGAATATGGTAGAGTGGGTAGAGTAAAATCGGGACGCAATCTTGACTTCTCAAGAACGACTGGGACCTGAAATTGAAGAATATTCTGGAAGCTCCGTGAGCAACAGCAGGATGCCTCCCAGGGACAGCATCCCTGCGCTGTTCGCCCGTCCTTCTGTGAGCGTATGAGTCGGTTGTTCCATTCTCCCACGAAGGCGGAGCAAGATGGGGCGGGGTTGGGAAAGCCTAAAAATAGGGAGCGATTCTTGGGTCCGTTCGGACACGTCTTACATCGCCCATTGAATCAATCATACGTCCATTCTTACCGAACAAGGACGCTGGCTCGTACACAATAAGCCATCTCAATCACCGCTTGTACTGTATGTCCATTCTTCACAAGCATTTAACCCTTTTTTTTGCCTTTGTTGTTGCAATTGTATCAGGGAGAAAGGATGCTGGCGACCGCTCGAACACAAGGACCGTGGCTGATATGCAAATGTTCACAAACGGCCCTGATATCCACGGTTTCCCCGGAGCTTCCCCTATCCTTGTATCGGACATCTCTGTAATGAGAACATGAGGCTGTCGAAGGACGCTGTTTTGGGCGCTTGGATCCGCCGGTAAAGGGCCCGTGGCCTTTCCGACGGCGCATCGGGCTGCAACAAGGCCTCTCGCCGAGACTTGTCATTCCGGAGGCATCCGGTGAATGGCCGCAGCTTGATCTGCATCGATCATATCAAACAACATATCAAATTGCAGGGGAGAGATGCCGGTGGCTTCAGAGATGAATCGGCACCAACAACTCTGCATCCGCACGGCGGTACCTCACTGCCGCGGCTCTCATCTTGCGACAGTGTCCGGGGTATCAATGCGCACAGGCCAGCTCTAGATGCATCCTATTCAACAACTAGAATTGGCCCCCAAACCGACACAGGGGCCAAGACAGAAAGGCGCGACAGAATCGGCCTGCACGCTCATCTCGCCATTTGCCCTTGCTCGGTGTGGGTTCGTCGTCATCCACCCACGGGAGCGATTCGGGGCGAGAGAGGGAGGAAGGCCAAGGTTGTTGATGAATCTTCATGCTACACAGCAGACATACCTCCCACCAGCCGCCCGACCGGGGCGAAACACCCACCGACGAACTCACATCCATCACGTAGCTCTTGCAGCCTCTCTGAAGCCGTCGACTGACCAGAAGTGCGTGCGACCGTACTGTAGTATTTATGAAACACCGCGGGTTTACCTGTACTTTTTCCAAATCGCAAATCTGGAAACGGAGGAAAGGGTCCTCCGGGCGACGATATGAAGCGGGGTGTTTTTTACCCCACGGGTCTAGGTCAAGTTTCTGCTGGCAGCGATCTGGGAGGGAAGTGGAAGAAGTGGGGTGTATGCGTTCGACATGCGGGAAGCGGGTTGCAAGTTTCCAGCAGGGTTTTGTGGTCTGTAGCGACGCGTAAGTTACGCGTGCGGAGCTTCGGTTACGTTATCACACTGTCAGACCGTGAGTGGTATCGAGACCTGGACACTCCTCGTCCACATCTACTGCATCCATCCCCTCATGGCAATGTGTGATAGACCCTTGGAATCATGGTGCGTATGGAAACGTCAATGTCCCACTCCGAATCGAGGCATTGAAGTTCTCGAAGATTTTCAACGGGGAGCCTCCTTCATGCCACCCATGCGCAAAGCCGTGGGGTTCTCACAATGGGTTCAACAGTGGCTCAGTTCACAGCCCCCCCCTGCCCAGATGCATCGAGATTTATCCCACAGCCAGTCAAAGATCCTCCACGACTTCAAAAGACCAAGTCCTTTGACATCTCATCAACATAATATTCCCAGCGAAGGTATTTTAACATGAAAGTAGTGACCGCGCTACACAATCGTGTACTCCTCCGTCGAACAAACCGTCTGCTGCGAGAACGTCACCGGTTCACCGCCATTAACAGCCGTGATATCCTTAACCTAAGAAAAAAAAAGGAAAGAATCCGTAAAAATTTAGCGTCTTCAATGCAACACACAAATACAACAACAACGAAACCCCGCCAAAAAACCTACCGCAACCCCACAAAAAGTCCTCCCACTCGCAAAAGACACCCTGATCGGGAAAAAACTACCCGCATCATCCCCCTCAGCCGTGAACTCCAACACGCCCGAACTGTTCGTTTTATCAATGGTCGGTAACTGCCAGTGGACGAGGTGGCGGGATCTGTCGATGGCCGTTGTGCCTTCGGCGTCCGAGATGCTTGGGGGAGTTGTGCCGCTGTGAATAAATAGAATGGGGGGTTAGGGAGGGATGGGGAGCGGGGAAGGGGGAAGAGTGAGGCTTACGAGTATGGGATGGAGACGATGACGTCGCGGAGCTCCAAGTCAAGGGATTGGAGCTCGTATTCGATGTTGACGTCGACTGTTCCGGTGCCGGAGGGGGAGGGCCAGCAGTTGACTTGTTTTTGGAAAAACAAACAAAAGATGCCGATCAGCACACATTCCGCACGATTTTGAGACTGAATTGGGATGGTATGGGAATTACGCACTGGTTAATGGGACAAGACTCTCGTCCTTCGTCACAAACCGCCATTTCAAAATGCCCAGGGACTGGTTGGTCGGGAACGGCCGGGAGGGATCTTTCAGGCCCAAAATGGAACTATCCGCAAACAGTTTCTTGTCCACGTTCGGATGTGTCTACACAACAACAACAACATCAACAATCACTAACCCTAACACTGGAGATGAAATGTGCAAGGGCAGGCATACCTTGTATTGAATACTCGGGTCCTGCTTCATATCCAACACGACGCGCAAGAGGGCACGGTCCGGGTCGGAGACTTTGAGCTGCATGTCGCCTTTGACTTCCATGTTCTCTAAGCCACCGTCGCGGTTAGCTGTGACGATAATCTTTTCTTCCAATGCGACGTGGACGCTGTCGATAATTTAAACAATCAGAAATTATCAAAGCAGAAACGGTCACCAGAAGAGGATTTTCGTGCGTACCTTTCAGTGTGGACGATCTGCTGATGCACGGGTGATGGGAGACCCGCGTGGTGGTGGGTTGTTGGGGAGACGACGACGGGCGGCGCGTCGGGGATGCCTTCGTCCGCTTTGATGGTGTTGACGATGGCGTTGTCGTTTTGTTTTCTTCCGAGCTGCATTCCTTTGCCGCGGGCGGGGCCGCTGGATGTGCTTGGTCTATCAAAGAAAACGATCCTAGTTAGCCTTCCCGATCGCAAAGCGCACCGACGATGGGGGATAAACTTACGCATTGTAAGCGGTCCTCTCAGGCTCCGGCGTGGCAGTCCTCACAGGCTCGTAAGGGCTTCCACTCCTGTACCCAGCCGGGCCGCCCCCACCATACTGCGACGACCCCATCCCCATCCCACCGCTCCCACCATACGCATTCCCGCCACTTCCAAACCCACTCGCAGTCCCCCCCGAATACCCCATCTTCTGCATCTCCCGTTTTTGCATCTCCATCATCTTCGCCTTCTTCTTTGCGTCCTCCTTCGCCTGCTTCTCCTGCGATTTCGCAATCTCGGCCTGCACGCGCTCCTCGTGCGATTCCATCTCAGTGATCGTACGGATCTGGGCCAGGTTGACGTTTTCCCGGAAGCCCAGGGAGATCACTTCGTCGAAGACGTGGGCGAGCTCGAAGGCTTGGGAGGCGACTTCGCGCTCGTTGAGAGAGCGGCAGTAGTCTGAGACGAGGCGGGCGAAGAGGTGGAGGGTGTCGATGTCTTGCAGGATGTTGGAGTGTTTGTTGGTTACTAGGACCATGTACAGGTCTTCCAGAGGCTGTGCGGAACAACAAATCTAAGTTTTCGACCCTCATGTCCGTCACCCACTTTTGCAAGCGAGATTTCTTCCCCTTACCTGGTACACATATCGAACAGAATCCGTCTCCACAAACGTATGCTGGCTATCATTCGCCCCAATTAGTTTTGGGAACGACGCCAACAGACCCTCAATACGTGCTCTTGGCATCTCGACGAATTGACGCGAGATGACGGCTGAGGGCGAGAGAGGATTCACATCAGTCCGCTGGAGCCCACGGAATGCCGTACGAACGAACCGGAAGGCAAGGCCGGCAGAATGCAGCGTACATACCCTTCCCCGTCTTCGTGGTGACCGAAGCTGCTAAGACGACCTGCAACGGAAGACGCGAGTCAGATTTCGCTACCCCATCCTTGTCAAGCAAAACCCCAACCCGTCCGGCATCGTCGTCTCCAATTTTTGGGGCTGTGCTCCAAAAGCCTCCTTCCGGCCTCGGAGGTGGACCGACAGAGCCTGCCTTACCATGTTGCACTATTTGACTCGACAGTATGGGTTTCTGCAGGCTGATCACTGAAGTTTCCCACGAAGCGGTGCTGGAGTCCAATTTTCTATGGTGTCGCGATGAAGTCCCTATACTCCGGAAGTCAGCGACAATCGCATTGAGGAGCTGTATGAGGGCTGGGGGTTGGCTTGTCACAGGGCAAGGATGTGCGAAGCAGGCAGTCGAAGATGGGATGCCACGGTGGACTTTCTGGAAGTTGGAGGTTCGACGTGGTTGATGATTGCCGCTGCTCGCCGTCGCGCCTGTCGAGATTTTATTCGATTTCACGTGCGTCTCGATCACTTATGCAATGCGAGGGGTAGGATGTGCGAGTAGCTATGATAGAGATTATCGTATGACGGGATGTGAAGATGCGGGGAACAAGGATGTGCAGACGGAGACTGACTCCTCTATATTATATCAGACGTGGCGAGCGAACGGTTCATGGTCTGGTCTAAGGATAACACCAGCCGCTACGACAGCTCTATGCTATGATCCCATCACCACTGCTCAGTAAGACCATTCCTCTGGCGATACTTCACCAAGTCGCTGATCGTACACATCTTGAGCCCCCACTGCTTCGCAAACGCCTTCAAATCGTCCCTACGCGCCATCCGCCCGTCATCCAGCACGACCTCGCAGATAGCCGACACGGGCTGTTTCCCAGCCAGCTTTGCAAAGTCCAGCGCCGCCTCCGTGTGGCCCACCCTGTTCAACGTCCCTCCGCGCACCGGTTTCAACGGGAAGATGTGACCGGGCCGGTTGAAATCCTCCGCCTTGCATGCCGGGTTGGCCAAAGCTTTTGTGGTGGTGCTCCGATCCTTTGCCGAGATGCCCGTTGTGGTTCCGTGCTTGTAGTCGACGCTGATGGTGTATGCTGTGCGCATGCTTTCGGTGTTGTTGGGGACCATCAAGGGGAGTTGGAGTTCGTCGAGACGTTCTGGAGCTACTGTTACGCATATCAGCCCGCTGGTGTAGCGGATCATGAATGCGGCCTTTTCGGGGGTGAAGTCTTCGCCGGCTATGATGAGGTCTCCTTCGTTTTCGCGGTCCTCGTTGTCTACGACTACCAGGAACTCTCCATTGCCTGTGGGTGTTTCGAAACGTTAAGTTATGGACAATGTTCGGTGGCAACAAGAGCGAGAATCTTCGGCTATGAGCGGCCACTTACGGAAAGCCTCAATGGAGTCTTCGATGGAGTCGAACTCGGAAGCCTGTTCGCCGTTTGGAGTTGGGTTTGCCATTGCGGGGTCGGGTGGATACTGCTAAACTGCTATAGAGTGAGAGAACTCGGAGGGTGCGAGTTCTGCGACAAGGTCTAAAGAGGAGTGAGGGGGGCGAGTGAGGGAGGAGGGCGGGAGGGCGGTTGCGATGACTCTGAGGGCCTCGGAAGTTGCAAGAACTTATAGCAAGCAGTGTTTTGCTCGGAAGCGGGTGTTGGTTGACAAAGCACAGATACAGAGTGGGTAGCTCGGAAAGCCGGCGGGCCTCTCGTCGTTCGCATGTGTTGTGTCCCTTCCGTCGTCTCCCTGTCGAAATCCCACATGTTATGACTCACTCGCTCGCAACTGACGGCACCTTCAATCAACTGCTGCGTGCTTTCCCCACGCCAACACGACCGCACACGCTGCTTTCAAAAAGACGCCGTGCTGGCAATATACGGACACTCTGTTGTATAGAGGCGTCGGAGGAAGGAACTTTGTACATCATCCCATTCTCCCCAAGTGGCACTGCCCCATAAATTCCCGAATGAGTGTAGTCAAGCGCCTGCTGAAGAGTGCAAGGGAGGCAATAACTAAGGAGAACTACGCAGATGCAAAGGACTACTGCGTTGATATCCTGGACAGCGAACCCGAGAACTACCACGCTCTCGTGTTCTTGGCATTAGCGGAGCAGCATCTTGGGAACACGCAGGATGCTGAAAAGGCATATACGAAGGCTATCAAACTCGCGCCGGAGAATCCTCTGGCTCTTCAGGTGCGTACCGCGAGTGGAGCGACAGCGAGCCCAATTCCGCTGGAGTCCGAGCGAAGGGAGGCGCAAGAATGCTTGAGGGTCCGAGCGAAGCGAGGAGAACGCGAGCGGCAACGAGTCCCATTGCGACGGAGGCGCAAGAATGCTCGAGGATGGCGAGCGTCAGTGAGCCGAGCTTATTCTTGCTTCGTTCAATCTCTCGCCGTTCAGTCTCTCACCCAACATCCTTGTCGGGAGCGGAGCGAGCAGGGTATTGTTATGTTGAAGGGTCGTTGATGGTCCGCGTTCGATGGTTGATGGTTGATGGTTAATGGTTGATGGCTGAAAGGTTGGATGGGTCTAATGGCTGATATGTGATGGTCAAACTCACGCTCGCGACGTCAACAGGGCTTAGCGAATCTATACACGGAAACAAAGGACGATGAGAAACTTGTAGGAGCATGGAATCAGCTGAGAGCCTTGTTCAGAGAAAAGTGCGCCTTTCACCTCCATTCATCTCTCATGTTGGAATCATCGAGACTGACAAGCATTTTGCAGCAAAGACGAAAAGAAGGCTCTGGACATCACCAACAAGTTGGTTGACCTGCACATCCGAACAAACAACAAAGCGCAAGCCGCCTCTGTCCTCAAGGATTTGACACCTTGTGGCGCTTTCCATGACAATACCCAGGACAATCTCGCGGTGTGGACGCGGATTGCAGACCTCCAGCAGCAGCATTTTGATGAGACGTACACAAAAGAAGTGGAACTGCGGCGGCGACGACTGGATGCGGACCCGGTTGACGTGGTGCGGAGCAAAGTGGAAAAGGAGGTGCTGATGGCGTCAGAGCTCGATGAGACGTACGCGAGCATCCTGGAGATCACAAAAGAACGCGCAGATGCGGGAAGTTCGCAGGTCTACACAGACATAGGCTCGCGCTACGTCGAGTACCTGAACCGCAAAATACCCCACGTGGCTGACGAGGACAAACTCAAGATGTACATGAGCGCTGTCAGTCTAGCGAAAGAGTTGGCGACGCGCAAAGCAACATCTGCACTGGTGGGCGAGATCATCCTCGATAGCCAGGATGTCGCCATCAACGAGTATCCCATCGAGATCATGGATATGGTAGCCACCCTTCCCTCATCTGATCTCGCACCTATCGCCACCGCGTATCTACGTTGGAGGAAGGACCACGACCCGTCAGGAGCTCTCGAGGAGATTCAGAGCCTCCCAAACCGTACCGCCCCCTTCTTCACCCAACGCCTTCTAGGCGAGCTACATCTCGAACTCCACCAGCACGGCTCAGCCCACGACCACCTGATCGAAGCCACTGCCATCGATAAAGCCTTTGTGGACCGCACCGGCTACGACCGGCCCACCCTGCAACAATCCCTCCGTCTCAGCCTGGCTACCGCCTACGAGCACCTCGGCGCGAAATACCTTCCCCAAGCACTGGCGCTCTACAAAGTCGCCTTGCAGCAGCAATCGGACAGCGTGCCGGCATTACTCGGGCTAGGAGCCGTTCTGGCGGCCATGAACAAGTACGAGGAGAGTACGAGGTGTTACGAGAAGGTATTGCAGGTGGCGCCGGATGTGCATGCTGCGACGGCGGGGTTGGGGTGGGTTACGTATTTGAAGGGGGACACGAGCAAGGCTGCGGAGCTTTTGGAGCAGGCGCTGCAAGGGAAGGAAGATGCGCTTACGCTGTTTCGATTGGGATGTGTTTATTGGGCTATGGGTGGTATGTACAACGGATCGATTGTCACATTCACTTCATTTTGGCAGCCATGCTGAGAATAACCCCGCTTTTTTTTTTGGAGACACCTACCGCGCCGATGAAACCCGCTGTTTCACCCCCTGGCTCCACTCCGCAAAACTCGACCCCACCCACGCGCCCACATTCTCCCACCTCGGCCACTACTACCACCAAATCGCCCACGACAAACGGCGGGCCCTCCGCTGCTACTCCCGCGCCCTGCAGATCGACCCGGGCGAACCAACCGCCGTCCGCGCCTTGTCCCGGATCTACATCCTCGACAACGACGTCATCTCCGCCCAAGCGATCCTCAATGCCTACCTCCACCGCCACCCGCGTTGTGCATGGGCCCACAAACAATCAGGCTTCCTATCCCTATCACGCGGCGACCATGTTACGGCAATCACGCATTTCCAGTCCGCGCTCCGCGTAGACGCCAAGGACGTGCGGTGCTGGGAAGGTCTCGGGGAAGCGTACGCGACCGATGGGAAGTTCGTCGCGGGGTTGAAGGCGCTCAAGCGCGCTATCGAGCTCGAACCGGAACAGCAGTCGGCGAGTTTGCATTACCAGGTTGCGGGGATATACCAGCGGTTGGGCATGTACACGGACGCGGTGGATGCGTACCGCGCTGCCCTTTCGCTGGCGGAGACGAACACGGACGAGAGGGGTGGATCGAAATTGCATGTACCGACCGTGAACGGGCTGGCCGAGACGCTGGTGGCCGAAGCGAGACGGGCGTTTGAGGAAGGCGGGGATGGACGGTGTGCGGAGCTGCTTGGGGAAGCATTTGGGATGATTTCCGGGGCGCTGGAACGGACGAGGATGCATGCGTTTGCGAAGATGTTGGGGGATGTGTGTCTTGCGTTTGTGGAGATGGTGCCGGCTTATGCGGAGAGGGGGGAGGTGCGGGCTGTGGTAGGGAGGGCGGTGGGGGTGGTTAGGGGTGTTGTGGGGGGGAAAACTGGGAGTAGAGTGGAAAATGTACAAGTTCCACCGGGCTCGGAGGGTCTAAACACGATACTGGAATGCGGGACAGCGGCGTTTGAATTGGCATTGCATCTCTGTGCCCGTCAACAGCACAAACCAGACCAAGATGAAAACCTTGCAACGGTTATCGCGGGCCACTGGCACGACCTCGGGCTCACCTACTTCCACCGCTCCCACCTCACCTCCACCCCAGCCTCGAAAATCCCACTTCTCAACCACGCGATCGCCGCCGCCAAAATGGCCCTCAAACACCACCCTTTACATGATATCTACTGGTCCACTCTAAGCATCTACACATCCCACACGCACCCCAAACTCGCCCAACACAGCCTCATCAAAGCCCTCACGCTCACCCCGACCTCCTCCGCCTCTCTGTGGTCCAACCTCGGCATCTTCTACCTCCTGCACAACAACACCGGTTTAGCGCAGGAGGCGTTCAGTAAGGCGTTGTTTGTTGACCCGGAATGTGCGCGGGCGTGGCTCGGGCAGGGGGTTGTTGCGGAACGGGGTGGGAGGAGGGAGGCGGCGTGGGAGAGTTTGGAGCAGGGGTATGGCCTTGTGGGGAGTGGCGGGGTGGAGGTTGGGTTCGTGTATGCGGCGGCGGCTGTGCAGAGGATAGGCAAAGGTGGTGGTGGTGGTGGAGAGACGGTGAGGTGTTTGGAGAGGTTTGTGCGGCAACGGCCGCGGGATTGGGTTGCGTTGAATCTTTTGGGGGTTGTGTTGGAACGAGAGGGATGGTATGAACGGGCGGTTGGGGCTTATGAGGGTGCGCGGAAGGCACTGGCTGCAACGACGGGACTTGGCGAGGAGGAGCGAAAGAGGTTTTGGGCCCAGATCACGGAGAACATCGCCCGCGTGCGATGCGCATCCCGCGATTTCGACACCTCCCTCACCGAATTCGCCACCCTGACCCAATCAACCCACGCAGGCGGCGACGCCTACACCGCCGTCACGCACGCCCTCGCACTGACATTCAGCGACGCCCTCCCCGAAGGCCTCGCCCAATTCGAAAAAGCCCTCGACCTCGCCTCCGATGATACCAACCCGGACCTGCACAACTACGTCACCTTCATCCTCAGCAGGGTGCTCTACGCCCTGGGGACCGACCAACACCGCTCACTGGCCACACAACAGCTCCTCGCCTGCCTCGCCCGCTCACCGGGCCACGTCCGCGCCCTGTCCACCCTCTGCGCGCTATCCCTCGTACAGGGGGACGTGCAGCTCGCCCAAAGCGCGGCCGTGGAGCTGATCAACATCAGCGAGCCTGAGAAACTTGGGGCGGCGGATACGGACGTGGATGTGGTTTTGAGCGCGTTGTTTGCGTGTCTGGGGAATAGGAAGGCTGCCAGGGGGTTTCTGAGTAAGAGCGTGCGGAGACGGCCGTGGGTTGCGGGGCGGTGGAGGGTGTTGGCGGACCATGTGGGGAGGAGTAACCCGACTGCAGCTTGTGGGAGGGTTGCGGCGGCTGCGACGGTTGTTGGTGGTGGGGACGGGGACGGGGACGTGTTGGGGGTGGAGACTGTGGGTGTGGTGGATTTGGCGCTTGGGAAACGGGAGGCGGGACGGACGTTGATGAAGGCGGTGAGGGCGCGGCCGGGAGTGGCGAGGACGTGGGTGGCGTTGGGGATGGGGTTGAGGGGGGAGGTTGCGCGTGGGGTGGATCAGAGCCGGATGGGTCCACTCAGCAACGCTATTGAGAAGACTGCCCACGCTGCCATCACCCTCTCCGCCCGCACGGACACCACAAGCAGCGCTCACGCAGCCCGCCGCACCCTCCTCATCGCCGGCTGGGCGCGCCTCCTCATCGCCGACGTTACCACCCTCCCCAGCACACCAATGGATCTCCCCACCCTGCAACTCACCGACGCGCTGATCTCAGAAGTCTTGCAGCTCAACGACGCGAACCTGCAGGCCGTGGCGTATAAAATCTTGGGCAGGGCGTTGTGGAAGGCAGGCGACGTGGGCGCGGCGGCGACGGCGTGGAAGCGCGCTGTTGGGTTGGGGCGCGGGTACGAGGTAAAGGAATATCACACACATTCACATGTATTCGTTTGGGTGGGTCTTCCGGGCGGGCAATGGGGGGCTGAACGTCTTTTTTCGGTTTGTTTTAGGAACTCGCATCCCTCTACACCCGCCTCGCACTCTACCCCGCCGCCACCCGCGTCTTCCACACCGCTCTCTCGGACTCCAAACTCACGCCCCTGCAACGCACCAACATCCTCACCCGCCTCGCGACCTTGCATCTCCTCACCGCCAACTCTGCGGACGCGGCCGAAGCCGTCAACGAGGCGTTGAAGGGGCAGCCCGGGCATGTGGCTGCACGATGTGTGCAGGCGGTGGTGTATGTGAGGAGCGGGGAGAGGGGGAAGGCTGGGAAGTGTTTGCGGGGGGTGGATCTGGAAGGGGAGGTGGGGGCGAGGGTGAGGGAAATGGTTGAAGGGGGGTTAGACGTGTAGGTAGAGGCGGGACGGGATTGTTGGGGGACTCGCGGTTTGGATAGTGTACCGACGGTTCCCCCGTGTTATATCGATAGAAACACGGCGTAATGCATCGGGACTTTTTCGTTACGCGATCGCATGATCGTGTAGACAAGGCTGGTCAATGTGCGAATCCATTAGGTATATATTGTGCACAAGTCAGAAAGCACAAGGTCCCCCCCCCCTCCATCATCCGTCCCAAAACCCCGCTTAAATATCAAAGGTCAAATTCTACCCCCGCCGAGTTCCATCAAAATTACTGGGTACCACCATCCCTGTCGAGCCACGGTAGTGGCAATACATGCCGAACTGAGACGCGGCGCCGGAATGGCCCTACGCCTTCAAAACCTTGACCATCTCACTCCTCGCCAAAAAGCCCTTCCCCGGCTCCAATTTCTCATAGCTCCCTCCGCCCCCTCCGCCGACCGCGGTCGCCGGAGACACGGCATCCACATGCTTTCGTTTCGATGAAGCGAACGCGAGCACGCCGAGCACGACGACGAAAGTCGCGCAGCCTTTGACGGTCGTGAAGCATTGGTGCGCGTCCTGGGCGCAGAAGAAGTAGTCGCTGAGGGTGAAGACGAGGACGGCGCGGAGGGCTTGGATCACGCCTACGTAGACGCCATAGAGCCTGAGCCTGGATGCACATCTCAACCACGTAAACACAAACCCACGGCTAACGTACCAGTAGCAACCGCCCCCGTGCTCTCCAACAGCTGGAAATACGTCACGTTATGCGCCAGCGAGCTCACGCACAGCGCCGCGTACAGGCTTATCACGCCTGAATCGTTCAGCGGCATCGCGCGCAGCGTCGGGAGGGACATGAACCCCATCACGGTGAAGCAGATGAGGGTGCTGTAGGTGCCGAGCCAGAAACATTGTTGGCGCGGGGAGGAGGGGTGTGGGGAGGAGGTGATCATGTAGTCGTTTAGGGTGTAGACGCCGGAGTAGATGCAGGTTCCGGTAAGGGTTATCAGGAAGCCTAGGAGTGGCTGCGTTTCTGTGGGATGGAATGCATCGTGTGGGGTCAGCAATTCGGCTCCTCCCCCCCCCCCCCCCCCCCCCCAACGCGTCGAAAACATTCAACAACCGCCCCGCATGTATACTCACCTGACGGATCATGTTCCCCCTCCTCCTCCCGCGGCTTATCCAGCGCGTTGATTGAGAGCCCGAATGTGATCACTAGCACGCCGACTACTTGTCCCAGGTTCAATGACCGGCGAAGGAAGAGCCAGCTGAAGAGGGCTGTGAAGACTACCATGGATGCGTAGATGACTTGGTAAAGCTGTGTATCCGCCCGACAAGAGACAGCGGTTAGGGTGCGTGATTCCAAGTGCATGGTCGATTCGCCCCTTTCAAATCCCCAAGTCCGACGAGTCTCTGCGCTCTCGTCTCTTACCCCGCTTCCAACAGAGAACTGTCCAATGGTCAGCACCAGGTTCCCCAGCACATCCATAACAGCGACCAAAAGCACTTTAGGGTGCTCGACTGAAGACACTGTACTATTTATGAGTGTTTTAGCAAGATGGCAATACCGTACCCGCAAACAAAAATCATCATGCAGGATCGTATCAAACTCCGCGCACGAAAAGCCCACGGTACATTCGAAACCCCACCTGAAAGCCTCCGCTTCTCAGACTTGGGTGCCGGGATGAGAATAATGGCTATCATACCAATGTACGTGGTGAGGACTGTCAACATCGATTTTCCGTCTACAAAACGCATACGTTGGGCACGATGAATTAGCAACCCTTCTCCCACCGTCTCCCGACACCGCTTTTGAAGAACATACCTGCAGCACCCTATATATAACGCGCGAGAGGAGGGTCGGAGTATGCGCGCGACAATGAGTTCCAGTGCTTCAACAAACAGATCCCACCGGGACATGACCCCACCCCACTCACCATATAATGCAGTTTCTGTATTCCCAGGGTAGAGAGCAGACCGGTGGCGAGGAAGAGTATCTGGTTCCATAACACTTTGGAAGTGGGTGCTGCTTGGCCTAATATTGGCGGTTGGACGCCAGCCATCTTGTCGGGTTGGCTGTCGGACAAGGGGTAGGAGATGCCCGCGGGTTGTTATGAAGGCTATGAGGGTCTTGGTTGCTGAACGTGTGGAGGAGGGTTGATGCCCCACTAGTTGGAGAAGATGGTATGGGGGGGGGGGGGGGGGGGGGGGTGCAACTTGACCTTGGAAAGTTGAGCGGCATCTGAGTTCAACTGTCAACGTCTCCAACGTGATTGTGTCCCTTTGGAATTGCGGCCGCTAGGGCTGCGCACGCACTCGCTCGACACCGCACATGGACAGACAGACTGCCCCTGTCCTCATCTAATCCATCCACCGGCATAGACATTATGCATTCATGTGCTTGAGAAATAACTTTGGGACACCTCACAGGAGTTGGAGGTCACTTGGTCGAGGGCCAAAGCGAACGCGTCAAGCAAGATTCGCGTCCCTTCCGCCGCATGTCTGCCTACAACACATGCATGTTTGCAAGACCCATTTTCGACGTTGCTGCTGGGCCCGCCAACACACAAAAGATCTTAAATGATTACGTGCGCCGGGGAGGAACATATCTGCATATCCCCATCTCGCGCCTACCCCCGGCCACCGTAACTCTCCGGCTCAGTACCCAATCCCCAACTATGATACAAGTGTTCCAGGAACGGGAGATCCCTCGCTGATGTGTCGAGAGCCATTGGCTTCATAGAAAGGCCCCTTCCATGCAACGACACCACACTCCACCTGGAAGCAGAGCAGCAGTTCCCTCACCCTTCCAAAACCAACCCATCCTCACCTCTCCCACCTCACACCCACCCCCCATTCCCCCCCCAAAAAAAAATCACATCAGCGCATCATCAATACTCCACTCCACCCCATTCCCTACCCCCACCATCCCCGTCCCCACTCCCACCGTTTTACTCTGCACCTCCTCCAGATTCACGTTCGCCATACTCAGATCAAACAGCTGTTCCAGCGATGTATCCGCGCGGTCGGCCGGGAAGAGCACGTCGGATTCGGCAAACACCCCGCGCTCAAACTCTTCCACGTCATCGGCGTCGAAGAGCGCGCCGAAGGGGTCGTCGAGGCCGGAGGAGGGAAGGACGTCGGGGGGTGATTGTAATGCTGGGGCTTGGGACGAGGATGATGATGGTGGTGGTGGTGGTGGTGGTGGTGGTTGAAAAAGCCCGGATGTGGGATGCGGTTGTTGCTGTGGTATTGATTGTGGTATTGACGCCAGCGCTTGGGAGGTGCCAACTAGTGGTGGTCTCCGCGTCTCAGACCAATGGATCCTGTAATGCGCGTTGAGGAGGCCTGCTGTTCGTAGGGCGGCGACGTTAAGCGCCGGATCGTGTTTTGTGCGGGCTTTGGAGGACCAGATGTTGGACAGGTGCTCTACACCTGTTGCGTGCGGGGTGATTTGGAAAAGGGTGATGGCGAGGCGTTTGAGGTCGAGGGTTTCGGCGGTGGTGGGGAGCGCGGTCCAGTAGGTGCGCACGTTGAGGCCTTGGTCGAAGTTGTAGGGCGCGACGTTGTTGTGGTATAGTTCGATCTGCGTGAGCGAGAGTCAGATGAGACCCAAGGGTTCACTTTCCTACTCCAAGATCCCTGTGACACTCACCTGCTGCGTCAACCTGCAAGCCTCCTCAAAGGTATACTTCCACCTCCTTGACACCCCCAGCACCATCCTCGTCACATCCTGCAGCGGTATCTTCTTCGACGTCGCAGCCCTCCGATACGGCGGCGACAAGAAAAACGCAATTACATACACATCATCCCAAAACACTCTCGCCCTCCTCGACACAATACTCATGCATTCCGCGCGGATCGTGTTAAACAAGCCCGGCAGCGTCAGCGACCCGAGTTCGCGATACACTTTCGTCAGTTCCTTCCATATGTCGCCGAGATGGGTGTCGCGGGACTCGAGGCGGCGGATGGCTTCGAGGATCGGGGTGAGCAGGGCGATGATGCAGTGGTTGTCGGCGAAGTGGCGGCGATCGGCGAGGATTTCGGGGATTTTGTCGGGGAAGGAGGGGGTGTCGCTTGGTCGGCTTACGTGGAGCCGCCAGCAATGTTTAAAGCCGTCTTCGTAGGTTTGGATTTTGTAGCAGACCTTTTTTCCATGCGAGGAGATGGGAAGTATCAACGACCTCTGGATGCACACACGCTGCTGAATCCGCAGAGGCTCCGCCGTACCTTACTGATGGAGCACCACCGCCCATCGCTATTGATCTCCGCGGCAGGTGTCAGCCCATTCTTATGCCTCCAGTCATGCAACCGTTCCGACCAAAACGGCGACCCCAGAAAGAACTTTGCCAACTTCTTATTCGTCCGCACTATCGGGGCCACGCATTCGTGTTCCAGGATGTCCTTCACGATGCGGTTGAACACATGTAAACAACACGTTACGCCGAGGATATATGGGTGTGTTTGCGCTAGGAGCGACCGGACGCCGAGCAGGACGTCTGAGGAGTCTGATGCAAAGGCGATCACTTGGTGCAGCCCCAGGCTGTGCTTTTGTAATGCCTTCTCCACCGCCTCCCGTATCCCATCCGTGGTATGCCGCGTTCGACTCAGCTCCAAGCTCTCCACCAGCTCTTTCAGGACATCAGCTCGCGAAAGCATGAGCGCGTATGTACTATTCCCTGACAGATCCACAAACCCATCGAGAGACAGCGTCATGTTCTGCTCTGGCCCCAGTTTCTGCATCACCGACTGTTCATACTCTGTATTCAGCAAGGGCAGCAAGCCTCGACCGATGATCTCCTGCGCCGGTGGGTGGAAGGGTATCCTCGCGAGCCTGCGCTGGTAATCCTGGAAGTACGGATTGCTCAACAGCCGTAATGGGACGTTGGCGGTGATGAGCGCCTTCGATAACAGGACATACAGCGCCTGCTGCTCGGACTTTTTGTTGATCTTCAACAGGTCAGACATGTCGGCGCCGTCCTCCAGTTTGCGCTTCCGTGGCACGGGCACACTGCCAGGGAATTCAATAGTGAGCAAGAGGGACCTCTCTAACCAGGGTCTCGCTGTTGGTTGGGGGCAACCACCTACACTGGCGTATTCTCCAACGACGCATCCGTCATATCGCCCACCGTCTTCACCACCCCGCTCTCCTCCAGCACCTTCGACAAATACTGCCTTTTAAACTCATGCGGCACCTCCGGACAGTCCTTCATGTGCTTGCACAGCTTATCCGGTTTCCCGTTTTTATACACCTTATGGCAGAAGGAACACTTTGCCATGTGCCGATTCGACGGTTTTACGCGGTGTTGAGACATCAGGAACCCTTCCCACCGCGTGCCGTGCGAGTCGGACGGGTTGACCCAGACTACCTCCGTGAGTGGGACGGTCTCATGGCTGTGGCCGTGGCCGTTGAGGGCGGGGTCGTCGGGAGTCTCCATGGCTGCTACGTGGGAGAATTGGATACGCGGTCCGTCCTCCGATCCTTATCACTGGAAAAGCGAAGGCATTAGTAACTGAAGCGACCCAGATTCGTCCAGAAGAAGCGTAGCGCTCTCTCTTCAGCGCTGCTGGCGACGCTCACCAGGTAGCTTATTGTCTCGGACAACTGGAAGTCTGAGTGAAACTTAGACGACTCCGGCAATTGGGCTACAGTCGTTGTCAGGTTGAACAGGACGTGCGCACTCGGGAAACAGCTATGCTCTCCCTCTCTCTGAGGGTCTAGCCTCTATTGGCTGAAGTTGGGGTTAGTATAGACGATCTTGGGTCGATGTCGAGAGCGCGGACGGAAGAGGTCCGTGTGCGAGAATGGGGGCTGCGAGAAAGGCGAGAAAAGGCGGAGGTCACCCCGCGCCCTCCAGCAGTTTCGACAACACGACTGTCAATGCGTCGCTTCCTGTTTTTTCTGCTGCTTCTTTCTGATTGTTGCGGCGACAGACAAGTCTGAGAAACTCGTCGAAGGTTGGTACCACTTCAGGGTGAAGCGTATACTCTCGTAGATGCACATGCAGTTTCTTCTCCCGCTCCCTCATCTGCATTTAATGCTAAAGAAAATGGTCAGACGCAGACAGCTATGTTCATCAAGCCTTTCCATCTGCATCTCCGAATGGCCAGGCACTCGAACCCTGCGTCTCTGCAGGAAGGCACGAACTCAAATCGCATCACCTGGAAGGTCAGTGCGATTCCTCTAAATAGCGTACAGGAAACAGTGAAGCACCTGTCATTGGGTCGTGCACCAAGCTTATGCCTACGGGCGAGATGTTGGTCCCCGCCTCAACGCACCCGCTCGAGCTACGCGACGCGTCTCAACGAAATATCGCCCCAGTCCCAATCCAGCAAATATGGACTGCTGGAAACTTGGCACTTGCAAAGCACAGCCAATCCTGTTATGGAAGAGGCGAACCCGGCCCCTGTGTGATCGCAAACGAACTAGGCAGCAACAGTATTTGTATTTCAGACAGACGTTCATAACGCCACCATTCTATGAGGCTCACAATGATTATACACCTCCTCTCCTCACTACTCCTCAGTCCATCCCCACGCCCTCACCCCCACCCTCATGAAACTCCACCGGTGGATGTTTCCTTGGCCTTCCCGGCTTCCGCTTCACAGCCGCCGGAACAACACCCAACGCCTGATTCCTCTCCCGTTCCGCCAGGTCCTTCTTTGAGGGCCGCCCGCGTTTCTTTGGGATTATGGCCGGCGGGAGGAGTAGTATGTCCTTGGGCTCGGAACCCGTTTTCTGTGGTTGAGCGTATCGTTGGGCCTGCTTATCGGGACTCGGCCTCGGTGCGCTTCGGACAGAGGGGGCGCGGTTCAGCATTGTTTCGTCGTGACCGTGTCCGCCGTCTCTCTCTTCAACATGTCCTCGACCGTCATAGTCCGACGGCCAAGGCGGGTGCGGGCCTGGGTAGTGCCCAGAAGCAGTGGGCGGTGGGTACGACGGCCATCCCGGCGGAGGTGGAGGCGGGAGGTATCCGTGCCCGTAGTGAGGGTACGGGTAATAAGGGTGCGCGTTTCCGTCCTGCGGGGGCCATCCAAAGGAGCTGCGTCGGCGTGTCGAGGACGGACTGTGCGGCGAATCGCTGCGCATTGAGTATCGTCGGACGGGGTCGTGGGGCCGCCGCGTGTCCACCTCACCCTGCGGAAAGACGACACTGTCTTGCGACGTGACGCCTGTGGAGTTGCTTCCGGCGCTGATTTCCGAGTGGAGTGGAGGTCGGTGTTCCTGTGGGTACGGGTGGTGTGGGGGCGCGTAAGGGTGCGAATATGGGTAAGGGTTTCGCCACGCAGCCGGATCGTAATGATTCGGGTGGGAGTAGGGGGTTGGTCGCGCGTCAGACGACGAGGTGGGCCGTCTGTGCGATTCGCCTGTATCTGATGCTCCCACGTCGTTTGAGGGTGACACGTCAGGCTGGGAGTAGTAGGGGTAAGGGGAGTAGCCTTGCGCTCTGGGCAACCAAGGTCGAGCTGAACCCGACCGGCTTTCCGCGCCACTCCGCGTGCGAGATCGGGACGTTGTTCCGGATTCGCGACTCCAGGTGTCCAGCGAGCTGCGTGCTTCTCGGATGATGGCGTCCAGTTCGTCGTTGCAGATTCCCGGTATGGATTGGTCGAATGAGGAACTGCTGCGCTTCCCAAGGAGAATGGAAGGATATGGGAACCCTCCTCTTCTCGCACCTTTCCCATCATCTTCTTCAAAACCCGTCCGATGGGCATAATCGAAACTCCCGTGCCTGCTTGAGAACTCCATGTGATCGGGCATGTATCTGCCGGCTACAGCGGGACGCTCACCATCTCCCTTCGACGAAGCACGGTGTGAGAGCACCGGCCTATCCGTCAGGCTCTGCATCGTGCCTTTCGACCTTCTCCCAGGAGACGCAGACGGGGCGCGTGGAGGGTAAGCGGAACCAGGCGCTGCATCCTTCGCGCTGCCATCTCGTCGATTCCATAATTTGACACCCCTTGGCATCGTAACGGAGTCGGATGGAAGGCCTATATGTTTCGATCGCGGAGACGGATCGGTTCCAGCAGGCCCGGTACGTGTCGTGTGATCCCCGTCCTCGCTGGTCACGTCCGAGCCACTCCCCGCGACGTCGTCCCCATCAGAAAGCAACGAACTGCCGCCGGAGGTGGTAGGAGTGTGCTTATGCGGCACAGGCTGCCCAACATCGATCGGACGTTCCTCCTCGGCCAGCCGAGATAGTGCATCCTTCGACCGCCCTTTCGTTTTAACAGTGGACCCGGCGGCAGGCACTGTGGTAATTTCGTCTCGGGCAACGAGGGTACCGAGCTGAGCTAGTTTCCTAGCCCTTTCGGTCGGGGTACCGGAAGAACCGGGGATGTCCAAGGAGGCAGATGGAGCTGACAAACGAACAGGCTCCGGCTTCAACGGCGGCGCATTCACGTCATTCAGACTGCCCTTCTTCCCCCGCTTTCGTGGAGGGGCGCCCTGCATCGCGCGAATTCGCTTTCCCTGATGCGAGAGCTTTTTGGCCGTTTCCCAAGCCGCAACCACCAAACTTGTCTTGCGAACCCCGTCCCACTCCCACCCATTCTCAATGTGCATGCGACGCATGGAGTGGAGGTACCATTTCAGTGACGAGAGCTGTATCTCGCCCCGTCCCATTCGCTCGGACTGGATATCGATATACTGTGCGAGGTTTTCGGAGGAAATGGGAAATGGGAGTCCGTCGGCGTTCAGGAGGCCGTACTGCATCAATACCGCGTGCGTCGTGCGGAGGTTCTGCGCGAGACCCTTCCTGCTGGCGTCCAACGCTTCATCTGTTGGATGCGCAACGGAGGGTTCCGGTTCCAAGACTGGGGATGGGAAGTTCTCTACCGCCTCCGCTGGTATCGGCACCGGGTGTAGGCCGGCCAGTGGTGCAGAATGTGATCTGTGACGTACTTCCTCAGGCGACGGTGTCACCTTCTGTGATGTTCGTCGCGAGCGATCGTACGATTCTCGGCTGCTGGATTTGCGTCGGTCTCGACGCTCCTCCGATGTTATCGATGTCTCGGAATCGGATAGCGAATCGTCCGCGGACGACAAGATCCCTGATGACGACTGGGATATGCTGGATAACACAGACCGAGATCTAGATCTTCTTCTGGAGATGTAAGAGCTCGAACTGGAGGAGATGCTATGATCGGGATAGCAAGAAGTTTTCATTAAGCAAGGCTCTCATAATGAGAGCATCAGGAGAATGAAGGCACTTACGAGTCCGAGTCATATGTTTTCCTCGTTCTTTTATGCGACCGGGAGGAATCCGAGTCTGTATCGTCTGATATCGAGTCATATCGCCGTCGGGAGCTTTGCCAGCTGCGTCGTTCGCCCATGTTCTTATCATTATCCATAGAACTTCTTTGTTCACCTCCACTCGCTCGCCATATACTTGGAGCTTTCCCAGTTTTAGCTCTCCTGCGCCCCAGAAGTGTTTGGCTGGGCACAGTTTCCAACGAGACCTTTATCCGGAATGGCGCACAGTTTCCGAGGGAATTGTCTTTCACCACCTCCGACGACGCTAGGAATGCGTTGCTGCCGTTCCCTACGCGATATAAGTCTTGCAAAACGACCAGCCTCTCGTCTTGCTTGCCGACACGTAAATAGTGTAATAGAGAGTCGAGGGGGCCGAAATGCGAATGTTCCCACGGCCAATGGTGCCCTTCCTTGGTTCGCGAACCGGCGATGCACGAGATATATTATATTAAGGCCTTGGCACACACCGTCCACAGCGGTAGGTATTCACTCACGAAGTATGCAGTTGGGGAGGGGCGCGATGTTGGCCTTTGCCGCTGGGAAACAGCCTCTGGCAGACTACTATGTGCGGCCAACCAACGGCACGAAAAGGTTGTGAGGCACCTCTTTTCGAGTTTTCAACAAGTTCAAGCGCACAACGTGGGCGGATACTTTCGAACTGACAATTAATCCATACTGTATCATGAAGAAGAAGATTTGCATAACTTCCGAGAGAAGGTCTCGCCTTCATCCAGGCGGACGCAGCGGGGCTGTACCACGGGTAACATGAAGCACACATTCATATCCATCATGTTTACAGTCTCGCGCTAGTAGGCGCTACCACCACGGTAGGCTCCGAAATTCCGCTCGCCGCCGTCGCTCCAGAAGCCTCGGCAGCGGACGGCCCTCCCTGGACCCTGATCAGTGATGACAGGCCCATCGTTTACTCTGCAAATATGGTATCAGTATCGCTTCGATTCATCAGCGGAAAGTACAAGGATATTCCCAACAATTTGACTATGAACTCAATACCCGATTATGGCGATCAAGTCCGATCTCCATGTTCAAAAATGGCGGTTACCGAGGCTCGTCCCTCGGACCTCCAGAAGTGTGCGCTTACCGTGGATCGCACCCGGGGAGCTGGCCCACGGTGCCCTCGTGCTCGACAGCGGCTTAGGTGAGCTGTCAGATCTAAGCTCAGCTTTAAAATGAGCCGTGACCTCGTCGGAAGCACCAGCTGCCAAGATGTCAAATGTGCACTGCGCTCATGCCCAATGAGGCGGGAGAGCAAAGCGAGAGAAAGCAGTTGCATGCAATTCATACTAAATGACTGTATGACCAGAATGAGGGTATGCGCTACGGCTGTATGTAAAGGCGAGGGGAGCATAGGTTGAACATCCTACGCCGTATTCTTTAGAACTAAAGTAGACGACTTCAGTGAGGGGCCAGTAGTGTATTCGACGCCCACCCGCCCTGTCCGCTTGAATTTGCCCATCTATTAGGCTAGGCGGAACAGAATAGAAGGGCATTTAAGCGGACAGGGTGGGTGGGCGTCCCAGACCAGGAACCAGTCCAGCTGTCCCCTCTCCATGGAGATGACTCCGGTCAATGCACGACGGAACACAGCATCTGTTTCCGGGCTTTTCACGCAGGCATGAGCAAGCGGCGGAGCGTGCGGGCGGACAGCGCTTTTCGCGTCTCTGAGGCTACGGGCTCGGTATACGCTCCTGACAGTTCGAAGCTGGTCGCCGCGTGAAAATCCGTGCGCAGCGACGTCGGTTACCTCTCCTCGACGGCAACTGGCTACCGCCGTCTTCCAGTCATCGTCCAGGAGATGGACGTCGGACGGCAAATCTGCGGTTTCCGAGGAAGACCAGGACGGGCCCCTGCCCATTCCAATACATTTGTCGAGCTCCGGTAACATGCGCCTCTGCCCAGTTCATTGCTGAGGTCAACGAGGGTGTAACGTAGAAAGCGGTTTGTTCCAGAAGGCCAAAATCGTGTGCACCGTGGAACTGACGCATGAGAGTGGCGTTTTGGCCACCAGATCGGATTGCCTATATTCGACTACACGCGTGGAAGAAAAGCTCATACTCGGCTGTGCCGCCTGCAGCGGTGGTCGCGACTGCCGCAAACTGCCAATGAGCTTGGAGAATATCGTTCAGGTTGTCCATTTGCTGTCGGCGCCACTTGCCGACGGCATATCTACCATATTCTAAAAGGGTACGCGGAGCTCCAAATCGTGGCACCATTGCCGAGTAACTTCCGGCTGGAAGGGAAAGCCCTGACAACGGTTTCCATCATACCCCCCGACAGAAACAATACGATCCAGTTCACAAGGATGTCTACCTGGAAACCTTCGTCGCCGATCCAAGCGCGGAACGCAACGGCGATCTCCGCATCAAAACCGAAATCGTTCAATGCTGTGATAGTTCGCTGCGGTGCCGAAGACCCATGATGAAGTTCGTCGGATTTCAAGGCAGGAGATTTATACGTCTTCCAGAAATGCTGCCAGACCAGGTCGTCGGGTTTGACGTGAGCTTACGTCCCATGTCGTCCCTATCTTTCTGTCCATCAGCTGAGATGCAAGGTGCCATGCATGACCTCACGTGTCTCCAATAAACTGGTGAGGGGGGTCCGACCGCGAGGGAGTCCTGCGCCACATGAGGCGTCCGATTTCTGGACACGCAAAGTCGCTGCTGCCCTTTCCGGCGAGGGCCAGCCAGCCAGCCAGCCAGCAAACGAACGGCGCACAAAGGGCAGCCACCACAACAACCAAACCCCCCCCTTTTTCGACTGTACTGTACGTTCGGACATCTCGTCCGGGGCTTGCTTCACTACGTACTCAGAAACGTCACCCAACCCCTCATACCCCTCCCTCATACGCTGTCGCCAAGAGGCTGCCTCCTGCCCGCCCTCATACAAACAACCAAGAGCAGAAAACGGTCCTCCGTGTCCGCCTGTCTGGACATAGGGCTTTTTCTCATCGCTTGGGTCCCGCCAGTGACATTTTCCCACCGTTCGTCAGCATAGTCCATTGCTTCTTCGCTCCCCAAGGCAGTGCCGCCAACTGTGAGTTCTCTCGAAGGGTCGGTGATTGTTGGTCCTGCGCGTCACTTGGTCAGGAAACTCTCCGCCGGACGCCGCGAGGGCTGTATACATGCAACTTTAATGCTCACATCACGCTTACTTATGATAGGCAACTGCTACCTTATTGGCCTAACCTCAACCTAGTCCTTTCCGCTGGTGCAAGCAAGTTATTTTCCTTGCTCTTCGTCGAGTAGTCTGCCCATCGAGTTCCCTAGCCGTCCAACCGTCTCCCTTGGGCTTCCTTCCACCGGGCGAAAAGAGTTTCTTTCACTATACCTCAGCTACTCGCCACAATTTCCTCCACCGACGACCTTCCCCTTCCTCCGGACGACGCCGCGCAAAGCCTTCTGGCGCTACACTCACAACCATCTTTTGCTTCTACCGAACGAACCAGTACTAGTCTTTGGGAAATCGAGAGTAGTGCGACCAACGAGGGAGTTGCGTTCTCGCAAACCTCCGAGTCAGCGGAGCAAATCGCATTCGACGGAATTGGCAGCGAGACTGTGCTTGCGCCGAGCGAGGTCCACGCAGCTGGTCAGTTGTTGGCATTGCAAAAGTCGCGCAGCCACTTGTTGAAAGTCAAATTAGAGGGCACCGACTCTGGGCAGCAGAATAAGGAAAAGGCTCGCAGACGGAAGAAGAAAGGTATAGTATTGTCAAGTTTTGGGTTATCTTTTCTTTCGCCGTCGCAGCATGTCTAATGCTTAGGTGACAGTTTCGAGTGATCCCCCATCACCAGCTCCATCATCTCCTCGCAGTCAGGAAAGTGTTAACACCTTAAATATGGGAGAGGTACCTCAAGCTCTACCGTCACCTGAGAAGGAAGCTGTTGGTAGACGACCATCGTCTGCGGAGAGCAGCGGCAAGAGTGCTGGGAAGAAAGCCTCCAAGAAGAAGAATGTTGAGCCCAAACCTGAAACATGGAAACGGCCACTTTCAATGGGCGAGGCCGACCTGAAGGCCCTGGACGAACACAAGCACAAGATTCTGAACGAAACAAAGAACGTGTCGTCCTTTGTGGTCATCGGACAAACCCTTCACGAGGTGTACTACGAGCAAAAGCGGATGAAGACACAAAAGGAGTTTCTGGAATGGACGAAGGCCCAACTTGGATTCTCGAAATCGACGACATACGAATACATCATCTCATACCGGATATACTCCGACATTGCCTCAAAGCTACCTGCGCAATTCCGACCGCCAATGTACCAATCACATTGCCAGTTGCTATCCAAGGTTCCGGCCAAAAAGCTCGTGGATACCTGGATCGATGTGTGTACGAATGCACCTAACGGAGTCATCACCACTGCGTTCCTCGAACACTTCTTGGAGAAAAACAACCTGAAGGTCCCCAAGTCTCGAGTAACATCCAACGGCGACCAAGACGACACCAAGAGTGAGATCACGAATATCGACAGATCATTATCAGACCTGACCCCTCTTTCGCAAGACCAAGCAAGCGTGTTCAGCGAACCCAAGGCCGAGCCACCTACACGAACGCGGAAGGCATCTGCGAAATCTACACCTCGCAAGTCATTGTCAGCAGGTGACGAAGGGAAACGGGCCACCCGCCGGACAGCCAGCGGGAAGAAACGGAGTCGGGAAGAAGACGATGACTCGGACTACCACGTATCTCCCCGCAAAAAGCATAACGACAGTCCCATCAAACACAAGCCCTCGCCCCATCGCAACGACTTCCGCGCTGTTTCCGCTCCTCCGCCGTTATCATTGGCCGCCCCCGATGTCGTTCCTGTCCTCCTATCCCCGCCAATGGACGCATCTCCAGACGAGTCCGCAGAGGTGAACGCGGACAATGCGCGTCCACGGATACCCTTCAGCGATGGCGTCATCTACGAGCTCTGCATGTCTGTTATCGGCAATCAGCGTTTCGACGTCGTGCTGCAAACGATCCAAGACTTCAAAGACGCAGAAGGCAAACCATGGCCCGGTCGCCTGTGGTGCAACCTATGCGGCATCCGACCTTTCTCCACGACCATGATCTACAGCGGCGCATCCCCATCGGTGCGTCAGATCTCATACGTGTGCGGCCTGGAGCGACTCCTAGAAGTCATCTTCACGAAGTTCGCCAACAAGGAGTTCTCCGAAGGCCTGTTCCTCATGAAAGCCGAGTTTGGAGCGGACTGGTTCACCCCGATATTGCAACACCCGTACTGCATCTTACCCAACAACAACGAGCCGACCTACCGCGCACACCCTCGCCCGTTCTCCACCCTCTCTGAAAACGGAGATGGCGTGATGGATACCGAGGAAGAGCAGGTGCTGCATTCACCGTATGAGAGCTATATTGTGTTTTACCTGGGGCCGAATGTTAAGGACTTTATTTCCGTGTTTCGGACTGCTGGGCTGATTCCTGGGGTAAACAGTTGGTAAGTCATCCACTCCGGCCATAAAGGAGTTTCCCACTCCCTTTGCAAATACTAACCTGTCGTCGAATTTTTTAGGTCCGCCGTAATGGACGTCCCAAGCATCCCCGGCATCTTCATCCCCGCCCCGATACCCGAACCCGAACATGGACATGAACGCGAAGAGCAACCTGCGCCCATGGACGAGGATGAGATGGAGACTGACAGCGCCACCGCCGATCTCGCCCACTTACCCCCGGCATTGAGCGAAGCCGCCTCGGCGTTGGTCGAAATTGCGCGCGTGGTGCCTAATGCGCCTGAGGCTGCTGCACATGCGGCATTGGAGTCGGCTTCTGAGGAGGCGCATCCGCCGTTGGAGCCGGATAGCGGTGTTGGTGCGGGAGTGAATGGGGGTGCGGAGTCGGAACCGGTGGAGCAGCATAAGATTACTGAGGAAGGGAAGGGAGTTGAGCAGATGGCTTAGCAGTTGCCAGGTCGTTCGTTCACTTGTCCCACAGGTATGCACTTCAAGGATTATGATTTCGGCTGTCGTGAGAGCATATACTGATAGTTCCCCATTCACCCAGTCTCAAGAAAATTCGGACGCTTTCACCTGCCCACCCCCTTTCTAAAACCCCATGGCGGTGCACACAAAAACGTTCATTGATACCCAATCCACCCTCACAAGGACGGAATCAACCCCCCACCCACTTTCCCCACCCCAGTATAAACAAAAAAAAAACCCTTCTCCGCTACCATAGTCACCACACCCCATGAGAAACACCCCGCAATCCAGGATGTCACACCCACACTCCCACCCGATTGTAAACAAACACTCCCACTCTCTACCTGTTTATTGACATCCCCCATCCCCATCCACGCACGCCGCTGTTGGTTGAGACATGGACGGGAAGGGCGATGTAAAAACCTCATCTTTTTTTTTATCACGAAATTGCCTCTTTTTTGCTGCGTTTTGAGCTTTTGGGTTTGGGGGCATATATTTCATGAGGAAAACTATCACGCAGTTTCCAAAAATGTGAGGGTCCCCCCATATGCAGATTGCACCGGCATGCAGGGGAGGGGCTTCACCGACTCTGATGAGCAGCTTCCCATGATCCAAAACTCTATGTACTACCACAACCCGGAAAACACAGCGAACCTCAAAACGCCTCCACATCGCACGTAGCGTCGCCCAGAAGGGTGGACATGCGATCGATCGCCGTCGTGAGGAGTTGTCGGACCTTGGGGGGGGGGGGGGGGTGGGGGAGAACAGAACCATGAATTACGACGCTGCACTCTTCACCCCCTCCGGGATGAACGAAGTGTATTGAAGGTGTGCATTTTCCATTTACCTCAGCGCGAAACGCAGCCCGATAGGCCTCCTCGCCCGCGCGCCGCTCTTTGCTCCAGCCGCGCGTGGAGTCCGGTTTCTGTCGTATCCATATGGCATGTTCATGAGGACCCCAGGTAACATCGCGCCCCCCATCTAACCTGCATCCGGACATTTTTCGGGGCTCACCTTCGGCCTGATGATCAGCTTTGACAGATTGAGCGGTGAATGCGTTACCGTCGTTTCCACTTCTACTTTCAAAAAAAAAAGGAGGACACATCAGTGGGCCCATCACCCAACCCCTCGGATCAAAACCTCCGCACCCCAACCTTTTCGAGCTACAGCCTGCGCAGGCGGAGCTACGGGGGTTGCTGCAGGGACTACCGGTGCGGAAGCCGCCGCCGCCGCGGCCGCTGCGGTCGCGGCTGCTTCCTTAGCCCCGCCTTTGCCTTTCCCTTTGTCGGCGGATTTGTCGGCGGCGGAGGTAGCCGCTTTTTTGGTCGTTTCCTTGCCTGTCGCGGCCTATAAGAAAACGAAAAAAAAACAAAAATATCGAAAAAACTGATGAGATGGGTGGCCCCCCCAAAAAAACCACTCGTTTGTCCACATCGCAAAGAAGGGATAGAATAAGGGAGGACGACTTACCGCACCAGCCCCCTTCTTCCCCGCCTTCTCCGGCACCGCCACCGCCGGCGTCTGCTCGCTCGCTCCCGTAGGCGGCACGACCGGCGGCGTCGCTTTGCGCGCGGAGGTGTCTTTCTCTTGCTGCACTGTGTTGGGTGGTGGTGCGGGTCCTGAGTCAATCGACCAAGTCCATATATCAGTGATGAAGACCGTCCCTTATAGAAGCGCGGAGGCACAGCATGCGTACCGTCGCCAGGCAAACCGTCGCTGTCGCTTCGTGGGTCGTCGGCTTCGTCGAAGCGGGTCGCTGCCCGCTAGCACAAAGTCAGCACACCGCGTGTTCGTTGTCCGATGTTTGCATGCATTCGGGAGGGGGAACATACCGCAAGAGGCAACCCCATCTTCCTCCGCATCGCCTCACTCGTCTCCGCGATCCTGTCCGCGGCATTCACGAAGGTATCATATCTTCCGCCCCCCAAAAGAAAAAAAAACACACATATCAGCCCATTCCACCCGTGAAAAACATGAAATCGGAGACGAGTTGAGAAATACTCACACAATGACGTGCAGCATACTGGTCGCGCTACTCCGCGGCGAAATGGCCGCGGCGGCAATGAGCTGGTTCAGGCGGCGGAGGGAGGTGGAGCGGAGGTCGATATCCATGATCGCGTTGATCAACTACACCCCAACAACACATACATGATTTAGTAGGGGTTGATTCATAGATGTGAGATGCAGGGTGAGATGACGAAACCTCGGATAAAGTGGAAACGGATCTATCCCATTCAGCGGGAGTTGATTGGTCTGGTGATTGGTCGTGCAGGGTGGCCAACGTCTCGGAGGCGAGGGTGGCGAGCTTGTCGAAGATTTTGGGTGTGTAATACAGCTAATGCCGTATATATAAAAGGAAAATCAGGATCTGCTTGTAGAGACGAAAAAAAAAACAGGATTTGGATCTTTGTTCGTACCTTGAACGACCGATTCCGCTTCTCAAACAGATGCTCGTCCTCATTCGCCGCGATACGGCGTAACGAGCGGGCAGAGACGACGCGGGGTTTGATGTTGGTGAGGATCGTGGATATGATCGCTTTTGCAGCGGATAGGGCTCTGAAAACAAACAACGGGGTGAGCATACGCCGGAGAGGTGACATGTTTGAGATCCCCTTACTGTTTTCGCAAAAGCGCTTTCTCTAATTTTTCTCTCTTGGCTTCATTATCGTCCCGCTCCAATGCGATGCCCTGCATCGTCACAGTCGGCTGCGACGATGCCTCGGGTCCCAGCGCGGGCACGGTTGTCAGACTCCATATTTCCGTGAATACCTGTAATTGATCAAGCGGGTCGTAAGTAACGCATATCAGTACGGTGGAACACATCAGCCACGAGGAGAGGTGTCGGACGTACGTACCCCGGGCGTAGCAGATTTGAAGATGATCGGAAAGTCAAAAGCGGTCCCGGGCAGGATCACGCCCTTTTTGTAGTAGAAAAAAAACCGCTGTTTCTCATCGTACACTGCTTTGATCTAGCAAAATTTCATTAATCGACTTTCATGCCCCCGCGCGGCGACGACGAAAAGTATGATTTTGCTTTCAAACTCACATTCAGTGGATTAGGCTTTTTGATTGGCACCCACTCGAACCCCACCGCCGTCGTTCCGCGGTTATACACCGTCAGCACCGACATCGACACCGTGTTGAGTTCCACATCAAAGAACAGGCGCGGGGTCGCAAGGTCTAGGTGCGGTCCCTCCACGGTAGTCGCATCCTCTCCCGCGTCTTTTGACCCAGACGCTGGACGGGAGGTATGTCCCGACGCCTTGTCGGGGGTGATATTTGACGTGGTCTCGTCTTTTTCGTCTGCGATGGGAGTTTTCGTGGCGGCGGCGGCTTTTAGACGGTCGAGGTAGGATTCGGCGAGGTGTGGGAGGTGCGGGGAGAGGAGGGGGTTGTGGCCTTGGAGTTCTAGGTAGCCGCTTTCGTCGTTCTATGTGGGGAACAGTTAAGGGATCAGTTGAATGGGAGTTTGAAACACGTTGTTGAAGGTGAGGCACGGTACCAGGAAGAACGGATCGAAAAGGGAGATGATGTCTTCGTAGAGCGCTTCTTTGGGGGCTACGAGCTTGCGTATGGTCGCTGAGTGGTCTTTTGTCCATCTAGGAGGAAGCAAGCGTGAGAATTCGTTCCGGGAAGGATAGGGTATCAAGATAGGACATAACGCACCTCTGTCGCTCATAACTCCTTACTCTCTCGATCCTATTCGACGGAAAAGAGGACGACAAAAGGATCAGAACAAACATAAACGCACATTTGCCATTTCGCGCTTATTCAGAGTCATCAAAGAAGGTGTACCTACTGTCGTGGACCACCTCTCGGAATCGGCATCGTCAGTCCCAGCAGGTCGCTTCCAAGCCTCAAGCCCGTCTTCCAAAAATCGACGTGCTCGTCGTCTAGTAGTCGCAAAGCTGTATCAATGAGCTCGTGCTCTTCTAGGCGTTCGCGGTATTCGCCTAAGCGGGCCATGAGGAGCTCGCCGGGAGACTAGAGGGGCGGCGTGGATGTGGTGAGCTATACGTTGTTGATTCTTGCGAGACCACGTGGGAAGGGGCATATCTACCTTCTTGGCCTTCTTCGCTAATCTCTCTTCTACTCTGTTCCACTCGACGCTATGATGCTGCCAGTTCTTCAATGCGTGTTCCTCCCGCACCTCCCTGCAAAGCTAGGCCAGTTAAGCCATGTTGCCGTGAGAGTCCAATGAAGGAATGTGGTTCTCTTTCGACGAGAGGAAGATCGTTACATACCGGTATCGTTGAAAGATATGCAACCGACTCAGCCATAACCGCTTCTCTTCCGCCTGTTTGCGCTTCGCTTCCTTCATAGCAGCGTTGAACTGCGCCAGCACTTCGGCTGAAGTTGCGTCCCCGTCCCATCTACCTTCATTCTCCCCTGCGTCGTTTGACTTTGCGTCCACGCCGGCCTTGAACACCGAATGCCGCTCTTCCATATCGCTGTTTCCGTTTATTGAGCGCTCCATTTCCTCGAACTCTTCGGGGTCGCCCAGTAGCGAATGTCCCACCAACCGACCCTGCCGCGTTCGTCTTGGGCCGTGCTATGTGAGAAAAGAAATGCTCGTGCTTAGAGAGTCTCCCATTGCCCCCGTGCTGGAACATTCGATAGCATTTCGAGATGTTTAGAACGATCCGACTATGACCCTTCTCGGCATACATACATCTCGTTTCCTCAATAGTGATACAGGTACGACCTCTCGCTCTTTCTGCGTGTATTGTGCATCTATGTACGTTCGTATGGCCGGATTGTGAGCTCTTGCCAGTCGAGTGAAAATTCATCGAGAACAAACCTTCACCCATGATATCTGGTGGTATTTGGCGAGCCACGAGAACATGCGGCCCATGCCTCTGGTCTCCGTGGTGGGAGGGCATGGTGATGAGCACAGGATGTCACAACGACTGCGGTCAAGGGGCAACTCCACAGAAGCGCTCGGGTGGTGCAGTTTCGCTGCTATTCCGTGCTAGTAGAAAGGTACAGTACTTGCAAGAAGGAATAGGAAACGAGCTCCACCGTCTCGCGAGAGCTCCGCAAAACGCGTGTGTCATTAGCTACTGGAGAACACGCTGAGGGCGACTTGGCGACGCGGCTGCTCGCACGCGCTGAGAAACGCATTTCCGCCCGTCGGAAGAACCCACCTCACACCCCACCACCTCCATCCCACACCAACGGGCATCAACAACCTCAACCGAACACTCAACAGCAACAGCAACAATGGGCGCCAGCGACTCCAAACCCTCTTCCTCTCCATCGCCATCACCATCACCATCACCACTATCCCACCCCTCCTCAACCACCACCCCCGCATCCCCCGACCCACCCAAACCGAAATGCAAGCCCTGTTGCGCATGCCCCGACACCCGCAAACTGCGCGACGAGTGCGTGTTTGCGAACGGCGAGGAGAACTGTGTGGAGCTGATCAAGGCGCACCAGGACTGTATGCGCGCCCAGGGATTCAATATTTGAACGGGGCCGGGAGACTTAGGCGACGGAGGGGCCGGGAGGTTCGTTCGGTCCTGGCAGCGAGAGATGGGTTCCCATAGTGTGGATGGTGGGGCATACCGGCATAGTGTAATTTATTGGGATTGTATGTATGTGCATCCAGACTCACCGCCGACTCGCCCGGACGCACCCGGCGTGCACAATCATATCTGCAATCCCCCTTCCACATACGATACCTAGATTAGAGTGCTTACCGGCGAAACGTCTTCACTACATAAAGCCGTAATCTTCCCCAAGTACCGCAATACACTTTGTGCTGAGCGTGTGGTAACCCAAAAATGACTCCATCTGGCAAGCGGAGAAAAATCTGGAGGATGTGGGGTTCTGGCAGCCTGTGAGGTGCATCTCTCGCAGGCTACGCAATGGTCGTCTGTGCGTACATGATGTAGCGGCGTTGGCAGTGAGAGCATGTCTTCACCTTGTTCGGCAGTGAGCAATGTGTAGTTTCTGATATTCACAGGCGTGCTGCCATGTCCCCTGTCCAAACTCTAAAATCCTCAACCACGTCCAATGGGGCGTCTTCCCGACCAGTCCGGCCGGTCCATAATACACCCAGTCATTTGGGGCAGCCGTGCTAGACGCAGTGATGTGCTTTACAGTTTTCCAGATCCCCGCTACGAAAAAGCAAACCCCAATATGAAACAATCATGCACAACTCCGTTTCAAACAGAGAAAGGAAAAAAATGCCCCACGGGGGGGGGTGTCGGGGGGAACGAAGGGGTGTACAAAAGTGGGGCCCCCGTTTTGCACCACCCACCCAAATGCGGGGGGCCATGCGAACCCCCATCGGGCCCCTATCTAAAACAAAGAGAGAAAAAAACAAACCAGAAAAGCCCCCCTCTCACTTCCTCCCCTCAAACTCCGGACTCATCACCGTCTCGGCCCCGCCCAACAGCTTCCTGACGCCCTCGACATCCCTGACCCCATTCGCGCCTACATCGTCGCTCAACTCCAACAGCCCGGGTGCACTCGCCACCGCCCGCTTATGCCCCTGCGCGTGGCCGCCCATCTCGTCCTCCGACATCATCCACGGCTTCGCAGGCACCGGCTCCGTCAGGGCCTGGGACGGGCCGGAGGAGTCGGAGGAGGACGCGAAGGAGGGGTTTGATTTGGTTACGTGGTGTTTCGTCGCGTTTTGTGCGTTGGTAGGCTTCTTCTTTTTGACGTGGGTGGTGGGTTTCGTGGGTGAGATGGTTGAGCCTGAACTGGTGGAGTTGTTGGAGTTGGTTGAGGTGGATCCGGATGTATCGGTTGAGCTTGGGTTGGACGACGTGTGTGAGAGCCGGAGGTGGGTGCCCGGTTTGTAGGTGGTGGAGGTGGAGAGGAGGGTGTCGTAGTCGATGAGGGCTTGCATGGCGCCCCATTCGAGGATCTTGCGTTCGAGCCAGACTACAAAATGTGAGAGAAAAAAAATCAATATCTTAATACACTATCCCCACGGTAAGTCTTTCCCCAATTGTGATTCGGGGGGGGGGGGGGGGGGTACTTACCAAGACTAACAGGCTTGATCAGATAATCATTACACCCGGCCTTCAACGCCGCATCCCTATCCGCAGGCAACGAACTCGCCGTAAGCGCCACAATCACCACGTCCGGCGTATGTATCGCATGCGCATTCATCATCCCCGCTCGATCCCGCTCAATCTTCCTGATCTCACTCGTCGCCTCGATCCCATCCATCACCGGCATGACGATATCCATGAGTATGATGTGGTACACGGCTTGTTGGTATTTGAGGAGTGCTTCCTGGCCGTTGGCAGCGACGGTGGCGGAGATGCCGCGTTTGCGGAGGAAGGTGGCGAGGATGGTTTGGTTGATCGGGTTGTCTTCTGCGATGAGGACTTTGATGCGGGAGAAGAGGAGGGCGGCGACGGACGACGGTGTGGACGGCGGTGGCGGGGGCCGGGCGGGCTCCGGTCTAGCAAGCGAGTCGGATTTGGCAGATAACACGGGCGGGCGGGTGGTGGGGTTTTTCGACGAGAGAGGCAACTGTTTGTCCTTCAGACCCGTGACGACCTCGGATTCGTTGGAGGAGGTCGTCGACTCTGTGGACACCGATGTTCCCGTCCCCTGCCGTTGCGCATGGTACTCGCTCGCCCGACTGGGAACCTGGAACCTCTGTCCCATCAACGCTCGTTTCAGCGGGGTGGTGGATCTCGCCGCAGGTGACATGATCGTCGTCGGTGCAGCCGGATCCTCGTTGATCGTCACCCTCCCCCGTCCCTTCGGCCTCATCTGCGCTACCGCCCGTCTCGAGGTCTCCAGCACAAGCGCCCCCCCGCGTTTCTTATACCGCATCTCATCCTCCGCCTCGTCCGGCCGATCCGCCATGATCCATTTCAATGTGTGCAGTAATTTCCGCGGGCCCGCCGGTTTAGCGACGATGTAGACCTCCGGCATGAGTTCGCCGTGTCCCTCCGCGATGGTTTCGACGTACTCGTTCATCCTTGCGTGGTTGGTCGGGGAAGTAAAGTAGATGACCAGGGTGCCAAAGATGGAGGAAGCAATGCGGTGGTTGATGACGACGTCGAGCATGCCGAAATCGTCGTTGATAATAATGAGGCTACGGAGGAATTGGAGGTGGGAGTCGCGGGCGTGGTTGGGGTTGCTTTCGTCGAGTTGGGTGAGGATGGTGGGGATCACGTCCATGTCTTCCGTGGCGACATCTGTCAATCACAGGTACATCATTCAGGCAGTTGCTCTCTTAAGAATCCAGCCCGAACATTACGCCGCATGTTGAACTCACAAGTCAAATCCATCCCCCAACTCTCCAAATACTGCACCACATTCCCCGTAAAAGTACTCCGACACGGCGCCAGCACAGTAACCCTAAAATCCTTCAACGTCTCCGCAAAATGGAACAATTCCTCCACCTGGCGGTACGCCATCGGCTTCGACAAGCGGAGACCCATGCTCTTTGCAATGTCCTTGCGGTAACGGACCGATTCCATTTTGAAGGAGAGTTCGACGGATTGGGTGTTGACGCCCGCGTTGGGGACGGGGAAGGGGCCTCTGATTTGTCCGCCGAGCTCGTGGAGGAGGTTGCGGACGTAGTCGTTGTAGATGAGGGGCATGGGGGTGCCGGACTCGTCGGAGACTTGGTATGTAAACTGGACATATGCATTAGCGGTGGTAACATAGGAGGGGATGATCCGAAAGCGTGGCCAAATGCGAAGTCGCTTACCTGCCACGTGAGATCAACATGATACTTGCGGGGCATCTTCGAATCCGTCTGTTTCGCATCGTCCTTCACCGCCCATGGCGGTGGCATGTCGAGCGTGACATCCACCAGGGTATATTCCGCAGCATTCGCGATGATCGGGTATAAGATCTGGCGTGTCATTTACAAACGGTAAAAAACCAATCGATCAGAATCAGGATCAACTCCCATTCCATTTACCGCTCACAAAGGAACGGCGACAGATAAAGCGCCTCCTCACCTGCAACAAAAGCTGCCTCAAAAAATCCTCATCCCCGACCACCAAGAACAACTCCGGCAACGTCCCCCTCTGCACCGTATTATGTATCGTCAGCTCAATCCCCTTCTCATCCGCCAAATTCGCGACCGCGTCCCCGACACGCTCGTTGACGTCGGAGGGGTCAAAGAGGACCTTGGTGAGGAGGCGTTTGACCATGGACCCGCCGTCGCGCTTCATGAGGTTGTCGGTGGAGTCGTAGTGCTCGAGTTGCCAGGCGAGGTGCTCGACGTTGTCGATTGCTGTGTCTACCGCTGGTGGAGTAAAGTGAGGAATGTTAGCATTCCGTGCCATCACACATGAGTTTGCCCCCAAATGACTCAGTGGGACGATGGTTACCTGATATGAACGTGACAAAATGCATATAGTACTCATGCATCACGGGATGCACATGCACATGGTCAATCGCGCATTTGGCCGCCAACGCCGAGCTCATCAACTCCCTCGCGAAATACTCCGTGCCTTCCCTCCACGCATTGTGTTCCTGGGCCGTCGCGACGGTGGCCCAGAGGGATGTTCGGGACGCACGTGGCGTCGTCTCCCCCAAGGCTTTTGTTACAGAGGCGGCGGAGGTGATGTTGAGATCGGTCAGTGATCCGTTCGAGATGGGTTTTTCGGCGGGCTTGTCTTCGACGTTCTCGCTGATCGACACCGTTGAAGCAATTTCTGTCACGCGCGGGGGCGCGTCTTCGGCTTCGTCTGCTTGTTTCAAGAGGACGTACAGGATGATAAGTGTTGGCACTGACGAGAGGGTCAAGGCTGGCGACGAGAGATAAGCAGTCCCGCCATGAATGACGCCCGTCACGGGTGCCCAAGACCTTTGTCGCAGCACAGTATCAAGAAAGCTGCGACCGACAATGGTGATGTATCGCACCATCCTTGTTGAGGCGAACGCCGGCCCTGACTCGTCGACAACAGCGGTATGGTCCATACGATCTTCTGCAGCCCAGCTGGACGAGATGGACATGACCGCGTTCGTGAACGGCTCGCCCACTGCCGCCAACCCCATGACAGCCATGCATATCCGCCTTGGAACAGAGTTCCTCCGTCCCAGCTGGCGAAGGCATACACCCAGAAGGGCGGCGGTGATGACATCCCGGCCCATCAGGACGCTCAGCGTCGACCGGCTCGGCAGGCCGCTGATCTGTGTACCGGCGTGTAACGTGATGTAGAGAAGGTGCGCATTCTTCAGTGCTAGGCATAGCGCGTAGACGCAGGTCACGAGAAGACAACGCAGGGCTATGCGGCCTCCATTGGCGTACCCCGATCGCGATTTAACTGTTGTTGTTGACACGGTGCCGTTGGTATTCCTGCCGGCCGAAGCTTGCCGATCCCCACCGTCGATGCCAACAGCGCGATCTATCCACCCCAGAATGGTCTTCCGAATGGTCCTCATACTCAGGGCAGCAGCAGGCACGTTTCCTCTACCCGCGTCGCACCCTCGTCTTCTGCGTTGCGGGATACCGCGTTTCCCCTTTGATGATGATGCCTGGCGGTCTTCAGGTGCCGTCGAATCAGGTGTTGCGTTTCCCTCCTCTGACGGCTTGAGCTCAGCAACAGTTGTACGCGGAGGCGAGACAAACCAGCCGCTCCATGCGGCAGGGATCCCTCCTCGCAGGCCCCTGAACATGAACGTCGAACCCAGCCCTAGACGTCCCGGACCGGGCGGCGGGGAATGCCGCGGTAAAGGCGATGTAGGCGTCACGACTGCCAGCTTTACGAAGGGGGGTGCGCAAAGAGCCCGGGCCCCGTAGTAGTCAAGGTCAAGGATGGCTGTGTCCCGAGAGAACGGTACGGGTGTGCAGAGGGAAGATGTTGCTGAGCGGCGGCACCTATCCGTGATCAGCGGTTCGGAAGTAGTAGTGGTGGTGGCAACAGGTGAAGAACGCCCTTGACGTTCTCGTACACGAGGCGGTTGGTTGCCAGGATGCGCTCTCTCTCTCTCTCTCTCTCTCTCTCTCTCTCTCTCTCTGTTGCAAGGTGACGCAAGGCACAACCTTCAGACGGGACCGTAGTAAGGTATCGGATATTATTTAGACTCACGGGGAATACGTACCGTACTAGTCCTATAGTATGGCAGCTAGCGTGTAGTTTAGCTGCGAGAAGACATGGCTGCCTGTCTACCTGTATAATGGCACAAGCCCCCTTGCTGTCTCCCTCCCTGTCTCCCTAGAGTGGGTCGGCCGGTCTAGACTCTCGGCGTGCGCAGGGCTTGGGCACACCGCATTCGACGCCGCGCTCCTGGGCCGCGGCATGCTATGGGGGATCTTCGCCGCGTTTCAACACTCTTCGACAATACCCCCGCAGATCATGCATGACTCAACACCCGCATCAAAGCTGCAACATCGCACTCGGAACGTGTTCTCCTGTGCGCCATATCCTCTCTTCACTAGCGACTAATCGGACTATCCTACGCGAAACATCTTCCCTGACCGGCCGGCCCTGAACGAAATGCCATCCTCGTCGTCGTCACCCTGTCCCTCCTTTCTACGCACTCTCCTCGTCATGTGTCTCAGCACCTGACGATGTGTTTGGATGCAACGGTCCAGACTTTGGTTTCCCAGCAATGTTGTTGCTCCCAACAACCTCCGTTGATGTGAGCGGCGGGTAATAGTATCGGTAGCTGAGAAAAGATACCGCCAGTCCAGTGAGGCATCCGACGACAATATCCTCGACATGATGCCTGTTGCGTTGCAGTCGGTCGATGCCTGAAGAAAGGGGGAAATGTTTGGTAAATCATGTTTCGAATCCAATGCATGAAAAACTCCCCCACCAAACGTACACATGAACAGGATGGCAAACACCGGGATAAGGCACACCGCCAACCGCCACACCCTCCCCGCCGGCCGCCGGGCATCCACCGCCACAGCCCCCGTAACAGCCATCAAATACCACAACGCAAACCCCCCCGCAGCCCCAACCCTCCCCGAATGCCCCGACGGAAACGACATCCTCCCCTCCCTAACCGCACCCACATCCCCCAAACACATCCCTTCCGACGGCCGACACCGCGCCAGAAAATCCGGCCTCAACGCGCCCACCATCAATTTCGTCCCATTCACCAACAGATTCGTCACGGAGAGCCCTAGAACCGTCCCCAGCATCGCATGATGCACGTCCCACAACACCACATTCCGCACCCACGCCCCAACCTCCATCGCGTCCCGCCGCCACCAATGATCGCTGGCTTCACCCTCGCGCGCGACAGCACGTCGTAGCCATACCACAGCGAGCAGCACGACGATTCCCACAACGCCTATCAACCAACTCGCAAGCGACGTGATTGATTCCTGCAGGTGTGGGTATGAGATCCGCGGGTCGTGGATGTCGAAGCCGCGTTCGAAGGGTTGGCCGAAGGTGTCGAGGAGGATGGAGGTGAGGAGGAGGAGGGCTGTCACGAGGTAGTCGAGGAGGTAGAGGCCGTGGAAGTGGACGAGCGGGGAGGCGGAGGGCAGCGTGCGGGTGGGGCTGCCGGAGGGGACGAGGAGGGGGGTTGAGGAGGTGTGGTGATGGTGGCGAGGCATCGCGTGGAGTGAAGAGATGGACTTTTTGCGAGTTTGCGATAGATTTCCGAAGCTGCTTCGTCCGCTGGCTGCAGTACGGATTTCGGCAACACTTGGATATTTGTAGGCTCGCTCGCTTATATACTGTAGTGTTGGTGGTGGACAAGAGATGGTTGAACCTGATGCCTACCCTCTCGAGACAGAACTCTCTCGGACCACGCGAGGTCACGCGAAATTTCACAAACCCAGACAGACCTCGTCCCGCGTAGTACGGAGCGCAACCTTCAGCTACTGGAAGACTTTTATACCTGTAACCTACGCCCTTAGGCAGATACCCCAACGGGCACTAATGATGGGTCTGTAACTGAGGGTGCTGACACCACGTCATCCGCCGCTACAGCTTCCAACATTTTACATTATGGATGTTTACAGCCGTCTCGCTGCGTATACGGGCCATCTTCCAAGCGTCCAACGTCCAATCGTCCTCACCCGTGTCCAGCACACACCCCTCTCCCAACCCATGGTTCCAGCACCCAGCCCACCACCAAAAAAAAACACATCCGCAGGAGTATCCAACTGTCCAGTCCGTAAGGGCAGGCCGATCACGTGCGACCAGACGCTGCGGTGAGTGGGTGCGTTCGGTGCCGTTGCAAGTCGCCGCTCGGCCTTTGGCAGCGTTGAGGGGAACTGGAACGACGTTGCGAGGGTTATCAATCTGCTCGACCGGCAGATGTCGATTGTGGTGATTCACCGTTACCAGTAGTGGATCATCTCCAATACACGAGCCAATGTCGGATCCCTCGGGATCGCATTCCATCCCCAGGCCCCATCGCAACAATGCGGATTCCCCCCCCCCCCCCCCCCCGCGCGTATTTGAACACCTTGCGGGCGGAAAAGGCAACGAGTTTTTCGTCGTCACCGGTCAACTCATCCAGGAACCTCTGTCGCAACCTGCCGCGCTGGACATCGCGATGATGGTATTCCTGGATTGAACCCCAGGAGTCCCCAAAGCAAGCCTTGACCTTTGAAATAAGCGGAATGAAACGGGGGGCACACGTATCTCGTTAGCGAAATCGACCAGGGGATACAAACGCAAACAGTAACAAACGAAGAGAAACTGAAGCAGTACGCCATACTGCGGCCCTCCCCCCATACATCGATCGCGGCCCGTGGAGTGAGGTGCCCGGCTCCCCGAGGCCCTTGCGCAATCGCCCACCACCGGGTAGTGGGGGATCCCGTCAGCTGCGACAGCGATGATGCAAGCTCCGCCCCCGTCTCCATAGGAACATCATGGTAAGAGAACCTTTTCACGTACCTTGCGACACGGTTAGGTGAACAGCATGTCGGATTCGAGATGCTTCTCCCGCGGTCTCCCCCCATTTTCCGTAGCCTTTCTCACGCTCTTCAATCCAGGGGACCCACGAATCTGCATCATTTCGCTCGAACTTGCCGCCTGCCGAAATGAACGAGGACGCTGTCCACACTCTTCGACGGGTTTGGTTACGAGAAACGGGTGGTCCGCGCGACGCCAAGGACACAAACACCCCCGTTCGCCATCAAGGTCTCCGCCTTGGCGTTCTCCATCTTGGTCAAGATCTCTCATCAGCGGTCTCCTCCTGCCCGCTGGGAATGATAGCCGAGATGGAATGTGGGGGTTTTAGAGGAGGATGGATATTGTAAACAGAAATGAGCGATTCGTATGAATGGGATCAGGGAGGTGTGGAAGAGGAACAGAGATGGATGCGGAGGGGTATCAGGATACAAAAGGACAAAATGACTACACTTGAATCAAGGGACCGCTGACCTTTTCCATGCTCTCCTTATGCTTCTTAGGTGCCTGAATGAACGTGGTCTCGCTCGTGCAAAGAAGGGAAGATGAGAATGTTAGATGCTGGTCTCGACGGACAGATAGCACATAAGATTGTCAGAAAGAAAAGGCCCATAGGGACAGGCTAAGAGACAGATACGAGACACCTGTTTCGGGCTAATGTCCTCGCTCTGTCTGGACAGGTACCGCTGGTGCACTTAAGCCTCCACCGATCCTGCCAGGAGAGGCCACCTTCCAACTCTACTTGCTGAACGCGTCCTCCCCTCCCCTGCGGGCCGTTCTGCCAAATCGGTTCACCCCTCCGGAAGGACACCACATCCCATCGAATTTGGGGGAACGGACAGATATGAGACACCTGTTTCGGGCTAATGTCCCCACTCTTGCCTGGACAGGTACCGCTGGTGCACTTAAGCCTCCACCGATCCTGCCAGGAGAGACCACCTTCCAACTTTACTTGCTGAACGCGTCCTCCCCCGCAAGGTTCCACTTGGAACCTCGCGCGCACCGCGAACTTGGCAGCTTCTTCAAAGCTACTTGAATGGTGAACTCACCGCCGTGGCTTTCACAATCCGCTTGATCAACGCCCCGCTTCGCTTTCTTCTTCTGCGTCCTTTCCCGGTGTCGTTGAGTTAAGATCAACCTCCACCCGTTGGACGTGAGCGAGAGAGTCTGCCCAACTATGGTTTGGATTCTCCCGCACGTATGCACTTATGGCTATGGGTTTGATGGGGCTTCGTTGGCTCCATGTTGCGTTTTCGAGTGGGTGTGTCTGAAGGGGAGACATCAGATTCCCGTGCAGCGTCGAACAAGATGATCCGCAGTGTCATACCTCTCCCAAACCAGCCTCTTCCGTGTTACGCTTCGGGCCTCCGTTAATCGGCACGAATGCCTTTGAAGGATGAGGCTGGGCTTCCGCTAGGGAGGCGAACCCGTCGCTGAGGTTACTCAAGCTATCGACAGTCTTGTCGATGCGAGTCTATCAAACCGCAAACTTGAGCGATTGGTACGGCAATAAGAAAGCTCGGACGCGGTAGATACCTCCTCCGAGCTTTGGATCCTGTCGACATGCCGGCGTTCAAGCTAGCCTTTGCGCCGCTCTTCCTCGGGATCAAGCTTGTTATCCACATGAGCGAGGAAGTCCTCCCATGTCGCATTGGGATGGTCGTTGCAATAGGCCGTCATCTCTGCAGGAGCATTACGCGTGCTGCTGCCACTGCTGCTACCGTCGGTGATGTTGCTAGCTAGCGGGATTTATTGCAGGTGATACCTCTAAACGTCGATGATAGATGGCAGACTCCTTTACACGAAGTCCTTTCACGTGGCGCACCCAGCATCGACTTCGTTTATGATGTGGATGCGCGGAATTGGCTGCCAGTCCTGTGGGCCATTGCAGAGTGGATGCGGAAGTAAATGCCACGACGCCCCGCTAATCAGAACCCTAATAAGTTCAAATATGTTTTCCCCAACTCCATCTTGACTTGTCATTCTTGGAGTCCTCCACATATGGCGTTGACGAATACGCCTCAGAACCGCCAGCGATACCATCTGCATGTCCGGTTTTTGACGAATTCTAGTAACGAAAGCTCGCGTCGACGGGATCATCGTTCTTATGTTCACTTCTTCGAACGTGCGTCCGCATCTCGGGTCCGGGAAACGATATTGATCGAGCGTTTGTGGAGTCCGCCGCTGGTTGGTTTACTACAGTTGGTTGGACTGTTGAGGATTGACTATGGTGGAATCTTCAATCCTGGCAATGGGCAAGTTGTCGGAAAGTCCGAAAAAAACGAACGCGTCGTCGCCACTGATATCTTTTTGACATTGGGCGCATGCAGTTTAGTGGGGTTTGGGAATCGGGTGGGCAAAGTTCGCAAAACCCACTAGACTGCACTCTTTTACCCCAGCATCGCAATTAGGGAGCCCGGCAAACACACCGAACACGGCTCTTTCTGTATTCGCCCGAGTTGGCGGCGGTACAGACCAATCATTCGGCGGCCGCCTGAACGACTGGAGGATTCGTGCTCGGCGGTATATACTGTATATGATTTGCCACCAGGCATCCACCTCCGTTGTGAGTTACAAGTACATCGAGCAACTTTCTCCAGTTCCGTAACATTTGCTCCTAGCCTACGACACCAAAGTGACCATAGCTGCACGGCTCCATCGGCTGCTCAGGGCCCGTTTCCCGTCTTTAATCCGGCATTAGTGTATGTATTGTACAGTACATACACATTAGAGGGCTTCACAAAACGAACGTAACATGAGAACCAGCTTGCGTGCGTTTTCCCATGCCCCATCTGCGAGGTGCTAGCCACTTGTAAAGTTGTGATTGAGTACAGTACATATATCAAGTAAGGGGCGCGTCGGGTGACGTCATGCGCAAGATCGGCGGAGGATCGGCAGAGGCGATCACATACCGACTTAATAAGACGCTGTGAGAATCGCGATCGGAATCGGCCCATATGAATCTCGAGTTCAGATCATGCAGGTGCGCCTGTGGATCGGGCTGGCTTCTCTTGTCCTATGTTTTTTTCGCTTGCTTGTTCGATTGGGACAGCTATGAGGATCGGGATGTGCAAGAGAAGAAGACGTGCAGAAGACCCTCTCGCGCAACAAATAATGAAAACCGGGCTCTCAGGCTCGAATGAGATACATACATATACACTGAGGGAGGGCAGTAGGCAGTGCTGCAGCAGTCACTCCTTCCAGGCCGGCGAGCAACTCAGAAAGTTCTCAAAGCAACACCGCTGTCCGGAGAGGGAAGTCAATCTTAACCTCAAACAAACACTGCTGCATCGTCCACCCTGCAATCGCCCGAGCCAAACGCCACGGAACGCTTCCAACTCTCCCTCGTTAAGAATATCCTCTTAGCGAACTGTCCAGTCGATTCCCTCTCTCCAACGAATAGCGAGCGACTCGCTTTACAACCTGCCATATCCCACCACCAACGCATTGAGCAGATTATTCGAAAACACCGGTCGCAAACATGGGCGATCCGACAACGTCCTTCCTCACATTTGATAACGATGTGAACGATGTCCTGTCCCTTCGGCCTTTCATGGAGGAAGTGTGAGTGTCCCTTATCAAAGAGAGTTATCGCGCGCGAACCTATCATCGCATGCCTGCGGTCTCATCATTGAATGCCTCTGATGGAAGTTCTTCGTATGAGTCTGACATCTCGTTCGTTTCTTAGACCACCATCATCTTCATCAACGGATGTCACACCGTTAAATCGGCGAAGGAAGAGAGACGCGGGAACTGACGAGAACGACAATGCTAGGAAGAAATTGGTCAAGAAGGATGCCGCTTGTGAGTGCAGAACATCAGTCAATGCGGAACTTCTTGATGTCATGTTGGGATTCAGACGGCTAAGTGGCTTCCTGCACCGCGTAGCATCATCAACGGCAGTTAGCCGGTCCTCGCCATACTACGGGCTTTACTCAGGCACCGGTAAGAGCAGCTCATAGATCGAAATCACATCACCTCCTCTCATCAAGTAATACTCCCACATCTCACACCTCAGGTTTCGACATGCTCCAAATCCTCGCCCGCGTCGCATCCCGCCCCAACCCCACCGTAAACCTTGGCCCAATCGATATGAGCTCCAGCTTCATCGTGACATCAGCGACGGACCCGGACTTCCCGATCATATATGCCAGCCAGACGTTTGAGAATCTGACGGGGTACAAGTCGGCGGAGATTGTGGGGAAAAATTGTCGGTTTTTGCAATGTATGTGCTGTCGATTTTGTAGACCCGTTGCGTTTCTGCTATGCTGACATTGTTACAACGTCGCTTGGTGTAGCTCCCGACGGGATAGTGCAACGAGGCGCTCTCCGCCAGTTCGTCGACAACAACATCGTGTACCAGTTGAAGACGAGTGTTGACAGCAGGATGGAGTGCCAGTACATCAACATAAACTACAAGAAGGGTGGACAGGTGGGTGGTGACGAAACGATATAGTTCGCTGGGTGCCTCATGCATATCAACATGTTCCCACTTTTCTCTCGCTTGCCTATGTTCCTCTCATCTCTTAGCCATTCGTCAATCTGATTACGATAATACCCATATGCAATGCGGAAGGCAATCCCACGTTCTTTGTCGGCTTCCAAGTCGACTTAATGCAGCAAGCCGGTGCAATATTACGGACATTGGAAGGTAGGCTGCCACGAGGTCGGAAGCTCCCGATTGAAGGGCGATCCCTTTTAACCTGTGATGTTCTTTTTTTCCATCAGACAACAGCTATGTCATCGACCTCAACAACATGCCGAACGTGGGGCAGGGCAACGCTGCAAACGGGCAGCAGTCCGTATCCCAGTTCGTCGGACCCGCCCCGGTAGAAGACTGGCGACCCAGCACCACGAAATCGAAATCGAACGAACTGCCAAGTTTCCCCAGCGACGTCAGCGGTCTCGCCCTCATCGACGACGACGACATCCTCGACCAATTCCTCGCCATGGACGACAACGCCGCCACAAAAGATATCACCGACAACCTCACCACCACCTACGACCTCCCCTCCCAATCCGACATCCTCACCACCCTCCTCCACCGCCCCGACCCCAACCTCGAACAAACCCTCGCCGCCTCCGACCAGCAATCCTTCGCCAAATCCATCACCCACTACGACCTTATCCAAACCTCCCCCGACTTCATCCACATCCTCTCCTCGCGGGGTATCATCCTCTTCTCCTCCGCCGCCGCCACACTCTCAACCCTCGGCTACGACCCGGGCGACCTGTTGGGCCAGAATATATCAGACTACTGCCACCCGGCGGATTTCATGGCCCTCATGCGCGACTTGAAGGCGACGGGTGTGGACGACTTGGTGAGCGCGAGTTATAGGTTTAGGAAGCGAGAGGGCGGGTACGTGTGTTTGGAGGTGACGGGGCATAAGTATGAGATGAATAATAAGAAGCGGACGAGGTGTGTGGTTTTGTGTGGCAGAGAGAGGAGGTGGGGGGCGCTGACGCAGGTAAATGATTCGCCCCCCTGTCCCACATATTTCATACCCCAACCCCAGCTTAACGGACTCGTTGTTTCTCAGGGGGTCTTAATGGACTCACTCACCACCGCAGACACCCCCACCACCACCACCAACACCAGCGCACCACCCTCACAAGACCTCTGGGCCAAAATCACCAAAACAGGCCTCATAATCTACGTAACCCCAACCTCCTACCCCGTCTTCGGCACGCTCATCGCCCCTTCCTCCCTCTACGGCCAAAACCTGCTCGATCTCATCTACGAGGGTGACCGGGCGCGTGTGGCCGCCAGGCTGTTCAACGAACGGAGAACGCCGTTTGTGAATAACGGGAACGGAGGGAACGGGGGCGGTGGGGGGGTGGATGTGAGGTGCTCGGTGGAGAGTGCGGGACGGTTTATGCCCGGACGGGTGACGGCGTTTGAGGCGGTGGGAGGCGGGGAGTGGATGTTTGTGCAGGTTGCTGTGGGGGGCAGGGCGGGGTCGGGGACGCATGTGCCGCCTGCTATGGTTCCGGCTGCGCTGAGTGCGTTCGATTCCACGGCGTCGTCGTCGGTGTCATCATCATCCACTACGTCACGTACGTCCTCCTCCTCCGGTGCGCCCGAAGCAAAGAACACCGACTCGAAAACAGCGACACCAGCTACACATTACTACGACCCCAACTTGGACATCTTCCACTGCGCGACCTCCTCCTCCCCCGGCGCCGCGGGGCTGCAGTGTGAGATCAACCAGTTGAGGTTGGGGAATAGAAGGTTGCGGGATGAGTTGGAGCTGTTGCGGAAGGTACGTGTGCGTTGCGCGGGGTTGGTAGGATGTCGAGTATCGTGAGACGAACTGTACTGATTTGACAACTTTCTTGTTCTCTTTCAGATGCCGCAGTTGAGTGATTCGACGGGTGTGGTTGCGTAAATCGCCCTCGTGGACTCCGTTGGAACCCCCCCCCCCCCCCCCCCCCCCCCGGCACATAACCCTCCCACTATGCCCCAATTCATCGGAGTTCATTATCTAGGGTCGCGGCCGCTTCGTCCACCCACCTCAGTCGTGTTTTCACATCGCGCATTCTTGTACATATGCATATATATATATAGAAAAGAGCTGTATACCCCCTGCTTTCTTCTCTGCGTCCGGCAGAGATTTTTCACCGCGTTTGGCAACGGGCTGCGAAAAGTCTCGATGATGACTCTGCGTGTAGGGATCACACCGTTGCACGCCTCCTTGCGGGACGCCTCCCATGATGAAAAGGGATTCATCCTTCACGAATGGAAAGCGCACACTCTGTTTATAGGCGTCTGCATCATCGGTTGAGGGCCCTTGTTAGGAGCATGTAACTTCCCTTTCTTTCCAAATGCCTCTGGTTTCCTGTTCGATTTGGTTTGATGGTTGGCTATCCTTGTTGGAAAACTCCGCCTGTGAAAGCCACGTTCGACAGCGCGTGTTGCGAGCGGCAAGGTGTTCAACTCCCCAGAACCAAGATGGGTTGACGATTTGGCGAAGCTGTGACCTCCTCTTGCTCAACGCCCGCTCAGCACCCCGGGCAGTACGCACACTGGCAAGTTGGCATTCGCTTGTGTGTGCGCGAGTCTGTCGTTGCTGTCATTCCTACGCCTGCTATAAATAGGCCCGTCGGTCATTGACACGAACCTTACACGTCCCACGATCCCCGGAACACGCACACCCTCACCATCGGCTTCCAACAACCAACACCGACGATTCACCCACACAGCAGCAGCATAGCAGTGCTAGATAGAGAAAGAAGACATGGCGGGACCGCACAGTCCCACCCGCCGGGTTCTCTCCGCCAATCCGCGGCGCCATGCCGCCACCACTCCCTCCAAAGAACCACCCTCCCGCAAACCCGAACCCCCCAACCTCCCTCCCAGCAACACCGGGCAAAATCCCAACACCACAAAAGCGTCAAAAGAAACGTCATCCACCCCCCTCCCCACCCAACTAGCCACCGTCTTTCCCGCCCTCCTCGCCGAAGCCGACCGCCTCACCAAACAATCCCACTACACCGCCGCCACCTCCCTCTACACCCGCGCCCTCGAGCTCCTGCCCACGCACGCACACGCCTTGTCCTCCCGCGCACGCTGTCTCATCCTCGCCGGCGACAACGACGGCGCCCTCTCCGACGCCAACCTCGCGCTGAAATCCGACCCGGACAACGCGCGCGCGCTGGCATCGAAAGCGGACGCGTTGTTTGCCCGCGGCGATTTCGAGGACGCGTTGGTGTGGTATCATCGCGGCGGAGGGTGTCGGCCGGATGTGGAGGAGTTCCGACAGGGGGTTGTGAGGGCTACGCAGGCGATTACGGCGGCCGTGGGCGGGATCGATGCGGAGCGGTTGAAGGCGCAACGGAGGATGGCGCTTGTGAGTGCGGCGGCGGCGGAGGAGGCGGCGGCGGGGGCGGGGAAGAAGAAGAAGAGAGCGGTGCATCACCCCGGCGCAGTTGGGAAGAATCTCAGCGCACGGAATGTGTTTGATGCCCCGTCACCTCCAACGACATTGACCCGAACACCCTCAACAACCCTCGCCGCGACCCGTATTCGCCCCTCGACCGCCTCCCGCCCTTCCTCCGCCCACCACCGCACGCGCCCAACCAGCGCATCCACCCTACCCCGTGAAACCATCGAGCGAAACCTCCTAGAAGAACTCTACGACGACCACGCCTTCCTCGCGTCCCTCGCCGCCGACCCGTTGCTCATGACGGCAGCCGACGGAGCCTTGGCGGCGATCGTGGATGATGGGAGGCACTACATGGAGGGGAGGTTGGAGTATTGGAGGGCGAGGAATCCGAGTGGGAGGCCGGCAAGTGCGATCAGACGGCCGGGGAGTGGGGTGAGACGGCCCGCGAGCGCAGGGAACAAAGGGAGGCCAGCGAGTGCTAGGAGTGGAGCGAGGCCCGGGGCGGCGACGCCGGTGAGGAGGATGAAGGAGTGGATTTGTTGACGGGGAATGGAAGTGGGGCATACCCGGCTTGCAATTTTTTGGTTCTTTTTTGGTACGCTCTCTCTGCCGAGAACAACAACGTGGGGGGAACGCTAGACAGGCCGACCGACACATTTGGCATCCAATTCGACGTCTTCGAGACGTTTTATAGAAAACACCTCCTTTCTCGCCGCTTCAGTATAACACACTCTGTACAGACTACTTCATTTCAGGAACCCTCAAACAACAAATGTCATTCTTCAGTTTCCGAATATATGGAACAAAAAAAGGGCGCACATCCGGTATGGACAGAGTCGGAATTTCATACAAGCGTTGAAAGCGAGGGAGGCGCGTTGGGAACATCCCACTTCTTATCCCCCACTGCAAATTCGGCAATTGTATCTATAGCATCCCACCCAGCCCGTCCTCACCCGCTGAGCTACCTCCCCACCCCCACAATGGAAGACGACGGCTTCCAACTCGTCTCCCGTGTCCGTCGCCGGAAATCCCTCCAGCGGCCTACACCCACCCAGCCCAAAAACCCTCCCCAACCCGCAACACCGGGGTTCGCGTACCGTCGGAATCCCCACGGGAATGTCGCAGCGGGCAAGGAGAAGAGCGTCGCGAGCGTGGTTGGGGATGTCGAGCGGTGCATGTAAGGGCGTCGGTCTTTCATTTGCGGGGCGGGAGGGTTATGTGGGAGCGTACTCGGAAAGAAAGGGACGGCTGACTACGGGTGTTGTTTTTGCAGGACCGCATTACGTCCGACGCCCTTCGTTCAGGACCTGCTGCGTAAGTTCCGTTTCCGTACCATCACAGGCCCCGTCATAACATATCCCCCACCGTTACAGGAGACCTTCGGGAAGTGATCGCCGGGATCAGGACCGATATGGGAACGATGGATTGTGTAAGCTACGGCCTGGGCTCGTTCGGGTCGTCGCGGGCGTCGGTGTGGCAGTTTGCGTTGCTGTTGTGCGTTTGGGAGGGGATGGAGGTAATGTGTGTGTGAGGTAGAGTATGGGTCTGGTTGTTGTGGGGCACTGACCCCGATCGTGTTAGGATGTGTTTACACCCCCCGAACTCTTCGACCCCGTCTTCACCGACCTCGACAAAGCCGTCGCAGGTCACTACAAGTGTCTCATCATCCCCACAAACGAGGTGTGCGTCCCTCTTTTTTTTTTCCTACACTCATCCGCCAAACTGTCTCTATTGCCCGCCTAACACGTCCTCAATGTTGTTATATACAAAAACAGCGCGGCGCCCGCCCCACAACCCGCCCAACCCTCTTCTACATGCCGCACTGCGGCCACACGCTCTACGACGCCGTCCTGCGATCCAACTGGTCCACGCTGCCGGGGGTCGTGATCATCGGGAACAGTTTCGCGACGTATTCGACCCTCCTATCCTCCACGGCCTCGGGTGGTGGTGGTGGTCACTCCACTAAACGATCATCAAGAACGTCGGTGAAGGATGGCGAAGTGAAGACGGGCAAGAAGGGCACCCGGTACCTCCTCGCGGCCGTCGAGGACGCCAACGTCGTTGAGCGGGCCGTGGGGAGGTGGAAGTTGCATCCGGAGGTGTTCAACAACACGAGCTTGCATTCGTTTCGCGGGGTTGGTCGCGTTGTTGGGTGGGATGATGCCGATGCCGATGACGATCCTGCCGACCGCGAGGTGGATGCGGAAGTTGTGTGAAAGATGGGGGGTTTGGTTGGGGGCGGGAGAGGGCTGCTGGTTGTCTGAGTTCTACCCCACAAAAACCGTCCGACTCTCCCCTCGGCATTCGCTCACGAAAAACATCACCGCTCCATCAACCCCCTCAGAAAATCATCGCCCTTCGAATCCAACACCGACCTCGACGACGCCTGCTGCTGATGTTGTCCCAACCCCTGCTGCCCCACCCCACCCTGCCGCTGCTGCAAAGGCACAAGCGGACTCATCCCCGCACTCGTCCCAAACACATTCGCGTCGCCCCCCTGCATACCCTGTGCAGCCATCCAATTCGCAGAAGCCGGGAAAAACGGATCATGCGCACTCGGGTACGCCGTCGGCGGTAACGGGGTCATCGGGCTCGGGAGCGGTACGGGCGCGGGCGCGAGCGGGGAGTTGAGGGGGAGGCCTAGTGGGCGCGGGGGTTTGAGGGGTGGTTGGAGCTGCTGCTGCTGTTGCTGTTGGGAGAAACCACCTGGTGGAAACATCATCCCCGACACGGAATGCTTGCGTAATCCCGCTGCCGACATCGGACTGGAGTCGTCTATCAACGATGCACTCTGCTGGAAGTGCCGCACCAGATCCGCTACATGCGGGGACGTCGTCGCCTCCTGCCCTTGCATCATCATCACCCCACCCGCACCCGCACCCGCACCCAAAGACGACACCGAACTCTCAAACGAATCCCTACTCGCATGCCTCGAATGCTCCACCGAATGCGAGTGCGGGTGTCTTCCCACGGGCGTAAAATACGGCGCTGTGCCCATCCCCGGAGTGATGTTGGTGGTGTTGATACCCACAGGCGACCGCGGCTGCGCCCACGATTTATTCCGCGAATGGCCATGGAGTCGGGGGCCAGCGTCGATGTTGTTGAGACGCATTTCGCTGGTTGATTTCGTGAAGGGGTGGGATTGCGTTTGGGGTTGGGGTTGGGTGTTTATTGGGTGCGGTTGGAGGGAGTGTGGTTGGGGCGGGGGCAGACCCGACGAGAGGGCGAGTTTGAGGTCTGCGATGGACCGGTGGGAGTCGCGGCGGATCTGTGGGTGGGGTTGCGGGGCGAAGGGGTCGAAGGGGTCGAATGGCGATGGCGGCTGTTGCTGTTGTGTGAATTGCTGCTGTTGTGGCACCAACCCCGGCGACGACGACGCCACGGGATCAAACTGGGCCGGAAACGTCGAAAACGACCCAAACCCGGCCGTCTGCCCAAACCCCCCCGCACCACCGACATCAACCAAACTCGCCTCCGACGACGACGACGGCACCCCACTCTGCCGTCTCCCATCGACCCCTTCACCCCCCGCAAACCCCGCAACGACCCCCGCCGCCGCATCCAGAAACGCCGGGGGTGCCGTCAATCTGTTCCCTCCCTGCCCTCCAAACCCCACCTCAGCCTCCTTGAAAAACCCCGGCGGGGCCGTAAACCGGTTATTCGGCGTATTGCTAAACCCGCCACTGCCTCCACTCCCCGGGCGCGAAGCCGTGGTGGTGGTTGTGAAGGGGTTATGTGGGCTGTGGACAGCGTCGGGTAGTTGTGAGGTGTCGAAACTGCCGGCGCTGGCGGTGGAGGATGTTTTGGAGTGTTTTGGGGGCCGGCCGCGGCGCATTGGGGAGGGGATGGCTGCGGTGGTCGGGTCGGGGAGGAGGTTTGTGGTGATGTTGATTTGGGAAGGGTCTTGCGAGAACGGTGGTTGTTGTTGCGGGAAATTCGGGGTGGGGACGATGGGTGCGGGTGCTGGTGTCGGGACTGGGATTGGGGAGGGGGTTGGGTAGATCTAGATGGGTAGAGAAAAGGCGGGAATAGAAATGAGTGTTGATGTTTTTTTTTAACATCCAAATAGAAAACCCTTTCCCTTACGTTTGGTAAAAGGCAAGGAACGCCTCTCAGTCTACACACAGCCGAAAACACCTGGTAGATGTTTGCGCGGGCGTGGACGTCTGCTACCAGCATCGATTCTGAAAAACGCAAGGAACCGTAAAAGTCAGAATCTCTCGCGGTGCCCGAAAAAAAAAGGGGGGGTTTTGAAAGCTAGCAGGAACGCACCGATTATTGCTAGGAGATTGCGCGAGTAGGCCGGGTGCGTTGGCATGGTGTAGCGCACATTGAGGATCGCGAGAGCGCCGCTGTCTTCGAAGGGCGTTGTCTGTTCCGAGAGGGAGGTGTCAGATGGGTGTCGAGCGATGTGGGATTCGTTGTCCCCGCGATTTCAGCAGGGGATGAACGAATACTTACAAAGAAACACAGCTTGTACAGCAGGACGCCTAGTGCCTAGAGACGAATCCAGCATCAGAATTCCCGACGTCGCTTCAGTTTTCTTCAAAACAGTTTCCGTACGCACCCACATATCCATCTTCTCCGTCATCCCCTTCTTCTGATACAAATCACACAGCTCCGGGGACCGATACTGCAACGTGGTATACTTCCCCACCTCCTCCTCCAACAGCCTAATCTCCTGCGCCCCCATCGACGTCCCAGGCTCGATCCTCCTTATCGTCGCGGACCCAAAGTCACACAACTTATGCACGTTGTTATCCGCAATAAGCACGTTCTCGACCTTGATGTCGCGGTGGATGATGGGTGGGGAGAGGTAGTGCATGTGCGCGACGCCCTCGCATATGTCGGAGAAGATATGGAGGACTTCGGGTTCGCTGAGACGGGTTGTAAGGCGTGTGTTGAGGAAGTCGACGAGGTGCCCACCGCGGCAGTGTTCCATGAGGATGAAGACTTCGTAGATACCCGTGCGCAGTTTTTGGACGGAGGAGTCGAGGTAGGTTACGATGTTTTTGTGGCCTTTTAGTTGGCGCTGTGGGGGGATTTGGAGGGTAGGGTAAGTTACATTTACCGAGACTTCCACTTGCATTTGCCCGTACGATAAGAGCGACCGTAAGAACGATAAGTTCGGTAAAAACGATCGTTCGCCTGTCGCTCACCGAAAAGGGGCCAAGGGCGGCCTCACCTCACGGTAACAACGACCGTTCACTGTGGCTCAAACGTAATGCGCCTGCGGCGCCGCTCGCTTCGCTCGCTCGCGTAAGGGGTTCGTCCAAACTTCCAAACTCCACGCACCATAAACGAAATCTCATGCTCGGCATCCTTCAACGCGTCCGCATCAGGGCACGCGACCCTTTTCAGGACGGCCGTCTGTGATTCCCCATTGCTCCCCGTCGCCGATACGACATACACGTGTGCAAACCCGCCTTGCGCTAGAAATCGCTCTACAAGAACGTTCGTGCCGTTGACTGATAATATCGTGCCTGGGTTGTATGTCCCTATTTCATTGATGGATCGATTAGAACGGGCAGAGCTCTCCTCCAGTGATGTACCCCATGGGTACTCTGACACACCTGGTGGCCCGGGAGCCGCTTGACCTGCCGTTGAGGATGTTCTTCGGTGAGATGGGTGGTCGTTATGCGAGTGGTGCTGCGACTGAGGATATTGCTGCTGTTGCTGGGCGACGGCGGCACCACCTGGGCGATACCCGTTGGGTCCCACTGCTTTCGACAATAGGTTCATCTTTCTTAAGTCTTCTCCAAACTAGTACACTGGGGGGTCGTCCTTGTCCAACAGCCCTCGGGGCCAAGTCAAGATGGCAAGGAACGCGGAGGATTGTTGTATGATGTTGCTTCCCGAACAGAGAGAGAGTCACAGGAAGGAGCCTCTTCTGTCGCTGAACACCCAATGCTGTCGTCTTCCGATGTTTATAGGTATGCTTAACGTCTTAACTCCCCATGGGCCAGTGCTTCTGGGACGCCCTCGTTCCCTGCCTATTGCTTGCCTATTGCTTCGGGCACAGCAGGAGTGGGAACATGGGGGGGGGGGGGAGCCACTTGGCGGAGATGAGTCACTGGCAGCGTGAGTCAGAGTGAGTCAGAGTGAGTCAGCGTGAGTCAGCGTGAGTCAAGGGGACTGTGCCACTCGCGCCCTCTCTCTCAGAGGGAGTCGGCGGAAGGACGCCCGTCGCCCGTGGGAACAACAACAACCACCCCCCTTTGCCAGCAATCCCCCCCCCTGCAGAGCGCTGCATGCTCCTCCTCACAAGAGACGCTGCCGCTGTATATACTCGTCGCTCTCTCACCGCTGCCACCAGCACCACCACTCTCGTCTCCCAAGCTCCATTCACTCGCTTGCACTCGACCGCCCGAGTCTTGGCTCAGTCTCCTGCCACCACACACTTGTCACACCGCACCTTGTTTGCGCTCGGCGAACTTGTCTTTCCCACAACAACCATCGACAAACGTACTATCATGTCCGCACCTCCAAAGGGAAATGCTGTCAAAGCAAAAGACCAGGGCTCGTTCGACATTGGTCTCAAAGATGTCGAGCATGGAAAGGTCGTCACTCGTTTCCCGCCAGAGCCTTCGGGTTACTTGCACATTGGTCACGCCAAAGCAGCGCTCCTCAACGACTACTTTGCCCGTCTTTACGACGGTCAGCTTATCGTGCGATTCGACGACACCAACCCCTCTAAGGAAAAGACAGAGTTCGAGGAGTCCATCAAGGAGGATCTCACCCTGCTGGGCATCAAGCCCGACAAGATCACCTACACCTCCGACAGCTTCGACCTTCTCTACAACTACGCCTTGCAGTTGATCCAGGAGGGAAAAGCGTATGTGGATGACACAGATGTGACCACCATGCGGACTGAGCGGATGGAGGGTATCGAGTCAAAGTGCCGCAACCAGTCGGTCGAGGAGAACCTGCGTCGCTTCGACGAGATGAAGAACGGCACCGAGTTTGGTCTCACCTGCGTGCTTCGGGCAAAGATCGACTACAAGAACAAGAACAAGGCCCTGCGCGACCCTGCTCTCTACAGGTGTAATGTCGAGGACCCTCACCACCGCACTGGCCGAAAGTGGAAGATCTACCCCATCTACGATTTCGCCTGCCCCGTCGTCGACTCCATTGAGGGCGTCACCCACGCGCTTCGTACGAACGAGTACAGGGACCGGAACCCGCAATACGAGTGGGTACTCAAAGCGCTCAACCTCCGCCAGGTCCATATATGGGATTTCAGTCGTTTGAACTTTGTTTACACCCTCCTGTCCAAGAGGAAGCTGACCTGGTTCGTCAACGAGGGCGTGGTGACGGGCTGGGACGACCCGCGCTTCCCCACCGTCCGCGGAATCCGTCGTCGTGGTATGACCATCGAGGCCCTGAGGCAGTACATCCTCATGCAGGGCGCGTCGCAGAAGAACCTGGAGTTGGAGTGGGACAAGATCTGGGCCCTGAACAAGAAGGTCATCGACCCCATCTCCCCGCGTCACACTGCCCTCAACCTGGACAAAATTACCCCCGTCAAAGTCGTGGGCGAGGACGTCCCCACAACGACCAAGAAGATGCCCAAGCACAAAAAGAACCCCGACGTCGGCGAAAAGATCACCACCTTCTCCGGCGAGCTCTACCTCGACTTTGACGACGCCAAGGAGCTCGTTGTCGGCGAGGAAGTCACCTTCATGGACTGGGGCAACGTCTTCATCGACGCCGTGCGCTGGTCCGGCGACAAATCCCACATCACCCAGGTCGACATCAAACTCAACCTCCAGGGAGACTTTAAGCTCACCAAGAAGAAACTCACCTGGCTCTCCCGCGCACAAGGCGGCGAGGACTCCACGCCCGTGAAAGCCACCCTCTTTGACTACGACTACCTGATCACCAAGAAAAAGCTCGAGGCCGACGACGAGGTCTCCCAGTTCGTCACGCCCGTGTCGGAGTTCAAGACAAACGTCCTCGGCGACGCTAACCTCCGCCACCTCAAGAAGGGCGAGACCCTCCAGCTCGAGCGCCGCGGCTACTACATCTGCGACGTCCCCTACGACGCATCCAAACCCGACGAACCGATCCACCTCATCGCGATTCCCGACGGTCGAACAGCGTCGATGGTCTCCAAAGCATCCGAGCCGAAAGACGCTACTGCAACCACTACCGCCGCCGGTGCCGCCACTGGTACTGAATCGAAAGGCGGTCGTGAACGCAAACAAGCCCGTGAAGCCAAAAAAGAGAAAAAAGCCTCCGCGGGCGCCGGCTCGGGTACATCAAAGATGTACAAAGTGAAACCGGTCTACTCGGACACCATCTCCATCGACCCCACCAAGATCAGCAAAATGTACACCGTCAAGAACGTCTACGGCGACAACATCGACGACGCCGTAACCACCGCCACCGAGAAAAACATCGCGAAACCAGTCACCGCCCTCCCCAACGACGACAAATTCCCCGCCCCCGAAAAACAATCCAAGCCCAAGAAGGAGAAACCCGTCTCGTCCACGCCCGCGGAAGGTTCCACCTCCCCCGCAACCCTCCTCTCGAAATTAGACATTGTAGTCGGCAAGATCGTCGACGTCAAACGACACCCGGACGCTGATTCGTTGTACGTTGAGCAGATCGATGTCGGGGAGGAGAAACCGAGGGAGATCATTTCGGGGCTTGTGAAGTTTATCCCGATGGAGGAGGTCAAGGGCGCGATGGTGCTTGTGTTGAAGAATTTGAAGCCTATCAGGTAAATGGCGACACAGATCCATATGGTGTTTGGCAGATCTGTTATTGACTTTTTTGGGATGTCTTGAATTAGCATGCGCGGCATAAAATCCTACGGCATGGTCCTCTGCGCCTCGTCCGCGGACCACACACAAGTCGAATTCCTCATCCCGCCCGCGGATTCCACCCCGGGCGACAAAGTCTACTTCGACACCCTCACCGACGGCACCGAGCCGCCCGAGGCGGTGCTGAACCCGAAGAAGAAGGTGTGGGAGGCCGTGCAGCCGGGGTTCAGGGTCAGCGACGACCTGGAGGCCGGGTGGGAGGGCAGGGTGTTTAGGACGAGCAAGGGCGTCGTGAGGGGGAAGAGTATCAAGGGCGCCGAGATCAAGTAGGCACTGGTTACGGATTTAGAACAGAGTGGTGGACACTCCCTCCCCCCGCATTTGCATGTAGATAGAATAGCATGGGAGCCATCCCTCCCCCCCCCCCCCCCCCCCCCACACCTTTTCTTTATTATCTGCAGAGGGGGCGTAATGTCTTCCGTACTTTCAGATGCGAACATAGAGGGGCTCTACTTTCTTTTTTCCATTCGGCACCTTCGGGTATCCGTCGGGGGATCATACATACCATGTACCCAGAGAGCTGGGCAGGAAGACCGGTGGTTTCATAACTTTGCGAGAAGAAGAAAAAAAAAAACGTCGGACGCGCGCTTCTCGCTCGGGAGACGCCCAACGATGGGACCACCGTCACTTCGAACATAAACACGAACCATAAACACGCGTTTTCGAACCTCTCCCCACATATATCCCCACCCATTACGCCCTAACTACAAGCATACGAAACAAGAAACAACAACAAGAAATTCCATACCCCAACGCCCCATCAGGACGTGATGCAACGAAAACCCATGCTCGTGACGGATGGGAGAGATGATGTCGGGGGGTGACCAAAAAAAGAATTCGGGGGGATAGGCGGTTGTGCGTGGTGTCGGGTTATGTGGGCATGTGGGGGAGGGGGGATGCGTATGTCACAACGGGCAGTCAGTGGGCACGGGTTGTGTTGTCGTTCCGTCCCCGGGGGTTATGTTGCCCGGGTATCCCACTCGGTCTTCGTATGCATGTGTGTGTATGGTTAATCCGAACTCGCCCAACCGTCCAGGTTTTTCACCCAGACAGCTGACCCGACGCGAACCCGCCTCAGCCCCCCGCCTGATGCCCAACAACAGCCACAGGCGGCACCAGCATCTGCGCACTCCTCCACGTCGCCGACCGCCACGTGTCGCGGCCAAGCACGGGGGGGTCGCGTCGGTGCAGCGCGATATCGATCATGTCGCGGACGTCGGCTTCTACTACCGGTTTTGTTAATACCCTAAAAAAATGTATATATATGTTAGTTGGGTGTGAGAAGGGATGTGGGGGGGTAAAGATTTTTGTGCTGCGAAACGCGTACCGATCGATCCCGGCATCATAGAACTCGTTCTGGTCTTCAATCATGGCGTTTCCAGTGACCCCGCACGCCCAGACGGAGATATCGTGTTCGCGGAGTTTCTTGATGCATTCTACGCCTGTCATAACCTAAAGAAATCAAGAGAAAAAAAAAGAGTAACACACACAAGTCAAATAGTGCCCACAATATTGATGAATTTGCAGGGTGGGGGGGACTCACCGGCATCTGATTATCCAAAAGCACGAGGTCATACATCTCCCCACCGGCCCTTTTGCGTTCGTCACACTTTGCAAACGCAATCGCGCCATCCTCCGCAATCTCCACCGAATGGCCCAGGCGCGTGATCAGGCGGCTCATCAACAGCCGGGTGATCTTATCGTCGTCCACGATCAGCACCGACGCCTTTGGTTTCGCGGTGGAGGAGGCGGAGGAGGATGTGAGGGATGAGAGGGGGATGCCCCCGATCACGTCGTTGGAGGTGCGGCGGGAAGGGGCGGCGGACATGGCGGGGGAGGCGGTGCCCGTGGAGGGGTGTGAGGAGGAGGGTTTGGACCGCAGGGAACGTTTGAGGAGGGTGGGCGCGGCGCGGTCGGTGGGTGTGGCGTGGGAGGAGGAGGAGGAGGCGTGGGAGACGCCGTTGGGGAGTTTGCCGTTCGGGGGAGGTGGACCACCAGTGCCGCCGTTGATCTCTTCCACAGGTTCGCTCTCGGGTGTGTTTTCCCCGCTCCTCGCGCTCGTTTCCAGATTATTGAGCAGCATCCCCGCGGCGCGTAACCTCTCATCCGCGGCCGTGCTCGTCCTCGCACCATCAGACGCACGGAAGATCCCATTCGTCGTAGCTGCTACACTCGGTCCCATCGTCTGTCCCGTCGCCGAATCCACCACCATATTTACCCGATTCAGCGACGGATGCGGCGGCCGCTGATCCTCCGACATTTTCTTGGCATATATTTTGGAGAAATCCCTCAGCGACTCCCTCAAGGCCGCGGCGTCCACATCCGTGTGCGGTATCGTCGACACGATAATGTCGATACTATCGTCCGAGCTCGCAAACCCGTCTTCCATATTCATGCCCTCGTTAATCTGCACATGTTTCTTGACAGGCGTGGCGGGCGTTAGTGAAGCATCCGAGCCGGAGCCCATCAGCATGGGTATATGCGCCATGGGGATATCATCAGCGGGGTGGTGGTGCTCGCTGCCGGGTGGAGAGTATTCGACCGAGTTGGTTTCGCGTTCATTGGTGAGGCCGAAGGGCATTTCGACCCAGAAGATACTGCCTTGTCCGCGGCGGGATTTGACGCCGAGTCGCCCGCCGGAGAGTTTGACGATGTGCCGGACGAGCGCGAGGCCTAGGCCTGTGCCTTTGCCGCCTTGTCGCCGGCCTTCGTCGGTTTGGACGTAGGGGGAGAAGAGTTTGTTGCCGACCATGTCTTGCTTCTTTATCCCGACACCTGTGTCCTGCACTTCCATACCTACGTATCGTGACAATAATTGGTTAGAATCTGTAAACTCACATCCTCACATCCCCAAGATTGAATTGAAACAACCACTAACTCACGTATAATAGCAGAAGTCTCCCCCTCATCCTCCAACGGCGCATCCACATCCAACACCTCAATCTGGCACTCCGACGGACTCCCCAACACCGGCGGCGATTCCTCCAACGACGTGGGTGGCGCTGATATCCCAGATCTGATGTCGGATGTCGGGAACAGCAATTTGGTGGTGACGGTGACGGACCCGCCTACGTTTGTGAACTTGCATGCGTTGGATACGAGGTTGGAGAGGACTTGCCGGAGCCGCATCTCGTCGCCGGTGATCACTTTGCGATTTTGGAGGTTGTCGATTTCTTCGTCCAGGTCAATGTTCAGTTTCAATCTGCGAATGGTACGAGTGCGTCGAGATATGAGCGAGACCAGACCATCTGCGTTTGATGCAAAAGACACCTACCCTCGGGTATTCGCCACGACCTTGGCACTAACAAGCAACGACCTAACCGTCTCATGGAAATCCAGCGGCGACTCTGCACAAATCAGCTTCCCACTTTGCATGCGCTCAAAATCCAACACATCATTAAGCACTTTCGCCATCATGCCCAGACTGCCCCTCAGGGCATTAACGACATCCATCTGCTCGCCTTCCACATTATCGAAACACCCTTCCCCAACGAGATTCTGCACGGCCAGCGATGCAGCGTTGAGGGGGACGCGGACCTCGTGGAAGATGTAGTTGACGAACCGGCGTTTGCTGTCGGCGGCTTTGTACTCGAGGTGCCGCGCGCGCTGGGTGGCGCGGTACTGCCGTTTGAGCTGGTCGCGCATGAGGAAGTTCTTTCGATCTAGCTGATTTGCCATTTGGGTGGCACCGGTTAGAGATTGGCCTTTGGGAAAGTCTTTCGCAATCGGGTGTGAATTGCTAAAACGGACAGGAGAACGTACCCTCTCATGGCAATATGACATGTAGTTGACAAAGATGCCGTAGATCACGTACACCGTTGCCGCACGCAGGTAGTAGATGCGCACAGGAACAATGACGGCGCATATCAGCGCCAAGAACGATATCACGACAGCACCTGACCACAGACGCGTTTGCCCCAACGCAAACAACGACGTCGTTACAAACGCAGCGGCGTAGAATATTGTCAGAGAGAAATCCTTTGCTCCGCACCCAGGCCCGCCAAACACGCCTGCGGTTTGATCGTGGTAGAATCCACAAGTTCTCATCTCGACGACCAGAATGGTTGGCCAGCAGAGCGTCATCAGGTAAAGCAGGATTTGCCACTTGATGGGGTGGGCTTGTGGTGCATTTGCTGCCACCGCGACGATAAGGAGCACCGTGATAACTGCAGTACATCCTGCCGCCCACTTGTTGTATGTGGTATATGGCTGCGGATTGACCACCGCCAGACTGAGGATCCACACCACCAGCGCAAACCCAGCCGCTAGAAGTGCTAGCGCTTTTCTTTGGTACCATCGTTCCTTCATGTAGGTGCGTTCCGTATCGTCTCCTTCGAACGAAAGGTTGAAGTATCTCCTCACGGCGATAATCGCTCTCGAGTTGGTGAATACTAACGACCGCGGGAACCCGCTCTCTCCGGTTGTCTGTGACCAAGCAGACTCTAACTCGTGGCCAGTCGTCTCCGTTTGTGTGTTGGTGGTCGTGCTATTCACGCTGAACGAGTGGGACCGGCTGTTCATTCCCAAGGGCTTTGAAGGTATGGCCAGGAACTCTGAGTCTACGATAATCTCTTCGGTCATGTTTCCGTCGTCAACTTCCTCCACCATCCCCTCTTTACGGTTCGCATCGGTAGCCCAGGAGCTGTCCGAAGATGCAGCGTCGCTCTGTGTTTCGGAAGGTGCGGAAGGCGCCAGGGCCTTCTTCGCGGCCCTCCAGTATTCCTGGAGGCGGTCTGTCGGACTGAAGCGGATCGTCTTTGAAGCCATTTATTTTCGCGACCACTGCGGTGGGAGTTGCGGAGGGTGTTCTTGTTCACGGGCCTGGCGGTGGGTGTGGTTTGTTCTGTGTGTTCTCTGAGGATAAGCGAGCAACGAGCGCCTGTTTCTTCCGTCCTCCGCGGAGCAGTTCTGTTCTGGAAGGCGTGCCTCGTTCGTAGAGCAGGGCCCCCAGCCCCACAGTCGCAGTCCCTGCTGTGGCTTTGTTGGGCGCAAGGTGCAGGCCCTAAACCCCTCTCTCTCTCTCTCTCTCTCTCTCTCCCTGGAGGAGTACTGTATACTAGTAGTAGTTGAACCCGAGAACAGAACGGCGGCGACGAGGCAATAAAAATAGGAGATCGGCGCGGGCTGGTGGGCGGCCTGGCTAGTCTCCTGTCTATTCATTGACCGGGGAACAACCGCAGCCGATCTTCAGTCCACAAACAGACACAAACGGTGACAAACCCTCCCTCACAGGCTCATTCAGCCTACAGGCCCGCGCTGGATCTATTTGAGGACCACGGGTGAAGCCTTGCCGCAGCAGCAGTGATGTCAGCGTCGTTGCTGTTGAAAATCTGTGACGGGCGATTCACCAAGAGCACCTTCCTCTGCGGAGTCTGTGACAGATGATCGGAGAGACGTTCTTCCGTTCGCTTTCGCGAATTGTCGGGCAAAGACGATGGAGAGGAGTGGGTGAATGAAACCAGGGCAAAGCACCGATGGGTGACACTGTATGTGCGTGCGGATAATTCGGGTCTTGAGACCCTCGCGAGTTTGCCAAGAGCTACTTGGCATGTTTGCCTGGCCCCCAGAATCTCCGCATTAAGGCTCCACGAATGAGAAGCTTGGCGCTCTTCATGCATGCGCTGGACAGAGATGAGTGCCCCGTTGCGCATGGCAATGATATACTACTGTACATGGCTCATAGAGTCTCCCTCAATCATCGACAGGTTCCCCCGATCTCGAGACACTTCTCGGGCATTCTCCCCCACCATTCGACTCATATAATGGAATCCCTGCACCATGGACCCTCATCCCAATGATTTACTTTGAAGAAGCCCCACAGTAAATCGCTCATGACGGCCTGATTGGGTACTTAATGACACCTGGCGAGAAACTGTAAACCTATTGCCAATATGATGGGCTTCTCCAAGGTACTGTAGGTACGTAGGGCAGTCACTGAGTACCGAACTTCCGACGCATGGAAATATGGAGGAAACGCGCTGTCAAAGTCCTGTCAATGCCTATTTTCAGATCTCAGCACCCTGAAGAACATACGGTTACTCTTAGACGGCGCTGTGCGGGCCCGCCTTCCAGCCTCTCAACCCACGCATCAAGCGTAATGCAGTATGCGGTCGTTACTGGCGTTGCGTGGCGGCATGCTGGCGTTTTTGGGGTTGGTAGTGCGGTTGAACCAGACTTTTGTCTCTACACCTGCATCTCCTTGCCAGCTACCAGGCGAACAAATCCCAATAAGTAGCCTGTGCAAGTCCAGCAGAAATGCCCTCACGTCCACCACCCCCTAGCAGCCCGCGCATCACCGCACCCTCCCCCGCAGCAACATCCGTCGCCTTCGCCAAAAAGCCGCACCACACCAAATCCAAACCGAAATCCCGCACCCCATCCGATGGCCCGCCCGTCCCCGCCAAGCACAACCTGGGCACCATCACGGAGCGGTCCGGCAAACTCAAACCGCCGGCGCTGAAGGTCAACATCGCAACGAAGCGGTTTGATAATAGCGTAGAGCATCAGCGGGCGTTGCAGGAGAAGATTGATCGGATGAATGGGGTTGAGGTACGTTTCGCTTCAGATTGAGACGACGCATATCGAGTACAGGACTCATCACACCCCATCCATCACAGCCCCGCCACGACACCAAACCCCTCCCCATCCCCCCACCCCAACTATTAGTAACGAACCCCTCCTTCGCGCGCGGCGCCCCCGCTGGCGCACTAGCGGCAGGCCTATCAGGCGTCACGGCGGCGCAGGTGGACGACAGCCTGCAGAGATGTGTGGAGGTGGCGGTGCGGACGCGGTCGAGTATCTCCGCGCATGGACGGCTGGGACAAGTTGTTGGGGAGGTCGTGGTATGTCCCGATGCGTGCTTTGCCCGTTGTTGGGTGATGGTGGTGGGTGGGTTTTTGATGGTGTCTCACTCGGACTTTTTCCCCGTGGTGAAAGGAAATGTACAATATGCGCAAAACAGACCTACTCCCTTACATGCGCGTTCCTCCCACGCAACCCACCACCGCCACCGCCACCTCCGCCCCCTCCCCAGACCCACAAACCCCCACCACCGCCTTCCTCACCCCAACGACCCTCGCCCACATCCCATCTCCCACATCCCCCACCCCACGGCCATCACTCCAAAAACCACTCACCCCCGTCGGCCGCGCCCTCTCAATTTTCTACGGGCGCACGGAAGCGCTGACGAACCGGTTGAGTCGGTATGGGAGAAGGAAAGTTGGGTTTGGACGGGCGCGGAAAGTGAGGGAGGGGGTGGAGGCGTGGGCGGAGAGTTGGCGGGATGTGGTGAGTGGTTCCTTTTTGAGGTTTAGTAGGGGGTTCGTGTGAGATGTGGGCGAGGCTTGTGGGGAGGGAGTAGGAGTGTGGAGTACTGACGTGTTTTTTTTGTTTCTTGGTCGCAGATGATACAGCTAACGTTGACGCTGGCGCGGGATGGTGCTGATGCTGCTGAGGTGGCGTCGGGGAAGGTGGCGAAACTTGCTGTGGCGACTGGGGCGCCTGACTGGGAAGGTAATGGGTTTGATAGAGTATCATGAACTACGCAGCAGTGGTGCTGACGCAGCTGGCATTCTGTAGAATTGACGTTGGATGACGCGCAAAAGCTGTTCATGCAAGGGGATAAATTCCTGCTTGGGTTCGGGGTGACCCGCTCCTACGACATTGCGTTCAAGCGGTACATGGTGTGCTACCCTCCTTATCGCCGAAGCTGCAGCGAACTGACCAAAGCGATGCTAATTCCCCGCTTCGCCCGCAGGCCGCCGCGCAACGCGGCTCCACGGACGCCATCCACATGGTCGGCGCAATGTTCGAGCACGGCCTCGGGCGCCCCATGGACATGGCCGCCGCCATCCGGTGGTACCAACAATCTGCCTCCCGCAACCACACCGACTCCCTCAGTGCCATGGGCCGCATCCACGAAACAGGCAAAGGCGTCCCGCAGGACCCCCGCACCGCCTACGAGCTCTACCTCCTCGCCGCCGAGGCCGGCCACGTCGATGCAATGTGCTGCGTCGCTTCCCTTCTCCAGCGCGTGCCTCAATCCTTAACCAACTACGACGCTGACGGATCACCCGCGGAGGCCGCCGTCGCGTGGTACCGTCTCGCCGCGCAACACGGCTCACCCCGCGGGCAAAACGCGCTCGGCAGCTGCTATTATCGGGGCTTGGGAGGCGTCGAGAGGGATTATGGCAACGCGGTGGTGTGGTTTCGGCGGGCGGCGGAGAGCGGGGATCCGGCTGCGCATAATAATTTGGGGATATGTTATGAGGAGGGGGTGGGGGTTGCGAGGGATGTGGTGATGGCGAAGACGTTGTATAAGTTGGCAGCGGCGGGGGGCCATGCGGGGGCGACGAATAATTTGGGGTATTTGGCGTTGGTTGAGGTGAGTGGTTCTTTTTTTGTTGTTTTCCGGATATCTTGACGAATTCTTCATCACACCCGCTCGTCGACAGAAAAACTTCATGGAAGCAATCCACCAGTTTCATCTCGCAATCACATTGGGCAGGTGAGGCACTTCTTCCTCTTGTGCACCCCAGGACTTCGTAGCTGACGATCCCTTTTGTTCAACCCACCAGCGTCGACGCAGCCTACAACCTCGCAACCCTCTACGAATCCGGCTGCTCCGACGCCTCCGGCCGCGTGCTCCCAAAAGACACTTCCATGGCCGTGCGGTACTACAAAGAAGCCGCCGACAAGGTATTCCCTTCCTCCCCAACCCCCCTAACCCCCCTGCGCCAATAACCCACCTAAAACCCTCAATAGAACCACACAAAGGCCCAACTCCGCCTTGCCCGCATCTACACCACCCACCCCCCACCCCTCCAAAACCACCCCGCCGCAATAGCCTACCTCACCCGCGCCGCCGCCGCCCCATCCACCGATCTCCCGTCCCACGACATCTCCCAGTCCCCAGGTGGTCAAGGCGACGCCAACGCGCAGAACATGCTCGGTGAATTGCTCGAGTTGGGGTGGACGGGGACCGAGGCGCCTGACGGGGTTGGGGCCAAGAGCGTTCAGTCGGATGGGGATGGGGATGGGGATGGGGATGGGGAACAGCAGCAAGTAGGAGATTACGCGGGCGCAGCAACATGGTACCGCAAAGCGATGCGGCAGGGCCATGCGCGGGCGACATACAATCTTGCGGCGTTGTATGAGGTTGGGAGCGGGGTGGGGAAGGATGTTGAGAAGGCCTTGCGGTTGTATAAGGAGGTAGGTTTGTTCGTGTTGCTTGTAGAGTTGAAGAGGAGTGTGGATGCTGATACTTGCGCTTTTTCTTTTTTGAAATATGGTGTAGGCGGAGCAGCGGGGATGTAAAGAGGCGAGGGAACGGCTGGATATTTTGTCGGAGCTTGGCATCTCGCCGCGGGCACGGCCTGTGTAAGCCGAGATGCGAGGATTTTCTGCCATTGCATCTGCCTATTTGCTCGTTCACCGAGTCAACGCATTGCCAAGTACATAGATGAACACGAATGTACTAATCGTCCTAGTCGCGAACCTCCCCCTCGAAATCATGTAGCGTGCTTGCGCGCGCTAACAATCGCTCAGGCGTTGCCGTGGCAATATGTGACATGTTGGAGATATCTCTGTACAAGAAAGACAAAGAGGAGACTATGTACAGAGGGCCAAAAGTCTGAACTACAGAAATAGAGCGTCTCTCTAATGCTAAATGCCAGATCTATCCACATACGTCCCTACCGTGGCTCATCCAACCCCAGCGCAACCTTCACCCTCTCCGGCACAGGAATCTGCGCCCTCTTCCTCTCCAAATCCCTCTCATTCATCCCCCTAAACTGCTCCGTAACCTTCCTCGCCGTCGGATCACTCTTCTCACTCAAATACATGCTCTGGTACAGCCGCGGCGCGTACCGCGTGACAGGGTCGGAAGTCCAATGTCCCGCCGGGTTGGGCTGCACGCAGTAATGTTCAGCAAACGCCATCCACTCGGACGTGCGGCGCGCAAACCCGCGCTCCAGCTCGACCAGCGCGGTGTCGTGGGTGGTGATGAACAAGTGCGCGGCGTACACGGCGTCAAGGCTGGTGTGGAACCCGCGGTTGATGCCGAGGCCCTGTGGCCAGAACGGGTTTTGGAAGGCGTCGCCGATGGGGAGGACGACCGCGGTTGGATGGGTGGGGTCATCGGCGGGGCTGAGGAATTTGAGGGATTGCATCGTCATGGCTTTTGCGGAAAAGTCGAAGAGCTGCACGCCGTGTTGTGCGCAGAAGGGCGCGTCGGGGGGCACGCCGACCGAGGAGGCCGTGTGACGGGCGAATGAGCGGAGTTGGGTGATGTCGACGTTGGTGGGTGATAGGACGTCGTGGACGGTGCCTTCGTTGTTGCGCAGGACGCCGGCTTCATGTAGGGATGCTCGTTTGACGGTGATGACGAGGAAATGGGTCTTAAGACCCCGCATGTACTCCATGTTCTCGATGCCGACACCGAGTTTCTCCAGTTTGCCGAGCGGGCCGGTACGCCACTCGGCTTGAGCGCGGGAACCGACGAACTCGGGGAGTTGGAGTTCAGGGGCGCGGCTCTTCGATTTGGCGTCCGTGGCTTGCGGGGAGAACTCGAGGTTGACGACCATCCCGATCGCTTCGGCGAAGCGCACGTACTTGCGGTCGAAGCCGAGATTGCGGAGCAGCCGGGAGGATTCGCCTTCGGCTACAAGTAAGGCGTCGAATTCGTGTTTTACGGCATGCGAGGGTATCGTATGTACAGCCGCCGCGCGGGTGATGACGCCGTCTTGTGAGCTCGCACGTTCGACAAAGTCTACTTTCGATCGCTTCTCGGCGCCGTCGAGGTTGGCTTCAGAGTGGCGGAAGGCCAGCTCCGCCGGGGTATCCTCCTCGCTCATCTCTTCCTTTTCATTAGCGTCCGCACTCTCGTTGCCGGTGGAATCCACGGCAACGGCATTGTTCTTGCTCTTGACGATCGCCTTTGCCTCTGCGGCGGGTAACGACCACCCTGTCCACGCCGTCGGAGCATCGACTCCAGAAATGGGCTCGATCAAGCCACAAAGGCCCTGATCATACTGCACCCGGACGCCCAGCAGCAGCGCCGTCTTCAACAGGACAAGTTGAATCTGCTTGGTCTCCAGGTGTAGATGTCCATGCGGCTGGAAGGCAGGCATGTACTGCGACAACCCCAAGCTCGTCAGATCCTGGATGATCGTCTTCCACGTCTTGATGATATTGTGGCGACTGAACTGGGATCGCAGCTCCAGCACTGTGACGTGGTAGCCCTGAAGCGCGCATTCCACCGCTGACCGGAGCCCGCAAGGCCCGGCACCGCTGATGAGTATGCGGCCGGTAGGCGAGGATTCCTCGCGGAGGGTAGCGGTGGCAGCGAGTTTGCCGTCGATGGCGGTGAACAAGCCTTTTTGGCGGTACGGCAGGATGGGGAGAAGAGCGGCTTTGAGGGCGGTGTAGAGAGCTAGCCCTTGGGAGGAGGTGACGTTGGCGGCGGCCACCATGGCATCGAACGTTTGTGTTGTGTCGGCGACGTCGACGGCATCCATCCAAGCGAGAAAGTGGTCGCGGGGGGACATCTGTGGTATCGTCATTGTGCAAATGGATGGATGTGGTAGAAAGGTCCTTGAAGAAGCACACAGATGCGGAACTGCCTTGCTGCGAAAAGGGAGCATTGCCACCCGTTTCGCATTTATACCTTTTTCGAACAATGATATCCTGGAAAACTGTCTGCAACGTTCCTTGGTCGGAAATCCGATGTGCCAAGCATTTGCCAAGCAGTTACTGTAATTCAACGGGGACGCGCGGCGTCTTCAAAAGCTCCAACGCGCTTGTACGTACGCATGTGGAACACTCACATCGGATGTTCCTCGGGCAGTGTTATTTCGACCTGAAAGCCTCTCGTCGTATGGTCCGTAGTACTGTACGTTCCAATGAACGAGGTTGAAGGCCAATTTTTATTCATGGTCCAAAGGTTCGCCAAGAAACAAACCGCAAAGGGAGTACCTATACGCGCGCAGAGTCCAGCGCGCGCGATGTCGTCTTTGCCGGTCCCTCATCGCAGGGGGACGCAGGTGAAGCGACAAAGCCCACTTGGTTTGGTTTGCCTGTTCGATTCCTATGTGCCTCGAGGCTAAATGCCGAAGTCAAGGCGGCAATATCCTACACGTTCAAGCTTCAACAGGGTCTGATCCCCCGTACCAGTATGGAAATGATGCAATATACTGTAGATACATGGATCAAACACCCAACCTCCCTTTGTCCCTGAAGCGTCTCCCCATCCTCACAGATCCTTTTTTATCCCAGCTTCTCGTCTCTCCCTCTTGTCCTTACCTGTCGGGTCGAAGCGGACTTTGATGTCTTTCAGACACAGACACCACCAAAGGGAAACCCTATCATCAGAAGTAGACTATGGGTGAAAACTATATTGTGACAGAGTACGGCTCAATCGAGTATGACCAACTTCGACAACGTGGCTATACGGAAGTTTGGCACTTTACAGCGACGTGGTGTCCGAAGTACAAATGTCGACCCACGGGGCTGCTGATGGATAGCTGTGTCGACGGCCCTTGTGACTTCTTACCGCCTATGAGTATCATATCATGGTTCGTTCCCCCGTATCTTCATGGCCATGGGAGAACAGAAACAATGTCTGACCCGATTGATTCCGGCGAATCTCCAATTTTCCTACATACTCCACAGCCACGTCGACCAGGAACTCTTCCTTGATGCCCTGAACCAGTTCCCTAGCCATATTGGCATCCACCGGAACCCCTTTGTAGGCTATGGGATGAGGGTCCACAGAGAACTGCTTCAAGGACTCCATAGTGCCTTTGAACATCTCTGATTTTCCGTTCTCCGGCGGGCCAAACCACGTCTCCATCACATCGTTCAGATCCTCTTTCTCAGCCGCTACCTGTGCCCATTCGATTGCCTTGTGTAGCGGCAGTTTAGATGGACTTCCTCCAGCTGGCATCCGAAGACAACGCCTTTGGATTGACCCTTGCGCGGTCCGTAGCCGTACTTCATCGACGCCGTTTTGTCTTCGGATGTCAGCTGGAGGAAGTCCATCTTCACCTCCCAATCGATGTTGATGGCAATCTGTCGCCGGAGCGCGGATCGTGCCTGCGCATCGAGGGTAGCGTTCAGTTGTCTGTTGTCGTTCTTCAGGTCTTCGTTGTCGTTCTTCAGGTCTTCAATGTCACTCGTAGCTTTCAACAGCTTCTCCTCCAGCTCTTGTATACGGAGTTCTAACTGCTCGCACCGGTCTTGATTGTCGGATTGTCGAACACAACGTCGAGGAAGTTGGCGTAATCGTCCACTCCGGCTTGGTCGAGACTCTCCGCACGCTGCCAGAGTTTATTTAACTTTGCCTTCAGCGGCTCTTCCGCCTCGTCCGCTAACTTGCGTTTGTTGTTCTGCAGCCACTTTCGCTGAGCTCGTAAATGACGAGACATGATGTCTTTTTTTCTTGCTCCCAGTGGACGAGGTGACGGCCCTGTGGGAACTTTGTGGGGGGATATGAGGGCTTTTGTGTGTTTGTCGAGAGTTTGTCTCGCCAACCAGCCAAGCTGCCGCGGCGATCGTCTTCGCTGTCGGCGAGCGGAGTTTGAAAGTGACGAGGGACGAGATCCAGGCGCGTTCCTTCACGAGCGCGGCGGTCTTACTGAAGAATCAGTCTATTCTGAACAAACACAAGGACCTTTTGAAATTTGTTTGTCAGAGACTGGTAGAAACCAAACAGAGCAACAGATCAAACACTATAGCAATCATGACATCTACGGCTAGACAGATCAAGGGAGTCGAGCACATTAAGGAAGGGCTCCTCGCGGGCAAGTCCCCTGCTGAGGCCAATCCCTATCTGGTGAACCCCAACTCGACGGTAGACCTCCCTGCGTGGGTGACGCGCAAGACCGCCTACCGCGTGCCCAGTCTTACTTCCGACCCCGTCCCTGACCATCGCGGTGAGGATCCGGTGGACAACGCCAGGTACGAGGGTCCCGTCTCCACAGGAGGCGCTGTTGAGGAGCTCATCCAGGGAGACGCGACAGGAGCCCATGGTGGTCAGGAGCGCACGACTCTCATCGAAATCCCATCAACCATCCTGAATGACGCCGAGCACCAAAGGGCCCAGGAACAGACGCAATTGACTTCGGAGTCTGGGATCAATCCCCAGTCTGAAGCGTCTCCCCATCCTCACAGATCCTTCTTTATCCCAGCTTCCCGTCTCTCCCTCTTGTCCTTACCTACCGTAAGTCCCGTCAACGCTTTATCAATGGGTCCAACAACCACCTGATTGAACCCCCACGACACCGTTAACGAAATAACAGAGGCGGCGACCCACACAATCATCACCGGGAGGTACGACGGCGGTCCCTCCGCCTTCCCGTGCGCGGCGATGACTATACCCCCGACAATGGGACTGTGCAGGAGATAGCTGGTGAATGATTGCCGCGCGATCCATGAGAACCCACCCCGAGTGGCGATGACGTCGAATCGGCTTTGCCATGCGGGGGCGAGGTCGAAGAGGGTGTCGAGGATGTGGTAGGCGAAACCGCAGAATTGCGGGAGGAGGAGGACGAAGAGCCATTCGTTGTAGTGGTATCCGAAATGCTGCATCAGCTTTTCGCTGACGGGCGGGGACATGAGGAGCGCGTAAGGCACCCACATGAAGTTGGAGGTGTTGGTCTGTGGGTGGGATCGGCGATCGTCCCAGTTAATGTACAACAGCATACCGAGGACGAAGGGAAGCGAGCGGAACAGGATGCTCGAGTAGAGTCCTAGAACGCCAAACATACAGTCAAGAGGCTTCATGTAGGCTGTCCACTCTGACGGACTTAGGACCAGGAGATCTGACATACTCATCGTCGCCATGTCCATAAGGCTCTTGAAGAGGGCCGTGTCCATGAACGTGTTGCAGAAATAACGCATCGCCGTTGAAGCGACGATGATCATCGCAATGTACCTCGATCGAGGCCTGATTCCGCTCTTCAGGACCAGCTTTTGTAGCAGGGGAAGAGCGAACGGTGCTAGGAGGTAGCACTGAAAGTCGACGGCTGTACTCCACAGCATCGAGTTCATGGCCGTGCTTGCGGGATAGAGATTCGTCGTGAATGTCAGATCACGCAGCACGGCACTCATCTCCACATGCTTTGGGTTCTCTGCCGCCCTCAGAAGCATTGTTAAAAGCGAGGTGCTCAGCAGCGTCGGATACAATCGCAGCAATCGGTGCTTGTAGAACTCCCTCTTGCTGAATCTAGGTCCGTCCATAGACTGCGCTCGAAGCAAAGCCCGACAAGCGAGGAACCCGCTCAAGAACAAGAAAACCTCCACGCCGAGCATGCCATAGTTGAATACGTAATGTGCCGGCGACGACTGCTTAGGGAACCATTTCTTAAACGCTTCCTGGTCCTTAAACACCGAGCCTCCAAATGTCATCGCGTGCGTCGCTATTATGGCGAGGTGCCCCAGGGCGAGAGTGATATCGATAAGGCCCGACGGTAATGCCCTCCGCTGCGGTATTTGCACATCGCTTCGTGTGCGGGTCTTAAGCTGGGTTTCCCTTCCGACGGCCATCTTGCACTGTTTACGCCGACGGAGAAGGAGAATTATTGGTGCCGGACTTACGACCATTGCCGTCCTTTATATGTATGTGGCAGGACACAAATCACCCATCGCCATCAGCTCACCTCGCGCGCACCCGACGGGTTTTCGGACGCGGGAAGTCCGATCTTTTTACATAAGCACACAAGTCACATGACTCGACCAATGCAGATTCGACAGCGTGTGAATTGGAACTCCGCTCGGCGATGAAGTTTAACATTGATTGAGTTTCCTCCTGACCTGTAAAGTAGCCAATGGACACGTTGGCGCCCAAACTAACAAAGACGCCCCGACGGCGGACTATGCTTCCTCTCTGTTTTCACCGTCCCATCGAAGTTTCCGCATCCATCCTACAAACTCTTTCAGGAAGTTCCGTCCGGCCCCGAAAACTCCAAAAGACCCGCTCACTCAAAACTAGATCCCAGCCCCGCGCCGGTCGATATCCGACTGAAAGAAGTGCAAGGCATTGACCACATTATTAGCTCCAGTGACTCGTTTTTCATTTCCGGTCTCAGGAGGCAACCCCTGAAAACCGCCCCCGTAACCGATCGAATCCACGACTCACTGTTCCGATCAAACCTGAATACTTCATCGAAAACCCTCTAATTTGGCTTCAGTCTTACGCCCGCCGTTGCCGTTTTCTGCGGTTTTGCCTCAACTGTTATCCTTCCGAACGGTTTTCTGTTCTCTCAGCCAGGTTTGCCGTTGTTCGAGTATACGTACCATTCTGCTCAACACACGACAGGCTCGCGGGATAGCTAGAGGTGGAGGAGGCTCTCAATGAAGCTATGCGACATCCTAGCCACTTCCGCTCGTCATGCGCTCCGATCTTCACCGCCCTCCTCCTCACCGTCCTCCTCTCACCACCACCAACACGATGCGCGACCGTCAGCACGCCACCACCCAACGCGACAGTGCTCAAGCTCGGGGTGATATTGCCCTTCACCAACGTGCACTTCGTGGACCCGCTGAACTACTCGAATGCGTACTTCGAGACGATGCAACTGGCGATCGATATGATCTCCGCTACGTCGCTCCTGCCTGCCGACGCGTATATACAGCTTGATCCGAGGGACTCGCAGGATATGGTGCGGGAGGGGATGAGCAATGCGTTGGATTTGGCGAAGGATGGGGCGATTGGGCTTGTAGGTCGGTTTTGCGCGGTGGGGACAGTCACTCCCTGCGGGAGATTTGGGACGCCCATCGGCTGACTTTCTTTTCTTCCCTCGTTGCCGACAGGCGACATAACATCCGGCGTAACAATCGGCCCCGCGCTCGCAACTGGCTACCTCCAGATCCCGATATGCGGGTCAACAGCGACCGCCAGCGATTTCGACAATAAGGAAAAGTACCCATTTTTCTTCAGGTGCGCTCTGTCAGGCCCCGCTTTTCCATGCAGCCCGACCACACAAGCTATAACTATTATCCACACTCGTTTTGCTCATAGGACGATTCCCTCCGACCAGATGCATGCAACGGCGTTCCTGCGCATCTTCCAGTACTATAACTGGGCGCAGGTTAGGCTTAACCTTGTTTTTTTTCGGTTGGACACCTTAGCCAAAAGCCACGTTTGTGCTCACATTCACCCGTTTCCTCGTGTCATTGCTAGACAGCCATGATGTATGACAACTCTGATTATGGTATGTCTCCGCCTCTTGACACCCCTTCTCCGCCACGTCACTAACACCTCTTCTCCACCGCAGCCAAAGGCAGTAAGTCCCCCTCCCCACCTGATTTTCTCCCACTCTCAGATCACTCACCGCTCCCACGCAGTCGTAACGATGTTCTCCGCCCTAGCCGCTGCCAACGACATCCGGGTGCTCAGCATCGAGCAGTACTACCCGAAATACTACCGACCAGCGATCAAGTCGATTGCGGAGAGCAAGGCGAGGATTATTATATGGGTTGGGAATCGGGAGGATGATTTGGTGGATATTTTGCCGGTCGCGAGGTGTGTGGGTGGCGAGGATGTGTGGTGGCGTGCATGCGGCCCGGGGGATGCCGTTTGGGAAGACTCACGGGGGAGACGATGAGGACAATTCACCGAACTGTACCCTGATATCCTCTTCCGTTTTGCCCCTACTCGCAACTCTAGGGACGCCGGACTGCTCGCCCGAGAATACGTATGGCTAGCGGTCGAAGCGGCGTTATGGGCGCCGGCGCAGATGGAGCCGCCGGACTATCACCTGTTGGACGGGTTCATTGTGAGCGGTTCAGGTGTGTGCTTATGTCTGCGTGTTCGGTGGACTTCACGAGCCATGTTTCTTTGACAGTGATTTGATGCTATTCATCCCTCTCCCAGTGGAAGGCGATGGCCCACTGTACGAGCAGGTCCTGCAGATGTAGGTTACTTGGGTTTCGTAAGCGCTATCACCTGTCGCCTGCCCCACTCAAGCCCCAACATCTCACCTCATCTCATCCCATTCCGCAGGTTCACCGACCGCAACATGGGCACCCCCTACATCCAATCCATGTAAGCCTCCCTCCTCTCCCTCCCGCTTTCCCCCATACTCACCGACCCCCCTCGCCACATTTACCCCCACTCACTCCCATAGGTTCGTCTACGACTGTATCTGGGCCTTCGCGCACATCTGGCGCTCCCTCCTGGACTCCCAAACCCCTCTCTCCTCAATCGCAGCCGGAAACTACTCCAAGAACCTGACGGCGTTGCTGGGAAGCGTAGAAGGGTTCCTGGGCGCGACGGGGCCGGTGTTTTTTGATTCGGAGACGCTCTCGAGGGATGGGTAGGGTTTCCTCGTTTATCATTTCACGTTGCGATGAGTGTGGGAGCTGGACTGATATCATCTTGTTGGGGCAGGACGTATCAGGTGTCGAACATGCGAGACGGGACCGCTACCGTGCTCGGCAACGGGACGGTGAGAGATACGACGTTGGTGCTGCAGACACAGGCTACGTTCCGGGACGGGACGCATAACGTTCCTGCTGACGCTCCGGGTACGTATTCATTCAACATCTCCCATCTCCCCATCTCCCATCCTCCGCATCTCCCATACCCCCCCTCATGTTCTCTCACCTCCCCGCACAGCACCCCCCTGCGAAACCTACATCTCAACCATGTCCCCCTTCATGACGGTCCTGCACTCCCGCGTCGCCTTCCAAGTCTCCCAATCGGGCGCGATGTTCACCCTAGTGGCGCTCGGCACGCTGCTGGTATCGCTGTTAATTGCGTTCTGGTTTAGTGTGAGGCTGCAGTTTCGGGATAAGGTTAGGGCAAAATGGCCGTCGAGGGTGAGGAAGGAGCTTGTTCGCGGGAATTTGGTACGTCGAAACAACAGGGCAGAGGGGTGGAAGGGGGTCGTTGTGGGTTGTTGATCTTTGTTCCCCAACCAGACCAACTACCTCTCCCTCCTGTTCGTCGCCGTGGAAACCGTCCAACTCTGCGAATTCGCTTTCCACGTCATCCCGCAATGGGACACCGTCGCGCGCGGAGCCACCTTCCTCGCGGGCAACTTCAGCGTCGCATGGACGTTCTGGGTGTTCGGTTCCGCTATCCTCCTCTGGAACATCTTCACCCTGCTCATCCTCTCCAACATCGCTCAGCGGATAAACCAGAGTTCCATCGGTCATATTCTGTTGTACCCCGCTGAGGCGTTGTTGCCGTTGTTGGGGACGGTGGGCTATGTGCCTGCGACGACGACCCTGTTGGCGCCGTTGGGGTGCAGGTATACGCCTGCGGTGGCAAGGATGAGCGCGTTGTGCGAGGTGGAGTGTTGGACGAGTGCGAGGCATTGGTCCATGAGTATTATCGGCGCCGTCTTGATCGACTTGTTTGTGCCGATGAATTTGGTGACGAGGGTGGTGTGGCAGGATATTGGCAAGAATGAGATCAAGTACGTCTGTGCATGCTGGTGGTGAGATGTGAAGGGATCCGTTGTCAAACGGGCGTTCATCCGACATGCCGCATTCTTTTGCTTTCAGATGGGACGGACTCTTCTTCGCCACCGACCACCTCATCAAGTTCCTACTCGTTCTCTGGCAAGCCTTCCTCCAAGACTCCAACAAAACACTCTATCTCGGCGGCATCTTCGTCGTCAACCTCCTCTTCGCCATCGGCGTATTCCTCACGTACGTCTCCCCCTCCTGTCCCCTCTCCTCCCCTCCCCTTTCACTAACCCCTATCTCCTCCAGTAAGCCCTGCAACGTCCCCTGGATGCCCCTCTACCGCTCCCTCGCCTCCCTGCTCGCCTCCTGGGTAGCCTTGATCGGCTGGATCTTCGCCGGCATGTCGCTTAACCCGGACTATGTGGTCCCCATCACGATCGCGGGGTGGGTGGTGATTATTGTGGGCGGGTTGTATGTGAGCCATCGGATGTACCCGGCGAAGTTTATCAAGGAACGACGGCGGACTATTGGCGCGATCTTCAAGCTTTTTAGGGCTTTCAAGTAATGTGCAAGGGGAAGCGATGGGGAATCTTGGAGCTTTAGGATTCATGCTGATGGTTTGAGTTTGGGTAGTGCCGCGAAATCAGGCTCGCATTCGTCGGTAAGGAGTCAATCCGCATCACGGCGGTCCTCACTCTACAAAGGCAACTCGCGCAACGCGTTGGATAATATCCTCTTCAACGAGGTATGTAAAAAAAAAACACACACACACATAATCCAACCCTCCATGCCCATATCTCACCCTTCCCTCGCAACCCCAGAACCTCCGCCGCCTCCTCCTCGAATACACCCTCCTCCACCCACCCAGCACGCACCCCACACTCCAGAAATCCCTCGTGGTCTGCAAACCCCTGCTCCAAACCCTCTCGCAGCTCGCCGACGGCGACTACTCGACCTTCCGGCGGTTACTAGACCACACGGTATCCGACGTCGTGAAAGAGACAGGCGAACTGCGGCCGGATCTTGTGGCGGAGGCGGGGGATTTGAGCGCGAGCGATCAGGCGCTATGGTGTCCGGCGGGTGCGGGTGCGGGTGTTGGGCCGCAGGGGGTTGTGGGGACGGGGGAGTGGGGTGAGGCGGGGATTGATTCGGTCGAGAGTGGGGAGAGTGGGGAGTCGGGGTTGACGGAGTCTTTTGTCGAGGGGGAGGGGGAGGGGGCGATACCCATACCGCCGCCAGGGGAGGGTGTGGATGGGTGGTTAGAAAAAGGGGGTAGTGGACCGTTGTACGGGTCTGCCCCGCAAGGGGGAATAGGGAGGAGGCTGTCGGCGGCGTTACCGACGATATCATCGTCTTCGGTGTCGTCGGGGGGTATGTTGGGGCCGCCGGCGTCGGGGATGTTGGGGCAAAGACGGGTGTCGTTGCCGAGGAGTGCGTTGGTTGTGCCCGCGACGAGGGACGAGATGATACCGAGGAGTGGGATGAGTCCGAAGGAGAGGCATACGCATTTTGCGGTTGATTAGATTCGGAACCGGGGGGATGAGTGGGGCGAGGGGGAAGGGGACGCTGCCATGCAGATGTATATATAGTGAGGGATTTATACCTGTGAGTCGGAGTAATACGGACATTGGACATGTGATGACTATGTGCCCCAATTCCACCTCTTCCAGCATTCAGACTGAACAACCTGTTTCTCTCACCGCGGAAGAGAAAGAGAGGTTACGGACATCGCGACAGTTTCGGACAACGCGTAGCGGGAGAAATGCCACACGTCGCGTTTCCAGGTCTGCTTCCCTTCAAGCTCAAGTCTGTATAGCAATGCATGCTTTGCGGGTTGGATAGGCACAAAAACATCGTCGGACCACAAGGAACAGGAAAGCCCACCGGCCACAGTTTCGCGTTTCCTGGTAAATTGCAGTCGAAATGTGGATGGTCCCCACCCTTCTCTCAAATGATTGATTTGTATCCTGCCGAGACTGCGGGCACTGTACGGGACCTGCGGGCGTTGTCGTCGAAACTACAGCCGGAGTCTGCAAGGCGCGGATGGCAGGGGAGAGTAGGCGGCGTCCGTTTGAGGCAATAGAGTAGTGCGGTGCGGCGGCGGATGCTGAGGCTGGGATATCCCAAGACCCTTCGTTAGCTGGACCGTCCCTAGACAACTGGGCGGACTCGACGCGGTTTTCGACGCGTTGTTGGAAGGGATGTCCGAAGTGAGACCACACCAGCAGTCCGGTCTGACCCAGGTAAATGGTTTCTGTGAATGCTATGGTTTCCCAACAAAGTCGTTCATCATGCGTCCCCCGAATCCATGTACACAGAGATTTGCTTTCCGTGTGAAACCGGTGTTTTCTACTGAGGCAGGACAGCGGCAGTCGGAACCAGCAACGCGTCCGAACTGAACATGAATTAAGATGTCACGTCAGCAAATTAGTCCGAAGCCATAAAATCACGGCCGCCACGTCTCATTCTTCGCAAAAGACCTCCCGGAATGGCTTCCGATATATTTCCATGTGCTATCCAAAAAAAAAAAGACAAGCCAGAGAGAAGAAACTGATCTGCTAAGCTATCTACATAAAACCGCGCGGGGTATCTCAAAATCAAAGTTCGTTGATTTCTGGGGGCTTGTCGCGGCGGGAGGCGGCGGGGTATATGTATCCCATCGTCGGGTGGCGTATCCAATCCAATCCGAGTTGAGAAGAGGGAGGGAGTCGAGTTACAATGCGAAAATGCCAAGAAACGAAAAAGCGAAGCGAGAATATGTCTCCAATATCAAATAGCAGCAGGGTCGGTCATCTTCCATCCACCTCAGCCGTCCTATCAACCCTCACAATGCTCCAGGCTCCGCACTTCTACTCTCACTCAACAATCCGTTCAATGCCCCGGACAATTCGGATAAGGGCAACACCTGACACATGCCAAAAACGGACATGCCCTCGCCCCATTCCACTGTTTGCACGACCTGCACTGTAGTTTGGTTCGCGGGGATCGGTCTTTCGTCGCTGCGTTCCTATCATTCGTCGCTGTTGGTGTCGTGGGCCTACCGAGCGTGTGATTGTTCGTATGGTCCGCCTCCGATTTCGGTGGTGACTCCCACGGGAACCGGGGCGGGGAGGGCGTAGTTCCCCAGCCTGTATCGTGCTGTTTATGGTTCTTGTGGTGGTTGTTGTTGATGTTGGGCGCGGGAATGGGGATGGCAGGGACGGGTTTAGGCGAATTCTTTATGACGAACCCACACTCATCCCACGCGTCTGCCTCGAACGACCTCCCCGTCGTGCGTGCATCGTGGTCATCATACAATGCAGTTGCAGTAGAGCCAGCGGAGCCGTAGCCGAGGGATTTGAATATTTCCACGGCCGAGGCACCGAGTGCGTAGGTTGTTGTGTCACTTTCCGGTAGGGTAGGTAGATCCCACCCCGACCCGTTTTTCCAGGGGGCCGCCGCGCAATTCCACTCAGTTGTGCTGACGGGACCCCCTGGTCTGTTCCCATTCTGGTTTTGATTTCGATTTTGGTGGGGTGTGGAATATGACCCCGACCGATCAGACCGTACCGTATAATTCGCACTGGGTTCGCGGAGTGCGAGCTTCGCGCAGTCGAGTTTGACTTGCATGGTTTGCTTCGACTCTTTGCGTTTTGGAGTTGTGGTGTCTGAGTCAGAGGCACTTTGCGGCCATTGAAGGTTCTCGAGGACCCATTGGTCCTGGGTGGCTCTGGCAGTCGCGTTGGCAAGTTTGACGGTTTTGGTGTTGAGGGAGGTTGAGGAGAGCTTGTGGGAGAGTGGGGAGTCATTTTCGGCCTGTTTTGAAGGGGAGAATTGCTGTTGTTGTTGTTTCCTCACCTGACGGATGGTAACGGTCGACGTTGATTTGGTGGTGATGCTGCTGCTGCTGCTGCTGCTTCCGCGCGCGGCGGCGGCGGTGTTTGATTCAGAGGAGGATGTAATTGTTTTGGAGGAGGCGGAGGCGTATGGGTTCACTTGTTCGGCTTCGTCTTCGTCGCGGCCGATGAGGACGCCCATGTCGTCTACGACGATGACGCCATTCACATTTTGTAACGGTTCGGGTGTGTCCCAGCCATAGGTCTTCACAAGTGCACCGGTCCCGCCCAGGGTTAAGGCGTCACCGAACGACGGCGGCTGGTACGGCTTCCTCATCTGTCTGTTCATATACAACAGCCGGAAGATATTCCGCGCGGCTTCCATAACCTCCACCACATCCGGCCAATCCAGCACCTGATCGCCCTGATGGTGCGACCACGTATTCGCCCTCACTCTCAGCAGATCCAGGTGCCCAAGGACAGCCTGAGTGAGCAATCCCGCCACCCTGCTCAGCTCCGTCGACCGCGTAAACGATCGTATAACACCCCCGAGGTTCTCGTTCGACCGGCCCGTGAGCGCCTCGCATGTGCTTTCGGCGAACAGTCGCGCGGTGGTAAAGATGACCCGGCCCTCTGAGGGGGGGATGGTGTGGTATCTGTTGATGAGCCCGTCGACTCTGTGGATCATTTCCCAGGCGTATTGGAGGACATGGCGGAATTTGCGGGTTAGGACTGGATCGGGCGCTGACAGTGTCTCGCAGGTGCGGAGTTCGTGGGCGAAGACTTTGTTGAGCGAGGTGAGGAGCGCCAGATAGGGGGGTTCTGGAGCTTCCAGTTGGGTGGACGATGGCCTGTTGGGTTGGTGGACCACCTCCATTGTGGGGCACCGGGAAGGGGAAAAGACAAAGGGGGACCGTTAAGAGCTGCCAGTTTATTTTGCCCTGTTTCGGCGGCGCGTATTGGAGTTGCAGCGAGTACGATGGTGTGTCTGGTGGGTAACCGGACTGGACTCAGCCGTCAATGGAAGCGCTCCTCTTCCGCAGGCGTTCCAAGCAAAGAGTGAGGGTATGTGCTGTATGTACATATACAGTACACAGTATGTCCGAGTCGTAGCGAGACTATTCCTGCTGTGCGTTTGGAGGACGCTGGGACGGTTGGTTATTGGGATGGAGAAACAGCTGTACGTAAGAAGTGACGGCGCTTGCGGATGTCATTGGTTTATTTGTGCAGTCACGTGCTTTCCCACCCAGCTCGCGGCTTTAAATGCACCCTCCCTCCCTCCCTGAGAGTGCCCCAGGAGTGGCCCCCCCAAGTGAATTTGTAAGCGCAAGTCGAAGAACCTACACTACGAAGTACAGTATACGTACGTACTGGCTGCGTCTCGCAAGCACTCTCAGTGGAACCCTCTTTCACTTCACCATGTCGCAAGAGTACGCCCCTCCCGACGGAGAAACTGCCCTCTCACCACCCCTGCCAACCAACACCCCTCTCTCCGCCCCAACAATCCTCGCCGCTGCCTTCGCCCACGCCCTGACAACTTACCCCTTCCTCGCTGACCTCGTTGCCCTAGGCAACCTTGTTCACATTCGCTTCGCTGCAATCAAAGACGCGAGCGGGCATTACGACCTTAACCCGACCCTGCCCGTGACGGTGGAGGATCCGAACGGGTTGGTGTGCACGATTTGGGGTGGGCCGGGGAGGGATGAGCCTTGTGTGGCTTGCAGGGAGGGGGTTACGCATCCCGTGTTGCATCCGAAGATTTAGGGGCGTGATTGAGGAGGGTAGGGTGACGGATACGGCGTAGATCTGTGCATGGGAGGCAACGATGGGGGTGCATTCGCCATGCGCGACGGTGACGATGGACGTAGAGACCGGACAGCTGCCCGGTGTGGTCACGGACATGGAGAAGGACGTCTCCGATGGTCACGAGTCGACTTGGGGCACGCTTCTGCTCACCGAGACGACTGATGACTGAGGAGCTCCTCCTGTCATGGTAGGAGCTTCCAATCCGGGCAAAGCAGTTTGAAGACTGATACGAACTTGGAATCCGGGTGGGAACGATGTTGGAGACGAACTCAGGGGGTTGACCTCGTCGTCGGTTATGCGCTCTCTCGACCGCTGCCGGTCCAATCGACGGACTCATCCAATGCGTCCTTCCGTGTTTGATGCACCTCCGCGCGTAAACCAGCAACATTGGGGCGGGCGGGGTCGCGGTAGTGAGGGTGGTGTTCTCGGGTCTCGGTCTATGGCGATGGTGCTCAACGTAACTTCGTCTTTCGCCCAGGGCGGAGTCTTTTTAGGCTGTATGTGTATTTCATTGGCGTAAGATTTCATTCTGAATGGTACCATTCTGCAATGGTGATATGGTGAAGAAGAAAAGCGCCATCTGTTGGCTGCTAGATAGTGGAAGAGGGAAGAGAGGGCGTAGGTGGGACTTTGAATGCCAGAAGGCGGCCGTGTGAAGCTGCGTGTGAAGCGTGGCTTGGACGGGTGCCAAGGTTCTGTTCAACGCGTTCCTGCCACGTCCCTCCCAGTCTCACCCAGCCAGCTTGTCTTATTGGCCGCAAAGCTCACGGAACACTCCGCCAGAGATCACCTGCAAGTCATCAGTCCTTGAAAAAACATAAAAGCGTAACAGGGAACGGGCGGTTCCCCTTCAACACCACACTCTTAAACGGCTCTAGCGCTGTCCGTCCTCCACTCATACGTCTGCCACTGATCTCAACCGCTCGCAAAACACCCACCCACAAAAATGTCAAACATCCTCCCCGGCGGCTCCGCCCCCACCAGCTTCACCTCCTACGCCCGCATCGACGCCGCAACCTGGCAAACCGTCAAAGAAACCTCCCGCCAACGTCTCTCAACCCTCAAACCCCTCTCCGATTTCTTCGACCGCACCCGCCTCTCCCGCCCGCAATCCATCGCCCAATTCTCATCCCGCTTGAACCACAACCTCACCTACTTCCAAAACAACTACATCCTCATCGTACTTATCATCACCGCTTACCTCCTCTTCACCAATATCTTCCTGTTGGTGACCATACTGTTCGTGCTGGGCGGGTTCAAGTTCATTTCATCTCTCCCGGCGAATGTGCCGACCAGCATCTTTCGGGGCAGGTGGACGGTGACGCCTAGTGGGCTGTGGCCGGTGTTTGCGGTGGTTAGTGTGTTGATGATCTGGATCAGTGGGGCGACGGGTACGATTTTTTATATGATCGCGGTGTGTGCGTTTGTGGTGTGTGCGCATGCGGGGGTCATGGAGGTGCCTGTCGAGGCGGGGTTCGCTAATACTCAGGAGCCGGTATAAGGGATTTTGGGAGTGGGGTTGATCGATGGAGGGGATGGAGATGGAGATGGGCGACCGTTGGCGAGGGTTGGAGCGGATGATGTCTGTTTCGTTCCTCAGATGTCACTTGGGGACATCCTCAGATATGTTGTGTTTTCTACATACATTTTCAATGGACATGGGCATCTTCATCATGTTGTGTTGACGTTGCAAAATCTGATTTTGTGGGAAGAGATTCCGACAGGTAATCGGATTGTGATATGTTCCCAGCACCGATGCTCTGTAGCAAGAGCAACTCAAATCACGGGCTTTGGCTCACTGTTCTTGCCACTATGGCTCATCCAGGTACAATTACAGCACTCAGTTTCGAGGTGTCTTAGGTAGTCTAAGTACAGTACAGTACGTCCAACTTCGGCGGCCTCTCGTTTGCGCGGAAAGCATACATTATCTACACCCCATCCTACATACAATGTCCCGCCCATACGCAAAGGCACCGCCTTCCCGGACCACCCCCACGTCTATCTCTCTGCATCTCGCCCGTCCGCCCGTCTACGCCAGCAGCTCGTCAACCTCCCGCCCGTCCACATCCGTCATGTTTTCCACCTCGAACTTCAATTCAGATAAAGTCAACTTTGCGCGCTTTCCGATGCTAGGATGACTACCTGTTGATGTAGACGCACCTTCTTGACGATATGATACCCCCTCCGCGTCTTCAACACATGCACCATCAGCTGCAAGAACCCCGAATGGACCATCCTCGACTTCACGGGCGCCGTAGGCGGGCACACGTATACAAGCACTGGCATCGCAAAAAGATCCAAAATCAATACCGCGAGGACCTCGAAGATGGTTTGTTTTTGGTAATTACCCATGGATGGCGCACGGCGACCGTCAGGGTGGGTGTAGAACACGAACCGCGGGGCGTCTGGCTTGACTTTGCCTGCCAGGTCGGTGAATGTGGCGGCGGTGCCGTGTGTGTCGAGCGCGATGTGGACGGTCGGGTCGGTTTCGACTGACTGGTGGAGGATGTCACACATAACATTAGGTCGACAAAGCATAACTGATTTGACAATATCGGAACCGGGCGGTACCAGAATAACGAAGTTCGCCTCGCCCGTCTTGAGCTGCTCTAGTGCGGCGTCGGCGTCCGGATTGTATGGGATGTCGATCATTCTGTTTTCGTTATTTGCAGGCTTTTCCTTTGGGGTGGTGAGGTAACTAACAGGATTACTGACAGTACTTGCGCGATTCTGGATTGTAGGGGCTGCAGAGCCGCCAGGGTTGCCTGCTTTTACATCATGGGGACATGCAGCCGGATGTCATGGTACGTGAACGCCAGCTTTCTTTCGCATATAGCGCTGGGTCTTGGCGAACATGAGGGCCAAGAAACGCACCAAATCGCCAAGGAATCGGAGGTTGGGGTCATGACCGACTTGTCGCCAACGTCCTACGTGATACGCGTTGCTGATGCCTTCGCGAACGCGGAGGCCTGGCCTATATATATATATAACGGGACCACAGGGTATGTACAAGATCCCCGGAGGCCCTATGGTTGTGCCAAATATGCCCAAAACACTGGGCGCTACTGGGTGTCAATTGTTCGGGCGGAAAACCATAATTGCATGGCTCAATACCAGGTCGAGCTACTAGCTCTCAGGAAAGCTCTCCCTTGTACTGGCGACCGCGACGGTGCAGGACCCGTCACCATCGGCAGCCGTTTTCTTGGGGCACCGGCCCCACTTCTCCCTGATAGCTCACCTGGGAGCATTGAAAATCTGGCGTGCCGACTGGACGTTCTTGGACTCCCATCTCAAGCCCGACAGGTCTCCGTGCTTGGCCAGTGCCAGCAGCGCGGAGTGATCCGTTTCCACCGTGAATGGCTTTCCCAAAGGTAGTACTCCAGCTTCGTCACGGCCCGGTGAATTGCCAATCCCTCTCTCTCCGTGTTTGAGTATTGCTTCTCCGCGTCCGCTGGGAGCATATCGCTCAATGACAGTACACCAGGCCTTATATACGACGCGGTGCTTCTGCGCCCCGCCCCCGGCATCTGCAGATTCTACGCGTACAGTAGATACTAGGAGTCCGTCACGGTCCGTTTCAGTCAGCGGGTGAGGTGTGACCCTATGGCTGATTGGGACATTGTAGTACCTACTATGTACAGCACATTAGGTCATAGAGCTGCCAGGCGGGACTTGCAACCGTTCATATTAGATCTAAAGCCAGCTGGGGGGGGGCGGCTTCCTTCTTTTGGGAAAACGAAATTCGCTTATCCACTGGCAAGCGCCGCTTCAGTGTGGTATCGAAAAATCCACCTCTCCGGCTCTAGATCTACGGCCTCGAGCGTTCCTCGGCAGATTCCCGGCTCACGCGGACCCAACGTTCAACAAATTCGTTGCAGCCGAACCTTGTAGCTGACCCATTTCCAGGCAACTGCTTCCAGCGGAAGCACACATCGAGGTGAACATGTTCACCACCCGCAGCAGCTCGGAGGGGAACGCTGAGGTTCCCTCTTTCGGAAAAGCGTACGCAGGAACAGCAGCGGGTCCAGGTATGCCACCCGGACGTCGACTGGCCGCCGTTGACGACGTCGTGCTCCGCATTTTCCACCATTTGCAGCCTTCGTGCAGCAACGCGCAGCCTGGGCCCAGAATATCACCTGTGGAGCATCCGCCTGCATACTCGCCAGTCTCCCACTTGCCGTTCGAGCGGCATCTCGGCGCCGTCTGTCGACGTTGGCGGCTTCTGGCTTTCTCCCTCCGTTCCGGCGACGTCTTGAGCCTCCATCATCTTCTCCGCGATAACACTGCGAGACCTATCTCCGACGAGAAGCATGCCGCAGGTCTCCGACTGTTTGTGAAGGATAAGTTCCGGCAGCAGTCGCTCCAACATCTGGTTATGACACAATTCGGCGGGCTGGTGCGGGCAGGACGGCTGGACTTGGCAACGGACATCTTTGCTTTCGTGAAGGTACCGCGGAATCTGCTCTACTTGTTCTTGGACTTTCAAGAGGATTTTCCTTCGAACATTGAACCGCTCCTGTAAGTCGGAAGGGTATATTAGTAATACGGCTTTTGTTGGCAAAAAAATAGCATATGCTGTGTGCCTTCTTACGAGTTTTCACTTTTGCCACCACGTTTTTAACCCCCTTTATATTCCAATCATAGGGACTGGCTTACAGTCACACCGTCTTCAACGTCAATTCCCGATGTCAATTTGCAGCAATCTACCGTCCAACCCGATCGCTCAGGCATTCGACACTTGCATGTGAATGGGACGATAACGAGCAATCGTGTAAATGGAGAGCTGGTAAAAGCCTTCAAGTTCCTGCGCGAGCAAGCAGATGTCCGACAGCTTACTTTCGGTATCCACCGCCTGGAAGGCCAGATGTTGGCTATGACGATGGCAAATCTCCCACTTGTACGCCATTTACGGATTCTCGTGATGGAATCTACTTATCGGTTTCTTGACGCCCAATCTGCCCCAAATCTCAACAAACTAGAGGCTTTCAGCTTGGACCGTGCTCCAAAAAACTCTCTTGCCGGCCTGCATCGTCTACGAAGTCTCGATGCCTACTTGGGGTTTTCCGAACCGCTCTCGGGGTTTTCTGAAGAACTGATATCGCTTCCGGATGCTTGCGTCGCTGAGCACTTGAAGGTCTTACGTCTTTCCCACCAATCGTATGTCCCCGCACACGATTTCACACGGTTCACTGCGCTGCAACATCTTCGCATCTCTGGCCACATCAGGATGAGCTCTTTGACTTGCATGATCCCCACTCTCACAACTGCTGCAAATCTGAAAGTTCTCGAATTGACTTGTATTTCGCCAGTCCGTGCGGACTGGGCGGAGCTTGAGGAACTTGGGGCTATGACACCTGAGTGGTACTCCACGGAACAAGCTTTGCGGGTTTTTCCACAACTCCGTTCCCTCAAACGTCTCATTATGGTCTTGTACTGGGGCGCCGATAGGGTCGAGAATCGGTGTCTATCTCAGGCTGAAGATGACGGGCAAGAGTATTGCGGGCTGGGAAATGGCAACCCATGCCCTTGCTCCGACGACATAGAGTGGGTTAGGGAGATTCGCCGCAACGAAAACGCGCGCGTAAATGATCTGACTTATCATTTCCAAGACATCGATGGCTTGGAAGCCTATGAGAGTCCCTGCGTGCCGTACAATTGCGAGGAGCTGCAAAAAGCTATGCCGTGGTGCGCCGTCCAAGTGTACATGAGTGGGGTAGAAGTAGATCAGGGATTTTTCCATTGAATACAAACACTCTTGACACCATGTCCAGCACGTGGAATCGTCGGTCGTCGTTCCTGAAAACATGAGGACTACCTATACTAAGCGCCGGATACCCAATACCAGTATATCAGGGTATGGTTGACGACTTCCTTACAGAACCCCCCGGGTTGGGTTTTCCTCCAGAAGGCCTGGAACCCTAAGAGCATCTCCAGGAGCTGCATAAAGCTATGCCGTGGTGCACAGCAGAGGAAGCGCGCTTGACAGGCATAGAAGCGAATGGGAATTCATCAACAGCACCATAGCGCAGAGGAAGCGCGCAGGGCTCATAACCCTGAGGCCCCAAGATCGAAACTTGGTGGTGCTACAGAATATTACAATCTCTTTTTTGATTTTTTTGGCGATTAGGACTGCAATGCCTCGAACGCGTGACGCACGTCAATTCAAAAGTCGATCGACCTCTCACAGGCCCTCCACCTTGTGAAGAGGCGGTAAGCCCCCAATCCCAGAAGAGTAGTCGGGTTGCTATCGTTGGAGGGTCACGGAGTGAGGCCCGTGGAAAGTGGCCCGCCAGGAACAGTTCGGGAAATGACAGCAAAGGCAACCGATAAAGGAGAGATGGACCGAGATGGAGCCATGTCCTTCGAAAGGCCGGCTGCCGTGCACCTTTCATATCCGGTAACCAGTCTAAGCATCTCGTCTAATGGTCGAGATGCGGTATTGGCAGCGTAAGTTAGTTTGAGGGGTCGCTGACTAGGTTAGGTCCGTCCGCTAATGCTACGTTTGAATGCAGCAAAAAAGGCTTGTACATAATAGACTTGGATAATCCTTATCTGCCACCGAGGGTGATACACCATATGACCAATTGGGAAGTCAGCGATGTGCAGTGGAATCCACATCGCTCTAGGGAACACTGGATAGCCACGACAGTACGTTGAAGGCGGCGTACGTACCGTGAGCTTGACCGCGCTCACACAAATCGTCGTTTAGTCGAACCAAAAGGCTCTGGTCTGGAATCTAGCTGCGAAAGGCGCTGATGCAGGATCAAAGTACATTGAATACATCCTTGGCTCTCATCAGCGAGCCGTTTCCGACATCAATTGGAGTCCGTTCCATCCAGAGCTTCTCGCAACATGCTCCTATGACACCTACATACATTTGTGGGATCTAAGGAAGCCGCCAGATAAGCCCTCGACATCATTTTGTGCTTGGACTGGTGAGCCAGTATGAGGCACGACCTTTGAAAGAGAGAGCTCTCTACTCACGGATATTGTTGAGACAGCCGGGGCGACGCAAGTAAAGTTCAATAGGATAAGCGAGACAATGCTGGCATCATCTCATGACACAGATATCCGAATCTGGGACACGAGGGTAACTAGTGACTGACGAAGTTCTCAAATGGAACGGTGGACGCTGATGATGCACTGCGGACGTAGAAAGGATCGACCCCCGTGACATTGATCACGGCACACATGACCAAAATTTACGGGATAGACTGGAGTAGGAACAACGAACAAGAGATCATCACATGTGGGCAAGACCGGATGGTGAAGGTGAGTGGTGGACTAGTTGTCGTTCTTTCCAACCCTTTGCATGACCTGTAGCATTAATGCGATTTGTCACACAGTTTTGGGACATTTCAGAACCGAGAACATGTCAGGCATCCATCATGACGGGCGCTCCTGTTTGGCGAGCTCGGTTTACAGTACGTACTCGTGCCGCATGTGCCGCATGTGCCGTGTTTGCGACGGAATTCATCTTGACGCCAAGCCGTTTGCTAGCCTTTTGGGAACGGCGTCGTAACCATGCCGCAACGGAAGGATACGAACTTACTCCTTTGGGACTGTGATAACTTGGTGAACCCCGTCCATTCATTCGAGGGTCACACGGACGTGCCAAAGGAGTTTGTCTGGCGCGTTCGCGGGCAGCAAAGTGGAGAGCAGGATGACAGGGCTTTCCAGCTGGTGACCTGGTCGAAGGATCAATACCTTAGACTATGGCCAATCTCACGGGAAATCACAAAGGCAGTGGGCCATGAGTCTCGGCCTCTGTTGGGGTCAACCAAGGACATGGATTCCCTCTCTGTGAACGCCGCTGCCACAGACAGTCTCTCCTCGAGCATGGAGAGTGTTTTCAGCCCTGCTGAAATCTCACGTACATCGACTCCGGACCTCAGAAGGCCAGATGTCGCGTCGCAGCTCTTGGACTGGGAAATACGGCACGTATTGCGGTCGTACCCAGGCGTTGTTTTCGAAAAGATTAGCTTGGAGAATCGGACTTGTACGATGACTCTGCAATCCGCCCTGGAAGACTCACCGTCGACTACATACCGGGCGCCATCGACGTTTCTGCGAATCGACGTATACTTTCCAAGCGACTACCCAAACTCGGCGCCGCCCACTTTCAATGTGCAAAAAACAGGCATGGTCAGTATGGCACAACGGAGATATCTGGCAACGGAGCTTTCGAGCATCGCGGGCAAGCTTGCGAAAAACAATGAGGCGTGCTTGCTTAAATGCGTTGGCTTCCTGATGTCCGGCAAGTCGAACCTGGCCAGTAAGCGTCAAGCATCGCACGAGCGTTTGGGACTGGATTCTCCCGGAAGTTTAATGAGCGAACCAAGATATCCTTCCCTCACATATAAAGGACCTCGTTCGAGGGTTCCTTCCATTGAGAAACTTGACGTCTACGGAAACACTGAAGTGCTCTCCACGGTGCCGGCTTCGCAAGCAAACTTCGGGTTCGATGCGAGCTCCAGCGATAGTGATATGATGTCGATGGTTGGCGGGAGAAACAACTCGCAAGAGAAACGATTGATGAAGGACGTCATCGTCGGGAAAGACGTGAGCAACGTTCCGTTCCCGAGGTTATGCGGTGCATCTTTCTCATCAGGCGGTACGCATGCGAATACAATACACTTTGTCTGTCCTGATCCGGACTCACTCTCTCCCAACCGTAGGTCAACTTGTTTGTTTCTTTTCGCCGCTTCCGCACCCGTCAGCGACCAAGTTTACAGCATATACGCTGGTTACTCGCAATCAGCAACCCGTTTTACAATCACAACATTTCACAGCACAGCCAAGGACTTTTCCACACTATGAAAGTTACCGCGCCTTCATATTCACCCGGGTTCCGAGAGGAGTCAATGCGAGCAATGCGGCGCGTCGCGGTCCGCCTCAGAGGGCAGATATCGCAGCGTTGAACGCTAAATATAATGACAACGACGCAGGACTTGTGAAACCGATCCCTACGCAAGCAACAGCGGGGAAATTCAGCTATTGGCTCGACTCTGATGAAAGCGGCGAAGAGAACATGAGCTCGAGTTTATTATGGAATCTGAAAGCGTTCGATGAGAAGCCACGTTCCCACTTGACAGCTGCTGCGGAGGTCAGTAGTAGAAGCGCCTGGCCCGTGCCCAACAGCGCGCATTTCACCCCGCAATGGGCAGGAACTCCGGAACAACCACGTCCCATCACTCCCCAAATCAACACAAGCCAGGCTGTCATGTATGCGGGTTCACTAGACAGCCCGCGCGACGCCTTGCCAAGCCGCATCCGGTCTACAACACCAATCCTGCGCACTAATACTATGCCGCCGTCCCTAAGCAGCTCCCCGCTCGGCATGGACATCAAGCCGAGTTCACCAAAACACCTCCACCTGATGAACATTGCCCGCACACCATCACCAGATTTTAGAGTCAGAGAAGATGGATCGCCACGAGCGAGAAAGTTGAGGCACAGACGGACTACGTCCGCGGATGCGGGGAGCTTCAGCGGCAGCGACTTCAGCGGAGATGTTGCCAGTAGTTTTGGCGCAAGGCCCTCTCCAACGCGATTCCTGCGGAGCACACCTCCACCGTCACAGTTGATCAAACAGGAAACCACTCCGGCAAACGTTGCTTCCTCGGCGCACAGCGAGGCCAAGAGCCTTACGGAGCAAACAGGGTATATCACAACGGTGATGGTGAAGGACGTCTCTCAGCTTTTGCCAATCAACAGGCAGCTAGCTGAGAGATATAGTTTGTGCGGGGACGACCCTATTGCAACTTGCGTCCGTAACGGCTTGGAAGCCCACGCTATGGGCAGAGCCGATCTGGTCCGAATTTGGAGTTTGGCCACCCTCATATTGACGGAGCGGAAACCGTCAATAACGGTCTCAACAACTTCCAAACCAACCACCGTGCCTAGCATCCGAAGCCGGAGACGTCGGAAAACCGACGATCGCGGACTGGAGGAACGCGTTACGATGTCCCACAATGGTGTCTTGCGAATCAAGACGGATCCGACTATGACGTCGGATGAGGTCGCAGGTTGGAATATGAATCCCGCCATCGCAAAACTCGCCAACAGTTACCCTCAATTGCAAAAGCAACACCATCCATTCGGGCGTGCACTGGTGCAGGACTTATTTCGACATCTCGAAGTGCAACGAGATGTGCAGATGATCGCTCTCCTTTCCTGCGTGTTCTCGGAACAGTTTGCAATTCTGACGAATTCACGCGAACGACCTCGTTCGGCAACGAGAATGCAAACGGCGCGGCCTAAGCTCCTACGACAGCCGTCCAACCCTTATTTCACACGCCAGTTTTTCGGTGGGTCGAGCAACACTGGAGCTCACGGCTTTTCCTCAATGATGCCCGACGCAATCAGTGTTCCTTTGATTGCAGCCTTCTCGATGATGGGTGTGACTGTGAGCAAGATGGAAACAGTGAATGCAGAAGATACGGTGGGCATGCACATCACCAGTTTACCTAAACATGCTCGGAAACCAGGGACTTCCAGCGACAGTGGTGCCCCGGCCTCCGCGTGGCTGCGCGGCTTGACGACTTCGCAAACGTCTTCCGGGACCGTAGACAACGGGGTCATGGGATACCCACCAACGCGGTTCGATACAGATGGGGCGCCGTCGTATGGTCAAAGTTTCGGCTTACGGCATCCAGGTCGTTCTGCATCGTCGGGATCGTTCGCGGGTCACTTGCCCGGTGGAGCGACGCCTGATTCAGCCGATGGCAGTGTTGATACCAGGAACAGACACGATCGCAGGGAGAAGAGCTTCGACGTGTCCTCGGATAGTCCGGCACCTTATGACGCTATTTCCGGTGGATCGGGCACGCCCACATACGCGCAAGCTGTTGCGACGGGCCTGGCAAGTCCGAAAGCACGTATGTTTCAGGGTTCAGGGACCTTTTCTGATGGCGACCTTTCTATGGCATCAACGTTTGCCTCGCCTGAGGCTAACCGAGGGATGCTTTCGCAAGGAGATCGGTCTCCGGCTCTCGATAGTAACAGATCTCGCGACTCGGCTACCGACCCTGCTAACCGGCAAAGCACTGCCGGAGTTGGTTGGTCACTTACAGCCCCGTACTCCAGTATCGCGCCAAGCGTGCCCGTAAGCCGGTGGAGTAACCATTCAATGCCACCTACGCCCGCTCTCGGCAACCAGAAGTCACCTAGCAACCTGACGCCCAACAAAACTCATCCCGTGCTAATGCTCCGACTTTCTGGGGACATGGAGACAAATGACGGAGCATGGTATGGGGGGAACAATCAGCGGAGTACAACCGTGATGGGCACTGTGACACCGAAAGTGGGTCTGTTGGATCCCTCCGACGAGGATATCCACACACGATATAAAGTGCAGTATGCTGAGTTGCTATACACATGGGGTCTGACAGAACAGAGAGCTGAGGTATTGAGAATGTTGTACCAACGGAGACCTCGCAAGCTGGAGGAGTGGAAGAAGTTTCAGGAGCCGATAATCGGCGCTGACCCTTTAGAACGCACTGGTAGGTTGCAATTCCGGTATGGGCGTCAATCTATTGCATGACATGCGCCGCTGACAAACGCTCTTCATAGATTTCCACGTTGTTTGCCCCGAGTGTGGAAACCACCTTGTGACATCAACCCCAGCAACTGAAGCTGTCTACTTGGCCTCGATGAACGGTACACAGCCGCCAACGCCACGATCGTTCTGCCGGAAATGCGCACGCGGGCGGTACGGCGTGAATTGTGCAATTTGTCGGCTTCCATGTAAAGGCGTAGCGAGCTTCTGTTTGGCGTGCGGGCACGGCGGACATGCAGATCATATGAATGATTGGTTTTCGGAGGCCGCTGAGTGCCCGACTGGGTGCGGGTGTGTCTGTCGTGAATCTTCTGCTTGTTAGGCTTGGTTCATAAATACGTACCGGTTGCCGCTTTTTGGGACATACATTTTCTGATACCCCACTGATGTGATTTTTGCGTACAGTATATGCATTGGGTTCCGCGATAAAGGCTGGCCACGGCGGGGTTGCCGCCTCTAGACGCGCGGGCTAACGTTCCTTCCTTCCTTCCTTCCCAACGCAATTGCGAGCATCGTCACCACCAAATTCACCAGCAGGTAACACTCGGTAACAACCACTTCCTCACGGTTCTCAGCTTCATTCCCACAGCACTGACGCGAGCAGACGCGAGCTTTTTTTACACACAGCTATCACGGTAATCAAACAACCCCTCGCTGCAACAACTGTACTGATCTCGGCTGTGCTGGAGTGGGCACTCTGACCTCGACGCATTCATTGTGTTGAATCAGCTTGTTCTGCTAGAGTGGTCTACAACAGACATCATCCCTAGCAGGCACGCAAAGGCACACGCCCAGATCTGTACCCACGTCATTCGCTTGAGGCAGCCTGCATTGTTCATTTGCCATAATTCTACCTGCAACGTCGTCACCATGGCGAGAAAACCATGCAACCGAGATGCCGATGACAGCGCTGGCGAGAACGATGTGGAGAATGACAGCGACAACTCCATGAACACTGCAACCCCCAGGCCAGCTTTCATCCCGACATATGAGGAGTTCGACACCGAACCTGAGGTTGCGTTTCCTCGCCAGAAACGCAGATCGTTAGAGAAGGAAATTGAAAAAGCCTTTGCGAATAAGAAGGGACATCCTGTGCTCCTCCGAGATCTCGTTCGAATCTCCAAGCCGGGGAAAATGAAGGCGAGCTCAACAACCTTTGATACCACTGGCCTGAAGCTTCTTGCTCGCAAACCCACCCTGGGGATCGATCAGGAGGACAATCCGCTGTACATGTACCTTCCTGGCGTCGTTGGGCCCAAATGGCAGGGGGAGGTGGTGGAGGCCGCTGCTGAGCACGCAGGGTGAGAGGAGGAGGGAGCAAAGTGGGAGGGAGGATGTTCAACATCAGCAGACACCGTGCCAAAATTTGGAGGGCACCAAAGGCCTCATGCACATGGGAGTGTGGAGGACACAGCGTGGGGACATCATGGTGCCTAGTGAGTGCACCGAGTCTCCCAATGCGTGGGATCAGACCTTCAATTTCACCCGCGCACCAGGAATCGAGAAGGTGAATTGGATGCTCGGTATCGGCCTGTTTCACCTGGACCGCACATACCATTACCGGCTATCGCAAGCCATCGCTCACCTGCCCCATGCTCTGAGGCATTTCTGGCTGGACACCAAAGCTCCGCGGGTCAATGCAACAAACGTGCTTGTGGGGAACCATGAGACCCCTCGTCACCACGACCACTGGGATATTCCTGATGGATGGGCCCCTATGAGCTGTTTTGGAAAGTTTGGAGTGGATCAGGGCCTGTTCTGCCTTCCAGATCTGGGCATCATGCTGCCTTACCAACCTGGCGATGTCTTGTACATCCGAAGCCAGGCCTTAGAGCACTTTGTGTCCCCGTGGGGAAAAGAGCCTACGGACAGGCGATACGACTTCCTACAGTTCACTCACCAGAAAGTCCTCGAGCTTGGACTAGGGGATTTCAGAAGAAGCATGGGAGGGAGTTGACATTGGAGCTGGCGAGGGAGATGGTGGAGAAGACCATGCCCTCCGTGATCGCCGACATGAAGCCTGAGATGCGCCCGGCTGTTTGGGGAAGCCCTCTACCCGTGTGCGGGACTTGGAACCACCTTTGGGTTTGTGGATCCGGTGAGGAGGCGGAGGACTTGAAACTCCCAAAGAAGAAAAAGGCGAAGCATAGGAAGCAGGAGGTAAAAGACGAGGACGTGAAGGAGGAGATGAATTGGGATTGCGGATCGGATGAGGAGGCAGAGGACTTGAAACTCCCAAAGAAGAAAAAGGCGAAGCATGTGAAGCAGGAGGTAAAAGAGGAGGACGTGAAGGAGGAGATGAATATAAAGATGGAGGCATAGGATGAGAAAGGAAAGGGGAAAAAGGAAGATTGACCTTAAGAATGTTCGTAACACTTTGTAAATGTTGTGTACAAAAACATCAACCTTCGGCAAATGAATTGAGGCCGTTACTGGTTATAAAAGCTCATTGAATAAGTTACAGGAGGATTGAATAAACACTACGGGGATTCACTACGCTACGCCTTTACGCCGAAGACCCGAGGGTTACGTCCTACTTCGCGATACCTATTTGGATTGCCCAAAAAACAAACTACTGACCGAGACATCTTAGCAACATATACCTCCCTCTATCTAGATTTTGTTCTCCTTTCCCTTCTTGCTCTTGGTCTTGACCTTCTCATGTCGGACCTTCTGCACGGACTTCTGCTGCAACTTCTCAGCCCGCTTGCTCGCCTTCTTCGGCTTGACCTCCACCTCACTTTCGCTTTCGCTTTCACTACCGGTTTGCGTTTCGTTGTCCTCCTTCTTGGCGACGCGGGCGTTCACCTGGCGCTTCCCGCTGCTAACGTCGCTGTCACTATCCTCAGTTTCCGTGTTTGCGTCTCGGCGCTTCCGGAGAGGCGATCGCTTCTTCGTGGCCGCTTTCGCTTGCTTGGCGTGGACGGGACCGCTACGCGCCGCAGGTGCTTGCGGTGGTGGCGGGCCGTATGGGGAGTATCCGGGATGGTAGGGTCCTTGTGGCTGATAACCACCATATCCGGCCGATGGGGGCCCGTATGGACTACCGTAAGGGCCGTTCTGGAGGTAGGGCTGATAGCCGTAGGGTCCTTGTGGGGGGCGAGCGCCATAGGGTCCGAACCCGTGAGGGGCGCCGTATGGACCTGGGTTGTGCATGGGGAACTGTTTGGGACCGGCAGCGCCAGGACGGGCGCTCTTGACTAACGGCGCGTGATCTTCCGAATCTTCAGAATCGTCATCTTCGCTGTCGGAATTGGATGACTTGGAATCGTCCGAGTCTGTCCCGCTTGATTCCGCCTTCTTCGCCTTCAGATGTTGGCGTTTCTTCAACGCAGCTTTCGTCATCTGCTCGTCGTCGCTGGATTGGGCGTCGCTCTCTGAATCGGTACCGCTGCCCGCCGGTTTCTTCTTAACGAGTTTGACGGCGCTTGCCCGTGGGTCGACGTCCGAGTCGTCATCAAACCCGGCATCCTCCTCATCGTCTTCAGTCCCACTCTTCTCATCTTTACCCTGCTCGTCCTCGCTGTCCGTCGCGCAACTGCTACTGGTGTCTTCGCTGCTGCTATCGTTCTTATTCTTCTGTCCTCGTTTGGCGCCCGTGTCACGCTTCTTCGCGGCAACGTCGCTGTCGCTGTCATCAGATCCCGAGTACGAGTTGGATCGGCGCCACATGGGCGCTTGCGGTCCACCAGGGTGCGGTCCTGCGCCGTAAGGGTAATGCATCATCTCGGGATGGCCTGCTCCAGGGTAAGGTGGGTAGTAGGATGGGTGGGCCGACGGAGGACGCATGCCTGGGTGACCACTCGCTGCGACCGTAGGTGGGTAGTAGTTCGGCTGCCCGTAGTACTCCACCGTACGCTCGGACATGCGTTGGCGTTCCTTTGCTCTGTAGATAAAAAACGTTAATGATTGAGCGACTCGAGCTATTCCAAGAGGTGAAGGTAGGCATTACCTCTCTTTCTCCAACCACTCCCTCCTAAGTTCCTCCCTCTGCGCCGCCATAGAAGGATCTTCGTGCGGGTCTCCAAACTCGCTTATCGGGTATCCCCACGGGCTCATGAGACCCGTGGGACCGATATGAGGCGGCATCATCGGTGGCATCATGGGTGGCATCCCCGGCATCCCCATAGGCCCAAATCCTGCCATCGAGTTCCGGTTCCCAGCGCCTCCATTCATACCGCCACGCAAGTAGGTCGGGATATAGCCGCCGGTCGGAGCAGTCGTCGGCCTCCATACACCCATGCGCTTCAACATCTCCTTTTCCTTTTCTCTGCGTTCCACTTCGGCGAGCAGCCCTCCGACCATCTTGGGTCTCCTGTTGGGCACGTTGTCAGGCACGTGTCCCAACAACGGGCCGGCGTGTTGAGAGTACTGCGGCACGTATGCGGGTTGCACCAGTTTCTGCTCTTCGTGCTCAACGACTTCGCGCTCTAGCTGCACCAGCGGTCCATCTCGGCGAGAAGATTTGGCCCGTCCTTCCAGATTAGCGAGCAGCGATTGGGGTGTCAGGACCGACTCTTCACCTTCTCCCATCGCGCCTGCGTCCATGTTTGCGTCCCCGGGTGCCGATCCGTCCATCATTCCAGGAGGGGGTATGGGCAAACCGTTAGGGCCGATCATGACACCGTTGGGAGCCATGAACATGGGTGGGAAACCGGGCGTCGTGCCTGGCATCATCATCGGCATCATTCCCGGCATTCCCATGTTCTCCGTTCCGTCTCCTTGCATCATTCCAGGTGGAAACATCATGGGCATCATGCCGGGCGGCATCGGTGGGAACGAGCCGGTGTTCTTGGGAGCGTCTGGGCGAGGCTCTTTGCTGGAAGCCGTGCCGCTTCCACTTCCAGACCCTTCCTCATCCGATTCCGATCCGCTTTCTGTCGGAGTACTGCCATCTTCCGAGTCGCTATCAACTTCAGGGAAATCGTTGCGAGGAAGGAATGCGCTCTGCGGGTTCCAGCCCGGAGGCATCTTGCTGGGGTCAACGCACTGGTATTGCCAAGCCCACTGCCCGTTGGCTTGCAGGATAGGGACCGGCACCATCATCATTTGCGACGGAGCAGCAGGAGTGCTGGCCTCTGGTGTGACTGCGGTTTCGAGAGCCCTCACCGTTTCGGCTGTGGGGTTCTCTTCGGATATCTCTTCCTTCGCGTCTTGTAATGGTGCTGACTCTGCCGGCACGGCGGTATTTTCATCGGCGTTGGGAATCGCTTCAGACCCCGCAACCACGCTTCCTGATGGTTCCAAGGGTTCATTGGATGCGGCCATCGCTGGTTCTTCAAATTCTTCAGCCACAATCCCGTTCAATACCACGTCGGTCGCGGATACAATCCCTCCTTTATCCTCCGATGGTTCGACCGTCTCGACATACGGTTCGCCCGACACAATGGCTTCACTGCCTCCATCCCCGCTGCTGGTGGGCGATTCGCTGACCTCCTGCGATTGAGTGACCTCTTCTCCCGCAGGCTCCTCCAACGCCTTCGCGGCGATCGCCTCAGCGGCCGCTGCTGCAGCCAATTCCATCTCCGCCTTCTTAACCTTCTCCGCTGCAAGCTCCCGCTCCCGTTGCGCAGCCGCCTTGATCTCCGCTTCAGCAGCAACTTCCTGTTTCTGTTTAGCGGTCATCTCCTCAAGCCACAACACCAACTCAGCCACCTTGTGCTCAACTTCCCGGCGTTCGTATTCCCGTCGACCTTTCTCCCCCTCCCATACAGCGTCCGCCCAGTCCTCGGCGAACCCATCTTTCTTCACGCGCTTCTTGTCGGCATACACCTGTCCGTATCGCAGAGTGACTGCTGAGTGACTCTCGTTGCTCATGTTCAGACCGCTGATGTCTTCAGTTGTGAGATAGAGGGCGTCGTCGGCGGCAGAGTACGATTGTTCGGAGCCTGAATCGGAAATGTTGGAGGTGCGGCGAAATTTTTTCGATTTTTCGGTCGTTGGGGCAGCGAGATTCAAAGAGGAGATTTCTTCTTCACGTGCGGCGACGTCTACATCGAGATTGAAAGCAGTGGATATGGCAATCAACCAAGAGGCGGTTTCGATGGCGTTGGCTGAGCGGAGATTGATGAATGGAGGGGCAGGTCTTGGGTCTGCTTGGCGCAGGAAAGCGCCGAGAGGATCGGCGGCGCAATGGATGTAGCCCTTGGACCCAACGTTTGCCAGCGTTCCCGCTGGCTGCTCCAGGGTTTGCAATGAAGCACCCTTGCTTGACGAATCCTTCTCGGCTGGCGGCAGTGCAATTCGCGCTTCCAATCGGATGTTCATAGCTGTTCCGTTTTCGACAGAGCTCAAGTCGTCGACCGCAAGACTCGCAGATGTCACAGAATCGAGGACAAACGCTGGCCGTCCCTTCTTCGCCTCCGCCTTCGACTCGAAAAATTGGAATGTCACCTTCTTCGACTCCTTGGCTTCAGTTTCACCCGGAATGGTGGAGTCTCGCTTCTTGTTCCCAAAGAGTTTCTTCCCGAGTTTGAGACCGCCACTGCCGGACCGCTTGATCACGACGTAGTATGGTTTTGACTTGGTCGCATATGTTGATCGTACTTCGAGACTTCCTTCATACTTGATTTCCCCTTTCTGAGCGGAGATGTTTGTGAACGGCGTCACCCCGAGATCTTTCCAAGCGGATGCAAAGGTAGGTCGCTTCAAGACCTTGAGGGCGAGAAACTCGTTGATTTTTGTTGACTCAAATATAGCTAGGCGGATTGCTGCCACCCAAGTGTTGGACTGGATGGTCGACAAGGCCGCAAAGTAGTACAGATTAGAGCCAGCGGTAGACATCCCGAAGAAGTTCGTGTACGGCACAGGAGGCGGGTTCGCAGTGTTTTCCGTCTTGTAAATGTTTGGTGGGAAAATCTCCACCACACTTTGCGATACATCAATCGCGATAACATCCGCATTCCCAGACTTGATGGTAGCAATCGTCGACGCCATCGGGTCCAACTCCAATCGCAGGGTTTTCTCCACCGTGGGAGCGGGTGTGTAAGTTAACTGCGTGATGTGATCCGGCACCCGCCATAACCGTAATGTGGTCCCTCTAAGCTCAGCCCACCATTTGGTCCAGTCCCCGTTCCTGTCTCCATGAAGTTCTGAGGTGTCTCCGGATATGAGGGGGTGACCTGTATCACTGAGCTCGTTCCTTTTGTATATATATCCCTCCGTGTACTTCTTCTTCGCTTGGGCGCTCCGAAGGGCTACGACGACGTCCAAATCTGAGGATACCGACGTCGGTTGTGCAGGCGCCGCTGTCGACGAAGCTGTCAATCCAGATGACTCCAGAGAGGACTGCTTTGGGATCGACGAACTCGGCTTAGGCGCGCCTACAGGTGCTCTCGGTGCTGGCTTCGCTGCTGCCCTAACGGCGACAGGCTCCTCCGCTATGGATGTAGGGGCACCCAAAGACAAGTTGTCGAAACTCGACCCAAAGCTCAGGGAATCCAGATCATTCGCAAATCGAGCAGCAGCCGAAGTTCTCCACTCCGATCTCAACTTTAAAGGAGACTGAGTACTATCGCGCTGGCGGCCGCCTGGGGAGGCTCCTACTTGTGACCTTCTCTTGTCACTGGAGACTGGAGCTGTAGAAGCCATTCCTCCGACATTCGTCTGCCGTATGGGCGGCTTGTTGGTTGTCGGAGCCGCCGATTCTGGCAATGCTCGAGATAGTCTATGCCCGGGCTTCCTGGTTCCAATGGGAGCCGGCCTAGTGAATTCCACCTCAGAGTCACTTGTAGAAGTGGAGTCGGACTCTGTCCCATCGTCAGATGAATTGTACACTTGCCGAGCTGGAGTTGGGGAAAGAGAGAGTCGACAGTCAGCCCTCGGCGGCCACGTACCCCACCTGGAAATATTCCTGGGAGAGTTTATAGGTACTGCGGAAAAGGATACGGACCTTTCTTTTGGGCAGCTGGCTGGGCTCGCGCCTTTCCTGGTAGGTAGGAAGGCATGTTCTCAGAATTGGCAGACGACGCTTGGTTCTGGGAGGAATGAGAGTCCCGGACGCAATGTGCTCGCAGCCTCACTGAAGGGCTTTGCGGTCGGCCGTAGGGAGGGAATACCACGAGTGCTGCGGAAGTCGACGATGGTCGCGGTTGTCCTGGCGGAAGTGCGTATTGGGAGGGCTTTCCCACCTGCCGACAACTGAGAGAAGGAAAGGGAGGAAAAGAAAGCCCGTTTGCGGTCGCGTTGTTTACCGACCACTGAGACCCGAAAGCCACAACCGTTCTGTCGGACCCCGGAACATGCCTCCCACGCTACCGCAAACCAGACTCAAACCCAAAACGTCATCCCGTACGCCGCAGCAGTTCAAACTCCGCTCACACACGCACTGATGAGGGTTAGTTGTTGGACGAACAGTGGTTGGATGACCGATGACGAACAGTGGTTGGATGACGGCTGGTCCGACTCGGATGATGATGATGAAGTCACAGTTCTACACGCGCCGCTGGTGGACTTGTATGAATATCTATCATCAGTCTATGAAGTCTGACATGCTTGGGGATTTTCTGGCAGGAAGCGGGTGATCGTTCAACAAGTTTTTGTGTAAAATCTGCCTAAACCTGTCCGCGCATTCTACAAAGAGGAGACAATACTACGACTTCTGCCACGCTCCATACAACGCTCCAGGGGGTTTCATTGATGGCGAGACTCGACCAGCTTAGTGTGGGGGTGGAGAACGCGGCAAAGGCGGCTGTGGCGGCTGCCGCAGCAGGCACGAGGACACAACTTCCGGAACAGGGGACGATATCGACGTGCTCGCTAACGAGAGAGTCCGCGCCAGTGATCTCGGAGACGCCCAGGAGATGTTGGATGAGATGGCGTGGGATGAGATTGCTGTCGACGGTCCTGGTGGTGGGGGAAGCGCCAGGGCACGACTTGAAATTGAGCCTGAACGACAAGAGCGCGATGACGGGTTTGAGTCGGAGGGCTCGCTGGGGGCAGGGGCGGATGACCCACCCCCGACCGAGTGGATGCCAGGTGGAAACATCCCGAGTGGTTCCACGGCCAGGTGGGCACCAGACAGACGCCGTCCACCCGGAGTCAACAAAGGGTGCAGGCTACCTTGTTTTAGGCGGACTACAGTGGGTGTGGAATCTTGCCCAGACCGCACCTAACCCCAGGTGGAGGCCACACTGCACTTTCTCGGGCGTGTACTGTACTACATACGCACTTCAACTTCACTGCTAAGTGGCCATCAAAGGATTGCAGAGTAGCGTGCATGAAGCACAGATAAATGGGCCAAATATAGGACGGAGGCCGGAGGGGTATATTATTCTGCAGAGCACAAGTACTATGCTCACACTTGAGTAGGGAAGGGGAGGAACCACACATCGCATCATGTGCTGGCATCTTTGCCAGGGTATCAAAACAAACACTCCAGAAATGACGAAAAACAAAAATAAATAGAGCTATCCACAAAATGCCTCTTCCCTTCCGCATCTCCCTCACACAGCTGAGGTAAATCCTTCAAGGCTGCTGCTGCTGTTGCTGTTGTTGCTGCTGCCCCATCCGACCGGCCATAACCGCCATAATCGCGGCGCGATGGGTTTCCGGTAGCCCCGCCATCCGACCCAGGTTCTGGAGTTGCGGTACCGCCATGCTCTTCAGGATCTGCATAAACTGACCGACGGGCATCGCCGTGATCTTCTGCGTGATGTTCTCGGGGTTGTTATTGTTGCCGACGGCGTTGGCTTGGTGCTGTTGCTGTTGCTGTAGAAGGATTTGTTGTTGTTGGGGAGTGCCGTTCGGATTGGCGACGCCGGGACGAACGGGGCCGCTTAGGACGTTGGGTCCACCGCCACCGGCTTGGTTTGCGGCTGCCGCGGCCATGGCTGCGCGCTGCTGCTGCTGCTGCTGCTGCTGCATTATCTGCTGCTGCTGGTGCGGAGGTAGTTGTTGGAATTGTGCGAGTTGTTGTGCAGAGGTTTGGGCGTGTTGTTGGGCAAGCCGCTGTTGGGCTTGCGCCTGATGCATGAGCATCTGTTGTTGCTGAGGTTGCGCTTGCGCTTGCTGCGGTTGTGCCTGTTGCTGCTGATTCTTCTGTTGCTGCATCTGTTGCATTCTCTGAGCCATGGCCGCCTGTTGTTGAGCTTGCAAATGGTTCCCTTGTTGCTGTGGCTGTTGTCCAGCCATCGCTTGCAACGCCATCTGGCTATTAATTTGCTGCTGTTGTTGTTGCGATGGTGGCGGCTGCTGCGATTGCTGAGAAAGCTGCTGTTGCTGCTGCTGGCCACCATCGGGAGCTTGCGGCACACTCATCTTCTTCATATACTCGATCAGCGAGCTCAACGGAACTTTCACGAAAATCAGGCCATACAAATGGGTCGTCGTCTGTCCGCCAGCCATGTTCGGATTCTGCGTCGCGTCCCGCGTAAAGAGCAATATCCCTTTCTGGTCCTGCGGCCCGCCGAACCGCACGATCCCGCAAGCATCACGAGCACGCAAGAAGGTTGCAGTGGCATCGTAGATCCGACGTTGGGTTTGTTGATCTTGCATCGTCCCACTCGGCAGGAGTTTCAGTGCTACAACGGGTAGCATGTGGTCTTTGAGTAGGTTCGGGACGAGCGCTTGCGGGCAGTCAAAGACATGCTGGATCACGAGTTCCTGCGGCCACAAGTCGAATCGCCTGCAATGTCGAAGTGTGGGAATGTTGATTAGTACAAACGAAATAATGGAAAACTTGCTGAAATGCGACAATCAAACTTACGTGTCTTCCGGCAAAGTAGGTGCATTCGCAATCTTAGCTTGCCCAATGTTGACAACGCAGCTCAACCTTTGTTGCGGAACATTGAGGGTCACATTTCCAGTCCACGAAGTCGGACCTTGTTGCTGGATGCCCTGATTCATCATTTGCGGGTTCCTGCCGTCCATCGTCTGCATGTTCGCTTGAGCAAATCGTTGCTGCTGCTGTTGTTGCTGTTGTTGGATTTGCCCTTGACCGGGCGCAGCACCTGCTGCAGCAGCTGCCATGGCAGCCGTCTGTTGCGCCTGCAACATCTGTTGGCGGACAGCAGCTTGATTCTGCGCATTCAGGTCCGCCGATTGCCCACCCATACCCTGCATCTGCCCCACTTGACTCCCAGGAATAGCAGAGGTGTTCACCGATGGGGAGTTTCGCGATTGCTGCGAGGGCCCCAAAGCAGCCTGATTGCGCGCAATGTGCTCCTGATTCTGCTGCTGCAGCTGATGTAGCGCCTGCACTCCAAACCGCGTAGTCGTGGGTGGCACCGCTTGCGGGCGATGCTGAATAGCGGTGGCCGGACGCACGCCTGCATGTTGTGGTTGTTGCGCCATCAAAAAGGCCTGGTTGGCCGGGTTCTGCGGTGGCCTTTGCTGCTGCACTTGCCCTTGCATGAGGTTCATCTGCATCCATTGTTGCACTTGCTGCGCCGATAGCTGCCCAGTACTTTGCATATTGAGAAGGCGCTGCACCTGCTGCTGTTGGATTGGCGTGAGCTGCGAGAGGTTCATCGGACGTACTGAGGGCTGATGCTGTACAACGTTCCCTGGCTGCGGTTGTACTTGCTGGGCTTGACCCTGTGATAGAGCGGGTTGTGCAGGCCCACCTGGGCGGCCGATTTGCGCGGCGGCTTGTTGCTGCTGCCTTTGTGCGAATTGCGCTGCGGCGAGTTGTCGTTGCTGCACAATCTGCAATTGCTGCTGCTGAGGTGTCAACACACCTGCTGGTCGCTGCTGCCCGCCAATCTGCTGTATCTGCTGCTGTTGTGCGAGAAGTTGCCCTGTGGGAGGGCGTTGAAGGGGAGTGCCAACCGGTCGTTGTTGCTGTAGCTGCTGACCCTGTGCCTGCTGCTGCTGTTGTTGTTGCTGTCGCTGGGCTAGCAATTGCTGTTGCCGAAGGACCAGATCGGCATTGGGCCCGTTCGGTTGGGCAGTCGCCTGCTGCGTGATTACAGCCTGCGGCGGTTGCGATCCAATAATCTGCTGAGCGGCGGCTTGACTGGCGACCTGCTGAGCCAGTTGTTGCTGCTGCGCCCGGCGTAGCTGCGCCAGTTGTTGTTGTTGTAAAGTCATTGCCACGCCGCGCTGCTGTTGAAGACTTGGCTGGGGACTCGCAGCCGCCTGCTGCAAGCCTATCGCACTGTTGATGGTCAGTGGGCCATTCGTGCTGTCGTTCGTTGGTTGCGAATTGGCGCACTGCTGCTGCTGTTGCTGCTGCGCTACTGATTGCGGGGTTTGCGTCTGTGTCTGTATTTGTGGCTGCTGCTGCTGTGCTGCCTGCTGTTGTTGCTGCTGCAGTAATTGTTGTTGTTGAGCCTGCTGATGTCGGATCAGTTGCCCTTGTATCCATGCTCTCTGCTGATGCAATGGGAGAGCACGTAAGGCGGGATGTTGGCCGACTGCGCGTTGTAAGTTTGCTATAATGACCGCAGTTGGGTTCGGCGGGTTCTGTGGGGGGACTGGGATTGCCGCGCCGCTTGCAGGTGCTACTTCTATGCCAGGTGGTGCGGCGGAAACGGCACCCGCGACGGTAGGCACTGATGTTGCGGCCGATCTGGGCAACTGCTGAGGTAGCGTCGTATTCGGTGCTGACGATATCGGCATCCCTTGAGTAGAGGTAGTGATTGGCGCTGTTGATGCGATGGGCAGGTCTCGTGTCATAGGTCCGACAGCGCCGCTACTAGCTGGAGGAGTCGATCCTGAAGAGGCCACAACAGCTGCGACAGGAGATACATCCTGAACAATCGTGGGTTCTGAGCCATCAACCTTCTCAGCAGTGGCTTGTAGCGTCGACAATTCCGAAACTCTCGCCTCCGGCCTCATGGAGCTAGGCTGTACACCCGTTGCTTCTGAGCTTTTGCCAGCATTGGCGGTGACCGAAGATGAAGGTGCAGCATTGTGGGAAGGTGCCGTGTCCTTCACCTCCGCCGTTGTATTCGGAATGTTTGTATTGTCCTCGCTTTGAGCCGCAACGATGTCACTAGTCGACGTGACAGGTCTCGCATTAAGATCGCTTGTGGCTAATGCCAACTTGGACGGATCCGGAAATGTCTCCATTTTCGGTCGCTTCAAAGGGCTATCTAACGCAATCGCGTCGCTGTCGTTACCGGAAGCGGAGCTTGGCCCTTGCTGCCATTCCATGGATGCTATGCGCTTGCGAGCTTGCTCGGCGGCAGCGTTCGGAGCGTTTATGTGAAGCCCCGCCAGAAGAACCGTATGCTGCCTTTGGTACTTGGGGTAGCTGAATTCGGACACGGGGGTCGCAGAGTCGACGTTGATCTAGGGGTATATACGTTAGCCCAATGATGACGCGGTGTAAGCTATAATAACCAGTTTTACCTTAGGGGGTAGAGTCTCAAGCACGCCTTTCCGGCCCGTTATCAACGAAAACCGAACATTTTCCTGTGATCATGGAGAAGCCGACGCCTTAATTAGAATCATGAACGGATGTCATAGAAAGCGCTTATACCGACATACCGATCTCAGCACTTCTATGACTTGATTCAGATGGAAATCATCGTATTTCGGCTCCACAGGCATCGATGATTGTCTATCGTTCGCGGGCGTAGACGCCACGAGGAGACAATGTCGTTGAAATGTGGCTGCCTGACCCCGATATTCCGGAGTCATGTCGTAAAACATCTGCGGAATCCAAGGGTCAATACATTGCACTCAGTGTAGTAGGACTCCGACATCCAGGTCCAAACCTCCAGCGCCCCCACTAGCCCGTCCGTAAGCGCATTCCCTGACAAGCCGCCGTGAGAATATCGCACGTTATATATAGCCCGGATTATAGCGCGGGGGTCATTCGAGATGCACATCTTCTGAGTTGGTATGGGTGACGCTGTTGGTGAGTCGGCGTAGACGACCAATCCGAACTGGACAGCCGACTGGTGCGTGAGAAGACGTTAGCTGACAGCGGGTGTGGAAGATGTCCTTTCGATTCTACCTACCCTTGGGCCCAAAGGGTTGGCTGCATTGCGATCTTCAGCACTTTCCTGGAAACGGCTACACGTCGAAGGTGAGTTCAAGCAAGTATAACTACGAGGTGACGTCGAAAGCACGAAACTCACAGCAAGAGCGGCTCTATATATAAGCTACACAACTCCCGGAAGTGGAAGCTCATAATCCCCGAGTTCTCGAGCACCACCACCAGCTGGGCAACCGAAACCATTTTGCACTCTTGAAAGGAGTCTAAGCAAAAGGATCGTCGCCGGGAACCTCTCTGGAACGTCTCTGCTGCCGGCCACAAGCAGCGACAGGTGAGCAAGGTGTAAGCTGTTTCGGAGCGGGGAGAGAGACCCAACAGCGATTATTGCCCAGGGACGGAGGACGTGAATTGCAACGCAACGTTTGAGACGCGCACAAGCAGACAGCAATGAACGAAATTTGAGGCACGCGGTTTTGACGGGGAGGGGGCTTCGGACAGGATTCACACCCCCTTGCATCTTCGAATCCCGTTTTGGGCGGATGGTTTCCAATTGTCAACTTGGGTTCAACTTCTCGCTGGACACGAGCATACGAGCAGCGAGCTGTTACTGGCAGCTGCCTACCGAATGCTAACCCTGGGATCAGGGAGTAGTCCTCATGCACCTTCCCCCTGCCAGACCATGTTCGAGCCACCTCAAGAAGCCCCAGTCATGACATGAAGTTCTACGATCGTATATACTGTATATGCTGAGACTAGCGCAATGAAATGATGTGAGCATATGCTCGCTTCAGACGATTGTGATGTCTATTGGAAAGAGCGAGTTTGCTGCTCTTGATCTTATAATGCGGAGGGAAGTACCAAGCGACACGACTACATCGATCTCACTACGTACGTGTTGATGCCTCGCAGACGGCGATGAAATGGACCATGGAGCAGTTTCCCGAGAGGTGAGAGGAATGAGACGACGCGTGAGATGTTGTCACGGCTCCGAGATTTCATCGATCGATTTCATCCTCGTGCCAGCCATGCGGGCAACGCGGGCAAAGGAGGGCAGGCATGCTATGCTGTCATTCGCTCTCGCAAACCCACCACATATCAGAGAATTCACTCACGCACGGCCCCTCAAATTCCCCACCCATTTCACCGCCCCCAACTCGAACCTTCAGAAGGACGCTCACCTTCTATCTCCGAGGCCTGTTGTGAAACCATCGATTTGTGTCTTTGAAGAAGTCACCGGAGCAGCTTTCGTCGTCGCCTGCTTCATTCTTGACGCAATTGCCCTCACATCCTTGTATTGACAAACTCATCCGCTAACAATAAAGAAAATGGCTGCTACCGCAGAGCCCATCTCTCTATTCTTCAGTAGGTCCTTCCCCTTTGCTTTTCAATGATAGCAAACTCCTCGGGCTCTAACTGACTCATAACCTTTCCAGTGGAAGATGAGACTGAGGACGAGGAGGACGAAGATCCCAGCGAAGCAGAGGACCCTGACTTGCTGTCACCGCAAGGTGGCTTACAGCGCAGAATGGGCGGTAATATAGATGGTCCTCGGACGATCGTGGCGTCCCTGTTCTTGCCTTACACGGTCTCCAGTGTGCCGGTTCCACCGGCACCCGCAGCGCAACTGGAAAGGCGACGCAGTGTGGGCGCCGTAGAGTTCAAACGCCAAAGAAAAGCTTCGGAATCCCGGGGGCTTCGTCCAGATCCTACGTGGTGGCATGTCGAGCCCTCTGGCCTTGGAAACATCGGTCTGCAGAACGCGCTCAACTCGATGAAGGGCAAGATCAATCCCATCTGGGTCGGATCACTGGGAGTATCAACCGACGCTTGGTCTTCTGACACTCTAGCGCATGTACGCGATAATATGAAGAACGAAAAGCATTGCGTTCCGGTTTACCTTACGGATGAGGAAGTCGAGGGCCACTACAATCAGTTTTGCAAACAGGTATTGTTCGGCCTGATCCGGTACTTCTCATGACCATAGAGCTTACAGGATCGTCCCTTATCTGAGTAGGTGCTTTGGAAACCATTCCATTACCAGCTGCCAGACTATCCAAAGGGCCCCGCCTACGAGAAGAAAGCCTGGGAGTTGTATGTGGCCGTAAATGAGAAGTTCGCCCAAGCAATCGTCGAGTCATATCGACCTGGAGACATAGGTAAAGGAACGCTGGTGCCAATCTCGTGCTTGGCACGTTCATCTGACATCCTGTCCTTTGCCCACCAGTATGGATCAACGACTACCATCTTATGCTCGTGCCTAGTATTCTTCGGAAACAACTTCCCAATGCCATCATCGCCTTCTTCCTCCACATCCCTTTTCCGAGTTCCGAGATCTTCCGATGCTTTCACGGTGAGAGCGTGCGGTATCGCCTACAATCTGCATCAAGTTCGCTCACACTCTGTATTCAACAGTGCGAAAGCAGATCCTCGAGGGAATGCTGGGCGCAGATATGATTGGTTTCCAGACCTATCCGTTCATGCGACACTTCCTGATGACATGCACACGTCTACTCCGCCTGGAATCGACGCCAAGGGGCGTGCAGCTGGATGATCGAACAGTCTCCGTCATGCCTATTCCAATTGGAATTGATCTGGCTGCACTGAACGAGAAGAGGTTGGTTGCAATACACGGTGGGTCTTCTAACGCCGAAGATCATTCGCTGACGATTGGACTCCCAGGCGAAATCCCGAGGTGGCAGAGATCATCGCATCGCTGAAGGAACGGTACGCAGGGATGAAGGTACTCCTTGGACGCGATAAGAACGACTACGTGAAGGGGGTCCGACAGAAGCTGCTAGCTTTCGAACGGTTCCTGCAAGACTATCCTGAATGGGTTGGGAAGGTGGGTAAACCTCGTCGATGCCCACGATACACTTCAATTCACGAGCCCTTTTGATACGTCCGCTTTCCAGGTTGTTCTGCTCCAAGTCGCCCTATCAACAACGGAAGCAAATGAGAACGAGTGTCGCGTATCGGACGTTGTTGCGCGAGTCAACTCTCGCTACGGAAGCATTGAGTATCACCCTGTTGTGTACCTCCAGCAGGACATCTCGTTCAGCCACTACCTGGCTCTTTGGACGGTAAGTTATCCAACCAAATTGAAACATCAAGCACAGATATCAATGGATCATCGCCCGACAGATAGCAGATGCCTGTGTGATCACTTCGTTACGGGATGGGATGAACCTTACATCCCATGAATTTGGTGCGTTCGTCAATCATGATTTTATCCATTGCTTCGAGGCGGAGACTAACAGGGCGACTTTTTTAGTTGTGTGTCAGGAAGAGAATCACGGCCCGCTAATCATCAGCGAAGTATGTCTTATAGAATGCGCAACTGTCTCTGCCAGTGAGTATGAAGCTAACCAATCTCGGTACAGTTTGCGGGAACATATGGAAGTTTCGGCTCTGCATTACGAGTAAGTCTCAAATCGGGAGCGAAGCCCCAAATCCATTGCATTTAGCTGACGTTTTGATTACAGGTCAACCCATGGGATATCCGCGAAGTCGCTGAAGCCATGCACGATGCATTGGTCATGAGCGAGGAGGAAAAAGCATGGCGGTGGAAGGAGCTATATACCCATGTTGTCGGCAACACCGGTAAGATCTCATCATTAGCGAATTTGGGTCCCCAATGTTCGACCGCTCATCAGGATATCGTCCGCTTTAGCCCAAACATTTGTCGAATCGTTCACATCGGAGCTCATCAAGGCACACGAGGAAGTGGCGCGGACCGTGTCGACCAGTATACCGCCTCTCCCCGAGAACCTTGTGCTGACAGAGTATGCACATTCCCGCAAGCGCGTCTTCGTAAGTAACCCCCTCATCCGAGATCCGTCATCGCCAATCTGTGGTTTATACTCACAATCGTCCGTCTCCAGCTGTTGGACCAGGACGGAACCATCATGAACTTCAACAAACACTCATCATCAACGCTGCTGTCCAGCCGGATACCCACCGAGCATGTCACTGCGCTCGTCCAGAAGCTTGCGAGCGATCGTCGGAACATGGTGTACATTATGAGCGGGCGGTGCAAGTCGGAGATGGAGGATTTCAATGGGATTCCGAACGTGGGGCTATGGTGAGATTCGTGGATTTGTCAAGGGAAGCGCTAGGAACTTTCAAACTAAGAAAGGGATTTTTTAGCGCCGAGAATGGTTGTTTCTTGAAGTACGCAAATCGGAACACGTGGGAAACGATGCTGCCGGATCAGGATTTGAGCTGGCGGAAGCAGGTGCAGGAGATTTTCGAATACTACACTGAGTGAGTATGAGGTGGCCGGGTTTTCATTTTCTCCACAAGGGTCATATCTGACATTTGCAATTCCTTGCCACAGCCGTACGCCAGGATCGTACATTGAGCAAAAAGAGATTGGCATGGTGTGGCATTACGGACACGCCGACATGAGTTTCGGCTCCTGGCAGGCCGCCGAGTGTCAAAATCACCTAGAACAGGCGCTGACGAAGTCCTTTGCCATCCACGTGCTCTCGAAGAAGAGGAGTCTGGAGGTGATGCCCCGCAACGTGAATAAAGGGACGGTCATCCGCCGAGTCCTGGAACACCATCAAGGGCGAGGGCCTCAATCAAGACGGATGAAGTCCGTCGGGTCGGTGACGGGGAGGGCGGCACGGGACCGGAACATCTCGGGTGGGTCTACGACAAGCAACGGGCAAGGAGTCGAAAACACCGAAGAGTACATCGCCGAGCTCGAGGCACTGGAAGCAGAGGAGCTCGCGATGCTTCCAACGCGAGAACGCGTGGATTTCATCATGTGCGTCGGCGACGACCGGGCCGACGAGTACATGTTTGAGTACCTCCGCCGACTGGAGCTGCATTCCAACAGCAAAGACCGGTGCCGCAGCGACCCCTCCACACCCTTCGAGGAGCTCCGCAGCATGATGTTCTCCCCTCCCACGACATCGGCCAATCCGACGGCCGTCATTTCCCCTGGCTCCGTCACCGACGACCCGGCAACACCCCTCACCAGCCCTCCCGAGATCCCACAAGACTCCCCGTCATCCCCCGGCGCTATCCCCATGCGCGGGGACCACAACGCACATTTCCCCGCGAGTCTCCCCGCCGACTTCAACCTGCACATGCCCGCCACAGTCCCCGGCGCCACGGCCCAATCCCAGCCCTCGTGTTCACAGCAGTTCATCCCGTCCAACCCGGCCTCGACGCGCAGCAAGCGATGTATCGTCACCGCCACAGTCGGCAAGAAGGGCAGCGCGGCGAAATGGTTTATGCCGGGTCCGCAGGAGGTGTTGACGCTGTTGGAGAAGTTTATTGCGCTCGAGAAGACTCATAAGAGGGCCAGGAATACTGTGCCGGAGCATGGGAACCTGCACCAAGTGTGATTATGAGCTGGGGGGATTTGCATCCCGAGTTACTCTGGCTTTGTAATCTTTGGCGTGGGCGTTGTCCCCCTCCGTTCAATGCCCATATAGCATTTAGGAGAGGCCATCTTTTTGTTTTCCCTTGTGTTTACATCTATATTGCTGCATCATCTACATCACTTCCCTTCCCCTGTGGTTCTCGTTGAGTTTCTCCATCTTATATAAATGCGAGTCTACGGAGATATTTCGTTGTACACCGTTCCGCAGTTGTTGATGGGAAAAGCGTCGAAATAGCCGAATGAAACGGCAGCCCCGTATTTCCTTCCTCTACAATAACGTACGTCGATCCCGGTCCCGTCTTCTCTATCTCATATCGAGCCCTCCGGTACGCTGCGAATGCCATTCTCCAAGGCCGCCGCCCACTCATTCAGACGATCCCACCGAAATCCCGTCATCTACCGCTGACCGAAACTTTTTCCTTTACGACTTTGTTGATGGGGGTGAAAATCGGCTCATAAATAAATTCGAATGGTGGTGGTATCAACAGAATCAAAACCGGTCTGACTGCGCCACACGGCGTCCAGGCTCTCGTACGCCCAAGAAGGTATGAGTGTCGGAAACGGGTGGCCATGACATTCTCTCGGCAGTCGGCATCTTTTCACTTCTTCCTCAACATGGCTCGCGCAATATTCTTGGACGCCAAATTGGCCAATTTCCTGCTTTCCTCGACGACTACTTTGTCATATGTTTCGGGGAGAGCGTGGGGTCTGAAGTAGTCGCGGAAAGAGTGCCCTCGTTTGACGGACGAGGGGGTTTCTTGGTCTATGTATGGGTGGAGCTGGAAAGTCCGAGTTTGCGGTCAGTATTCGTTACGGTCTTTCTGAACAGAAAAGGAAGTCGAAAGAGTCCGAACTCTTTGCGACTCCGGGGACCGTTTCCCCACCAACCTGAAATTCGGAGAGGTCCTTTGGTATCATCCACTGCCTGAATCGCCATGGTTCCAGAATGAACCGTCCTGAATTTAAAGGTTTCATAGTCAGCAACCCGAAGGAGCACGCATCCCCTCGCCCATCCGTTCAAAGACTGGTCTTCAACGGCATGATAAGGCTGGCACTTCCCACTCCACATAGGCACACCAGCCCTGCTCGCTCCACAGTATTTTCCAAAACCCACCTCTCGCCGTCCACCGCCCCATTCTCCCTGACCCCGTTCCCTTGTAGTAGTTCTTGTTTCCCTGCTTGGCGGACAGGACACCACGGGTTGCCCCGCGGCCCAGTCCCGTGATGACGTCCCCGAGAGTCATGTTCAGCGAGTGTTAGAGTAAGGTCTTCGGGACGGATGCTGCGACGATTTGATGATTTGGTTGTGCTCGTCTGGAGGGTTGTGTTGGGCTGGTTGGGTGCGCCGTGCCATAACGTAAGCTGGCCGTGCTGTGGCGCAGCGGTGGAGTGACAGGCTTCCCCCCGCTTGCGTTTCTCCACAGATCAATTTTAACCGTCACCCCACACAAGGTGCGAATTGGTCGGCCTCCACACTTGATTACGGCGAAGGGATCGTCACTTTTATCGCTGTGTTCCAGGCATCGGGGCGATCAAGGGACCGTTGGCATTAAGAAGGCCAGACATATCTCACTTGCACATGGCAGGCTTCAAATTCAGGGTCACGGTCGCTAGCGATTATGTGGGCTGTCACAGGTGAATTTGAAGCAATGGCCAGCGATATCTGAGAAATGGCCGAGTTTTCATTGGCACCGCACACTTGCTTCTGTGGCCATCCGGCGTCGATTTCTCGTCAGATGCATCTCCATACGAAAGAAGGATGTTGGTGAAGAAGCCCCTATTAGTAATATACGTAGTACTTGTACAGTCCGCTGTATTAACCATGACATCAGAAGCGTCGGAAAGTATCGGAACCCCCAATGCCGATACTCAAAACCCCCGGATAGCGGGACGCAGCGCCGATCGTCTGGTATGAACCCTAAGCGCGTGTCAGGTCGAGGAGATGGGTTCAAGGATATGCGATCTAAGCAAAGATAAGCGCGGTCTCCTTGTCCCCAAACCACAATAAGGAGCGGACGTGGTATCTCTCATTGCTCAAACTATGATCTCCGGTCGCCAGCGGGGATCCCAAAACACACCAGCGAAAACAATGGGCAAAGCGCCATGACATACGCAGCAGGACGGACGAGGCGAGGCTGCGAAATCCCATATCATCTTTCCACGCATTCCCATACCCGTGGCGTGGTGTATGATACGCAGAGAGTCGCTCAGCAAAAAGGAGGGAAAAGTGTGCGTCTTCCCTCATGTTTTAGACTTCCCAAAAAACCCGTCTATCCAGTGGCCACACTCCTTTGCTGCGAAAACATCAACGACCCCACAACGACCCCACTTCGCACCACGCTGCCTCGTTTTGCCGGAAAAGTGAGGATACTCAAGCACAACCCATTGCATATCTACAATAGAGGAACCCCGCGGCTCCGAATACACGAAACTTATCCACGACCTCTGCTGGGCGAGGCCGATCGCCAGAAGGGAACTCACCCGTCCCCATTTCGTCTTGAGTGAAGGACGTTTCTACGCGTCGGCCGTCCGGGCACAAGCATAGTGGCTCAATTGCCTGTCGCGAAAACCTTGCTGGCTGGGGCCCTTTTGCTGGCTCGAGAACATATATGTACGGTGCTTCCCTTTCAACCCGACCCTTGAAGAATTCTCGTAGTCGTAACCATGTCAGCGCCAACACCAAGTTTCTTGTCCGTCCCTCATTCCGCACGCGGCCATTGGAGTGCGTCGGTATCGCCAATGTCGAGTCCGCGGTCCATAGCGGTATTTTCCGGGGGCTCTGCGGTCAACGCCTTTGTCAGCGTTCTGCAGGGCTTTACGGATGATATGTCGTACATTATGCCTGTTTCCGACGATGGTAAGACTGTGATTATTCATGAATACTGATGGATCAAAGACTGACTTGCATTCTTTTCCACAACATGTATAGGAGGATCTACGTCTGAGATCATCAAAGTGTTGGGTGGTCCTGGCATAGGGGATTTGCGATCACGGGTCGTACGGTTGGCCGAGACGAGCTCATTCGAGGTAGGTACCATTGGGACTTACCGGCCTTTGTTAGATCATCCTCATTCTCATGTGTTGGTGCTACCCCGTTACAGTCAAAAGCAGTGCGAGATCTTTTGAGCTATCGGTTACCCTGCGATGACCCTTCCAGCGACAGAAGGTCATCGGCGAAAGCAGAATGGCTCGACATACTAGAGGGCAGCCATCCCCTCTGGGATGGCATATCACATCCATATCGGGAAACCATTCGAACCTTTCTTGCGCACTTTCAACACGAGCTTGTCAAGTCGTCAACGCGTAGGCCGCCGTTCAACTTCGAGGGAGGGTCCATCGGCAACTTCTTCTTGACGGGCTCGAGGTTGTTCTTTGACAACCTCGACGCAGCTGTTTTCCAGTTCATGAGGATTATGCGAGTACCTCCACGAACCGAGGTTGTGCCCGTTTTGGAAACAAACCGCGGCTCAGTCATGATTGCGGCGGCCTTGCGAGATGGAACCACCATCTTTGGCCAATGCGAGATCTCTCATCCCGGCAATACGGGAGGGTCGATTGAGCTTTCCCAAACAAAGTCGCTCGATGCTTGCAGTGATGCTGGACATGACTCATCAGCATCCAGTCCTGCGGAATCCGATTTTTCGGCTCATTCGCCACCCTCTCGAACATGCAGTCAAAACCTGTTCTTCAACAAAGGGTCCTGTCAGACCTTATGCTCGCCCATCCGAAGGATATATTACGTGAATCGCGAACATCAAGAGATATTCCCGGACATGAATCCGCTCATCTCATCACAGCTTTCGCGAAAACGCACGATAGTGTACGGCTGCGGTTCCTTATATACGTCGATATTACCATGTCTAGTGGTCCCGGGCGTCGGACGGCTGCTGGCAGACCCGGGACCACGGCAACTCGCACCACCCTATCCCATCCGATGTCACCTCTCCCGCGTCAAGATCCTGATGCTGAACGGCTCCTACGATCGAGAAACAAGCTGTTACACTGCTCTCGACTTCATCTTCGCCATCACAGATGCGCTCAACTACTCATGTATAGTCGACGACCGCCGCTCCCGAGCACGTCGGACCTCAGTCCCGGACATCCAGGGCTACATCAATCCCTTCGACCGAGACAAGGAGGGAAAACCCGTGGGTCTGGAATGGTGGGTGGATGACCACCACAGCCTAGAACCACAATCGATGACACCACCAGATCGCCGCTCGACGCCCACGCAAAACGAGAATGCCGCTTACCCCATCCGGCACGCAACCCCACCAGCAGACGAGATGGACATCCTCACGAGCACCATGGGACGCACGTACCTGGGCAGCCCATATCAGCCCGGAGCATTCATGACGCACATGTTGTACCCAGAAGACGGATCCATCCCTGTCGAAGTCGACCGCATCGAGGCGTTGGGCATCCGATGCGTTAGAGTCAAGAAGCCGATGGTATCGACGTCGATACCGCACACACCGGGCTTCTATGATCCGGAGGAATTGAGTGAGGTGCTCGATCATCTCATTGTATGAACTCACAAAGCCCGAAGCCCGGAACCGGATAGCCTTGAGTTGCCTGTCCTTTCTGTGGGCGGTCGTAGCAGCCTCCATCAAACCATTTTTGTACCTATACCCCAACCCCTTGTTCTTTACACAAATACATATTACCATCTGAGTGCCGCAAAGCCTTCCTGCCCCCGTTGTTTCCGGAGGTCATAGGGCATTTTGGGAATCGTACGTGGGTATGGTACGGGCTTATGAAGCATTGAGAGTAGCCCCCATGAATCATGATCATCGGTCGACCTTTGATTTGACCATTGAACCCTTGGGTTTCGATTTGCATCCTTTCTGCGCGAATCAGACCTCCCGCGCGCAGGGTAGGGACACGAACCGCAGGCGGGAGCATCAAATCCGAGAAGAGCGCTCAGGAGTCAGGTCCCGCGGTCTTCCTTCTCTCGTCCCGTTGACAGAATACTGTACACTGTCAAACTCATGCAGCCAGGCTCTTTGACTCGGAGCCTCCGAACAGGTGGCCACTGCCAGCCAACAATTAACTTCCCAAGCGCAGGTGTCACGGACGCACGGTTGAGGTGGGTTACGCAGCAGTCACGGTATTCCCATCTCCCTGTCACGGATAACGGAACTCTTGTAACGCGTCGCAAAAACTTGGAAGCTGTTCACCTTTTCTGTCTGAAGACTGGTCTGAAGAGGGCCATATCTATCTGTAGGCGTCCAACAGGCCGGCTGCAATAGCTCTTACCATAGAACCGATGGTAGCAACATGTCTCGGGAAATCGAGGCTGATGGAGCCTTATAAAAAGCCACGGCGGATAGCATCCGGCTTTCCTTCATGTCGCGGCGTCAGAGCTTCACCCAATCTTGCTAATCATACTCTTCGCTAATGTCATACAGTGCTAACATGCGCGATCGCCTCGTCAGCTTCGGCCGAGACAGCCTCGCGACGGGAACGCTTGCTCAGCGCTTGCTGGCCTCAACATCGAAAACACGCACTGACGCACCCCCCGGCTCTCAAGTTTGGAAGTCATCTACGTCACTCCATCCGCTCCACCCAGTCCGCCTACGTCTCCGGCGAGATTTATACCCCGCTCAAACCGCAACGTGCCAAACGCACCATTGTCCTCTGGAACCACGAGACGGCCGGCCTCGCCGATGCTTGCGCGCCTACACGTCGGAGCAACCAGGAAGCCGGGCACGAACGTGTCCCGGCCATCGGCGCCCTGCTCGGGAAGGGGTACGTGGTGGTAGCCAGCGACTATCCCGGGTTGGGACTGCTCGGCAACGCAATGTCCATGGCCGGCCAGCTCAACGCGCGCGCCTCTCTTGAGTGATGTTGTGGGTTGCGCAGAAGTCCCCGCAGGCTAGGGCGACGAAACGGTTTGCGATGTATGGGTGGTCGTAGGGCGGGCTGACTACGATGCGGGCCGAGAGCGTCGCGGGGGCTTACGTGCCGGAGTTTCAAGGATGTTGGCACGGGGTTGATTGCGCCTGCTGTTCCGCATTAGGGGGTTGACGTTAAATCCGATGCAGGTTGATTAATGCAGGTTGATTCTAGTGCCGGTTATGTGATCTCTACCCTGCCGGGAATCAAGGCTTACCTCCCCGACCTTCGGTACCGCGATTTCCTGAAGCCAGATGCTATGGAGCTTCTCACCAATCTGGCGGGCGGATGCTTTGATATTTGGAACACTGGCGCGGCCCTCAAGGATCCGTACGTGACGGGAGCCAGGATCGAGCTGGTTGAATGCCACGACGACGGTTGACGACTTCCGGCCTAAGGGTAACATGCGTTTCGTGATCTATCAAGGGAAGGCCGAATCAACAGGTGCCGGTTGCGTTTACCGAGAAGGAGTTTGGCAACCTTTGCGCTGCTGGATCAGCGGTTCAATTATTCGAGTATGACGGGGTCGACCACATTGGTACTGTTCCGTTGGCGGCGCAATTGCCTGGGCGGATCCAAGATCGGTTCTCGGGCAAGCCTGCGCCGAGCAACTGTATTGTGTATTGTTTAGACGAAACACTACTTTCGGACAGTTTGCGTTTAGAGCTATAGTGTATAAGGACGGCGTATAAAGTAGTGCTCAGAGATCTTTTAGACCTTTGCGAAGAGTAGAGCATATGTACATGCCCATCAAATTACACCACAATCTTCCTTCACATCCGGACCCATTCACTTAACATTTTATTTGCTACAACGCGTAATCGACCTTCATTACAATCTTAAAAAAGTTCTTGCCATGTCTTGAATCTCCAAAGTACATCGGACAATGTTCCACACCCAAGTGTCTTCACTCAATCAGCTACCACCACGATCTACCGCCAGAGCGAATACGGTCACGCACAGCCCTCGTCTCATTTCCATTTCGGCTTCCCACCCGGCGTTTCCTCCCCACCCCCAACCACCCCTGTCCCTAACGACGCCGACGCCACCCTCAACGACCTCCTAACCGTCGATTTCGCCCCCACACCAGCACCACTCAAAGGCGTAGCAGCCGGAATCACACTCGCTCGCCGTTTCCTACCCACGGCACCATCATCGTCTTCCGCAACCGGACGGGATAGAGCCATAGTTCTGCGGCGTGACGCGAGGGTGCTGATGCTGCTTTTGGTTGTGCTGCTAGCGTGTCGAGAAGTGTCGGTGGTTGTTGTGAGGGCGTTTCGTCTGCTGTTTGCTTTCGTGGTGACGTTCTCGTCTTCGTGGTCGGAATCTTCTTCCTCGACTCTCTGGATCGTGCGTGGGGAGACAGCGACGCTTCGTCGGCGTGTCGCGTAGGTCTTTGTTGGCTTTCCGCGGGATGTAAATTCGTCCTTGCCTCCTGCATTCTTATCCAAAGCCCCAACACCCGCACTGGAAAGTCTTGACGGTCGGAAACCAGGCGCAGAAGAAAGCGAACCGCGCGGAGTAATATTATCGGGGCCTAACGCCGTCCGTCTCGGCAACGCACTCTGTCTGCGCTGCACATCCTCTCCAATGAGTTTCGACATCACGGGTAGCAACGACTGTCTAGCCACGCGGCGTTGCGATCGTCGCAGCGGCTTTGCATCTGCTTCCTCAATGGCCTCTGTCTGGGTTGCTTTCGAAGGAGATTGAATTGCGCAGCCGGCCCCGAAATCAGGTGCGCGAGGGGGCCGCACGCCTTCCATGCCCTTCCGCATGGTGGATGCTCTATTCGGCATGGGCGTCGCGTCCGCGTCTACCTCCCGTTCTTCGTCCGATCGGGCCTTTTTGGAGGGTGAGTCTGCTCGTGGGCTTGCCTGTCGTTTGTACGTCTGGCTGCCAGGAACAGGGATGGGCGATGATGGTGATCTGGAAGCCGGCCGCTGCTCCGGCGATCTAGTTGGCGTTCCCAACCTATCTTCCTGGAAAGTGACTTTGGATGGTCGTGTAACTTTGATGGCGGTGTTTGGACACGCTGTGGCGGGCGATGCGGGTTCGTCCACGGGCGAGCACGGCTCAGGTGTGCCTCCGTGCCGTGGAGGTGACAAGGTATCTCCTGGCTCCGCGGCAATCGCAATCTCGTTGCTCGGCGGAGCTTTCCCGCCTAGATGCGTGGCCAGAAGATCGCTTGTAAGGATATCTCCTCCTGCCCACCCCCCATCGCCACCATCACTCTCATTTCCATCGCTTTGGGATATAGTCGACATGTCGGAAAAGTCGGATGCCTCGGAGCAGGAGTCCCAATTCACCTCCACGACATCCAAACTCTTTTGTTCGTATCCTTCCTTGAAATGACTCTCGACTTCAATGGGCAGGAGCGACACAGAAAGTTTTTGCATCGTTGCTTCGACGAGCGTAACGACCTCCTCGCCCAACAAATCCTCGTCCCTTGCACGTCCGGTCACACTCTGCAGTTCTCTCAAACACTCTCCCATCTTCGTCAAACACTTCTGGAAAGCGTCAGCTTCAGCTTCCAGAGCCCGTTGGCACGTCTCGACCTGTCGCGCCAGCGATCGATTCTGCGAGGCCAGTTTGAGCAACTGAATCTCCACTCGTAGGCGTTCACGCTGTGATGGAGCCAGTCGCTTCCGCGGACGGGAGCTCGTATCTGCTGCCATCTTGTTGATCTCTTCGTTGTAACCAAGGATACCTATTCGCGCTTGGTTGGCGTTATGTCTCAAGGAGACGTTGGCGCTATGGATTGCTTCGATCATGTTGCGTAGTGTTTCGGCGTACGGGAGTATGTTTGCCGCGTGCCCTGTCGATGAGGCACTCGCATCTTGACTAATGAGTGCTGCCATAGTGGCCCTCAGCATCCCTAATCTTCGCTCATTCTTATCGACCTCGGCAAGCCCATCGGCTTTTTCGTCTTCTTTCGATTCCAGCTTTGAGAATATCTTCCGCACTTTGGCTAGAAGCATTTCGAAGGCGTCCGCTCTCATGCCGGTGTCCGCGCTCGACGTCTGTTCCGCTACGACAATTGGCACGCTCACCGGTTGCCTGCCTCCAAGTTTCTCATGCAGTAAGTCCTGCTCCTGCCGTCCGAGTAGTTGATCCCGCAAGTCTTGAACTTCCGCCTGCAGTTCGCTAATAATTTTCGGGTACTGCGCCATGTGGGCGGCCACATCAATGGTGTTCTGCTCAACTTTCGTTTTGATATTTTTTGCGCGATTGGCGTACTTGAGGGTGTTATGGGTATCTTCATAATGCACACTGGATGCGCTGATCGCAGCAATCATCACAACGCGGCAGTTTCCTCCCAGTGAGTATTTGAGCAGTCGCGTTAATTTCGAATCTCTGGGATTGAGGATAATCAGTATGGCTTACGGGACGGGATAGGACAGGGAATCAGCCGCCAAGCCTACCGATATGGAATGTGGTTCGGACGGTCGCTGCATAATGCGTTTATGCAGTTTCCCAGGGCCAAAAGAGATCTGGAATCGCAGTGAATGCTGAATGAGGTCGTCTCGTCTGATGATCATTTGCGTGGAAAGGAACGTACCTGTTGATATTTGCTCCCTCCAATAACCGCTGTCCTGAATTCTTGGTAACTGATGCACGCTGCAAAGGGCAAAATAGTTCCGTGTCTCGCTCAATCTTCCGGTCGTCCATGAGAATCGAATCGTACCTCGCTCCCAGCCAGATCGATGATGCTTAAAGTCGCGGTTTTAATGGTACTGTTTATCCCGGCCGCTTTGTCCTTTAAACGGACATGTATTTGCAGGACCGCGTGGCTCCTCGAGCTCACAGCATTGGCTTCCGTCGGGGCCTTCGTTCTGTTGTTGTTTCCTGTTATCATCAAATCCATCACGTGGTCGACGTCTCTTGGCTTGTGCTCGCTCAAGCCCGCCACCACAACTCTGCTATTGCTGTCATCCTCTCGCAGGTCCAGCGACTCGGTGGATGTCGGCTTCAGCAAGTCTTTTATGGCCTCATTGTAGACCTCCAGGTATGAAACGCTGGTTTCAATATGCAACTGAGTGGATGCCTCATCAATCCGAGCAAACAACTCTCGCATAGTCAAGAAGATGATACCAGGATCCTCAGGTGTGCCGGTGATAGTATGGGTTTTCCCACATCCTGTTGCGCCGTAAGCGAAAACCGTAGAGTTGTAACCGTCCAGGACGCCATCGATCAACGGTTTTGCAGTTCCTTTGTAGACATCGTCCTGGCTCGCAGACTCGCCGAAAACCCGATCGAAGGCGTACTGAACTTCTTTGTTGCGGTGGGCGCCGTGAACGTAGGTTCGCCGCCGTTTGCGGAAACTCGCGTCAGCAGGGTCTAAACATAGGAGAGTTCAGCGTTGTGAGCCTTGGCAGCGTGAAGCCGTACCGCTAGAAGGAGCCTCACTGACCGAAGACAAGAACCTGCTCGTCAATGACATTCACAATCTTTCTGACAGAGGAGGATGATGGTTCGGCTTCGGTGGGCACTTGGAGAAGTGAAGAGGCAGACGGAGATCGCGCCCTCCCACTACCTGCTGGCAGGGCAGAGAAAGGCCGCACGCGAACGGCGACGGTTATGGCCGACGCAGAGCCCGTTTGCGCACCGTCGCCTTCGCTGTGGTTTACCATTGTAACTACCGACTGCTTGTGAGAGACGGTAAGGGACTCCGCGTTTTGACGGTGGGAAAGTGCCCGGAAAGTGAAAGCTTTTTTCCGGCGTAATAGTGCTTTCAGACGAGGACGGTCGTGCGAGAATAATAAGGAGGAGCCGCCGTGGGAACAGCAAGAGAGGGCATAAGTTCGATATGCACAGTATCATCTGTACAGTACGGTATCTCCTTGCGCGAAGGAAGCGAGACAAGTGCGAGAAGGCCTTTAGTCGCTCCCGTGGGGGCGCAGTGTCCGAACAGAGCCACAGGCGTGTCCGGTTGCGTCATGGGGTTCAAGGGTGTGTCCGAGAACCTGGACTGTGGGAAGGAGCCGGATGTGAGTCATGCATGCATGGGTTCCGGCGGGAGACATAGAATAATATTCAAGTAAGTGGTAAGTGATAAGGCTCTCAACGCTCAAATGAGTCAATTCCAGACTCGACGAGCCTCGAGCGAGAAGGCCACAAAGGGTTCAATTGTCAAAGCGCATGCTCTCGTCGGCAGACTATATACTCGCAAGCTTAATTCTTTGTGGGAGTGCGGATCCGACATCTGGCAAAGTGCGAGGCATCAAGCTCAGCAATCCGCATGTCAAGGCCCATAACTATTATCGCGCTAGACAGCTCGCTTTCTCAAGTTAACCTCTGGACCCTCTTCACACGCGCGCCCCATTTCCCGCAGAGGACCCGAGATTTCCACGTTCCCCCGCCGTTTCTGGGCAACTGACGTATTGCCACTGCACGGAGGATCACCCTATAGCTGCACGTGATGGCAAACTCGGAACATCCATCTGCGACGGGATGGCAGCCTCTACCGAAAGGAACGCACGGCGTCGCAGTATGCCCTTTCATTCCCACGCAGCAATTCACTAAACCCACTTTATCTATCGGCACGGCATCGTCGACCGCATCTATACCAACGACTAGCACGAGTACAGTGACACTAGAGGAGCTTGTTCCTTTGGAGCTTGGGGATGCTGTTCACATCTTAGAGCGCTGTGACGGCTGGCTGCGTGGTTATGTCTTTCCGACTTTATCGAGGGAGGCTGGCACCTACCTCGGCGTATTCCCTGCTAGTCACATCTATTCGAGAGCCCTCAGAGCCAAAAAGGCTACCTCTGAAAGTGATTCCTCGGACGATACTAACAGCAATGCTGTCGCGTCAGCCATTCCGAGTGCGATAGCCGCCCAGGTTGGCTTTGACGCCTTCGGACGACCACTACTGCAGAGGACGGCGACGGCTCCTATGCCGCACGTATCGCCGGGTTCTTCGATTCAGGGAATGGAGGGGAGTGCTCGGCCTATGTCATATGCACCAGGGTTTGCTGTTGGCGCACGGAGAGTGCTACATCCCATCCCCGCTGCCGTCCGCCCGGATTATGATACGAGTGCTGGTCACAAGGAGATTCTGGTGGACGAAATCGCGGCAGTCCTACGGGACTGGGGTGCTTCGCTGACCGCCCTATTGGAATCGCATCAGTACGACGTCTTCAAAAGAGTTCACAAACTGTTCCATGTCCTCTCACAAGGTCGCCGCACATTGCTCTCACAAACTCTGGATCCATCAGAATTGGCCGTCTTTAAGAAGCGGCTTATTGCTGTCATGGAGGAAGGAAACTCATTACAGGGCTCTGATCTCGTCATAAGACACCCTGAGAAGGGTCACATCCTCTCGGAACGCAACACTACAATTGTGCATATATACCGCATGCATATGCTTCACGCCCAGAAGCGCCTGCATGACAAAAATCGCGATGAGTCTTCCGATGTATCCGCCGCGAACAGCATTCCACAATATGCCGATGTTGAGGAGGTCATTTCGCGCTTCACCTGCATCTTCTTCGAGCTACGGTCAGCATCGGGCTCCTTTTGTCTGGTCGGCGAGTTTGTTGAACTCCGGTTCTCATTATACCACCATACCGAGAAGCGGATGCTGTCGGAAGAATATGTCGTTCATCTCAACAGTTTCGGCATCCCGGTTTCGAAGCATGTGAGGAATGGGAAGCTCAAAACGATCTTTGCGGATATCCCGCATCGAGATGTCAATGTCAACGTGTTCCTACTTTGCCGCTTAGTCCGCGTGGGCAAAATGACAATGTCGGAGAGAGACACAGAGCGTGCAGACAAAGCCCACGGTTCGAATTCGGGGATAGGGTCGTTGGGCAGCTCCTCTTCATCGATAGACCTTCCGAGTCTGGTCGCTGCGCAAGGCGGCGTTTTGACACCGTACCGCAGGCCGCTTGGCTGGAGTGTTATTCGAATAGGCGACTGGATCAAGTTGGCTTCCGAGCGATCGAAGGAGATATCCATGCGAATCTACGCACCCACATCCGAAAGCAGCTTCTCGACGCTCTACGAAAACATCATCAGCAAATCAGGAGGTTACGACGTGTTCCCGCGAGGAGAAGCGCTGACGATTTCTTTGAACCTGCTGCAGAGCGAGCTCTCTGCCTTACAGGCTGCCGAGTCGCCATTCCTCACTGACGCAATGATAACACCACGGAGCGGCTTTTCGGATGTGATAGTTCCTGGCGACAAAAGGAATAGCATGTATATCACACTTGTCACCGGTGATTTCTCCACGAGCCGGAAGCCTACGGTGCGAAATGTACAGGTCACCTTACAAGTCAGACTGCCAGGTGGCGATTTTGTGGAGGGATGTCTTAGCAGTGGGACCGGAGACTCGGAAGGAATATACGATTCGTTGGTGTACTATCACAACACCAGCCCACGGTGGTCAGAAACCGTTCGACTCGATCTGGCTCCGGAAATCTTCAAAACTGCGCATCTGTTCCTTACCTTCAGGCACTGCTCTTCAAATGATAAAGGTGGTGAGAAGGAACGGCAGGAACGTAACTTTGCCTTTGGGTTCCTTCCACTTGTTCGGAATGGGCAGACGGTGGTCAACGATTCCTCGCACTCTCTGGCGCTTTACAAATACGACAAGCGATTTACTTCTCCAGCCGTGTATCTTCAGTATCCGGCCGCATCGGGTACACTCCAGGCGTCATTATCAAAGACCGATGCGTACGGTTCAGGAGCCGAAGCCATGTCGAGATTGGCAGGGTTGAAAGATTCATGTGTCATCCGGACCAGACTATGCTCAACGCGGCTCACACAGAACGAAGGCTTGCATAAACTTTTGACGTGGCAATCGGGGGACACCGCGAGGAAGACCAACATCGAGAGCATCTTGTCGGAGTACCTTCTTCTCGGCGAGTTGGAGATTATCAAATTCCTTCCGAAGATTTTGGACGCGCTTTTCAGGATGATGGACAGCGAAGCGCTGACGGAGCCTACGCCTACCGATGCACAGATATTTGACGCACTCGTCTTTACATTCGGAATCGTCATGGATAAGCGATTTGCAAATCACCGGCCGACGATTGAGAAATTCATCGTCCGACGGTTTAGGAGCAAGAGGGCGTGCAATGTCATCATGCACAACCTTCAGAACCTGGTGAAAGATCCCGCCGATATCCGAAAAGGCAAGAAGCTCAGGACTACGATCAAAGTCTGGAAGTATCTTCTCAAATTCGCAATCCGGAGTGACCAACTGAGTGGGGAAGAGGCGGTGGACGAGGACGGCGCTCAGCCAGACGGTTCCGATATCCTGGACGATGGGTCCGTATCAGATGCGCCAGGAAAATCTTCCGAGACGCTTATCAATCCTACAGTCACCTTTCTTCATAGCCTGGACTCCTTGTTCTCATCAATTAACGAGATGATGACCGTCACGGCGCCAGAACACGTCATTGGATCCCAAACGCTGATGCTTCAGTACTTTTCGAGCGTTCTGCCTGAGCTGCAGCGCATCTTCACTCCTATGCAGCTAGTCAACAAGGCCGCATGGTTCGTCGATAGCGTGCGTGGCAACCGGACGAAGCTGACGGGATACAAGCTGATCCTCATTCGAGACCTGGTCAAGGGGTCCTTGTTCGCGGACGCGAGGACCAGAGGGATCCTGACGAACTGCGCTACGAGATGGGTGACGGAATGGGGCAAAGAGTGGGTTTTATCGCATCAGCGGACCGAGAACGAGGCGCCTGGAAGTGTCGCGGCGAAAGGACAGCAGGAGAATCTTAAGCTTTGCTGTGATATCACCGGCGAATTGGTCGATAGGCTTCAGCGGATAACGGAGAAGCGGGACAAGGAGTTGCGGGCGGAGCCGGCTTCTCCAGCAGGAAGTCTGGAGGAACACAGTGCCGCGATAAATGCCATTGCAGAGTTACTCATGGGTCTGCTGGAAATCTATCGCGTTCTGACGTCAGATTTGGACGGCTCGATGGGGATCGAAGGCCGGCTTCGACGCAGAGACAGGCCAGCCAACCGATCTACCCTTGGAGGGCAGAACAAAGACAAGATCTTGCCTCGTTCGACCGATCTGGCATACCTGGCCGCCATCATCCTCTCCATCGTCCATCTCCTCAAAGACGAGCAACTGCAATCATATTTATTACGGTATTATGCTGAGAATGGACCTCGGGAAACCGTGCGCTTTGTATCACTGCTCTGCGAAGTCTTCGGCGACATGATTTCGGAAGAGCCCTTCTCGCCGTTCTGGGTGGGAATGAACATGATCACCCATCGAGTTGCGCTGCGGATGCTTCGGCCTGTCAGCGAGCTGCTCCGCGGCGAATTCCTTGATTCTCGAGACGACGACGAGAACGGGGTCGGGAACAGGCTCAGCGTTGTTTTCAGTGTTGCGGAAAGCGATGTGTCGAATATGGATTATCGTAGCAGTGCTCGAAGCTTCCAGACTGGCGTCACGCCCCACGGGACGGCGTTCAACAATGGAGGGCCGAGCACGCGATCTGACGGGTCTGGGACGCAAGCGCTCCTGCATCGGTTGTGGGACAGATATTTCCATCTGTTGCTGCAGCTGCTGAACTCGCAGTGGTTACAGAACGAGCGGTTCGGTCCTCAGCGTGCTCGTGTCGCACATCGACTTGGGGCAGATGTTCGTGGAGAAGGAGGAGAGATGTTGCGGACCATGTGGGAGCATCTGGGGTCGACTGCTCGCGGCAAAGCGCTGCAAGCTGGGTTTATTCCGTCTCTGGTGGGCCCGTTCTTGCATTTGACGGCATCCCCGCATCCTGTCCTACGGAGTGCCGCTGTCGAGCTGCTATTCAACACGATCGAACCGGAATTCGAACAAGTTGGTCACTTTGGCAGGGTGGAACTGGAATGCATTGAGCGCTTGCATATGATGGTGACGCAAGATAAACTCGGCGACGACGCTTACCGTAGCTTCATCATTGATGCGCTCGAGAGGCGGTTCGAGACGAGGTCGATGCTGACAGAAGGTGATGGGATGCACGACCGGGAGCTGACGGACCAGGGTCGATCGTTTTTGAGATGTCTGGACAAGTTCCTGGAACTCTCGCTTCAGATCAGGGATTTGCCCGCAGGCGAACAGCACGACGACGAAAGAGCTGAAGCATTGCTGAACATCCTCCGCTTCCTACGCTCCACAGGACGAACGGGCACATATGTGGAGTACGTGCAGAAGCTGGTAGATATGCAGCTAGAGAACAACAACCCTGTCGAGGCGGCTTTGGCGCTCAAGCTCCACGGTGACTTGTTCGAGTGGCGTAGCGAGGCGACTCTCGAGCCCGAACCGGCGTACGGCTTCCCTGAATGGCAGACGGAGTTCGAAAGGAAGGAAGCGATCTACCTCCGATGCATGGAGCTGCTCGAGAATGGGCAGGCATGGGAGCGTGCTATCGAGCTGTGTAGGGAACTGTCTAAAGAGTACGAGAGGAACGCGTTCTCGTTCACCAAGCTGTCGGATATCCTCCATCGTCAAGCTGACTTGTATGCCGGTATTACGGGTACCGCCAGGTCGCAACCGGAATACTACCGAGTTGGTTTTTACGGTGTCGGATGTCCACCCTCGCTCAGAAACAGGCAGTACATCTATCGAGGAGGCGATTGGGAGAAACTAGGCGCCTTCTGCGATCGGATCCTTCAGAAATATGTCGGCGCCAAGCTCGCCCGAAGCAACGCTTACCCGCCGCCTGTGGAAGTAACGGAAGGCGAAGGCATATGGTTGCAAGTGACGGCCGTCAAGCCCGTTGTGGATGTGCGGCATTGGCAAGTTGTAAAGAACAGCGGACCGCTAGGCGCCATCCAGTGGGAGCAAGCGAAGAAACATCCCGACGATGATGAGATTTCCTCCAAGCCGAGTTTCGAAGAACGCGATGACGATCACAATAATCTCGCGCTTGTGGAGCCCGATCTGAATCTATACCGTGGCGGCGCCGACTTACAACGAGGGCCGACGACGTCCGTTGCGCTTGAAAAAGTGGACGAACGAGTTCGCGGGTACTACGAGTCCAATGAGGTGGGCATGTTCTCCTTTGCACGTCCGGTACGCAAAGTCCTGAGCGACGAATCGACATCGCTACCACCTGGCGACCCTGCCCGCGAATTCCTCGAACTGTGGACGGAGAAGATTGTCCTCGTTACGCAGGATAGGTTCCCGTTCCTCAGTCGCCGCAACCCCGTTGTACGTGTCGAAATCTTCGAGCTGTCGCCCATCGAGAACGCAGTCATTGCCGTGCGAGGCAAGACACGGCAGCTGCTCGAGTTGGAGAAGCGATATGCTCCCTTCGCTGGCGCTGTAGGGTCGAAGCCGCTACGACACAGTTCCGATCTCGGGCCGCGGCGTGCTTATGTGGCAGCACGGAGTGCAGGAGAAGGGAGTCTGGGACAGAATGGCGGTAGCAGCCTGTCAGCTGCGGCTCTGGTGCAGCCTCGTAACAGTGTTGAGATACCCAGCGTCAACCCATTTACTATGGCTCTGAACGGGGCAGTTGACGCACCTGTGAATGGTGGAGTTCCGATGTACAAACGAGCATTCTTGAGTAGAGAGTACAGAGCCCAAGCGGAGGATCAAGGAAAGGACATTTTGGTCAATCTTCTGGAACGCGCGATTGAAGAACAGGTAAAGCGCTGGATTCCCTTTGCCTTCAAGTTATGCCACGATATGGACTGGTCACTCATCTCATCAATGCAGGTCGAAGCGATACATCGTTGTTTGATGGTGCACGACATCGTCGTTCCCAAGCCCATGAGGCCGCTGCACGAAGAGCTCATCGGATGTGAGTTTTGGCTTTCCTTTCCCATCTCTCTTCGAAAGTTTTATTGCTCACACTCCTTTCATACGTTTAGTATTCAACAAAAACTACGCTGACGACATCACCAGACTAGGCCTGTCCACCTTACGTCCGACTCCAGCGACGTCTACTGCACAACCAAACGAAGCTCCAACGGCAGCAGGCAGTACGCCGAGTCTGCCCACCATCGTAGCAACGCCTCTTGCCATCGACCTGCCAAGTCTCCTGATCCGCAACGGATCTGGAGCAGGTCGACTCAAAGTGACGCCGCCCATGCTCCGCCGACGATCTTCAGGCGCACTCCGACACTCAGCATCAACGGTCTCTTTACTGACGAGCACTTTCAAGCGAGAACAAGTTCATAGCATGTCATCACATTCCTCATACAATTCTGGCGGAGATGGAACGACCATCCGAAGTGCAACCACACCTCCGATGTCTCAACTGAACACGAACCTTCCATCGGCCTCATCTCCACCATACGAGTTCCCATCCATCCATAGCGGCTCAACCTCTCCGTCGACACCGCGCGGTGGGCGCCGTTCGAGCGAGTCGAACCACGAAGATATGGGCGGGAGCATCAGTGGGTCCATTAGCAAAGGCAGTAGTAGTGGCTTCTTCCGGACCCAGTTTTCATCTGTATCGACGCCCAACCTCTCGCGGCTGTTTCATGAGGGGCAGCAAGCGGAGACTGCGCGGAAGAAGAAGGACAGGTTCGGGGCGTTAGGGAAGTTATTTGATAATTTACGATAGATTCATGAGCCTTGAGAGAGAGAGAGGTGTAGAAAAAGAACGTCGATGCATTCAGTGTTAGTCTTATTGATCACATCATATACCATTGCTGCACCCGTTCATGATGCTTGCGATCCACAAAGGACCTACTGGAAGGTGTGATCGAACACCACATATCTAATATGCCAATTCTTCGTTCGTTGTATTTCTATTCGCATATTGATCATATTTATAGCCTGCAGAATTTAGACCTTCATCATGTTGCAGGTTCCTCCGGTGTGTCCCTGCGGTCGCATACCAACCTCCGGTCCATTCAGAGTCCTCAAAACATGCGGTGGCGGTATCGCCTATTTGCATATTCCCTGTCATCGACATTGAAACTGAATCAATCCATCTACAGTATATGCTTCAGTGCTGGTTTGATACAGAGTATAGATGTGTTCTAGAAATTGATTACTTCCTTTTTGTCCCATATCGTATCTGACCGAACGCCGAGCCAAGCTATGCCTGAACCGAGCCAAGTGACTGACTATGACTCCCATCCTACCGGACCTATGCTTACGTCACCACAACCGGGCGTTCGGTCTCGCGGGGCATTTTACCGTCAGCCCCAAGCCTGGCTTTGTTTCTCTCACTCCATCCGGTTTGCGGATTCCCTGAATCCGAGGGCACTTGACAAGCTTACAATCCTATTATCCGACTGGTTGGGTTTGAGTCACTTCCTAGTGGAGAATGCGAGTCATGCAGCGTTCGGGGCCGTTGGCTTCTGGCACCATCAGGCATAATCAAAGAAAACGCCTCTCGCTTCCCAGACCCGGGGGTATGCACTCTCTCGCCCGGTTTCGTTTTTCGGGGGAGCGCAACAACAAAAGGACCCTCACCGCCAACGCCAGTGTCTCTCTCTCTCTTCAGGCGCACATACCCACCTACCAGCGACAGCGACAGCAGCCGGCTGGAGTACCTGTCGGCGGCCCTCTGGCTGGCGCGAGCATAAGGCGGTAGAGAAGGTTTCGGCGTACAGGGCAGGCGGCCGGCGGGAAAGGTCCCACTACTATATATTATTGCTGTCTCTAAACCGCCTTTTCGAGCAAAGCTTGGTACGTCGGTCAAGTCTAGGGACGGCGGCTCTACCTTGCGGCTGTCGTATCAAGAAGGCACCGCTTCAGGACGTCTGCGGGTCGATAAAAGACCCACCCTCGCGTGTGGTTAGGACACAGTCTTCGACTTTGGTCGCCTGGACCCTGGGGTTGGTAAGTGTGAAACTCCTTTTTGCTCGCCGCATACAGCATGCTGTCACTCTTTGGACGTCGCCTCGACACCTAGCGTCGATACAGCGCGTTGCGATATTCCATAATGTCTCTCCCTAACCCTGTGTCGTTTCGCTTCTCTTCCAGACTCAACGTAGAAGGAGGGTAGGACCCGAGACCAACGCGAGACGTGTAAGTAGCAAACAAAACCAAGTGAATAGCGATACATGGGATGTTGGTAGCCTTAGTGCATGCAGCTGTTGCTTCGAATGTAGATAGAGAAGGAAGGCAGGAAGACAATCGTAACAGTCGCTTCGCGTATCTAGTATCATCTGATAACGGACACTCATCCGAATCTGTCGGTGCAATTAGTAGACCCATTCGGATCAGAGCATTCGAGTCGAAGCAGAGGGAGAGTACTCTCGAAGAAAGGTGAGCATCCTATGGCATACCTAGGCTCATATACTGTACTTACTGCATCGTCATTCGTGAGGCATACTTACAGCGTTCATCATCACGTCCTGGAGAAGAACCATCCTCCCGAACGAACCTTCGGCCAATCGTTGGTGGCGGTAACACCCTTTTGAAAAATTGAAGATGCGAACAAGCCCAGGAAAAGGACTGGATGGATCCAGTTCGGGCCGAGCAGCGTATGACACGCCACAGACATCAGAAAGGGACGGCGCTCCAAAGTCGACCGATCCGCGCGATTTGCAGGATGGCGATGTTGGTCATACCGATGAGGTCGATGGTGTAGAGCAAGCTGACGGCATCGATGGCACGAGCATCGATGATGTTGTTGGAATTGATGTAGTAGGTGGACTTGATGGAGTAGATGGGATTGATGGAACCGACCATGTTGACGTACGGATGACGGATGGAGTAGATGGCCTCTACGGTGTAGATGGCAGAGACGGCCTAGAATACCAGGACAACGCGGATAACTCAGGAAGCACGGATGACCTTGGTGTAGCTGATGGTAAACGGCCCATGCGCGACCAAGACGGCGTGGCGTCCAAGTCGACGAGTAAAGTTGATGGCAAGCCTGAAGAGAAGGTTCCAAGGTAAAGGTTATCACCCCGTTTCACATTGTCTCGGGTGATTGCGGTGTTGAGCATCATCATCATCGTCTCACATATGTCAACTACAGGGCGGCGAGCTATGAGCTTCGAATGCTGCAACATCCAGCACGGGTGCGCTGCTGCGGATATGGCAACAAAGACCGTCGAACCATTGATCCGGTAAGGAAACACAATCAAAAGCGAACCTACCTTGCAACCTACTGATTGTCGTCGACGCAGTGCCCCGTTCTTGAGCTCGTCTGTTTGGACGCGACAGGAGCAGCCATTGAAAGGTGAGCAACTCGCCCGTCGCTGGACCGTGTCAATTGACGGTGCCATGTACATGGTAACGTCGGAGGCTGTCAATGAGCGGTCCAGGACTTGGGGTGGCTACCCCGTCACGACTTTACCGAGTACGCGCTTTCCCAATACCGAAGAATGAAACTCACACATTCTTTTACAATGCAGTGTCAACGAAGCACCTTTCCTCGTGTGCCACGCCTCGATCTGGAGCGAGGACGGCCAGGAGGACTCCAGTCTCATCGAGAACATGCACAGTCATAAACAACGAAGCCTCGATAGTTCAGCTACGCAGAATCTCGTGGGATCCCTCACGAACCTCAGTCGGCCGTTACGGGACGTCGACAACCAGAAGAAGCTGTTGTTCGTCTTTGCGGACTTGTCGGTCAGGTTGCCCGGCATGTTCACCTTGCGTTTCCAGTTGCTTGATGTCTCTTTCGGGTATGTGTTCCGTTCCTTTTGACCGATACCGCTACGCGTTATCCGGAAGCTGATGCGAATTCTACCTATCTAGGCGACATGATGAAGGCGTTGGTTCATACATGGTCGGACATTCCTATATGGGAGGTGCTCCGCAACTAGCAATGATCCAAACAAAACCATTCGAGTCTTATCGTCCAAAGCTGTTTCCTGGAATGCTTCAGGTGGGCAAGGTCATGCCGCAGCTCTTGGACCGGGCTTGCGCGGCTAACACGTTTGCGGTATTCTTAGACAACGGCTTTGTCGAAGAAGCTAGCTCAGCAAGGAGTCTCGGAAATCCGAGTCCGCAAGTGAGTCGTGCTATTCGATCTTGCTTCGGGCGTGTTGTATTACCGCCTCTGATGCTCTCGCACCCTCCCCTTTTCCTTCTTACTCTCTTGCTCCTACAGAGATCCAGTGCCGCGTCCGTCGTGACTAGTGGGCGGCGACTGAAAGTACACAGGGTCTTCAGATCGTTTACTGTACCAGTCAGTCGCACACTTGCTATCCCATTTCTCGGTCGCCGTAGTCACTAGTGTAATATTCCCGCTTCGACCATTGGCGTACGGGGTCCCATTATAGCACCAGAGACGACGGTTGCTTTCTGCTTTTCCCTTTTTGTCCTCGTTTTCTGTTTCATCTTCCCTGCCTGTTCCGCCCGAGTCTGTTTTCATCCATTTGCGTCATTCTTTTTTTTAATGGAAAGAAGGCGGCCCAATTTGGGCACCGGTCAGATGTCGTTGATTCTGTACGAGATTCTGCAGCAGAGTTGATAGCGAGGGAATAAGTGCCTTTCCACCTGAAAAGTGTGGTGAGAGGTCTCAAGTCGACGAGGGGAATATGGAATTCAACAGTTTCTTATTTGTTCCACCACTTGGATTCCCGCTGCTGAAATGACAGTCAAATTTGCTTGCAAATTACAGTTAATCGTTCAAGCCTCCGTGAGACCGCGGGTTGGGTGCGTACTACTGCGTGAGTAACTGGACATGATACGCGGGCGGCCCCGTGTAGTACTCACCGCAGAAGGCGTCGTAAAGCCGCATCAATCAATGATCATTTGTGCAGGCCGGTTGATAACACAGCCATCAACCAAAAGTGTGTTGTGAGGCCCAAGGCCGCTGAGAATTGCTACATTTTCCCACGCCATCAACTATATTCAAAGGAATTGTCCTTCGGACATACTGTACATATAGGAACTGCCGTTCGTTCCCACTGTTAGGGAGCATAGCATAGTTTTGGTAGGGAGGCTCGCCCGTATTGTCGACAGGGGGCCGACCGGCTGCCATTTCTAAAGCACCTCTTGGCAACAGACCAGCAGATCTCAAGCAACGGCATTCCGACAAGCACTAAAGCGACTCCTCGGCTTTCGTAGCAAGACTGCAAGGAGGTGACCCGCTACTGGAGGCTTCTATATCGCTAGATACACTCGTCGCTAGATAAGAACCGGCATTTTCCCACCCTTCCGGACCAACGATCAGCTACTCACAGTTATGCGAACGGCCTTCGCTACGTCTGGCTCGATGTCTCGAGCTCTAGCGCTCTCAATCGTTGCCCTTATGGGTGCCGCCGATGCTCAACTCCCGGATCTGGGTACCAACGGTGCCGTTGGAGAGGGCACGCCATTCGCACTGCCGACCGTAAACAATGCGCTTTGGTACGGGATATTCGCCGTCGCAGGGGTTACGATTCTGATTCTTTTGTGCTTGTGCATCTGTAACTGTCGAACCAAGAAAGCACCTGATGTCAATAGATCAGCGACGCTGAATCGCAGAGGTACTACTGCTAGCACCCTCAACCGCCATGTCTCACTGCCTGCTGGCACCCTCAGCCGACCGAAATCTCGCTTCGAGTCACTCCCTGAACAGCGGGCACAGCACGATGTAGAAGCTATCGCTTCTGCCAATGAATTCGTTCAAGCAAACAATGGGAAGAGAGAGTTCCGCGTCATCAAGGTTCACGTGAAACAAGCCTCAGACGAAATGAACCTCGTAGTGAACGACTCGGTCGTTCTCTCTGCCGTTTATGCGGACCTGTGGGCTTCCGGCGTGTCGAAGCGGTCCGGCGGTCCGTATTTCTTTCCCCTGGTCTGCTTAGGTGGCAGCGTACCTCGAGTCCTCATAAATCGAATGGAGAAGGGAAAGGGACCGATGGTTGACACTCGATTCTCACCACGCCCCATCCGTGATCCGAGACAGCTACCGGCTCCCATACCCCAAGCATCAAGCTCAGCAAACCCACCTTACAATTACGGGGCACCGACCGGAAGCTACCCTCGACCACCGTATAATTCCATGCAACAGCCGTCCAGCTCCGGGCAACAACCATACAGCCCCGGGCAACAGTACCCTCCTTACCCAGGGATGCCCGTGTACGCTGCCAGGCCCGGTCCCTCATACGCTTCCGGCTCCGGTCCCTCGTACTCCAACACGTCATACTCCAACACGTCGTATGGCTCACCACCGTCAATGGTAGCCCCACCGCCGCCCAGTGGCGTCCCATACGGATATGCCAGTTACGACTCCTTCGCAAGCCCCGCGGGACCTTCCGGACCAGGCGCCCCAGCGGTTGCGCAGGCGAATCTCGCACGAGTTCCCACAAGGCCAACTCAAAGCATTTACTCCGATGTTGCACCGAAGCAGTAGATCCCCGTTAAGAACATATCATTTGCGTTCTCTCCGACAGCACGTTGGTAGCAATTTTATCTTTTGGAGGTCATGTGGGTGGCAGGCACACCTCATCCCCTTTTCTGTAAATCCGGACGATGAACGGCGTAGCTGATCATTTGGCATGACATCGTTTTTGAATTGGCGAGACACTTCTCTCTGTATCTGTATCTAGATTGTATTTAGAATTTGAAATGACACTGACTCTGTTCACGTTGTTCTCTATCTCTTCGATTGGTACGCCTCTCGACCTGTATTGTGCTCGTCTGACCTTGGCGTAGCGTACAGTACATCCCTGCTTCCCGTCAGCTGGTTTCTCCCATTCGGCGCATCCATTCCTCGCATATCTACCATCATTCCAATTTCGGCGTGGCACTGAATCAGTCCGCGCGGGCCATTTCCATTCTATCATTGATTCCCTTTCGCTGTCTCAAGCTTGATTCGCGGGTTCCCAATTCCTTCGGCAATGCGGCTTGGGCGCTAATTCACATTCCCATTCCCTATCGCGGTGCTGCACCCAAGCTCAACACTCAAACGCTACCGGCCCTCTCGTGCGCCTTCTCTGTGCAGGTGGGAGTGCTTCCTAGCGAGGATGGGCAGGGATCGCCCTCATCGGAGCGGTTCATGGCGGGTTTACGCTTCAGTGGAGAAGAGAGCGTTCTTTTCGAGAAATGCTTCAGGCGGCAGTCCAACAGCGATAATCCAGTATGATTCTTATCAAATCGCTCGCGGTCCAACCCCCTTTCTCCTATCGGCCCTCATCACGCCCTCGGCTTCTGAACCCTCCCACCCCACTTCCCCCACCCCTTCCCCCGATGCTTCCACCGCCCCCAATGGTTCTGATCCACATTGTGTATATCCACCGGTATAATCATCTGCTCCTCGTTCGCCGCCAAACGTTGTAAATGTGACACCTGCATGCGTAGGTTTTCCAGCTGAGTTTGGGCGAGGGAGATGTGGAATTCTGCGGGGAGCGGTGGTGCTGGTGAGGAATTTGAAGGATTTCGGGTGTCCCGCACTCCTGGCAGCTCCGGCTTTGCGGCTGGCCCTGCGGGAGATATCGACGCCGACTCGTTTGGACCCGTGGCTCCCACGCCATCTGTTTGCTGTTCTCCGGCGAGCAGTTGTACCCCCTTGGCGTCCCGAAACTCTCTGCGTATCCGCCGCAGAACTGTATCTCGTCGCTCGCGGGTCGGGAGTTGTTGTGCGGTCTAGAGGATGGGGATGCGGAGATTAAGTTGGTGAGACTGCCATTTGAGCCCTCAGCCACGATTTGGAGGGACTTGGAGGCAACTGTGGGAGTCTTTGGTGAGGGGGCAACCTGCGAATGGCTTTCCCCAAGTGCTTCCGTGATAACTACGTAGCGCCTTCAACCCAGCATTCTGCTTCTCCTCGCTACTCAGCTAGGACGCACCAGTCCCAGTGGCGCTAGATAGCACACTCACCCTTAAAAGCTGACGATACAGGCCAAGGACCTGTGTCCTATGGGAAGCCGAAACGGACATCGCTTTCCAAGTCGACGTTCTCTGGTGCTGGAACATTCCGTTCAAGTTCTCGCGCGAGCTGGCCGACACCGTAGTCGGTTGAAGTCATCACTCGACAGGAGCTGTCAGAACTGTCAATCGAACGTCTTTCTGCAACTCACAGCGTTTTATTAGACCCCTGGGACTTTCGGCGTCTTAGACAGCACCCACGCTCACACGTTCGAACTTGACGAAACAGGCCTTCTGCGATGAAGTGCAATATGCGGAACGTCCTCCGGGGCTTCGATTATAACAAGAAAAAGATGCATTCATCCCAACGATTCAACAAATATGCTGCACACCTAACAGATGTACGGAGTCTCTGGCATAGATCGAAGCGAGGCCGAGGCCTCAAGAACGTAGATCTAGTACGCCGATCCTTGGTTATTCTCCGTGTATGTATCTCGTGGAACAATGTAGGGAAAGCAACCATGGCTCAGGTTACGCTCCTCTGTATTTCCACCAAAATTTGCCTCGAGAAACGAAAAGGAAACTACGTTATGAATGAATACGCCATTTACTGCCAATCCCGCTTGGGTGAATGTGCTGTGTTGATGGGGTCTAAGCGATAATTGTTGTATGTACAAGTGAGTGTTCCGTGAAGGTGTTACAAGTATGTGCTTCCTGTGTGAGGAACTGATGAGCAAAAAGGGCGGTAGTACGGAACGAATCTCTAAGTGACTTACCTTTTTCCAAAAATTTCTTGACAATATCAATACAGGCCTTTGCGTCCTCCTTCGAGTCGTGACCTTGCGTGCCTTGCTGAATGAACCGACCTAGCACCTTCTGCGTTACCAGCCGCAATGGACGGCGCTTGGGCAAGCCCTCAGGATGGGGATATAAGGCAGCGGTGTCGATAACCTAAGTTGACAGGTCGCTGATGAGTCTGTACCTGCGGTCTACAACTGAACGCGGTCGACAGTCGTACCTTCGAGTGGTATAGCTGGAGATGTGACACGAGAGCATTAAGTTGTCTGGAAGAGGCCACGACCATGCATACAGACCACGTACGTACTCGCATAGCGTTCAAATCGTTCTCCAATCTGAGTTGAGACGGGACATTTTAGGGAGTTCATTCCACCACGCGTGCGATGTGTCAAATCCAAAATACCATACCCATGCCCAATCATAATAGTGTTGCGGTCCATGATCTTTCCCAACTCCACTTGAATCCCTGCCAAATCGTACTTCGCATCGTCGAGGCTCGTCACTCCAGACCACTTGGTGTTCAGATCAAGAACAGGAAACTTTGTCCGCACGAGCTCATCCAGGAGAGATTCGCCACCATAATCCACCACAGTGACGCGCGTGAGCTCCATGCCCCCGACGGTATACGACTATTGAGAGCGGGCCGCGAAAGTCAGGCGGCAGCTCCAGAACAGATTGAAAAACGACTCTCCTCACCATTTCGCAGTCAAGAGCAACCACTTTCTTACTATCTGGCGAGTTTTCCGGAAGCGTCTGAAACGGTATCTGCGAGGGAAGAAAATCATGTTTGAGCATAGAGAAGCTGCGGGAGAACCCGCGCAAGTCTATGCTTACCCGAGCATCCAGTTGAGCCGTGTCGTCTTCTGCAAAGACATGGGGACCTTTCGTGCAGGCTGACAAGGACAGAGGTTAGGGCTGTGCATATAAGAGAAGCGGCGGACGGGTCAGCGCATACCGCCCTGCAAGTGCACTGGGCTTTGACAGCACGACCAAATGGCTTCCTTAACTCCTGCAAACCATGATATCTCAGATGAAGTTCGACTGGTAAAGTACGAAGTCGCGACGGTAATACCTGACTGAACGACAACTCGTTTGAAGCCCCAGTGGTAGTTGCACTCTTCCCATTCCAGATGTTCCAATGGCCATTTAGGTACAAAGTTCTTCCCACATCGGCTGCATCTCTTCCGATCTGGATCCGCCAGGTTCTCCCCTTTCGATCCGTTCCCAGGCGGAGTCTCTGTCCGCTGCTCCGCTGGGAACGGGTATCCCATCAATCGGAGTTGATCTTCTGATGCCATCAATTTTTCCAACCCTGCTAGAGGAACCCCTGTACCAGAAGGGCAGGATCATCAGCTAGAGGCCGCAGAGTTTGTGGCCCATGCAAACAAGAACCTACCGACTGGCTTCTTGTCTGCGATAGGCACATATTCTCCATCAATGCCAACATCCTCGTCACACGTAGCTGGTTGCCGTGCTCTCAATCTCTTCAAGATAGACATTGCCACATGGGTGTACGATGCGGCGGTTGCCTTCATCATCAACTGATTCTCCTGCCTGATGCAGGGGAAAGGATGAGGAAGTTGATCGAACGCCGTGAATGGGGTGAGTGTCACGTACCTTACGGCATCTTCATGCGCGACCTTTGGTTTTCTGCTCAAAAATGGCATGTACAACCGCCGAAACTCGTTGTAGAATTTCTCCACAACTGTCTGTCGGGTTTTCAAAGGCACATTGCACAGGATATTGGGCTTCAACATGGGCGGCCTTCCAAGTTCTATCGTCTAAAAGGACGAAAGGTTCAGCCTCCTGTCCTTCCTTTTGAGAGCATGATATGCTACGCTATGAGTCTCATACCGCCGTGGAAGCCTGTTGTCGCTTCGCCAGAATACTGTTCTTTGTAGTTGTTGGAACGCTCGCCTTCCTAACTGGCAATTGAAGTGAGTGTGCGAATGGTGCGCTTCCGATGGGCGGATTGGGACGCCCAGCAAGATAGTTGGCGGCTCTCTGCTCCTAATACCGATTCGGGTTTAGTGATCGGAGGCTTGGATTCGCTCCTTGACGGGCGTCGAAACTTACCATTGATATGGAGCTTTCATCCCGCTCAAGTACATTGACAGATGGGTTGGATGGAAAGGCGCTTGGCGCGGCCTTCGAGCCAACCTGTGGAATCGTCCTCGCCTTTTGCATGGTGCCGGAAGGCAGGTCGCCGGAGGCCTGTGGATAGCCTTTGGCAGCCAACGCCTGCACTAGCGGCGATGTCTTTGAGGGGACGCCCTTTGCACTCTCTGGTGCTGCTTGACCCGGTATAACATCTTCCACAACGATGAGCGATGGACTGGGGCGTGATGGGGTCGTTTGCAGCGGTTCGTTTTTCACAACGGCACCATCCGGTACCGCAGTCAGGGATGCGATGCCAACATGCGTGTCAGCCTTGAGCGCTCCCGATTGTAAAGCTTTCTTCGTAGCCAACTGCTGCTCCAGATACGCCGCTCGTTCTGCCTTCAAAGTTTCTGATATATTGTTTACTAGATCCGAAGCTGCAGGCTTATTCTCCACTGCTCTCCTCTTTGGAGGTGGCTCCACCGCTGTACTTTCCGCCTGTGGTCCTGACCGCTTCCGAGGCGGGGAAGCTTTCCGAGGCCGGCTTGTCGGCGCCGAAGTCAATGACCCTATTTTTCTGGAGGTTGAGACTCTACGTCCATACGGAAAAGAGGCATATCGTCGCGGCAAGAGAAACAGTACCATTTCTATGGTTGGCGACGGCAGGTCTTGCCCGCTGGCTCGCCCCGCGGCTCTCGTGGGAATAAAGGCAAGTTTGCCCCCGAGAACATGTTGGCATGAATGGGCAAGGAAACAAACGGAACCTCGTTGTCGCAAACATTGGGGCAGACGTTTTCCTGCAACGCAGGCAGGCCTGCAGGTCTTTCGAAGTTCTGGACAAATGCTTGCGTGGGCCGTGTGTGCACCGCAATTGTGGTTTGGGGACAGACCTGAGACGAGGAGAAGGGAGACGGTGAGCAGACGAGAGCCTGAGCGCCTTGTCCGATAGCGTCCCTGTTTCTACCCCTCACGCGTCTCAAGATTCTGCAACACCCTCAGGTTCTAGATCAGAAACATCGCAACCCGCACTTATCACCAAGACTACATAGGATGGCTGGCTCAAACGAAGAAGGAGGTCCTCGTCGAAGCACTCGTATTGCGGCACGGCCCCAAAGTGCTTCTGATGCCGATAAGCAGAAGCCCGAACCCAAAGCTACGAAGCCAAAGGAAGCCAAAAGCGACAAGAAGCCTGCCGCAAAGGCCGCCACTACCGACTCCAAACCTGCAGAGAACGGCAAGCCTGTGGCTGATGCGGAGGAAACTAAGGCTGCTCCTAAGCGAAAGGCGAAGGACTCTGTGGATCCGAAAACGAGCGATGCCGCACCCGAAGGGAACGTGGCTGAAGGTGCTGGAGCTAAGAAACCGAAGACGACGGTCAACGTTCTGAAGGTTGGCGATACCGTTCCGCAGGATCTCACTGTCGAGGATCAGGACGGCAAGCAGGTGTGCTATCTTTTTGGTTTAGTCGCTTACCAGACCTGTTATTTACCATGAAACGCCTGATGGGTTTTTAGCACAAAGTGATCGACCTAGTCAAGAGCACCGGTGCTGTCTTCTTCATGTATCCTAAGGCGAATACCCCCGGGTGCACTAACCAGGCCAAGGGCTTCAAGGAGAACTATGAGGAGGCGAGTCAAATGTTTCTAAACCTACGAATGAAGGCGTGCGAAAGCTTACCATCCTTATGACAGTTCAAGAAGGGCGGTTATGCTGTTTACGGCCTTTCAGCTGATTCCCCCAAAGCTCAGACTAGCTGGAAGAATAAGGTACATTGTTTGTTTTGATCAACATGTTCCCGGGATTTGAAGCTAATATACGGCCTTCCGTTAGCTCGACCTTCCTTACACCCTCCTCTGTGACCCTGAGTACCACGTCATTAAGGCGTTTGGTGCTTACGCTGATCCCAAGAAGATCGTCCGCTCCCACGTTGTCGTTGGCAAGGGCGGAAAGCTTGTCGAGACCCAAATCCATGTGAGCCCTGCCGCCAGCGTCACCGAGGCCTGTGCTTTCGTCAAGAAAGCCGTCAAATGAGGGCTCGACTATCTGAGCATCGGACCATGAATGAAAGTGGGATATAATATAGCAGGCTTTCTTTGTATATTACGGACTTTCCCTCGCGATGTAAATAATGATCCCAATAGCAAGCAAATGTGCGACCATTTTATAAAATGAAGCAGAATAATCCTCTGGGAAACTTGGTTGCGGGTGGCCAACAGCATAGAAGTGGTGTGTACAGATGATTAATGCAGAGTCCTGTCCGTGATGATACACCACCGGCCCCGTATATATTTTAGACAGAAACGAGGATTAGCCTGCTCCATTTTCAAGTGCGTGCCTTCTTCATTGCTTCCATCTCGACAGTCAGCTCAGTGATCTGTTGTCTAAAAATACTCTTCATATCATTGATATCTGCACGGAGCTCCTCGACCAGTTCGGTCTTCTCCCCCAAGAGCTCCAGCGCTGCCAGGTACCTCCTGTTGAGCTCCTCCTTTTCCTGCTGGACAGCTTCCCCAGCCCGCCCGATCTCGATCTCACTCGTAACCTTGACAAGCTCCTCTGCCAAATCATTCCGCCCTTGCTCCGCCATCTGTAATTGGGTACGCAGGGATGCGAGCTGCCCTTCATAATTCCGCACGGTGCTTTGTAGGCGCTCGATGATCGCCGCGGAGCTGAACGCGCCGGGAATGCCTGCACTCGGGGGCGCGACGGCCGCGACGCTTGCCGACTCGGAGAACAAGGATTGTGTTGACATGGAGGGCCTGCGGCTTTCATCGGGCGTGATTCGGCCCTTGGGTATCTCGATGGTTAGCGGGGGGAGCTGCTTGGCTACGTCTGCTGGTGGTAGCGGAGGCCGGACGGTTGCAAGGGACTCTTGCAGCTCGGCAAGTTTCTTGCGCTCATTGTCTAGCTCTTTCCGTAGTCTTGCTTCGGTTTCGGTGGCTAGATCTTGTAACAGCTGGTGGCTCGTTTCCAGTTCCGCAATACGGCCATTCAGTTTGTTTGCTGCCGACTGAAGTTGCGCAATCTCGTTATCTTTGTCCTTATGTGCTTGTTCATGAGACTGCAAGTTTATACGTTCCGTTTCTAACTGCTCTTGCAGGGATCCGATCGCGCTTGTCAGCGATGCCAGCTTTGCAACGTGTTGTCGCTCTGACTCCAGTGCCCGCTTCCGCTCGGCATCCGCATCCTGGTATTGGGCGGTCAGCTGCCGCTCTATCTGCTCCCACTTGCGCAAGGATGCGGCATGTTGGGACTGTAGGGTTTCTATTTGACGAAGTAACGGGGCGGAAGACTCTTCGCTCACTGACGCAAGTATATGGCTCTGGGCCTCTACTTCCTGCAACCGACGCTGTAGGCCAGCAATCTCTCTATGCAGGGTATCCTCCTTCCATCCGGCTTCGTCTTCCTTCTGCGCCAGAGTCATTCGCAGGTTCTGCACTTCTTCTGACAAGGATGTCTGCAAAGCTTCGTTCTCCTTCTTTGCCAACGCCAGCTCAGCTTTGAGGTTCGCCGTCTCCCGAGCTTGCGCTTCCAAAGCATCGGACTGCGCCGCAGAGGAGGCCTCAGTGGCTACCCTTTCGGCCTCTAGTAGCTTTGACTTTGTTCGGTCCAGATCACTTTGCAGCTCTCCAGTTGTGGCTCGGAGGGTCTCCAGTTCGCCTTGTAGCCGCTTGATTTCCTTGAGTTGCCGATCCCCCGCCTCTGCCAGCGATCGGACGTTAACGTTGATTTTCCTCTCGTTGTCTGCAACATCGCTGACTTTGGATTTTAGCGATGTGATTTCCGCTTGGGCCTTTTCTAGTTTGTCGCTCTCGTCCTTCAATTGCTTATCGAGGTCACCTTTTTCGGCGCGAAGCCTTTTGATCGTAGTATTCAACTTCAATTCAGCTTTCGACAGACGTTCTCCTTCTGACAACAGCTGCGCAACCATGTCCTCCTTCTGACCCAGCTTCTTCAAGGTTTCATCCAGGGAACTTTGCAAACTTGATTGTGACGACGACAGTTCCTGTGCTCTGGCGGCTTCCTCTTTGGCTGCCTTGAGTTGATTTTCCAAATCGTCGATCCTGTTCTCAGCTTCCTGCTGCTCAGATGCGCGCTGATTCTCCAAGGTCTCCATTTGGCGTTTCAGCGCGCTAACAGTATCGATCAGTGATGCGTTCTCTTGCATTGACTTCATTAGTTGTTCTTCTCGACGCTCGATCAATGTTTGCAAGTGAGACGTGGATGCAGATGCTGGCTCGCTTTTCGAAGGAGAGCGTCCTTCTGGTGCTGTCACCGGTTGCTTGGCGCCCTCTGACTTGAGATCTTCCACCGTCGCGGGATTCGCAGAGTCATCTGCTTCCGCCGTGGACTGGGATACATCACCCTCGGGGACTGGTTCTATTGTTGGAACAGCGACGCCTTTCTCCAGGACCTCTCTCTCTGGGACCAAGGGCTTCGTGGCAGCTGTCATGGAGATCGCAGGCAACTGGATGCTGTCATTTTGAAGATCCAGCAAGCTTTCCGCCTCTGGTGTTGGATCTGCTTCTGGTAGTGGATTCGCTGCCGATGAGATCCCTACGAGGGACGAATGACTGGCTTCACTGCGATTTGGCAAGCCTTGGGTGGCCTCCAAACTGCTTGCGCTCGCGTCCAGGTCTGATCCTTCCTTCTCCGCGCCATTGAGCTCAGGGACTGTAGTTGTCCCATCGGTGATATCAATGAGAGTAGCCTCATTTGGCGATATCCCAGTGGCGAGAGGATCGGGTTCTATAGACTTCCCATCCTTTAGTGGGGAACTTGATCTGTTCTTCGCTCCCCGTTCCGGGTCTTTTGGTGTTGGACTGGAACTACGTGAACCCTGTCCTCTCGACTGCCGAGGGGAACCCTGCTGTGGAGTACTCGTCCCACTTTTCGGAGCGTTTGACGACGTGGAACGCTTTGGTGCTCGACGCGGAAATGGTGACGGTACTGGTGGCCCACCAAGCGTCAGTGAATATTGATCTCTACCAAAGATCACTTACAAACAGAACGCTACCATTCTCGGGTCTAACAGGTTCCTGAGTCTGCGGCGGTGCGGTACCACCCTGTGGTTGCGGAATGTCCAAAACTTTGTCGATTTGACTTTCGACCTTAGACACTGCCTGTTGCAGGAGTGCAGCTGCACCTTCGGCGCTCGTTAGCTTTGAGAGCCAGCTCATCGTGGGTCAAAACGTCGGGTGGTGGTGCTGGTGTATTTCACAGCAGCACTAGTATGTGATGCCGTCAGGAAGTACATGCGGGTATGAATAGTTGTGTTATGCGGCTTCCTGCAACACAGGTGCATGCACGGCCGCCTGGGAAATTGTGCAAGCAAAACGGGCGCACAGAGCAGGTCACGGAGCGAAGGGTCGGTATAGATCCTATCCTTTTAGACGCGTTAGGACCTTCGACTTTCCATAAGAGAGGAGGTCGCAATTCCAGCTGCCGTCGACTTCTTCCCACTGTGCCCAGACCCCGTCCCGACCCTCGTACTCTTCAAGGTCCACTTTACAGCACAAGGTAAACCTCTCCATCACCAGGGCATATTTATGGCTCTCAGCTGTGATGGGTCCACACTGTGTTCTCACACGTATCGATTCGCTCGTCAATGTCTAACATCCAGGAATCGTAGGTGGCAGGACGCAGAACAGACAGAGAGAAGACCGCATATTCCCGACATATACACCCAAACCCCCGGGATTAAACAGCAAATATGGAGACACAGAGGCTCAAGCCCGGAGAAGTCAATCTTGGGGTAAGCACGAGGCTTCATCCTTTCCCATGTTCTGACCCCGATCTTCGCGTTGGGAACGTGGGAATCGAGATGGTGGTGGGACGGCGAGACGGCGAGTGACGATATACTGATACTGTCGATATGCGTTATTCTCTTAGACGACGATTATGGCAGTGCAGTTTGCAGATGGCGTTATCATCGGTGCCGATTCCCGGACGACGACTGGATCATACATCGGTACGTAAAACGGGAAACCACACCTGTCCGAGTTCGATCCCGTCTGAAGACACTTCAATGGGGAAGGATGGCAGACCACAAAAGCTGTTACGCGCATTCACTGCTATCGGCGTGTTTGAGCCCGTCCTGACCATCGTTATACAATGCACATAGCCAACAGGGTAACGGACAAACTCACCTGCGTACATGAGCTCGTCTACTGCTGTCGAAGTGGAAGTGCTGCCGACACGCAAGCTGTGGCGGATATTGTTCATTACCATCTTCAACTCTACGCGTAAGCTTTGAGGACGTTTCGCAGAATTTCCGCATCTTCGGCGCTCTCTGACCACGGAAACAGTGTGCAAGAAGGGGAAAGGCCCCCAGTTCGCGTGGCAGCAAATCTCTTTCGCGAAATGTGCTACCAAAACAAGGACAATCTTTCAGCCGGTATCATCGTAGCTGGATGGGACCAATACGAAGGGCCTTCCGTCTACTCCGTCCCGCTTGGCGGATCCATTCACAAACAACCCTTCTCAATTGGGGGATCGGGCTCCACATACATCTACGGATACTGTGATGCAACGTATAAGGAAGGGATGACCAAGGAGGAGGCAATTGTGTTTACCAAGAACTGTGAGTGCGGGACTTTGTGCTGTGGCTCTGGGTTCCGAATTTGGACACTGACCGTACTTTCACCTCAACCATCAGCGATTGCCCTTGCCATGTCTCGCGATGGATCATCTGGAGGAGTCATTCGTTTGGCTGTCATCACGAAAGATGGCGTGGAACGTATCTTTGTGCCCGGGAACAAGCTTCCCCGCTTTTGGGAAGGTTAGTGGGGTGGAAATGGATCGTTCGTATAGAAGACATATTGTACCATACTCGAAATTCGTTAAAAAGGAAATCTAAACATCATTGATGAAAACGAGGGACTCGGAAGTAAAGGACGCGCGCACGCATATGAGGGGCCAAGCCACCCAAGAATTCGCTGGTCCAAATTCTGTCCGTGCGCTTGCTCAAACTGCCAGTGTTGAAGATCACCTGAATTCTCTCATACGTACTTGTGCTGTGCCGTGAGGCCTATCCCCCGCCCCAAGCATATCGCACCAGCTCGAAACTTTCCATCGTACAATCCCAAATATCCATAGCTGACAACGACCATCATGGCTCGAGAGTTCGAGAATGTCTATCTGGGAGGGAAGACGAGTGCCAAGGTGTGCTACCGTTTCACACCTCGCGCATCCTTGTATATGTCATATTGAACTCGCAACTCTTTCTTAGGCAGCGGGGAAGTTGAAGATTGCCGAAATGGGCATTGGCTGGAAGAATGCAACCACCGGGAAAATCGTCACGATTTCCTCAGCCGACTTACAGAAGCTGTCGTGGCAGCGCTGCTCACGGGAGTTCCAGCTACGACTACAGACGAAGGAGGGAAAAGTCTTCAAGTTCGACGGATTGCCGAGAGATGTTGGTTGACTCCTGTTCGTAACATATGGTCGGCAATCCACTAACCCCTAGTGTTCCACAGTCCTACGAGACGCTCGCCTCTCTGATAAAAAGCACATACCACAAAACGCTAGAGCGCAAGGAGGTTTCTGTGAGGGGTTGGAATTGGGGAGCAGTTGAGTTCCAGGGCAACCACATGGCATTCAACGTTGCGAACCACACCGCCTTCGAAGTGCCATTAAGTGATGTCGCCAGCACCAACTTGGCGTCTCGTAACGAAGTGACACTCGAGTTTGCACCCGACAACACGAAGAAGAGCAAGAAGGAGGCCGAAGATGAGCTGATGGAGATTCGATTCTTTGTACCGGGTGTGGGGACACAGAATCAAGTCACGGAGAACGAGGAAGGTGTCAAGCTGTTCAAAGACAAGGATGAAGAAGCTAAGGTTGCAAACGAGGAAGCGAATGGCGGGGATGGTGAAAACGGAGAGCATGCCCCTGTGCTGGATGAAGATGGAACGGCGTTGACGGCAGCGAGCCTGCTGTGTGAGACAATCAAGCAAAAGGCGGATTTGGACGGCGCAGCTGGGGACCCGGTCGCCACCTTCGAGAACTTGCTGTGTCTCACGCCACGGTACGTTTTTCTTCTCTTTTGCTGTTGCAACGGGTCAAGGATCACTCATGCCGCATTCCCAATCTAGTGGACGTTTTGCGATGGAGCTTTACTTGGATTCGTTCCGGTTGCGTGGAAAGTCACACGACTACAAGATTCTGTTTACCTCCATTGTCATGCTTGCTGTCTTGCCAAAGCCGGATGACATGCACTCGATGCTCGTTGTTGGACTGGACCCTCCATTGCGCCAAGGGCAAACACGATACCCGTTCCTTGTCTTCCAGTTCGAGCGCGACGATGAGGTCGAGCTTGACTTGAACATGCAAGAGTATGTACACGCCGTCTTCATCACTGTCTGCTACCGTCACGAGTGAGCTCATGCCTCTCCTCCCTCATAGCCAGGACTGGGAGAACTACACTGACAAGCTGAAGAAATCATACGATGGCCCTTCCTTCGAAGTCGTCAGTGACGTTCTGAAGGGGCTATCTGGAAAGAAGGTTACAACCTCTGGAAGTTTCAAGAGGTGAGGCGCCCTCCTGCGAAAGCATTTCTCCTGTTCGGCCCCGATCATTTTTACTCATCGAAACGTTCCCAGTGCGCAAAGCCAGAGCGGTATCAAGTGTGCATACAAGGCCAACGAGGCCTTCTTTTACCCTCTGGAGAAGTGCTTGATCTCGATCCCCAAGCCAGCAATCTTCATTGCCCACGCGGAAATCTCGGTTGTCACTTTCTCTCGTGTTGGTCAGGCTGGAGGAGGCAACGCTTTGAAGACTTTCGAGATCAAAGTCAATTTGCGGGACGGACCAGAGTACACATTTGGAAGCATCGCCAGGTGGGTGGAGATTTGCAGTGTCGGGTTTCCCTCTATGGACCATATGTGACGATGTCAGTTTATTAGAGAGGAGCATGATCCGCTGGAACGATTCTTCCGCGCCAAGAACATCAAGGTCCTCAGCGAACTTGCGGACCCCCAAAATACGTATGCGGAAGACTCTGACATTGACAGCGGAGATGAAGCGCCACGGAAGCGTGTGCGAGAAGAGATTTCGGGAGGCTTTGGTGATGAGGATGAAGATGAAAGTGGTACGTATCAGGCGACTTCATTTCCCACGAAGTTCGATCTGCTGATACATGCACTGCAGAGGACGAAGACTTTGCACCTGAGGACGAAAGTGACGTCGCAGAAGAGTTCGATGAAGACTATGCTGGAAGTGCCAGTGAGGGAGAAGGAGGCGAGGATGCAGCAGCGGGAGAGAAGCCTAAAGAAAAGACCAAACTGAAGGAGAAGTCTGACAAGGTTTCCAAGCCGCCCGCCAAAAAGGCCAAGACGTCGTCAGATGGCCCAAAGAAGCCTTTGACGGCCTATTTCCACTTCTCTAAGGAGAAGCGGCCTGAGGTATTGAAGGAGAACCCCGGTCTGTCCGTCCCAGAGGTCGCCAAGAAGTTGGGTGAATTGTGGAAGGCGGCGGGACCAGACGAGAAAGCGGTGAGTGTTCCGTACATTGCATATTGTATTTGTACAACGTTCTCATGAAAGCATAATTCACAGCCCTATGAAGAATTGGCTCGTAAAAGCCGCGAGGAATACGATGCACAGGTAGCAGAGGGCGCAAAGCCGCCAGCGAACACAAAATCCTCGGCGAGCGCAAAGACCGTAACCAAGAGCGAATCGAAATACAAAAGCGAGGAATTTGTCAATAGCGAAGATGATGATTAGATTAGGATTAGGATTGGAATGGCTACCGTCTTGGATGCATTGGCGTAGTTCTCCTCACGTACATTGTAGAAAACTGTCTCGAGAAGTTTGGGGATGCCATCCATTTTCAGATATCAATCGATGCGATGTTCTTCATCGCTGGAGTACATGTACAGCAAACATCGCATGCATGCCAAATCGATTCGAGATCGAGGACATATACAGTACAGTACAGTGATCTTCCAATGTTCCATCAAGAAAGTTCCATCTTGTGGTTGGGGGACATGCGCTCGTGTCAGTTGGGCGGGATGTAATCTTGACGCCAATGACACGCGCTGGGCTGTGCGTTTACTTTTTCCCGCACTGCGCAGCCCAGGAAAACTGGAACAGCCTGGACACAGAGAGTAGCCAGACAGCAGCAAATTGAACCCAAAACGAACCCTTACCATCGACTTGCACAAACGTCCTCTGTATTTGCAGCAGCTAAAGGTATGTATATTATATTGGTGATAGCTTTGCGGTACGCTGGAAGAGTTCTGCTGCTCATCGTGACAGTTACGATCTTGCTAAGACAGGGCTCGCGTCCTCAGAATTCCACAACCATGTCGTTCCCACTCGCCATAATTTGCCTTGCGGTGCTATTGTGCCTGCTTCCTGGGCAAGTCGCCGCTTTCGGTGCCGGAAACATCCCCTCCATTTCTGCCGTTGAGGGCACTGCCTACCGTCACGGGGATATCGAAGATGTCATTGCGACCTTGACCCTCGGGGGCACCACGGCCCTTTCCTTCCTTGGCATAAAGAAGAAGTTCGGCAAGATGGATATTAAACGCATCTATTTTGGTGAGTGCTTTGTGTTCCAAGACTAAAACGCGCTCGGTTCGGCTTTGGAAGCCTCCACGACAGGCGTTGACCCTTCTTCACATAATAACAGGCAACTGGCTTCGCGATTATAGTCAAGCCATTGATGTTGGAACGCTCTCCAAAGGGCTGAACAAAGCCACTCTCATCACCTTGATTGCGGTTCTGGGGTTCAATGAGTTCGGATACGCCACTGCCGAGTTCGAAGTGACCGAAGAACGTTTGGGATGCTACCGCGCAGAAGAGCACATTGACAACCCAAAGGGCTATGCCGACAACCAAGATGCTCGGAAATACGACCCGAATCTCAGAGGGCCTGTCGACCCCCGTGAGCTGGAGATAGATCCCCGCACCGGGATGAAGAACTACATCGGCAATGAGACCGGAGGTTGGGCCACTTCGACTGTCTTTGTTCGAAACAGCATCGAGCGCTCCGTTCAGGCGTACCAGAGCGGCAACAAGGACGAAGCCTTTCGCTTGCTGGGTCAAGCTCTTCACACCCTTGAAGATTTCTCGGCTCACAGCAACTTTGTGGAGCTTACGCTAATCGAGCTTGGTCATCGAAACGTGTACCCATTTGTGGGTGAGAACACAGCTATCCGTCAAGCGAGGGACGGCCGTCCGATCTACCCTCTTGTAACGGGAACCTTCGGTGGCGCCGATTTCGCGCATTCCCTCCTCGGTGAGGCGACCGACCATATCTCCGCCACCTCCGTCTCCAGCTTGAGCGTCAGCATGAACCAGGCGAAGAGCCGAAGCCCGGATGACAACCAATTGCCAAAGCTTCTCGGACAGGTTCCAGGCATGGAAGGGGCGGCTCGCGAAGCGGAGGAGTTTCAGCGAGCTCCTATCTCAACGGACCCTGTCGTCATCAAAAGCCAAGTCTGGGGGATCTTGGAGTGGAGGGACAGAATCATGAAGACAGTCGATAACACTATTGAGAAGATTCCCGGCTTGAGCTGGCTGGCCGAGAAGATCTCCGAGTCTTTGCAGCTGTTTGTCTTGCAGCAGCTCGAGGTAAGCTACAGTAACTTCCCAGCTCATTGATTTCTATATGTTGAGGTTCGTGCTGACCGGTTCCTGTGTGTCTTGCAGCCATACATCAAACCCATCATCGGCCAAGTCGTTGGAAAGCTTCAGATGGGTTCTGCTGAGATTACAGAATTGGAGGCACAGAAGGAGATTTTCAAGAATCCTAACTCTTCGGACCCCACTCATTCAATGCTTTCGAAGGACCATTTCGATCTTCATCTGAACGAGGTAAGAAGCTGTCGGTGATTGCTCGTTGCTCAGCGGCCTGTTGTTTAAAGCAAAATCCTCTCAGCCTGCCGGAAAGGTTGCCCGTCTCGTCGTCGAGAACATTGTTCCCGCCGTCGTGAAGGCCTGGAACGATGGTGGTCAGTCCACTCAAGAAGCCTTGCATCTTGCCATGCAGGTGTTCTTCCACCCCGCGGATCTTGGCTTCCAAAAGACCCCCTTCCAGCAGCAAATGATGGATGTGGTGCGCCGTTGGGCTGACGAGAACCGGCCGAGCGTTAACAGTCTGGATAAGCAGAGCGTCATGGCGGGCAGAAACCGCAAGCACCCGGAGCAACAGCAGCAGACGAACGACCCTGGCCGCGCGAACTCAGGTCTGGGGCTTGCCAGCTTTTTCGAGAGCTCCAATCAGTCTCAGCCGCAGCAAAGCTACCAGCAGCCCCAGTCGCAACACTATCAGCAACCCCAGCAAAACTACCAAGCCCACTCGCAGCATGGACAAAGCAACGCGAACCCATACATTTCTGACGGCACGCACGGATACGGGTCCCCCAGTGACGTTCCCACCCCGAAACAGCACGGTCGGGAACAGCAGCAGCAGCAAGGCTACTTCCCATCTCAGGCCGCTCCCAATCAGGCACCGAGTCAAGGTTATGACAACTACCAACCTCCGCAAGGTCCGCCCCCGGGCCAGTATCAAGGTTCGGGCGGGTCGTACGACGGGAACTATCAGCCGCCATACGGCACACCCGGAGGTTCGCCGTACGGTGCTCAAGCCGGTGCTCAATATGGTGCTCCTGGTGGACCTCCATACGGCGCTCAACCTCTGTACGGACCTCCTGGTGCACAATACGGTGCTCCCGCCCAATACGGCGCTCCTGCTCAATATGGTGCGCCTGGCGGTCAGCCATACGCCGCCCTTGGAGGACCCCCGCCAGGACAGGGTCACTCGGGACAACATGGTCACCACCATGGTGGAGGGAATGGGTACCCTGGCAACTATTAGCATCTAGCGCGCAATTGTAGTTGTGTTCCTCTATGTGTTTCGTGAGGCTGGATCATCTTTGTTTTATGGTCTTACACACAGTAAACTGACCATTCCGTCACTGCTCATACATTGATAGCACCTTTTGGGCATCCCCGTCCTTACATTCCGCAGATATTTGAACAGTTGGTGCCCATCGCCCACCCTTTCTTGAGCTTGAACTCTTGAGAATCGCGAAGTTGCTTACGTGAAAGACGCGTCGGGCTGCCCGCGTTTCTGTAATTACGTCTCCTGGATGGAAGAAGCACGTCTCGATGTTAGCACAAGCCAAGCGCTACGCCCAAGTGGAGAAAACGATTTTGAGAAAGCCGATTCAACTTTCCTAGATATACGGCATAGAAGCTCCTTGCATGATGTAATAAAACCGACTGCATCACACGTACTATACTGATTAGGTATTGCCAGCTGGTTACCATCTGCTGCTTACTCTGTGTCTGAGTCAAGAGCCGTTCCGTCGTAGGAATATTCGTGCTGAGGAAACCGTAAAAAGAGCTGGGATATATGTTCCAAGCACCTGATCTTTGCTCGGATTCTGAGTATGTTTAGAGAGCAACTGGTTGTCTTCTTGACGAACATCTCAGCTCGCCAAATCGAGGCTTCGAAACCTACGGTCGCAGCTTGCCGCTTCTGCCGCGGAGCTAAATCCGGACGTACACCAGACCACCAACCTCTCAAGTTCTTCTGGACGTAGTGAGACCTCCGATAATGAAGTCCGACGGCAGTAGTGATGGTTGTTTTAGTAGCCGGGAGTTCAGTTCACCTCATCGACTGGCCACCAGCGCCGGCCCGCAAGCACTAACGTTTCGCAAACCGATCCTCCAAAACCATGTCTCCCGACATGATAGTTCCAGCACCTTCGACGGCAGCCAGCTGACAAGCCCCGTCTCACCAACAGCAAGTCTTTCACTCGAAACATTGAGTACATCATCATCGCGAAATAGCAGCGGCAGTGGCAGTGGCGGGATTAAGGGCTTGTTTGGGAAGTTCCGCACGTTGGGGAAGAAGGAGCGGAATCTGGATGATCTTATAGACCAGATGCGCTTGGCAAAGGATGATGGCCCACGTAGTCCTGCTGCTGAACGGGCGGAGCGACGGAAAGGGCTTCTGGTTGGCAAGAATGAGGAGATGATGTCCAACCTGTTGAAAGAGCTACGCGAAACCGGAGAGGGAGAGCCCAGGAGATCACTAGATGTGGATGAAGGAAGAGTCAAAGACGTGCTAACCCCAACGGCCGAGCCAAATGTTGGCTTGCCAGAGGAGTTTATCCACGACGTATTGAACGAGGAATGCTACAGCCCTACGGAGGAGATCTTAAATGCGGAGCTGCCACTAACGCCCACGGCAACCCATCAGATCCGAAGCCCGCAGAATCAGGCTCCGGCGTTTGCAAGGTGTACAGCCGATGATCTGATGAACGTGCGGTCTGATTCCGTTGAGGCCGCTGCACCTATTACGGTCCTCACGACTGGCTGCGACGACATGGCGCGAGCCACAGCCTTCAGTCCAGGAAGCGGCCCCACTCCTACAAAGGTCGCGAGTCTTCCCCTCCTGGAGATTTTGACGAGCGGCATGCTAGTCCCGTGCTCTGAAGGGATGGAACGCCTACACTCCATGAACGAGCCGATTGTCGTCATGGCCGCAGTTGGAGGAGGAAAACAGCATGGAAGCATTAGCCAAATCCTTGGAAACATGACGAGAGTGAAAGTGCCGATGGGATCATGCAAGCGTAGTGATGATTCGAATTCGAAGGTGCTGACCATGATGGTATTGGATGCACCACTGAATAATGTGCGGGAGGACGCTTTAGAGGAGAGCGAACCGTTGCTTCCGCACTACCGGACTAAGCTACTACTGATCGATGCACCTCCATTCACGGGACGGACTCGATCTGAGGGAACCGCGGACGCAAATGAAGTAGCATGGGAGTCAAAAGTACTGGCCCTGTTAGCAATCGTGGCATCATGCCTAGTGTTTGTAAGTCCCGATTGTTCCGGGCGAGAAAGTATGTTACCGTTCACTGCGCTCGCCCAGTTGCCCGTTCTACTGGACCGGTCTACGCCGCTAGACGTGCTGTCGGCATCATTGGCGAAGATTGTTTGGATTATGCTTGACGCGCGGGATTCAGAAGAGCATGACACTCGTCGCCTTGCAGGATTGCTAGAGCCATCTTCAGATATCGATCCGACGAATGATGCGACGGCTTTGGCACAAGCCGTTCTTCAGAAGGTGTTCGAGGATCCATCGCTCTTTTCAGTCCCAACGTCACAAAACTTTGACGGGCCCGGGTGCGATGATACCCCAAGTGGTTCCGACGGGAAGAACCCTGTTCGCCCACCGAACAACCTCCATCAGCAACGTATGGATACCATCTCGGAGACGGTCTACAAAGCGATTGGAAACAAATGCTTGACTTCGGAACATGGAGGCTCCCTCGCGTTAACGGGACGAGGTAGTTCCGCGAGTAGGATAATCTCGTTTCACCTCAAATTACTCATCTGGACCTTCGTTCTTACAGAGTTTGTTCAGGTGTTGAAACTCTGCTGCAACATGCTCAATGATGACGGAGGAGTCCTGGACCTCAACATCATCTGCCAGGAGCTGCGTGGTACGTCGGCAGAGGCAGAGATGAAAACGGAGCTACACTGACTCGAGTCTGTTGTACCTTTCAGATGATAGATTTGCGGACTTGGAACGAGATGCCAAGCAACGATGTAAGACACTCAACCATTTCCCAGGTATCTTTGGGAAACAAAGCTAAACTCCTCTCCCATTTGCGTCATGCAGATACAGATCTGATGACCGCCATCTCCATCCCACACATGCCGTGCGCCCACTCTCGGCTCCGCCAACATCACGCCGAATGCACTCGGAAAACACTTGTCGCACTCCGCAACATCGACCGTCACCAGAACCGACATTTGTATCGCTCGAAAGCAGCTCAGATGACAGCATGGCGGCAGGATGAAGCCCGTTTGCTGCGTCTCATGGGAACCATCGATGAGCGCGGAAAAGTAGAGCCGGACGACGCCTGGATCGTTAGCTTTGTGCTGCTCAATTACGAGAAGACCATAGCGCGTTGCAAACGAGTACTGGCTAAAGGCCAAGACTTCATTACCAAGAAGGTGTGTATTGTGCTTGACAATGAATGAATGATATTTGCTATGCTTACCGATCATATTACACCCGTAGATCGGTGAGAATAAATACACGTCCATTGTCCAGTTTGACGAAGACGTGAACCAAATCAGCGCAAACTTCCACCGCGCGTCACAACAGGCCGCACTTCTCTCGTCTATAGCAGCTTGTAGCTTACAATACGCTTTCGCGTCCGAGGTGGCAGCTCAACGCGCCCACCTAATATATCGCTTCTCCGAACGTGCACGCCACGCCGCCCAGCTCGCCGAACGTGAACAAGCGATGCGAGCGGAGGGTGAACGTCGGGAACGAGAGATGGTTATGCTACGCGCTGCAGACGCCTTGAGAGAGGTGCAAGGTCTCATGCTTGGTGTAGTCGGCGTGCCCGCATCCCCACTTGACAATAGGTACCCCTGCCAGCACTATCCACATCCACCACCACCGCCATTACTACAACTTCCTCCTCGCGCTCGCGCAGTATGGAGAACGAATCAAATGCGCGCTTCCCAGTCCGACAATGATCGGAACAGCGACCGAGGACGCGCCTCTACGCCAACGGCTCAGCCCGCCAGTAAACCGAAGAAACGCAGTAGATCTCGTGGGCAGCGGTCCGATCGGAGCGGGACAGAGAACGCAAAGTCCGGCCCCGCCGGCGATACCTCGTTCGATCGCCAGTCGTGTCAAACGTCCCAGTCGGATCCGTGTACGAACACTCGAAAGCAGAGAAGCACTAGTGTCGACAGACATCGCTATCGTTCTCCATCAAATCACCATGTTCAGCTCAACGCCGGCAGCTTCTCAAATCCATGTCCTTATATCCACCCAGAAGATACCAATCACCCGCTGCTTTACCACGCCGATGCACCGCCCGTACCCTCCATACCAAGGAACCTTCAATATCCTCGATTATATCCCCATGACCAGGTTATGCCCTCGCTACACCAGATGACACGGTATGGCCATCAATTATACCATATGCCGCCCTTCGCGGCCCAAGGCAAAGTTCCCTCTCACGAAGAAATGCGACGAAGAACGAAATCAGGACCTACGGTTCTTTTCCAACCGTTTGGAGGTCGAAGGCACCCCCAATATTCAAATCACATGGGGCATCCCACCCCGCTACCATATATGGCGTACTAGCCGAGACGATCGTACCTGTCTGTTGACAGCGCCTCTTTGAGGTAGCATCCACCTTCTCCGGCCTCCCCTCCGCCTTCACAAGCCGGCGGATTCCGCTTAATTCCGTTGTACAGTTTTATAATTATCATTTGTAACTTATGCATTTTCCTGAATACGACCTTCGGTTTTCATGCCAAGAACAATGCTCATACTCAAGCTACCGACATCTACGTACTGGTGTCACGCCGCTTCACTTTTCATTCTCTATATTTCAGGGACGCCATGATCATATACTTCCTAGGCAATCTGCCAGGATTTGGAGCCAACACCGTCATCTTGGCCTTGCCTTCGTCGACCATACTAACATAAACGAAGCCCGCAAGATTGGTGCCCAACACCGCTGCGCTTTCCTCTTCCGGTGTTACAGCCGCAGCGTCGTCCGGTATGGACGCATTGGAGAGTGCTAGCACCGAATGCAAGAGGATATCACCGGGATCTACTATCGCAAGCCTCGTTTCCTGGATGAGTCGCTCCGAGCCGATAGGCAACGCGGACGATGGGGCTAGCGTGCCTTCCCCAACCTTCCGAATAGCGACATCTGAGAAGGAGACCAGGCTAGAGTACGGACTCAGGTCTGCCTTCTGGGTGCCGTAAAAGTATTCTTTGATGCGGTGCATGTCTAGGTGTCTCCTAAAGGTTTTGTCTCTTGTCACGACCTGTCGCATGACACGTCAGTCGGGCTTCGAGAGGATGCTTCCTCGTTCTTGTTCTTCAGTCGCACATACCCCTCCAGACTTGGCTAGCTTGACGATCGATATTCCCGACCCATCCGGACATCTTCGGCGGAGCTCACTGTAGAGGCGCTCGTGTCCTATTACCAGGATGGCATTCACTAACGGCCGAAGCGTTAATACGCTGGTGCACCCAGTTTATTCAACACGCCCGCAGGCTTACACTTTTACCTCCGAACCCTTCAATAATCTTAGATAGGCTCTCATATCCAGCGACATCAACAAATTGGCTTGGGGTGTTAATGATAAATCCGGAAGCTTTCACTGAAAACGAAGAGAATGAGCCTGTGCAAGAGAAGGACCCGACGACATTTCCCTCCTTTGCAGAAACAATACCATCTGCTTCTCCCAGCTTTCGTCGAACGGTGGTCGCTAGTCGTTGCACCATTGTATTGTAAAGCTTGGGTTTGTCCAAAGGCGATGGATATCCATAGTAATACACTAATGGGCTGGTTCCGGTGGCAATAGAGGACGCAGAGAACTCTTCCTCCATGTCAATGGGTTTCCCTATCGCCATCGCTGTTAATGTACCTGGCAAGCTTATTGATCCCTAAATGGAAAACATCATCGTACTGATTGGACTTCGGAGGCAGAATGTTCAAGAAAGTTCACCACATACCTCGTTTGGATCTATATCAACGAATATAGGCTTTCGTCCTTGCTTCACAGCGTAGTTAAGTAAGATCTTTGACAGTGAGGTCTTTCCAACATCTGCCGGGCCGACGATCAACACCTGTGATCAGAATCAGATGGTCGTCAGAGGCCGCTATAGAGTCCCATGAATTGCATGAGTTCAAGAAAGCCCCCGCTTACTCTTGGTCCTTCCTCTCCTGAAGCTTCTGCAGCTGCCCGCATTTGCTCGAGAGCCATATGCACGTTCAAATAACTCTGCATCGGGGTTTCATCTGCGATATACTCCACCGTTGGGGTGCCTCCCACGTAAAAGGCGATGAACAATATGAGCACAAGTTCGTGGAACATTATCACAACCCAACATCCCCCAATGCGCTCAATCTGGAGGGGAGCACGTATCTGTAGTTGACACCCATGCCATGTGTAAACGGCAACCTTCCTGCCCGAAAATGAATACACGGGATCCGTGGCTAGCTCAGATCCGAAAACTTCAGCATGGCCGGATTTCAACTACCAAGGGACCATAGCAGTAAAGGAATAAGCGCGACGATCTGCGGTTTCTAGAACATGATTGATAGAATCTTTTATACGAGCAAACGAGTTGCTAGAAGGTTACGAGGTGCCGGTTGGCACAAGCGCCGAGCGATAGGATCATCTAGTCCGCCCGTTCCCGTGACCAGGCCCCCCAAGCACGCAATCCACTTCTACCCTTCCCTGCACCACGTTGCGGACTATCTAAATCCTGGTACCTTGGGGTGGACTCAACGCTTCAACGGTTCCTTACCTTCAAGGTTATGACGTTCGCCGGCGAAAAGTCGTTTTCGAAGCGCAGTTCCTGCCCGGGCCTAAGCTCCAAAATACGACCGGTATTTTGGTTTGCTCTCTGCGGACGACGTGTAAGGGCAGGTTGCCGGGGTGTGAGAAGAAAAGGCCCTGGGACCTACCGCAGAATCGTTGTCATCCATCACGGGTTCCTGAACTTTTTGGGTGTACGGGCGGGAAAAACGTGTGGGTACGGGCTGCAGCGGCGGGGGCGAAGTACAGTAGCTCCTGGAGCGATCGAGTAGGCGGGTAGTGTAGGGAATTGACTTCAGAGGTATTGTAAGCCGGGGGGAGAGAGACAGGGCCAAAAATCAAAAAAGAGAGTAGCACCACCAAGTTTCGATCTTGGGGCCTCAGGGTTATGAGCCCTGCGCGCTTCCTCTGCGCTATGGTGCTGTTGATGAATTTCGCCTTGCTTTTATGCCATTCAAGCGTGCTTTCTCTGAATTTCACTTTGCTTCTATGCCTGTCAAGCGTGCTTCCTCTGCTGTGGTGCTTTTTGAAATTTCCACCCTCTTTATTCACTGATAACCATTACATACGATTCCTCTGCTGTTGAGTTCCCACTCCTTCTCGGCTTCCTCTGTGCTTTGTTCAATTCCTACCCTGTTGACTTCTTGCCCTCTTTCTGGTTACAGGCCCTGCAAACGCTTCTCTCGTCTTGCATTAGACCTCCGGGTCGAGTACAATGCCCTCTTATCGCAGAGCCCACCTGTCCATTCAGAGCCCTTCTCCGAGAATGACTTTTTGTTGTTGGCCGTAAAAAGCGGTAGTGGCGCCCAAGCTCAAACATCGTTAATATCATACGTACCCATCTGGGTACTGTAGACCAGTCAGTGGAAATAAAGCTGGACCCCTGGAATAAGTTAGCGACTGCCGCGCCGCCAAATTCACGCGTTTGCACTCAACTGACGCGCGAACAGGGAGGGGGGCCCCTGCGTAGTATTCTCCCTCGGAGGGCTCCTTGTCCCGCAATGGCGACGGACCGTGCTGCCTGGCTGTTTTCTGGTCCATCCGTCGCTCGAGAATCAAGTCCTTGTTCTGTCCGTTCCAACTAACCTCTCTGTTCTCGGCGAGGGAACTATCCACTCATCGTTCTGGTCTATCTTCTACCCATTTTCCCGGTGGGTGATTGCCAGACATGCAACCTCCCAGCCCCAACGACAGCGCCGGCTGGAGTCGTCCTTCGCCACCGACGACCTCCACAGCATCGGATGGCCGCTCAGCCTCGCCCTCCCCGGCCAACACAATATTTGAGAGTCTAACCTCCAGCGACGCCAGTGGGTCGACTACAGTCGCGGACGAGCACTACAACCAGGAAGACATCTATGCCTGTCAACGGGTGCATTTCCGAAAACCACACGTAACCACCGGCAAGGACGGCGGAGAGTCACTGCCAAAATCCCATTCTTACGCGTCGGAGGACAAACTGCGGGATGTCAAGTCGCAGTCGTATCAAGAAAGCACAGTTCCCACGTCCGTTCGGCCACCGGCCTCCAAGCTAGAATACCTCGACGGTGCACGGGGTGTCGCCGCCTGGATAGTGGTCAACGCGCATCTGCTCTCCTACCAACTCGATTACGTTCCCACGGTTGACAAGTGGTCGCCTCTGTGGAACGGGCTGGCGCGATGCCTGGTGGAGGGGAATTTTGCGGTGTCCTTCTTTTTCGTCCTCTCGGGTCGCGTCCTCGGCATCGGTTACATGAAAAAGCCTGCGACGGACAGGTTGGCGAGTGCGTTCCTGCGCCGTCCTGCTAGAATGATCATTCCGGTTATAGGTTCGTTGTGGCTCAACTGGGTTGTCGATAGCTTCAACGGGTATGGATACGCCGACCTAGCTGCGGAGCGAATGGGGACATGGGAGGAAGTAGCACGCCTTGCCAAGCATGCGAGACCTGGGTTCTGGAAGTCGGTCTTGAATTCGATCTCTTGCGTGAGTACCCATTCAATTCAGCATATTTAGTCGAATCGCACTCCATTTGACTAAAACAATGTTGCCCATCTTACTAAGTTCCTTCCGGGAGGTCAGTCCGGGATTTGGCCCAATTCGCCGGTGTGGACGATAGGCACCGAGCTACAAGGCTCCTTCCTCGTCTTTGCTCTTGCCCTGATTACTCAAGCCTACCCACACCACCGATTCCTTCTGCACGCCATCCTCACATTCTGGTTCTTCTGGACCGAAACATGGGCTGCTAATTTCGCGGCGGGCCTCTTCATCGCCGACCTGGCTCATTCAGGCTACCTGGCTCGACTGAGATCCCACGCCTTACTCATCTGGCCCGTCCGCCTCTTTCTCGCGATCGCCGCGTTCGGCACATGGATAAAATCGCCATATTCGGAACGCATCGCCAGATGGACAGCGAGCTGGGCCTTTGACTACCACGGCGATGGCCGCCTTGGCATCGGCCGCGGCTTGCCTGAGTGGTGGGAATGGGACATAGCGTACTTCTACGCGGCCTGCGCCTTCATCCTCCTCTTCGAACTCACGCCTTCGCTCCAGCGTGTCTTTGAGACCCGCCCGGTGAAGTTTCTTGGCAAAGTCTCTTTCGGGCTTTACCTGACACACATTATCGTCTACGCGTCTTTTGGATCGATGCTGCTTGCGTGGATTAACAACCCAGACGCGCTCATTGCACGCTACTCGACGGTCATCTTCAGGAAGTGCGTGGTCTATATGTGCTGCATGGCGGCGATGCTGACTGTGGCGAACGGATTTTATCACACGTTTGATAAGTGGAGTGTGGACGCTGGGAGGTTTCTGGAGACGCTTTTGAAAGATCCGGACTGGTCGGCTGCAAAGACATTGAAATGGTGTTGCGAGAGCGCCCGGGTGCTGTGGCTTTCGGCTGTGTGGTTAGTGGTGTGGTGCGTATCGACGGCAGTATGGATTCGGGTGAAGATACCCGAGTATGTTGGGAGATACCGCGGCGAAATGTATCGGGACATCAAAGATATTGCCACGATTGCTTGAGCCGAAGACTACCCTCTTTTGATGGGAGGTCGTAGCGGCCGGGACTCTGCGTACGTCGCATATCTTCTGGCTACTGTATATACACGGCTTCTCTGGTGGCCATCTATCTTCAGTTGCGATTGGGGCCTAACTCTATGTATATATGTTGTATAATATATAGCTTTTTATAAACGATCACTCGACTCACACACCACGACTCGGAGAAATGTCGGGTTAGGAGAGTTTTAGCAGTTCGAAAAGGGATATCAGCACCTGTCATTGCGAAACCTACATTTGCATATGATGTTTCGCGTCGTAGATAAACGTGGCTGTCGGAGTTCATGCAAGCGCTTGACCGGAAATGATTCTGTCCGGGTTATACGCCTTATTAGCTACACCGTAGGCACCCGATATGATTACCTCGTCGATTCTACCGTCATAGCTAAGGATTTGCTTGTCGCCCGTCCCGCTTCACTGAACGCTCGCTTTTGCAAGGTCATTTCCTCACAGACCCGAGAGTTGCTCCGTGCGGACGGATTGGATGTTGGTAGCTGCGCTGGTAGCTGCGATGCGACTGAGGTTTTCTTGTACGAGGAGTCTACAGAAATATGTACAAGAAGTATGTTGACTTCACCCCAAGCAGTAAGTCGACCAGTGACGGGTTCCTGTCAATTTGCGAAGAATGACACAAAGGTCCGAGACCGCGTCGTTGGTACTGTAACCAAAAACCGCTTAAGAACATGAGAACTCGGCAAATGGCACTCGGCGTCTTGTCGCCAGAAAACGGACGTAATAACGAAGCTTGCTTCGACCTCCTGGTCCCCAGCTCAATCTCCAACACAACCACGAAGCCATCATGACACCTCCTTCCACTACGTCCGCAGTCGTGATCGTCACCGGTGCCTCCCGCGGCATCGGTCTCGCCATCGTCCACGCCCTCCTGCAGCACAACGCCCGCGTTATCGCAACCGCACGCACTCCTCTGTCCACCAACTCCGCTGAAACTAGCTCCACCACCGAACCCTCCTCCTCGCCATCCCTAGCGGAGTTGGTAAAAACGTACCCGGACGCTCTACGCTATGTTGCGGTGGACGTGACCGATGAGCGCGCGGCGGGGATGATTGTCGGGGAAGCGATCTCGGCGTTTGGGAGGTTGGATGCGCTTGTGCATAATGCTGGTGAGTTTGGTTTTCGAGGCGGCGGGGGTGTGGATGGGTAATGAGGAGGTGGTATGTTTGCTTCATGATAGGTTTCCAGGCGGAGCCTGGGCCGAGTGGTACCACGTGGAAATCTTTGAGCTGCCAATATAAGGATAGCTGCAGGATACTCTCAGACAAACAACAACTGTTGGCCTACTCTCGACTTCACCGAATGCTACATCCAACTAAAGCAACATCCGTTCATTTTTCGCGACCACAGGCATCTTAGACCCCCTCGCCCGCATCGTGGACGCCCCCATCACCGACTGGGTTCGCTGCTTCGACATCAACCTCTTCTCCTGCGTCCGGCTACTCCAGGAAGCCATCCCGCACCTCCGCACCGCCGCCTCCTCGTCTTCCCTATCCGGGACATCCAGCAGGTTCATCCTCATCTCCTCCGGCGCCGCCGTCCGCCCCACATCCGGCTGGTCCGCCTACAGCGCAGCCAAATCCGCTTCCAACATGCTCGTTGCGTCCGTCGCTGTTGAAGAGCCGCTGCTGACATCCATCGCCATCCGACCGGGTGTGGTTGACACGGCGATGCAGGCGCGCATTAGGAGTGAGGATGCCAAGGAGGCGATGGGTGAGGAGGGTCGGCAGCGGTTTGTAGGGCTTTTTGAGAGAGGCGAGCTGTTGAAGCCGGAGACGCCTGGGAGCGCCGTGGCGAGGCTGGCGCTGAGCGCGCCGAGGGAGTTGAATGGCTTGTTTGTGAACTGGGATGATGAGAGGTTGCCGAAGTGATTTGCCATGGTGTGCCACCCGTAAGCGGATTCTTTGAGGCGTATATATATAGCCAGACTCCCTTAGACGTAGGTTGGGTTTGTTGTCACATTCACATGTATGCATAATACACATCATAATAAACGACCGCCCATGCTCCTCGCTCGCATGACCCCAAAGGATCACCCTCCATCACCTTCAACTCTTGCCATAGGATTTGTGAATGCTCACAGTGGTGTCTACATCTATGTACAGCTCCTGTCTTGAAATCTACGCCGTACCGTCCTGTCTTGAAATCTACGCCGACTTTGCCAAATATCATACCGCCTGCTAGTTCATAACACCGCAAAGCGTCCGACAGGAAACTACCCCCTCAGCGGAGTATGACAACATTGGGGCCTCAAATCATACGTAACTGCTGGAGCTCGAGGACAATGGTGCCCCCTTCGGCACATACAGGCACACAGAAATACACATCCGCAGGTATCAGAGAGAATGCTATCGATCACGAGGATCAGACGGCTCTTCCTATGATTTTTTAATCTCTTGAGCTCATCACTTTCGCGGATATGATTTTAAGTCTGTGTATGATTTCACTTGCTTGGGAATGAGGATGCGACTCTCACAGACAAATCACAGACAAACAGAGAATGGGGACCGTCCCTGAAATAGGGTGACCGGCATGGCTGCGGATCCACATTCTGTGCTGGCGCTGTGAAGAAGGCGGGGTCGGAAAAGCAGAATTGCACAAGGAATGTCGAGGATTGAAAAAAACACCGCCGGGCTTTTATAGCTTCGCCAACCGCCAGAAGAAACCACGTGATCGTTAGAATTTCCTGAAGCTCGCGCACGAAACTGACAGCATGTCAAGTTCTTGTACCCAGTCGCTTGAAGCTCATTGCAGTTGCCAAACTTGCGTATACGAGTAAAGTGTTCTCCCATCCTGAACAGAGCCTGAATGAGCAGGATTTAGTGTCATACTGAGGCATTCCAGGATGCACAGGAACAAACGTCCGGCGCGCCTGACTTGCCGTGGTCCTCACTTTCCAGTGACCAGGCAGCTCATTCAGATTAGCTTGGAACGGGTCGCGCAAGCGAAGTTGAGAGTAGACGGGACCCGCTTGAGTCTCGAAAAACGATTGTCGATCTGCATACCGTTCATGTTCGCAAACCTGCGTATCTATAAGGGTTCGAATGGCAAGGTATGGATTGCTTGGCTCGAAACATCGTCGAAAATGTCCCAAATGCAGCAGACACGGGGTTTGAGTCTTGAACAATGCGTTCAAAACCTTTCCTAAGCCAAATGTGGTTCTACAGTGCATGTCAAGACGAGAGTCGGGTGATTTGGAGATAGCTCAGCAGGGCTGTGGTGAAGAGCGGGGCAAATTTGAATTTTCTGAGCGATTGCCCAATTGGGCGCGAGGGACGGGAATGAAGCGGGATGGGCGCGTCCGCATTTGGGACATTTGACAGGATGTCCTCCGCGTTGTCGTTTTTAGTATCGTTTTCCCCCTGACAGGAACGCGTCGTGATATTAATTATAGGTAGTTGCTAACGACGCTACGTGTATTATAATTATACCCGTGTTTGCTATCCACGCTCCCCTTAAACACACATACTCTAATTGTTAATTACGTATTATAACGAGTGCCTCCGCGGGTTCGTCCCATGGAAACGCGAAAGTTGCGCTGCGCGGGTGATGATTTGTGCTGTGCCGGTGGTGACTTAAACGTCTGGATAAGCCCCCTTAAACGCATTATTGCGGAGAGCGATAGGAGGAATGGAACGGAGGAGGTTGTGCGCTCACAGGGGCAATCACTTGCAAGCCGTTTCACGCAGGCGCACAACAGTCCGCCGTGAAAACCAACAGGACATACATGCCCACGGGACGTTATCCTCGCAGTCCTTCTCGGTCCTTTATCGCTTGCGGCCTCTGAAGTGCAACCTCCTCGTTGTCTCGCGGCCCACACTCCCGCCTGCACCCGCTCGTAGAGGCAACCGCTTGGAGAAACGAAAGCCGCCGCCCGGACTCCATCGCAGCTTCCCACGGACAATACTGTGCAGTCGAATCAGGGTCTTTAGGGTCGTGGGAAAACGTTGGTCCATCAGCCTGCCGGACCGGTATTGTAGGTGCCTCCCTACCATAGCTTGGTTCGCGGAGTGGGTCACCTTGTCAGTATAGCGGACGAACGTTTACGCCCTAGCGCTTTGCAACAACTTCACAACCAGTAGCTGAATAATGGATGGACTGGAAAGCGCATCTGACAACGAGGTGATGGACCTCGGCCAGCACGCGGATCAGCCAGCCGGAGATGCACCGTCGTGGACTGACCCTTCTATCGACATGGGTCTCACAGCAGGGGCTGGGAAAGCGAATGGGACGGCTGCTGGCAGCCAGCACGACAAGCACTCTGCAACTCCAATGGGGCTAGCGCCGCGGGCGGCGTCCGCTGGTTTTTCACCCCTACGAACGGCAAAAGGACGGCCAGTCGCACGATCTACCTCGCCGGCCCCACGCTCCCAGGCGCTTCTGCAAGCCCTGGCTACGGGCTTACCGCGGTTACGAAGCTTCGTCGAGGTGAGTTCTAGTCGATCACTCTTATCATTTGTCCCGATATTGAATTTCTATCTTCCATATGATCACCTTGCAGGGCAAAACTTCCCAGACGCATGCATCGCTCTCGGCTTCGAATTCCTCATCGTGTCTGTCACAAGATGTCAACATGGACACAGATTCTTTGGCATTTGCTCGGACCACTGCCCCGCAAACTTCTCAGCCGAATAACCATCAATCACAGCTTCATTCGGCGCTGGACCTTGAATCTACGCAGGACACGTGCGATACAGATATGGTGGAAGATCCAGCCGAGGCGAGAGTCTTTGATGTCGCACACATGTTCGTCAACAGCCCTCACGAATCTTCATCCGTCTCCTTTGGAAGTTCGAACACGACTTCCGTGAACAAGGGAATGAACTCCAGCCAGTCGCTGCAACAGAATGCACTGCACCGTCAGAGCATGTTTGTTCCCGGGCAACCGCAGGAGCATGTGTGGCCACCCACTTCCTCGAAGAGGACATCGTGGATGACACGATCTCCTGATGCCGGCTTGTACTGTGTCTCCTTACCGTCGGAAACTGCTCTGCAAACGGAAGCAGAGGTTCCCTTGGCATCAGCACTTGCCGCGGAGGTGATTGCTAATGATGCCTACGAAACCGAGGAACATCATCAAATGGATGTAGGCGACCTCATCGATGAGCTTACGCAGAATGCCATGTGGATTGAGGACGGGGCTATGTTGGTGGATGACGACGTCGAGCAGGTTCTCGACGGGCCAGCGAACGCAGATGCTTCCACTGTCTCCATATCGTATAGACACGTGAAGGATCAGGGACGGATGGATGTTGACGGTTGGACAGCTTCTGAGACCACTGGTCATGAAGAGCTGCGACGAAAGCGATCTCTCGCAGGCACCTTACCAGCGGAGGTCCTCTTCCAGATTTTCAGTTACTTTGATCCGACGTCGCGCGATTCCACGTCAGCCTTCCTGTCGCCAGCATCGACTGTAGCAGCTCTCAGAGAATGTGCAATGGTGTGCCGGTGGTGGAACCGTCTTGCTACCTGTGTTCTCTGGCGGCGTCCGCTCGTCTTTGACGCTGCCAGATTCGAGAAACTTGTGTGCGTCGCCGAGACGGCCGACAAGGCCCACAGCCAGCTGGAGCAGCCGAAAGCAGGCGGCTCCGACAATTTGGAAACGCGGGTGACGTCGACCACTTTATACCCGGACTTGATCCAGCACCTTTCACTCAGTCAAACGCTCTCTGAACCTCACCGGTACGCACACCGCCTTTCCCCGCTCCTCGTTCGTCTCGTGAGCCTCCCATCGTTGAACCTCACGACCCTGGACCTCGGTTTTTGCAAGGGCGTTTCGAACTTTGCCCTGCAGCGCTGCGCACACCATCTAAAGTCCCTTCTGAACCTGAATCTGGCCGGCGGTGGCCGCAGCGAGATCTGTGTGATCAAGATCGCGACCGAGTGCAGGAAGCTGAAACGCTTAGGACTGGGCTGGAACTCGGCCGTCACAGATTTCTGCATCCGCGAGGTTGGACGGTGGTGCACCGAGCTGGAGTGGATCGATTTGAGTGGATGCTATGGTGTGGGTGACGCCGGTGTCGTCTGGCTCGTCCGTGGACTGACGGCGTCTATATCGAATGCTGGCATGCAGCCTGCTACGGTCAAGTTCAGCGGTGCAGTACGGAGAGCCGTTTCGCCAAGCTCGCCCAGTGCAGCTACTACCCTTCTTCCCCTCCCGCCGCCGCCCTCCTTTCCACCACCTCCCTTCCTGCGTCAACACGAAACATCCCCATCATCGCAACCAACAGCGTCGAGCACTACCCATCAAATCATGTGCACCAGCCTGACTCCCACCTTCGTCCGCCACCCGACCACAAAACTTCGCCACATCAACCTCTCCTACTGCCAAAACATCACCGCGACCGCCGTGTTTGAAATCATCGACAAGTGCCGCGCGTCCATTGGTGTCATCAACATGGTCGGCTGTGGCGACGTGGCGGCTATCAGGTGTGAGATTAGCGGTGGTGTCGAAGCGGTGCCGACATCCTCGTCGTCACAGCCGTCGCAGATGAATGGTAATGGAGGAACCCCGGTTACGCCAGTCATCACTCCCGCTCTTATTACGCCGGACGGCGTGTTCACCACACCGACTTCCCGTCCTGCCACCATACATGACACATCTGCTACTACACCATCCACACCATCCACACCGACCCCGCCGACGACACATCACCACAACCATCACAACAGTCACCAACAACCGGCGTCGCTAGATATTGGCCGCCTGCTGCATGGCACGCCGGACGGCCGCCGCGTGCTGGTCGATGTGCCGGGCTTTGTACCCTTTTGGAGTGGGATTGGGATCTGAGGAGTCTGTCAGGCCATCTGGAGTGGAGGTACATCAACTTGATGGAAGGGATGGGTGTATATTTCGCGTGGAAATGTGTGTCAAGATATGACGTCGTGAAGAGTTTTGGAAGTCACACGGCGTATATGCACATCCCGTACCCGCCTCCTTTTTACCTATATGAAATAGCTGGATCCCATCCTCCCTCCGCGTACATCCTGGGTATCCCTCCCCGATGTCGTGTCGTCGTAGGTAGTATACTGTAGCGCGTTGTACTCTATGAGGTGCGCAGATACCCTGTTCTGTTTCTATCTGTCTCCCAGGAGGCTGGTCTGCTGCATCTATATGTTATTTTGTTATCACGGTCTATGTATGTATGTATGTATTGTGGTACGCAAATCATGACTGTTCTGATTCTGCAGCGCTTGATCTCAAGATACAATGAAAGGGCTGTTCCAAAAAAATGTAACCACGCAAAGATCGGCGGCACTCATTTGGCCATCACCGCAGCCGACTTCCTGAACACGTTGAGCTTGAGTATCAGCTGATCGCAGAGACCTTCGACTGTGTCGATGGAGCGGATGAGGGTAGCGAGGCGTGGAGATGCTGATTCGACGGTGACGGTGTCTAGAATCTCAACTGGTTTGCCTTTATACGTGCTATAAGGGATAAGGCAAAAGATCAGACAAAGGCCATGACGAACCCAAACGCAATAGGACGATGCGGGACACGTACTCGAGCTTCAAGTTCCTGAACTTGCCAAGGATCTTGCTTTGTATCTGAAGTGGTATGCCGGACTGGTGGTAGTTGAGCGCGTAGATGGAGACAACCACATTGGATTGCATCACGTGCAGGTCTACCACGAGGTCTTCGGGGAGATCTGGTGCAAATGCCTGAGGAATCAAGAGGATAAGTGCGATGTATAAGCATGGCACAGCAGCAGGTCACACGGGACGCAAACGGCACAGGAACATACCGTCGCATCCCCTTCCCTAACAGGAAAGATATCCGCGTCAGCCACACGGCACAGCCCAGCCTTTGCGCTCTTCATATGCTTGCTCACACGCCTCAGTGCCGAATGCAGCTTCTCGCGCTTGACATGCCGAACTTCCGCGAGCTGCAGAATGATGTCCAGCGATGCGATGAGGTGGTTGCGCGCGGAGGATACTTGACGGAGGAAGGTGGGACGTGCGGGGTTGATGGTGACTTTCACGGCGTTGCCGCGGTTGTAGTGCGGGAGTTTGAGGGTGAGATCCTGTAGAGAGATGGGAATGGTGATATGAGCGTTTGTTCGTTGGGCGGACTTCGGGTGGCATGAGGCCACTTACGCCTTTGATGACCGACGCCCCATCGATCGTGAGAAATCCTTTCACGAGGTCACTGCTACAGACGATGATGAGGATGTTAGTAACACATTTGTGGAGGGGTGTCGCGGCTTGCGAGGTATCGACGTACTTTGCTGATGTGATCGCTAATGTTGCTGGTGGATTGACTGGTTGCGAGGGTGGTGCTGCGTCAAGAGAAACTCGGTCAGAAAGAGCAATAACGGTAGAAGGATGGCAGCCAATTGTCTCTGAACTCACTTGGCTCCTGCGATCCAAGACTACAGCTCAGCCCGGTCTGCCAACGCGAACAGCAAAAGATAGCATGACGTGAGACCTCCGATCGTCCCCAATTTGCATGCAATACGGCGGGCGCCACGTACGTTGATGATGGACACGATCTCGGTTATGAGTGGCGGCGCTTGAGTCTCCATGAGCCATTTCAACTCTGCGGCCTAGGAGGAGACAAGACCAGACGGGGACACATCAGTGAAAACTTTCCTGGAATTGATGCCTAGCGATCTTCAACACCCATCACAGTCGCAATGCATCATTCGGTCTCCTCGTTCCCTTAATCGCACGTTCCTCCCATTTTCATCCATATCCCAACCGCACCGACACATCACACCACGCCGCATCACTCACCATCAAATCCTGTTCGCTCATGACAACGCGCAGCGGTAATCCACCAGCAGGTACGGAGGTCGCCACGTACAACATGGTTAAGAGACAACCGAGGTATATAATAGAAATAGAGTGCGCGTCGTAGAATACAGATGGCTCTTGACTGCTGTCGGTTTATTGGTCGATGGGTCCGCAGTGAGGCGAATGGAAGTGGGGACGGGCTGGTTCGCACGCTGGCTTTATACTGCCTTCGCTCCCAACGCGGCTTGCTGGGTAACGATGTCGGTGATTGAGTGTCCCGCACTTGCGGCTCTAAGCCGCCTTCACTATATTGCGCCTGCAACTACGGTTTCTATGCCGGGCCTCGAAGGTAAGGTTGGGCGGTCGAGGTTCGCAAGGAGACGTCTTTGTCTGGCCGTTTGTTGCCTATTCTTAGGTATAGGTATGTGTGCTATTGTTCGGGGCACAAGATCCAGCAGGAACAGCTAGTCGGCCGTATACTTTGCTGTTTTCGGCGTGTAGTCTTTGGCCAAAGATGGGCCTCCCTCGTTTCCAGAGCTGTTCTCCCTGCAACAGCCTACGCCTTTCACAAGAACGACTGCAGCCTGCAAGCGGCGACAAGGTTCGTCAGCGATATGGCGGGTGAATCGCCACTGATAAACTGTACAGTATATCCGCACCTTCGCTGCGATGGGTCGGTCCCCTGGGTATCGGCGTCCGCTGAACTATGAGCGTTTTCACAAAGAGTCAAGGCTGAGGGGATGCTTTGAACAGGGTTGGGCCCTGAAGGGGGTTCGGAGGGCGAAGGCGTGTGAAGGGCGACTGCTGGAGTGTGAGGCGGAGACGTTTGTGAGGGTTACGCGGCGCCGCTGAACGGCTGAATGACCAGGACTCGCAGACAGACGCGTACGGCCTCGCAACTCCGCCTTCCTTCGTATTGTCTCGCCCGCTCTCGTTCGGGCTTGCTGTTCCCGTCGTTAAGCTGCTATCCCATTCACCGCAGATCCGTAAACCAAAGGCATATATGCTACCTTTTTGCAACGAAAAAACTTCTGTCAATCCTCGCACCGGTCGGATTTGTTGGGTTTGTGATGTAACGCTCGGAGGTCGACGGCAGGTCAAGAGAGGTCGGAGATTCCTACAGGCAAGGTAACGAGTGGCGTTGGAGGACTACATATTGCCACTCTGCTTTTATATACTCCTTGAACCGCGCCACAAGTTCATACAGAAGCTACAGGTGGGATCGATGCGAATGCACCCTTGCTTCACCACCCCTCGCAGATCAGCGCACCCAAACAAGCATAGCCCTCTTCTCGTCCTGGCTGTCCCTCATCCAGGAACGTCATCGTCATCTTCTGCTGACTTTCCCGGGAGAACCTTGTCTTGCATAAGCGCATCTTCATTTGAAAAGGTGATTACGGACGAGACCAAGAGCTTGTCTCGGGATGGCCGAACCCCTTTTAGACTCATTTTAGAGTGCAGACCTTCAAAGGACGTCCACGGACCGCTCCCTTCATCAGAAAAATAGGAGGCCCCAAGATCCACGCTTCTGTTTTTATGATTGAATGTCAGAGCTAAAAGGTGAAGGTTTGGATCGACCGAGCCATGGGGACAAACCAGACAACCAGAGAAACGAAGGGGGCTTATAGACACCGAAGGGGACAAATAATCGTATCCCGCGTCCTCCGCCGGCATTTCGCAGCCGTCGATGACATCAGGCATGGAAGCTCACTGGTTGCTACTAGAACATGCTGATGTATCCCTCCTAGCTCCCAAAGTCCATGTACAGTACGTAGCTCCGACGGCATTATCGTCTTTCCTGTCCGATTCTCATCGTGCTTTGTTCACGACTCCGCCATCCCGCTGTCGCAATGGAGCAGGAAGACAGACAACCCGGACAAACCAGCCAAACTTGCCACTCCACACGCCAACTCGTAGGCAATTGCGTCACTGCTGCGGTCAAGGGTATGGTCGTGTACTTCCACCATATCTCACTGTTCTGGAAGCAAAAGAATGGTCGCGCTCGAGAAACTCCGTTTGCTTACGCAACGGTTTAATGTACATCACGTGAGTGAACGGCCAGGGGAAATGAATTGTCACCCCAGCGCCATCTTCTGCTGCCAAAATTTCGACTTGGGCAGCTATGGTTCGTGAGCCTACTCTTTCGGCTCCTGCATCGTCTCGCTTATATCTTTCGGAGGCTCAGAGCAGCGGCCGGAATTGTGGTGCGCAACTGAAGCAGGGGAAACAAGGCGGTCTGATCTACATACGTACATACATATATACGCTTGGCTTTGACTGCAACGGACAGCTAATCACTCAAGCGGAGTCGAGCCGCTGCAATCATTCTTAGACGTATCAAGCCGAGGAGTTTAACCCTACTCAATCCGCAAACTTCATTTCAAAGTATCATGCCCGCCTTCCTCCGTCCCCGTCCCCCACCACCTCCAGTAACATCTGCGGCCACTTCCGCGGCCGCCGGTAGTTTCACCCCATTATACCCACCACAGCTCGACGGCGAACAACCACCACCATGGACACCTTTCCACTGCCTTCCTATCGAATTCTCCCGCCATATCCCTGCCATTCCGCTACCACGCCCACGACGGAATGCTCTCGTGCCCCGGCCGTCTGTGGAGGAGAGAGAAGAGTAGCCGTTTGATAACGGAATACCATTCTGGGATGGGGACGGAGGACAGGGGCGAGCGATTGGGGATAGGGATACCATATTACGCCTTGTGGGGAAGAGTGGGCAGTGGGATGGAGCAGGTTAGGTGTAGATAGCTCGAGTGGACAGAGGCTTCGAAATGCAGGGATGGGAAAGAATGCGAAGTGGGGGAAGAGCGGTATGGAGCTGTAACTTTTTGAAACGTCAGAGTTCCTATTGGCCGGTGTGTGTGTGGTCCAAGCGATCTCAGATCGACGACGGGACATCTGTATATAGGTCTAGTCTTCCTCTACTTTTATGTAACATAACAGCAGCTGCTCTCGTGTTGCATATGTCGAAGCATCTCCGCCAAAATTTGTATCTACTGCACATATAATATGCCTTCGGGAACATTCGTATGCATTCCTTGTGTCATGGCGTCTTTCGAGATGGAGCTGGCAGCCTCTTCCGCTTGTGAGCAACCATATCTCCCATCTCTTGTTCACGGCCAGCTAAATACATAGTTAACCCAGTGAAGAAGCGTTTGAGTGCCATCATCCCCCGCTGCCGTCGTGCATACTCGAAAGGCTCCACTAACCAGGCCCGGCGCATCTCCTCCGCCGCTCCGCGTACCGTTGGCGTATGGTGACCCCTATTACCTCCGCACAATGGCATCCTCGAACGACCCCTATGTACAATTCCCAACCATGGTAACTTGTTTCGTCCCTGAATCAGCCCTATCATTGATTAGGCAACGAAGCTTTCCAGCGGAGTGTCAACGACGCGTCAGACTATCCACCATTGAGAACCCGCCGTAGTTCGCCAGTGCGCCCATATATATACGCAAAACGGGGCTCGAGACCCCTCTTTGCCCGGTCCGCCCAGTTGCATTGGAACCCTGTTTGGGTGAGGGAGTCCTTCATTATGGACTCCCCGGCGCTGGTGGTTGTCGGCTGGGTCAGCTGGAAAGTTAAGCAAGCAGGCAAGAGCAGCCTTGCTTGATGGTGAGCGTGGCCGGGTGGATGTGAGACCTCCTTGGCCGGCGATGATTGTGTGCACGGTTGCTGACGTTGCGCCGGTAGATGTGCCGGTCTACGGTCTGCTTGACGTTGTGCCTGCTGCCGGGAAGGACGATGTGCCGCCTTGCTTGATGGTGAGCGCGAAGGAGTGAATGTGAGACCTCTTTGACCGGCGATGATAGTATGCACGGTTCCTGGCGTTGTGCAGGTAGGTGTGCCGGTCGTGGAAGTGCCAGTAGCGGCGGCCGAGTGCGTATGCATGTGTGTACAGAGATTCAGCCAACGGCTATGCTTCAAGGCAGGTTTCACAAGCGCTGGGGATGCTGATGGTGATGACGAAGTTGAAGACGTGGAAGGCAGTGGCGGCATCGGTGAGGTCGACGTTGGTGAGTTCAACAAAGTGCCAGTGAGCGGCGATATGCTTGTTACACCAGCTGGAACGGACCGAATGATATGTATATGTAGCTAGTTTGCGTGCGAGTTGCTGCTGAACCAGCTCTGCAATTCACACCGCGTATCGCCTTTCGCTGAAGCAGATCGCAAATAAAGACCCATCTCTACCCTCCTCGTCACGACCATTCCCGCCCAAATCGCCGAAAGATGCAGGAAGGCCCTAAACAGAAGATGCGTTTAGCAAGCCGTATGATGCATAACTGATATGCCGAATCCACGGTAGCGAGGCAGATAGTCAGGGAACATGTTCGGTGGTTGGAGGAGTCGGAAGGGGTGGAGTTTGGAAAGAGGTGCCCGTAGCAGGGGGAGAAGGAGAATTTGTGAGGGTAACGCCCGTAAGGTTGTTGGATGCTTTTGCATCGTTGTCTAGGACGCCGGAGACGACACGGAGGCCATGAACGTCCTCCTGAGTACTTCCGGACCCATTGAGCTGGCATTTGACCTCGTTGAGCTAAATATGTCATAACGGTGCGAACCGGGGTTGCATGGGAAGCCGTCTCAGCGAAATTACTTGTAGCAAACATAACACATCTGAGGCGGGGGTTTGGCTTATATTTTGTGTATATATATTGTTGTTTGGGGCTCTCAGCTCCCGGAGTATGCACATATGTTCCCTCGAAGATCTCATGCTGCCGTCCATCGTCTCCATACAGAAACCCGTCACATTTCCATCATAGGCGGGAATGCCAAGTTGGCGAACCGTCTGTGTATCGGAGAAGGAGGAGAAGGCAGAGAAAGGGATGACAACACTTGGCACGCGCTGGATATGACTTGTCACAAGCCTTCAACTTGTTCAGTCCCAACTCAAAGATTGCGTCCTCGACGCCTTCTCACAACCAGAGACCAGCAACATCCCTTTCATCTTGAGCTCTCAGTACTTGAGTGCAGCCAAGGGCCCCTAACCTCTTCAGCGTTCAAGACAACGTCAGAAACGATTCGCCCTGTTCACGGCCAATCGCGGCTAAACAGCGTTCCCACTCTGTCTTGTCCTTGACACCTCCTAGCACTATGGTGATCTTGGCAAAGCACGAGGCGGCGCTGGCCGCACTCAATAGCGCGGACCCGCAGGAGCGTACACGTGCAGTTCGCTTCATCAAGAACAATGTCATTGGTAACAGGGTGAAGAAGGAGCTGTACTTGGGTCTTGGGGTAGCTGCGCGGTAAGTTCCTATCAGAAGGTGGAAGGCTCTTATGCCTATGTGTTATTATTCTTAAACCCGGCTTTCTCTCTTCTTCTTCCGTGCCATAATGTAGTCTGGTCGAGTTATTATCGGATCCCACGAGCAATGTCGAATTGCGCGCGCAGGTCGCCGTGGTTCTGGGCAGTTTCGCGTACGGGAACGATCGGAATGTCAAGATGCTCGTCGAGGCGGAAGCTATAGAGCCTCTACTCAAGTCACTGTCTACTGGCGACTTGAAACTGACTGAGGCAGGGGCAAGAGCTTTGAAGGCCATATTTCAGAGCCCGGAGGCTCCAAACGAGTTGGTCTTCGAGGTGAGGCCCGTAGTAGGGAAATTGTTTGATATGATCACAAGGTGCTAATGCATTGTTTCCCTCTGTTCTCACAGTCAACCTACCTCGAGGATCTCATACAATTGCTGGTCCCACTGAAGGAGTCATTCCCATGCCATTCACCAGAGCTGCACGCACCGGTTAGAGTCGCTGAGGTGGCGGCGGGAATCCTGGCCAAAGTGTGCGTTACATCCGACGATCAAAAGAAAATCGCAGCCAGTGGCGCCATTCCGCTACTGCTCGCGCTGCTGACACCAGAATGGAACCAGCTTTACCCAAAAGTACAAGAAGCCGCTTTGGACGCCCTAGCAAACCTCTGTCGAGGGTCCAAGCAAATTGCGCAAAACATCGTCGAATCTATGGTCCCTGGCTCGCTTTGTCCGGCCTTGTACTACATGTCAAACCTGATTCGCGACCAGAGACCCGTGATGCGACTTCTGGCAGCGACATGCATGACTCGCATATATCGGACTGGGAAAATGCCCGCAAACCGCTCACAAGAGGCCTATATCACAATTTTGCCGACGCTCATCAAGCTTTTCTCCGACACTGCACCAATAAGCACTCTCTATGGATCCGGGTGGGCGACGGTGCAAGAAAAAGCACCCCGAGTGTTTGCTGATCTTGTCGAAGCTAGCGAGGACTTACAGAGGGCCGCTCTGGAAGCCGATGCGATTTCGAGGCTGGCTGCGGTTATTATTGCCCAGAACCCTGGCGGAATGGCGAATGGGAAGGAGGCGGATGATGGAAAGACAGGGAAGACGAAGCCGAAGAAGGAGCAGAAGCGCAAACTCTCAGCACCGGCGGAGTCTCCTCCTGCGGCTCCAGCCAGGAAGACGGCAAGCTGTGGACATGCAGAGAGAGTCTTAGAGGCTGCGCTCAAAGCAATTGCTGCGGTTTGCTCCCTCAAAGAAGAGTGCCGGAAACAAGTGAGTATGGGGTGTTTCCCGAGGAGGCTTGCTTTTGACGGGTTCAATGAAATTGACAAAATGACATCAAACCTTCCAGGTTATCGACGCCAAACTCCTTCCTCACATTGTGAAGGCCATGTCGCATCCGAACCACAGAGTCCGCTGTGCCGCGTGCGATTGCACACGGTCTTTGTCAAGATCCGTGAAGAATCTGCGCACGTCTCTCGTCGACGCAGGAGTAGGGTTGCCAATCTTCAAACTTCTTTATGATGAGAGCGAAAAAGTACAGCTCACCGCGTCTGCCACCTTGTGCAACATTGTCATGGATTTCTCCCCGATGAAGAAAACGGTGCTTGACAATGGGGGCGTTGAGCGCTTGATTGAGCTGGCGCGCAGCATGGATGGCCATTTAAGGTTGAACGCTGTCTGGGCTTTGAAGAATCTATTGTATCAGGCCGATAGTGACATCAAGGAGAAGGTCATGAAAGGTTTGGAGTGGGACAGTCTCATGTGGTGAGTTTCCTGCGCATATTGCAGCCTTAGCGCCCCGGTCAAATGCTCATATCCATAACTGACAAAAAGTCCATTGACAGCTTGATCGCCGACCCGGAGGTAGCCATCCAAGAACAAGCCCTGAATCTCTTACGAAACCTCGCATGTGGGAAGGAAGCCGACATCGAGCAAGTCTTTCAAGGGCTCGGGGAAAGGAGACTCTTGGACATTCTCGAAACCAAGCTCTCGCAGTTCCCTGCAAATGAGGACCTGGTCTTGCAAGGGCTGTACGTCATCGTCAACATATCCACGGGAAATGACCGGCATAAAGCCGCCATTATGGGCCGGGACCTACTGCTGCGGAGTATATTGCGTTTTATGGTGAGTCCGCCGAATAAATAAGAGGCGACCGCTTAGAGCCAATACGGTTACCGACGCTCACACCATTGCCTGATGTCACAGACATCTTCTAGCTCCAACATCCGCCTCGCAACCGTATGGTGCGTCATTAACCTCACTTGGACAGATGATGCAGGCGCGTCGGATCGCACGGAACGCCTCCGCCAACTCGGTTTCGTCCCAATCCTGGAATCAATGGCCGACGACCTCAACATGGACGTCAAAGACCGCGTCAAAACCGCGCTGGCCAGTTTCGGTAGTTCCCAGCTGCCCGGGTCCTATCCAAGCACAGCCACCGGAACGCACCCTGCCATCCTCGACCCGCATTCCAGTATGATGGACATTAGCGGTGGGGTCGCAGGGAGCGGCATACCCGTCCATGTTCCTACGGGCGTGGCGGCTACGTCGGCGAGGAATCGGAGGGAGTGGGAGCGGATATCGGATAGAGGAAGTGAGGGAGGGTCCAGCGCGGGAGGAGGTACAAGTGTTCTGGGCAACCTGAATCAGGGATGAGGAGCTGTTTCTGTTGGCTGTACATATACGTTCGGAACAGGGTGTCAATATCATTTTCTGAAAGCGCTCTATCCTAAGTAGGCCTGGAGTTGCCTTGATGTGACAGGCCTTCAAACGTGCGCAGGATGTCCATGCTTTCTTTGTTGGCTGGATGGCAGTTAACTCATGGCCAATGCGGGAGTTTACTGTACGTAACAGTTCTAGCCTTTGACGATATTCGACACCGCGATTCGGCTCCGGTTGGAACTGCGTAACTGCAGCAGCCCGCCTTATGCATTGCCACGGCTCTGAGATGTGCTACATTTCTTTATTCTTTCCCTTTGCGAAAGGATTGATCACATGTATGCCCTACGCTTCCTTTCTTGCGACTACCGCCGCCGACGTTCAGCCGTTCGTTTAGGCAGTTTGTCAGGGTGTCGATATATGAGGTTTCAACCATACATTCCACACATCAAGGATATCATTCGTAATCGATGCATAAGGGTCGGCGATCGTGGTCGTCAACAGAAATCTGCTCCCAGGAATCGATCCCCATGTTCAATCTAACTTATCGAATCCCAAAAAGTAAACAGCGATTATATCCTGGTGCGGATGCCGTGTGATGGTGATTGTAGCAGCCAAAAGTACCGTGATAGAGTGTGCGGTTCTGTGGAGTGATGTGAGCCGAGGAGTGGCGGTGACAGGGCGGCGGCTGGGAATGGCGCCGCGTCCACCAAATATCTCATCGGGCTTTTCAATGGAACCGTCCGGCATCCAGTATGCACACCCCTAAGCAGCGAACACCCGATGTCTTCCTCATCGAAGCCACGTTCGACGCCCATACAAGACACCGAACTCTTGCGTCTGATCTCAGGCTATATCCTCTGTCCATATTCCGCCGTCCTATGGCGCATCCGAGTGAACCCCATTCGCAGCGCCTGCCTCGCGTACTAAAGCTTCAATATCCGCCAAGACATCAAACCGGCGAAACCCGCGGGCAGCAGACAACGCATGATTCAGCACGAATTTGCGATCCACGAGATTCAGATGTGGGCTGCTCGCCACTCGAGACAGTGTTTGGAGGAGTTTGATCCGATTGTAATCTGCGAGTTCGAAGGGGTCGCCCTGTGAGTACCGCGGGGGAAACCGTATATGGGCATCGGTGCTATGAAGGGGAGGATTTGTCTTACCTTTGGGCACCGCCGCGAACGCTTTATGCACCATACGCCTGACATCCCCCTTGGAGTCCCATCGACCCCAGGGCTGCGTTACTTGGTCTTCATGTCTTAGTTGCATGCTGTCCACCGGTGACCCGTTCGTTGAGTCAGTCGGTGATATAGGTTCCATTCCGGACATAATATGGGAGTCTTCGGATATCTGCCCATCGTGTGGCGATCCAAGCACATTGTTTTCCTTGTTGAAATCCAGTCGCGGATGACTCGGCGGTGGAGATATGTCCCTCGGATGCATACCGTTTGCCAAATCAGAAGATATGTCGGAATCCGATCCATGCGTCAGATCGTTCGTAACCCCGGTCATCCACTCGCCGATGCGCTCTACTGTGCTATTTCGCCGAAAGTCTCTTCTGGGAGCGGCTTTAGGCGCTGTTGTAACGGGGCTACTGCGTTCCTGCACCGCATTGAGTTTCGTGGCGAGCGTCATAGCACCGTCTTTCTGGCGCGTTTGATATTCTTGTTCCGCAAGCCGTCGTCTGTTCTCCATGTCTTCGCGGATACTGCCTTCCCTGATCTTCGCCCATTCCGGAGCAGGCGGAACGACGAGAATGGGTGCAGGTGAGGGCGATAACCGAGGGACGCGATTGAATTTGAAAGACCTCGTGGACGTGGTGGAAGAAGCGGAGCCTGCCAGTAATGCACGTAACCGCCGTCGTTTTCTTGTTGAGGTAGCCCCCGTGTTTCCAGATTCGCCACTTCCACGGGAGGTAAGGGACGCAGCATCCTCGTCATCAGGAGCTTCGACATCCACTTCCATCTGGGACGCTTCGTCTTCTTCGTCAATGGACACCTTCTTGTCCTGTCGGTACGGGTTGCCAAAAACATTCTTGTCCCGTCGTTTGGCAACTTCTTCGTCTTCGAGGGGATCTCGCTGCCGCTGCTGTTTATGCATTCGAGGAGCGTAATTCCCCATTTGCGATATCGGCAGTGAATGTAACCGGTCCTCCTCCTCCTGGGAGCGGTGTCCGGGCCCAAACGTCGTTGATCCTCCAGGTCCAAGGCTGGCTTTGAAGGCGCCTCGAAGATCTGACAAAGCGGAGAGCAATTGATCCCGTGGCACATCGAACGGGTTCGTCGGTAAAGATTCAATAGTTTTGCCCTTTGACGTCAGTGTCGGTTGTGCAGTGATAGCCAGACTTCGCAGGTGCTGGAGAGATTTCTGAGTCTCCTGAGCCATCAGGGTTGCTTTAGCTACCGTTTCCGAATAGTAATCAGCAATGTGCGTGTTGGGCTGGACCAAAACGTCTGGCGGCCACAAATGCATCAAGTCTATTTGCGTAAACGCTTTCCGTAGCGGCTCGCGATAGTATAATGGTACCGAACGAATATAATCCGCAATGTCGCGGGCTGTGTTTGCCGCATTGGCCAATTTGGTCGACCCTTTTCTCCGCAGATCCAAAATGGCGGAGAAGAGCCATGGAAAGTTGTATGGCATCAGATACATGCTGACAGTCTTACTACTCTCGCTGTACTTCAACGTTCCAAAAGGCTCCCCGAAACCGCTGGTTTGGCCACTCCCTTGCACATAGAGAGTCCAGCTGATTTTTTCTTTCTGCTTCATCAAGGCTTGTACAATCTCACTCCGTTGATCAATGCTATAACGGTCGACTGGGAATCCTTCAGGAATGGGATATATGTCATCCTTTCTCGTGTAGAATATTGTTGGATGTGCCGTACGTTGAGGTATCGATAATGTGTTCGTATTCGGGTCTGGTGCAATTGCATCCGGCCAGTAGGCTTCCGGTATAGGGAAGTGACGAGTTGATGATTTTGTTGAGTGAATCATGAGAGCCTCCACAGTTGTTGGTTTGTTTCCTGCTGTAACGGGGCTTTCCACCATGTTGACCAGAACCCCCTCCGCGGTACACACCGGGGCGAGGGGATGTACGTTCGGGTGCTTAGAATGCATGCAGTTGTCGATGCAATGCATTAGATATCGCACGTTCGGAATCTGCCACCACTCCCCCCGCATCACAGTGCTCATTTGTGGAAGTTTGTTTAATGGATCGACGGTCGGAGTCATCCATAATGTGAAGAGCCGTTGGTCCCATCGAAACGGTTCAAAGTAGAACTCCTGACCCGGCGTCTGGAGCCGTGGGATGTGCAGTTCGTCTGATAGGACCCATTTGTCGCGCAGTTTTTCAGAGTAATGTCCTCCATCCGTGAACCAGAAAATGTTTGTCGTTTCAGCATCAGCCGGATATCTCCCCTAAAAGCATCAACCATCAACCTGTGAACTCCGCCGTATGTTTCGCGTCCGCGCGGCAGAGGGTTCCATACGCACTTTTCCAATGTTATCAAAATTGTTCCTACGCCTATATGCATCGAGGTACTCGAATACTTTCGCAAAGGTCGTCCCGGCGGTGGACAGATCTGTTGCTTGCAGCATCTTGACTTCCTGCAGCAGAGTTTGATCGTTGTCCGTATCGAGAAGCGTCTGAAGCACCGTAAAGAAATCAGCATCGGGTTTGCCTTGCGTGAATACTCGACACCGGTGCATCTCTGAACGATCCATGTCGCATCCTAAAACGCCTGATGAAACTCCGATGTACCTTATAGGCTTGGTCTGCATACGTAACCAGCATGTACTTGTTGTTTGCTCTATTCGATGACATATGCTCCCACTTTGAAACGCAGTTGGCCAGGCGGTGAAAGAAAAGAAAACGGTATAAGGAAACAGCAGATTTCGCGGGTCACCAGGAAGAACAAAGACCCTCGACGGCCCCCCCCCCCCCCCCCCCCCCCCCCAGGCTTGCTGAGTATGTGCATTATTTACGACCGCATCGCACCTTAAAGAAGTGCTCTACGCCAGATTTCGCACATTCCAAGTACGTCAAGTTGTTGGAAAACAGACCATTCATGGACGCGCTCGTGTCGATGATGAAAACGAAGATCATTGCGGGAAAACTCTTCCTAGGCCCTAGTCGACGTCGTTCCTGGGAATATTGATCCTCCTCTACTACCCAGGCTTGACCCTTGGCTCGTGGGAACAAGGTGTACGCTCGTCAGCTGTGATAATACAAAGCACGGAATCCCAAGGAATATGCCTTCTGCTCCATCAAAATCCACAGACGCAGGAGACACTATCGATCTATGAAAGAGAGTTCCGCCCACTATCTACTGACTCCCTCCTTGCACGACAGCTCCTCTGCACATTGCACCACGTAGTCAAATCAATGACCGCCCGAGGGAGTTTGAAAATTCAAACCGTTTCCCCGAATGCGGCTTTTGCACTTTTAATCTGAGCCTACTCACGTGACTTGAGAGAAGTTGCAACTTAGATGCCGTTCTATATGCGCGTCATTCTTCATCACGCAGCTAGACTTTCATGCTGCACCTCATTCCATCCCAACACCGCCGCCCAACGTCGTCATGTCGTCCCGGATAGCAACACCCTACAGCAAAGTCTTCCCGCTCTTGGCTAGGCGTTCCACTGTCTCACGCTTTCCGAACGATCGCCGCACATCCTTCCTCCCACGATCGCGACCCACGAACACTTGCAAACGGCGAACCTACGCGTCCAACCCATCCCCGGCCCCGCTCCGGAAAGAAGTCGAATGGCCGGTATGTGTATAGCTTCTGCACCTTGGTCTCTATCTCCCGATATAGGAAGATGGATCTTCGCCCCTTAGGCTAATTTTAACTGCCCGGTCTTCCTCGTAGGCGACATCCCCTTTCAAATCGATCGCAGAAGACCTAATAGACTTCTCATGGCGCGCCTGGCTCAAACTCTTCATCGTAGCGAGTTCGGGCATCACGCTGGGATCCCTTGCTGCAATACATGGTTCTGCGTGGTTAGCGCAACTAGGCATATTTGTGTATGAGCCGGACGATGACGACGACGACGACGACGCGGACGACAACGGAAAGGAGGATGGACCGGAGGGGAAGAAAAGCGAAGAGGAAGTGAAGAAGGAACGTCAAGCGCAACATACGGCGGAGTTGGCATCTCTATTTGGTGATTATCGGTTGAACGTCGCGTTCAATTGGACAAATGCAGATGGTAAGTGGGCCTACGCATGTTTGCTACGATGGAACCTGCCGCCTTACTCCCTCCACTTTCATCAGTGACGTACATAACACTGGCCAAAGAGAAGCTAGCCTCGGCATTAGCGGAACTCGATCAAGTTATGGACCAGAAAAATCTGGACGATCTGGACAACAGGGAGACGGAACTCGTTCGCAAGTTTTTGAAGGACGCCGTACAGATATTGCAGCTGAGGGAGCAAGCAGCCAGAGACAAGCAGGATGGCGTGGAGCAAGGAGGGCGGCCGAGAAGCCCGTGGTGGAAGAGGATTGTGGGGCATTGATGAGAAACAGTATAGAAAGTGATGGAGAGAGGAACGTTGAGCGAACCCTCCCATCGCCCGTGTACCAGAATAGAATTTTGGAGACCTTCTACCGCGTTTGCATATTGGGACCGTACAGCCGTTGTCTATCGATTGGACACCTTTAACACTCACGCCGTTCGTGACCGAGCCAGCTGCGATGTTTTACTACACGGGCCATGTTAGGTACATATACTACAGATTATAGTGATTGATTGACCAGAAACCTGCCCCCCTATTCCTGCGCATCCGCCGCTTCGCTAGGTGGTGCCCGTCGACTCAATCCTTCCTGGGATTCACTACTTGGCGCAGCTGTTTGTGCGACCTCTGAAGCTGGTAACGTTTCAGAAACCGGTGATTGCTCCTCCACCGCGGCCGGCGGGTCGGGAACAACAGGCCCACTCGCCCCGGCCATACCACCCACACCCCCATGTGGTCTCCGCTGCTGTTGCTGCACGAGCGCCTGCTCTCTCGCCAGCCTCTCCATACCCCTCCGGATCTCCTCCTGCCGTCTCCGCAACACGCCTTGCCGCCACGCCAGGAGGGCGGCGGCTACCCCACACAGCATGACGATGATGAAGCTATCACTGGCTCCCGCCACTCCAAACCCGTCATCATCCAGCCCGCCCGCATCTTCTCCGAACCGTTCCAGGAAATCGTCGTACTCGTAATAGTCGTCCCACGGATTATGCTGTTGTTGTCGATGAGGCCGCGGCTCACCTTCGCCCGTCTTTCGATTCGCGCCACCCATAACCGCATCATTCGCGCCGCCGCCGCCGCCGGCAACAGGGTCAAAGTCCATATGTTGCACCTCATCCCCGCCCAAAAAGCTCGGAAACGATACGCCCGACCACAACCCGCCGTCCTTCACCCACCGCCAAAACATTTTCAGCCTCAGCTTCGCCAGGGCCAGGTTGACGGGCAAGTACGCCTCCGGATTTGTGACGAGACAGCGGTCGTAGAAGCGTTTGGCGAGATGGTAGTCCTGGGCTACGCCGATGCCCTTTTCGTGCATCCAGCCAAGGTTCCACATGGCGATGCTGGAGAATTCGTTGTCGGCGGCTACTTGGTAGTACACCGCCGCACGCTGGGGATCGCCTTTCGTGTGATGGTGCGTCGGCGAAGGGAAGAGGGACGATATATATCCGTTCAGGGTGTCGATGATGTCCTGGACGAAGGAGCGGCTGTCTTCTGGATCAGTGACGGGCGCCGTCTCCGGTTCAGCTGCGGACTTATCTCCGTCGGTAGGGGTAACGCCATCTTTGGCAGTGGTTTCCGTGGTTTTCGCTTCCGCCGCTTTCGGTACGCCCTGCCCGTAGTAGTAGTAATCGCCCATTTTTACCCGAGCGTTAACGTTGCCCTGGTTGGCTGCGCGGTTCCACAGGTACAGTGCGGTCGAGTGCGCGTCGTAAGGCTGAACGTCGGTTCTGTCCGACTTCTTTGTCGCGTGAGCGGGAGGTAAAAGTGCACCTGTTTTCTCTGGATTGTAGTATCCTGCCGGGGTGAGGAACAATCAAATCCACCGCGTTAGTCTTCCCGTTCCGGTCCGATGAATGTCATGATTTTCTCCGGGTTTCATGCTACGAACCTCGATCGATGATCCACGCAGCATTGGTCTGCGCCACTTCATACCCTCGCTCAGCTGCGAAAAGATACTTGATAAATGCCCCTTCGTAGTCCCCGGTACGGAAGTCCTCCGGTGCGGCATGGATGGTTGGATCGTGCCAATCGCCTTTCTCCGCGACGCTCTTATAGTACTACAGGACAAACTCAACCGTCAGTTCTTGGATATATAACACGAGTCTTCTTGCGAATGGCAGAAACGACACCCACCAAAACAGCGACGTGGCAAGTCGGCGCGGGCAGTCCGTATCCATACTCATGCATTTCGCCCAAATGGTACAAAGCCACAATGTGGCCTTTATTCCGGGCGGCATTGAACCAGCTCATCGCGTTCTGGTACTCTGCTTTGCCCCTTGCAAAGTACATTTTGCCCAGCCGGACTTGTGCATCCGCGTGGTCTTTCTTGGCTGCGAGGTTGAGGTAGCTTAGGCCTTTTGCGGGATCCTAAGATGACAAGTCAGGGTCAGTCCATGTGCTATAACGGGAGCAAATAAAACCACGAAAGAGACCTACCCTCGGAACACCCAGCCCCTCAATATACATAACCGCCAGCCCATGCAGACAGACCCCATTCTCATCCTCAGCACCTTTCTCAAACCACTTCCTCGCAGCATCCAGATTCACGTCCACACCCTCGCCGCGCCAATACATCTGCCCAATGAAGCCCATCGCAGACGTCGCGGCGTCGCGGACGGTCTGGGGCGCCTCCTCGCTGCTGCCGCGGGCGGGTTTGAGGCCGGGATGCTGGCTGGCGACTTGGCGGAAGTAAAGCATGGCTTTTTGAAAGTTTTGTTTAACGTTGTAGGAGCCGAGGTAGAATAGCTGGCCGATTAAGAGCTGGTTGGGAAACACAAATTTGATTGTTGGTTGACTGCACTCTGTTATTGCGCGTGCATGCTAGTAATACCTGTGCCAACGGATCCCCTCCATCCGCCTGCAACCGATAGTACTGCAAAATGTCCTCAGTGCTCATAGCCCCGCCCGATCTACCGCCCGACCGCAGGTTCGGGTCCCCGGTTCCACTCGCGCCAAAACCATAGACACCACCATCCTGATCCGGCAACCGCATCTTCGCAAGCGGCATGGCTAGCCCACCAGGTGGTCCGGAATTGAATCGTTCGACAGCTGGTTTCAGGAGGCCGAGATGAGAAATGGGAACGGATGTCTGGACGGGTGCTATAAAAGAACAGTACCTTTTTCAGCGACGCGCCTGTAGTAAACCACGGCGTCGTCACAGTTGCGCGGCGTAGCGATCCCCATAAGGTGCCAGTATCCGAGCGCCTGCTCTGCGATCGTGTCGCCTCCCACAACTGCGAAGCTGAGGTAAAGAAGCGCCTATTCCAGCCAAGCCACGGTAAGCCAATGTAGCCCCGACTTCATCCGTCATGCTACTGTCGACATCTGCGTACCTTCGCGTAATCTCTCTCAACTCCGATGCCTGTAGCATACATCAAACCCACTTGCCGTTGTCCTGCCGGCCGCCCCGTATCATGCGCAAGTTTCGAGTAGTAATTGAAGGCTCTGCTAGCGTTTCGCGGATGCTGGAATACCCCATACTACCAACGTTGCCTATCAGCAACCCTTCCTCTCCATCATAACAGCCCCACTGCTTACCAGAAGCATGTCTCCCATTATCTCAACCGCCCCGTCATGCCCATCATTCGCCAACGCCCTCAAAACCCTCAAAGCCTTTGTTCTCTTCACAGCCCAGGAATCCCCCTCCTCAATCCCCGGCAACGCCGTCCACGAGACATCCTCATCTCCCGCTTCCTCCCCCACATCCCCTTGCTCGCCGTCAGAGTCGACATGGGCGAGAATGCGCTGTCGGACCTCGTCGACGAGCTCGCCTAAGGGGCCAGGGAGGACGTTGCCGATCACGGCGTTGATGGCGGTTTGGAGGAGGTCGCCGTTGCTGCTGTCTGTGGGTGTGCGACGGGATTTGCGGCGGGCGAGGGATTTGAGGGTTCGGAGGGTTTCGTTGAAGGTTGCGTTTCGTTGTTCTTCCAGTGTGGCTTTGTTGGCTAGGATGGGTTTGGACGCATGGTAAGCAAGTTAACCGTTGGTGTTGAGCCTCGTCGATACCCGGCAACCATTGGACGCAACCATTGGATCCAACCAGTGGGCGTTAGACCGAGATGGCAGCACTCACCTTCCCCGGCCACATTTTCCTCCTTCGCACCCTCTCCCATTCCTCCTGAAACAGTATTTTCCAACGCCTTCCCCGGCCCGTCCGCATCACCATTCAACACCGCGGGGGTATCGACCGGCGCATCCGCTCTTACGATTGTGACCGCAACGAACCATACAAAGACGAGGGCAAACACTGTTGAGAGTAGCCAGTAAGCAGATGGACAAAATATGTAAGAACATCATAGGCATGCGGTCCACGTCATCCTCGAAATGCTGCAAGATCAGTTACGGTGCTTACCGAAGGTTTGCTTGGAGAGGCTTCGTTTACTTGAGTGGACCCTCATGTTCCGGGATAGCGATGGGATACGAAGAGGGCGGCCGTATCTGCTCCTAAGGACTAAACTTAAAACTATTCAATAGCCCGCAAATTGTGTGGTTGTCTGCTTGTCAAATGCGTAAGGATCGTGTGAACTTTTGAACGGCCGCACCTTGTCATGTCGCGTCAGGGAGGCATCGATGACATGTTCGCCAGCGTCCAGCTTCCAACATCAAGGCAATAGAGACAGATAATTACAATTGACCAATACAAAAACAAAATAAGCTATCAAACAAGCCCAAAGACTACTCTATGCATGGTATGGGAGTTGATGAGAGGAAGAACCAGCGAGCTGGGAAACTAGGGTGGATGGTGTGTGTGGGTTCGGGCGAGTGGGTTCAACTACAAGTGAGGGCGAGGTGTGTCAATGTTCCAAGACCGGGTCAGAATCTAAGACCGTGCTTCTGGCTCGACTGTGACTCCACGCTTGATGGTACCCCATCCGATCAATCTGATGAAGAAAACGAAGTTAGTGCATGCCCACCCCGATGCTACTTGTTCAACAACAGCAGAGACATATTACATACCGCCAATGCTTCTCAATACGCCTGGAAAGCGCAATCTTCTCCCCAATCTCCGTGCACGCGGGCGTGTTCAGTAAGATCTTGGCCATGTCAGCCTTGACGCTGACGACACGACCTCCGGTAGAGGTCGAGCCGATGTTGACCATGAGGACTTCGTGACGGGCGAGCTTCTGGACCTTTGTGCGCTTCTTGTCGTCCGACTTGACACCGAGGAGTTGGCGGAGAAGGAAGTAGTTGATTTCGAGCTCGGTGTAGATGGCAGAGAGCTTGCCGACGGCGCCGAGTACTTGGCCGACGAGACGGTCGGCACGGCAGAGTGTAGGGTCAATCAGTGTTCCGACACCTATAATGATGTGTTAGTTTGCGTGAAAACTCAAGGGATACGGATTTGCAAGATGCACCCACCAATGAGACCACCAGGGACGGCAAACTTTAGCTCGTTGTTCTCGGCGTGCAGGGACACAATCTTGGAGTAGATAGGCTTGCAGCTGACCTTGCCCTCGCTGTCCTTTGTGACGATTCCAGGACGGACCTCAACCTCATCTCCGAGCTTCAGAACACCGCACAGAATACTTCCACCAGCAACACCACCCTTCAGATCGTCAACCTCGGCACCAGGTTTGTTGACGTCGAATGAACGAATGACAATCAACCGTGGGTCGGCGGAAAAGTCACGGACGGGGATGGGGATCTTGCTGACGATGTATTCGTTGATGGCGTCGATGTTGTACTTCAGCTGGGCGGAGATGGGGATGATGGGTGCGCTATCGGCCACAGTTCCCTTGACGAACTTCAAGATGCTCTCGTGATGTTCCTCAGCAGCGGACTCCTTGATCAAGTCGACCTTGTTTTGCAGAATGAGAATGTGTTGCAGTTTCATGATCTCGATGGCGGCCAAGTGTTCGGATGTCTGTGGTTGAGGGCAGCTTTCGTTCCCTGCAATCAAAAGCAGTGCGGCGTCCATGACCGCGGCTCCGTTCAACATTGTGGCCATAAGAATATCGTGCCCAGGGCAATCAACGAAGGACACATGTCTAGAAATTCATTTGTAGAGCGTCCGTTAGATCCCCGCTCGTCCTAAAGAACGTCACCGAGAGAGGCCATACCTCAGAAGCCTCATGCGGCCCATGCAGCCCACGCGATCGCACGCAGCTCCTTCTGCCGTGTCACTTTTGAAGGATCGGTAACATCCGGGACGAGGGCAAGCGTCGTTATCGCATTTGAAGATCTAAAAATGGGCGGAACGAGTGCGAAGATAGTCGATGAGCATCGGGTTGACTTCAACTCTCATATGTTCTCCGAGCATCACATTCTGAAAGCTCCGAAGCCATCTGCGTACTGGTAGCTTTGCCAAAATAGTTTCATGGGGCATTCCGACTGGTGAGGTGCTGGCAAGTCGTCTCCTCATGGCTCAGGAAGTTCGGCAGTTGAGAAGTCCTCCTCAGATTCTCCGTCAGATTAGCAAGCTCACCTTGGCATTCGCATAACCGAGTTTGATGGTAATGTTGCGGACAAGCTCGTTTTTGAAGCGAACAGTTTGAACTCCCGAAATAGCTTTCACTACAGTCGACTTTCCGTGTGCTACGTGCCCGATGGTTCCTATAACACGCCAAGGAGAACAAGTCAGCAGCGGGAAAGATGTTCCGAACGCCCTTCTGACAGCTTCTTCCCCAGTACAAGCGCTGCCCTGCGAGTCCTTCGCCCAGACCATTTTTCCTTCCGATATGATTAGAAGACACTGTTCTGTGATCTCCACGGGCCATTCCAGGTGCTGATCTGACTTCGACTGGTCCTCGGCCAGCACCAAAAACTCCATCCTTCGACTTCACGAGCGCACTCATTCCTACCTATGTTGATTGTTGCCTGGTTTGCAATGACCTCGGGGGAAAGTGGGTTGAGAGAAGCGTAGTCTAACTCGGCGGCCGCCATACTGGAGGATTTTGTTGAGTAAATGTTATTCGTGGGAGAGGGTAGTTGTGTCGTCGACGTCGGGCGGTCCTGTGCGCTAAGAGTTCACTGCTGTTTACTCTGGGAGTCGAGCTTTCCAAGGTAAACGGGGTGTACCGAAGTGGCTGCTGTGAAGTGTTGCAATGGGGGTCCTAATCTCGAAAGCCCGGCGGGAGTGTTTTTCGAGCGTTGGTTGGGGTCTCTTCGTCGGGGCCTGCCTTCTCTGCCTGCCTGTAGTTATAAGTGAGCTGAGTGAGTCAAATGAATTGGTAGGGGAATCACTCACGTGACCATACGCCATAGAGTTATAATCTGGGCAAAGTCCACTGTTGTAAACTGGCTGGACGGTTCGATTCCCCGACGGCTTTTTGCCAGATCGTTTGGGACACTGTCATTTCCGCCTTTCCCGAGGACCGTCGCGACCTGTTCGCGACCACCCCGACACCTCTTTTCTCTCCAATCCTTGTTCTTCCTCGCTTTCGGCCTAACACATAGCAGCACAGGTCTCGTTCCCTGCTCGCAATGCCCTCCTTCCCTTCGCCCCCCTTTCTCCTGGCGCTTCGCGCCGGCAATCCGCTCCTCCCCACCATTGCCCTCGACACACCAACAGTAGCAAAAACATTCCGTTCGCCGACGCTGTCAGCTTTCCAGTGCCATCACCTCTCTTCCTCACCACAGCGCCAATCACCCGAGGCAACACTGCTTCACTCCGCTGGACGGCCTCGCCGCAGGGCTATCCCGACTCCGCCGACATGCACTCAACGCCGTGCAAACATGTACCAGGGAAACCCTAACCAAACGCCTATAAGTCTCAGACCCATCAAGGCGAATATCATCAGTACGTTTCTCTGAAAACTGTGTAGCAGGAGTCTTTTTCTGAGGTTGGAGAGGCTTGGATTGGATGGCCGGAAAGACGCTGAGACCTTGCGTCCCAAGTCAGGGTGTATATCCGGGATGCTTATTCCTCTTACGTCTTCTTGAACAGACCCCGATTTACCGCTTCCATTATCGCGAACACCGTTCCCTATCGCGTTTAACCCACTGCGACTGAACTGGACGAATTTCAAGAACTACGTGTGGCGGCAGGGCAGGCTGCAGTTCAACGATTGGATGAGGTGTGTTTTCGTGATGTTGAGCAAAATCGTGTGGTGTGCGCTAGGGTGCATCACACTGCTGGCGGTCTCAATTCAGATGGATGAGCGGAGATGCCAGGGAATGTTGTCCGACCCTCATCTAATGTCCCCTCTCCCGGTGCGAAATCACATAGCTATTGGAAGATCAACGATAAGGTCTCTGGGCACAAGGCGAAGGATTTGGCCACCCTGGCGGAGCAGAAGTACATTCTGATGAACGAGGCTTTTGCGAGGTAAAACGGAGAAGGACATGCGATTGGAGTGATGGAGGAGCCCGACGGGAACGGGGTGAGGAAGACATTGGCTGATGTCTTGTTTGCTGCGTTTGCGTTTGAAGTGGAGACGAGATTGAGCTTAGCAAACTAGTTGAAGAGTCCATGTTGGCGGTGAGTTCATGCCCTCTGGGTATTCTGGGTACCGCAAGCGTCATTCGAACACGGACTCGCTCCTGACCATGCACTTCCAGACCCTTAGAAAGGAAATCAAAGCCGCAAAAGAGATCGGCGGCTACCGCACGTGGAAGGCGCACGGCAACTTCGGGAAGCCAAAGACTTTGCGCATCTACATCCTCCAGGCCGATCTTGGCCAGGGTAGAATCCGCGAGATTGTCCAGGCTACCGTGAGGGTATCGGTTAAGCAGGTAAGCATCGGATGACTGAGCGTTGTATGGTGTACAGTGGATACCTGCGCAGATGTCATGCTTATGGGAGGCGAGACATGTCGTATCTGTGGCGTCCCTTTGCCGGCACACCAAGCAGCATGCTTCTAACCCACTTTACCGTCTCTCCCACTCTCTCACACACTCATAGTCGATAGTATGGAACGACCACCGAGGGAACCGCATCAGTGGCGACCCCAATGCGGTCAACGACAGGATCACTGAATACATTGTCCTGCAGCGGACGCTACCCACCGCCGATGAGGTCCAGGTGACAGGCAAGCAGAGCAAGACGCAGGGGTGGAAGATTGCGGGGAAGGTGCCTGCCCCATGAGAGGGAGAGGTGGTGGGGTTGACGCCGTTTAGTGCTAATCATTGGGGGAATGGAGTATTAGAGGTAGAAAGGTTGATACCGTAGCCATGCTAGTTCTGTAGCTACCTTGATATCAGATGTGAGCATCGTGAGCACCTACGGCGCACTGTACATAGTAATGTATGTATGCGATAGCTTCTCTCCGAATATGACGGTCGGCTGGAAGAGGTGCACCACAATTAATGCATTGAGACGCAGAGGTATGTGTCATTATTATTGCACAATAGGCAGCAGGGCAGGAATTAGACAACCAGTTCGCACGCCCGAGAGAGGTACTCTTCTAGATGCCTGTGCATTGCCAACCTCATCTGGGTGCTTTCAGAGTCAAACAGTCTACCACAGTACTTAGATAGTAGAACAATTAGCAATTAGTAACTGGCCACCTTCACCGGGGACTAGGCAGCGGGAATTCGACAACCAGACTGTCTGCACGCCCCAGATAGGTACTCTTCTATGACATCTGGCCGCACAGCTTCACAAAAAGGTTCAGTACAGAATCTTCGAAACGCTCGATCCCCACAAATGCGGCGTCGGTCCACAATTTACAACGGCGAGTCCAATTTTGGCATGACCCATAAGTACAAGCGTACAGTCCAACACTCCAAAAAGGAGGTATAGGCTCAGTGGCAGAGCTCCCGATTGCAGCTCGGGCGGTCCTGCGTTCGAATCGCAGTGCCTCCTTTCGTTTTTCATTTTTTTTCGCACTTTCCGTCATCGCGACGAGAGTGGCATGGCATGTGCTTACGTAGTGCTCGGGACTCGGAACAACGCGGTTGTTTTCTCCACTACCACAAAACTGTCCTCCTCACTGGCCAGAGACACATTGCGCAAGATCATCATCGCATTTGCCAAACCTTTTCCCAGTTTCTCCGTTCTCAGCCTTCTTACCAGCGCTCCAAGGCAGTGGCGGGGGTGATACGGATGTACTGTCCGTTTCTCCGTTCTCCGCCGCGCTGGCGGGGCAACGGAATGCAATGGGACGGTTGCCCTCTGCTAATAGAAGAGCTATGACCACTGCCGGCTAGGCCAGGCGTGGTATTTACTGCCGGCAAGGCCAGGCGTAATTGTTAGCTTGACTTTTGGTGGGAGGTATTCTGCCATTGCTTTTTGCGGTGCGGGCATGCCTGCGTAGGAATGCTACTTCTTCCTCACAGAACGTGCGGTACTGTGTGTACACCAAAAACTCGAATTCATTCATACTGCGGGCCGTTATGGACCCGCCGTATTCTCGTTCAATGGGTGAGAGGAGAGACGACTAGAGAGAGCATCCGGCAGATCGATGGAAACAACCTCCTACCTTGCATGGGGACGTCTAGCACTGAATCTGGAGATGCCCTAAAAAACGAGGCTAGCCAGTCACTCTGAAAGCATCATGGGCCAAATTCCCTCTTCACGCCACATTCGCCTCATTCGCCCGCGGTACGCGTACCCTGTCACCTTGTCAAAATTCGACAGCTCAAAGACTGCCACCTTTACAACCGAGTTGGGAGGCGACCGACACCTTTACAACCCAGTTCCTTGAACATATTTCAAAAACCGCCATCCGTCCTAACTCGATCACCTATTCAATTGGAAATCCGTCTTGGTATTTCATACCTGAATTGGTAAGTGCGCCTTGACTTTGGCCTCCGGCGGGTCGGTTGCGCCTACTGGACTGACACTTCTGATAAAAGTTGACGGCTCAAACGCACACCGCCCTGCACTTGACGGCTTCAAATCAGACGACCGTCGCATCGCCATCTGGTGCAGAGTTTCTCCCACTTGGTTGTAAGCACAGAAGATTTGACTTTCGCTACAAGGTGTGAGTGTTCCTGCACGTGTTTGGCGTTCAGCGATTCGGTTGGAACTAGTCGCTTTGTGTGTTACAACCTCTCACGCCGCTCTAAAATCCCACTGAACAGACGCCTTGCACAGGAAGAAGACGGCTGCCGGACAATCGCTCTTCTGACGCTCCACTCGATTGTTTCCGATTTCATAACCCTGGCTTGAGAAGGACATCGATCAGGTAAGACACCAAGCAACGACCACGAGAGAAACACTGGGAGCGGTGGTAAGGCGAGGGGGAACGGTGTGGGGCGGAGCGGGGAGGGAAGCGTTGCGGCGAGGGGTGGGTGTGCCGGGTGCGACAAACAATACCCATATACGGGCGGGGGGGGGGGGGGGGGTTGGGCAAAGTCAACCCCCGAGGTGGGAGCGGGAGGAGGATGTTGCTGGAGCCTGGTCGAGATATTGCAGCAAACACACTCCAAACCTTATGCTCTTCCTACGTCTGTGCTCACAGAAGGACCGCTGAGAAACTTCACGCCAATCACCGTAACCACCAACCCCAAACCGTCGCTCCATACTTCGCTCACACTACCACCACCGATTGTTACCAACCGACACCACCGACTGCCACACTCCCAGATCACTTGTCACATCACCTCGCGACCTCCGAACCTCTCCGCCTACATCATGTCGAGACAACTGCTTGCAAAATCTCACTCCGACTTTTCCAATCGTCGGACCCCATTCCGCGATGCCCTCCGCAAGGGAAACAGCTTGTCTGCTCTCCCAGCTGCCCTCAACCTCGCAGACCCTATTGGTCTGGTTAACATCGATCGCATCCAAAGGATAGTGCACACGGAAGTATGCCGCCGCATGCAGAGTGCTGGGCTCCCCACATCCTCCTTGGACATTAAGCACATCAAGTTTTTGTGCCCTACGGATGCCGACAACGTTGATAAAGCAGTGCGGTTTGAAAAGCTTTGGAGGAATCCTCTCTTCGTGTCGGACGAAGATATGATGATGTCACTCTTTCTCATGGAGGGAGGGGCAGCCAATGAAGGAGACGGCACCCAGCTCTTTTACGTTCGAAGCTGGACGATGACGGTGTCTGACTTTAAGGCAATCATTGCCTCTTGGTCAAGGGAGGAATTGGACCCACCGGAAACAGCACCATGGATCACCGCTATGGCAGGAAATCCCTCGGTGACAGTGGTCTCCATTCGATATGTAGGGACGTGTGAGCTCCCGTCCACACCGGAAGGCCGCTTTCAGAATGACTCCAAACGCCCCTACGGCCTCCCCCCCCAATTCCTTGGGACACTTCAAGAGTTGTTCCCAGACGTTTACGTAGCAGCGAGAATGTTCACCTTCCCAGCCGCCACTCAAGGGGGCTATGTCGCAAGGACCATCAGGGACGACCGGGAACGTGCAATGATTCATTTCTTCGGAATGAACAACCTCTTGAACTGTCAAACCGGCGGCTTCTACACCCAATACCTCCCACCCATAAGGGATCACACGCTCTTCTTGAACTTGAGAACGGATGTCTTCTCCCGACTTACAAACGCCCAAAGTACCGCTCCCGCCACTGTCAATGCTCGCCCCTTCAAGGGTGCTGCTCTGCGCCGATGGGTGACCCAGGTCCTCGATTTCAGTCAAACACATCCGGCCACTACCGGTACCGCTCATCACCTCATGCCCGAGACGCTCCTCGAATGGATGATCCTCCAATCGCAAGGAAGCAGGTATGAGGGCAACAGGCAGATTGCGGCAATCCTTGGAAAGGACATTACCGGAGAAGGTTATTTGGGGGGAGCTACTGCACATCCATTTTGGGCTTCCGCACAAGTTCCCCGTTGTCAAGAGCCGGATACTTGACCCGCGATTTCCTCGCCCGCCTGCAGCACTACGAGGCCACATCAACAACCCTCCCCACCAACTGGGAGCCTGCCCAGCTAGATCCTGAAATCTTCGCTTTTGCTGACCTATACCCATTCTTGCGGAAGTCTGAGAAACCTTGGTGCATGGCAAATCTCCGGGCTTGGATGGAGATCGTTCAACCATTCATCAGCCTTCCAATGGGCCAGCAGGTGACCGGTGTGGTCACTGGGAACTTTGCTCATGCGTACGGCATCCCGACAAAACGATTCTTTGACCACATCGTAACCTTGAGTCTGCACACATTTGCAGACCTTGAGTGGATTTACAACGTTGACGGCCACGACGGGCGTGTGCGCTCAGCCACCTGTACCGTTGTCATTCCCGCGTCAAGGTTGCAGGTATGAAGATGCAGTGTTCTGTTCAAAACGGGAATGGGAATCAAGCAATGACGATTTTGTATGCAGGCCTTGCGTACGGCGCTCCCAACTCCGCTGAGCGCCTTCGACAAGTCGAGGTACTGTACAGGCTAGCCCTCTCGGACGCGATGATGCACGCTACTGGACAGGCTTGGAAGAACTGGGCAGCCGCGCCTCGAAAAGGAGCGGCTACATGATGTCGTCAATGCAGGCCGCAGCAGCAAACATCCCTGGTCGGCTACATTGGCTCATGTTTTGCAGACTGTTGCACCTGCGGGTGCGGTGGGAACGGATTGGATGAATGACCCACAAGCAGTCAATGCTGCAATTGGCCGGAAAGCAGCTCAGGTATGTGCGCTCCGATGGTCAGGTCAAGGAGACATCACTAATCACGCCTCTAGTTGCATCTCACAGATGCGCGTTGGATACCCCCCGGATTTCTATCAGGCTGACCGCCAACGAGAGAGAGCAATCCGTCGACATGGAGGGGACCCAAACGACCCCATACAGCAATTCACAACTATCTTGGAGGGGCGCGAAGTGTCTGTGTACGCAAATGCCCGCATAGTGCTGCTCTGGCAAGACCCTCAGCCTCCGGCAGGCCAACTTGCCAATCGAAGAATCATTATTCCTATGCATCGGGATGCAGTCGGTGTCACTGATGATGACAAGCAGCGCTTTGTCAGATTCCTCGAGCACGGTATCGGCCTTGCCAACGAACGTGGGATCCTACTTACTCGCCCGAGTCATCTCCCGACGGAAGGCGTCCTTCGCCGCACGGAGTTTGTGAACCATGCCGATGGGGATACCTTGCTTAGGATCTGGACCGCCGAGCGTGCTCGAATTGCACCGCATGTGCAAGCCCCGGCCAACCAGTCGGTCAACAGAGGTGCAGCAGCTCTCTCAAATCGCACACAGCGCCATACCTTCCCCATCGCCCCCAATGATGCAGCCTGGCTCTTCCAGACCTTTCTTGACCGCGAGTTCCCGAACGGCGAATTCTTCCGTGCAGGACGTGCCGATCACTGGGGGGACAACCCAATGTCCCTGACCCGGTAACCACACTGATGATGCCAGTACCCTCGATCTGGCCATCCTGGTCGCAGTTTCTTGCCGATAATGCAGCACATCCGTACGCAGAGGCGCTGAGTTCTTGGACCCCCAATACCCAAGGTGTAAAGCTTATGCTGGCGAAACATCTTTGGACTGCGCCGGATGCTCTATGAGAAAAAAAAGCAGAAGCGCGTCACTGGCGGGGGCTCAACCATCAACTGCCGCATATTCAAAATCAGTGGCCCGGGAGCGCACCAGTGATCGTGGCATCTGCGGTGGCACTATTCCGCCCTCATGTGCCAAATCTCAAGGCTGCCTTTGCCTCCTGCCTCATTCGTATTGATCTCTCATCGTTTGCTAGATTCGCCTCACTCGTCTCGCTTTACCTTCAATACCTCGTTCGCAACCTTCGGAAATTCGCCTCATTCAAGCCTTTCACATCCTTATTCTGTCCTCCTTTGGCTTTATTCATGCACGCGTCAGTGTCAATGCCTTTCTGTATGGCGTGAAGAGCGTAGAAAGTTTAGCATTTCTTCTGGTGCTCCATCAGATTCCCGGCGTACATAGCATATGTCTCCCTACTTTTTAGTACTTTTTTGTTAGTGACTCTGCTCATCCGTACATGGTTGAGATCTCGTTCCGTGCTGACGGATTGATTGAACTGGTGATGATTTGCCTCCATATCAATTGAATTACATACGTACATACATTCGGCCAGCGGTCCACGATGGTGGTGCACTGTCAATTCTGGCCACTCCGCCAGACCGCGAACGCGTCGATGCCGCAAGCCCGTGTTCGCGGCGCTGCTCCATCGCGTTCGCGCTACGTCCAGGTGGGGGGTTGAATACAGGTTTCCGCAAGCCGTTTCCAATCGCATCTGCAATGGATGCTCTACCACTGAGCTCTACCTCTTATTGAATACACGTTTCCGCAAGCCCTTTTGTATCGCTAAAGATTGCACATCATTATGCTCTGCCATTGCTCTGCCATTACAAGTTTTCCAAGTTCTTCGGCCTGTGTATGTAGTACCTCCCATACGCGGGGGATGGAATCTGACTTCTTCACCACGCGGGACTCTGCAGGAATCCACGTCCGTCGGGATCATGCCTGTTCATTTTCCTTATGGCTCTCGGATTCCTGGTTTTCTCGGACGGGCGCTCGCCAAGCAGTCGAGAACAGCAAAATCTGTGAACTCCGCCCCATTGCACCTCCAAGTGCCCTTTTCAATTGTCAAGGATCCTACAGTATGTATGGGGGCAGGGCAGCAGGCTCGTGCCCACTGCAATATTTCGACGCCCAGTCTTCATTATTGTGATCCACCCCACCTATCATCCGTTCTCCGCTGATTGCTTTCTTTCCATCATGCCTGCGCAAGTTCTTTAAGTTCTTCAGGCTGCAGTGCTGCGCCCTGAGGTGAGTGTTGAACAGTGCACCCAGGGAGACGCAGGGCTGAGCATTTGGCCCACCGAGCGAATGACGCGCCCCCCGTAAACAAAGAGCATATAAGAAGGCCCCGGCCGCTGGAGAGATGCCCTCGCCTTTCCGGGTATTGACCCAGACAAACATTACACTAGGCCATGGTTGTTGAATACTCCCACTCCACCACATGCCTCGAGTCCTCGCCGAAAGTACCAACGAGATGGAGCGCCCCGCCAGGCTGAACGAGAATCAGCTCCCCGAAGAAGACGAGTTCTTCGAAATTGTCGACTTCACGTCAGCGTCGCCCTTCGAGCGCTTCACGGCTAACCTGGAGCTTCTGCTGCCAGAATGGATGCAATCCCAAGATGAGGGAGTCGACGAGCCCCAACTCAGTCGCTCAGCGCACGTGCTGTTCTTCGAGACGGAGTACACCATAGCATATCATCGCGTGTCTCCATTCCAAGAGCACGAGGACTTCGTCCTCGTTGCAGAGAACTCACATATCATCCACTCCTGGACTGGTTTACCGGTCCTCATTACGATCGTGCCGCGAGGTCCGACCAAGCCGGAAACGTATGACCTGAGCACGACGAAACTGCTCCTTTCCGCATTCATCGTGGCCGCCGGCAATACGGGCTGTCAGATACCGGCGTTCGTACCTGTGGGTAACGCATGGAAGTCAATGTGGGCAGGCGCCGGTCTGACGCCCAACGGGGGCCAGCGTACCTACCGTATGATGCATGCGCCCTACGTTCCACCCCAATGGAACACCATGGAAGGCTTGAAGGGACTCGTCCGCAAATGTTTTGAGGAGGAGATGGCATTTGAACATCTGCAATATGAGATAACAGCTGCAGTGGCTGCGACATTCACTACGCAGATCTCAGAAGAAGATATAGAATTTCGGGAGTATGCAGCCGTTGCGGCCAGTGGGCCGGCAAATGATGATGATACCCACGACGATACAGAAGAAGACGATGATGAACCACGGACAATTCCATCCATTCCTTCGTCTCCAGCGGCAACAGAGATCATAGCGTTACCATCTGGGCCATCAGCCAACCCACTTCGGTCGCTCAATGTCCAAGCAATCTTCCCCCGAGAGGACATCCGCGCCTATTATGGCGACCTCGACTATGCGACCGCTCCAATGTGGAGATTCGTCCCGAGCTTTGTCCCTGGCGACATGCGAGACACGCGAGGCATGCTGGCTGGCCTTGTGGGGCGCCTTGTCCATGTGTGGCATGGGGAGGAGCAGACCATGCAGCAGCCGTATTTTGCGAAACTCCCAGGTGCAGTCATGCGTGGTGTTGGTCCCACCGGCGATTACGGTGAACAACCACTCTTCGATCCGACCGATGCCACCGAGAACGCTCGGGCGCTTTTCCAGGACGTGTACCAACAAGAGCAGATCGTTGCAAAAGGACCCGGACCGGACTATATTCCAACAGTAGCGGATATAATCGAACAGTACCGATCCCCGCATCTACTCCCAAGCCGATGTCTCGTCGACAAGTTCACCCTCCGACTCTTGGACTGGCTATCTCCAGAATCACCTGCTCCCTTTCGCATGACGAGCGCCGATGTCACACTCAGGACCTTCTGGTCGGAGATGCTTGATCAGCTGAGGATATGTTGGGAAACTGGCACGCAGATACCTGGGATCTGGTGTGGAGCCAACAACGAGAGCATCGAGCTCCGTTGGAACCTCCTGTATCAAAAATTGCAGCTGTTGAACTACTGCATTGGAATCAGGCGCGCTAAGAATGAACACAGTGAATTGCCGCCTCGGGAGGTGGGAACAATCCCCGAAGAGTCGGAACCTCCGGAGGCTGGGGAACCTGCTTCGGATAATGATCAAGTACATCAGACCTCGATGCTAGCCTTATCCCACCGCGTCCTGAACAAGCTGACCGATTTGTCGTCCACGGTTGCCAACGCTGACGGGTCCATGTTGCCCAACATGCTCTCGGCGGTAACCCGTCCCGCTCTGACGTCGCGATTGGGCGGCGCACCGGTCGCACCGTCGCCGCCTGATCGCCCTTCTTTGGTCGGGACGAGCTGGAGTAGCGATAGGAGTTGGGAGGACATCAAAGCTCGGCGGGATAGTGGGGGAACGGGCTTCGTTGTGGGGAGCTTGGGCGTGCGGAGCATTGGGAGTTTTGAGGAAGCGGTTGATCCGTCTGTCGACCATGGGACGAAACATAAGCAGCCAACGCCGGTCGAAAGCGTGCAGACGGATGATGAAGAGATGTTTTTCGACACGATGGAAGACGTTCACGAGGAGCACAGTGCGAGGAAGGCCGAGGGTTCCTCAACCGGCGACAAACACACCGGGGGAACTAGACCTGCCCCAATTAGCCGCTCGTTGACCGAATCCTTTATTCATCTCCCGCCATACCCGACTTCTACAGCATCAGCAGAGGTTCCACACACAGACCGCTGTGGACACAAGTCCCCCCTTCCCTTCACATCTTTCGCCTCCCATCAACCGCTATACGTACCGTTTACTCAAACTGCCGGACCACAGACCGAAGACCAGATAGTGGAATTTGAGAGAAGATTGACGCATCTGTCCCCACTCGAGCGTGCTCAGCTCCAGAGCAGGGGTTTAGAAAGTGACATGAAAGCTTTCAAGGCCGCAAACCCTGGTTGTACCATGGAGGACTTTGTTCGGTGGTGGAGTCCCCGTGACTGGATCGAGAACACCGGGGCAGGAAAGTTTGACGACACACAGGAGGAGGAGGCAAGAGGGCAACAGAGTGCAGTGCCAACGGGGAAGCTGAGCGGCCGGATGAGTGAGCCGGGCAATCTCTGGATGGAGATGTGGCGGACCGCGCAACCGGTACCCGCCAACGAGCAGATCCCTTTGTTCGATCACAACGAGGTGGCTGCCGACATTTTACGGTGGTTGGCCAACCTGTCGCCACCACGGCTAGCCACCTTACTCGTCCCGCAAGCTCTCATCCAAGCATATCGAAGCGTATCGAGCCATGCTTTCGTGCCTCTCCTGCCACCTCTGCAGAACCAACTGCGCGACTTTGCGAACGCCATCCTAGCCGTCGCCGATGAGGACTTTTCATCCCACATGCGTACTCCATCCGCAGCTGGCCGCTCGCACGCCGCTTCAGCTCACGCAGCCGTTGACCACGCTTTAGAGAAACTGAATGACATGGAGCAGACGCTGGGGATCGCAACCGCGCTGTGGAGACGGCTCGGCAACAATTGGGAGCTCATCAGTGGGATCCTGCTAAGTGAGGGCCACGTTATCTTTGCGGATGAGGATTCGGTGCGCGAGAGGCAGAGTTTGTGGGAGATGATTGCAAAGGGTACGTTTTTCACTCCCTTCCTCCTTTTCCCCTCAATCATTCTTATAATCCTCATCCTTTCCAACCAACACGCTTCACAGGCAATATCCTGCCAGCACCCGACACAATCGAGTACGTATTCCGCAAACGCCTCGCCGTCCATTCGGGTCCCGAGGACTCTACCATTGGTGAAGAGTGGGAGCAGGAAGAAAACATGGGAGTCCAGCGGATTTACGCGATGGTGCGCGGCGGCGAGTTTAGGATCGTTGAGGAATCTCTTAGCGAGTGAACTGTGTCCTCGGTTAACGATCCGTAGCGTAGCCCCTTCTCCCTTAGCGGATAGGAGTTAGGGTCCATCACCATCCGCGCGTAGTAGCTTTTGAAAGCTTTTGACATTTTTGGTTGCTACTTTTCATTTCATCTCAATGGCATACATTCATGGGGGAGTTTGAGAAGCTAGCACTGTTCGATAAAGTTTATTACTATCAACGCAATTATAAGAGTGCTGCGCTGCTATCCTATTGCTCTCACTATGCAGCGTCCGCTTTGCTTTAGTAGATCCATGTCCTTACTACGCACGAGCGTCCCATTCCCTATAACACTCTCATTCCCACGCGCAACAAGCACTGCAGCCCCCAATCGCTTTCCAAATTCAAGAACGAATCCGGAGCTGTCCATCTGTATCGTATTCCACGCCAGGGTCTTCGTCTCGCCCTGATAATCCCTCGATGATCCTTCTCCTCAACACCATGCAGAATGCATCCCGCTCATCTCGTCCTCCCTCAGAGGCAGCACCGCAAGCTCTTCCGTCCCTGGGCTTCGGTAAAGTGGTCGTCGACGGTAACGGTAAAGACGACGGGCGTCAGGGTAGCATGACGTTGCCCCGCTTTGGTTCACGACGCCTTTTGTCACGCGCGCCTTCGATTTTCCTGCGATGTCAGAGCGACGCCAGCGAGCTCGAATAGACTGCAGACAAAGCCACTTCACGGTATCGCATAGAGCTGGACGAAATGTGACACAGTTCGGCGGTTCCGTCGGTATGTCGTCCGGACGAGATCAAGATCCCTCCTGACCCGTCTGCTCACCCTTCTCGCCTCTGACTTCCGCGGGCCGGTACAATCTCAGATCGACGCTATCGGAAACCCCAATGTGCGTCACGTACGTCGCGAATCTCCTCCCCACTTCTTCGAACCCGAGTTTGCCCAACACCCGCAAAGACGCCGTGTTACGTGGATCCACGTCGGCAAATACGAAACTGAGCGGACGTACGCCGAGCCCGTCGTCGTGGTCGCATTGGATATCGCCGAAAGCGCCAGAGAACATAGCGTCGATGAGACCGCGGAGAGCCTCGGTGGCGTAGCCTTTGCCCCAGGCCGAGCGGCGAAGGATGTACCCTATTTCTGGCGGACGGAAGGCGCCAGCTTTGCCGATGACTTCGCCGGTGCTGCGCTCAACGATGAGAAGGTCGAGAACCGGTTGAGGGTAGACCAGGTAGGTCTTTCGTCCTGTAGGTGAGGTCGAGGTCGAGGTCGAGGTTTCAGGAGTGGCAAGCTCGCCAAGTAACTCGCCGTTCGCGCCGTTGTCCGTCTCCTCCTTCGCTTCGCCGTATGCTTGTACCATGCCCCATAGCCATTTGGCGGTGACCTGAAGCGACTCATGGGGCGGGGTTGACCACCAGGTCATACATTCCGGATCGGATAAGCACGCATGGACGGCCTCGATGTCCGCCCAGGTGTAGGTCGCTGGGCGCAGGAGCAGTCGGGGCGTGAGGAGTGTGTGCTTGGGCGAAAGAAGCAGCGGCTGAGGCAGAGGTGGCGGGGAAACCGAGTTCTCGACTGTTGCGGGCGTGATTTGGTTCTCAACCGTGGCGGTCGTCATCATCGGCAATTGCAATTGGTGATAACTTATCAGATACTTGGAGTGCTTCTCCAGACCGCCACTAGCCCGACTCTCCTTTTGTACTTCCTAGTTTCCTAGTTCCTTCATTGCTTTTCCAGCTCGTCTGTCGTTACAGGAGGAAAAAAATGGAAATGCGTTGTGGCCTTTGCTTGTCCTCCTGGCGTAGGTTTTCCAGCTTGTCCACAACGCAATGATCGAGACGTGAGAGAACCTATCAGTGACCACATACCTCTCCTATCTACATCTACCTTCAGCACAAGAGATACCTCTCGAAGCTCACCAGCAACCTGCCCGCTACTGAAGTCGCCGGTCCCTAATTGGCAGCCAAGCTTGAAGCAGTGTTTATGTGGTTCAGGACTGTTCAGGAAGGAGTCGAAACGCGTACATACTGTACAGTCAGTGTCCATAAAGCTCCGACCCCCCCAAGATTAAGTCAGAGTCGGCGCGTCGTGACGGGACGGTCTGGTTGGCTGTTAGCTCTCTGGTTAGCCTCCCTTTCGCTGGGAAACGCGCGACTCGCTTTGTGAAACGGTCATTGAAATCAGTTGAAATCAATTATGGGGGGGTCGGAGCTTTATGGACACTGACTGTATGTTCGCAAAACTCCGCCCAAAAGCGACACTGCCGCCCACACGGGAGCTTATCCCGCCAGAGAAGTCACAGCATATCAATGCTTTCCACCTTAACATACGCCTCGATTTTTGCTACGCCGTGACTACATAATCTAGACAAGCGGATTGACGACGCCGAAGAAGACATACAACTCCCTATGCGGCTGCTACGGAGCTAGCGTGCACTAATCCCTAATGCATCCCCCCCTACTCCTTTTTCCCCTCTGATAACTAACTGGTAACGCTTCTGATACCGAGAATGCCTCACACTGCATGACGCGAGGAACGTTATACAGGGTGAAACGCCTTCTCATTTTTGCTCCAGCCACTCACCTCTTCCGGTTACATAGGCCCTCCGACGGCTCCCAGAAACTCGGCAGCCACGCGATTGCCCTCCGCCAGCTGGTGACTGCCGCCGCCGACGGTTTCTCCACATTCAGGGCATTGCGACCTTTCCATTGCCCCTCCGCACTCACCTTAGTAGAAATGAAAAAGTAGTATTGAGTTGGCTAAACTGATCGAGAGGGACGAGAACGGATAGGTTGTATAGGTTCCCACTTCCCAGACACTCACCGATAGTGTAGACGTGTCCATTCGGACAGGTGTACCAATGCCCTCCAAAGCTGCCCACGTCTCGCCTCATGGCCTTAAACACCTCTCGCATCTCCTCTACTGTGACAGGCCGAACCGTCGTTCCTGTAACGAGTTCTTTGGCGCGTTCCAGGGTCTCGCGAACGGCACCGGCCCGCTTTCCTTCCGGATCGGCGACAAGCGAAGCATGGTTTCCAAGAAGGGTCAAATATTCGGCAGCGGCGTTTTGAACGATGTCGTGGGTCTCAGCAATCAATGTGTCCAAGGGCTCGTGGGATGTTGGGACAAGAGGTAAACCTCGCGATCCCACCATGATGTCGAGACTCATGAAGATGGCCATGAAGTGCTCGCATCCGGCGTCGACGGCCATTCGCCAGCTCTGCGTGTCATTGCAGCTGGTTTGCACCCGAGCATGCATCCCCACGTTCTGTTGGATGATCTTCCTCATGTCTTGAATGTACGGAAGAAGCACAATCTCAGTCGCCGTGGGTGGGCTTCCTTCCCGGGGTTTCGGCAGTGTCTCTTGCAACGCCTTGTTGGCAGTCGCTTTGACGAAGGTTGCTGCACAATTGATAAAGGACGTGCCAGCCGAAATGAACGCCTTCTCCGAAGGTCGCGCATGGTGTTTCTGCAGCAATTGTATCTGCTCCTGCACACTCTGCCCCTGGCGACGAGGAGGAACACCGGGAATGTTGTCCATCTGAGACAGCAAGACAACAGACCTTTCGTAGGTCCGGCGCGCGGGATGGTCGAGTTTAGCACCTTCCACTACCTTGAGAAGACTGTCTCTCAATTTTCGCGTCGCAAGCGCTTGCCGTTTGTGCTTCTTGATCACATCCTGGATATTTTTATTTACGACAGGCCTTTGTGCCTGGAGCGCGATAGCATCCTCCCTCCATTGCGTCAGCGCTGAGTCCAGTTCCTGACGATGTTGCTGAACGTCTACAGCCTGCTGAGCGATCTCCAAGCCAAACTTTCTGATGGTCTGATCCAAGAACACATGGTTCAGAACCCGAGCGTAGCGTCGGATGCCGCTGATCGGCGTGCGGCAGTTGAGACAGGCCGGCATTTTCTCGCATTTATTGCCAAGTGGAAGCGGTTCGATCCATTTGTCGGTTCTGGCGTCACGCAGGTAGTACGACTTGAGGTCAGTGATGCCGTCCATACTCTCAATAGTCATCGAGTGCTGACACGGGAGGACAACGAGAGGGCTTTCATCAGGGTCACTCTCCGCGAGTGTGGCTTGCACGAACACATCCACAACGCCATCTTTGTACTTTTCTTCAGCGCAATACCGGCAGGCCACGCGTGGATCCGGGCACGGTTCCCCACAAACGGATGGACACTGATGGCCGCATGCCAAGGCTTTCTCGCAACGCCGGTCGCAAGGCAGTCGCAGGCATGGGGCGCCACACGGGAGTAAGCACGGGCCGATATCGTGAGGGCAGAACCACGGGCACTGCTCCGCACAACTTGCGCATGAGTTTCCGCAGGACTTCGGACACTTTGCATGCAGGCACACTTGCGCACATTCCTTTTTGCACGGAGGACATTCGCTAGCGCTGTGGCACTTGCCGCCACAGGAGTGTCCGCACAAGAGAGCTCGATCGCAGATTTTGCCGCATGGGGCATGGAGAGGAATGCCGACGTCGGGGCCTAGCTGCTCTTCATTCTTGGATTTGTATATGCAGTCTCCGCAAGGGTTCTCGCAAGGATGAGAACAGTCCAAGATGGCACCGCAAGGCTTCTTGCAGCTGAACAGCGCATGCCTGCGATCAGAGTTCAGCAGCAGGTCACGGAGAGTTTGAGGTGTACCAGCGGCTTCAATTTGTCTTTTCTCATGGCAGGCGGCCTTGATGAGGTGCTTGCAAACAGGATGTACAATCTCGAATCGTTCCTTACAAACGATACTAGCGTTCTCTTCTTTCTTGTAGCAAAATTCATTCCTGGCGACATGTCCGCATTCTTCGATGGTCAAATCAATCCGCTCTTGACAGCGACCGCATGGTTCGGAGCAAAGTTTGCGGCAAGGGTGCCGGCACTTAAGCATCTTCGTGCACGGAGCCCGACATGCGAACCCATCGTGATCTCTATCATCGGGATGGCATTGCCTGCGGCAAATATGCCCACAGGACAGTGGATATTCACATGGCAACTGACAACCCCCATCCGGACTGAGCTCACGAACATCCTGGGCGGTCATGGCGTTCAATACGATGTCCGGATGACGGTCGCACTGCAGCGGGAGGGCGGAACCGACTAAACCCTGCTCCTCAAGGATGTCGAGCATCTTGATAAACATTTTTGCCTGGCCCCTTTGGCGAATAGTTGCGGCCGAGCCGAAGATATATTCGCCGTGTTGAGCGCGGGAAACCATCACGTTGACCCGGTTGTCTATCTGTATACGTTGGCCATGAGAATACGTTCAGGACAATGGAGGTAAGAATTTACGTCATACCTTCAGGAAACCTGTCCGGCCCTGAACGTTGCAGCGGACGGTGCTGATGACCACTACTTTCGCCTCTTCGCCTGTTGAGCACAGATAAGCAAGTTCACTCTGTTCAAGCGCCCACAGAAAACCCATTGTACTTTGGAAATTGTCGACCGTTGAAAGGGACGCGGTCCGCGGCTCTCACGCTCTGAACGCTACTCTTCTGCTTGGGTTTCGATGCACCTTCCTCCGCCTCCTGCTCATCGTCAAGCTCCAGCTCAATGTCCAGCTCTTCCGGATTGACGCCCTCACCCGAAAGCGCCTTGCTGATATCCGCAAAGTTTTTTGAGTCGATGTACAAAACCAACTGCTCCTTCTTCAAATACTTCCGCAGACACAGAAGCTGACCCGCATACGGAGTCAGGACCGCAATCTCACTCGCGCTGTAGCCCTGTTTGATCAAATGGCGCACGAGCGAGACCACCAGCCCAGCTTCAAATTCGTTCACTTTGGATCTTGACGCAGACTCTCCGTCCCCAGCACCCGCTTCCCGCTCGTTGTGATCGAAGAAGTACAGATTCTGTCGCATGCCCTTGACTTTGGGGTGCGACAAGACCGCCGGCGCATCCGTGAGCTTCGGATACAAGGTGCGGCGGAGTAGGGTGGAAATTTCAGGCCGCATTCTCCACTGCGTGGCAAGCTGCACGACCATCCCTTTGTCCACGCAATCGAGGTTCGCTTCCGCCATCCGCACCAGCCGCTCAAATAAAGACTGATCAAGATCGTACCCCGAATGAGAGTCCATGGACAGGTAATGTTCTTCGACTTTCGGACGCAATTGTTTTTCATCGCCGATGGTGATGAGGCGCGCTGCTCCGCTGCTCAGAGATGCGATCAAATGCGCCTCGAGAACCTCACCACTTTCTTCGTTAACGATGATGGAAGGAGCCAAGTTGTGAAGAAGCTTCATGTTGCTCGCGGCGCCGGTGGTCGTCATCCCTAGTACTTTGCATCCACGAAGAATCCGGAGCTGGGTGGCGGCGTTGATATCATTGTACTCTGTCTTCTTCTCCTCGTACTTCTTGCACTTTGCTTCCACATCTTCCATTAGCAGCTCGAGGTACTGCCGTTGCCAGTGGCTCATCATGGTCTGGCGTTCGTTCCGCGAGTAGTTCCACACATCGCAATCATCTAATAAGTCCCTCAGAGGTCTGTTGCGCTCGGGGTCAGGAGGGCCCATCTGCGCCACATCGGGGTGCTCGTGATGTTGTTGTTGTAGAGGGTACTCCAATTCATCCAAATCACGTTCCACGTCCTGCACCAAAGCATCGTACATGTTACTGTAATGCGGACCCTGATCCTGCAGCGGAATCGGCTCCTCCCCGTTTCCCAATCTGTACTGTATGTCGTCGCAACGGAGCCAGCGTTGCAGGAGGTCCAGGCTCTTGTTCCTGGCTCCAGACACAACATGAAAACCATCATCGCCATCAAAGAGAGACCGCCCGTCAGCAACCGCATCCAAATGGTCATTGAAAAGACCGGACCGCAAGTCCGCCAGCTTCCATTTATGTGGGGTCAAATGATATTCGCTAAATTCCCGAATTTTCGTCTCAAGCTCTACCAGGTCTCTCTCAATCTCCTTGGATTTTGTGACTTCGTCGCGGGTTTTTGCGCCGTACATGAGATTGTAAAGGTTCCGTGCCGCAAGCATTTCGCTCTGGCTTCGGCCGCCGACGCGGATGATATCGGTTTCCGGCACACCCGCTTTTACCAGATCTTCAAGAAACTGGTCCAACGCATGATTGGTACAGCAGACGCACAGGGTAGGCAGTGTGGCAGAGAGCTGGTTAACGCCGCCGGCGATGCGTTCCACCGTCGCTTGCAGACGTTGGCCCACTCCTCGAGGTTCCAGGTTTGCGCGGTTGGTCGAGATTTTGCCCATGTTCTCCAAGATCACCCTCATGATGTGAACTCCTATGTAGATCTTTCCGCAGCCAGGCGGCCTGGCAAAAGAGGCGCATATTATTAGGAAACAGCGCTGCGGCCGAAAAATCTGCCGTTTAGACATACCCCTGTATTACCGCAATCGAATGCGTGAGCGCAGCAGCCAGGGCATCGATTTGCGTCTCATCTAGAACCAACATTTCGCGCACATCCTGAAGCGTTCGACGCAGAAGCTTGTAGTCGGACACATCAACGTTCTGCAGACGGGCGTAATTGGGATTTGGCGTTTTGAGCAAACAGGTCAGGTTGTACGTCGTCCCAGGGACTATGTATTTCGGTAAAGCTTGGGAGGGCGCATCAAACACCAGCTCGTCGACGAAGGGAAAGCCCTCAGTTGGGAACGATTGAAGTGAATTCAGAACGCTGTATCCGGCGGTGAAGAAATGGCTCCGCACTTGGAACATAAGATTTTCGTCATCATCGGCTCGAACGCCTAGTTGAGTCGACGTAATCTTGAAAAGCTCAGGAAACTTCAAGAGCTGAACTCCAACTTGCGGTCGTCTGAGGCCCGTTCCGCCAGTCTCGGAATCAGTTAATTTTCCTGGATTTCTTGTCCAGGTTTTTCGAATTGCGATCAATGACGACTGCAAGGTATATTTGGCGGTCTTCGATCTTCGTGTCGTCCTCGACATCCTTCTTGGCGTTGAACCAAAGGACTACGATGGAGCCTTTCTGCAAGTGTTTACCGCCAGTTCCTTTACCCCAGAAGTCGGACTCGGATGATGCCCTGGCTGGCTCATCGAAAGAAACCCCCAAAGCAATGCCTGAACGTAACGTGGCGTTGAGGGACTCGATATGCATCTTCCGAAACACGACAAGATCGATGGAGTTGTCTCCTTCCATGCGATAAAAAGTGCCGTTTTGGCCCAATTTTCGGAGCGCCTTGGTGCCGTTGCGCACAAAGCCAGAAATTCCACGGCGTAGGGAAGCCAAAAGATCCTCGCGTACCAAGCGGAACTGTGAATCAAGATACCGGTCCACACCTCGCGAAAGGTGATGGTCGTCGTCGCGTTTAGGAAGGTATGGCTCCAGGTCACAGAACGTCTCCTGGAAGGTCGGAACGATGGAGATTTGGCGGAAATCTTTGAAATCATTGTCATGACGCGGGCCTTCCGGCCGGAGCTCGCCTGGTCCAGCCTGGGTGGCTGCCGACTTGAGCGACAGTCGTCCGAAAAGCTGCCGAAGATTCGTGGTCTTAGCGTCGAGCTTTGCTTCTGGAAGGATCATCGCTTCGATGTGCTATTTTTTATGGTTCAGGGGTCAATGAAGCGTTCGACTGAGATGAGTATAGGATGAATGAGAGAAGAAGCTTACCTCAATAAAGTTTGTCAGCTCCTTTCGGCCTGGATCTTGCACGCTCATAGGGAGGACATTATCCCAGCCTTCAACGATACTCTTAACTTCCGGAAGCCATGTCTTGAATCTATCTTCAGCTGCAGCGTCGGTATCCAGCTTCAGATATTTACTCAAGAACTTGGTGATGAGCAGCATCATATGGACCCAATTCTTCAAGATAAAAGTGCTAACGATATCCCCGTCCTCGGCGCTCTCGACAAAACGCGGGTCAACGAGGCTCCTTCGCTCCATCAGCGTCCTCGCACATTTCAAAACGTTTTCAAGAAAGATGTTGTTCATGAAGAAGACGTTATATACCGCTCGAAGCTTGGCAAGATAGAGGTCAGGGAGGTTCAGAAGCATGGCGAGACAAGGGATAATGACGCGTTGGAACGAGTAGGGCATCTTTTGCGACCCGACATCAACGGACATGTCGTGATTCTCGAATTCTCTAAGCAGCTCAAGCCCTTTCGGCTCTCCGATGGCCATTAGAAGATCTTCCGGCACCGAGGTGATCCCTGCCGCGGCGAATTTTCGAGCGTCGTGTTGATGCCGGAACTTTCCATTCCTAATTAGCCCATATATCGACTTTGCTTCACGGGTCAGATCCGGTCGGTTGGAAAGCTGCTTTGTTGCAGGGTCGCCCTTGCCGGGCGGGTTGGTCGTTGTCGGCAATCTCACATCTGCAGTAGGAGGTTTCACCAGTTCTCGGCCGGCTTCACCCCCGGTCGAGGTGTTGTTCTCACGACCCCGACCCCGACTCCGACCTCCTCCGCGGCCTCTCCCGCGAGTTCCTCTATCAGGTTGGGCGCCGAGCATCGGTTTCTCTGTGGTGCTCGCTGAGCCCTGTTTGGTTATAAAGGTTGTACTGTAAGGTTCTCAAGATTGGTCTGAGACTGTGCTTGTCTTAGACCTGGCGCTCAGCATAAATGGAGGAATGGTGACACGGTGTGTGTCATCGCTTTTTCCCCGCGGGGATTGCAATGCACATGTCCAGATCGACAATCGGATAACGGGTGACCTCCCGCAGTACACCATAAAGATGATTTTTTCGACGCCCCGCTTGACCCTCCTCGAGGCCTTCGGCGGGCTTTGGCGTCAACAGTGCGTACAGTAGGCTCGTTATGCCTGAAAGTCAGGTTTGCGAGGAAGACCTGAGGAAGGTCGTAGACGAACCGGAGGGTTAGTTCATGATGCTGCTGTATCGTATGTTGGAGGGTGTAGCGCGAGAAAGTTTTTGGTGTCGAAGCGCATCCCGGTGAGAGTGCCTCTGAACGGGACAAAGTGGATTGACGGAGTTTTCTCGAGGTACAGTACTCAATGACCAATCTCTGCTTTTTTTGACGGTTGTCGACCAATGCCCTTCCTTGCAAACGCACAAAATGCCAAGCGCGAAACGCGCGGGAAAATAAGGTTTTTAGGTTTGGCATTCTCAAGCCTTCTCAGTCTCAGTAGTGGCAGCCTCTCGTAGCCTGAGAGTAGTAAATTCGGATGCCCAGACCCCATGGTGGGGAAGACAAAGCGGTAGCCTCCTGAGTCCTCATATGGTGTGCTTGCAGAAGCTCAGAAAAGAGCACATAAGCAGGGATCGAACGGACGCGTCTCCGCATCAAAGGAGAAGGAGAGGCGTTGTCACCATTGGGAGTCCATAATTTGTGGAGGAGAGCTTCCATAAAGAATGCTCGATTTCTTCGGATCGGTCCCAAGTTAGGAATACCGCTTGAACAAACTACTACCACCGTTCTCGTATAGAAGAGTGTCAGTAGCCAACGGCGCGTTCTTTTTCAGACCGAAGAAATAAGCGCAACCTTAGACGTGTGTGACGTCGTTCAATCCACCTACAGCGACTGCCTATCTAGCCCACCATGGCCGCCTTGAAACGTTCAGGGTGGTTTTCGAAGAGAACCATTCTCTTCTCAATCCTCGGCGCGATGCTCATCACCGGTCTCGTTGTCGGCCTTGTTCTCGGACTGCGAAAGCGCGATACCCACGGTGTGAGCCAAGGCCCTGGCACCCTTCAACCTTACCCAGGGCTTTCATCCGCACTCGGGACGCCGAAGCTTGTAGCCAACGGCTTATCTGGCATCCGCGCTTTGGTGTTTGACAGCGCGACAGGCAACCTACTCGCATTTGCGCGGGACCCGCAGCAAGTCGTTGCGATCGCCGTTGCTGCCCCTTCAAAGGCCGACAACTCGAAAACGGTGCTGTTGGATGTTTCTTCCGCCAATCTGGGCCTCAATCACGGGTTTGCCGTCCACGATGGTTATATGTACGCCAGCAGCGTCACTGACGTGTATAGATGGAAGTACACCAACGGCACCATCGCCGCGCCAGACGCGCGCGAGAATATCGTCAGAAACATCGACAGCGGAATCCAGCTCGGGACCCCTGGGGCAACCGCTACTGGCCACGTAACTCGTAGCGTGGTCCTTGATGGGAGCTTCATGTACGTCTCGGTCGGCAGCGAAGCCAACGTGGATACGAGTTCACAGCGCGCTCGAGTTCGTCGGTTTCCGTACAGGACATACACCGGCACCCCATTTGATTTTCAGCAGGGGCAGATATGGGCGGACGGCGTGCGCAACTGCATTGCGATGAACTTTGATGCCGGTGGAAAGCTTTGGGGTGCTGTTACGGGCCCTGATGATCTGCAGAGGACGGATTTGACGGCGGACCTGCATCAGGATAGTCCGGTGGAGAACGTTTACCTGTTTGATCAGCCAAGATTCTATGGATATCCGTTCTGTTTCCCTGCGGGGAACTTGACCGGGACCTTTGCTGATAGCCCGACGGTTGGGAAGATGTATGCGTGGCCTGATTCACTGGTAAGATACTCTGCGGTCATCTGGTTTATGGCTTTCAGGGATATGTCATCTCATCTATCTCCGCCATTTCATAGAACGACGGCACACACACAGACGCATGGTGCCAATCCCCAGCCAATGTCAAACCGCCAGATGCTGCGATATCAGCGCACTCGACTCCCATAGACCTGGAGTTCCAGCCCAGCACCGGCGATATGCTCATCTCTCTCCGCGGAAGTTGGAACCGCGACATTCCTTCTGGCTACGCGGTGGTGCGTCTACCATTCTCAGCACCCGGCGGCACCCCGAAAGTCGATCGCGTCACGGACAGACTCTTGTGGAATGATAATCAACTCCGGTGCCCCAGCGGATGTTTCAGACCAACGGGGATCGCGCTGGTGGGAAACTCGACGCTATACGTCGCGAGTGATGTGACGGGGGATATTGTGAAGATCAGCGTTTGAGAATGGGGATATTTTTCACTCTGTATGTGTCGTAGAAGACGCTCCGTCTGGCGTCGGCCTTTTGGTTATGGTCGGCGTATGTGGTGCATATGTGATTGTAGTCAGAACGTCGGAGAACGTAATATGCCTTTGTTCAAGATGTTCCCTAGAAGTAAGGTTGAAGTTCCTTGGTTGCCGACTGTCCCGGTATCCGAGGTGCTTCTGTACTGTACATCTGTCTGGCGAGAGGCACATCACCACGCCGGGGTTCGCATACAGCAGGGCAGCAGAACGGCACCCAAATGCACCTCGACAACTCGACGTGACCGCATAGCAATTAAAATCTTCGGGCTTTGAATGAATTCTTTTGCGAAAGGTCCTAATCAAATTGCATGGCTCTACTAATCATTTCGCAAATGGGTTTCGCTCCACATTGTACACAATACTTGAGGCCCCAACCCTAACCGTCAGTGTGGAACCATGACGACACCAACACAGCAGCAACAGTAGGGTAGCAGCACACGTATGGCGATGCCCTATGCCATATTCGGGTCCCGTCACCCGTGTGCTATGGTCGCCCCACAGACATAGGTTTTCTTTTCCCTCGCACCAAGAAGGAAGTCGTCGTGAAGACCGGCCAGCTTTTCTTCTGCCTGCCAGAAAGTGTATACGTCTCATCAGAAGAAGCAGTCCCAACTTCCCGCGATTGAGCCCACAAGTAATAAAGCCGCGCCTATTCTGCCCCTCTTCGCGAGCCGCACAACATCGGACTCGTTCGTGCCCCTGCCAACCCGCAACACTTTGATCCATCCTCGCTTCCCATCCCAAACACGCAAGCCTGCAACCACGCACTCTCGCCGCCGCTGCCCCTCAGTCCGCGGTCGCCCCAAATTCTTGCTTCTCAAGCGTCGCTAAGGGACAAGCGCCTCCAAAAGGGCGCCCACCTCCCTCCAGACTCAACTACTGCTCCCTTGCATCTCGACCTTTCCGTCACCGAAAAGACCACATCTCACAATCTTATCGACTTGGACGACAGCGACATGGGTCAAACACTCTCGGAGCCGATCACGGAAAAGCATAGCTCCTCCGACGAGGACGAGCGTATCGCTTATGGTGCTAGCGCAATGCAAGGTTGGAGAATAAGTATGTATCGAGTGGAACGATGGACGAGAATCCAACGAGGAGGGTGAATCTGAATAAATCCGCGCGGACCGTGGACGTGGCAGCAGCCTCGGACATAGAAAGGGCCAACCTTCTGCGCTCTTGGACGCAATGTTGTATAAAGGCTGCCGGGGGATCATGGCAATGGCACAAGGTTGCGTGAGGAATTGCACCGTAGGTGCAATATAAGTCGAGGGACTGGGCCGTTGGGATTTACCACTCCAGACTCCGCATAGCGGCCATAGCGACAGCATTCTCTTCTCCGCGCACTCTCCCACTTCTGCGCTTACAGTCACACTCATCAATCCAATTTCTCCCAACAGGCATGGAGGACGCCCATACGACCATTCTGAAAATGGGTGGACCAGAGGCTGGGAAGCACATATCATTCTTTGCAGTGTACGACGGGCATGGGGGTTCAAACGTGGCAAGATATAGTGGACAGAAGGTGCATGGACGTGTAGCACAGGAAGAGGCTTATGGAAAGGAGGATTATGCCGTTGCATTGAAGGCTGGATTCTTGGGGACGGACGTGGATTTGCGTGCCGGTGAGTGGGCCGAGCGTTTTTCGACTTGAGAAAACTATGGAAGAGGGTTCGAAAATTTTTGAATTCTCGGAGTCGTCTCTCAATCGTCTGGGGATTCGCCAAAAACGTCAGGCATTTTGCTCACTCCTTCAATTTCCATAGACGAGAACTTCCAAATGGACCCTTCTGGATGCACAGCAGTCGCTGCGATCATTACCGACGACTGGCGTATATTCGTGGCCAATGCTGGTGACTCGAGGGCCGTCCTGTCCGGCAACGGGACCGCTGTCCCGCTATCCTTCGACCATAAGCCGGTCAATCCAGGTAAACAAGAATATGCATACCGCGGAATTCCGGCACGCGGACAACACACACTGAACGTTGCAAACGCATGAGACTAATTATCCACATGTCATTCTATTCCCGCAGAGGAATCCCAGCGAATTGTCGCAGCTGGAGGTTTTGTGGAGTTTGGTCGTGTGAACGGTGAGTCTCGCTTTGCCTGAATATCCTGGGCCATGGTCAGCATTTTGGCATCATTGAACTTCGACGTTGCTCAATACAAAATTACCTCGTCCTTTCGGAAACTACAGGAAACCTTGCCTTGTCCCGCGCCATCGGTGACTTTGAGTTCAAGCAGAACTCCAATCTGCCCCCTGAGCAGCAGATCGTCACGGCGAACCCAGACGTTACTGAGCGCAAGTTGGAGGATACTGATGAATTTGTCGTCATTGCATGCGATGGTACGTACTATTCGATCTGTGGGACTCGGAAGCAGCTCGTGGCATGCTCAGGCATTCGCTGGAAGAGGGGTTCGGCCGAGGAGCACATAGGCCAATATGACACCGAGAAAGCGCAGAGTTGCTTATCATACTTTTTCGGACCGATGTTGACACTCGTTGTCTCTCTCCAGGAATCTGGGACTGCATGTCCAACCAAGAAGTGATCGATTTTGTTCGACAAAAGATTGCCGAAGGCACGGATCTGCCCCAGATCTGCGAGCAGCTCATGGACCACTGTCTCGCGCCCGACAGTGAACTCGGCGGGGTCGGCTGCGACAACATGACCGTCGTCATCGCTGCGCTGTTGAAGGGGAAGAGCAAGAAGGAGTGGGCGGAGGGTATTGCTGCCAAAGTGCCCCTTGCTAATGGTGTTGATGGTGCTGCTGCGGGGAAGGGAAGCGTGGAGAAGGAGTCGACTGTGTCGGATGCGTCTTAAAAACTTGGAATTAAAGTGCTGCCCTCCAACCTCATCCCATACCAACCGACCCCCAAACCACCTTCCGCCAAACTCCCAACCCCTTCCCTCGCTCTTCCAAGGCACCTCTCACACCCGCCCGTGACATGTCCACCCAGTTTCGTCCTGGGCATGGCAAATTCCCCACACCTACGAATTGTAGATGTAGAAAAAAAGAAGATGCGTGCGCGTGCTTGTCTGTGTATTATTGTTTCCTTCACTTCCAACTTTTATTCTTTCTCCTCGTTTTGAAGGAAAAAAACCTTTTTACTCGCTGTATTTGTCGTTTCTTTTGGTGGTGTGTTGATGTCGACGGTCTTTTCGGCTACAACCACGGCCGTCCTATTCTGGCTTTTCGGTGGTCTCTTACGCATGGGGCCACAATATGAATGCATGCCTGCGTCAGGGAGACAAGGTCTCCGCTGATATTCGCCGGAGAAGTTCGCATGATGGGAAAAAATCAACTCAACGGACGAAGCGAGGGTTGACAGCAACGCGCTGTCATTCCGCTTACGTCAGATATGTCGTTTGTTATACTCCCTTCCATTGACAGCATGCCTCGGAGCTTTTTCGGCGTTTCGAGCGCAAAAGCGAAGCATCGATACTACCTTTTTACGCTTGTCTGTAAAAAATGGTGCCAGTAGAAGGAAACTCGGACGGACATTTAGAAGATGGGAAAAGGGGTAACAAGTGAAAGCCCCATTCTCCTGTTTCTTTTTTTCCTTTAATTTTTAAGCGTACGCTGTTTTCTTACTCCTCGCTTGGTGCTTTTCGTGTCCGATAGTGCTTACCCGAGAAATGACTGGAGCGTTATTCGTGCAATTCAGCTAGTCAGTGACATATAACAGCGCCTTTCATTCTTGTGGATTAGACGATAGAAAGAGAAGCACAGCGCCTTCCATACTACGAAGAAGGTTGTAAGCGGCCCGATTCACATTTTGCTCGAGAAAGAGGCAGGTTTAGGAGGACTGATAGGTGAGTGTGGGTATTGGCGCGTCCCGTCAATCTTTAGACCACCCATGGCATGTCATGGCATCCTGTGTGCCATCCAAAGTGGCTGAGACGACAGCGAGCGAGCCTGGAGAGCAATAGCTGACTGCTGGATAACTTCTCTGATTTTAGTTCGACACATCGCGCATCTACAGTCGAGCAAACCCGACAGGCATCTGGACAACGAGAGTGACAGGGGAGAGGTTTCAGGGCGAATTACGTACCCACCACCGACCATCCACGCCCATCTGGGATTGCATCTACCTCGTCCATTGATCCATTGACGGGCATATACCGAAACGAACCCACTCAACGGACTGATAGATCCGTGCATAGATGCCGACGAAAGAAGATGGGTCAGAGCGGCCTGCTGGGAGTGCGGCGCTTACGGGAGGGGCCGCGGGTGGGAAGTTGGAGGGTGAGTTCGGTTGCGAGTTTTTGAGGGATTTCTAGGCGGGATGCTGGGGAGTGGAGATGTTAGGATGCGCTGACGGGAGAATGAAGAGGGTCAAACTGTGGGGCAGGAAGCGGGCAAAAGCAACACTCTGAACTATGGACAGACGGGTGGGGCTTCATGAGGCGTGCATCATTGCAAACAGCGTGGACGGCAATGCGGTCTCGATGTAGAGGAGACATATGGAAGAGCTAGAATTGAAGGAGTGGCCGGTTCTTGCCGACCAAGCGGGGACGAAGGTCACTATTTCAGGGACATGTCGCGACTGGTCGACCCATGTCGGCGATATGAACGGAGCCGTCCGACACTTGTTCATTGAAAGTGGCACGAGTATGGTCGCTTATGTTAACCACGTCCCACCAGACTTCCGCTTAATGTGCAAACTCGGCGAGGGCACCTTCTCCGAGGTTCTGAAAGTGAAGCAGAAAAAGACGGGGAAAGTTTCGGCGATGAAACGGTTTCGTAAGCACTTCAAGAGGTAGGTTGTGGTACATCTGAGGGTTTTCGGCGACTATTCGTGCAATACTGACACGCCGCCTATGTCTTTCAGCATGGAAGAAATCGAAACTCTCCGAGAAATCCAAGCGCTCCGCCGCCTCAACCCGCATCCACACATCATCGATCTCGAAGATGTCATATTGTGCGTATTATGGAAAATTTCCATTCGGTCACCACCACCTATGTCTCGTTCCGTGTGTCTCAACACTTATCACTTTCGTGCATCTCTGTCCATTTCGAACCTTCAGTGAACCAAAACACGGCATCCTCTCCCTAAATTTTGAGCTGATGGACTGCAACCTGTACGAGATGATCTCGCAGCGCAAGACGGCGACCGCTTTCACAGAGTCGAGGGCGAGGGTCGTTATGTGGCAGATTTGCAAGGCGTTGGAGTATATTCACGGGTAAGCAGAAGGAAACTGCAGCGCCTTTTATATGTTGCCCCAGAAGCACGAATGCATGTCGCGGCCTGGGAGCTCCGGAGTCAGGCGCTCATGGGACCTACTTTATGCTTTAGGAAGGGCATCTTCCATCGGGATATCAAACCTGAGGTATGTGCAGTATCCACCAAATGGTTCTTGTCTGTTACGTATGCATTCCGTTCGGTGCTCAAATCTCTTCCCCAGAACATCTTAATAAAAAACGACACGGTAAAACTCGCGGACTTTGGCTCCTGCCGCGGAATCCACAGCAAACCACCGTACACCGAATACATCGCGACGCGGTGGTATCGCCCACCAGAATGCTTGCTCACGGAGGGACTGTATGGGTTCAAGATGGACATATGGGGCGCCGGATGCGTACTGTTTGAGATTGTGGCGAAAGTGCCACTGTTTCCGGGGAGTAATGAGTTGGATCAGCTGCATCGGATACATGCTGTGCTGGGGACGCCGCCGAGGGAGGTTTTGAAGGGGATTGTGGGGTGAGTTGTTGTCGGCGTGGAAATTGGCTCGAAGGCGTGCAAGCTAGGAGAGGCTGTTCAAACCGAGGCATGTTTTCTCCCTTGGCGAGCTTAGGTCGCAAGCAGCGGCTCTGAAGTACAACTTTCCGGCAAAGGAAGGAACAGGGATCAGATCGCTGGTACCGCATGTGGGCTCAGACTGTGTGGACCTGATAAATGCGATGCTCGCATATAATCCGGAAATAAGGTACGTAGTATTTCGAGCATCAATGGTCCGTGATTCACAGGTATCGTCTCTAAAGTTCTCATCGGCTTCATCAGGATAAATTCCCGGGAGGCGCTCCGCTACGCCTATTTCAAAGATGTTGCCGCTACAGCAGGGGGGTCCGATGTAGATCTGACGCGGTCGGGCCGATCGGCGTCTACGAGGTTCAAATCGGGGAAGAAGAAGCATCCCTCGTTACCTCAGATTCCCGGCGTTGGGGCGGCGATTGTCGCCGGTGCTGCGGTGCAAAAGGAGAAGGATAAAGAGAATGTGCCACATCAGCAGCATGCGAAGGCGGAGCATTCTACCAAGAAGGCGGAGGTGAGACAGCTGGTATACAGATCTGTGTTCTGCATGGAGCTTGCGACTGACCTTGGGTTTTACGCTTACTCGATGATGTCGGATCCAGACTGAAACGACGAAAGAAGCGCACGGCTCAAGTACATATATTAAGCCCACTAAGGTCCTGGTCCAGATACCCGAGCCGACCGTGCCCACGATCGTCGCGTCGAGCAAACCCTCCGATGCAGCGGCATTACGCAAATCCGCCAAAAAATCACATCCGCAACAAATTCCACCACAGCCTGCGCCGGCGGCTGCGGCACCAGTAGCAGCTCCCACGCAGCAGCAGCAACAGCGGCTGGCCCGCGACCATGCGGCTGCACCTGCGCACGTAGCGAATAACGTCGATGCATCCGCACCCAGCGGCACCCTCATGGCCGTCGCGCAACATGTTCCTGGCCGAGTACCCGTCCCGCAGCCACAGCCACAGTCACAGAAACAGCAGCAACAACCACCACTACGGCAACCACAACAAATACCATCATCACATCAACAACAGCAAGCACCTTCTACCAACGCCACTCTCAACCTACCACCCATCGCACCACGCGCTTCCGACACCACTAATCCCTCCCTCGTGCCGACGCAGGTCAACTTCACTGCGGCTCTGACGGCAGCGGCAGCGGCCCACGGTTCAACGGGCTCATCGCCGTTTTACGCAAAGTTCAGAGCAAGAGGCGACGACAAGAAAGGGTCGCAGCAGCACCTCGCGACGCAAAAGACGAATTGGGGTTCCGCGGTGGTGGGGAAGAATGCTATTACTGGTCCGCAGGGCAGCAAAGTATGTGGCTACATTGCGCGTCTCGTCTTTTGCACAAATGGCTCCGATCTTAGACATCCTCACTGACGTGCTCTCAACAATCTCATGCAGCTACCAAGTATCCATGTAGAATCCACCTCGACGTCAAAATCCATACCCTCGTATCAATCCCACCAAGCGCCAACAACGCTTCCATCCCTGACGCAACATACCTCCAAGCAACAATACAACACCACTGACCACAAAACCCGAACTAAGGTATGGAACCATTGGTTTCACTCTTCCCCTGCGTCGCACTTGTAAACTGACCTCCTCCATCCACCAATCAGGAATCATTAACACTACCGTCGCTGCTCATCGCAAAGCAGCCCCACACAGTATCGATAGCATCAACCGTAGGAGTAGGACACCTTCCCGTAATAAACCCAGGAGCAGGTGGTAATGCAGCTGGAGGAAAAGGGATACCGAAAGACAAGGGGTACTCAGGATGTGACGCGACACCACAATAGCGTAATTTCATCACTAGATAGGATGAGCCGTGGTATATAGGCGGGACGAGCCTCATCTGGAGGCTCTGGCGCTCAGACCTTTACATCAAGAATACAATTTTCGCTGATTCTGCACATTTCGCCTTCACGAACACATAGCCGTCAGAAAGCTGTCAAAAAGGACTGACATTATTTTGAGTAACAGGACACATTCGTGATGATACAAACCACGAGCATGGTTCTGAGATAAGCTGTGTGGACAACAGATCTCTAAAAAGAGTGCATTGGATTGAGGCTTGAAGGCTTGCAGCGAGCTTGCCAGACTGGGATCGATGTGGCTCGTATGTATTTGTCATCATGTTAGAAGTGATTTCTTTGTTGCAGTTTCTCTGTCGCAACTCGATCTCCTACGCCACTATGTATGTACATACATACATACGATATGGATCCCCCCGGCCGTACTCAAAGATAATGATAGTGTGGCAAGTTGAAGAGGATTGAAAGCCCGCTCGAGGCTTGCACCTGGAGCCAGTGTAACGGCGGAGTGCCCAAACACGCGATGACAAATGCTCAATTTCAAGTGGGGCGCGTCTTCCAACTTGATATCCCAGAAAAGAAAGAGAAAGAGCGAAAGACGGCCGGCGGACTTTGGGAAAACCCGTGTTTCACAAGTCGAAGTTCCAACGTACACCGCACAGGTTCAGGTGGATTAGAAAGCGATTTCCATGAATGCATTGTTGTGGTGTGTTTGCGCGATCTCATCCACCAACTACCATCCCTGGCAGTGCATGTGTGCAGTGAAATCGGCTGCGTTGGGCGATGTCCTCGGGCACTTCCATGAGAACTTTGTGGGGGGTGGAGGATGGCGCAATCGATGCCGGTAAAGCCGCCATGATTTGAAATGCGTACAATTTGTGCGTAATGTGCCATGCACGCATCCCCAGCTCGCCACAAAACGAAGCTTCCGATGAGGGCATATAAAGAGGGACGGGGACGGGGAGTACCAGGACCTTCTCATAACAACTCAACAACTATCTTCACGCATTCACATACCCAATTATCAAAATGGCATCCGAAAGCATCCCTACTAAGCAGATCTCTGTCAACATCAAGGAGCAAGGCAAGGCTGAAGTCGTCACCGATGCAGCCATCCCCGAGATCCCTGATGACTACGTTCTCGTCAAAACCGTCGCGGTTGCGTTGAACCCCACCGACTGGAAGTAAGTCACATATCGTTTTGCGACGTTGATGAAGGATAGGGAGATGTAGCATCGGAGTTGAGCTGGATTTAGCGCCTGACCCCACATTTTGTGCATTCACAGGCACATCGACTACTCGGCTAAGGCCGGCACCCGCGTTGGTTGTGACTATGCCGGAACCGTTGTTAAGGTTGGCAAGAATTTGACTCGTCAGTTCAAGGTTGGCGACGATATTGCTGGCGCTGGTATGTAGGGTAATGTTAGGGTGGGTACTACGCATCGACATGGGGGCTAATCATCAGCATCCGTTCACAATGTGTTGTGTTCCTGTAGTTCATGGCTCCAAGACCGGTCCCATCGATCGCGGCGCCTTCGGTGAATACATCATCGCTAAGACTGGTGTGGCCATCCACAAGCCCGCTAACTTCTCATTCGAGGAGGCTGCTACGCTCGGCGTAGGTGTGACCACGGTCGCGCAAGGCCTCTTCCAGACCCTGGGCCTGCCTTTGCCTGGGGAGAACGGGCCCAAAGGCACCATCTTGGTGTATGGTGGATCCACTGCTACGGGTACTCTTGCGATTCAGTATGCGAAGCTGGTGGGATGGAAGGTCATCACTACCTGCTCGCCGAGGAACTTTGACTTGGTAAAGTCATTGGGTGCCGATGAGGTCTTTGACTACGTAAGTTTTCGGATGCGTCACTGCTGTATATGGAAGAACTATAGATGAAGCACCACGTCGAACTCACGCACGATTCTCCACCGCACAGAACGACCCTGAGGTGATCAACAAGATCAAAGCCGCCACCAACAACAGCCTCACCCACGTCTTCGACACCATCTCCCTCGAAGGCTCGGCCAAAATCTCCGCCGGCGTGCTTGCGCCCAAAGGAAAGTACTCTGGCCTCCTGCCCACCAAAGCGCCACGCGACGACGTCAGCTGGACCTCCACCCTCGCCTACACCGCTTTCGGCGAGCCCTTCTCCACCTTCGGCGTCACCAAGGATGCGATCCCAGAGGACTACGCCTACGCTACCAAGTTCTGGGAGATTTCGGAAAAGCTGCTCGCGGGCGGGAAGCTGAAGCCCCACCCTCTTGAGGTTAAGGAGAAGGGATTGAAGGGTATCATCGACGGCTTGGATTTGTTGAGGAAGGACAAGGTCAGCGGAAAGAAGCTGGCGTACAGGATCGCTGACACCCCCAAGTGAATCGCTGTCCCAAAATCTGGAGAGTTAGCTTAACAATATGGAATGATTCGATCGCATGTGGGAGCATTGGGAAGGTCCTTTGGGGTATGGCAACGAAGCAACTTCATGTCGCCAACAATTTTGTATATACATACGAAAAATAATAAAGCATATCATGTTGCAAAAACATCAGAGCTTCACAAACGTCAATTGTGCGACCGGCGATGGAGGAGGTTTGCTTCAGAAGAAAGTGACTTTATTATGAAATCTCTAGAATCCGACCTTTTTACTGCTGTGCTGAAGTTGATGCTGCACCTTCGTGAGGGTTTTTGCTAGTGTCGGGAATCGAACCAGCACTCTTAAAATCCGCCGCATTGCTGACCAACATGAGAACTCGGTAGAAACCACTTTCGCTCTTACATATGCGTGTCGGCTTTTCTCACTGATAGGCTCCTCACTACAAAACGATAATTGGCTTAGCGGCGGACATCCCGCTACCCAATTACAGCAGAGTTATCGATCGCCGCTTCAGTGGCTCCAAGCTTAGAGACGGTTGAAAACGCAGCGGAGAGTTCGGACTCTTCAAAATGGCTACCGCAACTGTCTCCCTTCCTTTGCCACCCCCTCAACCTCACCTCAACATCTTGCGAGACGAAAACGACGACGGTTCCTCGGAAGACTTCCTTCTCCTTCCAGCACGACCACCGACACCACCGACAGTATACCCAACCGCCCTTGTTCCTCCACTGCCCCACCCACCATATGAGCCATGGAAAGATCCGCGATATGCGCTTGCTCCGATGCCGACAGCTGCACCACACGTTACGCAGGTCCCTTCTGCAGGCACGTCCTCGGTCAATGCGCCATCGTTTTCAGCGCAGACGCCCGCAGTCCGGTCAGGCGCAGCGCATGAAATGACGCAGATGATGACTGGGACCTCATTGGCACAACAGCTTAACTACCCAGCGCTAGCCTTGAGCCACCTTGGGGGACTGACGATGCCACCGCTGCAGCAAAACTATTACTCAACTGCCAATCCAATATCGGTACCTCCCACTCAGTATCAGCTGCATCAGCAGCCAGCGCTACAGCAGGCACCTTTCTACCCAACTACGTTGGCCGGTCACCCACAACATGCGAATCCCCAACTCCACGCTTATACGTCGATGCCATATACAACACAAACACCATACGCACAGCAGCAGTTCATGCATCCAGCCGTCTCTGTCCCAGCATTCAATCCCTCTAACTTCCCTATCCCAATTCGGCGAGGATACTCACGCGGCAATTCCAATAACTACACAACCGGCGGCAACAGTCCAGGCAATTTCGGCACGTTTGGCAGTAACCCCACCCCTAGCCGTCGCGGCGCACCGTCGCTACCGGCCCGCCAGCTCGCGTCTTTCAACCCCCCCCGCGAAGGGATATACGAAGCGACCTACTCGAATACCCGAGTCTATGAACTCGAGGCCCCGAATGGCGTAGGAGTAATGCGGCGGAAATCAGATTCGTGGATTAACGCTACGCATATATTGAAAGCGGCGGGAATGGAAAAGAGCCGGAGGACGAAGGTTTTGGAACGGGAGGTGCATCAGGGTGAACATGAGAAGATTCAGGGCGGGTACGGGAAATATCAAGGAACTTGGTATGTTTGAATTTTTCAAATTCGCGCTGTCGGGGTTCGGATCCGAGGCTAAGTGGACTGTTGTTTCCAGGATTCCGTTATATCGGGCCCGCGAGGTTGCTGCGGACTACGGGCTGGCCGACGCGCTGCATGATCTCCTGGACATACCAGAGTAACTTCTCAGGAGCTAGCGCCGTCCTTGCGCTATCATGAGGAGAGACCTGGGCGCCGGTTCTTCTTCGCAACGTTCGGGGCTCGCGTTGATTGTAAATAGTTTTTTGTTTAATACCCGTGATATAATCTAAGCGGAAATGTGCCCTTGTTCCAAAGCGAGGGATGGTATTTCAGTCTCCCAGGTGCGAGGCACCTGTATTCTGATGTGGATGTACGTTCGGTCTCGGCTCCTTCCGCACCCGGCGTGGAGGATCGGTAATAGAACAGAAGTATGGGAAGACGCGCCAAGATGATAAGAAAGCCCTTCCAGCGAGCGATAATGACTCCAAACAACGGAGGGTCATGAACTATGTACAGTGATAGACGTAGGCAACCTTCACACACAGTGTCGCAGAGACGACTTCCAAAAATGGGCAGAAGATAGACACCCGAACCCCAGACGTCCAACCATCCCCGCATAAGTCAGGCTTCCTCCGGCGCCTTCTCGACAACTTTCCTCCTCCTCTGCGGCCTCACATACCCCAACGCCTCCGCCAGTCCCTCTTTCTCCTTCGCCCGCATATGCGCAACCCACGCGCGATCAATCTGCTCTCTCTCCTCCCTCGCATAATAATAACTACTCCCAAAATAGAACCCTAGCACCGTTATCCCAATGCACAGGAACACGCTCCAATGCGACTCCCCGAACCCGTGCTGGGGCGTATCGTAGTACGCCGTGTATCCGTAATGTGGGTGATGCTGGTGATGCTGGTAGAAGTACTCGGCGTCATATTCGGACGCGTGCGGGTCGTGCGGATGTCTATATGCCCCTGCCGTCTGGGACTCCTCGTGCACACAACTTGCATTCACGTCTCTGCCCGTCAGGATCCGGTACGCTTCCTGCACCTCCTGATATCGTTTCGCGCACGCGGCGGCGGCCTCGGCGTCCTGTTCGCCGCGCTGCATCGCCCGATCGGGATGATACTGCATGCTGAGGCGGTAGTATTGGGATTTGATGTGTTGTTTCGTAGCCGTCGGTGGCAGGGAAAGGATTTCATGCGGCGTGGGTTTTCGCGGCGCCCACTGGGCATTGTGAGAGATGGTGGTGTGTAGCGTGCGGGTGTGGAGGAGCGGTGATGAGCGAGTTTTCGATGGATGGCGTGGGATTGATATGGATTGAGCGCTGCAAAAAGGCGGTGCTGAACCCGAAAACGACTCTGCGGCTCGCAAGGCCGATGACAGCGTGCATAGCGGTGGTTTGACCATCGTCGGAAATCTCTCGGTCGCAGCTGGACAACGCTTCTCAATGATTCTACGTCACAGGCTGGCCAGCCCGCACCACGCAACTAAGCCCTGCGTCGTCACACGATGGGTAAAGATCACGCGGCGCGAGAACGGCAACCGTACGGAGCCTCCAAAACCTTTCCTGGATGAAAAAGCAGGCTCCAGGAATAGGATTGTGAGGACTTCTTAAGGCGTACGTTCGAAACAGGACTTTGAAAACTTGGGCCCAACTTTCTTGTCGATGCCCCGGAAAATCCTCGTGTCCGGATTAGACGAATTATATGTAAGCGAACCCGTTCTCCTCCAAGTGCAGGTTTGTCCCAGTTGAAGGGAGTATATGGCTCTGAGGACCAAACGGATGTATGGAACAACGTAGCCGAAGGCCCGCAGATTGGGCAATGCGATTTAATGGGTGTGTTCCAAGTCAAACCCGAAGGTGGAACCAGGAAAAGCAGATCGGCGATCCAACTCGTTGAGTCATGCATGCCGTTACTGTCAACTTGAGCGCATTTGACAGCCCGTTTTTTTGACGATTCCCACTTGCCAGGTGGAAGCAGTGCGTCCTCTCTCCCTCGGATGAGTATATATATACGGCATTGGTATCATCCTCAATCAGTGCACATCCCCATCCAGCGTCGAGGGCCCATTCCCCTTGGTCGCATGCGAGCAAACAATTACTCGGCAACGACCGAGCATCGATTTTGTACATATTTTTTTACGCTGGATATTAACAACCTCGGGAATTGGGAATTGACGAAAGAAAAACGAACAGTAAAAGGAAAGGGGTAAAGAATGACATGGTGGTATCAATTTGAGCTATGCACTGGGAACCTAGACTGAATTCGGCGGGGAAGGCCCACCGCGCCATCCGGTGACGACTCGCTCATCCCCGGAACGCCAACCCAACCGCAATCATGATGATCACATACTGCGGGAAGCCGACTAACCAAGGCAGAGCATAGTGACGGGTGGCCATGGCAGCAAAGATGTGGAGGATGGACAGCGCGAAGAAGGTCCAGATAAGCGCCGCAACCGTACGTGTGATGCCGAACCCGAGCTCGTTGATGACAGTGGCGGCGAGAGACATGAGGAAGGAGTTCCGGGCAATTCGAGCTGCATTTTGGACGCGCCAGCCCTGGGTGTACGTAAGGCATGTGCAAATTGCAGCAGAAGGAGAGGGGAGTCAGTACGAGGAACTACGCACAAAATTACAAAAAAGCCAAAGTGGGTGTGGACGGAAAAACTTACATGCGGATGCTTGCCACCCGTTGCGGCACCAGCAGCAGTCCCCGCCGTTCCGCCTTCAAGCGCACCAGGTCCACCACCGGCCGCGCCGCCCAATCCAGCGCCGGTCGCGCCGCCCATTAGAGGACGACCCAAGCCGCGGAAAGTATGAGCGAGGAGCCATAGAAAGCCCCAAAGCGCCAGGAGTGTATACTATACCAGATCAGAAGCAAACATACATAGGTAGACATGAGGATTAGTGAGCGGATGCGGTCCCCGGTAAGTGATTGGGTGCAGCGCACACCGTATGTGTATGCTTGGCGCCGCTGCGTTACAGCGCGTCACTGCGAGTCCTACTCACCGTGGCAATCCATGCTTGGTATCGCCAACTGCTAAAAGCAACCCTATGATATTGTGAGACAGTATAAGCGTGGGCCGTTGATTACTGCACGGAGAAGAGAAATGACTTGGACGGCACTCACATGATTCGGTATCAATTACGTAGTCACCGGGTCTGCTAGTCAGCGAGCAGTGAAAGGAAAACCAAGCGAATAAATGATGCAGGTAAGGGCAACCGTGAAGCCGGCACAATCACATACAGGCGGAATTGATTCACTGCAATGCCAGCATCCACCTACAGTTTGCGAAGGGGCTATACAATCAAATCGGGATCGTGGTGGACGTCTTATCCCTCCGTCAGCAGAAATAGTAGCACGTCAATCCCACACAAATATCGACTCCGTAGCAGAGAGAGGTTTGAAATGTAAAAGATATTCGTTTTTTCGACGGCTGATACTGTGCAATCGTGTTCAGTGCTCGAACTTCCCAAGTTTCCAAATGGCAAGGGACGATAAGCAAAGTTGCGCATCTGCACCTTGAACGATGAAAAAATGGCGGTCGGCCATACGCACCGAACGATTTCCTCCTCCTGAAGGCGTCGAAGAATGATGCGATGCAAGACTGACACCAGATGACAGGTATTGCCGGAGGTGGAACTCCAAAACGTTACATTGGAGGGACCTTGCCCGTCTTCCTGCGCTTTATAGATACTTTGAAACCATCGTGGAGGCTGCCGTCCACGCCACGTTTCTGTTTTTGTGGAGGCAGCACGTGCGATGATGCTTCGTAGAGACACACAACTTTTGCCTTTGCTGTGGGGAGCTTGATGTCACTCGGATCGTCTCAATGCAAAGAACGCGGGGGGCCCTGGAACCGATTGCACGATGGGGCAGGTTGTGGAGATTCCTGGCAAGTTGGGGGTTCATGGAGAATTCTATTCAGCGCCACGTCAACCTGACGCTGCATGCCAACATGTACGGTAGCCGTCATCGCCGGTTCATCTACGTATAGCACCAAACTAGCAAAACGTGGGATCTGTCTTGCGAGAGCCAAATCTTTCATGGATAATGCTGCTCTGACGGTACTTCAACGAGTAGCATATGTGGTCTCTACAAGGAGGATCACTCTGTTCGCGGTGCTGATGGAAGAATATCCGCACCGGAATGTTCAAGAATCCTAGGAATATAAGGTTTTCGGAGGAGCTCCAACTGAGTGTTATATCGGAAAACTGGGGTCCCTGTGGAGCAAGGGAAGGCTCGGAAACCGTGGTGCCCCTCACTCCATTACCACGGTGGAGTGTGTTTTGACTATGTGGGGTTGGAAGCTCTACTGAAGGGACCCGATGCATGGACTGACTGACATGTCTTAGCCTTCTGTACCGCTGATGGAGCGTAATACTGTAATACTCGCCTTCGGTCCCCTAGACGGTCCCGTCAGTTGCATTGACACTTGTTCGGCTCCGACAAGAACATCACGTGACGTCATCCGCCACGGCTCCGGACGACATTTGCGGGATCTTACCCTTTTGTCAGTCCAATCTCGTTCGGAAGGACGAACTCTGTAGCATCATAGTGGGACGCTACGTTCAGAGCACGAGTCCGCATCGACACAGGCACTGTTCCTGCAGGCTGTCCGAGGACTGGGAATATGACCTTGCAAAGGTAGGCAATTGGCGTGAGAGAGAGAGAGACGAGACGCACGAGCAAGGTAACAATCTGACGTTTGCCGTGCCTCAGAATCGAGGAGGGTGCTGTAGCGAGCGCTCCAGCGCTAGGTGAAGGTACGAAGACTTAAGCGGCATGAATTGCGCAGCAAACCATTTACCGCTTCCTGAACTTCGAAAACCTATATAGCCGAGCACTTCGACGTTCCCCCATCTCACCACTGGGAATCACAAAACTCATGGACAGATGTGACGGAGTTCTTTCTGGAGGCCACGGACGGTACGGCTTGGATGTCTGTAGAGACCACCTTTTTGTCTGCGCAACTCACGAAAAGCTCATGAAAGGTCGACTGTTCTTGATTTAAGAGTTGGACGTTGGGCATTTGTTGCATCCGGAAGGCTTCACGTTGTGGGATTCAATGTCGGCCATAGAGGTCAGATTGGGCTGGTTGCCAAGACTCCATTCGTCCTGCTCACACGAAGTTGCCACAGATGATGGACCCGAAAATGGATCCCGGTATGGAACTCGCACAGTATCAACCGAAAAATCAACTCAAAGTCGCCGACATCGCGGAGCAGTTTCTATCGAGTGTGGAGATCATCGGCATTCTCGACGAACTCCTAAGTCGCGAAATGTCATGGATAGCAGGAAACTTTCTTTGTCAGACACTCTTTACTTGTATATATCTGCATGATCCACACAAGATTCCACATCCAGTGCTGTATGCCTGCGCCGTGGCGATCCTCCGAACCGCGGATGGGATCATACGAATGGTGTCAGACTCGAAGATCGCCGATGAAGAGGACTTTGCTCCGGAGACGATGGGATTCTCACTGTGCGAGGAAGTACCCCAAGGAGACGCCGTTGCAGCATTGCTTGACGTGGAAGAGAACCTTGCCTTCGCGTCGGCCGGTGATACCGACATCGAAGCCATCTCATCCGAGGATTGGGCGCAGCTTGGCGTTTCACCCAGAGAGAAGCCGGAAATCCTCGATGCTCTTCTGTGCAGAGTTCGCTTCCGGCGAGCATTTTACTCAATGATAGAAAGCATCAACAACCGTGATCGTTTACGCGCTCAAAAATGCGCGGCGGACGGAATGCGGCACCTCGAACTTATCGAACGTACGATGGACATTGGTTGTGATGTCGACAACTTCTTCGATCCTTTTATCACACGGAAGCTTTTCACTACCGCGCCGCCAAAACCTATCAGCGTGATGCCCAAAAAGCAAGCAATGGACGATATGGCCACGTTGTTGTCGCACGTACACGATGTTTGCTCACAGCCGGCAGGGGCTACCCTCACCACGCAATTATCGTTCCTCGAGTCCTTTTCGGCTCGTAAGCCCGCCCCGAGTGTGCTGGCTCGGGCGTGTTTGCATAACATCGTGCTGAATCCAACGAGTCCTAGCACAATGCTTGGAGCACTAAACCTGATCAAACTTGCTCTCAAGGACTTTTTCGAGCACAGAGACGCAGCTTACTCGGCTGAAATGCTGCATCAGTTCCTGGGAATTGCACAAGGACCGGTGGACGCGACTTTGAAATTATACTGCAAAAATCGGTCAAGACAGCACCGGGGGTTGCGGAAAGTCATTCTTTCGTGGGATCAGCTGCAGGTAGCGATCCAGACACTGGAGGCACAGTCATCCAAAAGCGAATCGCCGGCGAGAACCACCACAATGTTCTCTCGAAAGCTATCTCCGCCATACCCCTCGTTCGCGCTATCATTATGGGTATACCATCAGAAGCTATTACTGATGATCCTGTACCTACAGCTCGGGTACGAGCTAGATCTCTACGCGAGCTATGAGCATCTGATGGTTCTATGGCACATCAGAGCTCTACTGCATGAGCTGTCTGTCGTGCTGATGAGGGTATCGCAAGGCGGCGCATCAATCCCCGACAAGGACCGGCATTGGCACGTCACGCTTTTACGGATAGAGACGGAGGCAAAGACAAAGATTCTAGATGGCTTACTATACTTGGGCCGGCACTACTACCAGCAAGGGTTCCTGGCCCCTCCCAGGCATAAAGCGTATCGCGAGGACACGCATTTTGAGCATCGGTTTAGAGCCTTCGCGACGTTGTCCAGTCCGGCGAGAGCAAAGTTTCAGGATTTTACGGCTTGGAGAGACGAACGGGTGGATGCGACGAAGGTCGGTTTACTTGTGACCAAAGCTCCTTTATGTTAGCCCCGCGCATTCCTTGTGCTTCTCGCTTATAGACCGCACGATACGTACTTGGAACCAATAGGTGTTTGCGGCAGCAGAAGAGTGTTTGGCAAAATCCAAAACAGCGCTCCAGGAGTTGATACTATCCGCCAAGCACGACGCACAGGCGAGCGAAAGTTCAGATTATGCAAAGGAGGACCGGATGAAGGTTGGATATTTCGTTTCGGATCGCGTCGTTGCCGTTCAGTCGTTTGCTCAAATTCTCTGTCTCATTCCCAGGAGCTACAATCCATGACCCGCGTGTGCATCGCCAACTCCTTAGTCATAAAAAGGGAAGGCAGCTCGTCCGCCGGACAGAAAACAAAAGTCTCCCTGGGGGAGTGCAAATATCATCCGCATTTTCCCGTCTTCGTGGTCCATTGGACGCAAGAAGAGTCAACCAAGTGTGGCGGTTGAGGTTTATCCATAAACCTATGTGAGACGATCATCGCGGCGTTTTCGACTAGCATAGTCTAGATCACGGCCCTACTGCTTCAGATGACGGAGGACGTTTGTGGGATCGACTCCGTACATGACACATACACATACACCGCTGCTCTCATGAAGCTACCAAAACACCAAAAACTGCTTCGACTTGTGCTAACTTCTGGAAACTTAATAGTCGTACTCCCCCTCCTTCAAGCATTGGAAGGGGTCCATCGAATTCCCGTCCCCGTCGTCATCGTCGGCGTCAAAATACGCCTCGTCGCGGTCATGCCGTGCTTCCGCTGAGAACATGCCATAGTCCGGATTACTGTCTACGGGCGAATAATCAAAGTGATCCGACTGCAACCGACAAGATCATTAGCGCAGATAGCAGAAGCCCGTACAGATGAACAGAAAACCCACATCTTTGCCGTCAATGAAGCGCCGCCGCATAATTTCCGTAAACTCAGCCGCGAGGGCTTCCCTCTCAGCTTCGGATATTTGCGGCGTTGTTGAATCTGACGTAGATGTGAATGTGGACGCTGCCATCGGATTCGATGGGACGTCAGGCCCACTTGGTTCCGGCGGTGGTAACGGATCGGCTCCCCCGGGTTCCATCTCATCCTCGACGCTCTCATCACCATCCTCCTCGCTCTCCGTATCAAACTCCTCAAACGTCTCCTCCCGCTCCCTCCTCACCCTCTCGCCCGCCACCTCCTTCTCCCAGCTCTCATATATGCGATCCACAAGCCCCATACTCTCCGGGAACGCGGCTCCCGAGTCGTCCTCATACTGGCCAATGTAGGTGTGGTAGAGCTCCGGCGCCCGAGTGCGCAGGTTGGAGGGGGAAAAGTAGTCGGTGTGGGAAAGATGGGATGTGAGGTAAGCAAGGCGGCGGTTGCGTAGTTGCGTAGTTGTAATGGCGGGCAGGGGCGTGCGGTAGAGGCTGAGGTAGTGAGCGACTTCGTACTTCTCTGTAAGGGGACAACTCTATGAGTTTTGCGATGGTTATTAGCAATGTGCATCTGGGGCTCATACCTGAAAATGGGTCGAAAAGAGCTAAATCCTGCTTGCTGAGATATCTCCCATATTTTTCTGTGGAACGAGCCCCAGACTACGTTAGAAGCGGTCGCCCTGTAGTCTTGTTGCTGCTGCCGTACTATGCCTGCCCAACATGCGCATGTGAACAACTCACCCAAAAATACACTCAAATCGGACTGCAACAAGCGCTCTAAGGACGCGGCGGTTTCTTCGGAGCTAGCAGCGGGAATGGCTCGTTGGAACGAGATATCGTCGCTCTGCTCGCTCTGAGAGTCCTTTGCGATGGCTTGGAGGACGACCGCTTTGAGGTGGCCTCTGTCTGGTGCTTCCATTTTCGTTTCCGGATGGGACGGGGCGGACGAATCACTCAAATACCCTATCTACAAGCTACTCGGAGTAGCTGATTCGTTACTCGCTTCTGAGCTGATCCGGGGCTTCATCTTCACCTGCTGCTCGATATCCCTTTAGGTCCCACTTACCTTCCAAGTCTTACCTCCCAAGTCGATGATGACATTCTAGGACCCACAGATCTGATAACCGCGATCCTATGCGGATGCCAATTGACAGGAAGAACGGGTGGGGAGGGCCTTATCATTTGAAGCAACGCAAATTTGTCACCTGTCAAAGGTGCGGTTGCTCCACTGACCACGTGCTATTGTTTCACGTGTCCCTGAAATTTTTAATCTGTTTGACGGCTATAAAGCGCGGGACTCGGCAACACTGCGCTTGTCTCAAATTCAACCTTTTGCATGGAAAGCAACGAAATGTTTGCGGAACGCAACCACTCAACGTTCCATATCAACACTCAGAATCTCTCTTTCGACCTCAACACTCCCGACAATCAAAGGCGATTGCCGCAGCAAAACGCTGACGACGTAGCCACTTCCTCCGACCACGATATTGCCGAAGAAAATATCAGGGTCTCTCTCGACGCGAGGGAGTTGATCAGAGCTCTGAGCGTGGTGCAGGCCTCCCGTGATACCTGGGGTGAGGCTTCGAGCGAGGTCAAGATCTGCACCTACAGTAGCGGTCGTCCCAAAACCTACTTCCAAGAACGGAGCCTTCAGCGGCTGGCTCAGTTTCGAAAGACCCTGACCGATGAAGATTGGGAAACGCTTCGCAAAGCTTTGAACGACACTCATGACAGAACGGCCGGCACCAGATCCACCGTCTCGCTACCTGTGCCTCTGGCCGGATGAGTTGCGTGCAGAATGGACCGACCGACTTTGTTGCCGATGCGGATTCGCCCTTAACGCCGACTGAACGACATCGTTTCGCGGGACTGCTCGATGGGCGGTTGGGTATTCGGACAAGTGATATCATCACATATCCTCGCGGGCTGTGGATTGGGCATATAACGGGTGCGGTCCGATGGGTTTTCTCTGCGTCGCCTGTGACGTTGAGCACGATGCCGATCAGCGCGTAAAGAATCAAGATATGTGCAAAACCGCGTACAACACGCAACGGCGCGCACAAAACGCTGAGCGGGCTCTCACAGCGGATCGAAACGAGACCCCTGGAAAGCCGTGCAGCACGTGCGACAAGCCGTTTGAACGAGGTGCATTTCGATGGAGCGAGTATAGATGGGCCAGCGAGTGTAAGGTTTGCTTCAACGCGCGAAAGTATTACGAGACGTTTCGCCAACGCAAGCGTGAGCTCGATCCGACTGGATATCTCGAAACGTACGCGCTTGACCAGGCGCGATTTCGGTTAATGCACCCTGAAGCCGTCGCGCAGTACAACACCAAACGGCGCACCACCGTCGCCGATAGATTCAAAGCTATCAAGCGATCAGCGGATAGCCGCCGCATCTCATTCACAGACGATGCCACGCTGCTTACGCTCATCGGACAGGCGTGTCATTACTGCGATGCTCTCCCAGACGCGGGCGATTGACTCAACGGGCTCGACCGTCTGAACAGCAGGCTGGGTTACTCTGAAAACAATGTCGTACCGGCGTGCCATCTCGATAACATTCTCAAGGGGACGTTATTACCCGAGGAGTACGTGTGGCAGATGTGTCAGATTAATGCGGTGCGAAGGAGGCACACGCCTGACGCCGAGCTCGATATGGATGCTGTGATCAACAGCAACTTTGTGAACGCTGGACGACCATCGGTTGGCGGGCGCAAGGCGGGCGTCGAGTCGTTCCAAAAACAGACCGGTGAATGCTACCTGTGCGAGGCGGTCGGCATGTGTGGTTCGGACCGAGTTAACCCTACACTATTGTACAACGACGAAGAGAACGTGAAACTGTGCTGCTGGAAATGCAACCGTATTGAGCTGGACATGCAGCTGCCAGCGCTGTATGCACACGCATGGAAAGTCTCATCGGTTTTTAACGAGAATCTAGACGGCGCTCTTGTATCTACTCGACAGCCTACACCAGAGCCGCGTGATACCGCCCGCGAAAACGGCATTGATAAAGCCCGCGAGCCTAGCACCGGTCGGCTTCGACATCATGCGCAGTGGTATGGTTTTCTCGTCGAGTCGTCCGCACTTTTGCCGGCTTCAAGGAGCTAGCGATTGGTCTAGGAATACCAAAGGCGGCCCTTCACACCAAGCTGCAGAGCTTTGCGGGGAGCCGCTACTGTCTGAATGAGCGATGGGTCATACAGAAGCTGGTGGCATCAGAGTTCAACATATATTCAGGCGAGGTAACCGCGTCAGAGGAGTTTGATGCCCTTGTTGACTTGAAGTTAGCCTCTATCAAGCGTATTGTGCTCGATGATGACCCTGGACCAGTCGTGCTGAAGCGCCCAGGCCCTCCGGTGCTAGTCGTATATTCTGACTCGCCAGCGGACTCGCGAGCAGACCGCACGGTGCTCGCGAAATATGCGAGTGTAGCTGTGCTTGCAGAATGTCTTCAGCGAAATTGCGAGGCCATTAGGGAACAAGTCGTCAAAAAAACATTACAGAGTCGCTGGCCTGTCGAGTTTGTGGAGGCGGACGCGGCTGATCAGCTAGAAAGCACGGCGCACGACCAGTTCCCGGCCATGTACAACAACGCAAAGCCCGCCTATCTCGTCTACCATGGCGAGAAGCTCGTAGCCAAAGCCAGCACAGCTACAGACTTGAGGAAACGCATGGGCAAGGAAAAGAATCGCAAGTACATTAAGGACCGAATGAAGGCGGGCGGAAACGCAAAGCTCGCAGACGGTCGCATCTTGCGTATCGTTGAATGTCCCAAGAGCCGCTTTGCCGAGCATGATGAGCTTGACCCCGCATACTCCCTGATTTAGTATGATGTTAATAGAAACTTTGCATCAATGAATAATTTCGTTAATCAGTGAAGCATAGTAACGCAACCGGGTGGGCCCAAACTACCCTTACAACCCCATATGTACACGCCATGTCCCTTATTCCTTCAAACAATCTAGCACACCTCGATGGCGCTGTCGAATCCGCTGAGATCCAGGAAGCTCTTGTCTCCCTCACCAAATCCCACATCCCTGGTTGAGGCGTAGGGATGGTTGCCCACATCCCTGGTTGAGGCGTAGGCCAAACCACCCAAGCCCGACACACGTAATACGTTGTACACTCGGGCCATGATATAGAAGGTGACAGCGGCGGTACCAGTGCCGAGAGAAAAGTTGAGCGAGAGACGTTCTCCAGGCGCGAAAAGTTACAACTGCCACTGGGCTGCAGGGCCTCAGGGTTGAGCGCAAAGGAGTACAGCCCGATTCCACGTGCGGGGCAGCGGGTGTGGTGCCAGTACGGCTGCAGCGTCGAGAAGAAGGCCGAGCTGCGTTCCGACAGACGCTCGGTGGTGTTCAGTAGGAGCTTGGCGGAAACAACCGGGTCGTTGCCGTTGTAGTGGTCTCCGGAAGTTCCCGAATCAGTGTAGTCAAAGTGTCTGTTCGCATAGTTGTCAACATTGGCCACTTTACTGGCCGGGTAAATAATCTCCTTGGCCGGGTGAGCGAACGTCAGCTTGATCTTGGGGTTGCTAGAGGCAACAGACTCGGTGCCAGTGTACTGCCACAGCTGCACGAGGTACTCGTGGCTCGATTGGGCAAAGACCTTGCGCTCAACACCGTCGAGGTAGACGTAGGTCATGAACAGGTCAACATTCACAAGGCTAGGCGGGTTGGCAATCGGAATACCGTTTCCAGTAATGACGAGCTCGTTGAAGGTGGCAAGCTGGAAGTTGATACGCACCTCGTGGAACATGAGCGAGACGATGGGGAGCGCCTGGCCCCACGACTGGCAAAAGAAGAACGGCAAGGGAGTGTTCAGCTCGGCCGCGGGGTTTGCAGTGTTTTGCACGGTCAGCTCGTCAACATCACCAATTAGCTGCTGGTAACCCTTGCACTTGTCCTCGGGAATCGTCAGCTCACCCAAGATGCTCACCCCGCATTTGACATTCGCAAGATTTGCACTGTCAGTCTGTCACACTTGCACTCGAGCCACAGTCTTGGAGAATCTGGGGTATCTAAGACCATCTAATGCTTTCGTATATACAAAATGCGATCACTTAAATTATGAAGGAATCGACCCCGCAGTTGTGACAATGGAGCTGCCTCAAGCTCGCGGGGTACCATCGGGCACACTTCCGATCTGACCTACAGTACCTACTCGAATACGCTTTCGTCATAAGGCCAACCAATCCTTGAAGTACACACACTTCGAAGGATTGACCGGCCCCGACTCAGTGCAGAAATCAAACACAGGGCACCGCCCACAAGGCATATCCGTCCACGCATTCCGCTCCTCGATGGCCGCTCCGCCAATAGCCTTATACATCCACGCATGATGCTGCAGATCACGGACCGTCTCCTTGCCGCCCCTGAAATCGTCATCATCATCAAGATCCATCACCTCTTCTTCTTCGCCTGCGGATTCCTCCTCTTCGCTGGTGGCATATCCAGTTTTCTGCAGGCGCGTCACTTTGCCGTCGTAGTAGAGTCGGTCGAGGAGGGCCTGGACGTCGGCGACGGAAAGAGGAACGGTTGTAAGCCCGGATTGCGTGATGAACTTGTGGATGGCGGATGCGGTGGGGTAGTTGGAATGACTTGCTGGGTATACGGCGTCTTTGTTTTTTGGTGGATAGCTCTGTGAAGGCATTACGGGCGACGTTAATCTGAGTGGATAGGAAGGTGATCGACAATGCACTGGGAGGCATACCTTCATAACGATATATTTATGAACCTGCTTGGACAGTTGTTCGATGAAGTCCATATCCATCTCGTTGTCTGTATACCACGCTCCTCCTGTCAGTTCCGTTGAAGGTTCCAGCTCGTATAGCATATAAACCTTCTTATGTGGAGTCTGCGCCGGGATGGATTTATCAATAGAGCCATCAGAATCAAAAGGAAGCACTTAGACAACAGACCTTAACCGGTTTGACCCATTTAATGATATTCTTTTTCTCCAGATTCTTGATCACCGTATTGGCAAGTTGTGTGTGCAATCCGGAGCGATCCTTGAGCTGTTTGAGCCATATTCCATTGTTCTTTGCATCTTTAACGAGTCGGTAGATGATGCGTTCCTCGTCTTTCATACCGCCCGCTCTGCATGGCGAGCAGAAGAGAAGAAATTTAGCGGAATCCTGCAGCTCGGAGAGGGCGGAGCGCCTCCTACATTGTAGCCTCTTCATTTGAGCGAGCTTTCACAGCAAGCTTTCCAGTCTTTGTCATCGCCATGAAGTCGACATATTGCTGAGACAAGTGGAGAACACTTTTAGCTGTGTGCTCTCTTCACCGCACTTCACCGTTTCTTGCGCAGGATAACACACCTTCGAGCTGAGTGAGTTCAAGTGCTCCAAGATTTCGTTGGCCTCCCACCCTTCAAGTTCGTTCCTCAGAGCATCTTGGTCGATACCCTAACCACAGACCGAGTCACGAAACGTTAGTTTTCGCCTGTTGAAAAGACCAGCAAACACTAACCAGCCACCTCTGGACCACGTACCTTAGGATGCTGCCTGATTCGATCGAGTACCGTCTGCTCTTTGGCGGTCAGGGCGTTCCCCGACTTGGCTTTTCGTGAGGACATGGTATCGTATCAAGGGTTCTCCGTCCTGCGAAAATGGGCCTGCGCGTTCAAAAGACCTGAGACTATATATATATTTATATATGAACGAGCCTGGCAGTGCTCTCTCTTGCAGCCTCTGTATATGGACCAAATGGACTGTGTATTTGCCGTACAGCAGTCTGGCAACGGACTGAAGGGTGTTTTCTGGACAAGTCGCTTGATGCAAAGTTGCAAACCCCTCTTCCCGGTCAGACTTCGGTACGCGCAGTCATCGCTCGCAGCCAACGCGCTCCCTCTTCCCACATTCCGTCGTTTTTGTTTCTTTTCTCTATCACTACTCAAGGCACTACCCGAAATGCAGGGCAATAACTCGGGCTTCAACTATCGCCCGCCCCCCGCCTGGAGGGGAGGGGGAGAGCGAGAAGGTGGAGGCGGAGGAGCAGCACAAAATCAGGGTCGACGCGGAGGCTCCAGGCCATTTCGCGGACGTGGTGGAGGGGACCGACAAAACAATAGGCACCAGCCATATCCGGCCCAACACTACCAAAGACAACAACAGCAGCAGTTCTCGGGAGGTGACGGTGTTAGTGCAGCACAGCAGGCTCAGCAATATCAGCAGCCGCAGCTGCTCCAACAGCAATACTTGGCTGGACAGGACCCACAGAATGCTGCGTATCCATGGCAGCAGCCACAACAGGCGTATTACCAGCCTCTGCAAATGGACCAGTCAGGGTCAATACCACCTCAGCAAACGCTTCATCAACAGCAGCAGTTACTTTTGCAGCAGCAGCAACAACAAGTTCAGCAGAGGAACCTGGCTATGCTGCCGACGTTGTTAGCGATGGCAGGGCAGCTAGGCACGTTCCTGACGCACCAACAGCAGCAGCAGCAGCTGCCGATGCAGCAACAATCAGGGTCATATGGTTATGCAGACCCATCATCTATTGCATTATTGGGAAGCGCGGCCATGGAACCATACACAGCAGCAGCGCAAACGAAGCCACCGGCGCCGTTTTCATGCGAAAACTGCGAGAAGACGTTTGAAGTCGAATCGCAGTATCGAACGCACTGCAAACAGCATGTGAAGTGCTCTGAATGCGAGTTCGAAGCATCTAAGAAGGTTGTGCGAGGGCATGAGGAGGAAGTGCATGCCATTGTCGATGGAGTCAAGTAAGCCCCCTGGAGGTGTTTGCGTGGACGGATGTCAGCGACGGGGTTCTGATGGAACTTTTATATCATTAGGAGGACGTTTGTGAGCAAAGATACCCCAGAAGAGATAGCTCAATGGATTCAGGAGCGGAAGAAAAAATACCCAACGGAAGCGAACATCCGTGCAAAGGTATGAATGGGAAAGTACTCCTTCACCATTCTCTGTTGGACCGTGGTTGCTCACGCTATATATTTGCTTCGTGTGCATCAGACATTGGCGGAACAAGAGCGACACAATCGAGGAGATGTGATACGTGAACCGAAAGGGCTTAAGGGCAATCGGAAAGAGCGCGGACCGTTGCGGCAGATGCACGTGGCTTCCACGCCAGTGGTTGAGGTCAAGCGCGAGGTAGGTCATCGAGCGAAGCTGGCTGTCACGGTGGCAATCCTGTCACCTCTGCTGCAGATGGCTAATGGATAACAAATACAGGAACCGATCAAAAACGGTCTCGGGCTGCTCACTGCATACGCCTCCGACATCTCTTCCGACGCCGAAGAACTCGCCCCGACCGAGGGCGCAGACCCCTTATCAACAACTCCCAAACCTGACCCAACATCCGACGCATCCTCCCTCTCCTCATCAGATTCCTCCGACGATGACGAAGAGGAAGCGACGGCACCCACACCCGACGCCGCGCACCCAACCCCGCAACGCCAACCGCGCAGCATGCCAATCTGCAAATACTTCCTCCGCAACCGATGCACAAAAGGCGATAGCTGTGCTTTCCGGCATGAGCGGCCGCCGCCAAAGACTGCCGAACAGAAGGAGGCCGCCAACGCTCGTCGGGCGGCGGCGAGTAGTGCGGCTGCAGCGGGGAGTAGACGGCCTTTGTTGAAGATGGTGCGTTTTGCTTGTGCAGCCTTCTTGTTGGACAGTAGCAGCAGGATTATGGTGCCTTGGGGTTCCGAGGTGGAGGCTGACGGTGTCTGTTCCGTTTCACTAATTCCTCACAGCTCCTGGAAGCGGACATCAGGAAGGAACAAAACACGATCCTGCAGTGCGTTCGGTACATCGTTCAGAAGGATTTCTTCGAAACGAAAAACCAGCAGCAAACTGAGCAGATGGAGCCTTAAAAATCACACTCATCTACCTCATTCATCATCCATCATGCATTACATCACATCGCAGTCTAGAATGTACATAGCAGCAATTGTCATCGTAGAATCAACCTCAAATCATTGGCCAAGAGAATGTATTTGGAGGGCGAGGAGAAGGTTTACCTTCAATGCGCCTGGGTGAGAAATCAAATGCTACGCGTCTTTGACAGTGGGCCAAACGGCATCAAGCGTTTCGTGCGACCGATTGAAAGAGTCTCGATGCGTTCAAGTGTATTAGAAGAGGGACGTAAAGGACAATGAGGTTGTTGGAGGCTGGTGTAAGAAACCTCCGCTGAGGTTCTCGTGGAAGTAAAGGAAAAGGGGTGGGATATCAACGTCGATGAAGGAGGGGATGACCACAAAAACGATTGGGTTTTCGGAGGAGATACTGCATCTCACTTCGGCATATTTAACCGCTTTCAGAATCAGAAGAAGGATCCACCTCCCATTTGCTGCTGATTATGCTGGTTTTGCTGAGCGCCAAATGGGTTCTGGCCGAACGCGTTTTGCTGTTGCTGGAACCCTTGCTGTTGTTGGCCACCGAAAGATGTGGCGCCTTGCTGGGGGTTTCCGAAGCCTTGGCCGCCTTGAACCCCGCCGCCGAAGAATGGTTGCTGCTGTTGCTGTTGCTGCTGTTGTTGTGGGAAAGCGCCGCCGAATCCGGTCTGCATGCCACCGAAAGCGTTGTTGTTGTTGCCGCCTGCACCGTTGAAGCCACCACCGCCGAATGTGCTTTGAGTGGTGTTTTGGGTGGCAAGTTGAGCGAGGGTGGGCTGGGAGGGTTTTGGCGCCTCCCATTGGAATTTTCCACCAGCACTGGTTCCGGCTGTGGCGAAGGGATTCTTTGCGGCGGGGAGGCCAAAGTTGTTGGCGGCCCCTGAGCCGCTTCCCTTCATCAAACTGGAGGCGTCCAAGTTGACAAGGTCGTTGGCGGATTTGTTTGGTGTGTTGAAGCCACCAGTGCCTTGAGCGGGCGTTCCGAAGCCACTCCCTGTGTTGTGCTGGGAAATAGGCTGCTCGCGGGATCAGATGGTTAGCATATGCCTTTCGAATGAAAAAAGCCTAATGGCATTGTTACCTGGGATCCAGCGCCGCCAAAGCCGCCTAATCCTCCTCCAGTCAGATGTGCAGGAATACCCCCCCTGTTGCCAAATGGTCCACCTGTGTTGTGGGCTTGGAGCGGTTGGGTACCAAAACCTCCCAAGTTGCTTCCCAAGTTACCGCCCGTATTATGCTGCTGGATTGCTTGTCCGCCCTGACCAAAGCCTCCAAAGCCTCCTCCAAGGTTCTGCGCCTGACCCTGATTGAATCCGCCAAACCCACTGCCAGTGTTGTGTGCGGACACTTGAGCGGCATTGCCAAATCCTCCACCTGTCGACTGGTTTGCGAGGCTCTATACACCATCCTTGACATTAGTTACGGGTGAAGATACAACATTCTGAAGGAAATTTCGGAGTACCTGCTGATTGCCGCCCCCAAAAATGTCGTTCCCGGCCCCTTGTGCTACCCCGAACGGATTCGACTGCGTTGCTCCGCTTGCGCTACAGCAAGGGAGGATAAGTTTAGAGCACATGACAGAGAGGTCAACCGAGTATTGAGGATGCTTACCCGCCTGTGCGGCTAGCGGCAAGACTCGCGAATGGATCGATCGGGCCACTGTGTTGGGATATGTTTGAGAGTCTGCGCCAAAAGCGTACGGCGCTTCACAACTTGCTATAATTACCTTCCACGAGCCAGTGCGTCGTTGTTTCCGGTGAGTTGATCCTGCATAGGGTTTGCCGGGGCCGTACCGAATGGGTTGGAGTTTTGCATTTGATTTTGCAACATTTGGTTCTGCTGGAATTGTTGTTGAGCAAGCTGCTGTTGGAGAGCCAGCTGTTGTTGCTGCTGCAATGCATACTGCTGCTGCAATTGCTGCTGCTGCTGAGCAGCAAAGGGATCCGCCCCGCCAAATCCAGAGAATGGATCATACGAGGTTTGTGTTTGTTGCGGTTGTTGGGCGTAAGGGTTTGCTGGAGTGGTGTCTTCGAGACCGCCAAAGAAATCGATGATGTTGTCCTTGGCTGGTTCGGCAGCAGCTTTCGCCGCTGCTTCGTCCCTTTCCCGCATACGCCTTTCGATCGCCTCTTTCTCACTAAGCTCCAACGCTCGTCGGAGTTCTTCTTCCCTGAGAACATTTGAACATCAGGATTTCCGATGGAGCAGAAACAGTTTGCGAAAAGCAATATCTGAAGCTTACTCCTTGTCCTCTCCGGCTCTACGTTTCTGATCTTGTTGCGCTGTCTTCTTACTTTCTTCAAGCGCTTTTTGTAATTCAAAATCCTCATTATAGTATGCGCCTGAACCCGAACCGTCATTTTCTGGCCTTGATCCGCTGCCACCCATGCGACCCCGCATATCTGCCCGTGTCTGGCGTGCTTCGCGTAATCGTGTCTCGTCTGCCAGTAAGGCTACTATGTCCTTGCACTTCTGACGCACTGCCAAAGGACAACACACATCGGTCAGAGAGGCTGTTCTCGCTTCATGAAATTCGCATCCTTTTACCATTCGCTCCCTGGTCTTTTCCATCATCATCAATGTATTGAAACTCTTTCAACGTTTTGATGACATGTATGTTTTCCCTTGCGTATGCGATGACAGCCTCCGCTCCGGTGTGTAGCAAGTAATCCAGTAGAGTCAGGGCCTTTTGCAAAGGGAAGAGAATCAGAGATGAACTGCAGACAATCGTGATCGCGAAATGAATCGCAAACCTTGAAGACATGTCTCCAGTTCTTTCCCGAATCGTTCAATCGCTTATCAACCATTTCCATGATTTCAAGGAAATCTCGGCTGAGAAAAGTGGAGATAGGGAATATTCTCGGTAAGTTGCGAGTCGGCTAAGAGAATGAGGGCATTTCTGCACATACTGATTGTATGTCGATTGGGAAATATCGGCCATCAAAGACCCCGACGGTCCCCACTATGTTCGAACAAGTAAAAGTACGCAATTGAATATGTTGAATACGCGGGGTTACGGGGTGGCCAACGAAGCCTGAATGCCGGAAGAAGTGGTGAATCCCTACCGGATCATTTGACGTCGCCTGCCTACAGACAAGGGATGTAAGTCTACTATCGCAGTCGAGATGGGCATTGATGAGCACGTAACCTACCTAACTTTGATTTGGATATCGGAATATCCTTTCGTATAGTTCTTGCTGTACGGAAACGTCTCGCAGTGAGCAAATGTGAGAGGGAGGCCCCGACGTTCTGCTCAACCTGAGTTGGTAAGTACTTACGCAGAACGCAGAAGCGTCTTTCCCATTTGCTTGCTCATGATGGCTCTTCCGACGCTACCAATCGTGTTTCGCGCAAGAACGAGGAGGAACGTCCGTTTTTGTGACTAGATGGAGGTGGGCGCAGGGCGTTACTGGGAGAGACAGCTGAGGGATTGGGTTACTGTCGGTTGCGGCTGGAGGAGGGACGAGAGCCAGATACTGTAGGCGGGATGAGCGACGGGTGGGAGTAAGCTCCTGGGAAGGAAGTGGCTGAGAGGGGTGAGACGCCAAGTTGTGATTAGCCGGGATGATGCGGGTTAGGCGTAAGTTAAGAGTCAGGCCGTCATCGCGCGGACTCTGAGTCACTCACGCCTGCCGTCAATTCCCTCACCCCGTCAAGTCCTCGCCCAAAACCCTTTCGCTGCCTGTCCGTGTCCAGATATATAATATAGTCCTGAAAGCTATCCCTACGTAGTACTTGCGAACCGGCGTCAGAGAGCAAACCCTATGACGCTGCCTCAACTGGGCCGCGGGCGATATGCATGGCAACGGAAGCATCGCGTCGAAGATGGACACTTCCAGCAGACCGATTGGAGAGCCAGGTTCGCCATGATTATTCCTCAACCTCTCATCAACGAGCACTCTAACCTGAATCGCGTCTCGAAATAACTTAGGATGTCAGCACTTGCGATAGTTACGGCTCTTGTATATCTCGGCTCTGTCTTAGTCGCGGGCGGGTGCCCTGTATTGGACACGCCGACGAAGAGCAGTCATCGTCTGACGAAACGCACGCAGTATCTGGTTCACGGACTACTATGGGATGCGGGGGAGAAAGCGGTAGCAGAGATGTATGCAGGTCATATCAACATCAGGTAAAGATATATCGGGGGGTATTCCGGCGCCTTGCTCGATATCGTTGATTGATGGATGTACTTTTTCGACTGGAAGGACATACCCAGACGGATGGCCGAACTCCACCGCCCCTGAAAACCAGGGGAAGCAGCACGTCGCCAACACATTCTTCTGGTTTGTCCCTGCCCTCCCACCCGCGTCCCCTAACGCGTCACTGGTGCTATGGTTGCAGGGCGGACCCGGGTCAAGTTCCATGATTGGGTTGCTTGAGGAGATGGGACCGTTTGAGATCAACAATGCAACGGGAGCGCTGAGGCGACGAAAGGAAACGTGGAGTCGGGGCATGTCCTTGCTGTTTGTTGATAATCCGGTCGGCACGGGTTACAGTTTCGTAGGCGCGGGCAAGGAAGGAAATGTCCCTCTCACTAGGAGACTGGAAGACGACGAAGCGCTACCGGCGTACCATGAAGGCTACCCGACCAACCAGCCGGCGATCAGCAGGGACCTCATATCGTTTCTCGACAAGTTCTACGCGGTGTTTCCGGAACAATCCTCCCGACCGCTCTACCTCGCCGGTGAATCGTACGCGGGCAAATACGTCCCGGAGCTCGCAGCCGCCATTCTGGCGCGGAACGCGGCTGCGTCGACTTCGAATGAGCGCAAACTACCGTTGGAGGGCATTGCTATCGGGGACGGCCTCACCGACCCAACCACCCAAATCAAAGCCCACGCGCCATTAGGACTCGCGTTAGGACTCCTAACTGGATCTCAAGCGCGGGTGGTGGACACGTTTGCCCAGGATGCCACAGCTCTCGCGGGAAGCAAGCGGTGGGTGGACGCGACGGTGGCGCGGACGCGGCTGTTTGAGTATGTAGCCAATGTCACTGGAGGTGTGAACGCGTACGATGTGCGGAAAGGTTCGACGCAGACGGACCATTCGACGCTGGATCGGTTCTTGTCCCGTGAGGATGTGCGGAGGGCTATCAATGTCTGTCGCGCTGCGACGCAAATCCAGGATGGAGTGAGGCGGGTTGGCGACGAAGGGTGCCCACCCGCATTCCACGCCCGCTCTCCCTTCATCAAAACCCTGCTCACAGCCGACGTCATGAAGTCCGCCGTCCCGGCCATTCTCAACATTCTCAACTCCGACTCCTGCCGCGTCCTCCTCTTTCAAGGCCAGTTCGATTTTCGTGACGGCCCGCTTGGCCAAACAGAGTGGATCGAAAACCTGGATTGGGATGGAGCCGCTGGGTACCGTGACGCTGAGCGTGTTGTGTGGAATGTTGGAGACGAAGTGGTAGGGTATGTTACAGAGTATAGGCAGTTAAGACGGGTAGTGTTAACGAGAGCTGGGCACATGGCGCCGGGAGATCAAACGACGATAACGAGGCTTATGATGGAACGGCTTATGAAAGTCTGATTACGTAGTAGATATCGCACAACAATCGCGAGTAAGAGGTAGTTGCTGCTCTTCCCAAGAAACTAAAGAACTATATAGCGGGATCAGGGATGCCCTCCTATGTATATACAAACAGCCAGATTCAAAACAGCTAAACAATTCCCATGTACAGTACAACTTCTTCACAAAGGACTGGTCCTTAAGGAGAATATGCCGGAGCATCAGTGCGGGAACTCTTGGGGCTGGGAGCTCCTTCGTCCAACGCCAAGCCGGTAAAGTCTGCGCCAAAGTCTTGCCATACTGACGGACTCCCATGCACGCTGATAGGCATGCGAAATTTGACCTTTTCCTTCTTCCCGTCAATGGTCAACGACACTTTGCCCTCTACATAGTGCATGCACGAGGTTCTTCGCCCTAGGACATCATCGTGCCACTGCTGCGGCTTCACGAATTGAAGGAGGAAAACGCTGGGTTCGGTGACCCGTGCTTGGGTTCCCAGTTGGTACTTTTGTGGCCCGGAGATGTATCTCAGGTCGCCGCCAGCATCGCCGCCTAACCCAGCACCTACCCCAGCGGTGGAGGATATGGTTGAGCCCGGCCCTGGGAGGCCCAAAGACAAGGCAAATGAAACCATGGCCTCTGTTTTGGTCATGGTGTAGTTCGACGCCAGGAACTCGCGGAAGCCGAATTCTACCGATTGCATGGCAACGGTGGGCGGTGTGGCGATGCCAGGCTTCGGAACGACGTTGAGTTGCAGCTCGAGGTGGCCGGGCTTGGTGTCGCCCTCCTTGTCGAATATGATCCGTTTCGCGGTCGTCAAGGTCAGATGTGCGGCACCGATATCGGCGACCGTGGTCTGCTCGTTCGTCAGGCCGGGAAGTGTTTCAACGTTGTGCGGTTCGTCCGGGAACACCTTTGGGAACGCGGCGGGCGGAGGGGCGATCATGAGTTTCTTCAGCCAGACGATCTTTTCGCAGACTATGTTCGGAGGTCGGATGCCCATCCAGTTCTTGCCTGGAGTGACAACAGCGTGCAGCTTGTACAACAGGCGACAGTAGGACGCTCTGAAGGTCGCGGGAGCTTGTGGCTTGAAAGCAAATTCAAAATCGTAGACGTATTCGCCCGGATCGAGGACCTTTCCCTCCCAGAACGTCTTGGATTCGTCCGGAAGGGCACTTCGGTTTGTGTTGTACCCGCCCATGTATGTTTCATCGTTGAAATGAGCTTCATCCTCTTCGATTCCGAAGAAGCGGATGCCTAATGCTTGTGCTTTAACTTGCTTCTTCAAGTGGACATGAACGCGGCCGGCCACGCAAAGACTTTGCAGGGGGTGCGATTTGGTGGGTTTCTCGGCACCGGTTGCTGGGTCGATGTAGTGGGCGAGCTGAGGCTCATGTGTCAACTCGATTTCTATAATGACAAAACAGCGATTCGTGTCACTTTCTCTCTATATAGAGATAACACTTTCTATGACACTTTCTTCTCGGACGATGTAGAAATTGACAGTACGCACCAAAACGGGCAAACTCCGACGGCACGCTTGCCCTCAAAATGTGGGCCTCTGAGGTCTTCATCCTTCGCTATGCTGTACGAACTAACTGTACTAACTCGATTGGTGGATTTGATAACTGGGGGAACTTGGATTTATGGGAGTCCACCGGTATTATGAGACAGCTGGGAAACTATGGAACGCATAGCACCGGACACGCCGGCCTCGCCCAAATTTATATGCGCGCATTCGAGGGCCGCATGCATGTCCGAACTGGGGGGGCGTTGCCGCTGTTGAGCAGTTCACAGACTTGGCGCTGTGTTGTGTGCGTTGCTGTAAAAATTGCCCTAGTCAAGGAATGATCGGCGGAAGCTGTTGAAATCCTTTTGTTTTCGGGTATTGTCACGAATCACAAGTTGATATTTAATTGCATTGAGCGCCGGCCGGATCCACGGTCTCGGGGCTTGCTGGTTTAGTGCAGCAGCCACCTGAGCCAACCCACGCACCCAGGCAGAGTATATACTGTGTGATTGCAATAAGGCAACTACTAGGAATAAGCAAGCGCCTTGTCATGGAACTGCGAGCGCAGGGGTCATAGTGTACTCGAAAAGTTCAAACCTGACACCGTTGGCAACTTGGCAAACAGAACTCGCTGGCAGGAAGGACGGAAGGTGGATACCTAGACCGACCGGCGACGAAAGAGCTGGACTTTGGAAATTCCTCGTAAAGCGCCCACTCGCCGCCGCCAAGTCGCTGTGCGGCCCAACTGCCCTTCTCAGGCTTCGACCGGCAAGCCCTACTCCTGCGCCGCCCACCTCTGAGTCAGGCAACTTACACGTCAAGTACGCCAAATTCAGGCTCCATCGACTCACATTTAGGCGGTCACGCACACGGCCACGTTCGGCGGGCGTATCGTTTGAGTGAAGTCTGTACCGGCCGCCATCTGTGCTCGACGACACTCCCGTCGACGATGACATGCGAGAGCGCCTTACAGTATAGTGAGGACTCGGTGCGACAATGCAAGGAATTGGCCCTTCTCCTGAAGAAGAGGTCGCAGCTCGAGATGGAATATGCCAAGGGTCTATGTATGGCCTTCCAGAACTGCTATAATCCGAGATTCCGCTTTCGTAGACGGCGATGCTAAACTTTCTCCCGTCGTAGACAAACTAGCACAAGGCGCTCAAAGACCCTCCCAGCACGGGGCACAGGTGCCTGACCTCGATGGCGGCATGAAAGGCGTGGGGCAGTCGATGCGCGAGTTAAATAGAGGGGATGTCACTGGAACGTATGTCAATTTTGGATGATCTGGGATGTTCGGCAGGCGCCACTATGCCCTCTGCTCACCGCGATCGTTCGCTCAGGTCGTTGTGGCAAACATTCTACGACTACGTGGATCAGATCCGGAAGTCTGCGGAAACTCATGTGGGTAATCTTTCGTTTCTCGAAGGAAGAGGGATCTCGCGGCTCACTTTTCGGCGTTCCACAGAGAAATCTTGCGCTGTCTCTGCAAAACACAATATTGGACCCGTTCCTGATGTTAATCAGGGACATGGAGGTCGCGCATAAGGTGCATGTCAACCGGAATGCGGACTTTATGAAACGATGGGATCAAGCGGGAGCGGCTTTCAAACAGGTACAACACCAGCTCAGGACTTACTGAACTGGAAAGCTTCCTGACGCAGTACCTCGGCCCAGGCTAGAAGCGAATATCGTAATTTACAGACACAGGCTATTGAGGCCAACAACAAATGCAAAGCCGGATCAGCTCGAGGGGTGAAGGATCGAGAGATGGAAAAAGTATGTCACACATGGTCGAACAAGTATATGCCTCCAGACTGCTCGCCTCTAATCAATAGAACCTAGCTCACCACCCGAGCCGTGGAAGCCTCTGAGAAAGCTGATGCGGCCAATGAAGTCCTTCTAGTTTTCGGAGACATCTGCAAAAACTGCCAGGAGCAGTATTACGGCCACGTGCTTCCGACGATGTACAAGGATCTACGACAGAACGAGCAAGGCCGCTTTCAGGCCGTGAAAAAGATCTTGGGCGACACCTTACACATGGAACGAACATATCAGGGCACAATCTTAGAATCGTTCGATAACTGCATCGCGGACTACAAAGCAATCGATATCGAAGGGGATATGGATGCTTTCACGCAGTGCCACACAATCGACGAGGACGCGCACGCTTTCGAAGGCGTCTTCCCATCTAGCATACCACAACCGGCGAGGACGGGGAGAATGTTGCTGAAACGAGGAGATTTCACGAGGGGGTGGCAGCCGCGCTATTTTGTCTTTCTGAGAGAGGCGCAGACTCTGTTGGGCTTTGACAGCCCGAACACAGACACGCCACCCATCGAGATTCTACCCCTGCGTCACAGTGCGATCCATGATCTGGATAACAGCTATTTTGCGCGGCCGCACTGTTTTCAGATAATATGTCTAACACAACGCGGGAAAGAGACGTACAATCTCATCGCCGAATCGGCGGTGGAAAAGCAGAATTGGATGAGCGATCTTCGTGCATTCGCGTCCTGTTGCATAAAAGGAATATTGCTCCGAGAGAAGGATGGTGTGAGATCGCAAGTCTCAGAAAACGAGGAAGAAGACTATGCGGTGATCAGGTCTTTCCAGCTATCAGTGATGGAGGCGAAAGATCTGCACAGCCCAGCGCCCAACTCCGACATGAGCGTGTATTGCATCGCATTGCTGGACGATGTGAAGCAAGCACGTACAACGAAGAAGGGCGCAACTGCACCATTCTGGGGAGAGGAGTTCGAGTTCGTCAATGTGTGCCCACACTACAATCGGTTACGGGTGGTCATCTTCAACGGCAGCCAGGATATTGGCTACGTCAGTATCAACCTATTCAATCCGAAGGCTTCTTCGCGGACGGAACAGTGGTACCCGATAAAGCAGCTCCCGCAAATTAGTAAGCCGGAAGCGCCCTCTTCTGGTTCGATTCGGATAGGATTCCACTCCAACACTCAACAGCTGTTGCCGCGCTCGCAGTACTTGCGGTTCGTCGATCTGGTGACGGAGAAGTCGCTGACATGCGTCAAGGCGCTGGGTGCAGTATGCGGGATGCAACGAGAGTCCGTCGCCAAGGTGTTTATGAACATCATGACGGCGAGAGGAGATGGAGTAGCTGCTCTCAAGAATCTGTTGAGCGATGAGATCAGGCAGACGGAGAATCCAAACATAGTGTTCCGAGGCAATACTTTGGCCACCAAGGCTGTGGACCAGTTCATGAAGATGGTCGGAATGGATTACCTGTCGTCCACCATTGGGATTCTTGTGAAACATGTCTACTCCACCAACATGCACTGTGAAGTTGACGCGACTCGCATCGCTCGCCCCGAACTACTAGCCGAGAACTGGGACCGACTGTTGGGCGTGACAGATGACTTCTGGGTCGCAATATCCAGTTCATACGAGCAATGTCCATCAGTCCTCCGCGAAGTCTTCGCACACATCCGGATGGAGGTAGATCGAAAATGGCCACAAGACGTGGAAAGCAACCAATCGATCCCATACGCAGCAATCAGCGGCTTCATCTTCCTCCGCTTCTTCTGTCCCGCCATTTTACACCCAAAGTTGTTCAACTTGATACCCGACCACCCGGACCCGCCCACATCACGCACGTTCACCCTCGTCGCCAAGATCCTTCAGAACCTGGCCAACCTGACCGATTTTGGATCGAAGGAACCATACATGGTGCAATGTAACGCATTCATTGCACAAAACATTACGTCAATGAGAGGCTTCATTGATAGAATATCTACGATACCCCCAGAGCCTCTGGAGCTCTCACCATCTGACGTTACGCGGTTGCATCCTTTACCGAGAAAGGACGTTGAATGCCTGTACCAGTTTTTCGACGGCAACATGGATGCGTTGCTGGAGCAAGCGCCGCGGATACCGCTGCTGGCTGGGTTGGTCGATGAATGTCGAACACTGAAAGCCCGCCACGCGGAGTTCATGAACACGCCGCACGAAACGCTACTGCGGAAACCGTCGTTGCATGCAGAGAGCGAGGAGTACCTCGCTGCCTTGATCGGAGACGAACTGAACGAGTACAGCTTTAACCCGAAAATCACCCTGTCGCCGCGCCCGCGAGCAGAGTCGGATCCGGTGGGACGATCGTCGGAAATGTCATCTCGGTCGTCGATACAAGCGTATGGCACCGCCTCTAGAAGCACGGAGGACGTACTGCAATCCTCGTCGGAGCTACTGCCCGTCGCTCCACTTGCAGCCGCACCGAGCGTAGATCTGCTGATGGACATCAAACCGCCCGAGACGCTGATAACAGACTGGGACGCCTTGCAACGGGATTTCAGCCGAAGCACCATCTCGTCACCCGTCCCTCCGCAGCGGAAAGGTTCGAAATTTCCACACGGGACCTCGAAGCAGCTTACAGAGTTTTCGGGGCTGTCGCGCAGCGAATCGTCCCTGTCGGGCGGGACGTTTACGCAGGAGATGGAACGGCGGATTCGAGGAGCGAATCATCACCACTCGTCTCATACGCATCGGAAAACGGGCAACAATGCGAAACAGTTCTTCAAGTCGCTTATGCATTCAAGTAGCACCGTTTCTTCACCGCTGCATAGCCAGCACCACCACCACCAGGGTGGCGCAGACCGGGAAGCCTCCTCGAAGGATGCAAACTACAGCGACCGCAAACGACTGGGCAGCGTCAGCTCCTTCGGATCCAGTCTGAACTCCAACAACTCAAGTGAGTCCGTATCAGTGATCGGTGGCAGGGAATCAGAGGACGACCGATCCATGTTCCACCTCGACCGCGAACTGTTCCCGTCAGGTTCAGCGGCAGAAACGTCCTCGGCGTCGGATCAGCAGCAATATACCCTCGGCGGCGAGGGCCGCACACCTACCGCCCCGTCAGGAACATGGACATTCGCCCATCGCGTCCGCCGAGATACGTTGGGCGAGTTTCGCGGGTCATCGGATTCGTTGATGGTTCCACCGACGCCTCCGCCTATTCCGGATGACTTTGATGCGTACCCGATGGTGGGTGGGGATTTGGGGTCGCAGATGGGCACCGCCGGGAGACCGAGGAGTGCGTCGGTGGGGAACAAAGTCAAGAGTCGGTTGAGTGTCATTTGGAAGAGATGATAGAGCAGTATAGTCGCTGATTTCGGCCCCCTTGATCTGGATATGGGGAAAGAGAGCGTGATTACGGCCACTTGTATATATAGTCCTCCATTTTCATCTCTTGTAGCGATCTTTCTGTCACTTTTACTTTTTTTAGACAAGACTTGTTTTCGTACATGTACATTTGATATGGCCATTACATGAACACAACACTCTCATGGAGAGCAGGAAGGGACCAGGTATTTTACAGAATATGTGTCGTGGGAACTTTGCTTCACCTAGCTTTCGACCACATCCGATGCGCCTCACCCACCACCTCGGCACATCTGCTCAACGCGGCAACTTCGAACAAGCCAAGCGCAGGAATGAAAGTGCGAACCATCTCGGCATCGCCCCTCTCACCAAAGATCTTGCACCAGCGCCTAATCACAACCACCTGCACCTCCCACAACCACAATCCATACAGCGTCGGATCACTTGGTGGGATCGGTCGCGCGATAGAGCCACTGCAGGGCGACGACTCCCTCGCGATCTGCCACAGTAGATGCCGGTCCGCAACCCCCGCCGCATCGAGTACCTCCGTGATGCCGCCGCCACGACCCTCCGCTTCGGCCTCGAAATCTACGCCCAGAATGCCCGCCAACACGTTTCCCTCGACCGCAGGCGCCAGCTGAGCGGTCCCGACACCATACTCATTCGCTGTTTCCTCACTTTCGCCTCCAACCTCCCTGGCCCCACGACCCCAGACATACACGAAAGCCCTAGTCCACCTCGCCCCGCGCCTCAACACGCCCGCAACGAGCCTCACATGTGCTTCGTGACCGATATCCGCTACCGCGCCCCACTTGATGTTGGCCAGATAGCTCCCGCGGATGACGGCGCGGCCCAGCGCTTCGTCGGGGGTGTAGGTCGTGAGCAGGTGCGTGAGCTCGATGTTGAGGAGGTGTTGCGGTGTTGGGAGGGCACGAGCGAGGTAGCGGTGGGTGAGACGGAGTGCCGAGAGGGTTGGGATAGAGGTGAGGAGCGCGATTTGGGTGAGGGTTTCGGGCGGGAGGCTGAGGAGTGTGGCGATTTTGGGGTTCGTAGTGGTGGAATGCGTATGTGGCACTGCGGATATCCTTGTTGATGGTGACTTCGTTGTTGGTTGCATAGGCAAATCGACGAGAGGTGGTGTATGCGATCTGACAAAAGGTGAGATCGTAGCCGATTGATCTACGCTCAACATTGTGGCCGGTTCAGTCAAGGTGCTCATTATGCCTGCAAAGTTGATTTCGCAGGGCACAGAAGTTGGGCTTTTCCCGTGCTCAGAACGCCGCGACGAGTTTGCGGCTTTTGAGGAAACTTGGTTGCTGTCACCTCCAAGTGGTTCGTGTTTCATACGTCTTCCTTTTCGAAATCCCGGACATTCCCTGTGGGGGTCCATAAGCTTTACCCTTATTTGGTGTCTCACCCTTCCGTGGAGACTCGCTATGGGGATTCACAGAGCGGGTTTGTGGGGGAAAAGCTTATGTCAGACGCTGACGGGCCTCCAGAAAGGGGACGCGCTGTCAAATTCTGTGCCTCCTGCCAAAAATGGCATTGAATTTCCCTCACGTGACGGCTCATGGTGCTGATTTCGCCGTCACGAAGTTTATGGGAAACACGTCAAATGTCGGTTGCTCGGAAGAGGTCGCAAACGGGAATCCTCCAGTACCCCACAGCAACGAGGACCTTGCAGAAGTCTAAATTCAATTCATATTGTTGCGCTTCGGAGAGCCGGTCGCAGCATCAATTCTCTCTATGTCCTAGCTCGAGCGGCGCAGCGCATTTCACCACCTGAGAGTTCCCTAATCCGTAATTAAAAATTCAAACCCCGCCAGTGTGTCCAATCACAAATGCTCTAACGCTCCAGCCGCCACATTCACCTCTGCGAAACTCGACGTAAGGCCTGTGGACGATTCGGCGTGCTTGTCTTCCACAGGCGGGCCCACCCTCGGCCTCGAGGTTGGCATAGCCGAAGTCCGCCCAAGCATATTCGCCGACGCACGTTTCCGCGCGTCCAACTGCATTTTGATGTACTTCGCGCGGTCGGTGTCTCTGACAAGGATACGAGCGAGGTAGCAGGGGAGGGTGTGGGGAAGTGGGTGGCGGAGGATGAGCGTCGGTGTTGTGGTCAAGGCATGCGGCGCCGGGGAAGGGCCCGGGTTGTTTTCCTCGTCGGAGCCTTTCTTCGAGCCGCCGAAGTGTAACCGTGCTCCTGAAACTGATTGTAATCGGGTGACGCTGTGATCGGTAGAGATAAGCGTGCGAGGGGCGGTATTTGAACGTGACAGGCCGCCGGGGGCATCGCTGAGGACGTGAAATCGGAAGTAATAGGCTTGGAAGAAGGACGTGCGAAGCTTCTTGAACGCGTGTGCGACGGAGGGATCAAGCGTGAAGAAGATGGTGGCACTGAGTGCTCCCTGGGCGCAAGATGAGGTCGGTCGTCAGTGCTTGCACGCTTTCCCCGTAACTGTAATCAAATGATGACAACTCACCATAGCCGCACTCATGAAATTGGCGACATCCATGGCCCACATGACGTTGATTCCGTACGCACGATAATACATGTCCGAAAAGAAAGAGAAGAAATGGGCCACCAGCGGCACCACGCAGTACCACTTGATCCTGCCAACCGCTTTACGCACCAATTTATCCGTTTTAGCGAATTGCTTTTGCACCGAAGCGTCCTTCGATGACAAAATGGCGGCATCGCTTTTTTGAGCCTTGTGGGGATTCCGCGCGGCCAGAGCAAATAGGATTAGGCAGGTCGTGCAAAAGATCGACACGGAGAGAATCCAAAAGTAGTACGTTCCCCATTGCCAGGCAAACACCTTGTCGTAACTTGGGTCGACTTCCTTATCGTACGCGTACCAGCATTCCGACCCGTCCCATCCAAAGACACCCATTCCCTGTCCGATGGATGGCACAAGGACAGCCATAACGCCGCATGCAAAGTAGCAAGTTCGTTCGATGTGACGGTCCTTTTGCACTTTGAGTACGAAGACGAGGAGGAGATTCAAGCCGATCGAGGCGGTGAGGAAAAGCGAGCAGAGGAGGAAAAGAACGGTGAAAAACATGGACCAATCACAGAGCTTTGATGGGCCTGTCGGCAGGCAGGAGATGAGATACGCGATCCCGTAGCAGATGTCGCATGAGACGCCGACGACTGCCAAACGCAGCGACACTCGGGAAGCCTAGACCACGGTGACGAGAGAGAGTCGGTTAGAAGATGACTCCTGACTGAGAGCACCGCCGTTCTCGGATGCGAGGATGGCTTCCCTTCGCAGGAGAGCCATCGATGCCATGGCGTACATATTCACTGGCGTCTCGTGAGAACACGATACTCCATTCCTGCTGGACTTGCGTACTTAGATCACATGTCCGCTCCCATTTAAGATGACATACCAAAGCGGGCTGATATTTCCTGATCAGTAAGAAGGTCACAACCACCGCTGAACCCAAAATGATGGACAATCCAGCCTGCGTTTTCATCAAATCGAGCGACGTCAGAAGTGGACGTAGTTAGAGGCAAACCGAAGATGACGGTATGAGCTTTTCACGAGCCTTCGTAAGATATCCAGCAGGAGACAAAAATCACTTACGCCAGCTTCGGCTAACATAACAAGTCTCGCATCGTCGGCACTGGTGGTGTCATCATACCTGTCGCCCGAAGCAGGAGGCGCTGAAGTATCGCCATCTGCTATGCCCGCCATGCTCGTGCTATAAGGCGACAGTTGTGAGGTTATAAGTTGCCGAGGCGTTAGACTTCACTGCTGGTGATGCCGCTCTTTTTGAACGGAAAAGGAGTGGGTCATACCTCCCTCAATATATACCGTGGGCATTTTGGGCAAAGGGCACTCCATATTGCGGGTCCTCAGGCAGTGACCCTGTGACGGAATGGAGTTCAAATTGGGTGAATCTTAAGTGCAGTAAGCTGCATGTCGATGCCCAGGGACAATGGATGAATGCTGAGGAATTGAAGGCGACCCAGAATGGAAACGTCCGCGTGGTTACCATAATTACAACTGAACCCACAACGCTGCTTTGTACTTCTTGTCCACGAACATGCAAGTCTGCCAGCCCCAGTTCACGGGGTCGCTGGCGAAAAGAAACCAGTCTCTGAGAACCACTGAGGGAGTTTCGCGGCATCGACATAGAAGGATGACAATGAAGCAATGGAGATATGACGCTCCGGGCGTTGCAACATGTACAAAATACAAATCATCAATGATCGGTCCCTGAGCTATCTGCGAATCGACGCCGTGCCTTGGAAGTACTATCTTACTGAGGTGACCCCAATCTGAATGCATCTCATTCCATTATCGAATCAGAGCCTCTGGCACTCGTCCATCCCTTGCGGCCCACTTCTCATCATCGCCCTCCCCTACCAGCGATGCAGCCGACCCGACCGCAGAACCGACTCCAGCCTGCACCACCATCGACAAATCCGGTGGCAACCTAGCAAAGAAGAGATTGTAGTCCAACCGCGCCGCCAGACCCGAGAAAAGGCCCGTTTCCGTCACCCCGTTGTATTTCAGCGTGTCGATCAGTCGTCGCATGTGATGCAGGAAGGAAACCTCGAAATTGGACAGGACGCGGTCGGCTTCTGCTGGGTTGAGGACTGCGGAGACATAGGAGTCGGAGATGTGCGCTTGTTCCGGGAATGCGGAGGGATGGCTATCGTGGCTCATGCCTGCTGGCATGGAAGATGAAGTGTATGTGTCGCCGGAGGGATTGAGAGTCTTGTAATGACAATAAGAGTGGGAGAAGTGGCTGAAGTCCATGCAGATCATGAGCAGAATTCGGAAGCCCTAACAATGAAGTTGTTAGTTGCGGAACTCACAAGTCTTGATGTTGTTGAGGCAAGGACCCAAACCTTCAGCATCTCGTAATCCCATAGCATACACTCCTTGAACAGCCGGTCTTGGAACTCTGTTTGAACGCTTTGCACTTCCTCAACAGTGTCCACCTGTGATCAAAAGGGATGGTATCAGACCGTTGGATTTTCGCCGTAAACCGTATCCATTCCACAAAACGGGGCATACCTTCTGGATTTGCTCTTCAAATCTATTCCACAACGGCTCTATAACCTCATAACAGACATGGTACAAGTACTGCTGCATCAAATGCAACATCTTTGTCCTCAAAGCGCAAATCCTCGCCATAAACATCGCCTCTCTCTCAACGTCTGCATCTTCCTCCCCCACATCTTCCAAAAGCATTTGGGACTTTTGCTTTCGGAACCGCCTGCTTCGGTTGTATAGTTTCGTCTTGGCTTCATCACGCCAGGCGTCGGCCAGTTGCCGTTCGACGTACTTGCAATGGAACAGGTGTCGGAAGAGCACTTGATATTTTTCGAGGGTTCTCTTCGTGATGATGAGCGAGGTGGGGAATGGCACGCAGTATTGTAATTGGAGCGCTTCAAGACCTGAAGAAGAACGACAATCACGCACCGGGATCAGCATCAGCTTGAGCCCACAGGAGAGGCTGGTTCAATCACTTCGGCTCACCAGTCTGAGTGCCATCGACTCCCGGATAGATGCTCGCCTGGAACCTAAGATCCAAGTCATTCATATAATCCACAGCGGGTCTCCCAGACCGAGCTTTCCGCTTGCCAAAGGACTTGGGAATCTCCAGAGCCCCCTTGCTGATCTGCGCAAGGCGCGGAATGAACAGTTTCGGGCAAAGTTGCACTTCTACGTCCTCCTTGAAGGTGTTGAGTCCATGACCCGCTGCAGGATCGCGCAGAACTAGTTCGAGTAGCAACTTCACTTGCTCGATGCCAACGTCTTTCGCGGGCTTGAGCAAGTGTTCGTGCGAGACATCCAAAAAGTGGACAAAAAAATCGGACTTGTCCAAGAGGAAATAGTGCTTTACTGATCGGAGTCTGTCTAGAAGACTGCAGTCCTTCCACAGCAGCTTCAAGAAATCGCGATTTGCATACGCATAGGCGTTCTCGATGTCGTTGATCAGTCTCTCAGCGCCAATGACCTCGACAATGTCTCCCATCGGCGATAGGGCTGTCGATGACCCGCCAGATATGATTGCGCGCGACATCGCCTCCGGATCGTCAACCTCAGACACATTCACCTTACATTCTCGCAACACATTCAGGTATTTGCCAGCGAGAAAGATCCGATTCTGATAGGTTGAAAAGAATGTGGGTACATGATCCGCCCGCAGCTCGTAGCGGGCTTCCCAATAGACGTCGCTGTACGCCTGCCGGAGTTGTTCCGAATCGAATGATAGGATCTCGCGGACCATGAACTCGGCGTGCGGATCTATGATGAAGCCGGAGTGGATCCATTTGGAGAGCATGATGTTGTAGGGCACTGCTGCCGCTGAGAGTAGCTGTCCATAGAGCCTTTTCATGACGGGATCCCTGCGGTACTTAGAGGTCAAAAGAGGGTCACGGACAAAACTCCATGTTTCTCATCATACCCGCTAAATGAAAGTAAGCGATCACAAATCACACTGAGGATGAGCCCACCACCTGGACTCAGTCCTTCCAGATTGCTCTCGTCAATATAGCTGTTCGCCGCACTGGACGCCCCCACCTTCGCGGCGGCGCTCTTTGCGCTTTTCCGATGTGCCTGAATGCTCTTCGTCTCAGCATCTAACAGCGCATCAATCAAAGACGCGATTGCCGACATGCTCAGTAGCGATGGGTGGATATAGAACCAGAGCTGTTGCAAACCAAAATCTGGCGTGCCCAGTGTCTGGTTTTCTAGTTGTGCTATCAGCATGAAGTAGTTCTACACCGAACCATCAGCGTCTTTCGTTGTTAGCGCAAAACGGACGACAGACATACCTTGAGTAATGCCCTCGTTGTGGCCGCCAGAGCGTGCTGCACGCGTCCGCTGCGGAATCTCGTTTGAGTTTCGATGTAGTTGTCAATCTTGTGAAGGTATACAGCTATCGGCAGCATCCGCTTCACCAGTTCCGCCAAAGATGGATCTGAGGAGAGACCGGTATGTCAATTTTTTCGTCGACTAACCATTGGAGGCATGATCTGAACATACCCATTGTGGGATCCAGCGTAAATTCAATGGTTTCTCGACGTTCTCGGTCACCTTTTTCCTTCTCCAAATACTTTCGACGGCGAGGGATATACAACCCATCTATCCCCTGAACTGGGTTCAGCCTCATGAACGGTTCAGTTGATTTGGTCAGAGACGTACCATCAGGATGTAAAGGAGGTCGTTGATGATCAACCTTTCTTGCTCAATGCTCGACAGGCTACCTAACGGCTGTAACAAAAACCGATCCTCATCAGCTTCAGGCAAGCATAAAGAAAGGCAAGCGACCTGTACCTCCAATGAGGACTTGTAAGATGCAGTAGAAGCCGATAATGGCTGTTTGGTGGCCTCCTGGCGACCTCTGTCTACGGAATTAAGTCGTCAGAAACGGCATATCTTCTGGCGATCGGCAAGAGCCGCTGGTCCAGATACCTCCGTCGGTCTTTCCAGGCTTCGCTGAACTCATAAATGAATCGTGATTGTTCGTGTTGAGAGGTGTTCGAACGAAGGTTGAGCCGTCTGTTCTGGAAGATGTCACATTTGATGCGTCTAGATGAGATGCTCCTCGGGTGCTATATCGGGAAATACCCTGCGTGGCAAGCGGTTGGATCGTCTAATCTGCTTGCCCATAGAGAAAGCAAGCGCATACCTCTGTGTCCTCAATAATGGATGCGCGGGACGGCTGACGACTGACTACCTTCGAAGGTCGTTCGGAGCCTGTCGCGTAGATTTGTGCAGTCATCGATGTCCTTGTGGTCCGAGTTGAATTGGGCTCATCTACACCAGGATCTTTCGATCTGGCCCCTGTTCCGATCCTTGCATCGGGCGCAACATTGGACGTCCGCCGTATCGTCGAGTCGGGGTTCTGAACGTCGGTGTTCTGGTTTTCTCTGTTCCCGCGTGAAATGATACTCGTCCGTGGTTGGGATGTCGAGAGACGGGATTGCCGCCGGACTTCCGGACCGCCTGCTGTGTTTTGGGTCATGACCGCCCTTCTCTTCGCTCAGTCTGCCACGTCCTACAAATATTGCTGGGAGAAGGCCGTTCGTCCGGATAAGATTCCGACGCGACTAGTGGCAGTGTGTCGTTGACTTGGTGATCCCGCTCAGCCAGCCCTTTCCACTTTGCGTCCTCCCCACTTCAACCGAGACTGAAAACGAAAGTGGCTCTAAGGATAAGCGCAAGTGGCTGTTTGCGTGTGCTTGCGGGAAGCTCCCCCTCCGGCGTGCTGTGTGTTTCCACATTCCGAACATGACATTTCTCGGCGGCATGAGGGAGGTTCGGACAGCGACATGAAATACACAGCCGCTAACGCGTCCCATACCATCCAGCCCAGCATCCAGCCCAACAACCTCCCAGAGAATCTTCCGTGATGTTTTTGCAAGGTCCTATTACACTGCACCCCTAGAGGCTCAGTAAACGCCTGCCATATCTCTATCTGCTGAGGCTAGGGTTAGCCACAATGCGGGGCTATACAAATCGGTTCGCCAATGATCACTTGTATCACTTCAACTTCAACTACGGCCGTTATGCCGAGCAAGTACTGTACGGGTACACACGCTCATTTTCCACCACATCCTTGCCCTCGTCCGAGTCCGAGGTCGAGTCCTCGTCGGTGAAAACTTTCAGAACCTTGGATCTCTTTGCGATAGTCGACGGAAACGAGACCTGTGAAGACGAGGACTTGTTATGGACGACACAGCCACATGAAGCTTGGCGCGTGTACGGAAACGATGTCATCGCCATACTGTACTGTATTGTCATCAGTGAGGTCAGTGAGAATCGCTGTACTGTAAAAGCATCACTCCTTTCTTCCTTTCATCTTTCACTTCACCATTGCCAACATGCCAACACAGTTCTCGCTCAAAGAAGCAAAGCAAAGGAGAAAGGCCCACAGACCAGAAGGTGTCCAGCGCTCTCCCCGGAAAAGCACCCCGATCGCCGCAGAGAGGTAACACACTAAACGTCAATGGTCTTTCCCTGTTCACCGGCTAAGCATTCTTTCCCCTCGCTGATCGCAGCGAGGACTCCTTCGATGACCTACCCGACCCATCAAACGCTCCACATAAGAGTGCGAGCGGCCGGGGAGACAAACGCATGAAGTCCGACGCCACCTATCGCCAAGTGACAGGGTTCTTTGGCTTAGTTGAGGGCACACTCGGCAAAGTCTTCGGAATAGTGAGGGGAATCTTGGGACCTGTGTTCTCCGTTGCGCTGCAAGTGGCATTGGGGACGCTCAGTGCGTTTGTGCCATATATCATCGCCGCTGCCGTCGTCGGGTGAGTAAAAGGCCAGGAAAGCGTCTACAAAATGTGGAAGTCTGACTAGCACATTGATTCCATGAGCAAGCTATATCGCCGTGCTACTGTTTGGAACTCCAATGCGAATGTTTGGGTCACTCATACCTGCATGCGACTCCGTCTGGATCGATAAGCTCCCGCCATTGGCTTTGGCATGTGGGCGGACTGATACCACGCGCTCATGGTGCAGGCATGGAGGTGCCTATCTATCCCCAAAGTTGTGTGCTACGCTTGCTGCTGAGGAACAGCAGAACCTACAAGATACCGTGGAGTTGATCACAAAATCTACTTACGAGACGGTGGACCAAGGGCAACAGGTAAAGGACTAAATGCCGGCTTGTCGGCAAGGTATCATAAACGTGCGTGTCTAACGACACACTTGGTTCGTTCGCAACCAGCTGGTCATCCGAACCCACGGCCTGCCCGAGCCCAAATCCCTCGCGTTGCGGTCCACCAACCTGCATAGCCTCCAATGGGCCGTCCTCTACCACACAAACTTCACCGACCGAGTCAAAGTCGCCGACGGACTCCGCGCAGCTTCACACGCCCTCGAAGGCACCGTCGACGCCCTCATCGAGCTCAAAGGTGACGCCGAATACGCGCTTCGGGATATGGTCGACCAGTTTGAGAGAATTGAACGCGCCTTGGACGCTACTCTCCTTGGCCGGAAGTCGCTGAAAGATCTGGAAGATACGTTCGACGATTCGTTGAAGAGTACGGACGATATGTTGGGCCGGTTACAGGTCGATGCGGTCAACACCAGCCAGCTGGCGAAGAAGACAAAGTCCGAGGTTGAGCAAGTGAGGAGGGTCCTTTCCATACAGAAGCGGGATGTAGACCAACAGAGTGAAAAGATCGCACCGCCGATACTGGATCTATTCTGCGCCGATTGCTTGAGCAAGGCTCAGAAGAGGCAGTTGAAGCAGGATTTGGTCGTTTATGATGTGAGTTAGCGAGTATTCGCATGCCCGCTACGCACGATTTGCGTGTGCTCATCGTCGCAAATATTGATTTGATTCTCCCAGGAATGCAATTCGGAGATGAAAGGCCTGACCCAAGATCTAGCTGGCCTGGGCGTCGAACTTGGCCAATTCCGGCACAACGTCAAACTAGTCCGAAGCTCCTGGCGTCGAGTTGGCTACGTCCGCGGCGACGTGAAGGACCAAATCGAGACACTAAGAGGCAAAGTCGAGCAACTGAAAGCCATGATGGAAGGCCGGAAAGCAGCTGAAGCCCTCAAGATCGAGATTGTGAAGAAGGTGCAGGTGTAGATAGTAGTGTACTTTGAATAGTAATGAAAAGAGTTTTGGAAGGGGCGTGGATTTGCTTATAGTTCACCGTATTAGATGTCAAAAACGCCCGTCCCCTCATTGCCCTTCCCTTTGATTTTTCGCTCTTTTACCCGGGGTTTCCCCCGGCGTCAGGGGCTACCTTTTTCTCCCTCGCGTAATCGACGAACGAATCAATCAGCACTGGCCATGCGCTCTCCGCATCGTGATTACTAAAGTTCTCGTCGATCGTTCTTATGAAGTCAAGCAGCTGGTGGGGAGTAGTGGAGGTAAAGACGCCTGAACGTTAGCATATGCACCCCTCAGTGTAGAACCCATCACAAAAACAGTACGTACGAGATTCCACGTATCCTTGCTGATCGCCTTGTTGTGCTTTTCCTGCATAAATACGGCTTCGTCAGCGCTGCCTCTTGCGGGGCTCCCTCAAAGTCGGCGAATCCTCCACAACATACCCGCAGGAACTGTATCCACAATGGCAGCTGTGGAAAATTGTCGTGCAACAACAGTTCCCAGAATGCTACCGCCGTATCCAGTCCTGCAAGAGAGGGTTGCGCGGACGCAGGAATCAACATTCGCTGGCCCTTACGTTCGACGTACGCAGACATCCGACGCAACCCATCCCCTGTACACACCTAAACTCTTCTGTCCCTCCCCTCTCGCGAAGGCAAATGTGAACTGATACACGTCCTTGAATGTACCCGGATCTTCCAGTTCGGCCCGCATGGTCGCCACACTTTCCCGCATGGACTCAATCGTATCGCATCTGCAATAACATCCGACGTCACATTCCCATCATACGTGGAACGAGCAGCGGTTGGCCGCAAATGCTGTTTCGCGTACCCTAGACTCGTCCACCCGCTTAGCCATCCCGCCCTCCGGAATTCGCACATATGTGGGCATTGTAGATGCCATGCCAGGACGAGTGTTACTACATCCGTTGGGTCGATGTTGAGATCTCCTAGAGGAGGGGAGGATGTGAGTTTGACGGATGTGCAGAATCACAGAAGGTTTCCGACATACCGCACAACTCTTCCGTCCCCTCGAGCAGGATTGCGTCTTCTTCTGGATCTAATCAGAAAGAGGATCAGTCCGCTTGCTGAGAGACCGGACCCCATGGTCCCTACCGCACCACTGAGCCTGCTCCTCATACCACCCAAAGACCGCACTCACCCTTATACTTATCAAACAACGCCGCCAATCTCCTCGGATCTACGTTCGACCCCGGCCGCGCACTTTTCGCCCCATCCGTCGCAAAGTAGCTATTTACCGCGACTTCAATGTTCCAACCTACATCGGTCGTGGGTGGCTGAGTGAATAAGACCCCCGAAAATATGACGGCGTGCGTGCGACCCTGGCTGGAATTATGCAGTGACAACTCACTATTATCTCTTAGGTACTTTTGTGCGGATTTTTCACTAGCCGAGAGAAGAGATGAGTTTGGTTTTAGCTTCTCCGCATGCAAAGTGGGACGGAGAATTGAGGTTTCACGAAAAAGTACCTGGCGTTCGTGAAAGAGATAAACTGCTTGGCTTTCTCTCGCTGCTCGGCTTTGCTGCCACCAGCGGTTGCATTCGTTCCGTTCCCAAAAAACGACTGGCGTGTGAAAACGAGGCAGTTCGGTTAGCTCATACATCCCCGTTTCAAATCGTCATTGCCCGGAAGTCAAGCGGCATGTGGTGCTGAACCTCTTGATAGTGTGGAGAGGGCCCGTTGAAACTGGAACACACCATTAGTTTGGAAGCTCGTGTGCCTAATATATCTTTCAGCTTGAGTTATAGGTCGATGGGAGTCCGAGATTGCGCCGTGATGTCCAGAGCCGAAGTGGTGACGAGTGCGGTTTGGTCAGCCTCTTTCAGGATGGAAGAGGCAAAACCCGATAAATAACAGTTTCATCGTGTCAACAGTTCCGTTACAGTGTGTGCATGTGCCGTTGGTACGTAAATTGGGATGACACCGCTCAAAGCAATAATCTTGACTCGCAAAGCAACTTGTATGCACAATTCGAGCGTCTTCGAGCGTCGGACTTGGAGCCATCATGAACTCGCTATGCATGCAGCAGCGTCCTCGTCTCCTCTGTCGCCCTCTCGCATTTGACATACGCAGGCACATGCAGTTACCCATTCCTCGCTGCGATTCCTTTCCAGTGCATTACCGCAGAACAGCCTGCAGGACGACGACTCATTAGCGAGCGAATCCCTACGACCCTTCCTGCCAAAGCAACTCCTGGCACTTATTTGACACGCCAACGCTTGTCCACCCATTCCGCGCAGGCTTAAATAAGTCTGATTGACACCTGTGAGTTCTGTGAATTCAGTTGTAAGAACTGTGAGTGATTTGGCTCGTGTCTCGCTGCTTGCAAGGGCTAAGCTGCGAAAACGCTCCAAGTCATCCTCGGAAGGCTGATACTTAGCTGGTCGGCCAGATGGTTTCTTCGACTTGTAGTCTGAGTTGGAGTTGCCAGGAGCCTGCTGGCCTGTAAACTCTGATCAGTGATAGTCCTCTTAACGGTGGTGAGGGCCACACCTGGGCCACACCCTCGGGTTTTCAACACGGGAGCCGAACTGGAACTCGTCGTCACGTCGATAGGAATCCGCAAAACCCATTACCCGCTCAGTTACCCGCTAGACAACATCCATAGCGGACAAATGCGGACAACAGGTACTATTGGGTGGGCGCAGGATCGCGTCATGACCGATTCCGATCACCGGAACGGTCCGCCTTAGTCTGTCGATTCTGAATGGTACACAGGGACAGCGAGAAAGAATGTTATGATTCCTTAAGGAGTTTCCCTCGGTGATCAAGCGGGCAAGCCGAGAGAACATACGAACGATACAAGAGCGTCAAAATCCCCCATCCTGCTCTGACCTACCAAAACTACAGAAACTACGCGCAAAGCGGGAAGTGAGACGGCGAGACCCACAGACGGGCTCGTGAAGACGACGGGTAGCAAGACGCATAATCCTCTCCGTCATCCTTTGAGATCTTTCCCAGAGGCGATATAACTCTCCATATCCGTAATGACATCCTCAAAGACCCTCACGGCCTCATCGATCTCCTTTTTGGTGATGATCAGTGGCGGCACGAGACGCACGGTGTTGTTTCCAGCGCTGATAACCAGCACTCCTTGCTCACGAGCCATGTCAACAAACAGGTTGGGATCAACGGACGCCCGCATCTGCAGGCCAACCATGAGACCTGCTCCACGAACTTCGGAGATGAGAGGAGAACTACTTGCGAGTTCCTCACATTGTCGTCGGAGGTATTCGCCCATTTCGCGAACGTGGGCGAGGAAGGACGGGTTGTTGATTCGGTTGTAAACAGTGTGGCCGACCCGTGTGGCGAATGGGGACCCGCCAAAGGTTGTGCCGTGGTCGCCTGGGTGAATGTGTTTGGCGACTTCAGGGCTCACAATGACGGCACCGATGGGGATTCCGTTCGCAAGTGGTTTCGCCATGGTGAGTATGTCTGGTGCAATGTCGAATTGCTCATAAGCGAACAGGGATCCTGTCCGGCCCAATCCGCACTATTTTCGCTCGGTTAGGACTGAAAAATGGGAGGTTTGGAAAGCAAAAACTGAGAATGACCCACCTGGATCTCATCAAAAATCAAGACCGCGTTTACTTCATCACAACGCTTCCTTAGCACTTGCAGAAACTCTTTCGAACTGAGGTTGATTCCACCCTCCCCTTGAACAGGTTCCACAATGACGGCGCAAACATTATCGTCTATGATCTGTTTCGCCTTCTCAATATCGTTCAGTGGCGCATGAACGAATGACGGAATCAGAGGCATGAATGGCGTTTGATATTTGATTGATGGTGTTGCGGAAAGCGACCCCATAGAGCGGCCATGGAATGCGTTGGTAAATGATACGATGGTGGATTTGGTGTGTACCTCACCAGCCTTTAGATTTTGTCGACCGAACTTTCGCCCAAATTTCAATGCAGCTGAGTTTACAGGAGTCCGGATGATTAGTTTCGCAAATTTTCCGACTTTCACTCGAGAACAAACTCACCTTCATTTGCCTCCGTTCCAGAATTGCAGAAGAACACCTTGGATCCCGGCTGTGCCAACCCTCCCTCGGACACTTTCGGTAAGGACTCGATAATTGCCTTCGCAAATGGCCCAGCGTATTCGTTATGATATAAGTTGCTGAGATGTATGAGCTTTCCAGCCTGATCCGCAATCACTGAGGTGATCTCCTTATCCGCGTGCCCCAACGCATTCACCGCGATTCCCCCTGCGAGATCCAAGAAACTTCGCCCGGCCTGGTCGTATAAATAACAACCCTTTCCGTGGGTAAATATAACATCCGGTCGGCCGTAAAGCTGTAGGAGATATCGGGCATCCTGTTTCAGACGAGCGGCAGTGGATGGATGCGCATTTTCGTCCGCGTGGATGACCTCGCGTGCCCGAGAGTCTAGGAACTCGGCATCTCCAGCGGATGGGGGTTTTGGAACGGACGAAGGGGCGGAAAATGATCGGAATTGAGCTGCAAATGCGGGAGAGACTGTTGTGTGCTTGCTGCGAGTATAAGCCGGTGTTATCGAACCAGCTGCCTTTGTTGAGTCGAGGTATCGACGACCGATAGGTATTAGGCTTCGAGAGGTGATAAAAGCCGCGGCGGTGCACGCTCGCGTGGAGTTCTTCGCGCGAAGGGAGACAGTCTCGGAAAGAGTAGTTGAGGTGGACCTCCTATTGGAGAAACCCTGAGTGGACGATGGCCTGGTGGATGTGCAGGCACTTACGCCGCGGCGCAGGGCGACACGAGGCCTGAAGATCGGAAGCATCTTCGTAAGTGTTCGGTGGTGAAAGTGCTCAGCAGTTGTCCGCAGGTCTCCTAGATATTGAGGTAGTCAACAGTCTATTGATATTTTCCTCTCAGTAAGAGATCAGATTATGGCTACCAGGCCAGAAGCCGTTGAGTGACGGATTGCTGTGTTTTTTTCCTCGTTGGCGGTGCTCTTCAAGAGAGAATCCATAGATCCGGAGAGCACGACTGTTCACTTGGGAAAGAGATTCCTCATCGCCGCCCCACATGCAAAAAGACTCAGAGCACCGTGTTTTTCTGTTTGGTGGATCCCTATGCTCTCTATGTCATTGCTATTCGCGCTGTCGCTTTCTCTTTGTTTGACAGGCTCCATTCTGAGAACACACACCTTTTACCGCCAAACCGTTCTAGCCTTCCGTTTTAGGAATGCGCTAAACTAAAATACACTTGCAATAGGAAGAGGAAGTCCATGATTAGAAGACATCCCCTGTTCGAGAGAAGAGGGGCAGTGAAGAGCAGGGCTACGCACTTTCGTCACTGAATTCAAATTCGTGACTCCTGCTCTCGACGATCTCACCTCGCACGGCAAACAAGATCCGACAACAACTCCGACATTTGGAAAGAGGAACGAAGATCCCTCACATGGTGCTCCCAGAACAAATGACCCAGCAGTTAGGCTCCTATGTTTGCGCATTCGCTGGCTTACCCATCATCCCATGCACAAACATGATCGCAACTAACGAAGATACCTCAAGATATAATTCCACCCCGGCATATCGAGCTCCGGAAGCGGCAAAGCAAAGCGATCAAAGACCTCCTGAGGGTCGCGCCGTCCAGCCATTACCGAGGCCTCCATCGTCGCAGATGCCGCCATCTACCGAGCGACCACGGTCACGCCGGTCCGCCCACAAATCCTCATTGCCTACCCCGCCGCCAGCAGGATTCGCATCCGAACCCCAGCCTCGACGGACCTCATTGCCTCACGCAACCAGCATTTCGTCAAATACTATCCATCCACCGCCAACACCAACCGTAGTATACGTTGAGCTGCTGGTCTTCCCGGACGACCTCCCAGGCCACCGTGCCGCCACCGAGCCACCACAAGCCTACATAACGCTTACGCAAGGGCCGCACCACACGCCTATCGCGGAACTTTGCAATCTGATCAGACGATGCCCACAATTCAGACCCTATCTAAATGCTCTAGAGAAACGGCATACGCTCACGTTCAGCATCACGAAATCCCGACGGAATCTCGACGAGTGTGACCGTTGGATGATAGCCGGGACACCTGACGTGTGGGCGGGCGTCTCGGACGAAGTTGTTGCGTGCACTGGTGATATGCAGCAGCTGGGGCCGAGTGGGGTGGTGGAGTTGTGGTGTTTAGCGGAACTTGGGGCCGGGAAGAACGAAAAACGGCCGTCATTAGGGAAATTGGGCATGAAAGAAGCTGCGGTAAGGGACGACGGCACTGTTCTTGCTTCTCGATTGATGGCCTTCACTGACACTGTGTTTCTTTATCAGAATGTTGCCGTGGCAGACATCACGCAAGCGCTAAAGAAAACGGATTTCCGGTTTGGAAAAATCTTTAAGTTTGGTAGTGCCGGAAAGATTGGGGTGGAGTAATGCGAATCATTGAATATACAGTACGTAGTCTTCATGTGTTGTTCCTTCGCATAGCTTCCTGCTGCGAGCGCATCTTGCATAGGTCCCTTCTTGGGAAAGTCCTATTGTCCAACATTAATAGATACCCTCGAACACATTTTACACGATGGTCCTCTAATTATACAGGGAAGTCCCCTTTCCGAACGTCTGACGTATCGCAAGCCGTCGCTCCACCAAAAGCATCCCATGTCATGTCATTGCCCACTTTCCAACCCCCGGAACGGTACGGGGCTCTCGGAAGCCTTCCTACTATTCTGCCTTAATTTCATCATCATTGGCAGCTTGCTCGCGCCCCGCGGTGTGCCGACTCCGATAGGAGGGCCGTCGCCGCGTTTCCCGTCGCTGAATGGGTCGGTCGCCCGGTCATCTTCGGCGGCGGAAGGAAGGAAGTTTTCCTCGTTCTCGTCGATAGGCGCATCCACCAACGCGTCTTCGAAGGAGCGGGCGGTAAAGGTCGGGCTGACCATGCGCCCATTTTGGCGGTACTCTCGCAAGATCTCGTCGTGGTTACGCGTTATTTGCCATGATGTTGCGTAGCTATGAAGGATTTACCACCCAGACAAGGTGAGAGGAAGGACTCACTGGAACAGTGGGGAAGACTGAAGCAAAAGCTTACCGGAATGCCTTCTTCTGCGGTGTTTGGCCCGTTGGCTGGTCCTCCACTAGCTTATTGCATTCAATTTCGTCCCGCGCCCGCTTGATGTGCGAACCAAGGTTTCCGCGATGGTCGTTGATGACGCCTGATTGTCTCGTAAGCTGCGGAAGATTTTCGTCGAGTCAGATTTCACACAATACAGCGCGCTGTCCACAACAGGAACTCATACCATTTGCGTCCAAGACTGATGCTCATTCTTCGCCGTCTTTCGTACGGTGGATAACCCCTTCTGCACCGCATCGAACGAGTCTGAAGTGCTCGATTGCAGATCCATCACCATCTCCCTGGTCTTCTCGCTCCGTTGTGTGAGCAATTGCTTGCCTACAGCAAAGGTCAGCATTCCTGCAGCCAGTAATCTTGGTCTGGGAACAGTCGCAGGGCTCATACCCGTTGCGTGGCCCTGCACAATCTGGTCCAAACCCGTGGTAATGGCTGTCCCTGTGCTCCCTATGCTTTCCTGCACCGCATTCTCAATGATACCACACTGCTCGACAAAGCCTTGCACCGTCACTTCCAAGCCCTATGACGTTTCGGTTGAGGTCCTGTATTGCATAGGATTTTCGGAACAATTTGAGTTACCTGCACTTCTGTCTGGATCTCCTCCGTCAACTTATCCGTATCTCGAGTGAACCGAGCGGAGAACTGTTCCCTGGAGCTTCTCGCTTCAGCAGATGCAGCAGCATTGTGGTCAACCAGTGAAGACAATTGGGCAGCGTGGGTTTCGGTGACATCACTCGACAGTTGCCCAATCGCTGTGAAGCCGTCGTCACATTGACTGCGATAGTTTGCCACTAAGCTTGCGATGCCCGCCAAGAGCGCTTCAGCTCCTGCGTCTGACTTTTGCTTGTTGGTTGCCAGTTGCTGTTGAAGAAGCAGATTTTGTTCTCGCAGCTTCTCGATCTGTGCATCGTTTATGACCATCAATCCACGAACCCTAAGATAACTCCACAATGGAGCGCTCGAAAAAATTGCTACGATGACTTACCTCACGCCTAAGCTGACGATCATTCTCCACGTGAACGGCTTCCGCTGTCGATCGTTCGTCTTCAATGAACGCCATTACGGATTTGTTGACGTTACTCACGCTTTCCTTCAGAGCAAGGCTCCATTCTTGCATCTGCGCATGACCGTCAACTTCCAGTCAATTGCGCTCGAGTACACATCCGCAAAATAATACCTGTTTCTGATGCTGCAGAACCAGATCCTTATGACTCCCAAAAAGGCTGGTATTCGTCTCCTGGTACCGCTTCTGGCTTTCCGAAAGCGAGGCCCGAAGTTCTCGCACAATGGTAGAAACATGCTCTAGTTGCTGCCCAATGTCTTGATCGTGCGTATTACTCTGGGTCAGGAAGTTTTGGCTTCGTTGTGCGGCGTCTACCAGATGCCCGCCGATATTTTCGATTTCGCAGGTCAGGTCCTTTATTCGTACCAAAATGTTGAGGTTCGGCATTTGAGTTGCATATAAAGTCAAGTTCCAAAAGCGGTACCTTCAGCAGGGTCTCTGACCCCCGAGATATCGTCCCCTCCATTTCTCGGCAGAAATTGGTCGATGCAGACGTGAGGTTCCCTATCTGCGAGTCGATAGTTTGCATCTGATCGAGAAGACCGGACTGGAACTCTCCGAAAATTCGCCGGTTCTCCGTTTCCCGCGCCGTCTTCCGTCCTGTTGAGTTTCACTTAGAAGATAGTCTATGTAGTGAGGAATTTGGAGCACGAGCGTGAGGTTTACCAATCTTATCATGCAGACCCTCCACATCAGATATGCTGGACTTCAGCGTCACCACTAGGCCGGCGGCGAGCCGATCTAACTTTCTTTCACTCGCGGCATGTGCCCTGTTGGGGCCTGTCAGCGTCATTGACCGTCCCTACTCCCAGCATCGATGTCACCTACCCAGTCAGAAGCTTCTGCTCGTTCAAGCTATTCTCGAGGTCTTTCAGGCGCTGGAATGTTTCCTCAAGCTGTTGAGCTTTGGACGCGGATTCCGCCTGCAAGAGTGTTAATCACCGCGAAAAATCATTCCGGAGCCTCAGGGGATTAGGATCTACCATGAAATCGTCTCGCTCTTCCTTCGTTTTACATAGCAGTTCCATATTCTTGTTGTGCTGGGTGTTCAGCTGCAAGTATTTCTCCTCTGCGGCTTTGATTGCTTTGGAAAGAGCCTCGGCTTCTTCCTTGCTCCCGCTCGTATCCGCCATCATACTGTCATACATCTACGATACACTGGAATTCAGCGAACGCACAACCTGAATGACCGACGATATCACTGTACTCACCTCCTTGGGCATGAAAACACCGTCTTTCTTATGCGCTGCCTATGACGGAAGGGAAGAGGTCAGCTTCCTACTTGTGTAATATAATGGTCACGAACGTCACTCACCTCGATCAACGTCCGCAAACGCTGGATCTCCACCTCGTAGTCTTTCAGCAAAGCTCTTTTGGTCATCTTCTGATTAACTTCCGGTTTATTTCTGATATTCTTTGCTCTGTGCGCGTAATCCACTGTCGAGAGAGTTTCCTCTATGTTGCATCTGGCAGGTGAGACTGAGAGATATGTCAATGTCGTCGTCCTCTCCCAGACTGCAGTCGAATTGTGCGGGCAAGGGACGTACCTGCAGCGATGATGCACGTTTTCGTAGTTCCACCTGGAAAGAAAGGGTTAGGCGAAATGTTGGACTAATCCGAAGGAGCAAACGAACTTACCGAGGGAATCCTGCAAAATCCGCGTCAATTTACTCTCCCGATACGGAATGTGCAGATTTCGATCCAAGAGGGCGTTGATCACCCTGCCCAACGTCAATAGACTCTACGGGAGACACGCTTCAGCCCCACGCCGTTCTTCACAGCTCCACGGCAAAAGAAAAGCTACGCACTTGGTTGATCATGCCCGCTTCCTTGGCTCTTCTGTTCTCCGCTCCGGACCGCCCAATATTCTCGGATCCAGCCAGATCCACCAAGTTCAGTTTCCCCACCTTTCGATCCGGCGTTAGCACCAATGTGCTCCAATCTCCCAAAAGTGACGCACCGCCTACCCTCAATAATTCCTCTCCTTCTGGCGTCGTCTCCTTCGTGTTGACCGTAATGCAGAAAATCGAGTGCGATCGACTACACCCGAGGTCAGCCTTCTAACCTTCCCAAACCTTTCCCGGAATCAAAAACGTACCTCGAAACTTCGTTCATCTTCGTCGCAGCGATTTGCTTCCTATTCGATCCTTTCTGCAGCACTGCAATGACATCGTCCGCGCATTTCACCGGCGTCTCTTCCAGATTTTGGATGACGATAGACCCTTTCTTGGCGTAATCATCGAATATCCGGAGTTTGCGGGAGTCTTCGTCCGGCGAGAGGAGATCTTTGAGCTCTTCGTTGTACAACTCCGTGAACTGAAAATATGTCCCTTAGTCTCCGCAATCTCTCGTTCACGGTCAAGATTACAGTCTTCGATGGTTATACCGAGACGCGGACAGAGTACTCAGCATTATCTCCCGCTTCCAGAGTAGTGAACAGCTGATGCAGCGTGCGTGGGATTATTCCGGCATGTTCCCCTTTGACCGTCGTGAGGTCGCCTTCCATCGTGTAGGTTTTCCCCGTTCCAGTCTACAAGCCGAACACGTCCAATCAGCCCTCAAAATCGAATTTGCAACAAGCAATTTGCCGACCTCATACCTGACCTGAAAATCAGAGAAAGTTAGCCACGCGTCAAAGGGAAACCCCATCACCCGAAACTCCGAACTCACCGTAAGCGAAGATCGTGCAATTATATCCCATCAAAACCTATCGAAACTCGCCCTCTTAGCAAAACGGCAGCTCCTCTTCCAAACACCGCGACCCCTCCGCACCTCCTTCAACATCGGCGCCAGCACGTCGTTGAACACCATTTCCTGGTCCGCTTCCGGCCCAAAGACTCTATCGAAGCTGTACGTCTTCGTCGTCGAGTCTCCCAGTGTTGATTTTACGATCAGCTCTTTCCCTCGCGAGCCGTTGGTCGTTATGACTACTGGACTGTTCTCCCTAATCTCCTTCTGATTTCTTGGGCTGTGGAGTAGTCCCGTTTGCATAAGCGGGGATAGAACGGAACGTAGCTAAACAGTCCAGTTTCAAATTACCGGACACGGACTACGACAGCTATATTCGTCTCCTGCACGTCCCGGTGGGAACCGATGCTGGAGTTTGGCCGGCTGTTGGCCGCTCGAGTAGACATGGTGGACATCTCGTGATCCGACGCGTGGGAAAAGGCAAGACTAGTCGTCGGGGAGACTGCTTCTCCACAGTCGCAGTGGAGCAGAATTAGAGGAAGCAGAGGCCGGAGGCTGTTCTTTTTTCCTCGAGATCTGGAGGTCACGGTAATTTGCGGCTTGGGGCGGGACAAGTTCAATTCAATTGCAAAGCGCAGACTGGGAAAATGGGTGAGACCCAGGCTCGGGAAAGTTGGGAAACGAGAGCAACCATGATTCGGACATGCCGCGTTTCGGACAGAACTGGTCACATTGAACGGTATTTTCCTAGTGAAACTTTTACCGTAATCGCACACAAATCAAACCTCAGCCCCTCCTTTCTCCAGTCCTCATTCCCATATCGGTCCTGCACTGCATACTTCGTCTTCTCACTACCCGCCGAGCCGCCGATCCCAATGGCTCCGAACTTCACCGTCGTATCTTCTAATGGCATTGACCCGCGCATCGTCCAGGCCTTCGACTCCATCAACCGTCTCCTTGACGTCCCCGCCTGGACAGCTCGGCTTACCGTGGGCAAAAGCCACAATGTCATTGCGTCCGTTTTCTCCAGCAACCGCATAGGTATATACTTCACCAACCCGACTGCCTTTCGTGAGGCCTACGAACCGTTCTATTCCCACCTACCCGACTGGGAAATGGATGATAGCGCAGGCTTTTTTGACCCCAGGATTGATCCGATGACCATTTTTGTCAACGACCAGGTACGGGAGGAGTGCACAGAGACCGGGATTGAGACGAGCAAATGGACAGTTCATTGCGGCCATGACAAGAGCACCTTGTGCAATGGATAGTTTCCAGCCGACACCTGATGTCGTTGCTTCAGAGCCTCTTTGGTGTGGAATGTTCGCATGTGAGAATGGAAGTGCTGAATCCTGCCCTTTTTTCGTAGTACTTCCAAGCGCCCATCAACAAATCTCAGCAAGTCTTTGCTTGGATCACGCTAGCCCATGAGGTCAATCACCTATTGCACTATCATTTAAAGATTCCCAGTACGGTGGCTGCCATGCCGTCTCCATTGAACCAGCCGGAGTCAGGCGCGGCATGGGAGTTTAAGAACTTGGGAGGGATTTTGTGGTTTGCCGCCAGAGAGGATAATATGATGAAGGTACGCAGGTGAATCTGGTGCTCATTGCCGTCGCTCCTTGGCCGAGGGTGATGCACTAACTCAGGTCCTGTTGCCAGCCTGTCGCACTCTATTTGCAGGTGGCGGAGAACTTGGCAATTGAGAAACGATTCGTCGCACCAATTGAGGTGGAAAGAGTGTTCGGTGAGCACTGCCCGTGGTATACCGAAAATGCATGCACAGCACTGATACGTGTTTTCCATAAGAGGAGATCATGAATGTGGAAAGCGTTCCAATCACGAGTCATCTTAGGCTCCTCCCCAGCGACACGATTTTCCCGGGCGTTAGGAAAGCATCCAGCGTTCATAGATGCTGCCAAGCCCAAAACCTCCAACCACCGACCCCGGAAAGGACTGCGCCCCCGATTCGTCTTGTAATGGTGCCTCGCGTGCCGGACCGACGTTCTTGTGCTGGAATGGATGGCCGTTCTGAACAACCTAGTCCTTAGAATCACGCTCGTAGGTAATAGGAGTCGCATCATCCTATTAAGTCCTGCTATCTGTTCCTATGAGTATGACGGGCATTGAAAGTCTAATATTTACAAGCACGGTTGTCCTCCATACTTCGCCCGCAAATGATATCCAAAACGATGAAGGTGACGAGGGCCCCACGTCGATAAAGATGATATTTCCCTCATGGTAACATAAGCTCGAGCTTTGGTTACATTTTGACCTGAACATCCGTTCGACAGGACCGCTTGAAGGGCCGCCGTTTCCTTAATTATGTTTCTTCTTTGGTTCGTTTACTTCATTGCAAACTAACGGTTATCTTGTTATGTTCCCCGGCACTGATGTATTACTAGGTATGCTTACATCACACATATAAATATCACATGATATACCTGATTTGATGTATACAATTGGGTAGTACGGTACGATAAACATAGTAATATGGACGGTATATGCATATATAGTAACCTTGGTAAATAGTGCTACCCATTCTGTATGGGTCCCGGTATGCCATCCTATAGACATTGGGATGGCATATAGGATTATTGGTACGATACCGTATAGGTTAGTAATACATATTACTACGTCGGTATCGTCCGGATACGTATACATGTAGGTGTCCATGTGGTGGTAACCGATCAACCTTACTACCACCGGAGTAAGTACCGGTCGGCATGCCCACCATACAGGTTATCACCGGTATATTGGAGTGGGGGGGGGGGGGGGGGGGGGGGCGGCCGGGCGGGAAGGGGGAGCGGGGTAAGGGACGCATTCATTCTTCACCTTAAAGCCAGGTTTTCCGAGACTTCCCGACCTCGTCAACAACATGGACGAGGGTCATTTCTCCTCGTCCTCCAGATCCAGTGCCGATGTTTACGCCTGCGTAAATGGGGCCTTGAACAACAGGTCATTTGCCATTTTGGCGAGGTACCCCTCGAAGTCGAAGTACGTCTTGGGCTGTGCGCGCGTTGCTTTCGGGCGCTGGTGCTGGGAGGATAAGGCGTGTGAGACGGGATGTCGAGTTTGTGCGCGGTGGGAGTTGTTGTGCGGGGACGGATGCGCCGATTGGGTTGTGGAGGGTGGCTGGTTCTGCAATCTCGGTTTCTTGCGGGACGAATCACCACCGCCGTCCTCATCATCACCCTCATACGTCTCAACCAGGCGCCAATACTGTCCCCCATAAATCGCATCCCACCTCTCAAACCCAACCCTCCGTTCCTCCATCCCCATCTTATCCAGATCAAACTTCAAACTGTTCAACGCAGCCGAGAGTATATCCACCGCGTGCTTCTCGCCGTGCCTCATAACCCGGCTGAGCGTGTCGATGCATCGATCGCCCGTCTCGACGTATACCATCTGAACCTCTCCGATGGATGTTGGGAGCTTCTTTTTCCAGACGGAGTGGTCTTCGGGGTCCGGGTCCTGCCTGATTATCTGCGCCAGCGCGGCTTTGGTTTTACCCTTCATCTTTTTGAGAACTTGGAGTTCGGCGTTGCCATATTCCTTCTGATGCCAATTGGAGATCGGTTTGGATGAGCTGTTTTCGGGCGCTTCTGAGACGCCGATTGATGCGTGGTCGATGTCCTCTTCTGCTCCTGAAGGGTCTGCGAACAGGTCGTCCAGGTTGTTCAGGTTCTCGTGCAGGTCAGAGACGCCTGCGTAAATCAACATCTCATCCACGGTGTCGTCCGTGTCTGAGACGCCTGTGGAGGTGTCACCCTGTTCTTCCTCGGAACCGTCGGTCTGATCCTCATTCGGTGCTGCTCCGCCGGATTGACTCGCCGAAGTTTCTGCTTCGCGTATGAACGACTCCGTCGCAGCGAACGGGGTCTCAGTCTCGGCCACCGAACGTTCTACTTGGCCCATCGACAACTCCGCCGCAAAGGACGAGATCTCAGGCTCGGCCACCGAGCTTTCTGCTTGACCTATCAACAAGTCCGCCCCAAAGAAAGTGTCCTCCGTCTCGGGAGACTTCGTCGGTGAAGCTCCCAAGACGGCCGAGAGGATCTCGAGCATCTCGTTGTCCATTTCCGGAGACATGGGATTTGCCAGCGCTGCCTGGTTCTCCGATTCTGGGGACGGCAGATCTGCTTTGTTGTGCTGCGGTCGCGATAGGTAGTCTAGCAGCTGCTGGGGGTCTTCCTGCCCCGAATTTGAAGGCTGCACCAAGTGGTCGATATCGAGATTCAGGGAAGCATCCCCGGGTACGCGCTGATGAAAGCTGGCAGGATACGCTGGGTGCATCCCCATGTATCCCACAGGAACCATTGCTCCTGCCTGCGCCCGCAACGCCTGCCCTTGGAATGCATCATACCCAACAGGCGACATCTCTCGAATCCCTCCGTCAAACCCATTCATCCCCCGATGCAGTAGACTGATCCCTGCCACGGCTCCATCTCCCGATTGCGGGCCGACACCATGCGGCCGGCCACCATAATCCGGCCTCAAAAACGCAAGCTGGTGCTGCGGGAACCGCGGCACCATTCTCCATCCACCCGCCGCAGCCCATCCCGGACCCGCGCGTGGGTAAGGCACATGCTGGTAGTGCGCCGGTGGAGGCAGCCACACCAAATACGGTTGAGCATGCGTTGGTGGATAACTCATCATCGTAGGTGCTAAGGCAATGTCGGGCATGCGCGAATACATGAATGCGGGCGACCTTTCTGGGGTCGGCGGCTGGTGTATTACACCGTTGGTGGGGTCGTGAACCCCACCGAAGCTGGGTTGGTACCCGCCATAGGGAATGGCGCTCTCTTGATAAGGTGGGTAGAGGAGCAAAGGATCGAATTCTGCGGGAAAGAGGTCATCGAGAGGAAGTTGTGCGAAGGAGGTTCCTGTGGCGTCGTTGCCCGGCTGGAAAGTAGAGGCAGGAACTTGTTGCCTTGGGTAGGACATTCCTCAGCAATCAATAGCCCGCTGCTCTGAGACTACTAGGAGACTATGCGTGCCGTTTGGACTCCGGTCGATATAGCCGATAAAGAGCTGGTTCTGCTGGACTTCCGTACAGGGAAAACCAACAAGCAGAAAACGAGGTCTGGGTCACGGTAAACGCGTATTGCGATTATAACGTCTCCCACCCAAGGTAGCTCACGGGTCTCATCTCGAGAACGTGCTGATTCGTGAACGTCCAAAAAACTCATATTCTGCACGCCATGTGTAATACCCCTGTTCCAAAGGTATGCAGCAGGGCAACCAACGTCTGAGTGAGAGTCAACGATGTCCTACGCTCACATATGTAAGCTCGGGATGCAAGAAACTATGCGAACGAATCACCCCGTTCAATGCCATTAAGTACATATGCAAGGCCGCCGCACACCGACGCTAGAAAGCCTCATCAAATGGGTAACAGCCTACTAGAGAAAGTCCAAGTCTGAGCGCGAGGACCTCATTGAAAGTCCACGGGTCGCTCGTCGGACGGGAGACGGAAGGCCGGGCTGTTTGGCCACATGACCCTAAGCTACATCATTTTCGGTTTTATACTTGGAATGTGGCCTTGATGCAAGCGAGATGCGCATCATCAAAGTTGGTCGCATCAATCAGGATTGTGTACCGTCCCTGAGAGGAGTAGAGGAATTCACTGTCAGCATATATGAGAGGAATGAGCCTTTATTGAATGCACAAGACATACTGGAGGGATCTCATTAGGAATATCCACGGTGTGTTCAATATCAACCGGTCCCTTCTCAATAGGACAAGGGTGGTCGATCTTTGCCGTCTCGTCACAGAGGTTCAACCTTGTGTCCACAAGCTTGATGATGCCCAATTTCACGATAGCATCCGCGTATGCTCCCGCATCAATCGCCTCGTCCAACGTGCCCCGCACACGGATGTTCAATGGCTGTCCTCGCTTCGGGGGGTTAGGTGTCAGCTCCACAGACTTGATGTGGAACACGTCGGAGTCGTCGCCACAATTCTCAATGCCGTCCGATGGACCGAGGAGGGCGTTGTTGTCGGTCAAAGGTTGTTGGAGTTGAAGAATGTACTGTGAGTTGGGGATAGAGGCGGCCGAGGCGATAGAAGCGACGGCTCCAAAGAGGAGGGTGAGTGTAGAGAGCAGCTTCATCGTTGTTGGATGTGGAACAGAACCCCAGGTGTTTGTTGGGTGTGGACGATGTGAACGCGGCGATAAGATTCGAGACGGTGCGACGCTTAATGCGATGAGGATGGATGAGGGTGAGCAGACTGTGTTGATGGGTAGGATTGGAGAATGTGTGATGATAAGGGTGCGCGGAATGCGGAGAACACCAGCTCGTCCTTGCTGCGTCATCTGGGGCAATCTGCTTGGCGCTCCCCATACCTTACATACTGTACATATAATCGAACGTGGCTCACGTGCTTTCGGCAGAGTTATATTTTGGTGGGCGTGGAATCTTGGATGAGCAGCTTGTCCACCTCGTCCATCCCACTCCAATCCCAGGTGGATGCAGCATACTAATAATGTGAAGCTATTAGAAGCGTCGGCTGTCAGCTGCAGTCTATATAAAGTCGCTCCCCTGTCTGAGCTTTCCCAGTCAGTCACCTTCAGAAGACATCCACCACTTGCAAATTGACTGGTACGGCGGATGCTTGAACACCGCCGATCATGGTGAAAACGACCTCCTCCCGCCAGAAAGAGCGGTCCAAAGCTACAATATCTTCGACCCCTAAAATCGTCGCCACCTCGCAAGTATCCCGATTCCACACAGAAACGGTCGAGACGCTTTCGAACGACCTCCATCTCAAAGGGATCAACCTAACCGTCGATGATCACCCCCTTCTTGTCGGCGCGGAGCTTAGGCTGTTCTCGGGTGTTCACTATGGGCTGGTGGGCCAGAACGGCGTCGGAAAGTCAACCCTATTGCGTTGCATCGCCGACAAATCTTTGATTGGCATTCCTGCAAACCTCAAAGTATTATACGTCGAGCAGATCGAAGACGACGGCGCTTTAGTGGTCAACGGAAAACCCAAATCGGTCCTTCAGATTGTGATGGACGCAAACAAAGAAGTCGTGAGAGCTCGACGGAACGCTCGCGATCTTCAGCAAGCCCTGGAGTCACACGACCCAGCTCAACTCGTCAGAGCTATGCGACGTTTGAAATACGAACAGCTGGAAGACGAGCTGAGAGAGGCAGATAAAACTGCCACTCACAGGAGTGGAGCGCGAGGTGCGGCTGCCCGGGAAGCTCTCAAAAAGGCTGAGAAGGCGATTGAGGACGCCAAGAGAAGAAAGCTGGACGATGGCGATGCACCTTATGAGGATGCGGAGTTGTTTGACTATCAGACGAACGCATCCGTGTACCTCGCAGACTTCATCACAACGCTTGAGCTGCATGATGACGGCGCCGTAGAAGGCAAGGCGAGGAAGATTCTCAATGGTCTTCGATTCCCGCCGGAGTGGCAGGAAGGTCCCTTGGGGCAGCTCTCCGGCGGGTGGCAGATCCGGGTGGCCCTCGCTTGCGGGTTACTGTACGAGCCAGATATTTTACTGTTGGACGAACCCACGAATCACTTGGACCTGCCCGCCATCCTCTGGGTCCAATCCTATGTCGCATCTCTCGAGGACGTGACGGTGGTGACCGTCTCGCACGACCGAGCCTTCCTCGATGCGGTTTGTACCGAAATCATAATTTTTCGGCGCCAAACCCTCTCCTACCATGTGGGAAATTTCGAGGACTACCTTCAAAATACGGAAGAGAAGTACCTGAACACCGTGAAGAGGGCTGACGCAGAGGAACGCAAAAAGACTGCTTTAGCAAAATCCGTCCAGGTTGGGATGGCCCAAGCAAAAAAATCTGGCGACGACAAGAAAATGGCGGCGATGGCATCGAAGGCAAAGAAAATTGAGCGCGTAGGGGTAGAAGTGAACGACAAAGGGCATCGGTTCAGAATCTCGAAGGACCGGCAAGGTTATTACGAAGGTGTTCGGGATGAATATGCTACGGTATGGACACCATGACATGTCTTCTCTTTCATTCAAGCATTCATTTGAGTTTCGAACGTTTCCATATACCAGAAACTCGCCGAGCAAGCACCCGACTGGGTCCATGAGTGGCGGTTCAGCGACCCGGCTCCTTTGAGACAGGCCGGTCCGCTGATTCAGGTGGAGAAGGCTACAATTTCTTACGGAAAGGCCTTGCCACCCGTATTGTCCGATTGCACCCTCAGCATCGAGCCGACATCGCGTATCGCCATCATCGGTGGAAACGGAGGCGGCAAGTCAACTCTAATCAAACTCCTCGTCGGTGATCTTCCACCCACGCGGGGCTCCGTTACCCGCCATCCTACCGCCAAAGTCTCCTACTTCTCTCAACACCACGTCGAGGAACTGCGCAACAACCACCCACCAGAAGCAACACCCATCGACGCTCTCTTTGCTCTGTACAAGGAAAAATCCGCATCCCTCCTCCTCGACGATCCGCTCTCCGCCGCACACGACCTGCCCATCTCTCAACCCCTCATGCAGCACATCCGCGGCCATCTCGGCTCCTACGGCGTAGGTCCGCAAGCCACCGCACCCCTACGGTCACTCAGCGGTGGGCAGCTCGTCAGAGTGGCATTAGCCGCATGCACTTTCGTACCCGACAGATCCCTCTCCCCTCCGCACCTCCTCATTTTCGACGAGCCGACCAATCACCTTGACTTCCTGACCGCCAACGCTCTTGTGGAAGCGCTGAATGAGTTCACGGGCGCGTTTATCGTGGTTTCGCACGACCAGCATTTTGTGAAGAGTGTGGTAGAGCCCCATGATGTGTTCCTTGTCGGCGACGGGAAGCTTAGGCGGTTGGAGAAGGGGGTTGATGAGTATGTGAAGATGCTGGGGAAGAAGAAGAAGAGTGTTGCGAAGTGATGAACGCTAGACTTATATAGCTAGAGTGACTTTTTTTTTTTGGTGTGAATAGGTGATTTTTAGACCAAAAGCCGCGAGCCAAATACTTTGATTGAAGGAGGCATCGGTAGTGAATCTGTTGATCCCGTCTGGCGTCCTCGGAGAACGCTAGATCCTATGTCATCTACGCCAGGCTACTGATGGCCAAACACCCATCTGCTCTATGTGGAATCAGGAAATTGGCATCCTCTTGTCATTTTATTGGATCCAGCGCATGGCCGGCCGGCACTTATCTCCTACGCCGTCACTACCCAAAGCTAGCCTCGCTTCGTCGGACCCGCACCCATCTTCATCTCCCTATCCGACACATCCCCATCCACTCCGGTATGCCAATGTCCAAATGACGCCTCCACCGTCTCCGTCTGCCTCACCACCTGCGTCCATATCCGCTCCAACACCGGGTCATCCCTAAACACCTTCGGCTCCACAAAGAAGCTGTTCCCCTTCCCACTGGCGTCAGGCACGGTCGTCCATGTCCGCCGGATGTGTTTGGGTTTGTATCGCAGGTCGGTGACGGCGACGGTCGTGTGGATGGGCTTGCCGAAGATGGAGGCGGTTTGGAATGTGAGGGTTTGGGGGGATGATTCGGGGTTTGATGTTGGCCGCAGAGGGGATTGGTAGAGGTGGGTTACGTAGTTGCGGGAGACGTAGGTTGAGGCCAGGAACGGGATGGCTAGGATCCCGCCCACTGATGGAAAAAAAAGGGTGATGAATACAAGCACAGATACACGGTTTTGACAATGGAGAAACAGACTCACCAAGCGGCGCAAAAGTCTCCACCGCAATCCCATTCTGAACCGCCAGGCTAGCATTCATCAACACCGGCGTGACAATCAACCCCAACGCCGGCAGCGCCATCGTGGCTTTCCGGACTGTATTCAGGTAATCCGTCAACGCGCCGGTATATATCAATAGTTTCCCGTCAACGAGGGTCGGTCCGGCGTTGCCAAAAAATGAGTTGCCGAGGTTGTCGGCGGGCGGTTGAGACGACTTTTGGGATTTGTGGACGACTCTTGCGGGTGGTGGTCTTGCTCCCGGGCGGGGAAAGGGTTTTGATGGGCGGGAGGAGGAGGTTGCGGAGCGGACGTGGGGGCGAAGGAGGGTGGGGAGGTATGCCATACGGCACCCTGTTCGTAGCGATGCAGCCGCATAGCTCATATTAAGAGGTGTTTTTGGGGGCTCCTGTATACTGTATATATATACTGTATGTAGCACCTTCGTTCGGGCTTGTATTGGTCAAACCAGTTGACGATTGAGTTCCCAAATCCAACGAGAAAAATGGGACAAAATGGGCACGAAATGCGACGCTGCGCCAAGCCTTTGCAACCGACAGATTGCTTTCTCAGACTTGCGTTTTACGTCACGCCTTCACTTACCCACGTACAGTATCGCAGACTGAAAGCCATCTTGGAAACCTTCCAACGCTTAGAAGACCTACGAAGCCCAGCTGCTTAGAGCCCCGTTCGCCAGCAGTCGTATAGGTGTCATCGCAAACAATATTATTAGCGAATTACGAACGAAAGTCGCACGCCAAGATGAGTAGCGGCATGGACAGTAAGTAGGCTTGAAGCCGTTGGAGGGCATACACTGCAGACAGTTTCAATCCCAGGGTTGGTCCAGGACGGAGACTGACTGGGTTCTTCTATCCTCCCACTCTTAGAGCACCTCTTCAATTTGAAGTTCACCGCAAAACAGCTGCAGAGACAAGCCAAGAAATCCAGCAAAGATGAGGCGGCTGAAAAAGCAAAGCTAAAGAAGGTGGGTGGTTTCGATGCTCGAATTTCCGGAGCGACGTTTTTAACGGATCCCTTCTACGCCCCACAGGCAATTCAGCAAGGAAATATGGAAGGGGCACGAATCTACGCCGCGAACGCCATACGGAAGAAGAATGAGTCCCTCAACCTCTTGCGGCTAGGTTCCCGGATAGATGGAGTCGCCGCGCGCGTGCAGACTGCGGTGACGATGCGGAAAGTGTCGACGTCGATGGCTGGGGTGGTTAAGGGGATGGAGAAGGCTATGTCGAGCATGAACCTTGAGCAGGTAAGGAGGAGGTTCTCCTAGGCACTGTGGGATGCCCCTGGGACACCACTTTCCGTATCGCGTAAAAGAGTCATTGGCCTAACCCAATCTCGCTTCTCAATATAGATATCGATGGTAATGGACAAATTCGAGCAACAATTCGAAGACCTCGACGTGCAAACACAATACATGGAGTCCTCGATGGGACAAACAACCGCCATGTCAACACCACAGGACCAGGTCGAGGACTTGATGCAGCAGGTGGCCGATGAAAACGGGTTGGAGCTCCAGATGGAGATGCCAGGTGCCGCGACGGGGACGTTGGCGAATAAGGCGGAGCCTGCGGATAAGGAGCAGGATAATCTTACGGAGAGGCTGGCAAAGCTTAGGAATGGATGATCATGACGATGATGGCAGAGTGTTTTGTGGGTCCTCGTGTTGTTGCATTGTCATCATTGTCATGGTGGCAGACGGACGTTTTCAATCATATTCTGGAAGCACTACAGATGAAAACGACCACAGAATCTTGAGATGATTTGGTTGGAATGCTGTCCACGATATGCAACGGCGCTAGCACATTTCACCTTTCCCAAGGCACGGCAGCTTTTTCACGTTCTGACTGATGTACAATGAAACGCTCAGACTGTAGTGTATCATGTTTCACACAGCTCTACTGTTGGGCAGCTCCCTCGCTATCTACACCTCGAGCCTATCTAACATCGGCAACTCGAGTTCCACAACCTGCACACCGGCGTCCTATAGCGTCCTTTTAATCCACTCCCTCAACTCAGCAAGCTCCTCAAGCACGCGACTGGAAGGCTCAGCCAAATCAAATATCCCAAAAGCCTCGTCCACTCCATCCGCGTCATATCGCTTATCTTTGGAGCCGAAAATCACCATTAGCCCAGCAGCCTATTCGCGCTTATGCCATTATGAACTTACTTTCTAGACTCTCGGATAATCGCAGGGCGACTGCCGCGTGGTGGTCGGCTCCTAGGTTCACAGAGGCTTCGGTGATGATCCCGCGGTGCACTTTCAGGTGTATGTCCTATGCGTTGCTTTGCGTGAGCTTTGCGGCGTGTTTCCATGAGATCAAAGGTTTCACACATACCGCATCGCCCCAAGGAAAAGAATGCTCTAGCCTATGCGCGAAATCTGGGGTCTGCCCGTTGACCCATTCCCATGTCTGATCGAGGCAAAGGATGTTAAGAAAGTGGTCAGCAGTCCCTGAGGAACGCGAATGCATTGTCGCACCCGAATCTCATCGTAGTACTCCTTGATTTTTGGAATCTTTGCCATGTAGTCTGCTGTCAATTCTATGGGCTGGATAGGCAATCATCGGCACACGGGCATAAGCATATACACACTCCTCCTCGCGCTCAGGTTAGCATGCGCTCACATGTGTCGCCTGCACTTGGTGATACTTCAGAAACTCGGTTGCCACGGCGTCGCAAAAGGATAGGTGGTCAATCGTATACGAGTGATCTCGTAACCGCGTAACCTTCGATCGAACAGACTCCACACCCTTCCCGACCAAGTTTTTCTACGCGAACAAACGGTCATCAGATTCCCACGCTCCAGCTTCCACGTGGAAGACAGAGCATTCAGGTACTCATCGTACCGGGGGCGGTTTCAAAAACGTCCCCAACGCCTTCAAATCCGAATCAATCAACATAGTTCCATGATGGTACGCCTTCGTGTTGACAAGCTTGTACGCCGACCCAGACACTTTCTTCCCGTCCACGACAATATCATGCCGTTCGTTGACCGACGCGGGAATATCGAGCTGGAGCAAGGCGCGGGTGACAAGCTCGGCGTTGGTGCGGCGGTCGAAGACGTCGCGCGGCATAATGATCGTGTAGTTTGTGTTGCCGATGTCCTGTGGAAGGTTTAAGAGCTCACCGGGATATTTGTGAATTCGAGAGGATTTCATTCTGCTTACATGGTACACAGTGCCTCCGCCGCTCCGCCGTCGTACCAACGGTACTCCATCTTCCTGCATCCGTCTCAAGTTGCATTCTTTCCATGCGTTCTGTGAGGCGTCACAAACGTTCAGTCCTCGTCCTCCACGAGCCCCCCGTTTGACCCATGCTTAGATTGTCAGCTCCCCACCTGATTCTTCCCAACGACAACGCACTTGGTATTCCGCCACAGATACAGTATATGTGGGGGCAGCTCGGGGTTTCGAAAGAGCCTACAGTGTTCTGCTCGCCGTAAGCTCCCAACCTCCGCCTACGCCGTTTGTGCATTATTCGATCCACCACACTTGCCATTCCTCAAACGCCAAGTTCAGCCATGGATCAGTCACTCTGGATAGGTAAGTGGCTGCCTATGTGGGGTGAAGCCGTTAGTCGGGAAGTTTTCAAATGTGAACGGGAAGTGTAAAGCCTACCTTTGGGATAATGGCTGTTGCATGACAACGCTGCGGTACGGACTTTCTGCGCGGGGTTTCGATAGGGAAGCGGTGTCCGGCTGTTACTCGAGTAACATGGCGGCGAATGGACGTCAGCATTTTTTCCCTGTTCGGCCTGTGTTCGGCCTTCGTGCACACCCCATAGGATATGAGTCGCAATCGGAGTCGCAATGCCTCGTAATGCGCGAATATGTCCGCTTTTCGTAACCTGCCCCAGCTGGTTACAGACTACTACAGTACGCGAAAAAACGGCCGTCCGAAAACTATGTCCCCAGGCAACTACATCCGTCTAAGTCCAGGAGAAGAAGCTCGCCTCAAACACGACGAAAACAGGAAACAAAAACTCGCCCGCTTGCAGCAGGTATGTATGTATGACTCAAAGTGCTTGCAGCAGTTCTATTCTTGTCCAATTGCTCACCCTTCGTCTCAGGTCCGAGAGCAGGAACGAATATTAGCATCTGAGCATCGGAAACTATACCAAACCGTTGCTGAATCGGAGCTTGGGCATGTGCTTAACCTATTAGAGGTGGGTTGGCCATTCGCTGCGTGAAGAAGACCATCTGCTGATCTGCGACGCATGTTCAGAAAGACTGGACAGCAAGCAGACGGCAGAAGATAAATCAACTCAAGAATGTACAGGATAAACAAAAACAGCTGCTGGGTCAGGCCCACAGGACGGCTGAGCTGGTTGCTGCAGATGAGGTGGGCAGTCCCGTATTTGCTCCGCTCACGTCCATCATCGTAGCTAAACGTCGGGACATCTACAGAAAGCACACAACAAAAGTCTCTACTCCACAGCATTAGATCGAATAAAGCTAGACGTGCTCAGAGGCCAAGAAGCATTAGCTGAGGTTTGCTCTCATCGCCGCGTGTCAACTATTACAAACTCCAGGCAAACTCATCCAAACCTCTTTCAACCCCCAGACCCTCCTAGAAACAGCGACCCGCCGCGCCCGAACAGAAGTTAAACGCCTCCTCCTCAAACGAACCCGCGAAAAAGAAAACCTCCGCGCCCTCTACATCGCTGAATCCCAGCAAGAAAAAGCAGCCAACAGCGCACCCGATTTCGAGATTCCCTCTGCGCCATTAGCTCGACCGCTGCAACGGCGGTATGACCATTTCGAGAATACCGCAAATCATAGGCATAATCCGGTCGTGAGATGCGATGTGAAAGTGAAGACAAGTGATGCGTGGGATGATGCGGTTGGGGCGAGTGAGGAGAAGATGAACGTGGATACGGCCCAGCAGGCACGGCTGGATTACCTGCTTGCGAAGACTCAGCAGCGGTCGGAGAGGGCTGGATATGATGTTTATATGGGGAAGGTATGCACACCGATGATCAATGTTCTTCAGTATTTGCCAACACCACACTTACATTCCATTCACATATTTACAGCAACGGGGTATACTCTACAAAGCACTGGATGACCTGTACATCGAGGATCGTCGGAGAAAGATCCAGATCGTGTCACAGGATGCCTCACGCCCGACGCGCATGAACCCAGATGTACTGGCACGGCGGTTCGAGCAGATGTTTGATCTTGAGCAGGCTGCAGCCTCGACGACGGGAGGGTGAAGCTTGTTGTCCTGGGGAGGGGCTGTCATGTATGAATATGTAGTAAATTTTAGAGTGGTTCAAGAAGGAGCAGGCAAAACAACCCGCAGTGCACAAGGCGGTCGAGGTGGGGACTCAAATAACGCAGGCCAAGGCGGCCATGAAAAAGCATATCCTGATCACTTGGGCGCCGAAGGTCCTCAACGACGTTGAGCTCCGTTCTCTTGCTTCGTTGGTGTTTCATACCACCAATCCGCAGGAACCACACCTTACTCGAGTCGCCCTACTGGTCAGTACTCTAATTCCATTGTTTTGTGGTCGTCGTCCCGCCACGGCGCTCGCGGCGCGTCTCGCACGTTTCTCTCTCATCGCTGTATTCCTTTGAATTCAGTCTGCACTGCTCTCTCCAGAATACATATACAAACCCTCAGCCTCCTCGGGTTGCCATCCACTACGAAATTACTCAATGTACAGTATTCTACATGCAGCGTATCACCACCCTTCGTAGCAGCCTATAAAAAATGGGTCGGAAGCCCTTCCTCCAAAAACTATCTACACTGCGTCTCCCTCTCAATGTTCCAAGATTCAAGGCGGCGCGAGATCATGCGGGTGAGTAGACGATCATCATCCATGATACTCCGCGTCGCTGTCGGAGCCTCGCGCTCGCGTTTTCCGTATTCGTCGCGACTTTCTCTTCGGGGAAAGCTCGACGCTGTTCTGGGGCGGTGGAGACGGGAGTTGCGTGATGTGACCGTCCGACGAGCTCCCGCGTCTCTTGCCCCGTCTGGAGGGACGCTGATGCACATGCGCCTCGTCACCTTCCCCGTCGTCATCGAATTCGTCACTGTCATCGTTGACGATGCGTCGTCTCTTTTTCGGTGAGACCTGTGCAACAGGTTGGGAACTGACGACATCGATAGGGCTATCGCCGTCCAGGTCGAGAGGATCTTCAACGTTGATGTTCCCATCAGAGCTTTCCGTCATCACATCCACAGCGTCGGCGACGTACTCGTCTTCGTCCTCATCGTCAACGACCCGATTGCGTTTGCCTGTTTTCCGGCTGGCGGATGAAGCCCCGCTGGTCACTCCTGTTGCCGAAACGACCACATCGGAGCCCGTATCGCTCAAATCAATCTCTGATCCATCGCCATCCGCGTCTGATATCGTCGCGGGCGCTTTCCCCTTTGACTTGGATGTAAACTTCAACTTCAATGTTGGCTTTTTGAGCGGTAGTGAGGGGTGCAGCCCCGTATGAGACCAGCGTCTCTCATTTCCCAACCTCATGCCATCTGCAATGTCCGGGTAAGCATTAGGTAAACATTTGGGGGGCGGGTTGGACACAAACATAACGTTGTTGAATAGAGACAGGCTACATACCCATTATTTGGTCACGGAGAACTGGGAACTGCGAAGCGGCGAACATGTATAGCTCAGATCCATCGGCGTTGAAGGTCATCGCATTCTGCATCATGATATCCACATCCCATGCAACCGACTGCAAAATCAGGTCGTCAAGAACATCCTTCTCTCTGGTCTCCAGCAAAACCGAAAGCAATCGCATACCTCCAGGCGTCGATAAAATCCTCCGCGTATCCGATCACGGATAAGATCCACAAACATCGGATACGCTATCATGGTAAGATACGACGGGTACGTCTCATAATCTACTTCGTTCAAGAAGAATTCCATGCCATCCCTAGACTTCCAGTTGTCGATGATGTCACACACTCTTTGCATGTCTGTTATACAAACATATCTGTCAGCATATCGTCTTCTACTTGTTGTACGTTTGGGAACAGCCTTACCGTCCCCGCTCAAACGCTCCGGTGGCACATCCTCCAACTCCGCATCGAGCTTTCGAAGCTCCCACGGACAAACAGCGAGTGGTTCACCACCCTCATCCCACCGGATGAGGTACTTGTTCCACGGCGATTCCCGGGGGTAAATGGCCTGTATCCGCCCATCGTATGGCTTGTCCGGGTAGTCGACAATCACTGCAGCGCCCTCTTCCCAATCCTCAAGGACGGCATCCCGGTAGTGTTCGAAGAGGAGGATGAAATCTGTAATGCCGTCCAGATCCCAGAACTGTACTTTCAGGATGTCCTTTCGACCGCCCTTCGCCACCGGTGTCAATCTCCTGCGGTCGGGTACGGGTCCAAAGCTTCGGACCTCCTCGTCGTGAACGTGCAGGGACAATGTGCATTTGACCGGCTCGCCGGGAGAGAAATACAGCTTGTCGACCACTCCATAGACGACTTCGCCACGGTGCTCGCCTGGAGGGCAGTCAACTTTGTATCCCTCGTCGACCGCTTGTTTCACGAAATCGATGTGACCTTGTTTGACGTAGGCAACAAAGTCGCCGATCTGCGGTAAATACGGCGAGCGCTTCGAATCAGTCGTGGAGACCCAAGCACATGGCTTCACGATGCCAGCCGGATATTCTTCGACGACGTCCATTTTGGTTTTCTTGCTCTTCCGCTGGGATGAGGATGTAGCAGCGGCCTTTCCTTTGCGGTCTGTGACAACCAAGTCGTCCTCGTCGGTCGCAAACTCGTCGTCATCATCTCCTCCGCTGACATACTCTTTGAAAGATTTCCGCTTGACTTTGCGCCGGCTGGAGCGCGTGGGGCCCTCATCATCGTCAAACTCATCCTCATTGTCGTCATCGTCCAGCCGTTTCCGCTTCCGGGGCGGCCCCCTTCCATCCCGCCGTGACCTCTTTCTTCCCTTCCTCTTTGACCGAAGATTCAGTTTCGAGCCGTTTGCCCTGCGCGGTCGTGAACTGCTACCCCCTTGCCCGTGATCGTCGGAATCATCGATGAATTCATCGTCGTTTTCCCTTTCGGGCGTCAACCAACCGAATCCTTCGGAATCCGACTCGTCGCCTTCACTGGACTCCTCTCCCCCCGCAAACTCCTCCCCGCTAGATTCTGGCAAGGGAACAATCGGCTCCGCGGACGTCAGTGCCTCCATCTCCTCCCTGTCAGCTTCAGTGGGTGCCGTATTGATCGGACGTGCTTTCCGCCGCTTCTTGTCCTCTTGTTGTGACCTGAAGACACCCTCGATGTCAGCCATGATCAGTGCGCACATGTAAGATTTCAAAAGCCCTTACCACACAAACGGCTGCTCGGTTGAAGTCTGTCCTACTCTGGTATCCAGGATGAACATTCTGACTTTGCGATCGTGTACCAGCGGTGGCGTGTCGATAGGTAGGCTCCGATCTAGCGCAAAATCCTGCTTCAGCACTGGATAGTCGATGCGGTATGGACTCTGCCGTGCATCAACGAGATACTCCATCGGCACCAAATGCGGCAGAGTGCTGTTGTGCAAATCCTGCAATATTCCGTCCTGATATCCGACCGCCGTGAAGTCGCAAGGATAAAACTGCTCATAGTAATCAGTGAACTTGGTCGGATCCAAGCCCGTTCCAAAGAAGTGCGTCAGGCCAGCCATGTCAGCGGCTCCAATGAGGTTGCCTTCGGGAGAGAACGAAGCATCGAGGAGAGGACGCTCGTGCTCGAAACCTGATGATGCGACAGAGGTGATGAGCGACAATCAACTTTGACAGTGGACATCAATATAAGAACACAACTGACTCACGCCTCAATTCTGTGCCGCGACTGATATCCCATATGATAAGCTTTCCGTCGTAAGACGCAGACAACACTATATCAGGATCCAGAGGATGTGGATCCAGGTTGTAAACAGCCGAGGTGTGGGCTTGCAGTACGTGAAGAAGATCCCCATTTTGAGAATCCCAGACCTGCAAAGTGACCTGGAATTCAGTCACCCTCATCATCATCGGTTTCAAGTGATGGAGGTCCAATCATCATACCCGAAGATGGTAGTCGGAGGTAACCGTTATCACCTTGCGGTCATCGAGAGACCAGCACAAAGCTGTGATACCAGCCACCTCCTCTGCGGAGACTTCGGGCTCGCCCACTGCCGTTGGTGGTACAACGGCGGCAACACTGCCTGGTGGTGAATCAATAGGCGCGGGGGGAACAACTTCAGTAGCACCATTGACAACCTGGCCCACTTCCGGAGTGCCATCCAAATGTGGTGTGTCTGGAGCTGGGTGGCTTCCTAAGCCAAGAAACGGTAACCCGATGCCGTTCAATGGTTGGGGCGCATCTGTACTCGGCACGGCCGTAGGTTGATCAGCGGTCTGTCCAGTCGAAGTGTTGCTTTCTGTACTCGCGCCTGTCGGAGTGTCTACAATTGCTCGTACTAAAGAGAAATTTCTGTCAGTACTGCTACCCAAGGCTTCAAGTTCCTCAATATCAGTCTTACATTTGATTGCCTCCCATTTGAAAGTGGTGTCACAGTAATTGTAGATGGCTATCGTCCCATCCATGCATCCAGAAGCGAACCGATCTCCACTATGACTAAACCTCAATTCTTTCACGCCAATATCGCCAAATCGCTTCGGCTTCTCCTCGGAGTTGATGGAGGTGGCATCTAGTTTTCCTTTGTAGACACAGAATTCCGGATCGCTGGCGGAGCCGTTGTCGATGTGCGGAGCGTTTTTCCGATTTTGCTGTGGCTTCTCGGTTATCTTCGATTCGCTGGCGGACCCGTTGTCAATATGCGGAGGGGCCTTCCGATTTTGCAGTGGCTTCTCTGTTATCTTCGGTAGGATGCGGTAGATGTGGATAAACCCGTCGGTTCCCCCAACGGCAAATCGGCTTCCGATGCGATCAAAGACAACGGTCCGCACGCTGTCGGTGCGCTTGTCTTGAGTGTTCAATATCAAGGGCTAATTGAAAGGGAGTTATTTAAGCTGCCTGTCAAACGCGCTTGGGCGCACAGGCAATGTTTTACCTTTAGCTCGAAGTTTTTCTCTGCTGGGAGCCATCTGTACACCCGCACTTTGCCGTCCTTCGCTCCCACCAAGAAGCATTTACACTCCTCCAGAGGCGCAGGGGAAAACGCGATTTTTGTGATTTCCTTTCCGATTTTCAGTGTGATAAGAGGGTGCCAGGACTGGGTATCCCATATCTGCACAGTTTCGTCCGACGAGGCAGTTGCCAGAAGGGTATTATCATCATTGAGTGCGACATCCAAGATGACATGATGCTCCAGAACAGCGTTCGTGTCCATGAAGGTGCAATGTCCGCGAAGAGTGCGCATCAAATACCCCGTCTTCGCGCACCACACTTTCACAAGACTGTCGTCTCCACCCGTTATGTAAACTGAGCCGGTCTTGTCGAAAATGCCGTTGAATATGGCACAATGATGGCCTCTGGTGGTAAGCAACCTCTCAAAGCGTTTGTAGTATATTGACAACGGCGTGTCGAAGCGCAAAGTGGTCCGCTGTGCATTCTCATGGGCGCGAGTCGCATAGATTGGCCGCGTTCGCCACTGCGACGCAATCGCTCTCCTCGAAAAAGGCTTCGCTGCAGTCGCTCCCAAGCCTAGATTCATCGCCAGCGCCGCTTTCGAGCTCATAAGTGAGGGCATCAATGAAGACTCGTTTGAGCTGGCAGCTTCCGAAACCTTCTCGAACAGCCGTGGCAGATGATCGGGTAGCACATGCGGGTTTTCCTCTGTCAGCTGCGCGTATGTCAGCGGATGTCGCTGTCCCATCCAGTCCACGCGCATCGGCAATACGCTTTCCTCTTTGACTTCCCCCGAGCGCCCTCCCAGCTCTTCACATAGGGTGTTGTAGGTTCTTTGGAACGTGGTGCCGGACAAGAATCGGGTGATCAAGAACATGAGGTCTACAGTGGCGACACGATTAGTCTGCAGGAACCACTCCATCCCAACCACAGCGCGGCACACTTACCCCTCTCGAAAGGCGAGGAGACCCCGGGAGTCGAACGTTGCGGGTATAGTTCCGTCGGTGGTCGAGATGTGCCGAAGCTGGTGTCATCCTGCATAACTTCCTCTTTTGAGCCCCCTTCATTGGCCCTAAAATCCGAGTGCATGTCGTTCGTCCTAAATGCGTCGGAGTCCAGCTGCGTCTCTCGTGCTAACACCATCCGCTGCCTCGAGCAGCCACCATAAGAGCCAACACTTTCCTGGGAAAACAACCCTCGCGAGACCCTCCCAGGTTACCGCCCACAAATGAGCGGGAAAAGCTGTAGCGTGGCTACGTGTTGACGCCGTCCGACAAGCTGTATGGTATATGTATTCGGGCGCTGGAAAACTCCACTGCAGGACAGAGTGTAATACTCCTTTGATACGTATGTATTCTTGGTGGAGGTCGGAGCTCGAAAAAGTACAGTATAAGGTCAGTTGGTTGGGAAAGAGGGAAGCGCCGCACAGGAAACTGGGAATCATGTCCGAATTTCGCTCGTGTCACAACCCTAACCTCTCCCGGCACGACATCCCTCCGACCCCGCTCAACCCTGTGCAGCACAAACAGTACAAGGAGCAGCCAAGCAGTATATATGAGAGTATGGACCTTGGAACAACAGAGAGAACAGAGAAAACGTAGGGAAAGGAAATGCGGGCCACGGGGTGGCCGAGACTTCAAAAACCGCCTTTGGGGAAATGGCGGAAACCCTGCACCGCTTACGGGGGAAGAGCAGCATACTCATGCGCAATACCTCACCCGCGCATCTCGTTCACACCACCTTGGGCCTCAAGTTGTGTTATGTGATTGACTTTTCATTAAGCCGTCCAAAAAGACAAATGGGAGAAGAAGAGTACAGTGGAAGAGAATCTAGTAATAGATCTAGATAGTTCACTTTGCGCAGTTGAGAATTGTAGCAGGTGTATCTAAGATGATTTCTACTTCCCAATACCGATGCTCTTTGCGTAAGCGGAGACTTCGCCGTCCGCCTCGATGTAGTCTACCTTCTCGTGGGCTTTGAAGGTTGCTGTTGGCGGAGAACGACGGTAAGAACATGATATATAAAAGGACTCAAACAGACGGGAAAGAGAAAGGAACTCACTGATAACGTTGTCCGGGACCGTCGCAGAGAAACCCTTCATGGTCGTATCGTATCTGTGCCCAATCTTGCCTCCTACAGACGGTTTTTGGTCAGACAGGGCCCCCGCCTTCGAAGTTCAAAGACTTTGAACAACCCGGTCCCCCACGTACCTTGGGCCTCAACGTCCTTGGCAGCCTGGTCGATAACGTTCTGGGCAGTGCCTTCCTTAAAGACGACAATGTACTTTCCTGCAAGCGACCGTGGTAGTGAGTACAGAGGATGGGAACTCACACCCCGCTGAACCTGAGCTGGTACTAGCGAGCGGTGCTACCGTTCTTACCTGACATGCTTGTTATTCGTTGGTGGTGTTGGTGTGGAGGGAGGGATGTATGTTGCGATTGTTGTGCAGGGTTCTGGGGGGAAAGCAGCCAGCCTTTATAATGGAATGCGGTGAAACGGTCGTGGGTTCATGACGTCTACAGCGGCTGCGCGTCTCGTGCCAAGCCCCAGTCTCGTGGGCCCCAGGACTCTCGACCACACTCTGCTCCCCCCAGTGCGAGCGTGTGACGAGTGTGGATGAACGCCTTCATGTCGAGGTGGTGCGAGTCGCAGCGAGGGATTGCCGTTGGCGACGTCGCTAACTACGTAGCAGTTAATAACCGCACCTTTCCGCCCCGATGCGATGCTTCCTTCTTACACGAACTCGGCCAAACAACTACAGTACACTGGAAAGATAACTCTCTCTCAATAAGGACGAACGACCTTGAGTGACTTGCAAAGACCAGTAAGGTTTATCTATAGTATATGCTCTTAGTCCTTGTTCAAACTCCCTTCGGCACTCCTGTTGTGTTCCGCGCCCGGCCGTCTTTGCCCACGTCACCAGTGTAATTGCCGACCGTCATGGAACCCAGAGCGCAGATAAAGGACTTTTCTTATTGCTTGACGCCCGACTTAGACTTGCTGCTGCGAGTGAAAGTGTGAGCTGCTGTAATGCAAGTGGCTATGCTGCAGCCACTGGGAGTAACCGTTTGTTTGTTCTGCCGGACGGTATAGATCATCCTTGGAGGGCCGGCCACCCGAGCATAGCTTCCTCGAACAAATACAGGACCCTTATCTAAGGTCGACCACAGGAACGAGGTACAACAGTGAAGTCCAGGTGACGGATAGGGGGGGCAAGCGTCTGAAAACCAGGAAACTCAAAGGCGATCCTACGCCTCTCAAAATGGAGTGCGCTTTCAGATATATACGTAACATGTCAACTATTCGCCGACAACAAGCCGATGACGTTGCCTATGCGAACGGCCCATCACTCATTTACGAATCACTGGACGTGAGTTTCCAGATCTATCATAAGTGGCACAAATTGGTGCTGGTCTAACTGACGGAATCCGTGCAGATGGAACGAGTGCTTGACTATTCCCATCAAATATCGCGACATTCCACTAGGCTCGCAACTGGCATTCACGGTATGGGAAGCATACGCCCCGCGGAAGGCTATACCAGTAGGCGGAGCGACGTTTAAGCTCTTTGGGAAGTACAAGTATGTTAGGTGGCGCAAGGGAGAAATGAGACTCGTGCACGAAAAACATTTCTGATGCAATTACCGACATCACATAGTACGCTAAGAAAGGGAAAGCATAAGCTGTACATGTGGCCCTGGACAGAGGCGGATGGTCAGGATGCATCGAGCACGCCCAGTGACGCAGTTCATGAGGGAGATATGGATAGGATTGAGAAGGTAAGCCTTTCGCTCCAACCTATTGCGATATTGTGTACTGATACCTGCCATCAGCTCATGCGAAAGTATGAAAGGGGAGATATGACGCGGCTCGACTGGCTGGACCACTTAACGTTTCGCGAAATCGAGAGCATCAATAAGGTAGACCCTGCAATCTCAGCGATGGGGTCTTTGATGCCGATGCAACGATGTAGATCTTGATATGGCGTCCCTGCAGAATGAGACCTCGAAGACAAAGCATCTCTTCCTTTTTATTGATCTGCCACAATTTGACTTTCCGCTGGTGTACGGCGAAAAGGTACATGTCGTAATTCCCTACTTCACTCTTAATACATAAACTCATCCCTACTGCCTTTCGAAGGAATACCGCCTTCCCGTACCGCTCGCCCGTACCGTCGAAACCGATCTACAGATCATCCCGGACCCCGAAGCCGCGCGAGATAACCCGGTGGAGAACAAGCACAGGAAACTGGCCCGAAGCCATCGCAACGGGCCTCTGGATCGGGATCTGAAGCCAAATGCAAAGATTCGCGATGAGCTGAATGTGAGTCCTGTATGGTCACCGGGCATATTCTACAGCTGCTCACAACACTTGGTGGCGCCCAGAAACTGCTTAGGTATCCACCCTCCCAGACTCTGACGACGGAAGAAAAGGACCTTCTTTGGAAGTTTCGGTTTTATCTGACAAGGGACAAGAAGGTGAAGTTATCGAATGTCGACTCACTTCAGCGCTTCCTGTACCTGTACTCACATGTACAAACCCCATAGGCGCTCACAAAATTCCTTAAATGCGTTGTGTGGACCGACCCAGTGGAAGCCAAGCAGGCTTCTGAGCTATTGCATGTCTGGGTCAACATCGATGTCGAGGACGCGCTGGAGCTGCTTGGCCCGACCTTTGAGAATAACAATGTCCGTGCCTACGCAGTTCTGCAGTTGCGGAAGGCGGATGATGAGGTGCGGATGTCTTGCCAAATTGAAGCAGCGAGGGCATGCAGTTTACGATGGTATCACAGGATTTGCAACTCTTCCTTCTCCAACTCGTCCAAGCATTAAAGTTTGAAGGCATCGTGGATAAGACAACATTACAGAATTCGCCATTAGCCGAGTTCCTCATCGATAGAGCCATCAAGAATCCGATCCTCGGCAACTACTTTTATTGGTAAGACCGCCGCGTATCCCAAACTTCACGGGTGAGCCTGACTAACCAGGCAGAATCGCAGGTATCTCATGGTAGAGTGTGAAGAAAAACAATGGCGATCGATGTATGCCAAAGTGGCCTATTACTTCATGGAGACGATGGTGCAAGTCCCTGATGGGGTTGCCCGGAGAAAGACGTTGGAAAGGCAGGCTAAGCTGATGGAGATACTGTTGGATCTCTCAAAGGCGGCGCGGTCGAAGGAGGCTCGGCCCAAGAAGGTGAGGGCGATTGCTGGGCGGCCGATGACTCTGTTTGGCTTGGACTAACGAGTTTCATACAAGGTTGAGACGTTGCGGAATATCTTGGCAGATCCGAAGAAAGGGCTGTTATCTTTCCCGCCTTTGCCGCTCCCGTTGGATGCCCAAGTCCAAGTCATTGGCATCATGCCTGGTGCGTGCTCGTTTTGGATCACATGTGGCGTACCTTGCCGTAGCTAACTTCGGAGCCAGACAAGGCGAACATTTTCAAGAGCGCTCTGCAACCACTTCGCCTCACATTCTCCTGTGTGGATGGAGGAGAGTACACGGTAGGTGGTCGCTCAACCTCGCTTGCAGACCGTCAAACCAAGTCTGACCTTTTGGGGATGGAAGATCATCTTCAAAACAGGAGATGACCTGCGACAAGATCAGCTAGTGGTCCAGATCATCACCTTGATGGATAAACTGCTGAGGAAGGAGAACCTGGATCTGAAGCTCACGCCGTATAAGGTCCTTGCGACGGGGTCTGATCACGGTATGCCGTGGACATCTGCTTCCATCTCGTTTATGGGTGTCTTGTTCACTAGCTGATGGAGTTTCCCCTACATCGTTCCTAGGCATGGTGCAATTCATTCCCTCCCTCCCACTGGCGGCTATCCTAGGGGAGTACGGTGGGACGCTCCTCAACTACCTGCGCGAGAATAACCGCGGAGATGCGGCCAAGCCCGCCAGCATACCGCCAATTGTTATGGACACGTACATTAGGAGTACCGGTGAGTGATGTCTATCCCTCGTCGATGGAGCAGGGAATTTTGAATTGACAACAGCATCTCCTCGTCACCTAGCCGGCTACTGCGTGATCACCTACCTACTCGGAGTAGGCGACCGGCACCTGGACAATCTGCTTCTGACCGTAGGCGGTGAGTCGATGAGACACTTCAGCGCCTTTACGATGTCAGCAGTCACTCATTCATGGTCTCCCATGTTACAATAGGCAACCTCTTCCACATCGATTTCGGCTTCATCCTCGGCCGCGACCCCAAACCCTTCCCGCCGCCCATGAAGCTCTCCCGCGAGATGGTCGAAGCCCTCGGCGGTACCTCCTCACCATCCTACCAGAAGTTTAAAGCGTACTGCTACGTCGCCTTCAACATCCTCCGGAAGAACGCCAATCTGATCCTGAACTTGTTTTCGCTGATGGTCAATGCGAACGTGCCTGATATTGCGATTGAGCCGGATAAGGCGGTTTTGAAGGTGTGGCGCATTTCATGTGACGTGGTGAAAGGATTCTATGCTGACCCATTGATAATCTAGGTCCAAGAGAGGTTCATGTTGGATTTGACAGACGAGGAAGCGATACAGCACTTCCAGACGCTCATAAACGAGAGCATGGGGGCCATGTTTCCCCAAGTCATGGAGAAGATTCATCAAGTAGCGCAGCTTCTTCGCAGCTAGTGATTCATTAGCTGAGGATATCGCTCGTGCTGGTCACAATGCGAGAATCGCTCGCTCGATGTGCATAATATGTTTAGTAGTCGATAGCATGATATATATATATACAGTGCGTAGTTCACATCTACTTCAAAGGCTTCAGGCCGAGGGATGCCCTGACCTTATTCGTTTCCTCAATGGACATCGACTCACCACCACCCTTCCCACTATCCTCATTTCTGCTCCTCCCTGGTATCGAGGACGAAGAAGAGCCCTTCTTGGCCGGCCCTCCGCTTTTCTTCTTGAACAGCGAGGCAACTTTTTCGGAGGAGATAGCCATCTTCTCCCCTCGTCGTTCAGGACTCCGCCCATCGTCCGCCCCAACAGACGATTCCCTCGGTCGGTCCGCCCCACGTCTGTGCTCCTGCCGTGGCGGGTATCGGTCCCTACTCGAACTCCTGTCTCGTCTATCGTCGCGTGTTCTGCGAGATCGATCGATGCTCCTACTCCTACTCCTACATCGGCCGTCGTAGCCGCGTCGTCTGTGATCGTCGCGACGATACCTATCTCGTGAGTCAGAGTGGTAGGAGCGACGGTCGTCCCTGTCGCGGTGGTAAGATCGAGGGGATCGATCGCGGTGGGACGGGGACCGGGGACGGGAGAACCCACGATCACGGCTAGAGTCGCGGCTAGAGTCATGTCGTCTGGCGCGGTCCCGAATATGGTCTCGACTGCGGCTCCGACTCCGACTCCGGCTGACACTACGCCGATGTCTGTCACCACTCCTGCTTCTGCTCCTAGCCCTACTATCCACATAACGGCCGTCACGGTCGCGTTCACGCCCCTCCGAGCCCTCCTTCCGCCGTGGCTCTGGCTCATCAATGGCGCCTTCTTCGGAGTCGTAATGTCCAGAATCAGGACCCTTGACTATTTTCTGTCTTCGCCTTTCCACGTCGTTCTTGAATCGCTCATCGTCCAGAATCTCTTCTTCCTCTAGATCTTCTTCTAGGGGACTGATCCTCGGTTCGATGTCTCCGTTCTCCTCCATGATGTGGCGTTTGGTGATGCGAGGAAGAATGGTGTCGCATACCCGATCCGAGTGTAGCAGCTCATCGACGAACTCGTCAACGTGCGTCAGCTCAAATCCACCAGCTGTAAAACGATGATGTTAGCAGAGAGCTCAAGTGCGACGGCGAATACTGCGGTGTAAACTCACATATATTCCGCCGACGGAGCTTTCTGAGGTCTCCTAATAGTGGTTCTAAGTACTTATATATTTCCAAAGAGGTCCCCGTAAGCCGTAGATAGAAAGCTCCGAGGGCCCTTAAGTATCTGCAAAGGGATTGAATTGTGAATCAAACTGATCTACGTCTCTGCGAGCCCACACCATTCCAAGAAACCTACTTATAGTCCTCGTTTTGTATGTACAACTTGACAATATCCTTCTCAGGCTGTAGCTGCAGCATCTTCAGCGCCAAGCAGATAAACTCGGTCGGTTTCTGGTTTCCATATTGTCCGCCGATCGAAGTGAGAGCGACGGCTTTGTCGATGATGGATTCCGCAGTGAGGGCGAAACAGTGCTCCTTCCAGTACAGCGAGTCATGGATGCGTGTGCGCAGGATTTTCTCTATGAGAAACTGCGGGTTGGTGCCGTGGATGGTCTTGGCCTCGGTTGCCGTGCGGTTGGCCATTGTTGTTGCAGGGCGTCTTCTGAAAGTGTGGGGCAAAAGCGAATGGAGTGTTCGAGCAACTTCCTCGGCCTGTAATCATAGGCTGTCGCGTCGGACAGGGACGATTTCCACCTTCAGCAGGGGAGAGCAGCACCACACAACCCTCTCATAGTGAATCTCCTTTTGAAAGGCACCCTCGCTTATATCCAGCCTTTTCTTCCTTTGAGATGGCGATGTTCGGTTGCATTATTGCCGGGCGACTGGTAAGCCTCGCAAAGCTGAATATGCCTTTGAACGTACCGTCTTACTGACCGGTTGATAACCATAGGTGCAAACCAATATGCAGCAAGGTAGGGGTGGGATGATGCAACGGATTCGACGGTTGCCGCCGAGGTAGTTTGCGGAGGAGGCTTGGGAGCTTGTATGAAAATGTGCCTTCTTTTGGAGCCACAATCTCACCGCCAGACTATCAACTCCGCGTCGTTCGGTGATTTGCAGTTGATGCGACGAAGGTAGGCGAGTAGAGAAGGACTGGTCAGTCGGAAGGGTTGGGTGGCGTCATGCTAACTCATACCAGTATGTTTTTGATCTGGAAGACCCGCAATCGATCAATCACATAGGTATGCAGAAGAACTCATGATCACGGTAGAATCGGTACGGCGGCTCAAAGATGCGGCGCTTCTCAATAGTTGTCTTCATGACTGGCGTGCAGGCCTTCCCGCCAGGATTCGCAGCTACGGTGCATTTCTTGTGGTATGCTGAATACATCGCATAACTGATGTCTCGGAGAGCAAGCACATACTGATTTCAGTTCATATGCAGGCCATCACCAAGCGCGGCACCGCAATGGCAATTACTAGGAATGCTCTCAAATGAAAAACCGTCCGCCATATTCAAACTCGGAGGCAACAAAGCAGTCGCTTCGGCGTTCACGAATTCAAATGGCATGTCCCCGACCACGGTCATGACCCCCGGGATAGCCGCCACGAGCCCGGCGCAACTGGGCATCTCTGTCGAATCAATCGACATCGTAATGGCGCAAATCAATACTTTGCATGCGAATTCCCCGTCGCGTAATCCCGCAGCTGCGGGCGCGATCGTCAGGAATGTGGACCCCATGAAATTGGTGGAGAAGGTACTGGAGAGCTTGTACAATTTCTGTTCGAGCTTTGCGGGACCGTTGCCGCCCATGTCGACCGCGTTGTTTGGGATGGACTGGGGGTCTACGTTCATCCCTCTGAAGGTATGCGGCATTGCGGACTGACTTCCATTTTTCCTTGGTGGCGGTGGCTGAATCTGCTTCATTCATCGCGGATAGGCGTTGCAAGATTGGTACTTGATGATGCAAAGAAAACTGAAGGCAGACCCATCGGGGGGCAGCATTATACGAGCAGATTAGGCTACTTAACAATGGATGTCCCGGCGTACTGTAGCGTAGTTGCACGGGTCTGTCTCAGCGTTTCCTGTGGCAATGCCCTTTCCTTTTTGGCCGACACCCATCAGTAACATCTTGTGTAATCAAAGTAGAAGTCGCACTGGGTCGTTCCCCTTTTTTCATGATTCTTGTCGATCTTCTGTTAGCAGACCTCCCGCCGGGCACATTTTATGCTTTGGGGAGCGATCGGAAGCACGAATCGACCACATCTTTACTCGACTTTAATCGACTTTACTTTGCTCACATTTACACACGGTGATATTACACGATCCCACAAAAGTCTCTCACCCCTGATCTTGCGCAAAACGACTCTTGCCAGCAAGAATGCCCTTTCGGAAAGCGTTCTACACCAAGGCGATGAAAGCAACCACAAACAAAACAGCCACAAGGTACCTCATTCCCAAGGTCCTGACCCTCCCCAAAGCCGCCGACTTTGACCCGGCGGCAGTAGACGATCCTTGAGGGCACAACCCATCCTTTGAGATGACAAACTGATCAGAATAGCTCGAAATCACGGCGTCCTGGCCGGTTTCGGCCAGGGTGTAGTTGGTTCGCAGACGATAACGTCCGTACGGAATCGATTGCGGCACCGCAAAGTTCTCCGATGACGAGGTCGGGTCACGGTCGTGGTTGGAGATGGAGAGTGGGATATGCTCGCTGTCGTCTTCGAAGAGAAGCTCAAGGTTCTGTTTGAAGACGCCCTTGCCGAATGCGTGGTTGCCGTCGATCCACTGGAAGTAGACGCCGATGGACGAGCCTGGCGAGTACGAGTCTCCGGCCTGCGGACACAGTGGATATCGGTAAGATCAATGTCTCTGTGAAGCAAGATGGGGACCCGTGTAACCCTTACCTTTGGACCCGAGAAGATGACGGGTCGGAAGTTACTCAGTGTCTTTGGTTGAAAGTCATCGGTCTTGCACGCCGGGAAGGCTTGCGTGACGGTGATGTCGGGCGATTGAAACCTGATCTTGCCTGGGCCGTCTTTCGTGGTCGCATCGGCTTGAACCTCGAAATGGTACTTGCCACTCGGCAAAAGAACGGGAATATACCTACATGCGCGTTTAGCCTGGAAGTATTGCTGGCGCGGTGCTCCATCTGGCATGTACATACCAAACCCAAGACCAGGTCTTCGATTGGTAGATGGCGACATCCACGATCGCTTGACTCTCGTCGCGGATGACGGCAGTGAGATTGGTGACCGTTGAAACTGTAAGATCTGTGTCGCTTCCAAAGTCATTGATGTAGACGGCTTCTTGACCGCCGCTCCGCGGGGTTTGCGGGACGTTCCAATTGGCTGGTGGACATGAGACCGGAGAAGTTATGATGTGGGGTGCTTCAGGACAACGGATGGTCTACGTGATCTAACCTTGAACGGTGCGCTGGGCAGTCACCGTGAGGGAAAAGTGACCGGTAATGGCGAGGAAGAGGATCGCTCCCAGATTCAAGTACTGCATGATGGGGGAAGAATATTGATCAAGGTGTAATGGGAGGAAATGTAATCTGTGGGCCACGGGTTTGCATCAGTTCCGAGGGGGCCGACGGACATCGAGTCGCTTTTGTACATTTGCTGCTCTGTACAGCACCGCATCTGCCGCGAAGCAGTCGGAAGGTTGACTGTCATCCCTTGTCTCACGCTCTGCGACAGGGATAGACTTATTCGATTCGGAACCTGAACATTCGTGAACAATTGCATCCCTTAGCCCGGTCACGCCGTCACAAGCCTTGCGGCCACTGTTCAATCGTTCCCGCCAAGTTTGTCACCCATCCCTTCACAGGAGCTTCTAAGTTGCCATCACCGTTCATGACTGTATCGGACTCTTCTTCACAAGCTTGCACGTGCAGCGCATTCTTCGAGAGAGGATGTCGCAGCGTGTAGAGGTCAACCTCGGGGCTGTCGCTGCTGCCCTCTTTCGCATACAGCTTTGCTGTCGTCGACTCGTTGAGGAAACCGGAAACTCTTTTAGCTAGGCTTCCGATCGAGCTCCGGACCCTCCGCGCCGAGGAGCGGGAGATGAAATGGCGCGTAAAAGGGTCTATATATCGTAGCGGTCAACGGAGATCCGCCCTGCGTGACTCAGCCCGCGCATAGCGGCGAGCTTCAAGCCACACTTCGCAGGACAATCAAGATGCCCAATAATCCGTTTTTCCCATTTGATGGACTACTCAACTGCCACACAATCCTTGATCATCCCTCAAATGCTGAGGGCTCCTCCCTCTGCGACCTTATGTTACGTGGGGCATGCGGAGCGAGTGCCAGACTGCATATTCGGCTCGTCCCGAACAAAAGATGCTGCGCTCTTGCAAAGGGTTTGAACATGAAAATCTGCAGACGCTGAATCTATTCCACAGCATGTGTCAACTTGATGACGAAATAAGGAATTTAGTACTAGCGATGGCAGGCGAGCGAAGTGCGATCCTAGTGCTTGTGAGTAAGCATTGGATCAAGTCATGCGCAAATTGGAGCCAAGTGCGCTGGTAGCTGCCTAAGCTCTTCCGATATTCCACATTCCGCTCAACCCACAAGCAGAATTGCCGAAGTATGTACGGTATTGACATCGAGTCAAAGGCGAAATCTTACGCCTCAAATTCGATTCCGCTATGACTAGTCCCTGTGGTGCTCTTAGCCCAGCCCGACTTCAGTGATTGGTATATAAACAAAAAATCTGCTTCCGACCGATGTTTCTCGCATCCATGTCCGGCGTTGCCTCTAATTAGTGGGACTCATTCGCCCGGGACTCTCCACTTCCCGACCATCATGATGTTGCCACAACTCTGAGATTCAGAGTTCCCTCTCATCCCTTCTTCGAATTCCGCTCGAAACATTGTCGGAAGGCAAGCATCTCGTCCTTGCACTTGCGCCAGTCCTTCTTTGCAAAATGGCAGTCCTGCAGGGCCTCATGTTGGGGGAAACAGCCTGAATTTTTGATGCGTGTGATGTACGGGTCTTCCTCCTCGTCTTCAGGTTGTGATGTTGGCCCAGCGGTGGCCGGCTTCTGTGAGGTAGGCGTCGATCTTGAAGCGGTCATCGGGGATAGAACCGAAAAGTGTGCGAGGGGATCGTTGCTGCTACCCTGTTTCGTACAAGAGTCGGAGTCGCGCTCAGACTTTTTCCAGAAAGGAAAAGGGTGTCTCTTCTGGGAGCGTTCTGTATATGTATACTGTGTGTATTCAGACGGGCTTGCCGGCGGAAGAAATAAAAAGAAGCAGAAAGAGCCCGCGATGAGACCCCGCGTCGCCCCAAGTCGCCTCCAGTGGACCAAGGAACTTCGTCACGGACATTCTCGCACGGTGATCGCTCAGCCCCTTCCGAAAACCATAGACAGTAGACAGTAGAAGGGGAAACCCAGCATTCAGCAGCAACAAACATGGTGGCTGCAACTCCCAGTCAGCCAGGTATGTCCATATCACACCATTCCGTCGGGGAATGAAGCGATATTCGCACGTCATGTTCGGTCGCGTCTGGCCTGGATTCCTTACCGACTGAATCCCCCACCTACCTCAGAAGAAAGGACAAATGAACCGACTAACGAAGAAGCCAAATCAGCTTCGTCCCGCCGCGCCCGACAGCAGCGTGGCGGTCAGAGGTCCAAAGGGCCTGTACCCCGGACAAAGATCGTAGTGCGGAGGTTACCGCCCAACCTACCTGAGAATATCTTCGAAACTTCGGCAGAGGTGTGGTTGCAGCAAACGGACTGGTGGCGATATGTTCCTGGGAAACTTGCCAAGAGGTGGCTGCTCTAGAATGTTATGTCAGGCTTCCACGTTGCATGCAATTCTGATCAATAACTTCTTCCAGTCAAGCGAAGGTCAGCGTGTTTTCGCGGGCGTACCTGAACTTCCAGGAACCTGAGGTGATGTTGGAGTTCTGTAACAAGTACAATGGACATCAGTTCTTGGATGGCAGAGGTGAGATGGCTCACTTCGCATGATCCTGCTTTTGAAGAGCGTTTGCTCACTCTTCCCGCAAACTAGGCAACGAGTATCGTGCCGTTGTGGAATTCGCGCCTTTCCAGCGAATCCCGAAGAAGAGGAGCAAACCTGACCCGCGATTGAACACCATTGAGCAGGGTATGAGAATATGCGCAAGAGCTTTCGAGCGGAATATCAGACGACTCAATCACAACCGATTGAGCAGATGCAGATTACCAAAAGTTTCTCGGGAGCCTGGAGGAGGACCTGGAAAGCACCACCGTCAATGGGACCAGCGGCCTGACCGGCGAGACACAGCTGGAGAAGTTGGAAAAGAGCCTCCTTGCAGATCAACAAGCGAGCAGCAAGATCACCATTGTGACATCCTCAGTCAGCAACCTTCCCAGAGGGTTGGCACCGGCCGAAAAGCAGTCCACGCCTCTCCTGGACGCGCTCCGGGCAAAGAAAGCCAAAGTCAAAGCGCTTCAGGACGCCAACAAGGCAGCAACTGCGGCCGCGAAGCAAGCGCAGATCGATGCAAAGGCCACTGAGACGGCAAAAATGGAAAAGGCGAAGGCTGCGACAAAAGCGAAACCCACTGCAGGGGTCAAACCGTCGAAGACAGTGGTTGGTCCGCCGTCGATCGTCAAACGTCCAGACTCAAGGTCAAAGGACAAAGCAGGCCCGGCTGTAGCTAAAGAGCCAGAGACAGCGCAGACGTCTCCCAAGAAGCAGCCGGCAGACAATCCTACCGAGAGGAAGCAACGCATGGCGCCGTCTGGATCCCTGTTCAACAAGTCCCTTGGCGCGGTTTTGGGAACTGGAACTGTGGCGAAGCGTCGAGAAGGGGCGAGGAAAAAATTGGCGAATGACTTGGCATCGCAGGTGGCGCCAGATACTGGCGCTCCGAAGGATTTTATGGGTGGCGAGAAGGCAGAAATTGAGCAGCCTCTGGTGAAGAAGGAAAAAGAAGGCGGTCGAGGCTATCGCAGCAAACGGCAAGCCTTCGCGAACCCAGCGCCGGAGGATGCGAACGGAGAACGCAGTGAGGGCCAGCCGTTTGGTACAGCGAATGACGGCAAACAAAAGGGCGCTTCGCAAGATTCCGTCGAACCTGAGGCTAGCAGCACCCCAAAGTCCCGCCGCAAAAAGGACCGGGGCACTGGCGATAAAAGCAAAGAAACTTCATCGAGCTCACTGACAACCGACAGCCCGGAGCGGAAACCTGCTCAAAAACCGAGAAAAGAACGTCCTACTGCAACGAAAGAGAAGGAGGATGCTGGGGACGGGTCTCCCAAGAAGGGACCGAACGTGACCATCATGAAACGGGATGGGACTAGTACGCAGTTCAATACACGCGAGAGTGGCGCTTCGTGAAGGGAACGTCTTGGAAGTAAACATATTTCTTGTGTCAGCTACCCTCGACATCTTGGGGGAAGGATCAAGCCCTGCTGCCCACTGTCGAATCCTCTTCAGACGAACTTGTGGCGTGAACTCTGTGGAGCTCAGCATGTTCCGACAAGACCCTGGCGCCTGTTGCATGCTACTCTATACTCACCGCGAGTGTGTGCTTGGTGGTTCCCACGCCCATTTCACCTTTGGCAAACGCCTTTCTCCTCTCTGCCCTGCGTCGCCACGATGCCCGATGATCGACGCAGGAAAAGCGACGCGGAAGATATTTCCTCCGCCGCGGGCTTCGATAGCAGCAGATGGTGTCGAGCATGGCCCCAGCTATGATCCCACATTCACATCTGCACTGCATTGAGTGCACGACCGGTCTGTAGCCCTGTTCATTTGAGGTCATGCGAAAGCTAGGTCGTCATTGACCGCCTCATCGTCACCAAGTACCGTTCATACAGGCTACCGCATCTACTAAAGTAGAAACCTGTGGTCGTGCCAGAGTGAAGTTTTGATGAATGCATATTTGGCAATAGCAATTCTATGTATGATACACTACTTCTACATATCAAGGCGTCCGTGGGCTGTCCTATAAAATCATTGCGATTCTATATTATCACCGATGCCAAGTACGCCGCACACGCCACCGCCAGTAACGTCCAAAGAATCCAATATCCCGAAAACAGTCCCTGTTTCCCTACCGAGTCCGCCGGCACATTCCACGGCACATAAAACCCGTCCACGCCTTCCTGCTCAGCAATCCCCTTTGCAACCTCCACCGCGCTCGCCACGCACCCTTCCAAAAGTGGAATCCCCTCCCACGCCCAACTGCCTACAAACCACCGCCTTCCAAGCCCTTGCAACGCCGAGAGGTCGTCGACGGCTTTCGCGGAATCGAGGGTGACCACCGCGCGCTCGAACCATGTTGTGGCGATCGTCTTGTCGGGCGCGGGCATGCGGTAGGGGTTGGTGGTTTGGAAATAGTCAGTGCCTTTGATGGGCTTCCGGGTGTTGTGGGACATGTTGAAGTAGTGGGTGCAGGTTGGGGTTTTGTGGGTTGCGTAGGGGAATTGGAAGTCTGCGCTGTTGTCGGTGGATGTACTATCCGCGTCCGTTGATGTGGCGTCATCAATGCCCGTGTGGGTGAAGAAGTTCATGCATCGCCACATTGACTCGTTCTGCGGCATGAGCGATGCGTCAGTATGGCATGTCACGATGCTTTTCGCGTACTGGAAGCGTTCCAGCAATCGAATTTGATCTGCGGTGATCTTCGCATCACCGTCAAGAGGTACACCGGCGGTACCCTTTAGGATACGTGCAGCCTGGTTTGCTTGTGTTGCAAACACGACATGGTCATATCGCCGCCGTATCCCCTCTGTCGTCTCCACGGTCACCTTCCCTGTGCCTGTAGTTGTCAGAGTATCATCTGGTGGTGGCGTGGGGAAACGATTCTGCTTCTCCAAAGACGGTGAACTCGAAGACTGATAGATGCCGGCTACCGCCGTTCGCAGATAGACTTGTTGTACAGGCTGGGTCAGCGCCTCACACACGGACTCTACTCCAGGTGTCACGAACGACATGCGACCGAACGGCATGGCTCGGGAAACATACTCTGATTCGAATGTGTGTTAGCAGCGCTTCGAGACTTCCGCACGTAAGGGTTGAGCTCACCTAGTATGGTGACGGCGGGAAACTGTCCCAGAGTGTCGCTCTCGCAAGTACACACACCACAGAACAGCGGTATGAAGGCGCCCTCAACGTACTCTCTTGATATGCCATACCGCACCCAAAAGTCGTCCAACGTAAGTCCTTCCAGCTCTGATCTTATCTTGCCCGTGAGTGACAAATATTGAACAATCGCCAAAAACTTCAAGTAGCCGGCGACCGTTTTTAGAGCCCGCCATGGCGACCTTCCGTCGACGCCAAAGAGGTCTGGGTATGAGATAGAGCCAGAGAGGAAAGATGGCTTGAAGCACGAAAAGGAAAACCCTGGAGTGGCGCCTGTACCGGCGGAGCGGTATTCAGAGAACGATATGCTGTTATCGGATGTGTGATATGGAATATGAAGGTGCTTGTATAATGCAGTGAGGTATGAGTAGTGTTCTGGGAAAAACGACCGCATGGGAACGTCCATTATAAGGTCTTCTTCGCCAATGTGTCCATTCCTGTCCTGACCAGCGTTTTCAGCGGGGACTCGCACAATTATGCTCGCGGCGGCGAGACCCAGCCTAGGGCCCTTCTCGTAGATATGCACGACGAAGCCGTTGGAGGCTAGCAGATATGCGACGCTCAGGCCTGCCAAGCCCGAGCCTACGACCGCCACCCGCTTTTGCGGAATTTCGGTTGCAACTGGAGCTGAAGGTGTCGCCATTGCAACGAGTAAAGTCAACGAAAACTTGAAGTGGTTTCCTTGGGAGCGCTGGGAAGCCGACGACAAAGACGCTTTGATGAAGTTGAAGTTAGGGGGAGAGAGAACGGGAACTCTGGCCTTTCTCTCAGTTGTGAATTGACTGAGGGAACGACGGCCGCTCGCACAGCGGAAGTTGCGAAAACTGTCCTGAATTCCAAGCCTTTCGCCTCTGAGAAATACGCCGCCTCCGCCTCTCCGCGTTCCGGCAAATCGGCGATCTCACGATGTCCTCTTCACCTTCTGAGACGGACATACTCCCGGGGCCTGGCCCCCCCCCATGGACTCCTGAACTTCCCTGGAGTTGCGGTTGCTCTTCGAAGACCCCCCCTTTGAGTACGTACCTTTCTGCCCTTGCCACTATCTCGTCCTGTGGATAGACGAACGCGCAGCAGGTTGAACGAGAACGTGAGAACACGCTGCTCGTGCGTTTGCCGGTGAGCGGAACAGGAGAACACGGTAGGCGGGCTCTTCTGCAGATTCAGTGAGGCCAACGAACCTCTCATTCAGTGCATGCAGCGGACCCTGGGAAATGGAGATCTCGAAAACCAACTGGTTTCCAACAGCAGAGCTCAATACCCCTCAGGCTAGAAATCCGTGCTACCCTCCCGTATCAATTCTCTATCGAGGAGTGGGCTTACGCTGAATAGCTAGCTTCTACCGCCTTCTTTCGGTCGGGCCACATTCTCTGAGGAGCAGCCACGATCGCCAATAGATCAAGGTCGACGTTTCGACCTCAAAAAGCCCGAAAATGAACGGAGGAGCTACGTCAGGGCTACCCCTGCTCTACGAGCAGTCTCGGCAGCTCACCAATCACGTTGTTCGTACCGACGTTCCTCAGCTAGAGCGAACGCTCGACCAGATTGATGCTGACTCAAAACGCCTATTCAAACGAACCACGCGAGTGGCGGAAATGGGAGCAGCAAGCGGAGCTGGGGGTGCTCAAGCGGTTGGACTCGATACTCGTGCGATCTATCTTCTCGCCAACAAAGGATTCGACCACGAGAAAGTCCGTCAGACCCTGGACCAGATTGACCTCACTCAATCGCTCGAACCTTTGACCGCTGTCGGTGATACTGATATCGAAGGATACTTGAAGAACGAGTATCAGAACATTGTCACGGGAGCCATATTGGATACGAAGCGAGGGACAGGAAAAGCCTTCGAGGATTCATTTGAGCGTTTATTATATCGAGACTGGGAGCGCGTTAGGAAGAAGGTCTTTCAAGAATTGGGACAGCATCACACGTCGTGGGCAAATAAAGATCAATCAGGTGCATTCCGATCATCGCAACGTGAGTCTTAAACTAGGCACTTTCAGATCATGTCAGTCTCTTTACTCACTTTTTCTCCTCCTAGCGAACCGGGACAGACTTAGTGGACAAAGCATGCCTTCAGCGGCTAGTCTTGGAAATGCGCTAAAGAGTGAGTTCGATCAAGAGTCCTCGCGCGCCTGCCATCTCTAATCAACCTGAACCTTGCAGATTACATGAATAACCCGCGGTTTGCAGCGTACGCAAATGCGCTGAAGGATCTGAACGAGAAGCGCCGGAAGGGACAAGATATGGAGTCTATTATCGCATTCTGGGATGCAGCTCGACGTGTATGCACAAACGAGCCCCTTCAAGTCCAGGGCGTCAAGTTCTGGGGTTTGTTGTACCGCATGCTGGGGCAAGATCCTAGGCACGTGCGAGATCCCAAAAGGCCAATGTTGAAAGCACGACAATTCGCAAAGCTCTACAACGACACATCAGATAGCCAGGAAGCGATTGCATTCCGGCAGCAACTGGCACAGGGCTCGCGCACATTTTTGGAAGACGAGTATCTGGGATTCCTCAAGGGTCTGCTCCGAAAAGAGCGGGTGCCCCTTGGCGGAACCCCGACGATTCACGATGAAGTGCGTGCATTCTTGCGACAGCGCCTTTTGGGAAATAGCACGCACTGGGCAGCACCACTGCAAATCGTGGAAGGACATCCTTTCTGGGCCCACATCTATACCCTTGTTCGTTGCGGGCTAGTGAGAGACGCGAATGACTTTATCGAGCGCAACACTGCGTTCTTGCAATCGGCGTCACCCGACTTCCCAGTATACTTCAAAGCGTGGATGCGTGATCCCTCAAGACGTCTCAGCCCTGATATGCGAAACCGGTTACTCAAGGAGTGGAACAGCAAGATGAGGGATAAGGCCGCCGTCGCACAAGTGGATCCATACAAAATGGTCTTGTATAAACTCTTGGGTCGCTGCGACATGCAGAACAAGAGTGTCAGCCAGCTGCGCGCACTAGAGTCAACGGAAGACTACGTCTGGCTACTGCTCGGGCTCAGCCAAGAACGGGCTTTAGAGTCTGATCCAACGCAGGACCACTACACGCTTCGCGACGTGGCCCTCCAGCTGACAAAGAGTGGGTCGGGCCACTATAAGAATATTACGTCATGGATCCAGGTCCTCATGCTCGTCGGCGAGTTCGAGTATGTCGTTGCCGAAATGATTGGGCATGATGGCTTCTCAGTCGATGCCATCTTCTTCGCACTGACTATGGCGCACTATGGGGTCCTTCGCGTTCCACCAAACCCGACTGACGTTTACGGCGGGAAGTTCCTCATTCCCGGAGACACGCTGCAGCGGCCTGGGGGAGCATACCAGTTGAGGCTCTTCAACCTGCCGCATATTGTAAACCAGTGCGTTCACAATCTTGCTCCCGGCAATCCACTCGGGGCTTTGCAGTTCGTCCTGTGGCTCGGCTTCCTCGGTTTACCTCTATCTCAGGAGGATGCTAAGCGTTTGGCCGGTGGTGGAGACAGCAGCATCTCCCAAAGCAGCGGCCGAAAATACACCAGCTACGCTCACAAGCTGATCAGGGACATCGTGCTGACATCCGGGGAGTTCGAGGCATTGGTCGGAGAAACTCATCCAAATGGAACCCGAACCCCCGGAGAAGCCGAGCGATACCAGAACCTCGTCCACATTTACAGCACGGAAGATTTCCGTAATTTTGTCACCATCCCCGCCGCTGATTCTGCCGAACGGGAAGGACGGTATCAGGAAGCCATCCTTCTTCTGAACCTGGCAGGTGAACACGGCCGCGTGGTCGATCTCCTCAACCGCCAACTCAGCGACAGACTGCTCGAACAACGCTACCGCGACGACGCTCGGGCCTCAGGATCGCAAGATGCTAGCCTCCACCAAAGCGGACGAGCCGACGTGTTCCCGAAAGAAAGTGACCCCGCCGAACTCGCCCAACAGGTTCTGCAGTACTACCAAGCACACCCGTTCATGGCGAACAAGATCGATCCAGACGCCCGGCAAACCTGCGAGCTCCTGCTGGCTCTCACGCGATTCATGCGCGCATGCACGCGCGGTGCCACCGCCAACGAGGCCCTTCCACATCTCCTCAATACTAGTCTCGTCCCTACGCGTACGGACATGCAGGAGATCCAGCAATGTGCCAATCAGTTCAAGCATCTCAACGACCTGGTGACGAAAGTCATGCCGGATGTGCTAGTCGCTGCGAGCACACTCGTGTTTGAGTCGTATCAGAGCGTAACGAGGCAGCGCGTCGGGAATCATGAGGCGTCCCACCGCGATCGGCAGTTGACCGAGCTGAAGGATCTGGCAAAAGCTCTGACCTTGTTTGCCGGGTCACTGCAGTATAGGATACCGGGGGACACGCTGACGGCCATGAACAAGATGTTGGTGTTGATGTGCTGAATGAAGCTGTGGGGTGCATCATTGTTTACTCGTGGGCTGTTGATTCCCAATCATGTAATTAATCTATCTGTTCTTTTACGAAAAATATACGTAAACACGCCGCGCTCTCTGCAAATCACAACTCTCCCTACTTCGCCGTCCCTCTCAGCGCAATGTTGCCTGAAGTCTATTGAGCGGCCGACGGCAGCAACAGCTCCTTCAGCTTCTCTCGAACGCTCTTCAGTTGCGCAACCGGTTGATCCCTAAGAAGATGCAAGAGAGTTGTTTGTACGGGTGTCGCGTGAAAACTTCTTTCAGACAACACATTACCAATCCGTGCTCAGCAAAATATCCTCAGCGTCAGCCCGTCTACCCCGTTCCGCATCCTCGGTGTCCTCCATCTCGTCGGGAAGCTCCTCGCCCTCGACGAAGTCCACAGGTTCCTCCGCCGATATGGTAAGGTACAGCTGCTCAGCTACCGCACTTCGAATCTTTGGGAACGGATGAACCAGGTAGAGGATGAGCTGACTCAGCGCGGTTGTTTTGATTTCGGGCATGAGCGGGCCCTCAATTCCACGCAGAGACGCGAAACCGCAGAGCCTGTTGGATTTGAAGAACAAAAGGTATGCGGTTAGTAGGCTTCGACTCATCTGCAAAGGAGATAGCATCAAGCCTCTTACACTTTGATACCAGCCAGCAGCTTCTTCACATCTCGGCTCTTGAACACTTCTTTCTTTGTGAGTGCCAACAGTTCCTTGAAATATGCTTCACCTGAGGTGTATCGCGCGAAGGCACCGCATCCAAAGAGTAGGTCGATTGTTTCCAGGATGCTGATGGAGACCCGATCTTGCCGATGGTAGGTCTTGAACACTTGCAAAAGGGCGGAGAACAGATCGGGGATCGTCATTTCTGGGCCTGTGCCTGACGTATCGATCGCTTGCTCAGAGAGAGACGCTGCGAACGATACGAAGCTGCTGCCGGAATGGCGGACCTGCGATGGCAAGAACTCAGTACCACGAGTCTCGTTCTCTCAATCAGGCCGCCAAACTTACCAGGCTCTCCGACAGACCGCCAATGCTGAGCACAAGTCCACTCAAAATCCGCACCCGAAACGTGGCGGCTCGCAACGCATTCGTCATAATGGGATACACTTCTGCTCCCGTGCTCCAACTCACAGTCGTCTCCTCCGGTATGTAACTCCTCAACTCGTCCCGCCCCGTAAAGTCGAAGGATGGTACCTTCCACAACAAGTACAGCAGAGCATTCCCTGCACATTCCCGCATGCGATCAATCTTCTCCACGCTTTGTTGGCAGATTTCGCCCATTATTTGGTGGCCCATTTCTGGTGAGATGTAGGCACGTCCGTCTGATATTGCTGTTGGGTACTGGACCGCCAAAGGCACCATCTGCTGAAACGCCAGGATACATGCCTGGCGGACCCAAGACCCAACATCTCCGCGGGAATCGGTGCTGTAGTCATGCATTCCATTGATCAAACCTCGCAGGATCTCTTGATACTTTGCGTGCGAGATGACGGTCGGTAGCTCCGAACCAAGATTCACGCAGATACTAGTTAGCGCTTGGATAGCGTTGCGCTTTGATTCCGCATCATCATGTGTTTTCTCTGGCTGAATATTCGATGCTTCCAGTAGGGCATCCACAATCCGTGCCACGTGAGTGCGCAGAACGAAGCCAGTCAGTTCACCAAGCGCAAGAGAATAACCTTGCCGGCGGAACTTGTTGCCAAGCGGGCTGATGCCCGCCAAGTAGGCGTCGAGAGTAGCGACGTCCATGGATGCACAGCGATTCAGTTCGCTGACAGCGCGAGCGGCCGCTAGTTGACCGGGTTGTACGCGCTGCTCTAGCGAGCCAGTCACAATCCGCCAGCAGGAGTCGATCAGGGCCGGCGACTTCTGCACTATTGGCGGCCACTCAGCCTCTGCCAAGCAACCAATGAGCTGGCAGCATCCCATTCGAGTTTGCTCACTGCCGAAGCCATCAAGATACTGCGATGGATATGAAGACAAACAGTCCGCGATGCTCTGAACGGGTGGAATGTTTAGATATGATCCACCAATCTGTATCACTTCCAACCTACTTGAATGAAATTATGAAGCTCACCTTGGTCATAGCTTCGCACCCTTCCGTGTTCCACCATCCAGGACTCCCATCGGCCACAGGGACGCACTTATACTGAGCCAGGCAGATCTGTCCAACAGCCAGCAAGGACCCATGGCGGACATCCAATTCCGGCGAAGCAATGTGGGCAACCTGCATTCACCACTCAGTATTGCAGGCGCAAACAAGTTTCGAGAACTCAGTTGAATGCTTACCAGACTCGGCAAAACCTCAGATTGGATGTACCGGGGATTGATAGGGACCAATCTAGCCAACGCCTCTGCGGCCAACTCCCGCATGGGCTTGTCCCAATGCCTTAGACTGACGTTTGCAATATGGGCACTGATGGATTTGAAGTACTCGGGAAACTTCGCAATCTCGACGGCTAGGTGTAAGAAAGCATTTGACCTATTGCCTACGGCGAAATAATCGGCAGCTGTGACGATCGCGATGCCGTGGGGAAACAAACCCTGTCTCCCAACGTTCTCTTGAAAGGCGGCGGAAGCGGCGCGCCGAATATTGATCTCACGATCGCACAAGCTAACGACGACCAGTGCCTCTGCCAGCTTATGCACGAATGGCTTGATGACTCCTGGAGCGTACGCGCGTGCAAAAGACCAGCACACGTAGCATGCTGCGTCTCGGACATGAGCTCCAACCGAGTGAGTGCCGCGTCGCAGATCGAACTTCAAAGCGAGCAACAGCCACGGAACGACTTCCTCCAATTTGTCTGGCAACAGCAAGCCGCGTCTCGATAGTTCGGCTAGCGCTAAGCAGCTCCCATGCCAAGTTGAGTCCGACACTTGGGAGAGATCATACGTGCTGCCGTCGTATCCAGGCAGAATATCTTCGGAGAGCAGCGCAATCACCGAAGCTGCAATGTCCTGTCCAAGATCTTTTGGAAGCCGCTCCATGATCCTGCCTACTCCCTTGGCTGCTGACCATCGCACGATGGTATCCTTATCACGCAGGCCATTCAGGAGAATCCCAACGATCGTCTCCATCGACTCGGGCACAAAATCATCGTCGTCGTCATCGTCAGGTGTGTCACAGCTTTCGACGCCGTTCTTACTCTCCGAGCCAATTTGTGCGAGGTTGACCTCTAGAGATCGACTACCCCTGTCGTATCGCCACTTTGCCGTGCGTGGTCGCATAAGGGCAAGGCCCACACGCTGAGTGAGTTTCATGAGAAGTTTTCGCAGGAGGGCATTGTTTTGAACAAACGGGTCGTCTATAAGAGCACAGCAGGGAAGCACAGCGTCCACAGCGGGTAGCAGGAGCTCTCTCCTTCCGCCCTCGAAGATTGCACACAAAGCGAGGAGAAGGCCTCGAAAATTGAACACATTTTCACTTCCTTGAATCTGTTCCGTTGCCCAAAGAACAAACTTCGTCAGATGCTCCGGGGCGGTGTCCTTTCTCGTGATGATCCTCATCATAAGGAGAGCTGCTCCTTCGTATTCCTTTCCCACCGCATAAAGATAGTGCTTCGCAATGTTCAGAATCCGTTCCACAAGTTGTAAGCCTCCGCCTCCTGAACCGCTGTCGATAGTTCGCAGATCAAATGGGACCATGCTCAGCAAAGATAACCACAACAGAAGCACATAACGTCCTTCCCAAAAAGAGGCGTCCTCGTGCTCCATCATAACCTCCAGATAGAATGCCACCGGCTCCAAGTCCACGACCTTGTGCGAGAAGAGCTTGACGACAGTTTTGTATCCGCGAACTTTCGTCAAACAGTACATGAAGGACAAGAACGGGGCTAGCACCGGTTTGATTTGCACCGCGAGATCTTTGCGTTTTGCCGAATCAAAATCATGGACAGATGACAAAATGACGCTGAGGTTCTCCATCAGAGGCTGCACCAGATCCTCAAGATGCGGATCAAGGAGGTGTGGTTGCTCTTGGTACTTCCCACAGATCAGTTGCACTTTGTTAAACTTCAGCTGATCCTCATTGGTGATATCCGGTATGTGTGGTTTCCAGTCATCGCTCTGCGTCGATAAAGCCTCTATGTCCCTGTTCAACTGCTCCAATATGCCAACCAGTTGCGCCAACGACTGTTTGACCTCGTCTGTTTCTGGGAAAAAGGAACGGAATTGCTCTGGGCAGTCATCGTCCATATTATCTTCTGCCGTTGCCGGGCGAACAGGAACCCCGACAGTGGCGTCGGCCAGCATATCCACCGTACGGCAGAGCCCGCTGACAATAAGAAGCGGCCTGGGACCGTGGGCGGACGTCTTCTCCCCCTGCGCAAACGGTCCTTACAAAGCCCACGCGTGAGATGGGGACCCCGGTTTCTATAGTGGTTGTCCCACGCCTACTGTATAAGCCCTGGCCACTATCTAGCTCTACGCAGTGTTGCTGTTGCTTCTGCTGTTGCCGCGACACTTCAGAACGCTGGCAGCCTGGTGGGAGCTGGTAGGCCGATGTCACAACAGTCTGCAACAGTGGCCAACGATCGCAACACGTGAGCTCGGGAAGCGAAACTGGCTTTCGAGGATTTCGAGGATGTGCTCACAACACGTCCCCGCTGCACTCGGCGCTGCAATATTTGGCTGTCAACTGGGACTCTTGACGTTCGAACCACCGCAAGACGAAGAGCGGACAACTCCCATCAGCGCCTACATAGGAGAAGGACTGGCCCATTTCGACTCTAGCTCGACAAAGACCGAGCAGGATTTGTGACGGACCGGTGGCATAGCGCTTCTCCTCCCACAGTCGACAAGGATGACCAGTTCAAACCGAAACAATCTGAACTTCAGAGATGTAGCCATCAGCGAGGACCGAGGGGGAAAGCAAGAGACGAAGGACATTCTGTTCCCTCACCAGATGGAGGATGTCGCTCAGATAGCAGTCGATATCGGGGGAAGTTTGGCGAAAGTGGTGTACTTCTCGCGTACACCGGGGAAACCCGGAGGGCGGATGAACTTTGTCAAGTTCGAAACGCAACACATCGATCAATGCGTTGATTTCATCTACAATGTCCTCTATGATGCTTATCATGGCCAAATCCCATTGGAGAAACGAGTCATCAAAGCGACGGGAGGTGGTGCGCACAAGTTCTATGACCTCTTCCGCGAAAAGCTCGGCGTTGAGATGGAACGAGAGGATGAGATGGAGTGCCTTATATCCGGACTCAACTTCTTGGTCCGGCAAATCTCCTCAGAAGTTTTCACGTACGATGAACGTCGCCCGGAACCGCTACAATACGAATCCACACCGCCTGAGCTATTTCCCTACATGTTGGTGAACATTGGCTCAGGAGTCAGTATTCTCAAAGTCACCAGCGAATCCACCTATGAGAGAATTAGCGGATCGGCTTTGGGAGGGGGGACTCTGTGGGGTCTTCTGTCGCTGTTGACGGATGCCACGGATTACGACGAGATGCTCGAACTCTCCAAGTCTGGAGACAACAAGAACGTGGATATGTTGGTCGGAGATATTTACGGGGGCGACTACCCCAAGATTGGGCTTAAGGGTTCGGCAATTGCGTCGTCATTTGGAAAGGTTTTTAAGACCCCTGCGGCTGAACGTAAAGACAAGTTCCGCCAAGAGGATATCTCTCGGTCCTTGCTCTACCTTGTGAGCAACAACATTGGACAAATCGCTTACCTTAACGCCCAAGCACACGGAATACAAAGAATCTACTTTAGCGGGTTCTTCATTCGAGGCCATCCCATCACCATGAACACCCTGAGCTATGCTATCAACTTCTGGTCGAAAGGCAAAATCATGGCGCTGTTCCTGAGACACGAAGGCTACCTCGGTGCGATGGGCGCCTTCTTCAGGCACTATCCTCAACGGGACCGACCAAAGTCATTCACAGAGAATTTTACGCGCGTTGAGAGAATCTCGGGAACAGCATTGAGCGCCGTTGGGACCTTAGATCAGTTCCCAATCAACCTCACTCAATTCCCCCTTCTGCGAAACCCTGCCGTTTACAATCCCGACACCACCGATCTTTCGAAATCGGTGACGCTCCAGCAATACTGGATAGACCTTCTCGACAGAAACTTGGCTTCCCTTACGTCGATGGCATTGCAATACAGAGCCGATCCCGACGGTGAGAATGAAGCAATTGCATCCGCGGATTCAGCCGACCGTGCGTCAAGCTTCGAGTCGATGTATAGGGAACACCTCCGGCGATTGCGCAAAGAACCCACGGCATACGGGGTGCTCTCCGTGCGGTCATTGCTTGACCTTCGGGAGCAATGTTTGCGGGAAATGGGATTTACCGACATTTTTTCCGCCGTAAAGCAAAACGAGAACGAGGCCGCCGTAGCTGGCCTGCCTGCCCTACTCAAACGTGTGGACGCCCTCGAGGAAGGTCAGAGATTCGAGACGTTGATCTCGAACGTGTTGGCCGGGAACATGTATGACTGGGGATCCACTGCTGTTCAGGAGCTCCTTCGACAAGGAGTACTGGACTTTGAGACCGCGAAGGAAAAAGTGGGCAGGCCGTCCAAGTTCGACGGAACCCCGCAACTGAAGGCGCGCTTGCTGGATCAGTCTCAGGCACCTTACCGCAAGGCCCTGATTTTTGTGGACAACAGCGGAGCCGACATCGTCCTCGGAATCCTGCCGTTTGCAAGATTCCTCCTCAGCAAAGGCACGCAAGTGATACTTGCCGCAAACACCTCTCCTTCCGTGAACGACATTACCGCAGAAGAACTGCGACTGTTGCTGACCAATCTGTCGGACCCTACCCTCCAATCCGCGTGGACTGAAAAGCGCTTGGGTGTGGTAGAGACCGGAATGAGCGGTCCGTGTTTGAACCTCCGCAGGGTCGGTGAAGAACTGGCTGCATCATGTCAAGGCGTCGACTTCCTGGTCATTGAAGGGATGGGCAGAGCGATTCATACGAATTTCTTTGCCCAGCTCAAAGTGGACACCTTAAAGATTGGTGGTAGGTCTTCAGAGACAATCGCTTAGTAGACATACTTGGAGCTGATCCACCCTCCTCGTTACAGTCTTCAAGAACCCCCAAGTGGCCATGCAACTGAACGCTGAAATGTACGATGGCATTGTGATATACGAGCCCGCAGCCTCGGCAGCCCAATAAGCCAAATGGCCAAGGCCATTTCATTCGTACTGTAGTGTAGTTTGTTTCTGTGGTATCTACTTTCCGGCGGCCGTATCTGCGATGACTACCTATACAGCGTGAGACTCGGGTTTGAACTCCCCACTGGCGTACTCGGACTCCAACAGCAGATCTGTCGTAACTCCTTCGTTTACTCTCCACACTTTAGTTTTTCTCATTCAAGTCATTCATTTCGCAGTACGCAACAACTTGATATCAGGCTAAATATACTTCATTTCCCCATCTGACCTTCGCTCGAATGTATACGTCATTGTGCCAGAACTGTCACATAATCTTCGAACCATATCTTCCCGTCGGTCGGATCCGTGCATGCCTGATTGAGGGGACCAAACTCAGCTTGGAATGATGTTCTGACAGTAGAGCCCCCGAATCAGCACATACCATCAACATTTCGTCCATTTCATCTTTTGTAAAAGGCTCCCCTTCCGACATCATGTATTCCCGAAGGTCGTCTGGTGTTAAGTAACCTTTATTGTCCGTGTCAAGTGCCTACGTACTGCATAAGGATGGTAATCGGGCGAGGCGATGTTATATCCTTTCTGGACCTACTAGGAATGCTCGATAGAGTTTCTGGAGATTTTTGGAGTAGCTTTTCAGTCTCGTGATTGTAAAAGCGTTCAACTTCAAGTGGTAACTGACCTCCTCATCGTCCCTCATGGGATTGTTCGTCAAAAGCCGAAATGCAACCTTCTGCAGCCTTTCGAAAGAGATGTATCCCGTTTTCTCCTCATCCTCCATCTGTATAGTGTGGATTCAATGCCGTCTTTCAACATGGAAACTGGGAACAGTTGGCCTCAAGGTTGGATTTCGAATGCTTACTTCCGCAATGTATCCACGGAGCTGTTCCTCCGATGGAAACAGGCCAAGCGATCGAATGATAGTTCCGACTTCTCGTACTGAAGGGTAGAATGAGATTTGCAATTTGCGCTGTTGAACGAAAACCCCTCACATCCAAGGGTTACGAGCACCTTACCATCGCACATCTGGTTTTCTGCTTGATCAAAAGTGTCGAAAGCTGAAGGCATATCATGGCAAATCATCTGCATTAGCTCACAACAGTTCACTTTTGAAGTGGAATGGGTGCAGCTCACCTTTCTTGATTTTCTTCATCCATGCGAGCCTGGGGTTGAAAGACAGTTATCGACTTTTGCCTCGTTTACGGAGGGCAAGCAAACGACCGCAAGACACCCACCTGGTTTCCTCGGGAACAATGATTTCCGTTGGCGCTGATGGAGCCGCTGACGCTGCCTTCCGGCCACTCTTTCCTCGCTTTGGCATGATTGATTCCAAGTGATTCCACTTAGCTGCATCAATCGGAGCAAGAGGGAAGCCTACACAGAGACGCACAGAGCGGAGTCAGGATAATTTGACAGCGCGTGTACCGACGCCGTCTGCTACATTGCCAACAGAGATACTGGCAATAGCCGTCGGCCGGGAGATAGTCTCTGAGTGCGAAGCATACGCTGCTATCCAGCGGAATTTGTTATCGATCTCACATGGCATAGAACAGGGAACGAGCGTGAAGGGATCTGGAGCCACGACATCCCTCTTAACATTCGCAATTTCATGTAAGGAAAAAAATCAACTAACTGTCACAGCAAGGTCTAGCCTATCATGCAAGGTACCGGAATGCTGCATATAGAATAAACCCGGCGCTAATCGCAGTTGTGACTCCAGACACCTGCACGCTGCCGGACACGAAAGTGTCGCGTGGCGGAGACCCACTGCCACCCCCCGTTGAACCACCCGTTGACCCACCCTTTGAAGTGTCGTTCTTCGCGGGAACGGCAGTGGCATTTGCAAGATAACGTGTCTGCGTCATGGGAAGCCAATCAGCTTTGAACGCGTTGAGAATCGTGGAATTCCATGTGATACGGTAGTCCCGGAACGTCTGCTCTTCGTTCTTGGCCCACTCGAAGAGGCAAATGCCTTTGATGCGGGGGTGTGCAGCGAAGAACGTTTCGTTGGTAATGTATTCCCGCCATATGCTTTGCTTTATCGCCAGCTCCCCCGGCCCCGGGTCGATTGTGACGTTCGGGTACCCGTACCAATAAACATGAAAAGCGGAAGCGGTCTAGCGTCTAGTTAGATTCTGTATATGTAATTACGCGATAGGGAATCGAAGTATCTGAACTCACCTCCGATATCATCATTGGCTTGTTATACCCTCGAGACGATGCGTACTTGTCGTAGAAATCGAATTCTGAGATGGTACGGTTGGCTGCGGACGTCTCTACACCTTGAACGCCGTCCAAAATGTTGCGAATATATGTACTTGGCGGGACGACATTGGCATTCCAAGGGAAAACGCTGGACAAACGAGTTAGCCATTGGGAGCACCTCAAATCAAGTCCGAGGGGGGAAGATACCCATACGCGCTTACGTTCCGAAGTAGTATAGGGAAACACCAACCCAATCGACGTAGCTGGACAAATGGAAGTAAATCAATGTTCTTTCCGTCAAAGAGAGCGCGCACAGAGGTAGGTATGCACTCACTCGGAGCCTGGCCAATAGGGATCGTATGGATCATCCTTTGAATGAGGGTAACGTGCTCTTAGGACATTGCACTATACTTGATGGTGCCGGTAGGAACCTACCTGATTGTCCAGAACACCGTCTCCATTGGTGTCCAACGCGGCGAATTCGGTTGCGTTGACGCTGGTGCTTCGATTGTATGGTCCATTTGAGCTGGTGAACGGGGCGAAAGAACCCCCATAGAACGGATATCCATTGCCCGTATTTGGCGACCACAAGAACGCCACGGAGTCAGCGGAAGTCGTTACTGATGCCACTCGAGTGCGCACAGCCGTCACGATCTTCTGCCATAGCGCTTTGTATCGCAGAGGTCTTTGTCCATGCGCGTACCAATTCCCTAATATGGCATTGTCAGGTCAGAGAGGCCGCTGTGAAAGAGGATGCCCCACCATTCCGCCGAGCCTCACCATTCATCTCCGATGCTATACGGACCATGACCCGCCGTCCATTCGCGGCGTATCCCGCGATCAGATTGGCCACCTCTAATATGACAGTACCTCTCTCAATCTGGTAAAAAGCATCATTGCCGGTTCCGGAGAAGGTGTAGTTGAATCGTGGGAACAGCGTGAGTAAAAGAATGGGATTACCACCAAGACCGTCTAAGAGATGGGTGGGTAGAGCTTCGGACGGGTTGATTGGGATCTCTAATGCCATCTGGAACAGAGTCGCATTGAGCCCTAGCCTTTTGTTGAACGCGGCTGGGGTGTCTTGGTTTGGGTGAGTATCTACAAATGCTCGGACGCTCAGTTTTCTTTCCATGTCCGTCTCAACATTCATGCCTATATTCGCGAACTCACCCAGCCATGCGCCGAATAGTAATCCCGACGTTGGTTCGAGCGGTGCTGCTCGCAAGCCTGCGGTACATAACAAGAACGCCGCATAGATCAAAATTTGAAGAGCCATCTCCAGGCAGGCACACCGCTGTCCAGGAAAAGATATCCTTCGGTGTTGACGACGGTTTCCCAACGATTAAGAGATCCTCGCTTTGGATCATTGCAAACAGAGTGCCCATACCGCAACTCTTTTTAAAGACATGCATGGGGCCCATCTCACCTGAAACCAAAAGGAAGATGAGTCAGAGAAGATTAAGTCTATCGGCGAAGGAGGTGGAAGTGCCGCTGATAGGACTCGAGACTGACAGAATCCCGATGCTGACATAAGATGTCGAAATATCGGAAATGCCCACTTCCGCCCACCGACAGGACGCGGGCGCAAAAGAACAAAAGAAGGGCATGAGGAAAGTGATGGAGCAGGCCAATGTGAGGAATGATGAATCTGCTGCGCCAAGGGCGCCGGGGGCGGATGCTGTGACGAAGGTGACCAATAGCCTATAGGCTGCGATGAGGTAGAAGATCTAGGCAGAAGGTAAAGCTTGCAGCTGATGTGAACGGAACGAAAGTTCTTTTCCCTGGCTTTGGCTCTTGAATAGAATAATGGGCATCGTAACCATGCTGTCTCGGTGTCCAAGCCGCGTTGACGTATGAGTGCATCTATTTCTATGCCTATGCTTCTACATACAGTGTGCATATCTGCCTGTTTGTTTGAGATCGGCTTTTTGATTATCGCAGTTTGACGTATCCGGTCGCAGGTCCGGTTTGCTTGCGTCGCCTGAGACAGACGCTAACGATCAAGATCACGGCGCCCAATCCGATTGCGACGCATCCGAGAAATATGAAGATGGTATGTGGAACATCAGCAAGCGCCAGCATGCCTACAGGGATATGGAGGGAGAATGGGATGAATATCAGAGCGCCCACATCTCAAACCCGCTTTGTGCTTGCCTTGGCCGTCCGGCAACGGTTGACATCCTGCGCAAGGCATCCCAACGAGCAGTTCCCTTGAAGGGAGTAGTGCTGGAATGAGTAGCGAGATCAAGATTTGCAAATGCGCTCTCACGAAGAGCCGTAGATAAAGAAACCCCCGAATATTTTAAGTTATGCGGTACGACAATAAGGTATTTACAAATGCTTTGCCTGTCAATAAAATTACGGGTAGGGATTCTACATGCAAAAACTACCCTCTCTGCTCTGCGCTCTACTTCAAAGACGGCTTGCCACCACTTTTCCCCTTTGCAGCGGTACCTTTCCCAGACCTAACATACTTCAATGGCGCAATAACGGTTCCGAGCTTTGGCTGGATCCTTGGCTTGATAGCAGAGCTGTGGGCAGACGCGGCGTTCCATTCTTTGCCGATGGGCGCGCGGATGGTGCGTTCGTATTGCTCCCGGCTGTCGAAGCCATGGGGGACTTGTGGGACGGTGTATTTGACAGACTACATGACAATTATGACACAGAATGAGCCAAAGACCTCAAGATGCCCAATGATGGCTGTGCACAGAACGTACCTTCTTCAGCCTCTTTTCGTTGATAATGACATGCTTCAATTTGGCATCCTGTCGTTTATCAGCCTTGACACCATCTCCAGCTTTTGCCTTTTTGACGACTTTAGTCTTTGTCTTCAACCCGATACCGCCCCACGATCCCCATCCAGGCAGCGTCACATCCACGTCTTTCGGCTGGTCTTCATCAATAGTCCGTTGCTTCTCATCCTCGAAATCTGCTGCGACATCATCGTTGGCAAACGCCATCTGCATGAGATCGCGCTGGGTGAACTGAACCAGTTTGCTCTTTGTCCTCGTGTGAACCATGCCGGTGTCGAAATCGCTGTCAGAGTCGGACTCGGCGTATGCCGGAAGGGCAGGAGTTGGCGCCGATTTGGCTTCTGCTTTCGTATTTGACTTTTGCTTGGGTTGCTGCACAGGCGTGGCGTCCTCAGCCTCATCCCCATATGTTGGTAGTGCCCCTTCCAATGCCTTCACACCATCGAGATTCAGCTCGACATCACCAATCGCAGCGTCCAGCTCAGCCCGCCTCCTAGCCTTGTTCTGCTGAGACAGTTTCTCAATCGCCACCTCCGTCTTTCCACCTCTCAGTAGCGTGCCCCCATTCGCAATGCTCTTCTTCACGGATTTGACGCTGTCCGCTCCTGCGAGCCATGGATTGGCCTCTGGCAACTCGTCCGTTTGCGCGCGCTTACGGGACGCTTTAGACGGTGCGACTTCTTCTTCGTCCTCTACATCCGGTGCTACCTCGGCCTGCTTGGAGTGATACCGTTGCTTCCGTGCGGATGGAACGGGTGGTGCCGACGGCGCCGGCTGGTCCTTGGACTTTCCGTTGGTTTCAGGTGGAGCTTGAACTTCAGGGCCTTTCAGCGAAGATACGTCGCGCTTGTTGGCGTCTCCAACGAAGGAGGTGTCCTTCGCCATCTCCAATTCAAACGACTCAACGGGGAACAGAGGCGCCTGCTGGACAATCGACTTCCCAACGCTTATTGGCTTCGCAACCTGGACACTGTATCCATCTGCTTCGTCCTCGGACTCCGATTTGACATTGGTAGACCGCGAGATGGCGGCTTTAGCATCGAAGGTGCGACGACCGGCGTTGCCACCCACTGTTTGCCCGCCGACTTCTTCCCTCGCTTCTCCTCCAGCTGCGGCTTCTTCGTCACTTGACTGGTAGTCATCTCGAAGGCCGTCGCGAGTATTTGCGAGACTTTCTCGAGCTTCCTTCTTCTGGCGCTCAAGCCCACGTTGCATGAACTTCATCGCAAAGACACCCTGCGTTGGCGTGTGATTCTCATCATCCATCTCCTCCTCTAACGAGTCCAGCTGTGAGATAGCAGACTTGCGGACGGAATCTTCGTCCAAGTCCATCCCCTCAGCCCCGCTGTCATCCGCTTCCGAGCCTTCCCCTTCCGATTCCCCAGACTCGATACCCTGAATCTTCCGCTTCAGCTCCTCATGCTTGTTGAGTTGCTCCATGACGGCCCTATGGGATTCTGGGTCTCCGTCCTTGCGATTGAGCATCTGTTTCGCCCACTTGCCGGTGTTTTTGTGCTTCAGCGACATCCGCTCCTGAGCCCGTGCCGACTCTCGCTTTTCCATCTCTTGACGAGCCAACTCTGGGTCCAATCGCTTAAGCTCTTCAATGGACAGGTCTTCTTTTGCCTTCTCCTTCTTGTGCAGTTTGCGGTAGGCTTTGCTTTTGATTTTGGCGACTTTCTTCATCTTCTGTTCCTTGAAGAAGAGGAGTGATCGCATCTTGGAGAGTTCTGCTCGGCGCTCGGCAAGCTGTATAGGTAGGCGAGTCTTAGCGAAAAGTATGCCTACATGACATGAGCGGGCCCGTACTAACCTCCTCTTTCGTTATCTTTTTCAATTGCAGCTCCTCCAATTCAGCCTGATTCCTTTCGGATAGGGCCGACTCTTTCAGAAGCTTCTGAATTTCATTCTCCAGATTCGTTTCAGGCTGCGGAAAGTTCAGACTATTAGAAAATGTTTGTCGTGGATGGCTTTGAGACGCGAATTATACCTGGAACTTTCCGACAAGAGCACCGCTTGAAATGTTCATGGGAGCCGCCTCATCTGTGGGCAAAACAAGATGATCGGCTTCCCGGTTGACCTTTACAATATTTTGCCACTTGGTGACTTCCTTCTTGGTCCGGTCATATGCCGCTGTCCGGTCATAACGGTCCTGTACCACCTTTGGTAACGGTGCTGCTACAGTCGTCGTTTTGCCCTTGGCCTTATCAAGTTGGTCAAGCTGCTTCTTGAGAGCAGCGAACCCGGTACGGTCGTCCAAAGAACTCATGAGATCTTCTAGCCTGATCTTCTGCCTCGTGTCATCACCATTACTGCTATCTTTGGCCGGTACGTTGAATTCAGATTCTTCGTAGGCTTCGGCCCTTTCTGGCCTCCGTTTCCGTTTCCTCTGCTTTCCATCGAGGGCCAGGACATAAGAAGATAGCTGGTCGGGATTGTCTTCCTCTTCGGAGTCATCATCCTCATCATCATCGTCCGTCCCAACTTCTTCGTCCATTTCGTCAGCCATCGTCTGGTCGAAATCGAGGTCCTTTCTCGGTAGCAAATCAGAGAAGGTTTTGTCAGTCTTCGCTTTCGGTTTCGATTTGTGAGATTCGCCGAGCATGTCGGAAATATCCATAAAGTCTGCATCGTCGTCCTCGTCCTCTCCCTCTTCTTCGTCCTCATCACTCTCCATGGTGACTCCACCGTCTGCCACGCCCACCGATGTTGATTTCTTGCTCGATAACGTTTCCTTGTCCTCAAAGTAAGCTCCATACTTTTCCTCGTCACTGTCTCCGAAAGCCTCGTCCTCCTCGATTTCCTCATCATCCTCTTCGTTGATCGTGTCTACGTGGTATTCATAATTGTCCACCTCGTCCAACGAAACATCATGCCCTCCCCGCCGGGCAAATATTCTCCTCTCGTCCTCTTCGCCGTCGGACGCTTCGTAAATGTCGTGCCGAGTTTTCGCTTTCGCTTTCCGGTTTGAACTGAGCTTGCCAACCGCCATGCCGTGGGAACTCGAGCTTCCAATGTAAGAGACACTGCCCTTCTCATTCGCTTTCGCTACACCACCATTGTTGCCTTTCTGGCGTTTGGCAGGTGGTTTGTTCCCGGAGTCTTTCTTTCCGGACGGTCTTCCACCACGGTTGACCATTCTGCCTAGCTTCAGGTTATTCGCTTGATGGACTGGCAACAAGAACGCTACAGGTAGCCGTGAGAGAGCGTCTTCGTTTTTGCGCCAGCAGCGACTAGTACTGCGAATACTTCAGTCGTCGTTTGCAGCTTTGCTAATGCCTTGTGGGTTCAAATCAGGAATAGGCAAATGCAAAGGGCAACTTGCGACGCGTGGCGCAGGTGTGTGGCGCAGGGCGAGCCTTCGCACAACTCCACAAGCTCCTGGAGTGACGCTTGCAAGGCACTCATCAAACAAACGGCAACATACCGGCGCCATGTCTACTGGGGAAAGTGCTAACCAATTTGCAAACGACGGCTCGTTCTTAGCAAATTTCCTCGTTCAGCAGCAGCAAAGAGACGCAGAGAAGCCCTCGAACCAGCAAGAGGAGAAACAACCACCGGCGCCGCCCCTGATAGCGCAGACCAGCAGGAAAAAGGCGACAAGCGTTCCACTGAAGAAAAAGTCTGCTGTAGTGGCGCTTTCAAAGCTTGCGAAGCCTTCAATTTTCGAGGATGACGATGGGGACGAGCAGGAGCGTGTATCGAATACATCTCGGGTTTTCATAGGACTGGGTGGCTCTGCCACCTACACTACAGTGCGTAAACCAGAATATGCTGTTGGGTACGACTATCAGGAGCTACTCCCTCGAAATGGTTTTCTCGTGTGCTTATATTCCACCAAGCGTTTGTTCCGCTGTTCCCAGTCTGCCCGCGACCGCCGCGCATGTATCAAAAGCAGCCGGCCAAGCAGGGTCAGATGCCCTAGCACATGCAAAAGCTGTGGCAGAAAAGCTTGCCATGGAAGCTAAACCTAGCGCATATGGAACCAAACGGAAAAGTCGCTGGGATAATTCTGCTCCGCTGGGGCTCAATTCGTCCACAAACGCATCGACCCCCAGCCCCGCAACCCGCAGGAGCACAACAGGAAGGTTCTTGCCAACACATATAGTAGATGGGAACGCCAATTACAAAGAATATCACGACGCTTACAAGCCGGGAATGATCAAAGCCGGTGCGAAATGGGTATACCCTGAGGATGAGATTGTCGACGGAGGCACCTTTGAACACAAGGTAGGCATTTCGACTCTCTGGCACTGGGGAACCGAGGTCAACTTATAACATTACACAAGAAACGAGCTATGGAGATGCAATTGACGGAAGGTAGGGATCTGGTACTCCCCTCTCCGCTATCAGTTACCGCTACTCATCCATGTCATAGGAATCGCAAAGACACTCACGGAACCCGTCGACTCGGGCGCAGCACATCATCTGGCTCACTTCATTCCGAAAGATGTTCTGAGGTCCTTCGAAGCGGAAGTACAGGCAAAACGGGCAGGCCTGAAAACCTCGACGAAGGATCAGTACGCCGAAAACAAACTAGATGAATCAAACTCGGGTTACAGGCTGCTCCAGAAACAGGGTTGGACCGAAGGGGCAGGATTGGGCGCGCAAGGGTCGGGAGTGACCGTTCCCATTAATGGGTATGCATCGAATGATACCAGAGGGGCTTGCGTTGGCGCAGAAGTTTGTGTGTCTGATGGTTCCTTCAGAGGATTGGTACGGCCAGCAAAGACAGGTCTTGGACAGCAACTTGGGGACAACGTCGATGCAGCTGAAGATGATATTGAAGTGTAAGTCCTGGGCCCATGCGCGAACAGCCAAGGGCAGACGTTCATGGCAAAGTGTGCCTGCCAAATCGCATTCCCTCAACCTCACTTCCGCAGATATCGGAAAAGGATGATGCTAGCGTACAAGTACAGGTCTGTTTTTTTGTTTGCATTGAGATGTTTGGATAGAAAGGGCAGTGTTGACATCGCGCATCAAGACCGAACCCCTTGAACAATCCTCGGAGGCCGTATTGACTGTTTCAGCAATGCTGGACTGGGCGCAGCTTTTCCGGGGACGAGCTGCTTGTTACCATTCATGGGAAGCAGGCCTCCGTGATCGCCTAACGGGCCCTCAACCACGCTACGAGCTTCGATAAACGGTGTTGGACGAGCCAAAGATGTGAAACGTTCAGTGATGATGACATCGACAGATTCTGGAAGGCGTTCGCAACGGAACCTCTAGCCGCGACAGCTTGATTGTTTTATAGAGGTTCTGGGCTAGAAGAGGCCTCGGAAAAGTGGCCACTGTTCGTGGTCGCAAACATTGGCAAACTGAATCCACGCTGTGGGCACGTGGGGCGGGGCGCGTGTAAATAGGAGATGGGTGGTGTAAACAAGCGACTATGTATAATCGAGTCGAAAATCAAGAACAACCCCTGATTTCAGTACGTTGGTCTTGTGGGCATTCAAGCATAGATCATCACATCAGGTAAACCCTGGCGTGGCTTTTGTACAAGAATTGATGGGTAGCTAAGAAAAAAACCAGGAGGATCTCCAGCTTAGCTCCCGAATCTGCCATTGTATCTGATGCCGTTTGCATAGAATGGGGTGATGGGATGTCATGAGGCGGGGAATCACCAATCAGCTGGGGAGCTTGACCCGAGCGACCCAGAACACCAACGTGGTTGACAGAACAATCTGCACGGCGGCAACGATAAACAGGAACTGAATACGCCGCTGTCTTGCTGACGGGTCCACAGTCGTGAACCCTTCTGGCAGAATGATGTATTTGAGCGATCTTAGCTGTGGTGTGTAAAGGTATGTCAGCCATGGTTGCGGGCGAACTTCCAAACAGTAGAAATGGGTCCCTCGGACTGCGCAGAACGTCAGAGGAAACGTACCGTAAAAAAACCTAGACAGAGCATTCCGTAAGCATGTACTGCGAAGGTTATCCAAGACGCCGGGGCTAGAATCGCGGCGATCAGGGATACAATAACCCTATAATATTGGGGTCGAGTCAGAAACGGCTCAACGATGGTCCATTGAATGCACACTGGATGCGCACCCCAAGAACTTGTATCCACTATACGAAACGAGGTCCAGGAATGGGACTTCCGTCGTCACATTCAACAGGTAGAATCCGAGCTTGAGTAGAAGGACCTCCGTGGAGACAATCACTAATGCGGTTGTTCCAGTGATTCCCAAGACATCTGGTGTGAATCTGCGTCGCCGTCCCTATCAGTTATTCCGTTCTCCTATGTCAAGATGGGTCTCATGATCTCTCACTCACGATCTGTCCTTTGCGGGTGCTGCTGCATCTGCTAACCCGAGCTTGATTCCAACCAGAATGATATACGTAACGAACGTCATCACTGTTGCGAGATTGATTAGTGCTTCCGCCCCCACTTATGAACTGTTAGAAAAAAATCACTTCTCACCTGGGATGTAAAGATCAGGAGCGTTGAGATCCTCTCGGGGTGGTTTATAGCCCTCCATCTGGCCACTTTGCTCCGACCTTAGTACGAGTCGCGCCCAGGACTATAGAAGCGCATATTAGGTGTCCGTCATCTCCTTCAAACCTGGGAGATATGTGATCTCACCATATGCGGATGTCGGAAGGGAAACAGAAGCAGGCGGATCTTATTGAGAACGTAGGAATTGCTGACGTTGAAATAGTATTTCAAGTGTGGTATGTTTATCCAGCGATTGATCTGTCAACAACGGATCTATCGAGTCAGTAATCCCAATCGGGCGCATGATTTCGAACGACCCACGTACATTCTTGTTCAGGTTTTGTTGCGCTTGCTCAAACGCCTTTCCACCAATCTGCATTCCCAATTGCCCTGCCGCACTACTCTGGAAGTCACTGATAAGGTTTGTTCCCCACTGTTGTTGTTGCTGTTGTTGCATTGGCGTTGCGCCTGGGTTCATGAAACCCGATGGTCCAGCAGCATACGGTGCTGCAGCACTTTGGCCAAACCCGCTTTGTGACGCCGGGGTAGGCACTGACGCATAGACATCCCCCCCGGACGCCTGATGCTGCAACGGATTGTGCGGTGTCGGGCGGTGATAAGGCTGCGGGGTAAACCCAGCGGCGCTCGCTGTGGCACTCGAGGTTCCAGCAAATGGAGCGCTATAGGCTTGCTGTTGCGCATATGACTGCTGCTGTTGCTGAAATGGCTGCTGCTGTGGCTGCTGTCTGAATTGCGGCTGCTGGGGAGCTCCTCGGGGTTGGTGCGGCTTAGGAGAGCCGGGATAAGATCCCCCGGCTGACGCGTTGCCGAATGACATTGGCCCTGGCCGCTGCGGGTGCTGAGGCACGGGAGCCTGAATGGGAGGTGGCGACCAGCTCGGCGTTGGTGTTCCGTTCGAGTTGTACATTGTCCCTTGTGGTAATGCTGATCTGCTTCAAGGTTTTGGTGTTATGGTGAAGCTGAGGTGACGGCCAAAACTTCAAGTGTGTCGCGACGTGGAAGCCACAAGGGCCGATGTCGTTCTCGAACGCATACCATTATTGTACGATTTTTGATACTTACACTACCTTGTGAAAAACATTACTCTAAATACACCGGCCTTCCCCAAAAAGCCCTCGGCTGCTGCTACGATATCTAGCTACACGCTGTCCACTACCATGCTACATTATTTGAAGATTCGCCTGACTAGTCGTATTTCCTTCGCATGGCTCTATGATGTCAGGTGTTCTGCTGCCGTATCGACCCTCCTCACTTCCGCCATCAGCTTCCTTGCCCTCCACCTTGCCCAAACGCCTTTGCCTGCTACATACATGGTGACAGCGGCATACAGGAGAACTGCCGGTCCCAGACCCAAACTCCACCACAAAAGCGTTTTAATCCTCCCCGGTCGAAGTTTAGTGACAGCGGCGTCCAGTTGGGCGCGCATGTCATCCGGGGTTGCGGAGGAATTGTCAATCAGGATATCAGCACGCTGGCGCTTCTCGTCGATAGGCATTTGGGAGGCGATGCGGGATTTGGCATCGGTCGGCGTGAGCGAGTCCCGGGCTGTGAGCCGTGCGAGTTGAGCTTGTTCTGAGCAATAGACCACCATCACTACGTTCACCACCTTCCACAACCCGGCCTCAAACAGCAATGGTGTATCCAACACACACATCCGCTCTCCCCTTAAAAAGCACTTCAGCGCACAGTGCAACATCTCCGCCCTGATATCCGGATGCGTTATTCCATTCAAGACCTTCCGCTGCCGTCCATCTACATCATCACCCGAGAAAACAATTGCGCCTAGCTTTGCACGATCGATTTCTAGTGTTTCTGGGTTTATAATCTGTAGGCCGAAGTGGCGGACAAGGGAATAGTACGCTGGGCGGTGTGGGGTGATGACTTGGCGGGCGATGAGGTCGGCATCGATGATGGGAATAGGCGGGGTGGAGTTGGTGAGGTGCTGCGAGGCAGTGGACTTGCCGGTCGCAATCCCGCCCGTGAGGCCGATAAGAAGCATAGCGAGAATCGAGCTCTGGTTGGGGTTGCCGGAGGCTGAGGATCCTGACGATGTCCACTAGTGCCTTATATAAGGCGTGGGGTTTTAACAAACTTACACTGCCAGTCCCTGTTCTGGAAGGCTCCAACCTGCTCCAACCTATAGTCCAACCTTTTTCAAGCCGAAAGTGTTCGGCGAAAGTGTCCTCCCGTCCTCCGTGCGTGCACAGGTGCGTGCATGAGGTACAGTAAACTGCGTGAGAGAAGTGACTCTTATGACTCGCCTGAGGGATTCGTTTTACGAGGTCTATGCAAAAGGTCCCTCAACTGTACCACAGGGCAATACTATCCAGAAGCCGATTTCCTGAGCGTTCGTTGGACTTGGAAGCCATTTTTCATTCGTCGAAGCTACCATTATGTCTCTGTCCCTAGCACCACCAGCCAACAAAGGCTTGTCAAAGCTGAACAGGGACTTGTTCAAGCAGACGCTGGAGCTTACAGCGCTCCGGCTACCTGCGCCTGCATGCGCAAGGGCGATGAAGGAATTAAAGGGAGGGTAAGCGCAATTGTCGGAAGCGAACGGACAGTATAAGCGGCAACAGGACTTAAGACAACGACAACGGTACTCTGCTAGTTACATATTGGAGGTCCCTCGCCTTCGGGGCATAGTGGAGGATCCGGCTGATCTTGCAGCCGGAGAAACGAAGAAGGCGGCAAGGCGTTTACTGCTCTTGAACCCACTCAAGGCCGTCTCCAAAGGTACAGCACTACAGCACATATCCGTCGGGACGATGGCACTAGCGCTCTTTCGCTGGCTGAAGACCGTTTTTGACCTCGAAGTATTGTGATGTAGACAGCCTTCCGACGCCGGTCAAGGAGTTTGCAACACGGGAGAACGCCGAAATCACGCAATACAGACTTGATCTGGACTACGACTATTGGACATCGGAGCAGGTGCTCAGGTCCATTTTGCCCGATGACATTGACGTGCCTGGAGCGTACGAGGCAGTCGGGCATATTGGTATGTGATTACTGAGTGTAGCATCCCCCCTACCGACGTTACGTGCTGACCGTCTCATCTCACTCCAGCACATCTGAATCTCAGAGATCAATTCCTGCCGTATAAGAGCATCATTGGAGAGGTGTTACTGGATGTAAGAGATGGCAACGACTCGGCCTGCTTTCGAACCTGCATTTATGATGTCTGTGTCTCAGAAAAACAAGTCTTTGCGAACCATCGTGAACAAGACCGGCAACATTGACAACACGTTCCGGTTTTTTGAGATGGAGCTCCTTGCTGGGGAGAACGACTTAATGGCGGAGCTAGTAAGAACACTCGCTTTTGACCATTTGATAACCGTTGCTCATGCCGAGTTTCTGACCCGACAGAATGAGAGTAATTGCAAGTTCCGGTTCGACTTCTCGCGCGTTTATTGGAACTCACGTTTGCAAGGGGAGCATGAACGTATTGTCAAGAAATTCAAGAAAAACGGGCTCGTTTGTGATGTAATGGCCGGTGTAGGTCCATATGCCGTGCCAGCTGCAAAGAACAAGAAGCTCGTGGTGTTTGCAAACGATCTGAACCCATCAAGTTACGAATTCCTCTGCGAGAATATCAAAATAAATAAGGTAAAGGTGAATCGGCGAATCTCAACATCTTCTGGATGTGGGTCTTACCAAAGGCCTGTTCAGGTTGAGCATCTAGTGAAGCCATATAACATGGATGGACGCGATTTCGTTTGGCAATCTTTGGACGACTTGAACTCATCGGGCCCATGGGATACCCTGCGAAGTAAAATCCCGCCTTCGAGAAGACCCCGAGGAAGCAAGGCTACTGTCGCTCTAGACGGCAGTCCGAATATCGAAGAGAAGGATCTAAAAGCTCCAGCTCCCGTCTCTCTCGGACCACTGGAACCAAAAGCTGGGTTCAGATGGTTCGATCACTACGTCATGAACCTGCCCGCAACAGCGATCGAGTTTCTGGGTATGACGAGCTCAAACTGCATTGCTTATTCGCAGCTGACAATCTTCGCACTCCCTCTTTTTCCGTGTTTACACCTTTAGATGCATTCCGAGGCCTATTCCATAATCGGGAAATCATCTCGCAGGACAAACTGCCCATTATTCACTGTCACTGTTTCTCGAAAGAGGAGGATCCATCGGCGGACGTCATCAAGGTATGCCCATTGCAGATGTGGAAACCCGGGGAGGATGATGGTCTCACCCGCCACATTTGTCATTAGCGTGTCGAAAAGGTTATCGGCGCATCTCTAGGGAGTAACCTCATCGAAGTACACAATGTGCGGAATGTAGCGCCGAATAAAGAAATGCTCTGCATCAGTTTCCGGCTGCCATCCGAAGTCGCATATGCTGAGCCTGAAGCATTAAGGTAGGCAAATAGCGATGCGGGGGTGGATGTAAACTGTAACGTTTGCTGTTCCCGGTTCTCTGGTCTGATTGTGCTCTCCTATAGAAGACTTACACTCTCCGCTTTCACTTCCTCTTGAAGGATCCAGAAACGCAAAGCTGAACGGGGCAATGCTGGCATTGACACTGCCGAGAATAGCAAACGAGCGAAGATAGATTGAGAATCGCGCGGCCCCACCGCATGTTCATAGATTATTTATTAGCTATCATATTGTAGGTGCAACCACCTTTCCCGCGCTCTCCGTCGGAGTATAATTTTCCGTGCTCCATCATCACTCTCGGTTGGGGTTTTCCATGAAGTGACACTAATTCGCGCCGTCATTTGTTAACCGCTGTCGAATTTCTGACAATACGCAACCCCGCCCATGCGCATGTCGTAGAAAAGGACAACTTACTATTATTGTGAGAACTCGCTTCGCTGATTGTTTGCTGTGCATTTGGTGTATCTCAAATCGGAGTTGGGGCTAGGGAAGCGCAAGCTTCCAAAAAATAAGCTTAAACTGCTTGCTTCACGGGGTTCGGACATTTGGAGTCCAGGAATTTGCGCCGTGCGAATGTGGCAGCATACGTAAATTCCCCTTTCTCTTTGTGGCACCTGCCTTACTTCGACGGCGTGCCATCTTTTCCTTTTCCCAACGGCGTTCACTTCAGGCCATACCTGTGGAAATATCTCGTTGGACTCATTGGACTGAAAAGCCGCCAGCCATGTACTCTCGCTCTGAAAGACGATTTATGGCCCCCGATGCCGATCATGCCAATCCAAAGCTCGGGCCGGGAGCTTACACCCCCGATGACATTGCGCTTTATGCTGGAAAACTGCATGGGACTGAGGGGTATGTGGAAGATGGCTTTAGCTACGGATCATTGTATCAGCGGACCTTACTGATTTATCGACGCTTTCCCTCTAGCTATGCACCATTCTCCTCCCTAACCCCACGCTCATCATTCTTCGATCAATCCGTCATCCGGGGGCCAGCACCAGGTCAATATCCCGTTGAGCTCCTACGACCGGCGCTCCACAGCCCACACAAAGCGCCAGAGTTTGGCATGTCAAAGGTCTCACGGTTCGGAAAAGTCAACAGCACGACACCCGGCCCAGGGACCTATGAAGGGTTCTACGATGACATTGCACTCCACGTCGCAAAGAAGGTGGTGAAGATGCACGAGCCGGAGTTTGGCAGTAGGACGCACCCATTGACGAGACAGCCTGGGCGGGATGCCAAATGGGATACACCAGCGAAAGTGCAGAAGTTGATCACAGATGCACCCGCCGATGTCACCCTGGAACAAGCAGCCATCGCCGCGGCTCATGGGCCCGAGGGTGCGGACCTGGATGCGGAGGTCGATGGAGCTGAGCCGTCGATACACGGGCATCTCATCCCAACCGGCAAGAAGCCGCCAACATACCCGGTGCCAAATAAAAACCGGAAGATTGTGTGGAAGAGGAAGCATGGAGCGCCGAGTATACCCCCTCCTCGAATGGCGTTCGGTTTCCGCGAGAACTCCGAAGGCGACCTGGTGCCGCGCAAACCACCAAAAGAAAAAGCCAACTCGGAGCCTGCTTACAACTCTATAACGTCGTTTGCTGAGCGGGCACGCCACGAGCATCGGGGTCCTTCTTTCGCGCACGATTCAGCAGAGAATGGTGGGCGGCTGACTTTCAAGATATACGATACGCCAGCGCCTGGCCTCTACGAGTCTTCGCAAGTCCAGCAGTATTTCCAGAAAGCCGGAACCGGCAACGAGGCGGCCATCATGACCTTGGCGCCCTGTGTGCGCGTGACGGATGAGATTTTGAAGGATTGTAAAAAGAAAAACATACCCGGGCCAGGACAATATGAAGTGAGATCGCCGCTTACAGAGAACCTGGCGAGACCGAGGGGACGTATCCGCTTCGCAACGACCACAGGGCATCTTGATCCAGCGCACTTTTCGGTGACGGAGCAGACGAATACTCCTGCTCCAGGCGCTTACCATGTCTCAGATAAGCCCACTAAGAAGGTTTGTGGAACCTTTCTTTAGACTTGGGTCGGAGCACGCTTATAGATCCTTCATTGCATGCAGAGGCCGCTCGTATCTCAGTCGTTTGGTGCAACTGCATCCAGGTTTGAACGAGATGATAGAGTTCGCTCAACACCGGCCCCGGGTAGCTATAGCGTCGAAGAGGTAAGGTCCGGTGTGACTACGTGGGTGGACCAGTTTTGACTATAACTATGAGAACCTCCTCTGTAGATCGACAGTCTAGCACAGAGAATCACAAAGAAAGCGCAGAAGATGCGGTATGACGCATTCGGCTCAGTGACCGAACGTTTTCCACAGCCGAAACTAGTAAGCAGGTCATCCGCGAGCCCCGATGATCACATCACACGTCTCTCATGATATTCCCAACAGAATCTGAACCCCGGTCCGGGAGCCTACAATCAAACACAAGCGGACGCTCTAGCTGAGCAGGAAGCGCACGAACAGGTCGCTAACTCAACACGGTCGCGATCAGCCGGAAGTCGGCCCGTAACCAGGATGACACGAATGATGGATCAAGGACCAACACATTTCAAACTTGGACACCTACTGGTCAATCCCGCCAAGGCGCACATTCCCGTTTTCGGCTCGCAAACAGAACGATTCACGGGAACGCAGCATGCAGGTGAGACCTGATTTTGCGTACAGCATACCGGCTGATGCTAAACAGTAAGTTTCGCAGAACTACCACCGCCAGGTGCTTATGAGCTGGGCAAGGCGTATGAGGCACTGAAAAAGCATCGAGTTCCGAAATTGAGCGGAATGGTCAGCGGAACGCGGCGTGAAATATTTCAAGGTAATGGGGCCGAGCGGCTCTTTTGTCAGATGACCATGGGAAGGAACCTGACCGCACTTACAATCTCCTGAATATCAGCGAATATCGAAGCAAATCTTCCTGGTCCGGGACAGTATGAGCCGCAAGTACTGGACAAGCGGAATGTGCGAAGGGGCAGTGGGAAGATCATGACAACGGTAAGACGCATCCACGCTTTCCGGAGGGAGTCATTCTCATGTGGAAATATTAATACAACCCCCTACATGCAGGAAAAACGGTTTAAATCCTCCGGATCTGCTTCTTCGCCAGGACCCGGTGCATATCTTTCGCCTTTCCATAACAGTGGACTGCTCAAGAAGACGTACAACATCACCTTGACTGAATGGGCCAAGCACCATCCTATCGGCAGTGCTCCTGAGCGTAGACGATCACCCGTATCTGTGTGATATAGTGGGGGGCAGGACGAGGTGTCCGATATATATAGTTTTGGCGGACATTGGTAGATTATTTTGCTTGCGAGAACAACAAACAAATTCAGTGCGTCTGATGAGGCTTACACCTATCTAATGGGGAGTGCCTATACCAATCCATCACAAAGTATATCGTCTCGGTTGTCCTCCCCGTCCCGGTAGGTAGGGACAATGAATAGCAAACTATGTGCGGGGAGCAATCTCGTTCTTCACAATCGATCGAAGACCGATATTGAATGCTCCCACACAATCATGCCCACCAACAAAGCCACACTCTGCATTCCCACATCTGAAGACCTTGTTGCTGCCAATCGTATGATGTACGAAATGGCAGAACGGACATTGCTTGGTCGTGTATTCCTCCGTGGTGCATATCACATCCTTTCGTCGATAAGGATCGGCTTCGGCCTTGGCGAACAACCGTTGGCGAAATGCATGGTGTGATATATTCTGCATAACTTTCCGAGTGGTTTTGTGCAATCGAAAACTCCCTTCACGGGGCACTCGATTGTTGCTGTCGTCCCCCGGATCGTTAGATAACGGTGGGAGTTTCAAAAGTTTGCGGCGTCGGCGAACCATGCCGGCCGTCATGAACTCCGGTAGAACGATCATGTCGTATTGTCTAACGAGCGCGTTCGCAAAGGCGTTGTGGGCATGTCGGACCAGACCGTTGGCTTTCTCGTAGAGTCGCGAGAGATGGTAAGCATGGCTTTTCCTCCAGAGAGTTTTCTTTTTGCGTCGCTTCAATGGATCGTCCTTCTTTTTCCACCTACGTTTTCCCTTGCGTCACTTCTTACGTGCGGTCCGGTTGCAGTTTCCCAATGATTGACGTTGCTGACGAAGAGCAATGTCGTTGTACCGGTTAGCAAGTACATTGCACAGGTCGGGATAGACGTCGTAAAAGCTTCTCTCGTGGACATCGTAGCAAGTCCAAGGCACCCGAACCCCAGGGTCGATAGCACACATGTTACCCTTCGCGTGACTGACGTTGAACAGTTCCTCCTGATGCCGGACCCAGTTTCTAGCGCGTTTCGCGCATCGTCGGGTATCTTTTAAGATCTCTTCTAGCTTTTCTTGGCGGAAAGGGGCACCCTTCTGCCAAACGTTGTAGGCCATGATCAGGAACCACCTTCCTGTCAACGAGTCATGGCGGACAGTGAAGCTTCGTCCGCCTTTCGTCTTCCCACACGTTAAGTGATTTTCCCAGTGTTTGGTGGGTTCGTAACGCCGGTTCTCACGTCTAACTCCGCGGTGACGGCTCGTCTGCCATTGCTCATGACAGAGAAAATGAATCAGATCGTCCTTCAGGTATACTCCGCTGTCAGCCTCCGGATTGAAGGTTGGAAACATCACGACCTCTCCGTCGGTACGAACGCACATTCCAGCGGCAAGAAACTTGAGAGTCTTCCATCGACGGGAAGGGTCTCTTCCTCTTGTCTCATATCCAGAGTTGTGACCTTTCTCATAGTTTGTCTGTGCCGACTGCACGTTGTCCGCGCTCTCCTGAGCTACCGCTTGTTGAACGTCGTACGGCATGTCGATGTAACGAACGCGTTTGTCCAGGTCACTCAAGGTGGATTGCGTACCTGCCTTCAGATGCCTTTCGTATTCTTTCCTTGAGAGACAGACGTACGTCTCGCGAAGGTAAGGAAAGCTCGGTTTTTCGCCTTGTGTAGCAAATCAATCGAGGACTTCTTTAACGTGATCATCGATAAAATCCGCTATGCGTAACCAAGCGCTGAGGGTGCTCTCCAGTTCAGGCCGTGGGTAGAAACGGAAAGAGATCGCACGAATTCGTTTGGTGGCTTGCTTCTCTTTGGCCACGTTGGCTCTGGATTTCTTTGAAACTGGTGTCGCTGTCGGGTTTTTTTCCCTTCGTTCCGCCTTTTCTTTCCTGTGTTGCACTTCTTCCGCTGGCATACGAAGGTGCTTTGCTCGTTTGGTCGTCTTCTTCTCACCCTCCTCGCGTTCTTCCAACTTCCGTTTGCGGTCTTCCCTACGCTTGTCCTGTTCTCGTTGCTCTTGTATGCCTTGCATTTGCAACGCATACTCGGCAGCTTCATCTAGGGCAGGAAGATTACCGTTGGTCCTCTCTGTCAGATACCAGGTGGCGATCTTCTTGATCTCGTGGTACGACCCACGCTCCTTCGCCTCGCTAATATTGGTTGCCATGCATTCTCGCCCCGTAGCTTCGGTACGAGATAACACGTACAAAGGTTCACGGGATATTGAACCGTCAATATCCATGCTCATCCCGCGCTTGACCATCGATGACCAGGTGCATTGTTTGCGAGTTGCGAACGCTTCAGAAAAGGTCGATCCTGGAGCTGTGGCCAATCCGGTAGATGATGATAACAACTTTCGAGACCAGGTTTGCGATACGTCGCTTGACCATACGGAGAAGACCGGTGCGCTGGAAATCAATGCTTTGACCGTTATGCTGGGCAACAGTTGGTCAGGTATACTTCTCAGTACGTTACGCAGCTTGGTGATCCACGTATTTTTGTTACAGCCACAGAGATACTCGGCAAGATAGGTATGTAGCTCGGCCTTGATCTGATCGTCGTCTTTACTTTCTCGCTCGTCGGAGCTGAAGAACTCGCCGGGGCTCAGCTGCCGGTCTGTACTGCCCGTTGTAGCTCCCAAGACGTTGGAGACTTCCATCGCATCGCTCGGTAGTGAGAATATTGGGCTATAGCAAAGTATGACAAAAGGGAGAAGGCACATCTATTCACTGTTGTATTGTTTGATAGTGGTCTGTGCGTTGGCGAGCCCTGGGGACTGGGTTTCCTGTGCTCGGCGCCCTCCCTACACACTCACGAATAACGATGTGGATGAAGAAGCAGTGTATTGGCGTGCATCAGCAGTACGCAGTAGTACATAAGAACACAAGGGGTGGGAGGGAGTGGTGTTCTAATGTCTATAGCGTGAGAAAATGCGCAAGGATGTAAAGAAAGAAAGAAAGAGAACTCCGAAGGCATTCAGGCAGCTGCCCATCCCGTCCTGACTAATAGCCCAATTATAAACCACGTGATCCCACCCTGCCTCGCGTCTTCCAACCCACTCTTTCGTTCTCTCGAACTGCGATCGTGTGTGGTTGTCCTTTTATCTTACGCGCTTTATTGATGAACACAACCCTGTTGTACATTGCTAATGATCACGCATCGCGTCTGTATTCCAAACGTGATACAGATAACGATTGTATCTTATTGATTGCTCATGTGACATGAGCAGTCTCATTCCGTACTGTACGTGACGTGACTCGAGATTGCGCGTTGGAACCGAACCTCCGCAACTGCCCAAGATTGACATCGTCTAAGCATCTACCTTGTGTATAAGCAAGTCGCTGCCGAGCAGATGGCTCAGAAAGTCGCAGGCACACTGTCGCAACTCGCAGCTAGTCAAAACCCAGCTGCAGACGACGGGCTCGTTGACTCCCAAGGCTATAGTCCTCCACTTTTTGGAACCAGACCAGTGCAGGGACAACGCTCAGCAGTTTCGAAGGTGACGGGAAATGCTCTCGTAGAGGCAGAGTCCATTATAAGGAAGGTTAGCGAGTCCGTTCCAAATGATCATGGGGGGGCGAGGGAGACCTTCCTAACTCGACACCTTTGCGTTAGCCCTCATCTCGCTTCCAGACCCTTGCAAAGGCACCAGCATTTATCCAGGCAGGCCACCATAACAGAAGCAATGAACCCGCTTCGCCAGTACTTGGCTTCAGTTTAGGCTCAAGCGGAATCCATTTCCCGGGGACTCCGCCGATTTCGCAGACGCCTTCCCTCAATTATCCCGCGTCGCAAATGCAATCGCATTCCGGGTCCACTGTGACGCGTCAAGCGGAGGCGATGACTTTCGTCCTGAAGAAAGATCTCGAGGCGTTGATGGGAGATATGCTGCGGCAAACGAAGGTTGCTTTGAATCAGCTGCAAAATCTAAGGAACGTCGTTGTGGATGAAGCGAAATTGGCTGTCAAACACGCCGCTGCGCTCCAAAGCAGAGAGATCCTGTCTAAGTTGGATGAGCAAGGTGGGTTTCTAGTTGATTCGTTCCGGCCGTCAACGCAAACGGGCACAGCATTGATTGTTTGGACAGTCAAGGAGCGCTTGCATACGGTTACCGGTCAGACTGGTCGGAATAATGTCATCAGTGGCGAGTTCCTTAAACTCAATCAGCGCATTGATGAGCTCAGCGCGGTAGGGTTGCCTACATCATTTCGGGCCACACGAGCAAGGAAGCTCGCTAAGCATATTGCATTGCAGGAACACCGGGCTGTGCATAGTCGCCAGGATCACATTCTGTCGGAAATAACAGGGACGCAATCGCAGCAAGCACGAGAGGCGATAGCAGGAAAGGCAGATGTAGACACTATCTCCAGCCTGTTGCATACCCATTCTGCGGAATCGGAGAAACAAGTGGAAGCGCGCTTGGAGTCGTTCATGGAACGTGTGGAAGCGCTCGTAAAGAGCATTGAGCCACCGCCACCCAATCCACCCTCGGTCCCGCCTGGATGTGATATAGATACTATTTCCGCCCTATTGCATACTCATTCTGCGGAATCGGCGAAAAAAGTGGAAGCACGCTTGGAGTCGTTCCTGGAACGCATGGAAACGCTCGTAAAGAGCATTGAGCCGCCGCTACCCAATTCGCCCTTGATGCCGCGTGGACCTGGCTCTATCCACCATCATCCGTCGATAGAAGGCAGGTTGAGCCTTGATGGTCACCGGCTCGGGAATCTAGCAAGCAACGACGTAAAGACCCCTGCAGTTAATTTTACCCAGCAGACAGTGATGTTGCCTGACGGTTCTGTCCGCGAGTCTTTCATTTCTGAAATCAACGGCGCCGTGGGTGTGAGTGTAGCTCCTGCATTGACGCAATTCAGGAATTCGCAGCAAGCTGTTCGAACAGGTAGGGGTGCAAGAGGGTGTGCGGTTACTCAGTCGGGCATTTGTTGAACATGTTCGCAGCAGGTTTTCTGCCCCCCGAGCATCGAAATCGGTCGCTGCTGCCATATGTCCAGAACGGCACAGGAGGCGTCTATCCACTGGATTTCGGAGAAGACAGGTACCCGTGGAACCGAATCATTCGATTTGCGTCGGAACTAAACTTTAGTTTTTGTTGCATAGTTGGTTTGACCTGACGTATTCCCCGGCGAAGGATGAGAGTAACAATGAAGTGGCTGTTATGACTTCGGTTACAGCCGCTCCACAGCACTCTCCAGATGCAGCAGACGTCATCACACGGACTGCGTCTCCGATTCTGATTGTAGAGGATGGAAAGCCGGATTCGAATCCTGTTATTCCGCGGCGCAGCGGGAGGCTTACTCCGGCGGCTGTTACTCGCACTGTTGCAATCACGGAACCGCCACCACCGGCCGTGAAGGTCAAACGGGAGAAGAAACGATTGCCTCCTCCGCCACATACAGATCGGATGACAAGGGTATGAGCATCTGATTTGTATAGTGCGATGCTTCTCATGTTGGGAGTCATTCACTGACCTTCGCAGCACGCAGAACCAGAAGCGAAAATTAGAAACGGTGCTCGCTGTTTCTACGCAGGAGGATCGTTGAGGAGCTGCGCGACAAGCTCTTCTTTGGCAGGCGTATCTCGCAACGGTCGCCAAAATGTCTTGGTGACCAGCCGTCTAGCGGAATGATATAGGGCCCAGTCGTTGTTACACAGCGAAGGCCCACTCCTATTACAGGCTAGATAGGACGCCGAACTTAGAAGTTGAAACTTACCAGATTTCCATATTTCAATTGTACGAGAGACACTCTCGCAGGATAGCCGATGGACGAATGCAGCGTCTTCGCATAACTCATTACTGCATCTGGTGTTCGCCTCGGTGGTTCAACCACATTACTGTTATCCTGTGTCTTGGCATGCCTGCTGCCCGCATCGAGCTGCATATCTCTCTCGCGTCTCTCGCGTCGGCGGCTTAGGTAATCTCGCGTCAAATCCCACGTCGAGATGCCGCGTCTCTCATCTCTGCCATCCGGCCTTCTCATTGCGTACTGACAAGTCAGGAGATTTTGCAGCGCTTTTTTTACCGTCATTTTGCGCTTCCCGTAGCTTGCCACATCCGAAGCTCGCCTCGCGGCTCTAGAGCAGCTGCCGGGTCGAGTCCACGCCCATATGAGCGCCGCCGCAGCAGCCGCGTCCTCACCTTGGTTCCCAATCCCAACCCTCAACGCCGAAGACTCTGAGCTGGAAAAGTCGGTGACGCAAGGTGCACGAACCTACCTTGCCCAGCACGTCGGCGTCCACAATTTGCTTCGGCACGGGTCTCGCTTCCATCAACCCGCAGACCGCAAAGCAGCTGAACGAAACCCGGTCCCACCACCTAACCCGCCGTCACCTTCAAAGGGCTTTGGACGAAACAGCGACTTGATTCCGGATACCATGCCAAATCCGTATTCTGGTGGAATGCAGCAAAGAATGCCCCATGCGGGAGATCCCGGTGTCTTTCTGAATAGCACGTCGGCGGCCGCGTCGATGATCGAGTCTCTACCAGCCGTCATGGCTGGATTCTATTTCAAGCGCCGGAGAGAAAGGCTGAATTGGAAGTTATTAGCGTCCTTGAATGTGGACCAGATCACGAAGGAGGTTGACATCAAGTCTTTGCAGGAAATGATGGAGAACCTCACTTTCTGCGACATCGAGGCTGAAGATCGATATGCCGATCCAAATTTCATCAAGCTGATTCAACTATCTCAGCTCACAATCGAATACCTGCTACACTGCCAGAATTACCTGCTGGATCAGCGTCAGTCTTTGGCAGGACAAACCGAGGCTCTCAATGGTTCCGTTGTGAGAATGCGGGCAGAAAATGCTAAGCAGAGCGCAGAGATACAAGCGCTTCGGAAAGAAACTCGCGTGCTCCGAAAAAGCATGTATGCGTATCAGCTCATGACCAAAATGCCGGGAGAACTTGGGCCGGCGGCCGCTCCGCCGCCGCCAAAGGAAAAGACACATCCAACCACCTATTACCGATGTCCGTTTTGCCCGAAGATGTTCGTGAACCACCCCTATGTTGAAAGCCACGTGCAACGACGGCACGGGGACATGCCACAGTCACAAAAAGCCGCACCGAAAGCTGAGCAGCCGAAGCAGCCACCGGCTCAGCCGACAATGGAAGAGATAATGGCAGGGTTCGATAAAGTCAGTGGGCGAATCGGCGACGTGGAGAAACAGCTACGAGAAGAGATGGAGGCCAAAGTAGCAAACGAAATGGCCAGCCGGCAAAAGGCATTAGATGATGCGTTGGCTCAGGAGAAGCTGCGGTTCGAGCAGGAATTACAACATCTAAGAACAACGGCGACGCAGGAGCGTGAGCGCGAACGTCTGGAGTTGGAGGAGGCAAAATCACGCTTGCGATCAGATACGGGGAAAAAAGACGTAGATGATGACAAGGAGGAAGAAGCCCGTCGATTGGAACGTGAGAGGGTGCAGAAAGACATCGATGATTTGAAAAGGGCTGTTGCTGGATCACAGAGCGGCGCCCAGACCGGAGTCAATGCTCATCTCAGCAAAGCCGCATCGCAGATCGAGGCGCTGCAGAAAGCTCTGGAGGACGAGCGGAATGAGAACGACGAGCTGAGTCGGAGACAGACGAATGACTGTCAGAGGCATGTGCAGGAGATGAGAGATTTGGAGACCAAACGCGCGGCGGATGCGGCGCGAATTGCAAAACTGCAGGTATAGTGTGTCTTCCTTGGAGAGATCAGAAGGCTTTTTGCTGACGAGCTCGTGTCGGATTGTCAAAGGGGTCTCTGGAAACCCTCAAAACACGCCTTGATCAGGGCTCGGGACTCCCACAGGGTGGAGTGCAGGCATTCGCGTACACAGATTCCGACTCCGGGCCTGAGCTAGTCACCTTTCCCGCTGAGGCAAGGGTCAAGAAGAATCAGGTACGATATCACATGCTCCCGTATGATGTGATGTCTTTTGCTCACTTCCTCACATTTCTGCTCAGCCACTGACCTGGGATCGTGTAGAAGCGTTGATGAAAGAGCATAAAGGTATGGGAGCGAGTATGGCCTTCCGTCAAAGCCGGCCTATTCTGATACCAAATTCAAACGAACCAGAGACCCCAATACCAACTTCTTCATGGTTGAAAACCATGTATCCTCACGATCCGGCCATGCTGACGGGACAGAGAAACGACATCAGCGCCGCAGTCGATCACCAGCTGAGCAAGCTAGGCATAAATGCGCCAGATGTTTACGCCCAGTGGGGGATAGAGGAGACACATCGAGACATTTCCACCCTGCTTGATACCGCACAAGCCAATCTAGACCGGAGACAGGCGGAAGCAGCGACCAAGAACCCATTGTATGCTCGGATGCGTGCCTGGCTGGAAGAAACTGTCGACGACGTGGCAAAAGGGCATCGCGGAAAGCGAGGGTTGAAGCCTCCGCCGATTGTGACGGATGCGAAGATGTCCCCGATGCGCTTTGAGCCGCATACGCCAAACGCGGAGGAACGAGGAAGAAAGATCACCCGCCGAGGGCCCCGGCAGGACCGACCCAGACGCGGAAGAGCCACCACTGGACCGCCATCGGCTGTTCCTGGGTCTGCGCGAGGACTCTCGCTCGCGGCTGGTTCGCGGGGTGGGGTAAGCGTTGACCGTGGACGACTACTATTAGCTTCGCAGCCGCGTGGTAGTGTGATTAGCAGCTTTATGGGAGGTGCAAAGGACAAGCTTTTGTCCACGTTCAAAAGAGATCCGGGCCCGTCGCCATATTCGGCGATGGCGCCAACACCGACTGTTGGGGGTATGCGGTTTCCATCATTGAAACGCGCAAAGGGCGGCCAGGAAGCGGACGTGAATTGGGACGATGAAGGCAGCAGCGACTATTCTGGATCCGATGCCACAGCTTCTTCCCCAGTCCGACGCACCCAGGGACCGCAGCGAGCCCCATCGCCGCGCAAATCGTCTCGCCGACGAAACTTTGAACGCCAACTCGAGGCCAAATCGCCACACTCTGCCAGGTCCACGCGTGAGAACATGCCTCCCAGCCCTCAGCGGGGTCGAGGACAGTCTAAGCATCCTCCAGCCGGCCGCCCACGGGTTGTCATGCCTCCTAATCGACGGCTATCCATCTCCGTGCCACCATCTCCGAACAAACTTAAGGAAGGGTTCTCGCGACTGACCCGGGCATTGTCTTTCACCAGGGCACAGCCGTCAGCAGCGGATTATTGGGGACGGAAGGCATCAATGAACGGCTCCCCAATCCCTCCGTCGCCCATGTCTGCTCTACCTCGCCGCGCGCCAAATGAGTACAGAAACGGACCGATGAGCGCCCAACCCTTCGAGCGGAATCAACGTAAAGAGAGGCGAGACGGTCCAGGTTCACCCACACGGTCGCCGAGGCATGCACCATATGCGCAAAAGCATCGCCGTCCACCAGAACAGGATCGCCGAAAAGAAGTGGAAACGGAATCGGAATCAGAAGAAGAATCCATCTCGCCGCAACGCCCTCAGCGGAGTCACAAACCAAAACGGGGTGCTAAACCTCTACAGCACACCCCTGTGGAGGCTTTCGCGGATTCCCCTTCACCGTCTCCACCGAGGGGAAAGGCCCGTGGCACGCATCGACCGCAACGCCGGAAAAGGGGTGAACCTGCGGTTTCCTCCATGAGTGATGGAACGCGGACAGAATCATCTGATGCGTTGTCATATAGCGAGACGGCATCGGACGTATCAGTCCCCGAACCTGCACCGCGGTACAGAGGTGGGCATGCAGGAAAGCAGGGCAATCGCGCGGTACAAGCCATCCTGGAAGAAAGCGAAGAAAGCGGGTTGTCAAATGTCCCCCGTAAGTGGCTTCCGAACGTCCGCCCACTTACTCGCGTGCCTCTACCAGGCATGAATGCCGCATCCCGTGCACAACAGCATCCCCACCAGCAGATACAGTCTCAGCCGCACTCCCTATTTCCATCTGTGAGAGAGCCCACAACAATACCTACCTCCATACCAGCGCAACAACAAGCTCCGGCGAGAACAGGCTACGAACGAGCACAGGCGGCGCTCGGTCTGTCCTCCCTACCGCCGCGGAATCAAGCAGCTGGAAGTATCCCACAACGGAAAGACGAATCGGACTTTGATGTGAGCTCGTTGGATGCCAGCGAAAGCGAGACATCTCGTACGCGGCCGCTGGGGACTGCTCCGAAGTCGGGGCCGAGCACAGGAGTCCCTCTGAGAAAAGTTTCGGAGGCGTCGATCGTCACAGATGATTTCGATGACTTGGACGATGTCCTGATTTCGGAAGACTCATCCGATGAACCGGTCCAGAAGGTGACGTCCAGGTAAGCGTTTTCTTCCGTTTCGGTATGCGACTCATCGCGATCTACACCTGAGTTTGACCTGAATATTGCGCATTCCAGACCTGTAGGCAAAACACTCGGGAAGGACCCTCAGTCCTATGGCGCATCATCGAGGCAGGCCTCGAACGTATCGGCTACAGGACCCACACCCGATCCGAACTCTGAGAACGTTGCCGACGTGCTGAAAGAGCTTGGCTCGATCACTGAAGATGAAGACCTGGATCTTGACGACGATAGTAACTGGGACTAATAGATCTATCAGGCGCGCCGGGGCGATCTTAGTCTTTAGTATGTCTCATAATGAACATGCTTCTCGCCGAATTTATAACCACGACTATTGAAGTGACCCTTCTCTTTTAGTAACGGGGTATAAGAACTAGTGGCGCAGGCCGTCTAAGATCTGCAAGCCTGCCTGAATCGTTATGCCTCTACAGCCTCTACGGATGCCGCTACGGAAACGTCTCCCAGATTTCGCCAGGTACTTAGGGCCTTTTCCCTTTCCCTGCGCCGCCGCTTTCTGCAGCGACTATCGATATATCCATTTCCTTAATGACCACAAAGTAGCATGCCTCGCAATAAAGCTCCCCAATGTGATGTAACGCTTTCAGGTCTGTAAATGGCGTGTCGCACTTCTGTAAACATCAACAACTGTTACTAGGAAGCTATCAGCAGAGAACGACATGTCATGCAGATGGTGTCTTACCTTGCAACGGAAACAATCCTGGTGAAATTTCTTATCCTTCCACTCGACCATGGCGATTTTCGACGCTTGATCTGGAAGGATCTTTTGCGTACACCGTGCACATTCGGGTGTAAACTTTTCCTCGTAGCATGTCCGACAATAGTGATGATCATCTTGTTGAAAGTATCGCGCTTGCAGCGGACTTTTGCATTTAAAACACAGGAAGCACTAGCAGATACCGAGTGAGCTCAGCTTCTACCCTGCATTTGTCATTGGTCGTCGCCCCATACCTGTGGGTGGAACTTTGCACTTTTACCAGCTAGTATTATCTCCGAGCCAATCAGACTAAGTTGACATTTTGAACACGAGCCGAGAAGCTTCTCATAACACGCTTTGCAATAAGGTTTGCCATGAGGTTTGTCTCCATGCATGAAAAACTCGTCTACGATAGAATTGTTGCAACCGGCGCATAGGAAGCATTTGCGGTGAAAAGAATGCGAGATGTTGTCCTGGCTGTAGGAGACTCCAGGTCCAGTATCGTTGAGGACAGGCTCGCCGCACCTCTCGCAATGACCTCTAAAGTCTGAGTGCGAGGCCATGGATAGGTCTGTTGTGGGCAAGGGGGCATCAGCAAAGACAAGCCCGTGCTTCATGAGATACACTTTGAGACGGACCCTTCTGTAGACTGTCCTTGATCTTGTCGAGATCCGAGATATCCATGTTGCGAGACGTGTGGTTGTGGAGATCTGCAAGATGCCGCGTTTAGTTGGTCAAGCCGCTTTTGCTGCGTCCCTCCACGACGCGAAGGTCGGAGTGCTGACACAAGCAGATTCGACACCTTTGACCCTGCGCCAAATTCGGCTTGTGCATGTTGCACCCTGGTGCATGTGCAGCTTTTCGTTGACGAACGACCCCATACAAAGCGGAAAGTGTCCGTGAAGGGCACGGTCACAAACTAACGGCATTCGCACCGGACGAACCGGACGCCATCCCCAGCCATGCCAGCCGCAGCCATAATCTCAAAATGGCTTCTTCCATTGTTGATGATATCGGCGGCCGGCGCCGCGGTCGACACAAGTAGGATCGGAGGCGCAGGGTTGATGCTTCAATTTGACTCCTCTACAGAGTTTTCGGATGAGGTTGCATATCGCAATCTACTCGACTCGAACAAGTTTGATTATAATGTTCGAGGCAAACCAACCAGTTTGGTATGTAACATGCTCCGACGCCGCTTCGAAAGCGCTTCTTATATCCAGGCGTTCCTAGATTCAGTACAACGCTGGCTCATCACGGGCATTTGAAGCCTACAGTGGTGGGTATCCGACAAAATGATGAACATCATTGATGATATAGGAACTGATTCCTTTTGTACATCTAGACATTACTGTAGAAGGATGGGTACGCCCCACGATTGACCCAGATAATCCAGGCAAAGGTATTCACGGACCAGAACGAGGGTACTCATGATACCCGTCTGAGCCCTCCACGTGCTGGCAAATGAATTCTCACAAACCGTCCACTTCGCCAGGATGTTGTTGGCCGATTCTGGAGACTTTCTGGGGCACCAAAAGTAAAGGGCCACTGTCTATACATATATCATCACACGAAAAGCATTCAGGCTAATATCCATGACAGCGGGAGCCCACCATATAGCCCTAAAAGTAGGGGACAATGGAAGTCCCATGTTCGTCACCGAGGGTTTCGATTCGACCGACCCATGCTTCGAGGGCGACCGATAGTTGCCCGCTTCAGTGACGGAAGGGCTAAAACTTTTTGACGGAAACTGGCAGTAATTTGAACTGGTTTTGTCGTATTCAGCCAAACAAACGCATGGCGACTCATTTTGATGCGCTTGGAACGCTTGGGCAGCCACTTAGCGGGAACGGTGGACAGCGCCGCAAAGACAGTCAATACATACGTTGATGGGAACTTGGTTGCATCGGTACATTGCACTGGTTCCTTGAACCTTCAGGGCGGATCTATAAACATCGGTGAGCTAGATACTACCGTGCTGCCACACTGCACATAGACTGAACACTACTGATTACAGGGAGGACACAATATGATCAGCCGTCTTCCCTGAGTAAGTCGTCGTCCCGACGGAGAGTGCTGGATGCTTCGGTATAGTATGGAGAAACTGATCAGACATGCATTTACAGCCGGTGACCTGGATGAGGTCAGGGTGTGGAAAGTTGCGCGCACTCAGGTACACTACCGGACGCTTTCACGTCAACTCATCCAGCACGCAGGCCAATCAGCTCTAACGGCGTTCGTAATCGGATTGATTCTTCACAGACTGAAATAGCGGCGGCGAGGTACCGGTCGCTGACGAGCGGCGAGCATGCTAATCTGATCGCATACTACAATGCCGACAGTTGGGACTATTCACAACCATTCAACTTGCCGGTAGATCTTGGTGTAGTTTCCTGACTGTGGTTTCCAGATCCACGTGCAGTGGTTGATATCGGTTTCGTTACTCAGGACCTCTCTCCCAGTGCGTGGGATATTACCATGGTAAACCATAACTGATGACGCCGTCCGCATTCTGAGTGAGGCTCGAGTGAGGCTTAACATTCTGTCCGCAGGCAGTGAGTCAAGCGCAGAGTGTTCCAGTGAAGCGCCTGATGCCCACAATCCTCCCATCGGATGCTCCGTATTACGGAGCCCTGGTGCATGTCCTGGAAGCAATTCGCGCCACCCCTCACTGGAATGGCACATGTACGTCGTTGCGATGCATGTGGACCAAGATACTTTTCTAAGCCGTTTGTTCACAGATGAATTGTCACTTCTACCGGGGCAGTCCGCCAGCGACGCCTCCACACTAACGATCCGGATCACCGCTTTACCAGCATGCTCATCACCGAATGTAGTTATCTCGAGGAAGGACGATGGAAGTGTTTTGACGGGGCCTGTTTCGCTGCCTGGGCATGTGACCCTAGTTTTGAAGGCACCTGCCGCCACTGCGACCACTCCCCAGGAAGATCGGTCGTGTTTTCTGCAATATGATGTGCTGCAAGGCGCTTCTACCTTGGGAACGGGTCTTAAGCTCGATTTGATAGTGAAAACGAACAGGAAACCCATGGTGGGCGATGCGGGAGGAGCTATCTTCTGCGATGGTATGCATAGCCGCGAACCGCGCATGGTTATATATAGTGAGGGCTAACGTAACAAACACACATCAGGCGGCAACTCTTTCGCATATGACAAAAATTTCACTTTCGGGGTACCAAACACCGATTTAAAGTACACCATCGAATGGTGGGCGTACAACTGGGACCCGCAGCTGGACGGCACTGTTTATAGCATTGGAAACTCCGAGGTCAATGCCGGTGGTGGAAGCTGGTGTAATGACCTGAGAACATCCAACAAGACTCGTTGGGAAGTGACGGACTATTGTCAGGGTCGTTTCCTGGCCCACGCTCCCAACGCGGCCGGCCAAATTCAAGCTTATCACTCGTGGAAACAGCTGGGAGACGGAGCAGCCATAGCCGATGCAACCCCGTATCAGCAGCGATGGTACCATGTCGCCGTGACTTCGGATGGAGACATCATTTCCATTTATATAGATGGCCAAGCCGCCGCAAGTTCGCCCACGTTCCCATTCACAGGGCATATGCTCCGTGGCCTCCATGTCTGTCATTGGCCATTCTGGGGGAAAGACCATTATTTCCGCGGATTTTTGGACGAGTTCAGAGTCTTCAATTACTCGAGAGGCCCCGCTCAAATCAGGTCTACAATGTATCAGAAGCTACAACCCGAGCTGCAACCCGGTTTACTCCCGTACTATACCTTTGACTCACACCGCGATGCACTTGCATTTTCCACTCCCTTCTCCAACTCGGATCCGATTGCCGATGCAAGTGGGAGTGGACGGCTGCTTGTGCCTGGTGGTTGCACGCCGAACGTGTTACCGTGGTGTCCACTTGGGGATGGCAAATGCAATGCTTTGGAGCCACCGCAGCATCCCTGCTGGGACAGCAACGGCACAGCTCAGCTTTCCGGCGCCCAACCATTTCTGTATCCCTCAGGTGCCCCTGTAGGGGGCTACGGCTTTCCCGTGGTTCTCAACGGTACCTCATCCAAAGTCAACATCAATCTGGCGGGGCCAGACCCGGACGGGGATAAGTTAACCTTCGAGATAGCGGCTATCCCGGATCCCGAGAGGTCACTTTTGAGGGTGAATAGAAAGGTTGCCACCGTCGGAACCCGCCTCGCCGCAACGGACACGGTCGAGGTGATAATTGTCAATCCCGTACTTGGAGTACTGCATTCGCATACAAGGCTTTCGATGGGATAGAGTGGAGCGACTCTGCCAGACTATCAATGTGCACATCAAATGCCCACCGGGGACATACTTGAACGAAGCGGACCGGAAATGTGAGGAATGCCCGCTAGGAGAGTACAGCGACGGTTACAGCTTTGACACTCGCTGCGCAACCTATCAGGACGTTCTCTGGTCGTCCGGTATCGGCGCAACCATCGCTTCCATCAACACGCTGGCTATTCTCGGGACGTTTGCCATTGCCGCTGCAATCATATTCTTCCGGAACGCAAAGCCGATGGTGGCTGCAAGCCCGACGTTCTGCATGCTGATTGTAGCCGGGGGTTTACTGGGACTGGCGGATGTATACACGTACATTGGAATGCCCAGCCGACTGTCCTGCGCTTTGCAACCGGCTCTTGTGGCTATTGGGTTCACGTTGGCATTGGGGAACCTTGTCCTGAAGGTGAGCAGCACACACATGCAGAAGTCCAATGATATCGTGTTCTCTTCGGCCTTCTAACTGTTGCATTCTTTGTTTAGACTTATCGCATCCATTTCATCTTGTAATTATCGTCGATTGCACAGACGGTTAAGAGCTTCAATGTACTAACCTTGCCCACAGCAATTATGCAAGAAAGGCGAGGAATGTTCCCTGGATGCTGAAGTCCAACTTTCTAGGCTTAATGGTTGCTCTCGCTGTGACAGTCGATATCGTGAGCAGAACATCTCTTCACCGTTTCCTCTCTGAATGTTCTTCCTACTAATTGACACGTCATCAGATCATCTTGATTGTGTGGTACAGCATAGACATCCCTCGCCCGAAACTCCTGCTGGACCCTAATGGATCAGAATACAGTATGTGTGTGAAAGGTTCTGCTCTTGGATGTCATCTGCCTCTGACGCATGTTTTTTTTTAATGTCAGTTGGCTGCGCGTCGAACAAACCGTCAACCGGTGATGCGGCAAGCGCCATACTGATCGCGTACAATGCTCTTTGGCTTTTCTCTGGGATCTACCTGGCTGTTAGGATTCGCAACGTCAAATCCGACTTCAATGAGTCGCAAGTACGTCCTATGTTTTATATCGCACCAAACATGAGGATTCAAACTGAAGAAACCCTTTGGTGACCTTTACAGCACATTATCCCATGCATCTACATACTCCTACTCGTATCCCTGATCCTCACGCCGATAAATTACACGTCCACCGTGCTTCCCTTTAGGGTTCGCTCGATATTCGTGTGTTTTCTGCAAGTCGTGGCCAGCACATTCCTCGTATGCCAAATGTTCGTTCCAAAACTCATCGCCTCAGTAGCCTGGGTGGCGACCCATGGCGCATCTTCGAAAAACACTCTTGAAGCAGGGTCCTCCATCGAAGAGAGCAGCGGCGGCGCACGCTCGACGATCATGGCGCCTGCCGCCAAAAGCGACCCTTCAGCAGAAAAGCTGTACATAGAGGTCAGCAAATCCTGAGCTGCTTCTTGTTGGTTTTGCTACTCTTAACTATCCACTCACTTGTTCTTTGCAAAGGTGCCGATGCTCCAAGTATCTTCTGGCGGCCTACTCTCAAAGTATACAGCGCACGAAGCAGTCATTTTGAAAGACTCGAATCGATTGATTCTGAAAAAGGTTTGGCCGACGCCAACGTTCCGCTCTTGTGTAATTGGTGCTGACCATATAGTATATTTGCAGTTCCGGCAGCAGCCAGCCTCCTTTTACGACTATTCTCCGGGTAACTTCACTCAGGTGGGCGAAACAGAGATCTTGTTCAAATCCCAGGACGAGACTCTCAAGCTCCGGTTTACAACGTCTGCTGCCCGCGACTCGTTCTTCTCAGCAATTACTGGAAATGCTAAAGGAGGAAAAGCAAGTTCCGCTACGTCTCCGATTCGCTCGGCGGGGAGAGCCATTCAAAAGTCTTCGTTCGTGGAAGCATAATTTTTCCGCTAAGCATGATTACGCGTGGGCTGCATGTGCGCCATGGCTTAGATGTAGTACACTCTTTGTTTCAAGTTGCGAAGAATGATAGATGTTACCTTCGATTCTCGAGGACTACTTCCCTCGTCCATCCATTAGCATAAACTTTCAACTGACAGTGCAACTGGATACGTGTTTTTTTGACGGCCGTCAAAAAGGGTACCCGGTTCTCGGTACAATTAGACCCGCAGCCGGTTCCCTCGGTAAAGTTACGGTGACGAAGGACATGTCCACATCCACTCTCAAGAGCGCTCGCATCTTTACGCCCAACACAAGAGCCATAACCCATCTCCGGCTCCAAACATCATCTCACTTTCGCCAAAATGAACAACGACCCCCGACCCCTGCCTCCCGGGTATGCACGGCCATTGCCCACCACCCTGGACTGACGCGCGCGATGGTGCTGATGTGTGAACTGCAAGAACTAATCTTATTTTTGACGTAGCTGGATCACGCAGTGGGATGCAAATTACCAGAGAAACTTCTTCGTCGGTAAGTCAAGCATACCCCTCACGCATAGCATCCGAGAGTTTTCGCTGAAGGACAGGTTACCTCCAGACACGACCACCGGGAAATCGTCTTGGGAGGACCCAAGGGGTCCACCTGGGGGTGCTCCTCAAAACTATGGTCAGCAGGGCCAGCAGGGTCAACCGCAGCAGAATTACGGTCAACACGGTCAGCCGCAGCAGAATTATCCTCCCCAACACCAACAACAACAGCAGCAGAATTATGCCCCGACGCCCCAGCAGTACGCTCAATACCAGCAGCAGCAAGGTCCTCCCCCGCACCACAACCCACCGCCTGGTGGTGCCCAAGATGACAAAGGCCTTGGGAAAATGGGTCTCGGCGTTATGGGCGGCGCAGCCGGTTTTGCTGCCATCTCCGGGCTTATGAACGCCGCAACCCATGGTGGTGGTCACTCAAGTGGAGGAGGTCATGGCGTGTTTCCCGGCGGAGGGGTGATTCCAGGAATGATGGGTGGAGGACACATGGGAGGTGGCAAGCACAAGAAGTATAAGGGAGGGAAGCATAAGGGGCATAAGGGGTGGGGTAAACATAAGGGCGGGTGGGGAAAGCATAAGGGGCACAAGGGCCGGAAGTATAAGTGAGCATGTTAGGATTTTCCCGACGGCGTAGGTTTAGCGTCGTGGGCGACGGGAACCAAATCGTGTTTCTACCACGAGCGAGGCATTTTCATCTTCCTCCCTGTTCTGTCGTTCGATTTTTGAGTAACATCCGTGTGTATATGAAGCAGTGAAAAAGATATTCATCGTTTGGTATGAGAGAGTATATATAATGCGTCTACAAATCCGCCTGCCCAAAAACCCCAAGCAAGCAACTGATCTTCCTCTTCCACCACTTTCCAGCGCTAATCTCCGGTGCAGGGATGACGATCATCCAGTTATAAGGGAAAGGGGGAAACCGATGGGCGTGCTACGTATACATACGATGAGAAAATCTAATGCTGAGGAGTCCCACTTTGGGAAAGAACTGTCTTTGCCGCGTGAGCGGATGCCACCCCATTCACGGCTTCCAGCACCTGCGACGGGATGTTCAGGATGTGACCCATCCGCTGCACTTTCGTAACCAGGTATTCGTCTCTGTCCTGTAACTGTATCGGCGTTGCATGCGTGCCGTTGGTGTTAAGTAGTGTTGTAGGTTGTGATGATGAGGATGGTGATGTTGATGCTGCTGCAGATGGTGAGACAGATGATTGTGATGCGGTGGTGATGGCAGAAGGCGGTAGCTTCTCGACAGGAATGCCGACGTTGACGCCCATCCGCCTCCAACTTGCTGGAATCATAGGCACTCGCTCTACTATTTCGATGCCGTCATTTTGTAGGTGGTACAGCTTGTCTGGGTTGTTCGTCAGCAGCCGCGCCTTGAGAACTCCGAGGTCCTTCAACATGGCGCTCGCGATTTCGTACGTCCGGGCGTCCGCTGGATGTCCGAGCGCGATGTTGGCTGCCATCGTATCGTGGCCCAGGTCAATGAGATTGTATGCCCTGGAAAGACGTGGGTCGTTCAACCAGATATTCCTTCGTCCCTATCAATTGGATCAAGGAGCAAGTGGATGCTCACCTCAGCTTCTCTCTCAGCCCTATCCCCCGGCCCTCCTGCTTCAGATACAAAACCACGCCACGGCCCTCCGCCGCCATAAGGCGCATCGCCTCCTCCAACTGCTCCGCACAGTCACAGCGCAGCGATCCCAACGTCTCTCCCGTAAAGCAACACGAATGGATCCGTATTAATGGCGCTGTGCTCACAACCCCGTCAGCGGACCCATTTTCTGTCGTCTGACGCTCCCCAGCCACGGACTTTACACCCCGCAGCATCCGCTCCTGATCCGTATCCCCCGGACGCATTTCCTCTAACGTGGCGCTTTCAATGTCCTCCCCGTAGACCAACGCAAGGTGCTCCTCGTCGTCCTTGTTGTTGCTGTACAAGTGCACATAGCACAGTCCGCCAAACTGTGATGGTATGCGGCTCCGTACTTCGCAACGCACGACCAGCGGTGCTAGCTTCGTTGTCACTCGTCTCGGGCCGGAGGGTGAAGTGGAGGAGGGCCGGGGATGTGCATGTCCGGCAAAGAACGGAGAAGGCGTCCTTTCCATCGAAGGTGGGAGCAGGGGGGACCCTTGCTCTGTCAGACCGTGGTCTAGCATATGAAAGGCCGGTGGAGTCATTGCCGGTCCGCAAGAGGGACTTTTTCCCAGTTCGAGTTTGCTCTAAAGCGACAGCGGGAAGGCCTGGGAAGGCCAAGCTTTGGCTGACAAATGTGCCCCGAGTAAAGGGAGGAGTCGGAGGACTCGAGCGACGACAACTTGCTTGATGGACGTCTCTGTTTGAGCTCTGCTACTGCAATAAGGCGGGTTCCTTCTTCGCTGTACTGTATGCCGGTCTTGTCGATGCAGCTCCTAACCTTTTATGTGACTTTGGGCCGGCGGGTTCTGTCAGGGAGTTCGGAGAAGAGCTTTTTGACTTTCCTCGCCCGCGTGTCTGCGTTGCTCGCCGGCTTTCTCCCGCTTCCGACTTCGACCCTGCTTCGAACACAAGTGGACGACCCCTACTTGCCATTCTGTACTAAACTTTCAAGGCATCCAGCTATCGAAATCCAACACTCACGTCACCTAGAAAATGGCCAACCCACCGACACCCGCTGCGCCGCCGCGCCCCCAGTCACACCCTCTGGATTTCGCTGGGGTGAGTTGTGTTTCTCCCACGAAATGTCTCGTCAAAATCTGGAGCTGGGAGGGAGGGAGACAGCAGCAATGGCAAAGCGGCCGAAACCGTAGGCATGAGTGAACGGAAGATCACTCTGTTGGTGGGGCCTTTAACGATGCTCTCCCACGCGATCCTTCGACCGCTCGTCAATGGGACCGCCGTATCGTCTATCCCTGAACGTTTGCTTACCTTTTCGGATATTGCCTTCATTTTCTAGATGCCCGTAACAGAAGCGTACAAGCACATCAACCGAATTGAGCGGCGGATGACACCCGAGCAGCTCATGCAGGCGAAAATGCAGATCATGAGACCTTATAAGACGAGGAATATGGCAGTCGGGGGTGGATTGATTGCCTTTGTGTTGGGGATATGTAAGTCGGATGGAGATTGCTTCTGGGAGATTATTTGAGGAGCTGCATCGGGAGGAGGAGAGGTGGATCCTCTGGGACGTCGGTTGCTTTCAGCTGACCGGTGTGTTTCTAGATGTGTACTCCATGTACAAGACGGGGCACGACGACTTTGACATCCCGGTCCCAAGGGCAGCGTCGGGGGCAGCCGCCACCAACGCCAAGACTGCTTGATAAGATCCCTACCCGCTCACGATTGAAAGCCTCAACGAACGGGTTCCTTGCTTGAAATATGTACATAGCTCCGCAATTTAATATCAAACTGCATCATGTCCAGTTGAGGACGCATTGAGGGCGCAGAGTCATTGGGTTGCTATGCCCGCTCCCAAGCCAAGTTGCAACCGAAGCTGAGCACACATATTATGTATTGTATAAGGGAACGTCGGCGAACATTTGTTTGCGGTCGTCTCCGATGGTCAAAAAGCGGATCGAGGAAAAAAATGCTTGTGATGCGGGACTATGGAGGGAAGAACTAACTACAAAGGAAAAGCCTCTTCTATGTTACAAGACGAAGACAGTGGGAGGATTGTGGGTAGGTAATGTTGAGTGATGCGGGAGCGGGACGTAAGTGTTTATCTCGCCGCAAACACCGGAACCACCGCGGCAGATGCGCAATCAGATGATTAGGCTGTAAGTGGAGATGGGGATGTCAGTTTGACGTTCGCATGTAGGGTGGACGGAACAAACAACACTCGTCTGCTTACATTTGGGGGCTTCCTTGTAGGACAAGGCGTGCTCCTCACCCATAGCGGCGACAACAGTCACAATGAGTTCCTTTCCTTCCTGGAATTCCTCAGTGATCTTCTTGCCGAGGTCGTTGTCAGGGACCTTGACATCGTCCTTGGTGCTGCCGTCGTCCTTCATGAGGGACAAGAAACCATCGTCGATGTCGAGGAGGGGGTACTCGATGCGGACAACATTGGGCACGTCCATGTTGTGGGTGGAAGGAGAGAGATCCTCGAGCTTCTTGCCGGTGAAGATGTCGATGGCAACCAAGTTGACCTTGGCGTGACCGTGCTTGCCTGTGGCATCGTAGCGTTAGACTGAGTTGGCCAAGCTAAGACAATGAACGGGCGTGCTTACCAGTCTTGGAGGTAGACATGTCAACGATCTTGCAAGGACGACCCTTGATGACAACATGACCGTTCTTACGCAGAGCCGAGCACTAGAAATTGCATATGTCAGTTTCCCAGTGTCCAAAAAATGTAAAGCCATAGGCAATTCCTGCGAAACAAACCTGCATAGGGTAGGTCAAAGAGGCACCGGCTAGATGAAGCGAAGGAAGTGTTAGTGCCCTCTATCCGTTCCAACATAAAGATATACTGCGTACGCACCCCCGACGGTCTCGAACTCTTCGTGTTGCTCCTCGTCGGCCATTTTGATCTGCGGGAATCGAAGCGAGAAGAAATTAGAACATGAACTCTAGCGGAAGCAATGCTGGCTCCGAGATCACTCGTCCACCCAAAGTAATCCAAAACCCTGAGGGTATTGTGAGGTCGTCACCGCCGACAGGACTGCCTCCGATGCTTACATTAGGGTTGTTGTGGGGTAGGAAGGGAGAACAACGTGTGGGGACAGTGCAAGTTCACAAAAAAACCAGAAGCAGGGAAGGGGCGAGCGCCGTCGTCACCCATCCACCCCGTGCGTTGTGCAAAAAAATGATTTCCTCCCTTAAAATGAGTGTGGCTTAGACCTGGCAAGGATATCAAACCGTTCTTTATGCTTTTTTCTCGTTTGGTTAAAACGCGTATTGGGTAATAACGGCGCCAAAAGTCTGCCCAACCTTCCTCAACCCAATCCTCATTCAACATCACAAAATACAACACGCTGGGTTGAGTAGTTCAATGAGGGGACCAGAGACAGGACGACCGTTTGTATCTATATATCTATGCTGTGCGTCGGGAATCTAGAAGAGTCCGCCTCGACGATGTTGCCTTCCAGGCAACGCTTTGCCGGCCGGTGTAAGGTGTTCCTCAGTGGGCAGTGGGAGGAGAGGTTCTTTTGAACCGGTTGGCTGCGGTTCTGACATCGAGAAGAACCAGTCCCAGAAATGAGTATGTAATCAGTCTATCAATGGATATATTGAGAAGCGCTACTGCTATAGGGTATTCCAAGAGGGTATGCTATGGAGTACGCCACGAGGGTTCAGCTAGGGAGGGAAATCAATTCTAAAAACGAGACGAGAAACAGCACAGCATAGAGGGAACTGCGAGCCGTAAATGATGCTCATCGGATTCACCCCAGCCTCCCGTCTTCCATCGTTCTCAATGGGACAGCTTCGGATCCAGCCTGCCCAGGATGCCGCGAAGCGATGGTTGTGTCCCCAGCAGCAGCGCGGAACTAGACATGCATCTTCGTTGCGTTGTGTCCCATTCCATAGTTGTCGGAATACTGGCCCATCAACCGTTCCTCAGCACCGTCGGCCACGTTCCCCTCCATAGCGCCCACACGGAATCCTGCCGCACGATATCCCGCGTCGTAGACCATATCGTCAGGTTCTTAAGATTGAGCAGTTGCGCGGCGCCGGCGCCTCCCGTCTGGCTCTGGCTGAAAAATCGGAGGAGGGACTGTCGTTGCGAGAGATCCTGCTGCATGTTATGCTATCCACACCTTAACTAATACTTGAACTCTGTGATCTTTTCGGCGCTTTCCGTATGGTGGTGTAGTGTGCGTGTAGCGAAGCAAGCGGTGTGTCCGAGATGTGTCCGAGGTGTTGTGGGGCGGTGGCAGGTTTGAGTCGTATTCCATGTTTCGCTTCGTTAAGGTGTTGTTTACCCGTCCCACCACCATCAGAATCCCCGATGTCCGAACTTGCCTGCATGCCCAATCTGCATGGTGGGGTGGACGATGGCTATATTGCGGGTGCCTTGCACAGGATACCCGTGCCAAAGGTCTCGCATCATACTCGACCCGGTACTTCCCGCGCTGCGTGAAGCCGGGCACTCACAACTTCCAGGGCGCGACTGCGGGCGAGTAGATAGGAGACCTTGGCACGAGTATTGATTCCAATATTGTGTGGAGCAGGTAGTGTTCGCTTGTTTGAGGATTGGAGGTTTTTGAAAGAGTTGCCATTCGCTGGCCTAGTCGAAAAGGCACGGATCTGCTGATCTGGCTACAATGCAATGGGCTGATACGGGCCAGGATACGGGCCTAGCGTTCCACTCGGTGGCCTCAGCCGATACGGAGGTGAGGTAAGTGTCGACGAAGCTCTGGTCGCCAAACAGTACTCACTAATCACCCGACAACCCTCGCTGTGCCCGCTGTGCCCATTACTTGGGCCTGCACCAGCCTTGAAGGTGCTAATGCCTAGCCGCATCATGGCCATAACCAGTCCATAGAGAAACGCTACGTCGACGAGCTGCAGGAGATTGATCGCATGCTTCCTCTCCAGATTCGTCATGTGACGGGTTCTGATTCGGTCCCCTGCCTCCGCAATGACCGCATTCCATGCCATTACAAGATAAAGCATTTTGTCGCCGGCGAAGAAGATGTGGTTGACAATAAGCTGTAGAGATGTTTGAATCCAAGCATTGGGAATGTTGATTCCATAGCTTCTCGTACGTACGCAAAATAGATGACGGCTTTGTAGGTTGTTGGCCCAATACTCGCGGATGTCATGACGTACGGGCCTTGGATCCGTGGAAGACGGGAAAACAGGTAAGCAGCACCTGAAATGTTTCGCTCGTTTCCCCCACTTGACAGAGTGTGGCCAATTCCCTCTTTTCCTCAGCAAACTTTGAGAGAATTGTTAAGGAAGGAGAAGGGGTTGGCGGCGACATCAGTCGCTGAATCTTCTTTCGATACCACTCGTTTTGCTTTTCCAATTCCGATATGTATGCATCCGTGCGCCCCGCATTTGAGGAAAGTCTGGCGAACGAGGCCGAGAAGGTGACAAGGGCGTTTGTGAAAGCGGCCGAGGCCACGGGTGCGAATTGTGCGAGAACAGCCACAAAGCTCCCAATCGCCTGAGAGAACGCCAAGTACGCTGGTGCAAACTCAGTCAGGACGGGTGACGTTGGTGGTGGGCGTGCGAGAACCACTTGGGGGAGGTGCGAGGCCACCGCCAACGACTTGGAGAGATGCGGCTTGCCGTTGGTTCTGCTCTTGCTGCTGTTGCGGATGTGGCGGGACGGCGGACGCGGATGTGGGTGGTGCCCTGCCCGTAGATGCCGTTTCGCGTCGATATCTATCTTTGCCCGGTATCTACGCTTGCGCTGTTTCGCTGCCCGCCGCTTCGTCAACACCAATAGATGTGGACGCTGCATCGGGGTGATACCGTGTCTGCTCACCGTCGTCGTGGATCATTGGCCCTCGATTTGAAAGGCCGTGGACTGTGTCACCACTGCCAGCCATAATGCCACCGACACCAGTTCACCCGCCAAGGTGATAAGTGAGATGGTTGGGGATGGGGAGGGCGCGGTGCGGCAGGGCGTCGCCGTTGGGCCCAGGCATCATAGTGGTTGCGGACGTTATAGTTGCGGTGGGCTATGAGATCCCTCCGATAGTCTTTCCGATGTCGTTTAAAGTCTACCTCTGGCGAGAATGGTATTTCGGCGGTGAAGACAAGGGCATGGGTGGCGATAAACTATTAAAAAGAAAGTCACGTGAAGACGCGTGTGGCGTCGACGTGGCGCCCCGCAGCAGCACCTGTAGTAGATGCCCCAACTTTCGCACTTTTGACACGCACACCTCACGCAACGACTAGAATGTCGCTTCTACAAGGCCTATTGGAGGACGTCTCCTCTACGAAGCCAGTCGACTACGACCCAGAGAAGGATGCAGCAGACGCTTTTGGCGGAAACGACTCGGATGCAAATAGCGCGGACGAGGGTGAAGACGCGACGGAGCACTATGTGAAAGTGGGGTAAGTTAAGAAATGGGAACGCTATTGGGCACATGGGCAATGTAGCTAACATGGAGGGTTCCCGAAAGGCGTGGCCGTCTCCGAGATCTTGCGGGGGTTGAGCTGGATCATGTAAAGTACGGCGGCAAAAAAGTGTCCCGAAACGCGATTTTCGGCGACGAAGCGAGCGGGAGTGGCGACGAGGACGGTTCTGACGATGGCGAGGAGGAGGGGTTATCGGAGGATGGAGAAGGGTTGGAAAGCGCAGATGGAGGAGAGTCTGCGTCAGGCGAAGATTTTGAAGAAGATTTTGGTGAAGGCGGTCACGAAGACGACGAGGAAGACGATGAGGACGAAGTGGGCGAGGATGATGAGTCTGACAACGAGGAGGAAGAAAGCGAGGACCAGAGCCAAGCAGAGGGAATCTCCCATTCCCAGGCTCGCGTTGCAAAGGAACTCCAGCAGTTGGCCGCAGAAGAGAGCAAACTCATAAAGAAGATGTCTGTGTCAGCGAAAGCGGATGTGGAAAAAGGACACCATGTCCGCGCACAGATTGTGAGTAATCTCGCGTGCATTTGAGCTCACAAAAGTACTGCGCTCTATTTGAGTAAGGTCGAACTAATTTCTCGATGCACAGATGCTTTGGGACAATCTTCTAGACAGCCGAATCCGTATTCAGAGGACAGTTTCTATCGCAAACCGCTTTCCCAAACCAGATACCTACCCTGCTTTCTACAACACCGCTTCCGAGACCGACCGGGCGGCTCTCGCGGAGACATCGGATGAACTTTTCAACTTGGTGGACGGCCTGATATCGCTTCGGACGTCTCTGATATCACAAAATCCTCAAGTCGCTGCAGCGGTTCCTGCCGCCGAATCCGCACGAAAACGGAAGCGCGATCCGTCGGATACCACTGAGATACAGCTGGAAACCCTCTGGAAACAACTGAACCCTATTGACACACAATTCAAACAATATCGGGATGCTACCATCGACAAATGGAACAACAAGGTGCAAATGGCGACGGGGGCATTGGCGCCACTGCAGAAGAAGTTCAAATCAATCAATCAGAGCGTAGTCAGCCAAATCAGACAGACTGTTGGCGATAAGGAGCGGTTGATAAAACGGTCTCAGCTGCGGAGATCGGATTATAGGTGCTTGGGGGAAGAAGAGAAAACTGAAGAGGATGAAAGGGCGGCGACTGAAGGGCGTAACGGTGCAGATGCGCACTTATCGAATCACGACGCGGAGATTTTCGATGATGGTGATTTCTATCAGCAACTGTTGAAGGAGCTCATCGAAAGCCGTATGACCGACACAGGTGCGTGAAGCATGAAGCCTTCCTCACTCATGTAACTCTTCCGTGGTCTGACAATTATCCTATTCCGTAGATGATGCTGTGCTGAACGGTCTAAAATGGGCGCACTTCAAATCGCTCAAGAACAGCTCCAAGAAAAAGAAGAAGGTCGACACCCGCGCCTCCAAAGGCCGTAAGATCCGGTATCATATACACGAGAAGCTCACGAACTACATGGCACCACAGCCGCAAGGCACATGGCACGACGAGATGAGTGAGGAACTTTTTGCCGGTCTCCTGGGACAGTCGGCATCATTGGCGAGCGGTGTCCGCCAAGCAGATCCGGTTGATGAGATCAAGGTGTCCAACGGCGTGGCAGAGGATGGATTTAGGATCATGTAGGCTAGTCCAAGGGCGAATGGAGCCATTAGGAAGTTGGTTAGCATGTGCCCCTGTGGACTTGGTTCCTAATGGTCATCCGCTACGAACGAACAGGCATCGTTGCATCTTTGCATGTAGCATTGTACAGTGTCTCTTAATTTAATCCGTCAGATCATATAGAGCAAGCAACACTACTACGCTATTGAGTCCACGTACGTAGGTTCTGAAATGAGATCGTTGTTGGTGAAAACCGCAAGGGAATATAACACGTCACGTGTCCCAGTTTGATTTGTGATGTGCGTGTGATGGAAGACTGATGAGAGGGGCAGCGACTTGCGGGGCCAACCAAGGGTTTTCCCACAAGCGACGACGCAGCGACAGCCAGCCGGTCGTTCGTTCCCTTTCCATCGATCTCCGTCTCGCGCTCGTCCTGCTTCACTGCTAAGACGACCAAACGAGAACGAAAAGGTACACTGCATACCCTCCCGGGCTCTGGAGGCCTGCTGCTGGCTGCTGCTGCTGCTTGCTGTGAGGACGGAGTGTGGAGCGCGAGAGAAGGGTGGCGGGTCGGAGGATCCACGAATCTCGCGAGTTCTTGTTTCTGATTTGGCTGCCTTCACAGACTTGGTTCGGTGACAAAAGTGTCGTCGCTTCCGAGAGAATACCACCCTTACCTTCCGCTTATGAAAAAAGTGACGAGGAGCATAAGGAGATTCTGCGTTCGAAGATTGTAAACCCTCTCTCAGGGAGTTGTTTTGTCTGGCGTATTTTTTTCATGGATTCAAACTGAATCTCCCACGCAAACCGTATAAAAGTTCGATCGATCAAGCTTCGGCTGGACCTGCCGTCTTGCGCGGACTTCTTCACGGTGGCCGGAATTGCCGCGGTGCGCTCGAAGTTGATCGCAAGATTCTCTCTGCACGTCCGAGCATCGTAATCAGCAAGCGTGACATAACCTCAGTCCGCTCGTGAAAGTGGTCAACGTGCTCGAATCGAAAGAGACTCGTCCGCTCTCCGCTTTCCGTTGCTACCGCCCGGCCTTTCGGAGTCCAATTCAAAAGTTTCGCACCTCTGATATCGAATCTTCACGATGGTTCACTCCGGAGGAATTCACCTGTTTCCGCCTTCGGCTATGCCGTTGCGGAAGACGCAAAAAATCCAGTTCGGTGTGCTCTCGCCTGAAGATACGGTATGTTATCTGGCGTTGCTCCTTATCCTATTGTGGCTTCTGTTGAAGGTTTTCTCAGACCTTGCGGCGTACTTTCTATTCCATCTGCCTTCCGTAAATCCATCTGGAAACCTCTGATTGACCTTTCTTATGCTCATTCTGCACGGCGTTTGGCAAACAACAGAAAGCCATGTCTGTAGTCAAAGTTGAGCATTCCGAGTTCTACGAATCCGAAAACAATCCCAAGCAAGGTGGTCTTCTGGATCGGAGACTTGGGACGACCGATAGGAACTTCAAATGTGCCACTTGTGGCGAGAACATGACGGACTGCCCTGGACACTTTGGTCACATTGACCTTGCCAAACCTGTTTTCCATGGAGGTCGGTATCGGGGGCCAGGCTCCTCATGCTCTTCCCCTCAACTGTAACTAACTCTCCTGGATTTTGGGCACCAGGTTTGATCAAGAAGGTCAAAAAGGTTTTGGAATGTGTCTGTTTCCATTGCGGGAAACTGAAGGTGAGAATTGGCAAGTCAACTATACATTATTCATCCCCTCTGCTGATCGGAATGGTTCACGTTTTAGGTTGACTACACGAACACGAGATTCGCTGCTCTGCAAAGACTGAAAAACCGGGCACGGCTCTTTGAGGAAACATGGGATCTTTGCAAAGGGAAAATGATCTGTGAAGGCGCAGAACTGAACGACGATGATGTATGTGCATGGCAACATTATGTTCCTGCATTATTTTCCCCGGGCGATCGTGCTCAGACTAATCTACTTCGCTTCAGATGGAGGACCCAATGCAGCCCAAGAAGAATAATCACGGGGGTTGTGGCGGAAGGCAACCAGTGTTCAAGAAGGACGGCACGCTTTCATTGTCCACGTTCTGGAAATCCACCAAGGACGAGGTAAGGGTTTGTGCTCTCCTGGTCGCTCATAACGCCTGCTTATGTAAAACCCTTTTGCAGATTGAAAGCGGCCAGGAGGCGGCAAAGTCGCTCCCTCTTACCGCCGAAAAGGTGTTGCAGCTCTTCCAAAAAATCACCGATGCAGACTGCGTCAGCATGGGTCTCAATCCTCAATGGGCCCGCCCTGAGTGGATGTTGATCTCAGTTCTGCCAGTGCCCCCAATGGCTGTCCGACCAGCTGTGAGCATGGACGGTGTTGCGACCAATCAGGACGATTTAACGCACAAGCTTCGCGATATCGTTCTGGCCAACAATTCGTTACGGCAGCATGAGACCGATGGCGCTCCGGCACACATCATCACCGAGTACGAAAACCTCCTGCAATACCACATCGCGACGTACATGGATAACGATCTCGCAGGTGTACCGCAATCTCTGCAAAAGTCCGGTCGGCCCCTGAAGTCCATTCGCGCCCGTCTGAAGGGGAAGGAAGGCCGTCTTCGTGGGAACTTGATGGGGAAGCGAGTGGACTTCTCCGCACGTACGGTCATCACGGGAGATCCGAACTTGTCCATCGATCAAGTCGGAGTTCCACGCAGTATCGCTCGAAACTTGACGTTCCCAGAAATGGTCACGCCGTACAACATCCATAAACTTCAGGCGATGGTGAAGAATGGACCGATGGAGCATCCTGGTGCCAAGTACGTCATCAAGGACGACGGACAGCGTATCGATTTGCGATACAACAGGCGCGGTGCAGATATCCATCTGCAGAGTGGCTATCGTGTGGAGCGACATCTCGTGGACGATGACATTGTCATCTTCAACCGTCAGCCCTCATTGCACAAAATGAGTATGATGGGTCACAGAGTTCGAGTCATGCCGTATTCTACGTTCCGGTTGAACTTGTCCGTTACAAGTCCTTACAACGCCGATTTCGATGGAGACGAAATGAATTTGCACGTTCCGCAGTAAGTGAAACTACAAAGAACGGTCAGGTTATGGAAGCACAGCTGAAATAATGTTAAAAGATCCTACGAGACCAAGGCCGAGCTTCTGGAGATTTGCATGGTCCCCAAGCAGATTGTGTCGCCGCAGAAAAATGCCCCGATCATGGGTATTGTACAGGACACCCTTTGCGGTATCCGCAAGTTTACGAAGCGTGACACCTTCATGCGCAAGGATCTGGTCATGAACTTGCTGATGTGGGTTCCGGACTGGGATGGAACAATACCGCAACCAGCGATCCTGAAGCCGGTGCCTCTGTGGACCGGGAAGCAAATCATCAGTCTGGTCCTGCCGCCGAAGATCAATGTCAACGGAAAACATACCGCGTTCGTGGCTTCAGCAACGAACCCTGACATAGATATTCCCGACTGTCGCGTGCTGATTCAAGATGGGGAGCTGTTGAGTGGTATTCTGGACAAATCGATGGTTGGTGCGACCGCCGGCGGTATTGTTCACGTCACCATGAACGAGCATGGTCCCGAAACGGCGAAGAAGTTCTTCAACGGATGTCAGACCGTTGTCAACTACTGGCTTTTGCAACACGGCTTTTCCATTGGCATTGGAGATACCATCGCTGACGCCCAGACTACTGAGCAGATCAACGACGAGATTAGCAAAGCGAAGTCGGCTTGCGATCTAATCATCAAATCGGCGCACCAGGGCCAACTGGAGGTGATTCCTGGTATGAACGTCCGCGAAACCTTCGAAGCTCAAATCACGAAGGAACTCAACAAAGCCCGTGACGGAGCTGGTAAAAGTGCTCAGAACACCTTGAAGGAGTTCAACAACGTGAAGCAGATGGTCGTAGCTGGGTCCAAAGGATCATACATTAACGTGGCGCAAATGTCCGCTTGTGTCGGTCAGCAGAACGTCGAAGGAAAGCGCATTCCCTTCGGTTTCAAATACCGCGCGCTTCCGCATTTCACGAAGGATGATCACACACCTGTAGCCCGTGGATTCGTGGAAAACTCGTACTTGCGTGGCCTCACACCGCAAGAGTTCTTCTTCCACGCTATGGGAGGTCGTGAAGGTCTCATTGACACCGCCGTCAAGACTGCCGAAACCGGTTATATCCAACGTCGTTTGGTGAAGGCGCTGGAAGATTTGATGGCTCAATACGACGGAACTGTTCGGAACGCTCTTGGAGAGATTGTCCAGTTCTGTTACGGTGAAGACGGAATGGACGGAGCCAAGGTCGAGAGGCAGACACTGGACAGCTTTGCGATTGACGACAACGAGTTTGTGAACAAATACAAGGTTGACATGGCGTCGGACAAGTTCCGTTTCAAGAACAATTCGTTGGAGTTCAAGATCTCCGAGGATCTGATGAACGAGAGTGCTCAGGCTCGCTTTGACGCTGAGTTCGAGCAGCTGGAGCTCGATCGTGAAACGCTGCGAAAGGAGATCTTCGGGCGGAATAGCAGCACAGCGTGGCCGCTACCACTCAACATCCATCGAATGGTGTGGAACGCACAACATGCGTTCAACATTGACCGGAGGAAACCTACGAACTTGCACCCTCTGAACGTCATGGACTCGGTCAAGAGTCTCCTTGACAGGCTGGTTGTTGTTCGTGGACACGATGAATTGTCCAAAGAAGGTCAAGAAAACGCGACTCTTCTGTTCCATATCCTGATTCGTAGCGTTCTCTCGTCGCGCCGTGTCATTGAAGAGTTCCATCTCACCAGCGAAGCTTTCGATTGGATCATCGACGAAATCAACACCCGTTTCAACCAGTGCTTGGTGAACCCCGGCGAGATGGTCGGAGTGCTTGCTGCTCAGTCGATTGGAGAGCCCGCGACTCAAATGACGTTGAACACTTTCCACTTGGCTGGTGTGGGTTCCAAGAACGTCACGCAGGGTGTACCGCGTTTGAAGGAGATTATCAACGTGGCGAAAAACACGAAGACGCCCGGTCTCTCGGTTTATCTGCTACCAGAGTTCAGCGCCTCGGCCGATACGGCAAAGGTCATTGCGGAACAGTTGCAACACACGACTTTGTTAAACCTGACCAGTAAAACTGAGATTTGGTACGACCCTGATCCTTTGAACTCGGTCATCGAATCGGATCGGGAAATCATGCAAGCCTGGGCGGAAATGGAAGACGCAGCGGAGTTGGGCAACTACTCGCCGTGGGTCCTTCGTATCATCTTGAACTTCAAGGCGAAGTCAGACAAAAATTTGTCGTTGTTCGACATTAGTACGAAAATTCAAGAAGTGTTTGATCAGGATGTCAAATGCTGGGTGTCCGACGATAACGCGAAGGATATGGTTATCCTGGCTCGTATCAAAACCGATACCAAGGACGGCGACGGGGATGAGGACGGCAAGTTGGATGAAGACCAGTTCTTGCGAAAAGTCGAGGAGAACATGTTAAATCAGATCACGTTGGCGGGTATACCTGGTATTCATCGTGCCTACCTGAGCGAGATCTCTCGGCCGACGTACGATGAAACGGGAAGGCTCAACCCAGCGGGCATCAAAGAGTGGTACCTGGAAACGGAAGGAACCGGTCTTGCTGCCGTGTTGGCTCACGAAGGTGTCGATCAACGACAGACCACGTCCAACTTCATCGTCGAGATCGGCGAAGTGTTTGGTATCGAAGCGACTCGTGCGGCTGTCCTCAAAGAAGTGCGTGGAGTCATTGAGAACGACGGTTCGTACGTCAATTACAGGCATTTGGCGATGCTTTGTGATATCATGACGCAGCGGGGAACCTTGATGGCTATCACGCGTCATGGCATCAACCGCACGGAAGCTGGCGCTCTTGCTCGATCGTCTTTCGAAGAGACGGTTGAGCTGCTAGTTGAGGCGGCTGGACAGGGTGAGGTGGACGACTGTCGGGGTGTGTCCGAGAACATCATTCTTGGGCAGCTGGCACCCATGGGGACCGGGTTCATTGATGTAATCCTGGACGAGAACGTTCTCAAGAACGCGCCGGTGGACCTTGGTCTTGGCTCAAGCCACGGCATGGACACCGGTGGCTTCACCCCGGGTTTCATGTCGCCCGCCCACACCCCGTACTTCGATCGCAGCGCTGGCGGCGGATACACCCCTATGGGTGGGTACTCCCCTATGGGACCCGTCGTTTTCTCGCCGTACGGTCCAGATGCGGGTATGAAACCTGCGTTCACCCCTGGTTACGGAGGTGGCACTAGCCCTGGTTACAGCCCCACAAGTCCGAACTACAGTCCGACCAGCCCCAGCTACAGTCCGACATCTCCGAGTTACTCGCCGACAAGCCCCTCGTATTCACCGACGTCACCTAGCTATTCGCCGACGAGTCCATCTTATTCCCCAACGTCGCCGAGTTACTCTCCAACTAGCCCGAGCTACTCGCCGACGAGTCCGTCATACTCCCCAACATCCCCGAGCTACTCGCCCACCAGTCCTAGCTACTCTCCGACGAGCCCCAGTTACAGTCCAACCAGTCCAAACTACTCGCCGACAAGCCCGAGCTACAGCCCTACGTCGCCGAGTTACTCTCCAACGTCTCCCACTTATTCTCCCACGTCTCCGACGTACTCGCCCACCTCTCCTACATATTCGCCCACATCTCCAACATACTCACCAACCTCACCAACGTACTCGCCGACATCGCCTACCTATTCCCCCACTTCGCCCACATATTCCCCCACGTCCCCCACCTACTCTCCGACTAGCCCAACCTTCTCGCCCAACTCGCCAGCGGGAGGTTCAGCGATTGCGGGAGGAGGTTACAGCCCCGCGGCGGCAAGTCCGATGTATTCGCCCAGCACGCCGTCGTACACTCCTATGAGCCCAGCTGCTGGCGGAAGCACCTACAGCCCGATGAGCCCCGCCTACCAACCCAATGGGACTCAAAACAGGAACAATGGAGCGGCAGGATCAGACGGTGGTAGCTCGTCGTCCTGAAAACGAAACTCAGATTCAACCATCAAAGGAAGGCGGTCTGCTTCTTGAGAAGAATCGATCTGGACTCCCAAAAAAGAACACCGAAGAAACACAGCTTTGGCCTCGCCCTCTCGTCTGTGCTTTTGCATCTTGCGATCTGTAACCCTTCGATTCCTGCACAAAAACGTTAGGGTCGCCAAAGCTGCTTGTTAAATGAGTGAGAGTTGACCTGCAACTCTTGTGGTCTTGTGTTAGTGCTTAAAGCTGCCGGGCTCATTGTATTTAAAAACCATGTGTTTTGCCCTCGGCCCGAATACAAAATCAAACTGTAAACCCCTGGCAAAGCTAATATGTTGTGCAAATGAATGCCAGTGGTCGGAACGACTACATACATGATACACTTTTCGTGATTTGGCCACTGGATGGGAACCGGGTGATTTTGACTGCGGCCGTGTTCGTTCGTCGTTGTACGATGGACGCGAATCGGAGTCAACCGCACAGCTGATGACATCTGAGATCAGAGGGTTCAAGAGCGCTATACACGTCCTTTGAACTTGACAGTTCTGTGCTGCACTTGGCGACTCGTACATTATATACTTTGCCCCATTTGTGTCCATGGGACGAGGACGCTGGCAGCCATTATGGCCGCCCACAAGGTGCTGAAGTGCATACCGACTACCAGTGACCTGGGCGGCGTAGATCTAGAATCTGGTGGGTTGTGGACGCGGTCACGGTCACGGACGCCCGAAATTTGAACAATCTGTCACTTTCTGGTCCCTGCGCGGCTATGGCCCCGAACGAAGCCCAACGAGAAACATATAAATAGCGCTGTTGCCCGCAGCCCCCTGTAGCCCTGGTGCGCTTGGATTTCTTGGTGGCCTTTTCCGTGCTGCGCGGCTTGAACGTCCGCTTTTCTTTCTAAGTTCGAGTGCGAAGGGTACTGAAACATGCCCTCCCCTTCACGTCTTCGCTGGCCGTTCGCCGTGGCGGCCGCCTTCTTAAATCTGTCCAATGCCTGGCTATGGTCAACGTACGCCGGCGCCTCCAAAACAAGCGCTCAGTATTATGAAAGAGACGAATCGGCCATCACGTAAATGAAGATCGCGGCCTGTTTTCGCGTTGTTGACTGAGCTTATCCTCACAGACATCCCCCTTTCTGCAGATGGTTCTCGCTTTCGTATATGGCCGTGTTTATACCACTGACACTCGTGGCATCGTGGGTCATTGATGTCTACGGCCTACGTGCCGGATTGCTACTCGGAACGCTTCTGAACGTCGTCGGGGCATGGATTAGGTACGCGTCGTCAAGTCTTCCCGGCGTGGATGGGAGATTTGCTCTGGCGTTCGTGGGCCAGGTGTTGTCGGCCACCGCGCAGCCTTTCATCCTTGCTGCACCACCAAAGATTGCGAATATCTTTTTCCCGATGAACGAGCGGGCGTTGGCGGATGGAGTTATGAACATCGCCAATCCGATTGGAGCCGCGGTCGCCCTCGTCACCGTCCCGATGGTCGTGGACTCGAAGCCCGAGAATATCCCGTCCGCTCTGCTCGTCGCGGCCATAGTCGCTAGTCTACCGGTTCCGTTCTCCTGGTTTCTGTTCAGAGACGGCCCACATTCCACCACGTCGGTGGGCTTTCTGAGACGAAGCAGTGGGACCACAGAGGACCCACCATCTCCATCGAAAGGCATTACAAGCCCCCATTCCGCGATGGTTCCGCCCCACCCGGAACCTGCGCCGGCCGGCCACACGTTGACAAGAGCAGAATTCATGGTGTGTGTTCATAAGCTAGTCAACGATCCTCAGTACATCAAGCTGATGATCGGGTTCGGCGTCGCCATCGGCATCTTCAACACCTTCGTTTCCGAGTTGTCCTTCATCGCTGGGGAGGTCGGGTATTCGGAAGACGAGGCGGGATACGTCGGGTTTGCGGCTATCATTTGCGGGATTTTTGGATCGCTGGCTGCATCTGTATTTCTGGACCGGGCGTATCGGTTCGAGTACTTCCGCGCACGTGCTCCGGCGAACGTAGCATCCCTTTCCAAGCCGTCGTCTACGACGGATCTTCCAACTGTTGCACCCACCCCCCTTGCGGCGATACCACAAACTCCTGCTAGTGTCAAGAAAAATGGATGGTATCACCCAGTGTCTCCACATTCATTCATCTTCAAGACCGCCTACGCGTTAGCCTACCTCTCCCTCATCGCCTTCTCAGCATCCATGCGTGAAAACAACCTCGCCCTCCTCATGCTCTTCTCCGCCATATTCGGGTTCGCTGCATTCGCCGTCCTCCCCACCTCGCTTGAACTCATGGTTGAGATTACCTACATCAAGCCGGAGCGTTTGAGCAGCGCCAATGTTGCCCACACAGAGGTTGTAGCGCCGCCGCTTTCCGCAGCGGGAGTGGAAGGGATCGGTGCGTCGGGTTTATGGGCCACCGGTCAGATCTTTGGGTTGGTTATGGCGCTCGTCACGGATGGGATAAGACGGGGCGTCGGGGCGGACAATGTCCGCGGATATGAGGTCTGGGTTATGCCCGTTGTTGGGATTCTGGGCGTTTCGCTCGGTATCGCGACGACTGTGAGGATGAAGAGGTTGTGGGCGGAGGCGCAAGCGGAAGCCAGTAACGCGGACGTTCGAATGAGAGAGCAAGAGGTGGAAGTTGGTGGAACTACAGTCGGAACTGCACAATTTGGATCGGGCGCTGTGGATACGAAGTGATGTTGCAAAAGACATGTATACCCTTACTATCACTCGAATTGCTGTTTTAGATGGGACTGAAGCTGCTTTTTGTACATATTTTGATAATGAGCAAAGCGCTGGCTGCTATCTTAGTCTTTCTACATTCCCCTTATTCGAGAAGGAAGGAATCCGGTGTCACCACCCTGCTCTCGCCAATACCTTTATTTTCGCTACATCCATCCATCTATGTCTGCTCTCCCTAGCAGGTTGATGCCCTTTCTCCATCACTCCAGCGAACCGTATGTATGCTGCTTCCATCCCGCGGTCTCACCCTACCGTTCTAGAGATTGGGCACCGTTGGCCTTCATGTATCCTACGAAACCCTAGTCCGTATGCTGAAAATGAGACCCTAAAGAGGAATCTTTAGACTCAACGTATTGGCACCCCAAGCAAATTCGAGAGTAGCCAGGTAGTTACTTTCCACAAATCCTCGCTTCCGCTGTGCGAGTGATCCCTTGAATCAGACTCGCTCGCCGTCTACATAAATCGAACTTCGACGTCATCTTCGACAGATAACGCGCGACCTCGCGGAGAACTGTAAGGAAAACCTCTTCCACTGTGATGGGCATCCGAGCAATCCTTTGCTTCCCGGGCGCGCTGCATCCATGGTTCTTTCCCTGAGCCAGCGTGGCACTTTCATGCCATCCATCTGCATGTTTTTCGTGTCGCGCCTCGAAATACATAGTAGCAAACGGTTCCTTTCCTCCCGCGACCCGAAAAGTGCATGTGGGGCATCAAAGACGCGCTTTGAAAATCGTCCATAGCATAAGCGCGATGTGAACTCGTTGCATGTAGCTGCCACATGTGCATGCGCTAGCATTCTACGGTATCCTCCTCGTCTGGACTTCTTCGCGTGTACTCGCCGAAGTAGGTTTTTTTTTCCGGAACTCGCGCGCCTCGTCAAATATTGTCATCGGTCCATGCTGTCCAGGCGTCCAGCCCCTCCTTGCAAATGTATTGCAGATAGCCCAGCTACGCCAGTCCTGTTGTTCCGTGGGCACGATAGGGACTTTTCAAGCGTTTCATCGCTCAGAGCCACATCGCCTCAAACCGTCCCTTTCCAATAGACTCCTTCCCATCTCATTTTCGCATGGGAGCATCATGGGCCCAATTCTTGACACTGTCCAATGTGGGGGTCTCCAATGATTGATTCAGTAAGCCCATGTGTCCGGCTGCAACCGCCCCTTTGTAATTCCATCACCGTCGCGGTTTTCACATGTGCTTGTTGCCATAATCATCGTCCCCCACAAAATGTGTCAATAATGTCATTTTTCGATAACTCCGCTCGCGTAACTTCCCCCAAGGTCCAACTACGGCGAATAACAGCTCCTGGTATGCGATTGGTGACATGTTATGGTCATCATCATGCTAACTGTCTCCGGATTGGCGAGGAAACGCACCGTCCACGTACAGCATCACTGCAAACCTATTTAGCGCCCAGGCTGGAAGATGTGTCTGAACTCATCAATGCGCCCTCGTTGCACTTCTCATCTGCTTTTTTCACTTATTCTGTCCGTACATCGTGCGCTGGTGGATTACTGTCCTATGCATTCACCATCGCTTGTCTCGCCACCATATGTATATGAGGAGACCGCCCAAGAAACATGACAATATCGCTTGAATCGACGCCGAGTCCCGTGCAAACACATGTCCTGCCCTCGCAAACAGGGAGGTGCCGTCCTATACCATAATGTCGCCCGCATGGAAACAGTGCTGTCATTCGAGCCCATTTTGGTTCTCTCCGGGCCCGTGTATTCCATTTCAAATCGCATGGCGCCCCCAGTCCATGCAATCGTTCCACTACTTGCGCACCCATGCTCCGCCCAACTAGTCCCAAACCATATCGCTTTGCGCTCATCGATGTTCGTCATCATTACAGGTATCCGTTGGTATTGTTCCTCGATATATCTCTTTCCAGACCATTCCAGACCTGTTTCGATGGGGTTAGGCGTCTGCGAGACAGGTGGGTCCCGAGTACGTCTCTCTGAACGCATCGAAAGGGTGTAGAACTTACAGTTGGTTGGTTCGTCTGGTACATACGGGGTGTCTGTCCTCATCCGTCTCGGTTCTCGCCCGACCCACCACTGCTGAAAAATGCAAGGGGGGGGGGGGGGGGGGGGGGGGGGGGGGAATCCGACCCAGCCCGTCCATTTAAAGGCCGGTTGAGACACGCGCGAGTTAAGCGTATGCTATCTCTCGCCATCTCCTCCCAGACATGCCCTGCCTCCAGACGTTTAAAAAGGCAAACATCGATGCGCATACGACGGCGTCCATGAAAACAAGGTTAAGCGAGTCGACGGACTTGGCGAATGCACACTGGCCTGGATCGTTTTTTCTCTCTCGCTCTCTCTCGCACTGACGCAATTGAGCGGGTTTTGCGCAACATCGATGTAAACAACTCAGCCATTTGATGGGGCGGCGAGGAGAACAAAGAAGTCCTCCCGCACCGGGCCAGGTCTCCTTTACGCCTCACTAGCGATTGAGATGTAATGAAGCGATGTTCGGGAAATGGGACTTTGAACGGGAATTCGGGGGCGGATCTTAAGTTTTTCGAAGAGAGGCGAACTTGTGTATTAAGAAGCTCGAGGGAATTAGGCCCGGGATGGCGTACTCCCCAGTGCACTAGATTTCCAGTATTTATACCCCGTGGAGGAATCCACCCCCTCCGCCTGCTTCCCTTTTTCCCTCTTCCACATCGTTGCCGTATCGTAACCGCCATTACCGCCACAATCGCCAATCAATCCGTTTTTCAAACCAACAGGTGACTTACTTCTGAAAAAGCGTCTATAGAGTGCCGAGGGAGCTTGATTGAGCTCAACCGTGGTCTACTGGTAGCGATGTGTGCGAGAAAAGCGAGCGCATCTCAGCTAGGCAAAGGATGGTTACGATGATGAACAAGAGACGTTTGCCAAAGGCTTCGTCGGGGCGACCTGCCTCCCAACTGCCATCTTATATGTGATACTGTCCGCCACCATTGCTACGGACGCCGTCAACTGCGGCGGCGGGCAATGCAAAGGCGACTCCTGAGATTATGTGATTGCTTCTGTTGGGTCAACTGACACATCTTCCAACAATTTGTGCGATTGACAGGTTTCTTCCTTCCGTTCTTCCGCTCCTTGAATCCTTCTCCGACTACTGCGCAGTTCATTCGGACACCGCGTCTTCACGTGAGGAGCTTGATCATCTATATCTCACATTTTAATTGTGCAATGAGTCATATTCACGTGTCTTACTTCTCTTTTCTTTCTCTCATCATCATCATGATGGCTTGCCCACGCACGCGTTAATTCCCTGTTCGACACACGCAAGCCACCGCCCCTTTCCCCTCATACAGCACATCAATCATTTCAAATGGGCAACCCACTGTTCCGCTCGCGTTCCGCCTCTTCGTCCGCCTCCTCGTCGGCCTCGTCGCTGAGTGGGCAGCCGGTGGTGGTGACTCCCCCTCGCGGTTTTTGTTTTTCTGTTTGCCCTCTCGGTCTCGGCAAGACCCCCCAACGCAAGTCGGCCCCCGCCCTCTTGGAACCCTCGTTCGACAACGGGATCCAACCCTCCCTCACCCACTCGCACAGCGGTAGCCGCCGTAGGCACACCGTCCCCACCTTCACAACAAGCCCGCACCGGATCGTAACGTACCCCATCCTCTCCTTGGGCTTCGTCAAGAGTCTTACTTCACGTCGCAGTCCCACTACGGGTGTTGCGGACACAATCGACCCGCCTCCCCCTCCCACCACCCACATCATCATGACCACGACAACAACCTGGGCACAGCGTGCTTCCTCGGGTGCGGCCAAGAAGGCTTCGGTGCCGCCACCGAACCCTCAGCAGCCGCCTGCTCCTGCCGCACAGCAGCAGCCGGCACAGCAGCAGCAGCAGCAACAGCAACGCCCGCCTAAACCCGAACGGACAGGAACGGATCAGAGTGGCTTCGGAGGCAGCACTGCGGGCAACCATAAGAAGAATACCGGCCACAAAGCCAAGCAAATACCTTCTGCTGCCAAGGACGGGCCCAAAGGTGCTGTGCCTGCAAGTGACCCGGTACAATCCCAACGCCGTCCCTCGTCAGCGGCATCCACTCGATCAGTCGCTGAAACAGCACCCCATTCCACCACCAAAGTCACTTCTCCCGCACTCTCTAATACTCATACTCCCACCACTATAGCAGCGACAGAAGCTACTCCGGTCGCCAATGGGGAGCAGCCAAGACCGACCACCGCAACCAAGCCACTGAGTTGGGCGGCGGCACTGGGGACGGTCAATGGACCGCAAAAAGGTGCGCCAGTGCATAGCGTTTCGATGCCCCCAAAAGCGCCTAATGGGGATAACGCGAACGCTCCACGGGGAACGCATCAAAAGGGAAAGGGCGGCGCCGGTGGGAACAAAGGGCAGCAAAAGAAGGACGCTAATGCAAGGTGAGCTGCGAGCCGAGGGTTTACCGAGCGGAGCCGTTTGTTGAGCGAACCGAGGCTGGTTCAGCCTGGGAGACCGCAGCGAAGCGAGCGAACCTCTTCGTCAAAGTCACAATACTCCCCTAACTACGGCTCTTAGCGAGCCTCAGCGAGCGTCAGATTGTTTGCGAGCGAAGCGAGCACCACATTGCGCGCTCAAGATTCCCCTCACTCATGCATCGATCGAACCATCTTACCAATCAACCAACTTGATTGGTTGATGGTTGATGATCGCTGATAGTTTCAGGGTTGATGATATCCTGATTGTTGATGGTTGCTCACGTTGTTCGTTCTCCTCCCTCAAGCAGACAATCGGCGGCTAGTCCCGATACGGGTGTTCAATTCAAGGGTGCAGCCCTTCGGAAACTGCAACAATCGGCCTCTGCGGGGCCTCAGAATAAGAAGCCGAGCTTCGGCTCCTTCGACGAGGCAACCGCTGCCCCGCTGCCTTCAGATGCCGCGACGACTACCGACGCGACGGCAATTGCAGAGGCACCGGCTGCGCCGGAAGTGTCGGTTTCTCCTGCGGCACTGCCAACACCCTCGGTTGCCGGACCGATAACGGCCCAACCGACCCCCATACCGGCAGCCGTCCGAAACTTGGCGCCTCAGGCAGCGATACCAAGGACAATGTCCGCACCCCCATCAATAAAACAAGTACCACCAACCACCGTCGCGAGTACCCCCGCCGCTGTTTCCGAAGCCACCCACACAATACCTGCACCGCTCGCAGATACCCCAACACCGCATCCGGCGGCGCAGACTGGGACGGCGTCCGTTCACCATGCGGGGCTACCCCACCCGCCAACCAATGTCAGCCAGGGACATCACGCGCCGCCTAACCACTATCAAGGCACCAACCAGCACCAATGGGCGCAAGCCCAGCAGCACGCATACGCGCGAAACGTGCAACCCCAGCACGGCAATTCCATGAGGCCGCCCCCAATGCCCGGGTACCAAGGAAGGAACCCGCGCAACCAAGGGATGCCCCTTGGCATGTCAATGCCACAGGGAGTACAACCGATGGCCCCCACGTCCATGGGTTCTCCACAGCATATGTTTTATATGCCTCAGTACTACTCGCCGGAATACGCCAACATGTATGCGTTTCAACAGTACCCTCAACAAGGGTATATGGTTCAAGGCATGCAGCCACAGAGCGGCGCGCCCCCGACTTCGAATCGGTACACTGGCCCACCAATCCTGAACCAGTCGTCTCAGCAAGGTGGCGCCGTTCAGCAGGCCACACCAGCGAAGCCTAAGCCGAGAGCCGCCATCTCTCTCAAAACGCCGGACGGCAAAGCGTTAGATCTTCCAAAGAGCTCATCGGCTACGGTTACAACTAGACCGACCATCAGCGCACCACCGACAGCAACGCCCGCGCCAGCGACTGCAGCTCCACCGGCAGCCACACCTTCGGCGCCTGCCCCCGTCAAACGCACTCCGATCACCTTAAAAAATCCGGAGACCGGCGAGTCGGTCGTCTTATCCCAAGGTGCGTCTGTTGCGTCGGTGTCGAGCGTCTCTGCGCCAAAGGCCCACGCGGACGGACCGGCTGCTGTTTCCGCTCCATCGAAGCAAGATGAGGTATCGGTTGCGAAGGCAACGGAGGCGTCTGTCAAAACCACGAAAGAGGCACCGGTAGCCAAGGAAGTCGCGGCTCCTGCTATCGAGAACCCAAAGGTCGCTGAGAAGCCCGCCGTCGCAGAGGCAGCCCCCAAACCTGCGAAGGAAGCGGAGCCTGTGCAACCCAAAGCCGCTCCTGTAGTGGTTGAAACACCGAAGGTTGCAGAGAAACCTGTCGTAAAGCCCATCCCAGCACCTGCGGAAAAGCCTGTCGAACAGCTCAAGCCCGCCGAGAAGGCAGCTTCCAAGCCCGTTGTGAAGGCCGAGGAGAAGCCGGCTGTTGCGGAGAAGGTAGTTGCGGACAAGGTAGTTGCGGATAAGGCGGAACCGGCGGTTGTGTCAACGGACAAAAAACCAACGCCTTCCGTTCCTTCCGTTCCGACCAAGAAGGAGGAAGCACCCAAAGCAACTGAAGTAGCGATCGAAGACAAGAAGACCATTGCGCATGTACCTTCGGTCGTGGACACACCCAAACCAGTTGCCGAGATCAAACCCGAAATGGAAACTGCACCCTCGGTCGTTGCACCGCAGAAGGAGTCCGTTGTCACCGCGAAAGCTGACGCTGGGAAGACACCAGCTGCCCCTAAGGCAACAGCGGACGCTGACGTCAAAGGGGACAAGCCTGCGAAGGTCCCAGCTACGGTCACAAGCCCCGAACCCAAAGAAAAGGAGAGCAGCTTGGAAGAAGGCGAAATTCCGGAAAGCCCGGCACCCTCGAAGAAGTCAGTAGCCGCACCGTCCGCAGACGGTCCCGTGAAGACACCGGTTTCGAAAGCAGAAAAACCCAAGATGATCCGCTTGGAAACCTTCGAGGGACTCACCTACCCCCCGGAAGTGAAGAGCCCAGTCAAGGAACCCGGTCAGCCATACGTTTATGACCGTGACTTTTTGATGTCGTTCCAACCCCTTATCAAGAAGAAGCCAGAGGGGCTCGGCAGTCTGGACTCGATCTTCGACTCGGCGGGCACCGCACCGCGCAACGATCGGAGGGACTCCAAGGGCCCCGGATCGCGCCCCCTGTCTCGTCAAGGATCAACGTCTGACATCGGCCGTTCAAGCAATGGGCCTACGGGCAAAACCAGTGAAGACCGATTTGCACAGAGCATGGCTCAGCGGCACATGGGCGTGTCCGGCGTCATGGGGGTTATGAGCGGCGTGGCCCCACCTATGAACGCGCGCATGACCCGCCAGTCGTCCCAATCCGCTCGCGGATCGATCTCACGCCAGGTTTCCTTCAAGGAAACCCCGGGAGGGCAGCGCGATTCGGGAGGGAGGGACAGTCGCGGCAGCCGAGGACCGCGCAATAGTGTGGGCGGTGGACGACCTGGATTTGGTCGCGCAGACACGGTTGCCGATATGAACCTAGAACCCGTGGCTCCGATTGTGAAATCCGAGAATGCGTGGACACCGGCGACGTTGAAGAAGAACCCTACGAAAGCCGAGGGCGAGGACGCTGCCAAGCTCCAGTTCGATCAAATAATGAAGAAGACAAAAGGATTACTGAACAAGCTCACGATCGAAAAGTTCGAATCCATTTGCGGGCAAATTCTACACGTCGGCATGCAAAATGAACCCCTTCTCCGCGGGGTCATCGATCTCATTTTTGAGAAAGCCCTGGACGAACCCAACTTCGGTTCCATGTATGCTATGTTGTGCCAACGCATGTCAAACGAGTTGCCCAATATTGAAACATGGATTGACGCCACGCCAAAGACGAATACCTTCCGACGTGTCTTACTGAGCCGGTGTCAGAGCGAATTTGAAAAGGGTGCGAAATGGTCCGAGGCAGAGGATAAGCTTACGGAACAACGACGTGAAGCCCGGACTCGCCTAGCTACCATGACAGATGAAGAGAAGCGGAATATCGCTGAGGAAGACTACGAACGACAAAAGCTCAAGCGTCGTGTACTCGGCAATATCTCCTTCATTGGAGAACTCTTTATCAAGGGCCTGATTACGGAAAAAATCATGCACGCGTGCCTCGGACAGCTGTGTAAGAACGTGACTGACCCAGAGGAGGAAGAGGTCGAGTCCCTATGCAAGCTTCTGTCCACTATCGGTCCCCGTCTTGAGCACATGGACGCGCATGCCCACATGGCTGCCTACTTCGAGCGGATTACCGAGCTCTCGGTGAACCAAAAACTCTCGTCTCGTATCCGGTTCATGTTGATGGACCTGATCGACCTTCGCAAGGAGGGCTGGAAGGGACGTAACGAGCCCACGGGTCCCAAAACGATCGCCGAGATCCGCGCCGACGCTGAGAGGAAAGCCGCGGCTGATGAAGCAGCTGCTCGGGATCGACAGGCGTCCTCTCGTGGTTCGGGAGGTCGTGGTGGCGGTCGTGGGGGCGACCAGTACCGAGATCGTCGCGGCGACGGGCGAGGAAGTTCGGGCCCGAAGGGTGGCCAAGCTGGACCAGATGGCTGGAACACTGTTGGTCAGGGACCGAGTCGCACGAACTCGTCGAACAACGTTGCGAATCCACGGGAGCTTGCAAACTTTGGGAAGATGAAGAGTGCGGCGGGCATTCCGTTGATGCTTGGGCCCGGTGGAGGCCCTGGATTTGGCAAGGGTGCGATGGGTTGGGGAAATAAGAAGAAGGATGACGCTGGCGCTGCCTTGAACCGTGCGCAGAGCTCCTCCGACAATTCGTTGACCACCGCGTCGAACATGTTCGGTGTTTTGATGGACGAGCGCAAGAAGTCTGTCGATGAAGGCCGCAAACCGCCACTTGCACCATCCAACACGTCGACGCCCACTTCTATGAGCCCCAAGCGTGAGGATGCCCCTAAAAAGGCAATATCGAAGGACGCAGCTGCCAAGAAGCATAAGGGAATCGTGGACGAATGGGTTGGTTTGGGTGATGTGAAGGTATGTTGTAGACTCACATTCCCTTTTCTCGCGGTCGGCAGTTATTGACTTCTGCCTCGTTCGTTGTCACTTTTAGGAGGTCGTGCTGTCACTGAAGGACATTGATGCCCCCGCACACCACGACGTTTTCGTTGACCAACTTCTGAACGCCACGTGGGACAAAAAGCCTGACGTGATCAAGAAGACACGGAAACTCGTATCGAGTCTGAACAAGGACGGAATCGTTACACAGGAGCAGATCAAGGCGATGTAAGTATACATGCGGGATATGGCCTTGATATACGAGGGATTGTTTGCTCACGCATTCTTCTTTGTCTTGCCTTCTCTAGTCTACCGGGGCATGTCGAGTTTGCCGAGGATGTCCAGATCGATATTCCATCGCACTTCACCAACCTCGGGGATCTGCTGGGTCGGTTGATCTCCGATGGGGTTATCACACTATGGGATATTCTCAAGTTCTCGGAGCCAATCATCGAATCCAAATCTATCAAGCCCCCAGCAACGCAAATTCTCGCGGCAGTGTTGAAAGACATCAAGGCGGCAGAAGGCTCCGATGCCCTGATGGCCCGAGTATTGGCCACGGACGAAGCCCACCCGGAACCAATACAGATATCCGCCTTCTTCCCATCAGACAAACGCGACGAGGCCACCGTCAAGAAGTGGGCGGACAAGGCCGATCTCTCAGAGCTTGTCAGTGCATCGACATCAGCATAACCTCACCCACTCCTCGACCACTCAACATACGCATCATCCACTTGCTACATCTTTCTTTCACACCACACATCATAGCATGAACCCCAACATCCGTTGCGGTCTTGTTTATCTGTATCTATATTCAACTCGTTCTTTTTCGGCCTCTTTTTTTTTTCATTTATCAATGGGGTGTCCTGTTTTGGATCCTAACCCCTCTTCTCGAGCGCTTGCCCGTTGTTGGGTTTTGAATGCGTTGTTCTGTTGTTTTTTGTGTGCGGTCTGAATGAATATATTGCTTGTTTATTTGTCTGATAACGCTCTGGTGGTTGCTTGATATGGTGGGAGGACGGTGGATTTTCGACTTTTGTATGTCCCGCAATCCGTTGACTACTCGACTCGATATTGACGGAAAAAAAAGCAAGCCGTCGCAATCTCTGGGTTGGCCAACCGTACAACTTATCGGATCTAGGTACTCGACCATTGCGGTAGCAGTATCATTGGCACTCAACGCCCATACCAACCAGCCCCACATGTCTCACCCCTATCTCTGTGGAATCTATCTATCTCATCTCGGTTGCACTATCTACGTGCGGTAAGCGGAGGGTATCAAGCAAGCGACGCAAAATCAGATGTAAACAACACACACACACACACACACATCGACCCTGCCAGGCCTCACAACTTGGCCGCCGCCTTCTCCGCGTTCTCCCTACTCGCAGGTCGGGTCATAGCAGCTGCAACACGGGAAGCATTTTTCCTGCCCAACTGTTCAGAAATCCAGTTCCCAACCGAGACGACGGCGGGGAGGTCAACACCCGTGGTGTAGCCGAGGCCGTGGAGCATGTAGAGGACGTCTTCTGTGGCGACGTTGCCGGTTGCGCCGTGGGCATAGGGGCAGCCGCCTGTGAGATAGGGGAGGAGGAGATGTGAGTGTTTAGTAATAGTGACAGGGGTTGAGGGGGGTATGATGCAGGAATGAGAAACGTACCTAGACCCGCGACCGAGCTATCCACTACGCGTACTCCATGCTGCAAACAAAGATTGCCATGGTGAGTCCCACCCCATGTTCAATCCGAAAAGCGATTCCCGAGATCCCCTACCTGCAAAGAAACCAGGATATTCGCCAACGCCTGCCCATACGTATCATGACAATGCACCGCCAGACTTTCAACGGGGACGACCTGCTTCACATGCTTGAGCATGGTGCTGAACTTGCCGGGGGTGCCAACTCCGATCGTGTCGCCGAGGGATATTTCGTAGCAGCCCATGTCGTACATGCGGCGGGATACCTGTGCGACTTTTTCGGGAGCGATGGGGCCTTCGTAGGGGCAGCCTACTACTGTCGACACGTACCTGTTGGGTGGCGCGATCAGTGAGCACGTAGGAAACAACACAGTACACTAGATATTATGTTTGAGCCCTCTTTCAGAGACCCACCCCCTGATCTTGATTCCGTTTTCCTTTGCTTTAGCAACAACATCCTCAAACCGCTTCAAACTCTCCTCAATCGAGCAGTTGATATTCTTCTTACTAAAGCTCTCACTGGCAGCTCCAAAGATGGCGACTTCTTTCACCCCGGACGCAATCGCTCCCTCTAATCCCTTCAAATTCGGCGTCAGTGCCGGGTACCAGACACCCTCCCTCTGTTTGATTCCCTTGAGAACAGCGGTGGCGTCTCCCATTTGAGGTACCCATTTCGGAGATACGAAGGAGGTTGATTCGATGACGGGGAGGCCGGTGGAGGAGAGTTTGTTGATGAATTCGATTTTGGTGGATGATGGGATGATGGTCTTTTCGTTTTGCAAACCGTCGCGTGGGCCGACTTCCACAATCTTGACAAACTCGCCGCCGGATGTCGTCGTCGTCGTAGTCGTCGATTTCGCTCTCCTTGAAGGACGACACGTCCGTCCAGCGGCATTTCTTGAGTGGAAGGAGAGAAGCGGCGAGACGACACCGCGCATACCAGGCAGTTGCATACTAGGCAGTGTGAGCAAAGAAGGGTATAGTCTGGGTGATGCTGAACAGGTTGACAAGATCGAGTGCCAATCTCCCCAGGTGTTGCTTGCTGGCTGGCAGGTGGACCTGGCGTGACTTCCGGCGCGTGAGGGGAACTTAAGGTTAACAAGGTGTTATGTAGCATGGGAGGTTGGACATACTCATTAATTTACTGTACGTAATGATTATGGGCAAGATAATAAAATGATCAATGCATGTGTGGCGCTCGAATCCCCTCTGCATCCCTTCTCACTCCTGAGTCCTGGCTCTGTCGCGTGCGCGTTTCACCGGGTGTCCAGACTCCAATGTCGCAAACCAAAAGGGCGGCGGCACCCCCCCACAATTAGCTCCCCTCCCAAACGGCCCAAAAATATCCGCCTGCGGTTCCCACGTATTGGACAAACCATATGCATAGACTAGAATAGACGGGCAGGCCACTGGCACATTACTGTACTACTAGACGGCAGGTAACCCCATCCCCCCTCCCGCCCCCTATACATATTCCCACCCTTCCTTTACTTGTTACACTCGCCATCACATCAGACCGCATCCAACAATGGTCCTCATTCGCTCCACTCTCTGGGCCGCTGCCGCCCTCGCTGTCACCGCTGCGGGTGGTGCTTCAGCTGCGAACCTCAATGTTCAGGATAAAGCTGCTCTCGGCGCAGCTACTCATGCCGCCATGCAGAAGCTCGTTGACCTCTACAAGGCAGGCGCGAAAAAGACCAGCTTTGGAAACACCGCTGGCGTCGAGGGTGCTTTCGACCAAAACACCATCTCTTGGTACGCAAGTGGGATCATGTGGGATGCCGCTTTCAGAAACTCCGCTATGAACGGCGACAAGAGTCAGGATCAGGTGGTGGGCGAGGCTATCAGCGAGGCTAGCTTTGGCTCAACTGGGGATTTACTCGGTGGTTCCATGCGCACAATCCAAGAGAAATTAAGGGGAAAGTGGAATGACGATATCGCTTGGTGGGCTATTGCAAGTGAGTACATTGATTGATGGCGAGGGAGACCGAGCGGAGCGAGCTACGCTCCTGCCCACCGCAAATCCAACTTCCTATCGTTCAATCATCCGCTCCACGCTCACGCTGATGGTTGTTGATGGTTGTCGATGGTTGATCGTTGATCGTACTGCTTCTTTCTCGAGTGCATGCACCCAACTAACCATCGCTTCGCTCATCCCTTTCCCTTCTTCCAGTGATGTCGGCAACCGACTCGTATGGTCTCTCTGCGACAACACCGAACAGCAACGGAAAGACCTTCTTGAGCATCGCAGAACTGACTATGCAAGAGATGTGGGAGCAATGGGACCCCCTGTGCGGAGGAGGTGTTTACTGGTCTCGTGACAGAAACGCTGCCAAGGGCAAGGACTACAAGTCTGCTATCACCAACGCAGAAGCTATTGTCCTTGGTGCCCGTTTGGCCGTGGCGACAAACAACCAAACCTACCTGACCTGGGCCTCCAATGCCTACAACTGGATGAAGACATCGCAGATCGTCGGTACCGACTGGGTTGTTCGCGACGGAATGGAAGCTACCACCTGTGTCGTCAATACCTTGGACTTCTCCTACACAGGGGGAACCCTCATCAGCGGATTGGCCTACATGTACAAGGCCACAAAAGTACAGTCCTACCTAGACGACGCAGCCAACATCGCCAAAGCTGCCATCGCCAAGTACCAAACCAACGGCATCCTCGCTGAAACGCCATGCGCCGTCCACACCTGCACCCGTGACAACGTCGTCTACCTCCCACAACTCGCCAAGGGATTGGGTATTCTCTACACCGTCACCACCGACGCAGCCCTCAAGACCTCCATCCAGACCATCATCGACAACACGCTCACGTCCGCCGTCAAGAATTGCGATGACACCTGGATGTGCAGCAGGCAGTGGATCACCGCCACGGCGCCTGTTGCCGGCGCTTACGACCAATACCCCACCACCGAGCTCCTCCTCGCCGCCTCCGCCATCCACGGTGCGACCGTTGCGCCCGCTGCTGCCGCTGGAGGCCTCTCCTCGACGGGCACGGGTGCCGCCCCAGCAAGCGGAGCCACTCCCGCGGCTGGTGGCAGCAACGCCGGTTCGACCACGAGCAAGCCGACATCAGACTCGTCCACCATCGTCGCTGGTGGATCGATGGTCCTCGCTGCTGTCGGTGTCGTCGTGCTCGGATCCCTCTGAAAATCTGACATTTGGAGAACTCTGGACGCTACCAGTAGATTTTGATGTTTGTTTCGTCTCTTCTTCCCCCTTCTTCGTATGATATGATATCGGCGTAAGACTGGACATGACTGACGGACGGACCGTATAGATGGGACGAATCTCTATAGACTTTTTTTTCTCTCGTCTTCTTGACTCTTTCCATTTCTCCCCATCCCGCGTATGCACAATTTTTTGAATTGAGCCTTTGTATATATATCTCATGTGTTGATTAGGGAGTGCCAAAAGGACACCTTTTTACAGGATTCTCATGCTTATGCTGTGGGGTTGGTATATGTCTTTGGCGAGCCGTAAAAGGCTGTCTTGTACGAGCTGCAGATGGGAGAGCTGCGAGACGGCAGATTGACAGCGAACTGACAGAAACGCGTGGGTGACGCGCCCTTCTTTCCGCAGTCATTTTCCGACCTCCAAAAAAACACCAGATTCATCAACCTCCAGTAAGTTACAACCCCTCCACGTCAATCCCAGCTTATCCCCCTCCCTCCATCACGCACACCATGCCGTCCCCACCACCACCACCCCCCGAATCGGAAGCCGACGCCGAAGTCTCCGCGTCCGTCCTCGAGAAGCTCAGAGTGGCCTTGGACCTTGTGGAGACGTTACGGAGCGAGAATGAGGCTTTCAAAGAGAATTTCGATACCGTAAGTTCTTGACGAGTTTTCCAAATTTGGAGAAAAGCATGAAATTGTGTGTTTCATAGTGCCGCTTGTGTTTAGTTAAAACTGAACCATGAACGCCTCCAAGAACGCCAAGCCGACCTCACAACAGAATTCGACATCATCGCAAAAGAAAAAGTGCGTACTTCCCTCATCATCCCCTCCTTCCCCCTACATCCACTCCCCTAACCCCCCCTCCAGGCAGTCCTTGAAACCCAAACAACCGACCTCGCAACGCACTTCCACACCCAACTCGAGCAGAACCGCAAAGAACTCGAAGCGGCGCGGGCCAAGATTCCCAACCCGAAGGATCTGGAACTGGTGCGGTTGAGGACGGTGCGGGAGGTGGAGGCGAGGAGGGTAAAGGCTTGGAGGGAGATTGAGAAGGTGGGGAGGGGGGTGGGAGGGGTTGTGCGGGGTTGTGGGGGTTGGCGGTTATTGATGGGATCTACGGATGTATAGGAGACGGAGAAGTATCGATCGCTGTACTATGCGTTAAGGCGGGATCATGAGTTGGCCAAGGCGGATATCGATCGGGAGGTAAGCGCAAGGAGCATGATGCTTCCAGATCAACAGGGGGCAGCCGGACAGAGATCTCACACATCACTTTGCATCATACAGCGAGCGCAGACGAGCTCGAAACTCAAAGAGATGGAGAATTTGTACCAGGACGAGCTGGCGGCTCTGGAGGCGCGCACGTTGGAGCTTCGGCAGACTTTGGGTGTGTATCAGCATGTATTTGCGGGGCGGGGTGGGCAGTTCTGCAACTTGGATGATTTGGCTGATACCACCGTTTCATTCACGTGTGAAGACTCTGCGGGAGATACCCGACGAATGCGCGAGCTCCAACGCCACAACGCGGATTTGCAGCTGAAGGTGGCGAGCCTGCTACCTGAACTTGAGGAACTCCGGTGAGGGGGGGACGTGTATCATTACCCAGAGTGCGAATACGCCCATATCCTGAATTCTTTCCCCCCACCACGGCAGCGCAAGCAAAGAAAAGCTCCAACTGACCTTGGACCAAACCACCCGCCTCCACACCCGCAAACTCCTCGACGAAACTTCCTACGGCAAGGCGCTCCAATCCGAAAAAGACGCCCTGGCCGCACGGGTCACCGCGCTCAGCAACGAGCTCGATCAGGCCCGGCGGAGCTTGGATGCTGTTACGGAGGGGAATAATGAGCTGAGGAAGGAGGTTGAGCGGGTTAAAAGTTTGGGCGAGGAGGGGGTGCATGTTTATAAGTGCGTTTCTTGGGGGTGGCTGGGGATGTGGGGGTTGGACTGTCGAGCTGACTGCTTTGTGATGAGTGTAGGGTCAAGGTTAGCGATATGAACCTTGCGGCGCTCAAAGAACGGAATCAGTACGAGAATGCGATCGCTGATCTCAAAGTGAAGCTAACGGACTTCGAAAGGTGGGCAAATGGAGTGTTACCGTCAACATCTCAAGCGGCCAATAACAAATTTGACGTGGCAAATGTTATCCAGCCAAAACAAATCGGCGGCAGAATCACTACAGTCCTTCCGCCATCGTCTTGCGGACGCAGAGAAGGACGCCCTGGAGAAATGCCGACTGGCGAGGGAAGAAGAGTGGGGCAAGAAAGCTCAAGTAGAAGCCGAACGGGACCATGTAAGCGGTCTCGTAGCTGTGCCCTTCTTCTCTTCCTACCCCGAAATACTCCTCATCACGGAACTCTCATCAACAGCTCCAATCCGACCTAACAACCCTTAAAGAGCACCTCGCCCACCTCGAATCCCAACACACGCTCTCCCGCCGGGACCTCCAAAACGAGCTGTCCACACTCAAATCGTCTAACCGTGCTCTCCAATCCCATAACGAATCTTTGGCCAAATCCGCGGCGGATGCTGCCGCGGCGCTGGAGAAGGCAAATCGGGAGGTGGAGCGGGTGAGCAGGGAGCTGAAGGAGGCTGAGGGACAGGCTGCTGAAGCTGGGGCGGTGGGGGAGAGGGAGAGGAGGGAGGTAGAGCGGTTGAGGTAACGCTTGTCGGCCCTGCATGATGTTTAGTGAGATGGATCAAGAACATTGAGACATTTTTTTTTGTCCTTCAGATCAGATCTGCAGAAAGCCGAGAGCGCACTGCAATCCTTACAGGCCGAACTCGATCAAGCGACGGCGTTGTCGGCGGAAGAGCGCGAAGCCTACGTCACGCGCTCCGAGCGAGCGAAAGTGAGTACTCGCACATTCATTACAATGAAGCATACCCTTGTCGAACAACTACTGATGGAAATATTTCCTTCCGCAACAGAGCACATGGACACGTGAAAAGCAAACATTATCACAGAAGCTCGAGCTCGCCGTGAAGGAGAAACAGGACTGGGAGGACAAAACGAGAGAACTGGAGGACTTGCTTCAGCGGGTAAAACTTCTGATTCCAGAGATCTAATGCTGGGACTTGTCAAGCAGAAAGTTCCCAAGGTCTGACACTTCCCTTCCCCTGTGATGAACAGTCACAACAGCTCTTCAAAACAAAAGTGCAGAGCATTAAAGGTCGTGCCAAAGAATATAAAGAAGAAGTCGGGCGGTTGCGTAAGACCGTGGACATCCAAGCTCGGCGTGCGGACGCCATCACGAAAGAGGTAAGCTTCTTTGGCTGCCTCCATCTTCATTTTCCCCAATGTGCTCATGCCCGGGAACCTTTGCGCAGATCCATCAGCGGCAAAACGACTTTTTGGGACTGCTCCGGAATGAGGGAGTGGTGGAGGCTTCCGCATGACAGCGTCCCCGCCCTATTCCGGCACGACGGCTTCGTCCTCAACGTATCTCTTTCCGGCCCCACGGATTCCGATCTCTCATCCCGGAACACGGGCCCCGCGATGTCGGCAACAACGAGCAAACGTATCTCCAACAGATATCCATTTTTTTAAGAGACATCAAGTAGAAGGCGGATAACGGATAAAGGAAGTATGGGAAGGTGGGAAGTCCAGTCTTCGTATTGACAGACTTCCGCCCTGGGGGAATATCTGCCTTATCCGGGTGCCACCTTCACGGAAGACGTGACCTGTAAATACTCAAGCATCAGTGTCTGCCGACACTCAAATTTCCATGGAGAACATCATCGCATTTGTACATACCATCAGTTCATATTCATGTTGATGCGGGTGGTCGTTTAAACGGCGTGGTATTCGAGACCGGCGAGGTAGTCTTCCCTGGCCTTCAGCTTCTTCTTCTCAGAGGCGGGAGTGTAACTAGAGGCCGGGAAGAGATTTGCGAAAGCGGCGGTCAGGGCATCAAGATTTCAAACAAGGTCCGCACCCATCACTCAGCCGATCGTCCTATAGGCCATTCTGGGTTGACACAGTAAAGTCCATTTGATTTCGGTGTCCCCCTCCTCCAGCGCATTTCGTTCGACCCTTTGGTATATCCCACTTCCCCCAATTGCGACCGTTCTGCCTGCACCCGGAAAGTCCCGAAAAAGATACTTACGGTACCCAGAATTGGTAGTAGAGGAATCCAACCCAAGCGGCAATGGGGTACAGGAGCCTGTAGCGGTACTTGACGTAACACTTCTCCCACAGCTCTCCGAGGGTGGTCTCGGGGGAGATTTTGACGTCCGGCACGTACTTTGCGAAGTTGTCGCGGGCAAAGACGGAGGAGTTAGCGGGGTGGCCCTGGGAAGCGAAGCGACGCTGTACGGCACGGGAAGCGACGGTGCGACGGGCCGCTGGTCGGAGGGCGGCAGAGAACAACATGGTAGCAACACTTCCTCTCGGTTTGTTGTAGGTGGGAGTGCTAGGAGGATTGGCTCGATTGCGTCGACGACGCTCTCGCTTGTGCTGGGCGCCGGAGGCAGCGTTGAGAAGCTACGACTGCCAGCCACGTGACTAATCACAAGATAGTTTTATGAGAATAAGGAAAACGCTGCTTCTTCTTTGCGAACTTCCTCACGCGTTTGTCGCACGCGTCGTTCGCTTCTCCCGTTGAACTTGAAGGTCTCCGTTTATGGACTACTTACGAGATATCCGCCGCCAACTTCCCACCGTAGAAAGATACCGCCTACAACGACCATCTGCTTTCTATTCTCACCACTCTACCTTCGCTCGCGGCGCAACGATGAATACGGCCGCACCCGGGACCGGGTCATCTTCGGACACCACTCCGCGGAAGAATAGGTAGGTCACCGTAAGGCCTTACTTGAATGTCGCGGCCGGCACGCTTCGACACAGCACTCCTGGAGCATACTGCCATTTCGATAGTCTTCAAGTGAAGGATATCGCTTGGACTGCCCGCCCAAATGTCTCGTTCGAAAAAGTTTGAGCGCAAGCAATGGTGGCTGAGCGACGCCCGACTACGCTGTACAAGTTGCTGAGCGCGTTCTTCTCCATCTAGTGTGGTTATCAAAGTCGGGATGGTCGGAGACAGCCAGATTGGAAAAACGAGTATGATGGTGAAATACGTGGAGGGAAGCTTTGACGAAGACTACATACAAACATTAGGTATGCACGATATTTTTGTGTGTTACCTTCATGCCAACATTCGCTGAAAATCGTCGCCAATGTCATCAAGGGGTGAATTTCATGGAAAAGACGATATCTATCCGGAATACGGAAATCACGTTCAGTATCTGGGATTTGGGAGGTGCGTGGATGTGAGCTGTCTTGAAAAGCCGACAACACAGCTCCTGGAACTGGTTTTCATGCAGGGCAACGGGAGTTCGTCAACATGTTGCCTCTGGTGTGTAACGACGCTGTAGCGATCCTGTTTATGTTTGACCTGTCACGGAAGTCCACGCTGAATAGCATCAAGGAATGGTATAGGCAAGCGAGGGGGTTCAATAAGGTTAGTTCTGATGCATTGCGGTCAATATGTCCTGAACAGTGATGGCTGGTGTGGATGTTGACCCTGTCCTGACATATAGACGGCCATCCCGTTTCTGGTCGGGACGAAATATGATCAATTCGCGGCGTTTCCAAGGGAGGAGCAGGAAGAGATCACCAAGCAGGTAAGCTTATGTCGGTTCCAACTCAGAGTCACCCCAATTCTAATATTTGCCCCGCACAGGCACGGAGATTCGCAAAAGCAATGAAAGCACCACTGATCTTTTGCTCTACATCACATTCGATAAACGTGCAGAAGATATTTAAAATCGTGCTGGCAAAGGCCTTTGACCTGAAATGCACCATTCCATGTATAGAGGAAGTGGGAGCGCCAATTTTGGAATACTGACGAGCGATAGAACGAACAACGTGCATGGGCGGTAGGGAACCCATCGACGTTGATTCAGCGGCGTCTAAATACATGAAGCGATGAGAGAATCCGAGTGGACATATGATGTTCGTTTTGTGGAATAAGTTCCGGATTTGGTGCGCCGCCTGAGAATCCAGCGATCGCTGGAATGCGCTTTTGACGGCTTACAGCATCATTTGAGGCCCTTCAGGGTCTGCATCTTCGGGGGGCATATCGTTTGCAAGTTGCTCTAACTTTTCGAGATCCCATCCTATTTCGTCTTTCTTAAGGCTAATGTGATTCAGCTCGCTGGCCAACGACTGAATCTTCCGCTCGCTGCCCACGGAAGTTGTCAGATTCGTTCCTTTCACGTATACAGATTGAGGACACACGCAGAGACTCACCTCGCCTGCTGAATCCACACGGCGTAGTCATCGATCCATATCTTTCGCAAGATATACATCCTGTCATCAGAGCCCACCAACGATTGGATCTGCAAAACGGCTTTCAACAGAGCCCGTTTGCCCAATTTGAACATCGCTGCCGTGTCCTCAATGCATCGCGTGGCTAGCGCGAAGGACCGGTACAGTGGGAACGCCAGAGAGCGGCGGACGGACGCTATTAAGGTTTCCCGGAGGGTGCCAAATGTCTGATTGAAGGTTCAAGCATTAATCACTCGCACGATGCGATTTGCGGATGAAAGATGCTTGCCTCGAAGGACGAGAGTGTGGCGCTCAAGATTGCGATAGTCCACGGGGACTCGACCGTGTTCTCCCCCTCTGTTGTCCGATGGTTGTAGCTGTATGCAAAGACGAGATCCACCAACCCCAAATATGCTGCGCGCTCATCGTCGAGCAGATCTGTTGAGGATGTGAGATTGGTGTTTGAACCAGGGGGGAGGGGAGGGGGGAGGCAACGGCTACGTACATTCTTTATTCGGTAGGTTCCGCATTTGTTCCTGCTCCTGCTCGCTGAAAGCGAGCCACTTCTCGGTCAACGACGGATCACTCGAAGGGATTGAACCGACATTGGCGGTCTCGACTTTGGCCGCCTCCGCGAGTCGTCGTTGGGTCTGTATCCTTTTCAGAACTTTCCATGATTCCGGTTTGAATTGAATCAGAGGGTCGATCTCGTCCTTATTGAGATAGTCTGCTCTAAGATCATACATTAGAAACGCTTTGGCACTGATTGCGCATCCCACGAACAGCCGTCCAACGCACATGTAATGCTCTTCATCGAATTTCAGATCCTCTTGCGCAATACGCTCCTCCCTTCGAGACTGAGCGGTGGACTCGTCCACATTGCTGATCTGTATGATTTCCTGGGCAATCTCCCGGATGTGATCCCCTATCCCGCTGTACGCGTTGTTGAAGCCATAGCGATTTGTGATCCGCAGTTCCTATTCATCAGGATGTGAGCCGATACGTTGCAGGATCTCAGTGTTCACTGAACAAAAGGTGAGCCTTACCGGTTCTATTGGCAACGTTTGTGGCAAGTCCCAATGATAGTTCTGACCTGGAGGTTCAAGCGTGAGCCACCGATCGGCGTTTGCATAAAGAAGCCTTCGCATTTACCATCTTCTTCATCCCCTTCATCCATCGCATCCCCATCCTGATCACTTGCAGGTATATCCCCAACCACCTGAATCAACGATCTCGGCGCATCGTTCGTTGAGACCGACGCCGCTTGACCACCACTTATCCCCGTCCCCTCTCCCAGTCCAGGCGGCAACGGTCCCTTCGGCGCTAATAACTTCGTCAGAAGATCCAGGTCTGGGAAGTGCTCCCCGGGCGTCGCTTTGGGTATTTTGACAGTGACTTCGCCTTTGTCAACATCATACGCTGCTGTTTCACGCCCGTTCTCCACTACCGACGCCGGGAGGTTCAACCTGTAAGGTCGTAATATAAGAACCGAATTGCGGCAGGGCGAAAAATGTGAGACTTTGCAGGGCTCACCGCAAGAAGTACGGGCTGATATAAAACTTGAACTCGGTGTCACTGATATAGAACTCGACATCTTGTGCCTAAGGGCTTCAGTCAGCCAATTGCTTAGACTCATATGGAGGGAAGCAAGAATTCTTTATAAAAATTCGTAGGAGGTACCTTGACATACGGACACTTCAAGACCACGGTGACGAACTCATCGTCCTGCGAGATTGTGAAGGCTGGAGTCAACATTGCGCTGACTGTATAGTTGCCTCGTCTCCTCGTCGCCCGTAGGGAATGTCAAATTCGTTTTTCGAGCTACTGGAGAAAGGCTTCAAGTCTTCCAGTTGGGAGCCTCAGCGCTCACATTCGGCAGACGCGGTCCGCGATTCTGACAGTAGTGCCAGAAGGCCATGCAGCCGTTTTCACGACAACAAATACATACACTGTACACTCCCCCTGATATCCACAAACTCAACAATGGTACTTGGTGTGGTTGGAGAAGCTTGGCTTGTGGACGCATGGGTCAAGAGTTCAACTCCCAGTGCTGTTAAATTTTCTTCGAGTGTTGAGGCAGCCCGGCATAGGGGCAGCCTCCACGAGATGTGCGCAACAAAACTATACTCCTCATTAACGCAGGCTCGAGGGTTTTGCTCCATTTTGCTCCATTCTAGGGATGACATCGTCTCGCAAGAATGACTCGAAGACCGCTGCTGTTGTCGTCGCGCCCATGTTCAAGCGAGATGCGAGAACACCGTGATTCCTTGCCACTCGCTTCTCTTTCATGCGGGCCGTTGCCTCTGCCTTTCGGCTGGCCAGCTCTCTTGCGGCTAACGCCTTTTCGCCCTTCCTTCGAGCTTTCTCCGCCACAGCCCTTATCGTCGCTATTTCCTTCTCTCGCAGTCGCTGGGCCTTCAACGATGAGAGACGGTTTCTCTCCGCCTCCATCTCCTCCGGGGTGCGACGATCTGTAGTCTGAGAGGGAGTGTTGTAAACAACCAGTTTCAACCACAGCTTCCTTTTTATAGCTACCGTACCCCTCCCCCTTTTCTTCTCTGCAGATAGAGAGCTGGTTGTGTGTGTGTGCAGACCGTCCGATCAAATGTCTATAAAACGAGTGGTATGTGTGAAGGGGAATAAAGTAACGAGTTCCACAACAGGGTCTTCGGGAAGGTGTGCCGAGTAGCTTGCATTCTCTGCACTGCCAAAGGCGCTTCCTTCTCAAAAAAAAAGTCCCGCAATCATCTGCAATACCTGTACATGTACAGTCAGTGGACAAAAAGCTGTGTGCACCCCATATGGATTTCAATGACCGTTTCACAAAGCGCACCGCGCGTTTTGGAGCCGCAAGCTTGAGTATTGAAGCCAGCGACGAAGCCGTGATGGCGAAATGCACGCCAACATCTTCACCACCTCAGCTATGGGGAAACCTCTCACACCACAAAAAAGGGCAGCCATAGTTGCCCTCCATATAGCAGGCAAGACGACATCTGAAATTGCAAGGCAGGAGCACGTTCACAGGAATACTGTGAGGAACACTATTGAGAGGTTTGCGAACGAGAGTGCCACTGCACCAACCGCCTATCAATCGAAGAAGCCAACAGGAAGACCAGCTAAGTACCAGCCTTCTGACGATGATTTGGCTGCCTTCCGCAGTATTGTCGTTGCTGACAGTAGCACTCGGGAGAAAACACTAAAACAGATCACTTTTGAATTCACACAGCTCACCAGGAAGCTACCTTTACACGCGTGTAAAAAACGTGGGGATCCTCACTCCCAATTACATACCACCCTTCCTTCCCACCAACCTTCCTTCCCAACCCCCTTCCTTCCCAACGCAATTGTGAGCAGTAAGCATCCCCGGTTTCACCTTCAACCGCCACCAGGTAACAACCGCAATTCCTCACCGTTCTCAGCCTCATTACCACAGCATTGACGTGAGTTCCTTGACCCACAGCTATCACGGCAATCACCACCCGTCTCGGCTGACTTAAGGCACAGCACGGCCATCATGCCATCACACCAGGCGCTCCAGGGGCACCTGTGGTGTGGCATCTTTACCGGAGCTACCACACCACGGCGGAAGAGGAGGAAGGTTGCTCCGGTTACCCCGCGGTTGCCCATACGTCTGCCAACCGCTGTGCAGACACCATTGCAACCACCCCCGCGATTTGAATTCCCACCGTCTGTCCAACGCCACTTGCCCCAAGCAATTGCAGACATGGTTAGCGAGAGTTCCGGTGAGAGCTCCGGCGATGAAGACGGGCAGCAGCAGCAGCTGCCGCAGCGAGGGCTTTCACCCGCGGACAGGGGTCTGCAGCGCCCGTTGAACCTCCGCGCTCCCATCCCTTTCCTTTTTCCCAGCACACCGGGTGGATCCCTGGTGCTTGAGCCCCCGCCACCACCACCAGTTCAACGACCCCGCCCGCAAACACATGCCAGCACCAAGGTTTCGCTTCACCGAATCATCCATAATCAAGTTCAAAGGGAGCAAAGGGAGCGCCTGACAACATTCATCGGCAATGTTCACATCCTTGCGCGCCACACCAGCTTTTTTCTCAAGTACTACCTTGGTGAGTTTTTGAGGTACACTGTATATTTCCCATAAACCAATGTCCTGACTGCTACGTCTGCCCCCCACCACAGCTGATCATCCTCTACACGATTTCCCGGACATCACCGACAAACACATCAGTGTGATATTTGAGCTGCTAAACAATCCAGGCTACAACGGCAATCCGGTCATCGCGCAACAGTTGCATCCATGGGTTCAAGACTACTGTGATGTTCACGGATTTGCCCCCATCCGCATGCGGTATTGCCAACAGACCGCAGCGTACACGGCTACGAGCATCTTCACAAACCTCAAAGTTAACGTACAAGAGCATTTCATGCAAATGTTTCTGCGCTACGTCAATGAAAGGCTTGGTTTGAAGCAAGTCGTACTGCATCTCCGTAGAGCTGGAGTCAACCGAGTGCAGCGGCGACACTATTATCAGCGTGTCCGTCAGTTTAAAAAGTATGCGACGTTTGAAGAGTTTCCAACCGAAGAAGAGTTTGCGCGCCTCACACGACTTGAGCGGACCGTCCTCGACAAGTTATGGGCTCTGTTTCCTCCCCAGGATGAACCGCTTGCGTACAGCCTTGCGGTGGATGCAATGCCATATTTAGGTGAGTTAGTATATTTCCCCCCCCCCCCCCAGCTTCCTCTTTTGTCTAATCTTGCTCCGCACCTGCCTCGTCACAGGTGCCTATTGTGAGCTCTCACGCCTCTATGAGCACTGTGGAATGCGGCTGTTTTCAGTGATCCCGCTACGCAAATCTCAAATCAAGTCATCTGTTAGGATCGACACGAAGATCCTAGCCACTCATATCCTGGGCTTGAGCCACCATTGCATGGGGAAACTCACCGATCAACGCAAGCGGGAGCTGTGGGGGCAGTTTCTCAACATCAATGTAAGTTTGTATCCTTCTGCGCTTATTTCAATCTGATTACTTTGCTGAATGACAGATTGTAGGACAAGGTCTTCAAGCATCGAAAGAAGCTTGGTCTCAAATTTGATGGGTCAATCAGCACAAACGGGTATTCCGCTACCATCCACTTCAAGAAGCCAGGGCTCAAGTACGGCCATGGCGCCCGGAAGCGCAGCAAAGCCCAAATGCAGGAAGAAGTCAAGCAGCTGTATTTTGAGCACCACATCGCCAAACTACGGGAGGCTCCAAACATCATCAGCATTGATCCGGGCAAGCATTACCTCTTGTTCTGTCGAGACATCAAGAAGGAGCGGCCATTTCGGTACGTTTCAGTTGATTACTACTGCCCTGCTGTCCCTGCTACCCCCCCCCGGTCTCCGCCCCCCAGCCCCCCGTCTCCGCCCCCCAGCCCCCCGTCTCCGCCCCCCAGCCCCCCATCTCCGCCCCCCAGCCCCCCGTCTCCGCCCACCATCCCCCCGTCTCCGCCCACCATCCCCCCGTCTCCGCCCACCATCCCCCCGTCTCCGCCCACCATCCCCATTGCGGCGACATTCCGTTGCAGCGTTCTCACAATGCACCACCTCAACCAGATACACATCCAATCAACGGGCGGTCGAGACAAAGTCTCGGTACTTTCAAAGAGACATGAGAGAGCGAAAGATCAATGCCGGCATTGCTGAGATGGAATCACATATTCCATCGCACAAGAGCATGAACATCGAGGCGTTCTCAGCGTTCATTGTGGATCACATACATGCAGGTATGATGTATTATGCGCTGTCTTCAAATTTAGTAATACATGGGCTGACATCCATCCATATCCCAGATCCCGCCCTGGATGAGTTTTACCAGGATGAGATTCACGTCGCTCGCAGGTTCAAGGCGTTCTCACTGCGGCAAAAGTCTGAGAGCAAGCTCATTAAGAACATGCGACGCCGGTATGGAAAGAATTTTTCGGTCATCTTGGGTGATTGGAGCGATGCTGGGAAAACGATGCGCTTTCAGGAGTCATCGAAGACCAAGGGGTGAGTGACCATGATTGGTGGTATCTACTATGTATTCTATTATGCTAACTCATCATGGAAATCAGATTCCGCACACTCTTTGCAAGAAACAGCATTCCATGCTACTTGCTGGATGAGTATCGAACGTCGTCCGTGTGTCCCGACTGCCACGGCCGTGTGAAGAAAAACATCCTACAGCGGCTGTCATCTCGGCCATGGCAAGCTAGAAAGGGAAGAATGGAATACGTCCATGGATTGGTGGTTGCCCCAATCCCGAATGTATCAACCAAGACTGGACACCATTTGAGATTCCTGGAAGACGACCACTACGACTACGGATGAGAGTGCACAATTGGGACGTCCTGAGCACCAAGAATTTCCTCTCGATTGTGCGTTCGGTGGTGTTTGGCAATGGCCGCAGATCAGACGCATTCTCCCGTAACCGGTAGTCTAGATTTCACCCCATCCCATTTTCCGTGGTGGTTATCTGCCATCCACATCATTGTACCTCTGCCTGAGGCGTCGCCGATGAAGGCAACTTGTAGCCATTTAGCAAGGGCCGCCCGTCACACCTTTTTCCAAAGCGGCTCACTGAGAGTTATGTAGAACATTTCACATATTCGTAATCAGGTCTTGATCGGCAAGTGCGCGGCCTGCGACCTGTTGAGCTATATATATCGAAGATTCGAGCGCGAGGGGTGTCATCTTCAAGTTTGGAGGAGGGCAATGAGTAATGAAAAGGAAGATGAAAAAGTAAGCTCGGCTTCCACAATGGAGCATCAACCGAATTACATATGTTCGTTGGAAATACAAAGCTAAGGTCTCCCTACGTCCCGATTTATAAATCTAGCTCAACGTCCCTTCTCCTGGGCGCCCAACGTCTGCAGTGGCTCTGCCAGTGTCAAGACGGCCAGATCATCCTTTAATCCCTCGTTCCGAGGATCTATTCCACAGGCTTCAGTATAATCTTTCACAGCCTCGGTCCTCTTCCCGCTCTTCAAGCTCGCTGCTCCTCTCCTAACAAGTGATTTCACCCTGGAGATCCGTCGCTGTTCCTTTGCCGCTGGAGTGTCGTTGATCATCTTCTCAATTATGTTCTTCTCCTCGCGGGAAAGAAGGTCGAGAGCTGCTGTACAATCTTTGATGCAAGAGTCATGTTGAGAGAGGTGGAGGTAGGACGCGGCGCGATTGGAGAGACATCTGCGAGATGAGTGGACGAGGCAGAACGCTTGAGCATTGTTCCAATGGACAATCTTCGGGCAGAACTACTTACGGCAGACTGTCCGGGTCCAATTTCAATGCGGCCGAGTATGCATTTATTGCTGCTTCAAAGTTTCCTGTCCTGTAGAACGCGTTTCCTTTGTCCTTCAGGAAGATCGCTGAATGGGAACCTGACGGATTAGCTATAAGGGACGATGATGAAATGGCAATCTGGATCCATACGGTTTGTCTCGTCAATGCCATTGGCGTCAGTCTCAGCGGCTTTGGCGGCTATCGCTTTCTGCTTCAGCTCGTGCTCATCCTGCATCGCTTTGATGCGGGTCTCCCATTTTACTACCAAAGCGACATGGCGGTTAGGTTTGCGAAGCGATGTGGAACAGGATAGAGGAAGCTACCCAAGCGTACCATCTTCGCTTTCCCGGGCTGTTTTCGTGGGTTTCAATCCTCGTGATGTAAAAGAGATGATGATCTCCCGGTCTACGTCCCGTGGGGGAGGAACACTCTTAGCTGTATTCGAAAGGGCATCCAGAATACGAATGAGCAAACACGTCTTCCTCTCACAGGTCCCAAATCATGGCTCACGTTGCAGCTGCTTTCGCACTTTCGCTCTGATTTCTTCCATGTCCAATCCATCCTCATCTTCCTCAGAGTCATTTACTTCTTGTATATAAGATGCATGCGTGATCGTGTTTTCAGGCTCCTGGGCTACCGCATCCTCAGGGCCCGACGTATATTCGTTCTCGATCGCACGGCTATGCGTAGATACAAGGTCATCGTCCTCGAATATCTCTGTGATTTTGTCCTCCGACGAGGTTTGCCCTCGAATATTCGACTCCATCCGGTCTCTCCGTCTTTCCCCATCTTCCACATTCCGAGTCCAGCCCGCCAAGTCTTCTACAGCGGCACGCCTTTCTTCTTCTTTCAAGCGGGCGACCTCCTCCCTTGCATTTCGCTCCACTTCAATCTGCTTCTGAACCAGCGCCCTCTCCCTCTCACGCCGTGCTGCCAGCTTCTTTTCTTGCGCTGCTGCAATGCGAGCTCTGGATTTCTCGTCTGCATTTGCGCGTCGGGATTTGAGAGAGTCCGGGGATGTAGGCGTGTGTGTAAGCGTCGTCCAGGGCTGCTCGATTTGCTATCAGAAGGAACGAATCAGATGATATGTTCAACTGAAGTAATGCGATGGCGTCCCGCATGCCTTTGGTAGCTCCAACTTCGCACATCCGTTGCCAATCGTAGCAACCGCATTTTCGCTATCCACTTCATGTGCCAAATCCAACTCGAAGAAGTAGGGCGGAAAATTGACCTTCACGTACACATCATTGACTGAAAGGAAAACGGGGCAATATATCAGCATCCAGTAAGCGGAAGCTGACATTTGGTGCAGGTTTTGTATGACTCCCATACCATAAACATCCGTCTTCTTGGGGTTTGCACCCTTCAACGGAATCGTCAAATAGACATGCGTTGAGGACTCCGTCCATGTGTACTCTTTGATGATGATCGGCATGCCCGCAGAAACGACCGCTGTTGAGCACTGTGTATAGATGTGCTTCTTGCAAAAACATACGGCAACGCAAGAGGTCTAAGTGCTTTTGAACTTGGAAACTTTCGCGTCACTTTTGAACGCGTGCCTGACGCGTGAGGTACTGTACAGTATGTGCTGTATGTACATACAAAAAGCAGCGAAATGCAAATCTTGGACATGGCCATTAACGAAAATCTGGATAAGCCTCTGCTTAGACCCTTAATGCCGCATGGGTTCTTGTTTCGTGCATCGCCGTGGGCGGCAAATTGTGGCATGGTAGGGACATGGCAGGTATCAATGTAGCTTGCGCACGCAGCAATAGCCCATGTATAATGACGTTGGCCTACGAAGGCCCATACTGGTGGTCCATCCTGCCCACGGGATGATTGTGTATATGTACAAGATGCAGAGGTCTATGTGTCAAGCCGGGTCTCATGCAGTCCGACGGAAGTCCTTTCCCTGCGATGAGAGATCATCGATATCTTCCGTCATGTCTAAAGTACACTAATCCCCAAGAAGAGCAATGCTGCTGTTATTCGAAGACATCTCAGATATTGTGTCAGACGAACTTGACGGCGAACGAGCCGTATGTCCAAACTTGCGATCAACGTGTGGTGGCATGCCAACAGTAAGGCTGGGCTCGGTTTCCTTAGAAACATTGTCTTCAAGATCAGTGGAGGTGACTATGGTATGGTTGAGCTGCTCCTGCTGTCTTCGTGTTAATCGCGGTAAGGGCTTATCGGCCTCGGACTTGGTGGGAGTCGCATCTTTTGGTTTTTTGGTTCTGCTTTCCTTCCGAGTGAGGTTTCGGCGGGGAGCGGTCGCAATGTTTTCGATATGAGACGTCGGTACGTCGATCAATTGCGAGATATACGCATGTAACCGCTTCATACTGACCGGCTGTAAGTGGACAGCGTTATTTCGGAGTTTCACCCAATGCCCGCGCCGCGCCACGATCTGATTTTGCGGAAAACGCCGCATGTGAGTAGCGACCACTCACTTTAGTCAAGAACAAATCGGCGCCAGCCGTCATTGCCGCTTTCTGATCCTCTGGGCTGTCCAAGCCCGTGAGAACAACGATGTTCGTGCGCGACGGGGCTCCCTGCTTTCCATTCAGTGCGGCTTCCGTAGTATTGGCAGAGTTCTTCACATTGGTACGTTCGGCTTCGGCTGCGAACTCTCTCTCTCGGCGGCGGATGATAGCAACGGCATCAATGCCATTCATTACTGGCATCTGCAAAATATGGACGAACAGACGGCTGTTAGGTGAGCGAGCTCGTGATGTGCGATCGTTTTCCCCTTGCTAATCCTACCTGGACATCCATTAATATCTAATGATAAAAGGACCGATTCGAAAGGACGTAGAAGAAGCGTTAAGCTTTGCGAGTGCGAGAGGGAGCAAGTGTGCTTACCACTTGATATCGCTTCTCCGTCCATGCGTCCACCGCCCGCTGTCCATTTTCCACTATGTCATGCTTCAGCCGTTTTCTCGATAGTGAGGTGGCCAGAATCTGTTGATTGACTAGTTGTAACGTCAGGACCCCATCGATGGAACAACGAACGCATCAAGGCTGATTGTAAACTCACTGGGATTGTCCTGTTGTTGAGGTGGAAAACGGCGATGAGATCATTAATTACACAAGAACAAGCAGAAGAAGAGAGGCCGTACCTCGGCAATCAGCACACGGAAGTCATCTTCCACGGCCGGTGACTGTTGAGAACCATCGTCTTGAGTCTTTGACCCGTTCTCCTCCGGGCTCTTCTCACTGTCATTATTCGTTGGATCTTGATCTGTGGGCGGGACGCCTACTGGACCGAGTCCGACCAAATCGTATCTCGCCCGCATCTGATCCATCTCGAGATCAACGTCGAGTTTTCCTCGAGACTTGATCATTTTGCGGAAGTTTGCGTCGAAGCTATCAACCGAGTGTGCCTCGGTGCTCATCAAGAATTCCCAAAATAGCGGAAGGAGCTTGACGGGTCCAAGGGGCTTCAGGGCAAAACGAACCTTTCCGTCCCACGGCGCTGCCGCAGCGCATGCTTCACTGAAATTTGCGAGTGTTGTGGTGTACACAATCACGGGGTTATCCTTCGACTCCATGACGGCGTCCAAAAATCTAAGTTGATCTACAACATCGTCAACCACTACCATATCGAAGGACTTGAACAAGTCGTTCCAGCGGGTTTTCTCCGCAGGTGTGAGTTTATCGGGTGATGGCCAGGGGTCGTCCACGTACTTATATGGCACCTTCCAGCGAGCCAGATACGTTTCGAGTCGCACGTCACTGATCGCATCACGATGTGTCGACCATAACGCGACTTTCATGTTGTTGAGACGTTCGGCAAATTCCGCCCGGCTTTCCGGGGGCTCCTCGAAGAAAGCGCCGTCGATCCGTTGTGCCGCTGTATCTAACCAGGCTGTATCGGACGGATAGAACAAATCTAGGGTGATTCTGAAAGTCGTTCCTTGGCCGACAGTGCTGTCCACCTTGATAACTGCGCCGAGCTCGTCCAGGAGCGTCTTCACGATCGATAAACCCAGTCCGGTCCCCTCTACGTCCTTTATCAGACGATTCTTCCTCGTTGACTCTTGTTCAAAGGGACTGAACATCTTCTCCAGAAATTCTTCCGCTATTCCACACCCGGTGTCAACAATCGTGAATGTGACTCTTCGTTTGTGTTGTCGATCAGTTTGCGGCTCTTCCCCTCGACTGCTAGCATGGAGGTCGGAAACCCCCGCCTTTTCGAGGGTGATCTCGCTTTCTGACATCTCCCTCACCATGCCTGTCGCGCAAGCCTCGCAACTGCTGGCGCTAGAACTGCTTTCTTGGGCCGCCTCCTCAACGTTATCGCACGAAGAGCATTCCTTCCCATTCGGCGTCCGCAGCTGGTTGGGTAGATCGCAACAAGTCTTTACTCGCATCGACTTGGTCTTAGTTTCGTTCAGCGGGTTCTCTTCCGTTGCTGCGTCCTCGTCGGTAACCAGGAGTTCGACAGAGCCCGTATTTGTGAACTTTATACTGTTTCCTAGGAGGTTGACCTTGCGGAACGAGGCACCGAGAGTGTTAGCATCAAGGTACGAAGAGATTCAGAGCGCTTCTGAAGAATAAACTAGTACAAACATACCAGAATCTGCCTCAGACAGCCTTCGGACGTGATGACTCGTCGCATCGCCGGCGATATGTCAATGAAATAGCCCACAGACAACCCTTTCTTAAATCCCACCGGAGCTAGACTTGTGATAACCTCCTCCAGCAGCGTGAAAAGGTCAAATTCAAAAACGTTCTGGCACTGTTTCGCCCCACTTTCTGCTTTCGAGTACACCAGAACTTGGTTGATGATTCCCAGCAGGTTCTGTCCTGAGCATTCGATTGTAGCCAGCAGAGTGCGTTGCGAATGCGTTGTGCACAGATCATTAAGCAGTTCTACGTTTGCGAGGATACCGTGCAGTGGTGTGCGCAACTCATGGGAGATCGAAGAGATGAACCTGCCCATAAGTATCATCAAAGCAAATGAGAGCAAGTTCAGCGATGGACATGTTGCGCATAATTACAACTTTCAACGCCTTACCTAGTTTTTGCCTGATTTCCTTTCCTCTCAATCTCGACGTCGTCTTGCAACTGCTTCTGACACTCTAGTAGCTGATCAAAGCAGCCAAGCACGTAGACGGCGCCGGTTATCACGTACACGTCGCCGATAAGCCAGAACGCCTGATGGGACTCTAATGGGGGAAGCTGCCGTCCTGCCGCGCGAATAACGATCGATTCAGAACGAAGCCCTCTACCGGAATCGACTGCCGGTATCCATACCCAAACTCCAGTAGAAGCTCCAGCCGTACATCAGCACTGTAAGGAAGCCAACGCGAATTCCAAACGTCCTATCGCCGAGGAAGTACCCGAAAGGTGGTCCGAGCAGAAATCCGGAATGGCCCAACTTCCAGAAGGCGTCCGTGACGGTGCAAATGAATGTGAAGAGAGCTGGATCAAAGAAAGCCGCAAAGCAGAATCAGAATCTATGATTCGGTCACGAGTAACGTGGGTGATTCGTCGTCCTACCTAACATATACAAAATGCCGACTTTGATGCAGGTTATGACCTCAACCTAATGCCATCCAGCAATCCAGGAGACGAGAGTCCACTCAGTCAAGATGCGCGCACACCCGTTCTACCCCAATAGTCATGTCCAGGTCAACAGGCCCAAGCCGCCCTTTCAATCTTACCTTATCGTAGCGCATCACCATTAGCGCAGTTCCGTACAACAAAGCTCCAAACGAGGTGAACACGTCCATGTACTGGTAAAAAAGATCTCTCGTAAGTATCACGGCCGCGGAATACCGTAGGTGGTCCCGTTATGTCGGCCAGGTCACAAATCGACCTACGTTGATCCAGCTCAGCGGCACACTCAGTCCTAACGTCAAAGCAGCGTCTGAGCCACGGCCACGGGTAAAGGGTTTGACAAGATATATGTGATGAGAAATCGAAATGGAAGTACCTTCGTCGCTGCCGGTTTGTTTTAACCAGACATCGCGCGTGGTGAAAAACACCTGGATGCAAACAAGGAAGTAGATCGCATCGTGAGGCCCGAGACCCCAAACGCCTGCAACACATAAAAACAGTCCCCTCCACGGCCGCTGTCCGCTCCTCCTCCTCATGAAACCATTCACAGCACTCTGTACACACGCGCATCCATCATTCCGCCCCTGACATCCCGAACGTCCTACCAAAATGATCATGGAGCTGAGGAAGAAAAATCCACATATCCTAGCCTGAAACAGAGCCTTCATCGTCTCGTATTCGTGTCCATAGCCTCTCTTCTTCCTCTTGACTCGTTCGGGAAGAAACCAGTCGACGAAAGCGATCAAGCCAGCCATCAGGTGCGTCACCACGCTTCGTCCCAAAAGGAGAGAAGCAAGGTCAGCCTTGGAGTATCCGCAGACGTGCAGGTAGAACTTATAGAGCCCCGATTAATACCTCCCCTTCCATGGCCCGGCCCCCCAATCTTTCACAACTGGCTCCGTCTCCTCGTGATCCTTCGTTCGTTCGTGGTGGGACATTAGCTGACTATGACCGAAGACGAGGACTTCCGCGAAGGGCAATGGGACGAGTCTGCAGAAGCTCTTCGTCGAACGTGGAGTGCCAACGTTTCTTCTGACTTGCTTGCGAAGAAGGGTATTAACGACTTTGATATCTGGTATATGTCACGCTCTTTTATGGCAACTTGACAATTGAGGTGAGCGACGAGGCAGGAAATGGCCAATCATGGCGGTAATGCCAAAAAGGCCAAAAGGGCAATGACGCGCGGCTCAGACGTTCCCACGGAGCTGGGATTCGGTTGGCATTCGGTGTGACGCTGCATGTGCAGTTCTTGGGAGCATTGGATTCACCGGCCATAAAATACCATAACGTAGATCCGGCATGAATCACGGCCATGATGAAAATCCCTGTCGAAATCAAACCCCCCGAAGTCTCAAACAAACGAAGTTGCATCATGCATTAAGCGAGCCTATGATTGAACGGAGGTAGGGCACTGCTCTCTCTCGCTCTCTCTCTTGTATCTTGGCATTTCCTTTCCCTTTCATGGGAAGGGCCTCAGCCTATATGAAGGGGACCTCCCACACGGAAGGAAGCGGCATCTGATCAATAAAACAGAACGCACAGGTTGAGGAATCATTTCCTTCCGCACATCTTTACATCCTTTGCCTCGCCGAACAATAGCAGCTAGTACATAATAAGCGAGGGTATAATTGAACGGAATGTCGATTTCCGTGTCAGTTTTGGCTAGGGTTGCAAGCTACTTAGGGTTACGAGCGGATAAAGGCTCGTGACTCGTGCTTTACTGATGAAATATAATGTTAACATGACCATGCATATAGGAATGGGACTGTTAAGAACTAGAATATTGAAGAATAGAGAGGTTATAATATTATCCTTAAGTCCCAAGGTTGGGACCGAAAAATCCTATAATATTACGGCGAATAATCCCAGGGGGGGATAAAATTTAAGAGGCTCTACCGTTACGGGATACAATAAATGAGGAGAACGGATATTCGGATCGGAACTCCATGCGCGCCATATACGGTATGTACATACGTATGCATGTGGATTAGGCGGTTCTAAGTTAGGCGTCAACCTTTCGGGTGTGGGCGAGGGAGTAACGCACTACGAAAGTAACATCTAGAGTTCAAATGTGCGTCAGACGGGTGAAAGCATTGGTCCTTCTTGTTCTCTTCCAGCGGCGGACGGTAAGAGGGAACGCGTATGTGTATCTTACACCACCCCGGGCTTATTCGCTTGAAATGTTGCCAGAGGCGGACCGTTTTCTGCACTTCCTGAATGACTGTCCTCCGCTCCACACGAAAGGGCGAAGTGTGGGGCGCCCAAGCTCTGAGCCTTCAACTGCAATCCACCGATTCATCCTGTTCCCTGAGAGCGAGGATGGCGAGAGGTTGACGTGATGTGTATCATTTGATATGCTTTGAGGTGAATTTCGTCCAGCAGGCTTGCTTCGCTTGAGAATGTCGCCAAGTCGAACGGGGTTTTTTTGCCCTTTCATCTTTGATGAAATTCATCTTTGATGAAAGACTTATCCTGGGTCCACCTCCGCTTCAGGGCTGTCCTTGAAGATCAGCTAAGAATCTATATTGATCCCGAATATCAATACACTGACGAAAAGGCAGGACACGCAAGTGCCAGCATCGTTGAGGCTATGCTTCGCAACGCTTGCTCATCAACTTGTAACTAGCAGTTGGGCGATCGTTCCTTTGTTTGCTGATGGGCGTAACGCCCGAAATATCCTGCCACTTCCAGAAGCATCCTGTCCTCGCTGATGGCGGCTCAAGCGCTGGGAGTCCCAGTGCTTCGACCGACTTGGTTCCAACTGGAGTCATTGCATACAGTCTTAAACCCTCCCTCGCACTATTCCATTTCCCATGGCCTCGTATTTATCCTGCAACAAAGCCAGTGATCCCCGAAAACGGTCCGCAAGGATATCCTCCCTGAATCCCTCAGTTTGAACGCCACGGGCTACCCCCACAGACGAAAAGAACGTCTTGTTTCTTTAATGATCGCGCAACCACCGCAAAGCGCTTTATTCTTGGTCTCAGACAGGGACTGCTTCTACTGATTGAAGAGGTTGAGGTTGCGTGAAGGTTGCGAGAGTTGGAGCCTGGCTGAGTTAAGGACGTTGGCTCATGGCGCGGAAAGCGCAGACGTGGCTTTTCAAATCGACATTTGAGCATTCCCAGAGTTCCCAGCCAATTCCCAGCTGATTCCCAGGGAGTAATTCCCTCCTTTGAACTTGAAGCACAGCAAGTTCTTCTGCCTGGGAGCAACTTCCCTGCGGCGGGTTTTACCCTCTCCCGAAAGCCAATTCGGCACATTCCTTTGAATAGATTAGGGCGTCCTATACACTGCTTTCAGCCCTCTCGGAAGGGCCCAATATCGTCTACGTTTGTCGGGTATGTCCTGGAGCTCAGCACCGCGATCTTCGATTTCGCGCCAGCGTCCATCACCTCACCATTGCTGCCCCTTTCCGTACTTTTGTGTTGACGTTCACATCCTTTTGCCTTCCAACCGTAGGCTACACGTATTTGCACCATGTATCAAAACGGCGCCGAATCCGACCCAGCGAACGCGGCGTCATACGATCAGGCATACTATGGAGGAGCCGCAGGGGACTGGAGTGGATATCAGTACTCAAGCGTGGAAGCTCCACCCGGGGTTGACCCTCAGAACCACGGCCTTGAAGATGCCCCACCTGGAATGGGAAGTGGTAAGGCTTCCTTTGACTTTGACTCAGTGTTTTCGAAGAATTCTTGGCTTATAATTGTTAGCAGATTGGCTGATGCACGCTCAGCAAGCCGAGGTTACCCCAGTCACTTCAGATGCACCAGGAGCCGCTGAACTTCAGCAAGATCCGTCCGGGAATGTTCCGGAAGTGAACAATGGGACATCTGCTCCAGAGTCGGACGCGGTGCAAGCGCAAGGAGATCAATCTCAGTATCAGGGGTATGACTATACGGCATACGCCGGCGCCTATGGATACTATGACCCTAATGCCGCTTATTATGGGAACGCCGCCGGCTATAATCAGTACGCTTCCAGTCAGGCCTATGGGCAAAATTTCTACACCGATGCGTATGCTGCAGCATTAGGTAAAACTTGAGACATAGACTTTCTCTTACCGCAGAATCTGACCCCCTGTCTCAAAATAGCGGCACCCAAGGAGATCCACAATCCCTTTGAGAACCTTGGAAAGGAGACGGAGGCGAAACCCGACGTCAAGAAAGTGACTTCCATCCGCCGGGGCGGGCCCCCGAAGAAGAAGATTATTCTGGCGGCACCCGCGAAGAAAGTGACGTCTGCCGTGTCTCCTGTCGTCCAGCAAAACTCAAACCTGGTCGGTGGACCAGTGGACGTCGCTACCACCGATGTTGCACCCGTTGTTCCTCCCTCTTCCCACACAAATGAGCCGACGAAGCTGAATACGCAGCCCGCCGTGGCTTCTGTTAACGGAAACAAAAGTCCTGACAAGGGGATACCGTCGCAAAAGCCACACGCTGAAGCCAGCAATGGCAGGAAGGAGGTGAGTCCCGGTTGGCTTGGATATCGCTGCATAATCTCTGATCAGAATGGTGCCTCTGCTATGTAGCGCTTGAGTTGGTGTGTGGGAGCAGGGTGATTGCAAAGTTTGCGCTCACTGGGTCACATTTGCAACGTGGCTAATCATGCTCTCGCAATCTATAGCTCGACGCAAAGCAGTCGCGCACAGCAGAGACGCCTTCCGCCCCGCAAAAAAAAGGCGAAGAACGGGAATCCGTAATGCAGAAGGCGGAGAAATCAGCGGCTAAACCCGGCCAGGGTCCACCACGTGAGAGCTTACACAAAGGATTTATTCCTGTGGATATTCCTCTCAGAAGCATGGACAGCACATCGTCTCTTGCGAAAGGTACGGGATGTCACTGATGCGTTTCTTGGGATGCATGTTCATGGTCTGAATGCTTCTTTCACCAGGCAATCCAGATTCCGCACTCTCCGCAGACGCCGAGGCACAAAAGTCAAAACAGAGGAGAGATTTAGACATAAAGCACACATTGGAGAAGGATACTCTTGCAGCAATGACAAGCATAAATACTGGGAACAGGAACCCAGCTGCTGATGCTTTGGCTGCGGCGAAAGCGGCAGCAGCAAGGCTTATGAAGAGAGCAGGCTTTCAGCCGGATGAAGGGCGCCCACGCCGTGGCCGAGGTGGTGGTCGCTTTGCCACTGGTCGGCATAGCAGCCGACGAAGGTCTAGGTCTAGGTCTAGGTCCCGATCACGCTCCCGTTCTCGGTCGCCACGGTCCCGCTCGCATTCGCGCTCTCGATCTCGAAGTTGCTCAATATCCATCACCTCTTCCAGTGATGAGTCGACAACGAAACCGCGCACCTCCCGGCGTCGGACTCGAGAGACTTTGACCCTGTCGATCAGCCCGTCGCGTTTTCCAGCAGAGGTACGCGGGGACCCACCCGCGAGGCACAACGTTAGTGCACGGCCCAATGCTGCACCGCCTCCGCCTCCTCCGGGAACACCTCCACCAAGTAATTTCATTGACCATTCCCGTCAACACCTCTTACGTGATGGAAACCGTTCCTCCGAGCGTCCGGCGCTTCGCTCGAATGAATGGCGAAACGATTCTCGATATCGATATGGTCACTTGGATGAGCGGTACTTTCCCGAGCCGGATACGTCTTATGACCGTCCTGGCGCGCGTTACGAGTCCGAGTACAAGTATGCTAGCCGCCTACCAGGGAAAGAACCTTTTGTCGCAAAGTACGATGCCGAGATGGACCGACATCACGGGCGTGCTGGACATCAATATGAGAGGCCATTTGACTCGCGATTTCCATACAGCCACGAGTTCCAGCAGAGGCCCGGCTCTACAACCTACAAGCATAGAGACTCGGGATATGATGGCATCCGGGATGAGTACGATGCCGTGCGACATCGCTATCACGATGAAGCGCACTGGGAGACTGCACGTGGCGGCTATGGTCATACTGGAGTGGGATCGAAAGACATGCCCTATCATCGACCGGATGGCTACCCTGTGAGGCATGACGAGTTTCACGAGCAAGGGGTTGCCCGGTGGGCGTACGATGAGCGGAGGTCCTACCCCGATGCCTTCCCTTCCAGCAGGAACCCCGCATACAGTAGGGAAGGCACCCCCACCGGAACGACACGACTGGGTGATTACGCACACCACCGGGATGGCGGTGATCGCACGGAGAGTGGTCACCTGGCATCGACCACTGGCAAACGCCGCCTTGAAGGCGATCTCGCTGATGAACGGGTCGAATGTCATTCCGGCAGCTCACCGTCGCACGCAGACAAGAAAAAGAGATCCTCATCCTCCGAACGCAGGCGCAGCAGTAAGCACCGCTCTCACCGGAGTGAGAAGGAAAGCAGCCATCGTTCGGAGAAACGAAAACGTGATCACGACGATGCAGACGTGGAACCAAGGCTCAGTACTGATCCCACGGGGCACCGTCTACCTGACAAGGACGGCGTACTTAAACCCACCGAGTCGATTGACGATTCAGCGGGAAGACGCGGTCATCGTCATCGGTCGCGCTCAGGAGAACGGCGCCGACATCGGCACCGTGAGAGTCGTTCGGAGCGGGAATCGGAGGTAGACAATGCGTCGGAAAAGCTGGGCCATGAAACCTCTGCGGGGGATGAGAATGAGGATAATGATCGGCGCAAACATTCTTCGTCTCACAAAAGCAGCAGTAGCAGTAGCAGACGCCACAAATCTTCCACTAAGGAAAGCAGTGGAAGGCGACGGAGGCGTACCGATGAGATGGAGCATAGCATTCCCGAGTGATTCACAGCCAACATTGTACTTCTTCGCGGTGCATGCATGGAGGCGCTTCTTGTTGATTCCAATTATGTACTATCTGATCTGTATCTTTGGTGTATCATATGAAATGCTTGAACTTTTAACAACGCCAATACACATGAACTGGCACCACCACCTCGGCCACATCACTACGTAACTACCCTATCTCTGTGGAACTATGCAAAATGTGGAAACTTGAAGAATGAAGCTTGAAGCAGACGAGGGGCAGACATGATCAATCATCATCGAAAAATCCCCTAAAAATGTCCCCAACGTTACTGGAGACTCCCGAATCCTCGTCCGACACCCAAGGACTCTCGCCCCACTGATTGGTGTCGCCATCTTGCGGCGCAACTGGTGGTGGTGGTGGGGGCATTGATCCGGCCGAGTCGGCTCCAGGATTTGCTGCGCCACTGGAACCGCCGCCCATCACGGAACCGAATACGCCGCTCCCGACTCCACCCGCTACGGCTCCACTATCTGGCATATTGCTAGGTACAGGGGCGTTTGACTGGTTTCCCGACTCGGAGTTGCCATAGCCGCCGAACATAGGAATAGGCATGAACCCCGCTCTGCAATGCGACGAGGAAGATCGTTAGGATGCGTTGATGCTAGGTAAGGACCAGAAGATGGAGCGTCTTACCCATGTCCTGAATGCCTGCTGAAGTAATCGATGTCGATATTGATGGCGCATGAGAGTAACAGCGCACGAACATCTAGAGATAGGCCGTCGTGTGTGTGCGTCGCATCATCCATATGAATAGCATAAGCACCCGTGTCCGTGAAGATCTGCCCATCCAAACGACTTTCGTCAGCCTGACGTCTGAAGTAACCGGTCATCCGCAAAGCTTTCTGCGCACCTCACGAGCGAATCCGGAGAAGTTCCTATTCACGGCTGCCATGACAGAGCCATCCGCCGCTCGAATTTGGAAGTCCCAGGCCAGAAAGCCCTCATCGATGTATGCCACCTGCTTCTGTTTGAGGAACAGATCGTACTTCCTCCGCCATGGGTGCCAGACCTCTGGACATGAAAAGAAAGTCGGGAAACTCAGAAATCCGAACAGCAGAACCCATTTGGAGGGCATCCACCTGACACTCACGTTTGACCTCCCCGATGTGGTTATCATTCTCATCGGTGATAGTGATCGTACTGTTTAGGAGCCATTTCATTGGTCGCTCCACCTATCAAACATGTCAATCACAATGAGCATAAGCAAATCTTCAAGCGAATGCGGTAAATCCCGTACCTTCAATACGACATTCCCCTGCATATCCGTCACAATCGCCTTAAATGGACGTCGAGTCCTCAAAAGCTGCCTGCTTATGGTGCCCCCAAACGACGTCTCCTCCTCCGCAATAAACCCCACATCTTTCCCATTTGAATCCGTGACTTTGTACTTGTTACCCTGCTCGAACCCAATAATAACGTTCAGGAGCTCTATCTGCCTCGTAACAACGAGCGCCGGGTTGGAGAGCAGGGCATAGGACTTTGAAGTTGTTGACAGGGCGGCATCTGGGGGTGATGGTCCGATTCGAACCGGTACGACGGAAGCTATCGTTGGGGTCACGGCGACACTTTCGGGATTGTTTGCTGCGGGGGGTATGTCCTCGCCATCGCCGCCTTTCCGAGGCGCCGGTGGCAGTCGTCGTACTGATCTCCGCCCAGACCGGTCTGAGTGGACAAAAACGAGATTAGCACTGCGTTGACTATATGCGTTACTTCTCTTCCTCCTCTGGTGTACCTGAGCTGAGACGGGCGCTATAAGCTCGGCGAGTGCATATGTTCGCAGGAGTCGCAATGACACACATTGGTCGAGGACCAACGGTGAAGTGCGGAGTTTTCGCACCGGCGCATATCCTTACTCGCGATGCATGTAGGACAGGACGACTGTAGAGTGTTGCCATGCCGCTTAATAAGACAGTCTATCAACCGTTTTGGCCGCAGGGAGGTGATACGACTGAGAGAGTGAAGCGAAATCCTACGCTCGGACACCTCCATTTCAGAGCAATATCGGGACGCGACGGAGTACTCCGAAGTCTCTTCACCTTTTGTCATGCATGACACGTCGTCAAGTTCTTTCAGCACGCAGATTATGACAGATCACAATACGAATATTAATACAAAGACAGATGGAGGAGACATGCGCTTCCTCAGGAAAAGTGAATCAAACAAGTGTGGAGACGGCCGCTGGGCACTCGTCGTAGCAAGGCGAGGTTGTTGAAGTGACGTACGACATTCTTCCCAGGCCGAATATGCCAATGAAGACTAGACGTCTATGTATGTGTTTCCGTTTAGCCACCAGGACGAGTCCAAAACCAGTGCGAGTCGATCAAGCGAACTTGTCGAGCCTCACAACGATGTTCCTTCCGCTAACGAGTTCGCCGTTGACTTCGTTTACCGCGCGCTCTGCCTCTTCGGGAGATTGGAACCTAACCACACCGCATCCTTTTGATCGACCAGTGTTGTGCTCCACGAGAACATCGGCGTGGACGGGATTGAGGCCGTGGGGACGGAAGATGTCCTTCACGTCTTGCCATCGGAGAGAGTAAGGCAACTTTGGGAGGAAAAGAAACAAAGAATTGGCATCCAACCAGACAACAACTCGACCATAAACGAATGATCCACTTACGTTTCCAACGAAGACCTGTGTGCCAGCCAAGTTTCCGTTATTTTCGGCCGCGAATTTGTCTTCGCGTACTTCAATTGCCCTTCCGTTGATGTCGCGGCCGTTCAGTGTGTCGATAGCAGCTTGGGCATCCTCAACGGTGGACATGACGATTTGTCCATAACCTCTGCTCCGGCCCTGGTTGTCGACCGTAACATCGGCCCTCAAGACGTTTCCAACCTCCCGGAACAAGTCCTTCAATTCTTGCCATTGCACGGTGAACGGCAAGTTTCCGACAAACAGCTGGCGGCCCGCAGTGCTAGTTGGGGCGGCGTTCGCGAATGTAGTTCCGACCGCACCATTGGCCTCGCTGGCGCTTCCGTTAACACCAGCGTTGACGAATTTCGCGGCGGCCGACGGACCGTTGTTGTTGCCGGCGTTGTTGACGGCACGGGGACCCTCAGAGTAGGAGCGGTCTTCGCGAACATCAATACGACGCCCCTTCCATTCATAACCATTGAACAAGTCGACGGCCTTTTGTGCATCTTCAACGCTGGCCATCAGGAGAGTTCCGTAACCTCTCGACCTGCCTCGCTCGTCGGTAGCAACCTCGGCGCGGAAGACTTGTCCAGCTTCGTTGAACAGCTCCTTCAGATCCTGCCAAGCAGCAGTGTAGGGGATGTTGCCAACGTACAGAGCGCGGATGTTGACGATGGGGGCTAAGAAAGCGGGTAAACATTCAGCATCCAGGATTGTCCACTAGAGGTGCAATCCAAGATGGGCACATACCCTCTTGCGAATCTCTGTTCAGGATCGGTGCATTCCCGATGGCAATCGAGCCACTTTGCCCGATTGGGGGGCGGCCACCATATACCTTCCCGGCGTTGCGGTCCTCACGAACCTCAATGTTGCGGTTGTGCCACTCCCGACCGTTGAACAGCGAGATGGCGGTTTGGGCCTCCTCCGGGGTCGAGAAAGTAACCGTTCCGAATCCTCGAGACCGTCCCGCTGGCCCGAGCACGACGTCCGCTCGCACGACGTTACCGGCGTCACGGAAGAGGTCCTTAAGATCTTGCCATCCTACAATGAATGGCAACTAGAAGAGCAAGCAGACAAGCGACTTAGTCGATTTATTGATGGGTGGCTGAGGTAGAAGCTGCGGAATCCTCACGTTTCCAACAAATAGTTGCCTGCCTGCGGTGTTCATCTCGTCGTTTCTGCTTCGGAACGCCTTCAGATCGATAGTGAAAGCGACGCTTGAGTTGTGCGACGGGGCCCGATGCTGATCAGAACCAACGGCTTTGTACTGTACCTCTCTGCCTGTGTAGTCCTAGTCCTCCCGTTGTTTCCTCTCACCAAATCAAGCAGCGAGATCTCCAAGGCGTGGGTGGGTGGTGTTGGACGCTTCTCGTTCCTCCGCTTTTCCGGGAACCGACGCACTCGCCCACAGCAGCACTCGAGGATTACAGTCACGTGATCGCCTTGGGGAATCTCGCGTCCCTTTCTGTGAATGCCGGGCACCATCCTGGGCACCATCTCGACCCTGGCTTGACCAGCACCCTAATCTGCATTGCAGACTCGTACCTTCTGGAGCGCATTTGTGACACCAGTAAGTCTTCGAAATGACCACCCCACTGAGACGTTCTGCGAGAATCAAGGCACGAGCGGAGGAAGCAGAGGAGGATTTTCTGGAACGGTAGTGTGCCTTCGTTCTGCCGTGGTCGGCACAGTTGGCCCTGCGGCCCTGCACTGAACCCCCAGATTCCAGCCGTGACCTCGTGGAAGAAATCGACACCTGCTACAACACCATCGAAAAAAGATTGCAAAATATATCCGAGATCGCCAAAACCAGAATACTAGGCCTCCTGCGAGGCCGATTAGAAGATTTCAAAGATGCTTATGAGGAGTTCACTGGGAAAACAGCGGAATGGATCCACACACGGGATACGCGGGAGGAGGAGCTCAGCGAACCGACTCAGGGGAAAGAAGCTGCGGCATTAGGGGAAGATACGATGGATGAAGTTGGAGCGATGTACCATTCTCACCTTAAGCGCTGTCAGCACCCTGGAGAAGTGGAGACGATGGGCTACAGGGAGAAGAAACCGGCGCCGAGGAAGAGACGACGCTCCCCGGAACCTTTTGATGATGAGTTCGATGAAGAGGAACATGATGAACCTAAGTTGGAACCGATGTATAACTCCCGCTTCAGGAGGTCGACGAAAGGCTCGGTTCGAGTAAGGACGGAATCTCAACGGTTCTCGTGCTGCAACTTTTGCGCGACATCTGGGGAATATGAGAGCGATATGACCGGCGCGTGCTAGGACATTTGTTTCGCAGGAAGGATAGCTTTTGATTGTGGGCTTGTTGAAGGAAACGCAGCCGTTAAGGATCAGTATGCACGAATACGCCCCGCTTTTGGCCTGAACAATGGAATCGCTGGAAGGAACTGAACTTTCCTCTCCTGCGACCATCACGCAGCCCATTCTCGGACGGAATCCCCACTCATTTTCTCAAACCGTTCATCATCCTTTCACCGCGGTGGCCGCCCCTGAACCCTGGCCTCGCTCCTACTACAGTACCTAGCGTAGAATCAGCCCGCCTTCCCTACATAGATTCACCTATTACAATCGCGTGAACCCCGCTGTGCAATGTATACAAAACATACACTCTTGCTGTCGATTAGGCCTTATTTCGTGACTTTCCATTTCGAAAGTGGCTGGAGCGGAGGTAGCCACCAGGGCGTCGATTTTGATGTGTGTGGTCGCAGGTGCGACGCAGGAACGCGAATTCATACACCGGCAGCTCTATTTCATCTACCCTGCAGGTACTCTACTCAACAAGAACTAACATCTAGCTAAAGCTTTACATTCATAGTCACCTTCAACGTCAGTCATTTTCTCCATCACCTCCCCGCAAATGGCCATAATCCTCTCTCTCCCCACTCCGGTCGTCTTGCCACGCACCGCATCCGATTCAGCAAGCAATAAAAACACCCACCCAGCAATCCACGCCAACTGTCCCTCATTCTCCATATACGTAGATCCAAAACATTCCGTGAAAATAGGGTCAAGCTCTTCATGAAGCTGCCGTAGCACTGCCTGACAGCGGGTATGCATGCGGATATAGTCAAAGCGAAGCTTATGCTTTTCCTCGAAGAGACCGGCTCGAAGGGTCACGAGTAATTGCAAGGGCGTCATCTTCTGCGCCTGGCTCCAGCTACGCTGGAAGTTATACGGCAGCGTCGTCTTGATCGACTCGCGGAGCAGCCGGTCCACCGCCTCGACAGTAAAAACGCTTTCCTTGTTGTAGCAGATCCGGTCGCGGAACAGGATCGAGATGGGGGAATTCTCCTCCAAGCCCGTGGGACCTTTTGCGGATCCCTTGAGAGGCCCGCGTTTGCGGATTTGCGCCGACCGGTCCGTCCCCGCGATCCCCAATGGTGACCAGCCGACCATGTAGTTGAAGCTCTTGAGCGATTCGGTCGGGTTTGTGGGGACGCGGCCTTTGAACATGCGCTCTTTCCCGTTCGCGGCCATGACAAATTCCATGTCTTTCCATTCTTTGCCGTTCAGGGTGTGAGAGTACTTGCAGGCTTCGTAAAGGTGCGCGGTGTAAATGATGCTGCCCCAGGCGCTGGCCAGGACCATCCCTAGGTGCTGGGCATGGAGTTGCAATTTGAAGAGTATCAGGCCACACAACATTGGATGCCTTAAAGCCAAGTACAGGATTGATCAAGGAAATTGATTAGGCAGAGTCGAGCTGAAAAGTACAGCATGTGCTTTGAGATGGAGTATACTCCTGAGTCTTACCTATTATACAGGGAAAAGGGGCGCATTTCCGCTTCGATTCCCAAAGGGGAAATCAATCTTTGCGTTTCAGTTTTCAGTCGGTCGTTGATTATCCAGACATTGATCCAACTCTGAAAGTGTTTGACGCCATCCTCGTGATCTTTAGGCCATATTCTCGGATGATTTGCGGGAGTCTCGGCAGAGCTTTTCTTCAGAGAGTCCTCGACGCGGGATCCAGCCAGACGAAGCAGCGTCGCGCCGAGGCCGGCACGCTCGCGGAGGATATGGTGGATGTCGATGAAAATCTGGGTGGCGAACACCAAGACCAAGGGAATTTTCTTGGTTCGTGCAAACTCCCCGAACTCCTTTGTGAATTCATCCTTTAAGGGGTCATCTACATTGAAGCGGGCGTACAAGACCAACTCCGGCATGGCTTCCATCAGGATAAGTCGATCCTCCCACAGCCGCTCTCGATGATTGTAACCCTCTCTCTTGGCAAGCGGGTTGTACTTGCCAAACTGGCCGTTATACCAGGGGAACTGATTAGGCTGGATGACTTGGGCGAGGGATTCCAAGTTCGAGTGTATGGGCATGTACAGGAACTCTGCCACATCGATCATTTGGAGATTCACGATGTCCTCCCGATGTTTTATATTGGTCGGGTCTTCTCCGCGAGACATGCAGGCATATAAGTAGAAGAGCTTCGACGCCATATCGTAATCGGTGACTTCAGGATGGAACTTGGATATATCATCCTGGATATCACGCACCAAGTCAATCGCCGTGTTGGTAGTGACGGAGGCGGATATCAAATCAATCGTGCCATCTCGGAACTCGGCCCAAGTCTGTTGCAAAAACTCCCGAATATTGTGCAAGTCCTGGAACAGGCTGAAAATGGCAAAGAGAAGTTCTCCGCTGTCGTCTTCATTTTCCACCTCGTATGTCTCTTTATCGGCCATGGTGGCCTCATCGACCTCAACCTGAGACGCGTCGAAATCGTCATTGACGTCCTCCATATCCAAAGCAGCGAATTTATTCTCCGTGTCGATAGCCTGGCTGAGCTCCATATCATCGTGCCGGAATGAGTTCAGAGGAACATCGGCGGTTTCGTTGACTTTCGATGGTACCGCATCATTCGCTTTCAACGGCAGTAAGAGCGAAAGAACCGTTTCCAGCACCTCGATAAAGTGCCAGTGACCCCCATCTTTCTCCAGCTTCTTGGTGCTTCTCCCGGCTCGGCTGAACCATTGCGCACAGCTTTTGCGCACCTTGATGGCGCGGCGAGCCACCACGAGTACAGAGGCGGGAACTGCGACTTTGGCATCGGCGATGAGCTTGGCCATATCCGAGATCTGATCCACGGTCAAGATGCACGGACGTGCTTCACCAGTGGAGGGTTTCTGAGTGCCAGATTCGCGGGCTAGCTTCCGGTCCCGGCCTTTGAGACGAGCTGGCTTTGCGGCGGCCTTTGCCTTTACGACAAGTCCGAGTTTTCTGGAGTTGACCACGAGCCATTTGACGAGCCTGTTTGTGTCCGACTTGTAGCGCTTGTAACTATCGGCTATGAAGGCCGGAAGACGTCCCATATTGAACCAAGAGGTGGCAGACAATGAGCCTGTATTCCTACTATTCCTTTGATGAGATGATGTTGATACCTTGGGGAGTTGCCCGCAGGTTGGGAATCTGGGGAATTTGGAAGACGCCGATGAGTGATCTGCGTGTTGCCCATGGATTCATCTCAGCCTTCAGGATCGCAGCACGGGCGCCAACTTTGACTCGTCCGCTGCACAAAATTCTCTCCCACGCCAACTGCATATTTGCCATGCAGCCCGCAACAACTTGCAGGTGTAACCACTACAACATGCAGACGACGCCAGAGGAACAGTCGGAGGAATTGTTGTTGCGGACTCGCACGGCGACGACAGAGAGACCACTTGCTGAAATACTCAACCCGCAACGGCCAAAGTCCTCGCTTCCCAAGAACTTGAAGTAAGACGTCTCTCGCATTCCCGCAACATGAGAGTACCGCACCTTGCCCTGGTGGCAGGTGCTCTACTCGTCTCAGCTGCATCGCGAGTCGCAGCGCAAAATCCCGGAGACGCCTGTGACTTCGAGAGCGTGCGATGCACCGGGCCTACGGTTATTGCGTGCACTGGATTGCCCGGGAAATGGGAAATCATTGAGCGTTGTCGATACGGCTGCAAGTGGGACATGCCCGGGCATTGCGCTTTCGGGCCCGAAGACGCTGGTGAGGACTATAATCCTGTCTTTGTAGCCCTTGTCTTGCTTTCTCCTTTTCCCTCGCTCATCAACCCACTCCTGAAACAGATCCGAATAGTCCAGGAGGACCCAGTACACCTGCCCCAACTCGAGCAGTTCCTAACCCACCTGTCCCAAGTCCAGTCGCTCCGAATCCACCTACCCAGAATCCAACGACTCCCGATCCCCCCGCTCAAAATCCAACCACTCCAAATCCCCCTGCTCAAAACCCAACCACTCCCAATTCACCTGCCCAAAATCCAGCGGCTCCCAATTCACCTGCCCCAAGTCCAGGCGCTCCAGTTGCTCCGAGTCCCGCCGCACCTATTTCCGCTCCTGGAAGTCCTACTACCCCGAACGCCGCTGGTGGTACTACAGGGGCACCCATCGCGGCGGTGACCTCTGGCCCACTTGGCCAAGGAAGTGGAGCTGTTGTGACGCCCGGTGTGGCAGCAGCAGGAAGCGCAGGGAACTTGGGCCCGACAGCTGTTGGTGGCTCCAGTGCTGCCACCAGCACAGGAATCCCCACTGACAAATTCATAAATGGAGTCAAAGACACCATTTCCAAGACGATGATCATAGTCATCGTCGCGGTGGTGGTGGGATTGTCTCTTCTCATCTGCGCCGTCAGTGCCGTGTTGATTCGAAATCGTCGACGCCGGAAGAACCTGAAATTGCAACAAAATGAGTTCCGCTCAAATGAGGAAACCAACATGCAATTTGTGACCAACAATCACTCAACGGCGGCACTTATGACTGGCTCAACGCACTTTTACAATCCATCCGGGTCGTCTATTGCGGGCTCTCACGATCATGGATCTATCCCGAGTCCCCAACCAGCTTGTCTTAATTACGGCGGCACTCAGTATCATCAGGCACAGGGCCTTTCGGCCGCGACATCTGCTCCCTCTGTGGCCTCTGACGGACAGTCGTCCCAGGTTTATGACGGCAGTCAGTATCACCAGGCACAGGCCGCATCCTCATCACAGTCCGCTTGGCGCACGCCTACGACAATGAGTTCCGGAAGTGAACACGAAGAGCTAGCATCCATGTCACGCGCTCCTCCCAGTTACGCCAATGCCACCGGCAACACCGTCTATGAAACGCGTCCAGCCAGCAGCGCATCGGCTGGCTTTGCAGTGGCTAGCGCGGCCAGCTCGAGCCAAGGCTACGCTTCGGCCTCCGTCGAAAAAGCCAGGCTCCGCGCCCATCATGAAACAGCCGCCCAAACAGCCCCGCAGTCATCATCATCAACAAAAGGATCCCAGTACCACCACGCCGCTTTACAGACCGCCGGCACCCCCGGCACACCTTCCGACATGCGCGCCGCAGTCGTCAACGTCCCCTCCTCAGCCCCTTCCACAGGCTCAAACGACTACTTCTCCGACCCCGCGCTGCTGAATCCAACCAAAATGTTTGTATGCACGCACCCGCATCGGCCAAGATCGCCCGAGGAGGTGGAGGCGGCTATTGGCGACTCGCTGTTTATGGTTAGGATGTTCAGGGATGGGTGGGTTTATGTTAGGAATCTGACGAGGAATACGGAGGGGATGATGCCGGGGGCGTATTTGGGGAGCGCGGGGGCGGCTGCTGAGCAGCCAGCTGCTTTCGCTTGAGGCAAGAGTTCGGTGGCCTTGACAGAGCTTCGATACCTCTGCCTTGAGGATTCACTCTCGAGAGATTATAGGGACCGGAGAGGGTCTGGTGCCACCGGTCACTGACATCCTCCATGACGGCGTACAATGTTAGATAGCCCTAGATACCAGATTACACTTCAGTCTAACCCACCCCACCGAAAGGATATATTGTAGCTATGGACTTCGGCGTAAAGTTACAGACATCGAGTACATAGAACATATGGAGAAGGCTCTTATGCCCCAAATGCCAAATCCGAAGGTATCCAAGTTTTCTTCTCTGAAGTAGACGCGAAAAGTGCATTTGTCCTTTCGTTGCCCTCCCGTTGCCCTCCATTTGTATTTGCCGCCTCCGTAATGACCGCTTCACAATCAGACGGCATACCATTAGGTTGGCAATCAATACATTTGCAGCAAATGTCCTTAACAGCCATCCCGATCCTATTCCAATCGACTATTGATACCAAAAAGGGAGCTATGTTAGATGTCCCTACGGTCAAAGCTATGCTGCTGAAGTACGTCTCAAGAGAAAGGCCGCGGGGACCAAGCATCGCAGGAAGGGCCAACTAAGGTGCGGGTGGGATGATGCGATGAGGATATCCAGCAGTCGTTTGCCCTTTCGTGGGAAGAGGCTTAAAGTGCGTTCCCACCAGGATGAAGACGCAGAGCGTGAAACGACCTAAAGTCTTTCTCGGGCGAGTAACGGCTCAATTCATGGGTGTTGGTGGGATGCAGCTCGCTCTGCGCGACCCAAGATTCCATTTGCTGCTCCCATCCCTCCATCCAGTACGCGACTCGCCATCTCATCTCGGTTCGGCGAGCTACTTTCGCCACGGCGATTGAGCACCGGTGATGGTGGAAAGCGCAGTTGTGTGCCGATATGCGGAACCTAGTATAGTTCGACTAGCGGCGGCTTCCAGGATCCTTCACTCGGGACCCCAACCACATCCGAATCTAGCCACCAATCATCGTCATCGGCCGATTCGGCATATTCTTCAACTCAAACATCCCCGCATGCCGCGCCTTTTTCCTCTTCACAGCCGCGCTGACCGTCTCCAGCAACAGCGAGTCATCAACCCCACTCCTCAAAGCGTCCCGCAAGTTGACTTCCGAGTTTCCAAACAGGCACACCTTCAAGTTCCCATCGGCCAGCAATCGCAGCCTGTTGCAAGTCCCGCAGAAGTGCTCGCTCATGGATGTGATGAACCCAAATTTGCCTGCAAAGCCAGGTACGGCGTATGCTTTGGAGGTGTCGTTTGGCGCGTCGTCCAGTTTGTCTACGGTGGGGTACTCGGCTTTGATCATCTCTAGCATCGATTTGTAGGATACGAACTTTTCTTCGTTCCATCGGTTGCCGCCGAAGGGCATATACTCGATGAAGCGTACGTAGATCGGGAGGTCTTTTGTCATCGCGATGAACTTTACAACTTCGTCATCGTTCACGTTTTTTATGACCACCGCGTTGAGTTTCACTGGTTCGAAGCCGAGGGCGACGGCCTCCTTTATCGAGTCGATGACATTCTGGAAACCTGTTGCCGCGGCCGTCAGTAACCACAATTCAACGCAAAATATGACAACCCTCCGTACCTGGTCTTCTGGTCATCAAGACGAACTTATGCGCGTCAAGGGTATCTAAGCTGATGTTGAGCTGATCCAATCCGTTAGCCTTCAGCATCGGCAGTTTCCGTTTCAGGGCGATGGCATTCGTTGTAATTCCGATTGCCTTCAGTCCCAATGGACGCAGCTCATTCAGACCGGCTATAAGAATAATTAGGGAAATGAGACATCTGGCCGCATTGAGCCCCATGTGCCTCCGCAGTCCACATACAGATTACATCCATGAGGTCTCTCCTCACAGTCGGCTCACCCCCCGTCAAACGTATCTTCGTGACGCCTTCTTCGACGAACATACGGGCCAGCCGCAAAATCTCCGGCGTTGTCAGCATATGGTTCTTAGGCGTAAGAGGCAGACCTTCCGCGGGCATACAATAGGTACCTGATCACGAAAGCGAGATACAACCGAGTAAGCGTACCAGCCAGGAACGACAGTGTTTGAAACGGCTTACATCGCAAGTTGCACTTTTCTGTCAGGCTTATTCGTAAATAGGAGTGGTGCCGGCCAAAGGTGTCCATGAGACTTGACGGCATAGGGCGGACTTTCTCAATAGCCTGTAGCCTTTCCCTCGCTAGCTGCCGCTTGCCACCTATAGCTGCATCTACTACGTTATCATGGTTCAGCTGCAGTTCGTCTTCGTGTCCGGTCGTCGGAGCTGGGGAGACAGTCGCATAAGCCACGGCGGAGTGTGCTCGAAGTTGTTGCTTCCTCCGAACTGTTGCTGCTGCTGCCTGAGCGACAGAGACCCGAAAGAGAGGTCAGCTTGAGGGGTTTGAAAACAGTATAACAGCCAATGTGCAAACCTTGAACAGTCGACTGTTTCTCGATATCGTGCGTGCTCCTCCGAATCCACTCATTGTGCTGCTGGATAAAAACAAAGATACGACCCCTGGAGCGTAACGACGAATAAAGCAAATCAGTGGCGGCCGAAGCTGTGCGGTCAAAATGTCAACACGGCGACGTGCTGGCCATGGAACTCTTCGTCAGTGGGAAGCAAAGCTAAGCAAAGTGATTCGTCACGCGCCACCAACAGACCAGCTCACCACGACTCCGACAGGATATGAATATGGACAGCACAACGGAACAACTAGCATGAATAGATCCGCTCTACATTACAGTATATATCTACGGATCTACGCCGCCTAATCAATCGTTCTCAAATCTCCCCATCCAATGCCGTGTTCGGGTTTCCCAATTCCAAAAGTTCCTCTCCGGCGGCGCTACCTTTGAGCACATCAAACGCGATAGGACTCAGAAAGGACTCCATCCACGAAGCTCCATCTTCACCAGTGCCACTGAGCAACCGCCTTTCCCTTGCCCTTCTGATCGAACGCTCTCTTCTCGAGGCCCGAGCCATTCCACATCCACGCTTCCTGGACGAGAATCTTGAACGCGTACAGTGACGCCCGCTTTCTCTCGGACTCCGACGCAGAGTCTGTCGTAGATCCGAGTTGTCCAGCGGTGGACTCCATCGCCGCCGTCGGATCCTCGAATGCAGTCAGGCGGACGATGGTTCCCAGCACTTCTGAGGCCCACCCAGATGCTTGGTCCACGCAACGATGTCCTCTGTGATTCCATCGTGGTTCGTCGACTTGTGGCAATGACATGGCCGTCCGGTAGGCCAGAGCAGCGTTGGATATCTGCCAACAGTTGATCCACTGCTGATTAACAATCTTCTGCCCACGCACTGGCGGGTGGCGCCGCTGCCTGCCCGAAAGCTGGTGCACGTTTCCCGGTCGGCCAAAATACTACATAGACCCTGATCGACGCCGCATCTCCTGGCTTGTTCCGCAATAACTTGCAGAGCTCAAACATGGTGAGCAATTCTTTGAACCGCTCTATGCGATGCTGGCTGCTCGGAAAGTCTTCTTTTTGGTTCTTTTGGGCTTCAAAGGGGGCCATCCACGCCCACTTTCATTGTACCGCTTGACGTGTATATCTTTCTGACGTTCTGCCCGATGAAGATGGCAGTAAATAGGTGATACGGAATAAAACGTTTTTGGACCCATCAGCCAGTCAGTTGAGGGACTTCTAAACATAACGCACAAAGATAAAACCAGTTTTTCCTATAAATATGACAAAGTAGTCCAATCTCGCATTAGCAAAAGCAAGATATCAGCCAGCCGTTCAACTCTTTACGTCGGAGGTCTGTTATCAGGTCTGTTATGTCACAGATGCGCTGGGACGCGCACCCTGTCAGTCACGCCTCCAACTTGCGCGGCTGCCACTGCTTTCACAACGTTTTCCAGTCGAGGTCCGACGAGTTCAATTCGCACCGGCGTAGAAGTGAGAGACTCGTACAACGGGCGTCTATACAGGGCGATCTGGTATGATATTCTAGGAAGTTCCTCCGCTAGCCTTTGACGGTCCTCAGCCGATGCCCACCCATTGTCCAATACTCCGACGACAACCTTCAGTCCGCGCCATATAAAGCAACGCACGACCACGGTGGGTGACGGGGTCAACCATGAGCGAAAGCAGCCGGAACGGCACAACTAAGACTCTTATTGCCTTTGACTTTGACTGGTGAGTTTATGGGAGTCGTCCGCATCTTGTACGTGGTGAGGTGAGCCGACCCTTACATATCCCGCCTATAGGACACTGGTCGACGAAGACACGGATCGCTATGTATATGCCACCCTTTCACCACCGACACTGGAAAAAGTATATTTGTTGAAGGGAAATCTGTGCCTGTCAGCTTCCGACTGACCCCTGGGTTCCCCCCCGCTTAGCTCCTTAGTCTCCACAAAACTGTCCAATGGACAGATCTGAACGTACGTTGGTCTCCATCTCTTTTATCTGAAGGCGTACAGTTGCGCTGATCATATGTATCTTATGAATCGGTTTGTGCAGAATCAACTCCATCAAGAGTTGTATGAACTTGGAATCCCAGCCCTCCATGTCATGAACACATGGCGGAACATACCGTTCGTAAGTTGGTGCGAAGAACTTTGCGAAGGAAGTAGCTTGCCAAGTCACTCATGTACAACGTCGCATGAAAAACCCGCAGAACCCTGCAACCGCTGAAGCCCTACGTCTGGCTCATGCCCAAGGCGCCGAGATCATTATCCTCTCTGATGCAAACACGATATCCATCGAAGCTATCCTGCGGCATCACGATCTCCGGCATCTTTTCTCCAAAATCATCACCAACCCAGCACACTACGACGATATCGGGTGTTTGCGGGTGAAACGGTTGATTCCGGCTGACGGACCGCAGCATGGATGCCCAAATGGGTGCGCGGTCAACATATGCAAAGGTATGGTGAATGAAAGAGGGAGATGAACCTATTGGCCATGGGCTCGTGTTCTGCATAATACAACCCTTCCTAGGTCAACAGTTGCTTGATCATATTGCACAGAATGGACCGTATTCCAAAATCATATACGCCGGAGATGGCCGAAATGATCTGTGTCCGAGTACAAAGTTGAGGCGGTAAGTGGGCTGTTCGACAGTGGTCATCGGTCTCAAAAAGTGACATGACTTTCACTTTCTGGTACAGCACCGATTATGTTCTTCCACGCACGGGTCATGCTCTTGCCAAGATCTTGTCAGCCTCACCATCCGCAAAGCTGCCGAACGAGGAGCTGACGATGAAGTCGCAAACAGAAACCAATACCGATTCAGATGCAGATGCAGACCCGGTTAGACGGGTGCCCGAGGACACGAAGAATGCGGTCGTGGCTAATTTGAAGTTTTGGGAAACTGGCAACGACTTGTTAGCAGTCCTCAAGAGTTTGCTGCAACCGTAGTCTGAGAGAGTCGAGGGGCTAGACAGGAGAGGGGACATCATATGTAGGATTCTCGCGGAAGCTAGACACCTGTAGACCTATATAGCATTTTGTTGTATGTAAATTTTTGAACAGCAGCATATTTATGCGCCTTCAAGCAAGTGCTATGATGATAAGAGAAACCTCCGCAGAGCGAACTCGGTTGAAAGAGAACACCTCTGCGTTGCGGGAGCCCATATTCCCCCTTAGGATTGATGAAGGACAAGGCGGCCCCATCCCATCCGTACAGACTGCTCACAGCTGGGGCTACGGTTGCTGCGACATACGGGAAACATGCACAGCTGATGCACAGCTTCATGCAGCCCAAAAAGTGTTCGTGTTGTGTTCCATGCAAAAAATTGCCTGCTTCTCGATCATGATCCCTTTCGAGCGCACGCAAAAACGATTCTACCAGGATTCGAACCTGGAATCTCCCGCTCCGTAGGCGGGCGCCTTGACCATTGGGCCATAGAACCGATCGATATACGCACTCACAGCATCAAATTTATAACCAAATGAAGCAAATGTGTCAGAAAGTGCAGGTTTTGTCATGCAAATTTTGTGCAGGTGTGAAAATCACGTGAGGTCAATAATCTGACACCCGACGCGAGCGCGAGGCGAACAACAACCGGCAAGCCGCACGATGACACGCGAAGGCCTAGATCTGGAGGTTGTGATAAAGGTTGCCAGTGCGACGTCTTGCTGAGGCGACAGCAACATCGCTACTAAATTATCGATATAGCAGTGAGCTAAACCTACGTTCTGGAGACTGCTCTGGTGACTGTTCGCCACTTCTGATCCGAGGTTCTATCGCCGGCATTCGTTCATTGAACCATAATGTCACAACGACGTTCGAAGTGGGCAGCGTTCGTGATCTGCGTCTGTCTTGTAGCCAAAGCAACAGCGTTCTATCTGCCTGGAGTTGCGCCGCACGACTACAAGAAGGATGACATTGTCCCACTGTTTGTGAATGCGTTGTCTTCAGCAGCTACGGTTATACCATATGACTACTATGAGGAGGAATTCAACTTTTGCAGAGTAAGAGCGGTGTGGAAAGCGTGATATCACCATTTCGAACGCGATCTCATCTTTCCGGCTTCAATTGGACAGCCTACCGATATCCATGGGAAGAGTGAATCTCTGGGGAGCATTCTTTTCGGGGACCGTTTAAAGTCGTCCCCCTTTGAGGTAAGCCCCCGAATTCGCGATCTACGCTTGCGCAAAGGGCGTTTACCAAAGAAGGGTAACCCCTTCGTCTCCCGTCTCCCGTCTCTTAACTTCTGAGCCCTCCTTCCTAAAATGCAGTTGAAGATGCTGAGAGACGAAGAAAAATGCGTAACGCTTTGTCATGCTACATACAAGCCGGAGCACGCGCAGTTCGTCAACGACAGGATTCGGGAAAATTACTTCATCCACTGGTAAAGAGAGTTTTGGCGCCTTGGAGATTGGAAGCGAATCATCAGCTAATCGCCTATAAGAATAGGGAAGTGGATGGTCTCCCTGCTGCCACCCTTTTTTCCGAGGCGGACGATTCTTCCAGTGAGGGACCTTTCTATAAAATCGGGTTTGAACTTGGTCATGTCGAGGTACGAGCGTCGGGTGGGCATCCGTGAACGAGACTCCCCATAGCTGAAACCTCGCTTGCAGAACAACCTGGAGCTGCTGAACAATCATTACGATATCAAAATCAAGTATCACACCGTCGACAAAGTGAACTACCGAGTTGTCGGCGTGGAGGTGCAACCCAACAGCGTGAAGAGCTGTAACAACGACAAACTGCCCGTCAGCGGTGATCCGGTGACTTTGAAGGACAGTGAAATCACCGAGGTCGACTTTACCTATACTGTCAAGTGGGAGGTGTGTATCATTTTCTCTCCATTGAGTAAATGAATGGCAGAGTAACTGATACGCGGACGTCCTAGGAATCAACCACTCCCTGGGCTACGCGTTGGGACAACTATCGTATGTGCGCTGTACTCCGCAAACATGAGAGACTCAACAACCATCTGACTTATTGGCCCACTTTTGTGTAGTGCACGGATACGATCCAAAGATTCACTGGTTCAGCTTGGTGAACTCTGCGGTCATCGTTTTGTTCTTGACGGGAATGGTCGCAATCATTCTCCTCAGAGCTCTTCACAAAGATATCGCACGTTACAACGCTGTGGAGGCCCAGGAGGATGCTCAGGAGGACTTTGGTTGGAAGCTCGTGCATGGCGATGTGTTCCGCGCGCCACGGTATGCCATGCTCCTCGCTGTGCTGATAGGAAGCGGCGCGCAGTTGTTTTTGATGGTTTCCGTCACATTAGGTAAGTTGAAGAACGTGGCTAGCAACGTCTGAGTGTACTCGTCTAATCGCCTTCATTCTCCCAGCCTTCGCGGTTCTTGGATTCCTGTCACCGTCAAGTAGAGGGTCGCTCTCCACCGTCATGCTCGTCTTCTACGTGCTCTTCGGCAGTATCGCCGGTTACACGTCTGCTCGCTACTACAAGATGTTCAACGGCGAGAAATGGAAGAGGAGCGTGGCTCTGACGGCATTGCTGGTTCCAGGGTGAGATTTCGATTGCTCATATTTGTTTCCAACGTCCCATACCGATGCCGATCCTTACTTCCGCCGCTGTAATTGATAGAACTGTTTTCGGAATCTTCCTCATCTTGAACTTCTTCCTCATTGGGGCGAAATCTTCCGGCGCCGTGCCATTCGGAACGTTGTTTGCGCTCATGTCGATGTGGTTCCTGATTTCGGTCCCATTGTGCTTCTTGGGAGCGTACTTTGGATTCAAGAAGCCCGTGAGCAGACACACTTGTGATAATGTTGATGCTCATTCTCAATCCCCGGCTCACTTCTCGTCCTTTCCCTGACATAGAAATTGGAACACCCAGTTCGCACCAACCAGATCCCTCGCCAAATCCCCGAGCAACCTTTCTACCTCCGACCCCTGCCTTCGATCCTCATGGGCGGCGTGTTACCATTCGGCGCGATCTTCATCGAGCTGTACTTCATCCTCGCGAGCCTGTGGAATGACAAAGTCTACTACGTCTTTGGCTTCCTCTTCCTGGTGTTTGTCATCCTGGTGTTGACCTGCAGTCAGGTCACGGTGTTGATGTGTTACTTCCATTTGTGTTCGGAGGACTACCGATGGTAAACGGCTGTGATCCGGACTTCACTTTCTCAACTGCATATGCTAACATTCCTTCCTCCATAGGTGGTGGAGAGCCTTCCTGACCAGCGGAGCATCTGCTCTCTATGTCTTCCTTTACGGGCTGCTATACTACTACACGCGGCTCACCATCGCGGACGTACCGTCCACGATATTATATTTCGGTTACACCTCCATCATGAGCATCCTATTCTTCCTTCTCACGGGGACGATTGGATTCACGGCTTGCTTCAAGTTCGTGAGGAAGATTTATGGTTCGATCAAGGTGAGTCTGAGTCTGATAATCTGGATCGTGTTGGAGCGCAATTCGTTAACACCGGGATCCATTGTTTCTGTAGATCGATTGATTACGCAGTCGGTTGTGAGATCATCGGGTTGGAGGTCTGCAAAGGCGGTTGTATTCCAATGTCCATATTCACCATTTTGCCGGTCCCGTATTTTGAGAAAAATTCAATGGCACATGAAATACTGAAGCAATAAAAACTGCCGTCCCATCTTCCCAAAAATGAAAGCACTGATCCCACCTATCTAGCACTAGGCGAGCTCGGCGGTATGGTCGCACTCGACACCACCCCAGTCCCCCTCTGCAACAGCGCCGACGCCGCCATTCTCCCGCCTTTCGCGTTCAGTCCGGTCTTGCCTAACCACTGATTTATATGCGCGACCAGTTGGTTCTCCTGCGTGCCGTCTACCCAGAAGTGGTTTGCTTCTTTTACCACTACTGAGGTGATGTTCTCTTTTGGGAGCGACTCGACGAACGTTGTGAATGTCTCCAGAGATGTGAAGCCGTCTTTCCCGCCGGTGATGTACAGCTTGGGAATATGGGAAGGGATGCCGGCCAGGCTGGTTTTGAACTTATTAGTGCCGAAGAATGTCAGCGCCCATAATACTATGGATGCGAATGCGACCGGGAAATGACTTGTTCGTCAGCTCCAAGCTAGTGAATCGTTTGTGTGAGTCTTCTCCGTACCTCCAATTGGATAGCTGACAGCAATGAAACCGGAGAGCTCTGGAATCTGTGTGGCGACGCCGCCTGCTGCCACCGCGCCGTATGAGTAGCCCTGGGATGGCAAGCACAGAACATCAGGCCTTGCGCTCGCTCAGCTTGTACCTCGACCTCTGGGTACTTACGCAGAGCATGATGTGTTTTGGTCTAATATGCTCTTTCTCCCGAATGTATCGACATATCGCCAAGATATCATCTTGTTCCCCCTGCCCCTTGAACGATGTTCGGCCCGTTGACCTCCCTGTCCCACTAAGTCACGACCTCAGAGTATGAGTATAGACCCTGCTGCCGGTTTCGTGTCCCCTTCTATCGTTCTGACCTTACCGAAAGTTGAATCGCACGGTCATGAAGCCCTGACTTGCAAAGTTGTCGAACAACGCTTTGACTACGTTGTTCTCGAAGTTGCCGCCTAACTATTCTTTCATGTGAACGAGGAGGGTAGGAAAGATAAACGAGGAAGTTCGTGAGCGGGTGGCCAACTACAGCTATCGCCGCTTTTGGAGAGGCAACGCTTACCGGTCCATATGGATGGGTAAGGATGACACAGGTGTGCTTCCTGGCGTCGCCGCGGAACAGACGACCGTCCAACTCGACTTTATCGGTTGAGGGGACGGTCATCATCTCCTCGGAGTAGTGCTTCGTGACGGAGCGGGGGTTGTTGTCTGGCATGCCTTCGGTGCTCGCTGTTACCATGGGCTGTTCCTGGGGCTACGACGATATTGGGCTTGCGGTAACTTTCAAGCTCTTTCAAGGTTCGCCGGACTCGGAGCGGCGGCGTCTTCGCGCAAACTCTCAGACATTTGAACTTAGCGAACTCTACAACTATTGGAAGTCTTGTCACGCAGCTGCAAAAGCGCTGCTCGCTTCTCCCTCGCATCGTGTCGTAATTCTTCTTCCAAAGGTTCAACTTCAGTGACGGCCTCCGCTGCTGCGTCTTGGGGAGCCCCGCAATAACTTCAGCACTCGGAATCCCACAAGCCGACGCCTCACTAGCACATCTCATAGCGAGGTCGTATCTCACCTCGTCGGGGCGGTGATGCTTCTATCGGCGTGGACCTACCCTTTGAGGGGGGTTCTCTACTTCCTGGCGCATCCAAGTCTATGGCTCAAAGTGCTCTGCCCGCTACTCTTCTCCATCGCCTTCTCGCTGGCGTCGACCGTCGTTCTGTTCGTCTTTGCGCTGGCCCCGCAAGCCCACGGCCTCGACATCCATCTCCCGGCCTGGCTTGCTTGGATAATAGCGGTCATATTGGTCTTGATAGAAATTTGCGTTGCGAGCATACTTTTCGTGGCGATATGCCTTCCCGTCGTCGCGGACGAGTTATTCGACGCTGTCGTGGCGTTATCCACCGGAACGGCGGCAGGACAGGGCAGCTGTGCAAGAGGATGCTGGTTGGGAATAGCACATGCAGGAGTATGGATTCTATACACCGTCTTCGCTCGAATCCTCGTTTTAATCGTAACGGCGCCGCTCAACCTCATACCAGGCGCCGGAACCGTTCTGTTCCTGTTCTTGAACGGCTATCTTGCTGGGTGGAATCAACATCTCCATTGGTTTGATCTAAGGAATAGCGGTTTCAGCGAAGGGCACAAATTCGTAAAGCAGAACAGAGCGGCGTATATGAGTGCTGGGGCTGTGATGGTACTTCTAGAGATGATTCCCGGGGTAGGGATCCTCTTTATGTTTACGAATATTGTAGGAGCAGCATTATGGGCGGTTGCGTTGGAGGGGGAGGGGATTGGCCCCGGCCCCGGCCACTCTTCGCACGTTCCTCGACACGGCACTGTTGCTTTGCCGTGATTTGTATAGAATCGACGTTTGATGTTACATACTATAGATTTGAGATGCAGTAACTTAGCAACTGAGCGTAAACTGCTAGCTCATCTGCGAGGTTGTCCCCTCGGTGCTTGCCATTCGTAAACATATATATATACAGTCTATGCATGTGTGGCATGAACGGTTTTCTCGAGGGCATGTGCATGTGCACAGCTTTTCACATTTGTGAATGAGATCCTGCGATGCCACCACGCCAAACCTGCCAAACGCGTTGTCCATTTTCCCACCCTGCCCTGCCTCCTTTCAAATTGAGAACTTCACCACTTCAAAAGTCATATCACCCGCTCCCTCGCTATAGTCCGACGAGAGTTGCAACCATTGAGAGGGAGAGTCGCTTTCCTTTCGCCTCATATACAAGTTTGCTCATGTCTGAAAAAGGTTGGCTAATTTGTGTGGATATTTAAAGCCCAGCCGCGAAACTGACGCTGTGTCAACAGGTCAACCTCGTATAAGGCTTTCCATCAAGCTTGGAGCTGGGAGCGCTCCTCTGAGTGCTAGCTCCAGCGCCCATCAGGGTCAGTCTTCTGCTGGGACTCCTGGTGCGCGTAAGAACAATGGCCCCCGGAAAGGGATGAGTGCTTCGGAAGCGGCGCGGGCGTTTGGCGTAAAGCCTACCAGACCCGCGAGCGCGGCGGACCGGAACGACGATAATAAGATTCGCAGCAGAAAACTGTCCTCAGAACATGAGCCATCAGTTCCTATCAAGCTTTTGTTTAAGCCACCGAAAATATACAAGGCTTCAGCGATACCGTCCGTTCCGGAACATACCAATACTTCAAGTCGAGCAAGCCACGGCGATAGCGCTGAGGACTCAGAAGAGCTCAGTGTGAATGCCACGAGTCCGGCATCACCGAAGGACTTGTCGAGAACGAGCTCCGGGAAGCGTCCGGCCCCTGAACTGACGGAGAGGTTAAATCCCTTGGCCAAACGCGTCCGACTAGACGATGCATTAGATCACTTGGGCGACGATGGGGATGAGGATGATGGGCTAGATCTTGACGATGGCGACGATATGGAAATGGGAAAGGACGCCGCGAACAGTGGGCCAAATGCATTGATCGAAGGGAGTACAGCCAACGACGGCAGACTGCCTCAGAAGCCTACTCGGAAAACGAAAAGTCGTGGGAAAGGTTTCACGCCAAAGAGGCGGGTCACCGACGGGAAAGGTGTATGGAAGCCGAAGAAAAAGAGTCTGCATATTATTCTTTCCAAGATACTTGTTGCTTTGAAAAGGTGGCTCGTCGAAAATGGCCTTACAATTCTCCTCGACTCTGATGGCGCCACATTCCTGACACGGTTTGCTCGTTCTCAGGAAGGATCAATATGGATTCTTTCTCGATCCCGTCGATACATCAGTCATCACAGACTACCTTACGGTTGTGAAAGAGCCTATGGACTTCGGTAAAGATTGGTACTCTGTTTACCTCGGGCTTAGCCTTCGGCTAACGGAGTATTTTCACAGGGACAATGGAACGAAAGATTCAACGACGCGTGTACAGAACATGTGCAGAGTTCAAAGTGAGACCTGCCATCATTGTCCTTTCGCCGGATCAGCTACTCATTATTTCACGCAGCACGATTTCCATTTGGTGGTCACCAACGCAAAGACCTATAACCCCCCAGACACTGTTATAGTGAGAGAAACTGAGAAGCTCGAGGAGTACGGAAACAGGTTGATCGAGCGCGAGGAGAAGAATGTCGCGGACGAGCCTGTTGTGCCCGAAGATGGCAGCGCTCATGCCTCCACTGTAAGTCTATCAAGCTCCTCTGTCACAGCATCGCCGGAACGCGACGCTTAACAACTGGAGATTTTGCAGAATACATCAGAAGTAGGAGCAAAGCGTGGCGAGGTGAAAAGGAAGTATTCGAAGAGGTACAAACCTGCTGAAGAGCTTGCTTTGCGCCTGTGCGCGCAAGTAAGACCAGATGGAACGAGCTCCAAAGGTGCGTCGGCTACGTCGCAATGCTTGTTGTCCCTAAATCCTGACTGTCGGGTTGGTCTCCCAGACCGCTCGTGGAACGCTCATAAAACTTCGCGGTTCGATGAAATCTTGCATCGATTCTCATCTGCCCGAAAACACTCGCTAAAGGAAGTTGACAAAGACGAACTATTCCGTAAGTGGGCAGCTCGGTTGTTAAAGGGCCAGCCAAAAACCGGTCTCCCGCTGATGCGATAGACTTTGCAGGCACAGTACTCGAGTCCGGCCCATACAAATACTGGGAAAGTCCCGAAAAGATCCCGCTCGAATCTACGCTTCGAAGCCACGTCTACGGTTCGGCCGAAGGCGAAGCGTACGTCTCCAGTCTTCGGAAATTCGCGAGGACGCTCCCGGCAGAAATACAACGATATGCGGACGAATCCGTCAACAAAGCGAGCGGCGGGGCCGTTGAGATCATGGACACGGCTGTAGGAATACTACAACAACCAGAGACCTTAATGGCCCCTGTCACAGCCAAAGTGAGAACGGAATGGGGAACCGTTGACGTCGGAGACCGTGTCCGGCATCTGGAAAAAGCGTTCGATCGTCTCATTGAAATCGCCGAGGTGGAACTCTATCGCAAAGAGGGCGTTGACATCAGGCCCATTCTGCCACCTGCAGCCATTGGCGTGCAGGACCCGGAATTGGAAGCCCAGTTGCAACGGAAGGACCCGTCATCCCTTCTGGGAAGCAATAGCGCCGATCTGGTGGACTGGTACGCCAAGCACGTCAATCGCTTGAGCGGTGGCCAAGTCACGATCGAGCAGGAAGCCATGGTCGCCGAAAGGGTACGGAGACGCCTTCTGCAGCTGGTGTGCCAAGCACCCGAAAGCGAGTTCCAAGAAGCGCAGGGGATTCCTTCGGTTGAGGTCATACAGAATATGTATACCGTTCCCGCCGCCGTAGCTGCTGCCGGCATTGTCCGGCCAGCAGTCCCTACGCTTCCCATGTAGTAATTTCCGACTTTCGGAAATTGGGACTGGGGATGTCATCGGGTTTCAGGATCTGTTTCCGAAGGGAATGGGTAGATCGCTCTTAGAAGGGATTGAAGCCACGTAGTGTAGGGGTTCCCTCTCAACATGTCTGGATGACGGAACACACGAAGCTCAGTCTTCTTCAGACCGGCGTAACTTTTTTGGGAAATAAAAGATATCGAACGACAGTTATCTGCTAGCAAAGACGCCGGAATCATACAAAATATATTCACACTATGGATCAACAAGAGCACTTGATGATTTCAGTTCGTCTCCAGTGGGAGAGAGTCCGTGGATCCATTGGCAACATTCGCGCATGCTAATAATGCGTTTTTCCCATCGTTTCTAAAGAAAGCGAGAGTCACAGGTGATCGCGAGATCTTGGGTGGGAGAGCCAATATCGCCTGTGATGTACAAGGTCAGATATCCTTCCGTCGGAGGGTAATGCAGAACTCAACGGCACAAACCTGGATGTAGCTTTGTAGCTGTGCCATCCGCCCCTTTGCCGCCGCTTCACTCACAAACATCATTTGTCCTGGAAGCTCAGGAATGATCCTTTTCGGACCCTCCGACCATCCCCCTGGCATCGCCTCAACTTCCGATGTCGAGTCACCCCTCGACCGCATAGGCGCGACTCGGACACCAGCTTCTTCCGGAAAATGGCCTATAAGCTGCATATGCAAGTCGAAGAAGTCCTCGTATGTCTGCCGGATGGTCGTTGTTTGATCATCCGGCACGGAGACGTAGAAAACTTGTACATGATAGACGTAGTCTTTCCCCGTAGCACCGCCTTTGGATGACCCGCCCGGTTTTACAACATCTGTGATGAGGGCCTTTCGCACTGGTTTGGTACGCAAGGTCGCCAACGAGGTTGGTGCACGTACTGGTATTGCGGACTTGGGTGGTTCTGCCGCAGCTGTTGTTGTTGTTGTTGTTGTTGTTGTCGCGGGTTTCAAGGCTCCGCCTGTGGATGGCGGCGAGGATGCGGGCGGCTGTGCCGAAACCTCTCGCGATCGATTCGGCGTGGTTCCTGAACTTGTTTTTGGCGCCGGGGTGCTGGGCAGCGGGGGCGGCGCCTTGGACGTGGAAATGGGTGTCGGCGGTTTTGGGGGCGTTTGCAGGTTCTTATTTGTCAACGCAGAGGACGGGGCTGGAATCTGCAGACTCGCCGGGCGCGGTATCTTCGACTCATCCTTTGCAGCGGCGTCGTCGCCAGTCGAAGGCACTCTGGCATCGCTTATCGTGGTTCTGCGAGGCGATTGACCGTGATCTTGCATGATAAAAGGATTGCCGGTGAGCCGGACCGAGACTCTGCGTGGGATTGCGGGTGCTTCGGGAGCTCCTGGGGACGAATCCGCTGTGATGCTTGGAATGGATGTAGATTTGGAAATGGTGGCTTCGGCGGGCTCTTGCTGGGGTATAGCAGGAGGTAACTGGCTGGGTTTGCGAGGTAGTGGCGGCAAAGCTGGCAACGCCTCCTGAGTGGATGCCGTCTTCTTCAAGTCGGTAGGCTTGGAGGGCAACCCAGGCTTGGGTGCTCTGATGGGTGGTGGAGATGGTGCGGGAGACATCTCTTCATGTATAGATGATGTCGCAGAGCGACCACCCGTCCGGCCTCCCAATGAAGACAAACTGTTGAGCGAAGACCGGTTGAGGGCACCACCGCTTCCCAGAGAAAAAGATTTGACTGCTTGCACAGGCGGGGCGGCTTGCTCATCCGGCACATCGTCGTTCACAATGATATCGTCTTCGATAATGCCAATGTCGCTGATTTGCGAGTAATCCGACGTCAAGACAGGTCTCTGCACTATCTTTGTAGATGCCTCAGCAATCGCATCCATTCTCGTGGTCGGGATTGGCACCGCAACGGGTGCTGACAACACCTGGTCATCAGGTCCCTGTGGGGCTGCGACTTGTCCCGAACTCGCAGTCGGCGACACACCCGATGCATGTGCATCAAGGGGCGCCCCAATGTGGGGACCACTGGTGTTTCCTCGGTTCTTCTGCGCGACCCAAGTTCGTGTGGCATCTTTGAGGGCTTCGATCCATTGCTGTTTGTGCTCAGCCGTATCGCACGCTAATGTGTAGCGTGCAACGTTGACATGAGCAATTTCGATAAGGTGATCCGTGCCAACTGCGAGAGGAACCGGACGAAATGGTGAGGAGAGCGAAACCTCTCATGGATTCGGACAAGCTGCCAATTTGCATCACCTCCAGTGAACTTACCAGACGGTATATTGATCAAGATCTTGTCGAAAGGGATCATGTCTGTAAGCTTCAGCTTTTGATCGTCACCGCCATGTCCTTTGGCCAGCAAAAACATGTCGTTGAAGAGAAAAGTTTCCCGTCGTGATCGATCACCGTTCGACTTGACCAAGTCCATCGAAGAAGACTTCAGCAGCTGCCTCCATGGGGCTACGATATTCATTTTCTGGATGGAAGACCCAAAGGCTTGTCAATATCTGGGGTCTGCCAGACGTACTCGGAGAGCGATGTTTTACCGTTGTGAACCTCCCTTGGATCTCCAACATTCGCTGCACCGCTTCCGCCTGCCTAGCCCCCTCGTTGACGATCGTAACCACAGTTTCGATCTTCAAAAGAGCTTGTTGCAGATTTGCATAATCAGGATGATCCTGGTTTGTGTTTTTCATTGCTTCCTAGATTCGGCATGTCAAATGAAATGGGATGAGGTCTATGGCAAAGGATCCTTATTCGCCGGTCGCACGGTAGCATTCGGACAGTTGGTAGCCCGGGGCTTCCTTGTGCGTCGGCATCAATCCCATCGTAGCTCTACTGTAGGTAGACAGCACATTCTCCCTTTGTCCTCATAAAAGCGCACCTCTCAAAGGCATTTCATCAATCGCTCCTTCTTGCAACAAGGACTCACCCGAATCAGTAAAGGATATTTGCAGATTCGTTGTACGGGCTTTATCCTGCATATACATCCGGTCAGAATTTCTGCTAGCCACGACTCGAAACCAGTGGCTTGAGACTTTACAGAAAGTCGGCCAGACTCATCATCCGGCTTTCCGATACGGCGTTCTACGTTCGAAAGGGGAACATGTAAGCCACGGCCAGAGAAGACATTCTGATGGGACATTCATGAACGGCTTACATCCATGAACTTCGCGACGGACTTATTTTGCCGTACGGCTTGATACTTCATCAGCGCATATGGGTGATTTCGGCAGTACATCGTGTACATTTTCAGAAAGTCGCTCTGCGCAAGCCCGTTGTTTATGCCTCAGTTATTGCCGTTCTTTTGACTTGCACTTTCAGCCACCGGCCATGCCATACCACGCGTATGAAGATGTCACCAACTTGTTCTACGACTGGTCCTTGTGCTAACCGCTCATCCAGGTACTGCAATAATTTCTGGATTCGACGTCTAAGTTCAATAACAGAGGCTCTTTTGTGAACTGACTCATAAGAGGACTTACTTGATTCACCGGTAACAACTGCTCCACGTTGGAGTAGATGATTGCCATATCTTTAGCCGGCAGTAGCAACTTTTTCTTCATTGGGTTCATGTACACGTTAATAATGATCTCCAAATCGGCAACATAATCCTTTTCCGTAACGGCAATCTCATGTATCACTTCTTGTCTTTGGATCTCTTTCTTGTCCAGCCCTAGTTTGGCCACCTCTTCTGCGCCGCCCATGACATCGACCCATCGCTGGCGCGGTATTGCATGCACCTGATTGACCATCGTAACCGTTTTCGATCGCTCCGCAAAACTGCCTCCCAGAAACTTCAGGTCCTTTTTTCGCAAGGACCCTTTCCGTGATGCCACTTCTTTGACATTGATAGCTTCCTCAGGGACATTCGTGATTTCAGATTTCGGCCGCGCCAGCGCCTCCTTAATGCCACTTTCTATCGCTGTTTCTAGCTCATCCAATCCGGTGCCCGACACCCGCTTGGAATACCTTGGCATCGCCTTATATTTAGCTGCCCAGTTGCGTGTGCCAGGCACCTGGCGCCCGCCACTACTGTCATCTCCCAACGAGTTTGTTGAGGGCGACTGCGACAAAGACAGCGAGATGTGCTGGGACGACGTCGAAGGCGGAAAGAAACCGTACTCCGAGCCCTGCTTTGAGTCGTGGAGGGCGGCATTCATATGTGGCGATGGGGTCGTGGGAGTCCCGGGCGCAAAGCTTATGGGTTTCCCAATTTGTGCGGCTTCAAGCAAGCCTTCTAGGACCGCCTCACTGTCTGTGAGCATCTGGACGAAATTCGTCGGAAACCAGCCCCACACCCCGTTCTTGAGGCCAAACATCCAGCCTCCCTTTTCGTCGATCTTGAGCACCTGCACGATGTCCTCTTCCTCGAGCATCAATTCGTCGCGCTCATTTGCAGCGAAGTCATAAAGAGCTCTCGCAAAGCGCAGGGTCGTCAGCTGTGAGGCATCCCCTAAGCCGCCATCTCCGTGCTGTCCCGCCGGGCTGCTCGAGAGGCCGGATGCTGTGGAAACACCTCGCGAAGGGTGCGAGGCGCCAGGGCCTATCGAAAGTGTTCGCTCGGAATCAGTCGGCATCGGATTGCTTTCCAATGTTCTTAAGCAGAATGGTAGGGGAGGGAAGTAGCGAGCTGAGCTTCTGTCTGTGAGCGTTGGTTCGACGAGAATCATAGCAAAAGCTTCGAGAAGCATTCACTCGGAATCTAGGACGCAAATGCTTACGAGATGTGTGGCGCCGCAAATCAACGCGCTGTCAGATTCTCGATGTGGGTGTCAAATCTCATTCAAGATCAAGGTTAGTGCTGAATTTAGAAGAAAGGAGAAAAGGTGGCAGACCTATTCCGTTGCCGGATCAAAGAGGGGAGAAAAACTAGACTACATGGCTGTGATGTCAATATCACATCCAAACCCCAAGGTAAATTGACCGATTCCCCAAAGATGAACTCAGACTGCCAATCCTCCGCACGTTCGTTCCATACGCATTGCGATGGTTTGAGCTCCTCATTTCCGACATGCGCTTCCGACTACCTGCATCTCATTTAACATGCATGATACAGCGATTCTCCAGCGACTTACTACTTTGATGCCCGCAGGATGGCACTGTCGTTCAGTAAAATATGGGCCAGACAAGGCGTTGATATAGTCGATCTATTCTTCGAAAAGGCCACGTAAGAAGCTCCAGGCTTGACGATCAAGGGCGAAATGAAACGATTGACTCCAAAATTTCATCATCCTAGGGATGCGGAAATGAATCGTGATCGTGAACATCATGCGGCCATATCAATACAGCGGTGTTGGAGAGGATTCCTCGTACGGAGGCGTATACAGACTCTGCAGTACGTACAGACGCACGATGGACACCACGTTGCCTTTGTATCGCTTACGCAAATGTCGTCTCCCAACCCGCAGCTCGACAGCCACCATTGTCCAAAGATACTACCGTGGCTTCCGCGGGAGAGAGGATCTGAGCCGGCTGATCTTCAAGCGTAGCAAAGACAGGAGAATCCGGCATTATCATGACATGGCCGTTCGCGTCCAGAGAATGTGAGTGTGTCTCATTAGCGTCATTGGCGAAGTCTGGTATGAATTTTCTCATTTTTGAATCAGATGGCGGGGCTTCTGGGTTCGCGAATACGTGTTCGACTATTACAAGCGAAAGGCGTACCTGGAAAACGTCAAACAGAAGGTCGGACTGCAGGAACTTGGGCCTCATGTGGATGAGCCTAAAACCATCTTCACACTAACTTTCGCATCGTTCAACAAAGATTGAGGAGTTCCGGATACATCTCGACAACCACGCCGCCCACCAACATCAACAGCACCTCGACTACATTCACGATCTCGCCGTTCAGAAATCTGCCAAGCTGGCAGCCACTCGTCATCATCTGCTCGGCACCAAAGCGGTGCCGGGCGTCTACTCTGGACCCGTGGGGCACCGCCGCACAGTTGAGATGAGCGTTTCCGAGGCTCTGGCTGCCGACTCTACAGTGCGTGAAGGAACATGTACGCCGAAGGAGTCAGAGTATCGACGGAATCGGAGGAGAGGAAGGAGCGCCTCTCCTGCGAAGGAAGTCATGAGACGGCATAAGCTTTTGCCGCCGTTATATATTGCTGAAGAAGATATCAGGAGTAGTGGGGCGTTGAAAGAATGGGTGGACACGCATGTTGGAGTGAGGAATTACAAGGGAGATCCTATTAAAGCAGTGCATCGCGGGAAGGATGGCGAAGACAAGCGAGTGCAGGGGCCGTTCAAGGTAGGGATGAAACTCTCTCCATCAGCTTTCTTTCCCATGGGAATACCATCTGACACCCCTTTGTTGTACCGTCAGATCGAATGGGAACTGGAAAAGATCGTACATAAGCCACTACAGCCAACACTGAGAGTGCAAACGGATTTCTTGGATACCGTAAACGCCCAACGGCAAGAACGATGGCTGCAGCAAAAACTGAGAAGTAAGCCGGCGTCTCTTCTGAGCGATGCTAGCTGTGAAAGTGCTCACAGTGTATTCTCAGTTGCGGATGAAATTTTCAAGGTGGTGCCCCAAGTGAAGCACGTTCAGCCAAATTACTCCTTAGAACCAATGTCGACTGCATAGACAAGGTGGCACGAGGGAGCGGTAGAAGAATGTATTTGGAAAACAAACATCATACTGACAGTGGCTTTTCGCTACTCGGAGCCGACAGCGACGGTTGATTCCTTTGGTTGCATCTGCTATTCTACTGATGTACATGCGTTTTGCATAACTATGGGCTGGGTGTACATATACACACGTACGCGGACATGGGAAAATAACTACATGACATTCGGTACGACCTTTAAGCCACTTATGATCAGCGAGAGAAGAGGCGCGAGCCTGTTCATCTTCTTGGCCCTCAACCCACGTTGGTTGCGAAAAGCGCACAGCAGACTTCTTTGAAATCTATCACACACTGGAGCCCTTGTACTTGCACTTCATCCAAAGACTCCATAAACCTTGCAAGAATCGCCGGTGCTCGCATCCTCTTCACTGCATTTTGAATTTCTTTACGTAGAACAATGACGTCGTAGGTCAGTTCGTGTTTCCGTGTCGAAAGTACCCACATCGCGGGCAAGCTGAGGGCGATCCGAATGGAATCCAGTGCGCAATGCTCCTCGCATTGAAGGCACTTCAAACATTGCCTCTGCTTGTAGTTAGCGTTAGGGAACTGGGTCCTCGCCTTCGTTTTTGAGGTTAATGGTTTGTAAAGGCACTTGCAGGTTCCGAATTGTCCGCCGCGGCACTCTCGCGAGCGTATGAGCTCCCTAAACAAGCCAAGCATCTCGTCCTGAACCATTGAGCCTGTCTCGACCGCACTTTGAAGACTCGACAGCGTGACGTTAAACGGAGCGGTCACCAAAGCAGCCAGAGCGATACTCTGCAAGTCGAGCGATTTGTGGAGGCCGAGAAAGTGATTCAAAGCCACGAGGTGGATGAAGTTGCCATGGGTCACTTGGAGAGTAATCCGGTCGTGGGTATAGATGTACAGGAGGAGACGTTGGAAGGCTTCCTCGTCCGCAGTCAAATGCTTCACGTGGATGGTGTACTTGTAGCTCGGTTCGTTTAAACACATCAGTTCTTCATCTTGATTTTTGTTCTGCTCCAGTTGAAAGCTTTGACCTTCTGTGAAGTCAGCGTGGGACCCAAAGTATGTCGAGCAGGCTTTGAGAGTCTTCATGTGTGCGAACATCGGGGTTCCGTCTCTGAAAACGAACTTGACGTCCGCGGTGCTGGCATTGTTGAACTCTCGCAGACCCGGAGCGATAGGTATTTCGCCCATGGTGGGATGCTCTTTGTTGATCCCTGACTAGCTTTGTCAGCGGTGTAATGGTGCTGGGTCAGAGACGAAAAGGTGAATGTCAGCGATCTGTTCATCGTCCTGAAATCTGTCTCTTCCGCAATACCTAGTAGCCCCGGTTCAGCGTCTAAGTCACGCACAATACCTCGCAACAGAGACGAGATTAGTGAGATTGCCTTGCGTGAATCGAGTAATTCGTTCGTGAGCGCAACGATGGGTATGATGTTTGAAACCTTTTCCGTCCTTTCTTCGTTGTTTCCCGAACTCCCCACACTGGTTTCCGATTGACGGGCAATCGAGAGAAAACTCGACAGCGCGTGGCTCAATGACAGTGACGGGGTTTTTTTCTTAATTCCGTACCCTCCTACGGGATGTGCATCAGCGCCGACATTGCCAGTTGCATGCGAAGTATAGGCATGTTCTAAGCATTTCATGTTAACTATTGTATATACAAATTATGATGGGCCAATATGAGCGCATCAGATACGACGTATGAGCAAAACTTGTTTTGCGAAAAGGTCCCAAAAGATAGCAATCTATGCAAGATCCATCTCATGCATATGTGTTCACAAACAACGTCACCATAGTTGCAAAACACGCAACGGCTGCAGTAAGTGTCGTGAAACCGCGGGACGACATGCCGCCGTTCTCAGGTGTCAGAACTTGTTCGTCCAAAAAGGAAACCAGCGACACCGTCTGCGTCGTGTTGGGGGCAAGCGGAGCGCCAGCAGCGGCAGCGGGATCAAGGTTGATGTTGATAACTTGGGCGTAAGTAGCCTCGGGTCTACCTCGGGTGATTCGGTCATCCTCGGCATTGTTAAGGCCTTGCGGTAATGTGGCGTTGTTGAAGAGAGGCTGGGATCCCGTAACGGAGAGGTTCGGGACGCGAGTAGATATAGAGTTCGTCGAGGTCGCGTATCCGGTAGCAGACCATTCAACGCGTGCACCGGCTGCATCGCCAGCTTGCACGCCCTTTGTGCGGTTGCCCTGGTTCGATGGGAGGTCGGGGTCTTGTCCGAAGACTTCGGCGGTGCGGATGAGCACGATGAGAGCGAGCTTTACTGGGGAGTTTGGAGAAAGCCCGAAGCCTGTCACAGCCATATCGATGCCAGCGCTGTTGGGGATGGTGGGGTTGAGGGTTTCGGTTGTGTTAATGACTGCGTTCGCTGTGCGGAACGTCAGTGTGACGGTTGCCGGTGACGCTGTGACGTTGGATCGAGTACCATCAGCTGAAGTGGGCAGCGCCGTCATTCGAATAGTAGACTCATAGTAGTCCCGATCACCCGCGGTCTTCTGAGTGAAGGCAAAAGGAGACCAAGCGGCTGCGCTTAAATCGAGGTAACGGACTTGAGTGTCCTTGCCGTCGGTATAGACCGAGTCGCCGTCTACGTCCGCGTACTCGATGAGGCGGTATAGCGTCAAGCCCAGAGTGAAATCACCGGGGTCACCCGTGCCAGGCGCCGCGATTTCGCTTGCAGATGTATCATAATACGTCGACCGAACGGAGGGGTACTTGGCAGCGGAGAAGATGAATTGCAATCGGTTGTCAATGTCGCCGCCATCCTCGTTGCCATCGTTCCGTATTGTCGATATGACGACGGGGCCGGTGGAGTTGTTATTCAGGACTCCGGCAGCAGTATCGTATGGCCGAGCGTAATAGTAAGACGAGCTGTTGTTATCGTTGTACCTTCCACCGTAACGACAGTCATACCCACAGTAGGGATAGTAATGCCCGTACCCAAATGGGTACATGTATGGATAATATCCGTAATAGCCGTACGAGCCGATATAGTACCCTCGAGGTCTGTAGCTGCCTGACCCAATGTATCCTCCACCGCCCAATCCGCGCTGGTAGGTATATTTTCCGGTATTTGTCGTTGGCACGGACTTGTAATAACTGCCTGAGCTGCTGACTCCTCGGTTGGATCGATACCCGCTGCCGATGGAAGAAGAACCGGTAGTGCGAGAACCGGACGAGCGGCCTCCGGAACTTCCTCCGGAACTTCCTCCCCTGCTTCCACCTCCAGAGCTTCCACGACCGCCGCCTCCGCCGCCTCCACCGCGACCTCCTTTGGCTTCAACCGAGGCTATCACCAAATAAAGACAAGCCCATATATATACGAGGCGCTGCACCGCTATCAGCTGCATGGCGACGGATACGTTTGTGTATTGACGCTTGGTGTCGGGCTTATAAAGATTTCGGAGAGTCGTATCAACCTCCAGAGGCGAATGGTGTTCTGAAGGAAGTAGTTTTGACGGAAGATTCTACTGCTATGTTCTGACCTGCGAATACGCCGAAGCTCCCGCTCTTCTTATACCGCAGAACGGCGTAGTAATATAGTAATAGGTTGGCCGACCGCTACGTAAAGAATTTCCACTTTTCCACCTTGCGCCAAGTTGCGTGGTCATTTCTGTAAAACTCCGTCAGCGGGCTGTGAGGTTGGTGTTCGTTGAACGTTTGACGGCAAACTTTGGCCCAAATGCAGGCCCGATTTGACTCGGTTCGGTGCTCAATCCAAAATCGATAAAATCTGATCAAAACCCTGAAAGTCTGTTTGCCGTGATTAGACAGTCCCCGCTGGGCCCGCTCCCACCGACGCCCAATTTGCCCACAAGTTGCTTGCCCGCGTCATAGTTGCCGCCAAGTCATAAGGTCCTGTGGCTGTGCCGAAATGAGTTTATCTTCGGGCACGTGGATGGCGAGAATTAATATGCCAAGCCACGCCCCCATGGATGTATAAAAGGACGAACTCCGAAAAGGGTCGAACTCTGGGAGGAGCTCTCATGCATCATGAGTTCATGAGCAACTCCCCTTCGCTCATGGCGAAGGCAGACCCATGCTCCCATGCCCGCAGTTGGGAAGCACCTCGGCATCCTGGTCAGTCATTTACTGAACCGCCAGGGCACGACAGCTTGGGAATGCCTTTACGGATAGTTCTCAACGATTTCCGTCCACCGAACGCCGAAAGGACCAACCGCAACTTTACCCGGTAACCTCTCCCTTTCAGTGAAGCAGGTGCCTTTTTCTATGGCTGCGAAGAACGATGCGCTTTAGGGACCTTTAGGACGGTTCTTATTGCTGTATTCCCTGACTTGCTTATACAACTGACAAGGTTCTTCATACCTGGTTGTGTTGTGCCGCAGTCGGATATGTTTGGTGGTAGTGCAAATGTAAGGAAGTGCAAACGCGGGTCGAGAGTCCCACACAGCTCGAAGAATAATATAGTGACATTTGCGACACTGTTGAAGTTGCGGAGTCCCAGAACACCCAAGATTATCAATGCAAAACCGTTGGTGTTATTCGCCACGCGAAACTAGATATAGACTTAGTCGGGAAGACCATTTACGCCCCTGCTGCATCTACGCCGTAACTACTTCTCCGGGAAGTCTCTACTGTAACTGTATACAACGGAGCATCGCTATTTACACATTCAAACGTCTCCTCAAATGACTGCTCAAAAGTTGTTCAAGCAGACGGTAGGGAAGGCTCCCTCCTGTCCTGTACTTGTGTTTCGACCCCATCCCCAGCCTAAATAACGAGACACGGTCAGCGGATGGTTTACTAGTGTCATGCGATAAACTCAGATTGCCTAGACTCACCATCGTCAAAGACTCGTTGCACATGTACCACATCTCCCGTTCTTAGGCGCACTTCATCTGCTCCTGCTGGCTCATAGTTCTCCAAAACCATAGCCCGATGTGTGCCCGCAATCCTACTCTCTCTTTGTGCCGTATATGAGTCTACTCGGACCGAATGCCGGGTTGACACTGGTCGTCCATTGCGCGTGGCACCCATGCCGAGCGTTGGTTGTCTGGGGGTACTAGGAGTGGTTGGTGTCCGGGGGCTTGGAAGACCGCTTTGTCTCACTTCCGCTGTTGATGGAGGCTGGTATCCATTTTGATAACCATATGCTCCAGATGGTGCCTGATGTGTTCGGCTGTATTCGTTCGGTTGAGAGTATCCGAATCCTTGCGGAGAATTGCTGTTGTATGGAGAATTGATTTCCTCTTTGGGTGCCGCATAGGCGCCCGGCGACACCGACGATGGACCTCCCGTAGGCGCCCACATGTGACTGGATCTGGCCCCTAGTTCCGCCCTGTGTGCGTGAATGCTGCTGGCTCTGCTGGCGGCGTTGTCTACTCGGTGTCGATTCCGCTGATTCCGGTACTGGTACGCAGAGAATACGATGGCGATGATCCCAAACAGCCCTCCACCACAGAGACCTGCGATCAGTGGTACCCTATCGTTTGCGTTGCAACAAGGAAGACTGGAGTTCGTCTGGCACAGCGCTTGCGCTTGCGCTCGTCCTTCGGCCGTATTCGGATACCCTGCAGAGAACAGCTGGCGTTAGGGATGGATTTGCGCAAGCCCAGGCGAAAATTGGGAAAAGCATACCACAAAAATCAATCTCGGCTTTCACGGCCCTCAAGCAAGGCGTCTGGTCCGCGGGCAGACGGTCCGCGGGCAGACTCCCACAGATAGTCGCATTGAATGCAAGGAAGTTTTGCAATGGTGTCGGGTCTGGTCTGCAAAGACCAGTATTCACGCCGGTTTCTATCACGCTGCTCAAGAACCCGCCGCAGGTCGATTGGCATAATTTCTTCAACGAGGGGTCGTTGATGGCTGGCTGCGGACCGCAGGTGCTGCCACTCTGTAAAGCTTGTTGACAGCCAAAGCTCACCCCGAATCTAACAGAGGACACCTTGTGGGACTTTGCCTCGTCCATTAAAGTGCCACAGTTCAGCGACAGTAGAGTGTTTTCCGCTGAGCTGTCCACCCACGCATCGAAGGTCGCCGCATCTATCACGCTTGTTGCGTTCGCGAGGGTGTCCGTATTGACAAGTGCTGCGGAGGAGGGAAAGAGCTCACTGCAGCGGGCAGACCCACTCACTTCGACGCAGGCGGCGCTCGCGAACGGCAATAGAGCCGAACCCAGAAGTAGCAGTCCCTGCAGCGCCCGTCTTCTCTCCATTGCTAGTCAACTAACTCGTAGCAGAGTTGGTTCCAGTAGTTTAGCGGCAGTCGGAAGAGGCTGTATGCGTGAGCTTGGCGAGGTGGAGTCCTCCAGGCAATTGCAGTGAGTGAGTGAGTACTGGTGAGGACGAGAATACGAAGATTGCGCTGTTGCTGTGAGGCAGCGGCCTTATTCCACAAAAACCTATAAGCGTGAGGGAAAGGGGGGAGGCTCCGAAATGTGGCGGCTCGCAACCCAACGGCGGTGAACCACGCGTTCGGGTGATGAACACAGTCATCCCCGTGTTTCACCATCTCGCTGTCAATTCGGAATGGCCCTGTCAAAATTAAACAGAAGGAACGTCCGTCAGAAAAGGGCGATGCTGCCAGGTCTCTCTCCAGACCATGCAGACAGTACCTGAACAACAATGAGCACTTTTGCAAATTTTGGAGCGACTTGGAACGACTTTGAAACCTGTCAAAGAGTTGGAGATCGGGCCATCAACGCGGACCTGGTGATTGCTCCCCTGAAAGTGGACAAAACATAGTTGCGGGATGTCACGATGATAGCGAATGGCGACGAGGGCAGTGCGGAAACGGCATCCGACGCAAACGTGGGGTGGATGTGAATATTGATGACTTAATTTGGTGTGGGCACGACGGATGGACGTAGTCGCGATTGGAACGCATAGCATGAATAAGCAGGCGGTGATGTTCCAGCGCGCAGACACATATGGCATCTGGACGTGCTGCTACGTAGTAGCTGGTGCTCCGTCCCACGGAACACGAAGACGCGGCCCCTCCCTTTCGTTGAACGGAGTATTGTCCCGTTCTTCGCGATGACCCGACTTCGTTTACGGAAGATGAAGCGAACGGGGTGCATGTTTGTCAAATTTGGATTCGAGGGGTATATCTTTCTGTTATACAATCTGTACATAAATAATGCTGTCTACTTCTATTGGATCGGCTGGGGGCAAAGGATAGAAGTATGATGGTCGTGGTCTGGTATCTCGGTGTCATCCTGCAGCGTCCAGCACCCCGGGTTCCATCATTTCGATTGGGGTCATTTCAGAAGGTGATGACATCCCCTTTCGTCCAATGAGACGAGTTATTGTCTCCAGTGGTGTAAAGCACCTTGCCATTCCTCGACACCCGCCTTTTGCTCAGCTTGACTTGCTTGTTCGGCTTGAAAATACATCCATCCTCTTTCATCATCTTGACAACGATCCTCGCAATGTTCTTCGCATCATCCAACCCCGAATGCTCGCGACCCTCAAACTGCATGCCCAAGCCGGCAAGCATCCCGGCCAGATTCGCCCTCTCGCGGTGGTAATGCTCGATGTAAAGTCTCCGCAGGTCCACGAATTTGCAGAGATATGGCGGCCGTGAAACAACGGAATGCTCGCACTGCTTGCGTATAAAGTCGCGGATATCCCAGGGCCCGTCGCAAACGAACATCACGTTGTCGAACGGGTAGGTGGTGTACGTTCCTAACCACTCTTCGAATTCGCACATCATCTCAGGAAAGGATTTCGCTCCGTCCACGACGTCTTGCGTGATGCCAGTCAACTCTATGCAAAAGTCGCTAAGTAAGGGATTGACGACCGGTCTCACATATCGGTGGAACGTGGCGATCGCTTCCATCGTTCTTCCGTCGATAAGGATGACCGGAAACTCAATGATCTCGTTCGGAAACTCAAAAAGGGTATCTTTGTCGCACGTGGCTTCAACGTCGAGAACGCAGTAAAAATCATATGGCTGGCTTCCCTCCGGCCTGTCCGGGTCCGTCGTCGTCGCCGGTATGCTCTGCTCGTTTTCGCTCGCTGCACTCAGTTTTTGTACTATTGGGGGGTCGACAACACCCGCCGTGTCTCCGGCCTGCGCCTTCTTCCTGGCAGCTCTCAGTCGCTTCTGCAGTTCCTGCCGCCGACCGCGAGTGCTGAGCCCCAGATCTTCAAGCTGCTGTCGTAGGGCGTCAACGACTGGTCGGATGGAGGCGTCCGTTGGCGTTTCAGACTTAAGAGACCCTGCGTTATCCCGACATTCCCTCTTTGGAGGAAGTTTCTCGTCGTTACTGGATGCGAACTCCGGCTTGGTCATTGACTGTATTCGGCCGGGAAAAAGCTATGGCGGTTATCGACTTGAACTCACGTCCTAAAAACCGAGGAGCAAAGTTGCTTATCCCTGAAATACAAAGTTTCAAGGGGTTGGTCGCCGACTCTATCAATCTCTGTTGAGCTTGTCTATGCACCTGCAGTCGTATGTCCGCTTTTTCCCTCTGTTCCCAAATTCAAATTCACAAAGCGGTGACCAGCGGGTCGCAGCTGCCACGTCGACTTTGGTTCGTGGCTTGAATTCAGGCTTGACCACGCGAATTCCTCGCCATCCCACCGTCATAGTATTGAAATATCATTACCTCAAAGTGTCCCCGATAACCAAAAATGAGTGCCACGGTTCTTTACAACAACGCTGTCAAGCAAACGCATGTGCTTCAGCAGGAGCTGGAGCGGCTTGAAAGCGGGGAGGACACTTCGTCGGGATTACAAGGTTTGACCACAAGAGAACGAGTCATCAAAAAGGGGTCACGATACTATCGGCGCTGGGAGGCACCGGTGGTGATCTTGTCTCAAGCGTAGGGCCCTCACACATTCCAACGTTCGGAACCCATAGGTCAGATTACCGCCGGACTGGCATCACTACAACGGGGAGCCCACGACTTGGACGAATTCGCACGGAGAGAAGTCACAGCAGCGAAAAAGGAGAAAGCTATTGCGTAGGTAAAAGAGCTGCTCGGCTCGGCGCTAGGACGCCGGACCTGGAGGACTGACGCTCGGCTTTCGGTCCCCTCTTTCCGCTGCGTGTTCTGGCAGACGAGCGAAGAAAGTACGCGAGGATTTCGCCTCTCTACAAATTGCGTTCACGAGATGGAAAACGGAGGATCGGGCAAGGGTTAGTGTCCGGCAGGAGATGCCGAGTGTTAGTTGCCATTATAATCCTGACAGCCCTTTTACCAGACGGCAGAACGTGACAGGAAGGATCTGTTGGGCAGCCATGTTGAGCGCCGGACATCATTCGGCGCACGGCACGGGCATGGCGCCTCGGATCCTAGGGCCACCGACAATACCATCCTCATGATGGATCATATGATCCGGGAGAACGGCGTTCTTGAGAATTCAGGGCACCGATTAGATGAGTTTATGCAGATGGGGCGGGCAGCGCTACAGGATCTGGTGGAGCAGAGGGACTCGCTGAAGGCACGTATCAGGGGGACATCGAAGGACTTTCTTCTCTCGAGCCAATGGTCTGATGGCATTTCATGATCTAGGGCACACAAAGGAGACTTCTCGATGTAGCAAACTATCTTGGGCTATCCACATCGGTAATACGTTACATCGAAAGGCGGACGGCCGCGGACCGGTGGATCTTCCTGGGAGGGGTTACGACAACGGTGTTTATTATGTGGCTAATTGTACATTATCTGGGGTGATGCCACGGCCCGCAGGCGGTATTGTGCAATCTTATCATTCAACATCGTATCGTCGATTGCATTTCACCAATCCTCCCTCGTGGAATGCTGGTATGATGCGATGGGCCAGCTCTGCGTTTGCCATTGTTCTGCGTGGTTTTCACGCTGAGATCCTCCCTATGGCCTTCGGGCATCCCACGGTGCGCCGTGTTTTCATTCCCCGCACAACATCCTTTCTCATATATACATCTTCCATGGCAAACATCTTCTGAAACCGATCATCGGCGCTTTGTTGTCGGTTCACAAGAAGCCCCACCGTTCACGCGTTCACAAGTATACCCCAATGGCCAGGAAAAGGAACACAACGCCGAAACCTGTGAAGACAGCGCCCCAGTTAGCTTTTGCTCTTTTTCGATAGGTAAGACTGAAACCTTGTAATTTGCAACATACCAAATAGTAACGATGCTGGCACTGCCAACAAGATGTCTTGCCTTATACTCCTCGTGTATTTCGTGGCGTTGACTTGGTTCCTGTCGATGTTCTGTTTTGTGAGAACCCGGTCATATAGCGACCCATCTCCGTCTACAGCCCAGGCCAAGTCCGCCGTGCAGCCCAGCGCGCCGTTCATCCCGTCATATAAAAGTCTATCGGGTCCTTCACTGTAGGCCTCAGTCCCCTGATCTGCCGCCCATCACGGTGCACGTACATGAAAAACAGTGACCCAACCGCAAAGCCAGCGGTGAGCAGCGATACTGCCAGTGTCGAAAAAGCTGATGGAGGCACAGGTGGCTCATATGCCTTCAGCAGTGGTGAATCCCACTCGAGACTCTGCAGGACAAGGATGTTAGACGTTCGCACGGCCAAATGAAACAAGGAGCGTCGCTGTACTCACCATTATGCAGAAAGGAGATAGTTAAACGGAGGGTGGATATTCCAGCGTTGCTGCTGCTCCATATATATGCAGGATGACAATAGCACTGAGAGCCTGCTTCGTGCGTGGGCTGTCCGTTGGTTGACAATTGCGGTGCCGTTATGGAACTTGGAAGAGCTGGCAGCGATCCCGCGCGTTTGCGCGCAATGCGTTGAGAGAAGCGGTCTAATGAAATGAGACTCTAATCCTCTCCCACCTAATTAGCAATCTAATGTATCCAGCCACAAAAGGGAGCAAACATGTCTAATCTGCCACCAACAACGTGTTCCAACTTCATGATTCTCCTCCGACCCGACAGAGCCAACAGCCCGATATTCCAGCAGCACCTCCATCGACATCGGTGGCACTTGCACTGCAGGACTCACATAGCACACACCGGCGCTCGCTCCCAGTCAACGAGCGCACAGCGGCTTCACTGTCCACGCCTGACTCTAATCTCTCTCTTCCGCTACCGCATTGAACAGCGTGTCTTCAGCACCGACTTAGTGGGAATACGTCGACTCGGAAAACGAGGGAGATGCCAGACAAACACATATCGGCCTTTATCACGGACCTTTTACGCTTCGGGCTCGAGAGGCTCTCTCTCGTTCCCACTGACCTGAAGACGTCCTTCGAAGTGCAAGAGGCGATTGCAGCTCAGGTTGGTTCTCAAAAGTGACAGTAATTGTCCGACGTTTCCCCGGACAACCATATTCACTGCCCGTTATGCTTTCTACAGGAGCTTGCGGTCGATGTCTTGGCTAGCATAAGAGGTGGAGAGGACAGTAGCGATATGGAGGACGCTTACCTGATGGACGGCCGCGAGCCTCTGGCTGAACTTGGAGGGACGCCGCGGGAGGGAGGCTCAAGCGCCTTGGTCGGTTGGATACCACCAGAGCAACTGGCGATAGCCCCTAGTGCATTATCGCCGACTTCCGCAGACCCTCGGGATGGTCAAATTGGCGAGTCACTGTCTGTTCTAGCAAAAACCGCCGCAAAGCGACGAATCGCTGGGGCGGCCTCTGTATTACCGCACGAACTACTGTTGACCATTTTCGAGGAAGTTGACGAGCTATCTACGCTGCATCGTTGCTGTTTGGTCAACAGAGCGTGGAATACTGTCGCACAGGAGGTGTTGTGGAGAGAGGTTCTGTTAGAGAACGCAACCCGCGTGAGGAGATTTGTGAGAGGTGTGGCATTCAGTGCCGCACCTCGCAATCCTAGGCGATCAGGGAGGACCCGGACCGGTTTGGCGGTCCCAAAGTCCTTCGAGGGCTTGGGGGATCTGCTCAAGCCGGGTTTCCTTGAATTCGCGAATGGGGCCTCGCGGCGGCTGGGTACAGTCGTGGGAAATCGAGCCATCCTTCCCGTCGGTCTTGAGCCTTCAGTGTCAAACGCCTTGATTCCTTCTTCGGCCGAATCGCAAGTGAAGCAGGCTTCACGAAAAGGGCTGGGGAGTATGGTGAAGAAGCTGATTGTGTCCAGCAGTGAGCAGAAGGTGATCTTGCTGCAGCATGTCAGTAATTTGCTCAATAACCTTCAAAGGTACAGCCTGATTACGATTTGTTCTCTTCCACCGACACATAGTATTTACTCGATGATTGTTGCAGTCTTCAGTTCCAGCATCTCTGCGGCGAAGGCGTGGCTGGTCCATCCTTGGATCCCCGCATTTTAACATCGATGGAACCGGTGATCCAACGCGTGTCATCGCTCACGATCGAGGACGTTGACTCACCATGCTGGCCGGATCTCTGTCGAATCCTGAGGGAGCACGGGGGAAACCTACGCAATCTAAACATTGAAGCTGTGAAGGATATTGATGCTTTCGAGAGCACCTCTGATCTTTCGGACGTCTTTCCGAATATGACGGGACTGGAGTTCATACGACTGGATGGAATACCGGTGGGGCCGAATGCCAGCATTGAACGACTGGTGTCAAGTTGTCGAAACCTGACCGCGGTTACGTTGGACTATTGTCTCGAAATAACGGTGGGTAGCGTCTGTCAGTTACCATTTGACGTTCCAGGAAACTCATCTTTGGACGGAGTGTAGATGGACGTTCTCGTCGTAATTTGGAATGGTTGCCCGATGCTGGATTTCCTCGGAATGGCTGGTGTCGTCGGACCAATGAGCGCTGGTATCCAACTAGATCACAGGCCGTCACTGAAGACGTTGAGGCTAGTCGATTGCGACGTCTTTGACGAAATGGTGAGTCCCATTTGCCGTCTCGCATGGAACTTCGTCCGCAATATTGACCAGGATTCGGCGGTACAGTTTGAGGAGGTCGCAAAGAAAGCCACCAACCTGGAAATGTTACGACTTGTCTTTGAAGACGAGGAATGTGAAGGGATTGTCTTGGTCTCATCGGAACTGACCGATCGCTCCCTCCGTGCCCTCGCCACATATACCAACACCCTTCAAATATTAGCACTGACGCGATGTCCCAACATGTCGGCAAAAGCATTGGCGGAAGTCATCCGGAGGAACCCCGTGCACACATTAGACTTGCACAAGCATCCCGAATGCTCGATAGGGAAGTTCGATGACACGTATCTTCGCGAGCTTGCTCCTGCATTCAACAAAGTGAAGGTGCTCAATCTCTATGGTCAAACCGTGCTCACCGAGTCGTGTATCAGCGGCGTCGTTCGTGATGGCTTTTGGAGTGGGTTGCAAAGTCTGTCCATCAACAATCTCACAGTGGGACCGGGCGTGCTAGATGCGATCAGGGAGAGCTGCCCTCTTTTGGAGGTGATCAGTCTTGTGGACTGTCCGAATATTGCAGGGGAGGCAGCTGAAGGGTTTGCCCAAGGACGACCGGTGTGGCACATCAAACCCCCGAATCCGCCAACGGAGGCAGGAGCGGAAGCAGGGCCTGCCGTAGAGCATCGTGTCGACGCTGCCACGGATACTGGCGGCGATCCGGTCACATCTCTGGAACAGCCGCCGCCTAGCCAGACGCCGGTCGACGACCAAAGTCATTTGCGCGATGAGTCTACCGGGACTGGAGAAGCCAGCCAGGACCATGGTCCCGCGCAAGCGGCAGGAACGCCAATTGAAACGGACGAGTATATCATGGTGGATACCGCGCCTTCTCCTCCGGGCCCTTCGAGTCCTGTTGTCTCGGCAAGTCATGACACCGAGCCTTCCAATGCGGCGCCGTCATCGTCGATTACGAGCAGCCCGTTGAGACTGCTGGGCAGGATATCTCCACCCTCGTTCTTCACTCCGGAGCCGTTCTTCAGCAGCGCCCCGAGCAATACCGACCCGGTAGAAAGTCCAAGGGCCGCAACCGCGCCGTCACGTCCACCATGTATCTCCGCATCGCCCGGTTTACACGCACACAGCCCCGAGGACGGCACTCTTTCCCCAGCAGCTTCCCACCCAGACGGTACCCCATTGGCCGTAGGGACATCATCAATAGCGCCGGCCTGCCGCAACACCTGCCACCACAAATGCCCAGCACATACCCCACCCGCACCGCTCCGTTACCTTCACCGCGTCTACACCCTTGCTACCGACGTAGTCGAATCACACGTCATCAAGCACTGCGACTGCTGGTTTGTGGACGAAGGGTTGGATATTACGAGCTTGTGGGAGAGCGCTGTTAGGAGGTCGGCGGGGAGGGGGTGGTTGCTGTGAGACGCGGGCATGTTCCTCCACCCCCAGTGGGTCCCTTGTACATTCGGCGTTTTTGGATGCTTGCGTTTATCATACCCTATGCTGTCCATCTAAATTCACGAGCTGCCGTTCTTTGGACATTGTGTTTAGTCTCTGTGTGTGAATGTGGTAGGGCGGATACACTGGCGAAAAGCCGTCTGCATGTAGAGCTTCTCACATAAATCCTGCACAGCGCCGAGTCGACAGATTTCCGGCCATTGCCATAGCTTTCCATTTATTGAGTCTATTCTCTAACCGGCTGACCTAACTACATACGCGAAGCGCCGCAAAGCTCAGAAATCCAACGGATTGTTCCCTGTACCCACAGTACCACAACTGCTCCTCGCCTTCCGGTTGCTGCCCTCTTCCTCATCCCCTCTTCTCACGCCTTCACCTTCCGGCGGGAGCGTGCACCGTTCCACCAAAAACCGCTTCCTCCGCACCTTAAAGCCCAACATGCCCATCTCGCCTATCCGGCCACCCAAAGACGCCACTCTGGGCACTTTGACGATATCGAGGAACCCATGATACTGAGACTCGTACGCTGAATGCACAGGCGTTGAGCTCCCTGCGAACGAGTCTAGCCGCAGAACACCGTCAGAGAGGTGAGATAGGATTGTGGTTACGTGGGGAGGAATGGCGTTGGGCAGACTGATGAAGGCGGTGGCGTATGATGTGCGGAGGATGGAGCGTAGGGACAGGAAGAAAGTTGATAGCTGGCTGATGGTAGATGACCCCCACAGCGGCGAGGCTATTGAATGAATGGCGATGCGGAGAAGGGTCGGTGGTGGCGGGCCATTCGGCCGTATTCGGAATCCGCCTTCGTCTACGAGTCCTTCAATATGGCGGATCAGCCTTTGGAACACATTGTCGCTTCCCGTTTCCTCTGCTTCCAGCGCCCACGCAGATATGTCGAGAAGCGCCATCTGCGATCCAGCTGCTTTCAGCATAGCCGGTGTCATGCGCTTCGTCAAATCGAACAGATTACAGAACGGCGTTTGTTGGCTGAGCGTGCCAGCTCGTGCAGGTCCTGCCCCTCCGACCGCCGTGCTGAAGCGCGGAAGGCCCTGATACCGCCATGCGATCTGCATACGGTCGTTGCCAACGTCGTTTCTGGTCGCACCCATCCGTCGGCCCGACAGAACCGCTGCTCCTCCAGCGCCTAGTGTCACGTCCTCGTCCTCTTCCTCTTCCTTCATCTCGGACGGCACTTTGCCCTCAACAACGCCCATAAGGCCTCGAATAATGCTTTCCGGGTCTTCGTCGGCGGTAGCTAGAGATACGGCGTGCCCGGATGCCACGCCTTGCGCTATATAGTAGGACATGAGCAGCTTGGCATAGCCGGTGAAGCGGTCCTCATTGACAAGAAGCGATGTGTGCAGCGGAAGACCTCCACCCAGCAGCTCGTCAATGGACGGAACGCCGGTTGAAGTGAGAACGACGCTGGAGTTCCGAGCGGATATGCGGGTCGCTGGCAGCGAGGCGTGGGCGCTGGCTGACGGCCCTCTTCTCTTGAAAGACGACATGGCTGAAGTCTGCAGCCCGATATCGATATGGTCTGGGGAGTCTGGGGTGTCGCTGGAAATGGGAAAGCCCAGAGGAAGGAGACCGTCATCTCGACGCGTCGTCTCACCTTTCTCACTTTTCGCCGACTTCCGCCCTCGGTCAGAGCTCATTGCGTCCTTCGCATTTCCTTGGGCAAGGGCAGCAATGGACAGATACAAGATCCTCGGGAAGGTATGCCTCTTCCGCTCGTTATTTGCTCCTTCCTTATAACGCGCTCATGCGCTTCGTCTCTCTCACGCATACTCAAGATTGGGGAAGGCGCTCACGGAGTCGTCCTCAAGGCAAAATGCGTCGAGACGGGCGAAATCGTTGCTTTGAAGAAGGTTCCGCTGCGGCGGCTGGAGGACGGGATCCCAAATACCATTCTCCGAGAGATCAAAGCGCTGCAGGTGATTGAACACCAGAATGTGAGTAGTCGAGTCTTGTCTGGGACAAGGAGAGGCAGGGAGGGTTGGGCCAGAGGCCGAACAGGGCTTACGTCGCAAAAGGTGGAAGAAGAGGCAAAGCTGAAACGGTCTCCTCCCCCATTACAGGTCGTGAAGCTCCTCTCGGTCTACCCATCAGGCCCATCTTTTGTCCTCGTCTTCGAATATATGCTATCCGACCTGTCCCATATCCTTCGCACAACCCCGACCCCGCTCACGTCTTCGCAAGTCAAAGCCTACATGGTTATGCTCCTGAAAGGGCTCTCATACTGCCACGAAAATAATATCATGCATAGGGACCTGAAGCCCGCTAACCTGCTAATCAGCCCAACGGGCGTGCTCAAGCTCGCGGATTTCGGGCTGGCGAGAGTGCATCGCGCCCTCCCATCCAATGTTAATGCAGGAGGGGCAGGGAGTGGCGGGCATGGAAAGGAATTCACACCAGCCGGGTCTGGAGCCAGTTCAGCCGCCGCACACCACCAGCCCCGCCCTTACTCGCATCAAGTCGCGACGCGGTGGTATAGAGCTCCAGAGCTGCTTTACGGCGCACGGATGTATGACGCCGGAGTGGATTTGTGGGCGGTCGGGTGCATTTTCGGGGAGCTTTTGAACCATTCGCCATTGTTCCCGGGACAGAATGATATTGATCAGTTGTTTTGTGTGTTGAATGTACTGGGCACACCGACAGCAGACAGTTGGCCTGTAAGTCGGAATCGAAAGATAACGCTTTTCTCATCTGCAAGTTCGCATCATCGTTTTGCTGGAAGCCCTAACTTTTATTGCAGGATCTAGAGACTTTGCCCGATTACAACAAGATACAGTTTCCGAAGATGCCCTCAATACCGTTAGAGCGGATTTGCCCCGACGCATCACAGGAGGCTGTAGATCTACTGAAACGCTTCCTTGTCTATTCAAGTCGAAATCGAATTCCAGCCAAAGAGGTACGTCAAGAAGAACATTCCGTGGCATCAAGTCGGAACCGGGGTCTAGCCTGGAATCGAAGGAAAGAAACGTGGGGATCACGCCGCATCAATTCATCCTTTCGCTGCACTAGGCTCTATTGGATCTCTACTTCTTCAGCAAGCCATTGCCGGCGCACCACCTCGAGCTGCCGATACCGAAGCGTGCCAAACAGGAGCAATTTGATGTTGACGCGCCTCTCGAGTTGTCGATCTTCTTCCCGCCTGCGGAACGTGATCCTCGAGTTGTGATCGGGTCGAATGCCTAGCTTTTGCTTCGGGGCGCTCTCGTTCGCGGCCGCCAACGGTACCGCTATGCCATAAGTCATCCACGAGTGGCTGCTCGTCTGCTGGACGGACTTGATGGCGCTGATCTCGGCTTTGATATGAGATGGACAAACTGCTGTGCGTCCTTCTCTTGCCCTGTATTGATCATCATTTGGACATAGGTTTGCGCTTGAGTGGCTGCAACTGGGTTCTTTGATTGCAGGAGCGTGTCAACGATTCCTGCGTATCCCTGCTTGGCATTCGCTTTTGCGAACTAGTCAAGGAGTCAGTGTCAGTCACGAGGGTCGGGGAGGGTGACATGGTTCTGAGCGAGGGATTTACCTTTTCCAGCCCTTCCCAGTCATGTTTCTATTCGGGAAGAAATGGATTAGCAGACTGCAATCATGTGAAACTGGCAATATTGCACCCTTCTGTACCTGAACCAGTGCCTTGATCTTAATCCGCCAGAACCTATTGTAAAATCCTCATTCAATGCAATGCATCGTTGTATTCCTAGTTCTCCGTCACACATACCGCTTATCCGAGACCTTGAAGTCAGATTTCACTTTCGCGGCTTTGTTGGCTTCACCCAATTCCAGTAGCTTTGCTATTGTTTCGACGACGGAAAGGCCTACGATCTCCTGCCCGAGATCTCGCTGTAGCGAGTCCTGCAAGAGGAGAAGCTTGACTTCATCCTCCGTCGTCTGCAAACGTAGAAGCGGTCAAGCGGCTGCCTTGTTTTTCCCTTGAAGTGAGCAACGAGACCAGACTACCTTCGCCTCAAAAGCGCGTTCCTTCTCGACCGAGTAGAGCTTCTGTGCAATTTTGAATTTGTTCACGCGCTCGAGCATGTCCTGCGTAGGCGAGACTATCAATCGATGCTGAGCTCCTTCATTTGCTTCATCAGAATATCTCACCCATACCTGCGTCTGATAGCCCTCGGATATAGCAGCATTGGCGCTATCCACCCGTCTGTCCTCCTGGTAGTAGAAGTCGCGGAGCAATTGCGGATCCTGCTGCTTGCAATACAGTTCGAGTAGATTGCATGCAAGCGGCTTGTCTCCGATGATTCGGAAGAACTCGGCAGGTGATAGCTTTCGCTTCATGTGCAGCATGACCAGATACACTGGTACGATTGAAGAGTTAGTATTCCGATCGTGTGAGACATCCTCGTCATCCAATGGGAGTACCTAGATCCGTGTCGCCACTCTCAATCGCCTTGATCAACGCCACCTCATCTTCCTCCATACCCATCAACAGTGGAACCTGGTTCGCAGCCTGAGGCTCATAGTCCAAAAGCTACATAAGAATGGTCAGCTGCCATCCGTGCCTTCGCGTTTTTCTGCCACGTTCTCGCTGACCAACCTTGGTGGCTAACTTCCTCTGCCCGCTATCATACGCCACTTTGGCGACTTCTGTGTACGAGATCCCCGACTCCCGACCACCCAACTTTTCAACGATCAAGCGACACAGAGTATCCTCATCATCCACGGAGACCTTTATCTACAAAAAGAGGGCACTGCCAGATCAGCAAACCGGCAGCCTCATTTTCACACAAAGTTGTCCTCACCTTCGTGCACGCCCAATGTATGAGGACCCGATCATGACTCAAAGTAAGATAATCGCATATCCGGAATGCCAGCAAATGGTGGTGACGCATCACCAAACGATCCACAAGCACAGACGGGGTGATCCGCTCGTATTGCACAAATGTCAAAGGTATCCCGATCTCAAAGTTCCGGACCGCATTGAGAACACGGATGCTCTTGCACATCGCGAGAAAGTGATTGGCGTTGTATGAATCCAGGAAGCACTTCCCAAAACTGGCGGCTTTCAGTAGCGCTCGTTGGCGCGGTGCATTCAGCTCGTGCCCTGCGGCTTCGACGCAAGTATCGACCGCTTCAGCTAATTCGAATTTGATATTTCGAATGTTTTCGTCAGCCCGTGGGCTTTTTTTCTCGAAATGTTCATATGCGTCAAAAAGAATGGCGCCAGGCGCTGTCGATCCGATCTTAAAAATGGATTCGGTCGCAGAAGGTACTCTTTGAAGAAATTCGCACTTGTCGTTGCTGATGATGCGTAGACCGTCAATTTCCGTGACAAGGTGAACAACGCCATCGTATGTGTACTTGATCCAATCTCCAAAGGGCCCGACCATGAGAACGGTACCAGGCCAATGCAGGACTACCGAGTCCGTCCCGCACCAGGTCATCTGTGTCGGGGGATTTGCGGAGTTGGTTGAGAATTCCGCCAGATTTTTCTGGAAGTCGGTCGAGACTACCCACAGTTTACCCTCGGAGGTATACAGGGCAAGAAACTTGCCATTCGGTGACACCGACATCCGAAGAAACGGTCCTTGCGTCAAAGACTGGTCTTGCACAGTCGCTGAATCCAGGACTATGACAGTGGCATTCACAGCCAGAAACACCTCCAAATGCCGGCTCAGCGTTTGCTGAGGTGACAGAACAGTCCACGAGTACGGTGCCTGCGTAATCCCAGGGTCGGCTAAGTACTGCGGTCGTGGCTCATCAAGATTCGTGATCGCCACGAATTTGAAGTCTCCCGTCAGCGCAACCAGCCCAGTGTCCCATAAACGACACTCCACCACTCCGTGCTCTTTGGCGTCCTCGCCCAACGAGAACTGAATAAACTCTCCGTGAATGTCGTAGACCCTGACCAACCCTCCTTCCAGTACACACAGGAGATGTTCCGTATTCGTCCACCCCAGCCCTATTATTCGCCCTTTATCCCACTATTATCCAAATGTTAGCGATCACTCGGTATAGGAAAAATTTCACTGAATTTTGAACTCTTGCCCTTACTTGAAGCTGTGTGATGAGATTTCCGGCAGAAGTATATATGCGAAGGTCGGGTTGCGTCGTTTGGCCGCGTAACGCCATAATCTTCCTGTCGTCCCTTATGGCCGCTAGGAGATGACCGTTAGAGCGTGCCCGTATTACTGTACAACCCAACAAGTGCAATACCTATCGGTCCGCCAAAGGGTGCCACAACTACAGTAAGCTTGGAAAGGTCCACTCCCCTCCATGTCATGGAGTAAACTTCCTGCTTGCTGACACCGGATGGTAAGAACCTACAGCTATGAAGCGAATGAGGTACACGGTCATCGTCCACGTACCAGTAGAACTTGTCATTGAGCAGGTTCCAATCTGCCGTTGGCGACAGACTTCCCACCAACATCTTGCAGAAGCTTTTGTTGGGCAGATATGTGTGTGCTTCGTGGGAATCCTTCCGTCAGGAAGAGGACCTCAACGCTGAAGTTGATTTTGAGACTTCCACGAAGCCGGCGCGTGTGCTCGAGTGGGGAGTGTGAGGTCACGGCTTGATGAGGCTCCGAACGTTCTCAACAGACTGGCTCTCAGGCTCTCCCCGCTACCTCCACTGGGCTGTCAAACAGCAACTCATCAGCAGCGCTTAAATGATGCTCCGCTTCTTCAGCCCCCGTGCGGTGGCCAGCAGGACTGCCACAGAGCGGACCTGTATCGTCCGTCTTTATTCCTCAGGTCAACGCCAAGGAGACCAACCTCGGCGGCTAAGAGCACTAATCACGGGATCACCAGGTTAGTGTTACTCAAACGGTATCTCACGAAGCTGGCGCCGAGAGCTCCTGTACTAACCTCCAGGTCTTAGGAGCGGGAAAGGTAGGGTATTTGCGCAACGACTGTGCCAACTCCGACGTTGCACTAAACGTTCGAACTTATAGGGAACCCAAACGAAACGCTTAGCTCAAAAGTACGACATCACGACAATATCGAGTGGGGACCTGCTGCGGAAAAGCATTTTGGACAAGACTCCACTGGGGCTGCAGGCGCAGGATATCATAGAAGTGGGCGGGCTGGTTCCCGATGATATCGTTATCAAGATGATATTGGATGAGCTGGACAAGCTGAGGGACAAGGTGCGGCAACTGGTGAACCTTCTCGCCTGTACACCAGAGAGTGGCATATACTCAGACTGACTCACTCCGGATGCAATTGTGGAGCGCAGAACTGGATGCTGGATGGTAAAGTTGATGGTCACGGAGACCTGAAGCAAGCACGTATCTTGACACAATATGTTGCAGGATTTCCGCGGACACTTCCGCAAGCACAGACGCTGACTACACATTTGGAGAAGCTGAATCAACCCCTCGACCTTGTCATTAATTTGGACGTGCCAGAAGAAGGTATGAAGCTGAAGGGAAGACGATAAATGGCGGATTGGAGCTTACATGTGCCACTTATTATCCAGTCATAATACAGCGAATAATAGGTATGTAGACTTCACCTGCCATATCCTACTTACGCGGGTACCTAATCGATGATGCGCAATTGACTTGCAGACCGCTGGATACATCCTGCCAGCGTATGTCCCTTTGAATTCCGGACAGGTGGAGGATTCAGCACTCACCGTGGATGTGGTTTATAGGGTAGAACGTATAATATGTCCTATAACCCTCCAAAGCGAGAGGGCATGGATGACATAACAGGCGAACCACTAGCGAAGAGGCCGGATGACAATGTGGTATGTTGTATGTTGTACCACACTCCTTAAACAAGGCTGCTGGCAATGGGAGTTTTGATCCTTTAACACCATTGCATGCGGCGTGCAGGAAACATTCAAGGCGCGTCTCGACAGCTACTACCAAATGACGAAGCCTCTCTTGAACTACTACAAAGAACAGGGGACGTTGCGGAGCTTTCATGGAAAGACGTCAGATATCATTTACCCGCAGATCGTTGAAGAGCTAGACCGGTGGTTCAAGTAGATTGTCGGGGTTAGCCGCATCAGCGTTGGTCTGAACATATGCGGCGGAGGACTGACATCATAGCTGTATGTTGGAGAACGGCGTATTTGGTCAAGAAATCGTCTGCCACGTCCTCATCTTCAACTTGGAAAGACCTACACTCGGGTATCCCCCAGATGAGTGTGCAGTTGTTCGCGTTGGAAGTTTCCTGCGACATGGGAATATGAAGGATCCATCCCAGCTGCGGAATTTTTCGGATGCACAAACCATCGGAGACAGCGATGAGAATCGCTTGGATATTATATACAGATAGGTGCGCCAAAAGCATGTTGTGCCAGTCTAGTAGAGCCTGAGCGGGATCATCCAGGCGGCTTCCAAGCAACCTTCAGTGTGGTATCCCCTGTCCGTCTGGGCGCCATATCCGCTCCTCCGGCTGGTCGTCGGGATGGCGCCGAGCTAGTTGGCAGGCCGTGGGACGACTGCTGTGTAGAGACCGGCGCTGCGGCTGGCGCTTGGATTGGTATCGACACATCCCGCGATCGGCGTACCCGTGGCCTTTCCTGCCGTGCGACCGCTTCGTCCAATCTGACGCGTGAACAGGGAATGAATCAGCCCGGTAAGTTCAACGCCCAAAGTAGGTTCATCCAACACTATCCAACTCACCTCTTCTGCCACGCAGCATCCAACGCCGACTTCTTCCGATTCCACTCCGTCTCAAACTTCTCCAGCCCGACCTCTCTGCTGCGCTTCAGGTCGTCCCGCATCATCGTTAGAGTGCTTATGTACTGCTGCTTCATTTTGCGTAACCGTTCCTGCATTTCCTTTTCATGCTGCGCCTTCTCATCTAATAGGGCTTTGTTGTGATCGAGAGTGGTTCGCGCGAGTGCATCTTTGAGAGAACGGATTTGATGCTGCGATGAAGGGCAAAGTCAGATATTTTCCCTTGTGAGGCATCGATGCGTTGGTTGTGATGAGTACCTCTAGTTCTGCTATTCGACTGTGCGCCACTTCAGCAGCTCTAGCATTATCGTCCGCATCCACTCGTTTGCGCAGGGCTTCCCGTTCACTTCTCAGCTTCTTTACTTCAGCCGCCCACTGCTCCCGATGCCTAGTGTGCCTGGCATTCATGTCGTGCTCCGCTCGCGCACGTTCCTCCTTCAGCTTCTGCACAGCAGTTTCATACGCGTTGGCACATCGTTCCTTTAACTTTGCGGTGATGTCGAGAATTTGCTGTTTCTGCTTTTCCAACATGCGAGCCTGGTCTTGTTCGATCCGTTGCTGCAGGTCAGCGACGGCCGCGTCATGGCGAGCCTGCATCTCCCGCAATGAGGCTGCATGTGCACTCTCGCAATCGGCTAGTCGTTCCGAGTGTTCCGCCGCCAACGAGTTTCTGAATTGTTCAAGCTGATTAGGGTAACTGGCAAGGATGTCGCTTAACGGCCTATCGGTTGCAGGTGCCTGCGACGCTAGCTTATGTTGCAGGTCGTTTGCGCGTCTGCGTTCCCGTCGGATCTGCTCTTCTAGAACCTGCCGTGTCGCCTCGTGTTCTGTCTTCTGGGCAGCCAGCTCTCTATGAAGCCGATCGATCTCTTGCGAATATGCGTCGTACTGTTGTCCAAATTCATCCGACTGGGGCCTCTTGGACTTTTGATACACCTGCTCTTCGAGGTCCCTAATTTCTTTCTCCCGCTCCTTTATCAGGTTCCGTGCCCGAGAGCGTTCCTCCTCAAAGTAATTTCGCTCCTCCGCAAACTCTTTCGCCTGCCGCCGCATCTCGTCCTTGTTTTTTCGCATGACCTCCTCTTTGTCTGCAGCCATAGCTTGCCGGAGTTCCAGAAGCTCTCGCTCCTTCTGCGACGTCAGCTCCTTTTTGATATTCAGAATATCAAGCTCCTTTTCTTCTCTCAGGGAATTGCGTATGGATCCTATTTGTTCCTGCTCAGCTCGAGAGCGTCTCAACTGCTCCTCCCCTGCTGCAATCGCTTCACGCATCGATGCGTAGCGCGCCTCGTCTTCCTCCTCTCGTTTCCGCAGCTCGTCCCGGTGCTGCTGTTCCATGTCGGTGGCAACACGGTCCTTCTCATGGAAGGCGGCATCGAGATCGGCCTTCAGCTCTTGATTATCCTGTACAAGCCGCTCGTTGAGTGCGCGGAGGGTCCTTATTTCATTCCGCGCATCTGCGAGCATGTTTTCGATTCTGGGAATGTCGTGAGATGCTGATAGGGGTTGTTGGCGACTAGTACGCATGCCGTCCAGTTTCGCCATTGGACCTTGAGATGCGGGTGACAGCGGTTCGTCAAATTCGCGAGAATGACCGTCGAACGAGGGCAGCTCGTCGGCTTCATCGGCCACTTCTACATTGGGAAGTAGTCGCATGACTGGACTGGGATTGGCGCCTCGAACATGAGATTCGCGATGCAATGAAACAGGAGAGCCTGGAAGTGATTCTGGAGGAGGACTGCGATGCTGATGTACTGGAGAGCCGGGTTCGGATAACACTCCGAGCGAACTTTCAGGGCTCGAAGCTCGATCATCCGGCGCCTTCGGTGCCGACGTGTGTTGAAACGGCACATCGTCCAATTCCTGTTCACTGATGGATTGGACTGAGGCAGATTAGAACCCGGACGAAAAAAAGGCAGGCTACTGGCTGGTGAAGCCTACCATGTGGGCTAGTGGCACCCGAATGTCTCTTGCGACGCATAGTCGGAGACGTCCTGGCCGTGGCATACTGCCAGAATTCCCGCATAGAAGATTCCTCCGCATTCGCCATCCCACGTGCATCTATCGATCCAGAAAGACGATGACTCTGCATGTTGTCATCAAAGTGGAGCTCGTCGTTAACGTCAAGGCTGGTATCTCCAGGATCGGGAAGCTGCTCAAGGGCAGAATTTGGAATCTGCTCAATGTCTTCGCGCATGCTATTTGTGAATTCGTCAAACTCTTCATCCAGTTGCATCACTTCTGGCGCATCAATGGAATGGATATCGTAGTCGTCTTCGAATTGAGATTCGTTATTCTGGAGTGGCTGATCGTTGTCCGCGGCTTGCTCTTCGACCTCTGAGAAAGAACCTGCATCCTCCCGCTCGTTTGCCACCTCCGATACGCGCCCAGCATGTCGCATTCGAACACCCTCCAGCATTGTCAGTTCCTCCTTCCCGAGCGCCTCAACCATCCGCCGGAAATCATCGTCCACCAAGGACGTCTCCGAGTTTTCATCCTCGTCCTCCTCAAAACCGGCGAAAGGTATCCTCGGCCGCCCATTCGACGCGCCGTGTGACTGTGACCGGTCAGGTGAGTATGAGGCTACTCGTCGGAACGGAGTGTGGCGACCGCCTTCGCCAATAGGAACGTTTGGTATCCTGTTTCCCGTGAATCGTTGTTTCTTGGTCGAGGACGCGTAAATCATCGTCTTGCCACCGGAGTCCTTTCCACCGGGTGTCATAAACGGGTTGTCATCTTCGTCGGTGGCCGCTTCAAACGTCTTGGCCGTTTCTTCGGTGTATTGGAACGTTTTGTAGCTGGACTTTGTTTTGCTCTTGGTCGGGTCTACTCCGTAGGCGGGGCCGGGACCAGCTAGCATTTGACGCTGGTGAACGACGTGGTGTGGATGGTATATGGATGAATCTCTTTCCGCTGTTGCGCCGCGCACGGACGGGAGACTGCTGAGGCTTTGGCTGAACCGTAACTCCTTTCGAGATGTCTAAGATCCACAGCGAGTTTGCAATGACAGTGGTTCGCAAGATGCTCGCCAGCTGGAATGGAAACAGCCAGAGGAGCGCCTTTTCGGACACCAGCGTACCAGAGACTCGTTTCATGGGATGCGGGATCCAAGCGTCCCAAACATCGTCGCGTGCTTACGCCTGGAGAACGCCAGCTTCGAAGTTGACAGGACAGTGGGCTCGATTTGACAGTATATAGTAGGTTCATACGTTTTCTGCGGCAGCATCGGCGGCAGGGCAAGGAGATGGCAGCAGCGGCAGCGTCGGCGGCGAAAGCAGCGGAGGAGCAACAGCTTGCGCCTGAGTCAGTCTTCCATCGGTACTACGTCTTGGGAGAGAACGGGCCGCAGACGATAAAAGATGTCTTTGATGAGCAAGGTGACCAGGCAATAGATATGTTGTACGTTGCGCATACAATCCGAATCTGATCTGTAAGTTGCATGTCAGGTTGGCTTCCATTTGTGGAAGGAGAAAGCCCATACTGGAACTTGGAATGGAGAGGTCGGTAACGCTGGTGCATCCAGGTTTCGCTCGTGTTGGTTGATCGGTGTTGATCGAGAGCGCCTGACATGTTGGGTGAAGGTACTCGATTCCGCCAGGGCGAATACGAGTCATGTCAACCATGGCAGCGCTTGAATCATTTTCCCAAGACGCTCAACTTGACGAGAAAGGTGAGGAGCCCATGTCGTGTGGCCTTCCAATGTCTGTGCCGTCTCTCTGATCTGCGCCGGGACCTTTCGATCGTCGCTCTCGCGCCAGGATAGGACACGCTCTATCGCCTTCTTCGGACTATGCGTGGAATATATGGATCGATATACGACTATGTGCCTCTCACGTTCTCACTGCCAAACGACTATACCAAATTTGTAAAGGTCTACGCTCACGAGGAGGAAAGGAGAAACCAGGGCATGTGGATATGCAAGCCAGCGGATCAGAGCCGCGGGAGAGGCATCTTTGTGTTCAAGCATCTCACCGAGCTGGCGTATGATTGCAAGTACGTGGAAACGAGGGGCAAAGCAGTATTCTGGCTTCAGAGCTGACAAGAATTGAAGTGCGGTATTGCAGCGATATATTCCCAATCCGCTGCTGATCTCCGGTTACAAGGTACGAAACCCTCAGCGGAATTACGTATGACGTTTATACTGAATCGAGACTGACAAGATCATCAGTTTGATATGCGATGGTAGATACATCCTGCTGCCGTTATGAATTGTTTCAGCCTTGTGCCTCAACTCAACATACAATTACAGCTACGTTGTCGTGAAATCCTATAATCCACTGGTCATCTTCGTGAACGACGAGGGCTTAGCCAGATTCGCCACAGTAAGCATTTTTCGCAAACTTGAGCCGCTTTGGAAAGACCGTCTCAAGGTGTTCCAGAGTCCGTATCAAACGGATAGACTTGACAATCTGTTTGCACATCTGACCAATACGTCGATCAACAAGCACTCGCCTTCGCTGGGACACGAGAAGGAGGACATCGGCGCGGGATGTCGGTGGACATTCGCGAGATTGCGAGAGTGGTTCAAGCTTACTAATCGAAACTGGGATGTGACTTGGAAGAGGTAGGACAGAAGCCCTGCAAAGACAACGGAATTCATAAAGGGAGGTTATGATTGACATGATTGACATCTCGGACGAAAGGATCCTGGGCACCATAATAGTAACGTTGCTCCCCGTAGCTGCCGATGTCCCTCCGGTACCGGCAGGTTGCTTCGAGCTGTACGGGTTTGGTGAGTGATAGCTCTATGTTGTCGCATCCGTGTTGATTATGCTTTAACGAGAAAGATATCACGTAGATGTCCTGGTCGACGAAACGTTGAAACCATGGCTGCTCGGTAGGTTCTCAACCAAGACTTTGTGTGAAAGATGCTGGTGCAAATAAAATCACTCGATCTGGCTCGCAGAGGTTAACTTCGGTCCCGCACTATCATTGGACTCCGAGGTCGATTACGAGGTCAAAAAGGTAGATCCCTTCATTCTTACTGGACTCATGCAGAAACCAGTCTTACTTTACGCTCTACATGGATAGCCGCTCCTGGCAGATATAATCGACATTGTCGACGTAACAGATGAGCAGCTCGCATTGGCGTACGAGGCGTCAGTGGTGGGTGTAGAAGCAAAACATCTGGAAACGATCAAACCAAAGATGTGCAATCTTACCGTTCCGACATTCCAGCTGGCAAAACAAGCACGGCGTAAACCGCGGGTTTCCTCTGCATGTCCAAGCAAAACACAGCGCACGACAACGCCATCACTCCGACGGCACGTAAAACAGCTGCATGATGTAAAACACGAGAGCGTGGAGGTGGGCCGACTGAAACAGGTGTTTCCGTTCAACCGCGAGACAGCCCACTTGAGCTCTTCACCGCAGGGACTGACGCCTGGAAAGGTGCGAACTGGACGGTGGTCTCCTGTACTCGCAACTGGAACTCATCGACGTTGTTTGCTTCCTCCGGCGGATGCTCATAGCCCGCTTTCAAGGGCGTTATCCAGGAAACGAAGAAAGCCTTTCTTATATGAGATACCTCTGCATCCAGGGAGACGGTGATGTACTCCTCTCATCACCCTATTCACAAGCTATTGACGATAGATCCGCCTTTTGCCAACGTGAAACAAGTGCTGCTGCTGCTCTTCAGTGTATTATGTTTCGCAATGCCTTACAATGGCGTATTAAATCCAAATGTCTCAAGATATGTACATACGGTAGCAAAATTGGAGAAACCAAGCGTATCTCGTTCATTCAAGGTCGCACGAGTCAAACACACTGCCACTGGAAAGAACTAGGGGCATGCCTGCGAAATATACCCGCAATAGTTCCGAACCAATCTTCCAAACGGTATGATGGCCATTGCAGGACGGTTGCACCTTATTGCCGTGGAGGCTTTCGCAGCGGGCGTGGAGTGACGGCGCCGCAACCAGTTAGACGCGGCTGGATGATCGCGTATCCGATCTCCCTGCGGTCATACGGCTGGGTATATTGAATTTCAAGATCCGAATGCATAGAGTGTGGGCAAAGGGTCCGCATAAAGGAGAGGGATTGCCTAGCGATCTCCGGCATCAGACTTGTTGCTGCTGCCGAGACCAAACGTTTCCCTCAGCCCACGTCTTTTCCGATGGAAAATTTGAGTCCATGTTCGTCGCAGCAGGTTATTCCTACGCTCTTTATCGGGGGCATCGGGCATACTCTGGGTGGAGCTCGCTTTGTAGAGTCTCGTGAAGAAGGCGGATGTAGAAGATCCGGAAGACGAAGGTGGGGAGTAGGTACTGGTGCTCGCACGCCCAATGGGTGGCTCCGACCCCATGTGCACGGGAAGAGGTGGCAGTGGTGGTATAAGTTGGGCGCTGCGGTCGGGAAGCTGTGGGGCAAAGCTTGATTGTGATGGGTAGCGGTGAAGAAGCGGTGGGGCAATGGAATCAATGGGACTGGATCTTGTGGAAGCTCCGCTCAGCAGAACACTCCGTGGAAGTGGATTCAAGGTTTCCGACTCTCGTACCCGGTAGCCGGCGGAGGTTCGGTTGCTTTCTGTTTGTTTGAGCAAGTCCGGGTTGTATTTCAGTGACGAGTCACGATTCGGGAGCGGCGGACGGCCTTCTATGAAAAGGTCACGAATATCGCGGGGTCGCAGTGAATGAGTGGGAGGATAGTCGTCATCTCTTGCGCTCCTCGGGGAAATTTGTAGCTCCGAATATGTTCGAGGGGGCAATCTGAGCGAATATCTCTTGTCTGGCGGAAGCGGCGGCCTCGAGGTGTTCAATCTCGCTCCGACGACTGAATCTGGCCGGTGATATTCGGCATGTTCCGTGAGATCATTCAGCGTCGCACTTCTCTGCATTGCGGACTTTAAGTTAGGGACCGATCTTGGAGACGACAGCGTCCCTGTGTTCTGCGTCAAAGGATCAAAAATCGGTGTGAGGACGTCCAGCAGTCGCATGTCCACCGAAGCTCGCCTAACCAAACTCGCGGTTGGATAGGAGGACATATTGATGGCGGCGCTCGGGTTTGCCGCGGTCGAGTTGGGCTCAGGGAAGCTTTCATATCGCAGATCCGCGCTCGACTGCCGCCAAAACTTGCGTCGCTGCGTAGGAGTCTGCGCGCCCCCAGAAGGGCGCTCTCGTTGAGGCGCGGGGCTGCCGCCATCTTGTACCGACATCCATCCTGTGGAGCTGCTCCGTCGCAAAGTTTCCCGTATTTCTGTTGACATCGATGGCCGCGAGGACGGCCCCGGCACCGGTGCTGGCGAAGGCGATGGCGCGGTAGTGGCGGATGGCAACGAACCAGGCTGCCTTGACTTTGCTGGTATTGCAAGCCGTAACAGTGCGTCGGTCCATACTGTCCTCTCCCGTTCCGTTAATGCGCAGAAGTCGTAATTCTGGCCATTATCGGTGTTTGTCAACCGCCAGCCGTTCGCGAAAGGGCCTGTGATGTTTCAGGAATTGTGAGTATGACGGAGACTGAAGAAGGCTGACTAGCCAACAAGACCACATACCTTCTCCAGCACCGAGACGCCTAAACTCGCACAGGGATAATGATAGGCAAGTCTTCACATTATAAGCGGTCATTCTTCTGGGCTTCACAACCAGAAGATATTCAGGGAAGAGGAATACGCCCTATGATATGCACAGAATTGTGAGCATCAGGACGCAGTCGGCAACAGCCAAGTTTCACTTACCCTGTATCTCAATTTCATCGCAAACTGGTCATAGTTCACGACAAAGAGTGCGCCGCTGAGAATAAAATCGCCGGCCTCTAAACGCTGTGGAAGGTCATTTGGGGGTGCCTCCAGCCTGCTGAAGAACCGGTCTGTCCTCTCCATGTTTTCCATGCGCCACTTGGCAGAGTCTATTTCCAACGCAAGGTGCTGCATCATGCCATGTGCTGCAGTTAGCACCTGATGTGTGGGCGAGTCGATTGCTGTGTTCTTGATCACTTCGTTGATCAACAGAGGGTATCGGCATAGCCGTTGCACAGGCTTGATCAAGTAGTCTTTCACATCCAGCTTGGTCTGAGCCAGCCCTCGAAAATCTTTGAGAAAGGTGACCATCTCCGGTCTTCTTTCATACTCTCTCAGGGTTTTTATGGCGCCGTCATGATGGGTGCAGTATTGTGAATAGACGGTGAATTTGTGCTGCATTTCCAGAAACACGTGCGCCATCGATGCTGCCGCAACGTCAGCATCGTCTTCTGCTCTCACCACCGTCTCTTCCAGGGCGCTGAGAAATTCCTGCTGGAACCTGTATAGCTCACTTGCATTTCGCATCAAAGAGAACTTCTTGTCGCTTGGCACCCACGACACGGCGTTCAACCGATCGAAGAAACTCTATGACGTTCAAAGGATTGTGAGCCTGTGAGCTTATCGCTATCGAGAATCGCACAGTCCGTCTTACCTCCACCAGTGTACGCAAATCATGTACGTACATCCGCTCCGTCTGCATCAACTCGTCAATGACCATCAGACGATGCTCGGCCCTGCGGTTAATGCTGCTTGCAGACAATTGCCGAAGGGGAGACGCGGGGAGACTCGACTCCACCGAGGTTCTGGTGGTATCTTGAGGCGCAGACAATAAAGGCCCAATGTAAGGAGCTTCGAATCTGAGGGTCGAAGTGTTGCCAGTGACCTGATGTACGTCCGCCAAGGACTTGAGATCGACAGAAGAGGACCCCGTGTTCGGGGCTGTTCTGGCGTAGTTTTGCAAGGCCGCCAGGTGGTCGTTCTGATGCCCATTGTAAGACAATCGGCGAGCTTTTATTGACTCTGGAGATGACTCGGAATCTGTAGCTGAATCATGACTCGGTGGCCCTATGGTGAAGCCCACTGCCATAGATTTCGGACGTCTATTACTGATCCCTCTTGATGCCTTTGATGAAACCGCGAGTGTTTCCGCAAGTTCCTTCGGTTCGAGCGCCGTCAAACCCGGCGAGGGGCTGTCTGATGGCGGGTTTGGGTCTTGAAGGGGTAAGGGCGACAGCGATGGGGCCACAGGAGCTTGCGGTTGCGATTTAGGTGCCGGAAACTGAGGGTCGAGGGAGGGAGTCGGTGATGGTGTAGGTGCTGGTGTAGGTGTTGGAGGAGATGCGGGCGAGGACCCATCTAGGAAAGACCCATCGGGTGCCTTTGTGGGCCGGCATTCCGCGGACGTACGCAGTAGGCCATCAACCAAGTGCTTGTTGAGCAAAGCGTCAAAAGGACCCTCAAAACGGACACCGTCGACCGGGAGAAATTCCGGCGCCGGTGTTGCGCAATTCACGTCAGTCGCCGATTTTGAGACGTTTGACATTGGACGTGACAGTAGCGTCGATGCTTAGATGGCTCTTGCGCCTCCTTTCGTCCGTGCTGCACCGCCTGCTCCCACACGCCGTCCTTCGTAACTTGGCGAGCGGGCAGTCTAGTGCGTTGAATCGCACATGTGCGATTCGTTGTGGCTTCGTTGTTGCTTCCGGTGAACCGGTGTACAGGCGCGACTGAGACGTCGATGCATGCGAGAGAAAACTCCCAGACCCCTCCAATAAACTGGCAAGTGGGTAAGGGCCGGGGTACGGTATTTGGTCCAGAGAGAATGCTCCGTGCGTTGTAGATTCACCTGTGCAAGGGGATGTTATGCTGATGAGCTTTAGCACCGTTTTGAACGTTATGCTCTTCTCTTTGTACGGCAGTGCTGTGGATCGTCCGGCCGTGGTCCCCAAAGGAGTCCGTTGTTGCGCGCGCGGTGTTACGCGCATACGGCCACATCAATTACTCATGGCTTTGGCCTGGCCGTGAGACGGGACAGAACTTGGATGCAGAACGTACCCAGAACGAAAAGACGGACCCCATATGACCCACGCTCCTGCACATCGTCGGAAAATCCTTACCTTTCTGCATACCTACCCAACTACAGACTGCATATCCGCCCACGCAACTCAGACTTGCAAGCCAGTGCTCGTTTCAAGAAGTCCTCATGTTCAGGTTTCAAAAGTCCAAGTCTGAAAAATGTTCACATGGGAAACAAGCTTCAACATACTGTAGAATGGCATGCCCAGTGTTTCAGAACCAAAATCCGCAGAACAAACAAAATGAAACCGGAAGTGGCTTGGTCCGTCCGAATGGCGGGAAACGCGCACATTGTGCGTCATTGATTCATCACTGCTGCGCCCATTGTGCGCTCCCCCGCTCCCGGCTTCTTGGCGCAGTGACAGTTGGGGGTTAATCGCCGATTGTCTCCCTCAGTTTCCCCACCGTCATGAGTATAATGCGCTGTTGACAGCGCAGAAGAGGTTGAACTCTCGAACACACAGTAGACGTTTGCGCACAGGCCTAGCATTCGACTCCGCCATTTCCTCCCTGCCAACATAACACCGAGGCTGAACTAGTTGTATTGCAAGTAGCTTACTCTGGGTTGATTTATTTCTTCAGTAGTCTGCTGCTGAACATTGCTTCCCTTGCATCACGGTTTGCATATCTGAGTGAGGCAACGAAGAAGCTGGAGAACATCCTCCCTTACTTGCTTCCCGGAAATCCGTTTTCATAACCATGGTCTTCGATGACGCTTCTTACGCCGGCGCAAAGATGAGGTCCCACATGCGATTGGAACTTTCGCTTTATACCGGTACCATTCGCATTTTGACGCGTACATATTTGACAGGGGAAAGCAGGACAGTTCAAACCAAAAACCGTAAGGACTACGCCGTTTCACCCCACGAAAATGATTCCTCCACTTCAGGACATCGTAGCTAATCGCCCAGGAAACTATGTGTAGTCGAGCCGACATCAGTTGTGAACGGCCGATTGTGCAACACGGCCGTTGTAAGCGCCTTTGCTGCAATTGCGAGGAGGGGCTGTCAACCTGACATTGGATGGGAATTCAGTGATGGTACCCCGAAGAACACAAAGCATCATTTCCAAAATCCTATGGCCATACCTGTTCAAGTGAGCATCGGGACCCCGTTCAATCTTGCCTTCCTGGAGAATCCGCTCGATGATTTCGCTCACATTGTGGGTTCCAAACGTGGTGTCCAGCTGTTGCCTCGAAGGCCTTTCATAGACACCGGTGTTTCCTCCGTTGTTGACAGCAAAGATGTCGAACGACTCGACGACGTCAACGATCGGAATGGATTTGTCTTTGCGCCAGGGTTCGACCTATGAGGGTGAACATTCTGATCAGTTCTTTTGTCATCCGTATCTGGCTGCACACCCGTTTCCCATCATTGCCTGGTTGGGGTCAGCGAAGACAAAGAAATCGAGGAATCGGCCACTGGTTTGAGCATCGGCTTTTTCTTTGCCATGCCAAACGACTCTGACCGGCTGCGGCTGTGCGGTGTTGGAGGGCATAGTTGCTTGTTAAGTTTTATTCGGATGTTCTTCGTGGACTTACTTGCTTTGTAAAAGGTGAAGTAAAGAAAAGACCTCATATTGATAGCGGGAACCCCGCGCCAATGCATCGCGTCAGTGGGGCGTAACACACATGCATAGGTAGCAACGCGGAAACATTTTTGGAGAGCTGGCACGAAATCCATTAATTTCTCTCTAGACCGCGATTCTACACCTTATACAGCCAAAAATACTGCAGACCAACTACCACCATTCCCCAACCGTTGCTTCAAATGCAGTCAGGTCGGCCGCCTGGATCAACGCTAGTTCCATCGTCCGAGCTCCTTCGGATACCGCCTGCTTCTCCAAAACTGGAGTCTCGCTATCGCTCGACGAAGAAGTGCTATCTGCATCGCTATCTGCATCGCCAGCTGAATCACTATCTGAATCACTATCGGAGCTGCTGTCGTCGCTGGATAATGTTGTATCCTTTGATTTCGTGGGAATGCTTTCAACCTCATTTTGGCTCTCATTTTGACTATTGGGATTTCGCTTGACGAGCTCTCCCAGTTCCTTCAAGGATTGTTGGTAATCCTTGACCAGCAGCTCAGTGTCGGCTTGCCCAACCTTCACTCGGGCTACTGGTGCACCCCTGTCGATCTTGCCAATCTCCGCTTTGAACCAGCGAACCTCCCTATCCTCCAGAATCGTCCATGCAACTCCGTTGCGACCGGCTCTGGCAGTACGTCCAATGCGATGAACGTACGCCTTGATGCGGGTAGGTATCTCATAGTTTATGACGTGCTGTACTGCTGACCCGAGATCCATTCCACGAGCCATCACGTCTGAGCAGATCAATGCGGAGGTCTGCCCACTTTGAAAGGATGCAAGGAGCCGGCGCCTCGTTGCTGGTGGTAAGTCTGACGAGAAGGCCTCCGCGGCGAACACGCCGACTGTTGCCTTCCCGATGCCGTCTTTGCCGTCGTCGCTGCTGCTATCGCTGTCATCGCTGCTGCTCGAATCATCCCCGCTCTTCCTCCTCAAACGATCGTAGATCTGGAGCAAAGCGGCCAGCCGGTTCGCAGATTCCACAGAATTGGTGAAAACCAAAACTCCCGTCGCCTTCAAATTATACAGAATGTGTAACAGCATCAGAGGCTTGTCACCGGCGGACGGGCAAACCACAAGTCGTTCTTCCAGCCCTGTTGGTGCCACGTATCGTGCGTCGTCCGTGCGATCTTCATTTTCTGCTCCATCCGATGACGCGACAGCAATGTACGTGGGTTGGAAAAGCTGCAGCGACGCAATCTTTGCAGGATTCCTGGTCAGAGTGGCAGAGAAGAGTAGCTTTTGGAGCGGTGTGTAGTGGCGTATGATGTCGTCGTGTCTATTAGTTCGTGCTTCCGAGCCGGAGCTCAGATGAGGATGCCTATGCGTTTTGACGGTGTGGAGCGGACGTCCGTTCTCCCCTAATGTATATCCCAGCCTCTCAATCTTTTCGGTAGGGTCTGATATTGCGACACGACCGAGCTCATCTGCCTCCGTAGATGTCCGTCCTTTGGCCGCGTGAAGGACTTGGGTCAACCAGTCCTGATAACTTTGATTTAACAAGCGATCTGCCTCGTCGATAACCAGGAACCGTAGATGTTTCAACGTAAACCCCTCGGTCCCCTTGAGATGGTCGATCAAACGACCGGGGGTCGCAATCACGATATCAACTCTACTACTCCCCAGCGTTTCCGTCGCTACGTCCCACTCATCGGCTGCAACCAGTTGAGACTGCTCGGAAGCGAAAGACGTCTGTCCAGTAAGCAAAACAGCACGAACCTCCGTGCCCCGCAACAACCAATCAAATGTCATCTTGACTTGTGCTGCCAAATCGCGGGTTGGAAGTACGATCAACGCTCGCACGCGAGGGATCACCCGATCCACCAACGACTCTACGATCGGTAATGCGTACGCCAAAGTTTTCCCTGAACCGGTAGGTGCAGAGACGCAGAGGTCCCCGAGGGGTATAGATGCCGATGAGTACCGGGTTTTCAGTAATCGAGGAAGAACCGCCAGTTGAACCGGGAAAAGGTGTGTGATGTTTTGCGCTCGAAGACGAGCAATCACACGTGAGGAAAGGCCCCATGCCGCATTGGCAATATCGCTTTCGTCGTTTTCCGTGATTTGGTCGGAGATACTTAGCGGGTGAGCGATCCAGGAGGGAAGACCGGCTGTTTTCGCTGGCTTTTCTTTCGCATTGTGAGGCTTCTGCGATGATGGCCCCGCTTTCCGTTCGTGTGGCCCAGAAAGCACGGTATCGGGTATTTGCCCCATCTTGTCCGTGGTCGACTGCTCGGTAACGTCGGCAACGTCGGCAACCTCTACCGCTACTCCACTAGTCCCCGGTTCCAAGAGACCATGCGCCGCCTTCCATTTAAGATCTTTTTCACGTGCCTTCTTCCCACCCCTTTTCTTTTTCTTCACCGCCGTCGTTTCTTCCTGCTCTACTGCCTCAGGGTTTACTGTTTCTTCCCAATGTCGCTTGTGCCCTGCATTCCACGCCCCGTCGTCGTGGCCATCCTCGTAACCGTCGCCATCGTATGCGCCATAGTCTTCGGTATCTTCATGCCCTTGCCACGCTCTTCTACCTCCTGAACGGGCCCCGCCACCCCTTCTTCGTTCCATTGTTTGTATATTGGTTTGGTCTGGACGAAGGTAAAATTCTGGCACGCTTGCATGTGAAACCTCCCGCAGAGCCCGATTTAAGTCGACGCGAGCTTTCCACACAAGTCACGTGCCCGACATTGCAGCAGGTAAGTCTGGTAAGTCGCGCGTTTGGCGAGTGTGGGTTACTAATAGGGTTCTGGGCTACGCGGTGTGCTCACAATCACATCCGGTTTGAAGTTCGTTGCTTTTACACCACGCTGCAAAGTGTTGTAAAGTCTCCCAACAAAGACCTTCAGAGCACGTACAGTTTTAAGTTAGCGCAGAACTGGCACCTCTCTCCGTTTTGAGACTTTTCCTTGTTAGCAGCATACCACGCCTTTTCACTGGCTGCCACTCTGTCCTTGTTAGCAGCACGCCGCGCCTTCTCACGGGTTGTCACTTGGAAGCAGTACAAGTAGTTTCCCCTTCCAGTCTCCGTTAAAGAGAAGCAAGCACGGGGAAAGAGTCAGAGAGAGCTGTAGACGGCGGTGTGGTATGTGTAGTGCAGCAAGTCGTATCGGTACTGCCCTCGTTGTTTCGCGTTGAACAGCCCTTGATAACACCATTTCCAGATCATAGGCCCGATATCCTCCTACAAGTTTCCTGAGCATACGCCAACGCTTAAAATGCCGTCTGCAGACGCCGCAGCGCCCCCTGCGCTCTTGAAAGTGCCCCTGAAGACTGAATTCGCCGTCGACCTCCATTGCGGGAGCTGCGAGGAGACGGTCAAGAAAGCCGTATCCAACCTTCCCGGTGTGCAGTCTGTCAACACCTCTCTTGCTCGAAAGTCCGTCATCATCGAATCGGTCACGCCACCGTCGCTGCTTTTCAACGCTCTGCGGTCAACAGGTCTCGGCACCGTCCTCAAAGGGCAGACGAGTGCGACAGGAGCGCAACATATAGGTGCCGCCGTGTGCATATTTGAGTGCTTCACTGGTGCAAAAGGTTGGGCGCAACACAACAACAAAGGCCTTGCTCGGATGGTTCAGTTGGACAACGATACATGTCTTTTTGACGTGACGGTCGACGGAATGCCACCGGGAGAACACAGCGTTTCCATTCACGAGTGCGGTGACATCAGTGGTGGATGTGAATCGACTGGGAAAGCACTCAAACAGTTGGGGAGGGTGATAGTCGATGCTCAGGGCAGAGGTGATCTTGTGTTGGAAGAAAGGGATGTCAAAGTTTGGGATGTCATAGGTAGATCCATAGTCATAGACAAGTTGAACAGGGGTCGCGCAAGTGGAGAAGCTACGTGCGGGATCATTGCACGGTCAGCTGGCGTATTTGAGAACCCCAAAACTGTATGCTCGTGTGACGGCAAGACGCTCTGGGAAGAGGCCGGTGTCGCCAAGATGTAGTTGCTTATTCTGAGTTTGCTAGAATCTTCGAACTCTTATTACAAAAGCCTAATATGTACAGACCCAAAATATGGAAGTTCCATATGCTGAAATGCATTCCTATCCAAAAACGACTGGTTTTCAGTACGCAATGTTTCGGCACCGGCTTTCATGTCTTTGATGGTTTCCCAGTTGTTGCGCGACTGGCGTTCCCAGACCCACTCAATGCTCCACTGGAAGCTGCTCCAGAGGAAGCCGTTGTTGTAGGCCTTTGTCCGGTGGGCGGTGTAAAAGCTTGTGTCGGTTGCCCGAGCGCAAAGCGCCATTTCAGCAGTTCTTGCAAACCATCTTTCTCAGGGTATTCGAGATTGTTGATGAGTTCTGCAAGCTGCTTCATGATGTTCGGCGCGGAAGTATCACCAGTGAGACTGAACGAATGCGGTGGTGACGTCGGTTTTGAGGCCGTGACGGAGTCGGGTTTTGACGAAGGTGTTTTGAGGCCTTTGCCCGAGTCTTTGGCTGCAGGTCGGGGTTCGGTCTCGGTATTCTGGAAACATTCGGTGATTTCTGCCACACCCGATTCGCCGAGCATCTGTACCATCTTAATGGCAGAAGTGCGAACGTCCCCGTCTGGGTCACGCCAAAGATGCACAAGCACGCGGATGAAATCCAAGCGCAATGCACGATCTCCAGGTATGTACGGGAGCAGTTGAGCGGTGGCCGTGAGGAGATCAGCTTTCCTTCGATACAGCTCCGTCGTCCCATCAACCAGCCTGGGCAGGAAAGATGTGATCACTGTCTTGATCGCGTTTACATAGGTCGCCTTCGGCGGAGCGGGCGGCTCTAGCTGTATCATTGTCATACTGACGAGTGCTTCTACCGTCGCGATACGGATGCCTCGGTGCTCGTTTTCCAAGAGGTTCGACAGGAATTGGAACGCCGTAATAAGGCGCGCCTCAGATGACGCCATAGACAAGGCGTGGAACAGGCCATACCCTGAAATGCCATGGAGAGCAAGCAGTGTGAGTCGCCGGAGTTGCTCGCTTTTGGCGTCGACGGCGTCGTTTAGTTCGTTCTTCCGCCTCTCCAGCGCAGTGAACTTGTCTGTCTTCCCGGTTTTGACAATCTCCATAGTTGCTTCCTGCGTAGCAGCTTTGAATGATTCGAGAGCGTTGTATTGCTCGTCACTCACAATCGGGATGTCAATATACTCATTGAAGAAGAAGAAGCTGTTTTCGAGGTCGTTGTACAAATTCTCACGTATGGTGCTGGCCGTGTTGTTGCACGCCGCGACTAGCTCGCGCAGGCGATCCACCCATCCCGGTACCCGGTCGCCTATTCCATCATGCGCAAAGAGCAAATTGGACAAGACATCGATGTTGTGCACTTCAGCTTCGATATCCATTTCATCCTGGTCTTCCCCAGGCTTGTTTCCAAGGGACTCATCACTTTCGCTAAAACCGGGAGCGCCGCGATGTGCCGCGGCCTCACCTGTCGGCGGTGCGGTGGGGTCGCGGGGGAGAATGTCGTATTCGATCCGCTGGAGCGTGCTTTCCGCGAGGTCGGCTGCAACCTGCGGATGCTTTTTGATGCACTCGCGAAGAATGGCTATGGTATCAACATTCAAGAGCCATGTGTACTTTGCTACCGTCTCCGGTGATGGGCTTCTCCCAGCGGCTGACTTCTCTTGCACAACCTGCATGATGCTTTGCGGGAGAGGTAGCATGGAACGTGCGAACAAAGCTTCACTCATCCCATAAGTCTCTGTAAATTTCCGACGACGTTCTGAACGATACCACTGTATGTTGTATGGATCTTCGTCCGCGAGTGGTATATGCATGGCGCTTGGTTTGTCAACGATTCGCGCACTGATATCCATGCCAAGCTTTTCTAATGAGAGGAGCTTGCCGGTTTCGATTACATCCGACCGACGGGCAGATGGGTTTGCCTTGTATGAGCGCAGTGGTGCCAGCACAAAATCGAGCATTCCCTCTAGTGCGAGCACCTCTCTTGCTTTCACCCGAATGTCGCGGTTGGAGTCGGCGAGGTACAGGAACGCAAACCAGACCGCCTCTTCACTCGACATGTATTTTGCGAGGATCTTGATGGCATCCAATGTGCGCATACGGGCCGTTGGATCCTTTGATCGAATCTCCTTCTTCGCAGTATTGAGCAAGCTCCGAAACAGAGAGTGCTTCGGAGCACCATGGGCCAAGATTTTGCCCAATGTGCCGTATACTTTGCGTCTTGTTTCCACCTCGTTGGTGGTGTCCAAAAGAATCTGTATAGCGTCCAAAGTGCGTACCATCTCATCCTGACCCGCAAACAAAGCAAGCTCAACTGTCAAGTAGACCGCATACAGCCGTTTGCGCATAGGATGTCGCTGACTAGTAATGATGGGGATATACTTCCGTAGCAGCTCCGGCGCCCTCTGAGCGCACACGTCTTGTATCAGGTCTGTCATGTAAAACATGGCGATCAAGTCACCTTCGCTGACAACAGGCACGCTAGAGATCTTTGCGAGGATCTGCTTGAAAGCGGCAGGAGAGAATTCCGCCACATTCCGTAACCCAAGCATACACGCCTCAATGACTGCGGTGTTCTCTGAGGTGATGTCGCGGCTTAGCTGGTTTACGAACAGCTCGATGGTTTCATTGAGAGTGGACTCGTGAACGCAGCTGAATTCTGAGAGAACCAACAGGGTATGTGCCTGCATCCGCGGATGCTTTTGCAGCTGAGCAAGGTGATAGGTGACCTCGCCAATACTCCCGGCTGGAACAGGCCCAGCAATGCCCCTTGACAGCTCTTTGATTCGAGCCATCAGCTTGGGTGATATACAAGGGATGCGAAATCCGTCGTCCTCAATCGGGAGAGTCTCCACCTCCGATCCTGTCGTCAGCCCCTCTAGATCATTCAGGATGTCGTTGATGTTCTTTGAGCTAACAGTGTACGACGCGTTGTCGCTTAACAGTTCCTCCCACGAGACGACAGGCAGTACGAGACTATCGTCAGGATGCGGCGGGAGGAATTTACTCAATGCATCTAGCTTTGAGGGGATTCGCCGCAAATACTTTGAAAACGTTAGGCGTACCGCTTCACTGTAATCGGCATACATGGGCAAAAGAACCCATATCATGATAATACTATGTGATGCAGGCAGATTCGGTAGTTGAGCCAGAATTGAAGACAGCGCAGCGTTTCGGAACGAGATTTGGTTTGACCGAAGGTAGGGGATCAGTTCCTGATGGATTGTGACGGATACGGATGCATCGTTGATAGCACCCATGGCGACCAGTGATAATCGCACCACGCGGTCCATCTCCTCCCTCGTTGAGTTGGCCACCATGGGATCGCCGGCGACCTCCAACATATCCTTCTGGATAGTTGCCAGTTCATTCTTCAAGTTCTCCACAAAATCATGCGATTGGGCTTCAGGCGTACACCGAAACACAAGCGGGAAGATGCGAGAGGCGCTCTTGACGACATCCTGATCGTCGTCAACAATGAGAGCACGAGCTACGTCGCGGATTTCCTGCAATTTGTTTGCAACTCCATGTGGAAACACTAGCAGGAAGATTTCCAGCAGCTCGAGAGCTCCAATTTTGACTATGGCCGATGGTGAATTATACGCTATATCCAGTGTGGAGTCGCCGTACTGTATCAACATCGACGAAGAAACTCCAGGAATCTTCAGCCTCGTAACAATGCGGAGTATGTCCAGCGCTGATGTTTGGAAAGTCCACTGTTTGTGCGTCATGAACTGCTGCCCGACCAACTCCAGTAATCCCCTCAGCATGGCCGGGTGCAGAGCTTGTTCTCGGAAACAGCACCTCACGGCAGACACACATCCGGCTCTTCGTAGTTTCGGATCGGGCATTCCGCAGGTAGGTATGATACAAAGCATGAATCCGCAAATGTACCGTCGCTTGCCCGCCGGGGTGCTAGGCATGACATTGCGAGGCTCTCCTTCCGCGATAGACGGGGGTGGTACTGCAAGCTTGGTCAGCAGCAATGCAATCCAGAAGGGTCCGTGAATGAAGTTACGGCCGTAGTTGTAATCGTCTGGATCGACCATCTGGTTATCCACGACGTCGCCCAGAAAGAAATCCCAAAAATGGTCTACGTTGTGATCAGCGATTGTGGCGTCAATGAGGGCTTTGATTTCGATTCGATCCCGAGCCATGGCAAAAGCGAGACTGTCGAAGGCTTTGAGGAGGGATGGAAACGACTCATCTAAGGCGTCCTTTACCGCTCCGAGTGGAGTCACGATCGTACGAAAGTCGGTATCTGAAAGCCGGAACAGGTGCTCCAGAACTTTTTTCGCACTAAAGTGTTGACCAGATTAGGTTGGGAAATGTTTTCGAACTTGACTATTGATGCAGTGCTCACCATGTTCGATTGTGATCACCAATGCAAAGAATCAAAATCCCCACAGCAGAATTGAACAAACCACTCTTCTTCCAGAAGTTCGACAGACGTCCTATAACGTCGTACACAGTAAAACGCACGATATGTTCAGGATGGAAGATCAGCTCGAAGAGCGTGTTGAGGAACTAAAGCAGCCATAGACAGAGCAGATCAGCACTGCAGCCAAGAACGTGTTCTCCACATCTCGAGCGGGACAAGCAAGACACCATTTTGCATACCTCCTCCCGAGATTCTGTAGCCAGTTTCTCCAATGGAAATCCATCAATCAAACCGAGAACAGCCTCCAGTGTTGTCGCTTTAATATTGTGATCCATCAGCGCGTGAAAATATCCCCATGCAAAGGATATGTCTGCTGGCGAAGCAGTCTGAAAGCTGGGTATCAGCGACGAGATAACCCTGATTGCTGCCATTTGGATATCCTCATCGCTGCTGTTGCAGTATGGCACCAATGTTTGCATCAAAAAGGTGTCGAACTTTTCACTCTTCGTTCCCCATAGCCGTATAGCCTCCAACTGGCGCAATTGCATGTCCTTGCTCAGGTACTCTAATGCATTCGCCATCTTCTGCAAGTGCTTCGGTGACATTGGTGGACATGCGCGAATCGCGACATCTAGTACATCGCTCAGCTTGACCTCTGAGGGCGAAACACCGACTGACGGGTTGGAGTACATGGCGTCGTAATCAACGTTCTTATGTCGATCTTGGCCCCTCAAAGAGTCCAGTAAAGTCTTCAATATCGATTGGTCGTCCTGTGGGGCGGCTGCTCCCGGCTTCACGGCGATCGGCTTTGTTGGCGCGGGAGTCATTGTAGCAGAGTTAAGCATGGAGACGTAAAGGAATGCGCTGAGATAGTCCGTGTCAAGGGCACCGGTGATGATATATATGTACAGCTCACCGTTGTCGGCGATCAGGGATGGGTAAACCGCTAGAGCCGCATGAAGACATACACAAGCTCCATAGCGCACTAATGGAGGAGTTGCGCGGAAGTGATTGGCCAGACTTTTGATAAAGTCCGTCAATGCCGGAAAGCCGCCTGTAGGTACTTTCTTTGCGACTTTTTTCGTTGCCGATCCAGCTTCTGCCGGGATCAGACTCGTCATGTATGTCTCAAGCGCCCAGGAAAGAAGGTCATATGCATATTCATCATTTGGGTTGACCAGGTTGACAAAAACGCTGAACCCATTCTCTACACAGAGTTGCATTAATGAAAACGAGCGTTTGTCCGTCGGAAGGCATCTGGTGAGCATACCCATGTTTTCCTTCCCAGTCGTGAGCCCATGCTGTGGTACGGGAGCATGGGATGGCGTTGTCTGCTCGCTGAGTTTGTCAAAGATCTTCTGCAGAGTGCTTTTGATGCCTTCCCTCTCCATTACAGTCTATTCTTATGTAGATGGCTGCATCAGTGACTGGAGCGAGCCATTGAATCAAGATCTCATCTGGTAGTGCCCTTAAGACTCCATGAGACTGACCTTTTTGTCTAGCCGCAGCAATGATTCCACAATGCGATATGCCAAAGCTGGATCGGCGGGGACATACAGAGGCGCAAGGAGACCCAAAGCCTATGTATTGCATCAGTTTAAGATGAAGGTATCCTCACGCAAAGACGATGCAAATCTCAGCCAAGCATTATAGTGACCTTGATGATGACAATGCGATCCGGGAACACTTTGGAGATGAGCGGTATTGAATGCAATGAGAAAAAAAGGTTCCAGATGGCAGCCAACTGGTCTTCTTCAAGGAATATCTTCGCATTCTCATATACCAGCCTGGCCAGGGCAGAATTGCAGGTCCCTCTCACTGTCCAATCTGGGCACGTGTAAAAGCATTCAAGCCCTGCTACAAGCGCCACTGCCAGCGGCGATAGAGCTTGTCCGATGATATGGAATAGATCGTGGATTGGCGTAAATGATGCGTACGCCCCTTCGATGATCACAGCGGCGGTCCCTGATCCGGAGCTCGACCCGCCTGCGCTGCTGTCTCGCCCGCCGGGAGCTGGCGCAATGGATGTCGCTTGTAGGCCAGCTACTCCAGCGGTGACCCTATCCAGCTTCTTCTTCCACTCGACGGCGCCTTTCTTGTCGAAGACTCCCGCGAGCGCTATGAGCAGTCTTGCAGCCTCGACACGGACCGGTTCCAGGAAATGTCCCAGGACGCTAGTCAGTTGAACAGCGTAATGCACGGTGATGCCTTCGAGAACATCCTCCATCATCAGTGAGTTCTTTTCCATGCCATAGACTGGTGGTGCGGCCACTCCTCCCGCGGACCCACCACCGCCGACACCGCCATATCCAACGGCTCCCCCAGCAACCCCGATGATTCCTGTGCCGCTTTTTAGTCCTAATGCCGGAGCGGCGCCAATCGCAAATGTTTTGGACACGTCCGCGGCCTGAGATGCCGTTGTTCTGAAGAATTGTTTTACGTCGCCCAGCCACTTCGATACTGTGGGCCGGTCCGCTGGTGGAATGGTGAAGCTAATTTGGTGGCCCCGAAGGCCACCCAGATCTAGACCGACTCCTGGCACCCCAGCCATTGCTGCTTAGCAGACAATCCTGTCCGTCTTGGCGTAGGGAAAAGGGTGGCACAGATGCTTCACTGGTGCAATGCAGTTTCAAGCGTTGCCTCAAGCTTTCCCGCAATAACTCGGAGATCCGTCCGAAAACGCGTCCCTGACGCGTCGACAGCGGACTCGCTCAGGCCGTCGGACACGGAGTACTGCATGTGCAGGTTTGTGAACTGTGCATAGCGGCACCTCCGCCCACTGGTATGGTCTTTTACATGTCGATGCTGTTTACAAGTGATGGATTAAATACAAATGCTTAATGATACTATGTGACAGTGTGTAACGGGTACAGTAGGGGTGGGAGCAAAACCAGAGGGCCTCAGCGCACCCATGCATTACTCCAAATCCTTCACGGCGACTCTAGGCACCACGTTCATACTCATAAGCTCCTGGAACAGCAGCTTGCAAGCATACGGAATCTTCACCTTCACGACACCCTTCCGGCTCTTGCAGTAGTTGCAATATCCGTGCCATCCTCCCACGATACCGCACTCCCCACACATCTCGCAATCGTACGCATCTGAAGAGTACAGCAGACGCTCAATCAGGAGCGCTGCCGTGCCGTGCCCAATCAAACAATCACGTTCCATCTCCCCTACACGCAATCCACCGTCTCGAGAACGACCTTCCGTAGGTTGGCGAGTCAAGGTGGCACGGGGACCTCGTGATCGAGCGTGCATCTTGTCCATAACCATGTGTTTCAGCTTCTGGTAGTATACCGGACCGAAGAAGATATACGCTTGTAGTGGCTCGCCGGTGATGCCAGAAGTCACGTAATCTTTCCCAGAGTAGCTGAATCCGTTGTCTACCAGAATCCGAGACATATCTTCGACTTTACTTCCACCGAATGCCTGCAACAAAGGATATTAGGTCGTGTCTCCATGCATCAATCAATCCCACTCTTGTACTCACCGTTCCGTATTGCAGCTGACCCGCTAGCACGCCAGCCTTGCCGGACAGCAACTCAATCATTTTCCCCACTGTCATTCGACTGGGGAATCCGTGAGGGTTCATGATAATGTCGGGACAAACTCCCGTATCAGCAAAAGGCATGTCCTCCTGCTGTACGATGATACCGCAGACACCTTTCTGTCCGTGCCTGGACGAAAACTTGTCACCAAGCTCTGGTCGCCGAGTTTGTCGGATAAGCGCTTTGACAAGCGTTTGATCTTCTTCGTTGGTCGTCAACAACACTTGATCGATAACGGCGTCGCCCGGATACTTGAAAACGCTGGGTGCCGATTTATACGTGACTTCCAGACTTTCGTTGTTATTCCGAATCTCAGCGCCCCCTGCATCCGACACCGGAGCCACCCGAGGGGCCGTTTCGGTCGGGCTTTGCTTGTTGATGACGATTTGGTTGGTGTAGATGCGTTCTCCTACTCCTGCGATACCGTCATCGTCCAAAATCTCGAACTTCTCGATGACTTCGCCTTGAGCGTCGTACATCCGATCGGCCAACCGATCATACGTGGAGTTCGGATAGGATTTGATCATTGTCGAGAACTTGCGCATCACCTGACACCTTCCGAATCCTCTGTCGACGGACGCCTGAAGATGTGAAAGTCAGTTTTGAAGTCATCACGCGAGAAGCAGTGGAACCCCTCTGACTAACCTTGTTCAAGACAAGGGCGTCCTCAATATCATATCCACTATAACTCATGACAGCGACTGTGGCGTTCTGCCCTGCGGGTAGCTTATCGTACCCAATCAACTCGATTGTGCGGGAGCGCACCATTGGTTGTTGCGGGTATACCATGAGATACAACAACGTATCAATGCGCGTCAGTTGATTATAAGCGATCGCGCCGATCGCTTGTTTACCCATAGCACACTGAGAAAGACATGGATTAGGCTCGTTCGCGTCGCAAAGACGTAGCTACAGTGCTTACCTGATACGTATTACGCGGCGATTGGTTGTGATGCGGGTAAGGAATCAAGCCCGCGACAGCACCAAGTACCGTGAACGGCGCGATCTCCAAGTGTGTGGTATTTGGGAGATCACTTGGCATACCGCTAGTGATGGTTTTGCCCATCGTCGAGCCATTGTACACAACGTCCGGATCGTACATAGCAATGTCTGTATCGGTCTCCTCATTCACGTCCAGATACTCTATCTTGCCTTCTTGAATGAGATCCTCGAAGCTTTTCACGCCGTGAATGACATCCTTCACGTCAGCATCTGTGACCTTGGCTATCCCCTTTTCAACGATGATCAACGGCCGGCAAACACGCCCTCCATCACTACTGATATTGACTGTACGCTGACTTGTAGTCCGATAAACCGAAACGAATGGGCCTACTCTTCCGGCTCGCCGTAATCTGCGGAAATCATTGACGAACTTCTCCGCATTCCGATGGACGCCGAGGATGACACCGTTCAAGAATACCAGATACGTGTCGCCCTCGTACAGGTCCCCTCCGGTCAATACGTTGACGTCTTCGACTCCCAAAATGAATGCCAGCCGCCTCACAGATGTGTCATCGGAGTCCGTTGTGATGTGGGTCATGAGAGCCAAGTTTTTGATAAGACCACACGCTTCTCCTTCTGGTGTGTCTGACGGACAGATTACACCGAATTGCGACGTCTACAGAGATACTTTACTGTAAGATGCCGTTCACTAGCGCAATGTTCGACATTCTTCCTCACCTGTAAAGCACGGGGTCCACTGACTTTCCTTGTTTTTTCAAACTGACTGCTGATCCTCGTCATCATTCCAAGCGCAGAAACATAACTCAGCCGGGACAACACTTGCGTAACGCCGGCACGCTCCATCTTGAAACGTTTGACGTTCCAATTGCCGGAGGAGATGGAACGGAACAACCCATCGGTGATGAACCTCGATGTCTGAGCGACGGCAGTTGCCGCATCGTATTGTGACGTCCTGTTGGATCGCTTCAACTGAGTGTCGATGGCACGTTTTATGTTCGCTTGCCAGGACTTGAACAGATCCTCGAAGAGCAAGGAAAGAAGTTGCCCAGCCAATTCTAGCCTCTTGTTACCAACGAAATCCCTATCATCGACCACACCTCCACCCTTAACAGCCTGCAGCGTCCTTCGCACCATGAGCGCGACATAGACAGCCTTGGGTCTATAGTTCCAATGGCCATTCAGATCTTCCACAGGAACGTGGGCGAGCACGGTCGTGGCCAGCAGGTCGCGCGCTTCTTCCACATAGTCCTTCTTCATCCCAATTCGACTCCGCATCGCCGTAACTTTGACTTTCCTTCCCAGCCAGTCTAATGCTTGTCGTTGCGTGAACACAGGTGGATCAAGCATTGTTGATTCCTCGAGCGAAGGCGAGAAGAGATCCAAGAACTTCTCTTCGTTTCCGCAGATGAGCTCGGCGATCTCGCGGTCAGACTCGATACCCATTGCCTTCATCACGACCACTACTGGAACCTCGGCCGTGAAACTGTTGTGCTTCATTGTGACGCGGCCGTTCTTCCCATAGCAGATGTTCGTTTTACTCTTCTTCTCGTGCGTCGAACTCGTGACGCTCGCGTTGATCAGACCTAGCCTATCCGTCTCGACGATGATTCGGTTTTTCGAAAGTTGCTCCTGGATCAAAATGACCTTCTCCGTCCCTCTGATGATGAAGTAGCCTCCTGGATCGAGTGGGCATTCTCCCACTTTGACCATCTCCTCAGGGGACTTCCCTGTGAGATGGCAACGGGCACTTCGCAGCATGATGGGCATTCGTCCGACTTCAATGCCCTTCTTCTTCACCAGCTGCTTGCCACGAACATATTCGATATCGACTGTGATAGTGCCAGCATACGTCACATCGCGCAACCGGCATTCGTGTGGTGCCAACTCATACGCTACACCTTTCCGTGCATCATAAGCTTGTGGCTTTTTGACTTTGATATCCTGGAACCTATACGTTAACAGTCAGAGTGCGTCTCTGAGCCCATTAATGCGTCAGGAAGACAAACTTTAGCCAAAATCCGGGGTCCACGTCGCTGTCCACCTTTGCATTCGCCAGCAAGATTTGCTTCATTTCCGTCTCGATGAAATAGTTGAAAGAGTCGACATGCTGTTTGATCAGTCCTTTGGTTTGTAGGAACGCGGGGACGAGTCGCCATTTGTCCTGCACCCCAGAAACGGTTAGAATGGACTCCACAAGAGGTGAGAGTTGCGTATTCATACCTCAGCAGCGCTGATAGGGTCGGTAAGCTTCTTGCCGGCATATCGCAAGTCGTCTCTAGCCATGGTGTCCATTTCAAAAATGGAACTCCCCTTCCCCCTGCCCGGAGGCTGGTCCACAGAGCTTTTCTTCGGCGGCATGGCGGTAGCTAGGTACCCTCTGGGTCAAGAAGTTGATCGCCGAGCCACCGTCGTTCTCTGGAGCAAATTCCACAAAGAACTTGGTCCCAGTCAGGTCCCAGTGGCAAAGTGGAGGCGAGTTGCAAGGCAGCTTTTTGATTTCCAAATGCTGGGCGACAATTCGCGTCGCGCGCGGGTTGTGCATTCGGACTCGCACCTCAGTCGCACCTTCCTGTTTTTTTTGAAGTCCATTTGGCGACGACAATTAACTCAGACGTGCGTGAGAACTTTGTCGCCCACTTTGACAATATTCACCGGAACTGCTGAAACTAGGGCCCGAGGGAATCTTCCATACCCAACGATGGCGAGGACGAAACGATGCGCGCAAAGAGGCGGATCACGAGGCGGCCGGGGGGGCTTCCAGGGTACAAGCGAAACGACACCGGCGGAACTAAATTTGAAGTTGGAGCAGCTCTCTGGCGACGACATCAATGCGCCTGGTCAGCGGAAGCAGAAGTTGACGCTGAAGCAACGACAGATACTGCAGCGCAAGGAGAAGGAAGAGGCGGCGGCGAGGAGAGCGGCGGGTGGTGGTGGGGTTGGGGACCAGAAGACTGAGCCGCTGAGTAGGGTAAAGGTGGAGGATGTGCAAACTGTGCCGCTGGATGAAGTAAAGATGGACTACGTACAAGCTGAGACGCTAGATGAAGTAAAGGTGGGGGATGCGCAAGCTGGGACGCTGGATGAAGTAAAGATGGACTACGTACAAGCTGAGACGCTAGATGAAGTAAAGGTGGAGGATGCGCAAGCTGGGACACTGGGTGGAGTAAAGGCGGGGGATATGCCGCCAGCAAATCGTAAGCGCCCCCTTGAGGACCCTGCGGATGGCAAAGTCGGTCCTTCGAACACAGCGGGTATACGAGACACGACCGCTTCCTCAACGAGCCCCAGCAAAAAGCAAAAATTAGGAACGAAAGCAAAGCAGGTAGACACGGCGGCAGTAGCGGCATCGGCAATCATGGAAGCATCGGCATCAGACGCATCTGAACCTCGCCGACATAAACGCCTTGCACAGCATCCGGCAACCCGAGCCAACGATATCTATGTCTCGCGAAAATCCAACTTCAAAGCACTGATCATATATGCGCAGAAGCTGATAGACGGAAACAGGTTTGTGTTGTGTTGTGTCCATGTCTTTGTCAATGACTCTGAAGAGTGTATCTTCCGCACTCTAGTTTCACTACGTTGACTATACATGGCCTGGGAGCTGCTCTGCAATCCGCTATGAGACTTGCTTTATGCTTGAAGGAACACAACAAGGGCAAGATAAGTTGGGTGATCACTACATCAACGGTGCAACTAGTCGATGACGTTGAGGAGGAGGATGTGGTAAGCTGAGTCACATGTTCATTGAGAAAGACTGCATGCTGACTGTGGTCTGCTTGCAGGACGAGGAACTGAAAACAGAAAAGCGATCGAACTCGGCGATCCATATCGAACTCCATAAAGTCACTGAAGCCTCATCGGCCATAAGTCCGGATAGCTTACCTGTGACGCAGTGACCATAGGGAGTTCTACAACGTACATACGAAATTTCTCAAGATAAACGCGTTGTTCGGACAATTTCCCACATATCCCGAGCGCCCAATGGTCTATTTCCAACCTCCCACAGTTGTATCCACATGTATCTCACACACGTCTCTCAGATTCAGCGTGCGCCCCGAAATGCGGTCACGCAGCTGTATATGGTCAATGTAGTGAAACATACCCTTCATGCCGACGAAATGCAGGTTGAGGGTCTCGCAGGCGCCGGGGCGGAGAGGTCTACAGTATACAACAGTATGTGGGCAGGAATGAGTAGGAAGAATAAAGGGCGAAGCGAACGTGGCGAAACACAGCGGGATGATGTCCAACGTACCCGAGTTCCACGAAGTTCTCTAGGCACACGATGGCGACTTCACGGCTTTCCAGCGCTTGGTAGTTGCGAAGTAGGTCTAAGCAGGGCAGGGAGCGAATGGCATGGACGTTGGTACACACCGATACAAAGGCATATCTTCCGACGAAGTAACAGGCCGACCTACCTTTATCACTCATCCTTAAATCGAACTGCAGGCCAACCTTTGATCTGGAAAGCAAACACTGAGCGTCACAGCCAGCGTATCATACACGCATTCATCCGAGCTGCGGCCAACTCGCACCAAGAGTATTCCCGTACGCGTAACCTACCTTGGCGGCGCATCATCCACAGACTTGGAGGGAACAGACTTGGAGGGAGCCGCTTGTGGTTTCATGGGAATGATAATGGTGAGGTCCCATATATCCTTCGAGCAGTTCATCAGGAACAGCTGGACCGTGAACATCTTGTGAAGCTGGACCTGGCCGAGAACTGCATGGTGGAATGCTGTTCAGACACCTGCGCGAGTCCCCAAGTTGCCTGGTTTCTCGCAGCGGCGAAACGAAGCTCACCGGTAAGGGACAACTGCAGTCCATCGAACTCAACATCCTCTGCGTGGCTCGGCATTTCCGGGAAATCGTGCTTCTGGACATAAGTTGGTACTATGTTCAACATGGTCTTGCCGGGCATGTTATCGAATGTCAGAGGCGCAAACCAATGTGAGGATATGCTTTGGCCCCGCAGCCCGGGGATTGTCGGGGAACCGGTGATCGTGATGGTTAGATTGCGCTTCAATGGGGCGGCGCCGCCATCGCCGTTGGATGCCAAGGAGGCTAAGGATGCAACCCGGGATGTTGCTGGACTCGTGCTTAAGCTCGGAATCTCCATTGAGCCGTTGATCCCATACTTTTGCGTCAGGAGTGACACCTGATAGAGCACATGCAGCTCTTCGTCGTGGCTTAACTGTGCCGGCGAGGGAACAACCTCGTCAGTCAATCTGCTGGTCTCTCCATAGAGCGATTGCGAAGACCGACGCGGACCTTACCAACTTCTCTCTCGCCGTTAATGCCCCTATTTGCGTCATAGCAGCGCTAGTCAAATCCGTCGACACGTCCTCGACTGTGTATATTAGCCCGTCGCCCAGCCTGTTCGCCAACGCAAAGGAGAGCAATGCAGCGTTGTTTCCAGAGTTGACGATGTTCAATCGCATGTCCAAGATTGGAGAAAGCTTCATTGAAGCCTTTACCGTCCGTGGCACGGAAAGAAGGAGGCCCATGGTGGGCTTGCGCAGATGGTGAGGAAGGCGATGTGTTGGCAACCTGTCCGGATTGAAACTTGGATCTATGAAAATGTGGGACGATGAGTATATGTATTATGCGCGTAAATCCGGTAATGTGGGTTCTTGCCCGTGAGACTACTCACCGTTGGCTAGGCCCGCGAGCAGGTTCGGGGTATCAAAGTCGTCGGCGTCACAGAGATCCGCTTCTCCGTTCCCTGAAACATCATCCGTAGATCTGGAGTTGAGAGTGATACTGACGTTAAGCTGCCATGGATGTTGCGCAGTTTGATTTCCCTTTGGCTTCCCGCATACTTGTGAAGCGAGGACGGGAATCTGGTGAGTGCGACATCCGCACGGATGAAAATGAGAGAAAACAAGGGGCGTTCAGACATGAAGCGCACCATACCTATTGGGATGTTGAACGGGAAAAGACAGCAGCTCTGCTCGGCAACCAGGATCGGTTCACCAGAGACGCTTATCGGACTATATTGTTGTGTATGGCACACTTCTTCCTTGGTCCCTCTCCATTTCGGCTTTGGAGGCGGCGTTGGCGTTTTGAGAGCACTTTCGGATGACACGGCGGCTGCGCTTGCAGCGGGACTTGGCGGTCCCAGCGCCGGCTTCAATGATGTGGTACGCTTATTGAGAACTGGGCTAGCCAGGTATCCCGCCTGCGACATGGGCGGGCGTGTGGGCTTCCTCGCCACAGGCACGTTTGTCGTCGCGGCGCGGTGTCGTGCGCCCTGACCAAGACCCAGGTGGTGGGCCGCTGGAGGGGGTGCCACTGTCACAGAGTTCGGTTTCAGTGTGGAGCTTCCCGGGGCCGAGTTGCTCAGTGTAGCGGATAGCTGGGCATCGAGGCCCTTAGCCGCTATCTCTGCTAACATTGCCGGAGTGACACGAGTCGCACTCGGCGCCTGGGACGGCCGGAACATGAGATAACAATGCAGTCGCTCATCTGTTCGAGCGGTTGTGTGAGCGGTTGTGTGAGAGTTTGCTATGCTGGATGCGGGCCTCAACCCTCCTTTGGTATACGCACTCACCATAGTAGGCTGTTTTGCGCGCGGGCGCCCCCAGGATGCTTCCTGCATCTTGAGCATCTGTGGCAGGGAAGAGAAGCTCGAGCTGGGCGTCGGCGACAATCGACTCGACTAGAGACAAGTGCATGGTGATCGCAGCCGTTCACCAGCTACCTACAGGCCTGACTTCGGATACCAATGGACCTGTGCAGCAGCAAAATTGCAGTCAGAGGACGCAAGACGCAATGGTCAATGGGGCTGGGTGAATACAGTACAGTATGCCCAGCTATGCCTAACTGCTGGGCCTCACCCCTCACAGGCCGCTTTGCGTACCGTGACACACGCGCCCTGATCCTCCTGATCCCCGCCTCTCCTTCCTGGCGCTCTCGTGGCCTTCTTGGCCTTGGCTTTCGAAAGGTTTGACCTTGAGGCTCCTGTAACTCCATGCCCAAGGTTTTTCTCCATCTACTTCCACTCCGGAGACGCCGTCTGCACGTACTTCAGTTCACTGCTCTCCGAAACTCACTCGGCATCATGACCGGCGTACCCGATCACCCTCGCATCCTGTATATCCACGGGCGCGTCTCCTCCAAGACCACCCCAAAACTCCAACACCTATCCACCCGATACCACACGCACTGTGTTGAATACACGCCGGAGCAGGCGCAAGACTACGGTTGGGTTGTCAGGCAGCAAGCGCAAGCCATTCGAGACTTCCAGCCCGACGTTGTCGTGGGGAGCAGCTATGGAGGAAGTGTCGCCATCACGCTCTGTCAACGCGGGTACGACGCGTTGACTGCTAAGAGCGGCGATGACGGCGGGAAGAGAGCGGCGCGGGTCCTTGTCGCAGGCAGGAGGAACAGCGTGTTGGAGTCGGACAAGAATGCTGAGTTGGTCGGATGGGTTGGGCCTACCATCTTGCTGGCCCAGGCCCATGTCAGGAAGTTCGGGGCCCTGGACGATGCACATCGCGAGGCTAACGTCTGGTGGCCTGCGGAGGTGCCCGCCGACATGTTCCACGGCACAAAAGACGACGTGATTCCCGTGGAAGACACGAAGCTGCTTGCACACTCGCTGAAAAGCAAAATCAAATTGAGGATCAAGAGCCCCGTCATGGGCTTTATCGAGTTCAAGGAGCTGCCAGGTGAAGAACATCGGCTCGAGAGTCTGGCCAGCGGAGATCAGCTCTTCCAAGCGGTGGCTAGAGTCACAGAGAGATGGGAACATGGACGGTCCTTGATTCCGGAACCGGTGAGCCCATGAGGATTCCCGGAGGTGATGGCCACTCTGAACCACCCCATTGATGCGGCCCACTCTGATGCAGCGAACTCCATAACTCGACATGGTGGTAATGGACGAGTGTAATGAAATAGTATCAATATTAGCCAGTGGTGACGCATGTCGCACTGTCACGACAGGTGTTCGTAATCTGGGGGTATCTAGCTAGTTACAAACTTTCGACAGGAGAAGAATAAGGGTGTATGCTACATGTACTACATATACAGGCTAGGAAGAAAGGAAGGTGCGCCGCGGATGTACGGAGCAGTATCCTTCAAAGGGAGAGAGCGGTCGGGGTTGCGGCAGGCGCGGGCTGCGAGTCGTTGTTTTTCTTATCGAAGACACCGAAATGGGCAAGAAGGCCTAGAACGACCGCGATGAGGATGATGAGGAGCACGCAGGCTAAGATGCGTTTCAGCTTCCTGGCGCTTTTGGCGCTTCTGACTGCTTTAGTCAGCTCCCTTCCTCCGCCTTCCACGTTCGTATGGGTGGTCTCGACGTGTTGCTCGATGGTCACAATTTGCTCTTGTTGAGCCTATCGCGTAACTAGTTAGCATCCAAACAGTAGCAGCTTTCCGGCGTAAACCAAACTGATCACATACATCCAACAGGGCTTGCATGTCTTGGAATAATGTAAACAGCTCAGTTATACTCCTCTCTATCTTGGCGAGTTCCTCATGGCGGTTCTGAACTGCTTCCAATGCCTGTCTTTGGGCACCGATACGCGACGACAGCAGTTCTTGCTGAAAGATCGGTCCCCCATCACCGTTCAATGCATCGTCGATCTGATCCTGTGTGGCATTGGGCTTAGCGATCTTGTATTGCCTTGCCATTTGGCCTTTGTACGCGGTTTTGGCTTCTTGTTGAACATTCTGGAAGTCGCGAGCGATGGTCATGAGCTTGTTGGCCAATGCTTTTTGTTGCCTGGCTTGGATCTGCGCGTCGGCTTGAGACGACGCCGGGATGGCCGATAGTTGCTTGATCCTCGTGCGGGTCTCTTGAATCAGATCGGTTGTGGTCCCCGTAAGCCCATCTACTTGCTGCACTAGTCCTTCGGAATCGAAATGGTATTTGCGTCAATCACTGCAGTCCCCATGTTCATAGCGGCGGGATGTATTACCTGATTGCTGACTCGTGCTGGTCTCCAGGAGGGTGCGCTGATGCACGCTACGGATGTCGCGGGCGTTTTGCGCTATCGTCGTTATGGCGGTTGTGATGCTCTCCGCCTGATAACGCAAAAGTGTTGGGCAAGGGCAACCTGAGAGTTGTGGGAATAGTGTTGGCGTTCTTACCTCTTGAAGGAAGCGGTCCAGGTTTGACGTCGTAAGGGTGTTCACCGACCCCAGTTCAACATCCTCTTCGTTGTCCACCTTGTATGTGACAACCGTTGAGCTCAACTCTCTATCTCTCCCCCTCAAGAAAGACCAACACGCACCTGGACGGTCGCCCACCGATCTCTTGCCATGATGTTGCAAGTCTACGATCGCGTCAGAAAGAAGGTGGAGGTTCGCAAGACAATATTGTTCGTTGACGGTGTATGCACAGGTGTATCCGTTTCAGAGGCGACTTGCTATATACTATTCCGACGAATATATATGGGAAGCACTGCAGACTGCGATGGGAATTCTGGACGAGAAGGCTGAGCATGGAGCCAAGAACGAGCCGTAACGCCTCGTAACGCGTTCTCGTTGCGCCGCAGGAGGCTCAACAACTTTCGTTCACAACTTTCTCGCGACAACGATCTGCGAGCATACACCACAACCTGAGTCTGAGCCGCAAAGTTCCTTGCGAAACCGCTCTCCGTGTGAAAGCTTGCAACCGTCGACATCACAATAGCGGCGATGGCAGAAGTCGGTGGGGATGCTCGGAGCAGAATACTGGCGGAGTTCACCAAGGCAGGTCGGCCGCTCTCGGCCAAAGAAGTGCACGAAGTGGGTGGGGCGACTGAGGAACAAGCTGCCCTGGAATCACTACTAGCGCAGGGAGAGATGTAATTGTCGTTCTTGTTATCTTGCTTGCACGTTAATAGCAACACTAACTCCCTGTATACAGAAAGCAAAGAATAATCCCAGTAGGACTCCAGAACCTGGTGGTGTACTGGCACAAGAGGTAGGATTCTTCTCCAATTCTCAGGAATCTCAAACCATATGTAATCACATCACGTGGGAATTGCGAAGCCTGTGTCCGGTAGTCTCCCCAGCTGCTTCTGCAAAGGTAAGGTTTGGTGACTTTGAGGCCTAGGAACAGATCAGGTGAACGACTAGCCTTCACTTTAGGCCGCTTTGGAAGCTGAGGTAGCTGTTCTTCGTCGGAAGATGGAGGAGTTGGAGGAGGACACCCGTGCTGCTGAGAGAAGTCTGGGGTAAGAACGCTTCGTTTCATATTGGCGTATGTTCGTCCCGTTTGATCCATTGCGCAGGGCTGATGTCAACATCGAGCAAGAGATCAACAATCACATCAAGCGCTTACATGCTTATAATGAGGTCAAGGACGTTGGGTGGGTTCTTTCCGGCACTTGATTACTCAAGATCTTGGTGCTGGGCCAATCGACCTCTAAAGATTCTGCTCTGCGGTTCAGACAACTACTCATGGGCAAGCTAGCTGAGAAAGAGGGAACAACCACTCGGAGTATGTACGGCAAGTTTGGTTTAGATGTTGAAGATTAGAGTCGCATAGGGTCGGAGTTTTTTCTGTCAGTATGTAATGTGGAATCGAAAGTTTTGGATGTATGTAGTATCCCCTGGGGCCATGTGTCTCGGCAGCCATCGGGAAGGCCCATGTCTTCCTCTCCTCTCTCCTCTTGAAGCACATCGAGTCGTACTGTACATACGCATGTCCGGCGATGGACGACTACGTAAATAGTTGCAATTGAGCACACACCGCGAATGGAAACAGGAGAACACGGACAAGGGGACTCGGGTTGTATCTTGACTCTCTACAGTAGTCTCCCTCCAAATTTACTCGACCACCCCACGAGACCCGTCTCAGATTGGAGTCCCTGGAACTTCTAGAGTCCCCAACTCAAGATCAACGACGCAACCAACTCACGAGAACACCACCATGGCTGCTACAGATAACTACGAGATGGCGGTCGACCTGGACGCCGGGGTCGACGAAATGCAGGTCGACGAAGGTATGTTTATGTGCACGCTTGTTGGTTTGAGGGTCAGATCAGTTGAACGGTTTATGCTGACTCGAATGCTTATGGTCCCATCAGCCCCTACGGACACCATCGACTCTCTGAAGAACAGTGCGACAAAGAAGAAGGGACGTGGATTCCAGGAAAGACGAGAAGGTCAGACTTGATCCTCGGACTTGCAAACGTGGACACCCCATTGTCTGGAAGTGAACAATGGTCGCTGAATAGTCTTTCCGCTCGTAGACAGGGACAGCAGCATATCCGCTGGGCCGTTCGAGTCGCTAGATAACGCAGTGGGTGCAGGACAGGCACAAAGATGTACGTTTGCTTCCGCTTTTTTGTGCGATCTCGAGGCCGGGTTTTCATAACCACGACCAACAGCTGTAGAAGGATGGATCATCCTGATAACTGGAGTCCACGAGGAGGCGAATGAGGAAGATGTGACTGAACGATGCGCCGAATATGGGGAAATCAAGAACCTGCACTTGAATTTGGACCGTCGGACAGGTTTCGTGAAGGTTTGTGTTTACATCCGATGCATCACTGCAACAGTGACTCGTCGCTGTTTAATAAGTACACCTGACGAACCTCTGGCTTTCAGGGATATGCCCTCGTCGAATACGAGACACACAAAGAAGCGCTTGCCGCGGTGGATGGTTTAGATGGAAGCTCGCTTATGGACCAACCGATACATGCAAACTTTGCATTCGTCCGCGGACCAACGGCTAGCAAAAGCGTTCAGGAGAGGAGGGCCAATCGAGGCAGGGGGGTCCCACGGGAAGACCGTCGTGGCAGATGAGCGATATTGTTTTGAGGCGAGAATAGGGAGGGAGCTGGAGTCGGGGGCCGTGCTGAACACGTCGGAACATAAGGCAGTGAGCAGTCCGGGGCAATCTAGCATATGAACTCGATGGGTGAGGTTCGCTGTGCGATAAGCAGCTTTTCCGAGCGGCATTTACTTTATTGTATATTTAGGATACATATGGAAGCCCACTGGAGTAGCAACGTACGCAAGTGTACTTGAATGTCATGCTCGAAACGAGTTCTTCGTTATTATTGTCTTTGCGGATTTGTCACTTCTCGCCAATCAAGCCTCAAATCGCCATGGCAGCTTTTTCACTTGCTAAAGCCAACCTGTAGATTTATAAGGCTTCAGTCCTCAGGCGTTGCTTCACCCTTGCAGACTGGTGGATGAAACTCACCGACGGATGTTCCCGATGGTGCCAGCAGCCGCTTCTTGCAGGTTTTGGTCCGGAGACCCCACCATTCCAAGCAACAGTTGTACCACACCGTTCTCGTGCATCGTAATGCAATTATCAGCTGCAATGAAATGGCCGAAATTAGAACTCTCAGATCCCAGTTGCACACAACAAGAATGTCACGTACGATCCATAGACAACTGATGCAACGCCCTCGCCGTCGATCGATGCACCTCCTCATCCGGCGATCGCAGATACTTGACCAAAGGCGCGACTGCACTAGCTGTCCCGAACGCCACTCGGTTGTTGCCCCAATGGCAACACCTAGCGATGGCTTCCGCGAGATGACGACGAAGGCGATCGTTGCGGGTGTTGGTGAGCTTGCCGAGCATTGGCACGACGCCGTGGTCAGTTATCACGGCTAAGTTCTCCTCTATTAACCAGCCATAAGTAAGACATAAGCCAGGGAAGATGCATGCCTTTGATAAGAGATATGTCGTACCATCCTTCGCGATGTTGGCGATGGCCGCGCAAACAGAGGCGAGCACGTCCACATCGTCGGATTTCAGCAAAGACACAATGAGCTCCAATCCACCGACGAACGAGCGGACCATCTCTCCTGCATCCTTGGCTGTTGCAGAAACACGCATGTCAGGATCTGGGCTCCCCAGCCTTGCGAAGACTTTGGGAGCTGAAGATGCGTACCATGTTCGATGCAGGGCGAAATGGCCCAAGCGGCGGAAGCTTGAACCAAAGGATTGGTCGATTTCAATAACGACCAAAGCAGACGGACTCCGTCCAACCGATCGATGATGGCCATGCAATCCGCTGGAGAAGAGGACAGAGGGTCAGAACCTGATCGAGAAGACGTCCATAACGCAAAAATTACGCCTTACTGTCCAAAGCACATGCTCCAACTGCGGTCGTGACGTTGACCAAGAGTGCTTGATTTGTTCCGGTTAGGAGGTTGACTAAAGGGGTGATGCCATTGCTCTCTTTGATGGCCTGCCTTCCTTCAACTGTACAAGGTATATGAGCACTGGAACGGAATAATCGGCGGGGAGCCTTCGATAGAAAGGTTGTACTCACCGGTTTGTGCGCAAGCTCCGAGCGCTCCGACGACGTTAACCAGCACATCTTCGGGCTGATTCTCCATAAGACTCACCAATTTCTTGATGGTATTAAGCTTATTGAATGCCGCTACGTTGTCCAGATTCTGGGCGCATTTCCACACGGCTCCGGTCGCAGCCGCTAACAGCTCCTTATTCGTCGTGTTGTCCAGCAGGTTCACCAGAGAGCTCAGCCCATTGTACTGCCGAACCAACGTCCGCGTCTCGTCTTCTTCGGCGCATTTAAAGATCGCACTGGCGCAATACGTCTGCAGCGCTTCGTTCTTGCTCGCCAGGTTCTCGACGAGGAACTTGATCATGCCCGACCCGCGGATGGCGGCGCGGTAGTGGGCGTCGGAGGCGCACTCTTGGAGGATCCCGACCACCGGGATGAGGAGTCGCTCGTTCTGGGATTCGAGCAGATTGGCGAGGAGAGGGATGGAGCCGGCTTCCTGGATTGCTTCTTTGTTCCGGGCGCTTTTACTTAGCGCTGCCAGAGCTAGCGCCCCTGCCATAGCGACTTGTTCGTCTTCGCTGCCGGGTTTGGCTTTGAGTAGGCGGACAAGCTTGCGGATTCCACCGAATTTTCGGACGGCTCGTCGGTTGCGCGCTGGAGTTGTTACAATGTTCAAGCAGGTAAGGTTACTTCCGCCTCATCAGGAATGCCAATGTGCAATGCTTTTCCTCACCATTCTTCGCGCAATGTGCGATAGTCTCCGCTGCGAGGCATTTGGCCTCTCGGTCGTGATCGGCAAGAAGTTGAACCAGGGGCTGCATCCCACTGAGATCGGAAAGAGCTGAACGTGTTGCGACTGAGTCGAGCACATTGGTCAGTCAATTTCCAATTCAATTCACCTTGGCTATCAAAGAGATCACACACCGTTTTGTGAAACATCCTTCAGGATCTTCAGGGCGCCGATTTTGCATTTCGGATCGTCTGTATCCAGAAGATTCACCAACGTCTCCAGACCGCCAACATCACGGATTGCTGTTTGATTGAATTCTATCAAAGTAGCAAACGGAAGGCGCAATCAGCGTCTAGAGACACCCCAGATTGTTTCATTGGTGGTACTGACCGTTGGTCAAGTCGAAGTCTCGCAAGGAACATATGGCGATGATGGTCGCAGTTTGGTTGCCTGCCCGCAGGTATTTCACCAATTTCTGGATCTGGTAGTATTCGGCGGGAAGCTCTGCTACGTGTCGCAGATGGGTAGAAAGTGTCAAGACAGGCATGTTGTGAAAACATCTCGAGTACGGCCATTACTTACAGATTTCTTGTCTCTTTTCTTGCTGTTCCTCTTCCGAGTCATCTGTGGAAAAGATTGAATCTTAGACACCCGAGAAAGCCCTTGACGAAACAATCGCGAGATCCCCACCTGCGCCACTATCTGACATATCATCCTCGTCCACGCCGTGACGGCCGCGGCCGCCCTTTTTCTCCCTGCCAGCGGATAGCGACCTGCCCTGCCTTTGCTTCTCCACTTTCCTCCCATTTCTCGAGTCATTCGCTCGCCCCTCTTCGGAGAGACCCAATGCTCTCCATTTGAGGGATGGCTCATATGCTCGCGGCTTGGCCGCCGCCTTGAGCTTGGTTTTCCTGGTCGCCGCAATCCTCTTTTGCCCCGGCTCTGATTTACGAGGAGTATTATCGTCCGTATGATCCCTGTCATCATCACCATCATCCGATGGATGATTCTGATACGTTTGTCCTACCCCTCCAACATCGAATTCGGCAGAGGTCTCTGATTCTCCTGCTGGTGGCTCAAAATGATATGCCTGGTTCTCGATGGTTGCAGCGAAATGAGGGGACGTGGCGCGGAGGAGGTCAATGAGGGACGGGAATACATCTGAATCTGCTTCGTATTGCAGACGCTCATGACCCTTTTCGTCAGCGGCATATCCTTTGTTCACAAAGTATCCGCGTTTGCTAGCTGTCACCATGAACTTTCCGCGGTCAAAAGGCTGCACCTCCAAATAGCATAGCTCTCCATACACTTGCCGCCATGGCGGCGCCTTGTACCCGTTTGCGAATGTGTAGTCTGACTCCCAATCGATCGAAATCAATGCCCTACTTTCTTGCCGACCGCAGAAAGATTGGAGCATGAGGAGCTCTTCCGTGACTTTGTGGATGTCTAACGTTTTGTCCTTTCGAAGTTCCGCTACCGCCGTTTTCATCAGTTGCAGATCAAACGAGTTGACCACCAGAAGTAGCTTATAGAGCTTCCCATACTGATCTCGCTTCCGTGGATCACTCTCGGTAGTGAATGCTTCAAACGCATCGACCAAGGCAGTCTCTCCGCTCACACCGAAAATGACCTTGGCCGGGTCCCGATTGGCCTGAATTATGCCTTGCAACTCTGTAAGTTTCTTCTCGTCGGCAATTTGAAGGACTCGATTCAGTATCTCGAAAGAAGACGCATGCGCTGTGAATGATGAGGCATCGGTTGACGTTTGCTCCAGATGGAATAGAGGTTGCCCATCAGACCGATTCTCCGTCGAGTTAACACTCTGCTTTGCATTTCTAGGAGGTCGTGCGGCTCAGTCATGCGGTGTACTTATGAACACGGTGACAGATTCAACGAACCTCGTTGCAGTATTTACATCCCACTTATCCCCCGCTCCAGTAAAGTTGGCAGGCTTCAACGCAGAAGCCCACTGCAACGGCCTCCTGAACTCTGCCTTTGCCTCAGCTGGATGTCCTTTGCAAAGCTGCTCAATCATTCGGACAAGATCATAAAGCAGGTCCTGGTTGGTGACCGACGTTTTCAATGCGCCGGTGGCGTCCGCCTTGTCGCTTGCTGGTTCCTTCGACCACTCGAAGCGAGCGGACAGGCTTTGTCCCATGACGAGAAAGTCGTTCCAAGCAGTGGTGTGGTTTTCCGGATGATAGATCCTTTGGATATTTTTCGGTTTCCCAATTGTTCGACGTGTGCTGGAGTTTGACGGGATGACAGGACCGCTTACGAGATAATCGACACCGCGAAACCCGTGTCTGAACAAATCTAAAATAATGGCATACGATCCGCTTCGCACCCCCAAATTCCAACTCTCATGAGGCGAACGTTCCACAACGGTTTCAAGTCTTTAACCGGCCGGATTCAAGGTAACCCCCATGTCGACTATTCCAAAACGCTCGCACTAAATACATAAATAATGGGACACCACCTTTCGTCGCAGACCACGAAAACGCACGCCTTTGCTGGTTAACGGCCAATCGACACTTTGGTTTGACAGGACAACGCGTGCATCGTCACCAGAGTCGGAGAATATATGAGCGCTCCCATTTCCACCCATGAGCAGTTGCAATGCCAAATGGGTGGGAAGAGAACGGCGTGGGAAAGGAGGTTGATTCACCACTTTCCCACGCCGCCCTTTTCCTTCTCCTTCTATTCTTCATCGGCCTGCGTTGACCTGCTTGGTTTCTTGAACCATTAACTGCCTCTCGAGCGAGCCATCAAGTGCTTTACACAACCGCATCACAACAATGGGAGGAAAACATGGGAGGTGTGGGAAGCGCCAAGTAGCACAGACGTCAGACGGGATTTCAAACCAGTGAGGTCCCGAATCCGATCGTAAATATCAGCCAGGAAACACTTGTTGACCTCGCTCAATTGTATTCCTGTGAGGTCGGGGCCGGTTACGATACGTGTTGACGTACCTACCTACTCGTTTGAGCTCACCACCAAAACAAGAAACTAGCCCCATGGCATGAAACGCACTGACAGCCGAGCACCGTTGAGTCCAAGCGAAAAGTTACACATTTCCTTCGTCTTGCAATCCTTACTCTCACTCTCGTTTTGTGGCATGCCGGGTCGCAACGGGCGGACGCAAACAACTCCGGTAGCCCTCGCCTCTCGGCCTCGCCGAACGCAAAAATGTCTCGGTTCTGGCTCCAACTACGCAAATTGTCACACCTCACCGCACAGTATAGTCCGCCAGCAACGAGCGATCGCTGTCATAGATGAGAACCACTGCTCTCCACCCATGCCTACACTTCACAAAACAGCGGAGTCGACGCCGGGCTCGTCGGATGGTGACTGAGAAGGTATGTATTGACACATCTCGACGAAAAAAAAAGGACGTGGCAAAGGACATGGGGTGCTCGTCGTCGTCTATATGGTGGTCGCGATTGCCTTCAAACGCGATCCGATCCTCCTTTGATAGCTCGTCGAAAGCGCGAAACCCAGTACGCCCGCTGTATTTGAAAGCGGCTTTTACGCGGAGGAGGTCGCGAAGGCTGCTGGTTTAGGTTTCCGTTCCGGCATTCTCATAATTCTCAAGCGCACGGTCGTGGTCACGGTCGTGCAACTCCGACTAGATGTTGGTCGGCGGTGTGAGCGTGTCGGGCATATTTGTACGTATTTGTGCTGGTGAGGCCAAGAGAAGAAGGACGGGGCGTGGGGAGGCGTGGGGTGTTTTGACAGGGCGAGATCCGATTTGTGAGGAACGCGCTCGGTGCTGCTGGTTGGGTCTCACGAGGGCACATTCTGACCGTGAGACCGCCTTAACGGCTCAAGGACAACGGAATATCCGCCCGGAATCAAAAGCTGCTCCATCCAGCAAAAGAACTTCCAGCAAAAGGCAGGAACACGCTTTTGAGTCCATATGCCACTGGTCTTCCGTGCCTGCCTTACGACGTATTCTCGTGCTTCTCCGTTGATCTCCGCATCGTCCGCTTACCTCTTCCGTCGAGCAATGAGCGCCACAACCTTGCGCTTCGGCGCCACCAGCGAACCCGTCTCAGCAGTCGTCGCCATCGGCGAGCGGTCTCTGCTCGCTTCCTCCAACGCGTCCCTTTGGAAGGCTTTTGGCAGCGTCGCTCCGGAGAACAATGAGGTTCTTGTCGAGGGCAAGGCTGATGTCTTGACCTCTTATACGAAGAGCGGTATGAGAGTTTGTGATTTCCCAATCTCTAAAAACTTGAGGCTCACGCTGGCGCTCCTTCTAGGTGATAACCGCATTCAGCACACATTTGCTCATCTCTCCAAGGAAAGGTCTCGCAACATGGGCAAAATCCGCTCTGATCTTGTGCACGACCTTGTCGCGGCACAAACTCCGAAGGAGGGCGACGGTTCGTATGTCATTTAGTACTGCATTCACGTCGGTGCGCTGTTTTCAATGACGCATTGCCTCCTGCAGTGAAAATTGTGCTTGCGCTGGAAAATCAGGAGCAGGTTCTTGCCGCTGGCTGGTGAGTTTCTATCCAATGGTGGTAAGGGAATCGGCTGAATCAAATCTAAAAATCTGTTCTGCGTAGTGCGGTAGCGAGGGCATTCCCATTGTACTCTAAGAAGAGCAGTGCTGCGAAGCTCAAGTCTCGTACCGTTCACGTCGAGATTGCTGTTCCTGGTGGAGTTGAGGAAAAGACTTACACCAAGCTGAACAACCTTGCCGTAAGTCGGATCTGAAGCCCGTTGTGGAGAAAGAGTCGTCGCTTATTTCGATTTCGCAAAAGGACTCTATTCGCTTGGCCTCTCGGTTGATGGACACGCCATGTGGCGAGCTCCACGTGACCAAGTACGTCGAGGAGATTAAGGAGGCCGTGGCCAACCTTCCGACCGTCAAGATGGAGGTCATTACCGGCGAGGAGCTCAAGAAGAACGGCTATGGTGGACTTTACGGAGTCGGCAAGGCTGCGGAACACCCACCAGCGCTTGTCGTCTTGACCCACACTCCCAAGATCGTGACAATCAAGTCGCGTCCCGTCATTGTCGGCAAGGGTATTGTGTACGACACTGGAGGTTTGAGCTTGAAGACCTCCGGCGGTATGGTCGGCATGAAGGATGACATGGGTGGTAGCGCCGCCTGCTTGGGTGCTTTCATCACCGCGGCAAAGGAAAACTACGGCGGTGTGTTCACTGCAGTACTCTGTCTCGCCGAGAACGCCATTGGACCCAAAGCTCAGCGACCAGACGATATCATCATTCTCAAGAGCGGAAAGAGCGTGGAGATCAACAACACGGACGCAGAAGGTTTGCATCCTTGCATACAAACAACATCAAATGAATGCTCATCCTTTTCTTCACAGGTCGTTTGGTGCTTGGTGATGGTGTTGCGTATGCTTCCAGCAGCGAGGTCAATGCTACCCACATCATTGACATCGCCACCTTGACTGGTGCCCAATTGATTACCACCGGAAAGAAGCATGCCGCTGTCTTGTCCCGCGACGAGGACTTTGAGCGTCACATTCTTGACGCTGGCCAGCGCTCTGGAGACTGGTGTTTCCCCATCCTGGTAATTTCGGCTTACATGGTTTCAATGGCTTTCGTTCAATACTGAGAATGATCTCTTCTTAGTACGCACCGGAGCTGCTGAAGAAGGAGTTCGACAGCAAGGTCGCCGACATGAAGAACAGCGTCGCAGATCGTATGAACGCGCAATCGTCAGCAGCGGGGCACTTTGTGGAAGACCACCTTAACAGCGAATACACTGGCAAATGGGCACATGTCGACATGGGTATGAATCACTGGTGGTGTCGCATAGCAATATTCTGAACTCTTAACTCACTTATTGGTCTTTTCATCAGCTGGACCTTCCGGCAAGGATCAACGAGGCACCGGGTTCGGTGTTGCACTTCTTTTCAGCGTTCTTGAATCTATCTAGACTTCTGGTTCGTCGGTCTATATATTGTTAGCTGCACTGAATTACACTAGCGGTGGCGACATTGTTCTAGATAGATGCAACGCAGTCCAGTATAGCATGCAATATAAGCCTCAGAGACCTTGCCAGGACAACCCCTTTCTTTAACTGACTACTGGTTCCATCTCGAGCAACGGTCCACCTTGTCACGTAAATCATTCCTGGCCAGCTATGGTATCGGGGCTAGCTGGCGTCGACTGGAACACCCCAAAAGCCCTGTCCATATCGAATTCCCTGAATGTCAAGTGGTTCAAGGCGATCACAATGATTGTCTTGCCCATTGTTTGAGAGTTTTGGCAAGGAACAAGGAAGTTGATAGTCTGCTCAGAAACGTCAGCCTCATGCTCCTCAAGCTCTTGAATTTTCAGATGGATTTGCTTACGCAATGTTAAACGCGTCAAACCAACGCGAGAGCATCCGATGCCCGACTTGCACATTCCCTTTCCGCCAACATAAAAAGCCCATATCCCTTGTTGATTTCTTGCGTCTCGCAGGCATCCTGCTGCCTTCCATTCCGACTCTTCCCAGCATTTGCGTTGTCCTGGCTCTGCTGCTCTTCGTTTTCAGATATCTCAAAAGAGCGTTCCGCCCTTCTCTCTCATTTCTCTTCTTGGACATACAGTGCATCCAGATTCTCGTTCTCCTCGTGTCAGGGCTCACTTACCCCCACGCCAGGTATCGTGTCACTCATGATAAATCGGGACGAGGTGCAATGTTTGACGTCCATATACAAGAGGGATGTCCCTTGCAGAACCGGGTACGCAGAACCGCGTTATCCCTAACCGAACTATTTAGAGCAGAAGCACCTGAATAGCGCTTTCAAGACATGCGAGGCTACACAGACGAAGACTCAGTATGAATTTGAAGGACTCAAACAATCACAACAGCATTCCCATGGCAATTATCAAGGCCTATGCTTTTCGAAACATTACTTTCTAAGGCCCATCCACATAGATTACACTAATTCTGATCACCTGGGGATATCTCTACATACATAGTTGCAAGAATTCACGGAGGGGTATATACTCGCCAAGGGGGTCGTCAAGCCGCGCGTTCCGGTCGTACGTCGTTTGAGATGAGGTGAGTGGGTCTGTCTTTACTGATTGATGAACGGTTTTGTTTCTGCAACTGCGTCGTCCTGGATGCATGCGCATGGTAGGAGGCCATGCTTTCCGGAAGTTTCGTTGACGCCCTGTATTGGAAGTATGCATGATAAATTGTTCAAAGTCTCTCACTGTCCATTCAGAATTTGTCGGAACCTCCTTACCTTCGCCCAGCCATCGTTGAACAAAAGGTTCAACCTGACATGGTCTCCGACCCTCAAGGAGATTTCGTCATCGGCGGCGGCGTCGTATGCATGAGCAACGACGTATCGCTTTTCCAGTACAGACGATACATTTGGTGAAAACGGCCCCGAGGGGTATAGAGCCCCTGTTCCAACTTCCATGTTGGCCACGTCCGCCCCTCCCAACCCATGCTTTGGTGCGTGATATCTCCGCCGGTGCATCAGTAGCGATGCTGCTACGATCGCTGCGATCAAGACTGCCCCACCAGCAACTGGGCCGACAATCACGGCGATATTTCGAGATGATGAGGAGGAAGAGGACGAGCCGGAACCATCACCCGGCTGTTTATCTGTTATCGGATTTCCATTCGAGTTGGGATTCGAGGGATCGAGTGGGGAGCCTGTTGTGATGTTGTCTTTATTGGGGATGGTCGACGGCTGCGGAGCGAGGATGTTGGATGGTACGGGTTGCGAGAGAGAGGTCTCTGGAGTCAATGAAGTGGATGGAGAGGTGGATGTGTGCCTAGTGGGGGTTGGAGCGGGCGCAGGGGCCGCGGTAGCGGGATCCTCAATGCCATGCGAATTTCTGCCACAGTTCTGTAGGTAACTTTAGTCGTATATTCAGTTGGAATGAAACTTGGGATGAACGACTCACTTGTGCGAAGGCTGGTACGGTTATGCAATCCTGCAGACAAGTATTCTGTGTAATCCATCGATCTGTCAAAGAGCGTCACCAAAACAGAATTAGACGGTTAACCAACACTTCAAAGCGCACGTATTTGAGAAGTTGCTCATACTTGATGTTGGGTCGCCTGTTGCAGAAGAAAAGAAACAAGGTTTAAGAGGTAAGCTTATATCACTTTTGCAGCTCCGAAAAAATGTCACGGGGCGGACGAAGTCACTGACAGCTCATATAGTTCTTTCCAGAACACCCAAAGAGGTCGGTATTCGGGTTGCACCTGGCTCCTGCAAAACGACGACCAGCCGTCAGTATCAGTTTGCTTCCTGGGGTGTGCTTTTGGAATTGCCATCGGCAGGTAAACCGTACCCAGTAGAACAGACTGCGCTTTGACCTCCGACGCCACCACAACCAGCAACGCGCCAATGACCAGCAAAGCAGTCGAAGGAAGCATCGCTTCTTGCTAACTTGAGGAATAGGCTGAGGAACCCGAGGTCTTGCTGTGCTTTTCGATACCTGTTGGTGGGGTGGAGTGTGCTATTTCTGTTGCCTGCTGCTTTCTTTTCCCCTGCCCCTCCCGTCCCCTCCCCTTCTGCCGCCTTCCCGTGCGGTTGGCCCAGCCTCAATCGCGCGCGCGGGGACTCTTTTTCACTGATGACGAGGGCGCGTAATCGCATGCTGGGCCACCTCCGCACATATCACAAGCTTATCAGATCTCATTATCATGAGGCGAAGTTTACAATCGACATCAAACAGTGTCCTACCAGTGTACTGTATTGTCAAAAATATCTCCCGAAAGGGCGACATTCGAGCTCCGCAGCAGCTCCGAGGCTTGCGTCTTGAACCGTTCAATGCATGTAGTAACAGCACTTCACTTGCGCCCTGTCCCGAACGCCGCCCCACCATGTTGCTGGGTCTCTTCTCACAGGGTGAAATCCGTCCTCACCAGCACCAGAAACCTCTTGTTAAGAGCCCCATATCACTGCGGGGTCCGCTAAGCGGTGCAAGGTGCGGTTGCGCTTGGCTGGCCGTGATTTCAACCCTTGCCGGCAGAGTGGTGTGCACTAGCTCCCACGCAATGACATCCATGCTTCCATTTGATGCGCAACTCCCAACGCTGGTCCTAAGCCTGCGGCTGGCACTATTGATTGGGTTGAGGTCGGGACTCTGTGGGGGTCACTCCAGTAGTGTTGTTGCTGTCAGTGTCAAGAGTCGGTGGCAAGATGTCGATGAAGATATTTGGAAAAGAGATATTGTGTTTTGCTGTCACTCTGGATTACGTAGCTGCTTCGCTTACGTAAACGGGCAAAACGCGTTTTTTCGGACGCGTTGATTTGTATGTACGGGCCGCCGTCCACAGTAGATTTAAGTGGACGCTCAACACCGGCATACCAAGGGCATTCGTCCCTCCTTCGCGAAACAAACTGCTGTTCTTCTCGCAGGCATCACGGACTAGGCACCGTACTGCCCTCCCCAAAATACTCACCCTTTCTGAGTGGGATGGCCAAGTTAGCTGTCTCGACCTTAACATGCTCTAATCTTGAGCCCTTGGCCAGGTATCGAGTTCTTTCCGGGCATTTATGTCGAATCGACCGCTCAGAGCTTTGTTCTCGGTGCTACTCTGAGCTCTACGGGAGGAGAAGGGTGTCCATCGCAATGTGGTCAGCTTTTTGCCCCGATACCGCCCAATTGCAAACGCTGGCATAACGATGCATGTTTATGCCTCTATGCGAACGGAAGATGGCCGGGCAGAGAAAAGAGTGAGGAAGACACATCAAGAGCTTGGACGGGAAATAATCAGGATAGCGTACCCTTCCATCTTGACGAGTCTGATGTATGGAGTGGGAGATCCTCACAAACATATGCTGTCCCTACCCAATTGTAGAAGGCAACTCATTTCATCGGTACCTTGCCGAACCTCTTTTCATTGAAGTGACCCGTGCCCTGTGCTACGTGTGGAACATGGGTCTGCGATGCTAGACCAGAGCACATAGTTGCTGGTTCTGCGCCAGACATCGAGAAGCTGCTTTATTCAAATAGACCAGCAGTAGAGGCTCGCTACTGCAAGCGTGTTGCCACGGCACAGAGCTGCCGGGTCCCACTCAGCCCTTTGCAATCGTTAAGCGAATAAATCCATCTTGAGGGGGACGTTTCTTTTCAGCGGCACCAGAAGTGGGGTCGCCTCAGAGCTTAGTAGATCCTGCTACCGTACTCCCACATTTAGGCGCCGATTGGGGTGCAAGTTCACCTTGGAATGGTGCAAAGTTTGCATACACCTGAAGTTGGAGAACGTCGCGGAAAACGAGTGTCCGCAAGCGGGTCCTAGACTCCAAGAAGTCCGCATCTCGGACAGAGATCCCGTCATTTCGTGAAGAATGCAATGCTCTCCGGCGCTCGTACCTGCGTTGCTGATCGGGTTCGATGCGAGGCTATGAGGCGCCGTCTGGCTTTGAGGTGGTTTCGCTTCCGCGACGACCTCGGCAATCGAGCAAGGGAGCTGACTCTGCAGATTGGAAAAGCAGGCTAATGGCTGAAAATCCGTGATTTCGGATACCATGATGGTTTCACGCCGTGTGTATATGTATGTGACAAGAGTATAATACGTCTAGACCGTATGATGCATTGTGAAAACTGTACAAGATGCAGGCAAAATTGCGGTAAATCAAAATTGAGGAGGAACTGGTCCGATAAATGCTTGTGCGGAAAGGCTATCTATAAAGTCGCACGGACGTCTCCGATCCGGTATGGTACGTATGGTACAGTTCAGCGCTTCCGCACCGAAGCCTGGGTGCACAGGTACATCATGCTCCCGCCGAAACGGAACGTAGCGAGGGCGGCAACGCTCCAGAGCATGAACGTCAAGAACGAGTTGCTCTGGCCAACACCTTCCGGGCCAGAGAAAATCCCAATCTTGTTCGCAATCTTGTCCGTTGTCAACACCGCCACTAGGGCGACGTTGCAGAGAATCCAAAACAGCACGACGCGCGTGCGGAAGAGGCGGAAGTAGTCTTCCTGCTTGAGGGCCGCTGATCGCCCGGATCCCGACTTTCCTTGCTTGGGTGGTGATGGCAAGGCGCGGAGGAACGCATCGTAGGAGGCGTCAATGTCCTTTTGCTCAACCGGGAGATCGACCGTTGCGACCTGGGTCCCGCTCTTGTCGTCCTTTTTGACCACTACCGGCGCTTGATCAGCGGTCGCGTTGTCCCCTTTGGTTCCCCACGAGATATCGTGTAGGTTCGTGAAGGCGTACACCTGAAGATTGGCATGATGGTTAGCATGCTGAATCCATCCGGAACGGGACAACATCCGATGAAAAAGACACATACCATGAGGATGTTGATGAATCCGGGAAGGAACAAAAGATACTGAGCAAACGAGTTGACCATGTGCCATGGGTCGAAGTAGGCAACAGATGCAATGATGTATGCGCCGTAAGTTGTGAGGGTGCTGAGCAGAAGATCTCGGAAAGCCGCCTTTTCGATGAGCTTCGGTAGCTTCTTGGCATCCCCCGCCGTCTCTGCAATGGCGGCGGTAACAGATAGGTACAGCGAGAATCCAGCCTAGCAACGCGGGTAATGTAAGTAACAGTGGAGGGCATAATCACCAAAGCGCGTGCAATCGAAAGGAAGTAACTTACCATATAGAGCATGAGGATCATGATCAGGGCAAATAGTCCAAAAACCGCCGTATACAACAACCTACTCCCCTGCGGCCTGTTACCCAGACTGGCGATGAACACGGCAACGATGGAGAAGATGTACACTTGACGCACGACCAGCATGACAATGTCGCCGGCACCATAGAATGGGTCGGTCTTGGGATCAGCCACCATTCCGTTGCCCAAGAAGTAGAAGATCAGATAAAAGGTAGCCAGCGAGAACCAATTGAAGATGACATTGATCGAGTTGTAAACCAGGAGGGTGAGAATGGCGAACATCCGTATGATCGAGTGGCCGGATCGGAAAATCTGATACCAATGAGCGATGGCATGGATCCCCGCAAAGAAGGAACCGTTGAGCCACCGACGACGTTGAGAGACGAATTCGGGTAGCGTGTCAGGGACGTCCGTCTCTGCTTTGGCCGACTTGACGTATCGCAAAACCCAGTTTTCGTTCTTCTTTGTGACGAGCTCGTAGCAGAGAATACGGTCTTCGGCGAGGTACATGTTTGCCTGCGACAGATTCACGTCGCCGTGACTGCCGTGCAAACTTTCGCCCAAGAAGTACTTTTGCAATGGTCCAGTTCCGTCAGCGCCGTTTTGCAGAGCTTTGTAGCGATACGCGCTGAAAGCTCCCGGGAGTACGGCAATGAAACCGAAGACCTAATATGGAGATGAGAGAAAAGTAAGCATAGATTCGGGACGATTCCGGAAGCTTGTATAGTAGCCCAGCGGTACTTACAGACTCGAGAGGCTTATCCAGAATGTTGGACATTTTGTACTCGAAGTTCTGTGCAGCAACGAGCGGATTCCACAGCTTCTGTCCATAATCGCCCGTTTCCGCTGCGATTTCACCACAAGCGCCAGCAACCTGTGGGTCGGCATCGAAAGCCTTCCAGAGACGGTGCAAAGACGCCTCGGTGGGCTTGGTGCCTACATCGAGAAGAATACACACGTTCGGGTTCAAAGTGGCTCCGAACGCCGAGAAGAACCAACGGTGACTGTTGAGCTTCTTGGCATTCTTCTCTTTCAAACAGAAGATCGTTTGAACCGGGATGACGCCGGCTTGACTTCCCCGAACGTTGAGATCGGGATCAACGCAAACTTGTGTGGTGAATTCGAACACGTGTGCCGCAACGTCTTGGTTGTTGATGCTGGTTTTGATGACACCATCTTGGAATAGACCCATGACGCCCAACACGTTCAACGTTCGGGGATTGATCTTGGTTCGTCCGTCGGAAACCACGCAAACGACGACTTTCTCCCAGCCATTGACACCCCACATGGGGTGCTTCTTCTTCGAGCAGAGATGGGCAATGTTTTTCATCACAGCTTTCCACGTCTTTGCAAATAGAATCTCATCTTCGTTGTACTGTCGGCGGATATGGTCAGTAGGGCTGAGAGGCTCTGCATCGTGATATTGACCTCACTTACCATCGTCATCACAACCATGAGCTCCGTGTGGCGTCCAAGGTCCTTCGCACGAAGAGTGTAGCCGCGCTTCACAAAGTCATTCGGGTCACCAACCACGGCAGAGTATCGGAGATGGGTGAACTCCCGGTCGTTCGACTTGCTCTGCTCTCTGACCTTCGCAGGTACAGGAATTTCGACCACGAAGTTTCCCTGAGGAGTCAAGTTGATGGTCTTCTTGGTTTTGTGCCTAAAAATGGTGCCTGCGCCCCTTCGGCGCATCATCTGCGGGGGAGGGTAGGCTCCTTGTGGCATGGGCCGGGTGCCGTATTGAGGCCCAAAATTTGGCTGGGAAAGGTCGTAGGATTGCTGGAACTGCTGAGGCTGCATCATCTGAGGTCTCGGAGGTCTCGACCCCTGGAACGACGGTCTCGGAGGCGGATTTGCAAGGGCGGGATCCTGAGCATAGTATGCGGATATGTTGTCGGGTTCTGGATGAGCTGGATAAGGGGCATAACCTGCGCCACGACCATTTGGGTAGCCGCCAATGTTGTCTTCCGGAAATGCGAGGGTAGAGGCCGACATGCTTTGACTCTCTGCAAGGGGGAAGGAAGGCTGCTGAGCAACAGGCATGTTTACGACATGGGCATTGTCGCTATGAGCTGGAGCGGCCGACGGGCCGGGATACTCGTCGATCCCAAATTGCTGCGCTGGTGGATAAGCGTTTTGACCATATGTTTGAAGAGGACGCTGAGGTTGAGGGTCGCTGTATCCACTCGATGGCCCAGGTCCTGTGAGCCTGGTCGTACTCCTTCCACTTCTGCCAGTCCCACCACTGCGTTCGCTGGCGCTGTCCTGGCCATATGAGGTAGAAAAGTCGCGCGGGTCGTTCGAACTGCCGTGCGGAGCAGTTCTCAAAGGACCTCTGTGCTGAGGTTCGTCGAGGGACTGTCCTCGCGGATAGTAAGCCCCTGCAGGGTGCGCTGCGGCCGCTGGTACGCTAGGTTGCTGCGAGGCATTGGATGAGTAGCTACTGCCCGAAGCTGGCCCGCGATTCTGACGAGGGTCCCGAGGGCTCCGTGGAGGCCTGTAAGGCTCCATTGCTGCCTTACGGGTGTTGTGATTCCCTAAGCAAACTAGGACTATCCGTCACAAGTGTTTCAACGGTGCGAACAAAACGATCTATGAACGTCGTTGAACTGCCAAAAACAAACTCCTAAGACTTTTCCGGTGAGTTTACGGCCGCGAAGACAGTGGTTATGGCTGCCCGCTTTTACTTGTTGCCAAATTGTTGGCCGATGATGACTTTCTGATGCCAGTGGCCACTGCATAATGCGAACGCGGCAGGGGCAGGCGGCCCTGGCGGCCAGCGGTCATGTGCATTGTGGATAAAGGGGTGATGGCTTGGCCAATGGCAGGGCGTTTTGAATATACAGTAGGTCGCGGCCTGGAGAGACGCCGAACATTGCCGCATAGCAGCCGTACGGCCCGCATGGCTCATCAGTCCCGATTCCAGGGATTCATCAAAAGTCCAGTGGCCACTTAACGGTCGCGTCAAAGCTTGGCATGTGTGCAGCCCTGTCAAACTTAACCTTGATTGGACAGCTTTCGACACTGCACCTTCGGGTCCTCCTTGCTTCAGCGGATATCGCCCTTACTATAGCCTCGGACGACGCAACAGGGGAATTGCTGTATTCCTATAAGGAAGTCGAAACCTCGCAATAGATGCTGATCTTCGAGTTCGTGGAGAGCGGGTGACTATGTATTTAACAGCAGATGAACAAACGGGTAACTTGCTGATTCGCCACCAGTCAATGTCCTCTGATGGCTGCCGGGAGGAAATTGGGAGTATAGAAGAAAGATGTCTGCCAGATCAAGTTACCATTGCCCATCAGCGTTGCGTTTTGTTGATGAATGTTAAATTGCTAGCGATACAATATACATATGTAAAGCCCTTCCATGAGACATGTTAAGTAAGTTGCCATCTGAAGCTTCAGCAAGTACGGATCACTTTTCGTCGTAATAGCTCTGCTTAACATGGCGATACTTCTTCAGAAACCACAGCGCCTCCAGTTCCTTCAAAACAAACTCTCCTGGTATCAGAACGAAGCAGAAATGGGATTGATTTAGTGTAATGGTTCCTTGCTATGATTAATAATAGGCTGAAGCCATCCGCGCAACCAACCTCGTTTGATGGCTTGTTCGATGTCCTCGGGCTTTGATAGCTCCTTGTTTTTCAGGAAAGCTTTCTTTAATCGTGGCCGGAAGTACTCCAACCCTCCTTGTGGGTATTCCCGCCCTATCCAAAGTAACTGCAAGTGTCCCAATATGGGGACCAAAAAGTGAGAAGACATGAAACGGGTGCGGAAGAATCGTACACAAGATTGAGAGAATTCAGACGTGGCAGATTCGACGAATCAAGGACGAACCTGCTTGTAGAGGTCTCGCACAGCGCCTCTGAGCGCCGTAGGTGTTTTCGATGGAGGCATTCTCAGGATTAGTTGGGGAATGTCAATTCTGAGGTTCAAAGTCGGGTGAATTTCGAACAAGCGAGGCCCGTCATTGCGCGTGAAAGCTTGGTGTGGAAGGGTCGTCACGAGTGATCTGAGGTCAGTTCTGAGGCTGTTCAACAGCCCAGCTCTTTGGAAAATGGCTCAAACTGTGTGCCATGCATGGCCCTCTTTCCTAAGTTCGTGTGTCGAGGCAACTGCATTTCCTTCACTCATCGCGTTCTTGCCACAGAGCAGAAATTGCTACACAAAGTCACACGTAGTTTCGCTGATCTCGCTGGTCGTGCATGTCAATTGCTCCCACTGTCGGGAAGAGCGTGTGTGGGTCCGGGATTTCGCGACTAGAACTGCCTAAAATACCTACCGACCTTTTGGGTAACTTTTCTGACGCTGGGTATCTGTTCCGGGAAGGAAGTCCTTGTCCGGAGGCCGGACACCGCAAGGGGTTACCATTGGACGTTGAGCGATCTGACCACGTTCAGAAGGGTACTAGACCGAACTCTGCGCAAGCGTTGGGTTGGCGATAAACGACGATTGCGCTATGAATACGACCAAAGAGCGACTATCCGACGGTATTGCCACTCCTGAAGATAACAAACATGTAAGGCTGCCTCTACTGTCATATCTGCGTCAGCAAACCCTTACGTGGCATAAACTAGCTACCCGACCTCCGACAAGGAGCCGTGGAGTCCCGACAAGGGCGGATAAGGTGAGGACGTTATGCAGGTTTCGTCTCTCACGTCAAGCTCCCCTAACGAAAGTACTGTAGAGGCATTGCACGTCTTTACGAATCATTACTGTTTGAGTTATATATCCGCGAGCGGGATCTTGAAAACGGGGTCACCAATGGAGGGACAGATGCGGCGACTGTGGAGAGGAATGATGCTGGTTTCAAGGAGTTCTGCTCTGGATATCCTTTGTTGAGGTATGCATCTGATCCCACCGCCATTTTGCCAAAATTTCTCTACTGACCCTGAACCTCAAATCTTGTAACAGCGAGGAGGTAAGACGCTTGAAGGTTTCAGGATTCACAGACAGATTCCTAATCTGAGGAAATGTTCAGCTTTCTCGGTTCTTGGACGGAGAAGAATTTGGTGGGTAGCTAAACATTAGGATGTTCAGGTACCTGCTTGACGTTCGTCAAACTCACTAGCTTTACACAGTGTCTGGCACTCAACTGCATGACCCGAGTACCCGGAACGGGCTCGAAGATACAGCGGCGAGACATGAAGGAGAACCTCCCTCGGAGGATAGCACCAGTGGCAACTCTATTCCGGCTGGTCGTAGAAGGCCCCTTCCGCCTCCGGAGAGGATGGTCACTCGCGGAATCTCGGCAAAGAAGCTGGCGCCAAATGGAGAGGTACCTTTCGGGAAGATGTCAGGACAATCTGTGTCCTGGATGGGATTGACAGAAGTTTTTACAGGGAGGATCCGAGTCAGCTCCGACAAGTGCCCATCCCGCGTCCCCCACTGCACCACCCGTAGTATCCGCCCCATCCCCGTCTACAAAACGCAGAAACTCCGTTTACCAAAAGGCGCACCCACCAGATGCCACTCCCGCGGCCCCACCCGCAAAGGTGCAACGTACAACACCGCGAAGCCGGGAAACAAGGCAATATAACCGGAAGAAAAAACCTCTGAAGCCGATTTTCTTGGCCCCAGAGACCGATACGCAGTTGAAGGGCTATCGGTGGTATGAATGGCAGCTTCGTGTGCAAGCACAACCGATCGGCAATCTGCTCCCCACTGCCCACAAGTGTCTCAGTACTTGGGACTGGCAGGTACGCCATTTAATTTGAGGGCAGATTAAGGTACAGGAGCGGTTCTGAAACATCCGCTTCTCCCCAGGCAGCGCGAAATGAATCTCAGCAGCTTAGCCTGCTGGCCAGGGTCGAACAGCTGAAAGAGAAGAACCTGTGGAGTTTCCGACAGTTGCGACCATTCGAGCCACCAGCACGGAAAAAAACTCATTGGGATTCATTGCTCGAAGAGATGGTATGCTACCAGAAAGGAGCTTTTGTTGCAGAAGGCTTTCATTTCTCACCGCTGCCGGTACGAGTAGAGATGGATGCGGACAGATTTCCGTCAGGAACGGAAGTGGAAGATTGCTCTAGCATACACCATCGGGCAGCTCGTCTTGGAATGGCATGCGGCGCCGGACAAACGCGTGGTTTGCATCCGCGTGAGTGTTGAATGTCTGGGTGCTGTTGGAGAACCGCTTGCTGATACGTTGCTTACAGCGTCGCTCTGAGCAACAGGAGCCGAGTGCGCCTGGAGTCAGGTAAGGATGCGCGCAAGTTGCCCTTCTATTTTGCAGGGTGAACGCCCACTCAACGGGATCTCTCAAAAGTACAAGCATGAATGTCGAAGGGAGTCCAGAAGCAGGGGAAGGGCACGGTAGGATACCGCTTTGCAATACCGTGAGAGACTTCGACGTGAGAATTCTCATTCGCTATTCGTGCATAGCAATAGACACAACATTGCCTAGTCCAAGCGTCAGTGAAGCGATGGATGACTTCCCAGAAGGTTTACCTCCTTTGTACATGGCTCCCAACACAATCTGGCAGACCTACGATGATTCCAACCCGGAGCAACAGGAATTGCCTATCTATAGGCCATTTGGTGACGGCGAGTTATATGATGATGAGACGCAGCACAAGACTGTTGTGCCAGTCTCTGCGTTGATCGTCGAACGAAGGGTCATCAAAGATGAGTCCCCGTGGACGTCAGAGGATGCAGACGCACGACGGGGATCGGTCGAGAGCACCGCCCCAATCTGTAAGCATTGTTTGGATTCTTACGATTTGGAGCTCTCTGCTAAGAGCTTGTTCTTCAGCGTCTCTGTTCGGGAAATCCGCCACAGAACCAATACCACCGCCGATGCTCGTCCCTCAACCCAAATCATTAGAGCAGAATCCCGAATGGACGCCCGCAGAAGACGCAGATTTGCTCGCATCGGCGCCTTTGTACAGATTCAATTGGACCGTTGTCAGCGATATTATACATACGCAACAACTCGTGAAAGCTCCTCAGCGCCGAAACGAATGGGACTGTTTCTTCCGGTACAAGGAGCTCATCGCCAGTCAATCGGGAAGTCAATTGACCACCGATGGGACCGGTGCTACCAACGAGTCCTGGTTAGCGACAAGTCTAACGTCACAGGCCACGGACGCTAAGATCACGAAGCATCTCATGACCATGGAGAACATTCGGAAATTGAGCAAAAACAAGGATCGGTATAGGCCGCCAGCAGGTAGGGTTACATTATATCATCGCGCCGTCCATATTCCCAACCAGCTAATCATTCAGCCGCCAGACCGGAAACCGCCTGCGAAGATCATTCTCAGCACGCATGAAACACATTACCAAGCGCAAGCTATGGCAGGCATCGATCTGAACGGACCGCCACTGCCTCCTTCAGAGCTATCGATTCTGAGACGCAACCGGCTGCAGGCGCAGGAACAAGGCCGTCAGATGTACACCGCACAGGCACGAGGGGTGAGTCTGTTACTTGACCTCGGAATTGAGGTGCACATGTACGGTTACTCACACTCACCCGGTCATAGGGGATGTTACCCGTTCGTGGCCCCGCGGCGTCGGTACCCATTCCGTATCCACAGTACAGGCCCCGCCCAGTACCCGCTGGAAACGTGGTGCATGGGATGCCCGTAGCACCTGTCGCAGGCCAACCGATGCAGGTGCCAGTCGCTGTTGCAGCCAGCCAATCACCAATGCAAATGCGGCCCGCCAACAGCAGCGCCGGTGGCTGCACACATGGCGGCATCGCCTCAGAGTGCTGCCGGGCTGAATGGGGCACCAGCATCGGCGGTGCAAGACCAGTTCTTGCGAGCTGCGGTGTTACGTCATCAGCAACAAATAATCGCTGGTTCCCCACAACAGCGGCCAGGGATGTCCCCTCAGGGTTCGTTGGCGCTTCGAAGTTTATGACTTCCGTGTCGGCGAGCGCTTACTCATTCTTTTTCGCACATGTATAGGCATGGCACCCATGCAACAAATGCTGGGTGTAGGCGCGTCGTCGTCCTCTGGCCCCGCTGGATCGCAGCCAATGAGCGCGGCAGCTTTAAGCCAGAGTCAACGAATGGCCGCAATGCGGAAAATGCAGATGATGAGTCAACAACAGCAGCAACAGGCACAGTTGCAGTTACAGCGGCAGGCACAAGCGCAACAACAGCAGCAACAATACCCTCAGCAACAGCAAATGCAAATGCAGTCTCACCAAGGATCTCACTTGTCTCCGTCACAGCAACAGGCGGTCATGCCTCACCGGCCGACATCAAGTTCACCGCAGATGTCACCTGGACAACCGCAAGTGCAAGCGCAGATCGCGCAACACCTGCAGTTTCAACAACAGCAGTCGGCAGCGTCTCATCAACTGGCGGCACAGCGTGCTCAGATATCAGCGGATGCGCCCCATACCGCTGCAGCATTTGTTGCCTTGCAAAATGCTCAGCAAGTCGCGAAAATGGGTCAGGTACGCCATCGTCGTGAATTTGTTTCTCTTGACCTCTCTATTAACATGTTCCGCCCGATTGTGTTAGATGACGCCAGAGATGATCCAGCAACAAAGGCAAATCCAGCTCTCTCGGCAACATGCACAACACGCGCAGGCGCAAGCTCTAGTCCATGGCCAGCTGCCTCAACAGCTTTCGCAACAAATACCACTGCAGCACCTGCAACAGCAACAACAGCAACAACAGCGGCAGCAGCAAACAGCACAACAAGTCCTTCTACAATCACACTCTCAACAAGCACAAGCACAACATTCGCAAGCACCGCTTCCTCCAGCACCAACCGACCGAACCTTATCGATGAGTCCGCCGGCGCCAGCAGCAAGCATGTCGGCCAACTCCAGCTTTGGTTCGCCTCAACGTCAAGGTCAGCCCTCTCCACGGCCACCAGCTGGGCAACCATCGCGAGCACCCTCTTCAGATGCCACTAGTCAATAATCCACGCGTCAAGGAACTGAGGGTCGTCCGTGCGGGATCAGATAGAATATACGGCACGGAGCTGGGTTCCTGTTTTGCGTAGATATTACACAATGCTATACCACCCATTCAAAACCACCTATACTGAAAAGAAATAAAACCATACCCTTCCCAGTGTTTTCACTGATGTTCACTTGTTGACCCACTCCTTCCTTGCCATCACTAAGGCATGTACCATGTGTGGATACCGCATACCGTAGACCACCATTGATTCACAAAAGACGATGCAAGCCGCGCACTCTAAAACTTCATCCGCTTGATCTATCTCAATGCCATATTTAATTCTCCGCATCCAATTCCGGTCATCCCACTTGGAAACCCTTATACATGTGTTGTGGTCGATGGATCGAGGGGTCCATTTGCGCTCACACGCCTCTGATCCCTACCTTTACCAGAGGCCAAAGGTGAGTTTTCCGGCGGGTCTCATCATGCGCGACAGATATAACCGAAGGAAAGATCAAACAATCAACGATAAAGCTTGGTTTTATATTTGCCAAAGTGACCCAGAAAAGCTGTTTGTATGTGAGGTGGCCGCCCCAAGTTGCGACGGGTACTCACGTAGAACTTTTGTTTACGTCGGCGTCGAACGTGGGGCGAGAGAGGAAAGAATCCGTCTCCGAGAGCGACGAACAGATAAACCGGTGCAACAAATGTCGGGCTATCAAGATGCTTGCCCCACCGCTTTGCAAACTTGACCCTGACCTCGGAGTCCTTGGAGTCACGACGGAGTGCACTAGTGAAGAACAGAGCGACGTGGGGGTGACTGGGGTAAGTTACACAAGCTCATGGATCGGTGTGCGTGAACGGATGTGAGCGAGACTCGGAACCCACTGCCTCACGCTGTCACATCGCCTTCGTCGACAGACACCAGGACAGGTGCATAAATAGCAATACAGCAGGAGAACGCAATCTCTTGCCTTTGCTGTATTCCGTTTGTCGTCCGCCAGCACTTCCGAAATGTCACCGTCCAAAAAACACCCGACGCGTTCCATCTCGAGATCGACTCTCAACCAGTCCGACAGAATTGCGAGAATGAGGAACTATCTTTTCGCCGTTTCCCTCGCAGCGGCTAACCTATTCCTGGCAGCCAAGGCGGCCCCGATTGGCGAGAGTCCAATCGATGGGGCTAGATCAGGCGCAACCGCTTTGGTCGTCTTCGGTGACAGCTGGTCGGACACGGGCAATGCCTTCAAGCTCACAAGTGGCACCTGGCCCCGTCCTCAAGCCTACTACCAGGGCCGCTTTTCCAACGGCCCTATCTGGGTAGACTCTCTCGCCAGCCGACTCCACACGACCGCAAAGTCATATGCGTATGGTGGTGCTACCAGTGACAACAACACGGTAAAAGGCTACACTGGTCCCGACTCGACAGTGCTGGTTCCCAGCGTCAACCAGCAGGTTGCACAATATGTGGACTGGTTGAACGCTGGGACACAGGCCGCGGACGGTTCTAATGAACTCACGGCGGAAGTCAGGGAACACAAGCTGAAAGCGACACATATCTTCTGGGCCGGGGCGAACGATATCTTCTTCGCCACATTTGGCGGTCTGAACATCACCGCTACCCAAGTCGTGTCCAACATCGTTGCCTCGATCGAAAACATCTACAACGCAGGCGGGCGGAGGTTCCTTGTGAACACGTTGCCCCAATTGGACCTCCTCCCGTTCTTCCAAACGGAAGCGACCAAGGGTTATGCGCCGGTCTTCGCCAAATTCACCACGGAATACAACGCGGCCTTGAAAAAGGAGTATCTGAGGCTCTCGCGGCAGAGACGCTCGTTGAGCATCAAGCTGTTTGATGCGCATGCTTTCCTGCCTACTGTGCACGCAGCGGAGCGCAAAGCCCAGTGTTTGAACACCACGACACTGGTTGCTTGCAAGAATCCGGCCGATTACCTCTACTGGGATGAGTACCACTTCACGACTGCCACCCACGCTCGCGTTGCTGAGGCGATTGCGAAGAAGATCTAGTAGACTTTAATGGGGCGCTGAGAGATTAGGACATTATCATTACATATATCTGATACACATTTAAATATACCTATGGACTGTTTTCAACGTCACTCAGCGAAAATTCGGTCTACATACAGCAGGAGACTCCTGCAGTTGCCACATCGTGTCAATGGTCCCGGTCATTGCCGACACACTCATCCCAAATCCTCCTGAGCCATACGTCTACCCACACATCCACCACTCCAGGCAGGCAATAGTGCGAGCAATCCTTTGTACTGCGATGTGCATCCTCCCTCGCTTTCGAGATCTCTGTGATATCCAACAAGTCGAATACTGGACTTGCGTAGTTGCTGCTCTTCGCTTGAATGTCACTGATCCGCGTCTTCGCCTTGAGAACATCCTTGAGGATTTCATTCTGCATTGTCTCGGCGTAAGCGCCGTAGTAGTATGTCAGCGGTGATGATGGGAACTGGGGTCGTTTGGCTTCGCAGCGGCCGTTAGTGTTGTAGTCGCCGTGGCGGTAATGCCGGAAAGGCGAGGTGCGAAGCCATATTTTCGTCGTGCATGAACTTGTTGACCCCGCGCTTGCAGCCCCGTCGTTCTGCTTGAACGAGAACGCCTCGTTCAGCGAATGTATGGCGCTGGTGATGGTATCTGCGTAGGTCTGGATGAAGTCTTTCGAGTCGGATTGGAATGACGATGGGTCCAGCCATAAACCGGTGTTTAGCACCAGGTGGTCCAATTCGGCGTTCCCATCCTTTGCATCCTTCTTCACATGGTTCACAAGCTCCATCAAGCTTGGATGCAGTTCGGTGGTGCTAATAACCGGGCGCGGTCTGCTGGCCGTATACGCCATCAAGTATGGGTTCAGCTGGTTCCCCGTCCAGAGTATTCTCAGCGGCTTCCCACTTCTCGCGTGATTCTTCTTCGCCTTGGGATGCTCAACATTGATCTGCACGAGATACTTGGTGTCCGGCACATGGGTGATCGTCAATTTCGCTCCGTGCCCATGAAAAGTGCATGCTAGGGCGTGGAAGAACTGGCGTGAGAGGGAGTCGCCAGAGATGCCAAGTGTTTTGTTTGTCAGGCACTTCTCCAGCACATGCAGTGGGTCCAGTCGCCGTGTTTTGGGCGCTGTGGGTGGGATGGAGACCGGAGAGTCTCGCCGCTCGAACCGAAGCTGGCGTCTACTCCTCCGTTCAACGCGATTCGTTCGCTTATGTTTCTCTTCTTCGTTTTTGGAGTCGGCTTCTTCCAAAGTCTTTGTCTGATCCTCGGTGGCGTCAGTGGTTGGCTCAGTTGACGCCGCCTGCTCGTCCTCTTCTATGTACGAGGTTTCTTCCAGCGTTGCCAGACTCGTATCATCCCCTCCACTCCATTTCCAACCAAGCAATCTTTCGTACTGCTCGTCGTCACATCGATCCTGCTGATCCAGCAATGGGCATGTTTTGTACACCTTCTGATACTGTAACCGCGGTCCCACATCCACCGGCGTCCAATTCCCATTTCGGAATGCATGATCCGGCTCTTGCTTGGCAGGATCCGTAAGCGGTTCTGGGAGGCTGATCCACCTAGCGATAGTTGGCGACTGGGAGAGGGTTGTGATACAAGTCAAGGTGGTAAGGACAGCCGTAAGGAGGATGGAGATTACGAGAACGCGGCGGGAGACATGCGATGGTAACGTATGCTTGGGGTGTGATCTACGAGAGGACGCTGTTCTGGGTGATGAAGGGATGTCTGATGCGGGTTCTGCCGTGTCCGTTGAGAGGAGCGCTTCGTTTTCTTGGGAGGCGGCCATGTTTCTTTCTGTCAGGTTTTCGAGCACACTTGCAGGCAACCTGACTGCGGTTTCCCAACCTATTTAGCACACGGAATTTGCGAGACCAGAGCTGCTCAAACCTTCACTCCGAACCTTTTATAGACATGGGGGCGGACCCAGGGACCACTTTGCCTGTTGTATTCAAGCAGACAGGCAAGGGGAAATCCTTGCAATTATCGAATCGACGAACCCTGGGGAAAGTTGAGGGACGCGTCAGGAAAGCCACTCATCGCGTCAGGACGCACTTTTGAATTCACAAAGTGTGCTGCGCTTTCCGCCTCAACGTCACTTCCGACTCCGCGACCGGTGCGGAATGAGCTCTCCATTTCGTACGGGGAAGTCAGCATCGTCTTCGAGATAATACACGGAAGGAGTCGCTACAATACAGCTCCGTGATGCGTCAAACGTTGACCTGTGTGGGAGCCATTACGCGTCAGAGGTGGGCCACCGGCCTGCCATCGTCTCCATCCATCGTAGTTGTAAGGTATTTTAGCAGCACCAAGGTATGTGCGTCCCTCAAGTTTGCGCCTTCTATAACAGCCTGGTCCTTGTTTTCGCCGCTTGAGGTTAGCTTGGACTTATACTAGCGTCAACTAGCCAACTGCGAGGACAGCCAGGAAGACTTGGAGGCGACTAGTCCGATTTGATTCTCCCGATAATCAGGACGTGTTCGGCGATCTAGCCTTGGATCCGGACACGGGCAAGGCGGGAAGAGATGACAGCGGAAGGCATTACACGGCATTCCTGATCAACGGGGATCCGTTTGATCGTGACAACTACGAACTGACAACAACAAAGGCGACCGTGATCAAGGTAGGCTCGTGGGTGTGCATTTATCCGTTCTCGGTTTGCTTATTAGGGAGTGCTGAACCGCTACGCCATTAGCTACTTAGTCCCGTGCGCTCACCTCCCATAATCCTAGGTGAGAGCGTGCTTCGGCGGTAAATCCCAAGTCAAAACCCATTACTTACTGTGAAACTTGCTTAACCTTCTGAAAGGGATTGGCTTGAATTACGCCAAGCATGCCGCCGAGCTAAAAGCCCATCCTCCAGCTCAGCCGATCCTTTTCACAAAGCCCGGCACTGCGATGCAACACCCCGACGGTCCTATTCTCATTCCCCAAGCTGCCGCCGAAGCGGAGTGTGACTACGAAGCAGAGTTGGCAATTGTGATTGGAAAACGGTGCAAAAACGCGTCAGTGGAGAATGCACTCGAGCATGTCGCAGGATACACATGTGCGAACGATGTAACAGCGCGGAAGTGGCAGCGGGACCTGGGCCAATGGTGCTATTCGAAGAGCGTACGTGCTACGTCGAATCTTGTCAAGATCAATTTTAGGGACCAGCAGCTCATGGCGCCTTTTCCACAGTTCGACACCTTTTGCCCACTAGGTCCAGTTCTCGTTTCTCCTCGAGTTATCCCCTACCCAAACAACTTGAACATCAGGCTCACTCTTAATGATGAGCTCATGCAGTCATCGAACACGCGGGACATGATACACAATGTCCCTCATTTGATCAGTTTCTTGTCGCAGGGTACTACTCTCCACCCTGGCACTGTCATATTGACCGGGACGCCTGAGGGGGTTGGCACAAGTAGGACGCCCAAGCTCGTCTTGAAACACGGTAATGAGGTATGGCACAGTAAACGACCATTCAAGCTATTACGGTCAAGCTATTACTCGCCCATTGACATTTCAACAGATTAAGGTCAGCATACAAGGCATTGGGACTCTACGGAATTCCATTGTGTACGAAAACACGGTCGACGATCTGCCTGGCGCCGAATTCACAGCTGCGGGAGTATCTGGGCAAGCAGAATCCTCTGCCGAGTCTGATGACACGAGCTCAAATGCGCCGATCGTATCAGTATCAGACTTGACGATGGATGTTGACCGATATAATGCTGGGTATGGACGAAGGAAGGTTGGTCGTGATTCCGGAACCGACTAAAGAACCAGACAAACTGGTTAGCATGGAGCTCTTTTGAGAAACCGTAGTATAGAATAGATAGAATCATGAGCGGAGAAAGAATGCATGGCGCCTCGTTGTCCGCGGCTAAGACTTTGCAGTGAGAAGAGGGAAACGCCAAGTCGCCGTGAAAATTGCCCGAGACTTCCACACAATCTTCGCGCTGCAGTTCCCATATGATAAGGCCAGTCGAACCAGAATTCTATTGTTTACACGAATCTTCGGCAACTTATGGGAGTATCTCTACTTGATCATCGCCATTAGGGATATCTGCCTACATCCAACCCTCTTATCGCCGCGAGATGCTTGGCAAAGGTCTCATCAGCAAACAGCTTTTCGTCGGCCTCATCTTCTGGCCGGCCCTGTTTCGCCGCCGCATATCGTCGTTTCAAGTCCTCTCCAGTCATGCACATCATAGCGTGCAGGTTGCCGAAACGGGTTATGGGCTCAATGTCCAACGCGTCAAAGACATTCATCAGGTATCCCATATCTGTGCAGAGCTGCTTTGCACCGTCTTGCGACAGGGCCTGCATGCGCATAACGACATCGGCGTATCGCAGCATCGTGCCACGGGCGATGGACAGAATCCAAAGGTACGTCACGTCGTCTTCTGGGTTGTCGCCTTTATTCCCTGCTTCGGGCACCTCAAAGTCCTGCGCGGTGATATGCGGAAGCGTCCGCACCGAGAATTTGAGCGCGTCATCGTCGACGTAGAGTTCGAGCTGTTGCGGTAGTGTGAGGAGATGTTCGCCGACGCGAGTGATGTACGAGAGTGGGGATAAGCTGAACTGGGGCACGCCGAGGTTGAAGGGACCCGCCGTTTTGGGAGCGTCCGCCGTCCAGATTTCCATGGTGGAGACGCTGCGCAGTTGCTGCTCTATGATCGTGAATAAGGTGTCGAATACGAACTGCTGTGCGTCGATTGTGAACGTTTTGAGGACTTGTATTGCGCGGTGGAAGAGAGGCGATGGAGGGACAGCGTCGCCAACGTCGACGTTGGACGCCGGTTGATCATGCCCAAGGGTTTCCAACTTGTAACTGTTCAGTGTCGATAATCGGAGGATGTCGATGCTGGCGAAGCATTCATTAGAGTGCTCTTTCTCATCTCCCCAGAACTCCGCAGGGTTTGCCCAAGACGCCTTATGATGGGTGGTCGCAAATGTCTTTATGCCCCGTCGTAACGTCCTTTCAAACGTGAGAAGTTTTTTTTGAAAGAGGCTACACAGTCCCAAAACCTTCAGGCCGATCTGGAAACGACCCCACTCCTGGTTGCCGAAATCTCCGCTTCGAAACTCTCCCGGCTCTTCGTCTTCCGACGAGATTGTGCTTTGACCTGTCAGCCCGACGTCGCCTCTCAACTGATGCAGCAAGGTGCCGTACCGGCGCATAATCGCCACAAAGTGCTCATCCAAAGCCTCAACCAGGTCAGCGTGTCCGAAGCCGGATGTGAATTGCCTGCAGCGAGCCCAGGCACTCTCCGCTAAGGTTATTGCCTTCGGTACTGACTCGTTCATCAGCCTGGTAGCCTCAAGCGAGTTGCCTTTTCCAAATCTCAAAATGGTGGCCGTCGAGGCTAGGAGGTGATTTCTTTCTAGCTGACCATATCGTTGTTGGTAAGCGAGGAACGGTTCGAACACAGTCGTGCCCCATCTCTCCTGATTTGTGGTGCCCGGTTGCGCCGGTAGGTCCGAATCATTGTGAAGGGATGTGACGGAGTCTCGCAATTGGCCATCATCATCCAACACCGGAGCATTCCGAAGATCGCCAGGATCGGCAAGGAATATCAGTCGTTCTACCCGAATCCCGAATTGGACCGCCGACTGGTAGGCTTTCACAATGCCGGGGAGACTTGCATCTCCCATGTTTTCCACAAAGGTCTTCAGCCTGTTCTCCAATGACGGTTCGAGCGAACGGAAGATGCCAGAAATCAGTCCCTGCACCGCGTCAATGGCAGAAGGAAAGATGTACGGAATCCAAGCGAATTCCTTCTGGACCAGGCGATAGGCCTCATCGTAGAAGTTGGTAAGCCATTGCGCAAATTCATCATCGTAGCCGGCTTTGGCAGCCCGAAGGATGGATGCTTCATCGTATTGCTGCCAGAAACGTAATAACGGTGCGGCGCACACTTTCTCGTACTGCTGCATGAAATAGTCCAGCCTGTCAATTCGGGAGTAGATGCGATACAACTTGCGTGCACCTTCGGCGTCATGATCATTGAAGACAGCGAGCACTCTCGCGTTCGTTGCCGTCTGCAGTGTGGCCTGCAGCTCATCCAGGAGAGCCTCCCGCTCGGCGTAATCGGGGCTAGCTGATAACAGGACCAAGGACTTGCGAGCTTCATCTAGTCTGACCGATGCTTTCTCAAAGTCACCGGCAGAGAAGATGGCATTCATCTCTCCTGAGAGTGTACTCCAGTTTTCCGCCTCCTTCAACGAATGTCGCGTCGCTGTCATTCTATTTCGCACCCGATCCAATTTCATCAGATCCTTGAACGCCCCACCCCCGCCCTTCTCAGCGCTCTCAAAGACCGTTCGCCCATTCCTGATCGCTTCCTTCACTTTGTCTGCGTCTTTTCTTATCAGCTCTAAATCGTACATTGCCCGAGGCATATTGCGGACCGCCTCTTCGCTGAGCTGCTCGAACTTCATGGAGACGTCCAAGCTCAACAACTGTAGCTTCAGGACAAGATTGGAAGCGACGACATCCACCGACGCATTTGAAGCCGAATCGGCCCTCACTATCTCGCTTGGTCTCCGTGAGCGTAAATCCGGTCCAGCTTCCAGTGTCGTTGAGGAATCCAATTTGACATCTTCCACCTCACCGCTGTTCGCATCTTTCGTAGCTAATGGGGAATCCGTTTTCCGTTGCTGCGATCTCAGAGCTCCATAGGGAGTTGCCAGTGCTGCGTTTATCCATGCCTTTGCGTTGAAGTCGGGAGCGAGGAATGCGTCTAGATCTATGCCGTATGCGGACGCGTTGGGAATCGCCGGCCCGTTCGTTGTTGCGGACAGTGAGCGATACAATGGCGCAGCCGTCGTATGGGCAGGGATTCTAGGGATGTCGTCAGGACTCATGGCACCGCTGCCAGGGCTCCTGTAACTCAAGAGGCCGAACTCTGGGCCGTACTGTGGTCGAAGTACAGTAGCAGGCCGCGATTGCAAGTACTGTACTCGGCGCGGTGCCTCTCCCGCCTTCACAACTTATGTACATACAGCCAAAACTTTCGTTGACAGTTTGAACATTGAACACCCTCTCAAACTAATTGCTCCTCGAGAGCCACCTCCCGTGATCCACTCCAAATTTCCACCCTCGCCGACTCAAAGCTGGGCTCAAACGTATCCAGGAAAGCGAACTCCCACTCCGTCCGACGTGACTCGCACCAACGGATTACACACCGACTCTTGTACTCCTCACTTCTGCTCCGACACCAACACTAAGACCTCCGTAGTAAGGGTCCCTCTTCCAACGCTTGCCGCTCCATTGCTCGTGAGAAGATGGCAAGGCCCGCGGACGACGAACAGCCGAAGCCGCAACAGCCGGAAGCGCTTGCGGCCGCGCTAAGTAAGGCTGCAGAGGCTAGACGGGAAAATGAGCAGTTGATGCAGGTGCTGATCAACATCGACAAGGTAAGTGAACGTGTTTAGAAAACTGAAGGCCTCCGAGTAGTTTGTAAAGGTTCTCACTTCCTCTAGGAAATCGTCACCCTGCTCCGAACGGCTGCACAAACTATTGCGCGCTTGGCCTCCGGTCCTTCCACGGCGGACGACTCATCGCCGCCATCGCCACCAGGATCGGCAATACCCTCTGCACCACCGTCCCCTGACTCACCGTCTACACCAACGTCGCCGGAACGATCAGCACCAGTCCCATTTGCTCAGAAGCACTTTGACTACGTCTCCACTGTCAACAAAATTCAGCACGCGCTGCGCACGATCATACGCATTCTGGCTCAAAACGGTGTTCTTGCTGCGGCCGCCGCCACCTCGAGCACGGCTGATACGACGACGACATTGAAAGCGAATGTAGTGCCGCATGGCGGCGTGCCGTACAATGTATCTCTGGCGGGTGAAGAAAAGGATCTTGAGCTAGCTGCGAACAGGGTCGAGCTGCTGTTGCAAGTTGTAAGGAGTGCGGGGGTGGAGTTGGACAGGTTGGGCATACGAAGACGCAGGGAAGAGGGAATGGAGGAGAATGTGGTGGTGGACATGGACGAAAGTGGGAGTGACATGCCGATGGAGACGTCAGATTGCATCAGAGCTTACTCGGTGAACTCAGACGCGGCTCTACCCTCGAATCTTGGATGGGGCCCATTAGGCAAAAGCTGACGGGTGCAGAGGGGAGCATTCACTCATTAATCAGCACACGGAACATCGCCCGCGTGCGCTGGTTGTTGATTCGGGTGAGGAAACCAACGGCAACGCCACCAATGATGGCAGGTTTTCGTTTGCAAACGGGAACATGGGGGGTGACATACGTAGGTAGGCGAGGCTGATACCGGATACCCCGAGGTTCAACTGCACACTCACCCCGAAACTCTAGCCATCAAGGATAGATTCATGTGTATTCACGACACACAATATACCATCACGTCTACAGCTTCTTGAGCCTGCCTCGGAGTTCCCGTCCACCTGAACCGTCTTCTTGTTTGTATAGTACTATACGTAGGTGACGGCGAGAACGAAGCCAGTTCCCCGACGGTACAGTGCGGTCAACCCTGGAATGTTATACCTGGGATAGGTCTTCGGAAACATAATTTGTCGGCGACTGAACAGTCAGGTTTGCTAGTAGCGGGCGATATCTTACCCTCTGTCCTGCCAGGAGCACATTCCCAGGACCACACACGAATTCGAGGAATTAGCTATTAAGCTATTCATTCGGTGCTTACCGCACCTCGCACGTCTGAGACGATGTATTACGGGTCGAATGTTAGCCTATTGTGGATTTTACGTGATTTTGGTAAAAGGTGATTTCACGTGATTTTGGTGAAAGGTGAACTCAGAGCTGTTCACACTCCGCGCCGTTGAGGAACATCGTCATTCATGTAACTAGATTTTAAAGACCGGACTTCTCCGGACTTTGAAAAAGGGGAATAGACGTCGCTCGCATCGCCCCGCTGTAAGGCCCCCCGAATCAACTTGACAACACTGATGAATATGAAGAATTGGTCCGTGTCGATGCGCTCGCTTTGCTCGCTAAAACCTCCTTGTCAACCCCGCTTCGCCTGCGAAAGCGGCGTCATGGATGACACTTCTCAACTCAGAACCATTTATATGAAGGCCATGGCTTGGTGAAAACCTCAAGAGCGACCCCAATTGCATTTGAGAATCGATGGGAAGACTCGGTACAGAGAAACAGTCGAAGGGAACAGAGCAAAAATACTACCAGAATAGAATGATATCATATCAATTATCATATTATTGTGCACGGAGGATAGTAAGACTTTCATTTTATTCACAGCAATTACATTTACAAGCAACGGCAAGGGCTAACAAATGTGAGAAAGGGAATGACGAACGAAACAAATCGAGGAAATCGAACAGAGTGTCAGTGATAATCCCTGCAGAGCGAATGCACACGAAGACACATACCAGGATAGAACCTGTCCAACACTCAAGGATATTTCAAAAAACCCCTTGGATGTCCGACGAACGGGTGGAACTTGAAATGATGAGAGGCCAATGTTAGCAAGAAGTCGATCAGTGCACACAGCTTTCTCATAAAAAAACACCTTGAGGCTAGCGTGTACTCCCTATAATAAACCTCGGAAAACTCCTGGAAGTCCGACGAGCGGGTGGAACCTGAAACGATCAGAGCCCAGTATCAGTGCCAAGCGAACAGGTGCACCAAAGTCAGAGAGAAACATACCATTGAAGCCTGGCGTGTACTCCGTTCGACATCCAGAATTCTGGGAGGTTCGACGAAGGAAGGAACCTTTGGAATGAGGAGCCTAAGATCAATGGCGCGCCATAAGGGGATATTTTGGTGGAAAGAACTTACGATATCAGGACGAGTTGTCCACAAAGGATCAAGGGAGGACATCCCGTCACCGGCATTCCCAAACGGCCACAAGTCTCAGCAGAAGCACTGCTCAGTGTCGGACCTAAAATGGCCAGTGCGTCGTGCTTAACTCCCGATGGCGAATGGCCGGCCCCACATCCGAAGATGTGTGTAAGGCAACACGGACCATTTCCTAGCGAGGAGCGACCTGCAGCCATGCAAGACGAATGGGGGCGGGTAAACCGACGTTTCGTGGAACCCGACGTTGGCCGCCTCCAATGATCCTGTAACGCCTAGCGAAGTGACGAGAGATTCGTCGGCATCGCGTCTACAGCGCCGCTCTAGTGTCAGAAGATATAGAGGAAGTAGGAAACGTTAGCGCAAAGTAAGAAAGCAAACCCAGGAAACAGCGACGAAGAATATGAGAGGGCGGAATACGCACCAGATGAAGATTGCAGTGGCAAGTTGATTTCGAAAAGAGGAGGATGGAGAGGGGTTCTGAGAGGGGTTGGGCTATTTATATCCGCAGCGCGTCTCAGCAGCGCGTGGGGAACGAGACCCGTTCTGATTTTGGGCTTTCTTGCACTTCCAAGGCCGGTTGTACTGTACAGTACATGAGCGTGAGAATATTTAGAGTGAGAACCAAGAGGGAACATCATCAACGTCTGCCAGTGTTAGCTGCATTGTGTAAGGCGGTCAGCTCTATCGAGGTCGGTGGACCTCTCAACATGCGTTACCCGGTGCATCTTCAGAAGCTCACCAGTCACAGCAATACACAGGTGCACGCACTGACAGAAGCGAAAAGGGGAAGCAAAACCATATCTGGACGAGGAATATCAGGAGGTCATGCCAGTCACCACTCCGACAGCTGAGGCAGGGCGCCAATCTCCTGGCGCTGCGGCTGGCGGCGGGGCGGGGGACCGGGCGGCTGCTCGGAAACTGAAACGGAGAGATATGTTGAAGCAGTACTATGGCGTACAGGAAGAGGCTGGGACTGCACCGACCACCCAGACACCAACTAGATTGACTCCCAAAGAGAAACCCCCGGATCCCCTGGACCTTGGTATGTTTCCCCTGTTTAGCCGAGGTATCGACGCCGCCGTCGGATGGGAACATCCCAGAACCTGAGTAGCGTTGTGTTCGCTCTGGGATGTTGGGAGGGCCGGTTAGGCCAGGCGACACTACGGCTATTTATGTCACTTTGCAATCTGCCCTTTGCTTCCGCTATGTGTAGATAGCACCGCTTTCAACAAAGATCTCTATCTCAATAAGTTGTTGAACGAGAAAGCTCTCCCCGATCTTATACAGCGTGATAACGAAGTAGTTGCAGGTGCGGACAGGTGCGGATTATAATCTGCTGTCTAGAGGGCTGGATACACAAAGGAGTAAACACGTCCCTCTTGCAATCACTTCATCAGAGATCAAACAGTTGGACGGTGACATGAAAACACTTGTGTACGAGAACTACAGCAAGTTCATCAGTGCCACCGATACAATCCGAAGCGTAAGCAAGCGCCTGTTGCAATCTTGTCATCGAAGCGCCGCTAATCTACACATATCAGATGAAAACGAATATTGAGAACATGGAATCACAGATGGACCAACTGTTCGAAAGCATGTCCTTGATCACAACGTCCTCGGAGTCCATAAACAGAGAGCTTTCCGCAGACCGAGCCAAACTGCATCAGTTGAACAGTGTGGACAATTTACTCAGAAAGGTACCGCCCGCAAGTTCAAGTGGCCGCCTCCAGATGACATACTCACACGTGGCAACACAGCTCCATTTCGTTTTCGAGCTACCAACAAGACTGAGGGAATGTGTCGACAACAAAGAGTATTCTCAGGCTGTTAAATACTATGCGCGGGTCGCAGGTTTACTAGAGCGATATCGGCACATGGCTGTCTTTACGAAGATCGAAGAAGAGTGCAGAGCTATCATCGAAAATGTGTCCAAACTGGTCATGCTGAAGTTGAATAACAGCACTGTAAGAGCGTACATCCCTGACATCCCTTGAAGTAATGGCTAAACATTTTCCAGGCATCGCTGCAGGACATGTCAGATAGCATTGGGCTCCTGCTGCGACTCAACGCCAAACCCGCAGCCGATCTGGTCCGAGAACATCTACGCATGTAGGCAGATTCTGCCTTTCGAATGTCAGAGCGGAACCCTTTACTCACCGACCTCTAGTGGGAGTGGGCAGCTACAAAGGTCAAAGGACGCCTGCTCGAAGCATATGGCTGACATGAAAGCCTCTGAAGGCGACACCCTGTCCCAGTTGTCCGACGAGCCGCTACCAGCCGACGTCCGGCTGGTGGTAGAGAAGATCGTCTACTTGGATAATACGTTCATCAAAGAGTTTGCCGATGTTGTCGATTCTTATAGTGGATTCTTTCTGCAACCGAAAGAACACGATGCCGGTGCTGAGGGCATGAAATCCGCCGACAGCAAAGTGAATGCCTTCGGAAAGTTGAGCGCTGAGGTTTGTATCTCATCTCTGGACAATCTTCAAGCTCCGACTGGACGCACAACTCACAACTTGGCTTTGACAGCAACAACTACAAGCTCGATCGGACCTCGTGGCATTCATTGATAACTTCACCAAGCAATACATCGGCGAGATCGAGGAGTTATTGCAGATTCCCGTACGTGATCCATGTCGTAAACCGGTCCTCGTACCTTTGCTGACATCCGTCTTCCTTCACAGGAGGACATCACAAAGGTGTCACCGCTAGCCTACATTCATGTTCTGGACCGTGTCCATCGAGACATGCAAACGATGGAACCGCTGAAGAAGCTCGGACGGATAGACAAACGCGTGAACGCGATGTCCTTCGAACTGTTGAGCAATGTCATCACCGCCGTCTTCACAAAGATCAAGAAAGAGTTCTTTGGTAGGACCCGGAGCACTGTGAATACTCCGGTGACATGGCCATGTCCCTGAAGACTCCATTTAGATCGGTACAAGGATATCAGGAGTTCTGAGGGACTCGATCACAATCGCTTCGTCAGAGAGCTGAATTCGTGGATGAAGAACACTCTGATCAATGAGTATCTGCCAATTTTGGAGGTGAGCTGTTACCTCGAGCGAGCTTCGTCCTCCATATGTGCTTAGTCCGTTCTCTCTGCAGCGATTTGTGAGCCGAGATATCGATTTCATGAGACACTCCGTCTTCGGACCCGACGACATCTTGGACCAGATACAACGTGGGCTTGATGTATTCTGGTTGTCTTTTGCAGAGGACATGGTGGTAAGCCGGGATGCTGAATGATCGAAAGCATCTTTGGTACGTTACTCACTGTATTTCCTGCAGGCCTATAACCAATTCTCCCACGCGGCTACAAAGGATACTGTTCCGCCGTTGGTGACACTGATGATGTCTCGGTCTGCTCTCGAGCTGTCGATGGGTACAGTAGAAGGTGTGATGTCTGCGTACACGGACATCCTCTTCTCGCGGAAAGGGGACGGTGCTGCCGTGGACCCTTTACTGGCGCAGAGACAACAGAGCCGAAATAATCTCGTGGTCGTCACGGCTACGGGTGGAACAGTTGCCAATCCGAGTATGGGGAATCGTGGTTTCCAACCCTCGGTTTCCGGCACGTCGAGGGAAACTATGCTGCGTGCGCGCGAAATATCGGGTCTATGTAAAAGCACTGCTCAGGTTCGCCGCGCACTGGAATCGCTTCAGTGATGTGCAATTGCTCATCTCGATGACCATTTCAATTGTGTAGACTTTACTCACGCTCTATGTCGAGCGGGTCACCCTCAACCTGGCAACGACAATACAAGAGCACTTGCGGTATACCAACTGGGAGAAAGCTAATTCGCCTACAAACGCTTCGGAAGCTCTCCTCCGGGTCCTGGACGACCTGACTGCCCAAGAAAACGATGTTGGTCAACTCTATGGTGACGAGGGCTCACGGGACCGGCCAGCAGGTCGAATAGGTACGTTCTGTTGGGAGATCCGAAACTGAGGAGCCTGCTGCACAGTCTAATTACGCGAATATTCCCATGGGAATAGACGCGGCTCGGCCCAGGGTTATTCGGGCAGGCCATTCCCGCCATAACTCCTCGTCGCAAAACACCAACATGAAGGATTCGCCATCAATGGGCTCGTTCAGGCAGTCAAGCGTGTACGCAAGAGCGGCTGGCAAGTTCGATCCGATGAGCGCGGACATTGAGAAGCTGTTTGCTGAGAAAGTGGAGTATTACGGGCCTGTCGAGTTGACTAGGGCAGCTGCTCTGAGCGCTGTTGGGAAACTCTTCCTGAAGGTGAGGTGGAGGCACTGCACCTGGCTTTCCATGGCCGAACTATCATACTCACACAACATACCGCTGGTCACATAGTGCTTCGTGGAAGAAGTTCGGCTGCTCACCCTTGACACGGGCGGGTTTCAACAGATGCAGCTCGATATTGAGATGCTGAAAGTTCACATGTGGGGTTATATCTCCGACGAGAGGTAGGTTCTGACAATTTTCGCAGTTCCCCGTGTTTTATCTCTGATTGGTTTGGCTATCTCCAGACTGTTCAACACCTTGATAGAGGAGATCCAGACTTGTGCGTTCCGACGATGCCCAAATCCCCAGCTTCTAGATCATAACGTAAGTCAACCTCGACTGTACTTTGCATAGCAGCCCGTTTCTCACTTTTGATCACTTCACCATTGTAGACTATTGAGACCGTTGTCCTTGCATATCGCGGAGGGTCATGAGAATAGAATCCCTCCAGTCTCCTTTCATTCCATCGGTCTCGACCTGCCTTCCCGGTGTATTCAAGACTCTTATAACATCGGTATTAGCACTCGAACACAACGTCGACCTTTTGACTTCCCAATCACATGGCGGATATATGAACGCAAATTAGTTTCTCTACATAATAAAGGTCTTCAGAAAAGAAGAAAGCCAGCGACTTGTGCGCATGACGAGAAGTGTCCAAAATATACAACCAGGAGCAGTGGCCGGCGAAAAATGAAAGTATGTACACGCAGAGAGAAGTGTCTGCAAAAACCTGGCCAGCTTTCAAAAAGTTCTGGGTATCAAAATTGGCGAGGCTGCAATTAGTATGTGAATTGGCAGACGGCTGCTGCCAGGGCCCAGACGACAGTGGGATGCGTAAACCAACGGCCTGAGGCCCGTCGCAATGACGGGGCGGCAGAATGCGTCCCTGCAGGCGGCGGCAGCGTCGAAGACGGCAAAGAGGTCAATCGCGGCCCAATGCCGGTGTTGCGATTCGCGATGGCAAAACCGACCGTTTTGCTGCCCGAGTTGAAAACGGTGTAGAACCGCCGTAGGAATACATTTCCGAGGATGCCTATGGGACCGGCGCAAAGGAGGATGAGCCCACGGATCTCTGGATGAGGTCTCTCTTCGGGGACGTACCTGAAGGGAACAGCAGTTTACTATTCCCGGACCCTGACGCTGAAGCAGTGGTTATATCCTGCCCCGCGAACCCCGACACGCACGCAATGACGCCCGGTTGTTCCGCCGGTTGGAAGAAGAGATACTCTTCCGCTGTTATTGTAATGTTTGTGGAGCCGAAGGACAGAGTGACGTCGGGCATCCCTGAAGGAATTTTGCCGTCCGAACAGTCCGCTACGTAGAGGTAGGCTGCAAACCAAGCGTATGCATGAGATATGGTGTGTAGAGGCACGTCATAATACAGGCGAGAAGACTTACGTTCGGCGTCCGTGGCTATTTGAAGACCCAGTCTGGTGTTGATAGCATCGGCTACGGGTCCCGGTATGACCGCAAGAGAGGTGCCTTTCGGAAATTCGGATAGTATTAGCGACCGCTGTCAAAGGCGCTCCGACCCAAGTATATCTCACCAGTGTCAAAGACGACAGCCAGCTGGTCCGGCACTTCCACCTGCGCCGCCTTCGAAGTTTGCGCCACCGTCGCGTCGCCGACGGTGATAGCAGTCAGCACCGACTGCCAGAAAAAGTACAGCGGTTTCCCATTCGGATCGATCCCCGACGGCGTCAGGTTCACATATTTGACCTCCCCATTGATCCTCGCCTGATCGACGCCGCCAAACGTCAAGCCCCCGTTCGTATTTGTGTCATCAATGAAGTATCCAAAGGCTGGAGACGTCACTTTCTTATCGCTCACAAGTCTGTCCCAGAACGACAGGCCTGCGTCTTCGTCGCCAGGTAACGGGAACGACAGGCCCATGATCCCGTCCGTCTGCGTGTCATTGCTGGGAAGCGTTGTGCCCGTCGTGTCAGTTTTGGAAGTGACGGTATTCGCCAGCTCGAATGTCAGGTCTGGTATCGACAGGTCGTTTATTGCCACCACATCTTTGGCTAGCACTCCTGTTACTGTTGTCCCGTCCACGTACTGTATTGGATCCGCTGCTTTGTTGAGTGTTACATGAGTGGAGGACTGTGAGGCGTCAAAGAAGTTTCCGCTGGGGTTGAGGCCGTTCCCTGTGGCTTTGGACTGAACCCACAGCTGCTGAGAGCCCGTGTCAAAGAGGATGTTGAAACTCTGTGCCGGGGTTCCGATGTTGATGTTTCCATGATACTACATGTATAAGGCGTCAGCCGGGATCATGCATTGGAAAAGGGAGGTACTTGGGATTTGCCCTTAAACGTACAGCAAACAGGGTACCGCCATTATCCCCGGTCCCACTCAGCTTGCTGATGCTGATTTGTCGCTTCTTGCGATGGAGTCCTCGCGGCGCTTTGGCCAGATGTTCCTTCACTTGCTCGGCATGCCGCGAATATGCTGAGTTGACAAGTCCCACCCTATTCCCGCGAATGCCGAAAGTGAAAGTTGCGTATCAGTGAAAATTCCCATACGATATCATTTTCCCACGCGGCGGGTTGCTTACTGGCAAGGTCGTTTTGCCCAGTCACACTTTGCGTCGACAAACACAACCAGGAGCAACAGCAGTGCCCATACGTTTGCTGGCAGACATGTTACGGCGGAGTTGCTTTTCATCGTTCTGCACTCGCTTAGTGGAACTGATACTCGCGCGCAACGCTGTTCGGGCTGGTTGGACTCGGCGTTTTTTTTGATGCGGTATCTGTTTGCGCGTAGCCTGCAAGATGACCTACGTGGGAATGCCAATCGACCCAGAGCCCTTTTTCCGTAACAAACAACCAGCGTTTTGCAATGCGCCTTTTTTCAAGGACTTCCCTGCTGCTCTCAGGTGCTCTCACAAACGACATGCCCAGGAGTACTGACGCGTGGGGTGAGAAAGTGAGGTTGTTTGGTGACAGCGCGTTGGTTTCGTGCGCAGACGCGTACAGTACTTCACATTACAACAAGGGCCAAGGAGACGATTCAGACGAGGAGCGGCGATTTCCTCAGCCGCCGATATACAATCGGCGGTCTACATAAGCAAAGGAATCTGGCAGTGTCTCCTTGATGTCAAAGCTACGAGAAGAAGACGTTGGTAAGCCATCGTTCGGCCAACGCCAAAGACCGACTACCCGGACCTGAACGACGGGCATATGAGAAACCAGCGGGTTGCTCTGCGACAAGCTTTAGAATTTCTCGCATCACTTCATGGGGTCTTAAGACGATCAAAATAATGGCGAGTTGATGCATAATGGATATCAGAAATTTCTCGAGTGTGTTGCTTAAAATGTGTGGTCATGGTTTGTCTCAATGAGAGTAATGGCAAGGCGCGATCCACTTCTCACACGACCTCCAACTAACGACGATCCCAGCAACGGCCGTATGGCAAATTCTCACGATGTGGTATGTGCATTCTGAGATATGGATTGTTGATGTGATGCATGCAACGCCGTCGCTCCCCCAGCCAGTCATTAGAGGAACCCCGGGTGTATGGCCCGGATTCACTGCCATCAACATGCTCTGGCGCAACAAATGGTGATACCCCGAAATGGGCCTCAACATTTTCATGCAGCGGTTTGGACGAGCAAAGAGTTTTGTATTTGACATCAAGCAAGGTACACAAGATACATTTTCAGGATCTAGATGAAACCGATCTGCAAAGAGGTAGGGCAGAAATTGCCATCGAGTTAGCAACGAACAATCCAGAATAAGTTGAGAGAATTTACAAACTGATTCAGACTATGCAACATACCTTGTTGGCAACGTCCAAAGCATCAACATCGGCGGAGAGACGCACGTACGCCTTCTTCTTGCCATCGGGGCGGATCAGAGTGTTGATGCTGGCAGCGTCAACATCGTACAGCCTCTTGACGGCGTCCTTGATTTGCCTCTTGTTGGCGCGCACGTCGCAGATGAAAACGAGGGTGTTGTTGTCCTCAATCTTCTTCATGGCGGACTCGGTGTTCAAGGGGAACTGAACGACCTTGTACGCATCGAGCTCGGGGGTGCGGGGGACAGACCGGCGTGGGTACTTGGGGGTACGCGCAAGCTTGAGGGTCTTGGGGCGGTAGAAGTGGGTCTTGGTGCGGATCTTGTGCACCCTCTTGCCGCCGGTTCCCTTAAGGGCAGCCTTCTTGGCCGTCTGCGCCTTGGCAGCAGCAGTGGTGGTAGTGGCTGCAAATCGTCAATAGAAATGCGAAATTGAATGGTCAGCAGAAAATTTGCAAGAAACTCCCATTCTTGTCTGATCCTTCGCCCGTTCCCAACTGCCGAGTGTCCTTCCGACCGTCCCTCCCACCCGCCACGTTCCCCACTTCCGCCTGAAGTCCGTTGACCGACATAAAGCTCCAAGCCCAGACCTTCCCACAATAATCGAGAGATCCGATAGTCAGAAAGTCGGTAGGTATTCCCTCTCGTCCCCTCCAGCTTTTTCGTCGCTAGAGAGTAGTTTCGGCTACCGTAGTAGACTCGAAATTGTGGCCATGGTGTCCTTGCCGCTTTTCTGTCGACGTTCCGTCTCAAGACGAAAACCACCTGCTCAAGGTCCACCGACAACATGATTCCCCAATTCACCCCTCGTTCTTGCGTCCCGTCGCTGACGATACTCACTCTTAGCCTTGGGTGCCATTGTTGCTGTGTGACTGAGTGTCCTCCTCCGCAGAAGTGTAGAGATGTGAGGTTTGCTGTTGCCAAAGTTTCGCTCTCTCTCGCTTTCCTCCTCTTTGTTGCTGTTCGACGGTGGTCGCACAAGGAGAAGTCACGTGATATGCGTGTCGACATCCAAACCTCTCCAAACCTGCATCCAAACAATCGTCCGAGTCCGAGACCTCATTACTACCTCAGAGAAACAGGAGGAAGAGCAGCAAACAATGGCACCTCCAGAGCTACCGTTCGACGTCAAGTTCCAGCGCATGGTGGAAGCAACTCTGGTCCAGGACCGGAATCACGCTGCCGCGCTTACTGCCTTAGACGTTCGTTCCGCCATTTATCGTGTCCCAGCTTTTGCGGAATGAGTTGACCCTCTAAGTTTCCTACAGACGCTCACAACCCTACTCTCCAATGTACTCAGTCACTCGACCGAACCAAAGTTCCATTCATTTCGCCTCCAAAACAAGCGCATCTCGGCCTTGATGTCCAATCCGCACGCCTCGACGCTCCTGTTGTTTATCGGGTTGCAAACACGTGTCCGCGAGTTTCAGGAGACTTGGTATTTTCCCGAAGGCTTGGTCGAGAATACCGAAAGGTTGACGACGGCGAGGGATATATGCGAAGGCTACATGAAGACGATCAACGAGAAAGCCGAAAAGCAGGAACGAGGAGTTAAAAGCAAACTCGAGGAGGAGAGGAGACGGAAGGACGAGGTCTTGAGGATGATTGAGGGAGATCGTTTGGAGAGGTGTAAGAAAGACGAAAACAAACTACCGCCAAAGTTTCCGGCACGATCTCCAGGAACCGACGTAAAGAGGCTCAAATGAGCGATCATATGGTCTTGGCTCGATATAATGATGTGGTCAGAGGAGCAGCTTGACTTTCGAGCACATGTTGCCATCCGCCCACTCCCGCAAGCAATGTCTCCACCGCCCTTGAGAAATCCTTGATGCACGGGCAGCGAGCGCTTGTTTTTCATCTTCGATTTGGGCGTATCAGGCATCAGAAAAGCGTGTTCGTTAGGCCTTTCGAGATGGTTTGTAAATAGCGTCGTAAATCATTGAAGATTTTGGAATATACCCTGTTTGATACGTAGGCGGTAGCCTGACCATTCAGTATGTATCATTGTCATGTTCAATGAAATTCCGCTTCTCATATCAAGCACCTCATCTGAGAACTCTGCGATGCGTGTTGTTCCTCGGAGGTCCTCCGGACTCGGACTCGGGCTAGGCACATGAAGATAGAGCCGGGATGTCTACGGAGTACAGTACTGCATATAACAGATTGATACATAGAGGGATCCATGTCCATGGTATACATATATGGCTCTGCCTATGCCGCTTTCACATGATTCGGGAACCTTCGCATTGCGCAGTGGGCAGACCAGGTTATTTTTTGATCAAGGTTTGAAGGCTTCGGTGACTGAATTCTCACCTAATCCAAGTTGGGGGCCCGAGTGGACTTGGATAGGCTCTTGGACTCGTTCCGCATTGGCGCCCACATCCACAAGCGTGCTCGCGATGGGATGGAACGCGCTTTTCATGTGGGAAAATTGACAGGCAACACATCATCCAACAGCAAGCATATAACGGCACGCTCACAGCCCCTTCTCTCATCGATATCAAAAAACGCAAAAAAGCCTAAATGTAGTATCGTCTACGTACGGGACTATATGGACATCTATACTGTACTGTACGCACCACCCGCCATACATATATGCCGGCTGGTCTTCGCCGCCGCCCTGAAAGCCTCTGTCGTCTCTGTGTTCCCAAGGCTCGTCGAAGTTGTCTCTATAAAGACTCTGTTTTCAAACTCCGCCCGACATTCCCACAACTCCGCCCGACGACCAACAATTGCAACTGTGACTTTCTTCAAATAAGGTATGTATTAACAGCTCAGAGGGAGGTTACAGGGGACGAAGGCCCACTGAGAGAAGGCTCGCTCTATGTTTCTGTTGGGAACGTCCATGGCGCTAGTGTTGGGAATTCACTCTTTTCCTGGTCCGTCGTCTGCCAGGCTTTTCTTCCTCCGGCCTACAAAATGGTTGAGATAACTCCGAACTGGCAACAAGTGTTGATCCCAATAGGGGCAGTCCTGATCGCGTGGATTGTACACATCATTGTGTTCCTCACTGGGAAATGGGTAGCCCGCCAAACGCCGTGGCCATTCGATGATGATTTGGTCAACTACAGCAAATGGCCGTTGTTTACGCTATTCCCAGTCATTGCGATCCTGATAACGATATCAAGAATCAATATCTCGCCAGACACATATGTCGACCTGCACAGAGCGTTCATGGTCATGTTGATTCTTTCGCTGGCATTTTATGCCTGCAACATGGTCAGGTTAGCCGCCACGACACTGCAACGAGCACAGAACGTGGAAGCGGAAAACAACCTTCACGCTCGAGTGGTGCACACTCAGATACAGGTTTTCAAGCGATTGTGCTATGGATTCATCCTCATCATCGCATTGGCTTGCTGGTAAGCATCTGGTCGTGACGTTCGTTTCCTCGGAATCGTCCTGCTCACGAATTCCCTTGTCGTCCACAGCGTCTTCACTTTTCCCACCGCATGGCAAATTGGAGCCTCGCTTCTTGCAAGCGCAGGTGTGATGGGTATTGTCCTCGGTATCGCGGCGAAGCCTATTCTCGAAAACACCCTCGCATCCTTTATTATCGCCATCACTCAGCCCATCTTGTTGGACGACGAGGTGGTTATTGACGGAGAGTATGGACGAATCGGTAAGGCAGAGAGCAAAACCGTCAAGGAGGTGATGTAACTTCCCGATTCTAACATCTTCCTCTCTCCTCTTTCCAGAGGGCGTGCACTCAATGTACATCGTTGTTCGCACATGGGATGCCCGACGACTGATCATCCCACTAGCGCGCGTATTCCAATCTTCGTTCGAGAACTGGTCGCGCCGCTCTCCATGGAAGATCGGAACGGCGTACGTGTACTTTGACCCGAGTGTCCCAATGGCCGACATCCGGACAATCTTCACCCAGCACGTCCTCCCCACCTCCGGTGGACTCTGGGACGGCAAAGTCGCCAACTGTGCAGTGACGGATGTTACCACCGATGGGTGGCTTCAAATCCGTTTCTTAGCATCGGCACGCGATCCCAGCAAGGCGTTTGATCTGCGATGCCACATTCGCGAAAAGATCATCGAGGAGGTCGGGAGGCGATACCCATGGGCGCTCGTTCGGCGGCGCGTCGAAGTCGTAAACGACCCCTTCGCGGCGTTGGAGAAGCTTAAGAGGCAAGATAGCGGCCTGGACGACGTCTGTAGGGCCGGTCGCGAGCCATTGCGCAATCTGCCCATCTCGGCTGCTCGACCGCTGAGAGACGAGACGACAATGACGGACATCCACAATGTGGTATCCGACTCTCCAACCCCAATGTATGAGAAGGACTACTTCGATGGTCTGGCTAGGGGTGATGATGGCGGCGGACACCATGGCAGCTAGAATGTTCCCATGTAGATGTAGAACCATGCGGCATAGACTTCACGGCGTACATGTCATAGACATTTGCCTCACATCGTATATAATGTGCATATTTACTCATCGTCCAACATGTGCTTGTTCTTTGAGATTCCCCCGATGAATCTTGGGGTATTGTGGACTGACGAGACCGATGCGGGAAGTTCAGATTAAAGTCCAAGATCTATATCTTGACGCATGTACGTGTAATTGGCGACCGCTTTGACCTTTTCTGAACTCGTCGGGTTTTTATCCCGAAGCCCCAATGCATGTCCCTTTGAGGAGCATGTTACCGCCTTGGTGTAGCGATGACTGCTTGCTATGTATCGTTTTCAAATTCACATGTACCACCAACATGACTACATCCAAAAAGTTTGATCAATGCCGGTTTAGTCTATCGGCAGTCAACTATGGACTACCGCAAAGCCATGAACTCCCAGACCCCATTGACGTTCAAAAGCTATTTCCAGGCACTTCGGCGGCGATGCACGGACAGTGTTTCCAACAGCGAATAGTCTCCTCACTTCTTCCGTACACGCACCCGCCATCTCGCAAGCGCACACACAAGCCTCATCGCAGCCCCAACCTTTTTCCTAGCCGCAACACGCCGTTTCCAAAACTCCTTCAGCATCAACTTTGCCGACGACAGATGCTCCTCAGGTTCCCATGTGCGGCCGGCGTCGCCGTAGCCCTCCCAATGGACGAGGTATCGTTTCTTGATGTTATCACTCTGGAGGTCACCCGGGTGAACCATCAGCAACGCCGACTTCCCCAATAACGGTTGCCCCGTGACAATGGGGTCGCCTTCGCTGCGGACGCTGATGATGCTCTCGACGATGTAGATGTCGTTGTCCTCCGCGGGTTTCTCGACTTTGCGCTTTTTGACGGCTTTGCCGGCGGGAGCTTTCTTGCGTTTGCGAGTGTTGGGAGCTGGGAACTCTTCCTTCGTGACGGTAGCGGATGCTGTGAGGCTGAATGACTTTTCGGCATTTTGGGCTGCGCGTCGTTTTTCAAGCTGACGAAGAGGAAGTCAGGAACAGCGGATATGATGGAGTAAGATGAATCTTTGATCTCCTTACTTTGAGTCGTTCATGCATACTCATGCTGTATAAGGCATCATCCGATTCATCTTGCCCATTCTCGGCGGGCTGTGCATGGACAGAAGTCTGCGGCTCGTCCTTGACGGTACCGTTGAAAACAGGTTGAGAAGGGAGTTCGGAGACAGATTGAGGCGCGACTTGTGGGATGTCCATGGCGGCTTCATCATGAGGAGTAAGCGGTTCGAGTTTGACTGCGGGGAATGAGTCGGCCTGACCTGAGCAGTTTTCCGCGCTTATTGTGAGCGCGGGCAGGGGAGTACGCCGCGGTTCAATCTTCACAATAGGGTCAGATGCCGGAGGCGAGGGAGCCTCCCCGCTAGGTGTGACCAGATGTCTAGAGGTACACGATGAATTGTTGGCGATGCGACGAGAGGCCTCCTGCGGTGCCCGATCTTTTGCACTGGAGGCCACTGAATGACCAGAAGTCCGCTGTTCACTGTTCCCGGAGCGGTCAGGGGTATCTTGATCTGAATGATCCTTTGCAGTGCTAGCTATCGCAGAATGACCCAAACTTCCCAAAGCACAGGGATCATTGTTGACGATCAGGTCAGAGCTATCTTGACGTGACTGATTTGGCGTGCTTGTTGCAGCTGAGCGACCAGAGGCATGTGATTCATCATTCACAGAGCGCCTGGGAAATTCCTGAGATGGGGGATCTTTTGTCTTGGCGGTGACAAAATGACCAGAAGCATGGTGTTCATTCTTCCAGAGCTGACTATGCATATCTTGATGATGTGAATTGACCTCTTCCATAGGTTCAGTGGAATGGCCACAGTTATGCGATGCATTGTTGGCGATGCATCGGGAGGCCTCCTGCAGTGCCCGATCCTTTGCACTGGAGGCCACTGAATGACCAGAAGTCCGCTGTTCACTGTTCCCGGAGCGGTCAGGGGTATCTAGAGGTGAAACATCGTCTGAGCTAGCGGTGGCGGAGTGGCCCGGGGGATATGATTTGTTGTTCATGGGCCGGTGAGAGCTATCTTGATGCGACTGATCCTGTGTGCTTGATGTGACCGAACGCCCAGCAGTAGGTGATTCGTCATTCAAAAAGCGCCAAGTAATCTCCTGAGGTGGCGCATCCTTTGTACTGGCTGCAACAGAACCACCCGAAGCATCCCGTCCTCGATTCTTCAACCGTCCATCATATCGGTGCGGCCGTTGTTGATATGGCCGGGGTCTTACAACCCGTCCGCCGCGCTCAACGACGAATATACCCGTCGTCTGACCGGAAGACGGGCGACGGTCTGGGCTCCGGCTTTGACGACGGCGCGGAGGTGGGAGGACGCTTCGATCGCTTCCACGCGGCGCTGCGTCTCGCGCATCCAATCCTCTTCGAACATCTTTGCGTAGACCAATTCCACTAGCTGAAGACATTTCGGCAAGCGCGTCGGACGATTTGTTGCGATATTCTCGCTTGCCGGGTCGAAGCGGCGGACTAGACGGAATGAGGTGTTGCCGTTCGGGATGCGCACCCCTAGGATTCCTTCTGCTCTCCGAGTTCGTGTGATTGGATGGTACAGTTTCGGACCGTTCAGCCGAATCGCGACGATGCCCAGATGAACTCTGTCCGGCCGCCGCATGGGTATGATTTGCGCGTGCAGGAGGTGAGCGGCGATCCTGACGATATGAATCAGGCGGACTTCTTCCGCGGCCCGCATTTGTACTCTTTCCGCGCTCTGCATCGCTATGATGGCGCGCCCGTTGGGACCGCGGCCTCATTCCGCGATCTGTCTCAAACGACCTCCTTTTCCCAGCCGTTGCGCTGGAATGGTATGGCGGTGCACTACGATCTTTCGACGGTGGAAAGGAACGGCGGTTTAATTTTGTTGAATCGCCATTACTGCTAGATCTGCCCAAATCCTCTCTTGCTACATCGCCGTTAATGTTCGATCTCTCCAAATCCGTCGTCGGTGGATCGGCCTTCATTTTTGATATGTCGAATTCCCTTTGATTCGATTCTTCTGACGGCTTCAGCTTTCTGAACCTCATCCCGGTTGTGACTTCCTTGAAGGACGGCGGAGGAGGTTCGCGTTGGCCACTGTTTGCTGTTGATCCACCAGTGGCCGGCCGTACATTCTTACGTGGCAGCGTGGCCGGGATATTGTGCTCCGTTTCATGCCGTACCCCATCGGTTTGTTTCACGGGGTCTGGTATATTGGTACGTATGGTACGTACGGGAGTTGCGGGCGTGTAATACTCGATCCGATCGACGTTGGCCGCAGGGTCAGGCCTCTTGGTATCGATGGTAACTGGCGGCGCGATTGGTTGTTTGAAATTCTGCAGGATGGATAACAGACCGGCAGGGGCCTGATAAGGCAACTGCGTCGTCGTGGGGTCGGGTTCGCTGCTTCCCCACAGTGACGAGATGAGGTCCGTCAAAGAGCTGGTGCCGGCAGCACCAATACCACCGCCGAAATATGGCTCGCCGTCTCCGAAGTGTGCCATTTCGATTTCGTCTCTTCCGTGGGAAAAGGTCGCTTCTCACAAAAACGATGTTTGCGGCCGCCCAAAGACCTTTGCGAAAGCTTCCGTTCCGGTCTCTCTCTCAATGGTGGTTTGTCTATCAACGCCGCCGGGCTCAGCGTCGGCGGGTGTGTAATGACTACAGGCTCGGCGAGTCGGAAGCTGTCGAATGAGTAAGGTCAGTCAAGGGGGACCAAAAGGGTACTCCGGGCAGCTTTCGCAGATGTGACTGAGTGGAGACTTTTCGCCCGGCACCAGTAGCGCCGTCTGAGAGTATGTATGTATGTACTATGTATATGTATTGTATGTGCAGGGATATTCGAATGCCGGGATGAAAACAAACGTCATGTGCGTTGATCTCGAGTGGAGGACAGTCTTGCGGAAGACCATTTTTGCGTTGTCGGACAGCTCAGCTCGGTGCGTCAACGCGTCGCCGGAAGGCCGAGAAGACCCTGGAGAAGACCGGGCTCCTTCAGGCATACCCCAAGAGCACACAGTGTCCACAGTACATGTCCAATAGGTAGCTCAAATGGCGCATCAAGTTTTTTTATAATATGACCACGTACAATGTACAGTACATCACGACAACTTCTCCATGGGTTCACCACAACTCCCCTGTCTATACATCGGGAAGGCCAAAAACTCGTTCGCTCGCAAAAACGACGATGTACATCCGTCTCCAAAAACAACTCGCATGCCTAGCGTCGAGTTTCTCTGCCATGAATCCTTCTCCCGCGCCCAATAAGTTATATGCGATGGGGTGTTGCGAGACAAGTTTGCGCGCAAGCCCCCCGGTGGTAAGGTGTCTGTCTATGTATAAGCCGTTGCGATCCGTGGTGTCACCGTCTATATCGGATAGCTGCGCACGGTCGATTCGTATGAGTTCTAGGTTTTGATGAGGTCCGAGTAGCAATCATAGCGTGCGTTCGAGCCCAATCGAGAATACGTTAGGAACTTGTCGAGTTGTTTTCGCAAGGGTTGTCCAAAAAATATAACGCGAGGGGATATGGTATAGTGCTGAGATGTCTTTCACATAGGTTATACCATCAGCGGCGCAGGTGCTTCGTCGGTGACCACTGAGTCTTCTTCCGGAAGCCCTGGAGTGGACGGTACATCTTGTACTTCTGCGGCTTCTTCGGAGTTGATTTCGGCGGTTTCCGCGACCTTTTGGCGCTTGCTCGGTGTTTCGTTGTTTGCAATCATATCTTCAAAGCTAAGGGCTGATCGCTTTCGGGAGCCTTCACTAGGTGTGTCGAGGCTGGCAGCGATCTTTGCAGCAATAGCAGGGTCGCTCAGACCGTCGAGAACTTCCCGGAATTTGACGTTCTCCTTGCTCAAAGTGTCGAGTTCTTGAACGAGAGAGTTGGCCAACGATACCGCCTCGTCCCTCTCTCGCCACCAGAGTTCGCGTTCGCTCACCCACGCCTCGCGATCGACGACGAGACGTTCCGCTAGGCACTGAACTTCCGCGAGACGCGCGTCGGCTTCGGCAAGACGGACCTCGAGCGAATCCGATTGTGCGGCTTTGGCTTCCAGTTCCTTAACATACTGCTGACGACGCTCTCGGAAGGCACGCTGTGCGGTACGATTTTGTTCGGCGCGCCGAGCGGATGTCTTGCGTTCTGCTGGGGTCGTCATCATGTCTGCCTTGTTGTTGTCGGGATGTGCAAGTGCCGCCGTTGGCGAGGAAGGGTCGGTCTTGTCAGAGCCGGATGCACGTCGAGATTCTCCTGAGGATTTGGTTCGGGCGCTCTTTGATTGTGCTTCGGGTGTTTCAGCGTTGAGTTGGCGTTGCAGTGCTTCCTTATCGTCGTAATCAAACCCCATCGGTGATTCGATGATGGCAGCAGCAGCGGCCCTCATCATGCGCAAGCGAGCGTTGTTTGCAGTCTCGTAGCTTAGATCGGAAGCGGATATTTGTGGGTGCCTTTGAGACGACGCGGGGTGCCTTTGCTCGACGTGTTCGAGTTGCTGATGATGGATGCGTCGAGCCTCGGCTGCTGCGTGCTGGTAGATCCTGTCATCGTCAGCGAAGTGGAGAGCGTTGTGTGAGATATGGTGAAGAGGGTGCTCTGGCTGGAGCGGATGAAGCTGATGACTTGCTAGGCGACTTCTGCTGCCGAGCATGAGCGGACTGTGACGCGTTGACGAACCCCGACTAAGCGTAGGCGAGCGGGAGTCCATCGATATCGGACTTAGCCTCACGGCGGCCCCCATATCAGCACCGTGATCGTAGGGTGCGTGCATCAATGGTGGATGGCAGAGCGCTCCAGCGTCCATGTGGCTGTTGCCGTAGAAGGAATCTTGGTACATGCCGTACATGCCGATATGCGAACTAGGATACATCGAGTGATGGAACTGGTCGTGCACGTGATGGGGTTCAGCTGCCGGAGAGGTCGCGTCGGCTAGCGAAGAGAGATGCTCGCCAAATTGGTGCTCGTCACCGTCGTCAGTTCCGAGAAGGCCGCCTGGTGCTCCGTATGGTGAGTCCATCGTGGCTGGGTACGCGAGATGAGGGTAAAACACGATTTCTTGACGGGCTCTATTTATTGCGGGGTAGGGCGAGGTCGGAAACGTAAGATCAGCACGGCGTAACATATTTCGGCAGGAAGCACAGAACTCCAGGAAAGACAGCTTCGGGAAGATGAAAGTACTGAAGCTCACCTCAAGAGGCACCACCAGGAAATATCAAAGGCGGGGACGAGCGTGGAACGAGATACAAGTCCAAGGGGACGTGTGTGCTGTTGAAAAGGCTTACGAGAGAAAGACGCGTGGGCGAGAATCCGGTAGCGATCGCGCTGTCCCGAGTAATTTCGGCAGGATGTTCAGATGGACGACGAACGGAGCAAGTATCAGGGACGGAATGGGCAAGAGACGAAATGGTACGGTAAGCTAGCGGGCTCTGCGCTACTGTCCGGTCGCTTTATAAGCTGCACTGGACATGTACGGAGAAGCGTTTGCCTCGAAAAAGTTTGTTTCTGATCTCAAACCCCGTTCAAAGCTCATGAGAAACTCTCGTAAACATGCGAAAACGCTCTAAACTTTCATGACATGGATTGTTTGTCTTCCATCTCGCTTGATTACCAGAGCCATCATTTGCTGAACCCCTCGATGATGCCTGCATGTGACCCATGGACTGCTGGGCTGCCTGGCCTGGGGCCTTGGGCTAGCGAGCAAAAGGAACATCGGCGTCTGAATCAGAGAAGGGCAATGCTCAGAGTCTCAAGACGCACAAGATCCAGATCGTCTAAAAAACAGCGACTCTGGGAGACCCTACATCATGCGGGACTTCGGGGTTTGAAAATCCAGGAAGTTAGGCATACCCCTGGGGGGAATAGAAGGTTTTCGGTCAAAAAAACGCGTCGTTACGTAAGCGTGTTCAACATTGTTTCCCTGGCATGTTCAAGTTTGTTCTCGCGCCAGCATATCGTGTAGGACCTTCCTCATGGGGACCCGAGGAGGGAACCCGTTACTTCGAGGAATGCCCGACGTCAGCCATACCTATCTCCGCTGGTCTTCGAAAGCTGGGGTCCCCTCTATATGTGCAAACTCGGATTAAAACAGTACAATGCTTTGGAGATACCGCAGCCTCTCTCATCTTCCGAGTAGACATGCCAACTCAATGTAGTAGAGCATTGGAAAGGTTTCGTCGTCTTCTGTAGAAAACTCGGATCCCGCCATTTTGAGACCCTCTTGGAACTCTGTACTGGCCTGAGATGGGGACCGCGCCAGAAGCAACGAGCGCAACCGACCATGAAACAAAACGATCGTTGAGCCCTGTCGATCGTCGAGACGAAGTAAGCAAATGACGTAGTATCCGCATTTTTTGCGAGACGGCGGACAACGGTTTCCGCCAGCGGCTACTGACTTGAATATTGCTTGCGGTTGTCAAACCCATCGAGGGATGTAAGTCGGATAGAGTATTCCGCTAAATCACAAGCCTCGGTGGGGAGAATCCATGTAGGCGAAGTCTGCAAACTTGGGTACGTGCCGACTTCGTGATGCTGCGTGGACATGTAGGAAGCAGCTGAATGATTACCTCTCAAAAGTTGACGCAGATTCATATAAGCTAAAGTAATTAAGTGATAGTCGGATCTCTGGATGTAATCCTCACCCGACCAACACGGATGGTCATAACGGCATTGACCGTCGTTGGGATTTAACCGGCTCGGCAAAGAAATGGGTCCTTTTCACATGGAATAATCGCACACACAGCCAGCCACTTGTTGGGGGTCTAGTTAATTGGCGCTGCCCGAGTTGGGGGTTCCATGCAATGGACAACATACTACTGTAATATAATTCGCTGCCGAACAAGAAAGAAGGGCGAAGTCCGACAACGGGACGAAGAAAAGAGAGCGAGTTATAGAATACTGTTCAGACGTCACGTGAGAGCACGAGTCCGCTGCATTCCAATTCATGTTTGCGAAGTCCGCGGTGCTGTAACGTTCCAAACTGATACGTTCGTCCGGAAAGACGAAACAGAAGCTTCGAACGGGACGCTATCCCATCAGCGTCAAGCCCGCGGGCACGTAAGCAGCGTTCTTGGCAGCGCTCTTGGCGATCACCCCTCGTTCACGGCTCACAGGCGACGGAGAGACATGGCGGCCAACAGCAGAAGGAAGGGTACGTTACGGCTCGTTGGTCTTTGGGTTAATCTTAAGTTTGTTTATGACGGCGAGCGACCGATTCCGGGATGGAGTCATCGACACGTCTTGCAACATCACTACTAAGCGGACACTAAGTGGACACCAAGCCGACACCAAAGCAACTCATAGTCATATTCATATCGGAATGGCGGGTCGACGATTGTTTCTTCTTCTTTCGGCATTATTCTTTGGGGGAATCATAACAACACTCATAGGCAGTACTTACTACGGAACCAGCGAGTTACCGCATTCCAGAGCAAGTCGAGCGCCTCGTCCAGAGACCGGCCCGCGAAACGAACGAGTGCTGGCGCAAACGAGTGCCGAAACCCGCAGGCTTGCTTATGTCTTCTACGTTACAAACGATCAATATGCCTGCGCCTCTCTTGTGTTAGCGGATTCGATTGTGAAAGCCGGCAAGCGGCCGGATATCCCTTTTACCGCGTTGTACACAGATGAAGTTTCTGAGTCGTATCGGAACAGGCTGTTGGGATCTGGAATGAAGATACAAAGGGTGCAAACTGTCCGCACAAGTACAGGGGACCCGACGTGGGCGACGTCAATGACGAGAAATATCGTTTTCAACATGACCGAGTACGACCGTATAATAGTACTAGACAGCGATGCGTGAGTGTAGCGATGGTTTCTTTTTCAATGCCGTGTCGAGACCCCTCTAACCACATTACAACCCGATAGGCTTGTAATCACGTCCTTGGATTCGTTGTTCGATCTCCCATCATATCCATTATATGCAGCACGCGCCTACTGGATCAAGCAACCTTTTTTCCAATCTACGCTCTACGTGATCGAGCCCTCCACGGCCTTGTACGAGAAGCAAGAGAAGGTCTTCCTCGAGGCTTCTGCAAAGGGCGAAACCCTTTTCGATATGGACGTTGCAAATCGCGCGTTTGGCGACATGATCGGGCTATTACCAGGAACGATCGCCACGTTAAATGGCGATTTCAAGGCTCCAAAAACAGGCCCGTCAGCGGCCAACCCGCTGATTACCGTCGATCAAGCAGCAAAGAGCCCCAAGTATGTTCACTTCAGCGAGTCTCCGGGGGGAGGATGTAAGTCTTTTGCTTTCGTTCTGAATACTTTCACGGAAGGCGAAGTAACGATTCCTTCCTGGATCAGATGGCAAACCCTGGGGACGCGGGCGGTCGGTAAGCACCAATCCTGATTCGCATCCGCTTTTCGAGGAACTCTTCCACAAGTTTTGGGCTGGACAGGACAAGTTGTGCGGGTAAACCTAGGGTAGTCATAGTCTGGGCGAGTGATATTCCGTCAAATTTTTGGAAATGCACTACAACAACTGCTCGGACTTGAATGCTGCGTGTTTTTTTTTACCGACAAGCGAATCCCAGTCCAACAAGCCGCCCCCGGCGGTGCGGGGCAGAAAAGATGGACGAACCAGAGTTGTTTTTGAGATGATTTATTGTATGAATCGTACTAGGCGCACGGCGAGGTGTGATAGACGAATACAAGATGCAGATGTGAATGAATGTGAATGAACGTGAATGTGAAATGCAGGGGTATGAATGCAGTGGGTCTATAATGCTAGGTATGATGAATGATGCTATGATGAATGATGTGATGCTCTAAACTGTATGAATGCAGGTCCAAAATGTGACTGATGTGATATGATGGAAGGGTATAGGGCTGGAAATATGCAATGGTGTATCGCGAGAAAGAGATCCTTCGTCGTTCGCTCTGCTCGGATCACCCGACGCGCGGTGTCGCTTCGGCCTTTTCGCTCAGAGAGCGGTAGGGGCTGGGGCGGCGGTTTTCTTCTTCGGGCACCAGAGGCACCGCAGGCCCTTGCACTGGGGGAGGGCAAAGTTGGCTGCACAGCACGTGTCGCAGTCGGCCTCGACCTCGGCAGGGGGTGTGACGACGGGCTTTGCAAGCTTGGGGCACCAGAGGCACTTCAGGTTCTTGCATTCGGGGAGGGCAAAGTTCGCGGCACAGCACACCTCACAGTTTGCGGTTGCAGGGATTTCGGCGACGGGGGTGGAAACAGGAGTCGGGACAGCCGCGGTCTTCTTGGGGCACCAGAGGCATTGGAGGTTCTTGCACTCAGGAAGGGCAAAGTTGGCAGCACAGCAGACGTCGCAGTTGGCCTTGGCCTTTTCAGCGCGAGCCTCGAGAACGGGAGCTGGGGTGGCGGTGGTAGCAGCCGCGGTCTTCTTGGGGCACCAGAGGCATTGGAGGTTCTTGCACTCAGGAAGGGCAAAGTTGGCAGCACAGCAGACGTCGCAGTTGGCCTTGGCCTTTTCAGCGCGAGCCTCGAGAACGGGAGCTGGGGTGGCGGTGGGAGCAGCGGCGGGTTTCTTGGGGCACATCAAGCAGCGGATACCCTTGCATTCCTCGGTAGCGAAGTTGACGGCACAGCACCTCTCGCAGATGGGCTCGGCAGCGGCAGTAGGGACGACGGCGGTGGGCTTGGGAACAGCGGCGGTGGGCTTGGGGCACCTGAGGCAGCGGACGCTCTTGCATTCCTCGGTAGCGAAGTTGACGGCACAGCACCTCTCGCAGATGGGCTCGGCAGCGGGAGGAGTGACAGCGGTGGGCTCGGGAACAGCGGCGGTCTTCTTAGGACACATCAGACAACGGATGCCCTTGCATTCGTCAGTCGCGAAGTTCACAGCGCAACATCTGTCGCAGATGGATTCCGCGGCGAGGGCGGCGGCGCCAGGGGCGACGGGAGCGGCGGCGACGAAAGTAGCGCACACGGCCAAGGTGGCGAGGATAAAGGTGGAGAAGCGCATTGTTGAAGAGAAGAGAGGGCTTGTGAGAGCGAGAGAAGGGAGTTGAAGTGGATTGCTTTTGTGATGCTGCTTTGGTTGGTGATGATGATGGGGAAGAAGCGAGCAGTCCTGCCTCTTTTATAGCCGATGAAGGTGCCGGACAACCGTCCTGAGCGGCCGCTGCTTCACCCTGTCCATGCAGACATGTACAGACCGGCCATCAGTGAGAGGGAAAAAATCAAAAAAGAAAAAGCGAACACAGACTCGTAATAACTTCCTATCAGCTCGCTCTCAGCTCCGAAATGAGGCTTTGACGATGGCTACATCTGGCTGAACTATTTTCCAAATGAAGGCGTTGTGGGGTCGCCTTTCGTTTTTCTTTTGGCTTCTTTCCTCCTGTCCGCTCGCTCCAAGATCTAGACCATGCACACGCAGACTACCTACAGGACCAGCCTCACGTAAGTTACTTGCCCGTTTTTCTTTCGCAGCTGCCCTCGTCAGCAGAGACGCGTGCAAATGTTGTTGAACAGCAATTTTGGCTGTCCGGCTACTACCTACGGACGAGGCTGACACGCATGTGTGTCCCCAAGAGAACAAAAAAAAGGAAATTTGGACAGCTTGTCAACAGCGGTTGATGTCCGCACCACGGACCAGAATCAGATGGACCCTACCCAGGCAGCAAGCGTGAACGAGCCGCCCATCGGCCGGATTCCCGCTCCGATTCCGATTTCGGTGACCTGACGACCAGATTATCTCACAAACATCATCAAAAGTTGTCGTTTGTACCACCCAGAACCAGCACAGCGCTGAATTAGTTGTGGTCCGTCGGATTTTTTCATTTTAAGCTCACGCTGCCATCTTTCAGCTCGTGAGATTTGATGGCGCGGAGGTGGGGTAAGTGGGGACTCGGGAGTGTACTGTACAGTTTTTTTTTCGCCGTTTCGGCCCGTCTCATCCCGAATGCAAAAAGCTTGGCCGCCCAGCGGACGAAGAAGGCCAACCGCTGCCACCTAGGCCTCATCAGCTTGTGCCGCCTAACGGCAAATTTCCAGTTGGTTCCAGGGCTGTCTTCCTGGCCACTGACTTCATCAATTGCGACATGTTCCGACGAGTCTGGGCGATAATGAGACGAGACGAAACGTTCATCATCCCTCATCAGAAGTAACCCTGGGAGCGGAAACATGAAGCGGGCGGACCAACCACCGAGAACATTGCCGTGGTGCCGGGCGGAAATGAACCCGCCTGCGCACCTCATTTCAGTTTAATTTCAATTTCAAGCTTGTGCTGCTTGCCACAGTGTGCATGGACTATTGTACGCAACCGCCATTTGCAGAGCAGAGCAGCCGCAGCTACCATGTTTGTATACACGATGGAATAACTTCGAACGGACACACATCATGGACAACGTGGGTGCACGAATGGTTGTCAACCCTCATCAAGAAAACAGTCTATTTGAAGGATTATTGCTGTCGTTCAACTTGTCGACGTGAGCGGCTCAGTGTCATTTGTGGGCCCAGGGGAAGTCGCAGTGCACTACTGTATATGCAGTCTATGCATGCAGTATGCGGCTGCGGGCGGCATCAATGTTGCCATGGCTGCCTCGCGGATAAATGAGCTCTAGCTTTCGCCGATTCCATCCGCTTCTGCCGATGTGCGGTGGTCCTTTTTTTTGTCCAGTGCCATGCGAACGTACGGGGGCTAGTCGCCGTTTGCCAATGCTGATGCGCACGCCAAGCGGGGCTTTTTCTGATTTTGATGTAGAGAAAAAAGGAAAATTTGTGAACACAAGAAAATCGCCCCGATATTTGATGGGAGACGTAATCCTGAATTTCTGCATGTCTGGGAACTGATCTGGGAACCCTGCCGAGCGGCCCCCCGCGAACGCGTTGTCCATACGCCAGAAATCGATGCCTTCGTCGGCCAGGAGAAAGTCTCAAAGAATGGCAGGTTTGAACGGCTGCCGTAATGCATATCGGATGTTTTTGCGTTACGGTGATATTCAACACAAAGTCACAACTTTACAATATGGAGCAGCGAGGAGCCTTGGAACAAGAACACACATCAAGAAATGACGTTCAACCAAGCAGATGAGACGACGAACAGCGTCTAAGTAAAGGCCCTCGATGTGAATCAAGGTCTACAGTTCCTTGGTGGATCCTCACCCCTGCCATCCGTCGATCCGCGACGCTCTTCTGCTTGCCAGTCTCTCGTGCTTGCACGAAAACTTCTTCAACTAGGGCTGCTTGCCACTTTCAAAAGGCATGACATGGCTGAGCTCCCATCGTCCATGCAGTTGTATCGGGTCAGCCTGGTTGGAGTTCATCGCTGAGAAGGTCTTGGCATTCTTTCCGAACCGTTTCGAGGTCGAGATCGTCAGTGAGAGGAGGTATATGTTGGACCGTCTGCTTCGATGTGCGAGGGTCGACAGACTTGGGCTTTGAAGTGTCCTTCTTGAAACCCAGCCAGTAAATCCGCATCCCTGGCTGACGTCCAGGCTGACGTCCTTGACCGCGGCATCCCGTCGGCCATCCGCCGGTGCAATCCTGTCAACGGGTGCACGCCACGGCTTTGATGCTTATGACCGGGCGGCAGCATCTAGCTCTCATGGTCAAGAAAGGCAGTTGATATTCGATACATCTTCGTACGATCCTCTCTGAAGCACACAGCCCAGCACACAGCCGACTGTAATGAAAATGTGCAGTATATGTAAGCGTTCTATGTACAAGTGAAACCTATCCACCCTCTCTCCTGGTCGTTCTGTGAACGCTAACAAATCAAACCGAGGGATGAGTCTAAAAAAGCCTGAAAGTCTTCAAGACCAGGGGTATACTTCTCAAGCAAAATCCGGCATGCTGCCAAAACAAATCTATGAATCCAGAGGTTCACAGGAGGGAGAGGGGATATGTATCCACGATCGATACGCCCGAGACGATTTAGTGATGCTGTGCAGGTATGGGAATAGGAGGTATATACCAAAGACTTCCTGTTTAGCCGGCGTAATGTGAAAGGTTCTTGTTGAACTCGATAACGCGCGGGTCGACGCGGACTTTGTCTCGCTTGTAGTTCAGGACCTGGCATTGCGAAGAGGAGAGACCGATGAGGGATTTGTTGCAAACTAACGCAACGCCCAGCGAGATGCGGCTTTTCTGTACATACCTGCAATCCCTCCAACGAAGTGGCTCGTGATAACGCGACGTAGGCTTGACCATTCTCGAATACCCGTCCGAGATCGACTTTCACGCGTTCCAGCGTTTGACCTTGGGATTTGTGAATTGACATCGAGTATGCTAGCAGGAGCGGGATCTACATGAACGTGCATATTAGGCTCGGCCCGCAAGGTGGTTGGCTGTAAAAGTAGCAATGCATACCTGAGTTCGACTGGCAACGACCCCGAGCCCTGGCATCTCACAACTCCATGTCTCGGTCGCCATCTCCATAAGCCTCGATTCTCGGCCTCCTGAAACAGTAAAGTCGACTATCGGATTTCCGCTCTCCTTCTCAAACCCATGGACCTTCCCCAAACTCCCATTGACGAGCTTGTCGTCAATGTTCTTGATAAGCATGACCTGTGCTCCGATCTTCAGTTCCAAAGTTTGCGGAGCCATGAAGTCCTTCAACCGGGCCTTATCGGCGTCGCTTCGCGTGTAGTCCGTTGCGTCAAACGTGCGGCTGGAGCCATTGAGATTTCGCAGGCGGACCGTGTTGGCGTCGTCCACTTGGGTGCGGACGGCGAAGAGTGAGGTGGGTTCGAGGCCATCGCCGAAGGCGAGTTCTCGGGATAAACCCATCAAAATCCTTTCGGATTCGGGGGAGACGATGCCGATGCGCATCTCGTTGAGCAGGTTGATCAAGGTGGAATCCTTCTGCCGGAACACGTGTTTGAGCTGGTGGGAGGATACCATCGCTTTTTGTGAGTATCTTATGCGGGACGTTGTGCCACGAAACAGTGTAGAGTCTCACCTGAACGGTCTTTTTGATGCACCTCGACCAACTCTTTGCTTCGAACGCGAAGCTTGCTTTCCGAGACACTGTTGACCAAAACGGGCGAGTCAGCATCTCCTACACGGACGATGACAGGTAGCAAAGGTAAGAGTGAAGGCAAGACTTACCAGGCGGTAGCTGCATGAAGTCTCCACAAATCACAAGCTGGATCCCGCCAAACGGACTTGAGTCTTTGCGCACTTTCTGCGCAACGTATTCCAGTTTGTCGAAGAAGTCGCCTTCCACCATGGAGACTGAAAGGAAAGTCAATGAGGATATCAGTGACTTTCAACTGAGTGCCTATCCTTCAATTGCAGTCGAAGTATACGCACTTTCATCAATGATCAGGACTTTGGTTTGCGCCCATCGTTTCGCTGTACGCGGGTTGCGTTGAACTCTTCCCGCCAGAATCTCGGCAGGTTCTGGAGGTGCACCAGCGTTAGAGCAGCTGACGAGCCTTGGCTTGGGTGAGGAGTTTTCTGAACCTACCTTGCCCCAATCCGCATCCTGAAAAGCTGTGTAAGGTCGTTCCATTGATGTTGCAGGCAGCTATTCCAGTGGAAGCTGTGCAAGTCAAGCGGGAAGTAAGTACCGGGCTAGGTTTTGATCGAGGAGACGACGTCCAACTAACCAGTTACAGCAATCTCCTGCTTCTTGTACGTCTCGCGCAGGCGGCGTATGATCTCGCGCAATAGCACACTTTTGCCGGTTCCTAGTTCAGACATGTATACGGTATTATTAGCAAGATCAACCTGGATCGAGCGCTATGACTGACCAAACTCACCTGCACTTCCAGTGAAGAATAAGCTCTGCCTCTGCGCTGTCACAAGCGTCGCAACATGTTCCTGCTCCGCAGAAAGCTCGACTGGCTTCCATTTCTCCTTGTTGGCCGCTAAGGCTTGGCGATTACCACTGCTGCCACCTTCCTCCATACTTCTGGAAGGAACCCTCTTCAAGGACGTCTTTTCGGTTTTGGGTTCCCACGGGAGTTGCCGATGAGCCGCTTTACCCTGGTGGCCGCTCGCCCCGGCAGTGTTCCGTGCACCTATAAGATCCGTCAATTTTGTCGACTTGGATGGGAGGCTTGATGGCTGTGCTCCTTCCAGTGTCCTCACGGCGGCTGATTTTGAAGCTGCAGATTGCGCCCATCCAGAGGACCTCTGAGATGCCATTGCCGCTGTTGTAGGTTTGCTGACGGTTAGTGGTGGCGGCTGCGACCATCCAGACGATCTACTGGCTGCAGCTTTAGTCCCACGGGTTGCAGTGGGAGCTGCAAACCTGAACTTGCTCAGATCCACACTAGCCAGGGTCGGCGGCGCGCCTAGGCCCGTATGGCTATTGACAAACGTAGGCACCTGTGGGCGTTTTTGTGCCTGCGGTGGCGGTGCAGATGCAGACACCACCTCGAGACCCGTAAGGTCGATGACCATTTTAGAGCCGCTTTCGCTTTTCTTCAACGCCATGGAAGATCTACTACTAGATTTGATCCCTGTAATTACATCCTTGCAGGTCCTGCTCTCCTCTTGGCTCGCTCTCGGAGAAAGATACGGGGAGTATCGAACGCTTCCGCCTGCCAGAGTCATTTTCCCACGAGTCGGTGCTCCGCCTGCACCATTCTCAGAGTCGCCGGTTGGAGAGGGCAAGGCAGCGGGTCGCCACGCAAAGTTGAGCGGAAGCTGTCGATACTCGCTCTCGTTTGAATTGGGCATGATCTTTGTGCGGACGGCGTGGGAAATAATGGGGAAAAAGGTCCTGGGAAAATGCTCCCTCGTCCGGTCGACCGCCCTCCCTCGTGCGTACAAAAACAGGTCTGTTGAATGGCTTGGGAGCCCACGAGACGACTTCTAATATGCTGCTGTGGCGGCGAACTCGTAGCGTTGTGGAGAGAGTGTGGTTGTCTGCGTTCCAGCTTCTCGATGCTTTGCTTGGGTGCGTATGGAATGGAGGAAGTTGGAGGAGGGCTTGGGGAAAGTGGGCAAAGGCCACGCGCCCGACGGGCAATTTCATGTCCGAAATGCCAAGGGCCACGTCCAGAGAGTCCAGTGTCCAGACTCAGGTCCAGACTCCATGGATCCGTATCGCTTGCAAATCCTGGCAAGCGGCCCCTCTCAAGCTCCTATATTCCACCGCCCATATCCAAAACAAGCCCCAGCTGCATTCGCTCTGCCTTACGTTGCGCAAGAATCCCGAGCGATACTTCTGGATAAAGGATTTCGATATGGGAGACAAATTCAAAAGCTCGGAAACCAACAAACCGGAATCGAGGATTGAATGGGAGCCTCTGATTGCGCCGAAATGCCGCAATTGTTATCAGTGCGCACCCACAACGCGCAGGCTTCTCCTAGAGCTTGATAATGAAGACGCAGACCGCCCTGAGAACGGCACCCAGTTTTATGGTTTTGGATATGGGAGTGGATGCTTATTTTACATTGGTGATTTCCACGATTATTGGCACGATTCCGCAGTATACTCCCTCGCGCAAATTGTAATATGAACATATGCTTCCGAAGCTGCCAAGCTCATAGGCGACGGTGAAATATCTGGCACGTTGCCCTATTTCCCGGGACTGCGTGTCATGCTGATTAGCTCCAGCAGCGTTTTCGAGTATGTGCAATGGCAACTACTTCCCGCTGTCGCCTACGTCCGCACAAAGGTCGACGACCACAACCGCTAATCAGATTCGGGGGCTTCTTGAAAGCGTCGTCGTGCTTGACGTGCACTTTGACCATCCTTACATGTCACTACCGAGGTGGAAGATCCGAACAGCACGCTCATACTCAGATCGCGCCGATGTCATTGTCCGACGATCTCAGCTGCAATCTTGCGGAACGAAGCTGGATCGACGGGTTTGCAGATTCCAACGGGGGCGGCATATTGGAGATCATGTACACCAATATTCGACATGTTGAGCACTACGATGAGAGTATCAGGATGTACGAAATGCAGGCACTGCGAAGCAAGAAGTTCGACGAAGTCCGTCGCATTCGGATCCGAGATGAAAACGACCGCTTGCTCCAGATGTCTTCGCTGTCGGAGCCGGGAGCCGAATGACCCGGCAAACTGTGAATGCTGGCAAGCGAGACTCCTCGGTCACATCTCCAAGACGATTCTTTATGCGTACCACGACAACTGGAGCCTTCTTCGTCAGGCGTCGGTATGGAGAGGACGCGAAGCTGGTCTGGTTCTTTCGCTGCAGGAGCAGGAGCCCGGTGACGAGTATCTTGAGCATACATATAGCTCTTGTCCCTGTAAGCAATGGAAGAGCGTCGGCGTAGAATGCAGGAGAACGGGGTTTAGATTCCCAAAGTACACGAAAGTGGTATAAATACTCGATCATATATATAGATCAATCGGTGACAGCCTAGTCTTTAAATGATTGTCCTCATTCATGGCGTATCTCACATCACTCAGCGGACGCTTTTGTAGTTTGGTAGGCAGCGGCCGGCCGCACTTCAAAGCCGGTGAATGCCTTATTCCGTACATGCTCATGGTGTTTGACAAGAAATTTTCTATACCCAGTTGGGACATGAAATCTGACCGCATGTCTCTCCATATATTTCCATACATTCAACCACCCTGAAACATCTCTCATATTACTCCCCATCCCCTCCAGCCGCCACAGCCGTACCCCGTCCCAAAAACACCTTGTCCCGCTCCCCAAGTTGCATCGTATACGCGGTAGATGTGAACGTGATGCTGGCCGGCAGACCGGGCTGCCCATCCGCAAAGTTTGTCTTCACTACGTGGTCTTGATGGATGATCTTGGATTGGCCATTGAGAATGCCATTGCTCCATGTGCCTTCCAGCTGTTGTGCGAGTCATATGATGAGTGGGTTGGATTGCCAAACCGAATGTGATCAATTTCCCTTACCTTGCTCCCGGATGAAGCTACCGTGTACACCCCCTTTCCATGCCGCACATCATCCTTCCAATGCCCTGAGTATGTGTCTCCATTGACGTATGTGTATCGACCTTCACCATGTCGTTTGCCATTAGCAAAGTGTCCTGCACAGCAAAACCAAGCATCAGCCTTCCAAAAACTTCACCTGCCCGCCCATTGTAAGCATATATGAAACCCACCAACATAAACCGAGGCATCCGGATACACAAACTTCCCCTCCCCATCCCTCTTCCCATCCTTATACCCGCCCGAGTACACCGCCAACGGCTTCTTCCAAGTGTACGTCCCCGTCTCTCCACGCACGCCAGACACGTAGCCGCCTTTGTAGACGTCGCCGTTGGGGAAGATATTGGAGCAGTCGCTGCCGGAGCGCTGGCCCGTGGCGTCGCGGGTGCCGGTGTAGGTCTGTGGATGGGGATTTGGTTTGATGTGATGGGAGAAAAGGCTTCGATATGGTGACTTACGCCGATGGTGGGGGCGGCTTCACCTTCTGCTTCACTCCCGTCGTCGGACATATTGCTCGATTTGGCTTTGCGGGTGCTTTCTTACGGTGTCGATTGAAGCTTTCTGCCTCGAGCTCTTGAATTCCCCTATGGCGCACTTGGCCAAAGTTTACAGTGAGTACGGTCGCGCGCGCGATGACTAAGCAACTCCGCAGTTCTCCTCATTCAACCTTCTTCGCCGAACCCCCGGCAACCAGGAGTTAAGGAGCGGGACACATTTTCCCGGAGGGCTGGAGGCATCCAAGCGGGGAAATCTCAGCCACAGAGCCGGGAAGTGAGCCCCACAAAGCTCAAAATCGCGAAACCGCCAGTTTCCTCCTGCAGCCTCGTTGCTAGTTCACTCGGGTCCAGAGCACAGAGCAGATGTTTGCGTGTTTTGGTTTTCTACGCGCAAGATCTATGAGTTTTTCTGGTGTTCCCTTTCACGCAACCCTCGTTAGATCTAGAGAAGCGCTTGAAAGTTTTGATTTCTCAAAGCCAGCATTACAGCACAGCAAATCGATTCGCCTCCGCTGGTTTCCTAGCAGAACCCTTTCCCTTCCCCTTCAGCGCCCCACCTGTGCAACGTCGCTCACAGACGCCTGCAATGAGTCCCATATCCAGCCCTCCCCCGGAGTACGTGACCAAACCCAACATCGTAGCACCCACCCACGACTATTCTCACGGTCCTCTCTTCTTGATTAGGAGCACCACAGACGGCGGCGAATCAGTTGCCTCAACGCGCCTGACGAGCATCGATGAAGCCCTGCGTGGGTTCCTAGACGACCATGTGCTCTTCAAGAACCTGGACGAGACGTTCATCAACACCGTCGCGGCGTCGATGCAGACGAGGGTGTATGGGGATAGCGCGTATATTATCCGCCAGGGGGAGGTTGGACGCGCGCTATTTTTTATATTGAAGGGGGAGGTGGAGATTGTTTCGGAGGATGGTGGGTATCGATGATGGTTGTGATGAATTGGTGGATCTCATGTCCGCTGTCGTAGACAGGGATTGAATCAGTGCATTCACGAAAGAGTTTAGTGACAGTATTTGTTGTGCAGGCGAGACCGTCATCAATGTCATGAAAGAGCAATCCTTCTTCGGCGAGGTCGGTGTCCTATTCAGCGTGCCACGGTGAGGAAATTTAGAAAGATAAGAGTAAAGCACACAAATGCTAAACTCCACCACCTTGCAGGACAGCATCATGTCGCGCCCGAGGGCGCTGCATCCTCGCCACGCTCACCAAAGACGCTCTGCAAGCGGCTGTCGTAGACCACCCCGAGGCAGCCGACCGCATCCGCACAATCGCCGAGGAGCGGTTCAGCAGCTACCTGAAGCAGAAGGAGCGCAAGGTCTTGGTGGAATTTGGGCAAGAGCTGGCATTGGGGATGACGCAGAGTGACCTGAAAAAGGTAGCATGCTCATTGTACGTCCCCCGCAATGCCGTTCGAACCTCGACACTCACGCAATGTCAACAGATCCCGTTATTCCGTGAATGCAGTGTAGGCTTCCTCCACCTCCTCACCTTCAAGCTCTCCCCAATCCAATTCCGCCAAAACGACAACATCATCAAAAAGGGCGACGCGGCGTCCGAAATGTACTTTATCGTGCACGGCACCGCCGCGGTGTTCAACGAGGCGGACGGGACCATTTTTGCCGAGTTTCATCCGGGCTCCTTTTTCGGGGAGGTCGGCATCTTCTTCGACGTGAAGCGTACGGCGTCCGTGCGGTGTCTAACCAATACGGCCGCGGTGTTCAAGTTGACGAAAGTGGACCTGGATGGGTTGTTGAAGCAGTTTCCCGAGGTTAATGCGCTGATCCAGAAGGAGGCTCAGGCGAGGCTGCAGTATGATGAGGAACGGAGGAAGTTGGCCAAACAGCATGAACATACGGAGATTGAGGTTGTTCGGGACAAGATTAGATCGGTAATTATCTCGGCAAACCATGATGCATATGTATGAAAGGAGGAGTTTCCATGGACCACATGCTCATACCCGAGCCTAGGTGTCGCTTTTCAGGAACGCGGATCTAGGCTTCTTGCATCAGCTTGCCCTGCAAATAAAGATGGTGGTGTGTCAAGCGGGCCAGGTGATCATACGAAAAGGCGACCAAGGAAGCAGCATGTTCTTCGTTCTTGAAGGCACGGCCGAAGTTGTGTCGGAGGACGGAAAGCAAGTCTTTGCGGAGTTTCATACCAATGGCTATTTTGGTGAAGTCGCACTGTGAGTTTTATTGCAGGACTTTCTCTTCCAGCGAAAGCTGCGATTCTGCTTTGAAATTAGCCTGTATTCACATTGAAATGTGCATCCGGCGTACAGTGTTCTAGACGTAGAGCGAACAGCGACGGTACGGTCACGAGGGCGGACAACCTTAGGTGAACTCCACAAAAATACACTCGACGGCGTGCTGGAGCAATACCCCGAGTTCAAAGCGAATCTGCAAGCGAGCGCACAGCAGAGTTACGAGCAGTTTCGGAAACGACAGCAGAATGTGGAGAAGATGGGAGCGGCGAAGGAGGCGTTTGAGATCGAGGCGTCTGCTTCGCGTTTGAAGCAGGTAGGGAATCTATTAGCTATACATGGCGAGTCCAGATTGAAGTGAGTTTACGCAGAGCATCGCTGAAATACCCAATTCCAGGTGCCCATGTTTCAAAATTGTGACGACGCATTCCTCCGAGCCATGGCGCTCGCAACATTCCCACGGCAAGCGCTCGACGGCGACATCGTAGTGCACCAAGGCGAGACTTCGTCGGAGATGTTTTTCGTCGTGCGCGGGCAGGTGCAGATCGTCTCTGAGGATGGAGGGACGGTGTACGATACGGTGCCTAGCGGCGGTTTCTTCGGCGAGATTGGGTTGCTGAAGAACATTCCTCGGACGGCGTCGGTGCGGATCGCGTCGCCGAGCTGTGATCTGATGGTGTTAACCTCCGCCGCGCTCGATAGTGTGTGCAAGCAGTACCCAGAAAGCTACCAGACGATTGTCGTGGAAGCTAACCGCCGCATGGAGAAGATTGAACAACGGCAGAGCAGTCGAGATGATTTGAGCGTGCGAGCCACTGAGGGGCCGGCTACTGTGGCGGCTGACGGGGCAGAGACAGAACGGCTAAAATCGCTGTGGGACGATGCCGCGGCGTCTGTAAAAAAAAGTGTGGAGGCGCAAAAGGCTCGAGACCAGATGCATTCGTTGGCGGGCAAAGCGGAGCCGGAGATCAAGACGCCGAACCGACCGTCGTCGTTTGGCCGGATCTTTTATACACGGCAACAGAAGGCGGAAGTTCCGGAAACCAAGGGTACATCGTCAAAGATCGCGAGCCCAGAGCTGGTAACCCCAGGACAGTCGAGCGAGAATTTAACCGAGGTGCAGAAAGGAGCGGTGCCCAAGGTGAGTTTCTCAATGACATGTGACGGATTTTCGGGGAGCGACTCTCCCTCCCTGACATCCCATCATGACTTTATCCTAGCGCTCATCGTTGGTGAGCTCGTTCCTCAAGTCCCTTCGACCGGGTATACTCAAACGCAGCGGCTCATCCAAGAACCATGCGAGCACCTCTAGCCTGGGAAGCGAGCCAGATATCACCACACCTGTACCTGTCTCGCGGCGCCAATCTACTTATGCTGCGCCCAGACCCTCAGCTAAGCCAACTCTCCAAGAACTTGATGCAAAGATCCAGCGCATCATTCTCTCGTACCTAGACCCGATAACGCGCCTGTCAATGCGGTGTTTGTGCAAGTACTGGAACAACTCGTTGCGCAACCCTATGCATTGGGAGATAGTGAACTTCCACCTCATTTTCAATGCAGCGAGCGCTAAAACGTTTGTTTGCTTCTGGGAGTTGTCTGGAGACCATTTGGCGGGCCTGGATATGACGTCCTGCTGGAAGCTCTCAGATACTGGACTGCAGACAATGGCGAGGATGTGTCCGAATCTGGTATACCTGTCCTTATCAAATTGCTGGAAGTTCACGGACGCCGGGCTCCGTCACGTCACGCATGGGTTGAGGAAGCTCCGGGAACTGGATATCAGCTATTGCGGTCAGCTTCGAGGGACTGCTTTCGCGGGGCACAAACTCCACAAGCTTGTCATTATTGACATCTCGTACTGTAAGCAATTGGGCGACGAGCAGGTGGAGAGCATATTGTCCGGCACGCCGCTTCTAAAACAGCTCAAATGCCGGCGATGCATTCGCTTGACCGACCTGAGTGTGTTCCATGTCGTTCGCTATTGCAGGTACTTTCAGACTTTCTATTCTCTGCATAGTGCTATGACGAGCTCATCATGATACATTCCTTTCCAACAGAGATATATACCTCGTAGAGGCATCCGACTGCAAGAGCTTTACCGACCGATGCCTGAAGTGGATATCCTCCGCACAAGACCTGAAGTGCCTCTCATTGATGTTCTGCTCACGTATAACGAACGCGGGCCTGTACGAGCTGTCTCTCGGCGGCCAGCTTTTCGAGCGGTTGGATTTTTCATACTGCAGTCACCTGACGGACGCATGTGTTGGATACTTCGCGCACAACTTTCGCAACCTACGGTTCCTCTCCATGCGCGGATGCCGGGCAATCACGGACAACACATTGAAGAGTCTGGCGAAATACGCCAGGCGACTTCTCGTCCTTGATCTGATAGGGTGCCCCTTGGTGACCACCAAGGCAAAAGCAGAGTTGGTGAGGCAGCTGCCCGCTGTCGATGTGCGATTGACCGTTCCGGTTGTACCTCTGGAACGGAAGCGGCCAACCGAGCTACAGCTTTGTGATGTCTTTAAAAGCGGGCCAGCGGAGAAGATGAGGCGAAATTTCCTTGTAAACGGACTACCTGCCTCCCGCGAGACATCGAGAATGGAGCAATAGCTTGACGCGTACTGACTGGAGTGATGGATGAATCTATTGTATCTATCTTTTTTTGTTCACATCTACTCTTTCCTGTACGGTCTGTTTTCGTATATCTGTAATATGTTGCATATCAAACGCGTCCCCGAAAAGCGCGAAACTGACGGCATTGAAACTGACGGGTTTCTATTTACCGGATTCCCGGCTCGTTGTGAGTCACCGGATGAGTCATGCGCGCACAAGTGATGTCATGGACCTGTCAGTCAGGTTTCCTCGCTCAATCTCCGCCCGATTGTCTGCCTTTTGGACAACGGGAAAACTGGTGTCTTATCCGCTCTTGGCATCATCGTAGGGGTGGCGGGGTTTGGCCTAAGGTCGTCCGTCAAACAGTCCTGCATGCAGCGTCATTGCCCACATGTCTCCGCCAAACCGGTTGACAAACTCCGCGTCCTCGTCCTATTCCCGGAAAAAGTAGCGAACTGTATATATCTCCAGGCCGTTGCGTTAAGCAGGCGCGAGAGCCGATAGTCTCAACAGATCCCCGCGAGAAGTAGTGTATATAAGTAGGCTAAGGTCGACGAGCGTAGTAGCTCGCCTCCCTCGTAGCAATCAATCCACTCACGAGCAGCTTCTCAAACTTCGTGTTGTCGCCCACTTATCCGGTCTCCATCTCCGCAACCTCATCGAATCATGCCTCGTTATCTGGGTTGGGGCTGGTTACCGCTCTGCGCAACGCTCGCTTGGTCTGCTACAATCCTGACATTGCTAATATTGTGGACTGCAAATGGTACACCGCATTACAAGCAGGATGATGCTGACATCGTTTACATCTCTGATGTTGGTAAGTGGGAGACGAGGGAGGGTTGGTGGGTGGAATGTCGAGTATGGCGAGCGGTTGCGGCGGACGAGGAAGCAGGGGGCTCGGAAGATGGTCAGCGGCGTAGCGAAAGTCATTTGGACCGAAGCGAGCCGTAGGCGAGGGAAACGAGCACAGGCTGCTGTGGGCGAAACAAATGCTCTCGCCCAGAATCCTCGTCGGGAGCGAAGCAAACAGCATATCGTCCTCTACGTTGTCATGTACCTTGCCATCACAGCATCAACATCCGATTCCCGACTAACCAACACATCTATGCAGGCGCAAAATATAAAGCCTTCTTTATCGTCGGCACGGCGACCACAGCGGTCTTCTTCATCCTAACCCTCATCACCGAGTACCGCCTCCGCCGCGCCGAACGCCTCGTCACCTTCCACCACCCTCGCGCAAAATTCGACTCCATCCTTGCTCTCCTCTTTGGCGCCATCTCCGGGATCGCGCTCACCATGCTCGCCGTCTTCGACGCAAACAACCATTCGACGGTACATTGGATCCTGACGCTGATCTTCATTTTCGCGTTGGGCGTCTCGGCCGCGTTCACAGTGGGCGAGCTGAAGCGCTTGTGCCGGATTGCTAATGGTGGGGCCAACGGAGCGGTGGGCGTCGAGGCCGGGTACGGCGCATCACCATCGTCGACCATCACACCATACAACCCGCACTTCGCCCACCAGCTTCGCCGCAGCTTCATCATCAAAACCGTCATCGTCGTCCTCGCCTTCCTCGGGATCATCGCTATGATCGTTCTCATGAGCGTTTGCCGCAACAACACAACCACGGGCCGACCCATAACGGCCAAATGCAACACCTCACACTCTGCTGCTGCTGTCGTGGAATGGGCGCTTGCAGTTCTTGCCGCGGTGTACTTTGCAACGCTGGTGTGGGATCTAAGACAGGCGGTGTTGACGTCGACGAAGGGTGTTGCGAGGCCGGGGACGCAGATGGGGGATCAGAGGGGTTCTGTGGCCACGCTTCAACCCTAGGAGTTGAAGCGTGGCTTTGGTCGCTGGACAAATCACCGCTCGTCGCTCAATGTCATCGCTACGTTGCAGTGGTACCATACCGCCTTCATCGCACCTTGACAATCTCAACATAAACCATTTCCCAACCTTCGATACATGTAGTTTTTTTCACTTTCATTTCTTTACATACGCTGTACCATCAAAACTTCTTTAATATACCCATTACGAGACCTACATGCGCTAACGCAAAACCAGCGGTCCTTGTCAATTGCGTTGTTTGCATCTACCACGTACGGTATCCAAATTGTTAAGTAAACAGCCATGAGGAGGTATAGGCCATAGCGATATATTTTTAAATAAAGGACGAGCGTGTGCTGGCTTGCAATTGGTTGAGACACATGAGGCTCTGGGACGCACAAGGCGTGGTGTGCGGGGGAAGACTTGTCTCAATGAACGCTGCCAATAGGGCTATGGTTGTAAATTATGCACATGTTTGCGTGCTTTCAAAGGGCTAATACGCGTAGAGGATGAGTGACGTTGGTTGCGGAGTAGGGCTGGCGTGGTCTGAATGAGGAAGAATCGTCCGTTGGGGACACGCCGCGTGCGGTATGTAGGATGAGAGGTATCAGCAGAGGGATTCTGACAAGAGTTGGGTTCTATCCACCGGAATCCCAACGTTTGCGTTGATTCCTTCGGCGCAGTGGGATCTTGACGCCTTGGTCAGCAAAGTGGATGCTCAGTTCCGAGGATTCTGCAATGGAATCGAATGGGGGTGAGTAGGACGCCGGAACAACAAGCTACTGGGTCTGTCATTCCCTAACCTTTTGCCCCTGGATAGTCCCTCCCGGTATATGACTTGAATGGGTCCGTGATGATTTCACAAATCGTTTCCGCGGGCCGTTGAGGCGTGGTACGCAGACTACGGGTGAATGCCGAGGCAAAGTTAACGCCTGAACTAACGAACGATGCACTCAGACCCACGGATGCTGTGGCTACCTTGCCAAATTCGTCAACACCATCCGCAACCGAAAATTGCCTTCCACCCGAATGGCCAAAAACGGAAAGACGAAAAAGGCACCTTTCAAGCCAGAGAGGTCGGAGAGGAAGTGACAGGACGAAACCAAGTGTCCAAACAGGGTTTGTTCCCACCGGCTGTGGCCCTCCGATAACAAACTACCATCACCGACGCCCGCGTCCAGCATCGGCTGCGATGACGAGTATGCTGGGTTTGCTAATGAAGAAGGGCCAGGTTCCATTGTATCTCCATCAAGAAGATCAGCTGCCGACTGCTGTCCCAGATAGTACGGGTCGGAAGAAGGTGCTATCGACGTGCTGGACGATGGGCTAGATCTAGAGGATGCTCCTGTCGTCATGTCCGGTGTGGAGAGTGATAACAGCAGCTCGGCGTGTCTGAGGTTGGAGCGGGGCTCCTGGGTTCTGCCCGGGTCCGGTTGTGGGTTGTTCGCGAGCGGGACTTTGGACTTTGCCCGAGAATCCGGTGGGTCTACCCTCCGCTGTTCTGAGTACACTACCGGCGGCATGATGGGTGGTACAACAACGGTGCTTCTGTCCTCCTCGCCTTCTTCTGAGAGCAGGTGTGCGTGTACGACCATCGATGACACGTCGCCCAAGGTATCCAGACTGCCAATGCATGGAATGAAGGACGGTCAGCGCACAGAAATTGGACAGCGACTGCCTTCCATGGGCCAGGATGCAGGTCCACACATAGTGCAGGCACCAGACCCAATATCACATCCATACCTCGTGTCTACTGTCCCACTGCTGGTAAGTATTCCTAGTTGCAGTATTACACATGGATCAACATATGGATAATTCACTTTTTCGCCACTGAAGCCCTGGTTCCGTGCTGTTTCGGGCTGCTGTCGCATCACCAAGCAGTATCTAGGAGAAGAAGTGAACAATCAGATTGAGGACTGGCAAGTTCAGATGATTTTGCGATGTCTTCCGTTGAATCACAACTACGCGTCTCAATCAATCGCATGTGCGGTAAGGGACCATCGCTGTTTGACATTGTTGATCTATTGTCACAACACGTATCGACCCACGGCTCGTCCAGAAGGCGGGAAAAACGCAATGCGTTGAGAAGCTGGGTTCGCAGATCTTAACCCAGCGCCTGGAAAACATCGGACCCTTAAGATGACACCGTCCCGGCTCTCCCTCCCAGCGCCCCATTTCCGCATCCTGTCCCCGACTGCTTGGCGCCCAGCTCCTTCACCTATTCCATCGCGGATATCGACATACCTGAGAGGTTGACTTCTCGAAGGTTGTTGGGATTTCCGCCGATCTTGGCCCGAAGGCGTGGAGACTTTCCGTGGGTTTTGTGAAGACTGTCGTGAGACGGAAGGAGACGCCGTATCCGAAACAGAGACTGACGTTCGCCGAGAAGGATTGTCCGTCTCTCCTGTGAATGCAGGTCCGGTCGATTCTCGAGATGGCGGTTCAGGCGGGGATGGTTCTGAAGGTAAAACGGCATCGACGGAGCTTGGCGCCTCCCGTCGGGGTTCGCTTGTATCGCTAGGCATGCTAGACAAGAGCTATGGCGTAAACGCAAATACGCTGGGAGTGAAGTGAAGGGGGGCCTGCAGTTCGAGAGGAGCTTTCGGCTAGATGCAGCCGCCTGCGCGAATTGTCGCCTCTGAGAAACAGAAGACGATTCGATTCGATGTGGCTGGCGATCCATAAACCTTGACCTGACGACCGAGCGCTGGACAGCAAACGGTCAGTTTCTGGTAGAGTAGTGTACGTAGCTGCATGTCGACGATGTGGGAGGGAACGAACAACGAGTTAGAATACGCTGAAGCAGAGTAAGAAACGGGAAGATTGGTGTTGAAATGTCTCCAGGGCCAGAAGATGACTTATCAACGGCTGATCTGCATCCGAGGATCGCCTAGGGAGCCGCGTGTCTCATTTCGATCAAAGCCCAAACAATGCTCAGTTGGCCACCATTGGCCCGGTCCAGCAAGTCCCAACTCGACGACGTCGTTCCACCGCGGCAAGCAGGCCAACATCCCGAACAAGTATCTGTATCCCGAAGGAAGCGGAGAGCGTACCTTTAGGTGACAGAACGGTAGACTGCCTGCATTGGTGGATGCTTGTGGAGCCCGAGTTGTCACGTAGGTTGCGTGGGAAAATGTGACCCGCCACCCTCGACTGCAACAATATAAGGTGCGTCAAGGTAAATCGAGGCTTCGAGGAACCTAGCCAGAATGTCTGGGAGTCGCTGTGCTGCTACTAGAATTGGGGAAGCGAGAGAGAAAGTGGCTGTTAGATCGACCAGTACCGACGATCGGGTTCCCAGGCAGCGCGGTCATCGGGACCAAGACGAAAGCAGCTCCGCACTCGCCGTAAGTACGAGAGGAGAGCGCATTCGTGCGTTGACTCGACCCATCCACTTCCAGCCTCGATCGGACGCCAGCAGTCAACGACATAGTCCTGTTCGACAACGCCAAGTAGGGAAGAAGTAGGCCAGCAGATCGACGGCGATCCCGTCAAAAAGCAAGACCCCACACACAAAGGGCAGACCCCACAATGAATGCGACAAATGAGTCCATTGCGTTGCTACAAATAGCAAGTCCGCCGATTGAGCACACCAATCGCTTCCGTTTTTCCCACGCCGATTCCCGGCCGCCAAAACGCGACCCATATAGGCCCATCGAACCATCGGCATTGCCTCCGGGGTGGACCGCGCCGACAAAGTGTTCCGTCTTCGCCGATTCGCCACCATTCATGTCCGACCGACGTCGATGTGCACTGTAGATCAACGTGCACAGGGGCGGTTCTCTATTTTGCGTTTCCTTCGCGTACGGCTCCAAAACCATACCAACAGAGTGGGAAAAATTCCCCTGGTCAACGCGACCCTTTTTATCAGATCTGACCCCTGACAGCCACATTTCTCAGCTGGTGCATCATCCCAAGGCAACGTACCTGAACCAGGGCAAATGTCGATTCTATACAACAGCCGTTCCCAATCGTCACAGCGGTCTGAAAACTTCCTTGAAGAGAGCTAGTGTAAAGCTGCTCTGTCTGTAGCGGTGTTGTATGCGTAGCAGGTCCGGTGGCTTGTTGCCGTTGTTACCTTGGGCGCGGGCACTGCTGTTGCGGTCAAGACACAGCGAAGGCGGGAGAAGTGGGTGGGACCGGGATATTCGTAGGGTGAGGGCAGGAAGCGGGTATGCGCAACGTTGAGAGTGCGAAGAACGCGTGCTGCAGGACGTATTATCGAATGGGCGGTTGTCACCGTTGTGTGCGTACTAAAGCCCGGTGCGTGCAGGCTCGTGAAGGATTCGCGCGCTTGTGCGTATTGTTGTTGGGGTATTGTCCTTCGCTGTAGAAGTTGAACGGCAATCCGTGGATCTTATTGACCTAAGACACCCCCCCGAAAGTACGAGTGAGCGACGACAATAATACGTTGCTTTGACAGGATATCCATGAGAACTATTCTCACTCGACGTGTGAACATGGGAACAACATACCTGGACTTTCTGCTTGCAGGTTTGACAAGTGTTTTTACAGTTTTCTAAACACCTTGAGAGGTTCAGCTGAAGATATTCCGCGACGATAAAGAGAAGTGAGCCTCATGGACAACGAGTACAGGAATCCGAGAGCTACAGCAGCTGCCGTATAGATCTAAATCCACAGGAGAACGGCGGTTGTTAGGTCTCACCTTACTGCTCGCCAACTGCTTGGTCGGACTGCCACAATAACCGGTCGATCGATCCCGTCCAATAAATATGAAAGCACCGTGCTGGCGTTTATGCCAACTAGTTTGCGAGAAATCCGAGGTCGAGCTGCCCACACGCCTGCCGGAGACAGGACGAGGCGAAGAAGGGTTATGCTTTGGTGAGAAAAGTCACGCTTGGGTTTTACGCGAGCCGGGGTTGGGTCCCAAGGGTAAGTCGAGGGAAAAGGTGGGGTAAGCACCAAGAGCACCACGGTAAAGTCTGTACAGTACGTGGTATTGAGCGAGGGAAAATACACACAAGGCAACCGCACAACCACAAAAGCGGGCAGGAACGAAGCGACGGGAGCTGTCTCGCCCCTACCTGTGGCAATAGCAGCCTTGTTATAACCGTGAAATCCAAATCGCAGGCGGGTCTTTTCTTCCTACTCTTTGCCTTGCAACCAAGGGAAAGGCTTACGAGTCAAGCGACCCGGTGTGGGGCTCCCCAATACCAAGGGCAACGGAGAATACTCCTTGTGCTGTTTGGCCCAACGCACAATACCCTATTGTGCTTGCTTCCGCGGACCCTCGCGCACCCCTTCTGATTGGCCTGGATTCCTCGAATGCCCCGTCCGACGCGAACCCAGCAGTTCCAGCAGTCCCAGACATCCCGCAACCCATCAAACTTTTGCATTCAGGTCCTTCTCTCATGTGACAGAGATGACAAATATAACAGGTTACTACGTACGTAATATAACAGCACAAATGGAGTGGAATTCCCCTCACGGAGTACCACGGGCTGGTGTATGCATGCATTCTTGTTGCTTTCATCCTGGTGCAGGACTCGGAAAACAACATATCATGCCCGGGACACTGGCGTTGGGCCATGATGATAGCCAGTTCTGTCTGCCAAAGCCGCCCGCCACACACCAAAGGTAGCCAAGATGACGCAAAGGGGCATACACACCGACAGCTTTGTATATATATGTGCAATGTGCATGTAGTTACCCCACTCTTTGGGTCTAAACGGGGCGTTTTTTTTCTTGTGGCAATACGTTTTTAGAAAGTCATAAGTTACATCCCCAACCCTGTAATTTACGCGGTTTGGACCGCATCAGAGGATGGTCCAATGATTGCCATCTGCAATGCAAAACGAGAAAGGCCAGAGAAGCTTTGCGAGTGGAGGCCTGAGACCGATCTAACATTTGCTGATTAATGAAAGAACAGGCCGAGGGGCAGAGGAGGACGCAAAAGCTCAACGACGCAGGCAGAAAAACAGATCTTCCCCTTCGTGAAAAACTGCAGCTCCGTCTGTGGAGTCATGCGTAACAGCACGTCCGATCCAACGCCGCGCTCGCACGCTACTTGACAACGGGCTCGGTCCAGACAGTGAAACTGACTCGCCGTCCCGCAACAACAGCATGCGAGTTATCCCAAACAAATGTGACGACGCCTCGGCTATTGATCCGACGCGAAGCCTTACCTGCGCTGCACCGCGGGCCGCCACGGGCATTCGATGGTGGTTGTTGTGAGGCATCGTGGGCTAACGTCGTGGAAGAGGAGGTAGATGCGGATGATGCGTCGCGGACGAGAGTGAGGGTGCGTGTGAATGGGACCGGGGCGCTTCTGCTACTGCTGCCGCTGGCGGTGGTGGTGGTAGTAGTAGAATTGTCGACGACATGGGGTGAGTGGGTAAGCGTTTGAGATTGGCGGGCTTGTACGGCGGCAGCCAAACGAGCTGAGAGGGAGAGTCGGGAGGATTGACGCGACATGCCCGGCGATTGGGATTGCGAGTCTCGTGGCGTCGTCGCTGGTGGCGTGGCAGACCGACCAAAGACGGCCGAGTCCGGCCCGGCCAAGATCGCTTCTGTCACTGCAGATGCAGCGACGAGGAGATCTGCTGCCTCCTGCGTGGTCGTGTTGCTCGTTGGATCTTTCGAGACATCTAATGGCGCAGACGAGCTTTCCTCGGCCTTTTCGCCGGCAATGAGATTCAGCAACGAACTCATCTGCGGATCGATATCGGCGCGGACGAGAGGTAACATCGGCGGACCATCCTCCTCAGTCTCGTGGCTGTCCCGGTCGCCTTGCCCTCCCACAATCTCCTCGAAGTGAACCTCGAACCCAACCTCAGACCCAGCAGCCACCAGGAACTCCCAGTATAAATCAACGGGTTGGTCGACAGTAGCATCGACCAGAACTGGAAGTCTCACACGCTGTTTCCGTGGCACCGCAACGTCCAACGTCGTGCGGATAGGAGTGACCGGTATGTGTGCATTGAGCGATCGTGATAATGCTGATAAGGAGGGAGATTGATGCAATGCAAATTCGGATTCCCCGCCGAGCATCGGAGGAGGGGTGCGGAATCCCCCCGAGTCAGGGCGGCCTTCGTCTTTGGGCTTGTCTGAGACGACTCGGATTGCGGCGTTATAATAGGCAGCTTTCGTCATCCTCCTTTCGCCGGTATTGTCAAAGACAAGAAGGAACCTCCCAGAGGGCAAGTAAGAGACTAGTATTTCGGCCGCTGCTTTCTGGTTGAATCTCGTGTGTGTCGTAACTGGGGGTATGATGTATCTTGCAGTAGACAATTCTTCCGTTGACATGGTGTCGATGCTATTCATGAGTCCAGCGGGGATATTGCTGGCTTTCGGCAGGCATCGAAGTAAGATGCGTTCGGCGGCATGCGAAGGCGTATCAGCCTTCGTTTCATTCGTTTCATCAGACTCCGGAATGGGAATGAAGTAGAGAGAAAAGAGAACAGTAGTATTTGATCCGTACGCAGCTTGACTATTGTGCTGCTGATGTTGAGAAGCGTCCACGACAAAATAGTCCCAAGTGAACGCTAATCTGGCATCCGGTGGATGCTCTTCCCGAAAGCAGTCGATCTGAACGAATGAAAGAGTCCGTGGGCCAATGGTCACCACTTTTTCAGAGTCGTGCACACTCTTGGACGGTCCTGAAAGTGATGCCAAGTCAGCATTGCCGGGAGATTCGAGAGACGCTGCAAGCGGACGTGACGGAAGGCGAGGAGGTAATGATGGAGGCGATGAAGCCACCCCTGAAGACGCGGCCGCTCCGAAGTCGGCCTGGAATATCCCCTGGTGTGACGCATTATCGTCGTCTTCATCTCGATCCTCGTCCACGTCAGTCAAAGGCCCATCATCCGCGGAAGACGTCAAATCCGGCTGAGAACTATTATGTATGCTTCCCCTCAATGACACCTCGTCCTCGAAACTTGCTGGCGGTAGATGCAGAGAGGTGCCCGTGGACGCGTACGATGCAATAGATCCTCGACTTTCCAGCGATTCGGCAATGAGATCATCTGGAGTGTTAGCGGATGAGTACGACATGGTGCTCGCGCGACTTCGATTGATCGGAACGGGCAAAGGATCGACTTCACTGCTACGGCCGACCATACTCTCACTAGATGAGCGCCTGCGAGGCAACCGGCCTAGCGGCATGGATTCGCCTTCGAAATCTGCATCATCAGCAAGGCTGGAGATCCTTTCGGAAATCGCAGGGGAGTCCATGTCCGGAGACTGTACAGACGGAGTCGTCGGCGTCTGCTCACCACCGCTGGCTGCGCCCTCTCCTCGCCCGCTTCCTTTGTTGAGCCATCCCGCCACTCTCCGTGAGCGAATCAGGTACCCTGCCGTGGACCCAACAATATTTTTGATTTTCTCTGATGTTGTCGATCCAGCTGACGCTGATGCAAGGGTGGCTAAAGATGCAGAGGAGACCGTGGCAAAGGTTGAGGACATGGAGTTGGATTTCTCTGAAGCATTGTCGCTGAAGAAGCGCCGTCTTCTCAAATTTCCACTGGCCTTTCGATTGGACAACCCGTCTTTGTTGCGATCCTTGCTTGGATCGGTCCCGTAGCCTGATAATGATGCAAGCTCCTCGATGAACGTTTTCAGCTTTCGACAGGCATCATAGGAGATCTCCAACTTTGCGAGGTCACTGCTCAGCTGCGAAAGGACAGTTACCCTGCATGTGTCGGATCCATTCGTTGTGGGGTCGGTCGTGATGAGATAGCCATAGACATATATCTTGCCGCTGGGTGGATCATTTGTATCGTTCGGTATTGGGTTTACGGCCGCCTGAGTTGCATTGGAAGAGGTGGAGGCGGGAGTTGGGCCTCGCTGTGGCAACGGTGGAGATTGGGACGGGCTACTTGACGAGTTGTTCTCAGCAGCTGCTTGCACGGCAAATCCAGCGAGTCCCTGCCAGTTGCTTCCCGGGTTGCTGCTTTTTCCCCCCGAACTTTCATTATGACCGGGCACGAGGGTCGATTCCTGTGTGGCCGTCTGTTGAGCGGTTTCATTGAAGCTTCTGATCGATCTAGAAACAACAATGAACTCAACAGGCCTGTCGACACTATCGGTAGTGCGGGCCGTGGACTCCGACGCACGCGACTGCGTGGTAACGATGGACGCCGTTTCTACATCCTCTGCTGGAATGGCGAGAGACGAGCCAGACGCAGACCGTTTCGGGCTAAGGACGCGCTTGACATTGAAAGTGGTGAAAACCTTCTGCGTTGCCTTGTTTAGGCGATAAGTCGAAGTAAGGACACCACGTGCATCATCTACGTTTGATGCAAAATGAATTGAACAGCTGTTTTCTCGGAAACGGTTGTCTGACACCAATGCTTACCGAACTGATGCACAATCTCTGATCCGGAGTACGTCTCATCCGCGTGCCGATGATGCTCTGGATTTGACAAGACGGAATACACGCGTTCGGCATCGCACCGTATCGTCATAGTAGCTCTCGTCAATTCTGCCACCTGCTCGTCCTGAACTAAGACCCGTTTCTTCTCAATGATGATGTTGTTACGGTTGCGAGTGGATTTCCACGGTGTTGCTGTTCCAGGTGTGGCTGCAGGAGTACCACCCTCAGATTCCGATGTGATGGACGTGGTATCCGAAGCGTCGTCTGGCTTTACGGCGCCGTCTAAGATCTGGTTGGGCAGATCCTTTGCATATGCCAGGAAGCCCCGTACAAGCTTATCCTCCATTTCTTCAATGGTTGACGAGGAGGGATCAAGGACTGTATCCGTGGAGAATGACAACGGACCCAGGGCGTCCCCAGTGAGGACCAGATTGGTTCCTCCTCCCTTGTTAGTGTGACGCAATAGAGGCGACCTGGTCTCCCACAAAGTGGCAGCCTTCGAAGCAAGGATCTTCTTCGCCGCAATGGCATCTTTGGGGGCGCTCGCTTGTTGCTGGCGGGCCAGAATGTCCTACGGGTGAAGGCGGCGACGACAACGTCAGCTCATGATACCCCTACTGTGGTTGAATGGGATGGGGCTCCATACCTCGAGTTTCGGCTCCATAAGAGGCATGAAGAATGTCCTCCACGAAGGCAAGACCCATAACTCCAGAAAGACCTTCCTTACAACACTGGATAACAGCTTATTGACCATCCCTCTCAGCAGCTCGTTGTCGCCCACAGTAATTGGTGAGTCCACTCGGAAGGATGCGCCTGGGTCTTCGACGAATGCGACACCGATCATATCTGGCCATCGGATTGAAGGACATCGGACTCGCAGCCGACCTGCTAAGCTAGATACGTAGACACGAACGGGCAGCTTCAATCCACGAACAAGTGTCGCTTGTATGGCGATACTCCCGCCACCATTGTAGGTCAAATCTATTTCAGCGGACTAGGAGGCCAAACGGTCGAAGTCAGAAATCAGCTATCGTGGAAGCTGAAACAAGCCGCAGAACTTCAACCTCCATGGTGACAAATCATAACGCGAAAGAGACAGCCTTCTTACCACAGCCAGATCGTCCGACATACCCTTCAGCAATCTGACTCCAAAGATTTTTGGCGGGTGATCTCCCAAAGATATATCTGTTATCTCCACTCGCGACAAGAATGCATTTCCTTTCAGCTTGGCATTGATCTTCTCCGTCCATTTGGCTTTCGCTTTCGTTTTGAAGAGCTCGCTGCCACGCAGGGCCAGGTAAAACCTTTGGACCAGAACATTGATCCAATGACACTGCTCCGTAGGGCCGACCGCTATCGGGACGTCGCCTGATGCGGCATCGCCTTTTGCAGAACCGTTCACTGGAGGTGTTGCTGCTGACAAGAAGGTATCCTCGTCCTCATTAGGTGTTAATGCCTTTTTCAGGAACTCGACGATGTTCTCCGGCCAAGGTTCGTGGTGCTCCCGCGATGTCTTGTGCGCCGAACTCGCGGAGTACTTAGTCTTTTCCCCAATGAGCTCATCCTTCAGAATTTCGTGATCCGCATCCCTCGATCCATCCCTCGACGTGACCCCCACGAAATCTCGAGCAAATGACGGCCTGTCCCCTTCGGAGGGGGCGAGTAGCCGCTTCTTCGAAGGATCAGCAAGGAAATGAACCAGCAGTCGGTGGATAACAAACACCTGAGCAGCGAGGAGAAATATTGCTCCAAAGAAAAAGCCGCGAAAGAAGTAGCTGAATCCTCCGGTTGTTGGGACGGCAGTGCTTGAATCGGAGTAGCCCGCCGCGGCAATTGGGAAATACCCCACGATCGCGGCCGCACCAGCGAACGGAGCGCTAATCATGCCCGGCTTTCCGCGTGTTCGACGTGTCGACAAGAATGAAGCGAGAAAGAGGAGGGAAGGAGGTGCTGGTATTCGCGTGGAGTTCTTCTTGCAGTTTATCTCCTTTTAGAAACCCGTCGCCGAGCTCCCACTCCGTTGTCCTCCGGTGTTGTTGAAATGAGTCTCGTCAGCCAATCAAATGAGGATCAGATGCGTTCTTCTCAGCCGCTCGAGCTGCAATATGCAATAGATGCAGTATGTATCCGTCCTCTAAGTTGCCAGAGATGTCGGTAAATGCACAGATCATCGTCGACGTCGTGGGAATTTGGAACTGCGGATCCGTTCACAACTCGCAAGCCCTGTTCGAGTGATTCATCGTGCGCGTCACTGTATACGTTAGTCTCGCTAGTCACGTGACTGTCGGCCGCTGCGCCACACAAGCGCAAGTCCTCGGCGTATAAAAACGAGAATGGGAGGTGCCAGATTTCGCTTGCTCCCAATTGTACTTTAAGACCTGATTTATTGTGGTGGATAACGTTACCTCTCAAGCGTTGTTCGCCCTACCTCGGGTGGCTACGGCCGTAACTGAGATAGACTCGGTCTCGAAAGAGGCCGCGCCGCTCGCCAGCTGGAAGGGGTTGAAAGAATCTTTTTCTATCTGTAGCCCAATTCCTTACCAGTGAGCGAATATTCCCTCTGTGTGTGATATGGTGCGGGTGGAGGATACCGTGTCCTCATGGACCTCGAGAGCAGCGTTGGGTGCGATGGCAATAGCGTTGGCGTTGGTTCCACCTAGAATGGCGACTCCCGCGTCTTTATCGGAAGAATGTTGCTGGTTCTACCGAGAAGAAGTCTCGGCTTTACATAACTCTACCATCATTCCTGCGGTATCTTTGGCGCAAGCCATGTCGTAACCGGCAGACGACAGAATTGCTAGACCGATTGGCCGCACGTAAACTACATCGCTGAGGCAACGATGGATTGGACCTCCCGCAAATCAACGACTGAACTCAGTGGAGTATCATTGAATGTCTCGTCACGAAGGTTACATATATACAGTATTCAGTGCAGTCGTGGCAAAACGAGGAAAACAAACTATATGTGCTCTCAATGCACATAATCAGAATTGAAGAAAGGCATCATGCACAGATGCTATGGACTATGCGAGTGTGTCGAACGACGGATGCTGTTTTGCTGGGAGGATCTTGCAGGCCAATGCTCCATCTGCTTCGACGCCGATGGGACCGGTTTCGGGGCACGTATCACATCGGCATTCTCCAGATGTCGACTGGAGTCAATCCCATCAACATCCTCCTCGATTCCTAACCAGTAAAACATCTCCATCATACTCCTGCACTCCCCGGTGCCAATTCCATCGCGGGATGTCGCCGACTGCCCTTCTATTCGCAACAACGCCTTGCGAAACCGCTCATCGTCGCGAGAATACATCCAATACAACGTTTCGGGACAGGCAGACGTTTGTGGCAGGCAGATCGTCAGAAGAGGGACGCATGAGGGTGTTATCGGTGCCGGTTCTGGAGTGTCTACCGAGGACCTTCGCGCGGCTCTCGAGTTTGATGCGTTATGCGTGGCGACCCTAAACAAAGAATCGCGGGCCGCCCTCGTGCTGGCAGGAGCTGGCGTTGATGTTGGCGTTGGCGTTGGTGAGGTTATGGTCGCGATGGACATAACTCTGGCGGACTGTGGTTCCGCCGACGGCTCGTCTTTCCTGCTCTTTGTGCTGGGGCGCTCGCGAGCGCATTTGATGTCGTGGGGGTATTCGGTAATCACAGGCTGATCTTTGGCATTTTCGGCAGGACGAATTCCGTGCCACTGGTATAGAATGCCGTTGAAAGCCTTTTGCATTGGGAAATATGTACGCGAGTCCCCGTGCGGACGTTTCGTCGTCCGCCTTGTCCTTTCGTTCTCCCTGATGCCGTCGGCTCTGTGATGCCGGGCATGACATCCCTCGTTCCCGTCATCACAGTTTGTACATTCACGTCTTGTATGATTCGTCCTCCAATCGAACGCCTCCTCAAGCACCGCCGATACGGCGGTGACGATCCATTCGTGAATCCAGTAATACTGATCTGTTGGTCCAGGCGCGCTGAACGCTACAGCGATGGGGCGGCGGCTGGTGTCGATGACGCGGAGGACACAGCTGGCGTCGTCCGGGTTGTTGAAAAGACCAGTATGCTGGCCCGGTTGCGGGCTCATAGATACAGAGGTGTGCAGCTGGAAAGCCGATGCGCTCTTGGGGTTTTCAGTAGATTCGATGTGGAAGGTGATGAGGAGTTCTTTTGCGATATGGGAACGCTGTTCCAGCCATAGCGGAATTCCAGCGATGGCTCAGGGACCTTCCTATATATACGGGGCTTCTCGGTAGTTGAAGACACCCGGACACGTTGCAGGTGTGGACGTCGTCCGGTCCAGAACGCCAGCCCCATGTCCGCATCACCTCCAGCTACAAATCGCAGCGCATGTTAAAGTGGATACCCTTTCATCCACAATGACGATGTTCCCCTGAAATCCAACGGCACGGAAATCGAATAACATCTATCAAGGCCTAGATCGACGAGAAGGCAGCTGTCCATGAAAGTCTGAGGCATTCATGGATGAGGAGACCATCGGTGTTCGGAAGGCGATCCAAGATTTCCAGGGAATCTACTGTAAAGACGAAGAGAATAATACGATCTTCCTGGAGTGAGAGACAAATTGTCGATTCTGCAGCTTCGATCCAGTTGGGTCGTTGCAAACGCCGCAACACCGGAGCCCGACCAGAGTCCCCTGGGTTCGAGCCGCTTTATTCAGCCTTGGTACATTGTGATTCACGTAAAGTGCGGCGGATTCTCCCGTCGGCCCTTTCAACCCAGGCACCAAGCGTCACTTTTCTGATTTACACCTGATCAAAAATCTGGTTGAAGGATCGCTCGCCGATCGCTCTGGCCTCGTCTCCGGGAATGCCGATTGAGGGGGACACAGAAAAGCCGTCCGTCGATTCACGTGCTATCACTTTAAGCTTCATGAATGCCTTTGCATTCATCGACATTGGAGACATCATGCGCCGGGCGGCCCCGCCAGAATCTTGCCCGATTGTGCTCGGCGGGGCCTAGTGTTTGCTCACGGCCCTTTGAACAAGGTTGCCGATGCATCATGTTGCTGGTAAGGAGGATCGGCTCTCCGGACCACTAAGCCTACCACTGCTTGCCTTGGCGATCAGGATTCCGACCGGCCTGCATCGGAAGACGCCTACGCGGCGACCTCATTCTCCTTGGTCTAGGCCGGCCCAATGACGTCGTGTTATACGTATGGGCCCTGATTGACGGGGCTGTAAGCATTACGTACTGAGATCGACAGCGCGATTCCCGACAACGATGGAGACCGATGGACTCTCTATAAGCAAAATCGAGTCCATCGTCAGATGCGAAGGTCATTTGCGAGAGACCTACGACATGTGGAGTTCCCCGCCCCCAAAAAAAACCTCCAAATCTATTCCAAAAGCGCATGTAAACTGTCCTTGAGATTCTAAACTATACGTCCTGGTATCTCCACTATCTACTACCAAAAAGGAAGTCATGCGAGACGGCAAGCAAAGCATAGACATGAATCATCTCCCCGCTGTAAGCCATCCTTGCAGCACACGGACGAGATGTCTGGGCTCGATGGGTTTCGAAACATAGTCGTCCATTCCAGCGTTTAGACACATCTCGCGGTCCCCTTGAACGGCGTTTGCTGTCAAAGCTATGATCGGCAGAGAATTGTATGGGCTCGGGAGGGCCCGGATGCGTGCTGTCGCGTCGAGACCGTCCATAACCGGCATCTATGCCAATGTTTGAGTAAAATGTGTAAGAACGAGACGAGCAAAGGGAGCAAGAGTAAGATGTCCAGAGGATGAAAGAAAGACACACCTGAATGTCCATCAGACAGATATCGATCTTCCGCCCGGACTGCACAGCTTCCACCGCCAGCTTCCCATTATCCACCAATTCGACATCCAGCTGGAGCCGCTGAAGGTATCGCGTGATGACTTTCTGGTTCGTCGGATTGTCCTCCGCTACCAGCACGCGGTACTTGCGGCCCGCAAAGGCGTCGACGGGGAAGACGAATTTCGCGGGGTTGATGGTGGGCTTGGCCAGCTTTTCATTGCACACTTCGAGCGGCAAGGTGAAGAAGAACGTAGTGCCCTTCTTAGCGACGGAGCGGAACCCAATGTGTCCGCCCATTTGTTCTACCAGTAGTTTGCAGATGTTTAATCCGAGGCCCGTTCCACCGTGCTTTCTTGAAATGCTGGCATCGACTGAGTGGGGCGATGTGAGCCGTAAGTCCCAGAAAGCTATTCTGCCGCCAAGGGAGGAGACGTACCCACCTTGCGAGAAGGGCTGGAATATCCGCTGATGCGCACTCTCCGGAATGCCTACACCAGTGTCGATAACCTCCAGCAACATCCACGGCCCACTGTGGCTGGTTGTCAACCCATTCTGCTTAGCCAAATGAAGAATCCCGTTTGACGGTATGACATCTTTATTTGACACGGACTCGTACTCCGATGGTGCGGGAACAGCACGCACGGTAACGGTGCCGCTGTCACTAAATTTGATGGCGTTCCCGAGAACTGCAGGGGGGAATAACTCCAATCAGCGACATGCCCAACCAGTAAAGTGAAGATCAGTTCGGCAGCAGCGCGTGAGCATACTCACGATTCAGAATTATCTGCCCCAGCCTCGGCGCATCTCCTATCACCGCCTGCGGCAAGTCGGGATGCAAGAACACATCTAGCTCCAGCCTCTTCTTATGAGCCATCGGCTGCACCGTTTGCACAACTCCCTGTATTGCCTGTTGCAAGTCGAAGGGAGCAAGGCTGAGCTCCATCTTGCCAGCATCCATTTTTGAGAAATCCAAGATGTCGTTGATGATGTGTAGCAGGCCTTTGGCGGACGTATAGATGCTTGTGGCAAACTCGGTTTGCTCGGCAGTTAGGTGAGCCTCTGAGAGAAAGTCGGCCATTCCTATGATCCCGTTCAGCGGTGTTCGCAGCTATATGTGGGCATTCGGTGAGTCAATCTGACAGTCCCACATCTCATCAGCAACAGCGCTTCCATCTTACCTCGTGGCTGACAGACGCAAGAAACTGGGTGCGGGCAATAGAAGCTTGTTTGCTGGCTTCCGCCCGAGCTTCAGACTGAACCCGGTCATTCTCGGCCATCTTCAAATCCGTGACATCAACAGTTATCGAAATTATTTCCGTGAGCTGGTTATCTTCATCCTTGATGGGGTAAATATAGAGCTCCAGATAGCGTTCATGACCCCCGTTGGCCTGGTATCTTTTGGCTGCAATTTTCAGGGATTCGCCCCGCATCGCCTTGTCCAACTCCGGGGGCATTCCTGACTTGGCTGACGATTCAATAGCAGCCTTGACCATTTCTGCGATGGTGGGGAGTTGCACGCCCCAGGTGGCAAGATACGCCTGGTTCACTTTCATCGTGTTCCCCTGTGGCCCATGTAACGCCATACCGATGGGGGATAACTCCATCAAGATACGGAATCGTCGCTCTTGCGCCACTCGCGCCCGTTCTGCTTCTTTCAATCTCGTAATGTCGGTCGAAATACACCCAATCGAATACAGTTCGCCTTGCTCGTTGAATAGCGGAAACTTGGCGAGATGAAATGTTTCCGCCCGCGACACGAACTCTGCGGAAAATGCAACCTTGGTTCTGATGATTTCTTCATCCATGGGTCGGATCTTCTCGACATAATCGGGGAACACCTCATAATCGTAATGATTTATTATATCCGCCTTGGAGCGATTGGCAGACTGCGCAAATGCAGTGTTGGCGAGAACGTATTTCCCCACCAAATCCTTGACGTAGATGCTTGATGGGGATGCGTCTGTTACGGAGCGCAGAAAAGCCTCAGAGTCCCTGGCTTGCTTTGTCCTCTCCCGCACTTCCGCCTCGGACTCTGCTTCTGACCGCTTTTGTTCGGTCACATCACGGATCATGACGAAAATGCCCCATTGGGTGTCCTTGCTCGAGAGGATTTTCCCTAGCGTGATCAAGTACATTTTATTCTCCGATGGACATGTTTGAAGGAACTGAACACAGGGGCTTCGAGCGCCCCGATCCAGAGGCTGCGCCTGCACCGTCCGCGTATGTTCCAGCATCTCTGGCGTGCACATCTTGGCCCAGTTTTTGCCGACAGCGGCGTCCAAGTCCTCTCCCAAGTGAAAAATTTTAGCGAACACTGGGTTTGCGAGGGACAGTAGCCCGTTACCATCTATGGCGGCGAACCCATCAGGACTGCCTTCAAAAATGCCTTGCAAAGTGGAGTTTTGGCGGTGTATCCTCTCCTCAGCTGCGACCCGCTCGGAAACGTCGGTGACGGACAAGATCAAGAATTGTTCTTCGGCGAAGGAGACGGTGCTGATGCACCCTTCACACGGAAACGTCTCCCCGTTCTTCCGCATGCCCACGGTCGAAAAGGCTTCTCGACTCCGACATTTGCTCATGCTCTCGATATGCGGCAGCAAGAACCGCAGCTTCGACAATTCCTCATCCTGATCAATGCTTTTCCCCACCACCTCCTTGCGTTCAAAGCCAAAAACCTGCCGAGCACTATCGTTCCATTCGGTGATTCGTCGGTCGTAGTCCATTCCTATCATTGCAGATTGGCACCCCTCCAGCACGATTCGCAGACGCTCTATTTTGCGATCCGGATCGCTCGTATCTTGCAATACCATAGCACTTCCCATGTCTTGTCCTCGCATGTTCGCCAATGGGAGAACAGTCACCGTGACGTTTCTGTTGCCGGCTATGCTTTGGACCGTAGCTTCCCCTCGGAATGATCGATGATCCAAGGCGTATTGCACGGGATCCTCCATCCCAGAATCTCCCAGACACTGCAATCGACCAAGCATCTCCGAACGCTCAGCGTTCCCTAGCAGGTCTCGCGCTCCTTCGTTGTAGGCAGCTGCGGCTTCGTCCGTATTGAATGTCACGACGCCAATGTTGATTTTCGGCATCACATGTGCGCGCAAGATGTTGCGGGTATGTTCTATTTCGGCAGACCGGACGTAGGACAGGATGAACCCAGTGAGACCACCAAGCAGAGCACAGACAGCGCTATTGAGTGCTTCCAGCGAGGCCCCGCGAAGGAGTAAATAGGTCGGTTCGTATACTGTAGAGTACCGGCAAACCAGCACGGTTTCCCCCGACGCCAGGGACACAGCAAATGGTTTGGCGTTCTCGGTAATATCGGCATGCTCGAGAGCGGTCTGAAACTCCTTTTGCAGAGCTGAGTCGTCCGATTCTTCCGAGGTCGACGCCCATAGCTGAGGTGTCGCGCAAGGGTCTTTAAGGAGCAGGAACAAATAAGCTCGGATGTGTTTACTGTCGGTGCGACCCAGGCCGAACTCAACGCCTTTCAGAAGTGACCGAGTCAGCTCGACAGCTCTTGTCTGGTTCGCCAAGTCCTGCGCCAATTGAAGGGAGAGTTGAGATAGTGCATGGAAAGAGTCGCCCATTTCGGAAGGCTGTTGGTTTCCTCAGTGGTTTCCGCCTCCCTTACGCGGGTTGACCTGAATAACATACTGTAGAAGCGGGTGGCGGTCCCAAGGCGGGTTAACTTTCCCAGCCAGGCTGAGCCAGCGGAAGTAATGTTCCCTTACGCGTAACTCGATTTCAAACAGACCTCGGGATGACGTACTGTATGTATATTTATCAGAATTGCCCTGTAGGTGGAGCACCACCGAAAAGTACCGTTTCCATTTGACATGCAGAAAGCAACAGAAGGCGAGGCGCGGGAGACAAACAGAAGTTCCACAGTACCCAAATTGGCGGATTGAACCATGCAGTGAGTTCGAGAAACTGCCTCTTACAAAGTCGGACTTCAGCTCTGTCCACGCATCGATTGCTTAAGAGATCGCTGGCCGTGGACCATATCCTGTACTGCTCGCACTGCGGACCGCTTTAGCCCACCACTCAAATGAGTGAATGAAACGAAATATTATTGGGTTCCTAAACAGATAGATCGGGAAAGAAACGGGGATTACATGCAAGGGACAAGGAAACGGTCTAACGCTCGATCTACGCCAAACGCCAGACCAACCAACCGGTTTTCCTTGTCTTGTTCTTGATCTTGTCCTCCCCGAATTTCCTCCTCCCCCATATCCTCGCCCACCCCCGGGGGTCACTAGCCTCTGAATATACCAACCTCACCACTAAAGCCCCCTCCACCCTACTACCAAACCCCCAACTCCCGTCCCCCATCGGGCCATCTCCAAATACCACAAATCAAGGTACAGCAACCTGAACACCACCCTCGCCCACCCGCCCCAAAAATCAATGAAACAAGTAACGAAACAAAAAAGCCCACATGACGACACCCGTTTGTCGCACGGAGGGGTATACTGCTTGATGTCAGCGGAATGTAATCGTGAGTATGTTGGAGTAAGGATGAATGCACAAGGTCCGATCCCGATGCGATACGCGTGCGTGAAAGTGCGAAGCGATGTTATTTCGTTTCGGTCATGTCCGTGGTCGCTTCGATTCTATTGGAGAGGGAAAGTAATGAGTATGTGGAGCGAGAGAGCATTCTGAAGTATGAAGAAAGAGACAACATACTTGATGCGTCCTCCGAATCTAGGCCGTGCTTCATTGGCCGAGAGATGTCTGAGGGTGAAGATTTCAAAGAGAAAGATTCCCGTGCACTTGGAGATGATGGTGAAACACCGTTCTCGGACCGTTCACCTAGAAGACGGTTGCATGTTAGTTAACGATGCACAGCTTTGACGACAGAAAGTACAAGGTGCTGTGGTACATACCGATCATATGTGCCTCCATATGGGAACCATTGGTGTTTAAAGGTTCCGCCATATGACTTACTTCTTCTTGTTCGTCAACGTCGAGCAAAGCTTGAGCCTGAGGCAGTTCGTCAACGTCTTCTAACAGCTCGGATGTCTCGTAGTGACCGGAATGATCGCTGTCGTGCCCATCGCTGTCGGGATCACTGTGCATGTCGTCATGCTCTTCGGAGTAGTCCGGGAAACCCGCTTCAAGGGCGATTCTTGCGAGATCATTCAGCCGGTTCGTGAGAGAGTATTGGTTTTCTGTCAGAAATATTTGTAGAGGGTTTTCGGGAGTTTCTTCCTCGCCCTTTTGTGTCAGATGTGCCAAGAAGAACTCGTATAGCCGGTTGACAGAAAGAGTTTCAGTGCACGAAGAGTTCTGCAAGAGTAAGCCGTTGTGGTTAGAAATGACCTGTATCGCGGGCGGGCATAAAGGGAAACAAGAACATACCTCGTCGAAAGTCAAATTCAATTGTGGCATTTGCAGTGTGATATCGTTTTCGATCTCAAAATGGTCCTTTAATCCTGCAATAAAAAGAGTAAGCTGGCTTTCGAATAGTAGTGAACCTTCCTGTTCCTCCTCGAAGATCGGTCGTAAATCCAGGTTTTGCTGGTAGACGCTGAATAGGGCGTACGTCTCTCCTCGGTACGAGAGTAGTACACACGGGAGTGGTGCGTAACCGAGCTCGTCGCTCGTTGCGGTAGTTTCGTGGTTAAGAATCTCGCCGGCAGCTTCTTCATGAGCGCTGTGAGACGCGGACTCGTCCTCGACATGCTCTTCGTCTTCGTCCTCTTCAACGTACTCGATGAGATCGGCACTGACAGCATCTGAAGCCGGGCTTTTAACGAGGGATGTTTCTGCTTTTAGGTCTCCCTCTTCGCCATCGTTGAGCGTTGTCAGTTCTGAATCCCCTTCATCATACGTGTTGGTAGAGTTCAGAAGCGAAAGAACACGAGAATGCGGTTTTGTGTCGATTTGCTCCGCACTCCTGTGCGCTTCAGGAGATGGCGTTGTAGGTAAGGCTGACGCAGGCTGTGATTCGGAAGCTATTTCTTCCTCAAAAGTAATCAATTCTTCGGGTGCTGGTGTTGGGATGCTAGTCACATGCTGAGCAAAGCTGTTACTCCCCATCCCGTCACCAACGGCGGATGTCATTTTTGCCCCAGCTTGTACGACTTGTGAAGTAAAGCCATTCGAGACAGCGAAGATGGCCGTATTGTTCTCGGCAGTGGTCGGTATAAGCATTTCCTCCTCGGAGGAGGAAGCCTCGCCTCTAGCGAAGGGTAATCTTCCGGAACTATCGAGCTGCGAGGAAACGGCCGTTCTGAACAGTCCACTGTCCTCCGGAGAGGCCGACGAAGCGGTAAAAAAAGGCTTAGACATGACGAAGACGCTCATTCCGATATCTTTGCGTAAAACCCTCGCGAAGCCACCGTCTTGAACAAGGAAATCCCTTCTCAATTCGCAGACCAAGTTCGAAAAAGAAAATCCGCGGACTGAAACGATTGTCCAAGCAACAGACGACGAAACACAAGTTCGTATGGAAGAAGGTTGTTGGCTTTGTGACCAAGAAGGCAAACTAAGGCAAGCTCACTTGTTTGAACGTAAAAGGAGTATAGCTTCGATACGATTCGTATGATCGCTGACAGTTGAGGCTGCGACCACTGGCTGCTCACCAAAGTCTCTCAGCTGAAAGAAACTCCCACTTCTTGAGCGGACTAGCGGTGCGCACAGCAGGAGGCGGGAAGACTAGAATCCGGTGCTTCTTGCGCCTGATTGAGCGGTGGGAGGGCAGAGCAAGCTGGGTGTCGTTGCTCAAGTAAGTATTGTCAAGCGAAAGGAATGAGTAGCGATTGTTGGAAGATGAACGAAAATGTGGGGCAGAGGCTGCAGCCGATCGAATCAAGTTCGTGAGAAACTTGTGTGTGGGGAAGAGGGGTTCTGTCCGAGTAGTATTTATGCATCCCGTCCAGTGGCGAGGCACAGCAACCAGAGTTACGTCAGCCGCCAAAGAAAACAGCAGGTGAAGATTCGACACTACGTCTTTGCACTGTCAGTGGCATTCGGGAGGTATTTTCAAGCATCCCCCTGTGGACACATGTAACAGGCCGCTCAATTCGGGCCTAAAGTTTGGAGGGACGCTACCAAAATATCTATTTACAGAACAAAAGAAGAAAATTCACAAGAATGGGGGGATTTAGACAGATGATCTCAAATCGGCGTTCATATGAAACACCCGAGACAGCAGGCAAAGGAGACTGAAGCACACTCCGATGCAAACCAACAGTCGTCCAAGCACAGCGAATAAGAATTGCCGCGCGCGCAGTAGTTGCATCCCCTGCATTGACCGCCTTGACAGCCGATGTCGTTGTTCGTTCGCATCTGGCCTTGCGCGTTGTACCCAATGGTAGGCTCCTCGACGATGCGGTATGGCGGCGGTGGTGATGGCATAGCGATCGTCGGTGCGAGCTTGTTCGGCGAACGGTTGACGTCGTATTCAGGCAGGTTCTGATATACGTCCGCTTGTTGTACGGGCGGAGGATGGAGCGAGTGATCGGACGCAGAGAGAATTGGTGATATGAGAGGTTGGAGGGAGGATCGGGATCCAGTGAAGGATGTCCCGGATGATGTCGAGAGCCCTTCTACACTTGATCTACACGGCTCCCTACTAGGATTATCTGTTGGGTTGCTGGACATTGATTGCTGCATCTTGAGAGGTAGCGAGAAGGAGGGAAGGTGCCTTGCGGGTGACGACGAAACACCCAGCCCATGTTTAAATCGTTCCCCAAATGCCATGTCTCTCGCAGACTTGAGGTGTCATGATGTACGTGGGAGGATTGTCAAGGTTGTGGGGTTTGTCCTGTGGCGATGGACTCCACGCAAAGCTCCGGGGATAAAGCTCATCTCCTCCTTATCCTATTCTTGGGAGCCTGCTTGAGAGAATGAAGGACGCCTCAATAATGACGCTTGAGCCACTCCCTTCCTCACAGTGTTCAAATAAGCACCTCCGGTTTGTCCTAATTCGTCCTGTGCAGATCAGAGATGCCTCTCGCAAAAGGGATGACGGAAAAAGCGGTGCCTAATGAAAATCGAGGACGCCGCAATGACGCTGCTCGAGACATGCCCTTCCTCAAATAAGCACACGCCCAAATAAGCACACGTTGGTGTGCGCTTGATATGGGGAGGGACGGACAGAAGGAATGCCGGCGGCTTCGCGCCCGCAGTGTAAAATCGGTGGGAGGCTCTCCGGGGATGATTGGCGACGCGACGCCCGAAGTCAATCTCAAGACACAACACAACAACGTTCGTCTGAGCTTGATCTCGCCCGACGGCCAGATCAGCTTGAGCGGAGAGCCTCCCATGGCGCCCACTCTTATATAGTGAGAGGAGAATTGGTTGGGATGTCAATGTTCGGAGGCTACTGTATGCACACAAATGGTCCTTCTACCGCGAATTTGGGGCACGGGCTGGCAGGCGACTGAACAACAGATGTCCGGTATTCCGGTCTGCCTTCTGCCCGGAGGGCCGAGGCTTTGCCAGCGGTAGCACTTCGAAATACAGTATGGAATATGGGCGTCATCGCTCTGCCTGTCCAAACTTTGAACGGCCGAAGGGCAAGAAGTGTGAGAGGAGACTCAGGAGAGGCTCTGGCGGCTCGCGATCTAGTCGCGGCTCCCACGAAGTTCGAGGTTGGCATTCCGTTCGCAAGATCATCCGCTGCACTCGAAACAGTGACGCATATAACTGGTTAACAGCGTGCGGGCGAGGGTCGTGCAATGTCGACGAGCGGATCGTCTGCTGTCTCTGCGGCCGTGAGGCTCTTGCTGCTGGGGTATGCACTCTTTTCCCACGGAAGTAACGAACCAGTTGAGAGTGGCTCAATGACTTCCTAACTGCCTGTAGGGTCGCATTCCACGCCGTTTACTCATGGTCCATCTTTGATATCTACTTCCGGTCGCCGCTGGTGCATGGGATGACTCCAATCCAACCGCAGAATGTGGCACCTGCGAAGCGCATGGTTTTGGTGGTCGGTTAGTATCTTGGGAACCGAGCGCATGGCCGTGCCTGTCCTGAAGACTCGACCTCATATGTTCATATCTTGGTCTTTGAAGCGGACGGGCTGCGAGCGGACAAGCTGTTCGAGAACAGGCTAGAGCGGGCGCCATATCTTCGCGATGTCGTGCTTCACCAGGGAACTTGGGGTGTGTCGCATACTAGAGTCCCGACAGAGTCCCGTCCCGGACATGTTGCTCTCATAGCGGGATTCTATGAGGATGTGAGCGCCGTAACCAAGGGTATGCTTACACTGGCATCATTGTCACGCCGGCGACACAAAGTAACTGATGATAGAACGTGCGATCAGGGTGGAAAATGAACCCAGTGAACTTCGATTCAGTGTTCAATCAGAGCACGCATACATGGTCCTTCGGATCGCCCGACATATTACCGATGTTTGCAGAAGGTGCTTCGGATCCCAACAAGGTTGAGACTATCATGTACCCTGCAGAGAGCGAAGACTTTTCTGCTGGTGAGTTCAGATGAGATGCAGCAGGCCACCAAGACCAGATTCCTCAATGCGTCATAATCTCTTCCCAGATGCAAGCAAACTGGATACATGGGTCTTCGAGAAACTTTTGGATTTTTTTAAGGAAGCAGAACGGAACTCAACCCTGAAGTCCATGCTGCGACGCGACGGTATCGTCATTTTCTTACAGTATGCCTCCAATGCTCGTGCTTTCCGTTTCTGCCGCAAAGTGGTAAACCACATTCCCATCAGCCTCCTGGGCTTAGATACAAATGGGCATGCCTTTCGCCCATATTCGGAAGAGTGTGTATCGCAGTCAACGCGTCCCACGTCGCGATTGCGTGCTCAATTGATCCATTGGCAATGTCTAGATATCTGCGGAATATTAGGCTTGTGGATGACGGGCTGAAGGAGGTTATTCAAGTGATCGACAAGTTCTATGGCAACGATGGCAAAACAGCGCACATCTTCACTGCCGACCACGGCATGAGCAACCGCGGGAATCACGGAGATGGACATCCCGACAATACACAAACTCCTTTGATCGCTTGGGGCGCTGGTGTAGCAAAGCCTGAACGAAAGGTGGTGACCGGGCATGATCAGCTTTCGGCAACTTGGGATCTTCACGATCTCCGTCGGTTGGACGTAGAGCAGGCAGACATCGCGCCTTTGATGGTACGGACCGACCTCTAGTCGTCTTTCAAACTTTCCTTCAGCGTCTGTAGCAACCGCCAGTCTTCTTTGATAGGCCTCCCATACCCAGTCAACTCCGTCGGCGTGATACCACTGTCATATCTAGCGGCATCCGATCACGAGAAAGCGATCGCACTTGCCGAAAACGCTAAACAGATCCTGGCGCAGTTCTTGATCAAGTCGGAGTCGAAACGCCGGAGCGAACCGTTCTTCAAACCTTTTGAACCGCTGAAAGAGCATCGCGAGCTCGTAGCGGCGGTCGATGCAATGATTGCACAGGAGCGCATCGAGGAGGCTACCGCGACGAGTCGCGAGCTCATTGATAAGTGCATCCAAGGGTTGCGGTACTTCCAAACGTGCGTGCGTCGGACAGACGGTATTTGCGGCGTATCGCACGCCCCGCGCTAATTCGACGTTGTAGATATGACTGGCTGTTTCTGCGATCCGTTATTGCCCTTGGTTATGCAGGGTGGGTGGCGTATAGCACGCTTTTCATGATCCGGGGCGATGTTCTCAATGAGTCGTCGAAAGGCAAACGACCTGTGAGCCTAACGCCGGCAAACTCTGTGGTGCGTAGGAATCGTGTGGCAGGGACAATCGGTACGCCGCGACTGACAAGCGTCGGCTTTGCAGGTCTACGCAACCAGTATCCTAGTCTCACTTGGCCTAGGCACGTTGCTGTATCAAAAGGAATCCCCACTCCTCTACTACATCTACGCCGCGTTCCCGATATTCTTCTGGTCCGAGACGATCAAGCAGCGCGCTCTTGTAGCAGACTCTGTCGCTGGCTTACGCAGCAGAGGGACGACAAAGTCGGTCGCTGCCATTGCTGCTTACGCACTTGTTCTTGAGCTCCTGGTATGTGGGCTGAGCGCCTTCCAAGAGTTTGATGGACAACCCGGAATGGACAATATGCAACTGTTTTCCCTTTCGCAGGTCTACAGCTACTTCCGGCGCGAGGTCCTAGCACCGTCTCTCTGGTTCCTAGGTCTTGTATGGCCATGGACGTTCCCTGCAGGGTTCCGGCAGAAGCATTTTGTCTTGCTCGTGTTGTGGGCCGGATCGTGCCTCGCTACGAGCGTCTTCCCTTTGCTACCTGTAGAGAAAGGGGACAGTGTCCTCTTGGTGTAAGTTGTAGCCCCTCACCCGCAAGGTTCCAGACGTATGAGCATTCTCTGACACTAGCCTTCATGCCATTCCCGCAGTGCGGCGGGAGGCATCGTTATACTTATCTCGGGACTCTACGGCTGGCTGAAGGTTCCTTACTACGCTGATGCCAACCTGCCCGGGTCTGCCGATGCTTCACGGAACCGACGGAGCTCCAAGATTCTAGGATTGGAGGTGAGCTGCCTTTCTTGAGTCACAGTCAGTGCGCGGACTCTGACGCAGTTTTCTGCTTGGCTCACTAGATTGTCATCGCGGCGAGTATCATGGTAACAGTAGATACCACGTATCGACTCCAAGCGAAGTCCGGCCTTCCTTTGCTGAATCAGACCATCAGTTGGGCCATCCTTGGTACGTTTTCCACCACGCAAAGGCCTATAATTGCATCGTTTTTGAACCGACACACAAAATAGCAATCGCGATAGCCATCCCCATCCTGGACGGTGTGCACAAAGGCCAGCACTTCCTGCGACGCCTAGTCATCATCTATCTGTCTTTTGCACCGGTGTTTGTCCTGCTCAGCATTTCCTACGAGGTGCTCTTCTACGCCTGTTTCAGCATGACGCTGCTCTGCTGGCTGTTGGTCGAGAAGGCTCTTGCCGAGGATGTGGATGACGCGGTGTATAGTGAGGGCTCGGTAAGTGTGCGGGTTCCGTTGCGACCATACGTGTAATCTTGTGACTGATCTTGTATGCACCCATCATACAGGCAACAGGAAAAGAACCACCATCAAACCGCTCCCTCGGCCTCAGCGACCTCCGCATCGCGGGAACCTTCCTCCTCTTCATCAACGTCGCCTTCTTCGGCACCGGCAACATCGCCTCCGTCTCCTCCTTCTCTCTCGAATCCGTGTACCGCTTCACCACCGTCTTCAACCCCTTCCTCATGGGCGCCCTCCTCATCTTCAAAATCCTGATCCCGTTTTTCCTCCTCTCCTCCATCTTCACCGTCCTCGGCCGCATCCTCCGCCTCCCGCCGTTCAGCCTGTTTTGTCTCGTGCTGAGCACCACGGACATTATGACGCTGAATTTCTTTTTCCTGGTGAAGGATTATGGCAGCTGGCTGGAGATCGGAACCACTATCAGCCATTTTGTGATTGCGAGCGCTTTTATTGTGTTTCAGATTGTGCTGTTTGGCGTTAGTTATGGGTTGGTTGGGGGCGTGCTTGTGCCGGATGTGAAGAGGGTGCGCGGAAAGAAGGACAAGTGATGGGTTTTCTGTGTCGTTGGCTCAATAAGATTGACCCTGCACGTTGCTGTGGTGTCTGTTCAAAGGCGCCTGCTTCCCAGCGTAACTTGCCGTTGTGCATGCGGGAACGAACAGCAACGACTGTCTCAAGTAATTGCATTCATAACCTACAGTATGGTACCAAAAACTTCGCTGGTTCCACAGCGACAGCCGTATTCACTCCAGCTTGTCCAAGTAATCCAGCCTACTTAATATCACTCCTTTACTGTGGAGTTTGAACGAGAAACGCAGCTTAAGGACACAACGAAATATGTTCAGTCGCCAAATGTGCGATCTACTGTACCTCGTCTCTTGAATCTCGCCAGCGAGAAAGACTTCGTCCAGGATAGCGTAGACCTGGTGGACCGGGTGTATGTCAGGAACGCGCCATAGGTATCGGCAATGACCTGTTACAGTTCCTAAGACGCTACATACCTTGTAGAACTGGGAAGGAAACGATGAGCCGATAGGCACAGTGACGGAAGGTACCAGTCAGACCACAAACAAATGACCTCAACACTCACATTGAATACCAAATCGAGCTCGCAAACGTTCCTGAAGAACGCGTCCAGGACTTCGACGAAGAAATGAATCGCTTCGAGGTACGCCAGCTCGTTGTCGTTTGTGTCGACGCAGAAGCAAAAGAAGAGTCCTGCGTAACGCCGGTAGACGATTTTGTAATTCCGGAACTGCGTTGCAAGTCGAGTTCCAAAGTCAGCTGGGGGCTCGAAAACCTTTTTCGTGGTATCAAAGGGAAGCCATCTCCATGCGCAAATGACCCGAGACACCTCCATTCCCAGAGCCCACATTCCCACAATACAGTTCCCAAACCGTACCTCAACGAAGTTACTCTGATGCTTCTGATCCCGCGCCGCAACGAGCTTATGCACGTCCGCCTTCAGTTTCTGCTTCTCCTCATCTTCGAATGGCATGTACCACTTCGACAGCCTGGTCTTCCCTTGTCGGTTCTGAACTAGAATAAATCTGTAGCAAGCCGCAGATAGGGGTTATGGAGGAGGTTGAGTTGATGGTTGAGAGGGCTTTCCAAGATGGTGCTTGACAGGTTGGTCTCACCGTATCTGTAGGAGGAAAGAGGAGGTGAGATAATATGAAGAGGGTGGAACAATGCTACCGGGGAGACGCTGCGAAGGACGGTTTACCATATCTGCAGGGTTTCTTGTAGTTCTGGCGGAGGGGAAAGATGGGACCTTTGCGAAAAGTGAGTTGAGTTTTTGGGAAGGCTATCTCTCTTGCTTGCTCTCGTCACTCTGGCTTTCGGCTTTTCGGGAACGCGTGTTGCGGACTGTGTCAAAGTTGCCTTGCCCAAACTCATCCTACCATCAAGCAGTACCGTTTACTGACCAGATGTTGCCATCGCACAAAGACTAGTAGTTCAAAGTCCAGAGTCCAGTGAAATGTCTATGCAAAACGAAGGGCGACGGATGGGGTCAAGCTTCATATGTGCTATGAAGTCAGACTGTGGCAAATGTGCGTGAAAGCCGTCAAATGAAACGGTCATCTCACCCTGGACACATGCACCGAAAGAACTTGAGAGATCTGATGTCCACCATGTATTCGAAAAAAGTTTACGTAAAAATGAAAAAAAGAGAATACTACGTCGAAAGTCACAAGTAAAACAATTGCGCTAAATGACGAACTACCCATATCTCTCCGATAACCCTACAAGATGTTCCCGACTATTTTACATCATACGGTCGTGGGGAAGACGCATACCGGGCGGGAGCATGACGTTGTCAATCATCTGGATAGCGCCGTTGGAGCCAAGCATGTCGGTGAAGGAGACGCGAGCCTCGCCCTTGTTCATGATGAAGTTGTACTTGCGCACATCGTGCATCTTCTTGTCGTCGTTGTGCCTGCGGCGGTCGTCATCGTGCCTGCGGCGGTCGTCATCGTGCCTGCGGCGGTCGTCGTCGTGCCTGTGGCGGTCGTTATCGTGCCTGCGGCGGTCGTCGCGGCGACGGCGGTGGCGGCAGTCGTCGCTGTCGTGGTCGTCGCAGTCATCGTCACGGTCCTCGTCGCGGCCGCCGCGGCGCATCCTCATGGCCTTGATCTCGAGCTCCTCGCCCATCATCGTTTCCATGCCTAATGTGCAATGAAAGCGATGTGAGCAACGCCGCACGGGAATCGCGTTGTGAAAAGCCGGGTACTCACGCATATCCTTCTTCTCCATCATGTCAGTAGACCAAGCTATGTCCATTCCGATGTGGTACTCCATAATCTTCTTGAGGTCTTGCATACCCTTGCAGCGCATACGCATACGGTCACCATCGCGCTCGTCGTAGCGGCGGCGGCCGCCCTCCTCCTTCTGGCCCATACAGCTGAATAGGTAGCGCAAGTTGTCGAAGCCGAGGTTTTGCCAGGCGTGGTTGGACGGAGCAAAGATCGTCATGCCTTTCTCGCTCTCGATCTTTTCCATCATGCCCGTGCGCTCCAAGCCGGAGAGGAAGGTGGAGAACTTCGTGGGCAAGATGTACATCATCTCGGTAACTTCCATCGGCGGGCACACCACGCGGTCGATGGCGTGGATGCGGCCGTTTTCGGCTTCCATGTCCATGTCGACGATGCGGGCGTGCATGTTCTGTGAAGGTAACGAAGCGGGAAATTAGGGGTGAGTTTCGCCAGAGGAGTTGCAGAGATTAGAAACTGCCCAGTCCCAACTACTCACCAACCACATCTCATTGTGGAACTTGAAGACACGCATGCGTTGGTGACGATCACCGAGAGACTTCAGACGCAGACCGGTCGGGATCAAAGCACCGGCATGCATCATGTCGCTCATGATATCAGCGTCGGGAGCGACGTGGTACATTATGATTTGCTTCATGTCCATCTTTCCTTTCGTGCCGGAGCACATGTGCATGCCCTCCTCCATGTGCTTGAAGGCCTCGTTGGTGGGCCTGTGACAAGGAAGTGAAGTACGTGGATAAGTCTCGATGGGATGGAGAGCAGTAGAAGTGAGAAATCTGAAGGACTCACGCAAAGACGGTCATCTCCTTGTCGCGGTTACCGAGGTCGTCACGGAGACCGCGCTCACGTTCCAGGACCTCGACGAACTTGCTGAAACGCTTATCGTCACGGAGCCGGTCAACTGTGATGTGAAAAGGTAGGGAGAGAAAGAAATGTTTAGTTTGGTCGGCGAGCGCGTGAAAAAAGCGACTGACAGCTCGCAATCGCGACTGACAGGTCAAATAGAGAGACATACCGATCGTTCCACCCTCACGACGGCGGCCACCCATCGACATAAAGTCGTCCTCATAGTCCTGGGCAAACAGTCCCCAGCTGGGCTTGGCACATGCGGTGCTGAGCACGGTGCTGGCGACCGCGAGGAAGCTGAAGACGTTCTTCATAGTTGTCAGATATTCGAATGAAAGTGGGCGTGGTAAGTCGAATGAGTGAGAGAGTGTGAAGGTGGTAAGTGAAACGATGGACGGAGGACGGTGAGGAATGAGAGGGAGGGGCACGGATGGCCCGGCTTTTATAGACCTCGGGAGCTGATGGGCGAGACAGAACACTCCTGGTCCTCACATCAGCCGTCGGCTCTGGCGGAGTCATTCCCTCTCCAACTGTACCTCTATGCGATATTCCCCACTGGGCTCGTAGTGTGTCCCCATTTGTGCCCGGCTGAAAAAAAAATAGGCGGTGGGGTAGCGCAAAGCATGTGGGGTTAAGTGTGGGGCCGCAAGGAGACATGTGTGGGGTGAAGAGTTCAGCCTTGGATGTTCTGCCAATCGCGTTTGTGTTGTGGGGGGCCGTGCGTGCAATGCTGCTTTTCAATGCAATCTTGACTCTAGACGGGCTAAAAAAAGGCAATGTATGTTATGGCTGGTCGCAAAGAAAGGTGTTCGAAAACCCTTCAGGCTAATTGTGCGACGGAGTTTCGTGGAGGTGGGATACAAAGTGTGTCATGATGGGCTTTTTTGCTGCAGAAGGTAAGAGAAAACGCATTGATTTGCCAGGTAACGATGTATACTATGTGGTCCGGACCTAGAGTATATGAGTCACGTATACCGTCTTTGCCGCGGCATGCAGCATGGCCATACTATGGAGGAGCTTGACCCCCAATCGGGTCATGAGCACAAACCGGGCGAAGTTCCGTTCTGGTTCAGAGCAGCGCCCAGGAGATAAGGACCGTATCACATCTACCACATATTATGTCCTGTTCAGATGAAAATTCATCACGGATCTGGAGCATAGGACGACTGACAGGTGTGTCTCACGTACGTACCATGCTGCCTTCATTGCTCGATGCAGCCCACATATCACTCTTGCCCTCTTCCATGACGGCCAACATGAGCTTGCATGCACTATGATACGACGAAGAGGTGTGCATCAATATTGTTTTCAAATAACTCTAACGCCCTACCCTCCTGTCTCCTCCCGCCCCCGACACAACTCATGAGGGACATCTGATCCAGAGCACCTCCTCATGACCACTCCGCATGCATATCGGAAACAAATCTCTCCATTGGTGAGGGACGAAAAAAGGCAAAACGCACAAATGCTTCCACCGATCCCTCTCAGGAGATTCCCCATGCCTCCTCTCCCATCTCCGACGCCGATTCACTCCACTCCGCTCATCATGAGCACGCGGCGGTGATGTGGGGATGCTCCTTTTTGGCACTCTCATTCCAGGAGAGGTGGGGAATGCTCGAGGAGCTTGGAATCAATGGGCCGACTGACAGGTGTGTGTTGTCTCGGATGATGGAGTGACTCGAAAGTTCGCGACTGACAGCGGCCATGTGCTGTGCCACCCCGACCGCGTCTGACTGGTTTTCGACAGCGCGTCTGTGTTTGAGGGTGTCAAATTCGCTGGAATTCTCGTCTGACAGCGGCGGGAGCCGGTCTGTACGTGGGTGGGAGGAGAACGATAGTGCCTAAGGGTGCGTTCGCTCGATTCGACCAAAGCTGGGGCCCAGAGCCGAGTAGCGGCTTCCCCAGTGTATTCCATCCATGCATTCGCCTTCATATCTCAGGCGCAGGCCATAGGTGGCGCCTGTCTAACTGCCCATACAGCAGTATTCGGAAGGGGTTGTGAAGACAACGGCCGGGAGCCTGAAACAAATACGGCTTCTAACTAAAAAGAACCAGCTTCATATTCCCCCTCGGCCTCCCTGTAGGACGGAAGGGGTAGTGGGGGTGCCTAGGTGCCGGTTTCCGGCCAGGACGGTGGGTACAGTCCTTTGATGATTTGCGTGGCGAACCAGCATAAGGCCGGGGCACAAAGTCTGACGGAGATGAAGGCCTGTATGTCTGCCGTTGCATCCACAAGGCGTTCAAGTTTGCTCTGATGGACCTTGGAGCTTACGAAGTTGCGAACACGAAGCCGAAGAGGGGAGATCGGGATGGCGCATGACATCGCTTTCCTCTGATTTGAAGTCAACATGCAAGACCAGCAACAGAAAGTAGAGAACATCTGTATGATACAGCACAGAAATCAAAACGACTACACCTAATTCTCTGCTATCCGTTAGAACCATGGTTGGCTTCTATTAACCATCAAAAGCTGATACGGCAGAAGTTTGAGCAACTCATCGGCGGCACAAGGCCGTACGGTTCGAAGAGTTACCTCAAAACCGCGGTTCTCCCTATTGCTTTCTCACTTGGCTGCCGCCGCCGCCTTCTCCGCTTCTTCCATCTTCTTCTCACACCTCTTCACATAAGCTTGCACAGCCGGGAATTCCGTTGTATCCATCCCCACCAGAGTTCCATACCCCATCATCGACCCGACATGAATATCCACCACACTCCAGCTGCCGAGCAAAAACCCTTTTCCTTCCAATCCCTTAGTCAACGTCCCCAACAAATTGTTCAACGTTTCGTTAGCGGCGTCGATCTCCTCCTTCGAGAAGGCACCTCCTCCCTTAGCACTCATCAACACATACAAAGGGCGGGAGAAGTTCACATTGCTCCAGATGACCCACTTCATCGCCTCGCCCCTTTGCGGGCCGGGGGGTGGGTAGAGACCCTTTTCGACACCGAAGGTTTCGCCGAGGTAGAGTGTGATGGCGGCGGACTCGAAGATGGGCACGTTGTCGTGAACGATGACGGGCACCTGTCCGTTAGGGTTCAGAGCGAGGAACTCGGGCTTGCGAGTGTCTTTGGTAGCGAAGGACAGGGTGTGCAGTTTGTGTGGGGTTTGGAGGGCTGTGAGGACGGCTTTCGTTATGTCCGCTAGAGGCGAGGTTGAAGTGTATCAGAGGCATATCTTGGAGACCAGGTAACGATCAAATGCTTACCGGTGGAATAGGGGGCGTGGTAGAATTCGAGAGACATGGATGGTAGTGTTTTTTGTTTGCGGATGGGATTGTAGGAGTTGCAACTATCCTCAGCTTTCGAATTGACACAAACGGAAGGGCTCTGCTTGCCACCTGTGGCTTTTATACGAGGGCCGCGGCCCAAGGGAAGGGAATCTTGTTGGAATATGTGGACAAGCGACAGGGTTGCTTTGCCCGCCTTCCACAAATCCCAGCACACTGTGGGGTGACGCTCTTCTCACTTACTGTACGCTCGGAAAACCCATGGAGATATGTAAATGGATTTCATCGCCACCAAAGCTGCGCACTCTGCCTTGTGACATAAGGTTGCTCCGCGTCTCCGACGTCCCAGATTTCGCATCCACCCTCCCTCTCCACCCTCTACCTATGAAGGCCTTAAGAAACGATTGCATTCCGCGTTAGTAAGCTCTCTTTCTGCGTCTCCATTCTCAGGGAAAATGCATCTCAGGACAAGTGCAGAAGCCTCTGAAAGAATCGATATAGGGGCCTAGCGAGGTTTACTCCGGATCCATCTCTCCTTGGTGTGTGAGACCCCAAGACAGCCATTGCAGCTAGCTGTCTGGAGAGCCGGCTGAGCACCTGCGGAGAAAGGTAAGATGACAAAGCCAACGGAGTTCAGGGCAGCCGCTGCCGTTCCAACTTGAAAGGCGCCTGTGGTCAATCAGGACCGTTTCAGCTCTAGTTGACGCCTTGTCGAACGATGGATGCACGCCATGAGAGACTTCTGAGGAGAACATCGGGTGGCGGGGAGAGCCATCCCAAGTTATGCATTTGCGTCTGCAGTCTTTGTTGGGGGTAAGGCTTGCCAGATGGATGTTGTCGTCAACCTCTGTCCGAAACGCCGGACGCGCACAGGCCCTGTCCAAAATTCAACTTTTCCCTGAGCAAACGCATACAATTGGCAAGTCAGCGCTTCTCTCGCAGCCTCTCCTCCTTCTGTGCGGGACCTATATACATAGAGTAGCATAGGAGTACGCCGGACTATCCTCTGGCAAGTTGACGGCAAAGGTAGCCGAGTTTGTTTGGAGTACTGTAGGTGTGCTGCAGTCAGTGCTCCTGCCCCAGCACTCCCCATGTCAAACGGCAGTTCTCCAGCGCTTGACCGCACAGCAGACGACGTTCGCTCCTCAACGGGCCCTGCTAACGACCTCAACTACAACCAAAAACCAGCCCCGGGGACTCATTCCGTAACGACCGCCCAGCACGCCTCCAGCTCGACATACACATTCACAAGCACTTCCACCGAAACATCCGCAGAAAGCCTTGCAAGCCTCTTTGGCCTTACCCCGGCCTTGTCTGGACAAATACCGTCGCAGTCCGATGGAGCAGCAAAGATTCGAGCGGCCGCGCCCTTCCCTTCTGCTGCTATCCAGTCCGCGGTCGCGGCTCACGCGGTGGAGTTGAAGAAAATGATAGTGGGTCTTACTTCCGGGACGTTGCGGATAAGCGAGGTGGATTTGGATGGGAAAGCCCAGTCGGGACCGTATGTGGGAGTGAAAACTCCAGTGGTGACGCCAGGTCGGGAAACGTTGAGTTCCGCAATACATGCGCGAAGTCCGCCACCCAACGTCGCCGCGGACCTCAACGCCGCCGGAGATGGAGCACTACCTTCGATCTCTGTGGATTTGACGGCTGAGGCGCCAAGCCAGGTGCCTGCAGGACTAGAATCGACCCCAAAGCCATCCTCCAAAGTGCCCAGGCAGACCCCGGAACAAATTGAGGCGAAGCGACTGATTGCGTTGAGAAAACTGGCGGAACGACAGCAACGCCTACGGCAGGAGCGAGGGGTGTTGGGGAAGGACTGGCTGGCGAGATATGGGTTGGCTCCTGCGACGTCGAGTGCTTCTGCTAGCAAGTTTAAGCCAGCAGCTGGGATAGGGGACAGCTCTAATGAGGCAGCAACGGGCGCTTCATCCACCCGTGTCAATGTCGACGACACACTGTCGAGCGAGCAAAAGCGGCTTCTGACCTATGTCGACCAAGGCAGGAACGTATTTCAGACAGGATCCGCGGGTACTGGCAAATCTTTTACGCTGAAGGCTATCGTTTCCCATCTCCGACGGAAGGGTCGCAAGGTAGCCGTGACAGCACCCACGGGCATCGCCGCATCGCAGATTGGGGCACGAACCCTCCAGTCGCTTGCCATGACTGGCGTGGGACGGTCCACCGCGGAACAAATTGTCGCCAAAATCCTCAAAACCAGAGAGAAACGACAGGAGTGGAGTGCACTCCACACCCTGGTCATCGACGAGATCTCGATGGTATCTGCAGATCTGTTTGAGAAGGTTGACTGCGTTGCGAGAACACTCCGGCATTCGACCAAACCCTTCGGCGGCATCCAGCTCCTCATCTCGGGGGACTTTTACCAGCTGCCCCCCGTTCCAGACATTCTCGTCTGCCCAAAATGTACCTGCGAACTAAAGGACATCAAGGGGAGGGGAAAGGGGGTGACCGTGACGTGCAGCCAACGAGACTGCCGTCATGAGTGGAACCCGACGACTCGCTATGCGTTCGAGAGCGCTGTGTGGGAAGCTTGCAATTTCGAAACAGTCGAGCTGACTCGGGTATTCCGGCAAGATGACCTGGAGTTTGTCTCCGTTTTGAACGAGATCCGCAAAGGGATTTACTCGGAGGACGCCAAGCAAATGCTCGAGGCGTGCACGCGACCCTTGGATGAGCGGGATCAGGTCAAAGCCACTCATTTGTACCCCCACAAGCACACAGTTGAGGAAGAGAACCTACGATTCTTCAACGAGCTGCCCCGCGGCGCCGAGACACACACTTATGTCGCCGAAGACGGATCCAACTTCGAGGACCGCGAGCGAGCGCGACAATGGCTCTCCGATCTCCAAAAATACCTACAAGCCAAACCAACCTTAATCCTCACCATCGGCGTGCAAGTCATGCTCCTCACAAACCTCGACACCGCGGCAGGCCTCGTCAACGGCTCCCGCGGCGTCGTAGTCGGCTTCGACCGCCTCCGCGACGCCAAAGGCCGCGAAGTCTTCGACTCGCCCCTGTACCCCGTTGTCTACTTTAGCAACGGCATCCAACGCACCATCGGCGTGCACACCTTCGACGTCATGCTGTCTGAGAAACACTGCCTGTGGCGCAAACAGGTGCCGCTGATGTATGGGTGGGCTATTACCATTCATAAGGCGCAGGGCATGTCCATTGATAAGTGCGCTATGAATCTGGGGAAATGCTTTGGGCCGGGGATGGCGTATGTCGCGCTGAGTAGGGCGAGGAGCTTGAAGGGGTTACATTTGGATAAGAGCTATGCAAGAGGCGTGGCGGTGCCGGATCATGTGGTTAAGGGGGATGCGAAGGTGCATGAGTTTTATGAGAAGGTTGTGAGTGCTGCGACGAGGGCTGCTGCGGAATCGACAAGCGCAAGGGGCGCGAAACGGGAGGGCTCCGATGCTGATGTCGAGCAGGCAGGACGGCAAGGCGCGGATGCCATGTTCGAGGAAACATGGATTGGGACGCTACGGAAAGCGGCGGAAGACTTCGTGCGATTCGACCGCGGCGATGCGGCGTCTGAGCAGGACTTTCTGCAGGTTGCCAGGGACGAGCTCGCGAGGGCGCGGGAGCGTAATGGGGTTAGGAGCATGTCTGCCTCTGAAGCCCTCACAGGCTTAAGGAAAGTGGAGCGAGGAACCCTGACGACGAGCAGCACCAGCTTCGCTAGCAGCAGCGGGGATAGCAGCATTAAACTGGAATCGATGTCGAGCATTGTCAAACTCGAGTCGTCGCCTTTCGATGCCACGTCGTCGACGACTATAACGACTGCGATTGCGACGAAGAGAGGCATCAAACGCGAACGTGAGCGCGACGACGATGAGCCGATACTGATATTGGACGAATCTGATGACATATCGGGGCAACTCAAAACGGAGAAAATGGAAGTAAACGACGAAGAATGGGTGCCACTGCAGCCACGGCCGCGGAAAAAGGAAAATTCCAAATCAGCGACAGAGTCCGCAGCTGGATTGTCTTTCTTCCAACCTTCGTCGCAACCGTCCCCGACGCGGAAAGCACGACGTGCATCGCAACCACGTGTAGAGCGGCTGTCATCGCAACCACTCAGCACCGCTGATAATGTCATCACCACTACCAGTCAAACCAGCACCGCGAGCAGTAACAGCATGGTCGATACCAGGAACAGCAACGTCACAATGGAAAACATCAACATCAAGCATACCAACAAAATCGAAGCCAATGCTATCAGCAATAGCTCCAGCAACCGCCGTAAACGCCGCGAAAGCGCTGCATCAACCTCAACCGCGACACCCCACTCACTCCCCTGGTCCACCGAACCCCTCATCGCGCTGCATCCGCCCACATCCACGTATACCACATCTAAACGCCGGCGCCGGCGCGGTCGGCAACTCACACCGGTTCTCGTGCTAGATTAGGATCATGAGGGGGGAGTGGACGCGGGGGGTGGAATGCATTTGACGAGGCGAGAGGGAACGGCGGCGGGGAGGGGGAGGGTTGCGGTTGGGAGGGAGATTGGGTGATTGTGCGGATTGGCGTATATTGTGCGTCCGATGGGTCTCGTGCGGGATCGCGAGTAGGCCCCCTTTGCGGAGGACGGTGTGACTGGAGCATAGGTTTTCCGCTGGAGCAAGGTTCTTTTGCGAGGTCTCGAGAGATTAGATCCGGGTTACAATAGTTTTGTCTCTGGTGTTTTCGTATAAGTATCCCCCATCCACTACATTGAATTTTGGAAAAGCATGTTATATAGATATGGCTTTGTTCTGCTTATAGGGTGCCATGTGTACATACATACGCGATTTGGTTGGCTATCTACGCCGAACAGAGGAAGAGGAGCTTACAGGCTCGAATGTCTATTATAGGGAAAATGATTGTCTAATGCTGTCGGATACGCTAATAGCTTCAAATGACGACTGCCCAAAAAAAAACAGTGGTACGCTCCCGTGCCTACTTATACTCGGCACTCATAAAGTAGGTTTTCACCTTCTGTAGAGTTGCCCTTGTTGGTGAGGCCTGTATGGGTATGGAGAGGGATGAGGATGGACTGGAGTGGGAGAGGGAGAGGGATGGGTGGGGCACGTACGACGATCCGATGGGATTGGATGAATAGGAGGCGGTTTTGGATTAGGTCTTTTGTTACTGAGATTATGTTGGTGAAGAGAGAGGTACGTGAATGGACACGAACGCAGAAGAAGAAAATTTTTCATGTACCTTCGGACGTCTCATCCGCATCGACATTGATGTGACCTTCATCATCCATGTATCTGACGAGCATCGCCAGCGCGATCCCGACGGAGCGATCCTTTCCTGTTCATGAAGGGTGAGTCATGTTTGAGCCAGGCCTGCCTCCTCTCCTTCAAATACATTCTCCCCAACATACCCTGCATACAATGCACCAAGACCCTCTTCCTCTCCCTCAACGGCCCCTTAACAAACGCCAACACCATCGGCAAACAACTAAACAGCGCATGCTGCCCCTTCTTCCCCTCCGGGATAGGCAGGAACAGGTACTTGCCCTCCTCGGCAGCCTTGTCCAAGAGCTCGGGAGGGTGTTCAGGCGACCCGCAATTGATAACGACGTCAAAGAAACGGAAACAGTCTGGTGGGCGGCCGCTGGCGTGGTTGCCGATGCTGATGTTTGTATCCCCCAATAAGTTTGAAGGCGGGGCTTTTCCGGTTGACAAGGGGGTGGAAAGGAGGTGAGAGTCTCTGACGATCCGTTGGACGAGCTGTTCACATGTAGCATCATCCGTCGCATCCAGTAATTCTTCCCGGTGAGCCCAGAACATCTCAGGTTCCAAGCCCCGCCCCCATAACTCGTGATCGTCGGCAGATCCTTGGACATAGGTGTACCCAACCCGTCTGTCCATGCCGTCCGGAACGGCTTGGGAGGCGCTGAGGAGGATGACGGGGTAGAAGGGCAGGTCGTGTAGTGCGTCGGGGGAACCGGCCCAGTCGAAGCCGAGGGCGAGGTTGGTTGTGGGGGTAATCCAGAGGGGCCGGAGGGGTTTGTGAAGGTGAAGGGAGAGTTCGGGGACGTTTACTGATGATGCCTGTTGGTGGTGATGATCGGTCGTCCGTTCGTATCATATAGCGCAGGTTGAGGATCGGTCTCATGACACTTACCAGCAACTTATCCACGAACGGCGGCAGCTTTTGACTGATCTGTTGCGACTCCGACCTCGACACAATCGAGGGTATGGAATGGAACGCCGTATCCCACAGCAATCCCGACTGATCACCCGCCAGGTTCTCCTTTTCGTCGTCTGTCCCGTTCGCGATCGCATCATGCGGTGCAGCTTTCTGTCGATGCCTTGCAACAGCTCCATTGATGACGGCGCACCATATCGGTACGGTTTTGGCTAGACTGTCGGGTATTCGCTTGCCGTTCCGCGTTGAGTCAACTATGATGCATCTATACGAGACAAGGCGTGGCTCGTTAACGGTGGTTTATGGGTAGCCGTCCCCTTGCGCCTACTTGCCCACTCACCCTCCACGCTGTGCAATTGTTTTGATGATATGGTAGTTCAGCCTCCGCAAGTTAAAATCCCAGTTTCCAAAATGGCCGTCCGTGGACTTGAAGTAGACGCTATGTGGGTAAGCCTAGGGTATGTAGGAAAGCAAAGAAGAAGTCAGTTTTGCCGTTCCATAGCTGAGAAATGCGAACTTCAACGTCACCAAAGACAAAAAGAAGCCACACCTTCTTAGGGTCAACGTACCAGCTGCCACAGCGCTCGTTCGCGATAAGAGGCAAAGTCCTGAAGTGGTCGGCAACTTTCGTCACGAATTCAGAGTCCTTTCCAATGGAGCGTAGGCGGTTGTGACTGGTGTGTGCAAGTGCGTACAGATAAGCCAGCTTTTTCGACGTTCTAGGAGTAGGACTATGCCTCGACGTACATGTTGCGAGACTCCCTCCGTATTGCTTCCCGTTCTTTGCATGACATTGTTGCTTCCGGCGACGTTCTCCAATTGCCGAGGGGCTTGAATTTGAGCGAGCTTTTGACCTCGATGAAAAGTCCCACGCGTTGGAAGAGCCACCGGCGGTGACGGCTCAAACCTCCCTTCAACCTCTTCAACGGCAACCCAACCCAAACCAGACCCATCCGCCCCTCGCTCTGTCCCACAGCCAGGAACAACTACTCAACATATATACAGTACATAGGCTCGCTACACTTTCACCGGCCTCCCCCATAGAGTTCCCTTTACTGTTGGGCCAGACGACTTTGACAACAGCTTACGGTAAGTTACCCGCACAATCCCGCAACATCTGCAAAGCTAGGCGGCATCAAAGGTCCGCCGTACCTTCCCGACAGCTGAGAACGGCAGGGCTACAACTGGCACTTTACGGGACTCCTTAATGGGCCGTACCGTGCTGTACTGAAAACAACCGTCGGGAAGGCTTGTCCCAGAGAAAAAGGCTTGTCCCAACTTGGCATTCCGCGCGTCGCATGACATCCTGACATTCTGTGTTTCGTTTCCCCTTTTGTAGGTCAGCCAGCTGAACAACCTTTTCAAGCGCAGATACAGTCAAAATGAACCCCGAATAGTATGTGTTGGTTCATTTATTTTCCTTGTGGAGGCGGTTTCTTGGCGCTGTGGGGGCAGCAAAGGCGGGTTGGAATCGTGGGAAAAACGCCGAAGGCGATTATTCGACACATTCAGCGTGGACAGCAGTAGAGCGTTTGCATGGATGCGCTTCCTCTGAGAGAGATCTAGCTACTCTTTCGGAGAGCGGCTTTCGCCGCTGCGCGGGTCATGACTGCTTCCATCTTCGACCAGGTTCCTCACCCAATATGTTCCTCGATTTAGCGATTACCTCTTCAAGCTCCTCCTCATTGGAGACTCCGGTGTCGGCAAGTCTTGTTTGCTGCTTCGGTTTGCGGTAGGTTTGCTCCTTTTGGGAACTGTCATTTTGATGGCGCCGACTGACCAATGGACTATATATGCAGGACGACACGTACACTGAAAGCTACATCAGCACAATTGGAGTGGACTTTGTGAGGAGAACACGTCATGTTCTAAATGTCTCGACGGGAAAGTGAGCGCTAATAGTTTTGGCTCTGTCGCAGAAAATTCGCACCATTGAGCTTGAGGGCAAGACCGTCAAACTTCAAATCGTAATTGATCGTCACACCTGTTTGACATTCAGAGTACGAGAATCAATGAACTCATTTCCAATACTATAGTGGGATACAGCGGGTCAAGAACGTTTCCGCACCATCACGTCCAGCTACTACCGTGGTGCCCACGGCATTATCGTCGTGTATGATGTAACAGATCAGGACACCTTCAACAACGTCAAGCAATGGCTTCAAGAAATTGATCGATACGCTTGCGAGGGCGTCAACAAGTTGCTCGTCGGCAACAAGAGCGACTTGATAAATAAGAAGGTGGTCGATCACGACGCAGCGAAGGTATGTTGCTGCAAGTCGCGAATTTGATGGCCCCATGAAGGGCGTGAAACTCATAATTCCACCGAAATCTCTTCAGGAATTCTCGGACAACTTGCAAATCCCATTCCTGGAGACGAGTGCAAAAAACGCAACAAACGTCGAGCAAGCCTTCTTGACAATGGCCAAGCAGATTAAGGACAGGTAAAACATCTGCCTAAGAGACTTTTCCTCTGTTCCTCTCACTGGGAACTCATGAAAATCCGTCTGTTCATCTCACAGGATGGGCACATCCGCCGCGGCAGCAGCTCCCAACAAGAGCAACATCAAAGTCGGCAGTGGCGCCGCCGTCCAACCACAGCAAGGAGGTGGATGCTGCTAAGGGACATTACGGGAAATCGCCGCTCCCTTTCCATTATGTTGGATCTGCTGTGCTATACGTCGTACCCCTAAAGTACAAACTCCCCGCTTGCCCATGTTAACAAACCCCTCTTCCCGTAACCCCGGCCCTTTTGTTACTTGCTTTGTTTGTTACCCTCTCGCTTTACTTTTGCTGCAATAATCATTTTTCTTTTGACTCTAAGCATGGGTGATCGACTGTAGACGACAGGCCGCTGGAATGGAGGGATCGTGATCTGGACGCTACGACGTGGTGCTGTAGAAGTATTCGGTGATCCACGACCGTTGCGCTGGCAGCTGTTTCGCGGCGAGTAACACAAATTGCAACCCACCGCATTTGAAGGGCAGCGGTGGGTATGGACACGTGCTGCATGATTTGCGGACGGTACGGCCTTCATATGTATGTCCCTGCGCACAACATCCATACACTCAGAGTATTATCTCTCTCGCCTTCTCTCGTTGGGCGTTCCAGTAGTTCATGCGTGCCTGATCACCTCCTTCCAAACCCTGCTAGGCGCGAGACAAGCATCGTGCATGACGACGGTCCCAGAAGGTATGCATGCAGTTCATCAGTATTCCCCCCACCCGGTCGGAACCATACACGCCTATGTACAGTACCCAGACCATCTTGTCCACCTTGATCTCCTCCCATTTGGAGACGCCTCGCCCCACTGGACCTGTCAGTTTTGTCCTTCAAATTCATATTATGTCACGCGTTGCGAGTCCCTGGCCGCCCTTCTCCGCATGCTCCCCCGCTTTGGTTCACAGACGTTTTTTGTGCTGCACTGAGCTGTTGTAGTCCAGAATGGCTGCCGCACCGTCGATGATTGGTGAAGGCAAGGGGATGATGCTGTGTGGCCTGGGTTGTATAAGAAAGACCGTCGGCTGAGTGTCTATGCACTTCCATCTTAAGAACGGTCTTTTCAGAGCCGACGCCTCAGCCCTCTACCACCAGTAATGAATACGGGAGACGCACATAAAGTTAACCTTTTTCTCCACTCCAGCGAATCCGCGGTTGTATACCCGTCAGCCCTCGAAAGCCCTCGGAATCCCTCCGGGAACTTCCCCCCAATGACTCAACGAGAACATTCCGCCCACTATTCCCTTTTGAACTTTCCAGCGCCTAATCCGTACGGCTCATAACGTGCGGGATGTCTCCCCACACAAGTCTCAGGGAGACCGAGCTCTTACGCATTCCCTCGGGAGTCCGAACCCTAGGTCTATGTATGTAAGGGCGGGCTGAGCGCTTGACGTCAGAGGGTGTAGCTGATTGGGAGTGCGCAAGGATTGTAAGGAAAAAACTGAGATCTGCCATGTGGCAAAGGGAACAGGACGGGGGGCGAACCGGACATTGACCGCATTTTGTCATCCGTGGGCATTATTGGGCGAAGGAGATCGTTTGACATCCCAGGAGATTAGAGATGTATAAGTCAGAACATGGCATAGCGTCCGCACGTTGCGCTGTTTTTTTTTTGGGGTAGAGACCTCTTCCTGTATTAGGCGTAACAGACTTTTGAGAAACTCAACACTGCAGGCACATCTCGGCAGTGCCGAGAGCTGTAACGACACTCGCGGAAATTGTAAGCTAGCAGCGGGACACACCTCTCGAAACCCAAATATATCCTCCGCACTTGCGGTACTTCGCCTGCTGGCAGGAAAAAACACAACTCCAGCGTCGTCCAACGCCCGGCAAGCGCCTCATAGTGAATTTCACACCGTCTCCCACATCCTCATACGAAAAAATGTCCAAATTCTATAAGAAAATCAGCGGATCCTTCCTCCACCTCGGCTCAGAAGCTGACGTCCACAGGCCACCTTCCCGTCCCCTCGCGGCGCCCAATGTTCCGAACGTCCCGCAAACACCCGCAGCGCTCCCGATGGCTGAAACCGGTGCAAACACTCCCGACACCGCCAACGCCACGCCCAAACCCGCCGACGCCCACGTCGAAATCAACGACGACATCGACGCCTCCCTCGAAGAACTCCTAAAAACCGACCCCCTCCGCGGCCTCACCGACGACGAGGTGCATCGCCGACTAGAGGAATTCGGCCCGAACGAGATCCAGGAGAAGAAGACCAACCACTTGCTCAAATTCCTGTCGTATTTTGGAGGCGCCATCTCGTTCTTGCTCGAGATTGCCACGGTTGTTAGTGCTATTGTGGGGGATTGGATCGATTTTGGGATCTTGCTTTTTGTGTTGGTTACTAATGCTTGCATCGGGTATTTTGGTGCGTTTCACACAATATCTTTTTTGGCCGGCATGAGAGAGACTTACAGTGATTGTGTACTCCCTGCACTACAGAGGAAGCCAAAGCCGAATCAGCCCTCGAAGCGCTCAAAAACACGCTAGCCCTGAAATGCCGCGCCGTCCGCTCCGGCCGGCTAGTCGACATCGAAGCTAACACGCTTGTCCCCGGGGACATCATCATTCTCCGCATCGGCGACATCGTGCCTGCCGACGCGCGGCTCCTGGGCCTCTCCGCGGCTGGGGAGGAAACTGAGTCGAAGCTGCAGATCGACCAGTCCGCTCTCACCGGCGAGTCGTTGCCGATCAATAAGGGTAAAGGCCAGATCGCGTACTCGTCATCGACGGTCAAGCAGGGCCAGATGCTGGCTGTTGTGGTGAAGACGGGGATTCGGACGTATATTGGACGTGCGGCGAATTTGATCAATGTCACGCAGGATATGGGGCATTTCCAGAAGATTATAGGCACCATAGGAAATTTCTTGATTGTTATCACGGGGGTGAGCGTCGCGAGAAAACTTCGGGTTGATGTGACTTGGTTCCTGACCCATAAACTTGAATCCTTAGGTGCTGGTGATCATCATCCTCTTCGTCAACCTATTTTCCAAACACCAAGACTTCCTCACCGCGCTCCGTTCGGTGCTCATCCTCACCGTAGCCGCGATCCCAATCGGTCTGCCCACCGTCCTCAGCGTAACCATGGCCGTCGGCGCCAAAGAACTCGCCTCCAAAAAAGTCATCGTGAAACGCCTCACCGCAATCGAAGAATTCGCCTCAGTGTCCATTCTCTGCTCCGACAAAACCGGAACCCTCACCCTCAACCAGCTCACCTTCGACAAACCTTACCTCGCGTACAAAGGCGCAGCGACGACCGGCGACCTCCACGGGTCGGGAGAGCAGTACACCGAGGAAGATTTGCTCATCACGGCCTTCCTCGCGTCTGAGCACGGCACACAGGACGCGATCGAGCTCGCTGTACGTAAAGCCGCGCGTGAACGCATCGAGGCGTTGAAGAACCATGAGGAGAACGATCACCGCGTGCCGGGGTACAAGACGACGGAGTTTATACCCTTTAACCCGAACAGCAAGTATACGGAGGCGACGGTGCAAAATACGGAAACTGGGGAGGAGTTTCGGTGTATTAAGGGCGCGCCGCAGGTTGTTATGAATATGTGTGGGGGGCATGAGGAGGCGCAGGAAGCGGTTAATGATTTCGCCAGGCGGGGATTGAGGGCGTTGGGGGTGGCGAGGACGGTGGATCGGGAGAAGAAGGTGTTTGAGCTGGTGGGGATGATTTCGCTTTTGGATCCGGTATGTCGACGTTTTGGATGGTTCTCCCTTTCTGCCAAAATTGGCTTCCCACTTGCTTCACCAGCTTTGGTGGCGATCATTCGTCAACTAACAACCCATCTTGCTCGTCCTCCACAGCCCCGACCCGACTCAGCCGCAACGATCCGCGAATGCGAGTCCCTCGGCGTCCGCGTCAAAATGATCACCGGCGACCAACTCATCATCGCGAAAGAAGTAGCCCACCGCCTCGGCATGCAACGCACCATCCTCGACGCGCACGCCCTCGTCGACAACCCCTCCGCGCCCGAAGAGGAACTCTCCCGCCGCGTCGAAAAAGCCGACGGGTTCGCTCAAGTCATCCCCGAACACAAGTACCGCGTCGTCGAGCTCCTCCAAAAACGCGGATACCTCGTCGGCATGACGGGCGACGGCGTCAACGACGCGCCTGCACTCAAACGCGCTAATGTGGGTATTGCGGTGGAGGGGTGCACGGACGCGGCCCGCTCGGCGGCGGATATCGTCCTCCTCGCCGCGGGGCTGAGCACGATCGTGGACGGGATCAAGACCTCGCGCGCGATCTTCCAACGCATGCGCTCATACGCTCTGTACAGGATCGCGTCCACGATCCATTTCCTGATCTTTTTCTTCATCACCCTCCTCGTGTTCGATTTCTCCCTCCCGGACCGCTTGATCATCCTCATCGCCGTGCTCAACGACGCCGCGACGCTGGTTATCTCCGTCGACAATGTGCGTATCTCACCCCGGCATGATAAATGGCGGCTCGGGCAGCTTATCACCCTCTCCTTCTTGATCGGGTTGATCCTTGTCGCGATATCATTTGCGCATTTCTTCATCGCCCGCGACGTGTTTGGAGAGACCGGGAAACGGTTGCAGACGATCATGTACCTCAATATCTCGAGTTGCCCGCATTTCGTGATTTTCAGCACTAGGGTGCCGTCGTGGTTTTGGTTGTCGCGCCCGAGTTGGGTGTTTGCGACGGCGGTGGGTGCGACGCAGGTGTTTGCGATGTTCATGTCGATTTATGGCGTGGATTTCTTTGAGGCGGCTCCTATGTAAGTTCTTCCATCCTCTCACGAATCTTGCTCATCCCCGGCTGCACACCGGGGGCCACGATTGCCGTCCCACATGGAAACTCACCACTTGCCGTCCCTTTCCATTTCTCATCCCAAATCACACAGCGGCTGGGGCTGGGGCGTCTCCATCATCGCCATCTCCCTAATCTCCTTCATGTTCATCGACGTCGTCAAAGTCCTCGTCCTGCGCCACTGGTCCTTCGAGCTCACCGCCAAACTCTGGCCCTCGCACGCCCGCCGCTCCGAGCTGCAACGCCGGCAGATCGAGCACGCCGAGCGCGAGCGCGTCATGGCGCGGTATGCGAAACTCCGCCCGTTCGTGCATGCGATTGGCGCGGCAAGGTATTGGCAGGAGAAGGTTGAGGGCAAGAAGGGTGCGGGGAGGAAGATGACGAGCGCGGATACAGTTTTGGAGGTCGACGAGAGTAGTATGAGCTCGGCGGAATGAGCGGGCTTTTGTCTCGGGCTGCTTTTTATTTCAAACCCCCTGGTGGTGAGACTTCTGGGGCGTCATTCCTTTTGGATTGGTGGCGGAACCGAGTCCGACTCATGTCTTACATTTTCACCGGCCCCGTCTTTGCGCCGGCTATACCACCTCATACCCTATGGCCTCATTCATTTCATTGTATAAGCAGATCGGTTGATTGAACAGGAATCACATTCATGTCTTTTAAGAGTCGTTCCCACGTTTTATTCATGTGTAGAGAACAAATGACTGCATTGGCGCAGTGGAGAGATGTTGCGGCGCGTATCGTCTTGTCGTGAAGGGCTGCAGGGATATAGTTGCAGTGTCGGAGCATATATAGCGGGTAACGTAAAGTAGGCTGCGTTGGCCCTGAGGACATCCATATGAACCAGCAGTGCGCCGCCTTTACCTAATATCAGCACGGTGGGAAGCAACACGCGACAAGGATACGGCGCAAATGTTATCTTCGGGAAGGGATCGGGGGTTTGAGTCACTAGTGATGGTGATGCTCTTGCTGATATTGGAGGCCACAGTAGCCTGAGACATGTCGGATAAAGAGAGAGGAAAAGACCGAGAGTAAGCAAAGGGATCGTAGGAAGAGAAAAGGAGAAAATCGAGCCCGAAGGCAGAAGACACCATGCTGGTAGCAAACGGCCCCTTCCGCGATCTTGGAATACATACCGCATGCTTGTGGTTCACTCTTATCCTGCGACGGTGATGAAAAAGGGAATTCCATGAGAGATCAATGAAGGCAAACAGGCCAGCGCTCGCAAGTTTAAGTACCAGGTTCAAGTACACTTTCGGATGTCCAAGAGCTCCGCCTCCTACAATATGGGGATACTGATGAGAATCCAACGCCTGAAGATATGACCGACATTTCCGCAGAGAGTAGGTGGATCTTACCTCCATCGCAAGATACTCTCCGCGCCTGCACAAACTTCACGGGGACTTTGGAAATCAAGTCTTGCGCTGATAATGGGTTGGGCTGGGGGATGTCGCGCGCGACAAGGATGTTAGGCTGCGAGGTCGCGACAAGGATGATGATGGCGGGTCATAGTGATACCGTGCTCGCCCCGCTTGCGACAAGGATGTTGGGCGATGTGTAATAAAGGCGACGCTCAGAATAGAAACGACCGTTCGCTGTCGCTCACATTCCCTGCTCGCTGTGGCTTGCCAGAGTTGCGCCTGGCGGCCCGGAACTCGCTCAGTTCGCATATGAGTGCGTTCGTCCTTGAGCATCCTCTGCGCCTCGCTTCGCTCGCCGCAGTCCGGTTTACGCTCGGGCTCCCATAGCGAACCAAGGCCATTCTCTCTACCCTCGGCCCTCATCCTTCGCCCCCGCAAGACCCATCATTTTCCACCCATGATGTACCTGCAGCGCAATATCCGTTTGTTCAAATCGTGGCCCAACCATAGCGGCACTCTTCCTCTGCTGGTGCTCGCTCCAAGTAGCAGCCCTGTTAGGGGCCTGTGTTATGGTGACGGAGGCTGCTGCGAGGGGCGGTTTTGCTTGGAGGGCGGCGGAGGTTGACATTTGGCGGGGGAGAAGGGCAGAGGGTAGCCTGCGGGCTGCTGCCGCTGGTCGGAGGAGGTGCATGGTGGGGTTATGTATGTGTTCTGTAGAGACAGGAGTACGTAGGTAGTGCCGAGAGCTGATGGAAATGGAAGCGTTGGGGGACCAGCCAACGCGAAGTCAGACTTTCCCCTTTGCCCAACTGCAGCCATTTCCTTCCTGACAGACTCCTGGCCTGCAAGCACCGGCAACTGCACTGCCCCGCCTTATAAGTTATCCCACACAGCCGGCAGTCACCACTACTGGACTCAGCTCGCAGCAGGGGAAGAGACCACGGACTTCTTCCAGCAACAATTCCATAGGAAAATATCCGTTTTGCGAGGATCAGGCGACGAAAAGCAATAAACCCCCCAAGCATGTCGTTATCCAGGTAACAACTCCATACTCATGACCAAGCCCAAAACAATGCTCAGGACTAATAGCTGCTTCGCTTCGGCTGTGGGTTCCAACAGCATTCTTCCCAGGCCAAAGGCACCAAAGTTGACAAAGTCAAAGTGGGCAAGCGACGACGAGGACGAGGAACAGACGCCGAAAGCACCCGTGAAGGCAGTACAGAGGGGACCACCGCCATACGGCAAACGTGATGGCTTTGTTCCAAGGACACCAGAGGTATGAACCAACCCACTCGCAAGGTCAGACCAGTACTGCATTCCTTATGTACTCTCACGCCCCATTAGGACTTTGGAGACGGCGGCGCCTTCCCCGAGATCAGCGTAGTGCAATACCCGCTCGACCTAGGCCGGCAACGCAGCGCCAGTGCGAAACGCATCGAAACGCTTCCATTACAAACAGACGGCGACGGTAACATCCGCTACGACCTGATCCTCCGGCAAGGGGACAAAGACGGGAAGAAGATTGTGCATTCGCAGTTCAGTGATATTTTGGAGAAGGATGTCAAGGAGGACGATGCGTCGCTGGAACGGCCGGATGAGGATACAATAAGGGAAACGACGGAGAAGACGAGGCTGGCGTTGGAGAAACTTGTCGATGGTTAGTCATAACAGCTTTTTCCCTGAGGCACAGCGTTACCTGTCTTCTAACTCTCGTCTCGACTTCCTTTCGCACTCACAGGCCGGATAAAGTCAGCACAGCCTAAATCCATCGTTCAACAGAAAAACGTCGCCTCCTACGTCAAATACACACCAGCGTCTCAAAACGGCGCACAGAACTCCGGGGCACAATCCCGCGTCATCAAAATGGTCGAAGCGCCCGTGGACCCCATGGCGCCACCCAAATTCAAACACAAGAAAGTTCCCGTCGTCAAGGACGAGGCGCCGGTCCCCGTCATGCACTCCCCGCCGCGGAAAGTCACCGCTGAGGAGCAGAAGAATTGGGTGATCCCGCCTTGTATTAGTAACTGGAAGAACGCGAAGGGATACACGATTCCGCTGGATAAGCGATTGGCGGCCGATGGGCGTGGCTTGCAGGAGGTCAGTCGGATCTTCGTATTCCCGTACTCTTTGAATGCGCTGGCTAAAGGTCACTGTTTCTTCCCCTCCCAAACAGATCACAATTAACGACAACTTCGCCAAGCTCTCTGAAGCCCTGTTCATTGCCGACCGCCACGCGCGCGACGAAGTCAAAATCCGCGGCGAAATGCAAAACAAACTCGCCGCAAAAGAGAAGCGCGAACGGGAAGAAAAACTGCGTATCTACGCCCAACGCGCCCGGGAAGAGCGCGCGGGACTCGTCTCAGGCGCAACATCGTCCGCTGCTGCTGCTGCCCCGACGAGGGCCGAGCCGTCTTCGGTGCGATCTGGTGCGGATTCGGGGAGCGAGTCGGATGATAGTGTGGATGAGGACGAGAAGAAGAGGGTGTTGGAGCGGGAGGAGCTGAGGAAGGAACGGCAACGGCAGCGGGAAAGGGAGATTAGGATGAGCCATATGGGGGCTGAGACGAAGGCGAAGGTGTTGAGCAAGAGGTATGACAAGGCCGTACCACTATGGCAGCTCTCCGATAAACTGATGATGAATTCCTTGTATTGTATGAATGGAATAGCACGGACCGCGACATCTCCGAAAAAATCGCCCTCGGCCTTGCCCAACCCACAGCCTCCAAAGAATCCATGTTCGACCAACGCCTCTTCAACCAATCCCAAGGCCTCTCCTCGGGCTTCAACACCGAAGACTCCTACGACCTCTACGACAAGCCCCTCTTCCAAGGCTCCACCGCCAACGCCATCTACCGCCCCAAAAAGGACACTTCGGACCACTCGGGTTCCATCCCGGGCGTCGCGACGGAGAAGATTGAGCGGATGCTTGGCGAGGGGGGAACGAGGAGGGGGTTCCAGGGGACGGAGGGCGGGAGGGACGTGGCGAGGGATGGGCCGGTGCAGTTTGAGAGGGAGCAGGATGTGTTTGGGATTGATGAGTTTATGAGTAGTGCGAAGAGGGGGAGAGGGGAGAGCGGGAGGGAGGAGAAGGGGAAGAGGGCCAGGCGGGATTAGGGGCGGTGGGGGGATCGCTTTCTTTGTTGGACGTCACCTGTATGGAGGTGTGGGTTCGATGATGTGTGTGTATGTGGGGGCGGTCTGCATGGTCGTTGTAGGGGCAGCAGCCGCGCTTCGGGGTTTTTATGATTGTGCATCATGTATATTTCTTTGCAAAAGATATTTGTGGCCTACGCCTCACTTTGAGAGCAGCCCCATTGCGAAAACCGCATTCCCTACATATATAGCGTACGCAGAACATGTGTACCTGCCTCGCAGATTCACTTGGCGCGATTTTGTTGACTGCTTTGCTTTCTGGACGACGGAGTGATAGATTGACTTGAATGTGCCGATGACCGATATGGCGATCTCTTGGAGGCTGGCATATGCCCCTTCAATGGCGTAGTAGGTATGTATGTATATACATGCAAAACCTCCTACATACTCTACTGAGTAAGGTACACGCTCTATAGATCCGTCACGCCGCCCCTCTCCGCATACGCCCACGCATCACTTAACACACCTCCCCTCAACCACAAACCTCTTCCTCCTCCCGGCGCTATCCCTCGGCACCCTCGAGATCGCCACAAACGGCCTGCGCATCCCACCAGACACGTACCCCACCGCAAACGTGTCCGTCGTGTGCGCCCACCAGCACTCCACGACCCTTCGACTGCGTGTGGGTGATTCCGCGTCCGCATCCGCAGAGGAAGCAAGCTCGCGCTTGACCAACAGCACGCCGACGTTCCTCTCCCCGTGGCCGTCAGCGAGGAAGGCCTCGACGCACGCGCGGAGGGCGCGCTCGCAGTCCCCGTTGTGGACTCCGACGGCGTCGACGAGGGTTTTGGCGAACAGGGACGTGATGAGCTGCTCGCCGGTGCCTGAGACCGTGCATGCGATGTCCATCGCGGGGTGGTCCATCCCGGGGGGAGATGGTGCTGTGACGCGGCGGGCGTGGATGGACGCGCCGTAGTGGGCGGCGGAGGAGATGCGGCCGGGGGGTTTGAGCGAGGTGCCGCCCGTGGAGGCGGTCGCGTAGAGCGCGGACGGGGTCGAGAGGAGCGCGCCGATCGTGTCGTTGGGGGTTATCGGCGGGGGGGACGGGGGCCCTCGTTTCCGTTTGCCCGAGTCCGAAGGGGAGTTCGAACCCCCGCGAGCCGCCTCCTCAGCCTCCCTCAACCACCCCAAATGCCGCCTCCACCTCCCCCTCGCCTCCTCCGTCACCAAATCCTGATCCACACCCCCACCCCCCCTCTCCGCCCACCACCTCCCCGCCCCCTCCCCAACAACCAGCACCGGCGCAACCAACCCCGCCACACCCCCCCGCCCCGCCTCCTCCATCACCCTCCGCGCCACACCAATCGGATTCCCCACCCCGCTCAACGCACCCACCGCCCCGAAATCCCCACGCACCCCGTCCATCATCCCCGCGTCGCATTCAACCGTCCCAAGAAGCGTGAGGTTGGACCCCAGCCCGGCGTTCGTCAGCGGGGAGTCCTCCAGCGCGCACGTGAGATGGATGATCGTGCCGGGGGCAGTGAGGTCGCCGCTGGACTGCGCTAGGCTGGCGGCGAGGCTGCGGCGGAGGAGAGATAGGAGGGGTTTGTGGGTGTGCGGGGCGTGCGTGCCGGCGCCGCCGTGGACGGCGAGGATGATGTCCGGGGAGGCCGGGGACGGGGGTGGCTGGATGGTCGGTTTGGGGAACGTGGGCTGCGACTGCTCAGTGCTTACCCTCATGTGTGGAGCCGAATGCCGATGCAGGCGAGATGGCGGGACCAGGGGGTTGATTGTAGCTCCTTTGGGGAGTGGGATTATGCTCTGGACGAGGAACGTAGTTCATGAGTTCAATGGCTGAGGAGAGGTTGCCCTAACCCTTGCCCTAACGCGGCCAACCCTTTCCCTATAGAACAAGGTGCGGGATGATGGCGACGTTTGAACCCGCGGCGCAGAGCCGAAAGGCGCTTACCTAACCACCGCGACTGTACCTCGTGTGTCACCCTGAGACGATTTTTCTTGGCCCGTGCTGTCACGTGAGGTGTTTCGCTTTGAGTTCGGTCGTCCCCTGGCGAATCCCAAGACACTGTCGTCTCGAACCCGCTGGAGGATCTCACCAAAGGCATGGATCGAACCCCTGCGCGTGTGGTGTTCTTCGCGTCCTTGGCCCCCGAGGCCTCCACGGAGGCGACTCCCGCTATTGCTGGAAGAATATCCTGGGACGAGTTTCGACTCGAAGATGATGAGCAGCAGGATTTCTGCGACCGCATCATGAAGTGGGCAGTTGAGGCAGTGCTCGATAACGAGCGCTTGAGCTGGCTGAGAGATATGCTGTCCATCATTCAAGCCGATACCGGCGGGCACGTTGGTCTACTGCGCCTGCTTACGCAAGAGCTTATAGGCGCTTCGCATAAAGATTCCATTCTCGCCGGGCGAGAGAGCTTTCCGACTGCCATGAATCGGTACTTTTTGGGCAAATCTTCCATTCGCTAGTTGCTCGACGCGCCGGCTTTGCTGCTCTTCATTTTCAACAGCCGGAGGTGCAGCATGTTTTGAGAAATATGCTGGAAAATACAACACCGGTCGTAGCGCCACCGGAGATTCGTGTTGTGGAGCACGGAGATATGCTCTCTCAGAGGACAGGGCCAAGCGCATCCTTCTCCGCTCGGTTGTAGTTGTGAGTATTGACGACCCGGACGATCCCAGTCGACGGATTCTCGAATTTGCCACTCCCGTTCATCGCCGATACTGGTTCCGAGAAGCGTACCCGTCGTCCATCACGCAAGCCGATTTTCGACAACACGTAGAGAATGATATTGACAAATGGCTTCGCCTTGTACTCCAGACCTTCAATCCGCAAGCGCTAGAGAATCCGTGCTCGCATGGTGCAGGCACTCATCTACTCCCATTGGAATGGACATTTCAACATGAGTTCTGGCGAGGTGCCTCAACGTCACTTCCACCAGGCATGAGAGTAGCTGCCGAAGTGTCGAAAGTCATGGACAGGTCGACTTTGAGAAACCGTCGCGTGGATTTTTGGATCAACTCATCTCTTAACTGGGCTGTGGAGCTTATGCGCAATACCGGAAGGACCGATGACATTGAAGACCATCTCAAACGCTTCCGAGCAAGCGGCAGCTACTACAATCTAACGCCAAATCAATGGCGAATCATTGATTTTCGGGCGCCAACCGCTGACCCCGAGACCGCCGCCATCGATGCCAACGATAATCTCATCATCGTATGCTGCCACTCAGGATTCAAACGAGCGACTGTTTATTTTGGAGAGGACTCCGTGGAGGAGATAATCTTCCATGGAAAAACGATTCGTCGGTGAAGCACCGGAATCTGCTTTTATTATAGTGTGCAAAATAGATGTCCTCCATAACTCTTGAAATGCTGAAGTGCGCAAAGAACCGACTTTGCGAAATGAAATGCCAACTGAGCGTACAGTATGTACAGTATTTATATCTCGCTCAAGTGAAAGAAAAGAAGCTTAGTAAGCACAACCTTGAACGGAATCCATTGAGTGAAGCCTTGTCCTTGACTTTCGGAACGCGTTACATTCGACGGGGTTCCCTTGTCATACGCGATTTCCACGCTGCAGGTCGTTCTGGGAACTGAAGCGCAAGCGAATGTATTCGTAACGAACGCCCACGAACGCCCGTCCCATCTATGGATCCCATTTACCGGGGAACACAGTAATTAGGGGGTACAGATAGTAGTAGTAGTAGTAGTAGTTTAGTGTATATACTGTATATGTGTCCAATCCCGGTGATGTCCGTTGGGGCGCTGGTTTGGGGGGGCAGGGTGGGTGTTCTCCGCGGGGGGATTTCGGGTCAAGTGGGCGGAAAGAGGCCAGTGCCGTTGTGGTGGTGAAGACGAGGTGAAGACGAAGGCGGTGGTGAGAGAGAGTCGGGAAGAGGGTTTGCACACTGGGTAAGAGTACTGATGGCGTGGGCGAAAGATTGGCTCAATGGTGGCTCGTCGACCCCGCCAGAGACGTTCGTGACGGAGGTTATCGCGGAGGTCCCAACGCATGTGTCCCAACACGACGTAAGGGCATGTGGTCGGTTCAAATCGCCAGAGCCTGTAATGGTCGTTTCGTTCCGCTGCTGTGGTCCCCACTCTCCCTTTTTCCCCTCGATCGTCAGCACGATTCCTCCCACTGGCGTCAATAGGTACTCTTTCCCCCCCTCTCCTCTACTAGTCCCACCGCGCAGCGCCGCCCACAGACGCCAATATGAGTCCAAGTCCAGTCGCAACAGAGGTGGGAGAGGGAGCCTCACCGCCCAACCAACCTCCCAACCCACTCCCCGAACCCCCCACCCCACCCCCCTGCGACCGTCACCGTCCCATCACTCCTCAACCAATACCACTTCCCCCTCCACGCCACCGTCCTTCCCGCCATCGCATAACACCACAGCGGTAACGCCAACACCTCCCTTACACACCACGCCGCTATAAACTTGACCGGGTCCCGGAGGACTGAGCAGTCGAGGGTGGTTGAGATAAGAACGTCGGAGAGGATCCATAGTGCGAAATGCAAGGGCAGGAACAGGTGTGGTGGGACGGCAAAGAGACGATACGCCCCCCACGACCCGAGCAAACCGTTCACAATCGATTCAGTGAAAGGTTCCACCAACGTCGCGGCAGTCGTCACGTATTTCCTGATCCGGATCCACCGCGCTCTTCTCCCGAGGTAATCAGCAACACTCAGACTTCCAAGGCTCTGGGACGCGAGGTCCGTCGTCATCGCGTGCCGTTTGCCCGTCGCCCAGATCGCTTCCCCGATGATGTTATCCTCGCTCATGAATTTGCCGAAATATTCCAGCCCGCCGAGATGCGCGAGGGAGGATTTGCGGAACATGTTGGATTTACCGATGATGCAGGACGCTACCGAGAGTTTGTTGATTGTTGCGTACATCTTTGCGTGGGCGGTGTTGAGGAAGGCTTGTTCGAGGCGGGATCCGAAGGTTTGGGGGCTGACGCCGCAAGGGAGGTGGTGGACTAGTCCGATCCCCGGGCGGGAGATCTCCACGACTGAGCGGGAGAGGCAGCCGGGGGGCACGGAGACGTTAGAGTCGATGATCCAGATGATATCGTATTTAGCGGTCTGGTAGGCGCGAATCATGTTGTTTATTTTGGGGTTAACACCGACTTCTATGGGATCAGTTAACAAGCGGGCGTCGACGTTCGGGTAGGTTTTGATGAGATCGTGGACGACTGCTACCGCGGGGTCTTTTGGGTCGGCGACGGTGAAGAGGATTTCAAAGTGCGGGTAGGTTTGGCGGAAGGAGGAGGAGAGGTTTTCAGCGAGGTTGACGTCGATGCCTTTGAGGGGGCGGATGATGGTTACGCCCGGGGTGGGGGTCGGTATTGGAGCCAAAGGGGAGTGCTCTGATGGTGATGACGGTGATGATGTCGTTGATGATGATTTCTTTGCGTGCCGGCTTCGTCTAAAAAGAGATGCGGAAGGTGGTCAGTCAGGGATGTTGAACGTGGACGCTCAACCGGAGTGAAGCGATGGATGGTGTTCGATGGTTGGGTGGATGGTAGAGTGAACGATACCCTTCGGTCTGGGAGACCGATATGTCGACCAGAGCGAACGCTCAATGCTTTGTGACGGTCGCGCTCACATTGCGCCAAAGGCGCAATGCTTCCCCTACTCACGGCTCTTAGCGAGCCTCAGCGAGCGTCAGATCTTTTGCTTAGAGCGAAGTGCTTAGAGCGAAGCAAGCTTCGCACATGAACAACCCAGCCTCCTCGTCGCGAGCTCTGCACCTCGCTTCGCTCGTTTCAGTTCAACACCCACGCTCGCTCGCATCTCACATGCTTCGCACGCGTCTCGCCTGGCTCGCATTGCGCCGCGGGGCCGCTCACTTCGCTCGCGACCCTCAAGCAGGCCCCATTTGGGCTTTCGCTGCTAGCGCTCGCGTTCTCCTCGCGTGCAGAAGATCACCACCCTGAGCTAGTTGTGAAGATGTGGGAATGTGAACCTTACATCAAGACAGTGCCCGTTGCGCAAAAGAACATGAGCAGGGCCCACATGGCAAGACAAAGCACGGCGAGCCAGTTCTTTAGCTGTTCGGAGCCGAGGCCGAAGAAAGCGGCGGGGGTTGAGGAAGCCATGAGGGGTGGGTCAGTGGGGCGGGCTGGTGAGGGGTTCGGTAGTAGCGGGTCAGAGAGAAGAGCGACCCCAGTGAGACCGGGTAGTAGTGAACGGCGGCCTTTTGCGTGGTCGTCGTCGTCGTCGTCGTCGTTGTTGTTGTTGTTCTGTCGGGGGGGATGTCGTTGTTTCCCAGGGTGCCCGTTTATGCCCGGTTTCCTCCCACGTTCACGTTCCCACGCTCTCGCCCACCCCCCCAGCCCCCCCCCCCAGCCAGCCGCCAACGCGTCTCTCCCTCTCCTTCTCTCTCTCTCTGCGGCTTTGATTACAAATAGCTCTCATCACGTGACTTTCGGAATCCACGCAGCAACACAATATTCCCACCTCCATGAATACGTAGCCCCCATTCGACATCTTCCCCGGATGTGTCTCGGGACTCCGCCTTTGGTATTATCCCCTATTACAACATATGCACCCTTCCAACCGATGTATGGAAATGTAATCCATCAAGAAGAATTCGACAGCGCGTCAACCTGCGAGTGGAACACAACGCATTTGGAGCCTTTATCCACCATGTTAAAGAATGCATTCATACGGTTGCTCCAATCATGCGGACCGGTCCCTCCTCGCTTTGTCTATCTCGGAACATAAACTATCTATCTAGCCTAGTGTCCGTGCATGTGCGTCGCCCGACTTTACCGATATACAGTAAGATAGACGTTCCAAGTGCGACGCATGGGCTAGCCATGACCCCGCCCTCCCATTACAGTATACGCCCCGCCCCGGCTTCCTCCCATGACTCGCCAGTCCTAGCCGGCTTCAGCGGCATCGACAATCTCACGAAACGCCATCTTCACCACCTTCTGATTACATATAACCGCATGCGATCCCTTGCGCACCTCCGTAAGTCTCGCACCAGGCAACCGCTCCGCAAGCGCGCGGGCCGCAGCCATCGGGACCAGCCCATCCGCGGTGCCGTGCCATATATGACACTCCGCCCGCACCTCCTCGGGGTCATACGCCGGCCGTCCGAACTTTCCAAGCCCGATCAGCAGGTCGCGGACCATCCCGCGCCCGGCGTACGGGCGCCGCGGGAAGCTTTCTGCGGCAAGTTCGGCGGACACGTCGAGGTCTGCCCATGCGGCGTGCGGGGAGAGCTTACGCGCTTTTTCCTCGGCTGTGAGTGGGGTGAGGGACGCGTCGCGGCTGAGTGCGTACGAGATCGCTTCGAGTTTTTCCTGGCGATGCGAAAGCGCAACGACGTGGGGGAGTTTCCAGATCTTTTGCTCTTCCACACTGCTGTCGTCGTCGTCGTCCTCGTCCTCCTTTGGCTTCTTGCTGCTGGGTTGGCAGGATGACGAGGCGGCCCGCAGGGAGGACGAGACGATGCCCATCTGGTCGATGAGGCTGACTATGGGTCGCCGCCAGATGGAGTGGCGTGGGTCGTTGCCGATGCCTAGTGCGGCGGTGACGACGCCGCGGATGAGTGAGGCGTTGAGCGCGGCGCCTACTTTCACGAGAGTAGAGATTCCCGGGGCGGGTGGGAGGATGTAGGGGGAGAAGAGCTGGACGGGACCTATGATGCGATGTGCATGGTCTTTTGCAAAGGTGAGTGAGGAGACGGTTCCGAGGGAGAAGCCCAGGAGGCCGAATCGGGGAAGGTTGAGAAGGTCAGCGATGGCGAGTGTGATTTCTGGTGGGGGGGAACGGGTGTGAATAATAGCACCACGTACAGTACGTTGGAAATTTCTGTTCCAGCTTTCCTAGACCTCACCAACAACATCCTTGAACAAAGTCTTTGCAGGGGCGTCAGCGGTCCCTTCACGCTCCTCCTCCTCCAGCTCCCCGCTGAGGCCGACGCCCGGCTCGTCAAAGGCAATGAGCCTGACGCCCGTCTCGCGACACAGATGAACGAAGGAAAGGGCCAACAGACGAACCCCTGAGAGGCCGGTCAACATGAAAACCGGAACGCCGGCGGGGTCGCCGACCTCTGCGAAAGCGACCAGGAGGCCGGAGGGCACGGTGATGAACTGGCGAGAGCGGGGAGAGTCGAAGACGGCGGCGGCGAGGGCGGGAGAAGAGGGCTCGCTCATTGCTGTGATGGGAGAGTAGTCGGGGATTGTCATTGCCGGCCGTGAGGAGGACTAACTAAAGCACGAACTGTGCTGCTTATCGGTATGGAAGTCAACGGGACGGCCGTGAGAGAACAGGGCCCTCTCTCATTGTACTGTATATGTACACCAGCCCGGACGCTCTCTCTCTTCTCCCAGCCTACATAACCATGTTGTTGTACACACAGTATGGGGGTGGGTCTGAGGCTCTCTGAGCAGCGGGCGTGCGGCGGACTTGCGAGACTCCAACCCTAACCGTGAGTGCGAAGGGCGTGACCTTGTTGCCCCCCCCCAGACCCCCAGCTCCCAAACGTCCCAAAGGCGCTCCTCAGGGCAGGCCAAGAGCGAGGCGGAACTACACTCCACAGCAAGACCGACCGCTCTCCCTTCCCTTCTCGCCAGCTGCTCCCAGAAGCAGGTACAGTATGTCTTGTCGGTCCTCACCCCTAGGCGTCGTCTGCCCGTGTCCGACTTCCCAGTCTAACGATGTCCTCTCTTGGTGTCGCAGTGATCTTCCCCCTGCCCTCAACCACACCCCTCCGCCATGACAGTCCTCCTCCGAGCAGCAGCCCTGCGCTGCCGCAACCCCACCCTCACACCCACCCTTACCCGCACGCTCGCCTCCGCCGCCTCCGCCGCCGGACCCCACAAACGCACAGCTCTCTACGACTTCCACGTGCAGAACGGTGGCAAGATGGTCGAGTTTGCCGGATGGGATATGCCCGTGCAGTATGAGGGATTGGGTGTGCTTCAGAGCCATCTGTGGACGAGGCAGAAGGCGTCGCTCTTTGATGTTTCGCATATGTTGCAGACTAGGTAGGGCCATGAAGAGAAGCGACCGCCGGCGAGCGTCAGTCTTTGCGAGCGAAGCGAGCTTTTGGCACACGCAGCCAAACCTCCTCCTCGCGATGCGTTGCGCTATCGCCGTTGCTCTAACCGCATCCCCCACATTCCAACAGATGGGAAGGCAAAGACCGGATCAAATTCATCGAATCCCTCATCGTCGGCGACATCGCCTCCCTCCCCATCGGCTCCTCCACCCTCTCCCTCTTCACCAACACCCAGGGCGGCATCATCGACGACACCGTCGTCAACAAGCAAGACGACACCGGCCTCTACGTCGTCTCCAACGCCGGATGCGCCGACAAGGATCTCGCGCACATTCGCGCCCATCTGAAAGATTTCCAAAATAAAGGCGGTGATGTGGACGTGAAGGTGCTGGAGGACGCGTCGCTGGTGGCGTTGCAAGGGCCCGAGGCTGTCAAGGTTGTGGAGGAGTTTACGGGCAAAGATCTGAAGGATTTCGGGTTCATGACGGGACGGAGGATGGAGATCAAGGGGATCGAAGTCTATATCTCCAGGTGTGGATATACGGGCGAGGATGGGTTTGAGGTGAGAAAAGGAAAAAAACAACCGGTCGTCTCCCCCCATGGTCTACGCAATCCCAACTAACCTAATCCTCCGATGGTGCACCCCCAGATCTCCGTCCCCCACAAAGACGCCCCCACCCTCTCCCACCACTTCCTCTCCCACCCCTCCGTCGAGCTCGCGGGCCTCGGCGCCCGGGACTCCCTCCGCCTCGAAGCCGGGCTCTGTCTCTACGGCCACGACCTCAACGACACCACCACCCCCGTCGAGGCCGCGCTGACGTGGACGATCGGAAAACGACGACGCGCCGAGGGCGGCTTTGTGGGCGCCGACGTGATCCTGCCGCAGGTTGGCAAGGCCGTGCCGCGGAGACGCGTCGGGCTGGTCGTGGAGGGGGCGCCGGCGCGGGAGGGGGTCGAGGTGTGGGACAAGGAAGGCAAAACACTCATCGGTTCGTGTGTTTTCACCACCATTTTAGCTCCCCAAATCCGCAACTGACTTGACTTTCCCCCCCCCCCCCCCCCCCCCCCCTCAATGACACAGGCACAGTAACCTCCGGCTGCCCGTCGCCCGTCCTCAAGAAGAACATTGCGATGGCGTACGTGAAGAACGGACACCATAAAGCGGGCACCGAGCTGCAGGTCAAGGTCCGCAACAAGTTCCGCAGGGCCGTCGTCGAGAAGATGCCGTTTGTGCCGCAGCAGTACGTTGTTTCCAGCATTGATTCCTTTCTTTTTGTTCTTGCGATATTGCCGCCTGACGCGTCTTGGGTGTATTGTGTGCTTTTTTTCCCGTGATAGGTATTACCGAGGCGCGTGAGACTGTGACACGGCGTATGGGGTTTCCTGGGCGCGGTCCGTTCCTTCGGACCCCCGCAACATGCAGGCTAGACAACAAACACCAACCAGAATAGAAGATTGAAATGACAACGGAAAACCGGACCGGCGAGAAAACCTGTGATGGACGGCGTTTTTGCGTCGGTATACATACGTAGCGCGGGCGGGGGTTAATGGTATATTATTCAGAACGAGCTGAAAAGCTCGCCCCCGACGATCAAGGGCCGTGCCCACTTTTGTTTTCTGTGTTTCGACCCCCTAATTTCTGTCTACCGAACGCGCAATGTGCTTTGAGAGACTACGTTCTGGGTGTGCGACCATGTTCGTGGCGGGATTGGGGGGTATGGGTGTTGCGCAGGATAGGGCTATGTATCTAATGCGGTGGGTGGGGTATTGTATCCCCCTCTTTTGCCGTGCGGTGAGGAAAAAGCTGAGCAAAAGCGGGCTGGTATCGGGTGGAGGGTGTGTTGTGTGTGGGGGGGTGTGGTGAATGTTCGGGTTTTTGTAAGCAGCAGCCGACGGCGAGGAGACAGACAGCCATTTCACCCGTCCCACGCGGCCGCCAGCCGTCGTTCCCTTTCTTCGCGTTGTTTCTTTTCCAATGCGATTTTGTCTTAAAAAGGACGCCCCCCGGAATGAATCAGCAAAAACGATGGGTGGGGATCCCCACGTCCGCGCGGGTTTTCACGCTCCCCTCCCCGGTCAAACACACAAACACACACACATACCTCGAGCCTTCTGCAACTTCTCCCGATCCCGCTCCACCTCCTCCGCCGTCTTCTTCGCCGACCGCATGCCGAGCGCGCCTGCCACCAGGCGACGGGCCACCATGTCTACAAATGTACCGAAGGGTGGAAGGTATTAGTTTTACGGCCCGTGGATGCCCCGGGGCGGGAGAGGAACAAGAGGGTGTGGGATGTTGTGCCTCGTACCGGATTTGACGGGGGCCGGGGACCGCGGGGTTCCTAATATGTTATGGGGGGGAGAACGATGAGCAGGGCGGTTGGGTTGCGAGGGACGGGGATTGAGCCCAGGGGTAGGAAGAGAGTTGAGCTTACGGTATCCGTCATCCGGGATCTCGCCTGTATGTGGTTTCACCTACGACATCAGATAGTTTCGCATTGTAAGACGTCTCTCGCTAGTCCGACAGGAGGAGAGCGATGGATTCCACACACGCGTACCCGTATAAAAGGATTCCCCAGCGCCTTGGCATACGCCGCCCGCGCGGTGTCCGGATGTCTGAACACAACCAGTGCCCGGGTATCGTCGACCCATTTGATGCGGAACCCGCCGCGCGTGTGTGTGAAGTCTTCAAAGATCAGCTCGAGGTCGTGCGTGCGGAAGGCGGGTGGGAAGGAGTGGATGTCGAGGGTTGTTGTTGATGCTGGGGGTCCGAAATAACGGGGGGGGGGGGGGGGGGGGGGGGGGGGTTAAGTTCCGCCGGTTAATGGGGCTCTGGCGTGAACAACCAAAAAAAGGTTGCGCGCAGCGATGTGAAACCCCGTACCATCTTCAACCCAATCCCCCACTCGTCTCGACGCCGCCGCCGCGACCTCAGCAGCAGGTGTCTGATCCTCCTCCTCATCCGTATCCAACCTCTCCCAATCCTCCTGCTCATCCCGCTTCCCTTCCCCTCCCTCCGTGCCCCCATGGGGATCCAACCCCAGCCTCCCCAACTCCCTCCCCACATCCTCCACCTCCCCCACACTCGCCTTCCGCGCAACAGCCCCCTCCGCCCTCGCACTACTCGACATCCCCGCCGCGCCCCCCCGTCCATCACTCGCCGCAGGCGACACCCGCCCACTTCCCCCTCTGCTCCCTTTCCCGTTACATTCCCTCTGTGAGGTCGATGACGAGGGTGGGTAGACACGTGGTGGCGGTTCCTTTTTCCGTGTTGCTGTGGTATCGGCGGCGGGGACGGTGATGGGTGATTTGAATTGCCCGCGGCCTTTGCGGGTACGGGACGGGGTTGACGGGGTTGGGGAGGATGAGCGGGATGTGTGGGTGCTGTGGATGCTTTCTGACGGGTGGGATTGTGATGGGGGCTGGGTGGATATACAGGCGAAGTTAGAGATGAGGCGTGATGGGGAATGTACGATGCGGGGATGGGATGCCAGACCTGGTCTTTTGGGATTTCGTCTGCGCTTTGGGAGGTGGAGGGGTCGGTGCGGCGGTGGCGGGGGACGTAGACTGCTGCGGCTGGTTTGGGTGTCCGTCGGGAGGTTGATGCCATGGTGGGACCCTTGACTGGCGGTGGTGGTTGTTGTCTCTTGTCTGCAAGTGGGATCTTGGGAAGTGCCTTTTGCAAAGAACGAGAAACGAGCGAGGTAGAACTCCCAACGCGTAATAATCAAGACGACGGACTCACGCAGCCTCCCTCCCGGAGTGCACGACGGACATGCACCCCCCAGGGGTCTTGAGACTTCACAGAGGATGAAATCACATATCAAAAAAGCTACACTCCAGTATCGGAAGGCTCCCCAGTCTCCGTCCCTTCCTCTGCGCTACGCTACACTCCTCTACATGCCCTACATTAACTCCATACGCCGATTCAAAACACCCTACATATCCCCGCTCGCACCTCCAAATGCCCAGGGAAAAAGCACATACGGCCAGCGGGCATCCCCCCCGATACGACCCCTCTTCATCTCTTTACCACTCCTCAAGCAGTCTCCTCCTTCTTTTCCGCCAAACCCCTCAGCGAGATATCGTAAACAACCTGTATTGAACGCGTCGCAAGATCAGAAACCGAACGATGCCATGCATCCACTAGCTCACGGGGGCGTGACGTTACCTCCTCGATCTTCTTGATATCGTACTTGATCGAATCGAACCGTTTGCGCAGCGTGTCGTTTTTGAGGTTGAGGAGTTGGAAGCCGGAGTAGAGGTCGCCGACGAACTTTGAGATTCTGATGGAGGCATAACGCGTGAGAAGGAGGTTGTGTGTCGACAGACGGTGAATACGCCCACTCGCATGCTTACCGGAGAGGCTTTGCAAAGTCGCCGTGCGTCACGCTACGACCGTCGAGATGTGCATCAGAATACAATCCGATCGCCCCACAACACCATCACCAACCGCCTTTCTCCCTTCCCCACCCGTACCAATTAACAGCCAACCTGGCCAACTCCCCCGTCAACGACACAATCCCATGCAGGAAATCCTCAATCCCGACATGAAACTCGTCTATATCGCCCCGGAGGTTGACTCTGATTCCCAGGGCTCGTTCCACTTCTTCGATGGTGATCAGGCGCTCAGTTTCGAGGTAGGTCGTGTAGGCTGCCAGAAAGACGGCTGGGGTGGTGGATGGCATTCGAGGGGATTGATGAGCTTTGGGGAGGCGTAATGAATAAGTGGCGCGCGCGTACCTTGCTGGAGGGTGTAGTTCCACATGCCATTGTATCTGCAAATATCTCGATGAATCATTGTTTCGGTGGTATCAGAGCCTCTATGACATGCATGAATCAACCTGTAATACTGTTGCGCCGGGATCGGCTCCGCAATCTTCTGGATCCCGCTCCTAATCTCGTCAAAACGCGCCGTTACAGCCTGTGTCTGAGACGCAATCACTGCACATCACGAAGACCCTTTGTTTTAGCACATCAGTCAGTCCCCGCCTATCATCCCACTTTGATCCTCCGAACATACCAGGCTGCGTCGTGGCCGAGTGGACTTGGTTCAAAAGAGCCGCTGCATAGGCAGAACATACCCAAAGTCAGACGCCCATCTCGCACCGTTTGACACCGAGGCAGGGAAAAAGGTTGTGACGTGACATACCTACGGCGCGACATGTTCGTTCGAGCTCTTTTGCTGCTTTGCGTATGTTCTGGAATGAACGATAAGTTTCAAGGGTGAGACAAGCTGTGAGGTTTTGGGGGTGTTCCAACAGGTGTGACAGGGGGCGAACAAGGGCACGAACCTCTCTCAACTCCGCCTCCTGCTCGAGGGAGTTTGAGATATTTTCGAAGAAGTGGAGGTCTGCCATGTCGCCGGAGGACCCTCTGTCTGTATGTACTGTATGTATATACGAGGGATAGGCAGTGGGGGGGAGGGGTGTTTGCGAGGGGGTTGCAAGTCGGCGAGGACAAGAAGGACCTCTCTCACGCGTGGCTTCCTCCTGCAATCCCCTCGCTGCTCTTCCCGCTACCCATCGGCTAATACAGTACACTACAGGGAAGACAAGCCAACGTACAGTATTACTCCGTCCTCAACAGTCAACAACGCTGCCATCATGCCCACCCGGGCCCGCCTCTGCACGAAAGACGAAATACACGGCGCCAAACGGGCCCTCGTCACCGTCTGTCGCAGCTCAGGAGAGTCCGTCGACTTTGTCTTGGTGGGTGGTTCGGGGGACGAGTCGCAGTATCGCTGTGTCGAAGCTACTTGGTGAGTTCCTGGAGGAGGGAGGGAGGGAAGGGAGCGAACGGGTCCCTTAATGCAGGTAAACCTTGCGAAAACCTAGGCTCGCTCCACAGTCATGACCGTTATTTGACTGCTTTCTCTTTATTCAAAACGCAAACACAACGCAGCCCGCATTCGGGCGGCCCACTCCACCTCGGTGACATCGAAGACCTCGGCTCCGACGACCCCGTCATTGTCTGTCCATGGCACTCTTACCGCTTCTCGCTGGTCACCGGCACAAGTCCGCAATGCGAACAACACCCGGCGTTAACCTTGCCCGTCGTGTTGGAGGACGGTCAACTGTACCTGGAGCTGCCGGAGGGGGATGAGCCCGTGGGCGTCAAGTTATTTGAAGGTGTGTGTGAGGGGTAGCCGGGATCTCTGTTGATATTCGTTTCATTGTGAGACTCATTGCTCGACATTAAAAAGTCCCCAAACGAGCCCGCCGCCCAATATGCACCGCAACCCCAGAAACAGCAAAAGAAACCCTCTCCCCACCCCCAACCCACTCCCCCGTGACACTAGTAGACTGGGCCATCCTCATCCTCCACACCTCCGACCCCGCCGAAAAAGTCCGGCTAACCCACCTCGCCGCCGATCTCTGGAACAGCGGTCAAATAACCGAGGTAACTCATCCCCCTCCCCAAATCCTCTAAAACAACCCCAACCAACCTTCCCCCCCCCCCCCCCCCCCAATCAGATCGGCACAGGCACCCCACCCCCGCGCCCCACCCGCCCCTCCACCCTCACAACCATCCTCCCCTCCCGCGCCAAAAAGCCCGGCAAAGGCGGCACCCTCACCTCCCGCATCCTCATCCTCCACGCCCTCGGCAACGTCGAGCAATGGGCCATCGACCTGGCGTGGGACATCATCGCGCGGTTCCACTCCCACAAGACACCCACCGGTAAACCACTCCCGAAAGAGTTCTTCACGGACTTTGTGAGAGTCGCCAGTGAGGAGGCGAAGCATTTCGGGTTCCTGGACACGCGGTTGAGGGAATTGGGGACGGCGTATGGGACCTTGCCCGTGCATGATGGGTTGTGGGACTCGGCGGTGGATACGAAGGAGAGTCTGTTGGCGAGGTTGGCTATTGTTCACATGGTGCGTATCAAATGCCACACCTCCCCCGTATGTATGTGGGACTCTCGCCACTGATGTTATTGTGATTCATGATGATTTCAGATACACGAAGCACGAGGCCTAGACGTGAACCCGTCCACCATCACCAAATTCGAACGCGCGGGGGATACAGCGTCCGCCGAGAAACTGAAGATCATCCACGAGGACGAGATCACGCATGTCGCCGCGGGGCAGCGGTGGTTCACCTGGATCGTTTCTGAAATGTCTCCACCAGCTTCGGGTACCATACCACGTGGCGATGATACGACATCTACGACGGAAGACCGCTACACACTCTTCCACAGCATAGTCCGCGCCCACTTCAAAGGCCACCTCAAACCGCCGTTCAACGATAGGGACCGGTTGTTGGCCGGGTTGGACAAACGGTTTTATTTGCCGCTTTCTACGCCTGTTGTGAGGCCCACGACGATGGGTATGGGAGGTGTAGGAGGGGAGGCGGGGACGGCGTAGGTAGGCCCAGGGCCGGCGAGGGCGTCTAGATATAGGCGCTAGATAGAGCTAGTGTAATAGTCTGTTTTCAAAGCCTGCATGTGCATGGCGGGTGGGTCGATTTGCCCGTGCGCTATGTCTGTGTGCGTGTTTATGCTGACACTGCACTGGTGTCGTAGCTATCCAAAAATGAAAATAAGGGTAGGTGCGTCGTCCTGCGGCCGGGACGTCCTAATGCGTCCGTGAACGTGTGCATTACACAAGATCTGTTCGTACCGACCGACGTGGCGAGGAGACCCGCAGTACGCTCCGGCGTCATCCCTCGTTGTTCAGCCCGTAAGCCGACTCCCTGTCCCAAGGAATGCCCTGCGCTCAAAACGCCTCATACGTCGATACGAATCCGCATGTCCTGCATATCTGCGTATACCTTGTGAAACAGAAAACGGGTCAGTAGTGCGAGATCGCAGTGGGATGCAGGAACATCATAAAACGCACTCGTCTTTGGCCGGATCATGCACGCTCTCCCCAAACTCATGCGCATGCTCGTCGTCAACTTTACGCGTCCAGGTGCTCGTCCGTGTTTTCCTGCGGAGTTCTGCGCATCCAAAAACGTGTCAACATCACGCATCCCTCCTCCTCCCACTCCGCGAAACCACGATGGTGTACCCACCACTCATCTTCGCCTTAAACTTCTTCTCCTTCCTCCCCTTCTTCTCATCCTCCCGCCTCTGATACTCCGCATCCAACTCCTCAGGGGACCCCCACTTCTTCCAAGCGAACGCCTCGACTTGCTGCCGCAGGTACAGCAGCATCTTGCTGTAGGTCGATTTGTGCGGGTTGGGGCGTTCCCAGTTGGGGAGGGCTGTTGTGTCCCGGAGTTCGCCTAAGTCAAAAAATGACAAGGTGAGATTGGGTGGAAAGGGGAGATGTGGATGGGGTGTACATACTGTCGGTGAGGAGGTAATCCTCCCTAGCCTCCGTTTTGGTGAGCAGGCTATACTTCTCGGGATGTTTGTCCTTACACGACCGACACACGCAGACTTTGAAATGTTGCAGGTAGTGCGGGTCGATGTCGATGGAGTTGCAGGTTTCGCATTGTGGGTTGTTTGACATTATTAGGTCGATTGCTTTGATGTGATGATGGGTTTCAGCACGAAGGGCGGACGGCGCTGGTAAGCAGGGGAGGCGATATCTCTTACGTGGATCATATGTGACCTGTTTGTCTTCATGTTTCTGCTTCTTGCTGTCCGGCAGGCTCTGCTCCTCGTATAGGAACCCGCCTTTGGTGTCCTTCATCGTGGAGAGGTTGTATTCGCCTGCGCCGAATTCAAAATCAAATCCCGTTCCAATCAACAACCCATCCCCATCTCGGAGAAAACATGGGGGGCATTTACCCACAGTAAGTCAAATCAATAGCCCTTTTCTTCCGCTGAAACGCCGATGGCTTGCTCGCGTCGGCATTCGCACTCGCATTCGCCCCATTCTCGGCCCCCGCTCCACCGCCACTGCCGACGGGTTGATCAGGAGCCCGGTCAAGTGCGGGCCGGGACTGCTCTATCCGTTGTTTTGCGGCTGCTCGGTTCTCTTGCACGATGCGGGCGAGGTCTGCTTGGGATAATTGTGGGTCTGACATTGTTGAACTTGAGGGGGCGTTGGGACGGTGAAGGAGGTAATGAATTGGATTGCGCTGGACTGACGAAGGCTGAGGCGGATACGTAGGCGCTCGTTCAGTGCTCGTGTATCTGATACGGAGGTCGGTAATCAGTGTCGGTCTGGGGTTGCAGTGGTGGGAAAGTGCAAGTCAGAACACACTCTTTCGCGTTTGTCATTTCCAGGAACCTCCACGGTCAAGCAAGTCAAGAGAATCACCAAATTTCCAGCAGCACCTTGAAAACGGGCTATCCTGCACGAACGGCTGTCTTGGACCTACAAGAATGCACCACGGTCCGCTAGGTCCGCCTCCAGACCTTTTGCCCCGCAGCTTGTGTCTCGTGCTCATCAATTTACCGCCGAGGTGTTCTGAGCTTCCTCTATAATTCTGGGAAAAGCTTGTGAAGTACGACGACACCGGACCCGGTGTTGTACTGCGAAAACAGCTCCACAGTGCTGTGGCCGCAAAAACCCAACATCGTTTGGCAATGGTTCGAAAGAGGATTTAACGAGTTTCCAATCTGAGAGTGACGATATATACAAGCGCCGACAGCCCTCCGTACCCGCAGTGAATTTACATAGCAAAGTGTATTATTGTATCATTTATTACGGCGCATGTACAAATAAGGGTCATCAGCCCGTCTAACGCATAACATTGCGCTCATATATCTCCCCTTTCCGGTTTGCGGTTGTGTGCTGTCAACAAAAGTTTTGGCTTGTCAGATGTGAACGTGCCGGGAAGGAAAGACTTCCATTGACATATACCTGATGGAGATGGGTCTCCCGCTGACCGCTTGTCGATCCACGAATGTCGTCTGTTGTCTGTCGTCTGTCGATGTGCCGAAGTGCCGAAGTTGTTGCCCAGATCTTCTTTGCCTTCGCGGTTAGATGCTGCCCAACAATTGAGATGAGCTGCCAATACCGATCTGAATACTTCGCTGCTTACACACACCTGACGTCGTTTCACTTCCTTTTTAACCGCTGGCGTTGTGTCGCCCAGGATCTTCTTTGCCTTTGCGGTTTCATACTGTCAACAAGTAAGATGAGCTTCGAGAGCCAATTAGATATGATTATCCCATACACACCTGACGGGAGTAGGCTCCCCGCTAACCGCTGGCGTCGATTAGCCCCATGTGGTGTCGCCACATGAGGCGCCGCGCTACCGAGACATATCGCTCGCAAAAGGGGAGAGAGAAGGGGTTCAGTACGTGGCCCAGTGATCATTGCAATGAGACGTGAGAAAACTCACCATGACTCTCATCAGCGCAACACCGTAAACAGTTCCCTCTTTCCCTCAAGCCCTAAGCGCCTACCCAGAGTCGGTCATAGCATAGGTAACCGGGGCAAAGAGCGTGCCTTATTTAACGTCCCGCAAGCGGAGGGACTGCCACTATGCGCCTCCCCAGAGTCGGTCATAGCATAGGGAACCGGGGCATAGGCCTGCGTTTTTGTACTTCCCGCAACAAAGGAAGGCCTCCACAAGCCTACCCAGAGTCGGTCATAGCTAAGGTAACCGGGTCGTGGAGCCTGCGTTGTTCTACTTCCCGCAACAAGGAAGTGCTTGAGGGCAGAAAAGAACTGTTTCCTCGGCGACGGTATCCCTGGAACCCGCTGATTTAATTTATGCGAACGAAGACGCACACCTTTTGGCATGTGAAGCAGGTTATGAGGTACTTCCCTAGCTATCGTCCTTTTTCTTGCCGTCATGTTTGAAGTTCACCGCTGCGAATTTCTCATCTCGAGATCGTGGATCGAGTGTTGCAACAGCGAGCGAGCGTCGATAGCACTGAAGCGTTTACCGGATACCGTTAAGCATCAGGACGGCAGCCCAGTGTATCGAAATTGCACTTACGTCGCAGTGTGCAATAATATGTTGAGCTCAAGTGAGCGGGAGGCATAGAAACGATTGAAAAGCAAGGCAAGGGTTTATATCCCTGTTCAGGGTCTGTTTACTGCGGAGGACTCTGGCTTACGTCAGACGCGTAAGCTGTCAATTGACGGGACGCGTATCAATACACACCATGGTTCCCTCAATCAAGTGCGCAAGTGCGTTTGTTTCGGAAGCTTTCAAACTTTCAGGCGATTCCCTACTCGTATATTTCACGGCATATATCCCTACTCGTACATATCTTCACTCATTCCATGTTCCGCCTTGATTTGCCTTGACGTTCATTCTTGCGTTCCGGCTGCATGCTCTGTTACACTAGGTGGCCAGATATCTGGGTACGACGGGCTCGCCAAGCCTCCGTGTGCAACCCAAAAGTCAACGACCAGCTGCCGTCAATTTGCGTACTTCTTCAGGTGTGCAGGCAGGCCGGCGACTTCTGCTGGTGGCTATGCTCGGGATGATGTGTCCTCGTCGCGTGGTACCCAGATATCTGGCCACCTACTGTAATCCTCCCATGGTGGTCATCGCGACGGATTGATTCGCGACGGATTGATTCGCGACGGATTGATGAATGAGACGTTCATGCTTGCTCGAAGGTGCCAGCTGGGACGGGGCTTTGGCAAAGGTCACGGTCTAGGATAACAATGCCAATGCGACTCAGCACTCGGATGTCAAATTGGCGGGATCCGCTTCATCCGCTTTGGCCCCTATCAGAGATCAGGGAAGGTCTTGGTTTGCTACGCGTTCTTTTTGCCAAGTTGCCACACATAAAAGAAAGCCACACTTGGCCAAAGTTGTTTCTCCAGCGTTGATCTCGAGATTGAAAACCCTCCCGTCCTCCATCTTCCTTCGCAACACACCTCCACCACCTCCCCAACCCCCAACCACTCCCCCACCCACGCCCAACCACACCCACCCACCTACCTACTAGGTCGTTAACTCATCTCAACGAACGACGACTGCTCTCAGCATTCCGTCTTTCCCGGGACCGGCTCCTTCCTCCCCTCTCCTCACGCCTGATGGACCGCCGCAATGCATGAGAACTCTCACTCCGACTGCGCCTCATAAACTACAGCATCGCACGACATTTACTTTGCTCCCTCTCTCCTGCGCTGGGTCGGGATGGCTGCGGAGCGTCGCGCCTTTCGGTCTTCTCCGACTTGTTGGCGACTCTGGCCAAGGGCCGAAGTCTTGGAGTCCGGGGCTGGTTGCTGGTGGTGGGGATTGCGACCGGGAACTGCCGCGCGTGGCCCCCCGACTTCGAGGCTCCTCCACCCCCTCCCTCAAATCCTCCAAGCGTACCACCCGACGGCGCGGTGGCGAAGCGAAACGGGGCCGGGGTGACCTAGTGATATCAGCGATTAGACACAGGTCTAGACAACGCCCGATTGGTGATCTGGACGTCGGTGGGGAGGCCGGCGTCGGAGTACTCGTCTTGTCGGAGTGGCCCCTCGAGCTCGCGGTTGCGGGTTTTCGAGGTCCCGCTCCTTCTTCATGGCCTTCCGGGCCCTCTCCGCAGCTCGGAGGACCTGCCGCTTTGTAACCTCCCGCTTTGCGACGCCGCCGTCGCGATTGGCGATCTGGGCGTCGGTGGGGAGGCCGGCATCGGACTCCAAAAAACAAAGAACGAAAAGACAACACCACTGCCCGGACCCCTAGTACATTGGTATAGGAGAGAGATGTTAGCCGGTGACATACGCGTAAAGATCTCAGTAATTCACCACCGTAGTACTCACGTTTAGCGCCTGGTGGTTGGCGCGCCAGGACACGGACCCGCTTCGGCCAAGGTCAGCGGCCCCGGCACCTAGTTATGGGAAATGAGAGGTAACAGATGCAGTTAGAAGAAATCCATGTGATTCGAAGAGGATCTGAACGGTAGATTTAAACTGACCCAAACGCCAGCACCCGCAAAAAACGCCACCCGGTCATCCAGCACGGCCGCGGCTGGTGCATCCGCGGCGGCGTACTGTTGTTGCCGGGGTTGCAGGTGTGGGGGGGTCGGGTCGGTGGTGATGGGGAGTTGGGTGGCGGGTGTAGAGGTCGGCGGGATGGTGGTGGTGGGGTGTGGGGTGAAAGGAGGAGGAGGAGCATAGACCGCGATGACAGGCGCCCATGCAACCCTTTTGGTGGAACGCTTGCGGTCCCGGCGTTCCAGGTCCTTTTTGGCGACCTTCCGCGCCTTCTCCGCCGCGCGGAGGACCTGACGCTTGGTGAGGTCCCTCTTGGCGGCGCGGCCGTCGCGATTGGCAGCTTGGGCGTCGGTGGACAACGCTGCATCGGAGTACTTGGACCCTCCGTTGGACTTTCAAGAAGACGAGGCCGAGTAGGCCGAGGGTCTGGCGGAGGCGGAGGGACCAGCGGCTGAGGAGGACGAGGCCGACGAGGACGAGGAGGCGGAGCTGGCGGTGGCGGAGGAGGAGGAGGAGGATCCGGCGGCGGCTCTGAGGACGCGGAGCTCCTGGCAACAGCTATCGATTTCAACATCAGTAACATCATCAACTCTCTCATCAACAATCAGCCAGGATCTTACCACCCCAAGGTGTTTCGTCAACATCTTCGTGGAGATTGCAGTCCTGTTGTGGATGTAGCCGTCTATGGTCTCATGGACCACCACCCGAAGCTCCGTGATGCGGGCGCCCGCAAAAGGACCAACGTTGTTGGTGGCGATCGCCGCGCCACGCTGGCTGGATGCAGTTGCGTTGTTTGTAGGCATGCATGCAAAGCCAGATCTTCAACCACTCTGAACGACAGACCGCAATTGCCCCCCCGACACCGATGCTCGACAGCCTCATTGGTCTCTTCCTCCCCATCATCGCCGGATGCAGACTCCCCGTCAGAAATTTCCTCTGGTTCGGTATCAGCCCCGGCAGCCGCGGACTTGGGCTGCCCAAAGGATAAGGCACAAAGATTTCAAAACGGCCGCGCTCTGACTCATGTGTACGGCGAACTCGTCGTCCGCGAACCGCGAGAGCTTAGCATGAGCCTAGCATAAAAGAAGTTCGTTTCCGTTGCGAAGCTCCGACACTTTCCATATCCGACGAGGTGAATCTTTCTTAGTTCACGTCGCAGGGTTTTGAAGAGGCCGATAGCGTCTGCGCGTTCTGCTCTTTCGGTGGCTAAGTCGATCTCACCATGCTTGCCGACCCATTGCATCAGCACCTTCCTACCTATTGGGCGGATGTCATTGATACCGCGGGTCCCCGGAGAAAAACACATACACACAGGAAATGTCAGAGAGGTCGGCACGCCCAAGTTTCACCAACATCGTGTCTCGGCAGCAGCTTCGTCCGGATCAATCACGCCAGAACGCAGGACATACATATCGGAGGCTGATATCTGAGCGTTTGGCGTTCGAGCCAGTTCTATGCAGAGATGCACCGAGACACCGCCGTAACTCATGTAGGAGAGGAAAGCGTCCCCTTTGACGAGATGTAGATGGGGGCCCGTCACGGAGGGCGGATGCTGCTCACGATAGTCCCGACAGCGCCCACGTTGATATTTGTGTCAGCCGTCCGGCTGCAGTCTTCACGAAATTTCCCAAGTGTATACGTAGTGTGTGCGCGGAGTAGTCTAGCTTATATTCGCTCCGCAATGCCCGTAGAGACGCATCCCACGGCGTTCCCTGTGGTGCCATTCTTGTTTATGAAAGGAGATACGACAAGTTTGGTCTTCCCCTCGAGTTCGGTTTGACGCACGATGTTGCTGATTTCAAGCAAACAGAGAAACAGGTGCCGCAAACAGTCGTGGAAGATTTCGCAGCAAACCTCAATCGGTGTGAGGGAGAGGAAGGCGGATATCGATGGCGGAAGGCAGTCGTACGGGCGTAGTTGACGCAAGTCGCCGCTCGTCGTATCGATCCATCATCTCCGTGGCCGGGGAGATTTCCCCTTCTCGGCTTCAAGCAGAGAGAACTGCCCCCCAGACCTCGATGCGATCAACTCTGCTGCTGATGGGCAGGTAGTGAGTGACGTTGCGGAGTTCGAGTAGTCTGAGGCGTGGTCAACGACCACAGGATACTTCCTCTGTTGGTGCGGGTCCTCGGGATCACGTCGGGCTGAGGGGTGAGGAACAGGGCGAGACGGGCTAGACGGGTGATGAGGAAGTGACGCGTGAGGGAGCAAGTCGGAGTTGATGGATCATCCCCACAACAGACAGAACCTTGGAGACGCTTATATGGAATCCCCGGAATTTGAAAGTCCCATAGCAGGTGACAGTGTCAGCGTGAACCATTTGCAGTTGCAGGTCGGTGATCGTAGGCGGGATTCACGAAGATTGACCAACTTCTTTGGCACAAGCGAGAAGTTGTAGAAGCAGAAGACTGGCCGGGAATCTTTGGTTTAATGTTTTCGCAAGTCTTGGAGGGGACGGTGATGTTTTCGGACATTTCTATCGCGTTCCCGAATCGGTGGGACGCGTTGTTTGTTTGGGACGTTTGCAGCTTCGGCATCGGGCAAGTTACCGTTTGGCCAGCAGCAACAAACAGAGAGCCTCGTTCGCCATTCCATAACCAGAAGTTCACAGCAGCTCCGTAGCCTCAGCACGGTCCCCCAGTGGCTGGACTACAAGTCCCTGCCCTCACTCTCGACTTTGGTTGCGTACAGCCTCCAGGAGCTGCGTAGGTGGGCAAACACCGGTGTTCCAACGCTCTGCTGGTGACTACTCTTGTCTTGGGTCATCAGAATCAACCTGGACTTCAAAATGCCCGACCTCATCACAACCCATTGTTTGTTTGTATGTTTAGCAGTCTCAGCCTGTGCGTTTTTGTTCACCTCAGATTTCGTGCGCGAGACTTTCCTTTCCTACTTCAAGACAATCAGTAGTCTCTTCATTCCTGCCGTAATTAACTATTCATCTCTCGCTCGCTCGCCGCAACCCATGTCGCCCATATCCCACACCACCCTGCCGTCTCGCAACACCCCGCCTTCGCGAACGCCTCCCGAGTTCATTCCAACAACACCATGGCAAGAGCCTGAGTGGACGCCTGAATCCCGCAACTTCCCGGGCCCTCTACCCGATGGAACGATCCCCGGCAACCTCGTCCGGCTGAACATGGAGTACCGCGGCCGGTTACTCGGGCTGCAAGACTCCGACTTTGTCGCGATATCCCATGAAAACACTGACACCGCAACCCAAGGAAAGCGAGGAACCTTTCTCGTCCTCGACGACCTCCTAACAACCGCCGAAATCGCGCAACTCCTAGCAGAAGCCAGCGCGCAGAGATTCGGCCAACCGCACAACAAACACGGCGAGTTCATCGACGACGCATCCCTGCGCAACGACGTCGCCGTAACAATCAGATGGGAAAGCGTCGCCCAACTCCTCTGGCCCCGCATACAATCGTTCCTCCCCGACCACTCATTACGCCGGTTCGGCAGACGAGGAAGCCTAAACCCTCGTCTCCGGTTCAGCAAGTACGGCCCCGGTGGCAAGTTCCGCTGCCACTACGACTCCCCATTCATCGACCCGGACGACCCGCACAATGTGAGCCAGTACACTTTATTGGTGTACTTAACCGAAGTCGCTGAGGGCGGCGAGACCCGGTTTGTCGATGCCGAGCATACGCCGCCGCTTGTTCTGGATGTCAAGCCGAAGGCGGGGAGAGCTGTGGTGTTTGACTATAATGTCATGCACTGTGGGAGGGAGGTTGTGGCTGGGGAGAAGGTTGTGATGAAGGCCGATGTCATGGTGGAGAATACGAGGGCGAAGTTGCCGCCGGGGGCGTTGGATTAAGCAGCACATTTGGAGCAGTTTAGAGCCTGTACGGTGAACAATGTATTGGAAAAACCAATTCTGGATTTTTTTTTTTGGATTAGGTACTCGGAGAGCATACCCACTTAGCATAGACTTTGACAAGTAGACGTTCAGAAGTCCCCACGATTGCTCTCATTGACTCATGGCGTCGTCTTGTCTGCCCCGCGGCTCGTGGACCACCACCTCGTATCTGCGTTTCTCCCACTGTTTCTACAATCACTTATGCGAATCTCCCACTGTTTCTACAACAATCTTCCAAAGCAAAATAGCATCGGCATCAGCCGTACCCGTGCATCGTTCGATCTGAAGTCGTTGCACAACCTACATTCAAATTGTGCACCAAGACGTTCTCAGGTATCAGCAAGCCGAACGCAGGAAGTTCGCAAATGACTCGAACAAAATTCTCATTTCAACATCAGTGCATTCTATATTCGCATCTCTATCTACATCTCCCCAAGGGGGGTGTCGCTCTATGTATATTCTATAGTCTATGTATATTGGCCGTGTAAGAGGTGGATAAAGAGACCTTACATCCTCTTGCGGCACTTGGGTGCGGGCGCGGCCGTTGGGGTGGGCTCCTGTGTGGAGATGGGGGCCGCGGAGGTCGCGGGGTACTCGGGCTCGTAGGTGTCGATGGGGGAGGCGGTAGGGGTAGCAGCAGGCTGGGTGGTTGCGGGGGCGGGGGAGGGGGCGGCAGGGGAGGAAGAGGGTGCGGGGGCCGCAGGGGAGGAAGACGGCTTTGGAGCGGGGGTAGAACCACCGGCCATGACAAAGTCGATGCAGCTCTCGTAGGTCTGGTTGACCTCGCGGGAGTCCCAGTACCATTGCAGCGCGCACTGACCCGGCTTCGTGCATTTGCCCGCGAGGTCCGGGATGGTGACCTCGAAGTTCGAGTCGTGCGCGACCGCGGGGTGGTGGACGGACGCGTAGTCGTTGAAGAAGATGAGTTCGGATCCAATGACGGAGTTGGAGGCGAGGTCGACGACCGAGACGTTGGCCGTTCCTGTGTGCGGGGCGACAATGTTGACCTTGATGGGGAGGACCTGACCGGGGGTGAATTGTTGGATGGAGGCGAGGTTGTCGTCGAATTGATAGCCTTTGCAGAGCCAGAGGTTGCATTTGGACGCGTCGAAGCCCTCGCCGCGTTTCTGGAGGAGGTCTTGGACGTTGCCGCCGTGGTCGGAGTTTTGGGTGTTGAAGATGGCTTGGCCGCAAGCCGCGGAGTATGCAGGGCCCGTGGTGCGGGGGGTCGGGCTGGTGACGAAGCCGTGCGCGGTGACGGTGGCGGCTAAGGCCAGGACGGCGATTGTGTTGCGGGCGAACATCTTGTTTGGAGTTGTGTGGAGGTTGGAGGGAACGAGGAGGGACTTGATATGATGTGCGGATGAGCTGAGATGAGAAGAGGGTCCGGTCGGGCCATGCCCAGCTTTATAGGATTTTCCCCGACGTCAGACATACCAGTGTGGCTGCAAGAGGCATCAAGCAGCTGCGATGCGATGCCAGCCCCCACCCACGGCACAGACAAGATAGACATGGCGGCAACTTTGCTCGTTTCAAGAATGTAGAACATGCAAGTACTTGGGCAAAGCGATGGTTGGTTGGCCTCGATCGACTCCTTCAGCGAGCAAGATCCTTGTCCAATGTTTCCCGTTCGGGTTTCCTTTCTTTCCATGTTTAACGAAAAACAATTGACAGAAAATTTGATGCTGCTGTTAAAATCGGCGTTGACCAATCAGCAAATTACGGTCGGAGCCAATCACAGACGCGTAAGGTGGCTTGCGCGTCAATCAGCCAGGAAAGGACAGGACCCGGGATTCTTTGTCGACCAACCCCCGTGCCATCAGTTGGGCTCTGATTCCTCCTCCTCCATGTGCTATTGTGCTTCCATTGACCTCGCCGCAGTCTCACCGCCAGCAGACACAACCCGCCGGCGTAGTAGTCCGAAACGACAAGTTCGCGAGTTCCTTGCCAGGTTCCTCGCGGCGTGCTCAACCAACCACGGGTGCAGTGAAAATGGACCATGAGAAGCGATACTTCCCGGGCGCCTGCTTCGAACCAACAGAAGGCTTGCGGTAAAGGCTCTCAACGCCCGACGTCCCATCCAGAACACGCAGGGTCCTTTCTGATAGTGCCAATCGGAGGGGGTTAGTCGACCCTCGAAATGTCTCACGGTCGAACCTGTAATCCTACCTGTCCAGTTCTGAACTTGCATGAGTCCGTGGGAAGAGTACCTTCAAGGTTGTTTCTGTGTCTGGGGAGGGCCTCGTCTCCCATGTGGCTTGCGGCGTGGCTTGTGCAGGCCGGCTTATGTCAGCGCGTGTGTTGGCGAACATTTCCGAGACTTCCAAACTGGGACAGGTAATGTCAAACCTGGTCATCGTCCCAGCCTCACTAGCATACCCCTGGGGACCTTACAGCTATAACTCTGCCATTGACCGAGCCTGAGTGACGCTGTAGGCTTCTTGGGTGCTCTTACAACTTTCACTTCCCATTCCGAAGCCGTTTGCGATTACCGTCGAAGAAAATGTCCACCATCGCAGCCCGGTGTCGCTCATGTTCCCGGAGTTCTCTAGCGCTTCGATTAGGAGGTGAAGCACACCGTAGAGTAGTGCCTATCATTCCCAGCCACTTCAGAGTCCTGTCGTCAACGAGCTGTCCGTCAGCTCGAGCCGCCATTCCGCGCCACGTATACCCGAAAGAAAACAACGAGGGACAAGACGGGCGTCCCGTGTCGCGACTGAGCGACTCGAGTAGTGGACGGGGAAGACGTAGGCGAGATCGCGAGCGGAGATGGAGGAAAGACGGAGATGCCCCGACAGATCCCGGAAAGAGAGACCCCTTTGAAGAAGCTGTCAACCAAACCCGAAAGGTGCTCCCGCCCGATTTCCCTGGGCTCGAAACAGCGCTGCAGACAAAAAACTGTATTACCGCCTGGTTGAAACTACATGATATCCTACTAGATGCCGACGCTCGCGGCGATCTAAAAGCCTGGCATTTCCGGGCGCTACTCGCGATCCTGTTAAAGACCTCGCAAGATGGCCCGGCTCCCAAATTTGAGTACGCAGATCAGATCCTCGCCACAATGACCCAACAGGCAATAGAACCCACCACCGAAGACTACAACCTATACCTCAGTGCCTATGCTGCGATAGGAGACATGGCCGCTGCTCGCGGGATCCTGATGAGGCTGCAACAAAACAAGCTGGAGCCAAACATGGACACTTACAACACGTTTCTCCGGATGTATGCAAACACTGGCAATCTCGATGCCGCTGTCGCCTTCTTCAATCGGATGCTGCAGGAAGGCATAGCGCCGAACGTCGCTACGTTCAATGAACTCATCGCATGCTGCAAGTCAAAGCCAGAAACGGCTGATCGGTACTATAGCGAGATGCTGGATCTGGCATACGAGCCTGACCACAGAACGTTAGCGTTGTTGATCAAGATTCACGCCACTCACGACGACATGGAGCGCGCTGAGAAATTATTGATGGAGATGGAATCGCGGAATCTACGGCCCGATCGGTACGATTACGCTATCATTATGAACGGATACCGACGCAAGCAGCAATGGGGCAAAATCTGCGATCTGTATACGAAAGTGGCGGACTCGGGCGTGAAACTCGATGCGTTTCTTTACAACAACGTCATTCACGCATTGACAAAGCAAGGGGAGCTGGATGATGCAGCGGCGCTGACAAAGGACATGACACGCCGGCGAGTCGATCCCGACGCCGTCACCTACACGACACTCATCGGAGCGTTTTGCAAAGCGGGACGGTTAGCAGAAGCCGAAAGGGTCCTCAAGACCCTCCGCGAAAGCAACGTCGATCGCCAACGAACCCATGTCTACGCCTCCTACCAATTCATCATCAACGCCCACAGTGAAGCCGGCGACATCGACGAAGCGATCCGGGTCTTCACAGAAATGCGCACGGTGGCCGAGATCTGGCCCACAGTGCAATGCTACAACCTCATCCTCCAATGCGCGGCCAAGAAGTTCCGCCCAGATATCCTCCGCGAGTACTGGGACCTCCTCCGCGCCCAGGAGCCGCACACCGTCGCCAACCATGCCACTTACGCGATCGTGATCGAAGGCTTCTGCGCCGCTCGGGATCTGGCCAACGCCATGGACGTATTCCGCGACATGATTCACCGCACAGACGACGAGGACGCGACCAAATCCCTCACGGCCTCCTTCGAGCTCTACGAAGCCCTCCTGGATTGCGCCCTCCGTCTCCGCAGCTACACCGACGCAGCGACCATCATCACCCACGCGCGGCAGAACAAAACATACGCATCCCGCCCCTTCACCGGCCGCTTCGAGGCTATACGCGACGAGCTCGAACTCCAGGTCATCACCATGGGCCGCGAGCTCGACACCCTAGACTTCCCCGAGGCCGACCACGTGTCCATCCGCGACGCAGAGGCCATCATCGACCGCGAACAGGAACTCACCCACGTCATCCTCACCCTCTACGCCGAGCTCACCCTATTCAACCGCCCCGTCCGCGAGAAAACCTACCGCGCAGCCCTCGAATCCGCCCGTCGCCGCCGCGACTTTCTCCGCTGCATCCACATCTACATGTCCCTCGAAGCCGCCTCCCGCAACCCCGACCACCCCATCATCCTCACAGCGCAAACGGTCACAGTGATGCTCCGCGCGGTTCTCGAACAGAGCGGACGGAACTCTGCCAAGGCGTGGGCGGATATGATCGCGGGTCGTGGGGAGCCGGACCCGGCTGACGCGACGGAGAAACGACCGGCCCCGTACCGACGCCCGCTGAATAGGGAGGGGTATGGATACCTCCTCACCCTGCATATGCGCGGCGGGTCCGCGTCGGACGCAATCTCCACCCTCCTCGACATGAAAGCCGCGGGTTACGAGCCCACACATGAGAATTACACGCGGGCGATGCATGCCGCTGACGCGTTTCTGGTGCATGATAGCGATAAGAAGAAGAGAGAGGCGAATTTACCGAAACGCGATTCGGCATCCGTGGCGAGTAGATTGAGGCACGCGCAGACGGAGTTTGCGGCGTTTGTGGAGGAGATGTTTCCGGAGTTGTTGGGGGAGGGGGAGGAGAGGGAGGAGGAGAGGAGCGAGGGGAAGAGGTTGAGTGAGAAGTTGTTTGGGTAGTGGGGAGGGTATCGCGGCGTATTGGTAGAGTGTAAAGTAGAAGGTGTTCTCGGCCCTCTGGTGGCACCCGCGGTTTGTACATAATACTGTATTAATCAGGCATATATAATCTATTCGTTTCTCTTCTCCCTTGTCCAGGTTATGGGTTCTGGACTTGGGAGGGCACGCTTCCAGGGGACAAATACTGCGTTCGGCTTTGTTAAGTGATTCCAGTAGGCCCTTTCTCCTCGACATTCAGGATCAGTTATGTAGAATATTCGATCAATGATGGGGTAGACTGACAGGAAGGGTTCTACGCCGTCTACGCCACTTCCCAGTCCGTCTATCCCCTCTACCCCTCATCTCCTGCTGGTTCCCTTCGGTCCCTTTCGGGCTCGTTCATGGGTCGTACTCTGCGTACTGGGCGGATGCCGCTCTTTCCAAGCAATCGATCGGCAGCACTTTCCATGCCTCACGGTCAGCTCGCGCGGGCCATCGAAGAAGCCAGGATAACCGAACAGAATGCTCCAGGGAATGCGGGAAACCTCCATTGTCTTCACTCGCACGAGATGTATTCGACGAAAGAATGCTACGCTCTATGCATAGCTGAACCATGCTGCCCACTAAGCCATCCAGGGTCTATCTAGAGAACCCAGCCGCACCAATCTCTCATATCGCCGACCAAGTGACGCCTCCAAACGCATGCTCCAAAGCCTGAAAACATACAATGATCAGAACATCAGAACCCCAATCACTCCAACCTCCCACAGCCTTACCTTCTTCGGCTCCATGAACGCCAACCAATCCGACGTCGTCGTGGGCAACAACCCCATCGCGCCACACTTCCAGACCCCCAACGCCAGACACCCGCACTGCATGAGCACATACACCAGTTTTGGGTAGACTAACGGGTCGCTTGGTAGACTCAACAGCGCGCTGATTCCTGTGGGGGCTGTGCCGGGGGGTCGGGATGAGAAGCGTTCGAAGACTAAAGAAGGCCGGAAACACATCAGTGGGTGGTTTGACATTAGGAAAATAAGTTCAAATAGATCGTACCAGTGTTGGTGTTCAGTATAGCCTTGATGGCGTTGATGAGCATCATAACGGTGACCATGACGCTGAAGATCTGGATCGAGTTGCCGGACATGTACAGCATGAACGCGTTCATGGGTATGGACTTTCCGACTGCGATGGCTGTTTCCCAGGCTTTCTGTGTGCGGGAGACGGTAGGAATGAGTGTCCCTGTGCACTTCTCTGACACTTTGAGTCGTGGACAGCTCCTAACGGACCTTCATCTTCAGGTTTGCAAGCTCGGTATCTCTCGCTGATTGATCTTCTGCGCTTTGAGTCTTTTTCTGTGAATCGACGTTATGGAGGCCAACGTCAGGGCTTTTTCAACTCAAATGCAACTCTGTCCAACTCCTCCCGGGACCACTATTGCATACCGAAGGGCGAGATGCGTCCTGGACCTCTGCGAATCCTGGGGGATCCAGCTTGACATTCCTGCTTGGCCTGGGGAGTCGCCGTTAGTTGAAGGGAAATTGGGAAACGGGGACACGGCGGACCAAGCCGTCGTACATACCTGGCATCTGCCAAAGTGAAGGTCCACTTGTCTACGGCTGTGGGCATGGTAACGTATGTTATGGTTGCTGTGAAGTGTGGTGCGTCTCGGGGAGTCGTTCGAATTCAGGGCCGAATTGTCAGTCCCCGTTTGGAGGGGAAGCTCAACTCTTGTCTGACTCTTGTCGTCCACCTTAAACCCCCCGCCCTGCCCCCCGCCGCTCTCTTCAGAAACCGTACCAACGGCGTTCATTCCCCTTGTTTGGGTTGCACCCGTACCCAACAACGCACTCGCAACCGATTCCACTCTCCCATCTGTTCAACTACAGAGCCATGGACCCAATGTCGCGACGCCTCCTCAGAGAGCTAAAAGAGTACCGCACCGGACAAACAGACTCCCAAGTCGCCGACCTCGCGCCAACATCTGACGACGACCTGCAGCGGTGGAAGGCCGTCATTCTCGGGCAGGAGGGGACGCCTTACGAAGGTATGCGTTTCTATTCCCATGCACAACGGGTCTACGCTCGGTGTTTCTCCAAAAGCTAAACAGGTGTGTTTTCCAACAGGCGGCAAATTCGATTTGGAGATTACCGTACCCCGCACGTATCCAATGCAACCCCCCACCATCCGGTTCCTCGGCAAAGTCTGCCACCCGAACGTACATTTCAAAACGGGCGAGATATGTCTGGATCTGTTGAAGACGACGTGGAGTCCCGCGTGGACGCTGCATTCGGCTTGTATTGCTATTGGGGCGCTGTTGATGGTGAGTGGGGAGAAGGTGTTTCGATTTTTGATATGCGGATGATGATATTGATTGGTTTGATTTGTAGAGTCCGGAAGCGGATAGTCCGCTGAACTGTGATGCGGCGAATTTATTGAGATGTGGGGATGTGAGGGGGTACAATTCGCTGGTTAGGATGTATACGCAGCTGTATGGGGTGCCGTCGGGTGCATCTGGAACCGCCACGCAGAGCGTACATTAAGGGGATGGCTACTGGTCAGGATGTGCATGCAGGTGCTGCCAGGCATATCTGCGTCAGCGGCGCAGAGTGTACATTAAGGGGATGGCTATTAGTCAGAGATGTGCACGCAGCACCATCAAGAGCTGGCAGGTGCATATGCATCCGCGACGCAGACCGTACACTATAGGATCCCGGTCTTTTTTTTTTGGATTTGCTCGAGTCTCACATCGTAGAGCAATATGGCTATTCTGCCCATGTCATTTGATTGTATATATCCGTCTGTTGCATTGTATGTATTAATTGTATTCATGTGTATCTGCAAACCCAATGCACATTCTGGTACGTAAGGATGAACGTTCTCGGTCCAGGAGGGCCTCTGAGCGACGCTGAGCCTTATAGGGAAATTCCTACGCGGAAAGCAGCTTTGAGAGAAACGCGTGTGTTTTCAAGGCAAGGCTCAGACAGCGGGTTCGCAACGCGACGGCTCTTTCGCCATCTTGTTGACACCCCGTTGACACCGAGTCTTCAATTACCCGACGTTCAGACGTTCATACTACACCATCTGCGCTAAATATTAGTTGCTCACGTCTGCAGCAGAACCTCTTGCTGAGCTACAACGTCTCTACTGGTGAGAGCATATGTATTTGACTATTATCGAAGGTATCGATGACTCACTGTCCTTCTTCCCTAGAACGACAGCAACACCTTCGGAAATGACAACAAATAAGACGGAAGACGAAGTCCGCCAAGACAAAGGAGTCTCACTCATGGGCACCTATCTGCTGCAAGGCTGGGTCATGACAGACAGCCCATGCCCGTCCTCCGGATGCAACCTACCCTTGATGCGAACGCGAGATCGCACTCGCAGTCTCTGCGTGCTGTGCAATGATCCCAAACACCCATATCCGCCCGCCAGCTCCGTGGGTGTCGCGCCAACGGCACCGGTGGTTGTTGGGCAGTCGGATGGTGGTCTCTCCCACCCAGCTCAATATCGGTTGACCGCGGAGGAGACGAGGGAATTGGAGCCTCTTCTAGCTGAGAAGGACGCCGAAAGGGCACCACCGACGACCGCTCGCAGGGAGAGATCTGACCGTGCAAGCAAGTTGCTCGGTCAGAAGCTGCTGGCAGGCTGGACCCTGCTCGACGTGGTGTGCGAAGATTGTGACGGCGGGGTCCCATTGATGAGGAACCATCAGAAAAAGAACGTCTGCGTAGTTTGCGGTGCTGGCTCGGAAATCCCCGCCATCACCAAGCCCGCTGCGAGCGTATCAACTTTGCCGCCTCCCAAGATCTCTCGTTTGGACGATGCAACTCCACAGGATGTCACAGAAAGCAAGGGACGAAAGACGGAAACGGAAACGGCCCCATCTGCACGATGCGACGACGAGCACATCTCTATCCAGTTATCCAAGACATTGTGGACAATACGGAAACGTATGGAGGATTTCAGACAGTCGATAGAAAGCAGCGAGGACGTGGATGTTGGAGGCATTAGAGTCTTGTGCGAAGGCGTTGAGAGTTGTGCGAAAGCGATCAATGCGTTGGAGGGTGCTAGGAAGGCTACTAACTGAGAGTAGCAAAAGTCATATACTTTGTATACTTTGCATGGTCATGTACTGTGTACATTAATATCATTGCATCGCTGGATGGATGTTTCGTCACAAATGTATTGAACAGCATATCATTCTGAAAGCACCGCCCCTCTTGTGTGAATGTGGGTTCGTTTGTCCGGGGTGTTTGCCGCGTTCAAGCTCGTAATTTCCCAATTTGAAGCTTGTAAAACACCTCTGTTTCGACGTTTCCCACCAGAGACCTTACGGCCATCACAACAATCCCACGTTCACTTTCTCACAACCTGCTGCCCCCGACAACAACATAGACACCTCCACACCACCGCAACAGGAACGACCTTCTCTCTTCGAATACCCCTGCGGGCAGGGGCACTGCATGTACACTTGCGGGATCTTGAACTCGCGCAGGTTATCAGTCCCTTCGACATTCGACCGAACCAACTCCTTCTGATAAAACCCGAAACTGTTAACCGACTGCGGAGGAAAAACGACTCTGGCTCTTTAGTGTATCTTTAGATTGAAGGAAGCCCCCGGCAGGTGCAGAAGTATTTATGTCGTTTGTTTCGGTAGGTTCATGATGTCCGTTTGTGTCCATAGAAGGAGATTTATAGGCTGAGGCGGGGGAGTGCAAGCTTCACCTCTTCACAGCGCTAAGAGGGCTGCGAGGGTGACAGTTGAAGAAGCCGGAGGATTACACTACACTGAAGACCCGTCAAAGCGGCATGTGTTTTAGTAGGCAATGAAGCTGCGGAGGGTTTTTAAACCAAGCTCTTTCACCCATCGCAGGGCATATCGAGCGCAATCCGCAAGAAGAATTCTGATGCAGGAATATTTCGATCCGGTGGGGCGCGGAATGCAACGTCAACTGGATCCACTGGAAGTGGTTAGTAGTTCGCCGAAGCCTTTAATACGACCAACTTAAATCTCATTCAACATGATATCCGTCCGTAGCTTCCTCTCTCAGAGCGGATACTCCTATCAATGGAAACAGACCGGCTTCACGAACGGGGAGCGTTACCCCTCTCCCACCAAACTTCGATTCAGGTCCTCTCATCACCAGGGATCCGTTCTTCCCAGAAACGTCGGAGAACCATCCTGAGCCGGCTGCGCACTTAGCGGCCCCTCCGTTTCCTAAAGACCCGACTTTCCGTCGAATGATGGCAAATCTGGATCTCGATCGTATCACAGATAGAGTCCTTGCAGCTGGATTGTTTGGCGATTTCCCCACTGACAAACGAGCCCGACGGAATAATGTAGGAGAAATGGCCCGCTTTGTCAACACGCGGTATCCCGGCAGATATATGATTTTCAATCTCGCCGCGGATACATCGTTGGGGCGTTTCGAGACGGCGGAGTTTGGAAACCAGGTCGTGGCTTTCCCATTTTCGAAAGCGTATTCGCTCACACTTCCGACCTTGTTTGATATTTGTCGGTCGATTCATGGATGGTTATCATTGGACCCGGGTCATGTTGCGATCGTGACGTGCCCGACGGAAGGGCGGAGTGGCGTGGCGATTGCGTGTTATCTTCGCTACATAGAGGCGTTCACCGATGCCGCGGAAGCCTTCGATTACTACATCTTGCGTCGGGCAAAAGCGAAAGGGAAGGAAGGAGCACCGTTAACACCACCTTCGTGGGCCACCGTCTCTCAACGGCGGTACGCGACATACTTCAACAACGTGCTAGTCCTGGACGGCGTTTTGCCAAATCCCAATCCGCTCTTACTCAATCGCGTTGTCGTCAGCGGTTTGAATCAGCTCTTAACAACGGCGACGAAGCCTCATATCGAACTGTATCAGAACGGCAGGCTCCTATACACAACTGTCAAACGCGATGACAAGGCGTCGTCGCAGGACCCTCAGCAGAAACCGCTCGTGCGGACAGATTCTCGTGGGAACATCGTCTTCCGTGTCGGGGCTGATTCGCCGTTATTGTTGGAGGCAGACATCCAGCTCCGGTGCTATCACACCCCTGACCCGGTGCACCATCCCCGTCAGATAAACACGGTTGCAAGTCTTTCCTTTAACGCCGGGTTTATGGTGGCAGGTGTTATCCGGGTCGGGGCGAAGGATATCGAGGTTGCAGAGCCTTCCATCAAGGCCATGGAAGCAGCTGGGGACCTCAATGCAGCGATGAGCGCATTCTGTTTCTACCTCTTCTTTGCGGACGGGGGCGCCGCGCGATCGCAAGCTGCTCTTACACCGATGGCATTCCAGCGCATGATCGACAAACGCTCAAAGCACTGCCTGGTGGACTTGGTCGCGCATCACCAGATAATCACCACCGACGACGCGGTGCGCGCGTTACGGGATATGGGTTACGGCCTCGCGTTATCCCAATGTGCCCTACAGCGCGCCAACAATGACCCACGGTCAGCCGTGATGTGGATCCAACAACTCCGAAGCCTGGACGACGCGCAGAGTGGGGATCATCGTAGTACCACGTCGAGCGTGAGATCATCTGGGTCCGTTGGGAGATTTGATGGGAAGGAGGACCCCACCTTCGGTCGAATGAACTCCAGCGCCTCACAGCGGTCGACTAGCTCGGCTTTGAGTCGGACTCATGGTGCGGAGAGGGATGCGCCCAATAGTGGCGTTTTTGCGGGGAAGGATGGAGCGTATTACACCAGCTCGCCGGTGTCGACGGTTCCAGAGGTGCGCTTGCCGGATGAGACTGACGGTGGCGATCGCGGGCGACGCCACGTCGAATCTGGGGATCGAAGAGGGTCTGTGGAGACATTCGTGACGGCGTCGACGTCCCTAAACTCGTCACAGGACAGCGTTCACAAGAGCGGATATAGGTTGGCACCGGCAGCCCCCGCATCCCAGCGCGACATCTCCCCGCGTCCAGTATCACCCCGTCTCCCCGCCCCAGCTTCGCATCTCCACCCATACCAGCACGTACCCTCCCAGGACGCAGACCGCCCGCTTAGCGTGGGCTCCAACCGCTCCTCCACGCACTCCGCCTCCCTCGCGCCCGAAATCCAAGTACACGAAACACGCCACGCCTACATCCACCCCGCGCCAGTTCCGATCGTCTACGAGGCGAGGGCGGCGTCCCCGTCCCCTGTAGCGCCATTCCGATCGCAGCTGCGATCAAAATCGGACCAAGCGCAGCTGGATAATCATAACGTTGGTCGGATGGAGAGATTACTGAATGAGGCGCGGAAGGTGGATGAAAGGAGAGGGAGGAATTCGCCGTTACCAGAGACGTCGTCGGCATATCATCGTGGGAAAAGTCTGCCGGAGGTTCCTGATTCGGCGCAAGGGGATGTGCCAGCGGTGTCTAACGGCGGCGGAAAAGCGCATGGATCCAGCGCAGACAGCTTAAACGATGTCTTAGCAGAAATGCGACGCATGCGTGGCGTATCAGGCAAAACCACACGAATCGACGACACCTCAACACCCACCTCCTCGACAACCGCCAAAAACATGAAAGACCTGCTCGGTGAATTGCACGCCATCACGGCCGAAGCAACGGGGCGACACAGGGTGGATACATCGGTGGATACATCGATCAGTGACGGGCCGATGCCGTGGCCCCTTCCGCCCGGGTCGGCCGAACCGCCGAGCTCGCCAGTTAGGGAGCTGAAGGTGCCGAGACCGATGCTGTTGCCGGAGGCGGGGCCGCCGTCGGAGGATGTGCTTGTTGAGGCTGTGTCGCCTTTGCTGTCACGTTCGCCGTTGCTGCGGAGGGATGTGGAACCATCGCCAGTCGCTGCTCCGGGCCCCGCACCTCCACCACCACCACCGCCACCACCTCCTCCACCACCACCACCTCCTCCACCACCACCAATGGGCCGGGCATCATCCGAGCAGGACGCGGACGAAGGCCCCGGCAAGATCCGCGCACGCGCCCGCATCCACTGGGACGAGATCCGCAACATCGAAGGGTCGGTGTGGAGCGAGATTGCGCCGCAGGGCGGGGAGGATGGGGATGGGGATGATGTGGAGTTGGATGTGCAGAGGTTCGAAGGTACGGTTTCCTTTTTCGATGGCTGTGTTTGGTTGCGGTGGGGGATGAAGATTGTGATTGCTGATTTGGCTTGTTTTTTTTTTTTTTTTAGAGCTGTTTTGTATTGTGCCCGGAGAGAAGAAGGCAGGTGGGAAGGATAAACCTAAGATGGTGCAAAGGTATGGATATGTGTGTTTGTTGGTGTGCCAGACACCTTCTCTGATTATATGTTTTTTTCTTCAGGACACAATTCACCAACTTACTCGACCTCCGCCGTGCCAACAACGTCGCCATCGGCCTCTCCCGTTTCACACGTCGCGGATTAACGACCGATAAGCTCATCACAGCGATCCGCACAATGGATCGGACCACTCTCACCGCCGACGATCTCCTCATGTTACAAAGACTGCTCCCCACCGACGAGGAAAAATCCGTCCTCCGCGCGCACTTTGCTACCGTAGCCGCAAACGAGCTCAAAAGCCCCACCAGCCCGAATCCTCTATCCACCGAACTCTCCAAGCACGCCCCGCCACTAGCCCCCGCCGAAAAATTCATGAGCGAAGTCATGAACGTCCCATGCCTCGAGGAAATGTGCACCGCCTTCCTCCTCGCGAGCACGATCGACGCAGACGTGAACGACATTGAACGTAAACTCGACACCATGTCTAACCTCTCGATCTCCCTCCGCAAGAACGAGAACCTTAAACGGTTGCTCAAATCCGTGCTCCAGCTGGGTAATCTGACCAACTACGATTACTCGGCGAGTTCGGCGGCGGGGAACTCCAACAGCAGTTTCAGGCCGTGGATGGCGAAAGAGGCGCGCGCGATCGGATTGAAATTGGAAGGCCTGGCGCGGTTGAAGGATGTAAAGTCGCGGGACGGGAAGTGGTCGCTTATGACGTTTTTGGTGGATATGATTGCGCGTAATCGGCCGGAGGTGCTGGGTGTTGTGGAGGAGACGTCGCAGGTGCGCGTTGTCGGCGCGTGGGATCTTGAAGCGGTTGTTAGGAGTTTCAAGAATTTGTTAAGGACTGTCGAGGCACTGAGGGCTCTGCAGACCCATTCGCGCAACGGAGGGGCGACGAAATCGGCGGTGGAGATGGATATCGAGGCGTACGTTGAGCAACACCTTACGCCCCTTCTGGCGTTGGCGGACAGCCGGGTAAAAGACGTTGCGGACAAGACCAACATCTTCTGGCAAGAATTTGGCCGCGTGGCCCGCTACCTCGGCGAAGACCTCACCGATTACGTCGACTTCCTCGCGGCGGTTATGGGTGAAGGGTATCGTCTCGACGACAATGACACCGTGACTGCGTCCTCGGCCGCGTTTGTGGCGGGCAAGAAGAAAATGCCGACTAAGCTGTTTGCGACGCTGGATGCGTTTTTACGCGCGTTTGGGGACTCGGTTATGGACTGGAAGATCAAGGCGGGTGCACGGGCGAGGGCTGCGAGGCCGGGCTGGCAGCAGCAGGCGGCGGCTGCGGCTGCTGCTAATCAGGCGAGGCCGCGATCGAGTGCCAGTGTGGTTTCGGAGGATGGGTCTGTTGGCGCGGTTGGGAAAACAGCAAGCAGGGATGTGGGGGCGAGTCCTGTGTCGGATTTTAGCGATAGTCCGGTGTCGTTGGCCGGCGATGTGGTCAGCCCACCCACCGAATCCCCAGCGGCCTATTCAGTGACGAGTGTCTCGTCTTACGGCGCCTCCAGCCCCGCTACCGTCTCGACGCCCACCGTGCCGCCGGTGCTACAGGATGCTCCCCAGAGGAGGGAAGGCGGAGACGGAGATGGAAGGCTGTTGGGCGTACCTTCCACCGCCATCACCACGCCCAGCCAACCCGAATCCGAGGAGCCCCCCTCCGCCCCCGACACAGCGGAAATGGAACGTCTCTTCCGTCGCTTATCCCGCCGCTACGCACCCGCACCCACCTCCGACGCTGGAAATACCGGGGCTGGATCCAGCTTCACCCGATCCGAGAGTGGAATGAGTCTTGACCGCGATGATGGGTCGCAGATACTGTTTGAGGAGGATGAGGTGGTTGTTGTTGATCATGAGGATGAGGACGAGGATGAGGATGACGCCGATGGGCTGAGGTACCAGCAGCAGGGGATTGATCAGTATGCGAGCAAGACGGGGTTGACGGATGAGTTTGAGTACGCTTGATCAGACCCGCGTACTGGAGCGGTATATCCTTTTTTGGGCGGAAATAACTGGTGGAGGGATCTTTGTATCGACCCCATGTTCAGAGGTCGTCTTGTACTTTTTCGTTGCACATAGTAGAATGGGATATCATATGTTGTTTCGTCTTCACAAGGCATGGGATTGTCTTTGGTGATGGTTTTGGGACATGACTGGTCAGCCTTGAGTGCATCTTTAGGCTGACTGGTCAGCCTTGATGTGGGTCCTACTGTAATACCCTCAAGTCGCGGTATTGGGACTCCTTTGATATGGGTTTGCAACCCCATGGCGTGGTCAAAGCGGGGCGCCGCAAATTTGCCCAGGAGATCTCGACCGACGGAGTCGCGTGCAGCGTTGCCGTGCGCCGTTCTTCGTCCAGCGATTTTCCCCTGCGCTGCAGTGGAGGCCTCTATGGCTTTGACGAAGATGACACGTTTCCTTCAATCAAGATTCCCCCCGACACACTTGTCGTTGTCGTGGAGCCCGGCAGGATCGACTAGCCTCTGCAGACGATGCGATGGCGTGACGTGCTTTATACCGACCACTGCAACATGTTCGGCGTCCGCTCGGCGGGTTTCTTTTGTTGCACCGTAGGCGACGCCATCTGCTGGATCCTCGAGAACAACGGCATCCCCAACGCTGCGCACTCCCGGATAACTTTTTCGGCGTGTGTTCGTCCCGCTACCAACATCAACTGCTCAAAGCTGTCCACAAGACGTTCGACCTCCTCGGGATCGAGCTGCACTGTTCACCGTCGCATTCCCTGCCGACATCTTAACGGCCGTCTACGGCGACGGCAAGAAGGACAAGACTCGTGTCAGCAAAAAAGGGGTTTTACGAGCGCTGTGGTAAAACATCGACATTGTCACGATCAACCGCGATATGCCGAGTGCCAAGGTGTCGACGGGCCCGCTGTTTCGCGTCTACCTGACCTATCTCCTCCGCAACATGCCCACGATCTCCTACCAAATCAAGCGATGGCGCAAGGTGCGGTGGAAGTGCCACATAGCAAAGGAAAGGACGTGGGACGCGATCGTCAAGCGATTGACTTGCGGCGGGGCGGAGACGGCCGTAATTGCGCTGGGCAACGGGAGCTTTCAGCACGACTCAAAGGGACACGCCTCGACCCCGCTCAAAGCCCTTCGCAAGCGCCTCTTTCAACGATGCCCCGGAAGAGTACGGAACTCGTCCACCATGCGCGCTCTTCCGGGGCATCGTTGAAAGAGGCGCCCCGCCGATACGCACCCGCTTATGGAGTGTCAAGGTCTGCAATGACCGCTGTTTGACGCATGTGAGTATGGACGAGGCGTTGATGATTTTGCACTCCCGCCCCCTCATTGACTTCCCCTCCCGCTGCAGTGGAACCGGGACGTGAACGCGGCAAGGAACATCCGAAGCCTCTTTCTGTACATGAACGCTCATCAAGGACAGAGGCAGAATATGTTTCGGAGGGATCCTTGTAGCGTACCCAGCACGAGTTTCTCCGTGGGAGAGGGTGGTGGTAGAGTAGACGTCTCCCATACCACCCTCTCCCACGGAGACTCATGCTGGGTCCAGGCTCAAGTGGATGTGCTCAGATGACGGAGTAGGAATCGCTCCCGATGACACAGTCCCGGCTGTAACGGACTTCTGGGACACTCATCCGTCGATGCGTGTGTATTGAGATGTGTAGATCATGGAACCTCAGCCGGCGTTTTGGAGGGGTGACATGTTACTTTTCACACTATCATATGCATTACATTATGGAAATCGAAAAAGATCACAAAACTCGAAGGAAAAAAAGATGTTGACACGCATACATCGGTTCGCGAGCGGGCATTAGGGGAAAGAGGGGGAAGGAAAAGAGCAGAGTGAAAAAACGACAGAAGAAAGATCAGAAACCATTAGGACAACATTGCTATGTAGAAAGTGCCTGCACGAAAAGAAAGAAAAAAGATCCCGCACCTATCCCACAATCGCATACCACACACGCCGTTTCCAAATTGGCATCCGAATGGAACCAGCTACGCCTTTGTCATCCGTTCGTATTTGCGGCGAAAGAAGCGAGGGGCGGACCAGTCGAAAACGAAACGTCTCATCGAGCCCTTTACGACCTCCCCCTAAGCCCGCCTTCCCACTCCCTCAAAAACGTCTGCGCAACGATCCTCGCATCATCCGGCGTAACCTCCGAGAACGAGTGTGTGGATCCCATTGTCGAGTTGGTCATTGGCGCAGTGACCCACGTCATCGTGGATCCGACTGACGACGCCGGTGCTTCGGTTGTCGAGGGCGCAGTGCTCGCATGAGAAGCGGGGCGAGGGGTGAGCGGGTGCAGGGGGGGTGTGGGGGGGAGATCCGGCGGTGGGGAGGTGAGAGGAGATGCGCGCCCGTCCCTTTTGGTGGTTGGTTTGGCGAAATCGGCGGGTACGACCGTCCGGATACTAGACGACGACGAGCGCATTGCGGTCTGGCGCGGGGGCGATGATGTCGCCGTGCCGCTTGTGGGGCGACGTGTAGACGCCGATGGACGGTATGTCGCCTGCGGGACCGCGATGGTCGTCGGGCGAGGTTTGGTGAACTCGATGTTGTTCGCGACACCGTCCCAGCTCACGCGGCCGGTGGGTGTTTGCCATTCGTGGATGGCGGCTTGTGTGGGGGATGTTGCGCGCGGGGGTGAAGTTGAAGAATGGGTGGGACGTTGGGTTGGGGGATAGATGTGGCGTGCCGTGTGCTCCTGCTGTTGCTGATAGTTGTTGCTGTGATGTCCATCGTTCTCAAATGCCGCATACGGCTCGCTCGCGGGCCTCGCACCTTCCCTAACTCTCCTCCCGACATTCACCGCGTTCGCAACAGGTGGAAGCGCCGCCCATTCGCTCATCGCAGCCGCCGTATCCCCCCCATATCCCCCAGCACCACCAGCATCCATATTGTTGAACCCTAACAAGTCATTGATAGCCCACACCCGCCTCTGCAGCTCCTCCGCCGCATCCCTCGACCCGCTACGGGTCTTATCCACCAGATCCCTCACCGACCATCCCGATCCCGACCGTGACTGCGGGCGGCCTCGATTTGCACTGTCCACGCTGCGACGATCTGGGGTATGTGGGCGCGTGAGGGTAGACTGGTTGCTGGGGGATGGGGTCCGCAAGGGGAGGGCGAAGGGGTGGAGGGAGGATGTCGAGGGTCGGTGGCGGGTTGTGTTACGGTTGGTGATCGTGGGCAGGGTTGGAAGGTGGATTTCGTCGTGTTTTGTGGGATATTTATGACGGGGGTGGAATCGGCGCCGGTAAAGGCAGAGGAGGAGGAGGAGAAAGAGGAGGAGGGCGCCGCCTGGGTGTTGACGAGAATGTAATGTGAGATAATCATGTAATCGGACGCAAAAGGAGCTGTCGAAAACCTGTGCCCAAAATCCGTTTCCGCTACTCACCAGCTGCAATCAACCCAATAGCCAACCTCGACAACTTCCCACGCCCGCCTCCAGCCCTGGGGTCAGCCATCACGCCCGTCGGGGTCGCCTCAGCCTTGGTCGACGCCGCGGGGTCAAGCGGGGCAAATGGCAAATTCAACGCTGTCGAAGTCGGTCGCGCGGTCGTTGCGGTCGTTGCCGTGGAGGCTGGTGTGTGGATCGAGACGGAGGATCTTGAGAATGTAGTGGTGGTAAGAGCGGGCGCTGTTGAGTTGGAAGGTGAAGGTGTGGGTGTGGGCGGGAGGACGGTGGACAGACGGGTGGTGGTGAGTGTGACAGTTGCGGTCTCGGGCGGCGGGAAGAACTCCGTTGGGAAGGGGAAGTCCGCCATGTTTGCGCCCGTGCCCGATGGGTTGCTCTCCGTGCGAAGACGAGCAGAGGCAGGCGAGCAGTTACCCGACGGACAGTCTTAAGCGAGCGAGCGAAAGAGAAGAAAGACGGAAGTGGGATGGGATGGGAAGTCATCTCTCCACAGTGACTGACGGGAGAGCTGTCAAAACGCGCTTGTCTTTTTGCGGAGTTCATTAATTGCGCATCGTACTGTATTAAAGTTTGTGTCGCACATGGACGGCACTCCATTCGTGCAGGACGGCTGACCTCCGCAACGAACAAGAATGACAATGATGCAGCTCACATGGATCAATTTTGGTGGGTCATTGACTTGATGCCCTGAGGATTCTACGGAATCTGGACCATGATGTAACTTCTAGTAGCAGACTGCACCTCCAGGCCAAAAAAAGGAGAGATGTGTAGGGCCCTACATCTCTACTCGATGATGTTAATCACACCCACCTCAGCCCTCCACTCGCAGGATTCCCAAAAAGCTTCCGTCCAGAAGCGTGGGGATTTGAGTGCTTGAGTCTGAGAGCTGCAATCGAAACCTGGTCTATGTGCGCATGAGAGGGCCCGACAACAGTCCAGGTATCGATAGACACAGCCCAGAAAACCCTTTTACTAATCGCATTGGCATTGTATTCGAAGTATAAGGGAGACAGAAGACCAAAAAGAAATGCAAGGCGCATAAAAAGAAGATATGGTGGAAACAAAGGCTAATCTCATACAAAGCATATCCGGCCGTGCGTCCCCGTCCAAACGTCCAAACAGTCCATCCGTTGTAGACAGAAAAGAGCTTGACGCAAAACCCAAAACCTCTCAACCCGCACATAATCAACACCTCTCACGCATACAACCGATCCCTACTCGAAAACACATTCCCCGCAACCGGCTGCTCCCACCTCGGCGGCCTTAGATACTCGGGCACGCTAATCCCCGGCACCGGATGCCCAACCCCAGCCCCACCACCAAACCCATAAGTCCGCATATCCGCGCCCCTATAATGCACCGGACTCGGCGCGCGATGTCTCGGCGGCGGCGCCAACCCGTGCCACAGACTCTCCCGATTGGGCGGCGGGACGGATTTCTCATACCACTCGTTATGGCGGTACCGGCGGAGACAGAATAGTAGGAGGAGAACAAGGGCGAGACCAAGCAGGCCGCCGATGACGCCACCGGCAATCTTGGCGGCGGAGGAGGTGGATGTGGTGGGGGCGGGGGACGTGTCGATGAGGGAGGGGGAGAGGCCCGGGGTGCTGGTCGCGGAGACGTAATCGGGTGCGGAGGGGTCGATGGGGTTGCTGCCGCCGTTGGCGATGGGGGCGGCATCGGCGGATTCAGGGGAGGTTGGCGTGGGAGTGGGAGAGGCGCTGGTGGTGGTGGAGTCGTCTATGAGGGATGTGGTGCTGAAACCGGGCACAGCTTCTTCGCTGGGGGGGAGGGACGGCGATGGGGTTGACGTGGATGTTGTGTCCGGTTCCGCGGTGGATGTTGCATCAGCTTCCGCGGTGGAAGTTGTGTCGGGTTCTGTGGTGGATGTTGCATCGCGTTCCGCGGAGGATGTTGCGGTAGATGAAGACGTTGTGACTACCTCCGCGGTCGACGACGTAGACGGCTCCACATCAACAGAAACCGATGTCGTATCAGGCACAACCGCCGCCGTCGATGCAGGAGCAGGCGGGGCAGGCGGCGCACCCGCAACTGCCCCAAATCCCCCTTGAGGACTCAACGCGACCGTAAAATCCGTTAAATGCGCACACTTACACACCGCCGTCCCGCTCACTTCGTCTACGGAGGCCACCGCACATCCGTCCGTCGCCCACCCCGCGGCAGCACTCCCGTCGCTGCTGGCGGCGCGCCACCATGCACAGACGAACCCGGCGGTCGGCTGTGCGCGTTGTTGGGCGAAGAGGTCGGTGGGGACGGGGAGCATGAGGGAGATGTCGGGGTTGGGGAGTTGAACGCTGAGCACTGATGCTGAGCTGGAGGTGTCGTAGAGAGTTAGGCTGAGCGATTGATTGCCTGGTACAAGCGCGCCGGCTGTGATGGAAATCGGAGCAGCAACCGACCCCGCCGTCCCGCACGCATACCGTACACACGACCCCGTCACCGCCGATGCGGGCACCGTAAACGCCGCGGAACAGAAGGAGAGATCCCCTCCACCTGAAGTGCTTACACTCCCGACCGTTTTCGCGACATACGGTTCCGCAAACTTGACCGTCTGCCCACACACGCCGCGGAGGTTTCGGATGACACACCCTTCAAGAACATCCAGTACGGCCCGGACACGGTCATCTGTCACCGCCGCCCCGCTCGCAGCCCCAGTCTTAACCGACCCCACCACCGAATCCACAACCTTCACCAACAACCCCGCCGCATTCGCATCCACACACCCGCCCGCGACCCTCGTGGTCGCATCAATCTGCGCCACAACACCCTCCAACGCCCCAAACACCCCCTCCACAATCCCACTCGTCAGATTCCAGCTCCCAAACGTGATAGCCTGCAACGCCTGCGCCATATACGGTCCACCCGAGGTCGCGTCCATGTAGATGTCGCGCGAGGAGAGCAGGAGGGTGTAGAGTTGCAGGAGTTTGGTGTGGTAGGGCGTGTTGAGCGCCACGGGGGTGAGCTGCTGGATGGCGACAATGAGGTTGGTTTGCGCGGTGCGGTAGTCGGAGGTGTGCCGGAAGGAGGTGATAGAGGTATCGAGGAAGGTGTAGTCGGACGGGGTGGGCTCTGCGTTTGCATCATAGCGGCGGTTGATGTGTACATTGATACCCACACCGACATCCGCTCGGGCGCGACGCTTGCCAAGCGCAGGCGCGGTTGCTCCCCCAGCAGTCGTATTGGGCGCCACCACCACACTATATATTGTCTGCACATCCCCCACCGACCCCGCCACGTCGCTCACATGCACCGTCAACTCATACGTTCCCTCGGACAATACCGTATCCAGCACACTCGACTCGCTCCTCGGCCCCAGATTCCTCCACACGGTCTCCATCCCCTTGCGGCGGATCCAGAAATCGTAGTACACTGGTTTAGCGAGCTGATCTGTCACCCACCCGGCGCAGGCGTACCGGAACACGTCGGTGTATGCGATTCCCGAGGTGGCGTTCAAGGCGCAGTAGCCGGCGGCGGGGGGCTCAAGGACGGTGGTGAGGAGGGTTGCAACTCCGGGGAGGGATGGGTTGGCGGCGTCGGTGGCGAGGACGGTGAAGCAGTAGCGGCCAGCAGGAATGAAGCTCTGTGGCGAGAAAGTCACCGCGTTCCCGTCCTGCGCTGTTTGAACAAGCGGGTTGGATGTGAATGTGACGGTTGAGAAGGTTTCGTTGTAGCAGGTTTCGTTGGAGAACCAGGTGTAGGTTACCGCTGAGAGGGCGGAAATGGACAGCGGATCCACGGCGGCGGTGAGCGTGTACGTGTCCCAAGCCGACGGATGCGGCGACGACGGACTTATACTCAACATTGGGGCAACGGTGCTTCCCCCCGCATCCACGGCATTCAACGCCAATTTCCCCGCATACTCATTCTCGGCCCCCGTCGAAATCCTGACCGCTAAGAAATCAAACTCATACCGCCCAGGTGCCAAAAACCCGGTGATGTTAGCCCCGTGGCAGACAGCGGGTACAGCGAGGTCCTGCCCCGTTTCCTGCTTGAAGCAGCCGGTGTCGCCTTTTCCCTGAGAGTTATCCAACCGCTTGCATTCCCAGATGCAGGTGAAGTCCGTGAGGTTTGTGGATGCGAGGGGGTACCCGCTGTCGAAGATGGATGTGGAGAGTAACAACGGAGGTGGAGGGATGTGTTCGATGTTGCTGGTCGTTCCTGCGGTCAGCTCGGTGATGGTGGCGGGGGTGATGCGGTCGAGCTCGGAGGTGAAGGTGTAGTTGAGGAACCAGGGGGTGGAATCTGGCACGTCGGAATATTGCGCTTGTACCACAAATGAGTAGAGGCGTTGTACGGACATGGTGTATTGTGGCAGCACGACGGTTGTGACGACGCCGTCGACCGGGACGTCGGGGGAGGACCACGCGAAGGAGACGGGACGCTGTTGGCCGCATGTTGCGTGTGCTTCCGCTTTCACGGTGTGGAGCTGATCTAGCGGTGCATCGTTACCCGGTCCGACAATCGTGACGTAGGGTACATCACTCCTCGGCAATTTCTCGGTCACGAACGAAGCGGACCCACTCCCACCAAGGAAATTCTGCATATAAAACGACACCGTGACCGGCCCGACGGGGAACGCCGAGGCAGGAACGGTGTAAACCAGCACATTCTGCGTCCGAAACGCCGTTTCGAATTTATCCAGCTCAACCTGAATACTAGCCGTTGGCGGATCAACAGTGAATCTAGTGCTGTTAAAGTTCCGCCCGAGAGCCCCCATCGTCCGAGATAAATCATACGTGACGTCCGCGCACTCGCTCACGATCTGCGGGACGGTGATACGCACGTCGGGGGTCACGATCTGGGATTTGTCGAGGACGCCTGTGACGATTGTCCCGCCCGTCGCAGTCTGACTAAGTTGCTGACCGGCAGTCCACACTGCCCCGGGACGCACGGAAAGGATATCGCCAATGTAAATCGGTTCCAAGCCGGCGTTTTCGATTCCCAGCACGCCCTGCGCGCCAACGTTGATACGGAATGTCCGTGGGCCCATGCGTTGCACGCGACACTCTGCCGTGGCGTTGCGGAACCACAATCGCCCGTTACGTGTGGAGGGATTAGACCAGATCTTATCGCACCCAAAAGATTCGCGACCTGTGGCAGCCGAGATGGTCCGCAGGGCGTTGGCGAGCGGGTCGGTCATGAAGATGTTCGTATCGTATACCGCTACTGGACGATCGAATTCGGCTTCGATAGCCCCCGTGCCCGTGAAATGCGCCGATATGAGCTGCGGTGCCCCCGCGCGGTAGTAGAGCAACAGAGGTTGGTTGACAACGATACTGACGAACTCGGTGGGACGCCAGAGATAACTGTTGCTTAGCCCGCCATAGGGTGATAAATCGACCTGCGGGGTGTAGTACAGCAGGTTGAGTTCCAGCACGCCGCTTTGGTCAAGTTCCGGGGTGACGCATTGGTAAGTTGCGTCGGACGCCGACCAGGTTGCTGGGGAGGAGGAGACGGCGGTGGTGTTAAACACGCAGAGAGGCGTGCCGACGGGGGGCAATAACCCGATCCCGACGATAGTGACGGGGTTGGCGTTGTCGACTATTACCCTACTCGGAAATACCCTCGTGGCAATCGATTTCACGGGGTCGACCCAACGTATATCATGCACGACATCAACCCCATTGACAGTAAGTCCGAACCCGCCATTCTTGTACGCGGCGCCAGCTAGCTCGACGGCGTCCGTGTCGACCAGCACGACGGCCAGGGTGTCGGAGAGGACGGTGAGCTGGGCGGCGCCTGTGGGCAGGGAAGCGTTGGTGAGCTTGATGTCGTACGTGGATGCGTCGAGGGAGGTATAGTTCGTCCCGACGAGGGAGATGTATTGCGGGCCGCGGCTAGTGTAGACGGAGGGCGGGTCGACGGAGGTGATGGTAATGTAGGCTTCGCCTGGGGGTGTGTACTCTGCAGGTATTATGTCGTTGGAGGGTGTCGGTGTGGGTGTGTCTGTGGTGGATGTTGGGGTAGCTGCTGCTGTTATATCGGTTGCAGAATCTGTGCTGCTGTTGCTGCTGCTGCTGGTGCTTGTGCTCGTCGATAATGATGCATCACTAGTCGATGCCAGATCCGTTGGCGGAACACCATTAACCTGCCGTCGATCAACATCCAGCTTCACTTCAAAGTCCGCGTCGTTCCGACGATGTCCGACAGCAGCTGCAAATACAATCTCGCTGCACAGAAAAGCAAGTATTACCAGCAAAAGGATGCATCGTTGTAGGCGACGTGTGGGCATCGCCGTTGGGGTGTGGCGCGAAATTTTGAAAGTTACTGATATCCACAGCGCCCGATAGCGAATAGGAAATAGTGACGTTCTATGGGGGCAGATAAGAATTGGCGGAATGACAGCTGGGTTTTCCTCCTCGCTTTTCTGTCTAGCGCATAGAGAAGTGTGGGTGCCGACGAATGCAACGCGAGTAAAGGCTCGTTGTCTTCAGAGTATCGGAACAGTCCCTTCTTTTCTTCATGCGGTATGACGTGCAAGGTGTGGACTGCGCGCTTTTTTTGTGTCTTCCTTGAATAAGCGAGTAAGGTGCTAATCCAATCGTGGCCAGTGAAGCATGTGGGTGGGAAGGGGCGTACACCTGCTGAGCGGACTTTCGCCAGCAGAATGACAGGATGGCTGACATGAAGGACGCCCGCGCTGTCGAAATCTGTCTGGAAGCCATTTTGACATAATAGCTCCGGGAAAGCTTTACGCTGACGCGGACGTCAAGAGGGCATATCGTAGGATTACTCCTGGATAGATGAGGGCATTGGAAGTTATCGGCGGGAACGGAGTGGGGAAGCGATGCGTGGTTTTAGTTCACGATCGTGTTCGTCTGAAGCGAGACTAGGCGTGGAATCGACGCAAGGGATCTTCACTCGGCGAGCGCAAGCTCTGAGCTGAACGGACGGAGCATACTTTGATGTCTATATTTAATCCAAAAGAGAATTCGCACGAGTGCATAATGAAGGCTGCCATTGCTCGTCCTCCTGATGTTGGTCGCTGCTGGGTTCGTCAAGCGGTGGGAGTGCGGGTAGGCCCAAGGCGATTGATTTTGCGGAAGTGGCTCCCCGCGTGTTCTCCAGTGCTTCTCGCTGTGAGAGGAGGGCGGAACCCACTGCAGCTTGACTAAGGCAACCCCAATCAGGACATCTTCCGTCAAACCAACCGAACATGACCACCCAAACCCCCGACTACGCCCCCCATCTGGCGTCCGCCCTCTCCATCGCCCGCACCGCCGGCGCCACAATCCACACCGCCTTCCACAACCGCACCTCCCTCCACATCGACCTCAAAAACGCCAACGACGCCGACCTCGTCACCCAAGTCGACCGCAACGTCGAGGCAGCCATCTTCTCCCACCTCCGTGCTCAGTTCCCCTCCCACAGATTTGTCGGCGAGGAGGGCACCGCGGCTGCGGGGGACGCGCATACCGGGTTGGGTGATCACGCTGAGGATGATACCCCGACATGGGTGGTGGATCCGGTGGACGGGACGACGAATTTCGTGCATGGATTCCCGTTCGTGGCGGTTAGTATCGCACTGGTGGTCCGCGGGATTCCCGTTGTTGGCGTCGTGCATAACCCGGTCATGAACGAGACATTCCACGCTGTGATCGGTCAAGGCGCTTTCTTGAACGATGTGCCCATCCCGACCCCGCCGCTTCGCCCGTTGGCCTCCCTCGCGTCCGCGTTGATTGCGACGGAATATGGGTCGGATAGAGGGGAGGAGATCTTGGGCCCGAAAGTGCATGCGTTACATGATATTGTCTCTTCACCGGCACGCGGCGTGCGCTCCCTCGGTTCCGCAGCGCTGACGATGTGTTATGTCGCGCGCGGAGCGTTGGATGCGTATTGGGAGGCGGGGGTGCATGCGTGGGATGTGGCAGCTGCGGCGGTGATTTTGACCGAGGCGGGTGGGTTGGTTGCGAATTGGAAGGATGTGAATGCTGGTGGGGCTGTGAAGTATGATTTGTGTGCGCGGAATGTAGTGTGTGTGAGAAAGACGCCGGAGGGAGCGCAGGCGAGGAGTATTTTGGAGGGGATTAGGGGGAAATTGACGCCGGTGGAGTACACGAGGGATTGACTCTTTCATGTCCACAAGTAGTCGCTTAATTTACAACAAAACTAGAAATAAAGATAAGCCGGCGAAATGCTTTACACATGCAGGAAAGCAACGAGTGATTCTACAGACTGCATAAACTACTTGCCCCCTACTCAAAAATCACTATCACTCCCACTCTCCCCCCTCTGATCCCACCTCTCCCTCTTCCCCGCCATCCCCTTCCCAAGCACCTCCCCCAAACACCTCCTCATCTCCCCCACCCTAACGTCATCCCTCTCCCCACCCTCCTCATCCTCCCCCCACAACCTCGCCGGCGGCCAATACGCGCTCAACCCAGCGTGCACTTCATCAGGGACCCAGTGCAGGTACCCCTCGAGTAGAAACTTGCTGTCGACGGTCCGCCAGTGGTGCAGGAGCGCGGCCCGTGTGGAGATGGCGTTGGTAAGGAGGGGTGTGAGGAGCGCCTGGGATTTGGCGTGGGTTGCGCCCCATGCTTTCGTCAACGTCAGGGGCTTCGTCAACAGGTACGGTGTCAACATCGGTAGAATCTCCTCCTCCACCTCTTTCCCCTTCTTCGCTTTAGCCCGTTTGCGTTGTTTCGCGTTTGTCGCTGTTGCTGGTGTCGCTAACGGCATCAACGGCACCTTGCCCTCGACAAAAGCCCTCGCAAACCACCGACTCCGATCCTCCACCCTCGGCAACACACATTCCCTCGCTGGCAACTCCCACATCTTCGGTCCCAGCGTAGGTACACAGAACCCGACCACCGCGTCCTGAGGTATATCATACCGCGGTTCGGGCTGCTCCATGATCTTGCCCAACCTACATAGAGTCTTGGGCGCCACGTTCGCGATCCACGTGTCCTTGACTGCAGTCACCCCCTTCATCCATCGGCGGACATAGGGTGTGCCCTCTTTATCGACGGGAACAGTCAGACCGCCGCGATTAGCAACCACCCCGGAGTTATCCGCGCTAATCTTCTCCTCGCGCCCCATCAACTCCTCAAACACCACATACACGGGTGCGGGCCGTTCACGGTACAGACAGCTCCCCGGGTGGATCTGGCACACCTCGTCTTTCGCGCCCCACATGGTTCGGTAGAGCGGTGTGAATTTCGCTCCGTTGAACCCGCGGGAGGTGGCTTCGTCTAGCCGGGCGATACGGTCGGAGAAGGCGGAGAGGACAACTTGCAGGATTGCGGCGCAGTCGCGGGGGGTTGGGGGTGGGAGGCGAGGGTCGACGCATAATTCACTCACTGCGGGATACAATTTACCATCGTTCCCCAGGGAGAGTTTGACGAGGATGGTGAGCTGTTGCCGCAGTTTCCGCATCTCGTCCATGGCTTTATGGCGGAGGAAATGTGAATCGCAGAACGCTTGTAACGAGGCGTCTGCCCGCGTGGATTGGGCCGCGTGGGCGCCGATGGCGCGGAGGAGTCGGAGTGCGTCGGAGGTGGGTGGGTCGCCGGAGAAGAGGGCCATTGTCTTATAGAACGACGCGCGTTTCTTGCTTCTGCGGGATTTCTCCCCGTCTTCCTCGTCACCATCACCATCACCATCACCACCATCGTCAGCATCAGCGGTGTTGCCGAGTATATCCTCATCCTTCAAAAACGGATCCCCGACGGATAACCCCGCGACCAACGCCACGACATAGGCCAATATATTCCCCGGCTGGCTCGCGGCGATCACCAGCATCTTAGCATACCGCGGCGCCACCGGGAATTTAGCCATCACCTTCCCCAACTCGGTAATCTTCAACACCTGGGTTTCAGAGTCCAACGCGCCGAGATACGTCAACAGCTTCTCCGCCGCACGGAGGTTATCCCTCCCCGGCGGGGTCGGGAACGGGAACCCAACGACGTTGTTGATGCCCATACTCTTCATCTGCAACACCACACCTTCAATCGGCACCCTCAGAATCTCCGGCTGCGAAAACTGGTCAAAGTAATCGTTGAACACCGCCGAACTGAACAACCTATAACAATGCCCGGGCCCCGTTCGTCCGGCTCGTCCCGCACGTTGGTCGGCTGATGCGCGGGAAGTCCAGCAGACCTGGTAAGTCTGTGCGCCGGAGTGGGTGTCGTATCTTCGTTCTTTGACTTTTCCGCAGTCGACGACGTATTTGATGCCCGGGATCGTGAGTGAGGTTTCGGCGACGTTGGTGGCGATGACGACGAGGCGGGTGTTTGGTGGGGGGGAGGAAAAGACGCGCATTTGGGCGGCGGTGGGGAGGAGGGAGTAGAGGGGGAGGACATGCAGGGGGAGGGGTTCTGTTGCGGTTTTAGGGTCTTGGCGGTTGTTCAGTTCTGTTGCTTCGTCGTCTTCGTCCCCGCTGAGACCGCCCAGTACATCCACATGCTCTTCCTCATCGTCCTCATCGTTCGCTCCCTCAGCGTCACTATCGGATTGGTAATCATCCTGTCCCCTCCCCATCTCCACATCGGCGCTCTCATCCCCCTCCTCAAACAACGACCCCGCCCCGCTCTCCCCCTCTGCGGTCGCAACCGGTTTCAGAGCCGCATCCTCAATTTCATTCGGTTCGAGTTCGTTCGCCTGCTTCATCGGAAACTCTTTACGGAGTTTGCGCACGAGGACTTGGATCTCTTGTTGGCCGGTCATAAAGACGAGGATGCCGCCGGGGGGGAGTTTGGTGTGGATTTTGGTGATCTTCTTGAAGGCTTCGGAGCTATAGTCGAGTTCGGGGGTTACTTTGTTGTAGTGGATTACGACCTGGAAGAATTGTGGATCAGCACATAATCATGGGGATGCGCCTATGGGAACAGTCCAATGCTATACCTTATGTTGCCGTCCATCCACCTTCACAACGGGAGGTTTCTTCTCATTTGTCGGAAACAAGGTCTTATTGAGCGTAAAGTCCTCCACTCTCAGCGTCGCGGACATGATCACCAGCTTCAACGGCTTGGCACCCTCGATCTTCCCCGAGTTCCTCAACGCGACAATACGGGTCAGCCACCCAATAAGCACATCCGTCCCAACAGTCCGTTCGTGCGCCTCATCAATGATAATACACGAGTAATGCGATAGCAACAGATCCGCAGGTCGCTGTGTTCCACTGGTCGCAGATTTCGATTGTTCGCCACCGGCAGCCAAACTCAGCTCCCGGAGAAGAATACCATCCGTCATGAACTTGATCCGCGTATTCTTCCCCGTATTCCCTTTATCATACCTAATCTGGTACGCCACCTCCCCACCCTTCAACGCCATCTCATCCGCGACACGGCGCGCCATCGACACCGCCGCGACACGCCGGGGCTGTGTTATGCCGACCATGCCCGGGAACATCGGGTGTGCGGGGTCACCGAAGCCGGCTTCGTAGAGGAATTGCGGGACCTGGGTGGTTTTGCCGGACCCAGTTTCACCGCAGAGGATGGTGACGTCGTTGTTGGTGATGGCGTCCATGATGGGTTGTTCTTCCATAACGACGGGGAGGGAGATGCGGGCGAGTTGGATGGATTCGGGGCGGGCGACGGGGACGTGGAAGGCGGGTTTTGAAGGGGCGGTAGGTTTTGGTTTTGGTGGTTGTTTGGTGTCGCCTTTTAAGTGGGTTGGAGCGGATGAACTGACGATGGGCTGGGGTAGCGTTTCGCCGTCCACGATGTTGGCAGCCCAGATGGCTTTCTTCTGATCAGCTTGTGGGGGCACCGCTTCAGTATCGGCGACTGCCTCAGCGACTCCATCCCTTTGTCCATCCGAATGCGAATCATCAGAATCAGATCCGTACATATTGGCCGGAACCTCCGCCTTTTTCTTCTGCTGCTTCTTCTTTTTCCGTTTCGGTATTGCGATTTCGGTAAACTCGCCTTCCGCCCCATCGGCGGCTTTCCTCTTCAACGCACCTCCGAATGCTGATGGTTTCAGTGCGGATCCAAAGGCCTGTGGTGCTGCAGCAGCATCCGCTTTTGATGCTGATGCGCTCTCCTCGAAAACCTGCACTACGGGTGCCTTTGGCTTCGCTGATGAGGTTGTGAGACTGCTGCCGAAGGCCCTTCCTACTATCCCTATTGAGGGATCTTCCTCGATTTCGTTTTCGATGTCAGCATCCTCATCCCCGTCATGATCCTCACCCTCGCCTTCACTCATCTCCATGCCATCGGCATTCTCCTCATCAACCTCCCGTTCAACCAACAACCTAACCGCATTGTCCGACCTCGCGATCCCCTTCCTCTCCTCCAACAGCGCCTGCCTCAGCTTCTCCTTCGCAGTCAGCTTCGTCTGTCCAAACGCCTTACTGGACCTCAGAAACTCCGAAGCGTCAAACGTCTGCTCGCTCAACTTTTTCAGTAAACTGACTCGCTCCTCCTTCTTCAGCTGCTTTTCGATGAACTTTTCGAGCCGCTTCTTTTTCTTGGAGGTGATTTTCCCCGTGGGGGCTTCTGGTAATGCGCTGTAGTCGGTTGGGGCGGACTCGCCGGGTATCAGCATTGTTGGGTTGGCGGAGCTGGAGGCCGTGTACGTTATGTCGTCCTCGTCCCCTGCGGTTGCTGCTGCCGAGTGAGCAGCCTTATTCGACGTTCCGCTGCCATTGGAGGGCTTTGCATTCGTCGTTGAGGTTTTCTTTGCCAGACTTTTGAGCCCGCCGTCTCTAGCACTTGGATGTGGTTTTGCGGTTTTTGCGAGGCGGGAGCCAGCCCTGGCCTTCTCATTGTACCTCGGTCGCAGCTTCCCCATGCTGTGTGCGTTCTCTTTGTAGGTATATGAAGGGGGCGTTGACCGGTAATGCCGTGTGGTCGTTTTAGCAGAGAGACGATTCGAGCTTCCAAAACTCTCAGAGGGGATTTACGTGAGGAGTTGGCGCGCAAGCCACACCAACGCCACACAACACGCCACGCCCCTCGCGCTGTCGGATTCCTCTGTTCGCTCATTTGCATTCACTCCGCTCAAAGCATCATTTGTTTTCGCACAACTAAATGAACACTCCTGCACAGTATTCCGAGATATTGTTATGGTGTACAGTTATAAGCTACTCTATAAGTTATCTCTTGTCGTCGCTTTCTTCCATATTTCCGATCGAGCGTTCGTTGGCTGCGACGGCGACGTCTTCGCGGAACGCTGACTTCTTCATTAAACGGCTGTGTTCATTTAACGGCGAGAGTCCGGCTTGTCGTCCTGGTCCTTGTCGTCCCGTCCATAGACAGTCCCGTACCCTCCCGGTAAAACTCCGCTGACGGTGCCGTAATGCGCCAGGAGGGCGGACTACCGCGTGAAGTCAATATTCCCGCATATACTGCATCTTGACCGTGCAAGGGACCGATTGGATAGTGGGCGTCATGGCTCTCTTCTCCCCGGTACAAAGATAATTTTCGGGCTTTCCTTTCGGTAGAGACCCAGATGGCTCTTTCAGCGCGCACCAGTTTCAAGTCGTTCATGGTGCTGGTCATAGCAGCCCCTAACCAGGGAGCCTCTTTCCGACACTATGTCAACTGAGCGCGGGTCCTCCTGCAGGCCGCACTCGAACGGGCGAACCTTTTGACATTGACCCATCTCGCATTCGCTGCAAACCCTCCTCCGACCCTCTGGCCGGAACGAACGCGCGGAGTTCACTGGTGACGTGATGGTAGTGGCGACGGCGTCATTGCTGGACCGTGGGAGCCGTTTCCGCCTCGATCTAGTTGCAGAGACTTCGCTCTCTGTCTCGGCAGGTGTAACGAAGTCTGCGGCACAGAAATCGGGACAGGAGAAATGATTGGGTTCTGATTTCGGTATATGAAGGGCCTCGTTGATTGCGCTAACAACTTCGTGAAGTGCGATGGGATATCGATCTGTATACCCTCTGCCAGCTCAGCGTGCCCCGGGAGGGTTGCCTTAGCCTGTTCAGCCGTAAGGATTCCATCCTTGTACATGTTCGAAACCGATTTCCGCGTCTTCTCGATCAGGTCGGGCTTCTTCTTGTCGAATGTGGCATTCAGAAGCTGGTCCGAGACCACGTCGTTATGTGCGGGGCCATCAATGTCCCTCAAAGTCCGCAGATGGTCACTGATCTTTGACGCCCAGTGTTCGTCGCATCTCTCCATAGGCATGTTTTTTGGGAGGCTTTCCAGGCATGTGAGCGTGCCAAGGTGCGGTAGGGGTACCCCCGATCGGCTTGAGTGTAATCGGACGACATCAGGGGCATATGCGCGTGGTGGCTTCTGCATCGGGTGGGGGCCCTGAACCATCGGTCCAGCTGCACAAGCCGCCCATGCTGCCAAGCCTCCCCGCTTCAACCGCTCAACATATCCGCCAATACTCCCCTCCACAAGCGTTCATGGCCGCCAGGTCCAGGTCGGTGATGAATAGATCGCCCTCGAGGCCGAAATCTGATCTCTTGCAACCACTCCGCTTGAGAAATATTCATCGCAGTCAGATCCAGAGGTGATGAACAGATCCCCCTCGAGCCCGAAATCTATCACGGCAGAGGGTGATTCGGTAGGTCGCTCCGGAGGAGTTGGTGGTGGTGTATATTGACATACCAACTACTGCGACCAGTTGGGAGAGGTCGTCCAACGACGTGGGTAGTTACAACTGTGTGACGGCAACAAAGGCGGGAGGGGTGCCTGCGTGACGTCGGTAGTTGGAATTGCGTGACCGATGCCAGGTCCGCCAGGAACGACGGCAATGAGACCTGTTGCTGCTGTTGTTGGGCAGCAATGCCCGGCGTGATTATTTCTGCAATGGGTGTGTCGGAAGGTGTGGGCGGCCGAGCCATTGCGGACGCTTGGGCTCCAGCCCCACTCGTCATGCTTGACCGCTGGTAGGTTGGACGAATCGTCGAGAAACGTTGGCAGGTCGATTTGTGTAACTGCGTTTGGTCCGCCGGCCACTGTGAACGGAGAGACACCTTCTGCTGCTGGGCAGCTATCCCAGGGCATGATGCTCTTGGGAATCGGTGTCTCCGACGGTGTAGGCGGTCTCGCCAACGCATGTGCCTGGCGACCGGCCGACCAGTCTGCGGCCGTCATCGCTGGCATCGACCCCATCGTAGATGTGCTGGGCGGTCGAGAGGTCGGCAAGGGATGATGGTTGCGAAGGGCGCTGGGCCACTGTTCGTGGAGTGGAGTGCACTGGCCAGAGAGTGGAGATCTTCTCCCACATTGACGGCTTTTTTGCCCTCGATACTGGAGCCGGGGTCGTGGGCGTCACACTCGCCAAGCTCAAGGCTCAGCGCCCGCGCCCGCAACAGTAGATCCTGCACTTGGCGGTGTTGGAGCCGAAATCCACCGCCAAGTGCAACACCTCTGCTACATCATGCAAGGCTATCCCCATCCACGTTGTGACCGGTATGGGGGTCGATTGGGCTGTCATGGGTCCGGTAACCGAGGGTTTTGGCAGTGCCGCAGGGGAGACCGACACTTCCGGCGCTACCAGCGTCTCTGCAATTGCAGTCGCGTCGGCAGCCGTTGCAGCATCTGAAGGCAGCGGGGCAGCGGTTGCCTCGTCGAACGAGCCTTCTTGTTCTGAGGCCCCGCGGAGGCCGATTGCTGCAGTTTCCGAAGGGCTGCGCCCTTGGATTGAACACCGGTATCCTCAAGGGAGTCTATGCGGGAGCGCTTGCCGTGGGGGTATGTGACCACCGCTGAGCGAGGGTCTGGAAATCGCACCTCGGAGCTTTTTTTCGATTCTTGCTGCGCTTGGATGGGAATGACAGTGCCGGCAGAGGTAAGGTCGTTGTCTCTTGCACCTTCCAGGCCCCCAATCCAGTCGGCTGGACGACATTGTGGTGCTTTCCCTTCCGGCGGGAGATTTGACTTGAGCTGCGGTCGCGTCGAATGAGCCAAAGCTCGGCTTTTGTTTTGAGGCCCCCGCGGTGGCCGTCTGCTGCAATTTCCGAGGGGCTGTGCCGTTGAGACTGCATACTGGCATTCTCTGGATGAAGGAAACACGATCAGAATTATCGAAAGAACCGGACAGAATTCGAAAAGATCGAGACCTACCCTGTGGAGACGGTGTTGCATTTGGCGGTGACAGCGACGCGTCGTGGGGCGGGGACGGTGTCGCTCGAAGGATCCCAGAGGCAGTTAGCGGGAGAGAAGTGGTGGAAGGAGAGGGTTTGATGGTCGATCTTGGGTTGACCATTTCCGGCAGAGCGTCAAGTACTTCGCTTCCACTTCCTTCAGAAGGAGTACAAGGTTTCTTTGGGGACGACGGCGCCGTTGATTTGCCGTTGTTAGAAGCAAAAGATGGACCGGGAGAAGTACTCCTAATGTCGGTCGAAATACACCCAATCGAATACAATTCGCCTTGCTCGTTGAATAACGGGAACTTGTACTAAGGCACGTGGGTAGCCGTATCACGCTGAGAGTATGCGCGGACGAGGTTAGGCGTGCTTTCTGCGGCATCATGCACGACGGGAGCTGTGCACGCCGTAGATCGTGACTGACATCCTGGAACGGAGTCTCGCTGGTGTGGACTGCTGGACGGCGCCACCTTGTTGAGAAGACTGGCTCAGGATGGGTGGACCAGTGTACCGGGCGATCGTCGAGATATTCCTGGCCGGGATATCCGGTGCAGCAGAAACACCCGTAGTTGCCCGCAAGCCTCGGCGCAATTGTCGAAGATGTTCCACATCGTTGTAGGACGATGTTTGACAATGACCGGTGCTGTTGTAAACTACCAGGCGCCACTTGGCCTTGTACCTCGCCCAAATCACTGCTTCGGCCTTCCAGCAGCAAATGGCGGATGAAGCGAGGGTAATAATTGACGAAGAGGTTCCAGCGTGGGCAACCGCGGGCATTTGAGAAAGGCAGAGACAGTAAACAAGTGTGGGGCACCCACGAGTTTTGAGGCATTCATCCGATACTCCGCCCGCTTACGCGATGCCGTCAATGACCTGGACGAGTGCAACATGAGAACATCGCGGTGAATGACTTTTGCGCAATCCAAACGTGACATTTTCCAACTTGCGCAATAAACCACTTGCCCATCTTCAGAACCCATCGTGATCACATCCGACCGCATCCCAAACCCAAACCGACGTCAACCAAATCATTCCAGAACCGAATATCGTCCCCGCAACAATGAGCTCCGCAACCAGAGTCATCGAATCCCGCGTCTTCTCCGCTCCCATCGCCACCGTGTGGCGCCATGTGCGCTCGGCCGACTTTAAGTTCTGGACGAGCGCCGTGAAGGATGCTGCTGCTGTCGAGGGCGGGGCGGCTGGTGAAGGTGGGTAGGCTTTGGTCTGGGTTGGGGGTGGTTCCTGGTAGGGAAGCGGATCGCCCGGCGATTGGTGTACATCGTCTTCAACATTGTGATGGTTAATGGCTTCGCCACGACGCGTACTGTACATACGGATGCTGCTCGTCTCGTCTTGTCTTGACTGACGGTATCTCAAATTCCGCCTCACAGTCGGGTCCCAGCGCAAAGTCAGCTTCAAGGACGGCACCGTGCAGAGGTACCAGGTAAGGGACTCGCGCGTCTCGTCGTCCGTAGCTATCTCTGGAGCCGACTGACTGACGTGTATTCCTTTCCGCAGATCGTTGAGTTGTCCGGTAAGTTGCTAATGTGATGGATGGGGCAGGCATGGGGCGCGCCCGCACGAAACCTATGCGCATCAAGACGGATCCAAAACAGATATCACAAACCCCCACTTCTAACCCATGATCCCCACCACGCCCCCACCAAACAGACCTCTCCTTCTTCATCACCTACGAGCTGATCGAAAGCACCCCGGCCGTGCTCTCGGCCGCCGCGATCCACACCATCCGTCTGCGTAAAGTCACACACGTAAGTGCTCCCCCCCCCACCCACCACATGTCCCTGCGATTGTTAACAAGACATGACGTTCAGGACAACTCAACCCTCGTCGAATGGGAATCCGACTTCTCAGCCAGCGGCAACGACACCGCGAGCGTCGTCGAGGACTCGAGGTTGAAGAAGAAGGAGGCTTTGGCTGTACGTTCCGTTTTTGGCTCTCCGAACCCTTTCGAGTCGCATACAACCAAAACCCTGTCTCTGATTTCGTTACCCCCCCCCCCCCCCCCCCCCCGGTCTTGCCATTCGGCTTGAAAACAGGACCTCGCCAAAGCCCTCGGATCCAAATAGATTCCTGCTGCTCCAACATTCCCCACATTCCCCCTCTGTTCGTTTCATGTAGTACACGTAACAGAGAGTCGGGTTATCGAAGCCGCACAGAAAGCAGAACATGTGTTGATGCATGTGCCTGGGAGAGAAGGCGAGGGGGGGATGGGAGATAGGAAGGAAAGGCTAGGTGTAGTCTACGGCGCAGGGGGTCTGAATCCGTCCCGGTGCGATCCCCCTTTTGTTCCCCTTTTTGTCTGGGTGTTCCTGAGCTTTTGCGCGAACGTGTATCTCAGAGAATTGGAAACATTTGTCGTTCTCATACCTACATCGCCATCAACTCGAGAATCCCGCGTTTTCACGTCAGAATGTTTGGACATAAAAAGGGGATCTTTGCTTATATAAATAAAAGAAAAGAAAAAGCCGCAACCACTCACGCACCGCATCCACCCACAAATAAGAGAATGTATGTACGCATCGCTTCAAAGTGGGGGCGGAGCAGGCCGAGGGAACGAAAAGAAAAACGTTACATAAACAGGGGTATGAGATTGAATGGGAATAGTACGCCTTTGAACGGGGTGCGAGGGGAAAGATCTGCCGTTTCTTCTTGGTCGAGGAGGTTCTTTCTGTCTCTTTTTCTTTTGTTTACGCCGCTTTTTGGGATGCGAATACTGCCGCTTTGCGCTCTTTGTATTTTGCGTGGAGGATGCCGGCGAATTGTGTGATGTTTTTCTCTGATGGAGGGAAGAGAGAGAGATCGGAAGATGTTGAGTGATATGTCTTTAAATGGAAAGGGATTCTTCACTTTCATGCGATAGAGAACCCCCAAAACTCACCAGCACAAAGATGCTTGATGGTAGTCCAAGCAGACGGATCATCAGAATGGACAGTAAACGAAATGAGCCCCGCGTTCGTCTTGACGCACAGCGGGACCTCGAAATGGCCCTCCACGTCGCGCTCAATGGACCTCAAGTCGGCGTCGAGGATCTTCTCCTGAGGGGGGTAAGCCGGCGTAGCCGCGGGTGGAGCAGCAGCAACCACACTGGCCGGTTGGACGGGCGCGGGCGGTGCTACGTTTGCCGCGGGGTTGGCCATGGCTGCTTGCTGGTATTGCGCGGCCGAAGGGTCCATCCACAATGGGAAAGCGCTGGTCTGCTGGTACATGTTCTGTGGGGCCCCCCAGAGGCCGGCGTATTGTTGAGCCCCTGGAGGACCACTCATGCCCATAAAGGCTTGCTGTGTTCCTGGCGGAGCCGGCTGCTGCATGTAGTTGAGAGCGGAGAAGGCGGCATAAGGGTTGGCCCATTGTTGCTGCTGGGCGTTCGGGTCCCACAGTGACGTCGCAGCGCTGGCTGCTTGAGAAAATTGATGAACCGGCATCGCTGCTTGGTACTGAGCCCATAGGTTGTTGTCCAATGATACGTATGAAGGAGAATCGAAGACTGGTTTGTATTGCCCCAAAGACTGGTGGTCGACGTATCGCCTTGGGGTTCGACAGCGGCAGCCATGGCCGGGCCAGCGGGTTCGGCAGAAGCTTGATCGGGCTTGACATTCGAAGGGACTGGCACGCGTTCGGCTTCATGATTGGGCTTTTCGGGTGCTTCTGATGCCGAGGCAACCTCGACGATGGGCTGTGTGGGAATGGAGGGTGGTACTTCCTGCTTTGGCTTGTCCTTGGTCTTTGACGTCTGGGCAAGCTCCTCAATGGACGGCTGTGCGATGGAGGATGATCCCGTCCCGTTGAGCTCGAACGAAACCCCGCTCTCACCAGAGTCGGTCGGTTGGCTTTCAGGGGCAGCGTTTGTTGGGGACACATCCCAATTTTCCGTCGCGTTGGTAGCCGGAGCTGGACTCTCCAAAGACGTTGCAGCGAGCTTGTCTGCCAAATGGTCAGCCGCGTCATTTGCCGTTCGTGGGGCATGAGTCGACGGGATCGGCTGTTCATTTTGCTGTGGGGCGACATTGTTGGGGGTGGGCTGCGGCTTGAACGTAGTGGACTTGGTTGCCGGTACGAACTTGGATTGCTCAACGGGAGCAGATTTGACGGGCTCAGGAGGTGCTTTGGCGGCTGCCGACGAAATAGGAAGGGCGCCGTTTGCAACACCAGTCGTCTTTTCAGGTTGAGATGGTGGGCCTGTGGTACGAGGTACTTGACTGACAAGTTGCGCTTCCTTTGGTTGTTCCGCCTTAGCCATGGTGGCGCTTTCCTGCTTCTTTGCCTCCTGGTGGTTTGCTGCAGGTGGTTCATTTGCCTTGACCCGGGTTGGCCTCGCGTCCGCAATCACGAAGAGGCCTGGCTTTGCGGGAGCAGTGGCTGCAGGCTTTGGTGGGGTTGGCTTCGATACAGCTCCTGCGATGGGCTTGTGCGGCGTTGTCACGGCCGGCTTCGGAGGAGCAGCGGCTTGATCTTGACTCGCTGGTGGCAGATTCGAGGGCTTGTTGACTACGCTTGGGTGGGGCTTGGGGAGTGAATTGGCTTGAACGCTTCCTTGCCTCTGTGCGTCTATCATTCGTTGATGCGCACCCACAATAGAAATCTCGCCTGTTCGCGTGCTACCTTGGCTTGTAGCAGTCTTGTTGGCAGTCAGCGCTGCAGGCGCCACCGCTATGCCAGCAGTCACTTCTTGACCCCGGATGAACGTGTGGGCCTCCCCATGGTTGGCGATGGCAGATGCTATTCCGGCCGAACCAGTACTCTGCACGCCTGCGAGAGGTGCCCTGGTCGGGGCGACTCCAGCCTTAGTCGGTGTCACATTGCTTGCAGGCCGGGAGACGGCGCTGCGGGTTGCGGTGTCCGTAACTCCGACGATGGCGGCAGGAGGCGCGTCCGTAGGCTTTCCTTGGACGAAAACCTGCGCTGGTCCTGGAGGCTGAAAGACGAAGGTTGCCTTCCTGGCGTTGAGAGCGCGCTTGTCCATGTAAGGTGCTGGCATGGCTGTGCCCCCACGTAGAGTCGGTCGTTGATTGCCACCAAAGTCGAACTTTGCTGTTGTCCTGACGTTGTAGTCGGTGTAATGCAATGGACGACTGGGAAGGGTAATGTGCGAGAAAAAGATATGTGTGAGGTTCCCATCTATGTCCACCAATCCCTCACCCGATCGAAAACCATCAATCCATCCATCAACAACCACCAACGCATCCGACCTTCATCCTTCAACCATCGCCCACCTATCAGCAAACACTTGAGCAAGGGCAGCATTGCGCCTTTGGTATTCGCTAGGCTCGCTAAGAAGTGCGGTGAGAGGGGTCTTGCGCCTTTGACGCAATGTGGCTCGCTCCGCTCGCGAAGGAGTTCGGCCTCCCAGACCGAACCAACCCTGCACCTCGCACGCTCGCCGCAGACAGTAACCATGGCTCGCTGTCGCTCGGGAACAGGTTCCCACGGCCCTTGTTTCTCAAACTTACTAATTCTCGCCAGTCCTATGCAGGTTTCCGTCTCCAATATGATCCTGGGCTACGGCAGGGTGGGCTTCGTAGGATGCCGCTGCCTATAGGGAAGAAAACCAAGGACTGTCAGTATCTGTTTGGTCTGGTGCAGCTGAATCCAGTTCTAAAACAACCGGAAACCCCCAATTTTACGTTTTCAGTGAATGCTCGAAACTTTGCACTTGCTTCCCGAGCCTTGAGTTCATAAGCTGCTGTGCGGAAACCCATGAAAGGCGGGTTAGGAAGCTGTCAATAACTTTTCGACAGCTTGGCTCGAGATGAGGTTCCAAGGTGCCTTGAAGGGGCAGAGGAAGCTTTCGGACTCTTTTTTTTCCCACGCTATGAGAAGTCCGAGGTCTTGTTTGAGGGTGTGGGAAAGAAGCGGACGTACCTGACATTTGGCAACTGTAGAGATGCTTTGTGTGAGTGAGTGCCGGGAATGGGGACGGTGACCTTGGTGGAGGTGAGGAGTGGAAGGGGGCAATGCCGGAAGGAAGTGGTTGTGGTTACTATAAGGAGCGTGGGAATATCTGGGGAAGCCAACGGCCGAAACCAGAAGCGGGCGGGGGCCTATCTTGTCTCGCACAAGGGACTACTGGCCTTCTTCAATGGGGGGAAGCTGAGCGACACCCCTTCCTGGCGGATTATTGACAGCGACAGACGGAGAGAGGGGGATTGCTGTCGAACTTCCCCTACGCGTGAGTCACTCCCTCGCGGGCGTGCCTCTAGGAATGGGCCAAATGTGGGTAGCTCATCAGGGATGTGACCGCTTTCCCCACCTAGCAAGAAACATCCTTTCCATCATACTCAGAGATATAAACTGTACGGTTCCTAGGTCCTTAGGCCTTTTTTTTAAGAAAGGCATCGCCGGATGAACCTGACGAGTGCATATCAAAACGACGCACATAACGGGTTACATCTTTCCGTACGCAAGGAACCCACCGATTTCACAAACGATTCCTTTCAGACCGTTGTCACCACGTCTTAAGTCAAAAACAGCGCAGAACGTCCGATTGCAGGAGCAGAGGGCTCTTGGGGAAAGAAAGGCTTCGCCTACATACCCAAAGCGAAGCAGGGGGTGCAAACACTTGATCCCGCAGCTCCCTCCGACAGCTGTTGCAGCAATCGGTATACACAAAGGAGCAATTGAGTGAATTCGCCACCGCTGCGCTTCGAACTGAAGGCCGGTGATAAGCCGATCCCTATCTGTCGCTACGTCACGGAGACGGAGCGCCAAAGAATCGAAGGATTGCTGGGTTCCTGCGTCTACCTGCGGATTGCATCGGTACATATTCAATCTAGCTCTATATCGTTCAGCAACATCCGTGTTCACTTGACGACCAACACCATGGCAGATGGTGAACGTCAGACAGATGCTACTAAGAGATGGGAGGCATGGAAGGTAGAATTGCAAAAGACATATGCTACACCTCAACTCGAGACAGAGGCGTTTGGACGCTGGAAGATCAAGGACGACGAACTCATCGAACTCAACTCCGACCCGGCAAGGTACTTTGGACCCGGTAAATCAAATCCTTTTCAGCATAGCAAGGAGTCAGACTTGCCTGTTGTACAGAGGCAACCTATGGTCTACGATCCTGCATTGATGTTATCAGCTGGCATCTCTATCTATGAAGCTCCAGCCCCATCATTTGGACCCTGGCCGTCCGCACAGGAGATGACCAAACTATATCCTGTGCATCCTTCGAAGCCTACCGGCGGCAAATGAGGATCGATGGTGTTGGGCACGGAGCGTATGCAGACTCTACTCCGTACGTTCGTGGCGGTCTTGCATACACCTCTTTAGTCAGCTCCAGGTTGCGATTGAATAAGATTCCGTCCCTCGGCTACACCGATATTGCACAAATCGATCGTTAAAATAATATTTTAACATTTTCTATATCCGTTTGAGACATCAGCAGAATAAGACTTTTACACAGCCAAAGTGAACCATTTGAGTCTAACCCTAACCCGAGTTACCACGAGTTACGCACTCCCTTTCCTCCCTTCGAAAGTCAACCACTTTCAGGTGTCCTGGGAAGCCGTTCCTACCTCAACAACAACAATGCCCTCAACAGTAGCCCACGCCCTAACCTCCTTCGCCCTCGGCCTCTCCCTCCACATCGCAACCCGCGCCGCATTCTCCCCGCTCCGCATCTTCCTCCTCGTCCTCCACTCCACAAACGGGCCCGACGTACGTTTCACTCCCTCCCCTCCCCTCTCCCAACGACCCCCCACTGACATATCTCTTTTAGATCGGCTCCCTGGTGGAATTCCTCCTATCCCCCCTCCTCCCCTCCCTCGGCACATTCATCATGCAGATCGTGCACCATCCGATCGGGTACCCGCTCACGATGGGATGGTTGTCGGCGCATGTGGGGGTGTGGCTGGACGCGAGGGAGATTCGATGGGTGCGGGGGGATGGTGGTGCGGATGTAGGAGAGTGGCGCGGGTTGCGGAACCTACGCGTTGTACGGTGTGATGGGGTCGGGGATGAGCGGCATGAGGCGGTGGCTGGTGAGGAGGACGATCAAACCGACGAAGCATCACACTCCCTCGCCACAGACATCGAATCCCCCACCTCCCTACCACCTCCGCACCCCCGCGCACCGCTCACCCTCCCGCAATCCCTCGCCCTAACCGTCGCGGGCTCCCTCCTCCACTTCCGCCTCGACACCCTCTACGAGGACGCCGGCGAGACCCCGCTCTACCGCTGGATCATCTCGACGGGCTACTGGGGCCCGGGCGCCAACGACGTCATCTACACCTCCGTGTCGATCGCGTTCGTCGCGGCCTTGTCGAGTCTACTCGGCACCCTCGTGGTGGTGTATTCCCCCACGTTACGGAACGCGCTGCCCGGTGCGATCCCCCTGCTATCCCCACCCACGCGGCTGACACTCCGGAAGGGGCTGGCGACACCGAAAGGCCGGGCCACGCTCTGCGCCGGCGTAGCCCTCCTCGTCGCAACCACGTATTGGCTGTTCGTTGCGTACAGGCTGTACCTCACCCCGCCACGGGCGGACGGGACACGCGTGCCGGCGGTGGGCGAGGAGGCGGATTTTGGGGTGATTGGGTTTGAGGCGGTGACGGGTGTGGCGCCCCTGGCGTTGGCGTTGTGGAGTTGTGGGGTGGAGTTGATTTGAGTTGGGGCGATTCCGTGTGGATGCTGCACGGCTGGGTTTTTTTTTTTGGGGCGGCGGTTTTTGGATCGGGAACAGGGACGGTGGGCGTGGCTGGACCATGCCGAGAGGCGCTGGAGCATATACATATACACAATAGACACGACGCAAACTCCATCACACAGTACATTCACGTCGGCCAAAACGACTTATTGATTTCTTTCTATCCACCAATACCGTATATACAGAAGAACGCGTGCGGCGGGGGGACGGGGGACGGGGGGGATGGTATCAGCAGCAGCCGTTCTTTCGTTTTCGGTTCGGGGGGGTACGCGACTCCCACTTCACGCCGGCGTCAGATCGATACACCTCGGATCCAACGTGCGCATATTCGCCTTCAGTCTATGCGCATGCACGTAGGCCTTGATCGCCGATTCCGGTATACTAACACAAAAAATAATTTCATCAGCCCCCCGCTCAACAACCGCCTAGTCGCCAATACCGAGGACTCACCAAACCCCGCCGTCCGTGAACCACCTCAACAAGCCCATACTCCCCAACGCATCGACCACGTCCTCCTCGCAGATGCTCGTCATGACGCTCACGTCCCGCACGCTGACGGACACGCCGACGTTGTTGCGGAACAGGTCGACGAGGACGGTCGCCCAGTAGGATCGGTACCCGACGAGGCCGAGGTCCGAGAGCGGCTTTTCGGGGGAGCCGATGCGGTGCTGGTGTTTGGAGAGTTCGTAGCCTGATATCACAAGGCGCGGGGGTGAGAATTCAATGGGGGGACTGGCGGGGGTGTGGGTTACGAAGGACGTGAGGGGGGTAGTTCAAACGTAAGACGTACTAAACTCAATCAACATCCTCCCAAACCCGCGTCTCTGAAACGGCGGGAGGACCAGTATGCACGCCAGATTGTAACCGTCAAAGGACACCTTCTCCTTCGAAAAGTAGCCGACGACCGCGTCGCCTTCTGATGCGTCCGCTGACGAGCGTGAGGCGGATGGCGACGAGGATTCGGTGAGGATGTAGAAGAGGAAGGGTTCGATGTCGTAGAAGACGGTTTTTTGGTCGAGGAAGAGTTTGGCGAGGAGGGAGAGGTTTTGGCAGTAGAGCTTTTTTGGAGGAAGAATGAGGTGGTTTGTGGAAGTGGAAGGTGGGTAAGGCAGAGGGCGGGGGTTATGTACCTTGTCTTCCTTGCCGTCCACCTCGTAGATCTTCAGCTTGCCTTTGGCGTACAGCACGCGACCGGGTGGTTTTCTTCGTTTGCAATGTGACTAAGAGGGGCGGGACGACAAAAGTCAGTCGCTACGTTGGTCAGGTCGAATCGATTCCCCCCAACCTCGTAAAAAAACACACGCGTGATTGAGAACATACCCTGTGCCAAGCAATCATCCTCCCCGTCCGCATATACTTCAAACAATACTCGCATACAAACAACGTCCTCGCATTGCTTGGCGGGTGATGTAAATTCACATTCGTCGCGGCAGGTGGCGGTAGTGGCGGCGTGTCCGGGTACGGTGAGTAGTACCATGGTTTGATCAGGTGCCGGCCGAACACGACCAGGTCGATGTTGCGGATTTTGGGGGTGTCGGGGGTGTCGTCGTCGGCGTGGGCGTGGGGGTCGGTGTGGAGGGAGGGGGCGGTGGTGGGGTCTGTCTGGTGGGGATTGGGGGGTGAGATATATTGACTATAGGGTTCCCTCATCTATATGTATGCCGTACCTGCCCCATTGATGCGGCTTTCCGCTTCGGTCGTCTTGATGCTACCGTGTCTTCCCCCTCTGGTTTGGGCGGTGCCTCTACATCCATTGGTGCCTTATCCGCCGCCGCATCCTCCTTCTTCCCAGGCTTTGTGTCAGGTATCGCTCCCTCTAACTCCTCCGGTTCGATCGCACTGCCCAGAACCCATTGATCCAGTCGTCGATCATCTAGGATGCGGCTGATCCCCGTCAATCTTATGTTTCCCTCTCAGATCAATGCAACATCCAGCCCTGGATGAATGCTAAACTCACAGTTGCTAAAGTGGACATAGTACTCGTAGTCGTCGCCGTGAGTCGCGGCTTTCCGTCGGTCTAAGATCTCCGCTCTGTCTAAGATGGCCAGACGTGTTTTCGTGGCGTGGGCAGAAAGTGGAGAACGGGGGAGGTAAGAACAAGGCAGAGAGTCAGACTACTGGCGCTTGACCATTGGCATTTGAAGCGACCAGAAAACATACGTTGAGCACCTCTCCAAGTGACCATGTGAAATGACCCATTAGCGTGCACCACCGGTTCCCGAGGTCCCTCAGCGTTGTCGCTTCCTGGCGGTTCTTGGGAGCCTTCTGGAGGCATGGCTTCTTCTGCTTGCTCTTGTTGTAGTGTGTTTTGGGGTATTGTGTTGTCTAGAGAGTGCGTCCGTTCGTTGTTGTGGTTGTGTTCTGGCTGCAGGAGGGCTGATATGAAAGACTTGAGACCCGTTGTGATGGCGGCGACCATGGCCGCAGCTGCTCCGAGAAGGCAAGAGGACCGAGTGCTGTAGAGGAAGGCGGTGGGGGCAGCATACTAGGAGCACCTATGCCGCTGTGGCGGGTGGTGCGTTCTCCCGAGTGCACTCCAGAGTGACAGTAGGAGTGCTCCCCTCCTCTCCCGCCTGTCGATTCTCGAACCCTTCGCCCACCGCGTGGCTCGTTCGCTCGTTCGCTCCACAGCACTCTGCACAGCACTCCAGAAACTATAACCCCTGCACCGCTCCCCACGACGTAGTCTGTACACCTGCCAACTCTATAGAAGGTTCTCCACTGGCCCGCTCCCTACTAGATAAACCGTACTCTGGAGCCTGCCCCCCCCCCCCCCCCCACTCCCTCACTCACTGTCTAGCCGAGACGAGTACAGTACTCGGTGAACGAAACCAGTCCTGCAAGCCGCAGTCTGACCCCGTGGAGTGAGAGGAACACTGCTCCATTTAGCACAAAGGCGATCGCCTCTTCATCCCCATACGAGGATAAATACGGCCGCTGGCCACTTTCTTCCAAACGTTCAACCCACTTTCATCGTCACATCACCCACTCGAATCATGCTTCAAGAAGTCCAAGCAACGCTCACGTGGTCCATCCCCAACTTCCGCCGCCAAACCAACAAACTCACCTCCCCCGTCTTCGGCCCCGCCGTCTGCACCTGGGAGCTCTCCCTGTACCCCGAAGGCCATGGCGCAACACGGGACACGCACATGGGTCTCTTCCTCGATGTCGTCAAAACCGATCAAGAAAAACAGCTCGGCGACGCCCACTGGTCGCGCGCCATCAAATCGTTCCGACTGTCCGTCATGAGGAAGGACTCGCGGACGCCTGTCGTCATGAAGGAACGCGAGCCCGATGGTCTTGAGGGGTTCGGGAAGGGTTTCAGCCATCCGAGGAGTTGGGGTTGGGCTGCGCTTCTGCCGTTGAGTAGGATCGCGGAAGCGGCTACGTCTGATGGGACCGTCGTGGTGCAGGCCGAGGTGGTGTGGCAGCAAAAGGCAGAGTTGGTCGGGTTGCTTGAGAGTAGAACGAAGGATCTGCCTAGCTCGGGCAATCTGCTGTTCAGTTGGAGGTTGGCGGACGTGAAATTCGTTGTTCTGGATTCGGAACACGGGGGGATGCATGGGAAAGCTGGGTTGTTGGGACACGGGCACTCTGTTGCAACCGAAAGCGACGAGGAAAGCTTGGATGAAGATGGGGTGGCCCAGCTTGAAGAGACGCAGTTCGGCGACGGATCTTCCACCACTACGACCAATGCGAACAGTACCATGTACGAGTCGGAGGCGCATGCGCGGGAAGCAGCAGAGGAAGAGAGACACTACAACGACATGGAGATGGACCACGACCCGATCGACTTCAACGCCGGCGATGCCGCCAGGCCAGCGACAGCGAACCAGCCCTCATCAACCGGCGACCCAACCAACCCCACACCTCGCCCGTCTTCCACATCCTCCAGCACCGCATCCCTCCAAATGGCAGGAACAACCCCAACGCCCACCACAGTCACGCCCCACTTACCCAGCGCCCCCAGCGGCCCCAGCGCCCCCGCCTCCACCACCCCCGCGGCGCGCTCAACAACCATGTCCCCACACGCCTCCCCCCACCACTCGCACCACATCCCAACAACCATCCCCGCCCACCGCGCCATCCTCGCCTCCCGCTCCGACTACTTCTCCACCATGTTCTCCTCGGGCCTCCGCGAATCCTTCTCCCTCGACTCCCCGCACCAACCCTCCATCGTCGAGATCCGCGACTTCTCCCCCGCCGCCGTCCGCGGCATGCTCGAGTTCCTCTACACCGGCCGCCTCTCCCCCGAAACACAACCGCAGACCCTCCCATCCCGCTCGGAACTCATCCGCCTGGCGGACCGATACCAGTTGTCCGCCCTCCATAAATACGTCGCGGCGATGATCCTCGAGAAGGACCTGACGCTGGACGTCGCGCTGGACATCCTGGAGCTGGCGGATGTGTATTCGAGCGCGAGCGAGGACCTGAAGGCCGCGTGTTTGGGCTATGTGAGGGAGAACATTGCGAAGCTGAAGCACAGGGAGAGCTTCAGGGAGTGGGTGAGGACGACCGAGAGGCGGGATCTGATGGTGGAGTTGTTTGCGTTGATGTGACCGGCGTCGATACAGGATGGCGAGGGGCAATTGGGAAAGGCCTTGTACGCGTGCGGAGTGACAAACATTCATCCCGCATGCCCCGTCACATATCCCGTCGCATCCACCATGGGAGGGGGGCTGTCGAACATTCTTATACCTGTAGTCCCCTGATAGCAAAATCCTACGCGGGACTTGCCCGCCCGCTCCATGTAGGGAAGGACATGACCCGACCTCTCTCATCTTCCCCCATTTTGCCTTGATTTGTACATACGAACGAAAAAGGAAAACATACCGTATACCCCCCAAAAGACTGGAAAGGTCGACAGGCCTTCGTTTCAATATGTTGGATGTCTTGATATGTTTTCATTTTTTCCCGAAAAATGAACTACATATATACACAAAAAACACCACTCCAAAAAAAAAAAAAGGAACCGCCTACTCATCCCACATCTCACCCGCCAAACTTAACAACCCTCCCGCCCTCCTCGCCCCCACTCCTAACCTCCACCCTCACCCCCTTCCCCACCTCGACCCTCCATCGCGCCGCATCCAGATCCCCCACATCGATCGCCTCACACACCACCACCTCCCTCAGCCTGCACCTCCTGGCGGGATCACTGCTCACCCCGCCCATCCTCACGCGCTTCAGCACCGCCAACAGCCCCGCCGCGGAGGACCGCAGCCCGAGCCAGACAACCAGTCGGTGGGTGTTGGGAAAGACGAGGAGGAGGCCGAGGGCGAGGTCGTCCCAGAAGGTGTTGGGCAGTTTGACGAAGGGGGATTCGTAGGCCTGTTTGCGGGATCCGAGGGTGAGTGTACCGGATATATGCGCGCCGTCGCCGGACTTGAACATGCGCCAGAAGGGGCGGTCGGTGAAGCCGAGCCGGCCGAGGGAGGTGAGGTTTGGGAGGTGTTTGATGATGGTTGCGATGTGCGGGGAGTGGAGACGGGGGTCGAAGTCGATTTGGAGGGAGGTGAGGGTTTGGAGGGTGGAGAGGATGGAGAGGGCTGCTGGGGGGTCGTTGAGGAGGCCTTGGAGCCAGGGACCTTCGAAGTGGAGGGTTTGGATGTTTGGGGAGTGTGTTAGGGGGAGGAGGGAGGCGGCGGCGATGGTGGTGCGGTCGTGAAGGCGGCCGTCGGAGCGCAGGTGGAGGTGGTGGAGGGTGGGGAAGAGGTCGGTGGAAAGGAGGGAAAGGTCGAGTTCGGTGTGGATGTCGGTGAGGTCGAGGAGGGTTAGGGCGTGGATATTGGGGAGCGATGAAAGGACGGTTGATGGGGGGTTGTGGATCGTCAGTGACTGCAACTGGACAGGAGAAAGAAGATCCAATGCGATGGGGTTGAGCAGCAGCTCCTCGGCGGCATCCAGACTGTGATGCACGCTTCGTGTTGCGATCTCCACCCTCCCAAGCGATACCCTCACCCTCCTTCCCACTTTCTCCCCAAGCCGCGATTCCACATCCCTCATAATCGCCGCCACCGTCATGGGTCGCAAATCCGGTTGCGCATTCACCAGCCACGACGTCCACGGCGCCCCCTCATCCCCATCCAACGCAACAGGCCTCCCACCCAACCCCGGCCTCCCCGGCAGATCCCGCGCGTTCGTCAACCCCACATCGCTCAACACCGTATCGGGCAATCTACTCTCCGTCGGCCCTAGCGTCAGCAGCAGCTTTGCATGCACGGGAAAGTGTTTCGTTGCCGCGTGGAATCGTTTGCATACTGGGGCGAGGGTGTAGATGTTTGGCACGAATTCGAGGATGCAGAGGAGGAGTTCGAATGGGAGGGATGTTAACGTGATTGATGACTTTCGCGGGATGGTATTGGAGGGATTGAGACGTTGGGCGAGTGGGATGGCCGGCTGTGGGGGGGTGGTAGGGGATCTTCGTTTGGGTTTGACGGCGCCGAAGGGTTGGACGTCTGGTGGTGGTTTTTTCCGGGAGGGTTTTGGGGCGGAGACGGGGCGGGATGCCTTGAGCGGCATAAGAGACTAATTCGTAGAGCACTGCGAATAGGCCTCACTGTTACTCTGGAAGAGGCCCTGGGATATGTCCGTTCGATGGTGCAACGCAGGTAATGGGTCGGTTGGAAATGTCCAGCCGGAGACGTGCGCTCTTCCCAGCTTCTCCCCTTTCTCCCAGTGCTCTGCATTGCTCCCACCATCGGCACACAGGACAGGCACCCGAAACCTCTTCCCTCGTTCCCACGACTGAATACCCAAACATATCATACGCTCCGAACGCATAACCGCCTCAAGGACTCCTATGTACTTCCAGAACCTGTCGTTCCAGGACGTCCTGGACGACTTGCAAAGGTAAACCGTTCGGCAGCCCGCGTGCTCGTCATCCCCCCCCAGATGGAAGTCCGTTTCGGAAGAATAAACTACCTAAGAGAGCCCCTACTAAAGCACTTCAACCACCCCCCGACACTCCCCTCCCCTCAGTCGCTTCATCATCAACGTCCCCGAAGAAGAGCTCTCCTCCGTCGAACGAATATGTTTCCAAATCGAGCAAGCCCACTGGTTCTACGAGGATTTCGTCCGCGAGGAGAACCCGCGCCTGCCTTCGTTCTCGCTCAAGAACTTTTGCGCGCAGTTCTTCCGCCACTGTCCTTTGCTTCATCGATGGGCGCATGACCATGAGACCGCTTTTCAGAATTTCATGCAGTATAAAGTTAGGGTGCCTGTGTGTGGCGCTATTATATTGAACGAGAAGATGGATAAGGTATGGATCAACTGTACTTGTCGGTCACTGTTTGGGTTGTGCGAAGTGCTTACCATCATCCACTACCATAGGTCCTGCTGGTAAAAGGATGGAAAGCGAGTTCAGGATGGGGCTTCCCGAAAGGCAAAATCAACAAGGATGAGCCGGAAGCTCCCTGCGCAGCCCGCGAAGTGTTTGAAGAGACGGGATTCGATATTACTCCGTATCAGCGAGTCAACGAGTATGTGGAACGCACGATCAAGGGGCAGCGGATCAGGCTATACATTTTGACCGGCATTTCCGAGGCTACTGTGTTCGTGCCCCAGACTCGGAAGGAGATAGGGGTAAGCGATCGGGAAAGATTCTCTCAAAAGGGAGGCATAGAAAACTAACTCCTAATGCGATAGGATATCCGATGGCATAGACTGAACGATCTGCCTGGTTGGAACAAAGTTCCAATCACTGATGAGAATGGGCCGAGGAACAAGTTCTATATGGTCACCGCATTCGTGAGTGGCCTTCGACAATGGATGGCAAAATACCGGTCGGCAAAGAAGAGAGGAAAGGGGCGGAACGACCGCCACTTGGCTGTCGTTATGGGCTACAATACCGGCACCGACAGCGAAGGGGAAGGCACGGATACTGGCGGAAAGTCAGGTGCTGAAGGGGCGGGTATTCCGGTCATCAAGAGCGTCGTTCATACTGTGACGGAGTTCGTGGAGACGCAACAGATACCCGTGCATCATGCACCGCTTCCGGCCATGGACCCGTTGGCAGCAGCTCAGTCGATCAAAAACCTTATTGGGATCGGTGGGTTTGGATCTGGCGGTGGAGCCGACGTGCGTACAGTGCATGCGACGGGCAATCCGGCGATGGGCACGTCGGCGGCATCTTTCGCCCCTCAGAGCTTCCCCATGCCCTCGGAAGCATCCTTCAGTCAAACGAGGACTACCTATTCGCAACAGCCGGGAGCATACGCGTCTCAGGCAACGGTGCAATTTACATCTGGGCCTGTATCGACGTACCCCGGTGCTCAGTCCTCGCCGTTCATTGGAGGCGTACAGAACTTAGCTCCCTCCTACGGACAAAATTCTGGCGCGACTCATCCGTATGACAATCTTCCCCCACACCCGGGTCAGCTGGATAAGCAAGCCCACAAAAAGTCCCTGCTCGACATCTTGACGAAAGGCAGCAGCTCGGATCTGTTTGGAGGTTCTAGCGGTCAAAGCACGTCTCAATACGGGGCAGGAAACCAGATGCCTGTTTTGCCCACGCCTCCCCAACATCCGAGTTTCCGACCGCTGCCCGAAGCTATGCAGTCCAATGGCTTTCCCACATCTGCCCCACCACCCCCAACGGGAGTGCATTTCGAACACCCGCCCGTTCAAAGCCGCGGGGAGAGCACGGACGCCCCGAAACCGTACTACGCCCAAACACCACCCGCAACGCTGCACCCTCAACCATCGTTCGAGTTCCGTCCCAACAACCCTGCGCCTTCCGCTCCGCCCACCAAGTCAGACAAGCAGCAGCTGCTGATGGACATTCTGCGCGGCGGGACAGGACCAACACCCACCGCATCGAGACCTCCTGCTTACGGCGGACCCGAGGTGCAACAACAACAGGCAAACGCATACGCACCACCACCCATGCCCGCACGCGTACCCAGTTTCACGCGGCCGGAGGAGTCATCCGCGGCCGACCAGCTGAAGTCGATTCTGGGCATTGGTGGACTCTCGCTGGGATCGCCGGCTGCGTCGGTCGTTTCATCGGGGCCATCGGTCGCAACCGCCAAGCCGCGGAAGACCCGGAAAGCAGCGAATGAGGACAGTGTACGTGGTGGACCAGGGAAAACCATCCCGGACCCCATCAGCACAGCCCAAACCGCGTCCTCCCACCGTTCGGGCCCCTCGTCCGCATCGCCCTTAACAGCCGGCTCCGGGTCAGGTAGAAACCGCAACAAAGCGGTAGGCGCCAACCACACTTCCCCGTCCAAACAGACCCGCACCCCCACATCCGTCGAGTCGCCGTCGAGAATAGATACGGAACAAGCAGCTAACGACCTCAAAGCTCTGTTGGGGTTGACGTCCACATCCTCTTCCGCCCAGCCGCCCCGGTTTCCGAAGCAAGGCGGACTCCCCTTCGCAGGCATCGAGGGCGGGATCACGCCGCCGACACATCACCGGTCGCCTGCTGCTGCGTATGGAACTATCCCGCCTTCTGTCGTTCAGAGCGGTTACAATAATCAGGAGGCGACTCAACACCAACACCAACAACCGCAAGAATCGTATCCGCATCCAGGAGCCCTGTACGCGGACCCCCGCCGCACCCAGAGCGAGTTTACGATGTCCGGGTTCGGAGACGAAGAGGCGAGGAGTGATCGGCCGTTGTTGAGGGCTGCTAGTGGGCCGGTGCATTATACCCCTGGGTATTGAAGTCTTTTAGTAATTTTGGAGGGGTTCTGTCTGGTTGTGTTTCTTTTGCCGATAATTTACACCTGAAACGAATGCGCTATTATAACATGGCGTTGTGATAACTGAATCTACCCGTTGAGTGACTATATATACCCTTTATCGTCTTCCTTTTGCTTCGATCAATACTGTGCATGTGCTTTGCAACTGCCACCCCGCAACGGGTCTCCTTGGTGTTCCCTCAGCAGGACAAAGAGGATATCGGAAGAGCACGCGATTTGGCGACCGGTGCTCACGTAACGCATAAGCTCCGACGCGCGTCAAAACCGCCAGCCTCTGTTCTCCTCGTTCCCTGGTCCTATCCGAGTCCCATTTACGCCGCGATCCCTCGAGTAAATATAAGAGAGCATCGGGGAGTTCATTAGCTAGCCTTTCATTCACACCCGACCCGATCGAACGAACGAATCCGCAGCGCCAAGATGGGAGGAAAAGCATCCAAAGCGCTCAAGAAAGTCAAATCGAAGAAGAATCTGAAGAATGAGTCTGCGGCTGCTGTGCCTGCTGCCGGTGGTGGTGAGGCGAGTAGTGGTGCGGTAGATAACGCAGCTGCTGCCCCGACGGAGCAGGCTGTTGTTGCACCGAAGACGGAGGCGGCTGCTACTGCCGCGAGTGTTGAGCAGCCGGCTGCACCTGCCGCAAAGGTTGATCCTGTGACGGAGCTGACTGCACCGGCCACAACGACGAGCATCCCGACATCCGTCTCAGCCGATGCAAAACACGCCGCAGACACCGCCGCAGCTTCCGCAGGCTCCGCGGCCAACGTTTCTGCAGTTTCCATCAAAGACGACGCGCAGAACAACCCCCTAACCGACGCCGCCAATAAAGCCGCCGCAGATGCATACACCGCCGCCGCAGGCACGCAGGACCACGCGCAGGCGTCCGTGGCGGCCGTCGCTGCTGCTACTACCGCCGCTGCTGGTGGTGTGGAGCATCTGAGCGGTCATGACGCTGTGCACCCCGCTACCCTTCCGGTGGGTGAGGAGGTCAAAGCGCAGGACGAGCATGTAGAGGGCGGGACTACGACGGCGCAAGATGGGGAGCAAGCGAGGGATGCATTGACTGCCAACCCGCCGGCGGAGGAGGTTTCTGCTACCACAGCCACAGATGTGCCGGCCACAACCACCACCGAGTTGACCCCCACCCCTCACCGCAAACCCAAGATCTACGTGGTGATGTACACAACCTGGGGCCACACCAAAACACTCGCGGACGAGATCATCAAAGGGATTGAAGCCGCGGGCGGCGAGGCGACGTTGTGGCGGGTGCCGGAGACGCTTGGCGCGGACGTGTTGGGGAAGATGCATGCGAATCTGGATGCGATTGCGGATGTGCCTGTTATTACGGCTGAGAATTTGACGGAGGCTGATGGGTTTTTGTTTGGGTTGCCGTAAGTTTTGGGATTGCTTTCGTGAGATCGGGAATGTGGGATGTCATTGCTCACTCTTTCCTTGGTTTTATGGGGATTCTCAATGCAGTACGCGATACGGCACCGCGCCCACGCAAATCAAGGCTTTCTGGGACTCTACGGGAGGGTTGTGGCAGGTCGGAGCGTTGGTTGGCAAATACGGGGGTCTGTTCCATACGACCGCTACACAGCATGGGGGCCAGGAGACGACGAGTTTGACGTTCCTTGGTGAGAATCGGCAGATTCGAGACATCGCGATGGATATCATGTACATTACCGCTGACCGGTAGTTCTCCTTCTATTTGCAGCTCATTACGTGCACCACGGTATCCTCTATGTGCCTCTCGGTAAGTCACTCGCTTACAATGCCGTCGAATCCCCACATTCCCAAATCTCATCAGCCCGCTACTATCATTTCTAACAGGCTACTCCTGCCCGATCTTGAACGACAACACCGAAGTGCTCGGCGGGAGCGCGTACGGCGCGGGCACGATCGCGGGCGGGGACGGATCGCGCCAGCCGTCGGCTAAGGAGCTGCAGGTGGCGAATTGGCAGGGGAAGGAGTTTGCTAAAATTTTGGCCAAGACGGTTTGAACATTGTTACGGCCCACTGGCATTTGGAGGGAAAGTATTATAGGGGAGGCGACATATGCGTGGAGCGGATGTGTAGATGGACATAGAAAGCTGAGTTTTTTTCTGGTTTATGGAGGGAAGGGCAAGTCGGGAGATCTCGAAGCAAGAGACATGCGAGTAGAAGAACCGACTCGAGGCTCATTGAAAGCACCGGGTTATGGTAACTTGATGATGAAATTTATACCTTTAACTACGTACAAAAATGAAGCGTTAAGACCTCGAGGCTCGTACGTGGCTTCCAACATGGATATCTTGAGCATCCTTCTTCAGGTGTCTCGTTCAGACGCCTCACTCAAGTTCAAGCTCGTTGTCGGACTTTCTCTCACGGGCCTGTGACGGGTTTCTTTTGAGGCCCCCTAAATAAGGATACCTACCCTGAAAGGGGTTGCAGCTCGTCCAGCCTCCCAATACGAGCTCTGCCCGACACCAGATACTTTACCAGCGCAATCAAGGCAGATGTGAAATTCAGCCTATCCTCGCCCAGTCCCATATGAAAAGCTTTGGTAGCTTTGATTGCCAAAAAATCGCTCTCAACCATTTCTTCTCGACGGTCAAGTTTGTCGAGGTAACCGGGAGAAAACGCCGCGGAGATGATCTGTGCATGGCGGTGATGAAGGAGGATTCCAAACGCTAAATGTGTACGAGAATGAGTAGGGTGGTTTCCGGTAAACGATAGACTGGGCGAAGGTTACCTCAGGATCTGCATGGACTTTCTGCTCTCGCCCAGATTGTGCCATGGAAATCAATTCGGCGGCCAATTGGCCAACAATGTTCGCATCCGTCTTTTTGTGTACAAAACGCTTACACTCAAGAAGGAGGGCAGGCTGCGTGCGAGTCTTTGTGGATTTTTTCCCGCTTGCGATGGCGACGGACACAGTTCCATCCGTCCTACACGGCACCTTGACACCACGTAACCAGACACCCTCAACAAAAGGTTGGGGTCTGGAGGGGATGTCAGCACCTATGCCATATGAATCCAACCGGGGGCCATGTCTCCATTGGGGTTATTAGGCAATAGTTGCGTTTCCCATATATATCAATAACGCAACTATTGCCTAATAACCCCAATGGAGACATGGCCCGTAACCCCAAACGTCATTGTCGTATTCCGTCTCACCTAAGCTCCACCCTCATGGGCGTTCCATCCAACGCTCCGGCGTCTTCGAAGGGCTCGATCACAAAGTCCAAGTAGCGATCGAGAAAATTCACGACTACGGTTTCATCCTTGTCTTGCTTCGTGCTCTCCTGTGATTCCTGGGAGGCCACGCTCTCAGCGGACGAGAAGGCTAATACGAGCGAAAGTGCTCGGTATAGCGACCGTATGGCGAAAGAATACTGCTTTTGCCTGTCATGCTCCCGAATCTCTGACCTGTTCAATTCAAAGAAGGGTCGTGCGAATTCGAGTTCTAAACCCGGGAAAAAAAAGCCAGACGGTATGTCAAACGCATATCCTGCATTTGAGAGCTTAGCGAACTTAGCTCTGGCTTACCCTCCTCGGTGGGACGGAACTCCAGGGGTACTACATCCCATACGTCGTCTGCAACGATGGCATGCGCTTTGAGAGCGGAGCAATACTGGAACCCCCACTCGGACGCTGAGCTGAAGCCCCCCGTTCCTTGAATATTCTTCAAGGTGATCCCAGGACGTTCAGCGACAACGTTCATGAACGCCGCATCGTGTTGATACTTCTGGACGACGTCAAAAGTGTGTGACAGTTTGGTGAGAGACATTATGGGATCAGCTGTAGTAGTACGTGTGCAGGTCTGGCCGGGGCGCTACGGATGGGGTAAGGCTTTGGCAAGGACTCTGGGGGCAAGGCGCTGGCAGAAAGAAAGAATGCTTGGTGTCAGTTCTGGTGTCAGTTATCCTTCCTTCCTTTTCGTTTAGGGATGGCCTGAAGCGCGACGTGTCACGTGACTGCGGATTGACACTTTTTTCTCGACCCTCGCTCTGCCTGTGCGGTCGCTGCCCACAACGTCTGGCCAGCTGCTCGTCAAGCATCGGAGAATACCGTAAACTTCGGGTCTTCCGCAACGACATACCACAGAGGCCAACCGGTTCACCTTTCCCTCAACGGCCTCTCGCAGCAGATCGCTTCCTTCCGCAACCTTCTATTCCTCTTGTAGTGACCGGGGGAGAATAGAAGTTCCTTACCACCACCCAAACCCAATCCACCAACAACCCATCTGCCATCATGTCCAGGTTCTACAACAGGCCTGAGAATGCTCTCAAGAGGGCCGACGGTATGTGTCTATTTCACTTTCGATCGCCACTCTCGCCTCCAACGGCTGATCCTGACTGGGATTCTCTCATGTTGTGTAGATCTTATCGCCGTGTCCCAGCCCGGTGCGGCTTTGACCTTGCTCCATGACATTGTCATGTCAAAGCGTTCTAGGTCCACCCCGCTTACGATCCTCGAACCCATTATGCACAAGTTTGTCGAGCTGTCCGTCAACTTGCGTAAAGGAAAGACAGCTAAGGAGGGTCTGCATCAGTACAAGAACATATCGCAGAATACGACGGTTTCAAGTATTGAGGTACGCTATCGAAGTAACCTGGAGGAGCAAAGAAAGGGACAGTGAGGCCTGAGCTATGAGCTAACGCTTATGTTTGTCAGTCTGTGATCAAAAAATTCATCGAGCTTTCGGAGGCGAAAGTTGCCGAGGCCCAGGCGAAAGCTGAAAAGCTGACTGTCGACAATGTGGAGGATTTGGAGGCTTCGGAAACCCCAGAGTCGATCATTCTCAGCACCGTCAGCGCCGATGTCGACAAGGACCGAACGGACCGTGAAGTGGTCACGCCCTGGTTGAAGTTTCTGTGGGAGGCTTATAGGACTGCTTTGGACATTCTGCGTAACAACGCCAGGTTGGAGCTGCCTTACCAGTCTGTCGCTTCGCAGGCTTTCCAGTTCTGTTTGAAGTATACCCGAAAGACCGAGTTCCGTCGTCTCTGCGAGCTTCTCCGTTTGCACTTGTCTACTGCCGCCAAATACTCTCACCAGGCGCACTCTATCAACTTGAACGAGCCCGATACTCTCCAGCGTTACCTCGACACCCGCTTCCAGCAGCTGAATGCCGCTACCGAGTTGCAATTGTGGCAGGAGGCTTTCCGCTCCGTTGAGGACATCCACAACTTGCTTGGCATGGCCAAGAAGCCGCCAAAGGCCATCATGATGGCTACGTACTACGAGAAGCTCTCCAAAATCTTCTCGGTCGGTCAGAACTACCTGTTCCACGCTGCTGCGTTGAACAAGTACTACGCCACCGTCCGTCTCAACAAGAACCTGGGAGAGGAGGAGCACACTCGCTTGGCTTCTATGGTCCTGATGTCCGCGCTTGCGATCCCTATCATCACCAGTGCAAAGACCCGTGCTGGCCAGTCCGACGCAGATGACAGCAAGCCCAAAACCGCTCGTTTGGCCAACCTTCTCCGCGTCGTTCGCGCTCCCACCAGGGAGTCTCTCTTGAAGGACGCCCTCAGCAAGGTCATCCTTTCCCGCGTCAGCCCCGAGCTGAAGGAGCTTCACCAGATTTTGGAAGTGCAATTCCACCCGCTCTCCATCACCAAGAAGATCGCCCATCTTCTCCCCAAGCTCCAGGAGGACAAGGATCTCTCCGCTTACGTCGAGCCCCTTCACCAGGTCATCTTGACCCGTCTCTTGCAGCAATTGTCGCAGGTCTACACCACCGTGAAGATGGACTCTGTGGTAAAGCTTGCCGCTTTCCCCGAACCCTTTAACTACAGCGCCCACCAGATCGAAAAGTTCATCATGAACGGCTGCAAAAAGGGCGAGCTCAACATTCGCCTCAACCACCAGACGCAGACCCTCACCTTCGAGACCGATGTGTTTGCCACCGCCAAGGTCAGCATGTCCGAGGGACCTCAGCTCCAGGCCTTGCCTTCAGAGCAAATGCGGACTCAGTTGACCCGCCTCGCTAAGCGTCTCCACACTGCTGTTGCCTTGATTGGCCAGACCAGCGAGATCCTCCCCGTTGAGGAGCGTCTCATCCAGATCAAGAAGGAGGCTAAGGCCAAAGCCTTTGCGGACGTCATCGAGCGCTTGGAGGAGGAGCGCAAGCACACGGCTACCAGGAGGCTCTTGATCGAGAAGAAGAACGAGATCCGCCTGAACGAGAATGCTCAGAAGGAGAAGGCCCAGGCTGAGGCCAAGAAGAAGCGTCTTGAGACTGAGCAGGAACTCGAAAAGATTCGCGTCGAGGAGGAATCCAGGAAGCGTGAAGCCGACCGTATGCTCCAGCAACGTCTCGACATGCAGAAGCAGGAAGCCGCTAAGCTCGCTGCCAAGCTCGCCGAAGACCTGAAGGAGAAGAAGGTCAAGGTCAATGCCGAGGATCTCGAGGGCCTCGACACCACCAAGCTCATGCAGCTCCAAGTCGAGCAGCTCGACAAGGAGAAGCGCGAGATGCAGAACAAGCTCAGGGCCGTCAGCAAAAAGATTGACCACACTGTCCGTGCCTTCCGCAAGGAAGAGATCCCTCTCCTCGCCCAGGACTACGAGGAGCAGAAGAAGAACGACAAGGCTGCCCACCAGGCCCTTTGGAGGGCCAAGCTTGCCGCGTCCAAGATCCAGCACGAGGAAGCCATCAAGCTCAAGTCTCGTATGGGCCGTATGGTTGGTGACTACAATGAGCTTAAGGAGCAGCTCCAGGCTCAGAGGAAGGCTGAGTTTGATGAGATCCGCGCTGAGTCTGAGCGGAGAATTGCGGCTGAGAAGATCAAGAGGATTGAGCAGGTTAAGAGGGAGAGGGCAGAGGAGCGTATTCGTCGTCAGCGTGAGGCTGAGGAGGAGGAGATCCTTGCTGAGCAGGAGCGTGTCCGTGCCGAAGGTAGGCTGAGGTAATTGCTTGTTGGATGATCGAGCATTTTGCTCATCAATGCGTTCCTCTAAACAGAGGAAGCCCGCGCTGCTGAAGAAGCTGCTGCACGAGCAGCTGCCCGTCGCGCCGAAGCCGAGGAGAACAGAAGGTATGTGCGACGAAACCCGCGAAAGCCCAACGTTCGCAAAATTTAACGGTAGTTGTCGTTTCCTTAGCCGACTCGACGAGATTGCGCGCAAGCAGCGTGAGAGGGAAGCCGAAATTGAGGCCAAACTGGCAGCCAAGCAAGCACCCGCCGCCGCCGCCACCCCCGCCGCTGCTCCTGAAGACAAGTGGCGCCGACCCGCGCCTGCAGCTGCCGCTGGTCCCGACACCTGGCGCCGAGCGGGAACCCCCAGGGACGAGGCTGCCCCCGCTGCACCTACCGCCACCACCGCGGCCGCCCCCGGAGGTCCCTCCAAGTACGTGCCTCCCGTCCGTCGTGGCGGCAGCGATACACCCCCCTCCGACAACAAATGGACCCGCCGCGAACGAGACGACACGCAGCCCGGCTCCGCCTTCGGATCCCGCGGCTCCCTCAACTCCGACCGTGGCACCCCCCGCGACTCTCCCCGTGACTCTCCCCGTGAATCTTTCGCATCCCGCCCCTCGTCCTTCCGCGCGTCTGAAGGCAGCCGATTCGATGAGGAGAACAAGGACCGCGCCGAGCGACCTAAAGTCGTCCCCGCTGCCGCTGGGGGCTGGCGTGAACGTGAGGCCCTCAAGACACAGTCCGGAGGTGACAATGCGAATGCTGCACCCCCTGCTGCTGCCACACCGCCGCCTGTTGGAGCTCCTGCCGGCCCGCCGCGGATTGGAGAGGGCAAGTGGAGGTCTACCCGTGGCGGTCGTCAGGCTTAGATTCACGACTCCCACATTTCCCTTCAAGGTTTCGGTCTAGAAGCCTCTTCCATCATCCACCCGTTTCTGCAGTTTCACATAGCACCCTCCTTCTTCCACTACATACACATATCTTGCTGCTTTTCACCCCTCGTTGATCCACCTCACAGCGCCCCATAGAGCTTTTCTTTACCGGTCTTGATGTTAGCTTTGAGCGTTTGTCATAGCTTGCGTTACGTATATATATAGCATTTTTTTCAGAGTTCTGGATACCGAGTTTCCAGTGGTTCGTGCTTATTGGTGACATTCGGGAGAAGGATGGCAGCCCAATCCCCCTTCTTGAATCCATACCAAATGGTATGGACATAGCTTGCCTCATTCAAACAGGGAGACGCACCCTGCACTTTGGCTAAAGCGCAATTCGACTTTTCCACCGAGAAAACCCGACAACCAGGAGACGATCCGCCCTAACTCGACATTTTTACGTTTCCCGTCCTCAGGAGCGAACGCGTCGCGAGCGGCTCTCAAAGACCACAAACACCAAAAAAAAACCTGCAGGTTTCACACAAAAGAAGTGAAAATGAAGGGAAGTCCTCGACACCAAAACAACGTCCGGCCACCCAGGATCGAACTGGGGACACCCAGATTGCTAGTTGCGTTACAGTCTGATGCTCTTCCAGCTGAGCTATGGCCGGTGGATAAAACCTCACGGAAATTAGAAATCCAGAAACAAACTGCGCCGATTTTGAAGAAGGTAGTATGAAAACGCTAAGGATGTTGGGCGATTATTCTTGTGGGCGGTTGGGAGGTGTGCCGATAGGGATTGCCGGTCGCTGCTGGTAGGCCAATAGCCCCGCCACTCATGGGGCATTGGTTACTTGCATCGCAGCCGGCTGTCACGCCGAATTTTGCAGTGAAGGTTCAGATGGTCTTTGCAGGAGGACGGTATATTTCGCATAACATGGGGAGAGGCTTGCACGCACAGACATGTCCGCATACCGAGGTATGCAATACGGAAGGGAGGTGCGGAGCAGACCCACGTCTGTGTCTTGCCGGACCGAATCTCACGGCCGCTGATGACTTCAGCAATAGTTTGGAGAGGTAAACTGCAATCTTCATCGAGCGGTATGGTTCATCGGTTCGTCGTTTGTTGAAATCATCATCATTTCCATAGTGAGGTTCATGTGGAATCTTTCATCTTTGATGCCTACGCATAATTTACAGATATGTACAGTTCATCGTGGGATGAAGAGGCCTCCTGTGGCACGGGGGAAGACAGCTGTTCCCAGATCTACGGAAGCTTCTACTATGGGGGAGGGTAGCACGTTATCTCTATTGGAAGCTAGCTGAGGATCCCGTAAACCAGGTGTACATACGTAGACGTATCCCATCCCAGACGCAAAATCCCCCCACAGTGAAATCACGCATCCTCGCCCTCACCCTCATCGTCCACCTCAAACTCCCTATTCCCCTCCCTTATCTCCTTCTCCCTCTCCTCTGCGCGCTTCTTCTTCTCCTTGATTTTCGCCTGAAGGTGCGCGGCGGGTTTGAAGAGTCCCTGCGTGGGTTGTCCGCAAATGAAGCATTTGATAGATTTGGCGTGGTGTTTCAGGGCGCAGGATTCGCAAAAGTAATGGTCGCATCTGTAAATGCGAGGAGAGAAACATGTGAGGATAGTGCAACGGACGACAGTATGCATGGGACATTGAGTGGAAACTTACTTGGTGACGACCGGCTCCTTAAACTCCTCCCTACAAATAACACACGCAAACGGCAATTCATCCTCGCTCTCCACCTCCTCCTCCTCCTCGCCCTCATTGATCAAAAACCGATTCACATCCACCTCCCGCCCTTTCTGCTTCTCATCCCATTCCTTATCCAGCTGCCACCCGCTCTTATAGTCTCCGCGGTCGTGCATGAATTTACACGAGTCGCCGTAGCCGCAGTAGCCCGTTTCTTTGTAATCTTTGCAGATATCGGGCTGGTAGTCGAACCGCGTGCTAAGACGTACGTTGGCGGCGGCTTTTAGTGGGCCGGCGCGGATGCGGGAGGCGTTGGATTGTGTTACTGAGTCGGTGCGCTTGTTGACGTACTCTTTGTAGCCGGAGAGTCCGCGGTAGAGGTTATCGGCTGACTCGGCGGCTTCGCCTGAGAGTATATCGGGTGGTGGTGCTTTGCTCTGTGATGTGGGGGCGTCGACGTCTAGCGTCCGTGTTGCAGAGTCGATAGCGAGGTTGGCGGCTGTTCCGCTGGTTGCGTATGAGACGTCCAGTTTCGAGGTTCCGTCGTCGGCTTTCTCTGCTGCCGCCGCCTCGGCCTCCTTCCGTCGCTTAAGTGCCGAGACACCCCCGCTCGAGGAGGTGAATCCTGCTTTTCCGCTCCGCAATTTCTTTGCTACTGAGGCGGCGTCGGCGACCACGCCTGACCCATCGTCGCCGTCGGAATCGTCGCTGTCCGAGCCTAGCTTCCGTTTTTGCTGTGGCGGTGGCCGCCGCTTGCCTCGTTTGAATACTACTACGGGGTCTGTTTGTGCGAAGTCGCTTGACATTGCACTGATATTCGTCGTGCGGTTATTTGTTCAGTTTCGGAGTGAGGCTAGCTGCTCAACGACCAGTCCTATATCGGGAACGTATGTGTGTTTATGCAGTTGAAGGGTTGTTGCTGATCTGGAAAGCGGAATCCGTTGCCGATTTTTGTGGTTGCTGGACGACAAGTGCAGTCGGACAAGAGTTCTGACAAATGCAATTGAACTAACAAGCGTAACGTTCGTTCTCAACCAAGGCACGCCGGACGATAGCTACACTCTGTGAAAGGTAACCTATCCTCCTAACGTTGCGCAACCGCAATGACTGTGTTGCAACTTTTCGGTGGGGAAGAGGACGTTCTGACAAACCGGAACACGCGTCAAGACGCCTGAATGAGAATTCACGGTTCTCGCGCTCCTAACGCCCATACGGAGACAATACGGAGAACGCCGAGAATACACAGCTGTTGGGGCGCACGCATATGTAGCCGACGAGCCCTGTATATAAAGAGAGGAGTCTCACGGAGTCCCGCCTTGGCAAACAAACCTTACCGCAGCCTCTCGTCGTCCTTCACCCGATAGTAGTGCCACGATGTATGACCCCGACCGCGACACCGACCTCGCCACCATTTGGCCCACCCTCTCCCAATACGTCCTCCAGCTCGACAAAGACAGCCGCAGCGACCCCGTAGTCCCCAGAAGCCTGCCCTCGCCCTCATGCTTCGAATCCACCTTATCACAGCACGGATGCGGCGTCGAGCAGGCGCTGGAGCTCTTCAAATCGACCATAGCGCCGCACTTGAGCACGTCGCGAGGACCGCGGTACTTGGGGTTTATCACGGGAGGTGTGACGCCGGCTGCGTTTGTGGGCGATGTACTGGCGACGACGTTTGATCAGAATGTGATGACGGCGAGCGAGACGGCGGGGAGCGCGGCGGCCGATGTTGAGGCGGTTGTTATGCAGGTGTGTTTCTGTCATCTATCATCCCTTGGGATACAGGAACCTGTGTAATTGATTCCTTGGAACGCAAACAGCTCCTCAAACAACTTTTTGATCTACCAATGGACTTTGACGGCGTTCTCACCGGCGGCGGCACGTCCTCCAACACCGTCGCCCTCGCCTGCGCCCGCCAACACATCGGAGCCCTCCACAACATCGACATCGCGCAAGACGGCCTCCAGGCCCTCAACGGCAAACACATCTGCGTCCTCGGCACCCTCGCCCACCAATCCATCTCCAAAGCCATGTCGACTCTCGGCATGGGCCGGCAGATACACCTCGTCGCAGCGCACCCGGATTCCCCCGCGATGATGGACGCCGCCGACCTCGATGTGCAGCTGACGACCCTCTCAAACGACCCAACCGTCGCGGGATGCATCGTCATCACACAAGGCGGGGAAGTCAACACCTCCCAATGCGACCGCCTTCCCGAGATCGCGGAAGCATGTAAACGCCACAACGCCTGGCTGCACCTCGACGCGGCCGCCAACCTCCTCGCGCGCGCATCGCCCACCCACTCCCACCACCTAGCAGGCATTGAAGTCGCCAACAGCGTCACGGGCGACCTGCACAAATGGTTCAACACGCCATACGACTGCGGCGTGGTGTTTACGCGGCTTCCGGACATTCATCTGAAGACATTCACCGCGGCAGCAGCGTACCTCGGCAAATCGGAGAGTTTCGCGCCGATCGACTTGTCGATTGACAATTCGAGACGATTCCGGGCGTTGCCGCTTTGGATGGCGTTGAATGCGTATGGGAGATCTGGGTTCCGCGACATTGTGGCCCGGACGTGTCAGATCGCAGAGAACTTGGGCCACTGGGTGGAGACGAGTAAAGAGTTTGAGTTACTCCATCCTGTGAAGTTAAACACAGTGCTGTTCCGTCCGTCGTTTGGCGGTAGGCAGCTGAGCGACGCGGAGTATGATGCCCTTGCGGCGCACGTGCTGAAGGTGGTAAATGCGAGGGGCAACGTGTTTATGACGGGTACGCGGTGGCAGGGGCGGTTTGCGATCCGGGCTGCGTTCGCGAATTGGAGGACGACGATGAAGGATTTGGAGATTATTGAAGAGGCACTGAGGGAGGGGTTTGCGGTGGTGGTGGGACGGGATGGCCACCTCCTGTAGTTGGCGTATGCTCATCGACTCTTACCCCTCCCGATTCATCACCGTAGACTTCTTTTGCACAATCAGTCTTCCCACCCTTTATCTAATTGCCAAAATGCACGGGCGTCACAGCTTCTATGTATGTACTTTTCGCTCCACCTCACCTCTCCAGAATCCAAAACCTGCCATCCACCCCATTCATCCCTCCATCCTCCGATTCGCCAGCAGTTTACTCAACGCCGGATACCGCTTCTCCATCTCCGGGTCACTCATCTGCTCCTTCGGCGGTAGTAGTGGTTCGAGCTTCTCTAACGAGATCAGCAAGTCGTCTAGGGTCGTGGCTGTCCGTTCTGCCTGTTTCTGAATCGGCAGTACTAATGACCAGGGAGACACATTAGCATACCAACCTAGCCCGACTCAGAAATCAATAGCGAGGACTCACACGCCGCCAATTTTTCCCCATGCACTTTCGCATCATAACACCGATTCGCGACCGTGTTTGCCAATTTCGTACAATACTCCTCCATATCCGTCATCTTCGCCGACAGGTGTTTCTGGTCTTTCACGACGTCCTCAGTGCAACTGCGGATGTGCGTGCGGCATTTCGTCCACAGTTGGATCGTTGGTTCCGGGTTCAGCGCGACTGCGTTATAGGACAGACGGTAGGTGAAGCATCCGCTGTTTGCATATCGCAATGGGACACCCACGTACATGGCAACTCATCACCCCTCACCCCGGCATTCGACGTAAACAGCCCGCCCCAGCTGAATCCCTGAGGCGATAACGAGGAAGGTAGGAGGGGCTGAAACTGCGCTGTGTGCATAATGATCAGTTCTTCCCATTCCCAACTTCCATCGCCCCACAACCCTCTCATAAACCCAGACACCGCACCTTCGGCACCCTCTCCAACTTCTCCAACTCCACCTCCCTCTCGCGCCCCGTAGCGGCGCTGCTGACCTCCACCAACCCTGTAGGTGTTGCATTTTGGGATTTCCGATCGGAGTCGGGTGTTGACGAGAATGAGAAGAAGGGGATAGGGTCGGAGATGGCGGTTGCGAGGGCTGAGGCTATAGATGTAGAGCGGTTCATATGGGAAAACGGAGTACGGGGCTGGCGGTTGTGGACGGTGGGAAACTGAGACGGGGCTTCGAAGATGATCTACGAGGTGACCGTGAGAGAATCAGTGCGAACGATATTTGTCGGACCCGCTGTAGAACTACGGTCGTTGAAGATAATTTCGAGGCAAGGGTGGGGATGCACGATATTGATGGTTTCAGGACTCGGGTTGCTGGGAAGATGCGGGGTGGAAGTTTAGGTGAAGAGGCTGGAAATTGGCGAGAGTACCAGGAGTACCCAGCGCGTGCACGTCATGAGCGGAGTCTCTTGGACCACAGCGGGTTCCCAAACAGTACGCACACAGCCTGCAAAATTCCCGAAAAATCCCAATACAAATGCTCAGCTTTAACATTCCGCGACAGACAGCGGCGGTCCATCCATGTATTCATTAGCACTTTCAAAAAAGCCACTACCAAAAAAAACCTCAAATCCCCTCCTCCCCTCAAATCCCACCCTCCGCACCCCCCGTCTCCCCCTGTCCCAAATCCAGCTCACTCCCACCCACAACACCCCCAGCCCCCGCACCCCCACTGCCTCCATTTAACATGTCCTGCAGCCACTCTTCCCCGAAATCGTTCATCGACGTAAGGTCGAGGTCAGTGATAAATAGATCACTCTCAAGACCAAAGTCGATTCCCGCGGAGGGCGGCTGGGAGTTGTTGGTGGACGTGGTTGTGTTGATTGTCATTCCGGTCACGGCAGCGAGGTTTGACAGGTCATCAAGTGACGTCGGTAGTGAGAATTGCGTGACCGACGCGAGGTCCGCAAGGGACGACGGCAACGACACCTGCTGCTGCTGTTGTTGCGCAGCGATGCCCGGCGTAATTATTTCAGCGATGGGCGTTTCGGAAGGTGTAGCGGGCCGAGCCATTGCCGACGCTTGGGCTCCAGCCCCACTCGTCTGGGGCTTTGTTGTAGGTGTCGCAGACGAAGCAGCAGCATCGTTCACCGCCTGCTGTTGCTGCTGCTGTTGTTGAGCAGCCTGTTGTGCCGCAGCAGCCTTCTTCTGGTTCGACGGGACTTTCGCTGCGGGTACCTTGAAGTTCCCCCGTTTAGCAGCCGCATTCGCGTTGTTGCCTTGCGGCGTGGCAGCTTGTAACGACTGCTGGGCCGACGGCGCAGAGGTCTTTCCACCTGGCTGCTGTTGGGGAGTTTGCGCGCCTTGGTGGGATTGAGCGGACCCGGGCCGGCCCTGGATGCTAGTCGGTGAGGAACCGGCTGCCGCAGCGGCCGCGGCCGCGGAGGCTTGGGCGTGGGCGTGGGCGTGTGCCTGTTGTTGAGCCTGTTGTTGCGCAGCTTCCAGCATCTGCTGCTGTTGTTGCTGTTGAAGAGCCCGGTTCATCTGAGCCTTGTGGCTCATGGCGGCCAGTCGTTGATCCATCGGCCCGCCTTGCTGCATTACATGGGACATTCCTCCATTCAGCGTGGATAAGAAATGTTGTTGTTCAGTGGGGTTCATGTACCCCGGTTGATTCCCGCTCGAATGCTGTTGTTGCTGGAGCTCCCCTTGCGACTGGGCGTGTGCTTGCTGCGCCTGGGCCTGTGCCGCGGCCTGCGCCTGAGCTTGTGCCTGCTGCTGTCGATGCATTTCTAGAAACGCGGGATGCATCTGTCCCGAAGGACCAGCCATCGGCGTCTGTTGTTGCTCCATATCGCTACCCAGTTTCCGCTTCATGCCCGCGTGCGGTAATTGCCCTTGCGGGACTTGCGGAGAGTACTGCGCGAGTAAGGCACCGGACCTGCCGGTGCCTTGGTGATAGTACCGCAGTGCCTCCGACGCCGCTTGCTGGGATATTTTGCCTGCATGCATTTGAGCCATAATGGCCTCAGGATGCGGCCCGAATCCTGGTATCGGCTGCATTCTGGGATCCAACTGTGGCGACTGGGCATTTGGGTGTAGTCCCGACAGTCGTCTCTGGATCAAATTGGACTGCTGAAGTTGCATTTGGAATTGCTGTAGTAGATACGTCAAGGGTGAGTTGAAGGCTCAAGAAGGGTGAAGAAGATGAATAGCTGAACACGAACCTCGGGAGTCAGCTCTCCCCTTTGCATTGCAGCATAAACAGCCTGCTGCTGTGCAACATGCGCTTGTTGCGCTTGCGTGGCCTGCTGCTGAGGGTTATAGGGCCGACCTCCCATGGGGCCTAAGCAAAAGAAAAAACACCGGGATGTTAGTGCCTGCGCAATCTAAACCCTTCCCAGCCACCTCAAACCGAAGCTCACTACACAAACATACCAGTGGGAACCACAGGACTCTGTTGCGGCATCTTGTTCCCAGGTTGCCCTAACGGGACTTGTGGACTTTGCTGGACAAGCTGTTGCCCCTGCGGCTCGGACCCCGCGCCAGAGGTCGCCGGGTTGCTGGGACTGTGGCCGGTGGTGCCACGTCTACGCGCTCGTTTGTTGGCTGGTCCGGATTGCTGGTCTTGATTCTGGCTGTTGCCTGGGTCTTGGTCCTGGAATGGTGAGGCAAAGAAGGATGTGAGCAACGAGGTAGATCGAAGTGAAAACAAGAGAGCGTTGACGAAACACGTACCTGTCCACCACCATTCAACGGAGGACCTGAAACGGGTATCATCTGGAACTGGCCCGACGGCTGCCTGATCGGTCTCTGGCCACCGTACATCTGAGCTTGAGCATGGGCAGCTTGGGCAGCTTGGGCTTGTTGTAATTGCAGTTGTTGCTGCTGCTGAATTTGAAGTTGCTGTTGACGTAGCTGTGCGCTATTCTGGAAGCGAGAACGCAGTTCCTCCATCCATTGGTTTTTTTGAACGGGGTCGGCCCACCTAGAGAAAAGGACGATGTGGGTGGTTAGGCCGGTGCGCAATGACAGGGTGTCCGGGGTTAAGTGCTGAACGATGATGTGAAGATCAAAGTCAACTTACATAGCATTTCCCCTCAATTGAAGCGATGAATGCTCAGCCTCAGTCAGCGAGTTAGGATCGCGACCAGGGAACAACTGCGTGAAGATAGAATTGAAAAAGTTCTTTCTCGCAGCTTCCTCCATCTGAACTTGGGATGGATTCTGTAACTGCATCATACGCCCGCCTTGACCAGGTCCCATGTATGGGCTAGGACCAGGTTGCGGAACGCCAGAGCCGGGTTGCATTATCATCTGAGCGGCAGGAGAGGCTTGCGGCATGTTGCGTGGGGATGGCTGAATTAGGGGTTGTTGGCCACCCTGCAGACCGTTGCCACCGGAGTGGACTGGCTGAGGGCCCTGGTACGTGGTGGGTTGGTTCGGCGCTTGAGACGACCCCGGGACCACCGGTCGTCCTTGAATGTGGGCAGGCAAGCCTGGCGGCCGACGATGGTCCGGGGAAGGACCCATCGCTGGGTGGGGATTGCCGAACTCTGTTGTGATGAACAACGAATAAAGCGGGAAAAGATGAATAAGCAGAAGCACATTATCCACTGTATGTTATGCGAAGTGGAGGAGTCAACTTACCAGATTTGCTAGGACTAATCAGGTTAGCTTGCCTGCTAGCAGCCATCGCTTTCCTCTGCAACGAGTTCTGGTTGCCGACGACAGGGTCTCGCATCTCCCGCTGACCCTAAAAGTATGAAACAGAAAACTTTAGACGATAAACATGTATAAAGCGCAAGACAAAGCCATACCTGCAAGTATATAGCGATCTCCTGCGAAGGTAGAAAGTTGGCCGCCTCCGCCAACTGCGGGTTGGTGTTCACCATCGAATCACAATGCAGTTGCCACCTAACATGGGGGACTATCATCAGAATCGTGATCGAGTCGGGGATCGAATGGGGGTTGTAACTCACCAGGTGAGTAGATACGGCTCAGCGTCTGGGTCCCCCTGTTCGTCGGGGGCCAGAAGGGGAAACACGAAATTGGGATCCATAGGGGGTACAGCGTAATTTCCGTCGACCACCAGATTGAAGCGATGGAGAAACTCATGAATTCCGGCCATCAATCTGTGATGCAGATGGTGCGACGGAGAGCCAGACATGTTACTCGGCGGGCCATGCATTCTACCGTGATGTGAACGAATGCAACTCAACTTACAAATTAATATAAGTAGGCTGGGCGCCGAGGGTAGTGGCATTGCCCGTGCGGTTGCCCCCGTTGCGGGGGGGTCCTCCCGAAGAGGCGACGCCACGAAGAAGCTGCGATTGCCCTGGCATTATGACAGGGGTTGTAGTAACTCCTACGATGGTAGAAAGACGGTTCCAAACGTATGATTTCAGCAATGATGCGAGGACATCAGATGTGCGGATTCACGCAAATCCTGCGATCCTACCGTTGGATGTACCGTTCGAAATGTTTCCGTTCGTCGTTATAGACGATGATTGTTCAGCTTGGCTTGACGGCTGCGTTTGCACTTTGGGTGCAGACGTTTCTGATAGATTCTGCTGAAGTTGCTGAGAGCTGGGTTGAGGGGTCTGTGGGCCCTTTTCGGATTGATGCTGAGGGGTGGGTTGCTGATGATTCTGGGATTGCGATGGAGGCTGTGTATTGGCACTCTGCTGTTGTTGATGATGGTTCTGTAGCTGGGTTCTCTGTTGTTGCTGCTGTTGCCTCTGTTGTTGAAGTTGTGAAGACGCCACATCCGCATCCGGTGCTGGCCCATGGGGCTGAATAGTGTGGACAATCATACTACTGCGGTACTCGGACTGTTGACGTAAACAGGCACAGAACAGGAGAAGGTTAACTGCGGGGAGCTTTTTTTTTTAGAGGAGGCGAGTGTGTCTTCTGGGCCGGTAGTCGACTTTTTTGGGTCCGAGAAGCTCGTAAAGCGCTGACGACAGAGCCTCGTGCCAGCCGAGGGTGCGGATATGCGTTTTGGACCGACTCCAGGGAAACCCGTGGTGCAAGCCTGCTTGCGATAGGAGTTTCCTTACGGCGGGGTTGAGCTTAATTGCGCTTTAGGTCAAGCGGAATGTCGGAGCCGAGCGAGAGGGCGAGAAGAGCGAGAAAGTGTGAAAAGCTCGCGGAAGCCACGCCAGGGATTATGGGCAGTCTATATAGTCTAGGTTTAGAAGGATGCTCACCCAAAGAGCGCGTTTGATTAGCCGCCATAAGGCGCACTCTAATCATTCTTGCACACTAGCAGCTCCGTTTTTAATGACAGTGTGCTTTGCGGGAGCAGCGCGCGACGGAGCCTGCCGACATGGATGGGAGACAGGAGAGTTCGATTCTATTCTTAACCTGGAGCCATTCGCAACTGGCCAGTCTGATTGGCATGTGGACCCTGCGCCTAATCAAATTGTTCCTGCTCATCGCTAAAGTCCACAATTACAGTCAACAATTAATCGGTTTTGGCACATTTTCCAACACAGCCGATTTGACCATTTTTTTCCAACGTCAAAAGCTGTCTGGAAAAAACAACACAGACCAACTTTGGACCAGCAAGCACCCGACAAACCTGCCTTCACCAATATCCGCAAGACGTCCTACTGGAGTGCCGAATAGCGGAGCCCCGCCAGAATGGTCAAGCTATGCGTGCTATGCGGGAAGGAACGGGCGGTCCTCAAACGACCTAAGACGGCCCAGCAAATTTGCCGAGGCTGCTTCTACCTCGTCTTTGAGACTGAGGTGCACAACACTATCATGGAGAACAAGCTGTTCAAGAAGGGTGATAAGGTCGCTGTCGCTGCGTCTGGCGGGAAAGGTGCGTGTCATTCAGTGCCTTGAAAGAGTTACAGTTGTGTGGGGAGGTCGGAAGTTCACTGTGTGCTAACTATCTTCCTGTGACTGAATAGACTCAACGGTGCTCGCCCACGTAATGACAACCCTGAACGACCGCTACTCCTACGGCCTGGATCTCTGCCTCCTCTCCGTCGACGAAGGCATTACCGGCTACCGCGACGACTCGCTCGAAACCGTCAAACGCAACGAACAGCAGTACAAAATCCCCCTCAAAATCGTCTCCTACGAAGAACTCTATGGGTGGAGCATGGACGCCATCGTCAAAGAGATCGGGATGAAAAACAACTGCACATTCTGCGGCGTGTTCCGTCGCCAGGCGCTCGATCGCGGCGCGGCGATGCTGGAGGTGGACCATATCGTTACGGGACATAATGCGGACGATATCGCCGAAACGGTGCTGATGAACATCTTCCGCGGCGATTTCTCGCGGTTGCAGCGCTGCACGGCTATCAAAACGGCGACGGACGCGAGCATCCCCCGGTCAAAGCCTTTCAAATACACGTACGAGAAGGAGATTGTCATGTACGCCTATTTCAAGAAGCTCGACTACTTCTCCACCGAATGTATCTACTCCCCCAACGCTTACCGTGGGTACGCGCGGGCCTTCCTTAAAGATCTCGAAGCGATCCGGCCCAGTGCGATTATGGATATCATTCATTCGGGCGAGGCTTGGGAGTCGAAGGTCGAGGTGAAGGTGAATGTGGCGGTGAACGGGAAGGTGGTGGTAGGCACGTGTGAGCGGTGTGGGTATATGAGTAGTCAGAAGCTGTGTAAGGCGTGTGTGTTGCTGGAGGGGCTGAATAAGGGGTTGCCGAAGGTTGCTATTGGGAATTCGGCTAAATACGTAAGTCGGAAGAAGTGCCAGATTTCGCAGACGGGGACTGAATGAACTGCGGTACTGAAACACTTTCATTCCTCAATGCTGAAGCGAGCAGGCAACATCCAAGACGAAAAGAAACGAGAGCTCCCAACCGGCCTCAAAGCCAACACCCCGCCACCATCGGAGCCTACCCCACCACCAGCCGCAGATCCTCCACCAACCGCAGCCCCATCCCCATCATCAGCACCCACCCCAACCCCCTCCGCACCCGCAACCCACCTCCGCTGCAAAAAATGCCGCACCGCCCTCCTGCCCACCCCCCAAATCCTCACCCACACCGCAGGAACCGGCCAACAATCCTTCGCCTACCGCAAACGCTCCCCCAACTCCAACCTCGACCCCACCTCCGCCTCCACCCCACCCCCATGCAACTCCCACCATGTCGAAACCCTCGCCTGGGCGGACGGGGTGAGCCAGGGCGCAACAGAGGGCCGGATAGGTTGTCCCGGGTGTGGCGTGAAGTTGGGCAGTTGGAGCTGGGCAGGTGCGCCGTGCAGTTGTGGGAGTTGGATTGCGCCGAGTTTTGCGATCGCGGGCGGGAAGGTGGATATCGTGGGGACCACGCCTGCTACTGTTTTCCCGTGAGGACCCCCGCCACCATACATACATACAAGGCGTTGACGAATACTCCCTAGCGACCCGATTTTTGACTTGGGCTGTTGTGCATAGGGTTAGGAATGTAGAGTAGAGAGATGTTATGTCGTTCATTTCTTCTTCTGACTGTATGTATAGGCCATCAACATGTACGTTAGTCGGAAAACAACTAATCATCACGAAAATACGTCGTAGATAGCATCAAATGACACCCAGCAAAGTAACACAAAGAATCTCTCAGTTGCACAGGCCGAAAAGCCATAATATAAAGATAAATGAAATAAGAAAGTGCTCAACGAGGGATTTAGAGCCCCTTTGTGGTGTTAGGAGCAAACATTGTACTTAGGCAACGAATGCACAAGGGGTTGTTGTGTGTTCTATTGGGGGTGGTATGAATGGATTGTATGGATGGGATAGTTTACTTGATCTCGAGGAGTTTGATTTCAAACTCGAGGGTGGCGTTGCCGGGGATGTCTGGGGGGGCGCCCTGTGTATGTAAGAAAGCGGATTATCAGTGAAACTGCGACCGGTGGGCATCCAAAGAGGGGAACGCAGACACATAGACACTTACGCGAGACCCATAAGCCAACGCAGCCGGAATCGTCAACTTCCTCGTTCCACCGACACCCATCCCCTGCACACCCTGATCCCACCCCTTGATCACCTCACCGGCACCCAACCTGAACCTGAATGGGGCACCCTTGGTGTTGGAGTCAAACACCTTCCCGTTGGTCAAGCGGCCAATGTATCGCACGCCGACGCGTTTGCCAGCTTTGGCTTTTGCGCCTTGGCCTTCGAGGACGTCTTCCATGATTAGGCCGGAGGGGAGTTTCTTGGTCTTAGGGGCGGAGGTCTTGGCGGTTGTGGCAGGGGCGGGTTTAGCGGCGGCTTTGGGGTCCTCTTTAGGGGTGGTTTGAGCGGCGGCTTTTGCGACGGCTTTGGCGGACACAGCGGGGGTGGTGGCTTCCTTCTTTGCAGCGGCGGCTTCCTTCTTGGAGGGGGTAGTGTCCTTCTTGGCAGGGGTGGTCTCCTTGGCAGCAGCGGCAGCGGCGTCCTTCTTGGAGGCAGCTGGGGTCTCCTTCTTGGCAGCCTCCTTCTTCGCGGGAGTAGCCTTCTCAGCAGCCTTCTCCTCCTTCTTCGCGGCGGCCTTGGTGGGCTTCACGGCCTCCTCCTTGAGCTCGACGATCTTGGCCTTCTTGGCAGATGTGGAGTCGGGAATGGTGGGCAGCTTCCTCTTGCCGTTGATGATCTGCTCAAGCTCGTCAGAGTCGACGTCTTCGAGGTCCTCGTCGTCGTCGGAGTCGCCTTCCATGTCGTCGGAGTCACCGTCCATCCACATGTTCTCCTCAGAATCTACAAAAGTTGAAGAATGGAAGGAATGTCAGTCGATGGGTTGATGGCTGGATGGTCGAAATCGCGACAAGGAGGTTGGGTGAGTGCCGGTGGCGCAAGGTGGTGCTCGCTTCGCTCGCAAAACATCTGACGCTCGCTGAGGGTAGACTACAAGCCGTGTTTAGGGGAGTATTGCGCCTTTGGCGCAATGTGGCTCGCTCCGCTCGCGCGTCGCTGTCGCCGACCAAGGCTCGCCCAGAGCTCGCCTGCCTCAAGCAACCATGTGCCTCCCCTCGCTCGTCGTAGTCCGAACCAGACCCCCCGTACGCTCAGTCGCTCACTCTTCCTCTCGTACGCACCATCAGAATCATACTCATTGGGAAACTCAGCAGTATCGACGAGGTAATTCCCGAGCAAATCGATATCGCAGTTTCCAGTAGATTTAAAAGTGATCTCGTCACCCTCGAGGAAGCTCAAGTCAACGACCTGCTGCTCAATCTTGCCGGGTGTAAGAGAGCAGAGGACAAACTCCTTCTCGTTTGTGGTCAAGGAGACGACTGTACGAGTGCCGTTCTTGGGGAGGTCGAAGCTGAGGGCGGCCTGGGTGGAATTGAAAGGGGATTAGGTTCAAGTGGTGTGGAACGTGGTGGGGGGGCTTTAGAATGGGGGAGAGACTTACAGAGGTGACGGTGAAGCTGCTGTCAATCAATTGAGAGTACTCCTTGCCGGCCTCGATCTTGAGACCTAATGAAGCGAAAGGGATATTAGTATCCTTCGATACGAGTTTTCGCACGGTGAAACGTCCCACCGTCCACCAAAGTGGGGCACAGGGTGACCACCCTGTTAGCAAACGGAGCAGATGTATAGAGAGCGACGTACCCCATAGTCCAGCCTTGACGAACATTGTAGCAGTAGTTGTTCTCAGGAGAGTGTTTTTGGGTCAAGAAGCTTGAAGCAGCGAAAGGTCCAGCGAAGGGGTTTTCTTACTCCTCCCTCACCCACGCAGGGAGGGAGTCGCACGGAGAGAGGCCCTCGAGCGCTCTGATTGGCCGCGTCATCTACTTATCAACTTGCACTGCCACCCAGACCCCCCTTCACTCCCCTCAGAACCACCCCAGAACGGCAGGACAATCAACAGGCATGCCGCCACTTCCCAGCTTGCAAGGGGAATAAGAGGATTGATTCCGAGAGAGTAATATCGATATACCGGGACATCCACCGGGTTGGGGGTCAACTCCGGAAGGCTGCTTCGGGAGGGGATGGAGGGAAAGACTGATGGATGAGTGTGCCGCGCGCGTCGGGAGGCGTGACGCACTCTCCTCTTGGCGCGCGAGAACCGGATTCATTGCACAGAACCCACCGTCAACCGTTAACCCATCGGGACCAAATTGGAAGTTCGAGGCTGTGTGCTTCCTCTTCCTTTGAAAAGTGTAACTTGGCACTCAGTCCGTTCAGTCTCAGGAGCCCTCGGCCTCAATAGACTTACATATATAGTGATCTTGTGTGTGGAATTCGTAGTTCCCAACTGTCTCAACTAGATAATAGACTACGTATCAAAGACGTCGCCTTTTAGAATAGGAACTGAAGATGCAGCTGTCTAATACCAGCAAGGCTTCTTTACAGCAATACAGCCCCTATGTATGTCCTCTCAGCTCGAGCGTTTTCATTCTTCACGAGTGGAGCATTGCTAACGACTGACGCATAGGTATTCCGCACACTCCTTTGTCCTTTGAACGGCACTCCCCACGCCGCACGCAGCCGCACCCCTTCCATCACGAGTATCTCAGACACCGCCTCCGTCCTCACAGCGGACACGGCCCTAAAATCCTCCAAAAGGGGCGAAAGTGGACAGCGGTCTCGACAGGGTTCTGCGGCGGTCGTGGAGAAGTTTCTTTCCCCTCCACCGCTGCGGAAAAGGAAGGATGACAAGGGCGAGAAGATCGAGGCGCCTGGATCGGTTGCCGTGCCTTCGCAGGAAGCGATGAGACGCGTGAGGCATTTTGCGAGCGTGTGCAAGTTCACGGCGTCGACGGTGGATGTCTTTTGGAGTATGGTTATTGAGATGTGCCTCGATGCTGAGGTGGGGTCAACCGACATTCAAGTCATGTTTAGTGGCGGAGAGAGGATTGAATGTTTATCTTCCTTCGCCTTGATAGATGGTCAGATCGGATCTGGTGACCTACCTCGGTCTCCTTCAAATGGATCTAGGAATCTTACAGCCAACAGATTTCGCCAACCCCAACGACTACACCTGCTGGAAGGATGAAGAGCGGGCAGCGGTGCAGAGGATAGTCAGGGAGAACGGCAATGCCGCGACATTGCACGACGCAGATAAGCAGGGGAGCGTGTTGGTCTCGTTGCATGTGATGGAAGCGAGGAACCTGTTGTCGAAGGACGCGAATGGATCGAGCAACCCGTATTGTGTGATTACGCATAATGGGACGACTTATACGAGCGAATGCGTTGATCGGAATGTGAATCCGGCTTGGAACTTTAGGATCTCTCTGTGCGTAGGTTTGCGCACTGATAAAACGCCCCTAGACGTCGCGGAGGCCGTAGCTGATATTACGATTCCAGGGCACTTCACGAAACAGACAGTCCCATCACACTGAGCGTCTGGAATCGAACATCAGACGTCAAAGTCCCCCGTCGCGAAGACGCCTTCCTCGGCCTCCTCACATTCACCTCCACCGACCTGATCTCCCAGTCCTGCACTTCCCCATTTCAAAAAGAGCACATCCTAGCCAAGCGCTCCTCCCGAAGCCACGTCAGTGGGCACGTAACCCTCTCCGTCGAACGTATCGTTGCCTCACCTGATCTCGCACATGTGTATGCAACCGCATTACGATTCATCCCGCCGCAACCGAGAGCGGCGTATAAGGACTTGGTTGGACGGATTGTGGAGTGGAGTGCGGGTAGATATGATGGCGGACCGTTTTTGTGCGAGGAGAGTGGGGCGATTTTGGCGGAGGCGGCGGTTGTGTGGAGGGTTAGCGAGTTTACGAGGAGTGTGATGTGAGTTTTTGCCGGGGATGACGGTGGACAGAATGGGTGGGTAGGAGGGATGTAGGGCTGACGATTCGATTTGACTAGATACCTGGAAGCGTTGGCGACTGTGTTTCCGCAAGGAGTTCTCCCGGCTACAGTGCTTGACCACGAGGGATTCGAGCCCGCAGACCGACTGTCCAAAAGCATCCACATCATTCCTACGTCCGACGTAAGTCTGCGCTTGTCTCGCACCAAGTTTCCAAATCCCTTGCTGACCCTGACCCACACAGCTCGCAGCCTTCCAACAATTATGCAGAACCCTCTACGAGATTCTCATCCACCAACTACGGACCTTCTTCAATCACCCCTTGACATCCTCCCGCGCGCAGGATTTCAGCGCAATCATCCACATGCTGGCCAGCCTGAACGACAACCAGCTAGTCCATCTCTCGGATGACAACGTCGAACATACCGTCAAAGCCCTACTACTGGTAAGCCTCTCGCCCTCGCTTCATCAAACCCCCGACCACTGCATTAAACTCTACCCTCCCACAGCAAGCCCTAGAATCCCGCTACTACAGCCTGCACGCCATCGCCCACACCCCTTCTCCCGCCACCCCCATCGACCCCATCGTCCTCCTCACCCACGCCATCGAAACAGAGCTCACGTCCTACGACACCTACCTCGACACCCTGCACTTCAACTACATCCACGTCCCCGATATGGCTGCCAAGATCTTTTTTGATAAGATCGTACCGGATATTGTTGGGTACACGTCGAGTGCGGCGCAGAGGAGGGAGTTTGCGGCTATCTTTGAGCTTTATGCGGGGGTTTGTGCGCTCAAGGGGATTTATGAGAAGGTTGATTTCAAGTGAGTGTGGGGAGATGGTGTTGGGTGCTTGGGGAGCGGGAGCACAGGCTGATGGAGGTTTTGCTGTGATTGCAGGTTGGCGGACAAGTTTATGCTGACGGAATGGTTTGGCCCGGGGTTGAGTCAGTGGGTGGACATCTCAGGTTGGTTCACTCACCGCTTTGACGGGTGTGGGATGGTGATGCGCGCACAGCTAGCTAAATACGTGACACCCGCACGATTTCAGAAAAGAAGTTTACAGAATGGATGCAGAACGCAGTCAACCTCGATGACGTACGTAACTCTCGTTCCCGCTCTGGCATACACAACCGCATGAAAGCTAACGTTTTCGGTTTACCTTTCCTTTTGGGTGTAGTACAAGCACTCATCACCGACGGTGCTCTACTCGTCTTCCGTCCTGGATATGTTCACCTCGTTTCAGCAACAGCTGGATTTCGTCCTCAATCTCAATTGGCCGGATAGGGAGCAGAAGAGCGCTGTACTTATGCGGTTGGTCGAGGTATATCTTGGGGAGATTTTCGGATTCCACATTGGCCTAGGGAGTCTGACACCTCATCCTGCGAACACCAAAGGCGATCTCTGACACGCTGGAACGCTATATCGACCTGGTATTGAGAAAGATAGTCACAGACCTGGCCCGCTACAAAGCGGGCGATCCAACACGACGGCTGCAGTCTGAGGCGGATCAAGCGCAGAAGAAGAATAAGATGAAGCTGAAGTTTGGTAAATCGAAGAAGGGCGTGGGGATTGATGCGTCTGAGATTAGGTTGCCGACGGAGGTATGCTCTTCTGTCCTGCGATGCGATCTTGATAGGTAATGATTTCGGCAATATGCTGACTTGGATTTCAAAAAGGCCTGCGTCAAACTGCAGAACATCGAGGTTCTGCCGTCCCTGTTTGCATCACTCTGCACACGAATCTTCAACCATCCGCCGTCAGATCCCGACTCACCCCCACCCGTCCCGCCAAAAGACGGCACCCCCTTCCTCTCCTCCCGCCTCCACCTCATCGCCAACATCCTGCACATGGACAACCCAACCTTCACGCGCCCCTACTGGACCCAACTCCTTCTTCGCATCCGCTTCAATGGACGTGAGGTCGGCCAAACGAAACCAGCGAACCAATCCACCCACGTCGTATGGGACCAGAAAAAGCAGCTATCGACCGGTGACCTCCCCTCTCTATCCGACACGTACGGCAATGCCTCGCAAACCAGTATCACCCGCGAAGACCCCGCCGACGGTCTACCCCGCTTCTACATCCTGCCCGCAGCCTCAGCCGCATCAATGGATCTGGAGATCTGTCTCCTGCATCGCATTCCCGGGTTGCTGCAGGATAAGGATTACATGTATGCGCGTGCGCTCGTGCCCGGTGGGGAGTGGGTGGGCAAGACGGTGCTGGTGAATTTGGCGGATGGGAAGCAGGTGTGCTTGAGGGGGGAGGTGAAGGATGGGGTGGAGTTCTTGAGGGAGAGGGTTAGGAGGGATGCGAGTGTGGGGTTGAGGAAGGGGATTGCGTTGTTTGCTGAGCAGGTGCGTTTGGGGTACATGTGGATGCGTTGAAACAGTGTCCGAGGTACACTAACCGAAAACCGCCCCCTCCGCCAGCTGACATACGACTTCCGACCGAGCCTCAAAACACTGTCAAAAACCCACAAAACCACAACACTGTCCAGCACAAAACTGCACTCAGTCTTCAGCAAACTTAACGACAACGTGCGCAACATCAAAGAAGGCGCCAAATTCTCTTCCTCCTCACACGCATCGTCACCCACATCAGCCTCCCCACAACCCAACAAACCCGACATCGAAACCACCCTCACAACCCTCCTCGGCTACATCAACTCCAACCTCCAAGTCCTCACCGACAGCATGACCCCAGACGTCGCCATGCTGGTCGTCAAAGGCACCTGGGACCGTATCCTGCACATCATCGAATCCATCGTCGTTCCCCTCGGCGACGACGAAGATTCCACCGCTTCCAATCCCACCAACCGTGCCACCCCAACCCCCACCCCGCCTTTCCCAACCCCCACGGGCTTCCGCGGCCTCCCCACCAAATTCTCCTCCGCGTCGCTCGCATCCATCAGATCGGATACCTCGACCTCGTCAAATTCCTCGTCGTCGCCGCATACGACCATCACGCAGGACCCTGGCCGGATCACGTTCCTCGTCGCCGCGTTGGAGTTCTTGACGGCGTGGTTTGCAAGTGATGGGGAGGGGTTGCCGCCTGCTATGCTGTACACGGGGAAATATAAGGATGTGAGGAATACGTTGGAGAATTGTCATTTGAGTAAGAAGGAGCTGATGCGGCGGTGGGCGGGGCAGGGTGATGGGAAGGGTAGGGGGAGTGCGGGGGTGGATGAGAGCAGTGATTGGTTGTTGAGGCTTATTAGGAGTAAAGGCGGTAGGGAGTTTGTGGAGGATGTTTGGGCTGAGAGAGTTCGGCGGTAGACGTAGAAGAACATCACATATCGAGTTTCAGCAGTGCATTGGATGTTGGCGTATATGGGCATAGACATGGGATGTAGTATCTTGATCTCGATCGTATATACATAATAACACTGCAAGGCTTCGCATGATTCCGTTTCTATTTCTGTACCTGGTGAAGGAAGAAAGGCGAAGGGAAGGCCAGATCTAGTCAAGGCTTAAAATGCACCAGAAGAACAATTCCAAAACCGTGCCTACATCTACGCACACCAATCCTCAGCCTCAGTTCCTCTATAATAGTCGCTGTTCTCATCCCCGTCCACACCCATCGGATGCGCAGATCCAAGAGCACTGATCGGCCCCCGTACGAATACGCCCGTTTTCAAACCATCATCCGCCGCGCGCACCATCAACGCCGCGACGGGTCCTCGCTCTTCCGTCATAATAGGCATCTGAGCCGTCCTCACCATCCCATCGCGGTCACACTCCACCAATCTCTGCCACAGCGGGTTCACGCCACTCATATCCGTCCCCACAACCAATCCACATTCCGCGACGACGTAGAGCGTGCCGGAGTCTACTGTTTGGATGATAGCGAGGTCCGATGAGAGCTCGGGGCGATCAGCTTTGGGCGGTGCGTTGAAATGTACAGACTGCACCGCTTGACGACCTTGTGCAATCAGCGCCGGTAGTCCGCAGGACGGTGACAACATGTCGCGTCCGGGAAGGGGTTTGCTGAACCGCTTAGCGAGGGAGGCGTCGAGGCCGTCGCAGTGGGTGAGCACGAAGCGAGCCGCCACAGCCGCTTTTTCGTGTCTCAAGGCCGTGCTTCTCGGGACCGACTGATGGATGTTGTACGGGAACGAGCTGTCCAGGGTGACCACCAGCGATATGAGAGACGAAGGGAAGAGGCTGGTTTTGTACGAGTCTCGGGCGATGCAGGCTTGCGCGAAGAGCTCCCATGGTGTGAGGAGATCAGGCTTGAAGAGATCGATCTGAGTAAGGATCTGGCCAGTTTGGGAGATGACGAGGTACACCAGCTCTTGTTGGCATCCCGGCGTCGGGCTGGATCCTTCGGTCGTCTCCGGCGCTGCTGATACTTTGTAGCACGACACCTTGGCAATGTCGCGAGTAAGGCATTGCACTTGACGGATCATTGGACAAACAGAGACAGGTAAAGCTTTGTCTCGCCTGCCCGCCGAGAGGTCGACAAAAAGCGCGATCCAGAAGCGTCGAGCTACGTAGATTTCGGCCGAGTTATAATTGCCTTTGAAGATATCCACGTGGATGCCGAATATGTACTCGTCCATCTCCTGACTGGCGGTGCCCGCCGGGTTGCAACGCATGAATAACTTGGCGATCCAGCTGTTGCAATGCTCGGCGATGTTGCAGAGATACTCCTTTCTACGTTGTCGATAGATCTGTTTCGCATGCGGCTGATCGCCGCCTCCTCCGTTCGCCAGAGACATGGCCGTTGTACGTCCGGGAAAGTCCCTACATAAAGTGGGAGGCATCAGGCTTCATAGCGGGGAAGACGTAACGATCAAGAGCCTCCGTACCTCTCGAGACAGGGCCTCCAACTCTTCAAAGCTGGAAGAGGTCTTCGAGTAAGTGAGTGCGACCTCACATCATGAAGCAGATTGCACACTGATGCGAATACCGAGTGTCTGGCAAAAGGACGAGACTCCCTCAGCGGTCAACAACGAGGCATGATCCAGTTTAGGCAGCGCGATTTCAAAAGCGCCGAACAAGAGCGAGGTAGACGCATATTGAGCTTTTCGAGAAGGAAGGGGCTGACAGGGCTCTGCATACGGAAAGATTTCCTCCGCCACCCAGTAGCTCGTCGAGGCATTTGAGGCAGGAGGCGGGGCGAGTGTCAATGACGGCTGCGTGACTTGAAGCGGCGTGTACCGAAATTTGGCCGCCGCGACGGCCGATTGTTTCGTGCTCGTTGCTACCGCGCTCGCAGCTTTATCCGACGAGGTGGCGGGTGCCTTTTTGCTCGGAGGCGTCAGAACCTGAGTTGATTCCTGCGAACGCGAGAGTAAGATGTTGCAGAACAAGGCAACATATTGACTTCACCAATCTCTTACCTGTGTTGGGGCTGATTTTCCCACTTGTTTCATGAGCAAAGGCTTCCTTCGAACGGACTTTGGGGCCGTAGCGATGGGTGCTGCTGGCTTACTAGGGGTCGGAACGTTCAATGACTTCTCGACAGGCAGCGTTGGTGTGGCAACGGCCGCGTGCTGAGGTTGTGTTGCTGCACTGTTTTGTGGTACCAGAGGACGCTTTGGGGCCAATAGGGATTTTCCCTTGGAGCGGACAGTGCTAGACCCTTCCGAACTCGTGAGGGCTTTCTTGGCTGACGCGGAAGCGGCTGCCCTCGGCGTCGGTGCTGATTTGGAAGGTCCAGAGCTCGCTGTGCTCAGTGTAGGCTGCTGGGTGGACGCTTCCGGCTTGCTCTTCTTGCTCTTCTTGCTCGTTTTCCCCTCCTGGTCCAAGCGTTTGCGCTTTGTGGTCGAAGATGTGGTGGTGCTTGCAGCTGCGACGTCGACGGTCGAAGATGTAGTAGTATCACTCGGAGCTGCAGCCTGTGGGCCTTCGGGTGAGGTGCTTGGAGCTGCGACCTGAGCTCCGCCTTCCGTGGGGTTTTGGGCGCCAGCAGAGGCAGGGGTTGACGTCGGGGCCGCAAGGGCAGACTGCGGGCTAGCCAGTATCCTCGCAATGAGATCCGCTTTCTTTCCTCCTACGGTGAGGCCCAGTTCTTTACACTTGGCTTTGAGCAAAGGAACCGTCAGCTTCGCAAGATCATCTTGATTTGACATAGCGGGCAGAATGACTTTGACCCCTCCGTCTTTCAGAGCGGGTTCACCAGATGGGTTGCGTTCGTTGTGGAGGCCGTGCCAACAGGCGGAGGCGAACTTGAAGGAGAAACTCCGGTTGCTGCTGGAACCGTCTTCTCTCAGGCCGTGCTGCTCCTTTTGCCATGCCTTCGGGGAAGGAAAGAGAGGAAAGAGACGCGTTGATGGTCGTCGAAACTTGCAAGCCTTCAGATTTCCAACTAACAACCAACTGCAACCTTGGAGTCAAGGCCCACCGAACATGGAGTACAAATGCACCCAGACAGAAAATTCGAATCTGCTCGCGAAGGGCATCGAGCTCGCACAATGCTTATTATCTTATATTTATAGTTTCAGAAGAGCCAGTCGTTGGTATTTATATACACCCTGAGGAGACCGTACTGGGAGTTAGGCTGGTCTGCTCCAAAGCGGCTTGGGAATCAAGAACCGACTTGCTTCACATGGGCTAGTGTCCATGTCCGGAAGGGTGCTCCGTGTGCGGCGCATGTTGCCTTGGATGCTTTGGGGCCATTTTCAGAACTGGCTTGAAGATCGCCGTTTGCTGAACCTTCTTCAACGTCTTGATGTCTATATTTCTCTCTGACCATGTCGATTTGCGCAGTTTGATGGGTCTGTTTCCTACGTATTTCCCTAGAACGGAAGAGGCACATAGTGTCAGCACTCGGATGCAGGCTAAAAGCCACCGCAGATGACATGAGGCAACTCACCATTCATTTCTTTCATTGCTTTGACGAAATCGTTCGGGTCCTTGAAACTGACAAATCCATAGCCTTTGCTTTTATTTGACTTGTAATCGCGAACGACACGAGCACGAAGCACCGAAGGGTATTTAGCAAACGCCTTCAGCAGAAGGTCGTCGGTCACTTCGTTGCCTAGATCTCCGCAAAACAGTCGGAAGTCATCTATGATGGGAACAAATGCGATTTAGGTCACACCCGATGCAGTGCATGACATGAACTGGCTACAAATCACGTACTTGCGTCCCACTCCAGTAATGTCTGGTCCTCCCATGCTTCTCCTCCCGCCGCCCTCAGAATCGTCTTTCTCTTCTTCCCAGTCTTCCCGTCCCTTGCTCCTGTAGTCGCAGCGGCAGCAGCAGCAGCCGCGCCTGCAGTCCCACTACTTGTTCCTTGCGCCGGCATCGCTGGCAACGCAGCCAGAGCTGCCGCCCTGCGGTTATCGTCCGTATTGGCGGTGGCGCGAACAACTGTAGCAGAGGCAGCGCTCGGTGTGTAGCCTTCTGGGTAAGGGACCGCCCCACTTTCGCTCTCTACTGTGTAACCTGTCGGATATGGAACGGCTCCGGAGTCACCTTCTGGGTAGCCAGACGGATACGGAACTGCCGAGGACGAGGATGCGCTGCCGTGGTTGTTAAAGTAGTATGGTGTAGGTGGGGCATAGTATTGAGCGCCGGCGCCGGTATACGAGGTGGGGGCCGCCTGCGCGGCATATTGAACAGGTTGTGCCGAGTAGGAAACCGGACCTGCCGACTTCACTGTTGAGCTCCCAACTATTGGCGGTGCATAGGCGGCGTAGGCGGACGGGTCTACCTCGTACTCCTGCGGGTGCCCATAGTATTGCGCATTTGGGTCGGCTTCGTAGCCGTATTGCTGGGAGTGATAGTAGCCGGACATCGGGAGGAAAAGTAACCGTGTGAGAAGAAGTGAAATAAGGAAGGTCTCTGTTGGAGCGGAGCTAGTCTGTGCGATCCCAGTTTGCAGCTGGGGAAGAGGGCCTGGAGGGGAAGCTTGCCTTGTCAGCTTCATCAGACCCTCCCAGCTTCTTCTGCTTCTTATCCCAAACGCGTTCTTCGCACTTTCGCCGAATTTCGCTGTGCAACTTGCAACGGTTAAGCATAGCATCCCGAGCACAATGACGGATACAACGAAGCCCAAAGTCATCATAACAGGAGCCTCCGGGCTTCTCGGTCGAGCTGTCTTCAATTGTTTTCAGAACGCTGGTTTCGATGGTAGTCATCTCAGCTTTCGCGCAGCGAACGCTTCTTTCGTCTCGGTGGGCTCAATTTCGTGCTTCATTTCTTTAGTTATTGGGACAGCATTTTCTCGGTCAGGAGAGAAGTTAGTGAAGCTGAACCTCACGGACTTTGATGCCGTCAAACAATTCATCGCGAAGGAGAAGCCGGCAAGTGAGTAAAAGCTCGACGTCGTTTATCGACTCGGCTATCCCCTAACGTTTACGTCCGACCTAGCTATCATCCACTGCGCTGCCGAGAGACGGCCAGATGTGGCCGCAAAAGACACGGAGGGCGCCAGGAAGGTGTGGGAAGAGTCGCATGAAGGAAGCGGTTTGCCAATTGTAGGCCACAGGATGCTGAATAAACCGCGCACCTTAGTTGAACATCGCGGCCACGGAAAACATCGCCCAAGCCGCCAAGGAAGCCGGCAGCTGGCTTGTCTACATCTCCACCGATTATGTGTTCGATGGGAACAACCCGCCTTACGAGGTTGATGCCAAAGTCAATCCTTTGAACTTTTATGGTACTGGAGTTCCGGGAGGGATGTCAGCTCTGTTGCCAGCGATTGACGAGCGATGTGAGTCGTTTGTAGGTCAGACAAAGTACGAGGGAGAAGTGACGCTGTCGAAAACGTACCCGGAGGCCGCCATTCTCCGGGTGCCTATTCTGTACGGACCCACTGAGTACGATAGCGAGTCGGCGGTCAACATCCTTCTGGAAATCATTAAGGTACTAGTGGGATGTCTCAGGTGACCAGCGTACGATCGATCGCGGTCGACGCTTAACCATGGACCCGTAGAACACTGCAAAGACTGTCGATATGGATGATTTCCAAGCTCGGTATCCTACGAATGTTGAGGATATTGCGAAGGTGTTGCGACAGATGACCGGTGAGAGGCTCCTGATGTCCAGATTTGACTACTATCTATCACTAACGTTCATGTTCCGCTTCTAAAGAGCGCGCGGTATTCAAGAAAGAGGCGCTCAGTGGTGTATTCCACTACAGTGCTCCGGAGAAAATGACGAAGTATCAGATATGCGGTATAAGATTGAATAAGTTTGACACGTCTCCTCTATCTCTGCGCTAACGTCTAAGCATCTAGCCGTCTTCGCTAACATTCTGAGCCTTCCGATCGATCACCTAAAACCGATCCGAGAAGCACCGAAGGAACCCGTCGGTGAGGAACATAGCGCTTTCCGTACACCGAGAGACGTAACTCATCTCTAATCTACGCTCTTTCCAGCAACTCGACCTAATGATGCCCATCTCGCAACTACAAGGCTGGAGACTTTGGGATTCGATCTCACGGCTGTCAAGTTTGAAGATTGGTTTCGCACGTATTTACGTCAATGAGTTCGGCGTATGGCGGCGAATGAATAGGGACTCCAAAAATATAAATAGCGCGATCGGACTACGGATGCTGCGTAGACTACGATCAAACAGTGGAACTTTTCGCCGTGTCCCCGAGATGAGCTCATAGAACGTTGGGTGGTAGAAGCCCGAGTATGTAGTTTCCAAGCTATTACTGTGCGGCGTTCTGTTTCGCAAGGTTGTTTTGGAGATGCTGCCGTATCGTTGCAAGAGGGTTCCCTTTGAACGTTGGATGCTGAATGACTTTCTGTAATCGAATGATTTCGTTCACCCTAGAATAGCGGACATCTCAGTGTATGACGATGGAAGTGAAGTAACCTTATTCATGACGTACCCAGCTTGTCGACGTGCACTTTGAGATACGGCCACATGAGCCTTTTTCGAATGTCCGGAACCTGACGAGTGCGGGGATGACGAAGACTGTACTCCGTCCTGCGATGGAGCTTGAGCAGACGGAAGAACATGGTGCAGCGCCGTGAGGTTCAAAGATCCGACGTCTGGTTGTTTCTTGTTCTTCTCGTCCCGAGCCTGTTGGTATATTCCGCCAAGTTCTAACAGCAAAGCCCCACAGTCAGCAAACAGAAAGAGGTTTTCCCACCCAGCTTGCACCAATGAAAAGAACCACTCACTCTGCATCCACCGGTCATGTCGTTCCCGCCGCTTTTCCTTCTTCTTGAGGTGATCTGCAGCATGCCCTCCTTCGAGCTCCGAAAGTACCTCCGGTACAGACACTGCGGAGAGAACCGGGGCTGCCGGAACCACTCGCTGGACCACCACCGTCTCCTCCATGGCGTCTGACTGTACATGAACGACGGTAGGTTTTGGCAGGACTGGTGTTGGCTTCGTGGCAGTGAAGGTGGTCCTTCCGTCGGGGCCGGTGGCCCGTTGGCGGGTTCTTTGTCTGGGTGCTTTGGGCATGTTCGCTAGATTGAATGAGCGGATAGTATGGTTACTGGTCGGGGGTCGAGTCCAGGAGAGCCCAGGGGTCGAGTCGTGCACCGTCTTCTGTATATGTATCGTCGTCTTGACAGGTTTGACCAGGGTTTGACCGACGTTGGAATGGACAAACGAACCTGGGCAAAAAACGCTTGACGCAGACAAGGCCTACAAAGCAGACATCCCAGCGCTTCGACCCACATTGACCACAACACCGACAGCTCCGACACCCTTCGAAACGTATAAGGAGCAGCCAACGAAATGCAGCAGGTTTGAAAGGGAGTTCGCCGACATTTGTGTACCATCCATCAAACGAGCAACGGCCCCCGTCAGAGGCACCGAACAGTGCTTACTCGCCAAACGACCCTTGACGGAGACAAAGGGAAGCAGCTGCATATGGGGGTGAAAGGGCTTGCGTCGTATATTCAACAGTTGCCGACAAGCGCCGCACTCTCTGTGAAGTTCGCACCAGGAGATACAGAGGAAGCGTCTGTCCCGGTTCTCGTCGACGGACACTCTTTTGTGTACCATGTCGCCAAGGAGATCAGCTGGCTCCATGGGGCTCGGCACGAGGTGTTCGCCAGGGCAGTGGTTCGGCAAGCGGAGCAGCTGGGACAAGTTGGGCTGCAGCTCGCGTTCATCTTCGACGGCATCCTTCCGAAGCAAAAGTTCGATGAACGCCTGAGCCGATCGTTGGAGAAAGTTGGCCGTGTCGCCGGAGTCATGGACGAAATATTGCGCTCGGGTTCAGCTGCTTCTGGGCCGTCGAGAGGCGGACCCGCCACGTTGTTCCCTCCAATGGCTATTCCTGCGTGCATATGCGCCTTGAGACGGAGCGGCTTTCGGTTGATGGTATGCCCAGAAGGGGAAGCGGACATAGCCATCGCAAATATGGCCAGGCAGCTCCGCGCTCCGGTTATGTCCCGTGACACGGATTTCCTCATTCACTGCATTGAGGATCGGGGGGTGCCCGAGGACGCTGGGCCATCCTTGCAAGGTTATATCCCACTCGACTCTCTTACTTGGGAAGGCAGCATATTGCACGCCCGGCTATATACGAAGGAAACGTTTGCGGCCGCATTGGGGATCTCTTCGAGCATGTTACCACTGTTTGCTGTGCTGACGGGCTGCGATTATATATCGCATCACGATCGTCGAGCTCTGCCAGGGTCTCTGGAGATACTCAGTCAGAAAGGGCTGGGGAATCTGAGGATCAAGAAGATCATCAAACTGTTGCAGGGACATGCAGGCTCCCCTACACCTGAAGCTGCACTGAACGACATAGTGGACTACTTGAAGCCTGGGGAAGCAAAGGACGACCTGCTCGCTGCACTTCAGCATGCCATGAAACAGTATTTGACACATGAGAGTGAGAACCTCTCACGCAACAACTCTGGGGTAATCTTCGATCTTTTCACGCAAGGCCTGTATGAGCCAAGGTTAGGCGAGATTGCGAACGGGCGAGTTTTTTGGAACACACCCTTTTTGGAGGATAACAACCGGGGATCCGCGTGGGATATTGCACGAGATATACGAATCTGGGTCTACGGCGCCGTCGCGGTATCCTGCGCTAGCCCTGTCGCCGTAGAGAACTGGGGCCTCTTTGAGGTTGACTCCTCTCTATACGACGACTTCGTTGCTGGCCGCTTGCACATCCGCGAAAACATCAGGCGAGCCGATCGTCTCGTTATGGAGAACGTGACCGCCGTCTCTGTCAGAACCTTCCTTGCGGCGATAGAAGGATTGGGGCCGGCGGAGACACCAAGGCCAACAAAACTGCCGGGACTTGGCCATATGACCGATGCGCAGCGTGATCTCCTGTTCATGCGCATACTGGATTCGGACTACAGCGCGATGCGTGATTTGGAACCGACGTACATCCCACTAGCAGTTGCTTCACGATATCTTGTACGGGAACTCCATTCGCGAGGGCAATCCCTCCCCAACTACGAATTGAGCGCTATCCTATGCGCCGGCATAAAGGCGATATGGAGAGCAGGCAATGACGCAAGTTATGTGAGCGAAGCATACGATGTGCGACACGATTTCCGACCGACCAGGCTGTCCGTACACCGACAAGCTCAGATGGAGTGCTCACTGTACTGCGTACTGCTGCTTGGACAATCCCTGCTGACTGGCGTTACCCGCGAGGCCGGGCAATCGTCGCAAGACCTCTTGACAAGCCACTGGACATGCCTAGACGGATTTGAGTTCCACCGCTGCATGGAGCTGGCCAAAGGTGGAGCGCCCCCAGAGCGGATGTTATCCGTTGACTCAAGCAGCGGGGACAGCAGCAGCAAAGAAACGAGTGCATCACTGCTCGCGTCATACAGGCGCGTGCATTCCGCAGTTTTGGAGGGGATTGATGACCAAGTCGAGATGGTTATTGACTACGGGGACCCGGCGAGACGAAGCACCCCAACACCGAAGAAGAAGGCGAAGAAGAAGACGATGGCGAAGAGGACGCCGGTGCAGAAGAAAAATGGGCTTACGAGCAATAACCTGTTTGAGGCGCTTTCGTCGGGTTGCACATTCTGAGAACACCGGCCGTTTCCCACGCATTACGAGCGTATACGAACGCTGTGGGACGAATCAGAGCGTGATCTAACAGTCTGCGGTGCTGTAGAACAAGGTGCGAGGCGTTGTACTGCCTCACCTAGCAGCCCACCGGGCAGAACTAGATTCGAAAGAAGACATCAACATATCTTCGTGGCGTATGCTTCCCCATTTCGCTACCGGGTACCATCTGTTGCTTGACAACATAGAAATTTTTGGGCTCACCCTCTTAGCACGCGACAACACCATACATCGCCTATTTTCTCATGTAACGGTTTTCGCATATATGCAAACTTGTCATAAACAGCGATTGTCTGCGTGTTGAACCGCCGCGATTCGTTCACACCTTTGTTGCAGATCGCCGCTGCCATCTCGTAGGAAAGGTTACGGTGTTTTCCGTAGTTCAGCCATCCGTGTCCCCATCTCTTCCGGTGCTACATACACTTGGGGTCGCAGGCACGTCTATATTTTCGCCACATCGCCCCCGTAAGGCTGTGTCACTTCCTTCCCTTCTCAGATCGGCGACGACCTTGGGGACATGCAGCCAGGTACTTCCGGCCACCATAGCATCAGCTCTCAACCAGCAAATCCGCCCTCTCATCCTTCCAGACAATCAGCTGAAAATATGTAATGTAAACAGCGATAGTCTACGTGTATTGAAAAAAAAAGGGTGGAAGCATAGCGAGAAATACGGACTCCGAATAATGACGGACGGATATAGAGTGGTGGCGGGATCAGTATATGGTGGGTGGGTGGGAAGAAATGTACGGATGGAGCTTTACACGGCGCCTAGGCTGAGGAGGTTCAGGTGTGTTTCGACAATCTGTTGTAATCAAAGAAAGATAGGGCAGTTAGACACTGTGAGGGAATCAGGAGTGAACGATTGGGCGCGGATGACTTACATCTATAGCCTGCTTAACCTCCAAATATCGCCTCGCACCCACCAACCAATCCCTCGCCACCTCCTTCGGCCAGCCCTTCAACTGATTCACCTCCCTCGCCGCACTGTCCACATCTCCCTCCTTCAAGTAGTACTCGGCACGTGCAACGATGGACTCGACATCATCCCCGCTGACGAGTCCCTCCTTCTTGAAAGTGAGTTTACTCAACCCGAGGGCAATGGTGTGGGAGAGTGGGCCGGCTTGCGGGGACATGAACTGAGCCTCGCGGACCGCTTTGGCTGTTTTGGCTTGGAAGCGGTGTTCCAGCTCGGAGGGGGTGGGCACGCCGGTGCGGGCGACTTCGGCGGGAATGCTTCCGATAACGGTCGCGACCAACTGTTCCGCATCGCCGAGGTTGCGAAGGAGGGAAATTTCCTTCGCGAGTGGTGTCTGGTGCGGGTTTTCCAAAGCGTCTTTGACGGCTGTGAGAGCGACCCAGAGCTGGTTGACGGCGTGGGTGCGTTCGAGGGCTTCGCCGGCTTCGATGCTGAGTTTCTCGAGGTGTTTGACTTTTAGGGCGAGATGGTCTAGACGGGCTAGGCGGCCGCCGCGCTCTTCGTCGACGCGGGTTTTGACTTCTTTTGTCCAATGCTTTTCCAGTGAGTCTGCTTGGCGTCTGAGCTCGGCGGTGAGGTTTGCTTGTAATGCGGCGGATTGCTCAGCGAGCTTCTCTGCAAGTTCTGCGTCGTGCTTTTTGATGAGGAGTTCCCGCTCGTCTTCGAGGATGCGGCCAAAGCTGTTTTCGAAATCGGTGGCTTGCTGGAACAGAGCCTCCTGCGTGATCTCGATGTGGTCCTCCAGCACCTTGGCGAACTTGGCGGCTTGCTCTTGCAAGGATTTTTGGACGTGCTCTGCTTCGTCGTGCTTCAAAGTCGTGAGCTTATCAGCCAGGACTTCTAACTGATGCTGGGCGCCCTTCACGGCTTCCCGCCCCTCCTCAGCAGTGACGCTCGCCAGACTGCCGAGTGTGGTCGCAAGCGCCGAAATGGGCGCGCTGAGGCCTTCGGCATAGGGCGCATCGGCGAGATTCGCAAGGGCGTCCTTAATCTGCTGTACAGACTTATTCAAAGCTCTTGAGGACTCCGCCGCAGCGGCAGTGACAGCGTCAGCTCCCTTCTTCACGACACCTTCCACCGCTGACTTGGCGGTGGCAGCGTCTTTTTGCCCAACCGCTTCCGAAGCGGGTGCCTTCAAGGTCGCTTTGGCATTGTCCACTGCCTTCTCGACAGCGACCTTTGCGTCCTTTGCGGCGTCACTCACGACCTCCGTCGCGTGGGTGGCGGCACCCTTCAGAGAGTCCGTTGCGTCCCCTACGATATGTTGCGCATCCTTTGCGGCGTCCGCCACCGCCTCCTTCGCATGTTGTGCAGCGACCTTCGCAGAGCCCGTTGCCTCCTTCGCAGCCACTTGTGCGTGCTGTGCGGCTCCCTTTGCAGCGTCCGTTGCGTGCTGTGCAGCACCCTTCGCAACATCCGTTGCATGCTTCGCAGCCCCCTTCACAGCGTCAGCTGCATCCCCAGCAGCCACTTGCCCATCCTTCGCAGCGTCCTGCACAACCTCCTTGGCATGCTTCGCAGCATCCTTCACAGCCTCAATTGCGTCCTTCGCAACCACCTGCGCGTCCTTCGCAACGTCCTTAGCCATATCCTGGGCGTCATGCGCAGCCGCCACGATTTTGTCCACCACAGGTTCCGTTTTCGATTTGACGGTTGACGCAATCTGCTTGGCGGATGCCTTTGCATCTTCAACAATCGGCGTCACCGCGCCCGATACGACATCGATCGCGGGTGCTGCTACGTCCTTCACGGAGGTTTTTGCCGGTGCGGTGTCTTTCTTCGATGGGATGGCAATGACTGTGGATCCACGTGTCTTTTCAGACTCAGGCACCACCAGGACTTCGACGGGCTTCGTTGGTGCCACGACTGCCGGTTCATCCGTTGTTACCTAGAGGAGCGTCTGGTCAGAAATCACGCCCGGTCTCGTGTATGCAACGCCTGCATATTCTCACCTTCGGTTTGGCAACCCTGACTGGAGGTAAGGTTGACAGCGTTGAGGTCTTCACCACGGGGGCTTCTTCTATCGGCTTGACCGGCTTCAAATCCAACGATTAGCCGGTGCCTTCTAGGGTCTTCAATACATGATCATATCAATTACCTTCACTTTCGGAGGAGTTCCCGTAATCATGCTGTACAACTGGTCATACGTGTCCTCCGCCTTCTCCTTGGTGTCATACAGCGTCTTCTCCACGCTATGGGCATATGACCGGGCGGTTTCCTCAGCATGCTTCACGGCCCTCTGTGCAGAATCGACTTTGGCAGCTGCGTCCTCCTTGATGGATCCAATGAATGCGGAGACGTTTTCAATCTTCTTTTTGGCAACTTCCTCCGTCTCGTGGATCTTATCGACAGCGGCTTTGTATGTAGCGTTTGCACCCTCCTTTGTTGCATTCACAACACCCAGTGTCTTGTCGATCTTCTCCTTTGCAGTGATCTGAACATCGTCCACGATCTTCTTGGCGGTCCGGACTGTCTCGTCCGCCTTCAGCTGCACGTCCTTTACACTCGTTTTGCCGATCGTGTCAAAGATCTGGGCGTACTGGTCAAGGGCCGCCTGGCCGCCGGGAACCTGTTGAAGCCATACTTTCCGGAACTTGGGGTCTTGCAGAGCATAGTACGCTGCTCCTGAGTATCCGGCTCCCGACAGAACGAGGAATAGTAGAGCGTATTTGAAAACAGGAGAACTTGATGGTTTTGGTGGCGGAGGTGGGGGAGTTGTGAGTGGGCGGGTGTTGGACGTGGTTACAGCTCGACCCTGGAAGGGATATAGGTCTTTGGATCACATAGCATTTGGTGAGGATGGTAAATGGCGCGGAGGCTTACCTGGTTTTGACTACTTGGTCGACCTATCAGCAGCCGACCGGCGGTCTTTTGCCTCGAGTTAGCTCGCTGCTTTGTTGCAGCCAGAGCACAGCGGGCCTTCCACATGACTAGCGTGTTGCTGACGACGACTTCACAGTGTGAGTTCTGAAGGCTGCTTAACTTCCGAGGTCGATCGCGGACAAGGCAGTTGGGCAGTTTAAGGTACAGTACAATAGCGACATCATTCGGCCATCCATCCAGCTAGCATCTTGACTGAAGAACACGCTCCTTGAAAACATGCTACTCACATGTCTGCTGTGTTACGAACTGCTACTTATTCGTGAACGCGAAGGACGCCTACTGTACGTGTCACCACTGTACTGTACCTTCGCCGCTCGGGCGTCTGGCCGTCAAAGGTATATAAGACCCGATACAAAGCCCCTCCTGCTTCCCTTCTACCTACCCAACAGTTACCAGCAAGCTACGTACTTCACTCACCCAACATGACCGCTACCGAGACTGCCGATCCTGCCGCCGCCATTGCCGCTCTCGTGCCTCGCCCAAGTTCGCCAATAGTGCACGAGCCCATTCTCACCGCACGCCTTCGCCTCCTCCCCATCTCCTCCAAGCATCTCGACGGTGCCGCCTTTGTCAAGTTTTTCGCCGGCCTCTACGCCAACCCCGCGATCGGGAGCCTCGCCGGCTTCGAGCCCAGCATCATCACCGACGAAAAGCAAGTCAGCTGGCGGGCAAACATGGCCGGCAGGTTCGAGAAGTTTGGATATGGCACGTACGCCGTGTTTGAGTTGCACGACTCGGAATACGCTTCGCCCATTGGAGCCCTCGATTTCCGCTCCCTGGGCGCTTACAAGAGTATCCCGGATCATCCAAAGCTTCGAAGGGATGAAACCGAAGTTGCGTACTTCTATGACCCAATCGCGTGGGGTAAAGGGTATGCGACAGAAGCTTTGCTCGGCGTCCTCGATGACATTTGGATCAAGGGCGTGGAAGGTCGACTGGCGGAGGGCTTTCCCGTACTCGAGTTTGTATCGGCTAGCGCTGTGCCAGGTCATCCACAGAGTCACAAGATCTTGCAGAAATGTGGGTTGAAGCCTGTGGAAGGGACTTTGGGCTTCAATAAGGACGATGAGGTGTACTATAGAGTATATAGAGACGAGTGGGTGCAGGGGAGGAAACAACAGCTGCAGGCGTAGTGCGAAGACGGCTCATACATACATAATCATACATGAATGTTCGGCTGGTGTTATGTAATCGACAGCGAGATATTGGCATCAGGGGACAGAACAAGGTCCGTTGCAAGCTGCATGCCGACGTTTGGCATGGCTTGCGAAGTGCATGTGCAACAGTGCCCTCGTTCAAATCACCGGCTCGCACCTTATCTCCGACCCATTTTGAGAGTAAATACTCCTTGCCAGACGTGACTATCTGTTCACTCGTGAGTGCTAGCAAACGTCTGACTAGCGACTTGCAGATGTCTCCAGTCCCTGAGGACCTCCCAGTTGAATGCTTCCAGACAAGGTTCGCCTTTCCGTTTACATGCATTGCCGTTGCCGTTGCCGTTGGCCAGGACATGCAAAAGTCCCTCATGCACTCGCCGCCTTGATTCCCCCGTCAATGAGCCGGTCCTGTCAATGTGGCGCAGCCCCCAAGGTCTCGATGAGCTCTGAGCTGCTCTGCTTGCTCTGAGCTCTCTCGGGCCATTTCAAGGAATAAAAATGGACAGAAGTAATTGCGGAAAGGCGGATTCAAAAACTGAAGTTCAATCTGAAGAAGAGTCTTCCGGGCACAAATGAAGGTAAGCACACTACAGTAGTCATCGCGCAGCGAAGGAAAAGACGGTGATCGCACGCCAGGATGATGCCCGTGTAAAAGGTCAGATCCGCCCCCGACCGCCCGCACACATCTCAAACAAAGCGTCCACCACTCGAAGAAAAGCGGCCTGAGTTCCGGTACCCCTCAATGTTCGAGAAGTAATTCCCAGACTTAGAATCATCCGGGAGTCGTAAAAGCGGACAGACATCGATCAGATCCTTGGGTAGAGCTGGGTTCGGTTGGTACCCCAGACGCGGCTTTTGGCTGCTGTTTGCTTATCATACCGTGGTTCAGGTCGATCCTTTGGACGTCTCACAATAGACACGCTGCCCGAGAGCCGGTCGGGCGTGCGTGTAAAGGCGAGACGAAACATGTGGGGAAAGCTTAGAAGCATTCCAGGGTGGCCTTTCGGGACTACTCTGGAATCGCTCACGTTTTCGGTAAATGAACCGCACTGCTTATCATTAGCACGTCTACCTGGCGGTGGATTTCGGAAACAATAGTTCGTTGGTCGGGTCATGTCTGCGAACACCGGGCTGGACATGCGGGCTTTTTTGCCTGATGTTTGATCTTTACCCTGGTGGGCGCGAAACCTGATGTATAATGGGACGAATGCTGTGTGGTGGATGTTTTGGTGTGTGGTGGTTCGACGTGGAAGTGCCGACAAATTGTTTTTTACTGACTGGCTTCTGATCACTCGTCTGCGAGAGGCGGGTTTGCGAATTACGGCCGATTGTTTACTCATTGCCCTTCTTTGCTTACTATTACAGATGCGGTAGATTATGGACGAGTTACAGACGAAACTGGCCGCTCGAGCAGCCTGCCGTAAAAGTCGTAAATTATAGACCTTGTGTATGAGCAGCGTGCCGTCAATGCCGTCGATATTCTAGATTAGGACGTTACAGTCAAGGCTGGATGCAAACCACGGGTTGTTCGTTGTGCAGCCTTCTGGCTTGCGACAAGATTTCTTTTTGAGCGTAGACTGGATCTGTATTCAAAGCGGGGCGAGATCAGTGCCACGCTTGTTTCTTGACCGGGATCGACAACTCCTCTGCCCAGGCAAATGTGCACAACCCAGCATATACCGTCATCGGTACTGGAACGTCGATTCGGTGGTCCAACATCGATGGAGTCGGATAACGCAAAGTCACCGAGACTGGAAACTACCATCCGAGTCAATCACGGAGTGGAGCTTTCACCTTGGTTGCCCGTCGGCTGTGGTTTCGGAATGAGTCCAGCGTAGGTGGGCCCTCGTAGCTGGATTGCAAATTGCGGCGTCAGGGTCGTTCGTTCGAGGTTTTTGTTTCCGCTCAGGTCTCACGGAGACCGGCGGCAAAAGCTGAATCTGAAAATCGAGACAACAGTGCAATGCGTGCACGGTAAAGAAGCGCATTACGCATCGCAATCAAATTCGTTGAGTTTTGAACCTTTGGGTAGTAGCCTTGATCGCCCGCCTACTCTGAGAAAGCCTGGTTTAACACCATAACTTAAGATGTTGATTCTTGTTCACAATTGGTCTGTGGACAATTTTTTTTGGCTACCAGATGTGTGGGAATCGGGTAGCGCAATCCATTATAGGAACCGATGCCCGGCTTGTGGGGCCTAGAGATCTCCATGCCCAGCCGCCGCAGTGTGCCATATCAATCCGCAATTTGCAAGTCTTGGAATCCAACAACACAACTTTGTTGAACGGGCTTGCAACAGCGGCTACAAGAACAAGAACCAGCGAAACCCCGCGTAACCCCCAAGACACAAGCACAGCTGCGTTCCCCCTTCGCAGTCGAGATACCCCGGTCGTACGCTCCACACCCCATACCCGCGAGAAACTCCCGCCCATAACCCAAACCCGGCAATTCCTTTCGCAGGTAAGCAGACGCCGTCAGTTATGTTGACCATGTCGCACAGAAGGAAGCTGGGATGCTGTCCGCTGGCGCGTAATTGCGTTGCGGGCCGACTTCTCCGCTACCGATCTGCAACGAGTGATAGGAGTTCGAACGTCACTAGAAGATTGGCTACGGGAACCCATACTTGGTAGCCCTGATCGGAGGACGTCTCTTCCGCGTGGCTTGGCAGAGTTGCGGCCCAACGGTTTGCCAAGCTGAGAAGGCTGACTTCAAGTTTTCTCTTCCGACTCCTGTCCTCCAGTCCTGACGAACATGGCAGAGGCTGATTTAAGCGGGAAGATAGCCGCCACTCATTACGAGCATCTGCGCTCGTATCTGACGTCCTACTTGCAATCCCAACGCGATGCCGGGAACCCGAGCAACCAGAGGACATCCGCACGGGAGAAGCTGCTGAGGCTTACGAAACAGCAGTTCTCGGAGCTTTCTACCGACGTTTTTGATGAGATGAATAGGAGGTTGTTGGATTCGAAAGATGGTGAGCGACAACCAAAGCAGCTCTGAGCGACGGCTTTGATTCTGAGGAGTCGGGCGAAAAGTGGAGCATGAAAGCTAACCATCGCCCGTTGCGACGTACAGTGCCCTTCCTCCCTCTTCGAGATGATTTCCACCCGAAGCGGAATCAAGCCCGTCAAAAGCTGGCCACGCTCCCAAACTCCCGGTTCAAGGATCTAGCCAGCGATGTGTTTTACGAAGTTGAACGTCGCTTTCCGCAGGTTGTTCAGGACTACGAAGCACGATACGGCGTGGGACCGCTACCTGAGCAGGCTCAGAACAATCAGTCGGCCATATCCTCTGCGCCATTGCCGTCATCTTCGAATGACTCCTTCGCTGGCTCTGCGCAAAATGATCCCCGACAACCTTTCCCACAACAACAGCAGCAACAACAACAGCAATTCGGCGATAACTCCTACAGTCAACCCTACGAAGGCAAATCGTTATCGGCACCAGCACCTGCGAATGGATCTAGGGCTAACAACGACCCTTCCGCGGTGAATTTCGCTTCTTTGGACAACCTGATGGCTGATCTAGGAAACATGCTTACAAGTCCCAAACAGGGCTATGTAAGTGCTTGGGTGCAAAGGGCATTCTCATGGGATGGATGGGGCACCGTGACTGACAGGCATATGTCTTAGGCTTCTGGCGCCTCCACGTCATCATCTTCTGAAACGGAGCGTTTGAGGAGGGAAAATGAGACTTTGAGGCAGCGAGTCAAAGAACTGGAAGAAGGGCTTGACGTAAGCACAAAAAGGGAACGACGGGCAGGGCAATGCACCACATGTACTGATACCACCCTTCTACAGGATGGCCAAAAAAGCAAGGATCGGATTCAAGATCTGGAACAAAAACTGGCCGCGCAACATAAGGTACGCGTCGGGTTTGGAGACCCGGTCTCAAACGAGCGTTGCTGACCGCCTTCTTCACATGATAGATCAACGACGAACAAGCAGAGAGGCTGGAGAATCTGGAGAGTCAGCACGCGAAGCTGAAGGAATCTTTTGAGAGTGTACAGGACGATTACAACAATCAACAACAGGTGCAGTGGGAAAGCCTCGGCATTTTGTTGTAGGCGTGTATGACTCACGCTCGCGTCCATACAGATCGCCAACGACATCCGCTCAGAAGCCACCAACCTACTTGACGAGATCAAGACGTTGTCCAGGAAGAATGACGAGCTGCTAGCGGAACGCGATAAAGACCGTAGTATCATTGCGCAACTCAAGGAGGAGGTGAGCTATGATATTCATGTGCAGATCGGCGCTTCTTGGATCGGTGCTGACCCTTGTGATGCTTCAGCTGTCTCGGTCTCGCAGCGGAGAAGGTAAGCCGGCAATAGGAAAGGTATTGACTGGATCTGCGTCGGAGGAGCTAACGATTTCTTTGCAGGCAACGTCACGAGGGATAATGGGATTTCCGACCTCAACAGGGATTCCGTGGGATCAGAAGATGGAGTCATCGACCGGAGTCGTGTGAGCGCGTACCAGAATGCGGTGGACGACCTCTTGCGTGCGGCAAGGTAAAGCTTCAGAGAACGTTGCTGCGTTTCGTTCGGGGAGCCAGCCTGAGCACCTTCGATATTTAGGAGCGACGTCTCTACCAGCGTCCTTGTTGCCATGAAATCCATCGTCATTGCATGCAAAAACATCACCGAGGATGCAGAGACATTCGAGAATTCATCATCCGCACTAGGACCGGCAGATCGCGATCAATTGGCCGAGACAAAGAACCGGCTGGCTGGCGCCTTGAACAATCTGATGAACGCGGCCAAAATTCACGCGACGAACCCGGGATCTTCGAATGTCGGTCATCTCGACAATTCCGCTACCCAGCTGACGGCGACGATTGTAGAATTGGTTAAACAGTTGAGGTTGAAGTCATCTGATAACTACTATCAGGATGATGATCAGGATCGTAGAATTAGCCGAGATGGACGATCTGACGCTTTTGAGATCGACGAGCTCAAGGTATTGTATCTCGAGTGACTGAATCTACGCAACAAACCGTCTCGGGCCGCGAAAGGGGTGCAGTCTCTTACCATAGTCGCACTACAGATATACCTGGAAAAGCAAACGGATCAGATCGTCCAAGCCATCCAATCCCTCCTGCTGGCGATGCGCCAGTCCACGTCGTTCGGGCAGTCGTTCTCGGACACGGTCACGAGCATCACCACGATCGTCGACAACCTTGTCACAGTCTCGCGCACGACACTTGCCAAACCCGCCGCTGCAGAGTTCCAAACGCGCGGAGAGATGATTTTGCAAGACTTGTCCAACTCCAATGTCAAGCTGGACGAGCTTGGCAGGAATATGCTGGCGATGCCGCAAAGCAAGACTTTGAAGCAGAAACTGGCCAGCTCTAGTTATGAGATTGCCAAGGTACGTGCGAGTGGGACCCCTATTTGTGGGGTCTCCGTATCGCATTGTGATGGGCGCTTTCTTGTTTCGATGGTACTCATGTGTGACCTCGCCTTTCAGTACGTCAAGGAGCTGATCAGCTTAATCGAGTGATCGCATCTTTGCTCGGGATACGCACGCAAAATCAAAGCAATCCTGTTCAACTACGCACATCCTTCGACAATCAAAGCACCTTGCTCGACATCGCCGCCAATGCATACCAAGTATATCGAAACCATACCAGCCGCGACTCCGTTCCCCCACCAACCCGCTCGACCATCATTCCCAACCATCATTCCCACGCACGCAAAGCACGACATCCAGAGAGGCCCCCCCAAGCCCAACCACCCATTCACTTTTCATCTTGTTCACCTTTTCCTTCACATCCCGTTTTCCAATCAGCTATACTCTTATGCGCCCTCCAAAGCGTGTTGCCCTCGTTTCAAGACGCCCCATTCATCATTTCAAGTTTTTCTCACGTTTGGGTTCACTCAATTTCAGTCTGGTTCTTTCGGACTGAGGCATCATCTTTTATCTATAATACATACAATTAATAGAGTGTTCATCCAGGTCTTGCAATGGGCATTATTGGGTATCATATCACGAGAAAAAGATTATGCACAACTTGAGTGGACGAAACAGGGAGATGTATCGTCACTAGAATATCGTCAAGCTGCTCCGCTTCCCTTTTCCGATCGACAGCACGCTTTCCCGATGGAGGCTCCGCTGCTTCACTTTCTGATGCAGTTCCCCAAGCCACAGGACCTGCTCATGCTCCCTCCAGTATCGATTGATGGAAAACACCGACATGATCCGATTCCGCAAGCCGAGGCCCAGCTGAGTTCGCAGTTGTGAGATGCGCGGGGCCATGATGCGTTCACACAACATCTCGCCGTCCGCCGTCAGGAAATCATTGAGCGACGCGGTCTCGCCTTCAAGGCCGTCGGTCATGGCAAGCACACGCAGCTGCCCAAGCGCAAGCTGACGCGGGCGGGACGGCGGCACCACCCATCCAAACGTCTTCTTGGACGTCGGGTCTCGGATGACTTCCCTGCTCCCGCCGACATCAGTGCAGACGACAGGCAGGCCGCAGAGTCCCGCCTCGCCCAACGCTAGTGGCAAGCCTTCCGTGATCGATGAGTTGACAAACACGTGTCCTGTCGGCAGCACCGCCGACGGGGATCCAAGGCCTTTCAGGAACACGTTCTTCTCAAGCCCGTAGTTGGCAATCGCGCGCAAACACAGCGCAGTGTATGGAGGGTCCTTCTGAGGCGACCCGTAAATGTGAAGCTGGTAGGATTCGAGATGGAACTCCCGGACGATGATCTTGGTCGCGTTGATGGCGTTCATGACGTCTTTGACTGGCGAGATATGCGACAGCATCACGGCGGTGGGCACCGAGGGGGACTTTGTGAAATCTGGGCGGAACTTGTCCACGTTCATACCGTTGAGAACCGGGTTAATACGTCGGTAGAGCGAGCGGGTTAGACGATCATCGTTGTCTTTGCCTGCGAAGTGAAGAAATGCGGTGAATAAGGCTTCTGTGTTTCTAGGCTGTGGCATCTGGAACATAGCAGTACTCACCACCGCCTATCCACGCTTCCCAATCGACGTTCTGTATACTTGTGCATGGTGTGATGTAGTCAGCTCTAAAAGAAAAGGGACATGATTCAAATGGTTAGATCGACGATCATAGCTTGTAAGGTACTCAAGACCATGCGTTACCTCACAAACACGATTTTGGCCACCAGGCGGTTGAACCCCGCAAAGATGATTTGCGCAAACCTCGGCATCCCCTCGTCGAAGCACAGCCCAAAAAGTCTTTCCCTCCACAGGATCCCATGATCCCATACAATCAGAGAGCAGCCGTTCAGCTTTTTTGCAATGACGCCTACGATTGCCTGTATCCCGTGATGCGACGAATGTATGACGGGCACCTTTGGCAATTCCATCGATAATGCCATAAGCAATCGTGAAATCAGATCGAACAGCATCTCGACTTCCCGCAGCGTTGGCGTCTCTGCTGCCTGGAGCTGGTGCTCTTCAAAATATCTCCACGAAGTGTTGAGCCAACCCTCGATCCACGCTTTTTGCGTTGCCTTGTTGTTCCATAGCGTAACCCAGTCATGGGCTTTGACGACTTCGTGTAGTTCGACAAACATTCGTTCGTACCCGTCCACATCGTGGAGCTCCTCTCCCATGCAACCTTGCACTAACTTGGTGATCAAGGGCACAAATCGCTTTTCGATAATGGATTGGCTCGTATATCGAGTTTTGGCCTGTAGTTGCGTGTACGGGACCGTGCGCAGAAGGTTCTCATTCGGGGTGCCGAAGTCGAGATCCCATAGTGGGATGTACTTGATGGAGTCGATGTGCCTTTCGATGGGATAGTCTTTCTGGACCAGATCTGCAGAGCCCAATTCGCAGTAGGCTACCCAGCGTATCCTTGGTAAACCTGCAATCAAATCACGTCGACATGATCCGACTCCACCTCCGCCCGTGGGCCAGGTCCCGCTGTCGAGATTCATGACCGGCAATGTCTCGTTCTTGCCCGATAGCAATAGGGCTTGATTTTCGTCATCCTCTGGTGAAAGCCGCTCCGCATCACCGCCACAGCCCAGAATATGTAAATCGCCGTACCGTAATTGAAGGTGCGTCCGTGTCCACGCCTGATCCGTCAATTGCAATTCGGTCGTCAGAAGGTGTTTCCGCGACCGAAGCAACTCTTGAGCGGATGCACGCATGCCAAAGTCCCTTCTCCACCAATACCCGTTCAGCAGTTTTTCCTTCCGCAGGAGTCTCTCATCAATATCTCGCGCGAACGGCGCTGGGATGTCTCCTGAGCGCCATGCAACCCATAACGCTTCTCGTTGAGCGATGGTGGAATAGGCACGTGCGAAGAACTGAATTTGTGATACGGGTCCCATGAATGAGGTTTTTGTCTTCTTGGCACGAAGCCCGTATGACACGAAGTCCGAGCTTTCGCGGAAACTCAGCGGTGGTTGCCTGGCCAGCAGTCCATATTTGTCTTCCAGAATTTCACTGGGAGTCGGAACGGACCTAGGTGGTTTTCCGGGAGCCTGTTCAACTGTCTCGTAGCGGACATGCTCAGGATGTGAGTAGTCAAGACGGGTGTGTATGGAAGTTGGCGCGTTATTTCTTTTGATGGTGATCCCATAGAATCTGGGATGTTGACCCGGCCTCAGAGATGACGGCGAATAAGTAATATCCCATGTCCAATCTTCTCCGGAAATGCAAGTGAAAATACCCCTTTCAGGGATATGTGGCTTCCGATGGTTTTTGTAGACGTACTTTGCGGTCACTGTAAATGAGACGCCGTTCTTGGCAGTCAGAATCAGAAGGGAAGACCCAACGACCGCGTTGGTTCCATGCGGTACGAATCTGTGCACTTCCAACGGCTCGATTTGGAGCGCCGAATCATCACTGGTTGGGTCGTGATGTCCTTCATATATCGTGCGTGTGTTGGGTAAGGCGGCTTCCGGTGACCGATAGCCGTAGATGCGGGTTTTGGTGACCTTCCCCGAGCCATCCAAGATGTGTTCAGTCACGAGTTGCGGGGCGACATCTCGAACATGCACTCTCGGTTTGTAATAAGCCCTACTTTGAGGGGTCGCGTTCCCGCGCTTCCATTTCGTTGGCCTCATCCCAAGGATCACAAATCGTTCCGCCGTTATCAAGCCCGTCTCCCTATCTATCCCGTCGAAATCTGGAAATGTCGTGATGATGGTATGTCCGGGCCCGTAAAAGGTCTCAACTCGCGCCAATCTACTCGAGTCGTTCTCATCAATGTCAAAATGATGCTCACGGATGAGCACCTGCTGCATACTCATGAGACCCTTCCCGTACTTCGCATCCGTGTAGAATGCGCAGTCTTGGGCAAAATCGAGCATCTTGCGGCTCACAGCATACAAGCATCCCATACTCCAGCGAATCGGTGCACTAAACTGGGTGATTTCGGCCCCGAAGTGCTCGTCGGCTGTCAAGGCAAGATAAAGGGCAACACGCGTGTCCAGCACAGCGTCCACCCTTCGTCGCAGCCAGTTCCTGCCTCGTAGCAATCGACTTTGGTGGGCATGGGTATCGGGTTGGGCAGTCCGTGATCCGGGAAGCGAATAAAGGTCTCGCAGGTTCTCGGCCACGAACGACAAGAGTATGCATTCGCAGATGTGTTCCCCAAGGTCGAAGGAAGGATTAAACGCAAAATATCGGGAAAGCAGCTTCGGTCGTTTATCTATGAGCTTTTCCAGACTCCGTGGCATCCTCGCGGTCTGAAGCGGAGAGCGGTTTATGACGAGTTGTTTCACCATCTGCAAAAAGAAGTGTTCCTTACCACTCTGACTTCAGAAACGATGTACCACCAAGCCTTCGCCAAAGATATCAAAAAATGTTTCTCCTCGGGATCTAGCTTAGTTCGCCACAAATCATCGACCTTGACATCGATGTCGGCTTTTCCATTCATAACATTGCCTGTATTCAGCGTCAGGAACTCTGCCAAAGCGTCATCAACCTCCTGATGCTTTAGCCGCGTGGAGATTAGCAAGTGCGCCCAATCTGAAGTTACTTGGAAGAGGCTCGGCGTAGCGACGAGCTCGGCAGCACAAGCTGTAGAATGTGGCAGGTCCCTGCACTCCACGTATTCGTGAATCACTGATTCTACAATGGTCATCAAATCTCCCTGATCGGTAAGGCGCGGGTTCTGGGGTGCCAGGAAGATAAAGGTAGTCCGATCAACCTTCGCCGATACTGCAGAATATTTTGTGACACCTGCTTTCAATGGCTTCTGCGTGCGGTAAATCTCAAGTGCACCGGACTCCAAATCCGCCAGCAGGCTTTCGATAATGGGCACCAGTCCTCGGAAGGCCGTGCATAAAATGTGGCCTCCTGGCGATCTGAGCATCTTATGTGTTGACTTGAGGCGCTCGCGGAGATCGTCGCAGACGTAAGAGCGGGTGTCAAACTTATTGTGTCGGTGGCGATGTGCAATAAGATCTGCTACCAGCTCGTCCCGGGCCGCTCCGTCAGTCTTTGTGATCGGATATCCAACTTCACGCTGACCGGAAGTTGTGAGTAAAGGCGCTGGAGAGAGTATTGTGAGTGGCTTGTCGTAAGCGCCAATCCGAACTCAAATGGCACTCACAGATATGCAGGCCGTAATAGAAATTCTGCATACGCTCCAGTGCTTGACTTGCGATGCATCCAATGGCAAAAAGCCAGCCACTGATGATAAGAGCGAATGTGGAGTAGTCGGTCCGATCGAAATGTCTCACCATGAAGGCTGAGATAAGGGTCCCGAGGATGAGGCCGATGGCCAAGAAGGCGCTCAAGGTCGCCTCCATCGAGATCACGAACAGTTTGTTAAAGAGCCCGAGAAGCAATCCGACAAACCCTGCGGAAGATAGCAAGTAGTTCCAGAAAAGATCGTGCCTTTGCATAGAGAACGCAACAGCGGCCATGATGCCAGAGATGACTGCCCAGATGCCGAACATGCCCATCACGAATCTTCTTGCTTCGGTCGCATATATGCTCTGTAGCGCCCGCCGTTGACCCAGTAGGATTTCCATCGGGCCCTTGGTGCTGCCGAGAGGCACTGTCTTCATATCTTTGTGCCCAGCAAAGATGCTTGAGAGCGCCAGTTCGAGGAGCCCCGAGGCTGTAAGCAGAAAGACTGTGCCTCCAATGACCCCCTGCACGTAGTCTTTCTGCGCTCCTGTAGACACCAGCAGGAACAACGGCCGGCCAGTGGCAATCAGCACACTCCAGCGATCAGAAAAGATCATGAGGAAGTACAGAAACCCGAATATGATGGCGGAAATCTCGTTATCGAAGAGGATGCCTCCCCGATTGAGCTTTTCGACGGTATACTTCTTTCTCAATTCCTCAACGGCCTGTTTCGCAGTGCTGTCCCATTCGCTCGAAAACACCTTGGGCTCCTTCATCCCCGACCGTTTGATGTACCAAGTCATCAACTGGAACTCCCAGTACCAATTCTTCAAGCGCTTCCGAAACACCGGATCCGGATTGATTTGAAACTTCCTCAAGGTGTTTTCAGCTTGCGATCCAAACCATTCAGCAGCGGATCGCTCCCAATGCCGCGTCCGTCGTCCAAACGCGTCGGCGCTCTCCGTCTCTACGCGCACCGGTCGCGGATGTTGACGGACATAAGTTTCCACAATCTCATCTTTCGAAGGTAAGGTGACCGTATTTGGCCATTCTAGGTAGGCCGTAGCCAACGTGGAATAGGAGTACGCCATGAAGGAGGTGGCGACCAGCATGGCGCCAATGTACATGCTCATTAGAACGTATTGGTTCGTATCATCGTCGAGTACGAAGCGGCAGATGAATGCGTTGGGGATAAGAAATATGCACGCTTGGCAAATTGCCTTAATTGAAATTGTCATTAAATCTTATCGGCCAGCCGCACCAAAACGCAGACGCTTACCTGAGGACCAAGGCCTCTAAAGAAATAATCATCCGGATTCCGGAGAAGAATCAATCCTGCAAACAAAACCATAAAGATTCTACATAGAACACAGCTTTCTGTTAGCAACATCCTTCACCTTGCCGCCGCAGCCTTGATGTACACCCTACCCGAATATAACCGCGTACGCCCACGACAGAGCCGCCAATATCCAGTCGTGCGTCCGGTAGGCGGTAATGCCGCCGCAGAGCAGTCCAAATGCGATGAACACAATGACTGATGCAACTAGACGCCGATTGAACGCGGCCACCATGCATGGCATGCTCATCTGATAGAAGTAGTATGATACAGTACGTCCCACAGAGTTCATCATCCCACCGATGATCGGGAACATGACTGAAGGTTTGAAAACGAGTTAGCATCTCGATGAAACATGCAGCAGGGGACAGCTCACGTACTTAGAAGTGTAAGGCTGATGGTCTCCTGTACTTGCACCTGCATGCGGAAAGTGCTGAAGATGCCCGAATTCAAGGTCAAGCCGAGCGCTATGTCCAGAAATATAAAATACACATATATAAACGAGTTGGCGACGGAACGTGTAGTGATCAGGACACCGGGTGCGTCCTCTTCTTCGACCGAGTTTTTCTCAGCGAGTTCAACCGCGTCGGGGTTCTCCACGTCGCCACCGACATCTTTAGCGGCATCCAATGGGTGTGAGGCCACAAATGGTCGCTTCTCCATGTCCGCAATCGCAATGCGCCTCAAAAGTGGATGCATCTCTTGTGCCATGATCATGCTTTTGATGCCGAAGACCGCCAGTAGGTTTGGATTTGATGTGACCATCTCCAACGACACCGCGACTTGGTCAGATTCCGGTAGGAAGAAGGGGTTTGTATCTTGCAGCTGGATCAGCAGATCCTCGAAAGCGACACGCTGAATAGCTTTCCACATCGCTCGGAACACGTAACACAACATGTAGCTGTCCGTTGCGTCGTCACTCGTAGTCTTTTCAGTGACGGGCCGCAAAGCAAGTTCTTCGTGAACCCAGCGTGCGGCGGCCGCAAGGCTTTGGTCCCCACCGAAGTTGAGGGTGCATTGATTGATATATGCCAGCATGCGCTTTTCAAAAAGGTTCTTTGGTATGTAGTAAGCTTTTAGCGCTTGTCGCTGCCGACTCACGTATTCTAAAATACTAGATGTGAGCATGGAAAAGCGAGCTGAAAGGCCATGAACCAAGATGACGCACCGGACTCTTCCATTAAGTAAAACTCTGCCAGTTGGAAAAGATACTTGTTGACCTCGGATAGGTAAGCCCGCTCGCGTCCTTTCAGAGCACGATTGTCGTGCACGTCCTTCAGCACGCGGTCGCTATCACGAATGATGGACAAAAGTTCTGAAGGGCACGAATCTTCCACTTGGAAGCATAAACGCCGCGAGATGGGAATCACCCTCTCCGAAGAACCACTCTCTTGAGCCCTGCAACAGAGGAGTTAGGTCCCGGTTCGAGAGTTTGATGATGCCAGACCTCTGCGTACCTAATCAACCCCTCAGCAACAATGCAACGAGACGTCGACCACTCATACGCATACTTGAAATACAAGTGTACAACCACTTCAGCGTATGACGGCACGCTTTGAGCGACAAAAAAGTGCAAGTCCTCCCCACGCTTGCTTGCGATCCCGCTAACAGGCGTGTAGGGCAGACTCTCATTCGACAAGATGAACGCAACATTCACTGGCAGCCAAACGTGATAACGACCGTGTTTGAGACCCTCCAGCAATTCCCAGATGCCAGTGACAGTCTCGGCTTTGGCGGTACACGACAACAGCCACTGTGTTGCGGGCGTTGGCTCGTGGACGATTCCTTCCAAAGTCTTGAGGAGGTTAGCATAATCAGGCAGAATCAATGGTGGGTGGGTATCGTTCGACTTGACCAGATCAACATTGAACTTTGCGGACGCCAGGAGTTTCTTGTCAAGGAGCTCTAACATGCTCAACGACAGTGTCTCGTACACCTCTCTTCGCCGCGGTGTCCCATATGTATCCACTCCAAAGTTGTTGACACACGGGATCGGCTGGTGCACGGCCTCTTCCCAGCGCGGAATTTGGAAGTCGGAATCATCAGTCTGGATGATATCCGTACTCGGCGGCAATGGCTTTGTAGGTCGTCCGCCCAGCTCCGTTAAATACCCGATCCACGTCTCTTTACTTTCCGCCACTTCCCACGCTTCTCGCAAATCGTACGCCAAAGTCGGTATACCCTTGACGCGGGCCCATGCTCTCGAGGATATTACAGGCTGATACTTGGCCGCCGTGAGCTCCCCAATGCGCGTGTACACCATCTCTTTACAGGCGATGACCTCAGGCTGCATCGCAATCTCGAAGATTCCGTCATCTGGAATGACGATGCGGTCCATGGTTTTGATGTCGTTCAGAACCTGGTATGTTGGGTCTGGTGTCGTCCATGCTATGAAGCCGTTCACCGATGCCCATGTGATGTAGGCACGCAGAATGGCTGCTGAGATTTGCGCTGGAGGGATGGCGTGGGATTGCAGGACCATAAAATCTGTCCGCAGGGATATTTCGACGCTGAGCTGCTTCACGAGTGCGGCTATCTTTGTTCTCCGGGGCCTGCATTGGTGACGAAAACGAAAATGAATCGCTGCGGTTGCGACAACAGAACAAGTGTTGAGCACGTACCCGAAAAGGATCTTTCGCTTCCCTTCTCGGTCAAAGTACATGTTTGACAGAACAAACCCATTGACATGATCGCGGAAAGTATCCCAGGCAATGACAAAATCAAAGAATATGAGAGCCTTGGCATACTCCTTCGCAGCCTCCCCATTCAGGTAATTGATAATCCTCTTCAACTTGGAATCAAACCGTGGGATTGTCCTAGACAGCTCCTTGATCCCCATGAGCAAGAATCCCGAAATTGGGGATGGCATTGTCGTCAGGCCTTCCATGATATGCTGCACAACATAGCGAACGAAACTCGATCCGGCCGACCGGCTTGTCGTGTACTCCTGCTGAAGCTCCCTCAAGTCGACGGCAGCCAGGATGTGTTGCGTCCGCGCCACAACCGTCTGCTCAAACGCCTCATGCACTGACGCCGGAACCGAGAACTCTGACGCAGCAGAGTTGGACGATTTGCCCCTCCATTCATCCAACATCCCTTTGAGCGATTTGACACTTCCGAAGCTGCGATTACGCGCGAATTTGAGCGACTTGAACGACGCGATGGATTTACGCCGGTCCGCGCGCGGCGTTTTAGGCTCTGCATCCGATGCCTGGTCCTCGCCATTTGCAGCGGCGGGGTCGCGGTCCGTGTTCATGCGGAGGTGCAAATCTCGCAGGGACGAGAATTTCAATATCAGGACATCTACAGGCTGCCACGTTGAATTAGTTGCGACGAGCGGCCGGATGTCGTCGCCGAAGTACATGGCGAAGCTCTTGACTGTGGTGGAGTCGAAGAGTTTGCTGTTGCGGATTCTGGACTGGCTTTCGTACTCCTCGGCGTCGAAGAGGGTGGGTTGCCCGCCAGTTGAGGCGAGACTGCTCCGTCGGCTGGTTCCCGCATCTTCTTTGTGTGCGGTCATGACTGTTTTTCGGGGTCTATGATACCGAATACGGTATTGGCACTGCTATTTGAGAGCCGCGAGGGAAAATAACGTTTGGCGCAAGTTGTCGGGGCTTGGAATTCGGTCAAAAAAAGTGCTGACTAAATTTCACGCTGTCGATTTTTCCGACCCCTGCCTTCTGATCTAGCACGACGACATATACACGGGCTTCCCGCATGTACAAAAGCATGCAAGGAAGGAGCCAGCAATTCTCGAAATATGTATGGAAGCTCGCGAAGGCAGGCGGAAAGCAACCTTCGCCGACTAATAAGCGAAAAAGGCTTGTGACAAGAATTCGCCACCGCCCAGGCGCCGAGGCGCCCTGAGCCCGAACCAACCATCGCTAGGTCGCGAGCTCGCGCATGCATACGCGCATGGCTTAATTTTAAAAAGTCAAAAATGTGCAGCTGTTGGAAGTGTCATATCGGTAGATAACCCTAACCCCAATAATAGTGTTTCAGATGCATGCAAGCACGAGGCTTAGCAGCGAATGTTCGATTGTTTGTGGGCCACAGGCGCCGCGCATGTCCGCTCAAACGCGCGACAGAGATCGCACAGTGCGGCGTGCCAAGCCACTTCCGGAGAGGAGAGGAGGACTCCCACCACACTGACAGCCGGCAAGTCTCGGCATTGTGGCGAGAGGCAGTGAGCACAAGTATTATCAGACCAGAGACCGGCAGTAGCAGCCTCTCGTAGACGGAAGCTCAGCGTAACAAAAAGGCGGTCGTCCTCGTCTCGCCCCTCCATACCTTCAAGTCCCGACCTGGAAGAATCACACCCCCTCAACCACGACCAGTCCACTACCTACAATAATGCACCCACCAGGCCTCACCACCCTCCTCCTCGGCTTCCTCGCAACAGCCGCAACACCCGCACTCGCGGCACTCACACCATGTCAGAAATCACTCACCCAGCAACTCACTAACGAGTTTGAAAATAGTCGGAGATTCTTTTCCTTTGACTATTGTGAGGATATTGGGGATGGCAGGGGTTATACCGCAGGGATGGTTGGGTTCACCACGTGAGTAGAATTACGGGGGCGATAGTGAGCGACGAGCGATAGCGAGCGCAACTCCGCCGGAGGCGCAGGGATGCCTGAGGGATTCCGAGCGCAGCGAGCGAAAGTGAGCCCCAACTGGGCGTAGGCCGGGCAAAGCGAGGCCCAAGAATGCTTGAGGTTCGCGAGCGAAGCGAGCGCCGGTGTTGTACTCCAACGAGCGAAGTTGGTTCGGTGTGGGAGACCGATAGGTAGACCAGAGCGAAGCCTTTTTGTTTGCGTGCGAGCGACGATGGTCGATGGTCGATGGATGATGATGGTCGATGGGTTGAGGGTCAATGGTCGATGGTTGATGATGTTCATGGGTTGATGGTCGATGTTTGATGGGTTGATGAATTGACTCCCTTCCTCCCGCAATCTAGAGCCACGCACGACGCCTTCGCGGTAGTCTCCGCCTACAAACTCTCCCCCAACTACACCCTCGAATTCGATTCCACTTACGACACGCTCCTCGCCCTCAACCAAACCGGGTCCTCATCCACATCGGGGTTGGCCGACTTCTGTCCCGCCTGGCGCACCGCCGCCGCCACGAATCCCTCCTTCCGCGCCTTACAGGTCAAGCTTGCCGATGAGATGTATTTTAACCCCGCGGAAGCGTTGAGTGATACGTTGGGGTTAACTCTGCCGCTGGCGAGGGCGCAGTTGTATGATGCGGCGGTGCAGATGGGGATTGGGAATGATACGGATTCGGTGCCGGCAATGGCTGCGCGGATCCCGTCGGTTGCGCAGGCTGGGTCTGAGGACACCTGGTTGAGGTAAGTTATCGTTGACCCTCTTTTTGCCCCAATCTTTCAACTCACACTTCTTCTTGTACTGGTTTTAGCAACTTCCTAACCGAACGCGCCCGCACCCTCTGCAACCCCGCCGAAACCGCCTTCCGCAAGTCCTGGTGCCCCACCCTGTACCGCACTAATTCCTACACGCACCTCCTCACCACTTCCCAATCCAATTTCACCGAAACATTTACCCCGCTCGACAACGATGGTCACGGGATAACACTCAATTGCGATCTGGCGATTTGGGATACGTTTGTCCCGTTGCCTGTGACGGCACCCGGTGGGGGTGGGTTGAGTACGGCGGCGAAGATTGGGATTGCGGTGGCGGTTATTGTGGTCGTGTTGGGGCCGGTGGCGGTGTTTTTGGTGTATACGAAACGGAGGTTCGGGGCTTGGGGGAGGTGGCCGGCTTGGAAGAAGTGAAGCTTGGGGCTCGCTACGGAGCAGGGTGGACCCTACGCTTTGTGTCTGAGGTTGTGGTCTATCCGCAGAAGACACACGCAGAAGACACATTCCGCTCTTCTTTCATATTCATTGGACACCCCTCCAACATACGGCGTAGGCTTTTCTTCGTCAGAAGTTTTTGAACTATCCCATCCCATAATCTGCCTCAACATTCATTCATCCGTCTCCTTAATCACTATATTGATCACTTCACCAACCCATGTGCATAAATATATCGAACCCTACAGCGGAGCGAAAGATGTACATGCTGAATTGGGATGGTACAGGGGTATCTACAGATGTCGGGGTCGTGGTCGGGGTCGTGGTCGGGGTCGGGATGAGAGAAGGGTAATGGAGTGGGGGGGAGGTCACCAGAAATGGTCCATAACAGCCAGCGATCCTATCCGCGCGACGAAGCCTGCCGCATTTGCCTACAAGACAGCAACGCGAGAACGGGGTTGTTAAGCTCCGCCATCCTACACAGGTAAAAAAAAAAAAAGAAAAGCAGGATGGTTGTTCTCAACTCACCGGCACCAATCTTAACAACGCCGGCGCAGTCCCCCTAAACAAGCTTCCTAACCCTTCGGTCCTGACTAACCGTTTGGCCGCGTCCGTGAAGCCGAGGTAGGTGCCGGGTGGGGAGGATTGGATGCGGGATTTTATGACGTCGCTGGGCTGTTGGGGAAGGGAGGGGGAAGATATGAGTGGGATTGGGATTAAGGATGGGGTTGGGTGATGGGAGGTGAGGGAGGGGACTTACTATGGCGATGAACCAGAGGGCTGTTGCTCCGATGCCTGGAGGAGAAACGGAACGAGGTTTAGCACACAGGCCTAAGCTTTCTGTCTTCCCCGCACGCCGTTCCAGACGCTCAAACCTCCCAAACTTACCAGCCCCGAGCACAACAGGCTGCACATCCGTCCACGCCCTCTCCCTCCCAGTTCCACCTTCCTCTATCCCGCCACCACCCGATCCCCCCATAGCGGCATGATGCACCATCTCATAAACCACAAAATACGCCGCAAACCCCGGCACATCCCTCGCAAACGTCGCAAAGGTGCCTCGAAACAAGGGCCGGAGGCCTTTTTCTTCTCTTAGTCCGGCCCCACCAGTGCCGTTCCTCGGTTGTTGTGCAGCCCCGGTGTTGCTACTACTACCCGGGCCCTGTCGCTGCTGGTAAAACCTCTGCTGCTGTTGTGCTGACCACGACGGTAAAGGTGCGAGGTATGATCGGAGTGAGGTTCCGGGGACGGGTTTGGTGTTCGTGGAGTGGAGTGGTGGGCCGTCGCGAGTTTGTAGGGTGACTTTAATCTGCTCGGTTGGGGTGGTGACGATGGTGGTGGGGATGGCGGCGAGGGCGCCGGCGAGCATGGAGTCGCGGATCCAGGAGGACGATGTTGGGGGGTGAGTAGCGAAGAGGGAGTGGGAGATGTGGAGGCCTACGTCGTAGGCCTGGTGTGGAATCTTAGTCGGAAGTCAAAGCCGACCGCGCACCCCGTTCGGTCCCCCATCTCACAGACCGCAATGCATGAAAGAACATACCCAGAACCGAACAGCATACCGCGGCGTAACGGCCAACAACGGCGACGCCATCCCGCGATACAGCCCCATGATCCCATTGCTACGCACCACGTTCCGACAACACTCAATCATCCCAATGCTCTGCCGTGCGGCGTTGCTGTTGTTGTGCGTCTGCATTCGTACTGGGGAAACACGATATGTCAGTAACTATATGTCAGTGTGAGCAGACTCTCGATGTCGAAGCCCTTGGGCACCCAGCCATTCATAACCCGCATGTCCCTACTCTAAACTAATGACCGATGCTAACCTTTGATCGTATCGAACGGATGCTACCAGACCGACAAACGCAAATATGGGAAAACCCCAGTAGAAGGCAAAACGAAAGACATGAGTTGCATGCCTCCTAACATCATATGTCACCTCCCACAGCGCATCCCGAACCACGTATCCCCCTCAAAAGCCCAATCCCATGCTCCTCTTCCCCTCTTTCAAATACTCCCACTCACCCCAGCAACAACAGTGGCCATCCCGGCCGCTGCGCCAGATATCACACTCTTCACATGATCATTCCCCAACGCCGCAGTTCCAAGGTCTGCCGTCCTCGTCCCTCCAACTGGGGATATCGATACGCGGTCGTCAACCGTTTGTGCGTCGTTACTACTACTTGATAGTGGTGGTTGTGTTGGGGTGGTGGTGGTGGTGGGAGGCAGTCGGGAAGGTTCCCGGGGTTCCCGGGGTTCCCGAGAGGGTCGGCCGAGAGTGCTTACGGCTGTTCGGTGGTCGTACATGGTTGGAAGTGGGTTGTGGGAGCGGATGCTGCGAGGGCAGTTGGGTATTGGGGGTTATCCATTTGGTGAGCCTCACGATGTTGTTGTGGGGGTGGCCTGGAGGAATGTGTTTTGCCGACTTGCCATCTGCCAGCGTCGCACCTCCGAGACCAGTCCGAGAAGGGAACTCAGCCCGTGACGTGTTGGATGCGCTCCAAGTGACGTTCGACAAGCATGTCCCTAGGCTTCCAATACCCACGGGGCAACGAGCCATCTCAAAAGCACTGTAGATTCGTTTCTAGCTGGGCATCCTCACGGGGCGGAACTGTCGCTTCAGTCACTCGCAGCCTTCACTCTGCAAAAGTTTCAGCTGTACCAAACGAGCTTGCCAGTTTGTGCACAAGCACATCGGATAAACAACACCCGCTCGCTGCCGCCGCAGAACCCACCACCGTCGCTCAACCACAATATCTCAAACCCTGCTCAATACGCCAAGAAAACTCTCCCTCCACCCACGGCATAACTTGCGCTGGCGGCCATTTCAGCTGCAGCGCCCCCACCTCCCAACGTTTCGCCACCTACATACGCTCCAAAAGCGAGCTCATCCTCCTACGAGAGAACAGCGGACGGATCACCTGCCCTCTCAACCGGCGGGTGGCACATGGGAGGAAGGATGTTGAGGACAATGAGTGCGAGATTTATGTTGAAGAGGTGGAGCAGTTGGGGGTTTTGGATAAAGGGGAATTTGGTGGCTTTTGCGGGGGTACAGAGGAAGGCTGCTTTTGCGGGGGTACAGAGGAAGGCTATTGCGTTGGGATTGGGAATGAGATGCGTTTGAAGGAGGGTAATGCGAACAGGCCGGTTTACGCTGCCGGGCAGGTCCCTGAGCCGCATCCAACTGGAAACCAAATGGACACACCCAACGCAACAACCATAACAGAACACTACCCAAACATTCATCAACCTCCTCATCCTCCGCCGCCCCTGCTGCAACGAACAGCTGATCGACTGGAAACCCTGCTGCGCCGTGCATTGCGACAACCCACTGTGTCTTCCCCGAGTCCAGTTCCGCGGCGTATGTTTGGATTCTCATCGCGCCCAATGTGCATGCGAGAGCGTCTGGAGCAACATCAAGAGCGGCCAGCTCGTGAAACACAAAATCAAGAGCAACGAGAAAAGAGACAGGCAACACGAACAAGCGCGTTTGGAGCGGAAGAACGCTTTCGAGACGGTGAAACGGTGGATTGAGCTGATTACGTGCTGATGAGAAACGGGAGCGAGATGAGCTCGCCCGTTTTGGACCAAGCGCGTTTGGAGCGAGAGGGGATTCGACATTCTCGGAACCAAGCACCATGAACAAGCAAGATGTCATCAACAACAGGAAAGAGAGCAGGAAAAACGAGCATGTTTGCAGCAACACCGAAAGGCTGGAGAAAACGAACATTGGGAACTGCAAGAACGGTTGGAGCAGGAGAGAACATCTCGAGGAAGGGCACTGCGGGAATGTGGGCACAGACGAGGAGATCTCTTTGCTGCGGCGATCAGCGCGAAGAGCGAAAATGCTTGGAGTTACAGAGCTCGAGAGACATGTGGCAACAAGAGGACGAGCGAGACCGGTTGATGTTGGGGTTGGACAAAAACGTTGTCAAGATCAATTGGGAGCTACGGGAATGAGTGGAAGGTGAGAATGGCTAAAGAATGAAGGCCGATTGGAACAGGAAAAACCGGCTGCGGAGACGAGCCGAAGGAGAAATATGCTATGGACAGGAGAAATGCTACTCAACGTTGTGCGATTATGTGAATCCTTTTCTCGTCACTCGAAAGAGCACCGTTCCAGAGTAGGTCCTCAGTGTAGCAAAGTGATAAGGCGTAGTGCGGAGGCTAGGGATCAATAAATTCAATTCAAAAATCAAAAAAGAACAATCATGACAAAATTATAAAGCAGACGAAGGGATGCTCCGCTTCCCGTTTAAAGTGCGCACAAATGACAGACTCCTCTCTAGCCATCAATCATGCCTATCGCCTTCTCCGGTTCTAATAAATCAGTGCTTTCCTCCAAACTGGGATTCTGTCACTCCCTTGCCCATCGCGGATGTGGAGCTGACACCGCCTTGCACTGTTTTGACTGTAGGAGAAACACAAGGAATCAATTACTGACGGCAGGGAATTGGAGTGATATGCAGGCACGGGACTTACTCAGGTTGTCAAAGTACTCGGCTCCAGACCACTTTTGATGTGCGAGAGTCTCGACACCGTTCAAACGTTCTTGTCGTTGGATACCCTCGACGTAGGCCAACATACCGCGCTTGGCGTAGTCTCGTGCGAAGAGATCCGTGATCAAGGCGTCGGAGTGGAACTAATGGTTGTACGAAAGCGTTGTTAGTGAAGTGAACTCTGATATGGACGCAATCACATATATGTCAACTTACCCCAGCCAACGTGATGAATTGCCAGACGAATCCAAGCTTGGCAATGTCTCCAATGAAGCTCGAGATTTGCGCGTCAGACATGCCAGCGGCATCCCAATTGAAGGATGGCGACAAGTTGTACGCGAGCATGGTCTCGGGGTGAACCTTGTGCACACCGGTGGCGAACTCTTGTGCCTGAGCAAAGATGGGCTTCTTGGTCTCCATCCAAATCAGGTCAGCGTAAGGGGCGTATGCTTGACCACGGTTGACGCAGGCGGGTGTTCCCCCTTGGTAGCGGAAGTAACCTTCACGCACACGTGGTGCGTTCCAGCACCAGAAGGGCTCGACACCGTAAGACTTGGCAAGGGCACGGGCCTTGGCGTTGGAGAGACCTTCCGCCTTTTGCAGGAATTCGTTCACGCTTCCGGCCTTTCCTGCGGCTTTCAGAGCGTCGACGACGGCTTCGGTGTACAGCTTGACGCCGGCCTTGTTGACCCAGTCGTCCTCTACGGCCTGCAACGCGGCGCCGATCTTTCCTTGGCGCTCAGCTTCCACCATCACGTCGACCAAAGGAAGGAGGCTTGGATTGGTGGAACCGAGGATGAAGGGGTGGTCACGGTAGTCGATGTTGGAGGTGATGAGGGTGGCAGCTTCTGCATCAGTACGCGCGACGACGATGTTTTCAACTCCCATGATGTCGAACTGCAGACGGACGGCAACAAGACGGTTGATGTGCTCAGAAATAGGGACCAGCACCTTTCCAGCCATGTGACCACACTTCTTGGTTCCGGCAGCTTGGTCCTCCAAATGAATACCAGCAGCACCACGCTCAACGAACATCTTTGCCAACTTCATGTTGGCCGTGATACCACCGTGACCGGTGTCGGCGTCGGCGATGATGGGCCTCAGGAAGTCCGTGAAAGGGACCTTGGCGCGCTCCCCAAGAGACAAGGACAGACGGTCCTCGCGTTGCTTCCTGTCGTGGAATGCCTGAGCAAGGAAAAGGTGCTCAACCTTGTTCGGGACAGTGTCCTGAGAATTGAAGGAAAAACGTAGGATTCAGTATGACGTGCCGCAAACTCGTTTTCCCACCGAACGTACACGCGGGCCTTAGAAACGCACCATGGGGTAGTCAGCAAGATCCGGTCCGGGCTCGTTGGAGGAGGAGGCAGTGGAAGAGCATTGCCATCCGGACACGTAGATCGTGTCGAGGTACTTGCCCATCTGGGCGACCTGGACGGGGTCGAGAGCACCGTAGGTGAAGGAGGCAGTCTTGTTCGCCTTGTGGTTTTGCAAAAGCTTCCACAGCTTCTTAGCTTGGTCCCCAGACGGGTAGGAGATGGGGAGGGTTCCACGCTTCTTCGCGACTGTGCGGGGAATGGAATGTGAGTACGAAGGTCAGGCAATGCGCTACACTGCCACCTCGCCCAACAGCCCCTGTACCCAACGCAGGCACAGCTAATCCAACGTACCATCTTCGGCGGAGTACGGCCTCTTGACGAGACGGAAACGCTCATTTTCCCACCAAGCCTTGATGGACTTGACCTCGGCATCGAAGACGCGCTGCTCTTCAGCGAGCGCAGCAGCAGAAAGCATGCGTTCTTGGGCCATCTTTGCGGATAAGGATGAGTGTGTGTTGAAGGTTGGGAAGGAGGATGACAGTTGCGTGGGAAAATAAAGTACGAAGTCGTAGAGTCGAGTTCGTTCAGCGCTGGAAAAAGAAATGGCAGAGTCGAGGAAGCTGTGTGGGGCTGATTATTTATGGGAAGGGAGGAGCCCTGTTGCCAAAAGGAGGCAATTGCGCGTGTATCCTGTGAGTCTCCTGCATGCACCATATGCGGAAACAATAGGAGCAAACGCATGACTCCTGGATGACAAGGCGCCGGGAGTGCCCGGAGAGGCCGGCGAGAACGCCCAGCCCTGACTCATCTCACATGGGAGCAAAATGATCCGGCTTTGGCATATGCGAATTGCTGTCACGAGGGGTCGACGAATTCTCATTCCATACTCTCGCTTCCGTCTTGACTAATCGCTTACGTGATTTCAAATGACATCCTTCGACACGTTTCACACGGCACACGCGTCGGACTTCGGTGAAGGTTGGAATCCCCAGATTCGTGAACAAGCTGGATCTACTAGACATGGACTTTGCCTTCTTCCCGATTGCGGTACTATTACGGGGTGCTTAAAGCCCGCACGAAGCCCGGGGCTACAAGTACCGGCACAACGAGTGGGTTGACGGGTTCGAGTTCTGGGTCTACCTGGCTCCGAGGGACCAGGTCATGATTGTGGATAATTGCCGATGGCGGGTGGATTAATTGGGGGGTTTTCGGGGGCGAATTGGGTGAACTGGGACGGGATTGTGAATTTTCAAACGAGATGGAATCCGGCGACGATGGGGACTGCGAATGAGTATAGATCCCGCAATCACTTTGTCGGTTGGCAGTTGGATGATTGAGTGAAATGATCCGTACCTGGCGAGAAAGGGAGGTTTCATAGCGGGCCAAGCGAGCGCCTCCTGCTAAGCAAATATCATTATTTTCCCTTTACATAATGCAGGTTGGGTCCCACCTCTACGGCCTTGATGGATATGAATACGATGGGCAGTGAGACGGGCCTGGTGGGAATGATAACTTTCCCTCGTGCTTTTCGGGGCAATAATCTACAAACGGTCCAAAAGAGTACGGTGTCCCTGACGCCGATGCCACAGGTGTCCTTCTCGTTGTTGAAACTGCAATTCGCCTGTCCGTATCGGCTATGTATTACTTGCTGGGCTTCGAACCCACCAGTTTCATCAGGACGGTACTTCATAGCCAGGGAACGGACGTATTCACCCAGCACGACGTCAGCAAGCGCCCGAATCGCAGTTTTGTATAAGTTACAAGAGGTGGAGGGAGACGCGGCAGTCGTGAGCCGCTTGCGAGTTCCTGGCATCTGTCCTCGATATCGAGATTTGAAAGGGATACTGAAAACGCTGTGAGAATGAGAACGACGGCTTTCGAGGAGACGCCGTCGGACTTTGGATATGGAGCAACTTGAAGGCGTGAAGTCAAAGGATTTCACTTCCAGACAACTGTACCGTATATGTATAATGTAGGTAGTGGATCTGGGCGTTATCGGTGGACAGAATCCGTTTCAAATATCCTATTGTCTTCAAACCGAAGTAAATAAGTGGAAGAGAACAATGAATGCATATGTCCAAGAAGAAGAAAACGCTTAAACTACAAGCTGGGCAACCTCCCAAGTCCCAGAAATGACCTTTCGCTTCACGCATCTTTTCACATGTAATACATCGTATGCTGGTCCATTGTTGACGCGACCTTGCGGAGGGCCACTGGAAGTTCCTGCGATGCGCCGCTGAGAGCTGATGCGGCGTCGGATCCAAAGTCGCCTTCTAGGAACATCCGGCCGTCTGGTGTTTTCAGGAAAGAGAGTTGGTCAGCCAGCGAGCTCGTACATGAGATGCGACGAGGCATTTGCTCAAGCATGGCAACTCACAGTAAGCGGCTAGATGCGCCCGATATGCAGGCGCGACCATGTTGATGCTCCGATTCGCTCGTTCAGATAAGAAGCACAGGTTATAGCATAGCTGCTGTAACTGGTCTGAACCCATATCCATGTCGTCGTATATGACGTGATATAGCGTCGGCCGGGATGTGCCTTGGAGGCCGGCGTGCGATTGAAGAATGAAGTTGAATTCGCTGGGATGTGTGATTACTGTATCAACCTGGGAGGATATCACAACGCAGGTGAGCTTAATGGGAAACTCAAAGCATCGCCCAGAGGGATGTCTCACCGTTGTACCCGGCAAACAATTCCCTGACTTGTCCTGGTTGTTATCATTCGGAAACAGCCTAATATGATGTCTCTTCTGCACAATCACAAACGTGAGCTGCGTGCCGTTCAGCTTGCGTTTGGCAAAGACCCTCTTGATGGCCGCGATCTCCGTCTCCCGCACTTCCTTGAACTGCCCGGAGGACACCCCGTCGCGGAAGAATATGACCCGCGCCGGGAACGTTTTCTGGCTGGATGCAAAGGCGTCAATCGCTTCGCCCATGATGCGTTCCATGTCTTGGATGATTTCGACTCGGGAGGCTTGTGCCGAGAGGAAGGTGCGGTATTTTGTGGCTGAGCGGTCGGTGGAAGTTACGACGGCGGCGACGGATGGCGCTGCCGACCCGGCGTGGGCGTGGGTTACGTCCGCGCCGCAGATGAGGGTGGGCTTATCCATCAGGGGGAGTTTGTCGACGAAGTTGGTCGCGCCTCCCATTTTGACGTTCACCTGCAATGATAGAGAGTATTTGAGCAAGAGCGCAAGCCAGGAAGGCAACAATCACAAAACCTCACCTTCAAAGCAACGTTTTCGGAGTATTTGGGATTTAGCCGATCGAGCTTCGTCTTGTTATAGTCCAGACATTGGGACAGCACATCCATCTCCGTCAATGTAATCCTCTTGATCTCTTCATACAGCACCCGAAGGCCATTATCCGTCCTCAGCCCCCGCGGCGCTATACAGAATATGATCTGACACCGGTAATCGTAAATCTGCTTCGCTTCCCGCGCGAGGGAATGGAGACACCGCCTGACGTTCTGCGAGTCGTCCGGATTCTGGATCCTGAGAGGGCTATCGTCCAGGGACGCGAATAGAATTCCCGTATTCTGAAACCCATCCAATAGCTGATTCCGGATCGTCAGAGCCTCTCTTTGGTCGATGTTCACGAAGAACGCGAAAGCGTAGCTGCTGATCTTTGACGGCTTGGCCAGTTGTTTCCCAAGCTTCCAGAACCCTTCGCCGCCTTTAAAGAGCTGGTTGTTGCCAAACACAACGTTGGGTGCGGTGAGGATGCGTGCGGGGATGGTCATGGGTTGTGGCTCGACGGCTAGGCCGAAGGATCTGAGGTGGTCGTTGTTCTGGTACTTTAGCGTCCCATTTACGGCGGAAGCTATTTTCTTCTCGCGGTCGATGGGCCGCTGCACTGTAGCACGAATCATATCCGCTGTCTGCTCGCCGTTAAGCTTCTTCTTGAAGCGTTGAGATGGAGTCATCTTCAAGAATTCGAGCGGGAAGGCTGATTTTCCGTTTGCCTAAGACATCACCCGTTCAGGTTAGTCCATCCAAATGTCAAAAGGCAAGCTAAATAGATCTCACCTTCAGCGCTAACGGCAGATACGGATAGTTGAGTGTGATCCTATACTGCGAGAAGAAGTACTCGGTCACCGACATCTTGACGCCGTTGACGTCAAACATATAGGTGTCGGCGGTATCCCTCGAAATGCTGCCGATGTTGAACCTCTGCTTCATATCGGACCGATGCGTCGTCACGACATTCGCTCCCTTGAAATCAGACGTCAGCCGCTGCCTCACGGCCGGTGTGCCCATTTCCCGGATTTTATCGGCCATCTCGTCAAAGTCTCGGCACTTCAGCGCATTCTTCAGTAGCTCTAAGAGGGTCACCTCGCCCTGTCGGAAAACTGTTGCTGCCACGTCCACATTTACGCCTAAATGACCTGCCATCATGACACGGATGCTTTGATGATACCCACGCCAAATTTCCAGCCCGCCGGCGATATGCGTTCGGTCCTCTGGGCTATAGAAGTTCGCTCCCGCGGTGACGAAGGTCATGCCTGGTACGTGGCGGAGAACGGTGCTGAGAGCTGTGGTTGCATGCAGCGCTGTGTCATCTTCGGCCCCTTGTCGGCTCATGAAAAGCATGAGGGAGTGGAAGTCGATTTTCGCCACCTGTTTGGGATTTAGACCATGTCTTGATCAGCTTCATCCTGAGTAGCGCAGGGGTACCACAAATGACACCTACCTGCTTCAATGTAATTGTCACCTCTTCCGTCTTCGGCTTCCTTGGTTCGGTACTCTCTGGCGCCTGCTCAATAGCATAGCTCTGCGGTGCCCATCCCTTCGAACTCACAGGTCCCGCCGACACCGGTCCATCATACGGATCCGCAGACCCCCGATCCGACCTCCGACCCCCAAACCCACCTCTCGATTCCCGTCCTCCCCGTCCCGCTCTCCCACCACTGCGGGAATTTCTTTCCCCACGGACCGGTGGGGGTAATATGGAATTCGGGTAATAGTCGTCCTCGTCCTTGTCGATAGTGACGGTAACCGTAGTGGTTTGGAAATCGACGGTGCTGAAGGCATTTTTTTTGCCGTCGTAGGCGATGTACGCCCGTTCGTCGTTTTGGAGGAAGAGGGGCTGCGCTAGGCGCCAGGCTCGTTTGGCTAGGGCAGTGACGTCTGGGACCATCGTTACGTCGTACTGATAGGCCATGGTTTCTGCTGCCATTCTAGAGCGGAGAGCGGGCGTTAGTTTGAGTATGTGAAATACGGAACCCGAACGCCGGACAGACCTTAGAGGGTAAATGTTGCATCGAATCTATGTGTATGGACAATTGGAGGCAGAGTGAGCGATCCGATGCATCTTCGCACGGAATCAACGATACTCCTAATTTTCTACGTACCTTGATGTTTCTGCCATCCACTCCCGGCGTAGGACGGAGAGGCAGATCCGTGAGCTGGATGGGGGAATCGTGTGCCATTTTGAAAGTTGCAGGTGAATCTGGTCAGAAATCCTTGATCAGCATCATCCTTCTCATCAAACAACATCAAAACTTCCTTGTCCCTGTTTCTGGGAGAGTTACAAGCTTGGAAGAGTCTTACATTCTCAAAATTTCAAGTTTTGAAAATGGGCGAGGACAAAAAGAGGAAATCAACAACGAAGGAGCTGGGGTTTCAGAGCCGTATGCACCAATAGATAGTGTGGAAGAGTTTGAGGAGGGTCGAGGCCTACAGGAATGTTCTCAGCCGGATATCTGGCCTGGCCTGATGTACGAGTGACTCCGCTGCCCAAATTCGGGCATCGCAATATCCCCTTGACATATCTCGTCATCCTGTCCGGCAGGTTATTGACGGCGTTTCTGGCCCGGAGAGGGAAAGACGCACATCTGAGGAATGCCGTCAACGGTTTTGACAAACTGAACATGTACTGTCAATCCGTCTCCTCTCTTCCGTTTCCTTCACTAGCGAACACTCCATGCCAACCACGCCTCTATGTGTATACATCCCTCTCGTTCCTCTACATCTGTTCTACCCTCCGGTCGGCTGTATGTTCTGGAACGCCTACCCTTGTCGCCCACGGTGAATCTTGCTGGAAGGAACGACGCGGGACTGATCGGAGTTTGGGCCCTGCGCCACCTTGCGCCACTAGCACTGTTTTCTGCAAAGCATTTGAGGAGAGAATAAACCGGTTCGGTGACTTCAACATTGGTTCGCATTTCACCTGTGCACAATCCTTCGAGGCAAGGACACTCGCCTCATATTCTTCTCGGCTGCTACTCCGCCGCTGCGACACCGCTCGTTTCCTTGTGGACAAGCATATCCGCAATCGCGGAGTGGTTCCGTTGGTTTTATGGTTCATGGCGGCTGTTCCGCCCATTAGCTTTGGTGGATGGCGTACATTGCGTTGTATTGAGCAGTTACGATGATGCTTCAGCAAATCTTATCTACATTGTCCGAATTTGATGTGGACAACCATTACCTGCTCTGAAGTTTCTGCTCAATACGAAGATACTCGTTTCTCACTTCGAAGTGTCTGAAGTGCATATGCAATATGATGTGGAATGAGATAGTTGTTTTTGATTTCCAATCCGCAACGGATGGTTACAATTCCAAAAAAGAATAGATACATATGTGCTAGGAGAGTCGATAATTTTACGGATAACTAAGGGGATGTAGAATGTCACAGGCCGGTGATTAAGGCTTTTGCGGGAGCAGGGTGAAGTACGCTCAGATGGTGCTCTTCCATTCGTGTGCACCCTCGAAACCGTTCTGGCCCATCTGGAAGTCTAGGAACGCCTGCATGATTTCTTCTCGGGTGTTCATAACGAAGGGGCCATCTACATGAGAGGAACAAAAATTAGCATACTGACATCGAGCTACGCTGTAAAACGGGCTGAAAGACTTACGTTGGTAGATGGGTTCGTTGATCTTCTGCCCTCCTATCACGACAAAGTGGGCATCTTCGACGGCGCGGACAATCAGCTTGTCGCCTTCACCACTCAAAACGGCGGTGGTATGTGGCTCAACAACTCGTGCCTTATCTCCATCTCCGACGGCAACGTCGCCAGAAAGGGTGTAAATGAACGAAGTCCAATTCTCAGGAATCTCTTGCTCAAACACTTTGTCCTTCTGCACGCGCACGTCGAGGTAGACAATGGGGGTATGCGTACGAACAGCCGCATCGACGCCGTACGATTTGCCGGCGATGACTTTGACGGTCGCTCCACCATCCTCCGACGTCACCCGCGGCACCTCCTTGTCCAACAGCTCCTGGTATCTCGGCGGCATCATCTTATCCTTCGCGGGAAGATTCACCCACAGCTGCAACCCGTGTCCCCCATCCGATGCGGGCATCTCCGAATGCAAGATGCCCCGCCCAGCGGTCATCCACTGCAAATCGCCGGGCCCGATAGTTCCTTTATGCCCGGCAAAGTCCTCGTGTTGCATTTTTCCGTTGAGCATGTAGGATACGGTCTCGAAGCCACGGTGTGGGTGATTGGGGAACCCGGCGCCATTCGTGGATTTGAACTCGTCGAGCATCAGGAAAGGGTCGAGGTTGCGCAGACTTCCGCTCCCGATGGAGCGGCGGACGCGGGCACCGACGCCTTCGTCTTGTTCGATGGACAGGACTGCTTTTGTAACGGTCTTGTAGACGGACATAGCAGAGTACGTGCTCAGGAAGTAGCCTGAACGTAAGTGGGTATGTGAGCGAAAAACTATTTAAGAGACAAGTTCAGCGACAGGTACCAGAACTTACGGGTTCGAAGTTGCGAGAGGAGTGGTTTCCTCAAAGTATTCGTAAGGAAGTAAATTGTGAGGGCTGTAGTGGACTTCGTGTCCTTCGTTGTTCGGATAGGTGTGAGAAAAGGAGGGGAATGCTGCAACCCGGTCCCCCTTTTATAGACGAAGGGAAAGCAGTTGCTGCTGATCTCTACATTGGGCCTTCTGGAGATGTGAGCATGACCAATGTTGGCACCGTTTTGGCTTTGAATTCCTGCATCGGAGAGGTGAACTCCGAGCCAGTGTGGTGCGCAGCAAGGTGCGGCTTGTAAATTACTGTACACACACTGATGCGCGCGGTTTGAAAGAGGGTGCATGAAAGGACGCGCACCGCGCACGGATTTGAAATTTCGGCGCGCGGCTTCTCCGGACGCACTGCCAACGCACCAAGACCGTCGGGACAAAGGGCGGTTCCCCGCAGGAAGACAAACGCAGAGATGCTGCATACATAGCAGGAAAGAAACTACGAGGCAGCACCAGACCAGAGGATTCTCGCTTATTCCGGAGTCCGCGATGAAGCTTCATGATGTCTAAGCGCTGAATAATGGCATGCTCTACCTACCAGTAGAGAGGGAAGCAGTGCGGTGCTACTGGTCTCGGACATGCCAGAGAGTGATCACATTGGAGGGTAACTGAACTGCCGGCGGTGCCGTATGAAGATCTTTTATATCTGATGCGGGGTCTAGTCCAAAGGTGTTCATATCCGTTTATGTGAAAGCCATACACGGCGACGAGAGGAAAAAACACCCTGTCAAAGCATGGCGAGAATGCCAGGATTACCGATATTTCGGTCAAACAGCAAACCAGGTCTCCGGTCGCGTTGGATGTCGGATACGAGAGAATAACGGTTCTGTCTGTGCAATACTCAACGAAACTACGTATTATAGATGGAACGCCTCGGCTCTTCTGAGACGCAGTAATATCATATATCAGAGCTCAATGTATCTCATGATTATAGGGACAGTAGCATTTGTTCGAATCGACGTCGAGCCAATTCCACGTAGATATCAATGCTCTCGTAATAGGCTCCCCATTTCCTACCATCAATAAACGTGATTTCGTACGGCAGGCGGGGCGGATCATATCGGAGCACTCGTCAGAGAATTTGGGCACTCGCCCGCCATCTTGCCAGATTCATGGGAGCACTCTAAATAAACCATCATTCGGAGTAGAGGGGGAGGGTAGTGGGGGTAAGAAGGTCGTCGTCGTGGAGGACTGGGTGATTCAGACTCACTATTGTCGACAGATCTCAGCGGCCAGCATGTCCCGTCATCATCCGCAATGAGTCGATCGCATCTCAGCGTGACTGTCCGCAACGCCTCAAATTTCGGCAAATTGTTGAAAGTGCCGCCCCTGCTGCAGAGGGACGTGGCCTGCTTCGCGCATATCCAGGCACCCCGTCTTGAAAGGCTTTGAAGACAGCCGCCCAAATGTATATGCAATGAGCAGTAAGATCTGAAGGGGACTCGATCGGGGTGCGAGATAGTAAGAAGAGTGGTCAACCTTGTGAAGGCCCTAGGACTCCAGCGCTCGATGTACGCATCGTCCCCATCGTCACCGCCATCTTCGTGATACGCTTCAACTGCAAAGACCTTGATCCATCAAAAGCGTAAGAACATGTCAAGTTGACTCTCCCAACAGATTTCAATTTCAGAGTATAGAAGGTTGATCAATCGTGCCACGAACGGGATACGAAAACCATCTTGTGACGCTCCTCAATTTCAGCGAAGCGAAATATAAGCGGATGAGCTCCGAAGGGAGCATCCGCGGTAGTAATGGTGTCTGGAAATTGGCAGGAAAGTGACCGAGAAGAGACACAACGCTGTGCCCTGACTGAGCGGCCCAGGAGTCCAGTGCGGTGTGAGGGAGAAGGAAAGCGATGACGATCCCATTGCTAAGTTGGGAAACAACGAGTCGAAGATGTTGGGGCAGCCGATGGGTTTTGACAGCAGCTGTTGCTTTTGGGGTGGAGTGCGATGAGCCACAGACTCAGAAAGTTTCCCGTTCTCCCACCGTTCGTCCCACGCACCATTTGTGAGACCAGCAGCATAAAAACGTTCAGAATGGCGCCACCTAAGAAGAGGCAGTTTCGGAAGAGGGCGGTGTCGGAAGAAGCTGACGACGAAACGACAACAGCCGACGCACCAACGACAAGCAACGGAGAAGCAACCCCTGGGGGCGACGACTCAGTGAGGTGCTAGTTTAGTCAATGGCCTAACTCATTCCCTGCTCTGCACAAGCAATTTGACACTCCAACCTTCTCCTCCAATCTGCGCGAATAGTTCAGTGCTGCAAGAAGCTCTCGAACTACGGAAATTCCGAAAGCGCGCCGCAGGGCTGGACATAAGTGATCTCAACCGCGGCGACCGACGGAAACAGAAGGAAAAGCCAGTAGAGGACGACCCATGGAAGCTGAAGAGCGGCGGAGGGATCATCAACATTGATGAAGTGCGAGGGAAAAGTTTTGGGGGCGATGAGAAGGCTGGAGCTGGGGGTGGGGGCAGTTTTGCAACTGCAAGTAACGCCATGGACACGGATCGACATATGTGAGCGAGTGAGGTCGCTTGGAGAGGATGTGAAAGTGAACCCTTGCTGAAACAGATGTCATTACAGGCAAGATTTCATTGAAAAGGAATTAAGGAAACGACGGGGACAGACGGAGGATGGACCTGCGACTGAGAGTCCCAGCGATGCACCAAAAGATTTCCATGACGAGCTCTTCCAGATACCAGATCACTTGAAGGTGAGTTCTGAAGCTTGGATAGGTGAGATTAGTACCTGTCTACTCTTTACCTAACGCGCGCATCCCTGCAGACGGCCGAAAAAGCAGTGAGCGAAGGAAATGTCACACTTTCCACGGCCATGTTGACGGCGATACCCGAAATCGATCTGGGGATGAGGTAGACTCGGTGCTCTCTGTTCCGATGGGAAGGTGCCTCAAGCCTTTATAGTCTTTAACGCCAACCCGTCCCAATCCAGCGTAAAACTGAAGAACATTGAAGAGACAGAACGCGCAAAACGGAAACTTCTCGATCGAACAACAGGCGGAGGGGACGATAAGCTCTCATCAGGCCGGATCGGGAGGAATGAATTTGCAGGGGCGAATGCGGTTGCGTCGGAGCGATGTGAGTGTGGGGACAATCCGCTAGTCAGCGATTTGCAGGTGGAACGTTGTCGAGATTCTGACTCTCGTCACTGCAGATTGGACAGGACCGAAAAACATGCCGCAGCGACGACCAGAGGATGGGGATGCACCTGCGGGAGAGGATGATGGGAGTAAGAAGAGGTTTGACCGGCGGACGATGGCTACAGGTGAGCTGACTTGAGTGCAAGGCGGGGTTTGTTCGATGCTGACGTACTCTTATAACGCTGCGGTATAGATGAGATGGTTATGGAAAGATTTAAGAAGCGAATCCGGAGAAATTGAATTTTTGACCAATTGTGTTTGTGGTGCCATCGAGACGATGCCCATTGGGATGGGGCATGTGTTTGTATATTAAATTATGTTTGGGAAGGTGTATATACATGAACCACGGATCGCTCCACGGGCTTGTGGGATGCCATCATGATGTCTGGTTAGATATTTAAAAACCTATCTAGTCTATATGTGATTGAATTCGAACTGCTCGGCAGCTCATTTTCGCTTCATCGGCTTCGGTCGCGCATCGCTAAATATCTCCCGACCTCCTATGAAAAGATCAGCAGCATGGCCACGACCCTATCGAAAACAATATTAGACTAATGTCTCACGAAAGAAACATGGCAGGGGTGGCAAAACCTACAAGTCTATTGGACCTATATACCTCCACTTTCCGCTGCGTCACCGGCACAATCTGCCCAGCCCTGTTCTTAAACGAGAGCATCCTATCGCTGCTGCCTGGCCGATTTGCAGCGTCATGCGGATCTTCGAATACCAATGTCACGGAGGGCGTGAAACTCCATGCGTTTCCTAAGGCCGGTTTTGTAGTGCGTTCCGGCTGGAGCGCGTTTTCCTTTTCCCGTTCGTCGTCCTCGGTATCGTCTTCGTCTGGGTCGGCGTCATACACGACGCCGTAGTTGACCACCTTCGTCGGTTTAATGCATGTTTCGTGTTGAGTGAGCACTCCGGTAGCTGTCGTACTCACCAGAACGGCAGCATAGTGCTCCACGGCGATGGCTTTGAGGTGCTGTCCTATCGCGGACAGCATGACGTTTCCTACGACCGCGAGTAAGTTTCGCCGTTGCTGCCGCTTAGCCCACATGGGGAGTCGTACCTCGGATCTGCCCAGAGCCAACAATGGACCCCAGCATGTCGGCGATGGAGTCGACAACGACTAGCTGGGTAGAACTGACAAAGCTGTCCAACTGGTGACCGTGAGTACAAAGGCCTCGGTGCATCTTTGCGTCGCAGATGTCCTACATGATCCCGCGCTGTCTGATGTATGGACTCTAGCATGTCCATTAACGCCCAGGCATCGAAACATGGAATCCTTCTGATGCGATCCAATATGTGCGTCGGTGTCTGGAAATCCAGATGAGATGGAGGAGTTTCCCGATGAGCAAGGACAGCTAACACGTACCATTCCTCTAGACCTAAACCGCTCAAACCGATCGCTGCATTCATAGAGCTCCGCAATCCGAGACGCCGAGAACGTGTTCGACCCATCAATGTAGATTACGCATGCTTCAGGTGAGGTAGCTAACGTTGTAATCATCGTGAAGAATGCCAGCTGAGCAAGCCTGCGTTATTAGCAAGTGTTCCACAATTGCTTACAGCTAGAATCTTCGCCGCCCCACCTGTGTTTTACCAGTACATGGCGCGCCAGCAAACTCCGTGACTTCGCCGGTCCGACAGCCTCCTTCGAGAATCTCGTCAATCCTTGGTGATGCGATACAGTTAGATGCTATTCTTGCTCTCCGATACGCATCCATCCGGACGCCTACCCCTGACATCCAGTTGGCAGAACCGCTCTCCGTTTCTGCTCCTGTAACCACACCTCATCGGCGCGTAGCATGGTCGGGGCCATCGTCTGGGCAACCAAATCCAGGACATCATCCAGAGCCTTCCATAGACAAGCATAGTGTGAATTCCCACGCCAACAAAGTAACAAGAAGCCCAATGTCCAAACCGCAGGCTCAGCCGTACCTCCTCACTCAAGGCGGGCACGAAGCACTCCTCATCCTCCGGGTCGGGCACCAATATGTCCCCTGGTTCTTCACGGACGAGAACATCCCGATCTGAAACACATATAGCCGGTTACGTTGAAGGTCCCTCACTAATCTAAAACTGCAAACAAATGGTAGCGGACCTGTATCGAACCCTTCAGCAATGAGCAGTTGGACTGTGTCCAACAAGTCTTCGTCCCATTGTAAATCCGTGATAAACGGCATTCAGCTGCGTCCAGTGCTCCCGTGAACTCAGTTGGGCTCAACCCAGGCGAAGCCTGTGCCTGTCGTGGGAAATCAGCGGACGTTTATTGTCTTCTGTATTGAAACATCCCCAAGGTAGGGACAGGCTCGCAGGGCAAGAACCTGTGCCTGGAAGTTCGAGAAGTTGAGCGTGCCCAACGCGTCTTATGAGACTGCGCGTTTGGGGCCGTTTATGGTTCACCGCTTTCTCCATACAGTACATGAGGTGCTTATCAACTCAACGATGATGGCTTGTAATGCATGCATGAATGTTCGTGCGTTCGTGCGTTCGAAGGTTTCCCACTGTGCTGAAAATCGCCGCAAACGCTCTACTCCCACAGTCAGCGAGCGTAAATGTTCGGCACGACCTTCTTATATTACCAATGCCCCATCTAATGCGCCTACGGACGCCCCCAATGTATGTACACGCGATTCCGTCTCAAACGGACGACGCTCTCCTCGCTCGCGCTCCCGGCCCATCCACCACTCCCACCCTCTGATCCGACAGTATCCTAAAATGTGGGTCGGTTTGCTGTGGCACGAACCCTCGGTACGGGGCAAAGAGCGGATTCGGCTGCGGGTCGGTCTGTATGACATTGGCTGGGCGCGACGCGTACATCGCAGTTCCATCTCGCCCCGTCGACCTGTACAGACCATCCGACGGGAAGGCCAACCCTGCGCCTGCATCCCGCGGCTCGAGATGATTGCTATTGCTCAGATGGCTGAATGGCCCCAGCAGTCCTTCCGCCCGTGCACGGTCATCATCAAGCGTCGGCGTGCTTTGTAATAGCTGGCTCAAACTCAACGTTGGTCTTCGGTCATCACCGGTCGAAGGAGACGGCGAGAATCCAGAGCCCAACAACCGATCGCGGTCATCCAGAGCTTGATTCAACGATGCATAGTTCAACCCAGACAGGGGTCGCCAGTCATTCGGGCTGATGTTCAATGGCGGAACAAGGTTGCTGAGATGTGGTATGCGCCCCCGATCAGGCGGATTCGACAATGATGAATGCGTCATTATGGCCATTCGCGATTGACCGACGTCTGTCGTTGGATCTATTATTGAGCTGATGTTATGGTCGTTATGACGGGCCGCCTCGCTGATTCCATTTACGGCGCTTGAACCATAGTTCCGGAAAGGGTTGAGAGCAGGTGCTGTCCGCGCCTCGGGAGCAGGTCCCATCCGCACGCTGGCATGCTGCCACGATCTTGTAACGTCATCTGCGAGTGAGAAGTCAGTCAGGAGCACGTTCACTCCCAGGAGTGGAGTACGCCAGAGTGTGCTGAACTCACCGACATAGCGCGGACAAAGCTTCCTGTTCCCAGTCCCTTTGCAGCCCTGCTGATGGCAAACGTGGCAAGTCCGTTTTTTGCGTTTCTTTTGCACTTGACCGTCTTGCAATCCTTCACACAAGGCGCGCTTTCCACGGCCTTTGCAAGTTCCACTCCCACAGACAGCACAGGTTCTTCCTTTCCGCTTTCGCTTTTCATCGATCGTGCCATGTTCCGATGGGCTTTGGTCGTGTAAGCCGGAACTATCTGCTTCCCCCGCCTCGGACGATGCGGTCGGGTCCGGCTTAATGCTGCCCTCGCCAGTTAGTGGTTTGCCTGTGCATAGGGCTCGGTTCCCACGCCCTTTGCACTCTGCGCTCCCACAAATAGCGCACGTCCTCCCCTTCCGCTTGGACTTCTCATCTGTCCGCTCGCTCTTCTGACTTGACGACTGCCTCTGGACCGGCGTTTGTTGTAACTGGTCTGGACTTTCTTCCAATTGTTTTGGCGTTTGTTGGTGTTGGAACTGGTTTGGAGTTTGTTGGTGGCCCAAATTGCGCAATCTATTCGGAATCACGGCAGGTGAATCGCGAATATCATTGTGTTGCTGTTGCTGTTGTGATCCGTGTTCCTGTGGTACTTCTGATTGTAACCGTGGTAGTGGTTGTACGGGTTGGCTGAGCATGATGGAGGGATGCTGGTGAGTGGAAGCCGGTCTTTGTGGAGCCTGTATTTGCGGAGTAGACTGCGGTTGGGAGTACTGTTGTTGGGCATGCTGTTGGGCATGCTGCTGGACAGGCTGTTGGGTATGCTGTTGGACATGGTGTTGGACATGCTGTTGAACATGCTGCTGGACATGCTGTGGTGGTGGATGCTGGTGCTGCTGTGGAGTTTGCTGCGATACATTGTGCTGTGGTGAATGGTGCTGCTGCTGCTGCTGCTGCTGTGGCATCGGCTCATCCTGGTGGTGTTGCTGTTGTGGCGGTGGTTGTTGAAATGGCGATTGATGTAGCTGCTGTTGTGGCAGAGCGCCGATATCCACTCTGATGTTCAGTGGCTGGTATGTCTGCCAGCTTGGGTATGGCATAACTGGCGGCCATGGTGGTAGCGCAAGGCTCACTGAAGGTAACCCCATTGCAATGTTCGCTGATAACCAGAAACGTTTTGACAGTGTTAGTTCTCAGCACACTATTTCGACGACATGGATGGTTATGCTCTTACTTTGGTGGGGGTGCAACATTGTGCCAGGGGTCTGGCTATGACCGTCTCCAATACCCATACCAGCAGAGCCGTGCACGCTTCCTAGAAGGTTTGGCTCGATTTTGGAAGAAGAGGGCCTGCCCGCTCGATGCCCTGGCTTGTTCTTGCCTCCTTTTGGACGCCCCGCGCGGTGGTTCGCCGGGTTTTTTTGCCCACGCGGCCGGCCTCGCGGTTTGCGTGCAGGCTGCTCTGCTAGGCCGGGGTGGGAGTAGTTCGTAAGCGTCTCGAGGTGGGTGTTGCTATTGAGAAGAGATGCTGCCTCCATGTCGTTGTCAACGGGAAGAAATCGTGAACGCAAGTGGCTTGGTCTGTAGGTGGCGAGAAGCAAGTTAGTATGAGCTGTATTGCGAAAACCGTTGGGCGGAAGGTTCAGTTCCCTTTGTCCCCTATGAGCTTGCTCCCTTCTCACTTACTCGGTGCTAGTTCAATCACGTAGATCTTTTCCCAGCCTGCAGGAAATGGTTGGCAAGTGGCCAACGCGCACTTTGACCTGCGAAACCGGATTTGACCTGCCAAACGTGCTTGGACGGCACTCTTGGAGAGATGCCGTTATAGAGACGAAGGCCTGTGTATCATGCCCAGTGAATGGGTACCCTAAACGGTGCAAACCCTTCGACGAACTGAACGTACGTATGCAACGACGAATGCAGCAGTGAGAGAAAACGACGCAGCAGAGTTTGGAGCGAGTGTCGACGACAGGAAAGTTGGAAATTTCCAGCTCGGGCGCGCGCACCAATTTGTGTATCTCCCCGCAACACGCTCAGCTGGTTTCCGAAAGCTTCAAGCGGAAAGCCAGTTCTCCGGTTGCAACCGCCAACGTTCAACCAGTACCGTATACAGATGGGCCCTCCACAAATCGTGATGGGACACGCATTGGGTGCAATTGAGGCCAGCGTATAGCCTGAGCAGATTGATGCTTTGAGTATGGACATGCCGCACATCAAGATGCCACAGGCCGTCACATTTGAAACGGGGGAAGCCCAGTTCAATGAGACCAAAGTCATTCACCATCACACCACAGGATGATGTCCTAGCTCTTGCGATCACTGATTCTCGGTGCTGTCATTTGAGCATCGGACCAAAGAGAGCTCCTAACTGATGAAAAATTGGTGCAAATTCATTCTTCAGTAAAGGAAAAGATCACAATGGGGTTTTTGCCGAATCCTCATGAGTCGATGGAGGAAAATGGAACCTCGCATGTGCGCTAGAAAACGTGCGCTACCATCCATCAAACGCACCTGGCCTTTGGATTCCTGTTCATATCGACTTAACCAGCTGCATCGAGTCGAATATCGCACCTCTGATGCACAGTTTACAACGGGCCTTCACGCAGCCAATGAGATGAGCTTGATGAGCTGTACTGCGGCCTCTTTGCTTGTTTCCCCGCACTGGGATTCCCATCTCAAATGAGAAATCGACCATAGTGTACTCTGGGCACAGCGGACCTTTTGTAGCGTCGTGAGAGCATCGTGAAGGTTTTCGGACCACTAGACGCCCACGCTTTTTCGAAATGGAATGCGACTGAGGCGTTTCCCTTAATATTATCTGCGAAAATACCTTCGTTTCGTCAAGCCTCCACGGTTTTTTCTGCGTCTGCAGTAAGACGAATCGAACCGTCGTTGAAGTGTTGATGCCTATGATCGACAGTGCCTTGGTGTTAAAGAAAACAAATTGGTAGGAGCCAAGTCAGCTGTTAGGCACGCATAAACCACATATCACATAAGCCGTCGCGGTGCCGGCAACCTGGTAAACCTGTCGCCTTCGAGTTACGCGGTACCGTCATTGCTGTCACTATCCCGCGCGACATCTGAGCTCCCTACGCCTCCGACGCCCAGCTACTCTAAGGCTTGAAGGTACAGTCACATGCATCTTCGCACCACGTGGAATCTAAGTATACGTGCATTCCGCGCTTAACTGAACGTTCGGTTCATCCGCATCGCCAGTTCCGTTTTGAGAACTAATGGTGATCTTCAGGAATCATCCTTCATCGCAGATGCCATGGCACGCAGTCGGACCAGGGACTTCTCGCCTAGCCTTTCCACCGAAAAACTGCTTTTCTCAGCGCAGACGGGGCAAGCCATTTTCTGTTTGGCGAATATGCTCATGGCTCTCTCATGAATTCGGGGTTCAGGACATACCGAAGGCGCAGGTAAGGGCGGGAGGTCAGTATGGCAGAGTGCTTGCCAACGAGCTCGAAAGCTTAGCCATTCAAACCGGATCGTAATTGCTCTTGCGTCATGCGCTGTGAATTATCAGTGCCATCCGTTGCTTAATCGACCGGCGGGAACCCTTCGAAGCGATTGCTGGCCAATAAGGTGCGTCTCATTCTTTGCACGGTCCTGTTGGTACGAAGGCGGCTTGCGCTTCTTCAGCCTCGGTTTTTTTTACAGGAATACCTGAAGTTTGAAGGGCGCACCATCCCGAAAGTCCGACTCTGCCGTTCCTCGCAGGAGCTCTATTGAGATCTACTTACACATCGGCAATCGACAGAGAGGTGCAACCTAAGGACCTTCCACCCCGTGCCGTTGATGTCAACGTGGAGGAGGCGGTTGGGAGGATCGGGAGTGGGCGAAAAAAATTCCCTTCTGCCAAGAGCATTCTGGTCCATATCACCTCACCCGGCGATGGCGGACCGTTCCAGCATGCGCAACTGCAGCATCCCTGCCGTTAGTTCCAGAATGTCCTTCCAAGACTCCCAAGTCATTGGGAGTCCTGCTCCCCGGTCAGGTTCGATTTGGGCGGCGTTGTTTTTTTGCCAAGACTGTGCTGAATGACGCTTCCCGCCTTGGTGCCGGTATCCGAAAAGAAGGTCGGCGTCCATAAGGGTGACCTGCGGAGGCGCCAGTCTCGCATGGTAGGTGAGATAGCCGGTTTTTTTGCGGTTGGATTGTCTCGGTGCCTTGCCCTATCTTTCGCGAGTACTACATCCGCTGCTAAACCGATCCTGTTCGAAGCTCCACGTTCCATATCGGCATTGGTTGCAATATCCTGCCGCATATTCGCGAAGTGTGCTGATCAGAGGGCCGTTGCTGGGAGAGAGGAATCTGTTACTTCCATTAGCGACTCTGGTGTCCGATCAACTTACCTGCAATCCAGCAAGGAACTCAGGATGAAAATTCACCCTCATGCTTTTTCCGGGCCGGATTGTGATAGGATCTTCTCTCGTGATTCAAAGCGTACCGTAGATGCCGTTCGGCCAGCTGCTTTCGATTCACATAGCGTCCGGTATTGGGAAACTCCCTTGCGGAGGAGGTGCTGCCATTTACCGTAACAAATAGAGCTTCGCTAGAGTCGTTTCCTTTTTCAGATGTACTCGCCAAATGGCACGACCATGGGCTCTCGGCACGCATGGGAAAACACCGTTGCGGCTTCAGACACTCCTTCAGAGGATGGAGTCAGCGTCCACACGAGGTGAGGCACGAGTCACGGTCCTTCATGAAAATCCCTGCCTGCCGCTCCACTGGAAGACACCTCCGGCAATCGAACGCGGATGTCTCAGCGGTTTTGAATGTGTACTGGTCTCACCTGCTTGCAGCGGATGCATGCGCCCATCGCGGCCTCTCACGGTAATAAGCTTTTCTGGACCTTCCTCCCTTCAATCGAGCCCTCTGCGAAACGTAAACGATCGCTCACGTTCGGTTGAGATGAAGTCCAATGGAAGCATGACTTGGAGCTGCCGGAGGGCTGAGACTGCTTGGGAGGCATGACGCTTCGCTTTTTTGGTAAGTAAAACCTTGCTTTCCCGTAAGGTTTCCTCGTCGGCGATGGCTGCAATACCGGTAACCCTCACCAAGGCCAGACCCAGGCGCAAGGAGGAGATGCAATCAGAGTTGACGTCGCTTGGGAGACAAAGTTTGAAGATATATCATATAGCTGCTGATGAGACAGGCTCCGAAGGGTCTGGGGGCTTTGCGTTGCTGTGCTGGCCATCATTGACAGTATTTCAGTCGTGGCTTCGCAACTCTACAACTGCACAACCGGCAAACGTCATGGCAATCAGCGAGAAACGCGCTCGTGGTCGTTCGGACGCGTTTTCGGACGCGCTCGCCAACCAGTCGTTGCACTCTCGGCCGGTGATCGACAAAAAGTGTCTTGAAACGCTGAGGGACATTTTACGTCACTGACCCGTATTGACAGCCAGCCAGCCAGTGTGAGGCTGGGAAAGTGTTCTTTGGTCGTTGATGCGGGAGGAAGGGCATGCATGATTCATCATGCCTGAAATGCCTTGCGTCACCCCACCAAGCCTTCTGGTGAATTCAGGTGGCCGAACGGGAGGCAGTGCATCCCAAAAGCTTCACGGACTTCGAGAGGTTCCCAGGGAGGGTTCCGTCTTGCTTTCCCAGTTTGTTTATAAAAAGAGGACGGGCCGAGCGTCTTCCTCTCCTCATCAACAGCAACAGCAACCAACCAACAACACAAAACAACTCATCTGCCCAACTTCGCAGACGTCCCACATCAATCACACAACCCCGCACCTCAACCAACTCAACAATCACAACCATGAAGATTCCCGGAAAGACCCAAACCGTCCACACCACCACCCACGTCGAGCACCACACCCACAAGGTGCAGCACAACCCTTCCCATCTGCACGCTGGCATGCAGAAGATGACTGGGGGCATTCAGGTGTGTTTTATCTGCTGTCACCCGAAAATTCACATGGCAATTTGCTAACCTCAGTTTCCCCTCTTCGATGTTCAGGCTGCCGTTGGTCGTATGACTCACAATCCCAATACCATCATCAAGGGCGAGGAGAAGAAGGTCGCCGCTCAGGCCGAGGCCGACCTTGCCCGTTTGAGAAATGCACACAAAGCAGCAACTTTTTCGCATGCGACTGCCAACAACGTCGCTAAGAAGCGATAGAATGCTTTCGCGGTTCCCCCGAGCATATCTTCCCACTATTCCGCCCGCTCGACCGATACCAACCCCATACCTTTTGTTGGCAACGCCATTCCATGTTGGCGTTAATGTTCTTGGCATATCCCCTCCCATGCAAATCCCCCAATTTTGAAATGTACACTACCTTTTGTAAATATATCCATAGTTTCTTCTTCAATAATGCGAATGAAACGTCCATATCCCTTACAAATGTTCTCTTTGTTAGCACATATCGTCCTGTCTTCGTGGATGGCTTCCCATTGGGATGAGGCACATGCGACACCTTGCGTAAAGCCAGAGGTGGATGTGGAAGAGGTGGATGCCACTCCTTTTCGCGGCGTACGGTAGTGTACGGTTATGTGCGTTAAAGACATTCATGCAGCACGCTCGTCACAGCTGAACTTCCACAGCTGCCAACATTCCAGTACCCACTCCGCTGCTCCAGTCCTCCGTTAGCGGGACATCGAAGAGACACAAGCATATGGTCCAGCTTCTTGAGTGGTAAATTGATTTCCATGGTACTCCGTTTACGCTATTATTCTGTTGGTCCGTCAAATCGACGCCGACGAGAAATGGTACTTGGAGTTCTAGTACGAGAAGGTCGGCAGTAGTAAAGTTTGTGGAGGTATTTGTGACAGTCGATGCAATGAAGCGGTGGCCGTCGAATATCGAAGTACGAGTTACCAAATAAAAAACTATATCATTAAACGCACACAAGGTCATATATTTACATTGACGAATACGGAGGTGGGGGGAAAGAAACCAACTACATACAACCGTCCACACAAAGCGAGCGAGAGTCCAACCAAAACACTACACATAAATCCAAAGTCTTTTCGCCCACTCACAACAACCGAAGAGAAAGTCCAAATTTCATACAATCATTTACAGAAGGTGCCGTGTCGGGTGGTGATGACAGGCGGACCAACGTACGTCAAGTGCGGAGTATGGATGCCTCATCGTGGGTTTGAGGGTTGGCGATGAGGCTCTTGGGAGTGGGATTTTCCGTTGGTTGGGTTCGATTTGCGTATGAGGTTTGTACATGAGGTATTAGCGGGGATTGACGCGCGCTTATGCCTCTCGGCGGCTTGGTGGGGTGGGTATGCGCGTTCTTCGGCCGTGGTATATATGGTAGCGCTTCCGCATGAGGGTATGGCGGTTGAAGTCGAAGCGAGGGGAACTCATGCCCGCAACTGCCCCATACTCCGTTTCCGGAACCCCACATCCACCGTCCCCGTCGACAAATCGTACTTGGAGATGCTCTTAGGCGGCACGACGACGATCTCCGGCATCGACGTCCTGGCAGCACCAGGGTTGTAAAACGCGGCTTCCCGCCGTCTCGCGCGCTGCACAGGGTCTTCGATCAGGAATGTGCTCTTGAAGAAGTGCAGGACCTTCTTGATCCCCGTCTTCTTCTTCTTCTGTTTCCCCGAGATGGACGTGGCCACTGAGAACTCGCTCGCGTTCGTGGATGCTTCGTAGATCTGGAAGCCCCCCACATCTTCGCTCATGAGGCAGCTGCGGGACGTGGAGGCGCTGAGCCGGCTTGGCGCCCGTGGGGGTTCCGGGGATGGCCGTAGGAGCGTAGACACGTTGGACTCGTCGCCGAGCTCGTAGCGGAGTGGTGACGCTCCTGGGGAGAGAGATATGCCGGCTGCTAGCTTTGCGAGACGTTTGCGGTTGCTTCTTCGTGCTCGGACGAATTGGCTTGTAGGCTTTTTGCCAAATGCCGTTGGGTTGGGGAGTGGTGCTTGGATCATGGCAATGTCCCCGTCTTCTTTGTTGGTCCATGGCGCTGATGTGGTGTAGTTCGCTGCTTGCGCCCATGTTGCTGATGTGGACCCGTCGGATGGTATTTCCAGTAGTTCGACACCAGGTTGAATACTTTGGATGTACAACATCAGGTTGGCGAGGGCCATCCGAGACGATGGCGACCGTTTGGTATCTTGCAGTTTCGCGTAGGCGGATAGGTATATTTGCTGTTCGAGCGACTGTCGTAGCCGGACGGAATCGTCGACAGACGGGATGGGAGAAGGAGTTTCTCGTCGCACAAGTTCCTCTTCCCTTTGGTCCTCGGCAAGAAGATCATCCACAAGCGATGATGTCCGCCCCTGAATGCTTAGCGCTGAGGACGGATGCACGCGCGACCGGAAGTTGCGACTGCTCAGGTTCGCTGCACAGACCAGCACCGGCCCTGCCGATGCCCGTTTCGACACAAATCGACTCTCCCTCTTCTTCGCCACCGTCTTGGCTCCAAAGTGCTGCTTCTCGTCTATCCGGACGGGACTATGGCTTCTGCTTCGACGCATGACCTCCACAGGTTTGGTAGGTTCCTCGACCACCTCCGCAATCGAGTCTATCTTCCAGTTGGCCGTGGATGTCGTCAAGCTCCTGCTTCGCCGTTTCGCTGCCGTCTTGGCCTTTGTGTCTCTGATTGACCTTCCACGTCGGGATGGCGAAGAGGTGTGACCGTTGTTCGGGGACACCGAGAGAGGTTTGACGTCGGATAATCGCGCTTCATGATCATCCGAGGCAGTGACCTGCACGGAGCCGGTTGCTGAGGACGTTCGGGGCGGCAAGCTGGCGTAGTCGATCTTCAAATTGTGGCTGGGTGGTGTTGTTGGTGGTGCCTTCACGGGCCAGGCAGAGTTCAACTGCCTGGCAGAACACGTCGTCGCGAGCTTCGAAGGCGACATGTGCACCGGACGAAGTTGGGAAGTGACGGAAGACAGGCTGGCACGACGCTCGGAGGTGGTAGTGGTTGGAGTGCGTGGCTTTCCTTTGTCGAGTGTCAGTCGGCGTATGAGCGATGGTTTGGTGTTCAATTCGGACTGCTTGGAGAAACCTAGCGTCCACATTCGTCCGAGCGTAGGTATTTATATGGACGCTCGGTTTGCTTGTATGGCGTAGTCGGTCAAAGTGCGGTTTGAAAGGCCGGGTCTCGGGTTCAGATGAATCAGGTCAGCACGCGGTGGATGCTTCTGAAAGGGGTACGACGACGCCTCGATTGCTTAAGTACGCTGGACGGAGAGAGAAGCCTTGAAGGGTATGGGAGACGGGCTTCTGCCTGAACTTGGAGCTGCGTATGGCTTTTCTCCTGTATTTTGCTGCGTGAACGGCGGACGGCTGCCTGGCATTTAAACCTTGAGAGGGAGGCTCTGAGGCTCTGCGCGCTGGGGGAAGAAACTTGGCGTGCTATTCCTCTTACTTTCCCCCCTCATGAATCCAGCGTTGTCTGCGCGCTCGCTGTGAGAAGGATGAGAGAACACCCGCGTCAAAAATCGCAGCAGCAAACGCATCATCATATCGTCGTAGTTCGTGCTCGAAGGGTATGGATCTGGCATAAGGACGACGATCAGAGAGAGATATGAAAGATATGGCGGACTTCCCCGCGGCCTCTTTGCTTTCATCGGCGTGGGCCGGCCGCCGGCAAGTCCAAGGAAACTCTTTATCAACATCCCATCGCCCGCCAATCAGATTATCTGCGAGACCCCATGTCGCCTTTGTCCCCGCACACCGTCTCACGAAGGCGAGGAACAGATCTGCACGCGTTCTTGTTCGCAAGAATCGCATGCAAAAGTCATCTTGCAGTCATTCCTGTCCCAAGTCCCAGCCAGGGGACGGACATCGTCGCCTCGTGGAAAAGGAAAAATACGTAGATATCCGACATCTGTCCTCCCTTGGGTCTGTCGCATCGCACTCCCTTCGCGCGCGATGACGGTAGTTACATGCTAAGCCCTGCATGATTCACACAAAGAGGAAGCTTCTCGCGCGCGTTCGACCACTCTTTCGCGTTTCCCACTCGCCACCATACGGAACCCTACAAGTCACGGACCCCCCTTCGCGTCGATCCGGCGGAGGCGGGCAAAACAGATATCTCGCCATTGGCACAACGCTCTGGCAGACGCGCCGTGAGTGTAACCAAAGGCGCTGCTGACAGCATTCATAAAACCCGCCAACCTCCTTCTTTTTCCTTCGAAATCGGATCGCCTAGCCCCTTTTGAACCCTTGGCGCTCAAGCCATCTCGCCAGCACTGCATGCATCTATCGCACAATCGCTTCAAAGATTCGCCCTTCATCGGAGCTTTTGAGCCTGTATTGATTCTCTCCCTTTAAGTTCTCATCCGAATCGACATGAAGGGACAGGGGCTGGGCGAAGCCAATCATTGATCTTTGGCTGGACTCTCCACTCGGAGTCCACTCCCTAGTCAGAGCGCTAAAACTAACTCCGACGCCAGCGGCAACCCGCCGCTGTCCGGCAAGATTTTGGCGGTGGGTATAAAGATACGCAAGACACCCTTTCATGTCGCCATCTCGAGCGGCAAACGCGATATGATACGTGGCAAGCGGGGATCGCATATCAGAAAACGTGCGAAAAAGGTGAGTTGCCGAGCGGGAGCATGTATCGACGACCAGGCCAAGTATCCCACCATGCGGTTGCAGGCTTCACATGGCAGACCGTTGTAAACGTGGAAACTGCAACGAAGCCCTTGAAATGGCGGCAAGATATCCGGTCGCGATGCCCTTCTTTCGCCAAGTTGCCGCGATGCGATATGCTTTGCCATAGCCCATAGCTGCCCCATGACATTTGCAGTACAAAATGTTTGCAGAGGCTCCGCGCGCCGGCGGCCGCCCCTGTCAACGCAACCTTGAATCAATCTCATGCATCGTAGATCCATGACCAGAATCCAGACCCAGGGACGTAAATTGGTTTCGAGGAAAACATCCTTGACACGTTGCCAAAAAGCTCGCCCAGGGCGCCATCCACCTCTGTCTATCACCACGACGTTACAGCGTCATGCCTATCTAATCTTGTCCGATGCTTACCCACCTCCCTTTGCAGATATCTCACCATGTGCATGCCGTTCAACTTCACATGTTTGTGCAGTGCGGTGGGGTGTGGTTTCCGAAAGGCCAGCCCCGCACAAAACCACGTCGATGAGGCTAGGATGACGAACAGTCCCGGGTGTCGGGGTTTGAAATCGAGAAAAACTCATGCCGACTTTTCTCCGTATCTGAAACTTTGCGTCCACGCTTGAGTTGTCAAGTTTGCGCAGTTTCCATGTGGGGGACATAGATACTCAGTCTGGAGCCATGCGATTACATGCTGCATAAGCAGAAAGTACCGTAATGGAGGCTTACAGGTACAGTAGTATTGATGTATTGATGAAGCGAGGCTTTTACGATATCATCCGGCAACAACGCACCTCCCGTGGGCCATCGCCATTTTTTACGACACCGGCATGAAAGCCGCGCGGTTATGGAACCACCGGAAGCCACGGCGAGCCGGCGGAGTGCAGGTCCGACTTCCGATCAGCTACAATCCATCTGCTTACAACCCTGACGTAGATGCTAAACGGGGATTTGCTCAGAAAAAAAGGTTTGTTGGCGCGATTTGAAGGTACAAACAGACATGCGCCTAAAAAATTCAGCGACAAAAATACAACGACAGTGAATCCTCCAAAAATGCGGCTGAAACATTTATTTGTAGGTCCATCTGAGATTCGAACTCAGGTTTCTGGATTCAAAGACCAGGGTGATAACCGCTACACTAATGGACCTGTTGAATTCTAGGCCTTTTTGAAAAGATAACAACAATACGTAACTGGTCAAGTCGCGCCAACAAACGAATTGTGCCGATGGACGACACATGTCGGGCTTATTCCTCACACCTTCGCATTGACCACACCGGAGGTTTAGGCCCCATTTCTGGTCAACGGAAAGAGAGATGGCTTTGAATCATGAATGTGGCCCTCCGAATCGACTCTTAGGAGTAGCACGCCTGAGAGCGTTGTTGTGGTGCACAACTTTCCGTTATCCAGCGGCGTTCCCTTTGAGAACGAGAGGCATCTTGCTCCCCTGCAATCGTGAAGCTCAAGGATTGACCGCGCCATCTAGCCAGAGTTGCGTTATAGCAGCAAACATTCGCTCCATCCGCATCCATCTGGTGCTCTACATGCTAAGCCATCTGTGCGAGTCAGTACGCGCCTTCCTTCCTGAAGCTCGGGCACAGAGTCCAGTTCCTAGATAATAATTTTCGGGAGGAATGCTCGGTATGACCCCGGCTGCGTACGCTCATGTAGTTCAACAGTTTCCATCTTGTCTGTTTGTTTCTGATGTGATCCGCCTCCTCGTACTCCAGAACTGAACCGCTACCGAGGAACTGAACCCGCACCCAGTTTTCGAACTCGAGCCGCTCGATCCAGACTCCGAAGGGGGACTCCAGCACAGCCTGTTATGCTGACAACCTCATGATCGTTGTCCCGAACGCATGTCCTTGCCTTCGACGATGTGCAGCGTTCAGAAGAACGACCGCCTAGCTCCAACGTCGGTGTTTCGAAGGATACTGTGGTCTCAGCCGAAGGTCTTCAGTCCTTCTCAGCTTATATATCATAGACTCCCAGGAAAATTAAGATCTCTTCAGCATCGGTTTCACGCCTTAAACCGTTCAGATGGGTGATGCCGACATATTCACACAAAGAAAAGCTTGAGAACCTGGGGTCCCAGGGAAGACGAAGTGGAACACGACGGCGTGAGATACTGTACCTGCTGCTGTATGGGAGAACGAGATCGCCCAGCGAGGGCCGAGTTGTAGCACGTGGAACGAGACGTGGGTGATGATAGGCCCAACAAGCGCAGGGGGTTGAAAGACGTCACGAAGGAACCCCTTCCCCCACTTCGGCTTCTTACCCCACCCTATGAAACTCAACCATCCTTCGAATCTTCCCACGGCCAATATCCACATGCGCTGGACAAATACTATTGCTCTCTGCAGCCCCCCGCTCTCCAAGTCCGTATGACAACCCCACCCTCAACCAGCTTTCATCTCCAACGTCCAACTGTCGTTCACAACCACCAGTGCGGAAAAGCCCCACTTGCATTCACCGGCATGTTCTTTGTTCCCTGAAAACCGCTATTCCTAGTTCCCTTTTATCGCTCTTTGAACTGCCTGTCTCGCAATTGAGCGGCGCTGGCAGTAAACTCCCCTCAAGCATCAAGGTACGTGCGTCACATTTTGCTGGTGTCCTGTTTGCCTTGCCGCCTGCCGTGATCTTATAACGATCTCCCGGCCTGCAGGCTTCCCCTCCCAGTCCTACAACTACCTATCAATATGTTCGCCGCAGTCCGTAACCGGGACGTGAGCACGTTGCGCTCGCTGCTACTGTTGGCAGACCCATCAACGACAGGAGGATCTCCGCACCACTACACTCTTGGCCCCGGAAGCGGCAGTTTTGGGAAACAGTCAGGGTTCAAAGGCAAAGGAGGGGCGGATGTGAATAAGCGGGATACGGACGGAAACACCGCTCTTCACGTCGCGACGTCTCTTGGCAACTATGAGGTGGTGGAGACCCTACTCGAAAGCGCCAAGGTCAATGTGAACCTGCAAGATGTTGAAAGTGGATATACTCCACTCCACAGAGCCTTGTACGATGGTAACATCTGGATGGCGCTGCTGCTACTGCAAACGAGGTCCGACTGTGACCTCATGCTTACCGATCGGGAGGGAAATACCTGTCTGGACTTGCTTGCATCGACCATGGAGATCACGCGACCAAAGTCTGAACTCATACAATCTGACTCGAGCGATGAAGATGAAGAGGACGTTCCGTCTAGACACGAGAGAACGGCTGACGCTGTGACTCCTTCTACGTCTCTTTGGACCTGGGGTGCGAACACAAACTATGTGCTGGGCCAGGCAAACTCAGACGATCGGGCTTTTCCAGAACGGGTTGGCATCACAACGACCTATAAACGGAAGCGTCCCAATGTCACGGCTCTAACATTTGACACCCATGATCCACTTACCCATTCTTTGACATTATCGAAATACCACGGCGGAGTTCTTACAAGCAGCGGCTTGTTCATGCACGGATTTGGTGCTGGAGGTAGACTCGGATTGGGAAACGAGGAGACGACCCTTCTTCCCACGCTCGTATGCGGTATCAAGGGAGAGATCAGTCTTTTGACTCTGGGTCCTGAGCACAGTGTGGCTGTGACCACCATTGGGGAGGTTTGGACCTGGGGAAGCAACAAATTGGGGCAACTCGGTACGTTGGTCTCACAATTCAAATAAACTTTTCCAAGATCGGCACTGACCAGTCTCACAGGCTATCTTACCGAGCTGAATGGTACCGAGCCATCGTGCGAGCTTGAACCCAGGGAAGTCGGAGGAGTCATAAAGAAGATTCGCATCATCGGGGCAGCAGCATCTCGGCATCATACGGCTGTATTTTCCGACACAGGAGCGATTTTCACATGGGGCTTGAGCGTGGGACAGGTGGGGGTTCATTCCTTTGCTGCAGCAGACCACTGAGAAATTGGCTGACGGAAGCTTCTTCGTCTCTAGTTGGGATATAACCAGCCGTTAAATACGGTGCACGCCCACCCGAAAAAGATTACAGATTTCCCGCAGCAAGATCTACTACAGATATCGGCGACCAAAAACGCCACCGCCGTACTGACGGCGACGTACGAAGTTTTTGTTTTCGCAGAGTTCCGGTACCAGCGCGTAGCTTTCGGACTGCAGCTTTCTGCCAAAGGAATCTCCATACATCAGTTCCGGAACGAGAAGCCGCCATACGTGAAGAAGATTGTGTCCGGGAATCATCAATTTGCGGCATTAACAACCTCGGGAGACGTGTTTCTGTGGTCGCCTCCGGAACCGGAGTTTGCTGATACATGGCAACAGCAAAGCTTCCCACAGAAGCGGCCCAGGAAGGTTTGGTCGGTGCGAAAAAAGCACTTCGCTGCAAGAGATGTCGCCATCGGTATCGATTCTACCTTGATTATACGCACGGACAGCGGGCACGTCTTCATCGGGACACGGCGAAAGAATCTGAAGGTTAAGGCGGCCATCAACGATGACGCGAAGGAGGCTGTGTATTACAAGTACCATCGGATCCCTGGCTTGCAGCACGTTGAGCAAGTCGCGGCAAGCGTTTCGGGCGCCTTTGCCGCGATTCGGGTTGACAGGCGTCCGCCGATCATTGCTGTGCCCACCAGTACTCTCCGAGAAGATCTTCGCGATGCCCTTGCGAAAGCGGACAATGAGGAGGAATTCCCCAATCCTGACGTCGTATTCATCTGCAGAGATGGGGTTCGGAAACGAGCCCATCGAGTGATATTGGGGTGCCGGTCGCCCTTCTTCCTGCATCTGTTCCGAGAAATGGCGCTCTCGAGGGACTCGCCAGTTAGAGTGGTGCAGGGCCTCACAGCCCGCCGTATCACATCCGAGGACATGAATGGCGCGTTGTGCGACGTTTACGAGATCAGCTGTCCCGACCTGCACTCGAAATCTGTCTCTTTAGCTTTGGATTACATCTATACGGGCGGGTTTCAACGAGACTGGGATCATTCCATCTTTCTCAAATCGGGATCAAAGTCGAAACGGCGTGGGAGTGTCACGGCAGGTTCGAAGGGCAAAAACAAGGCGCATCACTATGACAAACCAAGCGATGACGCGGAGATCACCCCAGCGATCCTCCACCGAGAGTTCAACGCCCTCATCAAGATGTGGGACCTAGGAGACTCGCCCACCAGCTACATAGCACCCATAGACGGGCCACAGTACTTCGAGCACATCTATTCCATCTACACGCACCTCCACGACAAATTCGCCCCTTTCACGGACATCACCCTCCGCGCCTCCGACGGCTCCATCCACGCCCACAGCGTCATCCTCGCCGCCCGCTGCGCCTTCTTCAAAGCCATGGTCAACGGCCAATGGGCCGCTGTCCACGAGGACAACAAGCGCGTCGTCTCCCTGTCCCACTTTCGGGTTGAAGTACTGCAGGTTGCGCTGGATTACATCTACGGACGCGCGGCGGATAAAGTGTTTGTTGGGATTGAGAAACCGGGCGTGGCGGCGTTTATCACGTTTGTGATGGAGGTTTTGGCGTGTGCGGATGAGCTTATGCTGGATGGGCTGAAGAGGGGGTGTGAGGTTATTATACTGCGGGATTTGAGTGTGACGACTATGGTGCGGTATTTGAAGGTGGCGGATATGTATGGCTGTGCGGAGTTGAAGGATCGGTGTTTGGATTTCGGTAAGGCTTACAATTCTCCATCGTGCGGATACTTCGAAGGTATGCTAAGATTGTTTTACGACTTTTCAGTCTGCTGGAACCTCGGCACAGCCATCGAATCCCGCCTCCTCTCCGACATCGAAGAAGACCTCCTGGACGACATCCAATCCCGCCTGCACGAACTGCAACGTCGTAAATTCCCCTTCATGCGCGGCCCCGATAGCCCGTACCTCCGCGCCAAATCCGTCGCGTTGCAAGAGGAGGAGGATCGCAAGAATCGACGTAGGGAGGAGTATGAACGGCGAATGGAGGTAGCGGCGAAGGAGGAACAGGGGGGGAGTTCGGGCGAGTCGGATGTGCCGGAACGGAAGGGGAGGTATGATAGTAGTGGGGCGGAGGGGGATGGGCCGGAGGATGGGGACGAGGATGTCTTCGATATGGAGTTGGAGGGTGCGGCGGACGCGTCGAGCTCGGCGCGGAAAGGGCGGGTGAGTAACCCGGCGCTGAATGCAAAACCGCAGACACCGACGAAGAAGGGGAAGAAGACGTGGAAGAAGGTGGATTTGAATGGTTTGCATGCTGTTGGCGGGGGGTTTGCGTCGCCTACACCTGCGGGAGGGCTTGGTGGGAGCCCGCAGTCGCAGAACAAGGGTTCACCCTTTTTCGCGCCGGGTGATTCGGGAAAGCCTCGAACGGCTGGTACACCCTTCGGTGTGGGAGCGGGAGATAAGCGGTCTTCAGTCAAGTCATGGGCACCAGTGGCGACGCCGCGGACTGCCGAGAAGGTGTCGTTGAAGGATATTATTATGAAGGAGGCTGGCAGCAGCAAGGGAACTCCTACTGTGAACGGCCCCGTTGGATCTCGTTCTGCCGGGACAAACTCGACATTTGGGGAGAGGAAAGGAGGCGAGTCAGGACCTTTCTCAGCGCGACGCGTATCCGCCATTTCGACGGCGTTGACACCAGGTGCGGCTGCATCGACCACGCATTTGGCGGTAAACAACAACCCGCCGTTGAACAGAGCATCGCAACTCCCGCCCCGATCCCCTTTATTCCCCGCCACTTCCTCGTCCCAAGACGGACCCCCCGCGCTCTCCCTGTCAGTCTCCCTCGCAGGTCTTTCCATCAGCCAAATGCCATCTCCAACCAAAATGTCCCAAAAAGAACGGAGGAGATCCGCAGCGGCCGCCAGAGCATCGGGAAGCAATAACCACCCGGGAACCCCTCCGCCGCCGCCCCAGCTCTCGGCATGGGCGACACCGCAATCGGCCGGTTCGCCATCCAAACACCCGCCGCCCCCCATTAGTCGGGGTGGGAGCAGTTCCGCGCCGCGTATACAACACCACCCGCTCACCCCAACCGCAGGTCCAAGCCCCTCCCCCAACAAACCGGCTTGTACCCAACCAACCAAACCCGAGACCCCCCTCTCCCTCCGCGAAATCATGCAGCACGAAGCCAGCACCTCCGCCGCGAACCAATCACGGCTCTCCTCCTTTGCCTCCATCCAAGCCGAACAGCTGCAAGCCGCGCAAGCGCTGACTCGAAAATTGAAGAAACCGCTGGAGCGCATCCAGGCGGAGGAGCGCGCGATTGTGCAGCTGAAGGAGTTTTATGACATGACTAGGGTGGAGGGGAGTACGGAGTGGGTGGTTGTGGTCCGGGAGGGGGAGAGTGTTGCGGGGAGGCAAGGGAGGTAGATGTGAGAGGTGACGGAGGAGGCGGCGGGGAGAGGACATGGCGCGCATCGGAGTCGATCGATTGTGCTTTATCCATACTTCCTGCTTTTTGGACAGTCCTGACACTGGTTTCCTGTATCGTGTTTATACCTATATCTGTAGAAATGGGTGCCACTTCACTCCTGGAGAGCAAGCATCTTTACTTGTCAGACGTTCGCGCGTTTTTGAGATTTCACGCGTTCGTACGGGTGACTTTTCCCAGCCCTACCTCATATTTCCTACATGACCTCTACGACAATAATGGACGACTTCTCTTTGATCTTGCATGATTAGTGCCGCAAGTCCACCGCACTCTCCTTGCACTATACCGTCAACAAGTTGCAAGTCGCAGAGTCATCTAACACGCTCGTCAAGCCAAAAGCAACCCCGTGCTGCCCAAGTTTTAGGGTACGACAGATCTATCACACACGTACATACAATAGGATAGACACAATAGCCCGCAAGTACTTCACTTATATGTACGTCATGATTGTACAGTATGTGTACTGTGTGGGGTATGGGCTCGTCGGTGGTTTCCGTACAGTACAATGAGTCCGTGGCGAATGTGTTTATGGAATCACGCGTTAGCTTTCGAAGTTCGGACAACGACAAACTCGGAAAGCTTCGAAGCCCACACCACGTATGTACTCCTTTCGCCAAACAACAATTCTCTCAAGATGACCTCGCTCATATTCCTCGAACGGTTAGCCACACAGCCTCCAACAGCACCGGCAACCCGCCCGTCTGTGTGGATCCGACTGCCACACCCGCGCACGGGTGAGTGAATTCTCTCTCGGTTGTAGGAAAGCGCACCGACCATGCTCAAACTTAAACACCTCATTTGCCGGACTGGATAGGCGAACTAGTCTACTTCACACTCCGCCCCGACCCACCGCACCTCCTCGAAATTCAGCGAGTGGATAATGACGGATGCAGCTCGTGGTTTATTGACGATAGTGTGCAGAAAGGTGAGGGTCGGCAGAGATGGTGCAATGTGCATGGGAGGGGGAGAGGGTTTTCATTCGGCGTATTTGGGAACGCAGATGGGAGCTTGTACACTGCCTCGCCCATGGATCCTCTGTTCGTCCTGTTACCCTTATTGGATGCGCGGCGAAAGCAGGTATGCGTAATGACCTCGTTAATTTGGATACATCTGATTTGGAAGCTCATGTGTTGCTCATTGCGCATCAGACTGATGCAGCAGCAGGACAGTATATTTCGCTAGACGACCTGCTATTCAGTGAGGAGTACAGAGATCTGAGCAGGATAGGCGGGATTGAGGACTTGGCGGATCGGCTGGCGGCGGTTTGTGATACGACCTGTGAGTTTTGCGTGCAGACTTGGAGCACTGTTGCGGACAGTCGGGCGCTTGACACTCTACGTACACCATGCAGCTCCAACACCCGACCTCGTCTGTGTGCGGTTAAACGACGAGAAGGTGGTGCGGTGGATGAAAGCCAAGGTGAGCTCGACTTCTGGGTATATCGAAGCCTAGGGACACCGACAATAACCCGCTTCACCAAAAGTGCCAACGAATTCTCGAAAACTTTGATAATTACGAACTGCTGGACAGCGTGCGATCGGGAGAGGAGGGGTTGGAGGTTGAGCAGATCAAAAGTAAGCCCTGTCGCATTGGGCGCCGACCTTGCCCTTGAATGTGTTGCTGAGACTGCCCCGAATACAGCATCGAGATTACGAGTCGCTATTAGGCTCTTATCAGAGTACCTGCGGCCATGCTGGGTGGAGAAACTGCAGGATGCGTACGGGTAAGGCCTTTACATTAATCCCTGTCATGTCACACTGCCCGTCTTAACAGATGTGAATGCTGGAATCAGTTTGAAGAACGCCCAGGACGCCAACGACGGCTTTGTCTACTTCGACAACGTGCTCAAGCGCCCGGCACCCAAGACCGGGTCCGCGCAATCGGGTGCAGACGCAAAGGTGAGAAAAATGACCACTTGACACATCGGATGTATGCCGTGATGTATATGGAAACATGATCGCTTGCTGACATGTTCCGCGACATTGACAGAAAGCGAAACTGACACCGGGGCAGAGATCGCTGGCGAAGGCGAATAGGGAGGGGATGAAGAGTATCACTAGCTTCTTTAAGAAGTGAGGGTTTTGATGGTGGATGATGGCATGGGAGAGAATCGGCGTATCTGGGTTGGATCGGATTGTATATAGCGTCGCTAGCTTAATTTAGATGGTCGGCGATGCCCCGTTTCGTGAGGACATATCGTTTGTCTGGTGTAATAGCATTCCTCGGCCTGACCTTCTATATACGGCCGTTTGCTATGGGTCCTGGAGTGACTTTCCCCAAGCGCACAAATGCAAAACTGCTCTCCACACGGGTTAGAACGCGTCAACCCATACCCACTCCCCAACCCTACCCTCTTCCCCTCAACATCGCAATAATGGACTACGCAATCCCACAGAGGCATCTTGTGCAAGTCACAGCACCCCAGCCCGACAATGGACTCGCACGTCAGTGACCTACGATCCCTCGTCGAAAAGAACCTTCACAGTGTGTATGTATCCCTTGCCATTCCTCTCTCATCGCGCTCCAAAAGAGTGCGTGCTCATGACCTCACACACGTCGCTCTTTGTCTTTTCGCGCACAACCTTTGGGGCCACCACCGAAAAAAGCCTCGCTTCAACAATCCCGTTTTTATCGACACATTTAACAAGCATCGGGTCCGCGCTTTGGAAAGACCCCGCGAGATATATTTCGAGTACGCACGAACACGAAGAAGACGACTGGAATACGAGTGGAATGTCGGCTACTACGAGTAGGATGGGGAGTATTACCGAGGGGGTTGCGTCGGCGCCGTAAGTGTTGAGCGCATTTACACAAGCTGCGGTTTGCATTCTACACACTGACACACATGCGCATACATGACATATGATATCATATAGACTGAAGATAATGGTAGCAGCGAACAATTCCCCCGCCGCCTTCTGCGCGCTCGACTACGCGAGAAGATTATGTGAGAAGCTAGGGAATGTCCAGTATGATCTCCTCGTTGTCTACTTTGTCGCGCTGAACCCGCAGCGGAACGTGCCGTACCTGTACGCCTTCTTCAGCCCTTTCTTCTTCATCCGCCATGTGTATGAGTGTGGCTGACTTGACTTGTGGGAATCGTAGGGACCACCTCGAACGCGCGTACAACATGGATATCCAGGACACGGCCGAGAAGGACGTGGGGTTGTGCAAGGCGTATTTGAAGACGCATTATAATGGGCGGGTGAATTATCGGTTTTTGGAGGTGGAGGGGGAGGGGGAGACGGGGCCTTTGATGGAGGAGGTGGGTTGGGATTGAGTTGGGGTGGGTGGGTTCGGTGGTGCGTTGTGGGTCTTTGATACTGACTTTCATGGACATTTTAGTTTGTAAATGAGTCGCATTCGGATCTGGACTTGTTTATCATCGGGACACGCAACCTGGGTACATTGCAACGGTATGGGCGGCTGACTTCTGGAGATCTCTTCCCAACCCTTAACAAAGATCAAAACACTCATCCTTCATACCCGCCTCACACAGATGGGCATTCGGTTCCGTAAGCGACTACGTCCTGCACCACCTCTCATGCCCCGTCACGGTCGTCAAAGACCCCTCAACGCTCGAACACGATGATTGAGGGCGTTCCCCCTGCATCCCACATAGTTCCATCTGCTCTCCTTCCTCCTTCCGGCTAGCGCATAATCAGTCGCCCCGAATCTGTATCTAGAAATGCGTTCCCCTCCCGGGGCCTTCCGATTTTGGGCCAAATGCTCCTTTTTTTTTGTCCTTTTCCGCTTACTTTTCAATAGTTTTTGGGGCGGGATGGGCCGGTCATCAATCGTTATCTGCATGTCGCCTGAAATCCACCCATTTTTCGATTGCCAGTGTAGTCTTGCTATCTGTACTTCATAAGCAGTTGGCCCGTGTCATTTCTATGTACGATCTGTCTAATTGAAATCGTCCCGAAGCTGTCCCCAAAAAGCCCATGTCCGTCGTTCTTCTCCAGTCTCTCAAGTATGCCCGTGCCGGTACTACCTCCCCGCCTGCTCCTGCACCTGTCCCGTCTCCTCCTGCGCCTTCAACTTTGCCAACCTCGCCGCGTTTCGTTTTCCCAGCACGCGCACCATGTTCGCCCGCTCCGACTCCGTCATAGTGTCCCAGTTTGTTATTCTCGATAGTGTACCGTCCTGGGGGGGGGGGGAGGTGTTGTAGTTGGAAGGGCGAGGAGAGGAAAAGCGGGAGAGAGTGTCAAAACTTACGGAGTTGACGACGACTGGACCTAGGTGGTCGAGGGCGACTGGCTGGCTTAGTGAGGCGGTGGCTGAGGCAGCAGTTGGGTTGTATTCGAGTGCGGCGGGGGTGCTTGGGGTGTTGGGTTGGGAGGCCATGATGCTGTGCCGTTGCTGTGTTGAGTTGAGCAACTTGCGAGCAGCTGGGCTCTTTGCTTTGAAAGACTCCGCCCATTGCGGTTGGGACAGTAAATGACCGACCGCGTGACCTGGCGCGGCCGTAGCAAGGGGGCCGGTGACTTCCAGCCGCCTGTGATGACACGTCCCTCTGCGTCTGCGGATTGCGCTTTCTGAGTTTCGCCCACTTGCCAACCTTCCCTGCCACGCACAGCGACGAGCATCCCTCAATACCCACACCTACTTTCAATTACCCCCCCAATAGTCTCAAAGAACAAAATGGTAGGTCGGCTCGCCCCCCTCCTTCCGTCCTCGGACAAAACCACAGCTCTCAGCGGTGTCTCTCGGCATTTCCATTCCCTGACGTCCGACATTGCTCCAATTTCGGACATTCTGCTGACGTGCCCCCTTCATTTCCTCCCCACGACGCGATTCCCGAATAAACAGACTTCCGAGAACCTTTCGCCGAGAGTTATCAAGAGGCTTTCTAAAGGTATGCGTGCAAGGGCTGGGAGTTTTTTTGTGTGATTTCGTGGTGTGGGCTGCGAGGAGACGCGCGGGTGGGGCGTGGGAACATTTGGGGCCGAGCGGCGGAGGACGGGTGGGCGAGGGATAGCGCCGTAGGAGAGAGTTTAGAGATTTCCGAGCGAACAGCTATAGGAAATCGGGGCAGGCTGTGCGTAATTCCAGCTACGGGCGAGCATATTGAGGTCTGGAGCGTGCGGGAGTGTGTAGAGAGTCGTGTTCTTTCTGTTCTACTTTCGATGTAGAATGCTCCTCAAGCAATGCTTTTCATTCTCACAACCCATTCTACAGAATTCGCGGAACTTCAAGGGCAACCACCAGAGGGTATCAAGCTGATTATAAACACGGACAATTTGACGGATGTGCAGGCCTGGGTTGAAGGTCCTCAAGGTATGTTCTCCATCCGCCCTCTTGACGTTGAAGAGTGTATTTAGGAATGAGGGATCAAATGTGAGTGACTATCACCCTTCCTCGACCCTCAACAGGCACACCATACGAAGGAGGCTGCTTCCGCGTCAGGCTTTCCTTATCCAGCGAGTTTCCAAACGTACCTCCACAAGGGACGTTCTTGACAAAGATCTTTCATCCGAATGTTTCAAAGGCGGGAGAGATTTGCGTAAACGTGTTGAAAAAGGATTGGAAGAAGGAATACGGGATCGGACACATTTTACTGGTATGTGATAGAGGACTGCGCCGGCTTCAATCTACGCACTTGCGGAGGACAGAAGTATTCACCTTTTCTTTTCTCTCTGCACTGACAGACAATCAAGTGTTTGCTGATTGACCCAAACCCCGAGTCTGCCCTGAACGAAGAGGCGGGACGACTGCTCCTCGAAGATTACAACTCTTACGCAAAGCACGCGAAACTCTACACATCCATTCACGGCACCAACAGCAAGATCCAGTTCGGCACGACTTCAAGTTCAGCGCCGACCCTCGGAAAGCAAAACGCGCCCCCGCCGACACCAGTTACCATATCAAGCAAGCTCCCGGCCGTATCACAAGAGAACTCGGGAATCGCATCAGGAACGGTACCTCCCGCCACAGGGGCACGCGACCCGGCCGCACCGGGAAGCGGAATCGCAGGATCATGCACCCCTCCCGGAAGCGCAGCCAGCAACTCCCTCCCGCCGCAGGGATCAGGGTACCAACAACACCTCCCCCTCTCGGATCTGGCGTCGCAGCCACGACAAGCCGGTGCAGCCGCGGGACATTTATCGGAAAGCAATTTGCCTGAGGCGGCGGAGGCGCATCCGGTGGGGCTGGCGACGTCGGCATTGCCACCGCCGAAGAAGCGGGTCGCGGAGAAGAAGCCTGAGGTGGTCAAGGCTGATAAGAAACGAACTCTGCGCCGGTTGTAGAGAGTTAGTTATGTGGTGGAAAGGCGATACGTGTTGTGTAGGGAAGGCGTGGGGTATTGGACAGATGATGCATAACAATCCTGTGTGGAAATACATGAATGCCCATCCTGTAAAGGTACCAGTCGTGAACCAAAGATACCTCCCATTTTCGCGTGAGATTGCTGCACTGGGCTTCGAACCCCAAACAACACTGCTGTGCATCACCGCCCGAAAGGATGAAATATTCTTCCATTGAAAAAATTGGGAGCACCCCGCCCAGAACTATACGTATCAGCATCAGTTGAACTCCCAGACGCACCCGTGGGTAAAAAGCGAAAAAAAGGGACCTGCCAAGCCCAAGGACGAAGAGTGGGTGTCCTGCGGTTCGTGTCCGTGTGGTATGACCTCCGCAAAACGAAACAAGTTATTCCGTTCGAACCATTGCAAACATCCAGGCACTTGGAGTTTTCCCCGTTTCACATGCAACATTCCATATTTCCCACGGCATCAAGCGAAATCCATTCAACCGCGGACAAACGTTCGCTGGTCCCTCCAAACATGACATAGCGCGGGGAAAAAGGGAGGTGATAGTGTAGGTATCCCTCTTTGACGGCATCCCGTCAATCCCTATAACGCGTGGTGACACTATTGCCCAGCGCGCAGCTCGTCACCTGGTGGAGAGCGTTTCGCGCGCGCACCTGTGCATTATGAGGTTGTCCAGTGTTCCCCCACCCAGATTATTGACTCGACGATGCGTATGGGATTGAGAGTCTACCCGCGGGATCTCGGAGGAAGGGCCCGAGGGGAAATGAGGGATATTGGATGCGTATGCCATTGCGGTTTTGATTTTTTTCCCGGAGCAGGTCTCCGATGGTTGGTTTAGGAGTATAAAAAGTGGAGTGGTGTGGAAGCCTCCCTTTGCTTTTGTGTTGTCGTGTGCTCTGCAGAATTTGAAGGTTCTGTTTAGGGAGAGAGAGAGTATCCAAAGCCTCTTTTGACATATCCATATTCGTGGCAAAAGCCTCATTTCGATCGCTCCAGGAAGAAACACAAGGTCGCAACTTATCCCAAACGCATATCCCAAAGCCCAACACGTCGCCCAACCATGAGCTTCGTCACAGTCTCCCTCATCCTCCTCGTCGCCATCCTCCTCTACAAATTCCTCGCCCCACCCCCCTCCCTCGCCTCCCTCCCCTACGCACCCATCCTCAAAACCCTCCGCGGCTTCATCGGCAACGAGCCCTTCGACATCCGCTACTTCCGCGACCGTGCCGCCATCCATTCGCCAAAAGATGGCATTGCGCGCCTGTGGATCGTCGGCCGATGGACGATCGTGCTCACCAACCCGGAGTATGCGAAGCAGGTGACGGCGAATCCGAACAAGTTCCCGAAGGTGATTATGGCGGATACGCCGTTGTTCAAGCATACGCATGTCGTCAAGGCGTTTGGACGGAATGTGGTTGGTACCGGCGGCACCGAGTGGAAGCGGCACAGGAATGTGGTCAGCCCGCCGTTTTCGCGCCCGTTAGACCCGGAGTTGTTCGCCAAGTCGGTTGAGATGCTGATTGCGCGCCTCAACGATGCTGCTGCTGCTGCCGAGAAGGATGCAGGCAAGGGGATTGATATGTACCCCTGGATGCAGCGCCTAACCCTCGACGTCCTCGGCAAAATCATCTTCAGCTTCGATTTCGGCTCCCTCTCCTCCGCCGAACCCAGCCGCTACGTCACGCTCTACAACGACCTCATCGCCGCCGTGCTCAAACCCATCATGTTCGTCTTCCCCTTCCTGCCCTTGCTGCCGCTCGAGTCCAACAGGCGCACTGAGAGGCATATTGAGGAGTTTAGGGGGTTGATGAAGGGGATGGTTGCGGATCGCAGGCAGAGGTTGGAGAATGTGCATATTGGGGATGTGAAGCCGGCGGGGAAGACGTCCCAGGATTTGTTGGATATGATGGTGGAGTCGAGCAATGAGAATAAGGATCCGATGCATCATTTGAATGAGGAGGAACTCATCAACGATTTGACAATCTTCTTCGTCGCTGGGCATGATACGGTACGTAGTGTTTTGCGAATGTTCTTCTTCGATGTTTGGATTGCACCCCTGTGTTGGAACTGATATTGAATCACTTCTTTCGCTGCTTTTACATATCTCCAGACCTCCAATGCCCTCTCTATTGCCCTCCACTACCTCGCCGCCAACCCCCACATCCAAGACCGCGCCCGCAAACACGTTCGCACCGTCATGGCCCTCCACCCTCGAAATGCGTCGACTACGGACCCGACCCCCTCCAAACTCTCCTCCACAATCCCCTCCGCAGACGCCATCCGCAAATTCAGCTACATCCACGCCATCATCAAAGAATCCCTCCGCCTGTACCCCTCCGCGACCGCCCTGGGCTTCCGCCGCTGTGTCGAGGATACACGTTTCGGAACACACTTGGTGCCCAAGGGGACGTGGCTGCAGGTCGATATCTTCGGTATGCATCGTGACCCGGCTCTATGGGGCGCCAACCCGGACGAATTCGACCCGGAGCGGTTCCTAGCACCCCCCGAAAAAACCGGCAACGAAGATGAAGACGAAGACGATCTCCTCGCCGCCCCGCGCGCCATGCAAAACCATCCCGGGTGGATGCCCTTCGGCGGAGGCAGCCGGATCTGCCTGGGGATGCAGTTCAGTCTTATGGAGCAGAAAGTCGCGCTTGCGATGTTGTTGAACACGTTCAGGTTCTCGTTGCCGGCTGGTGACCCCGACGCGCATCATATTACGCTTACGACGGGCGGGTTGTTGAGGCCGGAGGAGGCGAGGATTTGTATTGAGCGGCTTTGAAGTCGCGCTCGAGATTTACCTACTTGCAAACCAGGTCTTGCGTTTGTTTTCTTTCGATTTCTTTAACCCCCACATCTGTACATATGCCAACACCCCCGCGCCCGGTTTCCGAGTTTTGTGATACCCCAATACCCCACCGCCTGAGTTTCTGTTTGATTCCCTTGCATGGAAAACCCCTCCATCGCGATCCCATACTCCTCCTCAGTTACCACAAGATCCACGATGCGTTGCTAACCTCTCGTTTTTGATTCTCTTTCTGAGTTTCGTCGCATTCTGTACTACTGCTTCAAAATAAAGAAAACTCGAGCCGAACAGAAGGCATTCTGTGTTTCTGGTTTTGTGGTTTGCGGGTTCGGAGGGAGCAATGTCTCTCGGAAAGGGTCGTGTCGAAGGTTTTCATGCGGATCCAAACGCGTCGCGTCAGGTGGGGAAGAGTGCATCAGGCATCGTTTTCCACCCTTGGGCTTGCAGTACGCAGTCAACCACCACTCTATGTAAAATCTATATCCTTCTTCGGTATCCTAGTCTTCGCTCCCGTATGCTGCACGATCAAAAACCGTCCTTGTTGAATCCCCAGCTTCTCCATACAAACAGGGATTACCAAATCCGCCGCGCCGTCCATCCCCTCATAGCATTCAACAAAGTCCTCCAGTTTATACTTTGTGAAAATGCGGCACAGGGTTTTATTCCCCGTCCGCCCTGTGGGGAGATACTTGTACCCATGCTTTGAGCAGTCAAAATACATGTTGTCGTTCGAATAGTAGGATATCGTATGCCGGGCGATGGTTGCAATGGTTGTTGGGGGGTCCAGGAATACGAGGTCGTCCTCAAGGATCATACACAGCATCTTTGTCCCGCGTAAACAGCGCCGTAATGTGTCTGCATATACGGCTTTATACCGCTGTTCAGCGTCTGTCGCCCCATGGAAGTTGTTGAAGATCTTGACGACCTCCGCGCCTTTGACTTGCAGAACCGGGTCAAAGCCCGCGAAGTTCGGCGTGGTGGTATGGATATAGGTTGCGAACCGGGCGGCGAAGATCTCGGCGGGTTCGGATATGGGGTACGTGTTGTCGAAGAGCAGCAGCCAGTTTATAATAAATAGGCAGACGTTTGCGAATGCGAAGCGGCGGGAGGAGAGGATGCGGCGGATGAAGGGCTGTGTGCCGCGTAGGTAGTGGAAACGGGAGCGACGACGGCGCGAGTCTGAAGTGCCTGGGAGGAGGGACTGTGGCAAGGGCATGTTGGTACTCTCTGCTACTGAGCGTTTGCGGATCGTGAGCCGGAGGAGGAAGAGACGGTAGAAAACTTCATGCCAATTCAGTTTTCACCTTAATGACAACTGAGGTGGAAGTACTGGACCTAACGCGTGGGGTTCTAAGGGTTAACACATGAGAAATGACGCGTAAGGATGCCGAAAGTTTAGGTCCGCAGTGTGTAAGTCAGACACTTCTTTCCTGTTTTGGAACGATATCCAGAGAACGAACCATCAGGTCCCACATCCGCGAACGCAGACTTTGAAGACACCCCCCACAGGAGAACAGTAGGTGCGGAAAAGGGGTCAACGTAATCTTGAGATCAGAGATGAGCGCCGTATCCTTGTGGCCGGCCAGGGAAGCTTTCCTCAGCCGGCTCACCGCCAGCGAAAAGGCCATCCACAGTCTACAAACGGCCTGAATGCGTGTATGACCCCAGGGAACCGGCTTCGGGACGACTCGATAGGATCAGCGCCAACAACTCCATTCATGACCCGCTTTAGACCCCCTGAAAAAATCTCCCAAGCCCTCCAATCGAGACAGTATTTGAAAAAGGCATTTGCAATTCTCAAGCAAAAGACATATAAAAACGAAAAGTGAAAGGGTCGGTTACGGAGGGTTATAGATTCGGGATCGGGGGTCTATAGGTGTTATGAACGTGGCGGGGTATTTCTTCTTTTTCTGACTCTCGTTGCTCATGCGGCCTGCTGTTGAGACTTGTTCGAGGTCTCGTTGGCGGCTTCTTGATTTCCGTGTGTGAAGACCTGAGCGTGACCGGGAGGATTGTATGTTAGCAAATGAGTGGTAAATTCGTAAACAGGAGCAAGGTCCACAATGTCTCACCTGCGAGCACTTCGCCATCGTCGCTGAAGCCCTCGAGATCGGGTCCGTCATGTAGAAATCTGCAATGGGGAGCACAAACTTGCCCTCCTTCGCCGCACCCTTAGTGCTCTTCCCCTTCCTCAACTGTGTCAACCCCACGTCCGCAAAAGTAGCCTTCTCCACACCTCCATGGTACGCCACCAAAGTCGGGGAAACTTCCTCCATCCGCTCGCGAAGTTGCGCGGCGTCGTCGTACGGCAACGCGATGGATTTGCCAATGACCTCGCTGAGGGCCCGCACGATCTTCCAGTCCTCGCGGGCGCCTTGCACTGGCGCGACGGCGGCGCGGGTCTGCTGGGCGCGGCCTTCGGTGTTGACGTAGGTGGCGGTTTTCTCGGTGTAGGCGGCGCCCGGGAGGATGACGTCGGCGTAGTAAGCGCCCGTGTCGCCGTGGTGGCCTTGGTAGACTACGAAGGCGTCTTTGGGGATGTCGGAGGGGAGGACGTCATCGGCGTTGAGGAGGTAGATGAATTTGCCTTTTGTGGGGGTGGGGGTGGATGGGGTGTAGCCGATGTCGAGGGCTGCTGTGGCACCGGCGGCCTGTTCAGTCGCAAAGAGTTACTTGTTAGAATGATGCTCTCTCAGCAACGTAACAACGGTGCATGACTCACCCTTTGCAGAACATTGTAGATCTGGTGGCCAGGCTCAACGTTCTTCCTCAGCTTCTCAACCAAAGACGCGACGGAAGACAGAATAGCCGACGAGTCAGCACGCTCAAAGACCGCGCTTCCAACAACAATAAGGGGCTTCTTTGCCGACTTGAGGGTCTCAAAGAAAGCGTGCTTGCCGCTAACCAAACCCTCCAGAGCGCCAACCTCATCGCCAACATGGTCAAACTCGTAGTTGAGATCGGGGGCAGCGCCAACGACACCGACGTTGAGGTTGTTGGTGAGGTACGCTTTGCGGATGCGGGTGTTGACGATGGGCGCCTCGTGACGGGGGTTGGTGCCGATAAGCAGCAGCGCGTCGGCCTCTTCTATGCCGTTGATGGTGTCGTTCAGGACGTAGTTACTGCGGAAATCGGCGACACCGGCAGGGAGCTTGTCGACGTTGCGAGAGTCGGTTCGGAGGTTCTCCGAGCCGAGACGGTTGAAGAGATCCTTCAAGGCGACGAGACTTTCGGCGTCGGCGAGCTGACCGGCGATTGCGACCAGTTCGTCAGCTTTGACCTCCTTGATACCCTGCGCGACGGCAGAGAGGGCCTCGGGCCAGGTGGCGGGCACAAAGTCCTCTCCCTTCCTGATCATGGGAGTGGTGAGACGTTGCCTCTTCAATCCGTCGTAAGCGAAACGGGTCTTGTCAGAGATCCATTCCTCGTTGACGTCGTCGTTGAGACGAGGGACGACCCGCATCACTTCGAGTCCACGAGAGTCGACGCGGATGTTGCTGCCTACTGCATCAAGGACATCGATGGACTCCACCTTGCGGAGTTCCCAAGGACGGGCGGTGAACTCGTATGGCTTGGAGGTCAAAGCACCGACGGGGCAGAGGTCGATGATGTTACCGGACATTTCCGAGTTGATGGTCTTTTCGATGTACGTTCCGATCTGCATGTCGTTTCCGCGTCCAGATGTACCCATCTCTACGGCTCCGGCCACTTCGTTGGAGAAACGGACGCAACGGGTGCAGTGAATGCAACGAGTCATGCACGTCTTGACAAGAGGACCAAGGTTCTTGTCCTCTACAGCTCGCTTCCCAACGGCCTCGTGAAATCGACTGCTGTCGGAACCATACCGCACAGACTGGTCCTGGAGATCACATTCGCCTCCCTGATCACAGATAGGGCAGTCCAGAGGGTGATTGGCCAGCAAAAACTCCATAACTCCTTCCCGAGCCTTTTTCACGAGTGGTGTGTTGGTCTTTACGACCATCCCGGGCATGACGGGCATGGCGCAGGACGCCACAGGCTTTGGAGACCTCTCCAGCTCCACAAGACACATACGACAGTTACCAGCGACAGAGAGACGCTCGTGGTAACAAAAACGGGGAATGTCGACACCAGCCTTCTCACAGGCCTGGATGAGGGCTGCTCCCTGCTCAATCGAAACTTTTTTTCCATCGATGGTCAGCTCTACAGTTGCCCGTGCTGGCCTCGTCTGGCTGAAGTGGCGAGCACCTAAGGAAGGGAGGTTCGTTAGTGTATGGTGGTTGTAAAGAGAGCATGCCGTGGGAACGTTTTGCTCGTTTGTGGATCAATTACTCACCTCTTGCAGCGGACACTCTCAGGCAGCTGGCAGGCGCCAGACTCGCGGCGGACTTTGTTGCCAAGCGAAACATTGCAGCGCTGTTGTTTCTGTGGGGGATATTCGATGGGTATGTCGTCTACAAGCTGCCCTTGCGTGAGCGCCAGAACTGCGATTGCCGTTGAAAGAAGCGGAAATGGCAAACTTCGGCCTAACGGGCGGGGAAGCAAGGTTAGCTTTTTTCCGTGTGCCTCGTCGATAGCGTACGTAGGAAGCGAGTGGGTGGTGGACAGGGGGTTGTTACCTTTCAAATCCAAAGCGGTTGTTCGCTCGCTCGCTCCTGGGGGGAAATGGCAGAGGCAATGGCTTCCAGTTCTGTCTCTCGCCTTCTCGCTGCGACGTTGGTGGCCGTCGTTTCGCAACCACTTTCGAGCCGTGCGTTCGACATCTTACCCGCCGCCGCTCACACACGGAAACCCCTCAGCATCCCCACTTTTAAACAGAGACCCTCATATCGCTGGGCTGCTATGCGTCTGCTCCTGCTTCTGGTGCTCCCCGCTGCTGTCCCTGCGCTCTCCGTGATACCATAATCGCTCAACCACCGGCGCTCTCCACACGCGCAACGCTGGCCGACATCTGTGAATACCATACATATTTATAGTTAGATAGAGAGGCTCAATACCTAGAGCCGCCATATAGCAACGCTGTGTTCAGCGGAGAACCCGTCAACGCTACGTAGAAACGCTGGAATTCAGTTAACACCTTGAGCAATGGCGTCCTCCTCCTCGGCCTCGTCACATCCGTTCGGCCTGCCATACATTCCACAAGCAGGCGGTGTTCCACCACGAGCCAACTCCTCAACAGCCAGCCTGGCAGCAAGTGCTCTGGCGGGTAGTAGAGAAGGTGTACGGTTCGCAACCAGTTCCTCGTCTTCCGGACCATTGCCATCATCCTCCTTCACAGACGACAGCGACCGCATCGATCTAGGAGCAAACCCAGGGGATGACGACGTAGAAGACGACCAACCAGTGATTTACGAAGACTTCACCACCATCGATTGGATGAAAGACCAAATGCGTGACTACCGCCGCCAAAACCGTGAACGCAACCGCCGCCGCAACCCATCCGAATCCCTGCCGAGCGTATGGGCCTCCAAATTCTTCAACGCGACGCAATCCTGGATCCTCATCTCCATGATCGGCATCTCACTCGGCTTCGTAGCAGGGTGGATCGATGTCGTCGCGGCGTGGCTGGGCGATATCCGGTTCGGGTATTGCACGATCGAGTGGCATATGAGCAAGTCGATCTGCTGCACGCAGCAGCCGAAGCAGGAGGATGGCTCGTGTCCGGATTGGAATGATTGGAGCTATGCGATTTTTGGAGCGAGGGGGGTCGGCATTGTCAACTGGGTGTTCTATGTCGCGTTCTCGACGCTGTTTGCCAATGTGTGTTCATATATGGTGGTGAATCTGGCACCGTACGCGGCGGGATCGGGGACGGCTGAGGTCAAGACGATTTTGGGAGGGTTCATCATCAAAGGGTTTCTGGGAATCCGGACGCTCGTTATCAAAACCATTGGACTACCATTGATGGTGGCATCTGGACTTGCTGTGGGAAAAGAAGGACCGATGATCCACGTCGCGTGCTGCATCGCAAACGTCTTTCCGCGGCTCTTCCCAAAATACTGGAAAAACGAGGCGCGGAAGCGAGAGATCTTGTCTGCTGCATCAGGAGCGGGAGTAGCCGTCGCGTTTGGTGCGCCAATAGGCGGCGTTCTCTTCTCCCTCGAAGAACTGAGCTCCTTCTTTCCCGCGAAAACGATGGTGCGGAGCTTCTTTTGTGCGCTCGTCTCGACCGTCACGCTGCAGCTCATGGATCCATATAGAGGGAAACGCGTTCTGTACCAAGTCTCCTACTCCCGCCCATACCATTTCTTCGATATCCTCTTTGGAGTGGTGCTGGGCGTGTTTGGAGGGCTGGCCGGCGCGCTGCTCATCACGGTGAACCGGAAGATCCAGGTTTTCCGCAAAACCTCATGGCTAAAAGCGCACCCGGTCTACGAAGCCACGGTCATCTCAGCCGTAACAGCCGCCTTCTGTTACTTCAACATCTTCACCCGCGTCGACAGCTCCGACCTCCTCGAAGGCCTGTTCCGTGAATGCGAGGAGACGGATTTCCACGGTGTGTGCAGTCGCGACCGACGCGGGTTCGTCGTCGCGTCGCTGATCATGGCCTTGCTCATGCGCATCGTGCTCACCATCGTCACGTTCGGCGTCAAGGTCCCGGCCGGTATCTTCATCCCCTCCATGGTCTGGGGCGGTCTGTTTGGCCGGCTACTGGGCTTGGCTGTCCAGTCATGGCAGGAAACTTACCCGGACAGTTTCCTCTTCACCGCGTGTAAAGCTCAGCCGGACATCCCCTGCGTCACACCGGGGATGTACGCCCTCCTCGGCGCGATCGGCGCACTCGGCGGAACAACCCGCATGACCCTCTCCCTCACCGTCGTCATGTTCGAACTCACGGGAACGCTGCACTACATCGTCCCGTGCATGGTAACCCTCATGACGGCCAAAATCGTTGGCGACATCCTCGGCAAAGGTGGCTTCGTCGAGATGCAAATCCATCTCAACAAATACCCCTTCCTCGACCCGCGCGAGGACACCGTCGTCGGCCTCACCGCGTCGGAAGTCATGACACCGTTAGATGAACTGATCTGTTTCGTCGACAAGGGCATGAAAGTCGCCGACGTCGACGAGGCCGTCAAACAGGCGCAATACAAAGGGTTCCCCGTCATTCGCTCCATGGACGACTCAACCTTCATCGGCTACATCCCGCGCGAAGACCTCAAATCCTCCCTGGAAAAAGCCCACGCGCAACATTCTATTGAACCCACAGCCGCGGTCGTCTTCGACGACCCTGGCTCCCCGACCTCTGCACGGCGGAACACACTCACGCCTACGACCCCCGGGGTGACGTGGCGACATACCCGTGGGCCATCACAGCACAACATGTTTCGCCAAACCCGCGACGGCGCGCGGCAGTTGGTACTACCCCTCGACCGCGAGCCGTTGTACGTGCACCCCCTGGTCCCCATCGAAGTCGTCATGGACCTGTTCAAAAAGATGGGCCCGCGGTACGTGCTTGTGCTGCATATGGGGCAGTTGAAGGGGATTATCACCAAGAAGGATATCCTGTTTGCCCTTTACGGTGAGGAACAGCATAGTCTGGCCCAACAGGCGGATGCCGCGGGAGATGGAAATGATATCGTCTCCTCGATATGGAATTGGGGCGCTGGGATGGCAAGGCAGGGGTCAAACAACTCAACATCACGGATGAACCCGGGGCAGTTATCCCCGTCCTCCTCAACCGAATCGTTCGAGTTTGGAGGAAGGGATGAGGAGGGCGCGGGCACGATCCCGCTCATCCTCACCTCAACCAGCGATAAAACAACACACTACCCCCCGCCCGCACCACCATCGTCATCATCAGCACCCTCGCAGTACCTCTCTCCCAACCAACACCCCTTCACGCATCTAAACCCCCCATCAGCATCCAACTCCCCCGCCCCCTCACCCTCCCCAACCCCGTCAGCACGCGGGATCGCCCGCGCTCGTAAACTCCGTGGGGGGTTACCGCTCACGAGTAGTCTGAACAATTTGAGCGGGATTGCGAATAGCACTGCGGCAAGTAGTGCGAGTTCCGCGGTGGGGGCTGTGCCGTGGATTGGGTCGGCTTCTGCTTTGGCGCAATCAACGACATCGGCGGCAGAGGAGGGTGAGAGGATAGCGGAGCAGGGAGCTCCGTTGGATCCGCTGCAGAGGGGGGCAAGGTCGAGGGTTCGGTCGTTGAGTTCGGGCAGCGCTTCCGGAACCGGGGCCGGGGAGGGGTGGGATAATGATGGGGATGTGGGGTGGGGAGGGTAGCGGGCTTCCCTACATGCACATTCCTTCCGTACCCAGTGATGTAGGATACCCCCTATGTAGGATATACTGTACCTTTTGCAGAATAATTGGAAAACCGAAAAAACAGACGAGCATACTCGCTGGTTTTGCCCTTATCAACCTGCACGGTGACGTTTTAGTGAGCCGTCCTCAGCCTGGATTTAAGAGTTTCAGGACAACCGGTCCCTCAACGCGTGCTTCATGCGCGAAAGAACCACCCAAGCGGACCACGAGTTGAGTCCTTTTCTGTACAAATGAGACGTGTGCCTGCCATTCTTTCCATTAGCTGAGATGTGGATTTCCGAATTGACCTACTTGGCACCGGCCACTCATCCTAAGTTGCCCAGAGCACAGATACCTCTTCCTGATGCTTGACCAGTGAGCGACCTAAATAGGGTACACCCGCAACTGTGAATTCATGCGACTTTACGCGCACTGACCTTTGGAGACACCTACCTCGTCCCTCGTACCTCGGCTAAATGCAAGAAGTGGAGCAGAGTTCTGGAGAGAGGGAGGAAGAGAGCCAGTTGGAAGGGGTTTTTATGGAGGGAAAGGGTTGCAGCCGGGGCCGAGGAGGGTCAAGGGCAAGTCGTGGGGCAAAAGATAAGGCGACGGGGAAGGGTTGACGCGTTTGCTTATGTTACCACGCGTTTTGCACACTCCGCCGGACCGTCCGCAAAAGCACCCAGAGGGCATAAACAGGGCTGCAATAGCCTCGAGCGAGCACTGATACCTCACCGCAAGCGATCTTTCTCTTGCCCAGTATGATGTGCACTGGCCTCTGCATCAACCAGCGGACCGAGAACACTCTTCTTCCCAAGCGGCAGTGCTGAGTTACGGAGAACAGCACCCGAACGCCCGGTTGGAGATTAGCTGAGCTCTCTTGATTGGAGGACATACAAAGAGTGGTGCAATTGGAGTAGAAGTGGGAGGGGAAAACTTCTGGAGTAGAAGTGGAGGAGTAGGAGAAGGAGACTGAGTCGGACTCAGACTGGGGCAGGGGGAGAAGAGGCGGGGGTTCCGAATTTGCAAGGGTCCACGGTACCGGCCTGGTGCCATAAGGGGCCCATGGATTATGCTCCGACGCGTTTGTCGTGCATCCGGAATCAGAGCAACTAGATGCTCACGAAAGCCATCGACATGGAAACTCCATCCCCTTGCCGAGTTGGGGTCCGCCTGATTGGGGAGCCAACTTGCCTCCCTAGCGCTCTTAGAGAGAAGAGGCCGTTCGGATTTAAGGTTCCATTTCACGAGGGGGGATGAAGGCATTGGAACCCGAGCGAAGGACGGCGTGCGCCAGGGGCTAATAGATGACAAGCGCGTAAATTCGAGAAAAAGACGCGTTATTACCTCTCCTTACTGCAATGGAAAACGATAGCAACGGCGAAGAATGGTATTTATGACTCCCCAACAAGAAAACGAGTTCACCGCAGCGGTGAAGAAAAGGGGTAGGTCCGAGATAAACTAGCTACGGTCACGTGTTGTGGCACGGGATCTCTCACATCCCCCACAAAACACGAAGGTGTTTTCATAGCGAAGGCCCGGGGTGAAGGAAGCGAAGTCAGAAAGAGAACACAAGAAAAGAAAAAAAAAAAAAGGAAAGGGAAGGGAAGGCTATCTGAGGTGTCGTCGCGGTCCTCGAGGCCGGGCATAGCTAGGCTTCCGTGGAAGTGGGGGCGCTAGAGGCCGGGCGTGTGTCGAGATCATTGTTGTTCCCTTGCAGGGGTGGCCCTAGTTGTCGCTCCTCCACGCTTTGGAGTACCGTGCTCAGGAAGGCGTCGACGGTGCCGGGATCGGGCTCGGAGTGTTGTGGTGGGGGAAACGGGAGCGGGTCGTGGGTGGGCGCGGTGGTTCTCGTCGGCCAGTGGTTTTGGTAAGCGAGGAGGGCTAACGATCCGCGGAGGGCGCCCTCGAGGACCCAATCTGCTCCACTCCGTTGCGCGAGATACCAGGTGCGGCGGTGTAGTTTGCGTTCCCGCAGGACTTCAGCGTAGGTGTGGCCATCAACGGAGACCGTGTACGTAGGAGGTGTGGCGGAGTATAGGCGAAGAACGTCCGCATGGAACGTCGGGTGTTGGCGGGAGAGGTTCCGAGGGAGTTGTAAAGTGTACGTATTTGGGGTTGGGCCCAGCCGGACGATGGGGAAGGGGCCGAGGAATTGTGGCAGTATCTTCAGGCTTGAGTCGGGAAGGTCCTTATATTCTGGTACGGCGAGGGCGTACCGGTGGACTAGAACGTGAGCGCCCGGCAGGAGCTTTGGCACTGAGGCAGGCGCTTCGCATCCGCATAGCGAGCGAAGCGCTCCTGGCCTTCCCAGATGCGTTCTTTGATGAGAGTGACGAGATCTCCCATCCGCCTGGGCCAGTCTTCGGCTCTGGTGTGGGCGCCCGATTCTCTGTCCTGCAGGTTCATGTTGCGGGGGGTCTGAGGGTGGAATCCGAGGTCCGCCTCAAATGGTGTCATCCCGGTGGTGGCGTTGATGGTGTCGTTATACGCAAACTCGAGCGCGGAAAGGTGTTGTGACCACAACCGCCCCGTGAGGTCCGGGTTCGCCGCCATCATCTGCTTGACGGTCTGAATGGCTCGTTCGGTTTGGCCGTCGGTTTGCTGGTGGTTGGTGGTCGCGATGGCGGTTTGGAAGCCCAGGGAGTCCGCGATCGTGCGCCACATCACCGAAGTAAACTTGCTGTCGCGGTCGGTAACGATGGTGGTGGGTAGACCGTGTAGCCGAACGATGTTATCCACAAACAGTCGCCCGAAGTCCTCCGCTGTGACTGTCCGATACGTGGCCGCCATGTGCAGGCGCTTGGTCATGCAATCAACCCAGAATGCGCACAAGTCCCGGCCGAGGTGATCTGGGGGCATGAACGCGAAGTCCATGGTGATATCGCTCCAGCGCCCCTCGGGTACGGGCAACGGTGTAGTGAGACCCCGTTTGCAGCGGGACGTCTTGATATGGAGGCACGCATCGCAGCCTTGAACGAATTGCTTGACCGATTGTTCGAGACAGGGCCAGTGGAAGTGCCGCACCAGTCTCTCCCACGTGCGGAACCACCCGGGATGTGCCGCTGCATCCGCCGAATGCGCGTCGAAGAGGAGCTGGTCTCTCAAACGTCCAGCTGGGATATATAGGCGACCGTCGTAGTACAGGAGACCGTCGACAAGGGTGTACTTCCTTTCCTCGTGGCTCCGGGCCTTCTCCGGCTTCTGCAGCGCGTCGATGATCGATTGCGCGTAGTCGTCATGTGTAAGCAGGGAGGCCACGTGTTCGTGCAGATCAGTGCTGGTGTTCAGGGTGATCGCGGACACCTGGGCACGGGCGTGACAGCTCACGCACCGGGGAGCGTAGTCCGGGCGTCTGGAAAGGAGGTCCGCAAGGAGGTTGCTTTCGCCTGGTACATAAAGGATCTTCACTTTGTACTCCTGTAGTGCCTCTACCCACGCGGCTTGACGTCGTGACAAGTGCGGTTGGGAGCCCAGCCACGTGAGCGATTTGTGGTCCGTGAGCGCAAAGAATTCCCGGCCGCGGAGGTGAGGGGACAGCGCCTTGATGGAGTCGACGAGCCCGAGCAGCTCTCGTTCGTGGGTCCCATATCGCGTTTGATAAGGGAGCAGCTTCTTGCTCCAAAACGCCACCGGACGCAGCTGGGGAAGGAGCATGTCCCACTCCTGTGCCTCGTCCACCTTGGCCCCCGGCGGCGGTTGCAGGAGGCAGGCCCCGATCGCGTACCCGCTCGCATCGATCTGTAAGAAGATGGGCCGCTGGGCGTCGTACCAATGCAGAACGGGAGCGGAGGAGATGGCGGCTTTGATATTGTCGAAGGCGGCGGCCTCGTGCGTCGTCCACTTGAAGTCCACGGTCTTGGCAAGCAGGCGGGTCAGCGGTAGGGCGCGCTCGGCGTAGTTGTGAACGTTTCCCGACAAGTAGTTCGTAAACCCCAAGAATTGGCATAACTCGGCTCGGTCGAAGGGCTTGGGCCAGCCCGTGACGGCGGCAGTCTTCTCCGGGTCCAGGGAGAGGCCGTCCCGGGAAACGACAAAGCCGCAGAACAGGGCCGTTTCCTTGAAAAAGTGGCACTTCGAGAGCTTGGCAGAGAGGCCATTGGCTGCCAGGCGGCGCAACACCTCGTCGGAAAGGCGGCGGTGGACTTCGTCGTCCCTGGAGTAGATGAGCAGGTCGTTCATATACACCACGAGCCCTTGATCGAGGAGGTCCGCGAACAGCGTATTCATGTACCTGGTCCAGGTAGCCGGCGCATTGCAAAGTCCCATTGGCAAGACCCGCCACTGGAAGTGGCCGAATCTGGTCTGAAATGCCGTCTTGGGCCGATCCGCCACCGCAACCGCGATCTTGTGATAGGCGTCGATGATGTCTACCGTGCTGAATTTCGTGGCTCCCTTCAAGCGGTCGCGCATCTCAGACAGATGAGGGATCGGTGTTCGGTCCGGGATGGTGACTCGGTTGAGGCCGCGGTAATCAATGCAGAAGCGTAGGCCCCCGCACTTCTTGCGGACGAAGAGCACTGGCGCTCCCCATGGGCTGGAAGATGGCTCGATCCACTTCCGGTCTAGAAGCAGTTTCAGGCGGTCTTGGAGCTCCGTCAGTTCGGCCGGCGACATGTGGTATACGCAGGAGTACGTAGGTTTGACGTGTGGCGTGACGGGGATGGCGTGTTCGATGCCGGGCACCACACGCTCGTTCGGCGAGAATACCCCAGCATGTTTTTCAACGATGTCTCTGACGTACTCATGGACTCCGTCGAGGGGAGGGGGTTCTGGAGGTGGGGCAGGGGCCGGTACTCCCTCCGCCGGCTTGTAATCGCACTCGACGGTGACGGCCGCGATGGGCGCGGCGCCCTTCCGTAGAGCTCGGCGGAGCTGGTGGTGGGACATGGGCATTTCGTCGCTCTCATAGCCCGAGTCGTGGCCGGACGCTGCGTGGATGGGCACCGGCTTGGGCCGCACCACCGGGCGGGAAGGGGTGGGAATGTCGATGAACGCATGCGTTGGAATCAGGTGCCGTGCACCGTGCTCAGGTTCGTTGATGGCCAAGGACACTCGCGGACCCGTCGTGATGAAAGCCGGTGACACTTCCAGAAACCAAGGAAGGCCAATGATCTCGTCGGGCCGAATGTTGGCGACGAGCCACGGTAGCTTCCGCGCCCAGCCGTTGATGACAATGTCTTCAACGACGTATGATGTGGCGGATCCCTTGGAGTCGCGGGCCGCGTACTGTAGTTCCACCCGCGACGGTCGGGTGCGGAAGCGGTGGCGTTTGACGAAGCGGTCACTCATGATGTAGGAGCTGCACCCGGTGTCCAGCAAGACTGTGGCGGGAATGCCCGTGATGGTCGCGGAGACGGTGAGCCTCGCGTTGGTGATGAGCGGTCCATCTGAGCACTTCTTGGAGTGGATACAAAGCTGTGCGAACAGTGCCTGTTCCTGCCGGTCGTCGAGTGTGCCACCAATGTCGGAGATGTGCCGCCGGACGTGAGTGAGAGCCATCTGCAACGCCGGGTCGTGGTTGCCGCCCGGTGTTGGGGAGGAAACCCCGCGCGCACGGACGGGTTCGAGGTTGGGGTTGGACTGGGTTGGGATTCGCGCAGGGAAGGCCGTAGCAAACGCGGCCGGGTCCACGCATCGTCGGGTGTGCAGGATCGCCGGTGGCGTGGGTTCGGGGTGGGTGGGGTCGGGTGCGGGGGTTCTCTGCACTGAGGGGGTGGGATCCATGGGAGGGGGTTCAACGGAGGGGGAGGTCTTGTGCACTGAGAGCAACGGAGTCTTGGGCACTGGGCTGAGGTTCATGTGTACGCGGGATGGGTTCTGGGGGACTAGGGGGTTCGAGGTGGTTGGCGTGTCGAGCGCAAAGCGGACTTTCTTGGTTTCGCGCCCCGCTGCCGGCAGGGGAGCGGCACGCTTGAGGATCTGGCGCGGCGCGGAGTCGGGGTCGGGAGGACGGCCCAAATGGTGTCCCAGAGGCTTGCCGGCGGCCCTGGGAAACTTCAAAAATCCACCTGGTGCTCCCGGTCTGGGTGGAGGCTGCTGGGCTCGGGGATGGGCATATTGGTGGTTGCATCGATTTGGTGGACAGTCGCCGGGGGGTTGAATTCCGGGCATTGGGCCGCCATGTGCCCCGGCTGGCGACAACGGAGACACAGGCCGTTATGCATGCAGCGCTCGCGTTCTTCGGGGGTCAAGCGCGGGACCATGAGGCGGGGTTTCTTGTACTCTGGCACGCCGGTCGGGGTGTTGATGTGATGGACGGTAGTCGGTGCCGCGCGCTTGTTGGACCAGGTGGTCGCCGTGGTCGGTGTCCCGCTGGACGCAAATGGCTGGGGCCGTGGTCCTTGGGCGCCCGAATTTCGCTTGAGGTTGGCAGCTTCAGCGACCTTGGTGGCGGCGCGTTCAACGGGGGATGCCATGTCGTAATAATCTTCGACGGTGAGGTCCCGTGAGAGCGGTTGAGCGGCGAGGTAAGGTGCGATCTCGGCGCGGAGACCCCGAGCAAAATAGCGGGCCGCGTCCGTTTCCGACAGCTGTTGAACTGAGAGGCGGATGGCCTGGAAGCGGCTGTAGTATTCCTCTAGGGTGTTGTACTGCTTGATGGTCTCGAGCGCTTTGCGGGCGTTGTCTTGACAACTGGCGGGTATGAACCTCGAGCGGAGGGCCGCAGAGAACTCATCCCACGTGGACACTTCGAGACAGCCGAGCTGGTCCCACCAGGTGGCGGCCATGGCGTCGAGACGTCCGGCCGCCATTTCAATCTTGGCTTGGTTCTGCATCGGCGGTGCCGCGCGGAAGTATCGTTCCAAGGCCGCGAGGAAACGGTTAACCTTGGCAATGTCACGGGAGCCGTCGTAATGGGTCAGGTTTTTGCGCAGATCTTTCGCCAAAGTGGTCTCTTGGAGGGCCAGGACATCCGGCGAGACGGGTGACGGGAGCTTGGCTTGAGGATCGATGCGGAAGGTGCGGTTGGGGTTCGGGAAGTAGGTGCGCGGCGCCGCCGGCTGCACCGCGGGAGCGGCCGCTGGGGCAGCCACCGCCACTGGACGGGCGCGGAGCAGGGCGATCAACTCAGCGTTCTGTTTCATGAATTGCGCATTTTGTTCGATGAGCTTGCGGTTCTGGTCGAGCATCTCGGCTTGGGCGGCGACGGCCCGAGCTTTGGCGGCCCTGCGCGCGCGGATTGCCGTGACAGTGGCCTCGTCGTCACTGTCGTTGGTAGAGCTGCCCGGCGAGGAGGAAGGGGGAAGCTCTTGGACCGTGGTGACGCGGACGGCTTGAACTTCCTGGACATCTTGACGGGCGTTGCGGGCGACCTTGGTTTCCTCTTCCTCCGGAGTCTCGGGAGTCGGGTTTGCCGGACCCAGCTCTGTACACTCGTCCGCTTGAGGTTCCTCATAGCCTTCTGACTCGTCGTCCTGCTCGTGAGCGGGCATCGACCTCTCTTCCTCCCGAATCGTGCGTGCACGGGTGGAGCGGCCGCGGCTGCTGCTTCCGCCGAAGGCTTCCGATTCCTCCGAACTGGCTCTCTCCGAAGTAGCGCGGGCTTTGCCTTTGGTGATTCTCCCTGACTTGGCCATGGTAGCTGAGCTGAGCGTGGGAAAATTCGTGGTGCGTGGTCGGCTGGCGACGAAACAGAGCTGGAGAGGACGGTGCGTGTGGCTGCGGGACCTGCTGTTCAACGGTGGGTAGGTTCTTTGCTCAATGGTGGTGCTACCATGCAATGGAAAACGATAGCAACGGCGAAGAATGGTATTTATGACTCCCCAACAAGAAAACGAGTTCACCGCAGCGGTGAAGAAAAGGGGTAGGTCCGAGATAAACTAGCTACGGTCACGTGTTGTGGCACGGGATCTCTCACACTTACCCACGTTTCGACGCGGTTCTGTTGCGAGAAGAAGTCCCAAAGGCCCAGCGACTGGAGACCAATGTTGACCAGACCAATGTTCACATCTGCGGAGATCTGCGGAGATCCGGGGAAATCAATGAGTTCACAGGAAGACACATGGAAGACGGCGGAGAAGGGATGGACGTTTTAAACAGGTGGTTTACTCCGGGAGCATGTGCCAGATTTAAACCGCCGCGTGCTTATGGCAGCTTCGTAGCGACGCGTTGTTCCCAACTCCGCTCGCCTGATCTTGCTGCCTACGCTTGCTTGATACGCGTTGCTCTTTTTTCTATTAAACAACTCTCGCGTCAGGACCGATTCTTCGGCGGGAGGAGCCAACCAAGATTCCAGGTTCGCTGTAACCTCATCAATGGGCCTGCGTGCTCCGGGAGGACATCATCTTGGGCCTCATCCTTGCCCGACCCAGGCATATATATGCTTACTCACCGTCCAGATTGACGAAACCATATGAGAGCTGTTTCACTGACCAGAGATTCTCATCCACGGCAAATGCGCTCACCTTCCTTGACCTTTGGAAAAAATGACCATGACGCACTTTCACCTCCCAAACTTCCTCATCGGCCAACTGCACTTCCCTGGTTTCGCTGCAATGGTCATACGAGCCACTTCATCGTTCCGTCCCGCCGGGCTCCCGCAAAAACAAAACAAAAAGAATGAGCACGTACCGTTTTTGCGTTGACGAACAGCAGAGGCCATCGCAAAGAAAAGACTCTGCGAGGGAAACGGGTGGGCGATGCCTTTCCAAAGAGCCGTTAAGAGTGGCCACTTTGGAATTGCAGATATCTTGTCGCGCGTGAAAAAAGGGAAGGGCGTTGCTTACGTTACGACGCGATTTCAACCTCCGACGCGAACAGACAGAAACGTTTTCATGCCAGAGTGTGAAGGCAGATTGCGCTATTCACCTGTGGGAAGGTGGCTTGCGTTGCGAGCTGGTCGAGCCTTTCTTTGCGGGGCGAGGACGATATGGGCACTGGAAATGACATTCAGGCTCTTGGTAGCTCCCATCGTAAGCAAAGAGCCTGCAGCAACCCGGTCCCCGCACGGTTTCTCCACTGTCTTCGATACGCAAACTTCACGAGAACATCACACTCGAAAAGATCACGAAGCGTTGGATATAGTTTTATATAGGATATCCCATCGGTATAACAAGAATGTCACGCTCTAGCATGGATTTGGAGCTCCCCCACCTAAGCAATAGAAACCCCGTAATCGGTCAACTTCTTTCCCTTCAACAAATACTGATCCCAAATCGCCTGACACGTTTTATCATAATCATCCTGATTTTGCAGCGACGGCGTACCGTCCCGAGCCACCACAGCGATCTGATTACCCGCCTTGCCGGTAATGACGGGTGCACCGGGAATGGCGGCGGGGTTTTTGGCGTACGTCGCAAGGGCTTGCTGGATCTGGCCGCCGAGCGAGAGTTCGGTGGCTGTGGAGCCGGCGATTGGGAAGCCGAATTCGAGGGGGAGTTCGGCGGAGTGGTATGCGCCGTTGGGAAGGCCGGGGATGATTTGTTGATTTGCGAAGGAGGCTGTAGGGAGTAGCGCGGGTGAGATGAAGCGTTCTGGGGGAAGGGGATGTTTTATGATGTAGTGTGAAGAATCATACCTTGGTAAAGGTACCTGTGCACACGCGGGTTGCTCTTAACAGCGTGGATAGCCGAATCAATGCGGGCTTTGCACTGGAAAACGACATCACGGAACGCAGCAGCCGCGGCATCGGAGTCCGTCGCATACGGCTTGCCAGCGCCGATGGGGTAGAGCGCAGTGACGACCTCGACTGGGGCACCGGGAAACGTCGCCTGCACAAACTGGGTGAAGTTGGCGGTGCCGAGGGTGAACATGAACCCTTCATCCTGCATGGTGCCGATCACCATGGGGACTTTGGCGGCGAGGCCGCTCGTTCGGCGGGCGACGGGGTCGGAGAAGATGGTGAATTCATCCACGACGATGCTGAAGGGGAGGTTGAGGCTCTGTTCGGCTTGGATGAGGGCGTCGGCGGGTTTTTCCCGCATGCAAGTCAGCTGCGCGGCTGTAGCGGTGGCGTCGCATCCGACCGCGGCGGCGAGCCCGTTGAAGAGCGGGCCGACGGGACGGGCGAGAAACTGGGACGCGACGTTGGACTGGGTGATTGCGGCGCGGAAGGGGCGGTCGGCGACGGGACCTTCAAGGACAAGCGATTCGACGGAAACGGCTCCGGCACTCTGTCCGAAGATGGTGATTTTGGCCGGGTCACCGCCGAAAGCTAAGATGTTCTTCTTGACCCATTGGAGCGCAATACGCTGGTCGAGGAGACCGAGGTTTTGCTCTTTCAAGGGAAGCTGGGAGGCGCCGGGGAAGCCGAAGACGTTGGTGCGGTAGTTGGCGGTGACGACGACAACGTCGTGTTTGGCGATCACGGTGCTGTTATGGAGGGGCTGACCCGATCCGCCGAAAGCAAAGGACCCTCCGTAGATCCAGAACAGGACGGGAAGGTTTCCTTTAGGCGCGGCGCCAGTACCTTGCGGAGTCCAGATGTTCAGGTTGAGGCAGTCCTCGCTCTCGGCGGGGGTACCAGTCGCGAAATTGGCTTTGGTGAAGGCTCTGATGGCGGAATAAGAAGTCAGAACGCAGACTCTCAAAACATCATCAGCTGTACATGTGTCCCACACAGGACTCACCCGCCAGGTCCCCCAAACGATTGATAACAGATTGCTCCAAACTTGGACGCATCCACATCCCCAGTCGGCAGCGCGAGCGCAGTGGCAGGCGAGAAGCGGGTAGGCTTCGCAGCGAACTTGATGCCGAGGTACTGAGTAACAGGCAGGCCCGCGTCAGACTTTGTCGTGGTGGCCACACCGTTGAATTTGGTGGTGCCGATCTTGACGTAAGGCGCGGCCGGGGCGGTGGCTGCTGCGAAGACAGCCTGCGCGCCGAGGTATCCCGCGAGGAGGAGGGATGTGATGTGCATGGAAGTGATTGGGGGATGTAGGAAGGAACGCCGTGCACGCTTGATGAGGGGGGTTCAGTCGGGTTTGCCGCGCTATTTATTCGCACTGTACGCCTCTGATGACCGCCGGCTCGGTGGCCGGCTCTTTAGGCTGATGAGAGTTCATGATTAAGGACGTAGTCAGGATGGATCAGAACATAAACAGTCTCGTTTCTTCTGGATCCAGGCGGGTGAGGCGAATGCCTCGGTTGGATACTCCTGCTTGTTTGTTTGCTGCAGATCGTACACGCGGATGAAAGGGATGAATGAAACTTTACGACAGGGACTTTTGTTCAAAGGGCCCTCAGCTCCAACGTTATGTTTGGGCCCTGTTGAAGCTACTACGGGGCGCCATTACCGATAACTTTTCCCTAGGTATGATGTATCTACAGATGTAGGATTCGTAAAACCAGCAAGAATCATAACTGTACCAGCAACGTTTCTCTTGAAACTATGTGTGGTAGCCGTTGTGCCGACACCGGCGGGATTTGGCGCGAACCCGCTCCCCGCCACAGCTACAAACTGTCAAACGGAGTCTATTCGGGGGCCGTCGCCCGGTCGCCGGCTCGTCGGTCAATCGTCGGTTTTGGTTCTGGTATTGGGGGAACCGACATCGGCAAGTATGTACTGTACTCGCTACTATATACAGTATGTCACGACGCGTTTTTGGTGCGGAAACTCGATACACGCCCCGTTCGAGTTTAGAAGGAACCTCATGCACACTGCACACACGGCTTGAAGGTTTGGATGGTTCATCAGACCAGCGAGCATGGTCTGCTTGCGCCTGATGTTCTGCGTGCTGTCCTGTCAACCCGTCCGGACATCGTATCCTGGGCCTTTCCTTCGCCTGACCAGTGCCCGCAGGCCCTGGCCCGACCCCCGGGCGGCCCACGTGGCTCGGTCGATGAACACTTACACTACCTCACACATCAGGAAATCCGTTGTTGGAAAACGGCCTGTGCACTTACCTTTTGAAAAATTCTCTGCGCTTACGGCGATTGCCCTCGTCATGTCGACAAATCCGAATTCAGGTCCAAATGACGAGGCCATTGCGCACTCATTCCGAAGCCATTCCCTGCCAAGCCTGCCAAGCCTTCTCATTCCGAAACAATTCCCTTACCTCCTTACCCGCAATGTACAGTCTTTTATATCAGTGGAGAACGTGGGAGTGGGCTGGTCGCTCCGGTGCTCCAGAAAAAAGGTGAGCGCGCTTACGTACGACGCGCATGCCCACAAACTCCGCTTGGATCGGGGACGCGTTCGCCGTGACTGACCCGCAAAAGCAACATGAGGAGTTTCCTGCAAACAGGTCACAGCGTGGTAATATCCGTCGTTAACCGGCCAATATAAGTAAACATCTCGGCCCAATTAGGGTGCCAAGTTACTGTAAAGACCGAAAGGTCAAGATGGCACGTGCGCAGTCCACCCACTCCTCACATGTCCTGACGTCTGCAGCCATGCCCAGCCAGCGCATAGGACGTGGAACAGACCTCTGCTAGGAGGCGAGAGTTCCTATGTATAGCGCGAGTGAGCCCTGGTCAGCAGACAAATAGCCGGGCCTCCCCTCCTCTAGCGTCCAGTGGATATGGAAGGGGGGTCTTCGGGCCTTACCACTTGCGTTAGACCGCATGCATGGACCCATATCGATGCTGCTTACACTGTTTATTTGGTTGTTTCGGGGCATGAATGTATTCACAGGGGTCGTGGCTGGGCTCACCCGATTCTCGATCTCAACAGCGCTTCAGGAACGGCTCCTAGTAGTTCCATATCGTGGCATGGCATCGTCCGCTTGCGTTTCGGAGAGTTAGGAGGTAGGTGGGTAGGTGAGTTTCATCATCTCACCGAACTGGATATTGAAACATAGGTGCGGTGACGCTCCTGGGGAGCGGCGCCGCAAATGCGCGATAGAGGTCTGAAATCATTGCGTGTTGTTTTGTCGTATTATGTAGCCGCAGTGAAAGTTGGTGACTTCACATGGACCCATTTTTCGACCTCACCACATTCTGCGCTAGCTTCTCTTGTGCGGCCACGACATCGTTGTGCAGGTGTGTCATGCGATCCCAAGTACGCGCGTGTACGGCACTTTTGTTCTTCACCAAAGCCGGGAGTCTCCGTATCACCCTTCAGATTGTGTGCCCTCCCCATCCTCCGACCCAGGGCCCCCGCCGCCGCCGCCCCGCCGCCTCTGCGGGCATCTGCGATGTCGACGCTCTGCAATATACCTTTTTCCACATTCAACAACTTCGCAAATGTGCAGCAGGAAGAAAACTTGGTCGCTGTAAAGGGCGTGCATGATTTTGGCCCGACTCGGGCCAGGTTCTGATTTCCAGCTACCTTCCGCATTTAACGACCCAAATGGATCGAAAGGGTGCTCCCATCTCAATGCTATCTATTTATCCGCACTCTCCGATGGCGTTCTCTCCGCAAAATGTAAGAGAAGGAAGAATCAATCTGTCATCCTGGGCGAAAGAGGTGCACTGGGTGTTTTCAAAAGGCAAAGCGCTGCTCCTGTTTGATCTCACAGAGATAGCGGCTTTTGCCAGTGGGGTGATTGCACAGTGTAAAGCGGTCCCTGTCCCGGGAGGCTAGGTCGCCCCATCAGAAGTCGCCTGCCACGCTTCCTTGTCGGAGCCGTTGTTTTCCAGCTCACATGCAGGAAAGCATGTGAATGGGATATTTGCAGTGGTGTACGGAAGTTCCGCGCTGGAGAGTCGGTATTCACGCTGGATCACGCTGTCGATGGTGCAGAAGCGTAGGCAGAACGATCTGAAACATTTCGAAATCTGTTCTTGACGATGCGATATGTTGTGCCTCACTTGGGAGGCCGAGCTGGGTTCTTTCCTCGCCAACATGACAAAAACGCGTAATACGTAAGCAATCAGTTCGAAAACGCGTGTTCCGCCAAACACACCGCAGAAGTTGTAAAACGGTGGGCTTGGCCTTTCGCTTCTTCCTTGCGGCCGAGCCGTGTTGATGCAAAGGTTGCAACGGTCAACATCTCGGAGTCATTGAAGCGGAGTCGGAGAGCAGCGACAATCGCGCGTGAGTCATTAGAGTGTGTGATGCCGGGATGTTCAGCTTCTGATGATGCACAGACCGCCTGGACAGATGACCGAGCAAGCTCCTCTTTGAAGCTGTCGTCTGGGTAGGTACAGTATATGGATACTGAGCGTCGCAGGTCGGAGCCTAAAAATATGCATACAGCATCGCAGGTAACTGCGCCATGCACTTCAACTTTGCGTGCTCACCTCATTTCCAGACATTTCAGCCGCGCAATTGCTCCAAGTCCCAAAAAGATGTTACTTGCACAGTGGCACGGCGTATTTGGTTGGTGGTGCCACGTCGTGCCCTTAAAAACGCGTCATAACGTAAGCGGTTTTCCCCAACGCGCGCACGCTTGCACCGGCGTCCAATTAACTCGATATAAACGACGCTCCTACTCCACCCTTGGTTCTCTCCGCACAGCAAAACTTTTTCATCCAGGCCCCGTTTCGAGGAACACGCGAACGGGTTTGTGGTGTCCTTCACACTTTGGGTGTAAGTCCTCGGGGTGACAGGTAGGTAGGCAAGGCAAGGTCTTAGGAATCGGAAAATTTGGAGTAAGTGATGACATTAACATCTCGGACACATTGTGGGCATTTCGGCGAAATTTGGGCGCGAGGGTAATGCTTTTTGTGAAGAGACCGACCGAGACTCAGCTGGGATGCACGCGTCACGACGACGAAAAACGGCACCTCGGGAAACGACGTTTCTTTGATGTTGGAAGTGGACTTGGAGTGCAACTGATGGATTGAATCGTTGCACGGGCAGCTACAGCCGACAGCCTTTGTCTGCACGCATTCAAACTCGGTTGATTTCAAATTGCGCACTTAGCATAGCGTTCTCAAGACCCGGTTGCTTGCTCGTGCTGCAAGGGGATGATGGTACTCGGTGCGCATGCCGTGTGAAAAGACTTATCTTCTCCTGTCGTACTAGTATACTGTATATATACAGTACATTATGTAAAACGCGTCGATAGGTAAGCAAATCATGTTTTTTCGCCGACGCGTGATTATCATTGACCGCCTGCTCGCAGAGGTAACTGGTCATCGTGCCATTTAACGCCGAGCTGGGCCAGCAGTGAGGCCTCGCGACGGGCTTGCTCCCTTCTCGCTCTTGTTGGAGGATGTTGGTAAATGGTCACAATGGCGCTTAAGGATGAGTCGATTCTCAGAAGTCAGGGCGCAAGGAATTGGGTGTCGGTTTGAGGCACACAGAGTCGTGCAGGTATGTTCACGTGAGATGGCATACAGGACTTGTGTCGACTGTCCGTTTTCTCCGTTCTCCTCTGCGTAGGTACTGGCGATCATCACCTCGCTAGACATTCAGAATGCGATTCGGCCAAAAATCAGAAGGCGAGGCAGATGGCGAGTCCGGGGATACGAGCAGGAGCGATATCATTGGGAGGCAATGGTGCTCCACATTCAGAAGCAGCTGTCTCATGAGTTGATGCGTAGCACCCGATGATATCGCAAGTTCGACTTCTGAAAGTCCTTCCGATCGACTTGAACGCGTTCTTGACGCGTCGGGTTGGACAATTGTGCAGTCCGGAAGGTCCGGACGGATTATCGCCGGGCCGGCCCATATGACTGAAGTACGACCGCCCGAGTGACGGCGCATACGAGTCCGCTTGCAGCTGCATGTGCAATCCAACGCAACGCGGTAAGCGTTTTTCTGCAGGCCTTCCAAAGTTTCCGACGTCTTCCAGGTCAATAGTCGAGACGCGTAATACATAAGCACGCGTGTCTGCTCACCTTCTTTGCTGCTCAGTATACACGTGGGCTCGGACACGTAAGGATATGCCCTGGGACAGGTGATGGGCCCACTTCATGTTCGCCAATCTTTCAGCGCCTTTCTGGGAGAGACCTTCCAGCACGTATTCCTTCCCCCTTGCAGTCCGTGCAGCTCAGTTTTTCCGCTCGAAATTACGTATGGAGCGATACACGAGCGTCACATTCCAGAACAAATTCTTCCAGTTCCAATCCCTCAAGCCAGTTGGATCTCCGTACTTCGTATGTTGTCAAAAATCCATGGGTCCATACCTGCGCTTTGACGGCCTTGACGAAAGGCGGCACGTACCTAAAATAGTGCGGACATTCCTTCAAAACTGCAGTGTCGAAATTACGCGATGGGCGGAGACGCCGGAGATTGCCCGTCCGAAAACAGGTGTTGTGGCGCGTAGAGACCTTGAAGAGGGAATGGGGCCTACGGGCGTGAACGCGTCGTGAAAGCGGATGGCTACGCTTTCGCTGATTGGCGGGGAGCTCAAGGTTCACATCCAGGGCATGGCTCATATGTGACCCCTTTGCTTCTCCAACCTCGCTCAATGACAGGGTCCGGCCCCGGGCTAGGGTTTGTTGCTTACGTCGAAATCCGGGCGAAAAAGCCGACATGCTTACCCCGTATCCAAGTTGCCTACGCAGGACCCTTACGCGTCTTGAGGAACCTCCATAAGTACGACGCATGTGATGAATTCCAGCAAGATGCAGCCTCCATGCCTATTGCGCCCCTTAACATGGCTGATATCCCATTGCCACGGAATTCGGACAAAGCATAATGACCGGTCCAAACGGCTGCGCGTGGTCCGGGACCAGCGCGTGCAAGAGAGAAAAATCCTTGCTAACGACGCTGGTGTCTTCGACATGACCACATGTGAGCTCTTGGAGAAGTTAAGGGGAGATTGCTGAAGCGAAAGGGCCCATCACGCGTTCGCGTTGGATCTGTCGGATGGACCAGCACAAAAACCCCAAGGAGGCACAGCTGGCAGCAACCGGGCCCGCACCCCCTGCCCTCCCCGCTGAGCCGCTGGCGCTCCAGGCCCCCCTTCGCCGTTATAACAGTCAGGTCTGCAGCTCCTGCGTCCCACGGGAAGAACGCTAAACACCCACAGGGAGGGAGTGCATATGTTAAGAGTCTTTGTTTATTTGTTTGGCAGTCCTGGGTATCTGGAGTTCGGAATGCCGAGTTCGGATCAAACGCCGAGGTACGTATATGCAGTTCATCGTCCTTGGCTGTCCCGTTTGCATTTCCCCGAACTCTGCCCCTTGATTGCATTCCTCGATCGGATGTTGCGACATTTGCACGCATTGGACGTGCATTTCGCGTTGGAATGGGCTGCTCACAAAATCTCACCATATCGGGGTTACCGATGCTGCGTCCGGTTTAGTGAGCGCAATATGTCCCAGCTGAACGCGTTACCGTAAGCAAACACGAGGGTAAATGCCCAGCGATACCGGTCGCTCCATCGTAGCCGCACATTACCTATATCACGGCGCACGCACCGACTCGGGCCAGGACCCCACTTTCTGGTCCGGTCGGCGATATGATGTCGAAGTGCGAACGGGTGACAGTTCGAATTGGCGGTTCTGAGATGGGCTTATTCTCGGTTGACCGCGTCTCGTAACTCCTGCCTCGTCTCGATTCAGGCAGTTCAGCAAGCGAAACTTACGTACTGTACATGGAGGTGAACACGGATATGGCACAGCAAAATCAGTTACGGATTACAGACAGAGAAAATATATACACTCGCACGCCGGTGCAGAGATTGGGGGGTGTACTGACTAAAATGACCGCCATTAATTAACGCCGCGAGGAGAGCATAGAGATGAAAGAACGAGGAAGGAAGAGAGTATACTATATGTACAGGACAGGAACGTTACGTCGCTGGGGTACGCATTTCTCAACGACTGCATGCGGGGCCGTTTCTCCACAGACACGGGGGCAAGTCCGATGTTCAGCGGGTTGACCGATGTTCCATCATCCACCAATCAAATAAGGAATCCTTCCCTCCTTCGCCGCCAACCGTCCCGCCCTCGTCAAAGTCCAATCCAAATTCCCCGAGTCTCCACCTCCCGTCGCCGCAGCCGGTCCCGCCACCGACCCATTCCCACCAGGGCCCCTCAACCGCTCATAACCCGCCAAACCAGCCGCAACAGCCGCGCCGGCAACAGCGGCCAGCACGAGCCCGAGGTTGAGTGTCGCGACGAGGACGACCAATGCGCACCATGTGAAGCGCACGACGGCTTTGTAGAGGGCGTAGAGGAGGGTGCGGAGGATGCCCTGTAGGTGGGGGAAGCGCGGGGGGCGGGTGAAGGTTGTGTCCGGGTCATCGGATGAGGAGGCGAAGCGGACGTTGCGGGAGGAGTTGCGGGGCAGGGGGATTGTGTCGGCGGGGCTTTTGGTGGCGGTGGCGGACCCGATGCCGTTGGAGGACCTGGGGCAGGGTAATGTGGTTGTGGAGCCCAAATGTGCTGCCGCTCGGGCGCTGTCTTGTTGCTTGTTGCGGGTTGACCGGCGGCTGCCACCAAAGATGCGGCGTTCCAGCACGCCTGCCACGGTTGCGAATGACGAGACCGTGAAGGTTAAGAGCCAGACTAGCGCGTACTGCAGTCTTGAGATGGTTAGCATGCCGAGCTGGGCGGTGGTTACGGCTGGGCCAAGGGGCAGATCAAGTTTCGAGTTGTCGGTGTTGAAGAAGGGTTTGATGGGGCTGACCGACGCCGTGGCCGTAGCTTGTGCTTGCCCGGCCGTCTTGGTCCGGCCGTGCTGCCCATGGTCGTTCTGCGGGTGCGCACGGGTGCGGTGAGGCCGGTTCAGCAGGTTATCGAGAAATTCCTCGGCTTGGTCGTCCGTGAGAACAACAATGTTGTTGATGTTGGTCGTCCTTGTTCCCCCCGACGCATCGATATCATCTCCATGCCCATTGCCCTGCACCTTGTTCACAGCTCCAGGAGTAGCTGAAGGCGCCGCCACCAGCCAAACCGTCGGCTGCGCAACCTCAATTACACTCGTCGTCCCGACCGGTGCCACCGCCCCGACTCCATCGTTCTGTTGGCGACTTGAGACCTTCAACTTGACAATATCGATTCCGCCATTCACGACCCCATTCTCTCCCGCCACCGGCCCCGTCTCCTGGGGGCCAAACGCCGGTGCCCGCTCAGATAAGTTCGCTCCGGTCCGTCGCAAACTTATAGGCGCTGCGGAGACTAGCTTCGGCGTGTTGCAGACAGTGCCACAAAACCCGAAGGTCATCACGATCATGAACATCCAGCGAAGATGGCGTCTCCGTCGTGAAAGTAGTTTCCGGTTCAGCTGAGGGCATCGCGACCGCCCACGCTGCACCATCGTCGTCGCTGTCGGCGTTACGTTTCTCGTTGAGGACACCTGACCGAAAGTGCCGGTCGCCATTTCAGCGGGCCGCGCGTCTCGAAATTGCGAAACGAGATCACGTTCCGTAATGTACGCTTGGGCGCTGCGGTTCAGCTGTCCGTAACGGTCTATGCAAAGCCGTGGTTCTTGTGAAATGCACTCTGCGCTCCCAAGTGCGTACGTTACTCTGGGACAGGCGTGGGAATATCGTGGCGTTTTGTGCAAGATGCCGGCCGATGCAGGATTGCAACTGAGGAGTAGGGCGACTCCAGTCTTTCGCTCACCTCCAATACCTTTTGCGGACATTTAGCATGCTCTGCCAAGCTCTGCCGGCCGCCACCTCTTGCTGCTCATCACGGTCTGTCGCTGTGAGCTGGGCGAGAAAAAGGGGCACCGCAGCGAGTGAAGACAAATTGACAGGGGCGGATCCAGGACCCATACATACGCGTGAGGGCGGGGCCGCTGACTTTCCCCATGCATCCACAGGATCCGCCGTCTGGGGAGAGAAAGTCACGCGCCCCTTGCAAGGAAGCTAAGCAAACAACGCCCTTTCCAGGGATGGGTGTTGCGCAGCCCGCGTCATTCTCTACATACAGTACATTTGAGCGCTGTCTATGAGCGGTAGCCTTAGATTCTCGTAGATTCCCGAGAGCTTGCTGCATTGAACTCTCTCCAGACACGTTCCGCTGCCAGCCTCAAACCTCGGGGGGGCTTCCCCAACCTCGTCCGCTTTGGTCTACACCCAAGGCTTCGATTCCACATCCACAATCCGGGGCTTCAAAAAGTCCTATTGTTCAGCATACCCATGGGCGATGCCACCCACATCTTACGTACGTAGCAATGGGCCGCAAGGGAGGGAGCGCATCGGGCAATTAGTTTGTCCCAAGCCCTTTTTCTCCCGCTCATCCGGCATATCGGACTTTCGGATCCGGACGCCCGATCGGACAGGTTAATTACGCGCGCCCGCGCCTGTTTCGCGTCGTCCGAAATCCGCCCCATCTTGGCATCTAGGAGACGCCGAGTGTTCACCTCTATTGATGAACATGGCATATCGCGGTCCAGCGATGGTTAAGCTTGGTCGGTTCAATCGTGTCACTCCACCCTGTCGAGACGGTCAGCAAACATATCACTGGCATGGCATCGTCCACCTAAAGTTGAGGTCACATCAAGACTCATACGTTGGGACGCTTGACAGAGTCCATTGTCCACGTTGTTCAACGTTGGCAAGAGGCAGCTGGGGAGGTTTCATATTCTCAAGATCAACAGGCCCCCAAATCAACCCCGCCGCTGTTCACTCCGTGTGTGCGCTATGTTCGGTCAACTATATTACTGGTGGGATCAGCATAGATACAGTACATAAGCATAGAAGATAATGCCACGATGACACAGGGAGATGCAGAGAGGGAATATTGTTTACCCGCATAGAGATCACGCGGATGAGAGCAGAGAATCAGAGGAGCCACAGAGGAACACGCTAATGTGTGGGAGGTGACGTATGGCAACAGCGGGTTTGAGACAGGCTAAATAAGGGATATCTACGTAGCCCAGGGTTGTCGGTAGGTGTGTGGGTCCATCCGGTACTCCGTCCCTCGCACGAAAACAAGGACACGGCCATATTTACAGAGCCTCCTCGACGCGGCTCATCGCCCTATCAACTACCCTACTGCTCTCCCCCGTTCCCCATCCCCTCATCCCCTACTCACACATAGCCAACAACCCTTGCAGCACCCCACAACTCTTATGCACCGCATCCAACCTCATATACTCCACGTTCCGTCGTTTAAGCAGCTCACGCACGTGTGCAAGCTCGCGTTTCAGGCGTTCGTTTTCTGTGTAGATATCTTGTTGTTCTTGTTGTTGAGGTGCTGTTGATGGGGGGAGGCTGCTGTCCTCGGTCGTGGTGGTGGCGGGTGGAAGGGTCGTTGTTGCTGTTGTTGCGCTGCTGCTGCTGGTGCCGATGGACACGGCATTGGTAATGGCATACATCTGCGGATGATACCGCCATTGCGAGGCGTGCGAGTCCATTGGCGTCGATGCTGGGATCCCATGGATCCCATTCCCGCCCGCCGGTGCCGACAAAGTGGCGATACTCGCCCTCAGTGACCCCGCAATCGTGTCCTCCTGCGGCGGCGACCCCCGGCCCGCACTCTTCGCCGTATCCGCGGCATGCATCGCTAACGCCTTGAGCGACACCGTCTCCGCGTTGCTGTCAAACCCGTGCGTTCCAAAACTGTGTAAAGCCGTGTTGTCAAATTCACTCGATTGCTGTTGCTGTTGCTGTTGCTGCTGTTGCTGCGGCTGTAGCTGTTGGTGTTGTGGTACCAACAGTCTCTGCTGATGAAACTCGACCCGTGACGACAACGGGTCCTGCGCGGGTTCACCGCTGGTGCTGCTGCGCGGGAACGGGATGCTGTTGTTGATCCCGTCATGTGGCACATGATGATGTGGTATCCGTCTCGGTAAGAGTCGCTGACTGCCGTTACCGAGATACGCCTGCTGCTGCTCCTGAGAAGAGGTATATCCCGCCCCATCCCTCAAAAACCGATTCTCCCTCTCCAACCGCACATACTCCTGGAACAAATCATCAATACAACCCTTAGCCGCCATGAGCTGTTTCTCAATCTCGTTTTTTTCGAGCACGACCATATGGTGTTGCCGAGTGTCGATGATCATGTGGTGGTGCGGCGCCGGGCCAGGGGGGAAATCGGGCATGTAGGCGTGTTGGGGGGCGTAGGGGCGGGGGGCGAGGTCGAGGCGGATGGGGGATGGGAAGGGGAGGGCGGTGGAGTCTGCGATGCTGGTGGTGCTGCCGAATGGGACGGAGGCGTTGTTGCTGCGTTTGTCTGGCGCGGGAATCGGTGTATCAATAGACTCGAGTTTGATGTTCTCCGCGCCGAGCATCGCGGCGCTGTCGAGACTGTCCCGAGATATGTCAAGTGCCGGCCCGTTGCTCATGGGGTGGCGGCCGAGTACGAGATGGTTGGTGTTGGCGCCCGTCACCGATCGCGACGAGAATAGTGGGTCTTGCGCCATCAAGGCCATATCGTGCTGTTGGCGCAGAGAAGCAAAGTCCAAATCCTGTGGGACTTGCGAATCAAGCGGCTGATGGGCGTCATGCCCCGAGTCGGGATCAACGAACGTCTCCTTATCAACCGATTCGTTGTCGAGGGGGTCGGAAGACGGCACAACATCCTCCCCGCCCTGCCCCCGTGCCAGCATAAGCTTATTAACGTCCGCCGCCTCCGCAGCAGCTGCCACAACAGGCGACGCCGCAGCCTGTTCCGGCACCTCGTCATCATCCTCCTCACTTTCCTCGGCATCAAGCTCGGACGCGGGACTTAGCCGCGGGGGTACGGCATACCCCCCGTCCTCATCGGTAGCCAGAGGTGTTTGCTTTCGCGGTTGCGGTGCCTGTGACTTCCCGGTGAGCGAGACAGAGGCCGGTGCGTGTCTCGCCTCAGCGACGCGTATCGAGCCAGTGACAATTTGCGACGATGATGACGACGCCGGCAATCCATTCCTCGCAGACTTAAGCACCCCATTAGCCCCCGCAGTCTTCCCTCGGGCCTGAACGCCCTTCTTCGAATATATCGCCGTGAAATTAGTCGTACCGTTGATCGCCTCCAACGCACGGCGTGCGCCCGCCTGGTCTTTATAGTATACGAGACAGGAGGCATGGTAGAACTGTATGTCAGTGAAGCCGTCGTACTGCTCAAAGAAGCGGACGAGCTCGTGGTCGCTGGTGCTGGAGGGGTAGTCCGAGACGCGGATGATGTGGTTGGGTTGACCGATGGCGGAGGGGGGTATGAGGTGCGGGATGAAATCAGCTTTGTGGGAAAACAAAAGACGCAAGGTTGGGGTCAGCCCGTATAACTATGGAAGGGAAGCAGATTGAGAACGGGAGAGAATGGAAATTCACCTTTAGCAAAATTTGCCTTCATCTTAGTTTTGAACAGGATCTCCTCGATGGCTTTAGCGGCGGCGCGGGTATCAGTGAAACACACGAAGCAATAATCTGCATAGAAAGCGACGCGGCGGAACCCCTCGTACTTCGAAAAAAGCTGCAGAACCGACGCTTTGTCCTTTTCGATGTTGGTGACGTGGATCGTCCGTTTCGGGTTGTTGGCTTGCGCAAAACCAATGTTCTCGGAAGAGTTATTTGCGTCGATCGCCTGTCTGTCGTCGTCCCCATTGGAACCGGAATGGGAGCCGGGACCACCTCCTCCGTTGCCTTGTCCGCTGCCTCCTGCTGCTGCTGCGGATCCAGTACCTCGCCGCGATGATTTACCTCCTGTCTGCTTTGCGCCTTTTGTGGAGTAGTTTGCAAACAGGTTTGTTGTCGAATTTAAGTCTTCGAGGGCATGCTTTGCTGATCCTACATCTTTGAACCGGACAAGTGCATGATTCGGGAAAAATCGGCAGCTATAATAAAATAAGGATGGTTGAGCGAGGTGCCTGACGGATGATGTCGATGGCTGGTTGAATGATACCCCGCTCGCGACCATGAAGTTGGGCTGAGTGGGTGAGGGGAGTATTGCGCCTTTGCCGCAATGCGTTGCTCGCTTCGCTCGCTGAGACTCGCTAAGAGCCGTGGCGGGAGTATTGCGCCTTTGCCACAATGTGGCTCGCTTCGCCCGCACTCACTGCGTTCGTCCTCGCTGACGCTCGGTATTACAGTAAACTCGCTCCAATCGCCGCTTCGCGCTCCCATCGCAAACCAGGGATCCCTCCGCTCGCCCACCCTCGCTGCGCGCGGTGGCTCACTTCGTTCGCGCCCTTACCCACCTATCAAACCCCTCATAAGACTTGAAGATCCTCGTCAGCTCGACCTCCGTGAAATACGAAAACAAGCTAACATAAAGAATCGGGTTGGGCATCACCGCAATCGTCGGAGTATTCGCACATGCCACGCCATGTTTCGCGTAAGCCGCCAGCATGTCCGTCCGTCCATGGACATGATCGATCGCGTCGGTCGCGTAGTGGAGGTTATCAAAGCAGACAAAGCAGTAATCCTGGTGGAATGATATACGGCGGAACCCGTCCATGTTTTGGAAGAGGGATTTGAGGGCTGCTTTGTCCTTTGTGATGTTGGTTACGTGGATGGTTGTTTTGGGGCGGTTGGATTGGGACATTTTGGCGAGAGGTGTTGGTGTAGTGAGACAGAGAGCGTTGGTGGGATGCGAAGAGTTTGCTGACGTGTGATTTTTTATTTGGCCCGGAGTCGGGATGAGTCGTGGGTGGGGTCAACTTAGTGACCCATACGTGATGCAGGGGTGAGAATCGGGCGAAAAGCGGAATGGGCCGCTACAGATTCGCGAACGTTGCCGACGAGAGGTCCCCGACGTATCCCGCCTGTATGCAATGTTTTTCCCCGCTCCTGTCCGCTCTGATCTACAAATCCCGGCCTCCCTATCCTCCTAGTAAACGCTCGGCGGGAAAAAGCGCGTGATTGGTTGGCAACGCTTTTGAATCGAATGCCGGCTGGAGGCAGGGTGGGGGAGGGTGCAGTCCGTCGACCACGAAAAGTCCTGAGTGTGGGTAAATGATGACAGTCGAGGAGGATCTTGTCGGATGACCCTCTTCGCGGGCTGCGTGGGAAAAAGGGTTATTTTTTGTCGATAGGTCACGAGGTCACCGGATATGTTCACCACAGCCTCGCCGTGTACGCCGTATAGTGTATGTTGGAGGATGGGGCGTAAGGCCTCTATGGTGGCAGCGAAACGAAAAGATAGATACGTAGGTTCGTGGGGGTGGGGGTATTGTGAGTTGAGAGTGGTCAAGAAGAAGGAGGAAGAAAACGAGCACGGAAAGCAAGGGTCCATATAATTCTGTCTGTCCGTCCCCTCATGGGTTGTTGTGGATGCAGTCACGATGGGCGACGCGAACGGTAACTGCTACTTACTAGTACTCAGCGAAGGTTATAGAATTCATGGCTGCGCTCTCCTTCATTCATTACGCCTCGACCCAAGGGTTCATTCGACGTCAACACTTGCGAGATCCAACTGGGCTGTCCATTCAACATTGGATCGCCCGGTTGGTTGGCCCCTTCCTTCGTGAAAGCCATACGATGAAGGTAGCGCCTAATGTTGACAATCCACCCCTCACATCTGGCGGATGATCTTATAGTGGACTGCACTTCTCCAGCCCTTCATCCAGCTTCTCATCAGCGCGGCTACATAACGATAGAAGCGAGTGAATCTATCGCCTGGATGGTCCTACTGCATGCAAACCACGGGCGCGAGAGACGGGCAGCGCGTTGCGAAATGGAAATCATGTCCGGCTGCATCGGCGGACCACTAACTAGTCCGACAGTCGGACAAACAGAAGGATTTTCGCAAACCCCCCCCCCCCCCCCCCCCCCCGACTGAGGAAGCCCCCACAAACAGCATTCCACGGGCCCCTAGTAGACTGCAGACTATTTGCTTGCACCCAGGCAGCGCTAGCATACGGCCACGCAGCGAGGAGGCAAGCGGTCGCCGACGTTTTAGTGGCAGTTGGTTTCAAGGCGGTCCTGTAGTCCGAACTCGATTTGCCCTCCGCTCAAGGCCCTTCGCAGCGCCGTTCGTTCCCAATTAAACCCATCCCTTCTGCGATATACATATGATGGCTGGAAGACGCAGACGGTTCGAGGAAAGCGAAGACGACAACGGCATCGACTACGATGACAACACAGCAGCCGTCAAGAAACAAACGGCGGCGAAAGACACACTGCCGATCTCCGTCGACTCGGGTGACGACGTCACGCCGGGAGGGTCGCCGAGTCAAGCGAATAAAAAGAGGCGATTGGTGAATGGTGCAACGGCTGCCGCCGGAACAGGGTCTGCAAATGTCGGGAATGGGACCCAGGTCGGGGAGTCTTCCACTTCGGGGACTCGTGTGTCTGGTGCTGGGGCTTCGACCGCCGGCGCTGCACACACTGCAGCGAATGGTCGCGGACAAACCTGGAAGACGCTTCCACCCACACCTGTTCTAAACCCATCCACCAAAGCGCGCTACGGTGACCGTAAAGTAAAACCAATAGACGTCGCCGATACAGACGAACCAAAGGCCACCGACTTTGCCGACCTGGTCAACCCTTACCGATATCACCCCCCTGCCCCAGCGAGAATGGCCAACGCCACACCGCGACTGAAAGCTACGGACGGGTTTCCGATTGCGGTACATAGAAAGGCGCCGGCGAATGGACTCAAATCCCAGCATGAGAAGTTGAAAGCGACTAATGAACGGGCATATTGGTCGCCTTGGACGGATGATCTGTCGGCGTTGGATGCTATTTCTCCTGTGAAACCCATTGCCCTGAAAACTGCAGAAGCCGATTCGGTTGCCGCAAATGTCGCCAAGCTAAAGGAAGCACTGCCGAACGCTGATGTGCAAGTTCTGCGATCGGTCCTCGAAAGTGCCGACTTCGATGTGGATCGGGCCCTGGCCATGGCGACGGGAGGTGATGACGACCCGATCGCTAGCCGGGCAAGCAGCGCCGAGCCCAAGCGACGGCGGTTGGTGCGGAAAAAGGACACGTCCTCGAAAGAAGCCACGCCTGATGTGCAAGTCGTGTCCGTCAAGCCCGCTCCACCCAAACCGGCCCGATTTCAAGAGGACTCTGGGGACGAAACAGATGTCGATGATGGGCCCACTACAAGTTATGGCGAAACGGCGCTGGACAGGAAGACAGTAGACTTTTTCAACACGGCCACCCCGCAGCAAATGACGGAAGCTATGACGGTCTGCACCGCCGCCCAAGCGGACTTCATCGTCGGTCTGCGGCCCTTCCGCAGCATGGGCCACCTCGAAGAATCGCTGACGGGTCACAAAGGGAACCGGCCCCTGGCGAAACTGCCCGAGAAGTATCAGGAGATCCAGGAGGGCTACAACGAGGTTGACGCGTTGATTGAAAAGTGCGAGCGCTATGGGGATGAGGTTATGAGTATCCTGAGGGAGTGGACGCATGCACCGCCGGATGCGCCGGTGGGCGAGAAGGTAGATGAAGATGGTGATGCGCCGGAGATCAGCTTGACGCATATAGACGCCACCGCCGACTCGGATTCCGATTCCGATGTGACCACACGTCCGCAGCAATCGTCATTAGCATCAACCAACCCGCCCAAACCCGCCCGCTGGAAATGTCTCAAAAGCCAACCAGCCCTAATCAACCCGGCCCTAACCCTCAAATCTTACCAACTCGTCGGCGTCTCCTGGCTCTACATGCTGCACGGCAAAGGCCTTGGCGGCATCCTCGCCGACGAAATGGGCCTCGGAAAGACCGCCCAAGTCATCTCCTTCCTCGCCCTCCTCAAGCAACACGGCCACCAAACCCGCCACCTCATCGTCGTCCCCACATCTACTCTCGAGAACTGGCTCCGGGAATTCGCGAGGTGGTGCCCTAATTTGGTTGTTAGACCTTACCATGGGAGTCAGAACGAGCGATATGGGTTGCAGGAACAGTACATGGACGAAGTGGACGGGATCGACGTGTTCGTCACGACGTATACCCTCGCGACCGGCCAGAAGCCGGACCGCGCCTTCCTCCGTCGGCTCAACTGCACGTCCCTGATCCTCGACGAAGGGCATATGGTTAAGAACATGGAGTCCGCACGGTACAAGCACCTCATGTCGTTCAAGACTCCCTTCAGGTTGTTGCTGACCGGCACGCCGTTGCAGAACAACCTCATGGAGTTGCTGGCCCTGTTGACGTTCATCATGCCCCGGTTGTTTGCGAATGTGGACGCGTTTGGCAAGATCTTCAACGTGAAGAATTCGGGGGAGAATGGGTTTTTGAGCAGACAGCGGATTGAGCGTGCCAAGAAGATCATGGCACCGTTTGTGTTGAGAAGGAAGAAACGGCAGGTGTTGAAGGAGTTGCCCGCCAAGACGGTCAAGATTGAGCTGTGTACGCCGACAGAGACGCAGAAGATGCTTTATGAAGGGATCATTGCTGAGAGCAGGAAATCGCTGTTGGCGCAGGCTGAGGAGGCTGCCGCCGCCGCTGCTGCTGAGAAGCAAGCCGAGAGCTCACCAGCCCCACCTACAAAACCCAAGGGTAAAACCAAACCCGCGAAAAGCAAAAAAGGCGCTGCTGCAGGAGCATTACAACGCCAAACCCCCGCCTTCGGCCAACGCCAACTCTCCAACGTCCTCATGCAACTCCGCAAAGCCGCCGACCACCCCCTCCTATTCCGCACCCTCTACACCAACACCCACCTCCGCACCCTCGCCCGCGAAATCATGCGCGAAGACGAATACATCGACGCCAGCCGCGAGTACATCTACGAGGACATGACCGTCATGTCCGATTTCGAGCTCCACAACCTCTGTGGGAGATTCAAGGGGATGAAGAAGCATTGTTTGGCGGAGGAGAGTTGGATGGATGCGGGGAAGGTGGAGTGGTTGAAGAGGAATCTGCTGGTGATGAGGGATCGGGGGGATCGGATCCTGGTTTTTTCGCAGTTTGTGATGATGCTTGATGTGCTGGAGGCTGTGTTGGGGACGATGGGGGTGCGGTATGTGAGGATGGATGGGCGGACGAATATTGTGGAGCGGTAGGTGGTCTTTGAGATGAGTTTGTTTGGAGGGGGCAAAGGGGATTGGGGGCAGGATGGAATGCTCATATTTCTTTTGATGCGATAGACAAACGAGGATAGACGAGTTCAACGAGAACCCGGACATTACGGTCTTTTTGCTTTCGACCAAAGCCGGAGGCTTCGGGATCAACCTCACCAGCGCTAACGTCGTTATTATCTACGACATGGTAAGTGGCGGAAAAGGATATTTGTCCTCAACCTCGCTTTTCCCCCCTTCGAGTCCCCGATGACTCACCCACTTTCTTTTGGGCAGGACTTCAACCCACACAACGACGCGCAAGCCGAAGACCGCGCCCACCGCGTCGGCCAAACGCGCGACGTGACCGTCTACAAGCTCGTCCTCGACAACAGCATCGAGCAGCATATCCTCAAGAACGCGCAGACGAAGTTGAAGCTGGATGAGCGGGTCCAGGAGGGTGAACAACAACATCAGCAGCCACATGTGGTTTTTGACGGGGAGGGTGGGAAGGGCAAAGGGAAGGAGACGGATAGTGATACTGCGGAGGGTGCGGAGGGGGGGAAGGAGGATGAGGCCGCCGAGATTGCGGATGTCGGGTTTTTGGAGATGTTGAGGAATGAGTTGGTCGCTGGGTCTTGAAGGAGACGCGTTTCCGGTTTTGCAGGAGCGTGGAAAAGGAGGGAATATACCATGGTTGGGTGGGATATTGGGGTTGTGTGTAGCGAGTGCAGGATAGGGTAGGCTGTTTTTAAGGAGGATTGGCTACGGAGAGAAATTTGTATGAGACGGTGGGTATGAAGAGAGGTTTGAGATGCAAGTTCTTATAAATTTATATCGGATCGGGGTTGGGGATGAGTATTCAACGGAAGTGATGATGACAGACGCTGGCTCGCAAAGGAGGATGTGGGGAATCATCTTCCCATTCTTCCACAACAAAACCTGGTCGAAAACTCCCTCCCTCCAGGCAACCGTGACTTTCTTCTCATCAAGGGATGTTCACTGGACCTGTTCTATGTATCAACATGCTATAAAACGACATTTGGAGTCATCACGTCAATCATGGTTATCCTCACCCAGCTCCAACTTCTCATCGAGACATCCGGTCTTGTGGAAAGGTAGTCAGGACCATTGGCATTGAAATGCAAGCATTTCGACACTTCGAGATGGCCACTGTTTGCGGCCGAATTGATCGCCGATGTCGTACAGTCCTCACGATGGGTGTGAAGCCATTCAACTAGTTTGAGCCAACCCATTCGAGCTGCATCATCCATTGCTTGCGTCGTCCAGCCTTCCTGTCTATGGCAATCCAAGAATCTGATCACTTTAAGGTGACCAGTCCATTGCCGCCTCGTCCATAGGAACGACGATGCACCCTTCCGATCTGTTTTCGTGAAGCCATTGCACCACCTCGAGACGTCATATTCGCGGCAATGCCCATAGCATCCAAGGTGCACGCTTCCGATCTATTCTCATTAAGCCATTTGACGACGCTGAGGTGTCCATGTGCCGCTGCCAGGTGCATCGCACTTGCACTTCCGGTCCGTGTTCATGGAGCCATTGCACTGTCTTAAGCCATTGCACCAATGACCCGCTGCCACGTCCAGTGCTGGGTGGCGGTTTCTGGTCTGCCACAATTATGGCTTTTGCATTTGGTACATCCCGGATGCAGCGAAGGCGCACGGTGAAGTCCATCAGAGTAGGGATCATGCAGATAGTTATGACTCTATACTGCGTAAGTTCTTGCTGCTACCATAGGTAGGTTCTTTCTGTTGCTGTATGCAGCTGCATATTTTCTACCTGTTTTCTGTTTTCATGCCCTTCATGGCCAAAATCGGGAAGAAGCGCGAGGTGCATTGTGCTCCGTCGTTCCGAAAGTGCCCTGGGCACGCGCTGTCGATTACCGTCATTCGGGGTGGTTTAGTCCGCCTAGTTACACCCAAATCTTGAGCTTATTCGCTAACCTGAGGCATTCACTGCCGAATCAACGGCAAGACCTCAGCTCGCTAATAAGCGTCGAGCGATTAGTCCTACGACTCTTGTAATTTGGGGGCAATATATGGGGGTCTCCGCGGACATTTCGCGTCGACAACCTCCGCGGCGTCCAGATCTGGAAATTTGGGCAACTCCTCAGCATTTTGACCGCTGCAAGCTCGTAACATGGCAGCGAGGACTGACATTTGGAGGTGAAAGATTTTCAGAGGAAGGATCAAAGAATAACACCTGCACCGTGATGAGGTGCAGTATTTCACTAGTCATCGTAAGGGCCCCGAGCGAGGGCCGGTCACCGGAGAAGGTTGATCACTGGACAGTACTTACAGAACTGTGATCACCTTGTACGTACAGTACGTCTACTGCCTGCAAGAGCCTCGAAGAGTAGCTTCGATGGTACATATGTACATGGTGGGCTCGTAGCCGCCCTGAATCTGGTATAAATACGGGGGAGTCAATCTGCATCCTGGGCGACTCTCCTATCATCACAGAGGCTAAATCTCTTACTTCTTCGTTTTCCGCGAAAATCAATCGGAAGATGAAGCATTGGGTCTTCAAGGCATCCGCTGTTGCTGCCCTGGCGGGCGTGACGTCTTCCACCAAGTGTGCAAACCCTGCAACCCCTATCGCAACCGGACCGAAACTTGGCGCCTACAATACATCGGCAACCATCCCCTGGGCGACGCTTCAAACCTTCGATTCGGCCAACCCGTCCGTCGACTTTACACTCTACAATCCGGGCGCACCCGCAGATGCTCAAGGAGCTCGTTTCACCAGATGCGCGGTGGACACGGGATCGACGTCGCTTGTCCTGCCTGCACGAAGGCTCGACCGAGAGCTCTATGAAAGCTCCACCGAGCAAGGGTACATGTTCTACACATCGAATGACCGGTTGAGCATCGGCAAGTGGATGAACCAGACGATCGTTTTCAATACCACCTCCGCGATCCAATTGAAAGGCACAGTTCCCGTGCTGGCCATCGCGCGCCAATGCATCTGCCACGGCTGGAAACTGCAGGAAGATGGGTATGACTGTCCTGACAGCAAGCGGCAGGGGCCCTGGATAGAGCGGAACAGGATCGGGATCTACATGATGGGCGTAGGCTTCGGCTCCAAGAGCGATCCGGCCGGGGTCTTCGGATGGGACAAGAACACTTTTCTCAACGTTCTGCCCGATGACGCTCATCCCGGCCCCTTCCGTAAAGGGTGGATATTGGACGAGACCGGCGCCACCCTCGGATTGACAGAACTCAACACCGATCGGTTCCTCTGGGCACCGCTCCGACGGTCGTACCCTGATGCTACCCTCGACTGGCAGCGCCTCGAGGGAGTCATCAAGGTGAACGACCTCCCTGAGCTCAATTCAACCTCCACGCTCATCGACTCGGGTATCAACACCATGATTCTGACGGCGCCTGCTGACTACGCGGTCCCACTAAACGAGGAAGGCAATATCACCCTTGGCACACACATCAACGTCAAGTTCGGGCCTCGGCATGCCCATATCGGTGAGATCACATACACGATTGGATCCCAAGCTCCGTATCAACCCGCAAAAGACACAACCATCAAGCCTCGCATTGGCGTGGAGGGTCCTGGAATCGGCCGAGTGAATACCGGGATTCGGGCCATGAAGCTTTACCATCTGGCGTTTGATGCGGAAGAAGGATTCTATGGCATGCGCAGGCGCGAAACGTAGCATCATACCCCATTCTAACTTCGTTACAATACAAATACAATCTGTAGACGGATATTCTTCCTTTCATAGTCATAGGCAGAATTCCATCACCATGAGCGATTAGTAGGACCAGTTCACAAAGTCAGACCAGTTCTCTCGAAAGGGTGCTACAAAGCGCTGAGAACGGTGTTTGCACCTAAGGAGGAGGGTGAGCGGCTGAGGATTCTCGTAAGGAGTTACGAGAGTTTGACGCTCGCTTCATGACGCTTGCTAAGAAAACGATGGCGACGCCTCCGCCCACCAGAAAGGAGCTTCATGTAGTCGCGATGGCACACTTGCACGGACCCCATCACAGTTTCATGTTCAGACATCCCTCGTGTGTACCGAAGGAATAGCTTTTGCTTCGGGCGGCGGTTCGTACAGTCTTGTGACCGTTGTGGCGATACGATACATGTCCTTATCGTGTGCGTACCTCATAATCGAAAGTGGGATGGTCTTTCCGTATATTTAGATCCCGAACGCGGTGGGTAGCGCCGAAGGTAATTCATTCGCCAAGCACTTTATCGTTGACTGCCTCTTTGATTGTACGCGCCAACTGGACATGGTCGTCTCTGGCGAGACAACCCCATCGTGAGACAGACGTGTGCATCCGATACCTGTTGAGCATCCGACGTATGCATCCGATACCTGTTGATTCCCCGCGATGAAAAAATGATCTCGACAATCAACGAGCAGAGTCGGAGAACCCCCACTTGTAGATTCCACATGGTGCTTACTTCGATTGCACCAGTGTCTGATGCATGGTTGGGCACGATGGGCCGGGCCACTTGAGTTCTTCGATTTCACCGTTTCAAGTACGCTTTCGGCACCTGCAGTTTTCCATCTCTTTTTTGCTGTTTTATTCGCATCCCACCCTCCGCTCCATTGCATCGGCCGCCCAATCCCCTCCGCACAATGACGAGATAACATCCTCCTCCTCCTCGCTCTTCCCCCCTTCTTCTCCAAGCACCATGACAGCGCACACCATGATTCACACATAAAAACATGGACCATGATGTGCACCGTCATGTGCTGTTCCTGCACCGCCTGGGAACCGTCTGAGCTGCTAGTGGGCCTGTTTTCATGCTCCGGATTCGCCTACATTCGCGCGCTAGCACGAAGCGCGACGATTACTTCGTCCTCGAAATACTCGAGGCGGGACACGCTATCCAGCGGGAAGGCGTGGGACTTGGAGTCGCTGCACTCTCCAAATATCCTATTCCTCATGAGGGCGTCGCGTTCGCCGTCGCGGTTCGTGGGCTTATCCTCCAACTCCATGACCTGTTTGTCCTTTGTCTCTGTGCGACCTAATACTACTTGGACCAAGTGTTAAATACCAAAACCGACGCTGGCCAGCCAGTGTTGGATCCGCGAGGTGGGGACGGTGAGTGTCATCGGGGTGCCACTAGTCTTCGTGGTCAGGTATTCCACTACTGGTCTCCAATGCAGAGTGCCGATCCAAAGTCCCGCTGAGAGAGTTTCGTTCCGGAACGATAGTTGCCATCTCATCCTGTCTTTCAGCTCCTTGGACACCCACCGGGAGTGAGACCGTGAATTATCTTAACCGGTCGTGAGTCCCACTCCGGGCGTAACTCGATATTTGCGGACGTTGTCGAAGCAACGTTGGAAGAGGGAGCTGCGTTGTTCATGGGGTACGCGTGGGACGTTGTTTGGGGGAAGCCAAGGCGTCTTACTGTTAAGTCACGCGTCATGGGAGATAACGGGGGGGGGGGTGTTGTGACGCGTGCTGTCATGCCTATCGGGTCATCCTCCGCCAGATAAGAGAGAGCGCAAATAGTGGGCGGGCGATGGCGTGCCTGATGCCGTCAGTCCGTGTTCCGTCTGACTCACCCTTCATCACACACATACGTACTACACTATCCGTTTTTTCCTAAATAGAACAACTGCTGCTCGCCACACCGTCTGGTCTTCTCGCCCCCCCCCCCCAATATTCCCAACGCAACATTCGTAGCGTCAACCATCGGAGGCCCGACATTCGTTAACTGCGTCCGTAGCCGTCGCAAAAAAGACAACTTCCCCCCGAGAAAACAGACATACCGCCGTTGGCGCCACACTTCCGCTCACTTAAAACCAGCGACCGCCGACGATCAAATCAACGCCACTGTCGATCGACGTCTGAGAAGAAGGAAGCTACTTCAATCAACCGCCGCCTACTCCCCAAACGCAGCCGTCGCTCAAATCTGGCGCAAGCCTCACCTCATATTCCCCCCCCGGAGGCCTCGCACGGCCTCGCACTTGAATAAAAGACAAGACAACACATCATCACCAACCCCCCTAAACATGTCCTCCTCAACACCCTCCTCAGCTCCCTCCCTCCCAATCCCCATAACCGCCCGCCCCGCAACAACCCACATCGACCTCCGTAACAACCTACCCTATCTCACGCAACTAGGCAGCGATAGGGGCTTCAGCTTCGACGAGGAGGTTCTCCTGTCTCCGACTACGTCAAGTTCGAGTGCGACGAGTAGTTCCGGGAGGCCGTCGTTCTTGTATGGACGTGCTGGTGCATATGGAGGGGGGTACCCGAGTGTGAGCCCGAGTACGTTGAGGGAGTGGAGGCAGAAGAGTGAGACGGTGGTGGATGAGATTAGGCTGGATTAATTACGTACGAGCGCGAGAGGGGAGCTGCGAGCGAGCGAACGAGCGTGAGCTTAGAGCGTAGCGAACGAGGGCGGTATCTGCGGGCGAGCGAAGGGAGGTGGCCACGAGCGCTATAGCGAGTCTCAGCGAGCGTCAGACAGATCTTTTGTCCGATCTTTCGCGCCCTCCAAGCACTTGATCCATCCAATTGAGATTATTTTTTGGGGGGAGATGGAATGAATTTGAAGGTTTTTTTTTTGGGTGGGGGGGGGGGTGCCTGGGGAGTGAGTTCATGCATTCTTCACCATACATACGTAGTAGTTGTATTTTCTACATTTTTGCAATACATCCATCCAGTTGTCAACCGGAGGGGGGGAGAGGAGAGGAGGGACCACCATCTTCAAATTCAGTCGTTGTTCCGCTCATCAGTTGATTAATGGACTCCTGCGCCACACCCCGTCACTCCATCACTTTGGCCATTCGTCACTCAACCCCCCCAGCTCACCCATCCATCAGAAGACAACACAAAACAGCATGGGGCAAATAAAACTACGCGGGGGAGTCCCCGACCAAGAGCATGACCTGCAAGTGGCTCCCGACGGCACGGAGTCGATCATCATCGGGAGGAACATGTGGGGGATAACACAGAAACGCGCGAGGTATGGTATGGTCGGGGTCATCTTGTCGTCCAGGAGGAGGCACTGGGAGCCGAGCGCCGGCGAGGAAGGTTTGAGGATTCGCGAGCGAAGGGAGGGGATCGCGAGCGAAGCGAGCATGGGTCTTGTACTGGAGCCAGCGGAGCGAGCCACATTGCGCCAAAGGCGCATTGGTTCCCCTAACCACGGCTCTTAGCGAGCGCCAGCGAGCTATGTTCCTGCCCCCACCGCCCGCCCAGCCTCCTCCTCGCGAGCGGAGCGAGCAGGGTATCGTTCAATCATCCATCGCCCATCCAACCAACCAACCAACTTTCGCTTCGCTTCGTTCCTCATCCATCATGTATAAATAATTCATGAATTCAGTCGAGAGCAAGGTAAGCGCCTTTCTCATGGGTAACTCTCCCCTGAACATCTCACCGATACGATACATCTCCCCCCCGCAGTGCGCGTAGACTACAACCCGCTCACCTCCAAGCTAACCATCACCCAACTCGGCCCCAATACCTCCTACGCTACCGTTCTCGGAGACACCATACCCATCGGACAACACCAAACCGTCACCCTCGACCGCGACAGCGCGTTCTCGCTTTTGGAGGATAAGCTGTGGTTTTATGTCATCTGGCCCAGGAAGAGGGGGCCGAGTCCCCTTGATTTCGAGACGGAGGATGGAAGGGACGGGGGTGGCGAGACAAAGGGGGTGGCGAGACCGACAAAGAGGAAACGATTACCCCCCCGTAAACGCACCGCTGCAAGTTATAAAGAGGACGAGTCTGGGAGCGAGTTTGGGGAGGATGATGAGGAGGAGGAATATGTGGGTGGGAGTGGGGATGAGGATGAGGATGATGATGATGATATGGAGGACTTTATCGATGATGATGATTTGGAAGATGACGAGGACGATTCTGATGGCAATAAGGGGAAGGCAAAGAAATCAAAGAAGAGGGAATGTATGTACGGGAAGAAGTGTTATAGACGGAATCCACAGCATTTTGAGGAGTTTGCACATCCGTGGTTGGATGAGGATCAGGATGGGGGTGGTGCGAGTGGTAGGCGGGGGTCGGCGCCGCAGAGTACGCAGAAACGTACGAGTGGGAATGGAAGGACGCCGAGTGGTAGGTTTGCAATGAGCCCGCGAACGCCCGCTACACCGGTTGATCCGCCGAGGATGCGGACGATGGGTGGTGGGGTTAGTCATCAGTCTGGGAGCAGTTCCAAGACGGTGTCTCCTGTGGATCGGCCGCCACACAGGGCAGCAGCGGCACCTGATACTCCAGCTCCGTCGAATCCGGTCATCATCGGTAATCAATCCGTCTCTAGAACGGACAACGCAAACACCTCACCCGTCCCCCCGCTGCCGCACCCGGCAGCTACACCCATCACCCCAGCCCCACCTCAAGACCTAGCCAGCAACCATCAATCCACCTCGTATTCAAACGGCAAAACAACATCTCCTGAACCAGCAACCGTCGAAACACGAAACCAAACTTCATCCCACACGCATAAACCCATCCCAACCACCTCAGACGACGAAACAACCGACGGAAACGAATCCGACGTCGTTTTCCCTGCCCCAGCCAACGATACTACTTCAACAGCACATGTAAGTGCCCCTCCATCGCGCATCACCCCCACAGGACAAACATTTACTGACCCGACAGACAATGTTCTTCCAAAGCAACCCACCGACCCGCCCATAACACTCGCCATCCACTCCCTCGCCACCGCCGAGGGACAGGTCGATCTTCAACAGGCCGCCGAATGTTTCGCTGAGGTCAGGGTTCTATCTACCCCTCTGCATCTGCGTTCAACAGCCTGGACATTAACGTGGCCCGTCTTCTCAACCTAAACAGACACTCTCAACCTACCGAACCTCCCCAACATCGCCCAATCTGCACATCACCCTACTAGACTCGGACGCACACGTCTTGGCCGCCTATGAGAAAGCCATCGCGGCTGCGGGGGTCACCGGTGGGGTGTTCAAGGCCATCAAGGGCGATCTGGCGACTATGAAGAGTGTGGCGGGGTGTGATTGTGCAGTGGTGGTTTTGGAGACCAGTTGGCGGTGGAAAGTCTGTAAGTCACACTCTGTCCACCCATGTTCCCGTTCAAATGTGTTGGGCTTCCGCGCACGATGTTAAAATGCGGTTTGTTATTAGCGAGTACGGCTATCAGTGGACGGATTCATGAGAGAGCCGGGCCGGCATTGCATGAGCAGGCTCGGACACTGTACCCGAACCCCGCTGTGCTCGGTGAGGCCTACCCCGTCCCTGTACCTGCTTCCTCGCCGTTGTTTACGGAGGAAGGGGTCCACCACGTACGTACGTTTGCTTCACCTCACCCCTTCCGCTTTTTTACGTCTGTTTCTTTACCCCCCCAACTGATTTATTGTGATTTTTCCATGTGCAGGTGATATACACAGTCCCACCCAACATGAACCCGCTCCGCGCACATTGTATATCCCAAACGGAGCTCGGCACCGCCATCAAAGCCCTCCGAGCCACGTGGGCGGCGGTGTTTAGGGCTGCTGGTGGGATCTCTGGCCGAAGTACATCCATCCTTCCCGCTCCGACTGCGCGGAATGCGTGTATGTAAACAGCAAAGGATTGTAGAATGTCAATTAGACATCCTGGTTTTGGATGTTGACGTTTTTCACGTTTAGTCGCGACGTTGATGAGTGCTGCGAGGAATGGAAACGGGAGCACCGCACCCCCAGGACCGGCTCGACCAACGGGACACTGGAACGACGCCCTGCGGATGTACTGTCTCCACCCCGACCAGCACGCGGACGTCGTCGTGGAATACGATGATGAGATTGTGGTCGTGCGCGATAAATTCCCGGTAACTCTCATGTCTCCCCCACCCTCATGGATCACACCACTGACATCTCACACCACGTAGAAAGCGAAACATCACCTCCTGATAATCCCGCGGAAACCCATCGACGGGATATCGAACCTGGGACCCGGGGATGTGGGGCTGTTGGACGGGTTGAAGAAAAAGGCGGACGAGATTGTGGCGGGGATCAGCCGCGAGGTCGGGGGGATGGATGTGGAGTGCAGGGTTGGGTTTCATGCGGTTCCTAGTATGAAGTGGGTATCACACAAACTCTCTTGATTCCACACATACATGTGGCTTTGAAGCCCCCCTTACTGATGATTTTGTTCCTGCTGGATGCGATTCTGAAGGCAGTTGCATCTGCATGTGATATCCCAAGACTTTGACTCGCCGCATCTGAAGAATAAGAAACACTGGAACTCGTTCACGACGCCATTCTTTAAAGATTTCGAGGAGGTCAGAGACATCCTGAATAGGGAGGGGAGTGTCAACGTACGTCAAATCGTCACCCTTTTCATTCTTGCCCATCGCACGGGGACTCATTCGAATTACCCTGTTTTTTGTTTTTTTCGGTAGTTTGATACGGCGTACTATGAGGGGTTGCTGAAGGGACCGTTGAAATGTCATCGGTGTGGGGAGGAAGTGAAGAATATCCCGGGGTTGAAAGCGCATATTGGGGGGTGTGGGGGGGTAGAGTAGGGGAGAGTATATGTAGGTTTTCGGAAAATGTGTAACTTTAGCGGAACGAGCGCTATAGAACACATTCCATCTGAAGGTAGATTTAAGGACTGTACGCGTCCATGTCGACAATGACCTGCCACAGGGGCCTCGTCGGCGCCGGGCTACTCGACAACGCCGCCGGCCTCGTCACCACATCACTCCCGGTATCACTGAACACGCTGCGCGCCGCCGACCGCGGTCTGTCGGTTTCTCCACGACCGGGGAGGAAAAACGGCTCCACGGCCGCCACGTCCCTCACCCGTCGCTCGAAATAGGCTTTGGCGGTCAGCGGGCTATGTGCGGGGCGGCCGAGGGGGGAGGACTGCTCCGACCACGGGCGGGAGGACATTTCGCGCGGGTCGCCGTGGCCGGGCATGTTGAGCGCGGCTTTGTGGCTCTGGCGGATGTCGCTTTGGTCCGACCAGGGTCGTGGAACGATCGGGTCGTGGTTGGTGTTGGGAGAGGATCTGGATTTCCGGCGGCGCAGGCGGTGACGGGAGCGGGAGCTGAGGGTTAGCCGGTGCATCAGGGTGCCGGAGTCGCGGGTGTGCGGGCGGGAGGGTGGGGTGGAGGTTGTACCGGGGGTCCACAGTCTGTTGCGTTTGCCTGTTTCCTGGGTTGTCGGACGGGACGAGGACGGCCCGGCAGCGCCGACAACGTCCCCGAATCGATCGGTGCGTGCCCCGAATCCCAGGGGATGTCCCCCCCCTCCACCGGGTCCGCCAAACACCGACCGCCTCCCCACACTGATCCTGCCCACCACCACCCCACCCCCCGCACGTCGCGCAACCCTCCTCTCCTCCCTCCGCCTCCTGAGATCCGCCCGGATCGCTTTCACATCCTTCATCGTCCACCAACAATCGATCTTGGCTGCCAGCCCGTCGCCCCTCACGTCGCCCTCCGATCCCCCCGGGTCGGCGCTACTCACCGTCGACTGTTCGGGGACCCACATGGGCGCCGGCGCCGGGCGGACGAGCAGACTCCGGCGATGCGGGGGTTTCCGCTGCTGCGTCTGTAACCGCCACGCATCGCCGGGATCGTCGTCGTCGTCGTCCGCGAGCTCCACCCCGTCCTCCTTCTCCCGCGACCGCCCGCGGCGGAGATGGAGGTAGTGGTACGTGCGCGGCGCGGGCGGGAGGCGGTAGATCTCCTCTGGCCCCACGAACGCGCGGTGGAGGATTGCGAGAGGGATGTGCAGGCCGCGGGAGAGGAAGGTGGTGGAGAGACGGTGGAGGGAGGCGAGGTGGAGGGTGTGGGTTGGGGTGTGCAGGTGGATCAGGTAGTTTTGGTCTTGGGGAGCCTGGGGGGCGTGGCGCCTGCGGTGGTGAGGGGGTGTTGTGGTGGAGTTGGCGGCGCTGGCGCTGGAGGGGTTTTTGCGGCGGAGGAAGGAGTGGCGGCTGGTGGAGGCCGGGCGGGAGTGGGTGGTGCGTGCCATTGGGGAGCCTGGGGTGGGGAGATGTGCGGAGCGGGGTGTGCTGGTGTCGGGGGCCGGTCCTTGCGGAGGTGTTGTGGTGGTGGGAGGCGTTCCCGACGGTGGTTTGGCGGCTTGTGATGGAAGTTTCGGAGGGACGACTGTCTTTGTCTGGGTCCTTTGGCGTGTTGTTTCGTCTGATCCAGAGGCACGATAGTAAGATAAAATGTCAGAATGCAGTTTTCGCACGCATCATATCAAACCAGCAGAAAATAGAGCGAACACGTTGTGAATTCTGACCTTTCACAGCAGCCACACTAGATTTCGTCGGCGTCTTCACCTCCCTCTTCTTCTCCACTGGCGCACTCATGAGTTTCCCAACCTTCCCACCCCTCGCCGCCGCCCGCACCCCCGCAGCCCCACGTCCTCTCTTCGAGCCAGCCGCAAACCTAACCCCCTCACTCCTCCTCCCATGCCCTTTCCTCGATCTCCGCCCAGTATCCACCTCCTCATCCTCTGCACCACCCGCTTCCTCGTCCCTCTCCCAATATATTTTCTCAACTCTGGACGCATCCCTGCTTTTGGCGCTCGGTTCAAGCGATCCGCCACGAGGCGGGAGTTTAACGTGGCAGAAGTTGGCGACGACGACTCGTGTCATGGGCGCGGCGGGATCGCGGCGGTGCAAATCTTGCAGCGCGGATCGCATTTTGAAGGAGGCGGAGAGATCGGGGAGGCGGAAAGGGAAGGAGGTGTGTGCTGCTGCATCTGCGCCGGCTGGAGCAGTCATTGTGGGTCCGTCCGCGATGGAGTTGCTAGGGAATGCATTTACTTTCCGTACAGGGCGGTCGTAGAAGCTGCGCGGGGTTGGGGAGACATGACGGCTGTTTGGGAGCTGAAGCGGGGGAAGCACAGCTGTTGCTGGCATTATTGCTACGCTGATGAGGCTATGTGCAGGGAGAATGGTTCCAGTAGAACTCGCAGAGGCTGAAGTTCGATCCATTCATCGGTGGGCAGCGGAACGCCGCTTTCGACAGCGGACTTACGCGCTGTCAATTTTCCACAGCCGCTTTTTTCAGGATGACAGTCGCATTATTCAAGTCGATAGGACTGCTGGGGGAAGCCTGATACGTGCGCTTCTGGATCAGTAAACACATCTTCGACGTAAATGTAATGCGGGTATTCTGCAGAGCTTCCGGATCATAAGATACCGGTTCGGAAGAGCTCACCGAAGTCTCTGAATGCTCAATATTATTTCTTTGCGAGAATGTACATACACACGAATGCGGGGAAGATGGATGCAATGACAAAGCTCATAGATAAGGCTATCTACAAAAGGGAGAATGTCTCTACACATCCGAAACAAAATTGGTGCTCTACGCTCTGCTCTCTCACGCCGGAACCCCGCTGAAGAACCGCGCTCCTACAATTTAAACGCTCCATGAAGGCCGCAGGACCGCAACTCAGGATGGCTAGGCTACACATCGCCGGCCAAACAAAACATGCTCTTCAGTCCTCAGTCCTCGCGGCTTTGGCCCCGGTGACCCTGCCCCGAGTCTTCTCGTCTCCTAGCATCTCGTCGGACAGGTCGCTCATCTCTCCTATCGTCTCGTCGGACAGGTCGCTCATCTCGCCTATCATCTCGTCGGACGGGTCGCTTATCACGATCGTCGTATTCGTCAGATCCGGTCTTCTGACGAAGTGTACGGGCATCCCTCTCTGTCTGCAGGACCCGAGCGGTCTCCTTGTGGTGCAAGCTGCGTCTTGCTGCGAATTTAGGAACGTTGTGTTCATTCTCTTCTACCCTGCCTGGACCTTTTCGGTATTCCTTTGGTCTATCTGAGGAGCGAGAGTGAAGATCACGCCGGGGATTGCCTCTTTCTTCGCGCGGTCCATCGCTGGAGTCGTTTCTTGCGGTACGACGAGGGGCGTCATTGTATTCTGTTCGGTCATCACGGCGGAAATCCGTGTTGCGGTCACGGCTGCGAGCGGTTCTTCCCTCCCGCCCTTGGCCGTGTCCGTCATCACGACGACGGTCATCATACCGTTCAGGCCTTGTATCTCCCCTCCCAGGCTTCTCCTGGTCATACCCATCATCGAGGCGACGGTCATTAGACAGCTCTTCTCTCTCATCGGACCTTGCACCCCGCTCTACACGATAGGCTTCATCGGGGTCGCGTCCAGATCTTGCACTCCGCTCCACCCGATATCCCTCATCGGACTCGCGTCTGAAGTCTGCCCTCGGATTGCGCACCTGCTCGCGCTCATCCCCAGGGCGGCCAGTACCCCGTTCTGGCCTGTCATCCAGTCGGTCATCGCGCTTGGGAACGGACTCATCATCGCGACGGCGGTCGGTATATCGGTCTGAACGGCCTTCCGGCTCTCGCTGATCTAATCTCCGACCCGCACCTCGGTGAGGTCTCTCCCCTCTCTCAAATCGAGCATGGTTACTCGTGTGACGGGCGTCGACGTTCTCCCTCTCTCGGTCATCATCTCTTCGCCGGTCCTGCGGCGCATAGTCCTGGTCACCCCATTGGCGCGAAACACCCCGCTCATCTCTTGGGGTGTAGTCCTCTTCATGCCTTTGACGGGAGAAATCGCTTTCGTCTCCGTGATCTACGGGCCTGCGCTCTCTCGTTCCTCCAGTCGTTTCTCCTGTACGATCCCTCGCTGGATATACAGAATGGTCATTTCCTGACGATCGAATGTCCCGAGCAGGATGTTGCTTCGAGGTCCCCGGGAAGGGTGTATGTACGTGGAAGGGTGCCCTCATTTCCTCTGGCAACTGTCCATTCCTAACTCGTTTTGCCCGCCACAATTCCTTTATCTGAGCGGCATAGTCCTTGGCTCCATCGCGCACAACCTTGCCGTACAAGAGTTCCCAAATGCCAAGGACTTCCTCGATCCGCGTTTCCAGAACCTCGAGTATCGCCTGCTCGTTCTCGGTCGATTGTGCGTATCGCACCTTGATCAATTTTCGCATGACCATCAAGGTCCGGTAGCGGGCCTGGAGGTCGGCGGCATCCGAAGGCGAGCTGGCGATAATGTCCGTGACGAGCTTGATGCGGCTTTTGACGTCCAGCCTCTTGCCCGCCTCCGTTCGCAGATGCTGCAACGTCTTCTTGTGCTCCTCCAAATACAGCCTAGGGAGAGCGTTCAATGCCAATTTGGCGACCTTGTTACGCGTTATCGTGATCGCGTCGTGGTGTTTGGCTTGAAACACCGCCCACGCATCGTCCAACCGGCCGAGCGCGACGTACAGCTCGCCATACGTGGCGATATCTTGAAGGCGCATCCTCCTCGCTTGCTCGGCGCTGGTGATGGGCATCACGCCGGCCTTTTCCGCGGCATCCATAACTTCCTGCGCGCGTACTAGCCACGATACATTGTCCTCGGTGGTCCTGCTTGTCGCGTACACACACAAACGGCCCAGACTTTCATTAACGAACGGAAGGCCATCGAACTTTTTGAGGAACGCCCATGCTTCTTCCAGTTTGTTAGTGCTGATGAGAAGCGTGACGAGGACGTCAAAGCAGGCTTGGTCCAGCTCTATGCCGCGGTGCCACGCAATTTCGGCCCAGCGGATCGCAAGCTCGGGTTCGCGGATGCGAGAGGTAAGGTGCAGGAGAGCGTGCATAAGCGGACGACTCAATGCAATTTTCTTAACCCCCGTCGCGATGGGTGCGGTCGCACTTCGGGGTAGGTTAAGCCAATCCTCAACAACGTCCAGCCCTTTCTGGGCATCGCTCATGTGGGCCGCTCTGACGAAACAGAAGATGAGCGGTAGCAAGACCCCGCTGTCGATATACCTCTCTGCCCCGCCTCGGAAGGCGGCGTCTTTCGGCCAGGTTCGGAACTTTTTGTCCTTCGAAGCCTCATGCGCCAAGAGGAGTACGTCTTCCCAGATCTTCAATGCCGTTTGGAACCCCACCTCATCCTGCCGCGCCGCACACATTGACAACATGAGTTCGATAGCGACTTTTCCGGGCTTGGGTATTATGGTCAGGCCCATCGGTTTTCCCGTTACCGACGCGTTGAACAGTTCGAGCCCATGGTCCCAGCCTCCCTCATTCTGGTTTTTCAAACATGTTGCTAGAAACACATTCACGTAAGTCAGGTTCGGCTCTGGGATGTCGCTCCAATACCGCAAAAGATTCTTCATTCGCTGTTGACGTTTTGCCGTTGGGACGTCAGCGGGGTTTACCCCATCGGCACTGGTAACGAGTGCTTTCAAGCCGTGTGGAGGTAAGGTCAAGCCTATTGCCCGCATCTAAAAGGACAAGACATCGACAAAGCTGTTAGTGACTCTTCTAATTCCGCAAATCACGCATCAAATTCCAATCCGCCCAGAAACACATACCCGACGATAGCATTTGTCCACTACCTTCTCCATGCCCTCCCTGGCGGCCGCCATCATCACCGTGGCGTAGACATCCGCATTCGCCACCTCCGTGGAGTTGAGCTCCAGGTAGCGGTAGGCCTCCTCTCCCAGTCCATTGTGAGTGAGGCTTTTGAGCCTGGCTGCCAATTTGATTGGGTCGGTGTGGATTTTGTATTCCTCCCCTGGGCGCAGTGGCTTTACTTCCGGTACCTCGGCGGGGTTGGGTTTCCGCGCCGGAGTCGGGATCGGGACGGGCTCTTCAGAGAGATTGGAATCTTCCTCAGGAAGGGACGAAGTTTTCGATGCGGGGGGCGGTTGATCTACCATGATGCCGGCTTCATAGATCTCATCCTTCCCCTCGGAGCCTGCGGCTTTGTGGTTGTTGGTTCCCAATTCGCGCCCACCGGCAGCATTTGGCCCGCCGTCAACGGATGACGAGACCGTTTCGCGGCTGCTCTCTTGCGACGTTTCCTTTGCCCAATTCGATGCGACATCAGTCGTCGAGTCCACGGGAATATCTACAGTTGTTTCCTTTGACGCAAGGTCAGGCACTCCCGCCTCCGACGAAGCCGATGGCTCTGTTGGCTCCGCAGTAACGGTATCCTCGGCAGGAACATCATCGTTCGATTCCTTTGCAGGCTTGTCTACCATGATGCCCGCTTCGTAAACCTTCTCCTGTGTATCCGACCCAGCCCTTCCTCTTTCGCTGACGTTCAGATCGTCACTTCCCACACCAGCTGACGCTTCAGCGACAGGTACGTCGTGCTCCTCGGTGACCTCTCTGTCTTCAAATTCCTCAACCACGTTCGTTGCAACCTCTGCAGATCGCTTTGCCGTGTCTGCGGCTGCGTCCGTTCGCGTAATCTCTGCATCTGTTTCGTTTGCCGTGACTGCAGATACCTCAGAGTCCGCCCTCGCGATATCGGATTGCACCTTCCGTTCACTGCTCAGATCAGCTGTGAAAGCTCCCTCTGCACCAAGCTGCTCTTCGACAAGCTGCTCCGGCAACACCGGCGTATTCATATCTTTCATCTCCTGTATCTCGGCATTTTCCATTTGTCCCTGATTAGTTGCAGAACCCAACGACGACTCCTCGACCGTTTGCTTTGATACAACTTCGGGTCTTATGTTTTCCGTCTCATCTATGATTTCCGTCTCCCGAGATTCCTCCTGCACTGACAAGTCAGCCTTTGATGGATCGCTAGTCGCGTCCACTTCCAGCGAAACATTATTTGTAGATCCGGAAACTTCGCTGATGACTTCCACCTCCTCTCCGCGAGGCTCTTCCTCGACCACCTGCTCCGACGGAATCTCACTTTCTACTCTTTGTGTCTCCTGAGGTCCCTCCCGGGCTGCCACATCCGACTTCTTTAACACGTTACCGGTCGCCTCCACCTCCATCGAAACGTCATTCGCAAATTCGGGAACTTCGCTTTTGTCAGACTGCCCTACTTCCACCTCCTCTCTGACGGACTCTTCCTCCACCGCCTGCTCTGGCAGAACCTCCGTTTCTATTCTTTGCGTGTCCAAAAGTTCCTCCTGGACTGGTGAGGACTCGTTGGTTGCGTCTACTTCGACAGCGTGGTCCTTGAGGATTTGAGACGGTTCCTTTCCGCCAGACTGCTGCCCCTCGTCCGTCTCTCGCTCCACCTGATCACCGTTGTTCACATGCTTCGTTTTGTCCGTCGCGGCGTCTTCTATTGCGGTCGAAAACCCTTCACAGAGTGCAGCGAGCTGCTCGGGTGTCATTCGTCCCCCACCGCCGGCACTAACACTGATACTTCCATTATCGAGCGCGGGAGTCGTCAGTGACGCCGATGCCAAACCCGCCGCCTCTCCCTTCTCACGAGCGCCAGCAGCGGGAGCCTTCTCCTTTAGCTCCTCGGCCTTGGAGTCGTCGCTCAGAACGGAGTATCGCAGCTTGGGGAACGCCGTTGGCCTGAACACTAGGCCTGACGATATTAGCCGCCGCCGGTATACGACGTTGCAGGACAGCGTTCGGCGCAACATGCTTGCGAACTATCTGTTACAAGTTACTACTATACTTCTCCCATGACCCAGGGTCAAATGCAAGCACAAAAAGGTCCGGAGACGTGAATCGGAACTATTCGCCGGAATTAAACTCACACATACGCACGTGATCCGCGAGCGAGAGCGAGAGCGAGAGACAAACTCGACAGTGCATCGAGAAATGACAGTATGTGGAGACCTCAAAACGTCGACCGACATGCACGCTTCGTGCATGGAGCATTTTCCAGTTTAGGGAAGCGTAGGTCAGTCCACCAGTCTTTAAGACCGTCTTGAGCCACCATGTTTTGTTCTACGCAAATTCATCAGCACATGCTCGACCTACGTCGAAGAGAGCAAGAACATCCATCTATCCCCAACAAAGGAAGCAAGAACAATCAGCTATCAATCTACTAATGGCCTCAGAGAAGCTACGCCACCAGATCATTGACGAATGCTTTGCATTGCTCGAAACTCTTTAGGGGACGAAAGTACGAGGAATTCGACAATCATCGCGGGGACATACTTGAGCAGGATGCCCGCCTCAACTTTCGCAGAAATATAGCCCTTGTCACTCACCCTCCTTCTTTGGGATTCAACATTCTCAACCCATGCTGGCCAATCGTTAAACACGATCTTTGCGAGAGACTGCCGCGCAACGCAATCAAAACATGGTCTCGCTAGCGAAGAGCGATATGGAACATCAATCCTCTCGTAGCTATACTCCTATCAGGGGCGGAAGCCAGAGGAACCCTTGAAGAGCCTATCCTCAGGCTCGTTCTTCGACGAGGGAAAGTACGACATCGTCAACCTGGTGCAGCCGGAGGCCACTGGACATGGATGCATTTGGGACCAGGAGTCCACGTTGGCTGACATCATAAAGCCTTGAAAGATCACTTTCGAGGGAAAGGGTGATGAACAGCGTATGACGATGATTATGATTCCATCAAGCCATACGTTGCGTTAGTGGACCCCCAAGACGATCTTGAACGCTTAATGAACCCCGACGAAATAGCCATTCCTGAGAGGATAATATATGTTAGGTATCGCTTCGATTGGGCCAGCTGCTGCTTCGCGACTTGGAAACAGTCTAATCCATCCTGAGATCCCAACCCATTTCCGTGTATACCCGACTCACGGCACGGGTTCACTCGGTACAAGTTTGGCGTAGGCCATCTCAGAGAGTTGCCATGCCATTTTCGACATCCATAACTATACCGCCAGCATTTTCTGTCAGGACAATCATGAATATAGAATGGGCGTCGCTCCACTGTATGTCTGGGGGCATACCTTGGGCGATCTGGTAATGACTGACGTGGAAGGCCTAGACGAGATCGAAGAAGTGAATGGCAAGAAATGGCGAGTCCGTTTAGAGAATTGCGACTCTTGAATATTTGGTTCCGTCATGTGTGAAGTATTTGTAAGCACGAGCATGTACTGTATATCGAGATAATCGTGGAGAAAAAGAGAAAGGGCTCCCCAAGTCCTACGTCCTACGTCGTAATCTAGCGAGGCCACAGAATGCATGCCCTAACGCCATGAGACGTGTGACGATAATATTGATGAACCTGCCATGGCAAACCTGTCCACCTTGTCCACCTGAAGGCCGACATGGTAAGTGATGCTCAGATCCGGAGTAAACGTGGTAAGGATTCGGGGTCGTTGTATGGAACATAGACTATCGATTCGACAAAGCTGAGGCTGCGGCCGCCCACGATGATCCATCGATCTCGTCTGATAAAGCCTGAAGCGCCCTCAATTGATCAAGCGTCGCGTCCGATAGCACTCCGACAACGCGACTGGGACGTGAGAGAGCCGCGTTCCGACATGTGGCAGCCGCCTGGCAGGCCGCCGAATGTTCCACACGTAGTACTGTAAACTCTGTAATACAATGCCACGTATTGTGCAATGTGCAGTACAAAAGGTACAAAGGCCATAACAAAGAAAGGGTGGCCCGGGGTGGCCGCATATTGCGTTTAGGCGCTCGAACGTTCGAACGCGCATCCGTGACATTCAACGGATTGCGACTTTCGTTGCTGGTCCCCCCCAAAAAAGTACTTAAGCCGGCACCCGATGCTCCATCCTTGTATCGTCTGCTATTCACCCAAGATAACATCAACTCCACCAAGATGACCACCGTCTCCACCCCCACCGCCACCCTCGGCCAACCTCTCGCGGGCAAAGTCGCCCTCATAACCGGTACGTAATCCCCTCCCATCTTACACATCTCGCACCTCCCATCCTCCCATCTCACACCTCGCCTCCTTCAGGCGGCTCCCGGGGCATCGGCCGAGCTATTGCCCTCCGGCTTGCCAACGACGGCGCCTCCGTCATCGTCAACTACGTCAGCAACGATGCGACCGCTAAGGCCGTCGTTGACGAGATCAACGCCCTCCCTGCCACGAAGGACGCGAAAGACGGCAAGCCCCGCGCGATCGCTGTTAAGGCGGATGTGGCGAGCGTGGACCAGGCTAAGAAGCTTGCGGACCGGGCGCTTGAGGTTTATGGGAAGTTGGATGTTTTGGTGCTCAATGCCGGGATCTTACCCAATGAGAGCTTGTTGCAGATTACTGATGGTATGTTTGATAAGGGAGCAAAGCAAAGAAAGAAACATCATGGCCGAGTAGACTCACCATTCTTCATGAACCAACAGCCTCCTTCGACCGCGCCTTCGCCGTAAACGTCAAAGGCCCCCTCTTCCTCACCCAATCCCTCGCCCCCAAAATGTCGCCCAACGGCCGCGTCATTTTCTTCTCCTCCACCCTCACCGCCGCCTCCGTCGTCACCCCCAACTACCTCCTCTACAACGCCACAAAGGGCGCCGTCGAGCAACTCGCGCGTGTCCTCGCCAAGGAGTTGTCCAAGAGCTATGGTCTGACCGTCAACACGGTTTCGCCCGGCCCGACGGCCACGGAAATGTTCTTCGAGGGAAAGTCGGAGCAGACGTTGAACTTCATCAAGGGGCTTTCGCCTTTCAACCGCTTCGGCGAGCCCAACGAGATTGCTGCTGCTGTCGCCTTCTTTGCTGGCCCAGATAGCTCGTGGGTTAACGGCCACAATCTGCGGGTGAACGGCGGTTATGTTGTCTAGGTGCCCGTGGCTACGGAGGCCCCTACGGCGTTTCACCCTTTTCCATTTCGACGTAGTGCATGTACGTGTACAGAGGCCTGAAACGTGTTGGCTTTGTTCAACAGCGTAGCTGAGGCGTATTGTTCATCGTTCTTCCTGTCTGTCATGCTAGCATGTCTGCTCCTTGAGTACAACAGATGTATCTTTATACCATTGTCTCTGAATCATATCCGCCTCCGGTCATGAATGAAAGAGAGATGCCATGTCGATTAAATTACTGATGCGTCTAACATCTTATGAGAGAACTGGAAGGACGCAATACGCAAAAATGCGGGGAAGGTTGACTATCCTACCGTCGCCCCCAACCTAACACGTACGCCGCGAAGCAAAAGAGCCCCGTTCTACATCTACCCAAGAAATAATGGTCTCCCAACTACGTCTTACGCCTACTTCCCTTCACCCAACCTCCAAATAACCTTCGGCATCCGCTTTGGATCCCACTCCGGCTCCCCAAACACCGCCTCCGTATCCGGATACACCTCCCAGTACGCATCCCCTTCCCTCAACCTTCTCCCCGCCTCCACAACCCCCACATGCATCAACGGCGAGTCTCCAAGCTGCATATTCCTCTTATAATTCTGGAGATGCGTGAGAGCCGAGTCAAGGACGAATAACTCAACGTCGTTGTTCACACCCCCTTTTTGTGGGGCGAAAATGGGGTCGCTCGGGCGCGGGAAGGCGTACCATTGACCGGTGTTGTTGGGTGTGTTGGGATGCATTTGCATCGACTGAATGACGCGGGGCCCGGTTTCCCAGTCGGGCTCGACGGGCATGTTGAGGACGCACCAGTTGGCGTCCGCCGGGACCCAGGACGAGCAACCTGTGCCGTGGGGTGGGACGCCGTAGGTAAAGTTTTGCGGGACAGGGACGAGGTCGGCGGTGAAGGGGCGGGTGTATGCTCCTGTTTGCAGCTTGGCGTCGAATACTTCGAGCATTTTGGTGCATTGGGCGCGGATGAGCTCGCTGTGTACCAAGATTTTGTTCTGCTTTGCTATGGCGAGGTCGCGTTCGGCCGGGCGCCCGTAACAGTTATACACGCGGCCGTGTTGCGCGCGGGACATGACAAGAGCGTTGCCCCAGTCGGCGAATTGGGAGTTCACAATGACGAATTTAATCCCCGAGCGGTGGGCGGCGTCGGTCGTGCAACCTTCGTCGAGGGCCATCCACGAGTCGCGGCGCATGAAAGTTGTGAGGGCAGTGAGTGTGGCAAATTCGCTGCACTTGCGCCAGATGTCATTAACGGCGGGGTTGATGCGCTGGTTGAGGGCTGTGTATTGTCCGCGAGTGTAGAGGCGAATTCTGTCGCCGCCGCCGAGGGTGACGATGTCGGCGTCTTTGACCAGTGGAGAGTCGTAGACGCTGCGTAAGTCGCCCCAGAGGGTGTCGAGGTCACCCCAAGCCCAGGACGAGCAACGGGAAGTGTCGACCCAGGGCTTGAAAATGCTGCCGAAGGCCATGCGGAATTGAACTTTGAGCGAAATCAAAGGATTAGGATTGTTGAAGGGATGAGCCAATGAACAACCAATCGCAAACTCACCTAGATTCGACGGCCGCCCCTTCAACTTCGCACTATCAAGCGTCTGCCTCCTCACCCTCCAACACTCCCAACTCGTCAACGGCAAATCATACATCCGGCACAGATTGTCCGCGACATACTGATCCATACTTTCGCTCGCCCACCGCTCATTCACCATTCCGAGATCCACAACATGCACGTTGGCCGGCCACGCGTTCTTGCCGTCGTACAGCTTCTTAACCCCGTCGACGCCGATCGAGGAGGGGACAAACAGGTACGTTTCCATGAATGCGGAGCCGTTACGTGAGGCCATGCTGTCGAGCGCGGCGCGGACGTATGTGGGCAGATGACCGCGCTCCCAGACGTTGATAACGCACACCGGAGCTGGGCCATCGGTAGTCGTTCTGAGAATGCCGTTGGTGCCGGTGACGAGAGGTAGGTTGCCCCGTCCGTCCCACAAGTTCATGAGGCCCACGGGGACGTGCGAGTTCTGCCAATGGCGGTAGAGGGTGATGACGACCATCAGTCCGGTCGAGACGACGTTAGTGGCCAGAACAAACTTGCCGGCGGGGGATTTGTTGTATCTGACGAATGCGTTGCGCACCATGTTGAAACCAGATGGTGTCGCTAGCGTTTGGATGTACCTCGAAGCGTAGATGATGTTCTCGTACGAGCCGCGAAGTGCACCCTTGACGGACCATGTCCCTTGCGTCGTCTTGGTTTCGACGAAACGACCAAAGTCCACGGCCCATTTGTCGAAGGTGTTGGCGAAAACTTGTCCCGCAACGACCCATGCGCCTAACACACCGATGTAGACGATTGTAGCCTGCAACCACGTCGATAGGTACAAGTCGAAAGCCCATGCTCCGACAAGGGATCCGACGACAGTGTACACCACCGGGTGGAGGAGGTACAATCCGACGGATATCCTTCCCAAAAACAAGAACGGTCGGGAAGAAAGGATCGTACAGAGCCCGGGAGAAAGCTCCAAACCCAGCATGATGGCAACGGCGGTGTAGAATTCTGGAATATTCCATTGGTCGCCGCGACTGCCCGAACGTCCCCAATGACCTTCGTTAATGTCCCATGTTGTCCACTTTGCGATCCTCATGTACGGGTCCCGAAAGTACATGCTTGTGAGCGCGACGAAGAGGAGGGTTGATTTCCAAAAGGTGGCGGCGCGGGATATACGGACCCGCGCCCAGACTCCAGCCTGTGCCTGCTGCGCGATAAGGAACCCCCACATGAAATGAGCATACACCGATGAGGTGAACGTGAACCACGTCGCCAGAACCACGGTGATCGTCCGACTGGATTTTGGGTAAGCCAGCATCACGAGCGCAACGGCGAAAAGGAGGAAAGAGCCCTCCAATGCCGTCCGGATGGTTTGTTGAGGTCGGTCCGGGAACGGCATCTCATGACCACCGACCAGGAATGCCACGGCACCGCTGAAGATGTCACTAAAAGGAAACCAGTCGTTTCTGCACCACTGTTTAGCATCTTCGTCGACGGGTATCCAGATCGTGTTATGTTCTGCAGCTTGGGCGGTGAGTGTGCAGAGTCGCAGGTGCACCATCGCCCACATAACCAAAAGCGAGCCCATCACGGGAATCAACAAGCGGAACGGTCGTCGTAAGAACGCAGAGGCAACCTTGTTAAGTGATGGGTTTTCGAGGTATCGGATCATCAACACTCTTCCCGATAAGAGAAAGAAGAGCGAGATAGGCAAAGGAGTAAGCCCAAGATACCGCACAATCCTGCCGAATATAGGCCACATACGGGCATCTACTCCGCCCACAAAGTCAAAGTGCCGCAAAAAGTTGGCGCTGGCCACGATGAGCGCCAGGATCCCACGTAATCCATCAAAGTGCTCAATCCGCGACGTTTGCTGCTGCTGTTGTTTCCCCCCCGTATGAGAGTACGATTGTCCCTTTTCATCGTCATCCTTTTTCGTCGTTATTGTCGTCGTGGGAAGAAGAGTCGCTCTGTGTCCCAGGTCGTGGGAATCTTCGTTATGGCTGCTGGTCACCACGCTCCAGGCGTGGCTTTCCACATCCCCGCCATTCTCTACACCTCCAAGCTCCTCATCTGCACTGAAGATAGTTTCCGTATCGGAAAGGGTGCTAGGCAGCCTGTATCTGCCTGCCCGCTGTGGTGAGTCCTCCGCCCTCGGCGTAGACCCCCTGCTACTGCCGCAGTTTGAAGGCGGAGTGTACATTCGTCGGAGTTTCGGAGGGTCTACAGAATTTGCGTGTGCGTGCTGTGAGCAGTGAAACCGCTAGGTGAAGTTCGTTTACGGGCGGAGAACCGGTCCACGAAGGAATGGAAGGAACTCTGCGCAAATGGCAAATTACCCTGGGCAGCAGGAAAGCATACACGGTTGGTGAAAAAGCCAGCAGATATGGTTGAGGAACACGGAAAGACCTCCCAAACCAAACAGCCGGCTCTCTCTCTCTCTCTCTTTCTCGCAAAACCACCCTCGCTGTCTCTTTCGCGAGGAGTGCCCAAAAATAGGCCTTTGGTCGGGGTAGGATGTAGCGAAGGTTCGAAACGTGGCCGCTCTCAGCTCAGGGCTTCCATCCGAATTTACAGTACACAACTCCGGCCGCTTATCCAGTACCCGAGGGTAATATGTAAGCTCTTCTCGCGTTTCTCATCGCGCGCGCGCCCTCGTCATCAGAAACCAACTCCGACTCAGGCTAGCTGCTTTCACCCTCAACATATAGGCACCAAATAGAGGGAAACAGCTATTAGAAGTGGAAGCGTGGTTCAGAGGAAATCAGACGAGCAACAAAGAAAAGTGGAACTGGAGGCATATGTTTGGTTGTAACAATTCTCATCTTCCGAACTTTGCAAGATGCGCCGAGAACGTACGCCAGTATTTAGGGGGGAAGCTACCCCATGTTTCCGATCGATGGATCCATTGCCCTGCGATCAGGCAGTGCTCCCGAGCTCCAAAAAGGCTTGACGTTCCACAGAGTACTCGGAATCTTTGCTTTGTCAATCTCGCTCAAATAAAAGGTGAGTGATGATGGTGATACGGGCGTCGAGTAGCAGTTGACGCTTGGTTCTTCCATTGTTATGTTTCCGCAGAACGAATCCTTGAAGTCGGTGATGAAAAAAAGGCGTGAAACCACCCCAGCGTAACCCCCTAATGTCCATAAAAAACAGCTATGCGCGTTAGACCAAAAAAACAAAAGTGGAGATTAGCGGGATTGAACCGCTGGCCTTCTGCATGCAAAGCAGACGATCTGCCACTGATCTAAATCCCCTTTCGATACCTGATGAACGTCGTAGCTATTGGAAATATCATATGTTACACCTCATGTACGGCGCTAGTGACATCACCCGCCGGACAACCCGCCGTAATGCGAACCGTAACTCTGACTCTACACAGCTCCCGCATCCATCCCCACCGATTAGCTATACGATCGCAGGATTCGAAGCCATGTCGGACCAGCCATACTACTACCAGACCAACAACAACAGCGCCGGTGGTATGTATGCTCAGTGCTCTCGCTCGTTCCGTCCGTTGAATCCCTCCTCGTCACGTCATGAGTGCACCTCGTCTGATTTTCACTTGTCCATATTCCCAAATAGGAGACAAAGGCTACCCCGCCCCCCAACAAGGCGGCGCCAGCGTCCCGCAATACCAGCAACACCAGCAACAGCAACAAAGCCCGTACCCCGCCGCGGCCTACCCTCCCGCCAACCACGACCCTAAAGGCAGCCAATACCCCCACCCACAACAGCAACAACAGCAATCTGAACAGCAATACCCCTCGCAACAGTACCCGCAGGAGACCTACGGGTCGTATCCCCAACAGCCACAGTACCCCCAGCAACAGCAGCAGTACGCATACCAACCGCAGCCGCAGGCGGGCACTCACTATGTCCCGCAGCAGCAGCAAGCGCAGGGGAAGAATAATAGCAGTGGCCTTGTAACCGGATTGTAAGTTTTTTGCGATGTTTTTGGGATGAGACGGGAATGTGTGCTAATGCGGTTGAACCTTTAGGGCCGCGGGAACTGCGTTGTGCTGTTGTTTGGATTGTTTGTTCTGAGGGCTTTTCGCTAGCGGAGGAGCCGGAGGTCGGGGAGCGAGCATTCTGAGTGTCCCTTTATGTCAGCGCACGGTTATATGCCGGATCCTTTCTCCGGCGTATGTGCACGCAGGCCATCGTTTCGCAAAGCGAGTGCGATACGATTCGAAAGCACTTGTAGTTTTGTCGTGTAGGTAGATTCTTCAGATAGCAGTTGCTTTTGTTGTTTGCCCCGCTCTCCCAGCACCGCACAACGGCGTGTCTTCGTATGTAGCGCCCCACCATCTGTACCGCTTAGTTTTAGCGTTCACGTAGCCTGCGCTCGGCGTCTTCATAGGTGTTGGTTTTCAAGTATATATACATCGCGAATCTTGCAATCATCATACGAAGACCGGTAACGTCTCGGTTATTTGCGGCATTGGATGAGAGTAGTCCTTAGAATGTGTCCCCTTCGAGTCGCTTTGATTCTTAAGTTAAAGAATACAGAGCCAAAGAAACTCAAAACGTGGCCCGTCTATCTACACAGAAGAATTTCAAGGCTATGAATACGCAAAGGGTAGTCTACACTTTGTTTGTATGAGACCTGCTCATTTACGCCGCCAAATCGGGAATTGCCGTCGGCAGAGCGCCTGCGCCGATTGCAGAAGCAGCGGCGCCCAAGTCCGTCGGAACCGCTCCTCCCGGAATCCCCGCCGGAAGGGCCGTGGGGATACCCGTCGGGATAGCCACGCCAGCGCTGCTCGCTATCGCCCCCACGGCGCCAGGGCCACCTCCGCCCGCCAGGGTACCCGCCGCGCCAAGAACCTTCACAAAAGGCTCCGCTGTTTTACTCAGGACGCCCAATTGAGTTTTGAGGGAATCAGGGCACGCAAAGTTCAGCGGTCCAAAGCTGATCGGGATGCTGACGAATTTGAAGACCTCGGGTGAGATCTGGACGTCGAACTTGAACGCCAAGGGTGGCGAGTTGCCGTTGGGTTGGTAGTTCAGAATGGGCGTGTTGCAGCTGGAGGAGAGCAATTGGAGGACCTTGTCGTCGGTACCGACGAGATCGGTGATTGCGCCGTTGTATATGATTTGTATTGGAATCTTGACAGTGGTGTTTCGGCCTTTCGGGAAAGAGACATCGACCATGTCGACGAAGATTCTGAATTTGGAGGTGTCGATTGGCTGGCCGGATATGTCGTTGATCGTGCCCTATAACACATATGTGAGAGGGATGGTCAGCATGTGACGACATATGGAATTATGAAGGGAAACAACAATGTCGCGCAGAATGCTCGAATGAATGCCCTCGCTCCCGCCTTCGCGGGTTCGCCCCTCCCAGAAACTCACCGTAGCAGTAACCTTATCGGCAGCGATGGCATATTTGTTCTGGTTATCAGCCCAGACATCCAATCCAGCTCCAACGCTGAAACCGAACCCCGAAGTCGGGCTAGTAGGAAACCTCGGCAGAACACCAGGTGCCCAAGTAGAGGTCCCGTTCTTCACATCTTTGGGCAAGACCGCTGTAAACCCATCGGCCGACTCCGCCACATACGGGTTGCCGTGACCGTTGGCGGGAACCTTTGGCCACAGGAGGCCGAGGGCGATTCCTATGGCGGCGAGGATGAGCAGGATGATGAGACAGCAGAAGCAGCAGAAGTGCTTGAAGGAGGGGAAGCAGCAGCAGCGGTCGCCGGAGTGTCGGTAGCGCTTTCCGACTCGGCCGGACTCCATGGCTGTTGTTGTTGGGCGGGAGAGTGTCGGGAATAGTAGGGGGGATGGCGATGGACACCAGCAGTTCTGGCGGGTACTAGGTATATGTCAAAGGAGAGAGGTTGTACATATATGTCTGTCCGTGAATCCTTGAAGGAAACGGATCTGTCTGGGGGTCTTTGCTTTTATACGAAGGGCGTCGCCCGCACACTTGCACACTGCAAGTTTCAAGAAATTCGGGGCTCGGCCGATCCTGGACCCACATTTTAATTACAGAGTCACACAGCCAAGGCCGCTTGGAACCTGGGAGCGGACACAGGCGCCTCCGATCATCAGCAACGCCAAGGGGAAGGAAAAGCCCCACCGAGACAAGTTGCACGGACGCGTGTTCTCATGCTGACGTTTTCTTCAACAAAACCGACATTTGCAGAGGCCGCTCTCCGAGATATGCACAAAGCCTCTGTGGCCCATATTTACGGATCCGCAGAAACCTCGGTCAAAGGATTGCAGCTTAGTATACACCTCGCGGTCCTCTCACACCCCGCTCAGTTTCCGCCGCGCCGTTTTCCAATTCTAATAACAGCTAGAGTCTCCAACGCTTTCATCCACCGGATCTGCAGCATAATGAGTAGAATTTGTCACCCTCCAATTTCAGCACGATCGTAGAGTGAACCAGCAGTACTCACATTGAGCAACGCTTTGGTTTCGGTGGAGAAGGGTACTCACCTCTTTTTTATGTGTGGTGTATAAACTTGCTCTGTTGAGGAGTGTCGAGAGATGAGAGGTTGAAGAGTCGGCAAAAGAAAGCACGAATTATTCAGGCTCCAAGCACGTGACCACGGAGTCGATGCGCAATCAACTGCTGTTTCAAGCGATGACGGGGTGGAGCGGGCGGGAGGCGGTGACTTCGCACGCCCTCACATGGGCCATCATAATTGATTTTCCCAAAGTGAAGGTCCACTGAAGGAGGACGCGACGTGGGGATGTCCGTGTGCGGCTGCTTTGAGAATTGATGAGAGAGAGAGAGAGAGAGAGAGAGCCGCTTTAAGTTGGCATGATTATTGATGAATTTGCATCCCATCCCAATTGTGCTAATAGGCGATCCTCCTTTCGCGTCTGGCTTCTTGACCCGCCCTCCAACTTGCTGGCCACTTTCTCACGGACACCCGCACTCACAACCAACCGACTGGGAAACGGCGTCTCTTTCTGCGGCATACGGAAGAGGCAGTAGTGTACATACTCTACGGGGCGTTGGTCGGTTCCACATCACTTTGCAAAGTACAGAAGGAGCGAGGACGGTCCGTCATACCTCACCCACCACCAGAAGTGTGAAAGCCGTCAGCAAAACCGACAACAGGAACCGTCGATAGTGTTGAGACAGACAGCAGCTTCTCCAGCACGCCCACCGGAACAACTACGAGTGTCGAGCAACCAACTCACAACCCAACTCTCTCTTCCACCCACGCCACGAACCCGTCACAATGGCCAGCTTCGAATTCGGCAAATTCGACTACTTTTGCAACCAAATAGCCCTCAGTCTGTGTCCGCTGGTCGGCTCAGAGACCGGGATAGAGCCGATATGTTACTCTAGGAACATTGAGATGGGGAAGCTGCTCATTTTTGAGCCAGGTGCGTTTGGAGGATGTTATGAGGGAATGCAATTGCTCCGGACTTTCGACAGAAGGGAATGACGGTGGAAGGGGGACACTCGGGAATGTTGGAATGTCAACGGGTCTGCGTCTTACAGGACAAGGGCAAGGTCGCAGTCGATGAAGGTGCGAGGGACGACGGATGGAGTCGCGCGGAGAAAGCCTTTCTGAGGGCTGTTTTGGAAGCCAGCAGACTATCGGAGGTCTAGTCCCACCACATTCTTGGGTCTCGACAAGGGCCATCCTTGAATTGAATATGGAGATCGAGGCAGAAATCTTATTGTTGCAATCGAACGACTTCTAACCTCGCTTTCCCTTCCCAGCAACTCTCGTAATACATATCATCGCTCTGTTCATGACAGGCATCATGATCTACCACATCAAGACAAAGTATACCGCCGTCGGTAAGTACATTTCTCCTGCGCAAGGTTGTAGATCCTTTGCTTATAATTCTTCTTCTATTCTCATAGGACGAAAGGAAATCGTTATGTTCTTTTACATGTACTTCCTCACCATTATCCTCGAGTTCTTGGTCGTGTCTGGAATCATACAAACAGCTCACGCATCGTATCCAGTAAGTCTGAGCGCCGGAGTACGAACAACGTTTGACTGCGGTTATATTAGAATACTGACTATTGTCGTTTCGTCCTAGTACTTTGCAGCAGCACATATCGCCATGATCATTACAACCTTATGGTGCCTATTGCTCAACGGTTTCGTCGGATTCCAGTGGGCTGAGGACGGCACGCCATTGTCACTCTGGGTACGTCTCGACTTGGTGTACCAATCTACCGCCACGCAGTCAACTCATCACCCAGTTTCCCGTCCCTCACAGAGCATCCGCATCAGCTCCCTCGTGATCTGGGGTCTGAGCTTCTTTATCAACATCGCCACCTTCACCAAGATGCCCGGATTCAGCAAAACCGACCCAACGGCTCTGTTCGTCTTCTACTTTGTGTTTTCCGTGGCTTTCATCTTGATCTACGTCGTGCTCCAGATCGTGCTGGTCGTCAACACCCTGGATGACCGATGGCCTCTAGGTACGGAATCCATATCACATCGAACCACGAGAAATTGAAAACTGTCAAGCTAACCTGATCTTTCTGCACAGGCGACATCCTCGTCGGCTTCGCGTTCTTCGTGGTCGGCCGCATCTTCGAATTCGTCCTCTCCACCAAAATCTGCGACATGGCCAAACACTACGTCGACGGCATGTTTTTTGGCACTATCTGCTCCCTCCTCGCCGTCATGATGGTCTACAAATACTGGGACTCGATCACGAAGGAGGACCTCGAGTTCTCTGTGGGCGGCAAATCGAACGTGTGGGAGATCCGCGACCCGTTGCTCAGTGATGATCGGTTGGCGGCGATGGGACGGGATGAGGCGGGACATGGACACCAGCAGGGGCGCATGTACGATGTTAGGTATTAGGAGCTTTTATGTGGGGATAGCTGGATCCACCTGTGGACTTGGACAGGATAGGACTTTGGCGCCGTTGACAGAAAGTTATCCGGAGCAAATTGTCGTCCGCCTGCCCGCGTTGTAGTGCCCTTCTTAAGTGTATTTACCACATCCCTTTTACCTACTGGAATCCCTTCCCTTCCTACCTTTCCTGTGCACATTCTTTTGTTTCTCGTTTGTACTTTCGTTTTCCCTATCCCCCTGTTATGCTCCCTGTTCTTGTCCATATAATGGAAATAATATAAACGTCTTCGTGTGTAGTTCCGGCAGCCGAGCATAGACGGATCTCTCTTTCCACTGGCCACGATTGCATTTGCTCGCTTGGTGCAGAAGACCGTATCCAGAAGAATAGCCGGCAAACGATGCACTTCCTTGAATTCTCTTCTCCCCCAAAACTCTAAAATAAAACCTCTCCTACAACTACTCCCAAACCAACAGTACGCCAATAACCCCCAACAGCGCCAGCTCCAGAGCACCGGTCAGCCCAATCCGCGCTGCCAGAGCTGCCAACACAGTCCACACCACGTGAAGGCCGTAGTGCTCTTGAAAGACGGCCGGCAGTTCGATGGGCAGAGGCGCCACGGTCGCGGGCGTTGACTTTTGCATTGGATCGTGGCGAGGAGTGACGGCAGATGTTGACAGCACCGGTAAGAGCATCACGATGCCCGTACCCGCGAAGCGCAGGGCCAGTAAACGGGCAAGATAGCGCCAGCGTATGGTGCTGGTCGCGGTGCGTCGGCCATTGTCGTTCGCCGATGCGGCGGCGACGCGGTCACGCAAGTGGTTGTGGCACGACCGCGCGCCGAATGCAGTTATGAGTCGGAGAACGAGTATGCTCGCTGAAAAAGAATTCCGGAATTTGCTGTGGGTAGGCCTTTCGCCTGTAACCGTATAGATATCCGGGCCTTCATCTGCTATGTCATCACCCTTCAAAAGAAGTGAGAGACAAAGAGCAAGAGCATCGATGGCCACCCACAATTTCACCAAGGCGGCCGTCCGCCTGAAGCGTTGCCTGCTCTGAGCAAACACCGGAAGACTGGGGGTGACCGGCGTAGGGTGAGTGTCAGCGTCGGTGAGCCGGGTGGAAGTCATGAACGCGCGCTCGATGCCGAGCATTGATGGGTCTGCCGTCGACGATTCCCATGACCGATGGTAGCAGGGAGAGGGGCCGAACGATGTGGGCCGCGTGGATTGCATTGCGGGAGTGGATATGAAGCGGGATGTTGCGTTTGTGTGCGTCGGCCGTAAAGTAACGAACGGTGATGATGGCGTTCTAGGTGAAGCTTCCTCGGTGAGAGGGTCCGCATTGGAATGTTTTTGATCTTGTTTAGGATCAGAATGTGTCGCACCACCAGAGTCCCCGTCGACGAGATACGCCCAGACGCGTTGCCATACTACTGAGTCCATCAACATCTTGGAGAATTCATACGCCTGCCGATACAGGAAGAACACATGAATGAAGATTGTATGTCCAGGATTCCAATCGTTGTCGCGAAGTGCAAAAAGCGCGATGAAGTGGGCGAGAGTAATTGTTGCACGTCGCCCCTGGGAGTGAAAGGCGCATTAGACACTACTTGCAATTCAATTCTGATACGATAGAAGGGACTTACCATCACGCCAAATCCATACGTGTAGCGACTCTTCGAAGACGACCGGTGCCACCGAGCAAAGACGGCGGGCAAAGACAGAGTGTTTAGCAGCAGTAGCGCCGCTGTCGTTCCCTGGAAACATTCGGCGTTGGCCGCTGACTCTGGCGGTGGCATGGTAAGACATGACAGACGCAAGATGCTCGAGAACACGGGCGGCATCAAAGAGTCCGAAGCAGTGGGAATATTTGACTGTGATTTGATGATGAACTCCCTATCGAGAGAGGTCCAGTACGCTGAGCTTGTAAAAGAATGCGGGTATAACACGCCTGATCAAGACGTCATATTAGCACCTGACCAAACCTGCCCACGAATTGGTCGTCTTGTACATACCACGCAAATGCCATACGCTCATAGCCATAGTCGCCATCCACCAACACAAATCCGAGCCCCACACCACAGCCCAGATCGCGCCGGAGCTCTCTAACCAGCTCCCGACAACCGTCAGATCCTCCTCAGCCCATGCGCTTGAGTCCCTGAGCCTTTGATAAAACAATCTCTGTTTCAGCCTGAGAGATTCGGCGGCCAGTTTTGCCGAGACGACTTCTGAACAAGATGCGCATGTCGAAGGGTACACCTCCTCGAGATGCGACCTATACGAGTCGACCGTCTCATGAAAGTACTCCTGAGTGGGAATCAGTTGTCAGACATCCCCACGCTTTAGCGCCTATTTGAGGATCCCGGTGGGTACCCACATCATCCTGCGGGTCGTATTCTGCTACTAGTCTCCGGACAATCTCATGGTTCTGCGTGCATGTTGGACAGAATGGAGATGTTTCGTTTGAAGACCATGTTGTCGAGGAACCGCCTATGGGTCCCCTGATTTGTTCAGCTATTGCCGTTGTCCCGTTGTGCCGTTGTCTGTCCAGCTATTGGCAATCCAATTCGCTTATGTCAGTAGGTATTTTCTGGTATATGATAATGCTCACCTGCCATCCGTCCTACTAACCTCATCGCTCCCATTCATACTGCCGCATTCACCGCATCGCCAGCTCCTCTCCCCGCGCAAGGCCAATTCTTCCTTGTTAAATGTGACATCTTGGTTGCAGAAAAAACATCGCAGTCTGAGGTTAAGGATCACTGTTAGTCCCCCGTAGTTTGATACCCGTCTCAAAACTCTCTGGAAAGAACTCACGTTGCCGTTCCATGCACATGATCCTTGAAGAGCGTTCTCCACCTATGTCACGGGAACCACGGGTTTAGCGTGAAGAAAGACAATAGAAGGGACATCAGGTATTTACCTCCGGACCGCTCTAGATCCTACGATAGCTCTCAGCCCTTCCCTCGAGAGGTTAGCGGTAGTGATTGATATCAGTGCGATTAGGGCAACGTATGACGGAGATATAACAAGGGCTCCCGAGTCCCCAAAAGCGCTAAACTTTGGCTGTTCATCTTCAAATTCGACGGTTCTCCAGGCCGAGCGTTGCGTTCCCTTCATGACATTTGGACGGTAACCCTGGTCGTCGACGGTTCGGTGACGGACTTTCTCGGAGCGCAGTGTCGCATATGTATGTAGTGTACTGTACTGTACATAGAGTACTGTACAAGTAGCAGCCTATCGCCCATAACGCCATGAAATGCACAGCCACCGCTTTGGTTGTCAAAACTGTCAAACGCGAACTCGGGACAGGTAAGCACTGCATGCAGCTGATGTTCGTGTCGTGCCGACTAGCCATCCCATGGTGCAATCGAGGCAATTCCGACCGATCGGGAGGCGAAGGATAAATGCGTAAGACCACCAGTCACGAAGATACACCACTCCCTCCTTCCCATCGTCTGCAATGGCGCGCCAGACCACTGTTGAGGGACGGTGATCCGCTCGGCGTGGAGGCCGCTAGTCGGGGAAGTTCCACTAGCAATGCAGCGAAAAGAAACTACGGAAGACTACATTCTTAGAGGGTAAGGAAGCTCCGGGTACTAGGAAGCTCCGCTTATCCTCACGACAGATACCCCCAAAAACCCAAATTCCCTCAACCCGCTTTCCTCTGTTGAACTTTCGTTTGCCGAATTTGCTCTCGTCGACCTCCACCGTCTTCCCTGGCCCACCAATCTTCCCATCGTCCCCAGCGTGCACCGCCATTACGCAAACCTCCCGGCAAAAGTGGTACCAGTCGCAGGTTGTCTGGCTCGTTTTGGTGCTGACACCCGCTTGATGTTGGGCATCGGCGTGCGGAAGGCGTTGGCTCCAGGCGTACATGATCTTGAGTGCCTGGGCAAGCGACAGGTGGGAACGGCTAAAGAAACTACCGGTCCAAACTGAGAGGGTTTTGCGACAACCTGCACGTTTGCAGCGCCAGCGGAGACCGTCGATTATTGTCTGGTCCTTCACCAGGCTCATGTCGCTGCCACGGCAGTTTGGCTTTGGGCACGTCCGTTTGGTCAGGATAAGTCTCTGATTGAAACAGAACTGGACTGTGCTTTCAACGGTCCTTGTTATCTCGAAAATATCTTCCCAGGTGAGGTCTAGATGTTCAGTAGGTTCCTCGTCTTCGGAATGCTCGCCGGAATGCTCGCCGGAATGCTCGGTGTCGATGGGCGAGCCGGAATGCTCGGTGTCGGTGGGCAAGAATGGGACTGTGTGGCACCGGGATCATCATAGCACAAGTGCTGGTGACGAGAGTTGGCTAGTCCTAAGCGGGCCTCTATCTCCTGTTCTTCCAAAATATCCACCTTCTCCCGCTCAATTGCTTCAGTGAATTGAATGCCTGGTCGTAGTCTTCTTCGGCCACTTCCAATTCAAATTCCTCGCGATCTTGGGACCAAGGGTACTCCTCTGCAGCGCGTAGGGTGGGGCTGGAGAACTGCTCCATGCTGGGCATGATTTTGGGTTTGGAATTGCGAGATGGTGGGTCAAGATCAGGGTTAAGATTCCGGGAATGCGCGTGCTGAGAACACGCGCAGTAGAAGCTTCTGGATCGGGTGGGTTACGGGGGCAAAACCCACTAAACTGCACCCTAGCCCGGAGGTGTACAGTACTTATAGTGTTCAAGGTGATGCTTCTAGCTCGCACGTCTATCTCGCCTGGCATTAGGATGCGACCCTCACTCCAAAGGCGTCTCGTATCAACATAAAGCAAACCGATGTTTTCTATGCGCTTACATGTTCAGGTGGACTCTGTTCTCCTTGGGTTTGCTTCGTCGTGGGTGAAGTCCCAAAAGCAACTGCCTTGTACAGAGCCTCTATTCTTGCGCCCCGCGGTGAAGGACGGATGACTTTTGGCCAGGATCTACTGTAATATGAATCTAAGAGAAGACATCCACAAGTACTGTACATCGGTCGGAGCCTCAGGCCCATCTGCATGTGCCGCCGACACGGGGTGTTGTGTTCGAGAGCGTTCTTAACCTGGAAGAGTTGCGGCGCACGGGCAGGATTGGTGAAAGGCTCCACCGACTCACGCAGTTTTCACTTCGGCGTTGCATGAAGAAGGGAAGTTCTGTTCGCACGCTTGTGCGGTCAGTGACAGAATATCCAATGTGACAGGATGCATGAATCATCAAGCATGGCTTGCTTGACGGGTCTCCTCTTCGCACGCGCCTGACACATGGGCCGTGCGCAGATCCTACTTTCACAAGCCCATATTGGGCGATAATGCATGATGTCAAGGTTGGCTCCCCGCCCGCCGTTCGGCAACCTTCTTTGCGTTGCTATTCTGTGCATTTTATCATTGATTACGGCGTTTTGGGGGTGCAAAATGGGTGTGACGAAAGCCGCTTGTCAAGCCCAGTTCGCTGGCCATAATAAAAGAGAGACCTCCTCGCTTAGCCCGCCATCTTCAATTCCAAAACCGCCAATTTGTTTACCCTCGCCCCTTCTCACAACCCTCGAAACCAACCATGGCCGTCCAAGCAAAACTCCAGCAGAGCAGCCTTGTGCAGTCCGTCGCCGGGCAAGTCATGCCACTCATCAGCACGGCCCAGTCTTATGCTGTTACCGCTATCTCCACGTCTAAGGCGATCCTTGACCGGTACCCGCCTATTAAGGTACGTGCAATATATCACTTCCCTTGCCTCTTTCAGACCGCGGTATTGATTCCCTTTGTTCTTCGCCTTGCAGGCTTTCGTCTACACTCTCGGAGGAGCTGCCGCTGTTCCCCTCGCCGTTTTCACGGGATACGGAGCAGCGACCGGCGCTGTGGTGCTGGGTGTTGCCGGCACGGGAGTAGCCATGGTCCAAGGGGGCTTCCTGGCCTTTGGAGGATTCGTCCTCTTTTGGTTTCTGGCTGGCGCCTTGATTTTCAGTGCCATAGCGACCTTTTGGTGAGTGGCTAGAGCGCGAGTCGCTGCAGTTGTGGGGCGATAACGAAAAATGGATCCGGTCCGTTCTGCGAAAGGGTGCTATGCTCATTCGTCTTATCCCTCAGGTTCACCCTCGCGTACTTTGCATTCCAAATCGCCAAGCGGTTGGAGGGATCGGCATAAGAATTAGGGAAAGTAACTGCATCAGCAGCGGAACGCCGCTCAATATCCTGGGCGAGTTCCCTAGGGCCTCCACAGCGCCGGGACCCTCTACTACTATAGTTTTTCAATCATTCCTCACGCAGTACGTGAAATCAACAAGACGGCCTCATTTCATCCATATATATCCCGCGTAGACGCATTCACACAGGCGTATGCATCTTGCCTCCATATGAATGGCTTCAATATACAAATGTGCTTTGTGTTGATCTCCTAAGCCCGCTTCATGGTGTCAGCGGACACTAAGCTATCTGGATGATGCCTGACACCAGGACGTACCTTTGGATCAATCAGCGCAGCTTTGTAACAAACGATGAAGATGATTGCAGCTTTATCTCGGATCCGCAAGCATTCCAACGGCTTGTGGAGCTGTTTTGCCGTTGCGGTAAGCAGGCCATCGCATTGTGTGTCCATATACTCAATGACATCTTTCGCCTGCTCTGGCTCGAAGGGCTCCCCGTTGTACGGCCTTTCCACAAAGAGCATCAACTTCCGTCCATATTCCTCATCCCCAACGAGCGGAGACTGACCCAAACCAATCAGCCTCAACTCCTCGTCGGGGTCCTGGATAACGTCAAAGGAAGGGTTCTCCACGTCCATATCGTCCACCTGCACGTAAACATCATCATCCACCCCCTCCGCTGCCCCAGATCCATCAGCTCTCTGCACTCCTCCACTCGTCATCCAACCGAGCGTCCTCCATTTTCGACGCACGGTTTGCATGCATATGGCTCGTATGCCCCAGCCCCCATCATTGGATAATAACCGAATTCCATTATCCTCATGTAAACATCCTTTGAGACTCGCCGAAAGTCAGGTGTGTCTCTCACAACCAATGCAACCGGGAATGTACTGTGTTCCGTTCCTCCAGCGTGCAGGGTAGTTGAATCTGGCGCGCCCTTTGCACCCCATCGGCGGGGGTTTTTGTCTGTGAATATTTAGCGGGAAAGGAAGAGTCAGTCTTGCTCTGTAACATACTCCCAGCTCCGCTGTACATGCAGGCCACCGTCAAGGAACGAGGATGCCGAAGATGGGGTGTTGGAATGGGCGCGGGACAGCCATGACCATACCTTTGCGTGCTGATTCCCAAGTCCACAGTAGCTCAAAAGCGAAAAGGAGAGTGGGGAGCCGAAGTCCAGCCACTTGGGAAGGCTGCTGTGGCCGGCGGAGGTGTTGTATGTGTCTGGTGTTGAATTCCGTGACAATAATGTCTGCAATGGTGACGTTGAGAGAAGCTGGGTTGAACGGCGACAGCCTGCTGAGCGCGCAAGCTCCTGTAAGTCCGGAGAGTCCGGGTGGCTGTGCAGGGTTGGTTGCCCTGAGAGGCTGAGAAGCTCCTTCTTCCGCAACTTCTTCTCCGCCGTTCAGCGCCATCGCCCGTCCTGTAGTCGTCCCCAGACCAGCCCCTCGCTCCCATCGTTGCTACCGCACACCCCCGTCGTGCCTAAGCCTTTTTCAATACAGTACGGTTTGTCGGCTGTTTTATTTGCATATATATTATTTAACAACAATGGCTACTTTTCTCTGTCTAGTGAATTCACGCGGCTCTATTTCGTTTCGTAACGGGAACACTTATTCCTACGAGTTCCCAGAATTCAAGATCCGCATTGAAAAACTTAGTCCTCACGTGGCGCGTCTCTGGTTTGCGAACTTCCAAGGTCAACAGATTCCAGTTCCACCCAACACATTTCTGCTCGATGAGGATAACGTGGCACACAACAACTTCGGCGGTTCCTTCTTCATCACCTGGATTGGTTCTCATACCATTACCTGTAACGGCGTTGTTATTTTCAAGACCAATAATAAAAAGCAAGTGTCGGTACACGCATCAGCAGAGCACTGGGAGGTGCGTGACGTAATGGGTCGGCTGAGAAGATGGGACAGACAACCTGTGATTCTTGCACCATTGCCCAACATTATACAGCAAGCTGTCCAGTTTCCTCAACTTGATGATGACGATGAAAAAGACGAGCAGGAATAGGGGACTGGTGGCTTGTAACGTCAGAGGAAACGTAGACGATATTGGACCCTTCTGAGAGGGCTGAGAACAGTGTATTGGTGTGAAGAAAAAAAGTGAGAAGCTTCTCGCAGCAGCCGCACGACTGACAGCTTTATATATGGGCTGCCAGTGGGGCTTGCGTGGCTTCTGTGAGGCTTGGCGCCTTATGTAATATATCACTGAGAGCTCGGATGTATCACTGAGAGCCCAGGTCTTGGATCACGTAGAAGCAAAGAAGTATAATATGAAGTATAAGTGAATATGAGATATCCCCGACACCTCCCTCAGATCCTGAGGAGGGCGCCGAATGAATAAGAGGTGAACTATGAGGGATATGTAAAGAAAGGGAGAGCTCATGTTCATTTTATAATGTTGACTCATTGTGTGATGTGTGTTTGTTTGAGGCCAAGGCGTCCCTAAGCCGCAGTTGTGTGTGATGTGTGGAAGGTTGGTTCTTGCGTCGCCGCGCGTGACGTGATGTAGTTTACGTCGCTATTGTCAGCTGTAATGTGGAGTGTCCGGTCTTATTGGAGAACGACGCGTCAGCGGAACATGTATCGCTGTTTAAGTGAAACATGTTCCCGAGGTCAGTGAAAGACCTTTTGCTGTCTAAGGAAAGGTCTTTCCAGACAGTGTTCTCCAGTGGACTCCAAGCTCATGGGTACTTTAACAGTGCTCGTCGCGCGTTCCTATGCACAACAAGTGGTTCTTCTACTACATATCGCATAGCAGAGCTGGCGAACACCCAGTCTGTCTACAATACCTTACAGCAAAGTAGTTATTGTATATGAATATCATTTATACCACCCGTGTGGAAGGTAGTCCACGTCACATGTTAGCACCACTCGTTTCGAGCAAAATGAGGTTCATAGTGGATAAACACGTTGGCAACTTCAGCATCTCGAAATTGCAGACGTAGCAATCGCCCACCTAGAGGATCAGGATGGGTAGCCAGCCCTCAAAGAATCTGATATAGACGCAACGGTCTGAATTGAGATGTGGGAAGCCTTCCTCAACGAGAGTTCCGTGGATTTCGATGTTCCATTCCCTGGGGCCTTGCTTAAGACCATCTTGAGTTTAAGCACGAGATGCTCTTCTCCTCGCTTGATGTAGCCCGGTGGCTGCTTCATATAGATCTCCTCACTGAGTGTCGGGTTCAGGAATGTGGTGGATACGTCCATTTGATCCATTTCGAGGTCCTGAGCTGCTCCCCATGACAGGAGTAGCCGAATGGCGTCTAACTTGGCCACTGGTGCGAATGTTTCGTTGTAGTCAACTCCCTCTTCTTGTGAGAAGCCTTGGGCGACTAGTCTGGCCTTGTAGCGTTCGATACTGCCATCAGCATTCGTCTTGATCTTGTAAATCCACTTGCATCCGACAAGGTTGCGATCTTTGGGTGCTGGACAGAGCTCCCAGGTGCCGTTCTTGACGAGGGATGCGTAGTCAGCATCCATGGCTTCCTTCCACTTGGCTGAGTCATTGGAGTTTAGAGCTTGCTTGAGGGTTTTGGGCTCTGTGTGCAGTACTTCGGTAGCCAGGGCATAGGCTAGGTTGCTTTGGCGTACTGGAGTGCTCTGGGAGCGTGTGATGCGTCCGTAGTGCACCAAGTCGTCATCTTCCTGGTCTTCCTGGTTGTCTAGGTCGTCTGTGGCCTCTGCCCATTGATCAGTGTCAGGTTGTGGGTTGGGAGATGAGTCAGGGAGGTCAGAATCCCCCCCTGCAGCGTGCGGGCGTAATTTGGTGGTGTCTGTGGGCTTGGGTGCGTGTGAAACAATGTTGTCAGGCTCAGGATCGAATTCAAAGCTAGCTAAGCTGTCATAGGAGCGATCTGACGTGTCTTCATGGTATCTTCGTTGTCCAGGCTGTTGTAGAACTTGTTTTCATTGAACTGGACGTCTCTTGATTCGATAATGGCGCCCTGATCATCGGGTTCGAGTGACTGGAGCCTCCAGGCTTTGCTGGAAGAGCTATAGCCGAGAAAGAGGCACTTCTTGGCTTTGTTGTCCAGTTTTCCTCGGTTTTTCTTGAGTACCATAGCATAGGCTATGCATCCAAACACTCTGAGATGAAGGAGGATGGGTTTGCGACTGAAGAAGGCTTTGTATCGCGTCTTGGAGTTGGCTAGGGCAACCGTAGGGCAGCGATTTCTAATGTGGACAGCTGCAGCGCTTCTCCCCAGTACTCGTGTCCAAGACCAGCCTGGGTGAGTAGGCAGCGTGCCATTTCGACTAGAGTTCGATTCATACGTTCCGCTACTCCGTTCTGCTCTGGGGTGTCGGTAGCAGCGCGCTGATGTTGGATTCCAGCCTTTCTGAGTGCGAGGGCAAACTGGAGGGATTCGTATTCGCCTCCTTTGTCTGATCTGAGGACTTTGATGGATTTCCCAGTCTGTTTCTGCATAAGTGCCTTGTATTCCTCCCATGCATCAAAAGTATCGCTTTTCTTGCGTAGGAGCTTGACCCAGACAATTCTGGACTTGTCATCAATCCATGATGCGAAGTAAGGACATCCCCCAAAGGTAGATGTCCTCATGGGGCCACAGAGGTCAGTGTGGACGAGTGCCAGGATATCTGTGGCTTGGGTAGCTTGTTTCTTCGGGAAGGGAGCTTCGGACTGCTGGGAGAGCGTGCAGACTTCGCAGATGTGACCATCAGGATGTCCAGTGACTGTGATATCACGTTGGTAGCCGTTGGTGAGCTTCTGGACGTCTTGGGCATTCACATGACCGAGTCTCTGATGCCAGATATGGAAGGGTGTGCTACGAAGTGCTCCTGCTGAGTAGGCGTGTTCAGGGAAGCCTGGGCTGACATGGTGTACAGGCCGTTGTCCTTGAGAGCTCTGAAGGCGCCGTCCCTGGTCTTGATTGTGCATTATGCACTCGAAAACTCGACTTGTGCTCCGTTCTCAGTCAGCTGGGCTACTGAGATGAGGTTCTTTTCCAGTTTGGGAACAAACCAGACGTTTCGAAGGGTGCCAGCGTGCTCCCCTTGTGTTCTAATCGAGATGGAGCCTGTTCCGATGGCTAGGACGGATCGGTCATCAGCTAGCTGGACCTGGATCTCAGTTTCCAGCGTCTTGTAGTCCTGGAGCCATTCCCTGACGTGTGTCATGTGTGAGAGGCTCCTGAATCGATAATTCAGCACTCTGGGCTGATTTCCGTGCGTTTCATAGTTGCCATGAAGAGGAACCCGGTTCCCTGGCTGGCCTGGTGTGGTTTGGCTTGATTCGCATTGTTGGCTTGAGCTAGCTCTCGTTTGAGCTTCTTGCACTCGTTCTTCCAGTGCCCTTCAATACCATAGTGATGGCACTTTCCCTTCTTCCTGGCGAACCTGGCTGAACCCCCAGCCTCCTGCTGGTGTCCTCCGTCCCCAACGAAGGCGTTTCCAGTCGATCTGACTGGTTTTGAGTTCTCCTTGCGCCTAGCTTCTTCATTCAGAAGTCTGGCCGTCAAGACTCCATGTCTAAGTCGTCCGCCCTGCTTTAGAGGCTCGTGACGACTTGTTTGTAGCTGTTTGGTAAGCTGTATATCAAGGTTGTCATGATATCGTCTTCGGGTACTGGTGCGCCGATAGCCTCCAGCTGTTGTGCGAGCTGTCTGACTTCGTTGATGTGGTTTGTGATCGAGTCAGACTCGTTCATAGTGATGGTAAGGAACTTTCGACGTAGGAAGAGCTTGCTGGCGAGCCCCTTTCGTTCGTGCACCTCGGCTAGCTTAGACCAGGCTTCCCAAGCCGTCTGAGCTGTATGCACATGCATAAGCTGCGTGTCGTTCAGACTGAGGCAGATGTATGCCAAAGCCCTCTCGTCCTTCCTCTCCATCAACTCCTCCTCCTCCCCTTCAGCCCCCTTTCCCTGCGACGAGCTTGCTGTAGCCCTAGCTCCTTCCTTCTCCTTCTTCCCAGCTTCCACTGCCACCCAAAGTCCCTTTGCCTTCAACATCATCATCATCCTAAACTTCCATAGATGGTAGTTCTCCCCTGTGAACTTATCCACCATAAGTTTCGAAGTCTCTGAGTCTCCAGCCATTGCGTGTTCGAGCTAAAGTCGTCTGTTTCTGGTGTGTGGACGCGTTTTGGATGATGCTGTATTGTTGGACGCGTTTTGGGTGTCAAGTAGTGCGTATCTTGTCGAGTTGAGCACTTTGGCGTGTTTTTTCGGTTGGAAACTGGTGATTTTGGAGGGATAAGTTGAGAGTAGGGCATAGGAAGCGTCCGTAGGGGGGTTGGGAACGTCTGGACTGGGATTGGCGAAGACGGTTTTAGTGATGATAAAGCTCAGGGCTCATAACCTATTGAAACCTTAGCTGATATAGGTGTACCTGAGAGGTCACTAAGACTGGTTCGCCGATGACTGAGGGACGTAGCTGCCCAAAGGGCGGTGTTGTGATGTAGAAGACAGTCCTGTCGCTAGAGTAGTGCGATGGAAAGCTGCGTATTGAAGAGGATAAAGTGAGGGGAGGGGATGGGCAACAGGTCTGCCTTTTGTAGGAATCTGTTCCACCTAAGTCTTGCAGAGCCTAT